GCAATCATTTTAGAGAACGCAGACCCAGCAGCAGCACAACATGTAATGTGTGTTTCGAATCTTTAGAGCAGCACAGCACTCAAACAATGCATGATCGTGGGTGGAAGATTTCGAGGCCTCACAGCATGAAGAGGTGTCCGCGTACGTTTTCGATTTTCTGAGTATCCCATGGCAAAGGGAACACCATCTCAGATCCAGATACTGGTTTTTGAGCAAGCAGACCCAGCAGCAGCACAGCATAGGCACGTATTGACTATTTTTGAGGCAAAACGCCGCTGCAACGACATTCCAGTGTGAGCGGAAGATTTAAAAGTGACGGCACGCCCAACCACCCCAGCATCCCCGGGTTTCATCGGTAATTTCTTGGTTTCTGCGAAGCCCGACAGCAAGCGGGCCCAGCATGCATCGCTGTTGTAGTGTTTTGGTTTTCAGTGATCTGCTGTATTGTCTCGCTCTGGTACGTTGAAAGGTTGGATTTCAATATGATCATAGTGGTTTTTGGTTTCGGCATGCCACCGTCAATTCTGAACCTCAGCATGGCATCTCATGCGACACTTTCAGGCATGTGTTTCTGGATTTTCTCTTTCTCGTCCATACTTTCCCATTCATATTCTTTTTGCACATCATTCTCATTCTTGTCTTATTTCCAACCGTCGTCCCGCGGCAACGGCAACGAAGACAGCATGTTATAGTTGGAAATTGAGGTCAAGCAAGCAGACCAAGCATGGCGTTGTATCCCTTGACTTTCAGCCGTCCGTCAGGTCATTGTGAGTTCCGGTCGTCAGGTTTCGACATGTCACCACAGACTCTCGGTTTCAGCATCACAGTTCCAGCAGACTCTTTCAGCCACATGTCGTCGGTGTTTCTGATTTTCGTTCACGTCTTGTTTCCAATCCTACGGCAACAGCCACACCATATCAAGATCAGCCAGTGGTTTCTAGGCAAGAAGACACATCATGGTTTCGTATCCTTCTAACTTCATAAAACAGTTTGCAAGCTCGTTGGATCTCCTGTACCTAGGGTCTCGGCATGATACTAACAGCTTGCTAATTCAGCATAGCACCCCCTTGCTTTTCGTCCCCAGTCATCAGCTCGCCAAGTGTGTATTTCTTGCTTGTGCAAATATCCCGCGGCAACCAGCAGCACATGTCGTAGTCGGGCATTGGTTTTCAGGCAAGCAGACCCGGCATTCGATTAGTATCAGTGAATTTCAGCAGACTGATGTGTTGGTGTAGTAGTGGGGGGAGGACGCAGCATGTCTATGGCGGGTTCTCCTTTTCGTATCGCTTTTTTACTTTTGAGTGTGGGTCATGCGTATGTCTTCTTGGTCGGGTTTTTCGGTCATAGCTTGCTCCTAGCCTTCGCTCGACAACGGCAACGCCAAAACCATGTCGTTACTATGGAACAGATTTGAAGCAAGCAGGTCCAGCATTCAGTCGATATCTCTCGTTTTTTAGAGGATGCCCTGTGGCCACCGTAATTCTCGATTCCGGCATGGCGTTTATCGCTTTCGGGCTTTGGTCATGTTCTTTCCGGCCATACGTCTCTTGGTGATGAGTTTCTTGGGTCTTCGTCTCTTCGTCATATATGTCTTCGTCATGTCTTTTTTCAGTCCCGTGTTGGCGGCGTTTCGTCAAGGCAGCACAGCAGTCAGGTAGAAAAGTGTGTGATGGCACGGGATGTCCGACCAGAGACATACGGACAGGGTATCTTCATCTTGGCATGGCGCTTTCGAGGTACTATTCCGGTTGCAGCGAGCTTTACGGCATTGTTGTAAGAAGGCGTGTAGCGTGGAAGAGGAGTGAGATAGCACGGCAGATCCGGCTAGAGGTGTAGGACCATGACCTCTTTGTTGCGGCATTTCGCTTGCTTCATAGTGCTTTCTTGGTCATGAATTCTCTGCTTCGTCATTTCAATTACATCGTCTTTGGTTGTGTGTTTTGCTGTGTTGTTCCGTGAAGGCAGACTTGAGGCAGAAGGTACGGTAAGCAAAGAAGTGAGGAAGTGAGTATATGGAAAAGTAAGAAAGTGGGAAATGGCACGGCAGGTCCGGCCAGAGACATCGAAAACGGCGTCTCGTTATTTCGGCATGTCACTTTCGAGACACCATTCCGTTTATGGGGAGGTTTGTGGTGTTGTTTGGATTAGGAAGTGTGGCTGCAGGCAGGTGGGAAAGGAGATAAAGGACCTAGACCCCGCTAGAGACATGGCAAGGCTGCATTTACACTTTAGTATGTCGCTTTCGTAGTCCTTTTTCTGGCCATGGCTTCTTGCTCGTGTCTCTTTCGGCCAGGTTTATTGCTGTGCAGGTAAGAGCAGGGAAGTGTCACGGCCGATCTAGCCAGAGACATAGAATTGATCTTGTCTTTTTTCAGCATGGAATCTTTAGTAACTTCTTCAAGTCATGTCATTTGCTGTGGGGCTTCAGTGATGTTTCGTTGAGGTACTTGAGGGGGAGAGAAGAGGTGCAGCATGGTTTTGTTCGCTCTTGATTTCAGCACACATCTTCTGCAATCTCTTTCGGCCACATCCTACCACATGGCACTTCGGTGTCGTTTTTGTTTCGTCACAGCGATTTGAAGGCGACAGCGGTGTTCAGCATGGCGTCTCCCAGTTCACTATTTTGGTTGTTTGGGATCCTTTACTTGGGCACTGGGGAAGCAAGCTGTGCGGCAGGTGGGGAAGTGGGAAGTGGGAAGTAGGAAGTGGGAAGTGGGAAGTAGGAAGTGGGAAGTGGGAAGTGGGAAGTGGGAAGTGGGAATTGGTAGATGGTAGATGGTACGGCAGGTCTGGACAGAGACATTCCAAGGAAGTTCCCTTATTTCGGCAAATTATGCGTAGTTTCTGATTCCAGCCACATCATCTCATATTGCATTTTAGTGTCGTTTCGTCACAAGGTCGAGGTAGTTGGGCGAAGGACTAGGGGTACGACATAATCCGAGTAGCTGGCAGTTTCGGCATGGAGTCTCCCGCTCTTGTTCTTTGGACACATCGTTCTCGGAAACATCTTTTGCGTCTTTGTTTGTGGCGATTTGTGAAGGCAGGGTGGTAGGCAGGAGATGGGGAATAGTACAACAGCTCCGGACAGGGACATGAGAATAAGGTGTCTGGCTTTCAGCACAACATTTTTTGTTTTCCTTTTCGGTCCGGTTTTCCGTATAGTACTCCAGCACCGTCGCTCTGAGACATGCAGATAGAGGCAGTGAGCTCCAGCATGGTAGCTCCTGCTGGTACTTTTGATCATAACATTCGCTGTGACGGGTGTCCGGTCGGTGTTGGAGTGAGATCTCTGATTGCAAGTCCAGCCACGTCTTCCCCAGGCGGTTCCCATGTTATCGTTTTGAAGCATGTGAGTAGGGACAATAGGGTTCAGCATAGGACCCCGATTCACTCTTCTCAATCGTATCATCCGCTGTGGCGCATTTTCCATGTTTCTATATTCCAGTGTTTGTAGGAGCTTTCCCCTTGACTTCCCCAACCGACGTTTTCAGCCATGTGAAGAACTGTCATAGCTTTCGACGAGACAGGTTGGTGGTTTGTGGGTCAGAGATATGGCAGCGCTACTGTTTGCATCATAGTATCTACGCTGTCCTGAGAACTGCTGCGAGGGACGGCAGCATGCTATCATGATGTCCCGGTTTTCCGCCAGGTCATGCCACCTCCTGCTTATCATTTTCGGCATATCAGCTCCTGTGATTCGTTTTCAGACATATCTTCTGTGTCGTGATCTTGGTAGCGTTTCATTGAGGCGGCGCTGGAAGTGTAAGGTAGCAATGGCTCGACGTGCGCGGGCAAGACATAAGAACCTCACCTCTTGATTTCGACATCAAGTATCTCGCAGTGCCGACGCTAGGCTGCCACAAAGCCGCCTTCACCGTGAATCAAAACGCTTAATTGTTGCGCGAGATTCAAATTGAGATGCCCATGAGTATGAAAGTCAAGAATGGAACTCCTGCAGTTTCAAGCCGAAGAGCTGCTCGGCGTCCTTGATCCGCGCCTTCTCGTCTGGAAAACTGACCACTAACATAACGTGATCCGCTCCAAACCTCGTATCTTCAGAGTTACTTGCTCCTCCGTCGCTTTTCTCCTCTCTGTGCTCCCATCCAAGCTCTCCTCGTCGCTCACATCCTCGTCGCTCACATCCTCGTGTACCGGTGTTGGGCGGGGTCTCTTCGAGGCTTACTCTGGTACAAGCGGCTGAGCATTAGCATCAGCATGTCTTCGGTTCTGCGCATCAACCGAGTTCCCAGTAGCTGTAACGTCAACGGGTATCTGTGGTGGCTTCCCAGAGCCAATCTCTACTAGATCCTCCATGAGGAGGTTTGGATAGGTGACATGCCATTCCTTGAGAAGTGCGCTTGTCCAGCCGTTGTAGTGCGAGTTGCGAATCGCCTTGCGTGTCTGGTTAAGGCGCAGTTTGTTCGGGAGTCGCTTGTGGAAGATGATCCTCGTGTTGGGCGCAAGATCCCAATCCTTGGCCTTCTTCAATACACCCATGCCCCTTTTCCCGCATCCCTTGCATGTCTTGCTTGTCGACGAGTTCCACACATTTCCCACCCAGTGTGGTGCCTCGCAGAGCCAGGCGCGACCTTCTGATTTTGTCGTGTCTTGTCTTCGGTCGACGACATGAACAGACCCCGGTCTTTTCGACATCGGATCGTCCACTGCAATCGCGTATGATGATATCGAAGTGTCACACCAGCTCGTGATGAACCCATGGGGCGTGACTGGGTCGCCTCTCATGGCGGCAGCAATTGCTCGCGACGTGGCTGGGTCGCGCAGCAGCTCTTCTCTCGACCATGGTTTGGTGCAACCAACAATGCGCACCAATCCTGAAGAAGGGCATAACCTCTTCAAGTGTCAATACAAGCATCTGCGATGGTGAAAGTACCCTTCGAGAAGCTGCATCAACGGACGGCCGTTGTCCTCGAGCATCTCGAACCTCTTCTGGATGACCAACTTCTTCGACCTTGTTCTTGACCTCGTCGGGGAACATGAGGTCAGGGCTTATCCTCGATGGAGCCGACGGCAGGCTTGTCCTCGATGGAGCCGACGGCAGGCTTGTCCTCGATGGAGCCGACGGCAGGCTTGTCCTCGATGGAGCCGACGGCAGGCTTGTCCTCAATCTCGGAGCCGACAGCAGCTTCCACCTTGTCTGCGATACCTGCTGCTGCATGCTTGACCACAGGTTTACCCTCGCGCGCTGCGAAGGAGTGCCAGGCGGCAATGGTGTCTTCGGTCTGATGAACAACTTCTTCGACATTGTTCTCGACCACGTCAGGGAACATGAGGTCAGTGTTATATGAATGCACCGAGTCTCTGGGTCATTGTCAACGATCACTGGCTGTGCCAGGATGGCGTCTGTCTTGGAAGGGCCGGCTCGGGTGGGGCACGGAGTGTCAGACGCCTAATACTTTTAGTGTAGTCACACATGGGAAGAGGATACATACATGTTTGCCCTTGCAGGCAGGCGCGCAAGGCGTCGTATCTTCGGTCAACGCAGCAGCAACTGCTCGTGGAGCGGCGGGGCGGTGGTCGGGTCTCGCGGAAGTCTGCAACATTGTTAGCAGATATCGTACACGTAAAAGCCTCGACTTACCTTTGGGGCTGTGAACATGTCTTCGAGGCCATGTTCCTCGAACACGACCTGCCAGTGCTTCAAGAGCTGCATGAAGGGACAGCCATTGTCTGGGAGCACCTCGAACTTCTTCTTGATGGCGCACTGCCTCGGCAGGCTCTCTTGGATGCGAGCGTTGGTGACCTTGAAGCCGCCCTTCAACGGGCGTCGTGTCTCATCGGAGTGCCACGTGGGGTACTGCAGCACGTACGTGATCATGGTCTGAAAGACCCATCGATGAGCACCAATGCTGAACAGGAACTTGACCTCTGCAAGCGACAGTGGCGTGACCATGAATTGGTACAACCAACAATGCGCACCAATCCTGAAGAAGAACATCACCTCTTCAAACGCCAACACAATCATCTGCAATGGTGAAGGTACCCTTCGATGAGCGATATGCCTCGTCGATGTGCCACGTAGGATACTGCAGGATGTACGTAACCATTGCCTGGAATACCCATCGGTGAGCACCAATCCTGAACAAAAACTTGACCTCTGCGAGCGACAGTGGCGTGTGTCTAAACTCGCATGCGGCGTTCTCGCACACTGTAGTGTCTTTCTGGTTGACCACCGTGCCGTAACGTGGGTTGTACTGCGTACTGCACAACCGAAGCTCGATAAAAGCTTGGTTGCAGCCGTACTCGCGGGCAGGCACGTACGCGCCACTTGCGCCACTGAACTTGGGCCAGACGGCCCGCATGGTAACGGGAACGTCTTCGATCTTGATGACAGTAGCAGCGACCTGGGCGTACGCCTCAGGCAGCTTTTGTCGGACCCAGCGGTCAATCTGCGCCCCGAAGAGCGGCTTAGGCCCCAGCACCTGTCTGTTGACAGGGTGCGCAAGGTCTCGCCTGAGTCGATCTATGCAAGTAAGCCCATGCCTGAATACAAAAGCTCAGAATACTTACTGCGAGAGTTACTTGCCATTGGCTGGTGGCGCGGTGTTGTGGAGTGAGATCAGGTAAGAGAGAGCGAGCGACAAGATAAAGGTAAGGCAAGAGCGACCGGATAATCGCAGCACCGACGCCCGGTGGCCACAAAAGCGACCTTCACTTCAAATTTGAAAATTAGATTGTTAGATTGTTACGAGATATTCGAATTCAACGTTCTCTAAGTAAAAGCCGCGTGCTCAACGAACTACACCTGCACATCCCCTGGTCGAAGTGCCTGTCCGTGTATTCGGTCTCCATCGTATGCTCGTCCGCGATAAGCATCCCCTTATAGACACAAAGCTCTTTGAAAATTGTCTCTTCTCGGTTCTTTACGCTGTCCCCATAGTAGACTTTGCAAAGAAGTCTTTGTGCAGATTTCTTAGTGGAGACGGAGCAATTGGTATATGTAACTATGTAGAGTATCCTAGAAGGGACATACAAACAAAGTATTCAGGGTAGATCAATAAGGTAAATTCCGACTTTCAATCAACACTCTCAAAGGTAGAAAGCTTCTTAAAGTCCGAAAGCTCGTAAATGTGGCTGTCATAAACGGCGCGTTGTAAGTTAGATCACACACCGATAGTTGTCCAGGACTCTAGGTTTTATACAACACCAACGTTTAGATTTCTGCTTTCGACAGCTGTAAATGCTGGTAAGACGGAGATAGCTAACATCGAAAGGCCATGATTGGTTTTTAGCAAAACAGGGAAAAGAAAGTAGACATATTCTATCCAACGATCGGTTGGGGAGATCTCTAGGCTCTTAGATAGTATCATATTATGCAGAGAAGTCCGTCGAGGCACTTGTCTCAGAAACAGGAGCGGCCAAAAGTATAGACTCTTTGAAATATTTGAGTCAAGAAGAGCACACCATATATATTTTCATAGTGAATGTCTTTTCAACGCAAAGACATTTTGCTCTGGACATCTGGATTATAAGTAAAACCTTCCAAGGTTACCTTTTTAACAACCAAAGTGCTAGTACCACAGACACTGAGGGCATGACGAGCCAAATTTCTGGAAATCTTGGAAGAATTTCGGACTTAAATATTGTGCTTTCGAGGTTTAAGTGTTTGAGAAGATTATAGCAGTGAGATGGTACACACATGAACAGCTTCGCATTGCTTCTGAGGCTTAATTGGGCAATCATGAAAGGTAATGTCTATCTTTGAAGGCGTAGGAGCTCCCTTTGCCATGACTGATCATCTTTTTGGATCTTTCGTAGCCTTCTCGGAACGTTACAAGCTGTACAGATAGCGACAGTGCGGACTCAAGTAAAGTTTTCTGCTTGAAGGATGTAGACACATGGGGTAGCGTTTTTTGTGCTCCACGGAGGGCGGAAGGCGACAATCATGATCTTCTGTTGGAGTGACTTTCTAAAATGCAGACATGATTATGTGGCATTCATCCTTCGATGTGTAGCCTTGGGTTGAGAAGAGAAAGAGACTCTGTTCTTCGAATTTGATGGGTGGAAGGGTATCCAGATCAGGTTGTGTATCAAAGTGCCAGACGGCATGATGCCTTTCCCCAGAAGAGGCTGCCAACAACATGTAGTACACCCTCCACTTTTTAGGAGGCAGGAAAACATAGTATTATTGCGTATTCATAGTGCATCGAGCAGATATAGATAACGATTCAAATCATTACCTCAAACGATGGTACTTTCGCAATGCAACATTCAGTGAGAAATTAGGTTTGAGGTTGTGGAACGACGCAGATGGACTCGTACATGATCTTGTTGACCTCTTCAAGTCTGTTGACTCATGCACATTCAAAGTTGGGGACATCGTGGTCGCCACTTGGAATTTTTTGGAATCAAACTCTTGCTCATCATTGCAGTCAAGGATTAAGCTACACAATTTAAACTATCCCCATATGCCTAGGGAGCATCGAGTTGTGAAATAGATGATGATCCTTGTTTCGTTTCGCCAAGCGGACAGTCGGACATGTTCATATATGAGAAAGGGTTTAAGATTTGTTTGAGTGGCAGATTACGGCATGAGTTCGTTGTCCTTGATTTTAAGCGGCATGTCTACCATACTCTTGTACTTTAGGATTTCGAGAGTAAGTTCGGAATATTTGAGAACAACGCAAAGACTCAAGACCATATAGAAGGGTGGACAGATCTAGCCGGCACACACATGCCTAAGGTCACAGTGCTTTTCGAGACAGTTGTACCCTCCTGAGTCCTGAATCAGACCATCACGCGCTTCCCGAAAGATTTTACGAAGCGTAAAGCAAGTATGTACAAGAAATAGCGGCTGACCGATGATTTTAATGTCTTGTATTCTCCTCAGCCGAGAATAGGCAAGTCACAGGCCGTATATAGGGCCATGTTGCGGATCTGTTCTGATTTCGATGACATTCAGAGGCCTCCAACAACATAGTCAGTTCCGACAGTCATTTCAGAGACAGTCGCAATCTCCACGCGCGCAGATCGTGGAGCCATGCAATGGGTGGCATTTGTTTTTCATAACGCAAAGAGAGTGAAGTCCAAAGAATCCGCACAGAGAAGGCGTGCGATCGTTGATTCCAAGCGGCCAGACCACACATCCATGTGTGTGTTGGAAGCACTTTCAGAAGTAGGCAAACACCAGACATGACTTCAGTCGATTTAAATCTGAGGCAAAAAAGAGAAACAATTATGAATTCGGTGACGGTTTTCAGGTTCAGTGAAAGCAGCAGGATAGTCGAGACTGACCGCTCAGGAAGCGGTCACGGACACATAGTGAGCAATGTCAGGTTTTTTGAAGAGGCAAGGTCTCCATAACCCCGCAGCAAAAGCGATTTTTCGAGAGATACTTATCCAGATCGTTTGACTGGCGTGACAGAGCGCACATGTCAATTGTGAAGCAGACGTTTGTTTTGCAACAGAGGACCTCGGGAGGAAAGAGACATGAATGGTATGGGAGTGATTTTAGGCCACAACAACATGTGTGCGATTTCAACTCCTTCTCTAAATCCATATATCGGGATTAGAACAAAAGAGAAAGGAGGGCAGAGCAACATATGCTGTCATGGATGGCATTTTTGGAGGCGGCTGCAATCAAGCGCTGACATTGCCGGATCACAGACAGACACCGACACATGTAAGGTAATGGCCATTCTTTTCATTCTCGAAACACACACACACACACAGTCATCGATCTCCGATTCGTCGTGTTTACGTGCAGGGCAAACAAGTCAAAACCATGTGTGCTCTGTAGTACAGCCAGACAAGATATGTGTCAAAGTATTCGAATGTTTCTCGCACACATCGGATGAAAGCCTCTCTCTTTTCGAAACCGGGACCGATGCAGCAGAGAGCAGGCAGCTCAAGGATCGCAAGAAGGTGGTTGTAGTTTCCAAAGACAGAAAACAGAGGGGCATGGTGCAAAAGTTCGGGTTTGGAAGCAGACAGAACATGAAACTGAATTGACCCAATTTGAAGTATGAGTTGTAGATAGTTGGAGAAAATAGTATGGGCTCGCGGCACAGAGGGGTTTATATGGCATCTGTAACTGCACGTGCATGTTGCAAACGAGAATACTGCCAGGCGGTCGCTTGGTGCGTGATGCGGTCACATGCGAGGATGAGCAACGGAAGATGGTGCAGTCTTTGGAGAGATAATGACGGCACTGAAGACAGATGGCATTTCTCTCCTGTATCTACCCTCCCTTTCGCCCACAACCAACCCGTCATCCCGGTCCCCACCAGTTCTCTCCACCACCGAGCGCCCGATCGCTCCCCGCACCCTCCAAGACTCAAGTAGAACAAACAGAACAACAACGGCAACGGCATAGGCACACAGGCAAACATACGAAATCCACTTACAGTGAACTCATAGATGGAGATGAACAAATTCGTCTGTCCACAAGCCTCGTTCAGGTTCCCTCGGCAGCCGGTCTGGCAATTGAGGTCGCCAAGTGGGGCTGCAATGCCAGCAGTGATCGAGTTGTTGCGGTTGATAACGTTGTCACACCCTGCGCCGCATTAGCAACGATTTCTGCCGCTCAATTTCGAAAGGAGTGCACGTACAGCACGCATTATCGTCTGTGCCGGCATACTTGAAGCCCTGGCTCCTGCACACGCTGGTACAGGCGGCGCCGCCGTTGGTGTTCAGTATCTGGAGGTAACCTCCAAGAGCGCGGTCGGTATTGAGGAGGGCAGCATTCACATCACTGGTCTGGTCAGCAGGTACGCTTGAAGGCGAGAGGACACGCACGAGAAGCATCCTTTGTATCTCCAGCCGTTGCTTAAGGCGGCGTTGGCAGCAGGGAGTTTCTGTGCAGGTAGTAGCTGCGCCGCTGTTGTGGTGAGTAGTGCCACGCCAGCGATGAGATAGCCAAAGGCTCTCATGTTTGCGGTGTTCAAAGCAATTCAGGTCAGTAGGGCGGGAGATAGATCTACGATTAGTGGGATATGGTGGGAAGGGACTGAATCTCGATACTGTACTTAACCTGGTTCTTTATCTGATGTTTTCTCGGTGCAGTCAGTACGTTCGTTGGCGGCCGTAAGTTAAATCGTGAATCGAACGGGCCAGATTTCAACGCCGACGGCGTAGTGTCGAATTGTTGAAGGAGGGTAGGTAACAACTTCAGAGAGCCTGGGAGATGTTTATATCTCTTGGGCACATTCATGCCAAGACGAGTCGTGTGCATGAAGCGCTTGCGGCAAGGGGTGAGATTGTGGTCACTGCTGACCAATGGCCTTTGATATCCTCGACAGCATGGGTAAACAGATCCCGCGATCGTCTGAGACCCACGAGATTGACAATGAATGTGTGCTGTTTGCTCGCCAAAGCATTCGGACTTGTTGTAGTGCTTATGCTCTGTCATCGCAAGTGTTGGGCCTCAGGAAGGGATGCAAGTACCTGCACGGAGGTCCGCCGCCACATTCCAATACAGACGACGATATCAATGTCGTCGTCTGTACGGTTCTCGGAGACCAGGCCGGATCAAACCATGGTAGCAGCCACGACGGGCTTTCAGGGCACCCAGACATCGGTGCCTCTGCGGCCTTGAGGACAGTAACATCGCTGATTTAGCAAAGAATGCATCATTTACTTGCCGTGTGCCGAAAAACCACCTTAGGTGCAGGGCGAGCAGCAAAGAATACATTGTCAGCCTTACTTCGCACTGGCCCTGGCAAACAAAGCCTGTGGAAGAGTTGTCGTGCATGACCCTAGTCAAGACTGGAACAGCGAAACTAAGCTCAGACTGATATGCAGGTTGCCGACGTGGAGTAGGTGCACAACAGCGTTGTGTAATAACCGCTCGGGAGGCCGGGGCAGTGGACGATCGTGGTGTAAGATGTGGGGCAGGGACCGCGGCAGGTTGGTCCGTTCGGGACGAAGCACTCCACAGCATGACGCGACCGCGATCTCACCCCGTACCTCACACGACCTTCCAACACGCACATCAGACGCCAAACAGGTCCTCTTGGCTGACTGATCCTGCTTTGGCAACCACGATGCACCCGAATCGATAGGGTCACCAATCCGCCGAGCCAGCCCCAGCCCCTGTGGTTCCGGTAACCGTGGAAGCGCACCCAGGCGCAATGGATCAGACCGCAGGCGCACTTTCCAACATGACTTCCTTCCTGCCGTCACCAGCAGACCTCCTTCTTGTCTTTCCCCGGCTCTTCGGAAAAGCAAGCTCGCTCGGCGACATGATGCGCTCTGGTGGCAGCATAATTGCCGAGCCGACCATGGCCAATGTCACCAATGGCACAGCGGCCACGACTGCTGGCAAGTTTGCGCAAGAGTCCGTAGCAGCTGCAGCAAGTGCCGCTTCTGGGTCGACAGACGAGATCAGCATATTCCAGGCATTCAAGAACGTCGCCAGCTTCTTCAGCTACATGACTTCTAAGTGGGCGATTGCGACGTTTGCCATTGTGAGTGGAACACTGTATACCCCGTGCACCTTGGCTGATACCTCTCTTTAGGCCATTCTCTTGAACAGAACTCAGTTCTATGCCTCCAGCCGCGTGCCGCTCTCCTTCGACCGCCTACACATGCGCCTCGCTCTCTACATCATCCCTTTGATGCTGTTCACGTTGCAGAACCTGAACATGATTCGCGCCATCCGATGCCAGACGTCCCCCGACTGGTCGCAGATGCAGTATGGAACCCCGGGACGATACCTCAGCACAGACTTCAGTGGCGAGGGGGGATACCTATACCGCGCTTCGTCTCGTTTTCTCTTCTGGGAGACTACGATAGACTCGTGCCAAGCCGTCGGTATGTTCCCCAGTGATGCTGACACGACGCGAGACAATGGCTCGCTCGCTCTGCTGTGGCCTTTGTTTATGTCCCTGGGCTTCGGCCAGTTCGTCGAGACACTGTGTTGCGCTCTCCAAGGTCGCCCGCCTGTTCAGGAAGTTGGTATGACCATCTTCGAGCACTCGCTGGCTTTTGCCGAAGCCGAGGCTGTCGTGACCAAGCCCTTGACCATCAATTCTACGCGATTCAACCAACCCAAGAATGTGCTGGTTCCCAATGGCTCAGCCGTACTGGTAACTCGGCCCGGTCTCAACAGCATCGCGAATGTCCCACCAGAGGTCCTCTTGATATCTCTCATTTCCAGCATCAGTCACTGGACCAGCAATCTGCTGGCAATCGCCGGGGTACGCTCAAGGTATCGACTGGTCACCACCGGCATCTGGGGCTTAGCATACATGGCAACGTTTGTATGGAGCTTCGTGCGGCTGACCGAGGCCATTGCAGAATCTGACAATCCCGTTGGCCTGCTGCGGTTTCCCACTGTGTGCATCATTGGATTCATCCCTCACCTCTTGATCATCACTGGCACTGTCACCTGTGGGCTCATCTACCTCCTGGCCTTCTTCATCACTGTTCTGGCACCTCCACCAGGCCAGCCCGAGTCAATGACATGGAAGGAACGCTTCGAGACTGCCTACAACAACCTGCACGCCAACATCCACCTGTCATCGATAGCACCACTTACGATTAGTTGGCATGAAGACTTCTACACGGCGATTCTGAAGGTGGGATTCACGGTTTTGACCGCTGCGAGCGAAGCTGTATTCCTTAATGAAGGCGCCCGAATCAATGTCCACTCGATGACATTCGTTGAGAAGAAGAGACTGAAGGAAGTGCTGGACCGCCGACGCCAGTTCAGGAAGAAATTGACAGATATCCCAAATGAGCTGACAGCGGAGTCTTTCGCTCCTGGCGTTGGCGTAGAGGATAAACCGAATGCTGGCACTTCTGATCAAGCATCGGCTTCGGGTTATGGCCGCGAGCGAAAGACTCGCAGTATGGCTGTTGCACCTGGGGCTGCCAGAACTGGAGCGCAGGGTGATCCAGCTGGACTGCAGCAAAGGAGGGGCCGCTTTCACCTTACTTGGCAGTTCTTGAAGGGCATTGCAAGACTGGTCATGCTCGTCCACGCGAGACTGACCATTGCAATGCTACGACGACTAAGAGTTGGATACCGCCCAAGATGGCTCAGGCGACTCGCTGGACCTCGTCCCGTGAAAGAACCGCGCTTCCCAGCGCAGGCCTACACCGATAGACAGCGCCGCGCGGCATCTGTTGACGCATGGTTGACACTCGATGACCGCTCCCGCATCCGTATCGACAATCAATTCGACGCTGAGGCATTTGCGAAGGAACGTCTCCGCCAAACAGGATTCCTCGACGCGCCCAGCGCCGGGCAGTCTGACGAACGCGTTGACGACTACATGTACTCATGGTGGCGTAACGGAGGTCGCTTCGGCGATGTTGATCACAGCAGCGACTACATACCACCGCCAGACGACGACGTAACGAGTGTTATCTCATATGCGACCACTGATGACGACGACGACTGGTCAGACATGGAGGAGGACGGGCATCGAACACCTACTCGGGACACTTACCAGCGGACGCGAGAGTCAACACCAGCTGCAGAGAATGATCTCGATCTTTCGCGCCTTTCAGTTCTTCTGGACCCCAAGACTAAAGAGGATCGAGAGGAAGCGAAGCTCTTATCACGACACCTTCAGAGTCCACAGATCATGACCCGATCGCAATACCGTAAAGCTCTGGACCAAGATCAAGCTAAGATTCTGATGACGTCTCGTTATCGTCTTGAAACCTCGGCCGGTATGACGGCAGAGGAGGAAGAGCAGCTCCTGGAGGATCTAATCCTCAACAAGAGGCAGGCTGCTCCACCGCCAGGCTCATCTACAGCAGGCAGCTGGGACACTGGAGCGGAGGGTATGGGATCCGAGGGCCCGCAGTGCGTTGTATGTCAGCTGTCACCTAGGACGGTCCTTGTGTGGCCGTGTGGATGTCTGTCGCTCTGCGACGAGTGTCGTGTGGGACTGGCGAGCAAGAATTATACAGCGTGCGTGTGCTGTAGGACAAAGGTGGTTGCATATTCCAGGCTGTACGTACCATGAGGCATATAGACTTTGCATCGCCTGGAGTTAATATCAGGCTTCGTTCTCGATACATGTCATGCTTGAGCGTCTACTTGTATGTCAATTCTGGTCCCTTTGCTGTACCATCGCCCCGCAATTTAAGCTCAACGGGTCTAGCCTTGAATGTGTTAGCCGTCATGATCCCTGTCGAAATTTCGAGCTCCGCAACTTTTCGAGCTCGAGCGAGCCGGCGCATCACTCACGTAAACTGGTCGCGATGGGAAAGCGGACGAATTTTGAAGGTGAAGCGGCGAGCGCGCACACGACTAAGCGCCAGAGGATCGAAGGCGGCCATGAGCGCAATTCTCCACGACCAAACGGCGCTGGTGCCGAAGAGGTGCACTCGGCTCGCGACTTGCAGAAGGTCCTGTATTTCGACCAGAATGCGACAAATGACTTCCGAAATGGTACGCGCCAAAGTCAGCAAGCTGGGCATGTGCCTGACTGACCTCTGTAGGATTGACCTCATTCAAGCGGTTCCTCGACTCGATCCTCTATGCGACCGACGAACATGATGTGCCCCGCCGGCGAACTATTCTTCGCGAATTCCTCGATACGCAGAAAGGCAAGACCCAGGATGAGAAGCACGAAACGCTGTTACCGAACATCATTCAGGCCTGGGACTGGGCCGCCGAGTCCAACTTCGACGCCATTCTGGCCCAGGTCACCGCTGTGCTTGCTCTTCTTTTCAAGGTCTTGTCCAGCAATACCGAGCTCACCACATATGGCACAACTCTCGCGAGGACAATACTGCAACCTTCAGTCGCTCGCCGTCTAGTACGCAGCACATCTGCTGCATCGAGCAAAGAGAATGTCATTTCGCCGGCTCTCAGACTGCTCACGGAGCTCACGCGGTTCAACGAAGGTGCACATGCGCGAGCTGTCTACTCCAAGAAAGATTTTACGTTGGAGCCGAGGATATTGGGCAGGAACATCGCGCTATGGAAAGAGCACAAGGGCATGTCGGTGGCAGACATGCACAAGAAGCCGAGTGTCAGGACTACGGCTATTCGCTACTTGCTCACACATCTGAGGCTGCAGGACGAGCGTGCCAAAGTCGAAATTCTCTCCAACACCAACATTACAAGAGCCGTCTTCGACCATCTGAGCACTGACCCACCGTTCGTTATTTTCGAGATCTTTGATGTGTTTACCAACCACGTCTTCAAAGATAAAACCGTTCCCCGCCAAACGAAGAGCCGCATCTTGAATGGTAAAACATTATCGCGCATCGCCGGACTCTACAACTACGACTTGCAGGAGGGTTCGCTATCAGAGGGACAGAAGGCGCCAGATGAGCTTGCTCACGAGTTCTTGTGCATGGTGTGCACAGATCCTGCATATGGTGTTATGCTGCCAACAAACGGCTTCTACCCATCGACCCACGATGATGAAGATGGCGATCTTGACGATGCTGCAGACAACGGGAACGATCTCGGACTTGATTCGACAGAAACGTTCGAACGATTAGGTCGGGTACGCAACGTCATCTTGTCGGAGTTCATACAGAGCCAACGGCCGTACGCGAACACATCACACCAGAAGCTTGTCATTGAGATCTTCAAGGCATCGCCAGAGCTTGTCGCGGACTACTTCATCAAGCGGAGAGACTTCAACTACGATCCGAACCTGACCTCCACTTGGATAGGTTACTCCGCCTTCTTATTCCAGACAATACAGCTCCCGGTGCCGAAATACTTTGGCGTGAAGAAGAGCTATCGCAACCAACCGCCGCCGGTGGCGGCTATGATTCAGAGCGTTCTGCCGCAGCCTTTGAACCAGCAAGTGCTGACCAAGTGCTTGAACCACAGTTCAGACTTGGTCCAGATGTTTGCGATCCGTGTGCTCGTTGTCGCGCTACAGAAGCTGCGAAGCATGGTGCAAGAGCTGCATGAGGCCAACGTGTTCAGGCCGTCAAAGCAGTGGCAACAAGCATCGCAACGCCTTGTCGCCGAGTTCAGTCGCCGCTGTCCAGCAATAAGGACCGTATTCCTCGCGCTGAAGAAGCCTGGGCTGCAGAGCCTGAAGAGAGAGTCGATCACAAGATTATTGAGGTTGTACTACGAGGTCACACCCCAAGCAGCATTGCAAGAGAAGTTCGACGTTTCGCTACCACTATGCAACGCGTTAGTTGAGGTCGAGAAGCCCACAGGATCCCCCGAGGATACAGCATTCCGTGTGATGGAGCTCGAGCACTGGATATCGATGGCGCGTCACTCTCCTGCCATGCGGTGGTGGCAGAAGCCGAAAACGCTACAACACTCGCCGTTTGTCACGCTGCTCAAACTTCTCGTCACCTCGAAGGAGAACGAGCTGTATGCAGGTGTCAAGTCTCTGCTTGATGCAGTCTTGCAGGATCAGGAAATGCTCCAAACAAAGACAACCCCTGATGCGTTGGACGCGCTTATTGCCAGTCTCGAGCCGCCCGCTGGATCAGTCCCATCGACGGATGTACTGGACTTCCTCGATGACTGCTGTGCACGTTTCATCAAGGTCCCGATCAAGTACTTCGATGATCTAGATGCGATGTGCGCAAAGGCATCGCAATCATCAGCAGACGTCGGTGCATTCAGCCCTCTGCTGATGACCCTGGCTGAGCAGTGGCCGTTCAAGGGCGGTGAATCAGCAACAGGGCCTGCCGCAGAAGCCCTGGCCGGGTGGCTGTCGAAGCTTCTCTACCTTTTCAACCTGATAGGTGAGGACGAAGCAGCACTGACTCTAGTACGCGATAATCTGATCGAGTCGGCCGGCAAAGCGTACAAGGAGCTGCTGAAAGATGCCTTCCTATGGAAGATGTATAAGGCACGGGCGAAGGAAGCCCTCAAACTCGCGACCGGTGCCGACTTCAGCGGTTCGGAACGATCCAGTGCATCGCCTGTACCGCAGGCAGAAGCTGCAGCACCAACCAAGGTTGGGCCAGTGGTTGACCTTGAACTCCCACCACAGGAAGACAAGAAGCACAGTGGTCTGACCCGCTGGCGGAAGAAGGAAATAGACGAAGCTATCGAAGACGGTGACATCGGCGAGCTCCTCCTTTGTCTCTGCTCCAAGCACCAGGAAATCCGCATTCAGGCCATCGCCAACGTCCGCCAGCTCATGGGGACCATCGGCGTAAGTTCTTTATTACCCCTTGCTCTGTTCTTACTAACACACCACAGCCTGATGCCCTCACCCAAGACCTTGGCGCTGTCTATCTCCTTCTCGGCGAGACCCTGGAATCGCTCGACCCTACCGGCGCTACACCATTTCCATACATCGGCGGTGTCTTCGCGGCGCGTTGCGTGCGCATCCTGGCTGACCCCACACACGTCATGTTCAGCAAGGTTAACAGGTTCCTCACTACCGCGCCATCCTGGGAAGTCGACGTTCTGTCGCGGAAACTGTATCGCAGCATTGTCGGCAGTGAGCCAGAAGATGACGGCACGTATCATAAGGAGGTTGAGTGGTTTTTGGAATACCTCATTGACGGGTTGCGCACACCTCGAGACATGGAGAGTCTGAGGAAGAGCAACATCTTCGAGCAGCTCCTGTCCTTCTACGCAAGCAGGTCATGTAGTGCGACGAGCAAAGAGAGGATCATCAGACTGCTACTGAGGGCTGCGGCGGTTGGGGGGAGTACCACGCTCGTCACACGATGTGGACTGGTGAGCTGGATCCAGATGTGCTTGAGCAACCAAGATCCCAGGCAGAAGATGCTGAGAGTACTAGCTACAAGAGTGCTTGAGACGTGTGACCAGGGCAAGGTCGCGGAGTGGAGCAATGGGACTATTGAGGCAGCTACTGGCAGTTTGGTCAACGTAGTGGCGTGAGCACGGCCGGCACAGACTTGGATTTTAGTTAGAGCATTGCAGGCGCCCTCATAGCATTCGCAAAATAGCAGTCTTGATTATCTGATACAAACAATTCGCCTCGAATCTCCTGTGGCGGAGGCTGCAATGACGCACGTCTCGTGACTAAACGGAATCCATACTACTGTGTCCGTGCACCCAACGATCGGAGTCAGGCAACGATCGGGGAACAACAATTACACCCAATTTTGACGCGTAATAATTCAACCACCATGCCAGGTATTAATGATGCGCTTGCAGAGATTCGTAAATTGAACCCTGGCGATAAACCTGTCTATACAAAAATTGCGCTTAAGCATGGTGTTGATCGCAATACTCTATCGCGCGCGCACCGTGGTGTGCAGGTCCCTCGACGCGTCGCCAACGAACACCTACACAAGCTCACTCCACAACAAGAAGAGGACCTTGTGAAGTATATAGAGCTGCTAAGTACCCGTCATATAGCACCTACAAGGACCATGATACAAAATTTCGCGTCTAAGGTCGCTCAAGAACCTTGCTCCGAGAGCTGGGTTACACGCTTCCAACACCGTCACCACGACCGACTTGTAGCCAAATGGACGACCGGCATGGACTCTAGTCGCCACAAAGCTGAGTCTGGGTATAAGTACAAGCTGTACTTTGACATCCTACACAAGAAGATCACCGAATACTCTATTGAGCCTGAGCACACGTACAATATGGATGAGAAGGGCTTCGCGATCGGAGTACTAGGAAGGACAAAGCGCATATTTAGTAGGCGTCAATATGAGAAGAAGGAGGTTCGACAGGCTCGTCAAGATGGCTCACGTGAGTGGGTGAGCTTATTGGCAGCAGTCTGCGCAGATGGTACTGCACTGCCGCCAGGCATCATATTTGCGTCGAAAAACTCCACAATCCAGAGTCATTGGGTGGCCGATATAGAGGCAGAAAACCACCTAATTCACGTGGCTTCTTCGCCCTCTGGGTGGACGAACAATGACATTGGATTAGCCTGGCTTGAACAGGTATTTGATCGTTATACAAAGGCAAAGGCGCGTCGGAGCTATAGGCTTTTGATAGTAGATGGCCATGGCAGTCACCTAACGCAGGACTTCATCGACTACTGCGATAAGAATCGGATTATACTGGCCGTGTTACCCCCTCACAGTACCCAGACGCTGCAGCCGTTGGACGTAGTCTGCTTCAAGCCACTCTCCTCCGCGTACGCCTCCGAGCTGGATGACTACCTCCAGAAGTCTCAAGGCCTATCCCCGTTGACAAAAGGTGACTTTTGTAGCTTATTTTGGCCTGCCTGGGTGGCTACATTCACGGCCGAGCTCGTACAAAACGCCTTCACAGCCACGGGGATAAGCCCACCAAACCCCAACGTTATACTCGATAGATTCCGCCACACAACACCTACTGACTCAGGCTCAGTTGCCTCTGGTTCTACAGCTTATTCAGCAGAAGACTGGCTTAAAGCTTGCACTACTTTGCATGCAGAGGTGAAGGATCCTCGCAGTGTAGGTGCCCGGAAGCTCGGCCAAACTATCCACCACCTATCAACCCAGGTTGAACTCCTTCACCACGAACTAGATAGCTTGCGGCAGACGCTACACAAAAAGCAGAAGCGTCAGAAGCAACCTAGCAGGCAATTAGACCTGCAACAGCATCAGGAGTATCACGGCGGAGCTATGATGTGGTCTCCTCGGGCTATCCGGGAGGCACGGGTCCGCATAGCAGTTACTGAGCGAGAGAAGGAGGAAGAAGAGCTAAGAAAGGCAGAGATGAAGGAGTTAGCAGCTGCTAATAAGCTATACAAGCAGAAGATTGAGGAAGAGAAGCGTCAAAAGCGGGCAAGGGAGAAGGAAGAGCGTGTCAGGATGAAGGCAGAGGAACGCCGAGCAATAGACGCCCGGAAGGCAGCCAGGGCAGCCAGCAAACAGGCTCGTGACTCTACAAAAGCTATACAACAGTCCCAAAGAAGCAAGACTACAACCTCAAAAGCTTCTGCAGTCAAAGTAAAGCCTGCGCGTCGTGCTGTGGGTGCTCGTAGTCACCCAAAGCCTGCCACGCCTCCCCCAGCTCCGCGCACTCACACGACCCGCAGCGGCCGCACAGCCACATTATATAGATAGATTGTATAGAGAATAATGATCTGCTAGGCCTATAGAACAAACCGCCAAATTATTTGACAATAATAGCTATTATATGCGGCTCTACAGCTTCATTTTTGTAGTAGGCCTCAGGGATCGGAGCGATCGTTGCCTGACTCCGATCGTTGGGTGCACGGACACAGTAGTGGGCTGCCAGCGCTGCACCTCCATCTGTCTGCAGCCAATGCGAAACAACAAACAGTCGCTCTTATTCGTACTCCCTCACTGCGCCAAATACCGCGAACAAATATCACAATATCACCAGATCCAGCCAATTGCGTACCGTAGCGCTGATCGAAAGCGCAAGGGCTTCTCCGCTTTTCATTGACGCCTCAGAGCAGGGGTGTTTCGAGGTGCGTCCACCCTGTTCAATCCCACCTCGAGCTCCGCCCACCTCACACAACAAGCTCGCCGCATAAGCCAGCTGCCTGCTCACCTTAACAGACTGCCTCCTGCCACCGTACAGCTCGACGCTACCTCCCTCCAAGTCGCACCCACCACACTGCTGCACGGCAATAAGGGACACGAGACGGGGATTGAGGAGCTGCCGACGCTTCGAGCGCTCCACTCGGGCCCTGCTCAAAGGCATCCGCCTTCCATCGCTGCGACACTACGAACACATTCTTACCAACCACATCACCAACCGCGACTGAGTCTGCCACCTCCCGCGTGCCCCACCTCCCCCCGCCCAGCCTCCCACCGGCCGCGAGCATGAGGTACACACCAGATGAGCTAGAGGGGCTCAGGCAGTCGCCGCTAGTAAAGAAGCCCGACGGACTGCCGTCAATCCTGCAATGGATGGACGTGCCCGCCGAACAGAACAATAACAATAACAACCACACCACCAACAATGGCACCGCTCGCCGCACTCGTGGTCGGGACGGAGAAGCAGCAACCACCGAGCATCGCACGGATCGTCCTCTCATCAACCCCATGGGTCAGTTTGGGAGACGTCAGAGCATGCGTAAGTCTGAAGGCCTAGGCGTGGTTGCTGCCATTAACGCACTTTTTGTAGAACCTGGCGAGGAAACGGTGCTCGGGCCACCGAAGCTGAACTTTACCTCCGCAGCTCGCGCAGCCAAGAACACAAGTGACAAGCAAGAACGCACTGGCATCACCTCGGCCGACGGCGACCAGCTCGGCGACCGTTTCCCTCGCGACAAAAACGAACGATGGTCTCGGGACGGCGACCGCGATCGCAACCGCGAGAGGGGCATTACGAATGGCCGCCGTGGTGCGCGCGAGGACGGCGAGGGCTGGACAAGTGTCAAGGGTCGCAAGAGCTTGGGTCAGGAGGACTTTGAGCGCTTCAACCGTAACGGGGACCGCGCCGAACGTAGTGAGCGCAACCGCGAGAAGACCGAAGGCGCTTTGGAAGACGACGCTCCTCCACGACGAGGTCAGCGTGACCGCGCAGATCGCGCAGAACGATGGGGTCGACGAGATGATGCGAAGGAGGAGGCACCCAAGTTTGGCGTACAAGGGGGTTGGCGCGAACGTACCCAACAACCACAACGCGAACAGCGAGAACGCGGCGACCGCAACGATCGCGACTGGGAACGAGGCGGCGGTGGAAACAGAGGAGAGGAAGACCCTGAATGGATGGATGCGAAGGTTGAGAAGAAGAAGGAGCCTCAGATGAAGACACAAGCCGACTTTGAGCGTTGGAAAGAGCAGATGAAAGCCAAGGACACACCCGTTGAGGAGAGGGGTGCGCCCAAGGAGAGCCCTGCTACGCCTGCCACTGCAACCGGCATTGCCGCCGGGCCGATGTTTACGGCTCCAGTACAGACACCTACAACAGCCGAGTCCACCCAAGGAATTCTCTTTGGAAACTGGGGCAACGTCAAGGGCGTCGAGCTGGGTCAAGACGAATCGATAAAGGCGAAGCCAAAGCCTGCAAAGGCATCGAAATTTATGAGCATGTTTGCCAAGCCTGAAGAGCCAGCCGCGCACAGCCCGATACCTATATCGGCCCCTGCGCCCCCTGTACCGCATGCCAACGAGGATCAACAAGGCTTCCAGCGTATTTTGCAGATGCTTGGTCAGGTCAATGTTGGCAGCCCTCAAGCAGCGCCGCCAAATCAACCTTCACCGCCCAACGGCATACGGGGACACGGAGGCGGTATCTCGTTAGACTTCCAACAGTCGCCTCCACCAGACATGCAAAACCACAGGCCCCCACCGCACCGCACGCTCGAGCAGCAGAGTATCTTACAGAACATTCTGGCTCCTCGCCCTACTGCGCCAGAGTCAAGGCCATCGCAGCAAGCCCGATTCAACGCCATGTCTCCTGAGAACGCACTCCAGGAGCAGTTTGGACCTCCACGACCTGACTCTGGGCGTCAAGACGGGCAGTCACCCTTCCAAAACCCTCCTTCAAGAAACGCCAACCCACAGGACGCCAATCTGGCTGCTATCTTGAACAGTCGAGCACGGGAAGACTCCCAACGGGACCAAGGACAAAAGCAGCGCGAGCGGGATTTCCTTCTTACGCTTATGCAGCAACCACGAAACACTCCGCCGCAGATGATGAATCAGAATATGCCGCGAGGCGGCCCCCCAATGGCCATGTTCGAGAACATGCAGCACGAGCAGCGAGCTCCACCCCAGCCCAAAGCCCGCGGCGGACTGCCGCCTGGCTTCATGGATGATCCTCGAATGTTTGACAACGAGATGATGCGTCAAGAAGCTCAGCGTAGAGAACAGGAGCTTCGGCAGCTGAGTATCCAGCAACAGCAGCAACAGCAACAGCAAGATTTGCGTAACAAGAATCCGCGTTTGCCAATGGGCTTCCCAGGCCACGAAGACCCAACGCTGGGCCTCCAGCGCCGCAACACCGCCGGCGAGATTCCTCGCCAAATGACTAATATGGGCATCCCCTCCCAGCAACACCCTGATATGCCTTTCATGGGCGGTCGTGGACAACCAGGAATGCCGCCGACGCCCCAGGATCGGCCCAACATCGCGCCTCCCCCAGGATTTGGAGGCCCCATGCGCCAGCCACCTGGTTTCGGTGGACCCAACCCGCAGCAACAAATGGGTCCTGGAGGACCGAGCTTTTCAGCTGGCAACACACCGCTCGGAGCCCATCCTCCTGGTCTGCCCCAGCTTGGCGGTGGCAGCATGCGCGGTATGCCACCAGGCTTTCCTGGAGGCCCAGGCGGCAATGGCATGCAGGGCCCGCCCCAGGGCTACTTTCCGCCACCCCCGGGATATGGACCGCCGCCACCTGGCATGCGAGGCGAGGATCCTAGGATGATGTTCGACGGTCAATTTGGCGGCCCCCCGAGACAGCAGCAGGGTCGTCCAGGACCCCCAAACATGTATTAGGAGTTCCCAAGACCTAAATCCTGTCATGCAACAGCAGAGACAGCTTTGCAAACGACTGGCGGACTAATAAGAGAAGACAGGTGCGAATGCAAAGTGCCTTGGAAGACACACCGGATTTGGTGGCGGTGAGCTGGAATTCCGCAATCGGTGTGACCTGAATTGGAGACTTGCCTATTTCTGGTGTCAACGGCGGATCCAGCGGTGGATAGAGAGAGCAGAGCTCTGAACTTGCGGCACGCGACACCAAACATGGTACCGCGCTACCCCGGGTTAACAACGATCGTCTCCTTACTTGTCATATCAATCTGCTATACTGTTGCTTGAGCGTAGCGTGGAGTCTGGGGTCTGCATACTCTGGGTTGCATCAGCATTATCAGGTCCTCTGTGTTCTTTTTCTGCACGCGGACTCGGCGCGCACTCTTCCGATTTCAGCTGAGACGATACGGGCGGGGAGGGGGTGGAAGGTGCCGTGCGCCGTCACTGGGCGCTCGTGTTGGTAGTAAATACGAAAACTTGAATGGTCACGATATGTTGACGCCAAGCACGCTGCCTCATGGACTACTGCAGTGATGTTCCAGTGGGAAGATATCTGATATGGGGGTTAGTGCTCATGCGTCGTACCTGCCGGTCTACGCGACTACCCATGTGTCTATCCAACGTGGGCTCGGGACTGAGTTCGTCACTCGCACTTACGATATTGACGAACATACTATACACTCTCCTATCAACGCCCTATTCCTCTAACCTATCAATTTGCTCTGAGCACATCAGAGCACACGCGCACAATGGTTCCTGGGCCATCCCATTCGCATTACACTCGACTAGCTCGAACCGTTACGATCCTCCATATCGTCCCTGAGGGCTTTACATGGCGCCGTCATGGGTCATATTTGGTGGGCGCCCCAATGCCTCTATCATTCCCTTGCTGATGTCTCGCAGACAGTATAGCTTAGTACGCCGGTGACTGCGCCAACGCCTCAGAGCCGGACATCGCAGGCGTAGGCGTGCGTCCTCCACGCTCTCTCAAACCGCCCAACCACTAATCAACACCCAGGTCGTCATTTCGTTTGTGCTCGCCAGCGCCATGACGACGGCGGCCTCGATCCTGGCGATGATCCTCGACAACGCGTATGACTCCAAAGGGCGGTTCGCGCTCAGAGCACCGGTCACGTATGTCCGCGAGCGGTTCGTGGATACACAGTGGATGAAGGACTATGCGTGGCGCCCGTTTCTCGATCCGCTGATCATCGGATTCGGGGACCAGCAGTTGGTGACCGGGTATGCGGTGTTGCTGAGCGGGTGGATCAAAGTGAGACTGACATTCAATACACGACTTATGGTCTGGAGAGAGCTGACAGCGGACTTGCAGGTGGCTCAGAACTCCTTCGAAGTCCAAGGCGCCCACTTCGTCCTCATCCTCTACATCTGCGCACTCTCTTCCTCGTCCCACCTCGCCGCTATCATCACCTTGCGCAAGTACTTCCGCAAATACAAGCTCATCGCCAAGATCCGGCTCACGCTCGTCATCTTCTTCGCTGTGTGCCTCTTCGCATCCATGATCGCCGCCATCAGCATACCGCCTACGGTCTCCCACAACGACAGTGCCATCAAGCAGCGCACCCGCGTCCAGCGGCTTGCGTTCCTTGTACCCATGCTCTTCATCCTCGTCGGCTTCTCCACCGCGCTGGTTTGTATCGTGTACGATCCCGCGCACAAACCCTCGTCTCGCGCTCACGATTCCCAACACTCGGTCGGAGGGATAGTGCGCCGCCTCACTGACCAAACACCCCCAACCCCGTCCTTCTCGCCCCACCGTATCTTGCGCCCCGCGCACTTCGGTCTGCGGCTCATCTACTTCGTGTTCCTGAACCCGCTGATCGCGTTCGCGGTGCAGCTCCTGCTCGCCATCCTGTCGGCGATTCTCGTCCTGACGCAGAAGTTTGCGCAGCCGAGCGACACCAGGAGTTTCTGTGGACTGCAGGATGAAGGGGACAATGAGTGGGGCTTTGGGCAGACGCTGAGTGTGGGCATGTTGTTGCTGCCGGTGCTGAGCGCGGGGCATACGTTTTTCGAGGGGAGGCAGGATATTAGTGAGGCGTAATGTGTCTATGTGGTCATGCTGGACTGAAGTAATCGCACGGGCTGCTCAGGAGTTGTGATTGGGTTTATTTGGGTATATCGCTCTTGCTCTTACTCTTCACACCCCCTTTGGGCTCACTCTTCCATCGCCTCTGTGCTCACTCCTCCATCCCCACCTGTGCTCACGACGCCTTCCCCTCCACACCGCCATCCTCGTCACAGTGCATCACCCCCGCGAACCCAACCCACTCCCTCATCCCCCTCACAAACGCATCCCCCTCATCCACAACCCCCCCATGCCCCCACACCACCAGCTCCGAGAACTCGCCCAGCTGTTCCGCAATCTTGACGTCCTCTGCCTGCCCCACAACGTCGCCCCCGTCGTCCATCTCGTCGTCGCCGTCCTCCGCGTCGTCGTGCGCATATGCACCGTGCGTACCGTTTGCGCCGTTGTGTGCAGTCGAGGCCTGAGCGGGCTTATCGGTGACGCGCAGCACGGCGCCGGTGTGTGTCGCCGGCAGCGCGAGCAGCGTGCCGTGCAGGTGGCGGCCGCGGAAGTGCGTGTGCAGCGTTCCTGGGACGGGTGTTAGTATTGCGTGGCCCGGTGCATGCAGGGCTGGAGTGGTTTCACCTTTCTCGTCTGTCGTCGGCGTCCAGTAGCGCGCGGTGTTGTCGATCCGGCCGTTGTGGTTTATGCGCATGGGGAGGAGGTTGGGTGTGCATTTTTTGGGGGTGCTGGGGGGGATGGATAGCATTGTGGGTGTTGGTGGTGGGTGTGACGACGAAGTGTTCGGGGGAGCTCAAGCAGCGGAACTGATGAAATACGGGGATTGTGGCTTGGGGGGTCTGGGGTATTGAGGGTGCTGGGAGGTTGTTGTACTGCTTGAACGGTGTTACTTCGCGTGGTGTTCAACTTTACGCGTGAGGTCGACGCGTCGCAGCGTGTTGCCGCGGAGTGGCACGGCTGGCTTTGCCGAAATCATCACTTTGGCAGTGTGACGGCAAAGGCATACTTGAGGCTGCTTCGGCGTCTGTCAAATCTTTCCTCTCTTGCTTCAATACTATACGTCTACATACGCGTCGCGCTTTTGCACCGTTGCAATGACATACCCAAGTCGGTCGCCGGGCATGTTCGCCATGTCTGACCGGCAAGCCGAATTGGACCGACTTTGAGCTCCTGTTCCACGATCTCGCTTGGGATATATTCGGGAGAACACAGAAAGAGAAAGATCTGGCAGACTGCTGTGGCTGTAACATGCATGCATTCCACGCGCATGCAGCGGGGAAGCAGGACGGCACAGGACGACGAACATCTGCTCGACCACGGCCGATCCCCGAAGAACCGCATCAACCGGTCCGCCGTGTACATATACTGCCGGTCGGCACTGCACATCGCCAGCCAGCAGAGTACCTGAAACGCGCCCAGTGTTGCGTTGCTGCTTAAGGTTCTGACTGCCCCTCACTAGCTCGCGATGCTGGAGCTTAAGCAGATGCTTGACGTACAGCTCTCCAGGAGCTGGACATGGGCATGTCTTGCTGTACGCATTGCACGCGCTCCGGAGCTCAAGGAACCCGGCTGAGGTGCTTGGCCTGAAGAGTCGCACGTTCTGCAGCTTACTGTGGGTTCGAATGGGCGGATCGAGGGCTTTAGTACTCGCGATGCTGTGTTCTCGATCAATAACGTCATCGGTCACTCGAAACGGTCAAGTAGCTCATCAATCCAGCGCTTCAGACGAAAGCATCGAGGCTCTGGATGCCCCGGCGCAATCAACAGCACCGCGTCGGCCCTCGGGCTTCCGCGCAACGGTGTGTCAGTTTGCTCAAATGCTTAGGCGCGCCGGATTTCAGTCGAGGGTCTGTCGGATGTGTCTTTCTCTTTCCTCGAGGGTCTCAATTCTGCGCACTCAAACGTGACAGCGAGCCCTGCGACGCCTTATCTAGCCTTTTAAGATCATCGTATCTGCCAATTGACCTGTCTGAAGCTCTCTGCTTCTTTCTACCCCCTCGATAATAACATGTCGCTCTACAACACGTTGACGGCGCCCGCTTCGGCGATCCTTAGCACACTCACATCACAGACATGGCAACCGCTCGTTTCCATGTGCAAAAACGGCACATTAGCGCAGCTACAAAATATTAAAATCGGAAGGCTTATTGTGTTCGAGGGCAGCGAGAGCAAGGCCAAGAATGTGTTTGGCGCGGACAAGGAGGGAGTGCCTGTTGCTTATCTCCACGTACATGATGAGAAGTTCTGGGTGCGATTGGCACTTTTTGCGGACATGGTATGCTTTCCACTCGCATAAGTCAACGGTACTGGGTCACAATGTTCAATGCTGACAGTTTAGGGCTTCGCGGAAAGCTACATGCTTGGAGAGGTCAGCTCGCCGGATCTGACCAAATTCTTTGAGGTGCGCGCAAACCATAACAAGTTTGCAGACCTATGCTAATGGCGACAGCTATTCATTCTGAACCGCAATCACCTCGGTAATGGATCAAGCATCACAGCGGCGATTTCAACAGGGCTGGCAGGATTGTTTCGCGGTAGCAACAACCTGAAGAACGCGAAGCTGAACATCATGGCGCATTACGATATCTCCAATGAGATGTTTGCCGCATTCCTCTCCCCGGACATGACATACTCGAGCCCGATCTGGCTCCCGAAGTCGAACCCCGAGTCTGCAGGCGAAAGCCTGTACGACGCGCAAATGCGCAAGCTCGATCGCTTCATCGACAACACACACATCAAGGGAACTGACCACGTCCTGGAGATTGGCACAGGGTGGGGAAGCTTCGCCATGCGAGCAGTGCAGCGCACAGGGTGCAGAGTGACATCTTTGACCCTGTCAATTGAGCAGAAAGAGCTAGCAGAGGAGCGGATACGCGAAGCGGGCATGTCAGACAACATCACAGTACTCCTCTGCGACTACCGGAGTCTCGAGGTTCCCGAAACAGGAGCGTTCGACAAGATCGTGTCGATTGAGATGCTGGAAGCCGTGGGCCAGGCGTACCTGAAGACGTACTTCCAGTGCGTGGACAAGCTGCTGAAGAAGGAGGGCGGCGTGGCGTGCTTCCAGTGCATCACGATGCCCGACGGACGGTACGAAGCGTATGCAAAGTCCGACGACTTCATCCGCCGCTACATCTTCCCCGGCGGCCACCTCCCCGCCGTCTCAGAGCTTGTCTCGTCGATACAGAGCGCGTCTGGAGGCTCACTCGTCGTCGACAGCATCGAGAACATCGGCCCGCACTACTCGAAAGCCCTGCGCTTGTGGAGAGAGGAGTTCCTGAACAACTGGGACAGCAGGATAAAACCGCAGCTGATCAAGGAGAAGCAGGGCGCACTGGACGAGGAGGGCGCGGATATTTTCAAGCGGAAGTGGGACTACTACTTCCGCTACTCGGAAGCCGGGTTCTCCACCAAGACCCTGGGCGACGTGATCATCACCGTGGGCCGCGAAGGCGCCGTCCAAATGATGGAGGACGTGCCTCTCTAGACCCCTGCTTTGTACCGCCTCGCACTTGCGAGCGCTCTGCTTTACGCAAGATACCACATAGGTGCCATCCTATACCATCGCGTCTACATCAGCTTCTTCGCTTCCTCGACTAACACCTTCATCCCCTCATCTCCCGCCCCCGCCCGTGCCTCAAACGCGCTCATGTGCTCGCGCGCCCACGCCCCCTCTTGCCCCGCAAGCGGCAGCACAAAACCCTGCTCCGCCCCCGCCGCAATGTCCTCGAACAGAAACACATTATGCAGTGCGCGCTCGTCGTCTAGACGGCCTGCGCCCGTGCCCCCGCCTTCGCTGCGCACGTGTTCCTCCCATGCGCCGCTGATCGAGCGCACGATGTGTGCGAGCTTTTCGGCGTTGTTGGGCCGCGGGCGCAGATGCGCCAGGACATAGTTTGTGCGGGCGGGCGCGGCGCCGACGAAGAGGTGGGTGTCTGCGGGGGTGGCGTGGAAGGCGACGTTTATGAACGCGGTGGGGGTGGTGAAGGTGCTGCTGTGGAGGGTGGTTATGTGGGTAGCGAGGGCGGTGCGTTGGGGGGCGGAGAGGGTGCAGGAGTGGTGGATCTCGTAGAGGGGCATTTGAGCGGTGGTGATGGTGCGGGGTGGTCGTTCTTTGCGTTGAGGTCGCGGATCCGAGATGATAGATTGAAGCGCTGGAGAGCCGGAGTAGGAGTAGATGTAGAAGTAAGATTAATGCACGGCATCTGGCGGATTACAGTGCATATCGGCTATGTGCTGCTTCAGCAAGGAAGCGCTGATAAATCGTTACCATTGCACCATTCATCCCTCAGTCATTCCCCGCCTCGCGAAGAGCAATTACTACCGCTGCCTTCCATACTTCCCCAATTCCTCAGCGCTGTAAACTGTCTCTTCTATGACGCAACACCATCATCACACAGGTGACGTTCCCGAGGACCTCCACTTCCCCAGATTCCTCGTTTCCCTTGCGAATCGGCCCGTTTTGCCTCAGCCAGATCGTAGGCACTCGGCACCCGCCGCCAGGGCGCCGTCGATCTGTTCGCCGCGAGTTCTATTCGGCCTCAAAATTGAGTTCAAAACAACGCCACAGCGTGGTGCACTTTGGTCCTGGGTAACGTAACACATGTATGCACGGGAAGGTTCCTGAGTTTCGGTAGCCGGACGGCTGGTGACATGAGTGTGGTTATCGGTAAGGCAAACGTGAAACGTAAAAGCGGACTTCTGAAGTACTAGTGTAAGGCTATGCTGAGGTACGGTGGGCGAGTGTGAAGGAGGGGCGGAGTGCGAGCCGTGGTGCGCGGTAGGCTAGAATACAGGCGCTCGGTGGAGGGCACCTCGCTTGCATCCTCACCGCATTGTGGTTCTAGCAGAATGTACGAAGGAAAGGTGCGACACGGATGGGCTGGGCGCCCGTGTTCTTATCTCCGTGTACAATTACGAAATATGTTGTGCGAAGTGATCTTCATGTATATGAATGTTCATTGGATTGACAGGCAACGGTGCCAAAGTCTATCAGCTGCTTGCAAAACTGCATCCGTTGAGCACCTTAGCTGGGATTATAGAGCAGGTGGCAGCCTACAGCTTGGATCCATCAGCTGATGCCGGAGCGTCAGGGAACGCTACAAAGCTTTCGTCCCCATTGAACTTCCTATCAAGCCGGTGGTCAGCGGTGTCCATTGGTCAGAACGCGATGGCAAGTGGATGTACAGCGTTGGATGTAGATGACGTGCCCCAGACATACGAGGTGGGTTCTGACTTCGGCCCAATTTCTTCGACGCTGAAACATCGTGACGGAATGAGAGTTCACTGGACAAAGCAGAGAGACATTGCTGTACTTACCAGCCTCGCTCGGCGCCCCCTGACAAGAAAGATGTCTCGGAATTGAGTACACAGTCCCAATTACCAGCTACGCCATGCACAGGGTCGTTGCTTCGGCGGACAAACTTCGATAGCCCTGCAGTGAAGCACTGAAAGTCATCTGTATCTGGGTCCTCTGGCATCTGGCCAGTGAGTACTCGCCCGGCTGCTATTATTGTAGCGGCATGACTGCAGATCAAGAGTGTTTTAGGTTGCGCTGGATCGTTGTCAAGCGTGGTGATGATGTGGTCCAGAGCCTTGCGTACGCGCTCATGAAGTTCGATAATCATCTCACCCTTTGATGCCGGAACGTGCTTTGAGACATGGTCTTGATCCAGGTAATCGAAGTGAGGGCTCAGGATCTCCAGGGTCGGTGGGTGTGGATGTTCCCAGTCCGCGCGGCCAAAAAATTCACTACATAGCGAATCAGCAATGCACAAACTGAGATCGAGATCTTGCTGCTGTACCCTATCCCACGATCAATTCTGATCTTCCCGACAGAGTTGCCACCACCAAAGTGTCGGTCAGTGAATGGCTTGAGCGTCTGCAGACACCGGTAAAAGGGGCTTGAGTAGATGACATCGACTGGCGGCTCGATACTGGAAAGATAGTCTGCAAGTTCTCTGGACTGTTGGACGCCTTTCGACGTCAACGGAGGATCGGTCGGGATGCCGGTCGGAGATTTGACTAGTAACGCGGTGTACTGTCCTGTTGCAGGATCCACACTCCAGTTGGACCGAAACTACAGCAGGACGCCTCTGTCAGAATGTCATTGCAAAGGGGCGGAAGACAGTAGGTTTAGCTAGTGAAGGCACTCAGGTTCACGTGTAGACTAGAGAATAACAGCGCGCATAAACACGATGTCAGACAGCGAAAAACTGTCGGACCGAGTTCCACAGGGAGTCTGTGGATGGTGAAGTTGGAAATATGCGGCGAGGAACGACACGTGTACATACCGCGTGGCGAACAATGAGCACAGTCTCTATCATTGTCGGGCCTTAGAGTGTCCCGATACTTTGGTAATTCGATGAGTGATGCAACGCGCGTGCCTGACGAGCTGCGTTATGGCGAGGTAGTTGTCATGCATGGGTGCTTTCCATCGTTGACTGAGGCACCTCGGTTAAGTCCCAACCCGGTTAGTTGCTGCTGCCTGCAATGCACCTGCAGTTTGAGCACACACAGAAAGGCGCTTTATGTGAGGAAGGCTGAGATCGTGCAGAGTATACGATATTGCTGTGAGGTCCTGGACATTGTTTTGGGCCATCTGCCCTGTTTGACGTCGTACAACGGTTCCGTGCGCACATCATGCAATGCTGTCCCTCTACACCAACACTTCACCTGAGCGTGCGAAGTTTGACGAAAGCAATTCGGTGTCGAGCAACGCACGTGAATGTGCGCCTTGCGATTGCCCGTCAGGTTGAGCCCGTCGGGGTCCACCGAACGCTCTACAAGCAGTGAAGGCCCCCACGCCCCGAGCCGTCCGGTGCGGCCGTTCGAAAAGTGAAGCCTCTAGCGCGAGCCCACATGCAACATCACGCAGGCATCACCACAGTTGCATGGTTGTGTCCAGGAACGAGCCGTCTGGGATTCAGAGCGTGCATGCAAAGTTTGAACGTCTCGGAGGCTAGGCGAAATTCGTAAAGAAAATGCGGTTGACGGGTGAGGTTGCAGATGTTGTCTAGCGTTGTCTAAGTCAATGTGTTGCTCTTGATAACGTGCTCACCTCGTGGCGTCGACACGGCTTCAGCCTCAACATCAGCGAGGGCTCCAAATGCGTTACATCTTGCGGTCGGGTACTTTCATGTACGCCCTGGTCTCTCATCATCCGTTTGCAGCCGAAAGATCTGCAAACCACGATCATTCACATGTCTGAAACAATTCTCCATTCATCGGAGCGGAATACCCTACCGAACAGGTAAGGTCGAGGGGTGGGCGGACGCATTCGTCACTAGGGTTCAATGCTTCCTGACTAGCGAAACGCGGGGGTTGGAGTAGGCAGTCTCTGCGTCGGGTAGAGATGGCTTTGGCGCGTTTGAGGCGCGAAGGCAGGCCTGTCTGGTGTAGAACGATGTGTTGAGTGTGAATGAGAATCGCGAAACTGGAATAACTGCCGTGAACACCAGATCATCCTCATGGATGTTAAGGTTTGTGTAGTACATGATGATCTTCCTCGAGAGAAATCGGAGCCAACTACTCACAAACATACACCACTACGTACGGAATGTCGCAAGCCATGCTAATGCTCGTGCCGTTTTTTTACGCGATCGTGATGCTGCTAGGTCCCTACCTGTACTGTACCTTCAAAACAACCCTCTGATGGAGCAAATACGCATTGTTGAGAGACGCAAGACCAATTCGGGGGCTGATCTTCATTACCTGCAACTAATGGCTTGAAAATGTTACCGATGCAGCCATCTATACCACTGGTATGGGATATCCTAGTCGTGTATTGTAGCGAGAGCCTGTGCGTCTGCGTTAGACCCTTCTACGGCATGGTGAAAGCTTCGACGTTGTTAGATTGACCGTGAAGGCCCCGTTATCCGGACATGTAAATGACCCTCGGCAGGGCGGTTTAGTTGTAAACTTATATGTCCGAGCGGTCTAGAAATAAGGGCTATTCGAGGTATTGGCAAAGGTCCAAAACAAGCTTGCACCTCCAAATATCGGCTTTGGCCTCTTTAGCTTTCGACATAAGTTCCGGGATCGGTGAGTATAATGCACATCTGACATGAACGCCATTACCTGCTCACACCTTTTCGATTGACACCCTCAAACAGTAGTTAGAAACTAAAGACGGGACAGCCATGCCAAGTGGGGCGGAGGGCTGGCGTACCGACGCAGCGAACCATATCGACTGGTATCAGCGCTAGTCTCGTCGTTAACACCTGCTCGCCCAAGCAACGGCTATGTGGTGCTGAAGGAGGCGTTCGCAATTGGTGCCTTTCTGTGATGAATTTCCGTTGGCCAGCAAAGCGCATGTGCCATCTCGAGCGCACGATATTTCGAGATCGCTCCATGGCCATGCAGATCGATTGCCTTGCGTCCGGCAGGACATTAAGCCCGGCGTTGGAATTCAGACCCTGAATTTAACCAATCAATATCACGCACAAGAGGCATTTCTTATGTGGCTTGCACTGGTTGCTGTCAATGCTGAGTGCACCAAGCTTGATCCTTTCTAGAAGCTAGAGGCCGTTCTTCTTTCGCAGGGTCGGTGTTGGCTAGAAGCAGCGGTGACGCACTGTGCTCCATTTGTTCTGACTTGGTCGAGTATGATTCGTGGCTCGTGTGTCGTCGGTGGTTAGTTAGTACGCAATGCTCTAATCTGTCGCTCCGGCTGGCGCTGCGATAGTGTACAATTGCTTCTGACCCTCGCTAAATGTGGGATCTGTGGTGTAAGCTTGCAGTCGGTGGGTCTACGACCCCTGACTCATTAAGTTTGTCTGCCCTACCGCAATTCAAGTGGTCTGGCATGAAGTCGTTAATGAACAGGGACGAACTGAAATGGTGAGAAATTCCCCGCTCATAGTCTCTGTACCTAACACCTGGGTCTGCTTCAACCGGTGTGAAAAGACACTCATCCGAGCTTCTGCCGCCGCTCAAAAGGCAGATCATGAATGGTCACTGAAACCGAAACAAGAATGCAGGAATGTAGAGCTCCCGTCCCACTAGGACCAGGGTCTAACAGATCTGCGGCTAGGAACTTTCGGGTCTCGCGGTGCGGCTGGTAGCCTTGAAGGTCGAGCATCGAGCCGCTTGCATGGTTGCTGGACGGAGGCAAGGATTTCGCGAAACAGGGGTAACTAGTAGAGAGTTGGAAGGCGTAGGCCTGGTAGTGTGTATTAAATATTATAACGGTAGAGTGTTTGTAATGGTAAGGTATCGGAGATCACTTCGTGCCGATATTGCGCATTGAAACGCCTTTTTCGGCTTCCCCGGCAGTCATTCTGACCGTGCCGCGATGAGAGAATTTACCTGTCTTTCCCAGCTTTTGTTCCGTCAACCAGAGGCGCAACAGGATAAGATATCTGACGATGAGGAAAATGACGATCGCAGCAACGAGAATGCCGATGATGTAGGCACCCACGACGCCAGAAGAATGCTTGCGCAAGTCCAGGAATCCATATGTGTAGAAGCCTTGTGTGTGGAACGTAACGTAAGCCAGTGCAAGATACAAGGCAAGCAAGATGACGACTGGAATGATGTCGAGGAAGGGGATTGGCTCAGTCCTTGGGAAGATGATTTCGAAAAACGCATATGCTGAATTGAGTGCGTGCTGAGAAGTATTGGACCAAAGTGAGAACGTGTTTGGAAATCCGTTGGAGGCGAGGATACCCCAGTAAACCGCTATTCGTCGTTAGTCTTGCTGCGCCCTCTGTTGTACGAGAAAGTGACCGGGATTTGACAGGTACCATCTTTCATGCATATAAACCTTGCGTCGAGGCCACAGGCATCTTGTACGGACATCTTAAAACTTACCTGTAACGATCCAAGGGTAAATGACAATGGTAGAGTAGAACATGCTGTGGGCTATCTGGAGCGGTTTCGGCCATCGAGCAAGAAACGGTGTCCCCGTGAGCCAATAGCTGCCGGTGTGCGCAGCGCTGAACGCATTGTAAAAGGCCAGGCCCCAATACGTCAAATGCGTAAAGTAGGAGAACGAACGCTGAGAATCTTCTGATCTGCCATGGGTGCCGTTCCAGCCAAAGATGGTGAACAACGTGACAAACGCGTACAGCGATAGCAGAGCGCGACATCCAAACAAAACGCCCGGCGGGAGAATCCAGGACGTCTCGAATCTATGTGTGGCGTCAAACTGTCCCGTGTACGATGCCGTCAACCGTTTCCAGATGGCCATGGTAGCTAATATCGAGACTCTTGGCGATCAATGACGATTGGTGTTCTTCCCGTGCGAGCGCCGAGGCTGGATGGCGAACGTGATGGTGAGGACCGAGAAGTGTGGAGAGAAGATCAGAACGCGCAGGAGTTGCGACAACACTGTGCACAGCTGAGGCGCAGCATCGTGCAGCTGAAAATCTCCCCTCACCCAATTTCCGAAACTGAGACCGACTCTTGAAACGGCAGCAGGTGCCGACAGCGCTCACGTGCAAGACGCTATTGACGCGACAGCGGCGGTGTTTCCCAATCGAGATAGCGTGGACCAGCGCAGTAGTGGAAACTTTCGCCTGACGAAAGAGGTCTAACACCTCATCCTGGCCCTACCCGCTCAGACCTCCACTGCACCCCTCGCACACTCCCGCCGTCAATGTCTATGCGCCTTTTGCTAGTGTGCAGCCTGGCGTGGGCCAGGTGTAGGTGGCGCTGTCACCCTGTTTGGAAACCATTTTAAGATCTACATGTGCCATCTTTGCGGTGATGCGCTCCGTCATTTGTAGTGAACCTATCAAGGCCTTGTGTATCTATAATCCTGCTGATATTCCTTTTCTGCCAATCCTCATACCCCGTTCTCCAACATGTCGGACCACCTCAAAGCTTCGGTACGACACAGCTCATTCTGTATGTGAGGTTTTTGACTAACATCTGGAAGCAAAAGGCGCAAAACCTGGCTCGAATACGAGATAACCAACGTAAGTGAAGTAGTATCGAGTAGCCCGTGTGCTCTATCCCTTCTTCTGATCGATCGCCTCACCTACTGATCAATGCGGATCCAGCACTAACACACACTGGACAGGACGCTCCCGCGCTCGCCGCAAAGAGTATCTTCAGGAGCTTGAGATCAAGTTGCGAGGTTGCGAGCAGATCGGTATCGAAGCATCAGCAGAGATCCAGAGTGCAGCCAGAAAAGTTCTCGATGAGAACAGAAAGCTGCGCTCGCTGCTACTAGAGCGCGGTGTATCTGAAGCAGATATCATGGCAGCACTTGGAGTTTCTGTCGATAAATCATTCGATCAAGTCTCATCGACAGCGGCGCTCAGCAATGTGCTTGAGCAGCGCACCACCAGTAAATTGGTAACCTCGGCAAGCTCGTCAATTCCTTCACAGCCCAGGGCTGTTTCAGTTCCTCGACACGTGCCTTCTGTGTCGTCGCTCAGTATTCCTTCGACACGCCCTGCCACATTGAGCGGCTGCGAACCGTTGAGTCCCACGTCGATAGTATCGAGCATGGGGACACCTCCACCGGTCTCATATCATGCACCGTGCTACACTGCACCGTCAAGCCTGCAAGCCCCGGAAGTCAAGGTAGAGGACATCCAGTACGAGTACCCTTATGACCCATCCCAAAACCAGCAATGGGCATATCCGCAGGCTTACCCATACTCCCCGGATCCCGTCGCATATTTTGGAGCATCGTCGTGCGTGGAAGCTGCCAACATCATCAGAACTATGCATTCAGATGCTAGTTCCATACATCGCATCGATCAAGGATGCGCTCCTCTCGCTCAACCGTATTACAACAACAATCATATGCTCTACCCTGTTGCGACAAGCTATCCCCAACGTCTTCCAAGGATATGAGTACGGAAGGCGCTCAGTTGGTTCCACTTCCCCCCACCGCAGTGCGGCGCGGCAAATTGCCTTATGTGCAGGTTCATCACCAGCAAACTAGAGGGTCTTCACGCTGCCTCATGCGTCGACATCATCTCTACCAAGGGCGCATGCGACGCTCAGCGCAGAGCCGCATGGCGTTAGCGCTGTCTCCCAGCTCAAACAAAGATCTCATCAGACCACGGGCGGCCCCAAGCTCAATAGAAGGGCAGTCATTGTCCTGCCATCAGCCACGCCCAAAGTACAGGTCGACGAGTTTCGCTGCGCAAATCATGTCGTCGTTGTTCCCATTGGAGTCGACACTTCCCTACACTCGATGGAAGGATCACTGATCCATAGCGATGGGCCTGTGCGTTCATGTGTGTGCTCGTATTTGTACTGTAGGATCAGGGTTTCTCATTGTTCTCCACCAACAAAGGATGACCTCTGCTACCATCAGCCATCTAGATTACCGTAGGTCAGTATATAGATTTAAACCCGACGCATGCCTTGGTAATCTGCCGAATACAATCGCTCTCCAAACGTTTAGCATCAATATGCCTCCAAAGCACACCGTTGCCGCTGTGCAGCAATCTGACTCGCTAGAACAGTCGCCTCAGCGGCCCGAGCAGTTGCGAGTGGAAGGCCCGACTGAAATCACGACTCCTGTTACTGTTCAATGGGCTCTGCCAACGATCGGGTTGAAAGATCATAGTCCTAACGTGACGTACGCGGCGAGGTTTGCGCATCGCCTCTATCAGCGGCCTTGGAGTCAACTCCAGGCAGGACAGAACCCTTTTGGATTCTCACGTATCAGAACACCGGTTTTCCAGCGTGCAGGCAAAAGTCTAACCACAGTTGGTGACAACAGTCTGAACAGGATACAATTCGTCAGCTTGTTCAATCAAATAAAGGAGGACACTTTGTCCGCAGCAGGTCGGGCCAGGCAAGCAACATACACCTCGGACAGAATTCGAGAAGCGCTCTTGAATACAGGAGATGATGTGGCAGTTATTCTATCACGGTCAGGGTCCAATCCAATCCTGCAGTTGGACCGCGATTATCGAGTACAAGTGTAAGCCGCGATTGGTGCCCCGACAAAGAATCCCGCTGATGTTTTCTAGCAATCTTTCTCGCCACGGCCAGCTCTTCGAGACATCTGAGATGATTTGTCGCCGGATAGTTGCCCCTGCAACAACAACACCAGCCGTGGAGGACGCACGAACAGAGTTTTTCATTGAGCTCCCACCAAACACACGTGTCACGGTGAATGACGTCAGTTATTTTAACAGAGATCCTGAGGAAAATAGAGGGGTTGCCAGACCTCTATCACCCTTTTTCATTGGACCTCTTCATCCTTACACCGTTGTCGAATTTCTGTCACAGCCACTGTTCTTTTTCCGCAATGGAGATGGCTTGCGTTTCACACAAAAAGTCGGAGGGAAGCAGAGTGAGTTGCCTGCGGATGAACAAAGAGTCCGCGACGCACGTGGGTTTGCCGAGGGCCTTGAAGTCGAAATCCTTTGGACACCCGTAGTCGACGCACCTCCTACTGCGCCAGAGCTGCCAAGTGAAAACACACCAAATCTCCCTCAGACGGGGGACGACAATTTTCAACCGTCGACGAAGACGACCGACAATAATCAGAAAACCGCGAAGACAAAGGGCAACGATCAGCCAGCCACAGGGGTCGACAATGGTCAACCATTTCCGAAATATGAACAGTCTCCATGTGCATACCTCAGAGAATGTCTTGAACGACTGAAAGAACAATTCAAATCTGGCCATTCTTCTCGAATACTGAACGAAGAAACTGTTTTGTACTGCATACGCGCCGTCGCACAAGCAGTGAATCGGAGATCAACAGCGGACACTCGGGTCAATGTTATTCAACAAAACTCGCTCAACGCAGCAATCAGCGACTCGATTGACAGCAATGGTAGTGTTTTCATACCATGGTCTAGCCGCTCACATACCATGCTTGTAGTTCTACACAGAATCCAGGCTACCGGGAACATCACATACCTTCATGTGATTGATTCGGCACCTTGGACACATAGCTCTGGTGCTCGTGCTAGATTATACAGTCTCCTCGCGAACGCTGTAAATGAGAGTGGGGTGGCGCCCAATGTCGACGCTACTCAATGGGCGTTTTGCGCACCACAGAGCGACCTTTGGCACGCTGCATATTATACTGTACTGAACGCGTGGAGTATTACCTTTGGCATGCAGCTCAGTCCTAGCTTCAGGCCTTCTCCTGACTTCTTTGATGAGGCTTGGTTGGTTTTTCAAGCTGCGGTGGCTGGCCATGCTGACTGGAAACTTATCTGGTCTTTCCTTCAATGCCATAAGTTCGCGACATCTCAACAGCCAGTCGAAAGATTTCAAATCGAAAGGACTACGAAAGGGCTTGAAGAACCGCTGGCGGGCTCGTTAGGGTCGGCTCGCGACAGCTTGACCACTGCTATCGAGACGTTGGAACAACTGCGACACTCAGATGATTTTCCATGGGACGATTGGGAAGATCAAGATGCTGATCTACGACTGCCTGCAATCTATCGAGCAGGTTTGCAATTCAACACGATGCCCTTTCCTCGCGAGAAGCTCCGCGCCGTATATGACACCATCAAGGGTCCGGATATGCAGAGGACCTTGGAAGACTTCCCGTCAGATGTCCGATACTGGTCGTACGTCAAAGAGCAGCTCAAGAAGCTTCTAGTGCGGCAAAAAACCAAAAGCTTGATCAGAATCCTTTCAGAGACGGGGTTCACCACAGAGATCAAGCGATTCCTTCATGAGGATGACGTCTCAACTGCAATCGCATCGGTTACGCAGGCTGTCACTGCCGCACAGGACATCACCGGTGGATTCTGCTCAATACCCCAGCAGGATGTACAGGATGCACAACTCTACGTATCATATCCTGAAGACGATTCTATAGTTCAGCTGTCAAGTGCGGTGCGATTTGGGAGACCGATAATCGTGCCCCTTTTGTTGGATTCCCACATCGTGCTTATTGTTGTGCAGCAAGACAACGAAGGGGCTGTGCAAACGGCAGTCTGGGACTCTAAGGCATATCACTACAAGGAAGCAGAGCGCGAGATAATCCATCGGATGATCCGGGCTATTGTTCAACATACAGGCTGGTGGCGCCACACTTTCGAGAAGTTTGAAGACGTCAAATTTGCGAAAAGCAGTACGCAATGGATGCCATGCGCTCAGCAGTCTGGGTCCGCTGAGTGCGGTTATCATGTGATTATGAACGCCTGGGCGGTTGCCCTGGGACTTTTGCCAAATGTAAACTTTAATCCTATCTGGTACGCAGAGGAAGATGGTGAAACAACACAATCCACATTCCTGCAAGACCTGCAGAGTATCATTAAGCTGGCAAGAGTTGGACTGGCTGATTGGAAACTGATATATGCGTTTCTTAGATGCCATCACTTTGCCCACGAAGGTAATGTGCCAAACGACAGGCGCTTCGGAAGCACCGTTGCAATGATGAGCGAAAGTTCTTTGAAGTCGCACATAGCAGCTTTGAGAATGGAAGAGAAGCAGTATTGGACTCAAACCAAGCTTTCAACTGCGAATCTTCAGTCTTTCAGGCAGACCAACCAAACACTTCTGGGACCTGGTAGGGATCATAACGACCCGGAACGGTTCATATCGGACACCTGGGATAAGGTTGGCGACGTAGTGGTTGCTCTCGATCTTGCGCGAGATGGCAGACTTCGACTACATCTAGAAAAAGCCAACCTTCGACGCTACGAGATACAGCGGAGACGACCAGATGGGAAAAGTGCTCCAGATCATGCCAAGACTCACGCGGTCAAATTCAGAGCATCACTGTTAAAACCACTGAAGAATTTGAGTCGAGATCAGATAATCTCTCGCTGTGCTGACTTTGTGCAAGCTCCCGGTACCAACGCCTTTCTTGTTCATCAAATTCAAAGCTTCCCACAACCGCTCAGCACTGAGCTTTCTCTCTTCGGATACGGTATTACGACCGATCAAAACACGCAGGGAGCTTTTGCCGACCTTCAGTTTCCGGCGGTGCCCGATGACGCCAGATTGACGCTGTTGACCGATTTACAGGTTGTGCACGCCATCAGCGCTGTCACACAAGCCATTGATGATCATCAGACGGACTATCATCGGAGGTTCAACGAAGACTTCATCTTTGGCAGTGGCCTTGCACTGGCCAGCTACAACGACATCGCAAATTCTAGAGACTTCGACGATGCTACTATCAACAATACGACTATGCACACCTCTCGTCCGCGCCGTTGTTGGATACTCCCCATGACTGTGGCCAGCAATGAGATTTGGAAGTTTGAGAGGCGATATCAGGGCTCGAAAAACCCGGCTCCAAGCGAGTTGAGGGCACACACCTTCCTTGCTGTTCTCCAGGAAGAGACCAGATCTCAATTCACTGATGAAGAAGGAGAAAATGCCGAGGAAGTAGAGACTGTCGACTTTCGGATGTACTTCCTTGATAGCAGCGGAGTATTCAACACTCGTCGCAACGCTCTTTATCAGATGGTGGTCAACACGGCGTACAACATGAATTGGGCGACACACCGCAACCAGCCGATCGAGGCAGATCCCGAGTTGGCGATTCGGGAATTCTCGACAGAGCTCGGTATCGTCAAAGTTGCCCAACAAACACAAGGAGGATGGGCCTGCGGTTATCACACGATCCTGAATGCCTGGATCCTCGCGCTACGTTTGACGCCAAATCCCGAGCACAGGTTCACTTCGGACGACTACATCATGATTGCGAAACTCTCACGTAGCGCTGTCGCTGGACTCTTGAACTGGAAAGACCTCGTGGCTTGGCTGTTCTGGCGCAGGGCTGTGATGGAACGTGACATCAGAGAAGTGTATGATGACCGACGATTTGCATTGTCCGCATGCCAGGCGCCCAGAGGAGAGCAGCTGGAGCAGTACGTGCAAGCCGTGAGGACCAGCGAGGAGGAGGAAGAAAAGACCAGTGGATCCCTTAATGAAGTCCCGTACGTGCATGAGAGCAATATCGACTGGTACCACGCCACCATTGAGTCGTTCGTCTGCAATGCTCCGGTGGTACCACAGCGTGCCCCTCCGACGATTGACACCGAGATTGATGTGGCAGTCGACACATCACAGCTTAATGAGAGTGGAGGTGCTGTCGAAATTCAAGGCGGTAGAGCCACCAGCCCCACTGAAGCCGATATAAGGCTTATGCAAGAAATGTATGGCGAAGATGACAGAAATCAAGGTTTATCTCGGGCTTACGATGATTCTGGCCTGCCCGAAGGGCGAACAGGCGGTTTGAAGAGAAGTTACGAAGGGGAAGCAAGAATTCCACGAAAGAGAGTAAGATTTTACAGTGGCGATACTCTGGGGCTGTTTGATGTGAAGAGTAGGAGGGCGCTGTGGAGAGCGGACTTGGCTTTTCTTAACGATGAGTTTTCCATGGCCTGATGAGTTTTCAATTAGCTGCGCGTAGTGTTGCCTCTTATTTCTTAGAAATTCCCTAGCAATTGGACTTAAGACTCAGTTGCCAAACTTCAAGTGACTGTATGATCCTCGAAACGTTTGTCGATGGGAGACGGTCGTCCGCACAGTAGCGCCCAAGGTGCCTCGGCAAGCAATGACGTCGCCAGTCGCGTCCACCTAACCAAGCTCCACGCCTGATCTCCAACACCGATAGCACATCAACAGAAATGGCACAATTCCTCTCCAAAGCAGCGCGTACCGTCCGCTTCTCGGTCCCTCAAATCCGCTCCTTCTCGCTTTTCCCGTCTGCCAACAACCGCTCACACACAAACCGTCTCTTCGACAACATCCGCCAACCGCAGGACCTACACACCCTGACTCTCCTCAACGCCGCCGACAACCGCTCTCTCATCACTTTCTGGAGCGCAAGTTGGTGCCAGACATGTCAGGCCGTCAAGCCGCTCGTTAAACAGCTCATCGAGGAAGAACGAATCGGGGAGAGCGAGGGTGGACTAGGATTTGTGGAAGTTGAGATGGACAGCACGTTGATTGGGGATCTGCCAATCACGTACCGCATAACGAGCATGCCGACGCTGTTGGCATTTAGTAGGCAGGAGGCGCAGTTTGACACGAGGTTGGTCAGGCCGGAGGAGATGAAGAACAAGGACTTCTTGAGAGAGTGGCTGCTCACAGAGGCGCGGAGAGGTGGTAGGAAGGGCGGTGCAGGCGGAGGTGGTCTGTTTGGTTGGTGAGACCCTGTTCTCGCAAGCTCAGTCTGAAAGCCGTAGAGCCTGACCATAACAGGCTCGGACGGTTCTGGAGGTGACAAGGGTACGAGGACCGCTCGAGGCGTGAAGATATCTGTAAGATCTAGACTGTAGAGGTAAGTTAGTTTCTCGAGCTAAGCTCATAATTCACAAACTGACAGGCACAGTACAATGGAAATAGCGTACGCCATGATGAGAAGTCGATCTAATGTAACCTGGTTCGAGTTTCTCAAAAACAACGTGCCCCGACCACAAAACTTGACTAACTACATGGCACCTGATACATGTCTGACAGGAAGGACCGAGATCCAGTGCCTGCTTTTGATGGTTAGATCCTAATTTCAGGCGTGGCTGTTAATAGAAGAAATGGGTATAGAACTCCATTGTGGCGTCCGTATTTCATGACTATGTTTTTTCATTACGGGTAGTCGTCAAGTCCTTTTCTTCCTGTCTATCTTGCTTGCGATTAACCCTCTAGTGACCATGCCCATCATCACCGCCACCACCCTGCTCCTCGGGGTCGAGCTTGATCAATGTATCAATACGCATGATCGCAACACAAGCCTCAACGGCAGACTTCAACTGCTTGACCTTGCTCATGCTGGGCTCGAGAACACCAGCCTTCAAGCAATCGTGTACCTTGCCGTTTGTCAATTCCAGGCCGTAGTTCTTGTAGTTCTTCGACTTGGCAAGCTGTTTCGCATCTTGCGAAGAGGGATCGGTAGGGTTGACGGTTCGTTGCGAAAGTGCGTGTCTCGATCGCAAGTTGGCGACGAGCTCAGTAGCATCCTTTGCGGCGTTGATGGCGAGGGTCTTGGGGATGGCGAGAAGAGCCTGTGCGAAAGCTGCGATAGCCAGCTGCTCACGAGAGCCCTATAAACTGTGTCAGTGTACTCGCCTCGTAATCCTGACTGGGGCTCTACTTACAACTGATGTTGCCCACTCTTCCAGGTAGATGTGCAGAGCAGTCTCAACAGCACCTCCACCAGGGACAATACGTCCGCTCTCGAGTGTTCGCTTGACGGCACACAGAGAGTCGTGTACCGATCGCTCCATCTCGTCCAGTGCGTAGTCGTTGGCTCCTCGCAGAATAATCGAAGCGGAAGAGAAGGCCTTGGTACCCTTGACAAGGATGCACTCGTCGTCTGAAATGCGTTCCTGCGCTACCTCCTCCGCGTAACCCAAGCTCGACGCCTCGAACTTCTCGTCACCATTCAGATCTGAGAGTGTGCTGACAAGCGTCGCTCCGGTGGCCTTTGCTATCCTGCGCAGGTCCTCCTTCTTGCACCTTCGCACTGCCATTGCGCCCTTCTCGATAAAGTGCTTCAGGCACAAATCGTCAATACCCTTGGTTGTGAGAATGACATTGGCGCCGGTCTTCAAGATCATTTCGATGCGCTCCTCGACAATACCAGCCTCTCGCTGACGGATCTTCTCAAGCTGCTCTGGGTCGTCGATCGTGATGTGCACGCCCAACTTCATGCGCTCCTTCTGGAGATTGATGTCCAGACAGGCAATCTTAGCGTCGGTGATGCGGGTCTTCATAGCTTGCGACGCCACTGTGCAGTTCAGAGCGTAGCCCTTGACCAGGACCGACTGTGTAGCGCTTTGACCGTGTGCCTTCAAAATGTTGACAGCCTTGACGGGGTACTTGGTCTCGTTCTTGTTGTTGATGGTCTTGACAGAAGACATGGCATCGACTACAATGTCGGCGAAGAAGTCCGAGTCCGAGCCGATGATCTTGGAGGACATAGAGGTCTTCGCAATGTTGATCAGAGAGTCGCGACCGAGCGTGTCCACCTTTGTGCTAATGTTCTCGTTCATGTACTTGACCGCTTCCCTCAGCGCGAGCCTGTAGCCTGTGATGATGGTAGTGGGGTGGATCTTGTTCTTCATGAGCTCGTTCGCCCGCCTCAACAGCTCAGCTGCTATTATGACAACCGACGTTGTACCATCGCCAACCTCCTTATCTTGCTGCTGTGCGAGGTCGACGAGGATCTTTCCTGCGGGGTGCTCAATGTCGAGCAAGCTGAGGATCGTCGCGCCGTCGTTCGTGACTGTAACGTCGCCAATATCGTCGACCATCATTTTATCGAGACCTGAAGGCCCGAACGACGTCTTCACAACATTAGAGATTGCCTGTGTCGCGAGCACGTTTTGGTCGCGAATATCCTGGCCGCTGATTTTGTTTCCGCCGAGGACTGCAAACATCAGCTTTGACTCAACTCCAAATGGCTCCCGAGCTTACACAGAGTTCCTCCGCCACGTGACTGCTCGAAGATGCCGGCCATATTGTCGTGATGTAGCTGTTTATGCTGTGTTTGGGCTGCCTACACAAAATCTCTGGCTACGCGGCGGGACGCTCCTGCATGTCGGCGAAAGGTGCCTCCGACGCCAAGACGGCAAAAGACCCCTGTCGCAAATGAGTCGCCCTCCTCCACATTCGGGCACAACACCACGCGAGAGTTCTGTGACTGTGCTGATAGCCCTATCAGCCGCTCTTTAGGTACGCGCCGCGTCTCTGCTGTCACCTGCACTTGCTTATCCCTGACTCAACACTCTGACCATTCAATTGCAGGTAATGCTCTCTATGACTGTACCCCGCTACCCCGCCAAACATTCCGATATAGTTGTTTCCCAAAGGGATAGCTTTTGGTGTTCAGCTGCTATTGTACCCACACTTGAATGCAATTTGACTTTGGACACTTCATTTTCTCAGCGTCCCTTGCGCTAACATCTATTCTCTGCTGTAGACTCTCCCCTAACAAATCACATCCCCCCAAATCCAATATGGCCGAAGCCTCTGCCGCCGACGGCAAGATGAAGGATCTCAAGATCTCTGAGAGCAAGAAGAGCAAGAAGGACGGTGCTCCCAAGACAGCCGCCAAGAAGCCTCAGCAGCAGAAGAAGAAGGTCAGACATCCAGGGTCGTAGCGGCAACACAAACATGGAGTATTTACACCGTGGCAGATCGAGGGCGCCGCGCTCATTGGTATCGATGTCGCAAAGGAGGACGACCTTGGTGAGTGGTACCAGCAGGTCATCACCAAGGGACAGATGATTTCATACTACGACGTAAGCTCAATCGTTGTCTCCCATTTCGCTTGCTGACGCGCTTAGGTCGCTGGATGGTAAATACACATAGCCATCGCTACCGATTGCGCTACTAATCGCAACTCAGCTATATCCTCGAGCCCGCATCGTACGCCATCTGGGAGTCGATCAAGGCTTGGTTCGACAGCCAGATCAAGACCCTGAAGGTCCGCAACGCATACTTCCCCATCTTCATCAGCGCAGATAACCTGGAGAGAGAAAAGGAGCACGTTGAGGGGTTTGCTGCTGAAGTCGCCTGGGTCACAAAGGGCGGAAAGTCCGACCTCGAGAAGCCTGTCGCCGTGCGCCCTACCTCCGAAACCGCCATGTATCCCTACTTCGCGCGAAAGATCCAGTCCCACCGTGATCTTCCCCTCAAGCTGAACCAGTGGAACAACGTCGTACGATGGGAGTTCAAGCGTAAGCTATGATCTGTTCTACTTGTTGATCAGTCGTTGACATCCACAGACCCCATGCCTTTCATCCGATCTCGTGAGTTCCTGTGGCAGGAGGGCCACACTGCTCACTTGACCAAGGAGGAAGCCGGTGCCGAAGTCATGCAGATCCTTGAGTGGTATTCTCAGGTCTACCAGGACTTGCTGGCTGTTCCCGTCGTGAAGGGAACTAAGACCGTCAACGAGAAGTTCCCCGGCGCTGACTACACGACCACGATCGAAGGGTTTATCCCTGCAACCGGACGCGGTATCCAGGCGGCCACATCTCACTGCCTTGGACAACATTTCTCCAAGATGTTCAACATCACTGTTGAAGACCCCAACCCCAAGGAGGGCGGTAAGGCTGAGCACGTACATGTCTGGCAGAACTCGTGGGGCCTGACCACCCGTTCCATCGGTGTCATGATTCTGACTCACGGAGACAACCGGGGTATGGTCATTCCTCCCCGTGTCGCTGAGATTCAGGTCGTTCTCATCCCCGTCGGTGTAAACGCTAAGATGTCCGCCGAGGCTAAGGAGGAGCTGTACAGCAAGGTCAAGGGCATCCATGACAGTTTGATCGAGGCTGGCGTCCGTGTTGAGTCCGACTACCGCGAAGGATACTCCCCCGGCTGGAAGTTCAACGACTGGGAGCTCAAGGGCATTCCTCTGCGAATTGAGTTCGGTCCTAAGGATGCTGAGAAGGGTGTTGTCACCACCTCGCGCCGTGACATTAACGACAAGGACGCTGCACGCGGCACTATCAACGTCGACGATGTTGCCAACGAGATCCCCAAGCTGCTCGAGCAGATCCAGGCCGACATGTTCGCCAAGGCCGACAAGGCTTACCGTGACCACCGTATCCAGCTGACCAACTGGGACGAGTTTGTCCCTACACTCAACGGCAAGAACGTTGTTCTTGTTCCCCACTGCGAAGGCGACAAGTGCGAAGACGAGGTCAAGGCCAAGAGCGCAAAGACAGCGCTTGGCGATGGCGTTGCAGAAGACAAGCAGGCCCCTGCCATGGGCGCTAAGAGCTTGTGCATTCCCTTTGACCAGCCCGAGGGCATCGAGCCTGGCAAGACAAAGTGCATCAACCCCGACTGCACAAACTTCGCCAAGGCCTGGGTCCTGTTCGGAAGGAGTTACTAGAGAGAGTCGAGCGTTTGCTGTTAGCATTGAGCATTTGGGGGCGGGGTGTTAAACAAGGTATTTGCGCGGTATGTAGCCGAAGCTCCATTTCACGAGTGAAATCATCGCGCATATCTAGCAAGACAACAAGAACAAATCAAGATCTTGACAACACTCATTCCTGTATCTTTTTCTGAGCAACAAGGCCCTTAGGCTCAAAGTTTGCCAATGCCGTGAGGACAGCAAGCCGACCACCTGTACGTCTAGCGGTCCTCTAACATAGCCACACTAACAGCCTGTCCTTCACCATGCTTCACCGCATATAAACTGCCTGCTAACTAGCCTACCACATCCTCCCCACAACTACCTCACAACCCAACCCAACCGCCACAATGTGCAACAAACTCCTCCAAACCTACGCCTGCGGGCACTCCAAAAGTATCTGCACCACGCCCTGCACGCACGCACTCAGGTTCGCGCCATCTTCCACGTCACAGGACGATTCCACAATCACGCCCACGCGCGCAAACTCAACCGCTTCCTCTCCCTCTCCAGCGGCGCCTCAAAGCCCGACACACAGCGAGCGCCCAGGCTATGCGAACTCGCCACTGCGTGCTGCGCAGGAACCTGTGGAGCGCGTGTTCTCGACACGAGCGCTGGCGTTGCGGTTCAAACCCTTTTCTACCGGTCCCGCGTCGCCTACAGCGGTGTCGCTCGTGAGTGCGTCGCCCACGCTTCCTACCTCTCGCTCCACCGGCATCGGCACCGCGGCTGCACCGCCTCATCTACCACCTCGCTCCGCGGCGCAAGACCCAGAGCCGCTGTTCTGCAGCTACTACATCCCGCGCAATATCGCGACGAGCCGGTTTCCGTGTGTCGAGTGCTACGGTAGGGAGGAGTGGGAGGAGTTGCGGGAAAGCTGGATGGAGAGTTATGGGTTGGGACATCCGTTGGATCGGGTTGGGGATGTGGAGGGGCTTAGTGGGGTGACGGGGGTTTTGAGGATGGGAAGGGCTTGAGAGGTGGAGTGAGAAGTGGAGGGAGTCTTTGGTGAAGGTCTGGACGAGTGCGGAATATAGAATGGGGATTCTGGATAGGATGACTGTACGATGAGTTCTAGGCGATTTGAGATTGGACCACTTAGATGAAGCTACATCTTGTCAACAGCTCGCTTGTGACTTCTTACATTCTGAACCCGTGCGCAGCGCTCGGCCACCGCTGATCTAGTAACGCACTCACTCTATCCAGGATACGCCTTCCTCCCATAATCGCCTGGAAGTGCTTAGCCCTATCGTCTTGATCCATCAACAAGAATGTTGATAGTCCTGTAGCTTCTACAGTCTCCTGCGATGAGTAGCTTGTCGGCGAACTCATTAAACTTGGAGTCACGGAAAATGTTGTTGGTATCTTGAGAGAGGCGATGATGACCTGTGCTGCAAACGGATTGAGGCCTGCACGGCCGAGAAAGACTTCCCACTGCGATCTCGTCAGCAATGCTTCAGATTGCCATTAGGGAAGAGCAACTTACAGTAGTTTCGACAGGAAGCAACTTGATGTCGTGCATATCCTCACCACCATGTGGGAGACCATATACCTGGACACTCTCCACGATCGCTCTAGCAAATGCCTGCTCCCCACCCGGGACATAAGTAACAGCAATATCACCTTCGAGTTTAGCCGCAAACAGCCCAAGCCGTTTCAACGTTTCCTTGTCCCGTACATCCTCTGGCCTGCTGCTACTCTCCTCCCTCAGACCCTCACTGACCAGCACCACGAGCCTCTCATATCGCTCTTGCAGCAACAGCATGCGCTCTTTGACCGGCGATAGCGCTTTCTGGCCGGGGAGAGGCTGCTGTTTGATCTGTTGCAGTGTGGTGAGGAGCACGCCGGTGGAGGGCGAAAGGATGATGTCTGCATCTGTGTGACCGGAGTGCGGGAGGATGTAGTCGCGGTAAATGAGCTCGGCTTTCGGATGGAGGCGCTCGACTTCTTTGACTAGAGCCCGTCGCTGGAGAAGAGTTGATGAGATGACTAGTGAGCAGACTGGTAGGTTGAATGGAGATATTTGCTCAGGCGTAGCGTGTTTTGGGTGCTCTGCTGCATGTGCTGATCTCTGAAAGGCAAGCAACCTAGACTCACCGGACGTATTACTATCGTCGAAGGTCAAATTCTGAACGGCAGGAGCAGCAGAATTGTTCGATTCTGGAGTGATTTTCTCCAGCTGGATCGCTTTGCCTTGTGTCTCCATAAACTTATGCAACGCTGTGGTAGCAGAAAACCCGCCGAACATAAGCTCGGTTGGCGCGTGCTTCTGCTCTGCGGCGGCTGTAGTTGGAGGTCGAGTTGATCGCGTTTGTCTTGATTGTGACTCTTTTGTAGTTCGGTGAGTTTTGTGGGGATCATGAACTCCCGCGAACCTCTCCTGCGCGGGGGAACTTCCGTGCAACGGCTGGTGGCGGAACTGAGTTACTGGCTGTACTGTAGCGATATCTTTACTTGTACGATGAGTCCCCGTCAGTTGGTCTTGATCCTCCATCTCCAGCTTCCGTTTGCGAATCAAAGCATCCATATCATCGCGTTCCTCAAACTCAGCCGGCTCAACTTCATCCTCGTCCTCATACTCATCCTCCACCTCATCCAGCAGGCGGAGCCCATCCCTCTTCCACAACTCAGTCGAACTTGTCGCAATTGTACCCGTCGTGAGCTCTGCCTGGATCTTGTTGAAATCAGTTTCGCCGTGGAGCGTCTCTTGGAGCTTGATCGAGCCAGATGTTGGCGACGCGAACCACCCCCAGCTATAATCAAGATCAGAGATGCCATGCCACGTGGTCGCGGACTTCAAATCGTCGCGCTTGACACGGTGCAGGAATCGCATCTGAGCCTCAAGCTCGGTGGTACCTGTGCGACGCTTGCCGTCCCTGCGCTGACTGAACTCATCCCAGGGCGCCACAGGTAATGTGAAGTCCATAACAGGTATGTCCACTCGAGCCACCGTGTCAGCTCCAATCAACTTCTCGTTCTCGGCTTTCCTTTTTGCCTCTTTGGCAATAGGCTCGATCTCCTTAAGTAGCTCATCTATGGTAATTTGAGAGTCGGATGTCCTGGGACGTTTATCAGGCCAGGGTTCCAAGGTGTTGCCAACTTGAATCATGTTGGAAAACGATACCGACTTTAGTTTCTTCATCGGTGAGTCTGAAAACATCGGTGGCGTCAGTGGTCCCTCCACTTTGAGATCATCGGCTTTGCGCTTCAGGATCGTTGGGATACGTTCCGACGAGGGGGGGCTGCTGGCTGCGTCAGCCGCAAAGAGTGCGTCGAGGTCCCCCACATCAAGTAGCATCGAGTCACTACTACCAGAATTGCGTCGCAAGAGCGAGTCTTTGGCCATGATCTGTTGCTCCAAAGCTTTCGCTTCGGCTACAATCGGGTCGCTGCTCTCAGGAATAAGTGGCAGACGATTGGCTGGCGACGACGGAATATATGGCGTCAATGGCGGTGATAACGGCAACAAGGGTGGTGTCAAATGTCGAGGTACATACTCCTGAGCGCGTCAGCAGTCCCTTTCAATACCAGGCACACGCCTACCTTTCTGCTCTCGAGCGCATCCATCAGGACCTTTTCGTCCTCTTCAGGCGTGAAATCATCCCTCATCGCGCCCTGCAAAATCAAAAGCACATCCCTCGTCACCACAAGTCGTTCACTCCGTATCTGCTTATCGACCTGTGCTGGATACCCAGCATACTTAGCAGGCCACCCAAAACCTTCATCCTCCTCCTCATCCACGTCTTCTGACGGAATGCGCGACCGAAGCTCCCTAAAGTCAGGCTCGAATTTCGTCCCAAAGCTCAACATATCAAGCTCAGGATCCGTCCGCAGCACCGGCAGCTCGTGCTTCAAATCGCGAATCCGCGGGCGGCCATCTGCAGCAAAGCAATAATCAGCATCGAGTCCAGGGGCCGTGAGCGCCGACTTCAAAAGCCCCGCCGCGGCCGTGGTCAGCGTCAGTCTGGGCTTCAGCAGCTCGCTAGCAGCCGCGACGGCATTAGTCAAGTCGTCATAAAAAGGATCCCGGGGGTCCTGATCAATGGTGTCGCGCAGCGACAGACACAGGTCGGCGAGCGGCAATAGGTCGGTCGTGTAGTCGACGCAGATGCCTTGTTCGCGCGCGTACTCCAGCACACTGGGCTCCTCGACCTCCTCTGTGACTGGGTCGGAGAAGAGTTGCAGCTCCATCTGCGTCACATGCGTCTGGTTGCTCGCACCTGCGTGGCTCGGAGTCTGAGAGAAGGCTGGGATGGCGCGACCGATGACCCTTGCTGTGTGTGATCGTGCTGGGGACGCGATTGACACGACGCGCTAGTGCGCGTTGTCACGTGCGGTATCTCCTCGTGTCCGAGTATCTAGCCAATCTCCAAGCCTTGGAGGCGTGGCGCCTCCCGGCACCCGAGCGGATTCTCGGCCCTCCGATCGGCGCACCGATTCGAAACCGTTGCTGTGTGCCGGCACATTGAAGCTTATATCTCCGACAAGGCTTGGTGAGAGGTGTTTCAAGGCACGTCTCGGACGGAGAGAGACGGAGACGGAGACGGGCTGCTGGGAAGCCGTTCAAAGCATGTTAGTAACTCGATGAGACGAGACGGTGTGTGGGACTGGGCGTGCAAAGGGGTGGTGATATTTTGTTCATTTTGGTTATTTTGGTTATTCGCTACCTAGGTACTTCAGGTATTCATCTATGCCGTGCCTGACTTCCGGGCTGTGCCCTGTATCCCCGCCACTGCAGAAACTATGATTATGTACAGACCAGTATATGTCCATGTGTTATCTATCAACAAGCGCTCGAATGAGGATGTGAGTACCATATCCGCCTAGTTCAGACGCTTCTGCGCGAACCCAAGCGACTGGTTGCCGCCGTTGAAAGCAACGAGCTGGGCCTTGAACATGGTGTCGCCGTAGATCTGGAGACCGGCGCCCTGGTTGCCCTGCACGCCGCCGAAGCAGGTGGTGTTGGCCTTGTCGACGGTGGCGAAGGTGACCTGGTTGCCGGGGATCTTGGCCATGTAGTTGGCGCCGATGGCGACGGACATATCGGGGAGAGTGGCGCCGCAGGGATAGATGTATCCACCGACCTGAGCGTTGAGCTGGGCACCCTGGACCTTGGAGTAGTAGGCGTCGGCGACCTGCTGGTCGACGAGGAGGAGAGATGTGCCGGTGTCAGCAATGGCGTCGGAGCCCTGGGGGTTCTCGAACATCTGGTCGCCGACGGCGAACTTGGTGGAGGCGAACTGCCAGAAGCCAGTCTCGGCCTTGACGGGGATCCAGGCCATTGCGCCGACGGTCTTGGTCATGTTGATCGAGCCGAACTCGTAGTTGCCAGTGCCGTCGGGGTTGAGGTCGGCGGTGAAGACGGGCATGGCGAGGTCTTTCATGACGTTGTCGAAGAAGGTCTTCTGGGGAGTCTTCTTGGTGCCGTCGTTGACAGTGTTCAGGTTGGAGAAGGCGAGGCCGACGAGGCCGTCAGTGTTGGTGTCCTGGACGAAAGATTGCGAGACCTGGTTAGCCAACTCAACGGTCTGACCCTCGACTTTGACGCCGCCAATGGTGACGACGTCTGTGCCAACAGTTCCGGCAGCACCGGAACCATCGCCATAGGTGATCTTCCACTGAGCACCGTCGGTCTTCTTGAAGGTGGTCGACTTGGAGGCATCGAATGCAGAGTGAGCTCCGATGGAAGCGGCGGGAAGCTCAGTGCTGAACATCCACCTTTATCATGTTAGTGACTGACTTAAGATGAGTGGCATGTATACTTACAGATCGGAAGAGCCAGAATCGAAGTCCAAGTTCAGGGTCTGGCCACCGACATCAACCGGCGAAAGGAAGAGAGCAGCATTCTGCTCGGGGTTCGCAGCAACACTTCCGGTCTTGTTACCACCAGCAGCTGTGGTGCTTGCGTTCATAGCCGCCCTGTTGTATCCAGCGAAGTCCTCCTTGACCACGAAGTTGTATTTCCTGAACACCTTCCTCATAGCAGCAGCGCCATTGGGCCCGGTGGGGTGTGCCGTGTTCAACTGACGCGGGACTTTGAAAGAGCGTTTCGCGAGACCTTGTCTCCGAACCTGTGATGGTGCGGCGAGCGCGAGCGCTGCCAAAAGAGCGAAAATGAAGAAAAGGCGTGATGAAGGCATCTTGATATGAAAGCTGACCGGCAGCAGTGACGACTAAAGCTGTCGTGCGAAAAGAAGGTAAATGGTCTGTTGAATAGGTATACCGAGTAAAGAATCGAAAGCACCACAAGTCGCTCGAAAGAATAGATCAAAGGCTCGGCCTGATGGGAAGTCCACACAGCACTCAAAAAGTCGGTAATGAGAGTTCTTTTAAAGAATGTCGTCGAAACAGGTAAGGACAGCTACAATGGAAACCTGAGAATCCGATGAAACTCACAGAGGTCAAGAATCGGTTGGCGGCGCTAAGCCTTCTCCCAAGACATCACTGAAATTCCTGCCGCAGCAGATCAGAAGCTGCGTGTACCACATACGTGATGATCCATGTGGGGATCAAGCCTAGCTGCTGTCAGGACTCTGTGCCTGAGTCTGGACGCTGTCCTAACGGGGCTAGCAAAGTGCCTTATGCAGACTAAGAGGCTCAAAGAACGACGCATCATTGGCCAGGGACCTGCGTGAGCAGTTGTCGGCCAGTTATCGATAGCCCGTGGAGCTCTTACGCGTACTGCCTGAGTTTGACCGGGTGGTGTTGAGGAATTGTGGAGGGAACTAGCGGCCGGACATGGGTTGCGGAGTCTAGCGAGAGCGTTTCAGGCCCGCGGGACCTGCGAATGCCGTCACCTTGGGTTTTCCATCCACAGATTTCGATGTGAGAACAGGGGGCCGTGTGGGAAGTTCTCGAGAGGCTGCCTTTGTTAGGCATCTATTCGTCAAGAGCATCTTCTATTGTCGTGAGGCATCCCCACACATGCACGCGCGCTCAGCCACCGCACAGCGGCTGACGACGCGCTGCAGTGGCCTCCGACACGCATGAACGTCAAAGCTGACGAGGCCGAAGTGCTGTGTTTCGCAATGCCAAGTTCGTAGCGAAAGCCCGCGGGAGACTGCCGCAACTGTGAAACGGGCAGGGTGGGTGTGCACGATCCAAACGCGTGGCGATGTTCTTCGCTCAGAACCGTTGCCAGGTGTGAAGGGGATGTACATAGCAATTCGCGTTAATATTGACGTTCATCACTTTGAGAGCATGCAGCCACCCTGCAGCTAGATAATCGATCAGGCTGAGGTCTTACGTGTCTCTGCGGCCTACAGAAATACGCTGTCTCGCACACCGCAATAGACAGCTGAATCCATCTCATCTCATCTCACTCCTTTGTACATCGTACCGCGCAGTTACTCCGGGGCACACTTACGCGCGCACTACCGCCCCCTTCCCCAGGCCTCCAGACAAGCATCACTGCAAAGCTTAGCCGTTATGACCCTGCCCTGGGACCTGCGACACGTGAAACGCGTGTGAGGTAGACACGTGTGGAGATCGCACCACCATTCGTTGACGCTCGGGTAAAATAAACAGAGCCCAGAGTGTGCGTGTTGTGTTTGATAGCCTTCATGACGGCCAGTCAGACGTCGTTGTGAGGTTTGACGCCTGAAGGAACAGGAGGGAGGTTTCGCAACAATGAGGGGGTTGCTGGGTGTGGTACAAACCGGGCGAGGCTGTTTCGAAGCCAAGCTCACCATTGCCCGGCTGTTTGTTGAGCCATTTCCTGTGCTGATGTAACCGGAAAAGTAGATTCGTGAGCAGTTGTCCGACAGTCACAGTCACGCGAGGCATGGCAGTGCTAGGAAGAGCTTGAAAACACAATGCTGAATATTGGATGTTGAGTCAAATGGCTTTTAAATCTAAGTCGCAACGCAGTAAATCCCTGCACCACTTCAGGGTTGTCAGCATCCTTTATAAGTAGGGGAGTACTGTGTGGTGGACATGAACCCGCAGTTGTGTACATGTCAGCCTCCTTCAACCATTATAGCTGCCTGCTAACTTTGCAGCGATTGGTGAAGTGCTGCGTGGCGTCTGTGAGGCCGAGCAGCGAGAAGCGTGGCTCCTTGCTACAACGCGGAAACTGCGTGATGTAGTCTGGCCTGGGCGATGGCTTGCACCTAAACGACTGCAGCCCGTATCTGCCAGGATATCTATCCAAGCAGCTCAACATCGAGACCGATGGCCCTCATGAACAAGTTCACGTTACTCAAGCGAGCTCCGGCCATCTCGGCAGGGAGAGCCTTGCTGACGGAGACGGTCTCCATGACGCGGTCTTTGACGCCAATGACCAACCTCTGCTGTTGCTCAGGGCTGGCACCGACACCCATGGCAGCCAAGAACTGCCAGATGTACATGTCGTCCGTGTCGTTAATAGAGCCAGGGAACAGGTAAGGCAGCACAGGCTCGATGGTATCAAAGAGGCGGTTGTAAAGTATTGTCCACTGGTCCCAGTCGCCAGCGTCAATCTCGGGAGCCGACTGCTTCAGAAGCTCCGCACGAGAGATCAAGATCGTCAGAAGAGAGAGGCCAATCTTTGTGCGTGCAACGACATGAAGATTGGTGCGGTCCAGAATAAGCCCGAGGAGACCGATGATAATGTTAAGAGGCGACTCAGAGATGTGCGCAAATAGCGGTGGCATCACGGTGTGTGAGAACAGCTCGACCTCTTCCCGAATAGCAGGGGTCAACGGCTCATCCGGTGTGGCGATGGCATGCCCGACGACATTCAGACCGTCGAGATGAACAACAATCATGGTAACGACCGTGATGCGCTCCTGCTCGTCAATGTGACGGAAGAGACGAGGAATAACCTTCTTGCCCTTAGCATGGGACAGGATCTGAATGAAGGGGTGCTGTGCGTGCGCGTGGGGGTTGATAGGCTCCATGATCTTGGTCGCCTGCCACAGCTTCTGATGCAGCATCTCGATCTTGGAACGCCACTCCATGTGTGCTTGGATGGCCTCGGGATTGCTGGTCTCGTTGATAGGCGGCGGCATGGTTCGCTCGTGATCCTCCATGTGCATCAAAGTCAAGTAGACACTCTCGATGTTGCGCAGCGCATCCTTGCGATCGGCAATAGAAGTCTTGGGCTTGGGCTTATCGCCTGTCTCCGGCCGTTTGATGTTGAGAAGGGGTCGCGGTGTCTTGGAGTTGCTGAAAGCAATCTTACCCAGACTACCTTCAACGACAAGTTGCTTAGCCTTTGGCCTAGCCTTCGCTGCCTCGACCGCGCGCTGGATCTGCTGTTCCATGCGCTGCATGTGGTTGTCACCACCTCGGCCGTGCCTGCGGTTGCCAAATCTGTTGTTGGTCTGGAAAAGATAAGTCTGCGCAAACTGGTTTGCCGGTTGCTGAGGGTTCTGGCGAGGGGCACCACGAATCTGACTAAAGACCTGGTAGTAAAAGTCCTCGGCAATGGCTGCCTCGGGGCCTCTCTCGTCCAGGTTGCCAGTCGCCGTCATGAGTTGCTGCAGTTGAATGCGGGTGATGAAGTTCTTGTCTTGAGGTGTCATCAGACCGTTGTCCTTAGCCAGCTGTGCGATCTTGTGGTTGCGCTTTGCACGCTTAGCATCCTCCTCGAGGAAAGCTGCTCGGTCAGCTTCAGACAGGTTGAGAAGCTGTTCCGGATGAGTGATAATGGGGAACGAAGGGCCCCTGTTGTGCTGTCCTGGAGCACTTCCAGCCACCTGGCGTGGGGCAGAACCTGGCTGAGCCATTGGCTGGCCCTGACCAGACAAGCGGTTGGGGTTCTGAAGTATCTGTCGAGGCTGCGAGGGCGGGCCCTGCGGGTGCGTAGCAGGCGAGGCCTCCCTCTGTTGCTGTGCGGCCGGCTCAGGCTTCTGGCGCTGGAGGATCGTAGGCTGTTGAGGCGTTGGCGTCTGTGCTGATTGGCCGGGCAATTCGGCGTGGAACTGCTGTTGCTGCTGCGGCGGGCCTTGCCTTTGCTGATACTGCTGCTGCTGTTGCTGTGGCGGCGGTGGCTGCTGGTACTGATGCTGTTGGGGACGCTGCAAGATCTGCGGCGCATGCTGACCAGGGAAACCGGGCGGCATACCTGGCGGCATTCCCTGCATACCGGGAAACGGTGGCTGACCTTGGAAGAACTGCTGCTGGTGTTGCTGAGGGTAACCACCCATACCTGGAGGCGGCTGGACTGGGGGTGTGGCTCGAGCGTCGTTGCTGATGCCCTGGTTGCGCAGCATGGCCTCGACCTCATCCAAACTCATGATCTTCCGCGAGGCGGCGGACAGCTGGGCGGGGCTGCTGGAGTACTGAGCGGGGCTGTTGGCGTACTGGGCGGGCGACGGCTGGTGCTCAGGCTGGTGCTGACGCTGGGGCGCAGACTGCTTTGGCTTCAAGCCCCAGATATCAGCGCGTGCCTCCAGCTGGGGGATGTAGTCGGGATCCTTGTAGCTCTCATAGCCAGTCCTGGAGGGCTTTGAGGCCTGAGGATAGGGCTGGTGTTGCTGATATTGCTGCTGATGTTGCTGTTGCTGCTGTTGCTGCTGCTGCTGCTGAGCAGGCCTGGCGAAGCCCTGGCGAGCCTGGAAGAGCATCTGCTCCTCCTGCATGGTTCCGGCGATCTGCGAGGTCTGACCGGCGAAATCGAAGTCCTTGCCCACGCTCTGCTGGTTGACGGGCCCATCGCCGCCGAAAGTGTCGTCGTTAAAGGCATCGTCGGTGTCGTCGAGCCGGCCGCCGTGGCCCTGGTACGTGTCGTCGAAGTCGATGCTGTGCAGGTGTGAGCAGATGCCAATTGGCGGCGCCCGCACTACTTACACGTCGTCGTCGGCTGCCCCACCACTGAAGCCGGCAAAGGCATCGTGCTGACCAAAGCCGGGGGCATTGGGCTGGTGGCCGCGATCGCGGGGCAGGCTGGCGTCAAAGCCGAAGAACGACATGGCGGGCGGTACCTAGCGGCTGGTCGTGTGTGATGTTACGCGCGAGGGGTGTTTTTGCGCGGCGAGTGGATGACGTTGGGCGCAGCTCGCGGTCGAGGCAGCGGCCGTGGTTCTGCGGGAGATGCGCTGACAGAGCAGGCAATGCTGGCGCGGTAAGAGATAGCACTATGCGACGGCGAGGCGATGGTGCAGGGCTGCTCGTCGGCGTCGTCGAGGTCGAGCTTCTGTGACGCCGCCACAGCTACAGGAAGGGCATCGGGCATCGGGCAGCCCGCGCCGCGTGCGCCGAGCTGGAATGGGCGGCCTGCCCGCGGTATGGCTGGGTCAGCCACACTAAGGCGCGTTGCGACGACGTTCTCCTTTTCGACCTCGTGTCCCTGGCAAGCTTCTGCTCCCGTGCCTCTCGCCCTTTTGTCCATTCCACAGTGGATGAGCACGATTCAACGTGTCTGTCCGCTCTTTTTCCCGTGCCCCCCCCCAAGAGACCACGCATCCCGTCCGGCGGCGCCCTCGACCATCTCCGCACCAACATCCAGTCGCATTCAGGCGCTGGTCAGCAACTGACCGCCTTTCACACCCAACGCCAGCAGCGTGCTCTCTGATTCCCTAGCCCTCATGATGGCAGGTACACAGCGCTATCTGCGCTACATTGTCTTTGCGCTCTTTGTAAGGCCGCCGTTGCAACATGGCCCATAGCATCTACTGACCCTGTGCAGGCCATCGTTCTCCTCTACTTCATCAGCTCTTCGTCGTCTGTTCCCTCGGCGCCCAGCTGGCCCAGCTACGGTGGTACCAAGGACACCCTCACGCCGGGCACACCCAGCGCTCCCGAGTCTCTCGATCCTCTCGCGCCCGCCGTGCCCGCCAAGTCGAACGCTCCCATCGTTGCGAAGCCCCCGACAACTCCCAATGACCACGAGCTGCCACCGGCCACGGCGTCCGGCGAGCGCATGAATGCCACCTTCGTCACCCTCGCCCGCAACCAGGACGTCTGGGAGATTGCCAAGTCCATTCGCCACGTCGAGGACCGCTTCAACCGCAAGTTCAACTACGACTGGGTCTTCCTGAACGACGACGACTTCAACGACGAGTTCAAGAAGGTCACGACTGCTCTGGTATCTGGCAAGACCAAGTACGGCAAGATTCCAAAAGAGCACTGGTCTTTCCCTGAATGGATTGACCAGGACAAGGCCGCTCGCGTTCGTGAGGAGATGAAGGAGAAGAAGATTATCTACGGCGACTCCATCAGCTACAGGCACATGTGCCGCTACGAGTCTGGCTTCTTCTTCCGTCATCCCTTGATGCTCGATTACGAGTGGTACTGGCGCGTCGAGCCCAGCATCGAGATGCACTGCGACATCAACTATGATACCTTCAAGTTTATGGCCGATAACAAGAAGAAGTACAGCTTCACCCTCAGTCTGTACGAATACGTCGAGACTATCCCCACCCTCTGGGAAGCCACCAAGAACTTCACCAAGACCTTCCCCGAGCACATTGCCCAGGACAACTCTCTGAAGTTCATCAGTGACGACAACGGCGAGACCTACAACCACTGCCATTTCTGGTCCAACTTCGAGATTGGTAACCTCAACTGGCTCCGATCCAAGGCTTACCTCGACTACTTCGAGGCCCTCGACCACGCAGGTGGTTTCTTCTACGAGCGCTGGGGCGATGCGCCTGTCCACTCCCTCGCCGCAGCCCTGATGCTCAAGAAGGACGAAATCCACTTTTTCAACGACATCGCCTACTACCACGTGCCTTTCACCCACTGCCCTACTGGCGAGCAGTACCGCCTCGACCACAAGTGCCACTGCAACCCCAAAGATAACTTTGACTGGAACGGCTACAGCTGTAAGTAATCCTCTGCACATTTCTTAAACCCCCACTGACAACTCCGCAGGCACAGCACGTTACTATGAGCTCAACAACCTTCAAAAGCCAGTAGGGTACGAGAAGGAGCAATAAGCCTCTACCCCCACTCCACTCACCGCCATCTCTTCCGCACCGCGCCCACTTCTTCCACACACATCTGACTTCTGTCCGAAGTGCTCCACTCGACGCCTGGGACATCACATGGATTGTCCTGAAGTGGCTTTTCATTCTCATTGTCCTGGTCACTGCTTTGGGCATCTACTTTGGGCGGCGGCGCCAGAACCGCTTCAATTATGATTAGACTAGGGAACAGGAAAACGAAGGATGAAAAGGACAGGTCCGATCTTTCTTCAAATAAGCCCCGTTTTGGGCGCTCGTAGGGATATGGTGTACTATTTGGCGTTGATCTATCTGGCTTCGGCTTCCTTCTGCAGGGGGCAGCAGAGGGGAGGCGGTTTATGTCCTTCTTTTTGGTGAGGTAGCGGTGATACATGTAGCAGAATTGTATTCATACGACTTCTTTCATAAGACTCGATTGCCAGTATCACTGTTTGTCCTGATTACAGAGCAAGGCCAATGTTTCGATCTTCACAGGTAATACCACGATTGTGCCAATGCTGAATGAGAGTACTTTGGAACTAACCAGGACAATATACGACGAATATTCATTAGGCAGGTGTAGCTCGACTGGCAAAGCATTACTGCGAGAGAGGCTTGGTACCAAGTGGCTTACTAAAATAATTATTCGTATACGGAACTGTTAGTGGAGATTGCAGACCTTTCATAAATAACGATGATTCTTCTCCTGCTGTTTTCTCGCGCAGTGGAGCATAAAACACACCGATATCATTTACTTGTGGCAAGACTCATGTGCGATATCTGGTGGCAAGCTCCTGCCGAGCGAGCTTGACAGCACGGCACGTGCCTTCCACAGGCCAGCGCCAAGAGCGGAGCTTGCCAGAACTAGCGTTGGCGCCAAACTAGATCCCTGGAGGCGGAAATGGCGTTTTGTGTTGTTGGATCTTGAGATACCACGATGGACAAGAGGAAGCGGCGTGTAGCAGTCTGCGGGCTTGTGTCTCTGGCGCAGATGTAGGATTGGACGATCGCTGCCTGTTGCAACTTTTGCAGGCGCGCTGTCTCACGAAGCGCAAGTTCTTCGTGCACCCTGAGCCAGACACAGCGGTAAGCGTCGCAGATGGATTGCGGGTGAAGAAGAGATGAGATTGCACGGGAGCATCAGCGCCCATAAAGCTCGATACCGCCTTCCAGAACGGCGCCGCGCTTCTCGCTGCTTCCGCGAACCCGTTTCACTCCTTTCAATAGCGTTCAGCGCGCCTTTCGCTCGTTTGTTTGTGACCTAGTGGCACCGGCCCCTACTATCCGACGCCTCGCTGTTTTCCCTGCTTGGACACTAGTAGTGTTGACATTACGATTCTTACAAAAGTGTGGATCTGCCCGCGCCTATCGCTCGCCCGAACCCAGTACTCTCGTTTTCTGCTGTGTACGCGTACGCGCTCTACGTTGCCGCAGCCATGCCTTCGGTATGTTTACGTTCGGGTCCTCCATCGGCGGTTCTGTGGGTACTAACGGCCTGACAGCTCATTCGCTCGCTCGCGCTCCTCCCTGCCCTGCTCTCGGGCATCGCCCACGCCGTCAACCCGGTTGAAGTCCGTGGCCAGGACTTCGTGGATACTGTTACCAACAAGCGGTTGATGATTGTTGGTGTCGACTACCAGCCTGGAGGTCAAGCCGGATACAAGCCTACCTCGAAACAAGATGCCCTCACAGACGCCGATGTGTGTCTTCGTGATGCGGTGGTTATGCAGAAGCTGGGTGTACGTGCAATGTCTAGCTGCATGTGCGATTGCTAACAAGCACAGGTGAACACTATCCGTGTCTACAACGTCGACCCTACTCTCGACCACTCCGAGTGCATGTCCATCTTCAATGCCGCCGGTATCTACCTGATCCTGGACGTCAACTCGCCTCTCTCCGGTGAGAGCATCAATCGTGCCGAGCCATGGACTTCGTACCACAAGGACTATCTGAACCGCATCTTCGGTGTTGTCGAGAACTTCAAGAACTTCCCCAACACTCTTGCCTTCTTTGCTGCCAACGAGGTCATGAACGACCTTTCCACTGCCGAGTTCAACCCCATGTACATCCGTGCAGTGCAGCGCGACTTGAAGAACTACATCAAGAACCACGTCGATCGTTCAATTCCTGTCGGTTACTCTGCCGCCGACGTGCGTGAGATCCTGCACGATACCTGGGCTTACATGCAGTGCTCGCATGACGATGACCAGTCTTCGTCTGACTTCTTTGGCCTCAACTCGTACAGTTGGTGCGGTGAGGGTGACATGCAGAGCTCCGGCTACACGGATCTCGTCACCATGTTCAAGAACTCTTCCATCCCAGTCTTCGTGAGTGTGCCTTTATTTTTTACGGGATATGTACTGACAAGAATACAGTACTCCGAGTACGGCTGCAACGAGGTCAAGCCCCGCGTCTTCACCGAGGTTGAGGCTCTCTACGGTGAACAGATGACTTCGCTCAGCGGTGGTCTGGTCTACGAGTACTCCCAGGAAGAGGCAGATTACGGCCTTGTCGTTATTAACGAGAACGGCACTCTTTCCCTCCGTGAGGACTTCGAGAACCTCCAGGGGCAGTTCAACAGGCTGGATCTCGGCCTCATCCAGTCGACCAACTCATCCGGCTCTATCCAGCCTCCTGAGTGCAGCATGGATCTGATCACAGCTGAAGAGTTTAGCACAAACTTCACTATCCCAGCCGTCTGCCCTGGATGCGCCGACATCATCAAGAATGGCATCAGCAAGCCTATTAATGGCAAGCTTGTCGATGTGACTAACACCAAGCCTTCGCAGGCCGTGTACGGAGTCAACGGCGCCGAGATCCAGGGCCTTGAGCTCACGAAGCTCACCGAGGCAAACACTCCGGGCGGTTCGAATTTCAGCTCGGGCACAGCATCTGGCACAGCTAGCGGTACTGCGGCTCAGCCATCGGCGACAAAGACTGGTTCTGCTAGTAGTATGTCGATGGGTGGCTGGTGCAGTATGATCGCTCTTGGTGCCATGCTGACAGCTATGCTCAACTAGATGAGAAGACCACTCCCGCGCTGACGCCAACCCCGATACCGACACCGACGGTAAAGGGCGACGCGCTGAAGCTTGACGAGACCAAATTGCTTTGGATCACACCGTTGATGATTTGGATCGTTGGAAACTAAGCCATGTCAGCACCAAGCGCATTCTGTTTTACGCAGCCATATTGTCCAGGCGACCCTTTGTCCTGGCATTCTCAGGTTGAAATAGGCCATTCGAGGCCAGGATTGGTGACCTTCTTCCGTGTATCTGTTTGGATCATGTATACCCCTTCTTCTGCCTTCCCTGAGGGTTGGCCCTTCACTTCTTCATAAATACTTTTCATGTCAACGAAAACATCTAATGCCACCAAACAAATTCAATCTTTGCTTGTAAATGGGATTGATCAGCGCTCCTTTCACTATCATCTTAATCTTGGAAATTGGTTGATTCGATGTTCTTGCCAAATGTTCGCAGCAGACTTGACAGTTAACATGCGTTGCACCTCGAGCGCTGGTACCGGAAGGTGTATTAGGAGAACCTGTGTTGCAGTGATCTCACAAAGACTTACGATGGCTAGTTCGGGGCTTTGTATAAAATCCAAGCGGCAGTACGAAGTAGGTAGGTTGTCGTTTCTTACCTCGCCACCATCAGACTCGCGACCCACACTGCAGGCCACTGTCCGACCCCGTGATAAGCGAACTCTACGAATCACAGTGGGTAGGTGCATCAATGTCAGTTTGAGGTAAGCTTGGTTGATGCATCGAATCGCCCAACGCGCCCTCACAATTAACATTTGGGGTCATACTGATGGCCAATTGCACCGCGGCTGCTGATGCCAAGCATCCCGCTGAACCTGTTACTGATGGTTGCTGTTGGGACTGGTGGGACTCAGCCACAGATGACGCCAGAATTTCCACATGCTTGGTGCGCGCTTCTGCTTTTCGCACAATGTTGACCGAGGTAACTTGGATCATCCATGCACAGACCAGGTCTCCTTCACTTTGCTAACCTGTGACTTGATCCATGATGAAGACCGATGTTTGGGCGGCAGTGGATGAGTACAAGTCGATTCCAGGCGCACTGTCAATCAAGCCATACACAGCCGCCTCAAGAAATCTTCAATGCAATCAATCTGGAATACTCACATGCCAAAGCAACCTGCTCGAAATTCAAGAACATCCTGGCTGATATCCGGAAAGCGACGTTCCGCTTTTCCAGGTCTCCGTCAATATTGGGCTACGAACGGGTACGGAAAACAAGTTCAAGAGTTGAGGCAAAGCCTGCAGACCGCGACTCCTAAGTTGGTCTTCTACGTCCCACTCCATGGGAAGTACGGCACACCCTTCGTAGATTACATACTTCACTCAAGATTCACATGAAGCTAGATCCCCGCGGCTGGTTGTCTAAAACATCAACCAAACGGTGTTCATAGAGATACACAGATTGCAGAAGAAGCCCAACATGGTCAAACTTTCAGCAAGCTTGGCCAACTTACTGCCTCTGTTTTCGGCAAACGTGCGATCACTGCACCCAGGGATACTAGCTCGCAGTGAAGAAGATGAGGGAAATTAGCACCGTGGATATATACAAAGAGGTGATGAAAAGCAAAGTGTTCACATCTTCAGTTCCGCACGTAAAAAGAACAGGGGTTCAGCAAACAGTTACATAATATTCTAAATACTCGTGAGCTTCTTTTGGTTTCCGCAGACGCGTACTTATCCCCAGAACCACGTAAAGGTAGAAGCTCTCTCTGGGGGAGGACTTACGCCGACCCGGTGGTCAGCTGCCTGTTCCTATTGTAGATCAGTGCTGGAACAAAAAGAATTGTTGCGCCTCAAGAATCTTCTTTCCCATCTTCTTTCCCCATCTCCACCCCGCCACCACCCGCCCATCTAGCCAGCACAAAGTAACCCACACCCACGCTACAGGCCTCTTGACAAAAGTATAGAGGCGCAGATCCCCCTTCCTAAGTAAGGTCTGCTTCACTAAGTACAAGACCCGCCCTCCTATAACTCTGCCAATTACGCCATGCAGCGCTGTCCACACCCTCCGCCTCCACCTTCATCATCATGTTTGTCTGCATCAAGTACAAACTAGCTAGCTCAGACTTACTACTTGCTCCTAATTTAAGTGGACGCGTAAACGCCCACTGTGCTATCGCAATGATAGCAGCACCTACCACCGTCGCCAGCCCCTAGTCTGACGACAAGTGGCTGACCTAGAATTATGGAGTTAGTCAATGTTCGCAAATATTTGCACCGTACTGTGTAGGCCAGAGATATCGTGGGCCAATATCGATCGTGTAGACTGCGTGGCTATGAGACTCCAACGCGATGGGCTGTGTATGAAGAGAGATTGGTGACGCGTGGGTATGATGGCGACGCGTTGGGAGTGACAGTGAGGTATGAAGGTCGACAGCGACAAGTCGAAGTTACTCAACGCGCCGACGGATGATCGTGGTGGCCTCGAGCGTGGAACGAATGAAAAGATGAATACATACCACAAACTGACTCTGCATAAGATGTTAACGCAAGTACAAAGGAACAGGATGCAGCACTGCCATGCCAGTGACAGGACTACGTACAACAGTCATTGTTTTACAATCTCTGATATAGTCACAAGAATTCTATCAAAAGTTAACAAGCTTCAGCAATGGGGGCGCAGGGGCAACTTAGCAGAGTTCAGTGTGTTGGGGAGAGGGAGCGTGGCAGCCGTCGCGAGAGTATTAAACAAACAGAACCTAGGGGTCCTTCCCCATCAAACAGGTCGTGACGCGTCGCGCGCCAAATTGATTGTAGCCATCATATTGTGGTGCCGCGCACATTGCTGCAATTATGCGCTCGCTTTATTCATCCACCGCAGCCGTGATACATGAGACCATGGTGTGTGTAGGGCAAGATGAGAGAAAGAATAATTCAAAAACCTAGATCTGAAGATCAAAAACATCAACAACAGCTACCATAACTTCATTGATAATAAGAGGAACCTGTAAAAACGAATAGATATGGGCTTGAGAAGTTGAGAACAGGTGCCGACGCAGTTACAGCTGTAAGTACAGGTTCTGCTCTTGACTGCCTGGTTGGAAAGCCGCAGCTTTACGATATAGACACGTCGAGTCGTCTGACCAATGATAGCCTACTATCATCCGAGCGCGTAGCACTGGACGAGGGATATGGTAGCTGTCCAATCGTGAGGACTCTATCGAGCCTGAGATACAACGTACCATGGTTCATCACAAAGGATAGTCTCAACGATAAAAACCTGCTCTAGGGGCATCTTGATTTCTCTGGATGTCCCCTCAATTTCTCTTTATCCGCTTGAACTCCTCTTGGGCATCTATCACCACAAGATGTTGGAAAAGGACATCAAACCGCTGCAATACACGTGTTCCAAATCCACAAGGCCTACCCACATGCCAGCCCCTGAGGATACACTCGCCGCTTACAGTACGAAGACTTCAGCATCGCCCTGTCAAGGCGCAAAGTGTGAAGACCTTGTATGCCAACAACAAGAGCGCAACCATCAAGAGCCGCCGATGAGAAGCGCGCAGGATGTGGGGAAGCAGTGGAGGGCCAGGCGAGCGTGCTTCCTGTACGAAACCTTTGACAAAGAGACCCCTAGTAGTCTTATCTGCTATGACTGCGGCATCTTTCATCCGCGCATTCTGAGTGGGAAGCAGGATCTGCCTACCTACCCCGTCCACTGCAAAGCTTCGACAAGGCCCGAAACACGTGGGGATTTCCTCCGGCATCGCACTGCATTCTCCGTGGTGAGAATATGCTGCATCTCCGTTCCCTGGCTGCAGGTGCACCAGACAGCCCGGGCTCTCCGCCACGGCCCAAAGTACGGGGCCGTCACGCTGAACTACCACCGCGCACACCGCAACGGGGTGGGCATGAGATGCTTCTGGCAAGCCGCCTCGAAAGCGCTCCTAGTCGACGATCGCCTGCTCGTCCGCGCCCAGTACTTCTTGCCTATCGGCACCGTCATCGAATCTACACCTGGAAGCCGTCTGGTAGATGAAGGCGCCGAGTTCATGTGCCCCCACGCGCGCTCCAGGTTCCTGTACTCGAGCCAGCGCGCTAATGATGTCATGGAAGCGTGCCGCCTCTTCTGCCGCGCACACGCAACAGCTTCTTCCTCTTCCTCCAACGGGACACTTGATAACAGCGAAACGAGTAAGCTCCACGGCTTCGTTCACAGTCGCCACCGCTGCCCGCACTGCCCGACCGAGTGGGTCGTCGAGATCCTCCCGCGCGCCAGCTTCGCCGGCGCTCACATGATGGGCCGTCTGGTGGGGCGGCGCCGTAAATACGTGCTGTGCCTGTCGCAGTACCTCGACTTTGGGGCGTGCAACGCACCGAATGAGCGTGAGTGGAGGGCGCTTTCTACCTGGCCGGCAGAGCGACCGGAGGGGGATTGGGGGCCGGTGGGGGCAAAGGGTGATGAGGCTCAGGTGGATTTGACGGGGATGGAGCGTATTTCTGTGCGGTTTGAGAGGGCGCTAAAGGAGATGGGCAAGGTGTAGGTGGGGATGTGTCGGGTCTGTTACCTGAAGAGACGGCGGATTGGACGGGAGAACTTGTTTTCAACGTCTCATGGTCGTATGTGGAAGATGGTAAAACAACCAAAGTTGATATCGTTCTGTATTATGTGCTCGGGATGAGATTTGTGGCCGTACCTAGGTATCATATGTCTCGACACGGTCTTTCTGTCATGCAAGGTCGCCGAATTATAGAAAACGAGCCCCTGCCGGTGTTAGTTATCTGTTGCTCGCTTAGCATATTACTGCTTACGCTGGTTAAGAGGTGCCCCCTACCTTGAGGTACCTCAGGGTTTTGGTACAGTCTGCACGGACCTGGGGCACAGTTTGGGTACCTAGGGTAGGGTTACCTTATATGACGTACCTAGACCCAGGTACCCTAGCTAGTATGGGCTTTGCGTAGGCAAGACAAACACTATTACGCGGCACACCGAAGCTATTAGGTAGTCTCTCTCTGGCATCGGTGCACCGTGACGATATATTTCAGGCACTGTCGATTCGATTCGATTCTAGCACGTTCGCGCGGTATGTCGAGATGTTAAACAAACGGACGTTCGGCTACAACACAAGGAGTCTAGTTTCCCTTACATCACTTACTGAGACGTCGATTTCGTGTTGCTTCTTAGCTGCGCCCCCGCCTCGAGACTAGTTTGCTAGTCAAAATCGCCCTGACGATCAAGAGCTTACAGTCTTGGAACATTTCCAAATACGAAACTGGCGTGTGCAGTCTGATTGGGCAAGCATATTGCCTTGCGTCACTGAGCATTACAAGTGCATCATCTTGATCACTATTCAATGGGTATACTGCTGTCATATTTGTAACTAAGGTAGGCTTGATCTAAGGTATCAAGCTTCCAATAGTTCAATATCGCACGAGGCTATACGACACAAGCGGCGCACAAGAGTGGCCTGTGTGCTGCGTACGGGAGTGTGATGTCGCTTCGAATGCGCAGCGACCCAGCGCCATTGCGACTAGGACTTCCTACGAGCTGTTGGCGACTTAGGTCATAATCGAAAAATCACGGGTCTCCTCGTCGACATCTCTCGGATTACGGGTGGCATGTCATGAGTTCTCGGTGCGCCTAGCTCTTCATATTTAGGGTCGCTTCTTCCCACGACAAAGCAATTCTTGACGCTTACCGAAGGTCGCAACACCTATGTAGCCGTATCCCCTATTTCAGATCCTCAAAAGCCGCTACCATGTCTCCTCGTGCTGTACACTTCATCCGCCATGCCCAAGGCTACCACAATATCGACAACGACCAAAGCATCTCTGACCCCGATCTGACTCCCAAAGGCCGCGAGCAGTGCAAGCAGCTGTCAGTCTCTTTCCCATACTTTGATAGCATCGGCCTTGTCTGCGCAAGTCCTATCCGCCGCGCCATCCAAACTGCTTCTATCAGCATGGAACCATACCTCCAATCCGGCAAGACCAAGATCCTGGCTCTACCATTGGCACAAGAGGCCCCGGCTGAACCAGCAAATATCCCAAGTGGAATAAAAAAGCTGCAGGATGAGTATGGGACTATTGTCAACTTCCAACGATGCTTCGAGATGATGGATTTCGACTCGAAGAGTGGCACCTTCTCGCCTGATGTGAGCTCGCTCAAAGAGCGGGCGACGGCCCTGCGCAAATTTCTCCAAAATCGGCCAGAAGAGGAGGTTGTGGTGGTGTCCCATGGTCAATTTCTGCACTACGTGAGCTGCGACATCGACGAAGAGGGCAATCAGTTAAATGGGGACTGGGAGAATACGGAATATCGCTCTTACAGATTTTGGCCAACCGGACACCCAGATGCCCTGCTGCAAGAGACCGATCAAAGTGTCCAGCGACGGAATGCAAGTGGACGAGGGCATGCACAGGGCTCAAGTGGGCGCACTTAGATGTGCTATATGCGGTCTAATAACCCACAGAATTCGACGGCACACTTGTCAGAGGTTGATTCCTCGCGTGAGATATTCTTGTCGTGAGCTTCACAGTACATACTACCTAATGTATGACGGAGCTAAGCTTCCTCAAGAAGCATGCCGATTGATCGTTACGTCCTGAACGTGTTTGCTGCAGTTGTTTAACCTGCGAGAGAGCACAATCATAAGTATGCTCATGCACTACAGTAGTGGTGATGGCGGAGTCTTTCTCAGGAAAATAGCCGCGCGACGTGTAGAAACATATATAGTCCACTGGACTTGCGCAAATACACTGCAGCAAGATCGAGCAGCTTACAAACTTGACAATATATGCCTCTTAGTGTTGGGCTGCGCGCGGTGCAAGACGGTGGGCGATGTGCTTGAAAACGTTGAGGAGGATGCCGCTGGAAGTGGCGGCGGAGCCCAAAAACCGGCCACACGCTTAGGTCAGCTTGCTTCCAGCCGAACTATACTACTCTAGACAGCATACAGTGTTTTAATACATGTGGACTGCAGATTTGAGCATTAGACTAGGCCTAAATAGGACTGGTATCGTTACAAACACGCGGCAGAGAAGGTAGGTGGGCGTTATGCACATAGACTGACCTCGTTTTAGCGAAGATGGCGTTATTGCCTTCACGACAAAGCTCGGCCCCGGAATGGGGTGGCGGAACTCCGGAACGCTTCTACTTTGCTTGATGCGCTCTACCAAAAGCTTCGATAAAACCTCCATCAAAATCCTACACTAATTAAGATGCACATGGCCTGACGCATCTCCATCACAACTACTGATCGACCCACACAATTGCGACTCTCTTCAGATCACTACAAACTGCATCTATGCAAAACCGGAATACCAGTGCTGCATTCGCTGTTCTGTGTCTTTGCTTGTACGAAGTAGCTCAGAGATCAAAATTACTCCAGCGCTAGGATCTAGGCGCTGACAAGACCGTCACTGCAGTGCTTCTCAGTTACGTCGCGTAGCGAAGCGATGTTATAGTTGTGCATTTCAGGAAGAGGCGCTTTTTAATGCAGCCGATATGAGTTATGGTTCTTGTGATGTATACTCGCTGTTGCCGTCGCGCCACAACTTCTACATAGCTAGTGGCACCTATCATGGTTCCCCTCACTCCAGTGTACTCGGCCTGGTTTTCATGCCAATACCATTCTCATCACCGCGCATTCGCTATAGATCAAGTTACATCGCATCAATCTTTCTCTGGTGAGGAGTAAATTTCGCGTCAACGAAAGCCTTTGGCTGAACCAGGGACAGCTGATAACACTGCAGCATCCAGTCACGTCATTGTCAATGGCAATTGTCAATTCTTGAGAACTCATACGGTCCTTTCGCGTGGCTGCTGAACAATCAAATCAAGTCGTCTGACTTGCTTCTCCACTTCCTTATCTCTCCACCATGCAGTTTAGCGCGTTGCCTTCCATACGCTCATTTCTACCTCAGGTGGTGCAATCGCAGCCACGTCTGTTTGTAGACTCTGCAGGATTGGTCGCATCTCGTACTTTGCGATGTCGCTGCTCAGCTTGAACACCAACCTGCTTTTGTGGCACACATTAAGTTCCTACCTGGACCATACAAGAGTTGACCCACATCCGACAAGCTACATTGGCGACTTGGAATAACACCGAATGGCGGAACAAGCTCGCAGGGCTAGTATATATGAATATGCGTCTCGCTCCGTCTTGGAACCATACTCTCCAATTATCAGCTTGACATTAGCTCCGATTATTTGTCTTATAGGCATTCCATGCCAGCGGAAATGGGTGAGAAAACCGAGTCAATTGCGTCCTCGACGCCTTCTCACAGCTGGCGCGGTTGGCTGTGGGACTCTGCCGATTCAACCAAAGAGGAACGAAGGTTTCTATTCAAGCTAGATGCTACTCTATTAACATTTGGAACCCTTGGTATGCTCATCAAGTGGATCGACACGTCCAACATCACGAATGCTTTCGTCTCGGGGATGAAGGAAGACCTAGGCCTCTATGGGAATGAGTACAACTACATCGTCGTGGCCTGGACAGTAGGATACATCATTGGGCAGTGGCCATCTAATATCATCTTAACTCGCGTTCCTGCGCACATCTGGATCCCCTTCCAGGAAGTTGGCTGGACGGTATTTACTTTCGCTTTGGCGGGCGCCAAGTCATATCGTGCTCTGCTTGGACTCCGGTTCGTTGTTGGCCTTTTCGAAGCTGGCTACTGGCCGGCTCTGTATTACGTACTGGGCTCCTGGTACAATAAACGTACGTCCTCCTTGTCTAATCGCTGACAATGGCTTGACAGCTGACGAAATTTTACAGGTGAACTTGGCAAACGAAATGGGATCCTCCAATCGGCTGTATCTATTGCACCTATCTTTAGTGGCTTCTTACAGGCTGGGATTTACAATGGCATGAATGGCGCCAGTGGTATGGCTGGTTGGAGATGGCTATTTGGTAGCAGATTCCTTCATCACCTGTCTGCGGGCTCACTGACATACATCCAGTCATAAACGGGGTCATTTCCCTTCCCATTGCAGTACTCGCTTACTTCTTCCTACCTGATACCCCGGGGACTGCTAAACCCAATTGGATCTTTACTGAACGTGTAAGTTGTCACGATCAGAAGGGACCGCATTTATCATTATCTAATACACATATATAGGACATCGAGATCGCCAGGGAGAGAATGACAAAGGCAGGACGCGCTCCAGAAGGCAAATCATACACCGTTAAAACATTTGTTGGTTACGTTACCAGCTGGAAGACACTTCTGTTCACCCTCATCTTCATGATTCAACCGTTCGGATCGCAGCCTTTTACAGCATTCGTGTTCTGGCTCAAGGCACACAACAAGAAAGGTCAACCTTTGGTCTATACAGTCAGTCAGATTGTAAGATTTCTCCGTTCTGTTCCTGGAACATGATGGCGCCGATGCTGACATCATCATTAACAGAACGAGTATCCGACCCTGGGTAATGCTTTCACGGCTGTTTACTCCTTGACATGTGTCTGGATCTCAGACGGGCCATTGAAGGGTCGAAGATGGCCTGTTATATTGTTCTCCAACATGATCGCCATCATCGTATTCACCTTGCTTGCCGTAACCCCTGTCATGGGTCCGTTCTCGCATAGAGCGCCACTTTATATAGTGTCTTCTATAGGGGGAAGCATGGTACCCCTAACGATGGCGTGGATGGCAGAGCTGATATCCGACAATGCTGAGCAGCGAGCGTTCACTGCAGCCGCAATGAACACTCTGCAGTGTTAGTACATCTAGAGCACGCTGATTATTTGGCTTCTAACCTTGTATGTGTAGACACTTTTCAGGCTTGGATACCGCTTGTGTGGTTCCAGCAGGTCCATCAGCCATTCGTCACTGCCGGTAATCGAGCCGCCGCGGTGATCGCAGGCGTCAACATCATCATTTTTACTACTATTGCCTTTCTGTCCCGCAGGGAGAAATTTGCCAAGAAGCGCAGAAGCAAACTTCCGCCGGCATCAGAGTCTCTTGAGCGTCAGCCCCCAAGCAGCGAGGTGGATGAGAAGGATTTGTCTGTCGGGGTGCTGGCACTCGACTCCAAGGTTGTCTAAGAGTTGGGGCGGCCCGCTTGAGATACTTGAAGATCTTGCGCATCGTGCCATAGTAACAAGGAATGCTTAGATTTTTGTAGGAGTTATGGAGGTGCAATTGCTGTTGCTAAAAACCAGCACCCTTGCAGTTTCCACACGCCATCAGCTACTTTCTAGAATTATCCCACCTCTTAGCAGCCTACCCTTTAGGTTCTTGGAGGACAGCAAAACAAGTAGCAAAAACAAACGAAATACATACAACAGTGGGCATTCCCCAGTGGTCACCCACCTGAGTACTAATCCACCGGTACGTTGCTTAAATAGGGCTGAGCGAACGGGAAGCCTTGTTTTCAACGTCCTATGGTCGTATGTGGAACTCTGGCAGTTTTCATTAAGAATAATCTTACTCAATTTGCACTGAGCTGGAGACTTTGCGGAAGATGAGGTGGTTTCACGTGGCTTTCGATGCTTGTAGTCTTCCGTATATTCTTTTTGGCATTTGTGAAGGTGTACGCAACTATTACTACAATGTCAATGCCAGTCCAGATAGCACTGTTGATTCGACTTTAGCTCGTCATTGGACGTTGATTGGTCTAGGTTCTTGCGCCTGCAGTGTACAGCCTCAGCCATGCGTCCGCAGCCTGCATATCGCTTATGAGGTTCCAACCTCAGTGCGGCATGCCCCTCATCCTCTTCAGACTTCTTTTTCTTCGCACTCGGAACCAGTTGCTTCTGCGAATCGTGATTACAGGCCGTGTTTCAGATTCAGACTTCATCTGCTTGCTGCAATTTATTTGCATCATTATTGACGGCTACCAACGCTACGCCTTGCTCACAGGAAGTCTTACGTGTCTTACAAGACGTCCAACTGTGTCAGATTGCTTATCCACAATTCCTCCCGTACAATTATGCCAGATATGACCATTAGATCCGCTTTGGGGCCTCTAAGGGATCCGATGAATCAATTCAGACACAAACCAATTAACTTAGAGGGATATTCGATTCGCCTTCTCCGACTCTGCAAAGCAGATTTTGGAAATGTGCAATGCGAACTCATTCATGCATATCTTGATGACAAGAACATTATGGAGTACGAAGCACTTTCATACACCTGGGGAGGATCATACAAGGCGCATGACGTTGAAGTTGACGGAGGCATGATGGCTGTCACGCAGAATCTATCACTAGCACTGCGGAGCCTGCGAAAGTCGAACGAAGATCGAATCCTCTGGGTTGACGCTATCTGTATTGATCAAGAAAACGACGAGGAGAAAGGACACCAAGTCTCTCAGATGGGGTCAATCTTTGCGAAGGCCGCGCAAGTACTCATTTGGCTTGGTCCGGCTACTCCAGAGACAAATTTGGTGTTCAGAGAAATATCCAAGTTTGAAGGGAAGGTAGTCAGGCGCGAAATCAAAGACTTGGACAATTTCGATGAACAGCGACAAGGGCTTTTGTCCTCGCTGCACATCTCAGACGACAAATGGGAGATTAGACTGACACCCGATCAAAAGGAAGGTCTCAACGATCTTTTGAGCCGTCCTTGGTTTGAAAGAGTATGGATTATCCAGGAGGTTGCCAACGCAAAACGAGCCAGAGTCGTGTGTGGCGCGGAGTCGGTCCTAGCGCGCACCTTTGCTCTTTTCTCATTCCTGTCGGAAATCTCACCTAGCCAACACTGCCAGGCTATAATGGACGTCATGCCAGGCCCTACGCGTGAATACTCATGGTGGACCGAGAATCATGACCTCAACACACTGCTGCTCAAGTTCAGAGGCAGTCAGGCGTCCGAGCCGAGAGACAAGATTTGTGCTCTGCTCGGTATCTCGTCAGACCGAGCCACCAAGGGTTTTCCCGTACCAAATTACACAAAATCTGAAGTCGAAGTGGTTCAGGATACTGTTGCTTTCCTCCTTCAACTGCCCACAGGAATGGAAGGAAGTAGCTATTCACCTGCCTGGACGCCGGCAGAATTCCTGCAGCGTCTGAAATCGTTGGCTCACGAGACGTGTGTCCAGGCAGCAGGAGATGGAAGCTTGTCAACAGTGAACTTCTTACTCGCCACAGGAAAGGCAGGTTCCAAGTTCGTGAGTATGGAAGGGCACACCCCGCTGCTGCGAGCAGCAGGCGAAGGACATGAGTCAATTGTCAAACTCCTACTTGACACAGACGACATGACTCTCAACTTCCCAGACAGGGAGGGAGAGACACCCTTACTGCGAGCAGCAGGGAAAGGACATGAGTCAGTCGCTAAGTTGTTACTTAGAACAGGCAAAGTGGAAATTGATGCCGGAAACAACAATGGTCAGACGCCGCTACTCCAAGCTGCAGAGAGAGGGCATGAGTCTGTTGTTCAGCTGTTGCTTGATACTGGCAAAATTGATGTCAACTGCACCAACAGTAAGAGACAGACGCCTTTGTTACTTGCAACAAAAAATGGACACGACAGAATTGTCAGGCTGCTTGTTGAAAAACACAAAGCTCGTGTAAACGTCACAGATATGTATGGCCATTCCCCACTGTTAGTCAGCTCAAGGAGAGGGAACTTGGCAGCATTCAAGCATATCCTTCATACTGGTGCAGCTGATTTCGAATTGAGAGACAGCAATGGCTGGTGTCCGCTGTCCACTGCAGCTATCAGCGGCCACGAGGCGATAGTCAACGAGTTACTCCAAACGAAAGACAGAACCTCATCAACATCTGCCCGGAAGGTGGAACTAGAAAAAGAAAAGAAATTGGCCTTTAAACTGGTTCAGACGTACGAAGCTAACAGCAACTCTCAAAAGGATTGTTTTTCTGAACTACCGCTTGCTTGGATGATTCGAAACGACTATATGGAACTGTTTCAGCTGTTCCTCGAGACGACACCTGTTGATATCGGATCGACTTACATTCGCGCCGATACTGCGGCACGTATCGAAATCGGTGGATATATGTGGGACCCACGCAGAATACCATTGATTCTGTGGGCAGCTCTCAACAGGCCCAGATCAGCTGTTGCGGCACTACTGGGGGCGATGAAAACTGAATGTTGCTCGAGTAGCAAATGGGCTGAGTCTCTATTGAACTGGGCATTGAAGGAAGGAGATGGCACAATAGTCCAGCTTTTACTCTCCAAGCATCGGGCCGATGAGCTTTCCCTAGAACGTCTTGACTATATCGGTCCCGAAGTAGCCAAGGGACGCCTGGCAATGGTCGATGTACTTCTTGACTCGGGGGTGAGCGGTAAGTGGAAAGAGGCGTTTGCGTTAACCAGAGCTGTACAAGACGGAAGATTGTCTATAGTCAGACGATTTCTCGACACCAACAACGCTGCCGCGTATCTCAACTTCTTGTATTCCAGGCAGATTCAGCTACTGTGGGATCCAGCGATGGCCGGGAACACAGATATGGTCAAATTACTGCTCGAGGCGCCTGGCATCAAGGTCGACTCACGTAACAAAAGGTACCAGCAGACACCATTATCAATAGCAGCAGAGATGGGGCATGCAGATATAGTGAAGCTACTACTAGAGACGAACAGCGTTGACCTTGGCTCAAGAGACACAGTCGGACGAACGCCACTCGGTCATGCAAAGCAAGGGGGATACACAGAAGTAGTTGCTTTGCTGACGACGCACTCGAAGCATCCCACGAGGAGCGAACCAGCAAACTCGTCGACCGAGCAGACTACAGGAAAGGTCTCGGCCAGCCTGTCTATTTTCAACTTTGGCAGAGAAGCAGTCGATAGACTCACATCACTTTTCTGGAGGTAGACTACGAGAACACGATTAATACCCTCTCGTCGATTTTCGGATGTTTCGTCCTGCATGGATAGCTGCGTACATCTTCAATGGAAATATCCGTTAGGAAGAGTTTCAATCGTTTCAATGTGGTTTACTGGTAGGATCACCACCGATCGACCCGTCATACAAATCAGGGTGGTTCGTCTGGGCAGTACGACGTATTATCGAGAGCCACTAGTCGTAGGACGGAAGCGTTGCCTCTCTGTACGCCTCTTCCAGCTTCCTGACAGCATTGCCACCGGTCACTCCGAAACCTTGAGGTCGGGCTTTTGCACTCGGCCTCTGAACAGATAGGCCTGGAAGATGCAGCTAGAGGCTGAACGGTTGCCGCAACTGCAATTAAAAGTAAGCGAGACAATGTTTCGTTTGCCATTCCGACAGGCTGGTATGGCGATGCAAGAATAGAAGCCGAGGAAGAGAAACTTTGGTCATGTTGAATCTATGCGGTTCAAATTTGTCGTTTAAGAAGCCGTGAGGCCGACAGTGCGGCGTCTTTTGTTGCAAAGAGATGAGCGATCCTTCAAACCCATTTCGGCCTCCATACGTTTCGGCGGCCGTAATTGCGATAACAGCCAATCATCATCCACGAATTCTGACTCATAAACTCCATTTCTATGGGTTTGTGAAAAGGGTTTTGCATGAAAAAAATTGTTGGTTCAACAATCCGCAGCTTCTGTTCAGGAGAAAAAACTGCAACAATGGGGTCCAGCATCACACTCCCTCCAGTATGGTATTTCGGGTATGGTTCTAATATGAAACCATCCGTCATGCAAGGCCGCGGTATCACGCCTTTGGAAGTCAGATGGGCAAGAGTTCATGGGTATATCCTTACCTTCGATGTGTTCGGCTTACCGTACAGCGAACCGTCAATGGCGAGCATCGCGCCGTACACAGTGACCGGGGAGAAGCAATATGTGCCGGATGTTTGCGGAGTGGCTTATCTACTCTCAAGTGAAGACTTCAAGCGTCTAGTCAGCACTGAGGGTGGCGGAGTCGCGTACGATGAGATTGAGGTTGAAGGGGTTTCGTGACGTGCAAGGGCGACAGAGGAGATTCGGATGCACACGCTCGTAGCAAAGTTCCCATGGAGACCAAATGCTTGCCCCAGCAAGCGATATTTGGTATTTCGCATATCAGATCCAAGCATTGCATCTCGTAAGCACTCAAACATGACTACAGGCCATGTCTCTTCTCTAGGGCCATGAATCGTGATCTAAGTTGCTTGGTATCCCTACTCTAATAGTCCCTGGAGATGGTCGGCTCGAAACGTCTTTTTATCACACCTGCATTGCCTCCGTTCCTTTTTGCAGGCTTCTAAAGTTAGCATCAACGCTGATTAGAGATGACCAGGAAGCGCGCTACTGTACCTTGTTGCCTTTGGTACCCTTCTTTCTAGGAGCTACCTCGTTCGCCTGATTCGATGTTGGCAGTGCCTGATTCGACGAAATTGGAGGCCTTTCATTCCTTTCCTCGTTTTCAACATGCAGGAAAGAATCGAAATCGAAGTTGTCAAGCGCGGTTTCGGCATCAATATCGCCGAATTTGACGCCAATGTCGACGTCGTTGGCTGCGAGGTTACTAAAGGGCGTGTCGTTGCGTATAGGTTGCTGCTGCTGTGGAGGTTGCTGAGGTTGGTGTTGGGCTCGTAGCGGCGCTTGTTGTGGCTGGCCATTAGGGTTAAATGATTTGGCGTGCATCGGGGTGATAGGTGTGGAAGGCGTGGGCGTAGGTACTCCTTCGCTGGCAGACGGGGCGGGGGTAGTTCTTGCGTTTGGCTCTTTCTTTGGCGCGGGCTTCTGAATCGCTATCTATTAACGCTGCTTAAAATGTTACGTAGGAAGCGCGCAACATTACCTTGTTATCTCTTGTAGCCTTCTTCTTAAGGGATACCGGACCGCCCATCGCCAAGGGCTGCTGAGGCATGCCAGATTGCGGTGGACCGCGCCACAGGCCGTTCATGTGGTCGTTCATCTGGTCATTGCTCATGGCCTCCATCTGCTGCGGCGTCATCTGCTGCTGGCCGTTGAAGTTTGCGCCTGGTTGCGAGCTCGGCGGGCGCATCATGGGGTTGTTGGGCATCTGCGGGTAGAACGGCGGCGGCATGCCCGGCGGGGCCAGGTTGGGGTCCGGGAAGTTCATGTTGGGGGCAGGCGAGGCACGCTGCTGCCTTGAGTTCTCAATGTTCTTGTACTGAGCGATCATGGGGTTGCTCATCAGCAAGCGCTGGTTGCGCCGCTCATTCTGCATCTGTGTGATATACTGGACCACTGTTGGCATGCTGCCGTCTCCAGCGATGGAATGGCCTCACCCGTATGTGTTGAATTTATTACGTCTCTGTCAAGGGCTGAGCAGAGCGCACCTTGGTTGCTCGTGTTTGCACTAGCGATACGACGACGGATGATGTGGCGGTCCTGCAGTTTGGCTGTGCAGTATCCGTCTCGTCAGCAAAGCGATGTAGGTAAGACCGAGAGCACACAAGCAAAGACGACAATTATGAAAAGTAGCAGGGAGTCAAAAAAAGCAGGCGTTATCTAAGCGCCAGGTGGCTTGCGTGACCCCTGTACAGCCAATGGCTTTGGTTCTGATTTCAGCAGCTGTACTCCAGTCAGCAAGCTGCGTTTGGTTGACAGTCCTGGGCCAGCACTAACAAGATATGTGTGTAACCTACGAGCAAATCATCTATTGCGCCAAGAGCTAAGCCCCTCAGACCTGCCAACAAGCCTGGATCCAGATATAAGCCGCTCCTTCGTTGACAAATGCTTCGTACGTTTCCTGTATACATCTCAGTTATATCCTTATCGATCACCCTCCAGTAAAGCCGCAGCGAGTTCAACCCATCGTTACGTACCTAGGTAGAGTCTCGGAAGACATCAAGAAGAGGAGAGGAGTTCCTCTACTTAGAACCATGTCTGAAAGACGCCAAAAGAAGCGAAAAGTGGAGGAAGCATACGGTTCTGGTGACTATGTTTGCGGTGATGGCCACATGCAACCTTCACCCAACTCGTATCGACCATACTCTGCCACCCACCACCACGTTGTCATCCACCACGTTGTCTGCTCTAAAACAATACGGTACCATGAGCGTCATGCATCTAGCGCGTACTACTTCGATATTCCGCGTCTGCTAAAGGGGTCGAGCCGACATACTGGGTTGGTAGGCCAACAACGTCTCCCCACCATCGAACGATTCCTCGAGGATAAAGAGAATGTCAGCTTCGCAATTTGCCTTGAGTATAGTTGCCAACAGTACCACAAAGATATCGGGAACATGTTTGAGCGCCAATCGATTCCACCTATGGATGCAGACCTTGAGCATGAAGTAAGGCCTTATTTCTACAGATTGCAATCAGACGCTAAGCCCGCGACACCGAACTCGGAAGCGATATTTCTCTCCAGTGGTCTCCATGAAGCTCTTCGGCTTTTGGACATGACAGAAAACGGATCCCTCGGGCGCTGGAATGCACGAAGCAGTCTGGAGTATCCATATCCCCAGTTATATCACTACAGGAAAGTGTTCATTGGGAAGCTGGCACACAAGCTAGAGCTCAATCACCAGCACCAACTCAGAGCTCTATTTCAGTACGTTAATGAGCATCTTGCTCTGGAGTATATTGAGGCAGAAAAGCTCTTTGAAGCGGGCCGGGCTCAGAGGAAGCATTGGGATAAGATGTTTCGTCCGGAAGAAGTACTCGTGACAAAGGACGATGGACATCCTGTGGCCTACATGTTATTATCATGCTCTCGCTCCAACCTGGACGTATTGGAACTCGACTGTTGGTCTTGGGAGTTTGACGGATCCTTCTCCAAGAAGTTCACTACGCTCACAGTGTCGTGGCCTTCCAAGTCTGATGTCATTCCTATCTCTCAACTTCAGGTATTTCCACTACGACTGGATACTGCGGGATCAGAAAAGGTACTTCGGAGACGTGGCGGCATATTCTGGTCGTGTCGGAAGCAGAGATTTGTAGACTATGATGTGCCACCTCAAGGCATGGAAGTTCAAAAGGTAGTCAGTCATATTGCGAGGATATGGGTTGCTCGCTGACACCATCAGTTAAATCTGCGTTACATGATAGACATGGAAGCGTACAAGATAATGCATGGTCCCGAAGACGATTCTGCGATGCGCGACGAGTTGGACTACAACGCTATGCAAAGCAGACATCCGCCAGAAGAGCCATTTACACTTCTCTTACCAGTTTATATAAGAGGGTATGGTTTTCACAACAAGAAATGGGGTAAGCAGCTTCGCGTCTTAGCTGTAGTAAAATGCTGATGTTGGTGCAGATATGCTTATGGTGGAACATATCCGGAAAATCACTTGGAACAAGGATGTCTTCAAGAACAGATTGGTCCTGAAGCCATCCAAGAAAAGTCTGATCCAAGCACTAGTATCGGTTCACATCAAGAAGACGAAGCCTGTGAGGTCAGATTTCATAGATGGTAAAGGAGACGGCCTCATCATATTGCTACACGGTGGTCCAGGCACAGGCAAAACCCTCACCGCTGAAAGTGTCGCTGAATTTGCAAAGAGACCGTTGTACCGGGTGACTTGTGGCGATATTGGCACAGATCCTGTGAAAGTTGAAGAGTATCTGGAATCAGTGCTATTCATTGGTTCGAAGTGGGGCTGTGTTGTGCTTTTGGATGAGGCAGACGTGTTCTTGGAAGAGCGTACTAAAACGGACCTGCAACGCAACGCACTAGTGTCAGTGTTCCTTCGAGTGCTGGAGTACTACGACGGAATCTTGATCCTCACTACTAATCGTATCGGCACTTTCGACGAAGCATTCAAATCTCGTGTACAATTAGCACTCCACTTCCCAACTCTCGACGAACCTGGTCGGCGTGGGGTCTGGAGGAACTTTGCGAAGTCTTTATCCGATAAAGGCCACATCGACCCTGAGGAGATCGATCAGAACCTGGACCAGCTCGCCAAGCATAATTTGAATGGACGCCAGATCAGGAACATCATCAGCACTGCTCGACAAGTGGCAACTTATCGAAAACAAGCCCTACAGTTCGAGCATATCGATGAGTCGTTGAAGGTTGTCAATGACTTCGAAGAGTATGTGACAAAGGTACATAAGCATACTGATGAAGCTCATGCACAATACATGCAATGGAGGAATGGCTAGATAACCGGCAGGTCCGCATCTGTTCTGAAGCATACTACGTATTATCAATTTAGGCGCTGTGTTCATATTTCAGAAGATCCAGATAGATTGCATGCAAACAAAGTTGAAATTCAGGTGATGTATGTGCAGACTACTGAGAGTTCGAAGACCCAACCACAGTCCATGCGTTGTAAATCGGCAGCCAAGGCACTGCACGAGATTACGAAAATGGGACTAGAACCATGTGATCCTCTTCATCGATGTATGTTTTGACATCTTCTGTGTTGTCATAAACAGCAAGTAGAACCTGAACTCGGCCACCAGCCACTTCACATCGAACGACCAAAGTCTGGAACAGACCAAGAAGATATTTGGTCCACTGCGAATTCGCAGCATAGCCGTGTAGGCGGTGCAAGTCTCCAGTTTCGACTATCAAGTACGTCATCTTGCGGCTTTTAGAGATAAGCAGACTGATCAAATTGATCCAGTCCTTTTCGTGATGGTAATCCTGGATCTCTGAAAGCCTCAAAGTCTCGGCGAACCTAGCTGCTACATCACGAGCCTGCAGCAACATCTGGTAAACGATGCTCTTGAGGACGCTTTCCATAGTTGCAGTATGTACTGAAGCGACCGCCGGGGACAAATTCCACAAAACCGATTGAGCCTTCTTTGCCTGAAGGTTCCTGATTTCGTGCACTGCAAAATTTCTTAATTTATTCTGCGCACATATGTCTGCCTGAACAACCAAGACCGATGAGCGTTCGCGTAAAGACCAGGCAAGTAAACTTGTCTTGACGTTTGGATGGTATTCAGTGATTTGGGTAGGATCGCGATTGGCGAAAGATTGGATCACAAGTAAAGCATCCTCAGGCAAGACTTCTGGCGCGAAGAAATCTAAGATGCTGTCGATCTCAGCGCGATATTCTTCTTTGCCCGTTTTGTTTTCGTTGTCGTTTGATACAACGCGTGGGGCGTCGGAATTGCCTACTGAGTTGAGGAGTGTTTGGTCGTAGTCTAGTTGGACTCGGCACAGCAGCTCGCGCGTGAATGCAGCGGCGTTGCCCGCAGCGTGCGACTGCCACACATCGCTCTTGTGCGAGTCGGCATAGTCAGAGATGCCGCGAACCACCAGACACCGTCGGTTGACGTCAACGCCTGCTGCCTCCATCTCCACGCAGAGCGCCCCATCACATCGCGCCCTAATCTGGTCCCGCAGCTTGCCATCCTTGATCACCGCGTTACCTGTAGCAATCCTGCCGCAATGGAAGACAAGCGTTTGCTGGTCCTCTCTACCCCGTTCTGGGCGCCTGACGAGCTCACTCTGATCGCAGCACGTCGCGCACCTTGATGTATTGTCGCCATTGTGGGGATAGTCAGCCTTGAACAGCCTGTCATGCTCAGCGCCAGGGTAGGCAAACTTCTTGTAATGCTGCAGCCTCACAAGCTGTTTAGCAAACGTTGTCTTGCCCAGCTCGTGGTCACACACGAGCACATCAAGCGCGTTGGTGAGCCTCCAGTCAGGGTTCTGCATCGTACCCACAATTTCAAACTGCCCATTGACCTTTGATCTGCCGCGGTCGTGGTATACGCACGCTGGCTTGCCATCACCAGACCATCCCACCACTACATCTCCAAGGTGGATATTTTCAAGTGACTCCTCTGAGACTACTGGGCTGGGGATACCACCCCCGATGCCCACGAGCACCGCCATGCGAATGTTGCGAAACGTCTTGAACATAGACCCCGTCAGGCGCCCACTGTTGACGTTGCCTGTCTCACCCCTCGGACAGGTCGCGATGACCACCGCATGGCCATTAATCAAGCCGCAGATGTACGTGTTCTCGTCGTAGTGGGTGTTATAGGGCGGGGTGGGGAGCTCCTTGTCAAGCATCAGGCGGGCAGGCAGCAGCTCGAGGTCAGCAACGGCGCAGATCCAGGCAACATGGTAATCGTCGCAGGCGCGCTGCGTATCACCGGCGGCCATAGTTGTGTAAGTATCTGCACAGCGTAGGTGAGATTAGCCGCGCTGTGCAGGAAGCCGTTATCAAACGTCGAGGGACAAGACAGACTGTATCTGTGTCGCCTCAGCCTGGACGCAGCCCGACCCCACCACCCGGCCGCAACCTGATCAGCGTGATGTGCCAGGCTGAGCTGCGCTGCGAAGCGCTGCAACGCTCGCGTGCCACCCATCAGCCATGTGCTGTGCGCCGAGCGCTGCCAGCCCTACGCTGCGTCGAAGTGGCGTTGCAGCGAGGGCGTAGCGCTTGGCCCGGCGCGTGCAGCCTCGCGCAATTATCCATGGAGCGACGTCTCTAATGACAAGTGATCTCTTCTTATTTAGACGGCTTATGGCACATTAACTGTTCCAAACGGTTACACTTATGAGCGTTTGTTGTGCGCTAGAACGCACCAATGTCCCGACTGCAACACCTTGTGCGAGTATCAGGGTTCTTGGGGTCCGTTCGTTGCGTACTTCGTACAGTATAGTACGATGGTGTACTGAAAAATCACATCACTGTCGCATCGCCATGACAGTACCATCCAAAACATTGAACATTGATATCGCGAACTACAAGACCGCGATAGAAAATTTGGCCCCAATCATAGAGCGCACGCACGCATAGGCAATACCTCAACGCGTGACATACGAAGTAGTTAGAGCCGTCTGCGGGCTCCTCGGCCGAAACTAGCCTCAACTGAAGCACAGCCTCAACAGACTACATCTGTCAAGTCTGGTGTATAAATACACTTATTTAAGAGTCCATTTCATGCAGATAATGAGCAATAAAGAATTGGTAATGAAATAGCTGGACCTTATATCTAACTACCTAGGTACCTGTTGACTGTTCCATATAATCATTGCTCTCTAGGTCGCTACAGGAGCACTGAGGTTACCATAAGTATCACTTCAGTAAAATTAACAGCTCGGCCACTTCTGCGCTACACTGACGGAAAGAGTACAGTAACAGGACAGTTGTTGAGGCGTCACGAGTTATGCAAAGTAAGACGTTACGCCCACAGACATCGTAAAGTCACCGAATACCTAGCATATAATGTCTCCGGATACTCAGCGCGTAATGTCTCCGGAACGTGCAAAATACTCTTGATTCGAGACGAATATCAACGGACAGCAGTGTAGAATGGCATGTATATAACCCATCCCTCCCGCCTGCATTCGCCGATATCTTCAACCACTGCATGCTTTTCTTGTGGCTTGCGATTTCGTGGGCAGCACATCTTTACTATAGTAACGACAACAGCAACAACACCATGCCAAACTCATCCGAGACACTGGCCCATACCAATCGGAAATACTGGGAGTGAGTCATCAGATGGCTGTATTGAAATTGCAATTATTGACTCACATCCCAAAAAGTGTTGCTTCTCGAGACTGCCACCGTGCCCAATGGGTCAATGACCTGCAAGCCCAGATCGGCACCTTCTTGACAGCCCCAAGCTCGTCCACTTGGCTTGGCCTCCCGGCCACCGGTGAGCCTCAATCGAAGATGCTGGACTATGCTTGTGGCGACGGTCTTCCTTCTCGCACCCTAAAACCTCATTTCAAAACATGCATCGGCGTCGATGTCTCCGCTGGTATGCTGGCCAAGTACAACGAATCAGCGGCTCATCTCGGCCTGGGCCCAGATGAGATGATTGCCGTGCGTGGAGACCTATTCGCGGATCCTGTCGAACCAACCGATCCTCCACTGCCTGAGGAACGTCTACAGGACTTCGATCTGGTGGCAATATGCATGGCACTCCACCACATGGAGGACATCCAGCTGGCGATTTCGAAGCTGGCACAGAGACTGCGACCGGGCGGAACGCTTCTGGTGATTGACTGGGCGCGGATTGATGGCGCTACGCCGGCGCAGAAGGAGTTCATGGAAGATGTAAGAACTGGAAAGATTCCTACCAAGGGCATGCAGGAGAACGGACACGGCCACGGCCATCGCCACAACCATAATGATCAGACAAAGCAACATCAACATGTTGACCCCAAGGAGCCTTGGAAACCTCATCCCGCAAGCCACACAATTACTCACGATAGTTTTACACAGGACACAGTCTTCGAATTGTTCAGCAACGCGGGTTGCACTGAAGCTCGGTGGAAACTAGCTGATAAGCTAAGTGATGTTCCGGGAGCAAGGACTGGGAAGATGCAGTTGTTCTGGGCGAGAGCTACAAAGAAATAGAGAGAATTGGTATAGAGATATCACATGTCGAAGGGAACAAGGTTGATTCGCAACATAAATGTAGATATGTTTGGAGTTGATATTTGTATGACCGTGATAGTCGAGTATCCAAGAGTATGCTGTCGAGCTTACGATCGTAGTGCAGTACTAAGGACAACAGAGAGGCAATCTTTGTCTATTTACTCAGGAACACAAACGAGGTCGGCTCCGGTGGGACAGCAGCCGTTGTCTCCGCAGGCGGGGCAGCGCTCTCAGCCGGCGCAGCTTCGGCGGCGGAGGTTTCTGCCGGAGGTGCTACAACAGGAGGCTCAGCTGGTGTTGTTTCTGCGGGTGCTGTTGCGTTGCCAGCAGCCGGTGGGGCTTCAGCGGGAGGTGCTGCAGCAGCAGGTGGAGGTGCTGCAGCAGCATCCTGAGGCGGAGCGGGCGTGAAAGCAGCCTGGTCAAGGGCAATCTTTCCCGCGGCGCCGCCGACGGGCGCACCACCATCGGTGCTCTTCTCTGTTGCTTGGGATAGCTTGGCGTAGTCGGCTACTTGTTGCGCGTTCACACTGAACACTCATTAGTATTTGCACAAACAGTACATCGAGCGGGGAATAAATACGGATTAATAACCATGACTTGCCCCTCCTGACAATGCGGCCCAGTCGCACAATACAGAAACATCGGCTCTGTGCTCGTCACCGGCATATTGAACGTGCCCACATCGGCCTGCCCGTCCTTGAACGGAATGTGACCGCTGTGCACGCCCGCATCCATGGGCGTGCAGGCCTGGTCTACCGTCGATTGCGTTACCGTGTGATTGCCGTTGCTGAACTGGAATTGCACAATGTCGCCCACGGCCGCGGTGATGCTGTTCGGCACGAAGGTGTCCTGCGGGCCGCCAACGACGACAGGGATTATTTGGCTAGCGCGCTTATGTGGGTGGAGTCTGGGGAGGGCGGTGGCGGTGGCGGCCAGGGTGACGAGGAGGGTGGTGGGCTTCATGGTGGTTGGTATGGGGATTAGGTTGAAAGACTGGGGTATCTTGAAGGCGATTACGGTAAAGAGCGAGCACCGTTCAACAGTTGACTCGGCGGAAGAAGAATATTACAAGGCCGCTCGACGGCTGGTCTCAAAGGAGTGACGATGAAGAGAAGAACACTGCGGTTTGGTGGACAGAACACCTTGTGGCGTGAGTGAGCATCTTTATGCCTTTATTACTGGTCCCGAATCCTGTTCACAGCCTGATACAGAGTCAAGCCCCGTTCGCAATCACCTCTGTTGCGCCAACCTACTCTTCATAGAATCCATAATCATCAAACAGGGAGAAGGCCTGAGGTAGCGACCAACGCACCTATAGGAGACCGCTGGGTGGGCTACGCGTCTGTCACGATACCTTAGCCAAGCCGTTATGCAGTCTCACCTCGCTCAAAGCCGCCCGGCGACGTGTTTGACAGGCTTGCCAGGCTTGCCGTCAGGCACCGATCGAGAAACAATTGCGTAGACTGCTGTTTGAGAGTCGCCAAGTTGGGTGGGTCCTCGTTGTAGCCGAGTGGTTTTGGAACGCTGCATGCCTGGCGTAGACCACGCGTTGCCTGGCGAGTCTTCAAGTGCCGAGAGAGCCGACTTGGTGAGAAGGCGTGCGCTCGGCTTGCTAAGTAAGGTGCGCTCCTGGTGCAGAGTTGTACTGCTATGTGCTCAATAGTTCAGGCTGGTTGACAGAAAAAGATGTGTGTACTGATCGCGCGCGCAGCTACATAATCCCCGCAGTGAGTGCACGTCGGTAGTGAGCAACATCGTACAACAGGTTATCGCGCAATGTACGAAGCGGTCAATGGCAATGAGAAGGATTGCATGAAGACACGACGTTGAGCGGTAGTGAAACGCCTTGAGTTCGTGAGCCTCAGGAACTAGGGCAGAGCCCCATGCAGGAGGAGCAGGCCAGTTCCGAGATTCCGGCGTTCCGGTCACGTAGGAACGTGCGAATCAACCCGGCACGTCACTGCACTCGCCATGCAGCGAACAACCGCACTGTGCTTTGCCGTCTCAAGATGCGCAAGGCTTCACACATCACGTAGGCTCTACTCAGAGCCGATTGTGAATATCGCCAATGGCACATTCTACCGCTACCATCCAGAGTCGCGGCCAGAGCCGGGCAGCCACGACGCGCCGCCCAATCCCCCGTTGTTTCCAAACTTGAATCTGGCATTGCCTTCATTTTCCACGCCGAATCAGCATTGGGCGATCTTAAGCCCGTCGTCAAACATCCGCACTGCGTTTCTGCAGCTGCTGCGCGGGCAATTTCTTTGTTTCCCACCGACGGCGCGGACGTACCCCTACCTCTTGTCTGCAGAAATAGCAGAGAAGAACCCTAGACTACGGTATCCTAACCAGGCCATTGAGTATGTTGGATTCGATGTGGAGCGAAAAGCGTTTGGGGGTGCGTATCTCTCTGCGCGCTACGAGAGTCTGAAGGAAGAAGGTGACTTCACATTGAAGCGGTACTTGACTGGCATTGTCACGTTGAATCCTGGTGAGGAGGAGCTCAAAGCCAAAGCGGTCGATGAGGAAGTGACCAGACAAGTTATGAAGGATCTTGAGCTGGAGAGGTTCCTGGAAAAGCCTGTGAACATGCTCAGTAACGGACAGAGTCGCCGAGCGAGGATTGGGAAAGCACTTTTGACAAGGCCAGAGGTCTTGTGTTTGGATGCCCCATTTAGTACGTCTGCAACACAGCTCCATGATCTCCATTGCTAATGTAATGGTAGTTGGGTTGGATCCGATCGTGACTCAGCACATATCTCGAGTGCTACATCGTCTCGCAGAAGCAAACTCCCCAAGGATTGTCTTATCACTGCGGCCTCAGGATGTCATACCAGAATGGATCACCCACATTGTCTATGCTGGTGAAGATGGCAAGGTCGATTCACTCGGGCCAAAGGAGGAGGTCTTCAAGTACTTGAAGCAGCGGTACGACGATGCTGAGAAGTCGGTCAAGTCCAGCTCATCGAGTCGTGACCTCGACCCTAAGCTCGTCGAGCTGCGCGAAGTGGGACGCCATCTTTCTGACAGGGGTGACTTCGAGACCGATGGCACTGATGCTTCAGGGTCACCAGATGCACTAAGTCGAGATGGCTACAAGAAGATCGACACAACCCAAGTCCCCACCGGCGAACCCATCGTTGAAATGACAGGCGTGAACATCAAGTACGGGGCCAACTCCGTGCTTGGAGAATGGACACAAACCGTCAACGGTGAGGAGAAGGACGGCCTCCATTGGGCCGTCCATCGCGGCCAACGCTGGGGCATCTTCGGCGCCAACGGCTCAGGAAAGACCACACTCATCAGCCTCGTCACGTCCGACCACCCGCAAACCTACTCCGCCCCCGTCAAGCTCTTCCAGCGCTCGCGCCTCCCCGAGCCCGGCGTGCCCGGCATCACGATCTTCGAAATTCAGTCTCGAATGGGCCACGCCTCGCCCGAAGTCCACGCCCTGTTCCCCAAACATCTCACTCTTCGCCGTGCCCTCGAGTCTGCATGGAGCGATACCCCCATTACGCCGCCCCGCCTCGACGACGCTGCCACGCGCCGCGTTGAGGCGTGTCTGCGCTGGTTCGCACCGGAACTGCACCCCTCGCCCACCACCCCGGGAGATCTCGAATGGGCGTCCCACGCCCTGTTTGGTGAGCTCTCGTACTCGGCGCAGCGTGTACTCCTCTTCCTGCGCGCGACGATCCGGTACCCCGATATCGTGATCCTGGACGAAGCGTTCAGCGGCATGGACGACCTCGCGCGCGACAAGTGCCTGCTGTTCCTGAGTCAAGGCGAGGCAATGGCGCTGCAGTACACGGATGCTGGGCGACGACCAATTGCGACGGAGAAGGAGGTCGTGGTACCGGGGTTGCAAGAGCATCAGGCGCTGCTGTGTATTAGTCATAGTAGACAGGAGGTGCCTGGGTGTATCAGGGCTTGGGTGTGTTTACCTGAGCCGGGCACGGGACCGCCACGGTTCGGTAGGTTTGATGGACCGGTTGAGATGAGCAGGGAGAGGTGGAGTGAGATCTGGGACTGGGCATAGATGTATAGTATACAGCCTATGAGAATGTGAGAGGATGCAGCACGTGAGATTGAGCAATGAGGGAGTTGACAACGAGCAGCTTGGTACGTGATGTAGCGGGGCATCTGTAAATGCATTGTATTGTTCTGAGCATCAAGCTGTAGGCTTGAGAACGATGTTATCGATCAGCCTCACAGCAACCTGGCCGCCTCCAAGACCTAGTTCTTCGCCCTCTTGGGGCTCTTCTACAGGGAGCATCTTGACGGCGCCGCTCAGAATCGCACCTTTCGTCTCGTCAACCTTCTCGACCTCCTCCATTGTGTCGGGATCTGCGAGGCTGAGGTAGTCGACCTGGAACAGTACTCGCTTGCTCGGCTGGATGTTCTCCTGCTCGTGCTGGACGCGGTCTCCATGGTCGACTGCAGGCCAAAGGATATCGCCGCGCAACCGCTTGCCAGCGGTGTACTGTGCCTCTGCCTTCCGCAGTGCTTGATTCAGCACAATGCCTACCTTACGTCGGCGCTCACCGAGGTACACATTGCGCGACGACAGCGCCAGACCGTCGTGCTCGCGCGAGGTGTCGCAGATGCGAACCTTTGTGTCCAGATGGAAGTCCTTGACCAGCTTCTTGATGACGACCGTTTGTTGCGCGTCCTTCTGGCCGAAGTATACGCTGTCCGGTGTGCAGATGTTGAAAAGCTTCATGCACACAGTGGCTACACCGCGGAAGAAGACGGGCCTCGAAGCGCCCTCCAGCAGTTGGCCCAGCGGACGCATCTCAATGAAGCTTCCCACGCCCGGTATGGCGCTGTCTGGCGGTGATGTTGGGTACATGGTGTTGGTGCTCGGCGCAAAGACAGCAGAGACTCGGCCCTTGCCCTCTCTCGCCAGCTGTCTGTCCAGGTCGCGCAACATCTCCATATCGGTCTCCCACGTCTTCGGATATGAGGCTAGATCTTCGTTGAGGCCAAATTGTGTAGGGTTCACGTAGACCGTGACCCAGACGTCCGTGTTTTCCTCTGCTGCCGTCCGTACCAGCGAGAGATGCCCTTCGTGAAGTGCACCCATGGTTGGAACGAGGCCTACGGTACGGCTGTTCAGCAGAAGTTCGCGACGAAATTTGCGCAGGGGTGCAACATCGTGAAAGACTTGGGTCAGGTCGTTGACTGCGAAGGCGCTGCGGCGAGGCGTAGTGGACGACAGGCAGCGAATGCCATTGCGGGCGACGCAAGCTCGCGAGGCAGGCGCAAAGCTTCTGAATAGACACCTACCCACTGTAGGAACTGCATCACGTTAATTGAGCTACCACGACTTGATGCTTGTGGGATTGTCTACCAGCGGCCGTGCGGAGGTGTGCCATGAGGAGTGATGCAGGGTGCGAGACCATAGCTCTTGCTTTACTACGTTTAAGTCGCAAAGTTGTGCCAGTCGCAGTGAAAGAATCCCCCTTTCGCAGCGGACGAGCGGAAGAGGTCTGACTGGCTCATATCCGCAATTGATTTCAACAGCGCAAAGACGTCTGCGTTCTGCCGCGTAGATGTCGTACTATCACGCATCACGTGCACCTGCGGCTCCACCGGTGGGCCCTGAGAATCACTAGCGCGGACGACCCACCAAAAAAGTTCGCGGCATGGATGCGCCAGCTGCACCCCACCGCCGACAAGCAGTACTACACCCACGCAACGAGAGCAAATATGGCCGACGATGGCATGCTCCTCAATTTCTCCATACCCGAGGGCGGTATCATTGCAAAGCCGACCATAAAAGGCGGTTCGTGGAAAAGCCGCCTGACGGCGAAGAAAGCGGCGCAAAACTGGCACACCAAGGCGACAGCGCGACTAAACGGCGAAGTGGTGCCTAAGAAATTGCAGGAGAGTAAGGGCACAGATGTGAACCGCACAGAACTGGGGCCGAGGACACGGCGTGTATCGAAGAGCCCGGAGCCTGCGAGCCAGGGCGACCGGCCGGTGAAGAGACCGCGTGTGAGCGGGGACTTCCAGCCGAGGACCACGGAAAAGACAGCGCCCAGCGACTTCAGACCGCAGGCGACAGCGAGCGCGCCGAAGCAGCCGCAGGAGAGGCAGGAGAGGCAGGACGGACCGAAGAAGGGCAACAAGCAGGTCATCTCGTCTCTGTTCACGTACAACCCAACCTCGACAACCAAGTCTCAACCCGCCGAACGCACCGCTCACGATGAGGCACCGGTCGAACCTTCGAACGCGCCGCTCAGCAGCGAGCTAGACACATTCACATCCCTCGGCATATCACCGATCCTCGCGGCGCACATGTTGAACAAGATGGGCATGAAGGCGCCGACTGCCATTCAGAAGGCCGCCATCACGCAACTCGTGAAGGACGACTCGGATGCGTTTATTCAGGCCGAGACTGGTTCTGGTAAAACACTGGCATACTTGCTGCCGATTGTACAGAGACTGATGGAGCTATCTGCGAACATGAAGAAGCGGAAGGATGCAGGCGATGATGCTGTGCAGAGAAGCTCAGGGCTGTTCGCCATCATCTTGGCCCCTACGCGAGAACTGAGTAAGCAGATTGCCCTCGTACTCGAGAAGCTGCTAGGATGTGCACATTGGCTGGTAGCTACCACAGTCATTGGTGGCGAGAAGAAGAAGTCGGAGAAGGCGCGATTACGGAAGGGTATCAACATCCTCGTTGCGACACCTGGACGACTGGTCGATCATCTGGAACACACCGAGGTCCTGGACGTAAGCAACGTCAGGTGGCTTGTTCTCGACGAAGGCGACCGAATGATGGAGCTCGGGTTTGAGCAGGACATGCAGAAGATTATCGGTCAGCTCAACCTACGAATGCGCGCGCACAAGGAGGGCAGGTCAGCGATCCCAGGCCTACCAGCGAAGCGAACGACCGTCCTTTGCTCTGCGACCCTGAAGATGGACGTTGAGCGATTGGGACAGATCAGTTTAAAGGACGCAGTACACATCAAAGCAGACCCGGCCGATAGAGACGAGAACGCCGTCGGAGAACGCGGCGATGAGGGCTTCTATGCACCTGCACAACTAAAGCAGTCGTATGCTGTTGTAGCCCCGAAGCTGCGGTTGGTATCATTGCTGGCCTATCTCAAACGCACATTTGCGCGGAAGGGATCGGTCATGAAGGCTATCGTCTTCATTTCTTGCGCCGATTCAGTCGACTTCCACTTCGACTTGCTGACCAATCTTGAAGGCGACAAGCCAGCTGTTGAGAAGGAGGCTTCGCCAGAGAAGGACGCCGACTCGTCAGAAGTCAAAGACAGAAAGAAGACCGTCACCCAGTCCGATCCCACCAAACTCGAAGTCACACACGCAGAATCTCCTATCCTCTCTACAAAGACGCATGCAGTCACCGCCTACCGCCTCCACGGTTCCCTCCAGCAATCACTCCGAACATCCACACTTGCTCATTTCACCAAGAACAAAGAAGCCTCCGTCCTCATTGCTACTGACGTCGCATCTCGTGGTCTCGATCTTCCCAACGTCGATCTTGTCGTCGAATTTGATCCGGCATTTGCTCGCTCCGACCATCTCCATCGCATTGGTCGAACAGCGCGTGCCGGTCGTGATGGTCGCGCATGTATCTTCCTGCAGCCCGGCTGCGAAGAAGGCTACGTGGACATCCTCAAGTCTGACCGCAAAGACAACGAGGCAGGTGTTCATATTGTTCGTCAAGACGCCGACGACATCCTCAACAAGGGACTTGTCACCACCGGCATCATCGAGAAGGGCGCATACATGGAAAAGGCTACAGATCTTCAACTTGCCATTGAACGATGGGCCCTGGCAAACCCTAAGCGCCTGGAAGCAGCGCGAAGAGCGTATCAGAGCCACATCCGTGCCTATGCCACCCATGTTGCCGACGAGCGCATCTACTTCGATATCAAATCCCTTCACCTGGGCCATCTCGCCAAAGCCTTCGCCCTCCGCGAACGCCCCAGCGGTATGAAAGTTCCTGGTCTACGTACCGGTGCCGGTCGTGAAGACAAGCGTCCCGCGAAGGTCCGCGGTGCTCCGAAGATCGATGGCGCGAGCCGCAAGGCCGACAAGGTCATTCCCAAGAAGGGCGTCCAGGATCTGGATCTCCCGCTCGGCGCGGACGAGGAGGAGAGCGCGAAGATGAGGAAGGCGGTCAGAGCGAAGGAGAAGTTCATGAGACATGCTGGTATGGCATCGGAGTTCAACTTGGGTTAGACGAGAGCATCACATTGGAGTTTAGGTCTTTAGGTTTGTGGGTCACCGCTTTTAGCATTTCAGGACGCCTCGAGCTCCACGCGAAATCATCTTTAGGCAAGACCTGTTGTAGTTTGGCAATCCGATTCTTGGACGTCTTGATGTTGCGTTACCACGCTCTACGTCACGATGAAACATACACTGGCTGGAATCATGTAGCCATGACACATCTCATCTAGCGTATAAACCTTTAGTGATGCTACCGTATACATGGTCAGCTTCAGTGAACAATGGAGTACCAACCAAATTGGGGGAACGGTACCCTAGTACTGGCCCGACTATTTCTTTCTCGAATATACCGAAGGTCTGAAACAATGTCAGTGACATGCCCTCTCCAGGCTGCCATTACTGCGCCACGATACTGGAGCAAGACCCATACAAAAGCGCCGTTCACAGCTCACGAAAGAGTTCTCAGCCCCCTCGGAACCCGCGGACAGACACGCCCATCCACCCAATCACAGCGCCCCTCGCTCAGCCCTACCGCAACCCGCGCGACAACATAAGCCTCCACAGCTCCCAGTTCACGCACCCTTCCGCGGCATCCGACGCACGAATTGCCCAGTATGGAAAGCGCGGCTGCTCCCAGCGAGAACTTAGCAAGCCTGCGTGCGGTACGTGTGGCTGTGCGAGATTGGACACGCGATGCTGACTGTGGATAGTGCGACCAGTGCCGGACGCGCAAGGTAGGATGTTTTGCGTGAGTTTGAAAGGAACCCAGTGCTGATCTTTGGCGTGCAGATCCGCTGTGATAAAGAGAGGCCGTGTGCGAGTTGTCGCGCTTCGGATCTGGTTTGTCAGGCGGTTGGAGGGAGGCCGAAGGAGCAGAGGCAACGGGTGCTGATTTCCAGTAAATAGTAAGTCGCCCCTTTGTGACCAGTGTTGCATTGTACTGTGCGCAGGTATGGTTTAGTTCCCCTGCTCCGCATTTTGTATGCTGCATGGAACCATCTACTTGGCACAAGTGCAGGTCACGAGTCAGCGGCTCACTCCCATCACTAAACACTGGTCCTGTTGAGTGCAAGTATCTGACCTCTTGGTTGTAGTGAGTCCAAGATCGATGCAATCGGAGATCGGCTTGCCGGTATCGAACGAGCATTGCGAGACATGAAAGCGACGACGCCGCAGTTGGCTACACCACAGAATGTGCAACCATCACCGTCTCCTTCGGCGTACACAGTCAGCGTCACACCCACTGCCTTGCCCGCGTCCAATATCCAGCACTTCGAAGGTGATACGTCTCTGAGTGCCTATTCGACTTCCACAAACGATCAGCTGCAAAAGGCGCTTCGCAATACGCAACTACTGCAACAAGACCCTGACCTTGCTGCTGCTTTGACGTCCCTTAGCCAGATTGTATCAACCCAAAATGTGTATCCCGGCGAAGATGAAATCTCAAATGTTGGGAGAACCGCAAAGAATCAGCAAAGATACGGTGTCCCCCCAGCAGAGGTCGTATCCCACGTGCTGCGCGAATGCGAGGAAATCTACGATACGGTTATTGGACTATTTTACCCCGTCAGACCGTACAAGGAGATCGTTGATCTTTGCAAAGACTTGTACTTCAACATCGATAACATCCCCGCGGCAAACCTGATTGTTGCATTTGGCAGCCTCTACTTCGTCTTTAGAGTTTATCAGTTCGGTTTCAAAAAGGACGACCCACGCATGGAGGAGTTCCATGGGTATACTGCCATGTTCATACGGAACATGATGGACCTGATCGGTCTGCTTCCCGTGCTTATGGCGCCTACTGTTGATAACTTCGAAGCGCTTCTACTTGGTGTGAGTGCAAAGAGTGTTGCATAGCTACTGTTACTGACATTTACTCAGGCTTATTACGCCGTCGAATCTTCCAAACCCTCGTTGTGCTCTGCACTGATTTCAAAGGCCAGCCATCTCTGCCTGACTCTCGGGTATCACCGCGCGGACTCTATGGTCAAAGACTCAGCTAAGGTAAAATTACGCAAAATCAACCTGTTCTGGTTTCTGTACACCATGGACAAAGGACTTTGCCTTCGCCTTGGGCGCGCCTCTTGTATCCAAGATTACGATATTGCCGTTCCTATGCCTGTTCTTGGAACGGAAGAGGACTGTGCCGCTGGCAATGGTAAATACCTCCACTTTAACACCAAGCTATTATTATTGTTATAATAGTTCTTAGTCATCATGATACTAACTAGACGCCCAGGGCTGGTCAAGTTCTGGTGTTCCCTTGCTGGAATTCAAGGGCGCATCTACGAGGACCTGTACAGTCCTCGTGCGTTGAAACAGCCCAAGACTTTGAGAGCAGTCAAAGCTGATGCCCTCGTCAACGACATCAGACAAATGTGGAACGAACATGACCAAATCGGATACATCCCTGGTACACCCGAGGAGACGCATGAGGTCTTCATGTTGGGGGATAAAGTTACTTTGTCAACAACGCTTACTCTGGTGCTTCGGGCCGTGCCTTCAACAGACGACCAGCCATTGTCGTGTAGTCAGGAATGCATCACTGCCGCCAGACACGCATTGCAACTGCATCAGACATGTACAGCCAAGTTCGCAGACATGACCGACAGGCATGTTTTCCAAGAGTATCTACATTGGACTTTGTTACATACACCATTCACTCCGTTCTTGGTCATCTTCTGCCACATCATTGAAACCCAATCTACGAGCGATCTGGCGATGCTAGGCGATTTTCTGCAAACCCTACAGCCGGCACGCGGCACATCGAGTGCCATCGAAAAGATGTTCCTGGTCTGCGACGTATTTCATCGCGTTGCTAAGCTCTTCATTGGTGCTGCTGCGAGAGATCCCGGCTTTTCCAACCCTACGACGCCCGACCAACCAACACAAACACAGCTGAGAAAGGAGCTAGACCCGTTCATGACGAGGATTGGTATGAACAACGCGTATGATGCTGCATTTGGTGGCGATGCGTTGAATACCTACGCAGAATCTACGCAACCGAACGCAACGTACGATATGAATGCTTTTGCTTCGAGTGGTAATATGGGAGAATGGTTCTCGGAGGATCAACTGATCACAACACTGTTAGGCAACCACTTCAACTTCATGGATCCCAATTCAGCGCCTATGATGAACAATGGCGGGCAGTTCATGTAAAACTTGCGTAAAATAATCGCAGCCATTGGCTCTCAACTCCACTCACCACATTTTCAGAACATCTTATTCACTCCACTCCACTCCGGCTCCGCAACATGAGCTCTATACATAACCCCCGGCCATGAAACCATGGGTGCCTTCTCTGGCCGTCTCTTCGCCTGCTCAACCACCACATCCCCAAGAACCTTCTCAATCCCCGCTCTCCCAAATTCACTCTCAAGGCCCTCCCTAAGCGACACTAGGTCATCCCAGACAGCACTCTTGCGCCCAAAGTCCGTAATTACAGCAAGCCGAACAAGCCTCGACAACTCGCCAATCCGCTCCGCAATCTGGGGACTTGTGTGGCACGCAATCGCCGTCCAGACATCATGTTTCTCTACCTCGCCCACATCGAATTGCGCCAGGAAACCCACTGCTGCATCACCACCTTCAATCTCGAAGCGCTGCGCCCCGTCATACTTGTCGGTCGTCCCAATGTCGTGGAACAGGCACGCTGTGAAGAGTAGATCGCGCTTAACTGCCTCGGTCGCATAGACAGACGCAGAATGCTCAGCGAGTGCTTTCGCGTACAGATAGACGCGCATGCTATGGCTGAGAATCGACGGTGCTAGGAGAGACGCTGCGTGCGTGAACGCAGCGCGCGAGATAGACGTCTGCGGGACGTTCTCGGTGTAGACTCGGCTGGAGGGTGCAGGCGCGCCTGCCGACGCTGCGAGGTCAGAGGGCGGGCACATGGTGTTTTGTTCCGTCCGATGTGCGGAGAGAGGTCCAGAATTCAATGTTAATGTTACACACGATTTGATCCAAATGGTACTGCTGCCCGCCGCGGCTCAGGTTCCTGCATGCATGACATGCGTCGCGCCCTGTCGCTCGATTAGGACAATCGAAGGGCAAACTTCGGCGTCCCTCCGCGCCTCCACACTCCACCCCACCCACCCAAACTCCACGACGGCGCAAAAATTTTAACACCCAACGGAGTCACCGCGAGCGCAAAAAGATGGTCACTACGAGGGTCGAACTCGCGACCTTGGCGTATCAAGGTATTAACTATTAGCACCACGCTCTAACCAACTGAGCTAAGCGACCATTTGGTTGTGTTATCAAGTGATTGATGGAGATAGTCAAAACTGGAAGATTCATAGATCCAAACATTATCATAACTCATTGATCATCTAAGATTTCTACATCTACGGCATCGGCAGACTCTTCGCGAATGCAGCTGCGATCTCCTCATTGCTCCATCCAAGCGTGAGTCCTAGCTGCAGCAAGATGCGCGACTTCTGCGGGTTGTAGAAGCCGCTGGAAATGATGAAGTCGCCCTCACCGGCCGGCGGCACCAGACCGTCTGCGCTCCTGTGCGACGCGACAATTGGGATGTGGGTTGCGTTGTACAGCTCCTCAGCGGCGAGGTTGGCCTTCCGGGACATGCCGCCCGCGCCAACACCAGCGTACACAATGCCTTGGGCGCCGCTAGCAACGGACGCGTTGAACAGCGCGGTATCCATGTCCTGGTGGGCGTACAGGATAGGGACCTGAGCGAGGTCCGTTACGTTGGAAACGTCGAAAACAACGCGGCCGACGGGCTCGGAGGCGGCGTAGAAGAAGTAAGGGACCTGGTTAACGAAGACGCCCAGCTGACCGGCTTCGGTGCTGGAGAAGGTGTCGAGGGTGTTGGCGTTGTTCTTGGTGGTGTAAAAGGCGGAGCCAATGCGGTCGTTCAGCACGATCATAGTGCCGCGGTCGCGGCCGGCGGGTGAGCCGGCGAGCACGACGGCTTGGTAGAGGTTGAGGGGTCCGTCTGCAGAGAGTGCGGTTGCGGGCCTCATAGCGCCAACGCAGATGACTGGCTTGGTGGAATTGACGGTTGACTCGAGGAAGAATGCTGTCTCCTCGAGGGTATCAGTTCCATGTGTGATGACAACGCCTGCAATCTCGGGTTTCGCCAATTCTTCATTGATCATTTGTGCCAATTTGAGACTGATGGTCTCGTTAACGCTGCCGGAGTCGACATTTGAAACTTGGTAGCCAGCAATATTCGAGATGTTGAGGAGCTCAGGTACTGCATCGACGAGTTGTTGAACGCCAAGGCCAATTGAATAGCCTGTAGTCTGTGTGTTGGTAGAGCCTTGTGAGGCTATTGTGCCTCCAGTCGCAAAGATTGTGACATTTGGCAGCGACGCATTGATGGCTGTTTGGACATCCTGGCGAACGAATAGCTTGTGTAGCCCTGACTTGGACAAGTCAACAGGCGAGGCCACAGTCAGCGAGGCGAGAAGCGGCAGAAGCTGAGTGAAGCTCTTCATCTTGAAAGTTTGAGTGGTCAAGTCGGAATGATGTACCACTTCATCGCTGCAACGCAAAGCTCTTTATAGTTCCCAGCATACGGCGGCTCTTCTTACTCAGCGGGTTTACCATTACCAACGCCCTTATCTTGCTGCATCCTGGATGGTCAGCAAGATACCGTCATCGTATTGCTCTTCTTAATGCCAAGCGAACCGTTGACACGCGGAGTCAGGCACATCGAAGACGTTTATGTAAAGCCGCCGGGGAAATGTGAAGGCTGCACATCGTTATCTGATATCAGTGAAGATAGCCCACTTTCCACAGGCGCTAGAACAGGTACGGAAAGAGTGCCAAGTGTTTGCTGACTAGATCCTTGGGGTAACCCATGTCTCTGGGTCTTCTGTGTAGATAGCTAGTCGTGAGACTCCAATTTTGTGGAGAAGAAGTTGTGGTCGTCGGGTCGTCTCTGTCAGTGAGTTACAAGTTCCTGGGTCCGATATGCGCCGAAGAATGGCCTCACGGCGCCAAGGGAAGTAGAGATACCTTAGCCATTTCCGCAACTGCTTGTTAGCAACAACGTGGGATGCGACTGCCAAGCTTTCCTATCGTGGCAGGCTGCGTGTCCGTCTCGGAGCCAGGGATCCTACCTACATATTGAAGAGACCTCTGCTTCTCTACGACAGTCTACGAATGCCTCGACATACTCAACAGGGCGATGTTATCGGCCGCAGGCAGTTATAGCGCGAGCCACATCTCTTCGGCTAGTACCGGAGTAACTACGGATAAGCTGGCAGCTTCGGACTGCTCGTGTCGATACGCCGAGTAGGAAAGTCGCGTTATAACGCCCAAGTCTCTATTGGAATGGACTTCTGGAGGAGCACAGGCAGTGCCTGAAATTCATCCTCCTCAGACTCTCGTGCCTCACGATGGACCTTGCTGAGCCACGAGTATTGCGCGAGTCGACACCGGGCGCGCATCGGCCCTGACGGCTGGGATCGTGGCCGCCTAGGTGAGTTGGTGGAGGACTGGTCTCGTAGCGCAGCAGAGGCGCGTAGAGAGGCGCAGCAGCTTTGCGGCGTTTATGTCAATAGGTGCTGTCGACGCGAAGTGACGTCATTGATCTCCCAAATCGAGGGCTATCCGGGACAACACCATGATTGTACCAGTGACGTTGTGAGCAACACTGCCTTCTATATTCTGCCGGATCAAAGACGCGAAATCTACACTTTTAGTGAGCTCTTATCATCACACAGCAAACATCATGGGAGATACCTCAATTGCTGCGAACAGGTCCGCCCTGAAGGACTTCATCGCGTCAATTGCAACAATATCTGGGGATCTTTCAAATATCACAGCGCCTCCCTTTCTTTTGGCTGAGAATTCGACAGTTGAGATTCCGCAGTACTGGTGCGATCATGCACATCTGTTTGTCCGACAAGCATGGGGAGATACCGAAGAGCAAAGAGCGCTAAATGTACTGGAGTCGTTCATGGGTGCTCTTCGCAATCAGCAATATGCCGGAAGGGACGAGAGCGAAGGTGTTAAGAAGCCATTGAATGCATTCTTGGGCGAATTGTTCATGGGAAGGTGGGAAGATGAAGAACTTGGGCAGACGAGACTGGTCTCCGAGCAAGTCAGCCACCACCCGCCCATTACGGCATGCTACATCTGGAATGACAAGCACGGCGTTAGAGCAGAGGGTTTTACAGAACAAGAAATCACCTTCTCCGGAAATGTCAGCATAAAACAGAAGGGTTACGCCATATTACACATCGACAAGTACAACGAAGACTATCTCATGCCCGTCCCAGATGTCAAGGTCAAAGGAATCCTGGGCGGCAGGCCATATCCAGAGTTGTCAGGTAACTACTCACTTATATCATCGACTGGATATGTGTCGCACATCAAATTCGAAGGCAAATCGTTCTTTGGAGGTGGTCAAAAGAATGGATTCGAAGCCAAGATGTTCCATGTCGACCGCCCAGACGAGACCTTGTACCAGGCCAAAGGAGCCTGGAACGCAGAATCCACATTTGAAGATGCAAGAACAGGAAAGGAGATCGAGAGACTTAATTTTGCAACGCTGAAAACCTTACCTTTGCAGATCGAAGATACAGCCGAGCAAGATCCGTGGGAATCCAGGAGGGCATGGGGTGATGTTATCGCAGCACTAAGGCGAGGTGACATGAAGACAGCTGCAGATGCAAAGTCTATTGTGGAACAGGGGCAACGACAGATGAGAAAAGATGAAGCTGCCAATGGAACGAGCTGGAAGACTCGCTTTTTTAAACCAGTCGACCACGATGAAGTCTACGATACTTTGTCCAAGCGCGACCCGAGCTCCTTTACCGTCGATCGCCAGAGTGGTATTTGGAAAGTAGACAAAACGGCAATCCAGACCGCCCAAAAGCCATATCACGAAGACTTGCTACCAACAAACGAGCGAACTGGATCATCCGGAGGTAGCTTGCGCAACGGCCCTAATGCAGATCAGGCACGTTCACAAAGTGAGGCTACGGTGAGCTTTCCCACAAATGGGATCTCTCAACATCCGAAAAAGATCCAAGTGTCTGGAGAAGAAGCGCCGGTCAAGCATCATGCTAATCCTCCCGCGCACGCGGATCTGCCGAGGCGGCCCAATGCCGAACCATCAAACATAAGAACGCCCGAGACTTCAGCAGAAGGCCCGACTGACGCGCAGGTCGAAGAGTTCCTACGCAACAAGTACAGCGCGAGTTAATGATGATCCGGATCGTACTCCGACATCTGAGTCATGTACTTGGGTGGGACGAGTTCAATGAGGTGGATTGAGTGGTTGATTAATTAATGCCTATTATACGCCTTCTCAAGATCCGGGTGTCGTAGCCATCCATTATATGCACTGTGCTTTGAGGTGCGTGTATTCGCCCTCTTTCTAGAAGATCATAATGAATCGTTCGTGGTTAGGACGATCGCCTTTCTGACTCCTGGACCACGTCCTTTTGCATGGTGATCTTCCCTGTAGGTAACGGAGGCATGCGCTGCTCTTCGTCGAAGCTCTTGCTGCCGGCTGACACCGTCCATGAGATGAAGCCCTTCTCGGTCCTCTCCACTTGATCATCGTTGACAAGATCGTCTCGCAGACGAATTGGCTGCAAGCTCCCCATTCCGTAATCTTCCTCGTTGTCTTTGTCTCGCACTGTGCCTTTCTCCGTCCGCATCAATGTTCCCATGTTGAACAAGCTTTTCCTTTTTGACTCCTTTGGTGTTTGTGCTGCGCTGAACCACTTCTGATTGCTCTTTCCACTTTCGCCGCCACCTGTGGTGCTTATGCCGAAATGATTCGCGATTTTTCGGTAGAGAGGACGGAGGGTTGCGAGACTGCCGGCGGTGATAGCAAGCGCTTGTTCGGTGTCACTCCAGATAGCAATGTCGAGTGTAGCCCATAGGAAGTCTGGGTCCTTGAAATCCATGACGTATGCCATACGGCAGAGGACCGCGATGCTGGCTACGCAAGCCATGCCCAAGATGGGGATTAACATGAGTCGTGTGTTGACAGACATGTTGAGGTTCCACACAAGGAAGATCGGTAAAATAGCGAACGTAAAATCGCAGATGACTGAGACAACACTGTAAAGAAAGGTGAGTGCGATGATTACATCAATGTTGATGCATGATCCTTTCTGCGACATTTTGTCCCAGAAGAAGGATATTGGCGTACACTGGAGGAGTGTGACAAAGAAGAAGACCAGTCCAGTCAAGACGGTAAGGCCCATGACGATGTAGATGATCCATCGCTGAAGGGGCCTGATTGTTATGCGTAGCAGAAAAACTCCGATAGAAAGCTTTACTGCTATGCATGCGAAACAATACGCTATATAGCATAGCCACCAGTACTTCACTTAAATTAGGGTTGTAATAGCCTCAGTGGATGCAAATCACTTACTCGCATAGCCTTCAAGATATCGGCATCGCTCAAGTCTTTCATATGCCGCCCGGTACCATACTGGACGCCCCCTATGGCACAAGTTGCGAACATTATGTGAAAAAGCTGCCAAAATCAGTGTCTGGCTCGCCGCGGGTAATGATTGGGACCAACTAACCAATGCCCACACCATGAAGAAGTCATCCCACCCAAAAGCCTTGACCAAACGGGTTCGAACATAGACTCGAAGGGCAACTGACACAACTGACAGCGACACCATTGTCGTGCATACCGCCATCAGCTCTGGTCCTCGATTGGCGACCATGTTGGCTATGTGATTGATTGAGTAGCACCGACGTGCAAACTTCAGTTCACCCCGGAATCTTTGAGAAGAAGAGACGCAGTCTCGGGGGAAAGACCAAAACGCGGACAGTTCATGATCGATACGCGAGTCTCGACTGTGGATATACACGTAGGAACAGGGGCGAGGCGGCAGCGGATGCCGCATGCATGCCCAAGGCTAAAGAGGTCCGTGCTTAGGTACATATGCTTAGCCCCCATTTCGAAGGCGATCTCAACAACACGAGTCGTTCGTAGGAGGGGGCCGGGGGTCCATGTTTCATGCCTTCCGCGGTTGATCTTTACCTAGAGCTCTCTGACAATCTGACAGCTGAATTGCATTTCGGCATTTGCCAGGGCTCAGATCAGCCTCGAAGCTCTAGTAATGTGTAGCTTCGTCCCGACGTGCTGGCCCGTCCATCAAGGCTGGAACGAAGCATTAAGTTCGACCATCGCGGGCGCGGGCGGATAAGGCCGTGCGCGAAGACCCTCTGGTACCAGAAAATTCACATCTCCGCCCGCCACCATATTTCCATTCAAACACGCTTTTGGGCAGGCCTGATGTAAGACGGCGTACGCCGGCAAGTGGAAATCTCGCTCGCATGGCGACAGGGGAGGAAGGGCCCATAAATTCGTTCAGAATTGCGCTCCCGGGGATCTTTGCTGTTCTGGAAGCGGGACTATGCCACTCAGGGTCAAGCGATAGAGCTAGCACTATCTGAGCAAGAGATGGGGTTCGAAGTCTGAGTCATGTCCACAAGAACATGCGGATCAATGACAGCCGAGGCATAATTTCTGGTACCGATGAGCGCCGCTCGACTCGAAAGCACGGCACAGTCGTCCGCGGGAGCGGACTGATCAACGCGACGGTGTTGCTCACAACGCCGTTCAAAGTTTGTTCTTCCTACTATAATTCAGCTGAGCTGATATACACGGGCATAGTGTTACTATTGCTTTTTCGAAGCAGAAATGGTTGAAGTCTACGGGAAATCTTTTACAAAAATCGCCACATAGGTACGGATGGATGTGGGTAACGGCCTCCAAATCTCAAACAGCCAATCCCAAAGCACGAGTCAAAAAGCTGTCCCGGGCGGCAGGTGTATGACAGGGCTTTTCAGGCACTGCCGGCATTTCGACAGTAGCAGCTTGCCTGTATGGTGACATCCGCAACAGCTTGAGCTAATCGGAGCTGTTGACGGATAATCCCCGCTTCTTCGTGTCTCTTTAGGCGTATTAGACACTCGTGGTACCCATGTAAAGCCCAAACGTTATTCGGGTGCTGTCGTGCCCTGGGCAAGGTGTCATCGAACCCTAGATCCGCTTTGTACGCAGCAGCCGCATCATCAACCCTGCCCTGTTCCATCAAAAGTGCGGCGTATGCGTGCCGGGTGGGTTGCATCCATGCCCAAGGCTCTGCGTACGTGAGGGCATCGTCGCGTTGGATCGCCTTCTCAAGATGGCTAAAGGCAACGTCGTAATTCCCCTGCCGATACGCTATTTCCCCGTCGAGCATTGCCTCGCCGACCTGAAGTACGACATTTGACCGGTTAGGGAAGTCACCACAAATGCGGGACGACGGAATGCGTTTCACGGCCTCTTCAAGAGCAGCACGTTCTTCCAGTGCCTTCTCCACCTTGCCTGTCGCGGCATATGCCACACCTTTGCCATAGTGGATCATTGCGATCGTCACGCAGTAAAGATCCCTATCTTTTGGTAGCGATAAGGAAAGAAGGTCCTGCCAACGGCCAAAACGGACCAGGACGTGAACGCGCACTGATGAGAAATTCTCGAGCCAGTCTGCCATGGGTGGGCTATCGACGCTAAGCAGTGACGCTGGCAGCGATCGTTCCATTCGGCTCACCGCTTCCAGAGCGACCTTCGACTGTCCAGCGAACATCGCGGCATAGATCAGCGAGTGGTAGTTGTGCATACGGTAAAAGGAATAGAAATTGTCTCCCCCATGTTCATCATGGTACTTCTCGTCAGCCAGGCAGGCATCAGCGTTGGAGGCTATGGCCCGTCGATAGTCTCCTATGAGGATGTCAAGGTGGCTCGGCATGTGGACCAGATGGCCCGCGTCAGGGATGAGGTTGCGGAGGTAGTCTGCGGCAACCAGTGCAGCTTCCGGTGTTGAACTCATCTCCATTAGATGTATGTATAAGTGGAGAATCCCGGGATGTTCATAAACGTCGTCCTGTTTGAGCGCTTCCTCAAGGAATCCCTTGACCTCTAATGAGCGCGATCCAGGGGTCGGCTGTCCGGTCTTCAGATCCCAGAGATTCCATGCGGAGAGGTTCATCACAGAGTCGGCGAACAAAGCAGTGACATCCAGATCGTGGGTGTACTTGCCATATACGTTTTCCATAGCATGTGTATAGGCTTTGTTGCATGCTGTGAAGTCAGGCTCAGTTAGTCCCTTCGGCACACGGAATTGGATCGCCTCGATGAGTGCCTGTTCGAGCTCTGTTGAATCTGGCGCATGGTCCTTGGCTTCTTTGATCGCATGCTCAATGGTTGCCAGTGTTGTCTTTAGTTCCTTCTCATCAAATAGATCCCACGGCTTGTTGTAGTTTGGGCCCAGAGCGAAGGCAAGCTATCCACGTCAGCTCTTCTGTCGATTCACTACGAGCCTCCTAGGATCAAACGCACACCCCAATATGCCATAGCACAACCTGGATCCTCAGCGATGGCTTTTTCAAAACAACGCGCTGATTCCTCGTGATGGAAAGCATAGCTCCAGATCAGACCTCTGTCGAACCATACCTGAGCCTCTGCGTTCGCGGTTGTCACCTTCCGATGAAAGGTCCCTAGATCGTATTGGTACGACTTTGATGCAGTACCCATTGTTGAAGATTTCCCGCTTCGCTGCAATTGATGAACACACCACACCGCTTTGCTGCAGTTGATGAAAATGTCACTGCAAGCTGTGATAAGTTTATCACTGTAGCGTTTGTGATGAAGATGTCACTGCAACAGATGGAATGATAACTAGAACTATGTACGAGCGGGGTTTCCGGCGGACCAATGAAGCAGTCGCGTCATCGCGTCAGCTCAACGACAGCGCAACATTGAATGGTGAGCACAATGCACGTATTCCTGGAATGAAGCAACAATTGCGGTGTTAAGAAGAATCGCTTTAGAAGAATTGATTGTGTTTGTTGATAGTTTTGCTGAGTTCGAAGGTGCTAGGTAATTACGTCACCCCACTTTCTCACGATCGTGAGTCTGAAGACTCACCACTGAGAACTTCTTCCAATCACGCCACGTTAGAAGTCTGACCTTACACATCTTACATTAACCGAGTACACGCCCACATCAATGCTAAAGCGCGTCATACCTATACATCTTAGAAGACGAGGACCAACATTGAGCCAGTTACTTGCAGCTCCTACACCATCAGTCAGAATGCTGCACTCCGCCTCAACACCAGTACCCACGAACAATTCATCAAAGAAAATCTTCGCCCCAACAAGCAACTCTGAAGACCCCGGCCATGCAACCCAATACACCAAAGGCGCTCTCGATCGCACCGACCTGCTCCCCTCGCCCACCGACCAGTTCCACGCCTGGTTCGAAGAAGCCTCCAAGAGCGGCGTGTACCAGCCCGAAACCGTCACATTCTCGACCGCCGAGCTGCCCAGCGGCAAGGTATCCGCGCGCATGGTGTACATGAAAGAGCTTGACTCGCGTGGCTTCGTGATCTACTCCAACTGGGGCACCTCGCGCAAAGCCGCCGATGTCGCTAGCAACCCCCACGCGGCGCTGACTTTCTGGTGGAGGGAGCTCGAGCGCCAGGTCCGTGTTGAAGGGCGCGTTGAGCGGCTTGCTTCGGAGGAATCACAGGTTTACTACGATACGCGGATTCGGGGGAGCAGGATCGGCGCGTGGGCGAGTCAGCAGAGTAAGGTGCTGCAGGGGAGGGAGGAGCTTGAGAAGCAGGTCGAAGATGTAGAGCAGAAATTCGAGGGGAAGGACAAGATTCCTGTACCAGAATTTTGGGGTGGATTGAGAGTGATTCCTGAAGTTGTGGAGTTCTGGCAGGGTAGGCCGAGTCGTTTGCACGACCGGTTTCAGTACCAGTGGGTGGAGAAGGAGAGTGGAGAGGGCGAGTGGAAGGTTGATAGATTGAGTCCATAGTATGCCAAGCGGTGTACAGAGACAATTTGAACGTGAAAATGATATATTTTGATCCTTTGTGGATCTTGGTATGAACTATAAACGCTTGCACAACGCCAATGGATGACCTGGTCCTACCCAAAGCAGCCATATGCAACTATATGAAACCATCAATCATGACCATAGACAGCCGAAAGTGTCTACTCGGCATCGGACTCCTCTTCTGCAACCTGGAATATAGTTAGCTCATGCTTGCGTGTCGGCATTTGCGTAATGACTTACGTTGTCGTGGAAGTTGGTTCCGTGCGTAGTCTCGTTGATAATACCCGCCCTGATGACGAAGTCACCGAAGCGCTCGCCCTCGTTCCTCTCCGTAGCGTAGCGCTTGATCATCGGCCGCAGGATCTCCAGGATCTCATCCTCCTTGATAGAGCTCCTGTACAACTTGTTCAGACGTTGGCCGTGGTAACCGCCACCAAGGTACATGTTGTATGCACCGTAAGCTTTGCCGACAAAGGCGATCTCAGCAAGCCAAGGACGTGCACAACCGTTAGGGCAACCGGTCATACGCATGACAATGCTGTCTTGACGCAGGCCTGCCTCCTCAAGGGTCTCCTCGACCTTGGAAATCAGGACAGGAAGGTAACGTTCAGACTCAGCCATGGCAAGACCGCAAGTAGGGAAGGCAACGCAAGCGGAACTTGACAGTCGCATAGCAGAGAACTGGATGTTGTCAAGCTTCCACTTCTTGAGCAGCTCCTTCATTGCCGGGAGGTCATCATCGTGGACATTGGACAAGATCAAGTGCTGGTTACCAGTCAACCTGAACTCTCCCTTGTGAGCTTTGGCGACTTCAATGAGACCAGTCTTCATCGGGAACTCAGCTGTGTCCTCAATACGACCGTTCTCAATGAAGAGAGTGAAGTGGTTGAGACCAGTCTCATCCTTCTGCCATCCGAAGGTGTCGACGTTGCTGTCGAACTTGAAAGGCTTAGGGTCAGCAAACTTTTGGCCCCACAGCTCCTCAACCTTGCCTCGGAAGACATCGACACCCATGTCGTCGATGGTGTACTTTAGGCGAGCGTGCTTCCTGTTCTTGCGATCGCCGTGGTCACGCTGCACCAGCATGATTTTCTCGCAGGCAATATGGGCCTGATCAGCGGCAACGTAACCGAACATGCTTCCAGTTCGGGGGTAGGTCTTCTTGTTGTTGTGTGTGACACCCATACCACCACCGGCGAGAAGGTTGAAGCCAACGAGGTTCCCATCAGCACCCTTGATGGCGATCAGACCGATATCGTGAGCGTAGACGTCGGTGTCGTTGTGGGGCGGAATAGCAATGGTGATCTTGAACTTCCTGGGGAGGTACAACGGACCGTAAAGGGGTTCGTGGTCCTGAATAGCCTCGCCTGCGATCTTGCGCTTCTGCTTAGTCTCGTCATCCTCAAGCCAGATCTCGTGGTAAGCAGACGTGTTGGGGAGAAGGTGGTCGCTGATCTTCTGGGAGATGGCGTGGACCTGTCCGTGGTACTTTGATTGGGTAGGGAGGGAACTGCACATGACGTTACGGTTCACGTCACCGCATGCGGCGATAGTGGTCATCAAGGACTTGTTGATGGCCTGCATGGCTGGCTTAAGCTTTCCCTTGACAATGCCGTGGAACTGGAATGTTTGACGGGTGGTCAGCTTCATGGTCTCGTTACCGAGCGTACTGCTGATCTCGTCCATCTGGAGCCACTGCTTAGGGGTAGCAACACCACTAGCAAGACGGCATCGGATCATGAACGAGTAGGCTGGCTCGAGACCTTGTGCCTTGCGCTCGTCGCGCAGATCGCGATCATCCTGCATGTAGGTACCGTGGAACTTGGTGAGCTGTTGATCACTTGCAGAAATTGCGCCGGTAGATGTGTCCGCCAGTCCCTCCTCAATGGTGCCACGGAGGAAGTTCGAAGCAGCCTTCATGTCCTCGTTGGTAATTGGCGGAGGCTCCTCGGGCAGGCCTTCGACGTTGGCGACACCGAGCGATTGCCAGATCTTCGGCTCCCACTCCTGGTAGGCGGTCTCGTATGTGTCGGGGTCCTGGTCATCTCCAAGACCGACAGGTGCGAGCTCCTTGGCACCTAGTGTGAGCAGGCGTGCATGTAGGTCCTTGACAGGCTTGTTGTAGTAGATCTTGTCCTCCTTGCGAGGCCAGTAGTGGCTGTCACCGAGACCGAATGTGGAGAAGTTGACAGTGGCGAGATCGAGGTCAGTAGAGTCCTTGATAGTCTCCCAGGTTGTGCGTCCGTTCTGGGGAAATTCACCCTGACCAGCGACACTGGTAATGAAGACAACGTTTTGCTCATTGGCAAGGTCCTCAAGAGGGTAGTCGTCCATTGCCATAACCATCGTCTTAAGTCCTCGCGCTTTACCACGGTTACCGAGACGCTTCGATACCTTCTCAGCGTTGCCGTTGTCGGAGGCGAAGAGGATGGTCAATGGGTCACCGGCGAGGCCGTCAAGGAGCTGGCTGTAAGCATCCTTGGCCTTGCGCTTCTGTAACTGCCTGACCTCCGTGCCAAAGTTTCCGGAAACGTTAGACGCGAATTCCGGATGTCTCTTCATGACCTGAGACAGGTAATTGTCACGAGCAAGGAACTCCTCGAGCTCCTTCTTGATCCTCTCAGAGTCAAGCTGGAAGTTGGGCTCGCCCTTCTCCTCGCCCTTGGGATCCCAACGATACAGTGGCCAGTACCCCAGGTCGACGGCCTTCTTGGTCTCTTGCAAGACTGTCAAAGGTGAGTCAGTCTCCTTCTCGTATGGCAAGTAAGCAAGGACGACTGAGGGACCATCAAACTTGTCAGCCTCGATCATGGCTTCCAAGACCTGAGTGTATGAGCTGTACACAGCAACAGAGGCAACATAGGCGTTGCCAAAGTTCATTGCGTACAGGCCGATGTCCTTCTTCCTGCGTACAGAGTCGGCAGCGGCGCGCTCAGAGTAAGGTGTAGAATCAATGATCAGCATGTTGACATTCTCACCAGCCTCGAGGACATGGTGAACACCGGAGTTGCCAAGATCGTATGCCCAAGCATCAGAACCGACCAACCAGGACGACTCTTGATAGAACAACTTCTTGGATTCGAGGAACTTGTTGGCGGTAGCGGAGCCGTCAGTGCTCAGACGTGCAATGACCTCAGGAGCAAGATCGTTAGCTTCGTCAGCGTGGTTAGCGCTAAGTGCCCACTTAGACAGCCACTCCTTTGGTGCATTTGTGATGAAGTCGTTGCTCTTGGAAGCAGACGCAGCCTCATCAACAAATCGCTTCCTGTGCTCTTTACGGGCAATGAGAGATCCAAAACCATACTCAGGGCTAGCAGAAATTTCGTTGGAGATACCAGCATTCTGTGCGCCGAGCTGGTTGGCCACATGGAGCTTGTCGCCGAAGACTTGGTCCAAGATCTTCACATAGGCGTTCTCGAGGGCGGGCTTCTCGAGCTTCGGCGACTCAGCTTTTGGGCCATCCATGTTTCCGATCTGGAGGTTCTGAATGGGCGACTCGCTAGTGAGGTTCTGCCATACACCACGAAGAGCCTGTGCCACGGTCTTCTCGTCGATATAACCCAACTGGAAGCCAACAACGGAAGGTGATGCGCCACCAGTCGATTTCAGAGACATCAACAGGTCCAGAAGAGCAGGACCCCACTTAGTGGTCTTGCGACGGACCTGCTCCAGAACAGCGATCTTTTTGATCGACTTAGGGAGGAGTGGGGCGAGGGACGCACCCAACCAGGGACGGTACATCCTAGCTGTGATCAAACCAGCGTTGGCGTATGGCTCAGAGTCCTCCGCAGAGTCGAGCTCGGTGGCAAAAACACCGGTATCGGCGCCAAACAGAAAGATGGCGGCCTCTTCGTTGCCAGCGCCAGTGTAGGAGAACGCGTCATATGCACGTCCGGTGGACTCCTTGATCGTCTCCCAGATTTGCGAGGCGAATCGATAGATGTCTTCAGACGAAACAGGCTTTGAGATCAAAGACTCAACAGTGGTCGCGGAAGACACTGAAGCGCCACTCTGGCTGGTGTCACGCTGAGATGAGCCAGAAGATGAATCGGCACGCTGGCTATTCCTCTCTGATGCTGGGACAGACCGCAGTTCCGAAGAGCTCAAGGGTGTAGATTCTGTGTTGTTGGCGTCCGAGGTCTGGCTACGGGCGAAGGAGAGGGTCGCATTCCTCCCATCGTCAGCGTACAGAGAAGTCTCCGCTGAGCTGGTGTGCTGGAAGGCGGCCGCAGCGTCAAGGTCAATGACACGGCCGAGCAGCTGAGCATCTTCCTGTACAATCGACTTCTTGAAAGCAGACGCGCCTGAATCGAAGAAGTGGATGACACCCTTGCCCGACTTGATAGCCAAAGCATGTGCAGTCAAGGCAATATCTTGTGCTTCCTGTAGTGTCTCAGACTGCAAGAATGTGAAGCCAGACTGCCTGATGGATGTGATATCGGAGAAGTCTGGGAAGCCAGTCGGCTGCACGGAAACGTGGAGAACGACGGGGTATTGTGCGAGCTTGTAGAGGTGTGGTATCGACTTCACCAGGATCGAGGAGGCGGTGGTGACGCTGGTGAGCTTGCCAGCACGAATGGGCTGGAAAACCGAAAGGAGAGGGTCGGCATTCTGGCGGACAGAGATGATCTGGATACTGTTAGAATCGTGACTTTTGCTTCCCAATGGCGACATACCTCTGGCTGCTGCTTAGCAACAACAGAAGGCGCATTGCTCTGCTGCAACGAGCGCAGTACTTCAGAGAACTCTGAATCCTCCTTCAATGAGGGCACAACCGACACAATCACGTCGGAGGCCAAATGTGCGATGCGGGCGACTGGAGCGAGTCAGCGTTGATTCATTCGTAATGTTGCCCCGACTTCAATTGCAGCCGATATCGCAGGGGTGCAACAGAGTGGTGGGGTGGCGGGGCGACATACCAGCCTCGCCAGCAGTCGAGATGGAACCCATTGTGACTGCAACAACACGGTGTCTGAGAGCAGTGAAGGGATTGTCTATGGGGAAGAGGAGATCAAGTAGATAGTTAAATCGGGTCGTCGCCGACGGTCCTCACTGACTGCAGCGGCAACTCATGGGGCATAATTTTCGAAAAGATGCCGATGATTGAGCACGCCATCCTTAGTGCATCTCTCCAGGGTCTCGAGTACCTCCACAATGTCTCCTCAACCAGTAGGACTTCGTCTTTTGGTCATTGACCAATGGTCTCGGTCGTCACTACGGCTGGATCACGTCGTCGCCGCCTCACTCGTGACGAGACGACTCTGTTCCAAGACATGCTGACGTGCCGAAGACTTTGGAACACTTTGCCTTCAAGGGAAACTCAGGCTGCGAACAGCAGCAATTCCCGCGCGCCCGAGTCTGATTGGCCACCGTGATCTCAGCCGCGCTTTCCCGCTTATAGATGTACCGACAGCCGACTATCGATTAGACATGCACCTCCACTCCGGGCCTCGTGTCAGCGCGAACACCTGCATCAATGTCAAGTCTTGAACCGTGTTCGCACCGAAGCCGCCTTGCCTTTCGTAATCAAAGATCTCGCAGCTCATGTCGAGTCTGGCGCAGCTATTGCAATGAACCACACAGCCTCTGGATTTGAAGAGCCCCTCGTTACGGATACCCCGCGGCCGTTTCCGGAGCAATGCGCGCGGATACATGAACGCATCGACGCGTTCTTGGGTGCAAAGGATGTGCCAGAGCGAGTAAGGAATGTGCAGGAGCAGACGCGCATCGCCTTGGATGTGATAGAGAAGGCATTGGACCAGTACAAGTAGGTCGTGCTCTTCGGCATGGGTTCCGGTACAGTCATAAGGTACTGACAACCACATCAGGCTGCCTGAGCTGTCTCTTGCATATAATGGCGGCAAAGACTGCCTTGTACTGTTGATATTGTACCTATGTGCTCTACATAAACGCGGCGTTACATCCTCCACGCCCTCGTCGAACATCGAAACCGCTGTACAATGTGTCTACATACAAGATAAGCACCCGTTCAAAGAGGTGGAGGAGTTTGTTGCAACAAGTATCAAGACATACTCGCTGTCCCTTCTCGAGTACGCAAAACCTATGAAGGAGGCGTTCACAGACTACCTTCGAGACACACCATCAGTCAAGGCCATATTAGTGGGAACGCGACGAACAGACCCTCATGGAGAGCATCTGAAGCATTTCGATCCCACAGACAATTCATGGCCAACATTTGTGCGCGTACATCCGGTAATAGACTGGCATTATGTAGACATCTGGACAGTAAGTGTCTCCGGCGCCTCCATACTTTATCCTTCTGACTGAAGCAGTTCATACGATACCTGAACATTCCATACTGTTCACTGTACGATTGCGGATATACCTCCTTGGGCGGAACTACGGATACTCACCCAAACCCAAAACTCGCGCGGCAATCTTCGACAAATCAAGTGCCACAGACAAGCCAGCCAAATGGCACAACAAAACCCAAGTTTAGACCGGCATACGAACTCGTTGATGATTACGAGGAAAGACTAGGGAGGGATAGATAGCATATTTGAACTTTAGAGCTTCACAATCACCAATCGCATTGCATTCCACTGGCTCTACACGATGTTACTCGAAATCGTATGCGTGGTTTCAAGTTCTGAGTCTGAAGTTGCACCTCGAAGGTGGGGTGAGGAGCTTGGGCTGCCGCGTGGCCGACCTCGGAAAACTCTCGAAGCTTCAAGCATCACGCTTCACACAATGCCAATGCCTTAAACCTCACGGCTGCCTACGGCTGCCTGTAGCTGCTATTTTTTCGCCTCAGCTATAACACACATACCAGCCAGTCCGATAAGAGACATAGCCTGCAAACAAGGACCGTTCACCCACCATGTCAAGCTTCGGCGTTGTCATTTCGGGCCGCCCAGTCCTCACAGACGCGCAAATCATATCGCCCACGCAGGTCGCATACCAAATCCCGTCGCAACCCTCATTCTCGCACATCGTGGTCTTCCTGCTCCCGGGTACAACGCTGCCCGATGGCACTGCAGCCGCCGTCTACGCGCAACTTCCCGGCACCCCCGACTTCAAGCTGCTCGGCGCAATCGCAAACGAGAAGCCTAGCGCGATCTTCAAAGTGAGAAACGGAAGCGCAGCAGGCGGCGGTCTGGGCGATGAAGACGCCATGGTCGACGAAGGGATGGCGAACGGTGCCGCGGCCCCGCTGGCACTGGGCATAAGCGTTGAACCTGCGGCGCAAGTTGCTGCGGCGCTGGAGCAGAAGAAAGCGCAGGAGGCTGCTGCTTTGAACTCCGATGGAGCAGCTGGGAGCTCGCTTGTTGTGAGGGGCCAGAACACGGTCGATCAGAAGGTGCTTGCGCAGCGCATTATCAAGAATTGCTACGATTTCTTGACGAGCTGGGGCAGTGGGGATACGGTCCCCCTGAAGGCTTTCCAGGCTTGGTGGACGAAGTTTGAAGGGAAGATTGAGAGGGATCCTGGCTTCTTGGAGAGGAGTGACGGCGGTTGAAAAACATGATCCGAGTGTCAAGAAGTTGATTGAGAGGCGCTTGACTGGCATGAGATCAGCCTGACTGTTCTCTGGGCTTGATGAAGCAGAGACATCAGCGTGTCAAAGCGGTTTGTTGTGACTGTAATGTAATATGGAGCATCTGGCAGGCGCGCGAGAGGGTCGACCGGGATATCAGTGTCTAATGTACACTCACCTCTATTGAGTTAACACTATATCATAGACTCTTCAAGATGTTATGCTCGCTACAAGCTGGCAGAGCTATTAAGATTCAGAAACCCTCCAAGAAGGACTAGGCATGGCGAACGTGATGTTCATGAGAGGACTCACACGGCTTGTCGAATATACTATTATCATTGTCTGTTGCCGGCTACCCGTAACGTTGATTTGCGCTCCCCGACTATGCTGCGCTACTCTTTGCACTGACAATTCAAGGTGAGTCCATTGAACTTACAGTTGTCATGTTTCGTTTCGAAACAATCCAGGTTAACCAAAATTATTTTTAAAATCATTACACTCAAGTGTAACTCTTCCAACCCAACTTGACATCTCAACATCATAGTATTATGCGTCTCACAGATGTACCTCAATGACAGCTCGCCACACATAGTCTCGTGCAATGATGCCGTGACACCAGTCCAGACTTGTCCCTGACCTGAGAACGGACCTACTTTGTGTGTTGGCCACGTTCCAAGGATGACAATGAGCTAATTGTTCTTATCTGACTATGTAACATGATTTCGTCTGTGGTGACGGTGCCAAATCATGGTGTGAGCACCAAAGTCATCTGATGCCGACGATGCCGGTGATGCCGAAGAGTCGCAACCTGCTGCTCTTTCTGGCAGTCCCGCTTCTTGCAAACCCATTACACTATAAGCATCGGCATCTCGGCATGCAGTCATCACTACGTTTCGGTCTTTTACATGACAGCTGTGATGTTGGTCGCCCAAGTTTTGGGGCATCCGCACGCCATCGCTGGCGTATGCAAGTCGACGAGAACCTCAGCTCCCTTTTTCCACACGATCCAAGTCATGCTCGAGGTGAAGCTGAAGGTTCTGGAAGTGCACAGAGGCTTGTAAGTGTTGTAAGCTGTTGAGGGAATCCATGAGAATAAAGATGAGGTACGCGATGCTAAATCGGTGAACATCATATGTTGTTTAACAAAAACGCGTCTCGAGCCAGACTGACTTGTCAGAGGATTGTGATGACCTCCCGGGTCGCTGAATGTATTTCATCTCTACCGTAGACTCGTGGGTCACGTCAATATGTACATGCCCTATAGTATGCAGTCATCTGATCATACGAATGATACCCTTCTCTTCGTGCGCAGAGCAAATTTCGCACTCATGACTCGTCCATCCGGTCGGCGTCGCCCTTCTTCTCCTTTTCCACCGTCCTCTTGACGCCTTCCAGGAACGCCTTCAGAGCATCTCCGCCACCGAGCGGCATGGCACCGCCCCTCATGTAGCCGCCATGCTCAACGTCGATATTGAGGGCCTGGGACACGGTCGGGAGTGCACCTTCTCGAAGTGCTTCCGTCAGGCTGCCCAGTGCAGCACGAAGCTGGGGTGCGCGTATTATGTTCTTCAGCACTTCTCTCTTCGAGTCCTGGTCCAATGTCTGAACAACCATCTGCGCAGTGTCGCCGTTGGGATCAATTTGGTCGATGTCCTCGACTTCTGCTTCAAGCAAAAAGGGCGTGGTGGGTAGCTGTGCGCAGAGGGCGTCAATAAGCTCGTCCGAGGCTTTCTCAATGACAGGTCCGGTAGTCTTCGGCGACAGGAGATCGAGCAAAGTTGTGAAAGACTCGCCTCCAGACTGTTGTGAACTGCTACCGCCGCCAAGGTTTCCGCCCTTGAGTGAGTCCACGAAGTTCTTGACAACGGAGGAGACGTCGCCTAATCCTGCGCTGCTCAGTTGTTAGCGTAATCGACAGGGACAAAGCCGCACGAGAGAAGCAATCGATCGTCGTGGCGGGAGGAAGACGTGGTACGGAAAGCATTTTCTGTTTAGTGTTACATATGAGCATCCAGTGCTGTCATGCTGCGTAGGCATGTTATGCTCTCAAACGCCTCATCGGGATATTCAGCCCTCTGAAGTTCTAGTGTTTTCCTTGCCAATGTCTTCCACAGTCATTCGTATCCTGCTGGTGAGATCGACTGCGCCACGACGCCGATTGCGACAAAACCACAATGAAAGCTTGAAGGGACCTACGCTCGGCCGCCGTCAGCTCCACCTTCACGAGATTCTTCGCCTTCATCTCGGATATCACCTCCTGTGGCCCCAGATCCAGCGCCTCCTGTGCTGCCGTGACGGTTTCGGCTCGACTCTTCCTCCACGTCGTCCATTGTCTCATCATCGTCGCCGCCGTCGGCTGGGTTCGGGATGTTTGCAAGCTCGGCTTGGACATCGATCTCCTCGCCGTTTAGTAATAGATCAACGATCTGACCGATCTTGAGGTCGCGCTCGCTAAACCAACTTGCGTCACCGCGTGGATGCTGTGACTTCGACTGTAACCAGAAGAGGTAGCGTTGTGAGCTCGAGTTGAACTTAAGGACGAAGACACGACCGTCGGTGGGCGACTTGACTGATTCGGAGTCTTCGGCGGTATCCTTGCCTGTGTATGGGGAGAACGAGCCGTCGCCGGGGATCATAATGAGATCGAGGTCCGATTCGTCGAGGGGCTTGTTGCGGGGTCGCCAGCAGAAGTGCACGAACTCTAAGCTATATTAGTGAAGCCCATAGCTACAACATGGCTATACAAACCATCTTCGCCCTGATATAGGTACACGTAGCCTGGTTCGCGAACGGGCCTGACCGACTGCTTGTTGCCATCCCTAGCCTGTTTATGTCAGCTGCAGGTACAACTATTGTTGCATGCAATACGTACAGTGATCTCGCACTTGCCGGCTTTGAAGGTGATCAGCGGTTGGACTGACATGGTGGTGTATATGTGTGAGGAGGTAAAAGAAGCTGGGGTGGATGGCTTGGAGCTGCCTGCGAGGCGGCGTCACGGAGCGCGGAGGTCGGGCGCGCTAGCGTGGAGCAAGTTCGCTGCAAAGACATGATTCACTCCGAGGCATACATAGATAACTCAAACACCAGGCATATTAACTACTGCTTAAGCACCATTACAGTGATTGCAAATGTATTGAATACTGACTATGGATATAGCGCAGAACACTGGTCATGAAAGAATCCTATCAAGACGTTCTGGAAGCGGTGCGACCGCATGTTGCTCTATCACTTTCGCGCAGACAAACATGCTAGACGATTTGAAACTTCAGCAGATTGCTACAAACACAGTTTATGTGCACCGATGTTCTCCTAGGCTTTGTTGGTACCCGTCAACTTCGAATTCGTTGATTCCATCTCGGCGCGGAATAACTGTTCCGCCGGCTTGGGAAGCTGCGACCCGCCAAGAGTCTAGCCGGTCGCGCACAACTCATTTTCAATCCTGTCCCGAGTAACTCCCCAGGGCTCACTAACGACACCAGCAATTCGAAATGGCGGACACCAAACCCACGACCCAGAAGTTCTCCAAGGGCGAGAGGTCGATACCGCACCACTCGCAGAAGGCCAGCAAGTACTACCCTGCTGTGGACGTCGCCGTCGCCAAGAAGGTACGTTCGCAGATGCGATATCATGGAAGACCAGGACGAAGAAGAGGAGGAGGATGTGGACGCATTGCAGCGCAGTAAATTTGCGGCTGTGTGCGGCGAGAGCGGACCATCTACATGCTGCGAGTTGCATGCTATGGACTTTCGCTAACATTACATCAAGGCCCGCAAGACTGCTCGCCCCGCGAAGCCCCGTGCCTCCCTCCAGCCCGGTACCGTCGTCATCCTCCTCGCTGGTCGCTTCCGTGGCAAGCGTGTCGTTCTTCTCAAGCACCTCCCCCAGGGTGTCCTCCTCGTCACCGGTCCCTTCAAGGTTAACGGCGTTCCTCTGCGACGAGTAAACGCCCGCTATGTCATCGCTACCTCCACCACCGTCGATGTCAAGGGTATCGATGAGGCTGTCCTGAACAAGGCCTCTGAGGAGGGTTACTTCACCAAGGACAAGGCCGCGCACAAGCCTGGCGAGGATGCTTTCTTCAAGCAGGGCGAGAAGCCCGAGGTACGCAGCATCTATGGTGTCACATGCGATCATCACTAACAACCGCAACAGAAGAAGGAGACCTCCAAGGACCGTGTTGAGGACCAGAAGGCCGTCGACAAGGCCCTCCTGGCCAACTTTAAGAAGGAGGCTCACCTCGTTGACTACCTCGCCTCGAGCTTCAGCCTTCGCACCTCGGACAGGCCACACCAGATGCAGTTCTAAGTGTTGGGTCAAGACGGGATTTGGCGTTCAGTGCATGGGATGAAAGATGACCTCGGGCGCTGCAGCCGTGACAGCAGGAATTAATCCAGCGGCGGTCTGGCGACCAACTTTTCATGAAGGCAGCGTTTGCAATTCCTATAAGCCTTGATACAAGCGACGAATACCAGACGATGCGAAAGTGATCAGATGGCTTTGGCAACCGTGATGTCATCTCTCCGGCGTTACATGGAGCAAGCAATGGGTGGATACTCGATACTGATGGCGAAATAGAATCTCACATTACACTGTACGATTGCGCTCAACCGTTGTACTCATTTGCGCCACAATATCCTCCCGACACCGAAAACGAACACGACTGAACTAAAAGGGTATCATGGAGCACTAACATAACAAGTCAAGTTCGAGGCCCACTTCCCCACATGTCGACCCGAAGACAACCATGGATCGGCTACTTCATTTCCTGCCCCTACCCCTTCTAACCCTCGACTTGATCTTTTCTGACAAACCACTGGCCGCGTCTCCCGCCCCATCGATTGCTCTGCCTGTCTTCCCCTCCACATCATGCTTCTGCATTTCTGCTTTCAGGTCTTCCGTGACATCCTTTCCAATGGTCGTTCCGTGACACCAATCCAATACACCAACAGAGCCGTAGTTACCGTCTCCTTCGCTAAGCATGTGTGCGTCAGTTCGCCGCGCCATGCCTCGTAGCATAATCGTTGAAGGAAGCACATTGTAACCTGAATACACAAACGTCTCCTCAAGGCTGAAGAAGGCGATTAGGAGAAGATAGGTCAGGATGTGCATCCGCAGCGCAACTGCAGGCAGATACAGTGGTAGCCACCGGTGCATCATGTGACAGACCGGGTGGTCGTAGTTGGCGACAAATGAGTAAGGCACCTGGATACTATGATGCCAGCTTGTATGCCAGTCTGACAGCCTGCCGCCACTAGGCGAGTGTAGCAGGTGAGTGTGAATGTAATATTGAAGTACCTGCGTCATGTCAGTATCTGGCAACTTCGCTTCACAAACTTGCTCCTCCCTTACATTTCGCGACAGAACCCCAACCAGCGCATGCTTGACCATCATCCACGGACTCGGCAAGTGATTCAATCCCCACCGACTCCCCTTGATCAACAGCAAGCTCTTTAACCTCAGCACATCTGTTACAAGAAATTCAATTGCAGCCTGCAGCACCACGCACAACACCACATTTGCGCAACTCCACGCCATCACCCTCCTTACTTTTGCTTTCCCACCGCGCTGGTGTGTGGCTATACCCCATTTTCCTTGCGCTTTGAACTCGACTGCCAAACTTGGCACGCCAATATCGAAGATCAAGAAAATAAGAGAGGGCAGGATATAGAGCGCGAGGCGCAACGCGAATGGACCAAAAAACTCAAGTTGGAGGGGTGAGTAGGTAGCTGCGAGGGTGGTCCAGGCCAGAGAGAGGAAGATGAGATTGAGCGATGTGGACCAAGAGGATAGCATGGGGATCGCGAGAAGGGAGGCGATAGGGAGGGGGATTAGGTTAAGAAGGGAAGAGAAAGACATTTTGGAGAATGAAGATGTTGTGTCAAGGCCGTCAAGGGTGTAGAAAGTGGATTGGCGTTTGTCGCATACTCCTTTTGCGCGGTTCATGTGTTTGTGATGCCTGTTTTGGTGGTGTCGCGATGACGTAGCTGCGGACTTGCGCCACCAGCGCTTCTCCTCCTGCCGCGTCTGACGCTTGCGGCCTCTCCAATTCTCAGCCTTGCTGCTGCGAGAGCGTATCCTTCAACACCCTACCCCGCGCCCGTTTCATAGGTAACGATGTCTGTGGGTTATGCTGTTATGCTCAGTGTACTAATGTGTTCCAACTCTGGTGCTACTTTGACCTCGCACATCATACCTATTACCCCAATGTATTACATTACTAGTGAACTACACACGGCCTGAATTCAAGTGCGACTCTCTAACTGAGTGAACCACGGAGATTCCACCTCTAATTATAGCCAAAGAACTGTAAATTTCAACGAACAGTCCTCTTGGCCCCCACCACAGCACCCTGTGGCTACAAGGGACTGCAGATACGTCTGACTTGTGATAGGGCGGCTTGAGCGAAGGAACGACGTGATTATCGGAGTACAAAATCAGGTGGCTCAGCCTTGTTGACCTTTTACCCAGCTGTCCCCATCATCTTCATATCCCTCGACTTCCTGCGTACTTTGGGATCCTGTCTCTTTTCATATTCATCGCTGTCTTCAAGATACGGTATCATGTCGAGCTATGCTCCAATTGATTCAAGCAACGACGATACCGGTAGTAAAGCAGACATCCATGTCGACACAGATGCGGTGAGCCAACTAACGTTGCTGAACGCGTTCGATTCTGATCCGGAATACGACATCACTGCTGTAGACATCTGGGATCATCGCCGCGAGTCTTCCCTTAGCTTTGCAGCCTATGTAAAATTCTGCATTATCTTGGGGTGGAAAGAGTGTGTGCGTGTCTCAGCATGGCTATGGAGGAAGAGTTGGACTGCCGAGATATGCAGCTTCCTGTTCGCAATAGCTTCCCTTGTTGGCCTTGTTCTTTTCCTCTCGATCCATCACGGACAGCCTATACCTGAGTGGCCGCACCTCATTACCATCAACTCGGTCGTATCTTTGTTTGCGCTTTGTATGAGGATCGGGGTAGGCGTGGTACTCGCCGAAGGTTGTCCACTTCCAGTCACAAGGACTGCAGATTATTTGCTAACAGTGGATAGGCATCAGTCAATCAAAATGGCACTGGTTTGCCATTCCACGAGCCCTGCATGACATGGAACGATTTGACCTTGCCAGTCGTAGCGCTTTGGGCTCTTCACGTTTACTGTATTTTTTCGCGCGGCAAGGCATCTTGTGGGTATTCAGATCACCGTTGAATAATTTCACTGACCTGCAAAAGCTACGTCGCCATTGTTGGCGCCCTTGCCATGGTTATGGTATCTTTGACCGGGTTTTTCTTGCAGCAACTGGTCCAATTCGATGATTGTCTCCAGCCGAACAACACCATGGTTCCCAGAGTATCGAAAACCAACTCCTATTCCAGAGCAGGAGCACTAGCTGCATTCAACTTGACTACAGAAAACGAGCCTTTCATGGGTATGGTAGCTGCGATTAACGTCGCATTCTTCCAGGCTCCCGAAGATTATACGAATGTGCTTTCACAAAGATGCACAAGTGGGTTTTGCACTTTCCCGATGAACAACGGAACATCCTTCACCACTGTGGCTATAAGTCACCTGTGCGAAGACCTCACATCAAAAGTCTCCATTTCGACGCCGTCTTTGTCTCGAAGAGGCATAGCATCTCTGACAGATGATGCCGGTGCTCTAATCGAGCTCGACTTAGACAGCGATACTATCGTTACCGCACGAACAAATCCAAGAAAACGAGAGTCTTTGTCCTCGCTGACTACGGTATACATAATCAACAGGTCACTAGATCCAATCTCCTCGAAATCTTCATATCTACGTCCAAGCTCGTCTGATGTCGAGATACTCAAATGTTCTCTCTTTCCTTCCCTCAACACATATGGGGTCTCAATTACTCGGTCTCTAATAAATGAGACCCTTATCGAGAGCAAACCACTAGAGCCTTATCAAACAAAAAATTCGCAGGGCATGAGCTATTCCTTCCTCACGGCATCGACGCACACTTTGCGCGATGGAGCCCAAGAACCATGCGTAGGATCTGCAGCCTACGACCGCTTATATTTCGACTCCGAATATCACAAGTCAGACATACTAGATAATGGAACAGTGATTTACAACTCTTCGGCTCTTTATTACCCGAGGGACTGTGTGTGGGGCTTCGGGGAAGCCGCTGCGACCGGTATCCAACGTTATTTCAACAGCATCTTCGACAATCAGACGCTGACGTTGACGGATCTTAAAGAAAGCAAGTATCGGTCAATTCACCTACGTCAACTGTGGCAAAATCAGACAATGTCGTTGTCAAGGGCCGAGAAAGTCATGAAAGACATTGCAACGGCGATGACAGCTGTGGTACGCACCGAGGGCTCGGAGGGTTCCATCTGGGCTTTAGATGGAACCATGTTCTCTACCACAACATGCGTGGACATCAAATGGCCGTGGTTAACCTTCCCGATTGTCACCATCGTGCTCACTGGGGTTTTCCTTGTGTTCATGGTCTGGGAGAATCGCGATGTAGCGAGCGACAGGCTGTGGAAGAGCTCGGTCCTTGCAACGTTGTTCTGTGAGGTCGAGCATGCTCGCATGGATGAGACCAGGACTATATGTAAGGAAGCGATGATTGATATGGCGAAGTCTACGAGTGTCAGTGTCGAAGGTGGAAAGGGGACGCTGAAACTTGTGGCACGTGGATAGGGGTCACGGCCGCGTCTTTCTCTCGAAAGCAACTCAGTCATGCAAAGCTCTGGCGGAGACCTTTACTCCCGACATCATACTTGTAGAGCGCATGCGCAGCCAGACGGAACAAACAACGTAGACATCTCATATGTTAACGACTTTCTCCATCCCTAATCTTGACGACACGAGATCTTCCTCAGCTCTCTCGAGCGTTCTCCTCCCCACCATCCTTCTCTCTAACTGCCTTCTCCGATTGCCTCTTTCCCCTCTCCAAAATCTCGCTCGCCAGCCTCTTCAAATAGAAGTCACTCACATCCGCCGGCAGGCCCTTGAAAGCCCTTACAATCTTCTCTACATCTCTCCTCCCATTTTCGTACCCCTTCAGATCTCGATTACCGTACACATCCCTGCCCGCCGCATACTCCGTCTCGCCCAAGCCCTTCCAAAACACATTTACCGCTACACTCACGCCCTCATTTGGCGTCGCAGTGTGGCTCCACATTGGCGGTATGAAGAGCACGTCGCCCGGTGCCAAGGCTGCAGTGTGTGGGTGGATTTTGGGGTTGTGATCTAGCGCTGACAGAGGAAGAGAAGATGAGGATGCACCGGGAGGATATGCAAGGTGCGAGACGTCGGATGGCGGGTAGAGGGTCAGTACTTTGGTGCCTGAAATTTGCGAGAGAATGTTTGGGTGCACGTCGTAGTGCAGCCACAAGCTCACTGGGCCACTGATGCGTAGTGGACTGCTATGGTATGTCGTATCGTTGATGACAGAGCGGCAGAGCGACGGGATCTGGAAGTCTGGTGCGATACTAGGGAAGTCGTCTTCCAAGCGTGTGGGTAGCTTGTTAGGCTGGGTGCTGGAGATGGCACGCAGATAGGACGGTGCGCCGTTTCTGATGCTGGAGAAGAAGGACGACACGCTGCGTTTTTCGTAGGTGAAGTTCTTGGTGCCAAAGGTCATGGCTGAAGAACTGCATTCGTGGACTATGAGCTCGCGGTCGGAGCCAAGTTTGGATTCAAGGTACTCCGTCGTCCAAAGCTCAGTGCAGGGACCAATCTCTAGGCCTGCAATGATAGCAGGCTTCGATGTTTTCACTAAGGCAGCAAAGTCCTGTGGAGTATGTAGCTGTACGCGAGCGATGGCCACGGACTTCGGACCTTTTGCGGCCTTCTTGTTTTTCCTAGGCAGCACTTTGCGCTCATCACGCATGGTAGTCTCAGCTACCAGTGATGTATTGCTCTTTTGTGGAAACAATGGCGCCCGTAAGTTAGTTTCTGTCTCACACGGTGTGAGGGTGAGGTATTGCTCATTCCAGAAAGAGCCCATAGAGAAGCAGACAGCGCCACCGCCCGCCACTACAATCTCGTCTCGAGACATCGCGCGTATACCTGATCCAACAAGCAACGGCCAGTAAGCAGGCAAGTGGATCTTGGGGTGCTGAATATCTATCCCTGTCTTACTGTGCGTTAGTAGCATAAATTCTTCTGCTAGACTGACAATCCCAAGCTTTGGAACACCTCCAATGAGGAGCAACGCGTCTCCCCAGGGCAACAAAGTGGCGCCGACCCGCGCGTGAGTAGAGTTTGTTAAGCCGCTGCGGACTTTGTTGGTCATGTCTCGGAAACTCAATCGTGGTGGTGCTGTGCCCGAAAGCGACCACTCCCATACGTCGTCTAACACTGTGCCGCACGCACCAATACCCCCGACGAGCAACCCAAGAGTCTGTGCAGACTGTGCCGCAGCCAACACAGATATTGCGGCACCAAATCGTGCCGGTGGACGCGGACCGTCAATGAGAATACTGTGCCAGCCGCTGTTGGGCGTCCACAGGAGCCAGTCATCTAGCACTGCGCCATCGCTGGACTTACCCCCAAACACTAGAATCCCCGCACTCTGAGACAGGCCGTGTGACAAATTCACAGAGACGGCAGAATGCCTGTAGCGCGGTGAAGGTATGTCGTCTACTGCAGACCACTCACCCTGGCTCATCAGCCAGCAATCAGCCAGTGCCTGGGCAGGAGACGCCCGGCCACCGACCAGGAGTACACTAGCCTCGCTGATGTTTGTTATGGTGTGGCACATACGCGCCGAAGGCTGCAGCGTAGATTTAGCCTGGATCTGGAATTCCGCATTGCCGCGTGCAAGTGCGCTAATGCTGGACAAGCGGTTTTGCGGTCCCTGTCCGCCGTGAACAGCGATGGTGTCCTCACCGAGGGTGAAGGCTGCATTGAAACGTCGTGGCGTCCATGTGGAATCTTTCGGTAGCTCTACGGAGCGTAGCGAGATTGACGTTGGACCGGAGCTTGAGTCGACGTGTGCGTCCGTGTAATGTCTGCTGACATCTGGTAGAGTAGCAGCATCTGCCTGTGCATTTGATGCGACCAGAAGGAAGTAATGAGCGCCAAATAAGGCGAATTCTTCCCATTCGTCGAAGGGTTCAATTGCATCCACCTTTCTGCGAAGCGATGGAGGGGTGAAGGAGTCGTCAGACCACAAAGCCCACAGATTATCAACCAGCTCTAGTGATGGCCAACCTGCATCAAGAAACCTTGAAGACTGTTGGGCCAGTGTTTGATATTGCTTGACGGAGTTAATAGAGGCGTGCAGCTTATCAAAGTGTGTCAACATAGTATGCGCAAAGGGATGGTTTGGTCCTTGAGGTAGGTACTGCTCTAATACACAGAAGCGAGCTACTCGACGTTAGTCAACTCAATGTTAGAACGGAGGAATTGACTTGCAGGATTCGAACGTATTTGCCCATTTAATGAGCTTGTTGGCATCTACAAGTGGCATGTATGTAACACTCACTTCAGCCATAAACAGAATGGATGAATTGGCTATATCCAGTTCGCATCGTAGAGTATGCTCAAGAAGCGATAGATCTCTTAGATCGCAACCAATAGCCATGTACTGGTCACTTCGGACTCGGACTGGAGCCACTACTGAGCGCAGTCCTGTCTTGAGCAATGCATCTCGGAGCAAGCTTTTGGTGAACACCACATCGCTCTTCTTTTCGATCAGCTGAGGGTAATCCACATCTACGAATGTAGCTTTATCAGTAAGTGATGGATATCGATGCCAAAACTGAAAGGGTAATGGATCGCTTTGGAGTGGTCAGTGCTTTGCCATGCTGTTGTGTTAGCAGACACTTTACGTACTATCCGCATCCCAGGTTCACTACAACTTTCTTCTTGCCGTCGTCCTCTTCGAGGAAGCGCTTGACGACTTGCTCAATAGCATGCATTCGTAGCCAATAGCCACGGTTGATGAGTGGGTTGCGGCGGACATACTTTGGTGCAAACGGTTCGTAAAAGTCTGGCTCGTTGCTGAGATATAGTTTCGATACACAGCGCTTCGACACAATACTGCTGTCGTTCGTCTAATGAGCCTGCGTCAGACGCCTCTTGAAACATCGTATCTGTGGGATCCTGGCATGGTTTCTCACATGGATGATGTCGTCATCACGCTTCTCCACCTTGGACCTCAGGTGCCCTCTACGTTTTGCTGTGCCGTCTACAGACTTCGCCTTCAATTTTGCGGCCATCGTTGGAATGAGCGTGAAGTTCACTGCAGCTGAAATTTTGGTTGGTCGATATTGCCTCAGCCACACTTTCCCAAAGTGTGATGGCGGGGTCCCTCCCGGCACTGCACGCGATGCGCCGCTGATCATGCATCACTCGACGGACGCCTGCCTTCAAGGCTGCCGGTGACTGTGAAAACGTACACATGTCGCTCTCGCTACCTCCTTTCTTTACGTTTGCCGTTGCTCCTACCTACCGCCGCCCATAGCGCACGAAATCGACTTTCAGCGGGGTCAAAGCTCCGCAGCTAACGACGATATCTCGAGCAGCCCCAAGTACATACACGACAAAAGATCACCATGGGATCCATGAACTTCGTGACGTTCAACCAGGACCACAGCCATCTTGGCGTCGGTATGCGACACTAGGGAACCTCAATATGCGCTTCTGACATCATGCTTAGGTACCACGAACGGTTACCGCGTCTACACCACCGATCCATTCAACAAGCAGTCTGAATCCCGTGAAGGCGATGTCTCCAGCCTTGAAATGCTGTTCTCGACCTCTTTGGTTGCGCTCACACTGTCTCCACGAGTCTTGCGCATACAAAATACCAAGGTCAATACCGGCAGAACTCTCTGGATGTGCATAGCACTGACGTTGCGCAGAGACACTCGACCATCTGCGAGATGACCTTCCGTACTGCCATTCTTGCCATGCGACTGAATCGGAAACGACTAGTTGTGGTGTTGGAGTCAGAGCTCTACATCTACGATATAAGCAACATGCAGATGCTGAAGACTGAGAAGACATCACCAAACCCCAACGGTATGTTACACACTCGAGATCGGGATTAATTTCACTAACTTTGGCAGCAATATGTGCTCTGTCCGCGTCGTCTGAAAACAACTACCTTGTATATCCTCTTCCCACGAAAGCCGCGCCGAACACCTTCCAGCCACCCTCGCATGCACCTCCCAAGTCCGATCACGTTGCGCCCACCAGCGGCGAGGTCCTTATATATGACGCTACAAAGATGGAAGCAGTCAACGTAATAGAGGCGCACAACTCTCCGCTGTCATGTATTGCGCTCAATAATGATGGAACACTCTTGGCGACTGCTTCCGAAAAGGGCACCATTATCCGTGTTTTCTCTATCCCAGACGCACAGAAGCTCTATCAATTCAGGAGAGGTTCTATTCCGGCCAGAATATACAGCATGTCGTTCAACTCAACCTCCACACTGCTCAGTGTGTCATCGGCGACAGAGACAGTCCACATCTTCCGCCTCGGCACTCCGAACACAAGTCGCAGCAACAGCGTGTCTTCTGGGCCAAATAGACCAATGTCAGGTCCCCGAGGCCGCAGCGGTAGTCGTGCGAGTGAAGAGGCGCCAGACGAGTTTGGGGACAGTATTGGAGACATCGCTGCTCCAGAGCGCAAGCCGCTGAACCCAACCTTCGGCAGTCTGATACGGCGAACATCGCAAACAGTTGGTAAATCATTCGCTGCAACTGTTGGTGGGTACTTGCCAAGCGCAGTGGCTGAGATTTGGGAACCATCACGCGACTTTGCATGGGTCAAGGTACCCAAATCACTAAATAGTGCTTCTACCGGACCCATCAGGACTGTGGTCGCACTTAGCAACAATGCACCACAGATTATGGTGATCACCAGTGAAGGCAACTACTACGTTTTCAACATTGATTTGGAGAAAGGAGGCGAAGGAACGCTGTACAAGCAATACTCGTAAGTGGACCCTAACTCCGAGCACTGCAAGTTGCTGACTTTCTGCAGACTCCTCGAACCGAACGAACTTGCATCAGGCAGCATGCAGGACTATGCTGACTAGGTGTCGCGACGTCCGACCAGTTACCTCTGATAAGAGCATGTGTTTGTTTTACTTCGTTTTTGCATGGCAAACGGCGTTGGCTTGACCAAACCACATTATTCCCCTGGGCTTGAGCACAGTTCGCCTACTATACTTCTCTAATTGCATCTCTGTGCGACGTTTCACGACCTAAGCTGACGAAGCGCTCTGCCTCTCCATGGGTGAACCATTCTAAACGATGATGTCATGATCCTGCAGTGCACTCATTATGGATGCGTTGCAATGCCAAACGCGACACGGGCGCATGTTGTGACTGTTGCGATATGCTGTGAACCTTGCCAACGTGTGACTCGATATTACACAACACTTCTGGCTGCTGGGACAGATCGTTCGCCGTTGCCTGTCAAGCTGCATGTTGTGTGTGCATTCGGAAGGGGCCGCCGTAGCAGGGGTGCCCAGTGCCCCGCAACCTCCGCGTCTGACCTCATTGGCAGACGTTCGCAGCTACCGTAGTGTGCGTGCGGAGCTGCTGCTGCTGCCTTCCTCGAGATACATAAATCTAGATGTTCTATCGCACCGACTCTTCTTGCACAACCACGTTCATTGGAACCACTCCGAGCGACTGATCCGACAATACACACACCACAATGGTTTCAGACACAACGACCGGTAATCCGCTCAGCGCTGGTTCTCTGTCGCTGTTTATGGCGACAGCGCTGCCCCGTGGTGAGAGCGCAAAGCTGAAAAATGGGACCGAAGCTATAGCGCTCGCAGTGCATGCTGGTATGATTGCAGTAGGCTTCAGACTAGTCGGGCTTGGGGAGGACGAAAGGATAGGTAAGTGAACAGAACATGCGGCCTATCTTGAATCTCCTGCACGGCTACCTACCACATCGCCGATCTTCATGCTCAGACACTCATAGAATCATACGCAGACGCCGAAAATCCCAATCCACTACCTACAACTTGGAACACCTCCTCCCTGTACACATTCCGTTACAAACACGCCCAGTCCGCGATGGACTACCACATCAATGTCCATAAACTAGGCGGCAAAACAGCTGTCTCAGCGATAGCTATCGGCGACGACAGATCAAAGAATTTCGACATTACAACCAAGGATTACTTGTCCGAGTCGATGCTGCCTTTGAGTATTCCGGAAGATGCCTCGACAGAAGACGCGGCCAAGAAGCTTATGGATCTGTTCATCTCCTCAGGGCGTCTGAATGATCTTGGCTCATTGCTCAAAATCAGCGTAATCCAGAAGTTAGCCCCAAGCCTACAAAAGGTCGGTTACGAGGAGCAGAGCAATGGAACAGGCGCACGCAATGGACCAACGAGAGACGACAACTCCACGCCACGTCCGAACAACCCGCCAAATCCGCGACAGCCGCAAGATCCAGAACCTGCTCGCCCTTACCCGTTCAATGATCCCCTAGCGGCACCGCGACAGCCAGGTAGACCGATGCCAGAACCCATGCCAGGCTTTGAAGACGAATACGAAGTCAACCGACCACCACGAGGCGGACTCCGAGATGACAGGTATCCCGTTGGCATAGGCCATGACGACCTGTATCCTCAAGGCTTAGGTCCGAATGATCCTCTGCGCCCACACCTCGGGGGCGGATTGCCTCGACCTGGTGGTGGCTTTGGTGGTGGCATGCACCCCACATTTGATGACCCTTTGTTCCGGGGCCAGGGGGGACAAGGAGGGTATGACCCAATGGCACCGCCAGGTGCGCGATATGACCCGATTGGACCAGGTGGTGCGCCGCGAGACAACCGAGGCGGAGGTCCTCGATTCCCTGGTGGAGGAGGCTTTGGTGGACCGCCCAATCCTTTCGGAGGATTTGGGGGGTAACGATTTTATATGAAGCCGCGACATTGTTGGACTTGCAGGACGGCGAATCGCAGGACGAGACAGGCCCGATCGGTGCATAGGACTCCTCAGACCCCCACGAATGGGTTGATACAGACTCAGCAGTCTGGTCTGAACCAAACTGTGTACTTCATGAACGACCTGGCCCGAACGATAGACATGACTTTACAACTTAGGATCGGACGGACATGGCCTGTGGGAGACCGAAGAACAAAATTGTAGTATGTCTCTCCAAGAAGTATATTGGATACTGGCACTGTTTTGTGCTAAGCTTGCAGGCACCTTCGTGGGAACTGTCTTCTTACAACTCTTTTCCCCGTTTACACTGCAGCAATCGGTTGATTATGTCAATTACCTCGCATGGCAAATCGGATACCTTGTATTGACATGGATAGATAGATTTACGAGCAAACAAAACCCAAGGTTAGCGGTGTATCGAATCTTGTTGTTCTGTCGTGATATAATGCACTCGATAATGATGTCTAAATATCTTTTAGACATCAATCGAGTTGCAGACCACGTGTCGCAAATCCGGTCATGGCTCGGGAGGGAGATCTCGGAACGATGACCATGGAGCCTGGATCCATCTGTGGACAACGTCCGAGCCATCTGCTCATTTTCGTGTCACTGTGTTCGGGTAACATTTGCTTGCGGCAGGTAGGGATATGGCGCTCCATAGATGCTGATACAATCCCTTGTGATGTGATGGTTGGTAAGAAGTGGAAAGGATGATCGTTGTCAGTGGTGAGAGAGAGGGGGATTTGACTGGCATGTAGAAGGAAGGTGCTTAACTAGTAGACGGCTTCTGACCCGGATGGATGGCCCGAGAGCAGAGGGACGTCTGGCTATGCTGCTGCATCCCCACAGTCCAAAGTGAGTTTTTGCGGAGGATCACTGCAGACATCAGCTCAACAAGAGAGAGAGAGAGAGCATGTGAAAGATACGGTGGACAGACGGCCAATGGAGCATCAGCACGCGGTGTGTATGCGGTGCATTGCAAGAAGAAGCAGTCTAGTCACACGCCCAACACATCACCAGCGTCCATTGCAGCAATCACCGAAACGAGTTCAGTCCTATCAAGCATTGTCGAGCAAGCAGAAGCAACGCACGCTTCCTTGAGCACACCGGTGTGGAGACCGCATCGCCACCCTGATACTCTGGGCCCTCACATCACTACCATGCACGTCGCAGTCGACCTGGGTGTGCGAGAAGCTTCTGCATGCTTGCATAAGGATTTGGAAGTCCCACTTTGACCCTATCTTGGTAGTTTGTTATCATGAACAGTTGATCGGAACTGCTGCTTGGCAAAAGAGGGGCTTGCTCGTATGGTCGTTTGGTCCTGCTGGGTGCTGCTTTGGGTGGTGGTTTGGCGAAGCGATATTAGCATGTACTCCTTCGCTGCAGCGTCAACGTTGTTTTCGTCGGTAATGCGGGGCGCTTCTCGGTCTCATGCCACCGATTGAGTATCGTTTTTCGCGAGTTCCACCCCGCTCTTGGCAATGTGGTTGTGATGCTTCTGGGATGTGTGGTGATGTGGTGATATCTAGGGTCTGCGTTTGAGGGTGGGAAGCAGCATCAAGGACTGCTAAGGCACTCTTCTCATCACCACACGGATTCGAGACTTTAAGCCCTGTCTGGATTACCAGATCTGTTGCATATTTCAGTTGCCGCCGATGCTCTTGTGATTATTGCGTGGGATTGATCGAGTTGTATGCTGAAACTTGGGACACCTGGATGTCCCAACGTGCCCCATTGTAAAGATGCATTCGTTGTGAATGATCAAATTAGAACTGCATTTCATCGTGTCTCGGGACGGAAAACCTTGACGATATTCGATGCTCTGACTGAAAAGGCTCGATCCCCTGGCCGAGTACTGTGAAGGTGGGTATGTAGAGGGTGGTGACTTGCCCGTATTAGGAAGGCTTCGCGAGTAATTTGGTGAACGATTGCAGGGGAGCGAAATCGATAGGAATGGTCCCGCTCACAGTTCAGCGTCTCGAGTCGGACAATGCCTGCTAAATACGGAGATCGATCGTAAGCGCTTACCGTACGTGACTCGCATCGCACCTACCACAGCAAGAAGGTAGGGTCCTCCATTGCGTATACCCGCTCTACACCCGGATTTCGTGCCGTGATCTCCAGGCATTGCGCACGTAGCCGCAAGTCGTACCTTGCGCTGCCCGTTTTCCCCATACGTCACCCCACTCACGCTTCTCGATTCAGCTATCCCTTGCTATTTTGTTGCTTCGAGGCCCCACAAATTTGTCGTGCAAGATTTCATCCCAAACGTTGAATCCTCGTTCCTTCGTCAATACTGCTCTCGCCTTGTCGCATAAATCTCTTGTCTCCACCACGCACACACCCAGTCTGGCCTTTGTTCGACGATCATATCGCGTAGCAACTCAATCCCAGATCTCAGGATCCTGATCTTGGATAGAGTCCTATGAAAGGGAAAGGGCGCCCTTGGTCAGTGCTTGCGAATAACAGAGCTCTATGCGTCTCTTCTGGCATCCTTGTCCATATATGCGTATGAAGCTGACGGATACAAAACACACAAACAATGAAGAGGTATGTCTCAGCCGGAATCCTTTGATGTAATTCGTGGGGCTTCCAATTTTCGGATTTTAGCACTGTGCAAGGGGTGTGTGCAAAGACACACAGGTGATAGTGACTACAGGCTCCACCTGGCGGTACCTGGTGAAGTTTGAAACTGTGATGTCCAATCCCCGATGCATGGTATTCCTTACCGGTGAATGTGGGCCAATTGTTTGAGACTCTATCTTACTTTAGGGCACTTGCCCAGCTTTGAATATTGGGGTTGGACGCACTCACAAACCACTGGAAAACGGTTGGAACTGTTCGCATCGGAGTAATCCGAAACCGGTGGAGCATGGAGTGAAGGAGCGCTGATTCAGAGCTGACTGGGTGCAGGTCACACAGGAACAGAAGTACTGCCGTAGTAGCACAGCAAGATCGACAGTGAGACTTGATTACTGTCATGAAATCGCGCCACATCCGGCTCAGCCCGCATCTACTTGTTGTAGGTCTCGTGCTAAGAATATAGAGGATTAACATGGTTGAAACATGAGAGATAGATATAATAGATTGTCGGGAGTTCGCAACCGTCAGTAGCTTCATGATCTCCCTTGTAGTACCTCAGACCTGAGAGCACATGAGGATATTGATCTTTGGGGTGTGGGTTTATAAAGAAGTGGTACCTTTGGATGCCTCTACCGAACGCCTTCAGGATTTTCAAAAAACGTTGTGGCGCAGCAGATCATAAGTCTGGACCACAAGTGACGGCGTATCGATGAATGATCTGATTCAGGATTGCGCGTAAGCTCGGCACATGTTCACATGTTGCAACGTGCAAACAACTGTATACTCCATGTCGTTAGCCAAGACCTAACGCGGTTACATACCGTGGGGTCGTTGTGAATCGCAACTTGCAGCGCGTCCAACAGTCGACACGAAGCTTCATAACCTCCTCATGTTGGACAACTACGAGGCGGATTCATATTGCTCTCGTTCGACAGCCAACGGCCAGATGAAGAGCCTCGTATTACAAATAGCAGACGCGGAACAGACCGCCCACAATACGCGGATGACAAAGAACCACGGATGTCAAAAGCCGCACAAGAAGGGTGGATCACAGGTGCGATCCCTCCTGCGCAGCGGATGTAGCCTAGCACTGCCGGTGTTTCGTGGACTCAATTTACCGAGCATGTGGTATTTTCGATACTTTGCGGGCTCAAGTGAGCATGCTGAGATTTGCAGAGGATGCAGAAGAGTCATGGTCCCGTGTTTGGATTGATATCACCTTTGCGGTCTGCAGGCGCCGCAGTGTCTGAAGGCGTGTTCATCATTTGAACTGCAACCCGAGATCTGCAACATGTAAGCGCCAGGAGAATAGAATTGATGATGACATCTTTCAATGCCGGCAAGTTGTGAGAGCCGCAGACATCGGCCTGTATCCCGTGTTAGACAGAATGTCCGAGCGGCGCAAGCATGATTGGTCGGGGAAGCCAGGTACTGCACCCGCGTCGACTGATCGAGTAAATTTGGAATGGTAACTGTGTTTGTGGACAAAACTCAGTGAATAAATCGATGATCAATCATCCAAAGTGACGCGACAGTGGATGGCGCCTGATCCCAGCCGCTCTTGTGCAGTCCAGAACGGCTCGACTTGATTACGAAGCCGAATGATTCCAGCAGCGGAATTATCATCGAAGTGAACAAAGCTCATTGGCTGTCAGTGTTAAAAATTGCAATATGTACAAGGGTGAACGAGCTCGGCATCTTTGCGCAACGGACAGCGAGATATATGGGTCAAGGCGCTTGGACAGCAGTCGTCAAGCGTGTAGCGCAATTTACCCGTTCCACACAAAACCATCGCGGCTCTGGGCGCCTGCTGACGGCTGCATAGCGTCTGGCTCGGTTCGTTACCCGATCGCATCAGTCAGTCACGCGCGATGCAGATGCGGATGCGCTTGTGGCGGGCTTTGGCGAGATAAGATGTGATATAACATCGAACATTATGAGGTTGTTTGCAGGGTGTTCGCGTGGTGGCTAATACGTGTTTGGTTGCCAGTCTACCTAACGTCGCGTACGCTGGAAAGCACGATCGACTGCTCCACGGGCTATGGCCAGGTTCGGCAGCGTCCGCGAGCGAACTGCGGGGATCACCATTCTGCAGAATGCCCTGGCGGCAACCTGTCCTGGTTAGCGGACTCTTCTTAGAGTAGTATTTGCCAAATGTACCAGACATTTGATTGGTGTTGAGGAAATTCCGGTCAGTGTATGTTGGTTAGTTTGAATGGTTGCCTCTACCAGCTTGGAAGGATAGGTCACTCGCCACGCGTAAAGCATTATCAGGGATCGTGTGCAGCGTACACTGCAGAAAGTGTTTCCGCTGCAACGACGTTGCACGCGACCAGGGTTGAGACATAAGACAAGCAATGAATCTAGATAGTGTTGGAAGAGCGGTGTTGTGATCTAAACATCAGCACCGGGCGAAAGAGGGACGAGAACTGCGGCAGATGAACGCCAATCTGTACCAAGAGCGAGATGAACTTTGGAACGGCCTGTTTGAGTGTTCGGAGTGGGTTGATTCGCTTGCACCGTCAATGCCTAGATGTGGACAAGGGCTGGTGACTGGCCCTCAATGGTCGTAGTGAAGCCCACATCGGCTCAACCAAAAGCGATCATACACCGGCGTTTGAGGGCTTTCATTGATCAGGAGATGCCTGCAGGAGCCAACCAACGGGTGGTCGCGGCAGAATGGCAGTGGACGGAGGAATGCCATTTGTTCCGTGGACCCACGCTGCCTCGCTGGTCGATGCAGTAGACGAGCTACAGGCGCGAAGGGGGTAGCAATATTTGCTGTCCAGTATGATGTTAAGTTCATACATTCAGTGTAGGCATGCTAAAAGCACGATGTCAATGGTACAGTGATTTGTACTTGTGAACGGCGCGATTTGACTGCAATGATGTGTAGGGCTCGGGACGACCTGACCAACGATTCACCCGTCCCAGTGACTGAAAAATACGTGTCTCGAGCTAGCAGCAATGCGTGAAGCCGACAAGGCGGCGAGGCACGGTGATCACCAATGCAAGCCCTGCCTCACATCTGGACAGCCCGCTTAGGGTGATGATCATGTGAATTATCGCGCAGAGATTCGTTGACGAGGCTGCCCAGTCTTCGCTACTGGCACCAGAATCAATCGAGAGGGCAGGAAATGATCCCTAGGAAGCGTGTTGGTCAGCTCGCGCGAAGGAGCTGCTCGCTGGATCGGCGATAGCGAAGTGCAAATTGGACCAGAATGCCGGGTCGGGCAGAAGCTGAAAGGTGTTACAGTGATCATGCGAGTCTAAGACAATAACAAGTTGAGAACGAAGGGGTAGGCAATGGATTAGCTCATTTTGAGAGAACCCTGGGGTATGATGTCGAAACGATGGGGTTCGTGACGTGGTGGACTCGTTCTTGGGATATATGAGGTACGCTAAGATCGCGGCAAGCGAGCCGAATGCTTCCATAACTGGCGATAAGAAACTTACCAGATGCCCATCTCTAAGCGCCTGTCAAGACGCTGCGATCCATTACAGAACAGGTAAGAAGCACTTCAAATGAATGGTGGTCAGCGTCGTGCATATGCGGATGTAAATGCACAACAATAGCCGGGGAGCAGGGGCCGCAACAGGGGTCGCAACAGCCGCCGCTGTGTGTCCCCTGGTCGGACTCCCCTGCTACAAGTGGTACAGCTGGGGCACATCGAACTATGGAAGAAAAGGCAGGTAATCTATTCAGCAGTGAAGCACAGTGCGCTTAAAGTACAGCAGGGTACCACTAAATGCCCACGCCGCCGCCGCCGTGGAAAGAGCGTGTTGCTGCCCAGTCACAATGCGATCTCCATGTGAAGGCTGCAGGCATTGTGCATATTTAAGCGCCTGGCGCAGGCAAACTCGCGCGGTCATGCCCTGGTCGGTCCTAGTTTGTCTGGCTGGCATTCCTTGGCACGTATGTGCAGGCAAGCTATCCCCATGTGGAATTCGTTGGCCACATCTGTGCGAAAATCCGTGCGGCCAGTACCATGATTTTTGCAGGGTCGGCTCAGACGTCGTGTTGTGTCGAACTACAGCTGCCCCGTTGATGTTAGGTGACAAAGAGTAAATACACACCGCAGTTTACAAAGACGGCTCAATAAGGATGCTACAGCTGAAATCATGTCAAGTTCTATGTGCGAACATTTACATGTTTTTAGCAAACCATGTATTCTGTTATGATGGTTGTATGTACTTCAAAACCAGAACGCCTCCAAACCATATACACGATAGTAGTGTGCCAACAGCTGACTGCAGATGCAAGACAGTAAATGATGCTCAAGTGTCCCGCCCACGCTCATATACAATTCATATTTCAGACATCCTCCCTTTCTAGAGTCTTGCTCGATACTCTGACACTTCATGGCGCGACACTTCACGGCGCCGAGGACAACCGTCTCTCATGTGCCTAATAACTGATTAGTAGATGAAACGAATATTGAGAGGCGGTCCTGCTCACCTGTCGCAAGTATCTTTCCGCGAAAACACAGAAGGGCATTTGTGGCACTTCTCATCCTTTGTCTTCAGGTGAACGCTCTTGTGGTGTCTGTCCAGATCGGTCTTACGAAAGAACCCTTTCTTGCAGTCCTCGTAATAACAGACATGTGGCCTCGGGCGACTCTTGTTGTGAGTCTCTAGATGTTGCCTATAGTTGAAGTTACGAGCGAATCCCTTCTTGCAAGGTGTGCAATAAAAGAGGGCGTCAGAGGGTGAGGTGTGTCGTGAATTACGAGCACGCTGTGGACGTGCAGAGTGGTTAGAAGCCCGAGGGAACTCCGTGCGTGAGGCTGTACTTGACTCGCTGGGTCCACGAAGAAAGGTCTGATGTACATAGGTCGTAGGTGTAGGCTCAAGGCTAGCTTGTGGAGGCGAGTTGTACGCATTCTCGTAGGGCAGCATGGTACTGAGCAATCTCTCAGGCGCAACGGTCATTGGTTGCTGGCGTAGTGATGGCAACGTTGACCCGTTGTGTGCATAGCGTACATCGTGAGGCCAGCCGTGGCCTTCTTGGTTCACTGCTCCCATTCCTTGATTCATGTCGTGGTAGGCGTCATCACGTCCAGTATGAGGATACACAGGTACAATCGCCGCAGACGATATCGATGACCGTGGCGATAATTGGGCGCCTTCCCAAGGGTGAGGAGATCGAACGATTGGATGCTCGAATGCTCCTGATGCATAAGGATCCGCGATAGCATGTGTTACAAGAGGAGAGGCGCCGCTGGAGACATGGCTTGACCAAGAATCCGAGGGTGATGGTGATGGAGGAAGAGTTGTGTGAACTTGGTGGTGATAAGTGTAGAGCCCCAGACCTTGCGGATATTTTGGCATGGATTCGTCTCGCCGTGGAGATAGGTAGGGAGGCTCAAGTAAGGAGTTGGACCTCGATGCATGCGTCTGATAAGGTGAATTGAAAGGGGGCGTGGGTTGCTCTGCGTAATGCATAGCGACAAAGAAGCGTTGTCAAAGATCTTGAGAACGAGGCTGATGCACGAAGGATAACGATGGATCCAAGAAGATTGGCCCTGGCTTGATGAAAGCGGACGATGAATTCCGATGATGGTTGGTGGTGAGTGATAGGATAGGGCGTCCAAGCACCGGAATATAACTGCACGACGTATGTGCTCGGGAGCCCTCAAAGTCTGAGATGGTATGTATATTTGCAGTGCAGTGGCAGTGTAGTTTCGAAGAAAGCCGTTTGAACAGTGGGGTTTTGAAGGATAAGGCAGACTCGGAAATTGTACCAGTTAAGAAAATACAAGGGTACTGGCATGATGGGTTTGATGGATTCGAGCCGCGAGGCGGCAGCGCCTGTTAGTGGCATAGGGCCGTGTTCCTGCGGGAGGGCTGAGGCGGAGTGGGTGTGCAAGAGTAATAGTGCAAGTTATGCAGGCCACACCCCGTCGTAAATAGGAAGACCGGGGTGGCCCACTTGGGTGCCAGACTGTCGGGAAGAGCAAGGCGGGCCGACCACTCACCAGATTTGCGCCATTGCTCAAGGCGCGACGAACGGTGAGTGCGGCTGATCCCTTGGAAATGGTGCCTGTTTGTGTTTGGGTGGAGCCACAACGCACTCAGATTATAGCCACAACTGTCAGGGCCGAGTTGGCGGTGGTCTCCGTTACTGCTTTCAAAGAAGAGATGTGACTCATTAGTTCATTGCATCATTTTACATTGAGTTAGAGCGAGTGCGCTTCGGGTAGACGTGTGCTGCGGAAAACTATAAGCGCCGGCCATCAAGCGACCGCGCTCGGTTCGCGTTGCTCTTGAAGCCGAGAAACAATAGCCGATAGTGCTTCAACCTGTGTGGTAAGGTTGATGACGAGGGCCCTTAGTTGTGCATCCGGTTCTACCTGCGCTGCGCCTGGCTGAGATCGGCCTGTGGACTGCGTCCTTGCTGCATTACTGGAAGTTGCCTGGGTGTCTGCTCTGAGCAAGCGCGGCGAGTTCACTGCTAATCGCGCAGGTCTCTTTGTTGCCGTAGGTGTCTGTGGGCCACTGAATGACATGGGCCCTAAGTCACGCTTGCGATAGACGTCCAGGTGTTCGTACGCCCAGATGACACCTACAAATGGTAAGTGGGTCGCCTTGAGCAGCACGATACGTGCGCTTCTTAGGCTTCCAGATGGCAAGATGAGCCGAAAAGGCCGTATGCACAGTGGGATAAGATTCTGTGGCCGTTAGTCTTGTCTCAATCACTGTACGCAGCTTCTGTCGGACGTTGTCGATCACATGTAGGCCCACTTGTCTCGGAGAGCCTGGGCCGCAGTGCGAGGCTTGTCACTGCGCTATGACAGCACGACGCCAATGTCACCATGGACCAAGAGCTATTCTCCAGACGCCACCGTTGACTCCGTACTGGCTGGATAACGTGATTTGTTTTTGTTGGTCGAGAGGCTATGTTCGTAGCCTTTTTTGCGGCCCGGCGCTTAAAGCACGTTTCACATACCAAGAATAGTCAGAAGAGAGCAGAAAACTTACAAGCGGAGGTAGGAAGTAGGTTAGTCGGTTCGAAGATGATGCTTCAAGAACGTAGACTGAGTAGCTGTCATCGTCGTTGTCAGTAGGAAGGTGGTGAGCTTAGGTGGTGAACTAACATGAAAAGATACTCATCACGCGCATGCTCGAGAATCTACATGACTGTCAGCGACGTCCAAAAAACTTCTTGATTCTCGTTGAAAAGTGACACGGTATGCTCATCGCACTTTGACCAGACATAATCAGGTGGTAGGGCGAGTCTCTCCTCGCTAGTCTGGCTGCACATTGACAAACATCCGGAGCGACGTGTAGCGACGTGCGAGCACCAAAATTGGAGATTCTGCCTCGAGGGCTGAGGCTCCAGTAATGGTTGAACTATTCTTGTATGTAGTGTATCGACACTTTTAGCTCGCACCTGGAGCGGAGCAAGACTGCCAAGGCCGAAAACAGAGCAACGAGAGCCAATGAAACCTGTCAATGAACGCACCTTACTGAGCGAGTTACTCAAAAGGGAGATCAAACTCGTGATGAGAAGTATGTTGGTTAAGATGATGAAGACAAGCTAGACTCATAATCAGTGATCCGAGTGTCGCTGTCTTGTTTGAGGGTCTTACCATTACAGGTGGACCGAAGAAGGGTGATCTATACACGTCAAAAAATGGCACTTATGTACGAGTTGTCTTTACCTACATCTCTTGAGCGACATCTACATCGCAAACTTGTTAGCGACATCGTCTTTGAGTCATCATGCACGTTCTTGCTTACCAAAGCCGAGGTAGCTGGATCTGCGAGTGTCCGTTAGATTGTGTTTACAGTCCGAAGCAGGCCACTCACCCAAAGAAGACCTTGATCAGAATCCAGCTCTTTTTGGTTGTGTTAGTACCATTCTCCGAGACGGCTACAAACATAACGTACCATCTCCTGTGGCTTGAAGTGATCTCGAGCGAGTAAAACGAATGTAGTAAGAAATCCTAGTAGGGATGTTAGTGTATTCTAAATCCAATAGTAGTGCAAAGCGAACAGTACCTAGATATAAGATTAAGACCAGCGATAGAAACTTGACAAAATCTTTGGTCTGTTTATGTCAGCTTCGGAGACAAGGGCTGTCCTCACTGTCTACCTTACCATCTCTTTCAAACAGGGAATCTGGCCACGGGTCAGTGAACTTTCTTTTATCAACCGAGGGCCGACATACCAGGGTCCCGAAGTAAGGATTCAAGCTCAATAGAGAGAAAATACGTGGGACGAGGAAGAGCGCTTCCAGCCCAAGTACGTCGTAAGCTAGGTCGATAGTGTCTTTATCGTGGTTTGATAGGCCCAGTATTCTGAGGACACAAAAGGCCATACCAACAACAACAATACTTATATCCCATGTCCACCAGAAATCTGATGTGTAGAAATTCGTTTGTCCAGCGTCAATCCAGTCAGCAAACTCGTCATATGCAAAACTTGCTATCCACAAATAGAGCAGAATTTCAGACACAGTGACTCTTTCCTCCTCTCGGTGTACCAATACTGCGTAGTAAAGAGCCAAGAAAATGGCAAAGAAGAGAGTCTCGAATATCTTGAGATATCGAGGTACGCGTAGACGGGAAAAAGGATCAGCCTGCTTGCGATTATACTTTCTGGGCCGTTTTACTGAGTTTGCACTCAAAGTCTCCCAAAAAACAATGTCTCCGCGCCATAATCCATTAATGACCTTTTGAACCGGCCGTTGACTGAGGAATTTTTTGGCGCCACCAACGGCTGCAATCTCAAGCGCAGAGAGGTTCTCACATTGGCTTCTCAAAGAGCCAAATCTTGGATTTGTGGCGTCGTCACTTCTTGTACCAAAATAATCGCCATTGTCTACGTCAAGCAAGGGCGTCCGCTCGCTGTATTGAGTAGCGCTACCGCCATTCTGGTGGGTACGGTCGATGGGGATCGAAGGAGCTTCACTGTCGGGGGACAGGGCAGGGGGTAACTCGAGTAGCAAAAAGTCGATGACATCCCGATCAGTAAGGCTGTTCAGGAATTGCCATGCCACAAATTCGCAGGCAAATCCCCTGGCCTGATTAACACCTGGCTCGTCACTCGTTTCTTCAAGGGCAGAAAAGTGACCTTTGAGAGCCCTGTTCCGAATCAGCACTCCTCTTAACCGGTATGTATGCCGCGAACGGCTCAATGCTTCGACATACAGAAGGGCAGACACCAGGGATGGGTGGTGTACGTGATTTGATAGGTGGTTGATCAGAGGAGTCAACACGCGACCGTACTGGCTTGTCCGGAAGGCTTCGAAGCTATGAGGAAGCTTGATAGTTCGATCGAAGTATCTGGCGCACGACGTCTCAGTGACTGCTGCGACCTCCGCCTGCCTCGGACTTACTGGCTCAACTTATCGACCAGGTCTGCGAAACTTTCAGCGCTATCAATCTCAGGTATACCGGCTTCGTCGGTTGGCCATCGTGACCCTGAAAGTAGTGACATGCTTCACGGTGCTCCTCGATGCGTTCGCGAGATGCATCGTCAAAAGTCGCGCACAGCACTGGGGCGCGTCGCGCTTGCGAACCGCGGCCAACGGCGATTGCCGTCATGGCTTCTTGGTTCAGGCTCACTCCTTCCCGCGCTTCAACATCAACCACTACACCACGCAAGCATCCGCATCGATGGTGCATTAGACCTTTGATCGAAACTAACATCAGCCGTATAATGCAATGGCAGATCCCTACGAAGCCGACTTTTGCGGTGACCGGCTACGCTTGTCAGCCTTTCTTCGCGTTGTGGGTGACGGCATGCCGCAGCGGCCAACACGGTTCAAGCGCCGCCTACGACATAGTCACCACTTTTCTGAAGGTTTGGGCCAGGATTACAGCGATCGCAATGGCGAACGAGCGAATCCAACTCAGAAGTCCACGCGTGAAGGGCACTCGAACGATAAATTTATCATTGAAGCCTCGCGCTCGTCAAAGCCAAAACTAAACACACTCAGATCAGAACATCGTCCGCAGGCACCTGCACTCAACAATGGAAACGAACATACTCGCGGCCGACTCGAGGATTCTCAGCCCACAGACACAGAGGAGCAGGCAGTGAAACTGACATCAATCACAGCGGTTACAAGGTCACCTACGAAGCCTCATACGGTCCCACAAATTCGGAATAGGCGCCGGCTGCCTGTGAACCAACTCGCTCTGCTGCGGACCACGTCCTCAGACGGTCTGCCCCAGCCGAGCGTGAGATTTCACTGATAAGGCAAGTACCCACGGTCAAGCTGACTAATTTGATCAGACATATCATGTTCCCGCGATGCCTGTAGCTGCCACTGAAGCGATCGAAGATAGCCAGGTACAGGCTCTGTCCCGTGTGCCGTCCAAGAGAAAGGCTCCTGAGCGGCCATTAACCCAACGTGTCCAGAAGCCAGCACCTACTACAAATGCAATTGCCCCCGCTCAGATGTTCCGAGGACCATTCACTCAATTTCGTTTTGCACAACTCAGCGGAGCACACAGCCGAAGGTCCAGTATTGCTACGTGCTCAGATGGTTTCGTTGGTGAGGAGCTCAGTGTACAAGTCACGAAGAGACCTCTCACGCCGCAAAACAGCAGTGCCGGTCGAACAAAGAGAGTTGCACTGAACCGTAGGGGTCTTTTCTTGTCGCAAGGAAGCCTACCAGAACCTTCTCTAGGGCCATCTGGAGACACCGTAATGATGGAGGATTGGCCTACGAACACTGAAGTTCGCATGTCAGCCCGAACACCATCATGTACTGAAGAGGCTTTGCACTGTCTATGACCTCAATCTGGTCTAGTTGCAACTTCAGGGGAGTACAAACGCGAAAATGCAGGCAATGGCCCCTCGGCGGCAAGGATTTTGTCCGTCCCGTGGGTCTACATCTTTCCCTGGTCCGTCGTTCAGCATTATCGAGGTGTAGGTACAACTTCCGGAACAGGCTCCTGTCATCTATTATATGTATATAGCAGTTACGCGTGGGCTCTATAACCGTACGTTGGTGTCAACTTTTCCCAGATTGTCGTGTCGTTTCAGGAAAGGGGCACCCTTTCTCATTGAGAAGATGTTGATGGAAGACAGCAACGAGAAGAGACATGCAAAACACCCTTTCGCTGTATCTGCATCCCTGGTAATATCTTGCGTCTCGTGGAATGCGCGTGGCCGTGTGTCTCTTTGCTGGCAAGATGCGACAGCTAGATCATTCACGGAACACAGCCGTCAAATGGCATTTTCAGCGCGGTGACGTAACTCCAGTTCAGAGTCGTCAGGGCGGAGAGAGAGTTCCGATGCGCATAATCAACATGCAGCTAACCGAGCGGATGCACCGATTAGTTGCAGCTTGTTCAGAGTAGATAGCTGAGTCCACAGGAGAAGGCAGCCGCGAGGCATCACCTAGCCCACTTAGCGTTGCTGTTTCGCACTAAGATATAGTTATCCGTTCATCGAACTCTTAGTGCGACCACTATCGACACGTCGAAACACAAGAGCTCCTGTACTTAGAAACAATGCCTCGCCTGGAATCGTGTCACTGGCCTTGTTAGGGATCTGGGGTCCTTGGTCCTGGTCATGACGGCGCAATAAAACACATATATGGAGAGCAGTGTTCCTTGCGATGCATGCCGCTGTTCCACGCCCATACTTGCTCCCGGCTTGTCGACTGGATCGTCTGCGCCAAATCAACCACTGAGCAGGCTTCCAAAGGTTGATCCTCCAATATCATGGCGTCGCCGGGTGGTATGCCTCCTTCGATGGTAAGTACAGCGTTTCTATAGATCAAGTGTCAAGACTGACAAGTTTTAAGGCAAACATGAAGCCACCATACCCTCCAACAGTGTGGGCGTTGGGTGGTGCACCTGTGAAAAGAGTAGATATCCCTGCACAGGCTGTGTTCATGTTTCTTTTCATGATCGGTGCGGCTGTACACATGAAAATATTTCAGATGAACAGAGCAAGAGGACACAAGTTTCTATTCAACCTCTTCATCTTCAGTATGTTACCCTTATATGCTCAGCATCATATGCTAACATCTGTTCCAGTTTTCTGCATATCGCGCGTCCTCACATCTATACTACGAATTGCATCAACGGCGCAGTCTCGAAACGTCAAACTCGCTATCGCGGCATCGATCTTTGTTGCGGCTGGCGTACTCATTCTCTTCATCATAAATCTGGTCTTCGCTATGCGCATAGTGCGGTCACTGCACCCTAGACTCGGGTGGCATCCTGCATTTGGCATTGCTTTTAAGTTGCTTTGTGTCCTGACTGGAGCAACAATTATCATGGTCATTGCAGGTACAGTACAAAGCTTCTACACTCTGGACCAGAGCACTAGGGCGTTAGATCGGAGTCTTCAACTGTACGGGTCGACATATCTCGCCATCTTCGCCACGTTGCCACTACCGGTTGTAGTCCTTTCACTTCTTATTCCTTACTCGCCACTGGATCGCTTCGGCACTGGACGTCTGCGCACCAAAGTCATCGTACTGCTCGTCAGCACTACCCTACTCTCCATTGGTGCCTGGTACAGATGCGGCAGTACATGGGCGCCACCCGTTCCGCGATCTCAACCTCTTCCAGGCTATCTAGGCAAAGGCGCATTCTACATCTTCAACTTTTTCGTCGAGATCCAGACAGTTCTGATGTACGCCATCTTGCGCGTAGATCTTCGCTACCACATTCCGAACGGCGCCAAAGGGATCGGATCTTATTCCTCGTCACAGCAGCTCGGTGATGTCGAGATGCAAGATTCGCGACCAACATCAGCATCAGAATCCATCAAGGACACCCACAGCGAGACTACTACAAAGACCACACCCACATTCGGTCTAACAATCGATACCAGCGTCCCCACCATCCTAATTCACGATCCCGAAAAGACCCCCGTCTTCTCTCCCGAATCCCCTGACAACCACGTTGCCTCCACCGAATCATCACCCACCACATCCCCCGCAAAGTCCAACCGCAAATCCCTCCTCCAATCCCTCTTCAAGCGGCACTCCAAACCCCCCTCCCTCCCCCCAATTCCCGACACAACGCCCCTCTCCCCACCCCCGGTAGCCCAGCCCTCGCGCTGGCGCGACAGCGAACAGCGCCGCATCGTCACGCGCCTCGGCGGGCCCTGGCACGAACTCGCTTCCCCGACCTCGCCCACGAGTCCCAGCACCGTGATGTCCTTCCGCAGCCGCGACCCGCGCGACAGCGTCGGCGGCATCAGCATCAACACGGGGCTGTCCTTCGCTGCCCCGAGCGCCGTCACGGCGCCGAGTTTGCGCGACACACTGCGTGCTGATGACGGCTGGACACCGGATCTCGACTGGGAGCTTCGCAGTCCACGGCGGTTTCTGAGCATGAAGAGGAGGGTCACTGGGGAGTAGGGGTGGGCGTAGAGCAAGCGAGCCCTGGCGGCGTTGGGGTGGCTGTTGCGCGGCTGGAGGCCGCTGTATACATTGTAATTAATATCACGAATTTCTCTCTCTGTTCACATGCACCACTATCTCTACACGTACACCTGCACGCCGTCCTCGCAATCGGTTCCTGTGTCTTCGCTGTTGGTTGGTGGTGCGTGCTCATGCTAACGCACCCTCGGACGCGACGATGAAACCGCACCACAACCCTGAGGCACAACAAATATTGTTTCGCCCGCGCGCTGTTTGAAGCGTGCTATTTACGCCCCAACCATTATAGTTTGGAATTGCCGGGCGGAGAGCCGACGCGGGACGATGAAACGGCGATCGATGTATGGCGGATCCAAGATTTGGTATGCCCGCTTTTCTGGGTTGTGGGGGTGACGTCGTGATGTACACAGTAGGATGGACCTTGCGCCCGAGATGATGTTGAGGTGGTGTTGGTTGTTCGAGGCTTGGGGATCGTTTGGGGTATGGGCTGCAGGCGATTGCCCTCCCGCATGGTAGAAAAAGCAAGGGAAAGTGGTTGCTTGGTGCTTTTGTATTCGTGCATATGCACCGTGGTATTTGTTTTTACGTCAGTCTTTTCACTTCTCAGTCCCATGGTGTGGGTATTTTGCTGCAGGTACCTGGGCGTGACAGCACCGCTAGCTCAGGTACACTGGCAGGCATCAAGCTAGACATGCATACTATAATGTGCCAGGATATGGCAGTGCAAGGATTCCTCACAGCGCCGTTACGTCTAGAACTGAAATTGTCAACCATCCACGTGCTGTCCGGTTCGGGCAGCGTCACCGTGGTAAATGAGACACATAAAGGACAGGAATCTTGAGCAAAGAAACAAGAATGCGATATTGCTTGTAAATAAAGCTATGTAGTCATATGTTTCTCGCCGTACCAATCCCATAGCTCACATCGGCATCCTAACCATCTCCTCCTTACTCCAGTACTTCCTCATATTCTCCGCGCCCAACTCTTTCACCTCATCATCCAAATGCTGCCACAGCACCTTGCCAAAGCCGTCCAGAATCTCCTTCAGCTCTGGCAGTCTGAGCTCGCGTTCGCCGCTACTGCACTCACTCATGTACTTGGTTAGCTTGTCGAGGCCCTTGTGGATCTGCTTGTGCTGGGTGAGAAGCTCGAGTTCTTTTTTGAAGGCGGGCATCTTCTTGGCGAGGACGGGGAAGATGTGCCTGTACAAGTCAGCATGGTGAGCAATGGGTTTCCATCGTTTACACGTCGAGTGACCGCAGGAGAGCTTGCTGGTCACGAGATTTGCTGCGAATGAAGGATTCTCTAGAGAGCAGCCTTCGTGCCATCGATACTGGTATCGGAAAGGAAGATCGACGTACCTCTCTTCTATCCCGTGGTGCATTTCTAGTTGCGAACAAAATTGCTGCCCCGCCGCGATGAATTGTCTGATGCTCATTCCCTTACTCCTCTTCCCGCTCTCACACGTGCCATACAGCATGTTCCAGGTCTCCCGGAAGTGATTGTGGAAGTAGTCCATGTGCTCAGCCATACGGTTGTAAACACGGAAGTCATGTTGGCTGAGTTTGGGGAGGCTTGGCTCTGAGGGCGTTGTTGGTGTGGGGGCTGAGGCGGGCAGTGAGGGGTCTGTAGTCGCCATGTTATTTGAGGTGAGCCTGATTGATTCTGAAGCCTTGGAGGGTGACCAGGAGATGTTGGTGCTGGTGAAGGTGCGTCTTGATGATATCTGGAAGGGTTTGGATATTGAGAGCAGATGTCTCAGTGGTCGGATGGTGCTCATACGCTCACGGTGTTTGCAATGATTGATACAGGAGAACGACAAGAATGTACAAGAAGGAAAATCACGACAATGTTTATGGGTATTCTTCTTTGAGTGCTCTACATCAGCACCTGTGTGGCCACTCGCAGCTTACCAAAAAATCGTGAATAAGCCGGATAACGCGACCTGCCGATCCGAGCACCGACTTGCCGAGAACACGCTAAGACGCGTACAGTCCGCCAACGCGTCGATTGGCAGCTGCCAAACCAAGGCCTTACAGCCTTACAGCCCTGCGAGAACATCCTATGTCATCGACATGTCATGCCCAGAGTGTCTAGATCCTCGAATCGTACCATCGAAGGTATGAGGTCGGCGCCTTGGAATTGTAACGTCCGTGAGACTGCCTTCTTTGGTCGAGTCACGACTCGTCGCGTGGCACTGTCCACTCTACGACTCTCTCAGCAGACTATCATTTCTTTCGCGTCTTCGCAAATTTCTCGTGCCACTTTCTCGCCGACGGCTTGCTCGCTGCAGGTGCGTCTTCCGTGCTGGCGACAGCGGCATCCTTGCTCTTGACCCTAATTGTAGAGCCTGATGGGAGCTCATACGACTCGGCAATTGCACTGAGCTTCGCGTCCTTTCGCCATGCTTCGGGCAATCTGTCCTCCCACGTGTCTGTGAAGTCGGTGACAAGGAAGTCACTGCTCCCTTGCTTAGCTTCGAGCAGTGTCTTGCCGACGAAGGCTACTGTTCGTGCTCGATCGAGGCACGACCATGGACCATCTGCAGCCTGGCCGTCATCGGCGAGGTGCCTTAGCACAGCTTTGGTGAAGTCTGCTGGGTGGCCGTCGTCTGCAACTGCTGTTGCAATGTCCTCGGTCAAGAATTGACTGTCGAGCTTGACGCCCTCAGCCAGTGCAGCAGCGTTGATGGACCGCCACACTTGGGACAAGGCGTTCACAGACGGTCTGTACGTGTGCTCGTCGTGCTCGAAGGCCATCAGCTCGTTCCACGCCTGCTGGCATTGTGCGTCTGACAACGGGAGATTGTCGAAGATGTGGCCCTTGCTCTTGCCGTTGCCCATGGCATCAGCTTCGCCAGCCACAATGTCGTACACGGGCAGAGCGTCGTACAGCAGGGCGACCGCGGAGGCGTCGGAGGGGTGCAGCTCCAGGGTGGCGGGGCAGGCTGCTATGGCACATGTGGCCGGGACGGGGATGTCGTTGCCATGGGAGTCGAGCTGCTGGGGCTGCGTGACGAACAGCGAGTTCGATGTCTGGACCTGGCGCAGGTGGAAGGTCGCGGTGGGGGTACAGAGCACGGCATATGCAGGCCGGTCGCTGCTGGCGGCGCTGGATTTGATCGAGAGCCTGTGCGCGCCAGAGATCAGAGATCAGAAGGGATCCACGCAGCAGCGGGACGGGAGCTGGGAGCGCACCGCGGGGGATTGGGGGCGTCGAGCAGGGCCGCGACGGCGGGCGGGAGCTCAAGCAGCTGCAGCTTCTGCGCGCGGGCGGCGATGGCAAAGGGCACGCCGCCGTCGAACTGCTGTGTCGCCATGGCGGGGTGGAAGCAACAGCAACACCGTGTCTAGCGCGTTGGAGTGTTTGTTTGATCGCCGCGACCGTCACCAGCGCCGTCGGCGTGCATCTGACGCGGCAAGGGCGACCGCGAACCAGAGACCGGGGTCCCCGACGCCGTCCCATGCGCGCTGCATGGCCGCCGCTTGCGCTAATCGCTTGCGTCGGGCTCTCGACGCAGCTTTGGCGGTGCAGCCAGCCACCGTGCTGTGCCTGTGCCTTGTTTACTGCCGTCACAGGCGAACACCTGCGCGCCGCAAGTGACAGTGACATCTGCGCCAAACCCTCCTGTCTCTATCAACACCGCGCTCGCGCAGTCCGCACCTTCCGTCTTGCAGTTCCAGCAGTCGACCCACGTTCCTTTTTGTCGCCTACACTACGATGCCAGTGCGCCCGCGTCCTGCCCTTCCCACCGCGTAATATCCCACCTCCGTCACTCGTTCCGGCGCATCGGCCGCACCCGCTCCAGCCATGGGCATCGTGATCAACCAGGAGCCCGCGGCCCTCCCCGCCGCCGACCTGTCGCTGTTCCATGCCACGGACGAGCTGCTGTCCAACTCGCCGGTCCTCATTTTCTACGGCCCGACCTCGACCTCTGCGCAAACGACCAACTCGCGCATCCAGACCCACGTGTTCACCCCGGCCGGCTTCTCGAGCTATGCACGCCTTATCGTATCGCCCACGGCCTCCTTCTACAATGCCGTCACGTGTCTGCCGCGCGAGGAGCAGGGCGACGAGATATGTCGCGGCTTGGCCTTCAGTCTGTTCAAGTACTTTGTGGAGCTGCCCGCCGAGGTGAAGAGCGCGTGGGAGAGGCGCTACAGCACAAGAGCAAATATGCACATGGCGCCTGCCCTCTTCACTGAGCAGCACGCTGCCATTGTCGCGGCCAAGATGGTCAAGGTCGAGAACGTCGAGGACGTCATTGTGGATGTGCGCCATGCACTGGGAGAGCAGACCCTTTCGTGGGTGGACCTGGATGTCGTGCTGCCCCAGGGCAGTATACAGAAGGTCGACCTGCGCGAATCAGCGCAGTTCGAAGAGCCGGATGACGACCACCTCGAGCAGCAGTATGGACCATACGCGCCCGTCATTCGACTCTTCGGAGAGTCTACCTTCCTCCCAACCTCACGTTTACGTCGAGCACCCTCAAAAGCCAGCCAGCTCAATCGATCGCAGTCGTTCTCACGGAAGCAGAAGGAATCACTCCGCCGCGAAATGTGTGAGCTGTTAGACACAGAGGAGAACTATGTTAACAAAGTACATGACCTGGTCAACAACGTGGCGGTCGAATTCCGTAACAAGGCGAAACGCAGGTCATCTTCGAGCACCAGTCCTAATGAGCAGACGCTGCAAGGTCTTTTTCCTCCAAGCTTGGATCAAATACTTGAGATCAACTCGAGTTTCTTGGAGGAATTACGAGTCATCTTGGAAGAGACGGAGAACGGCGCGATTCAAGACATCGAGGAGTCTACAGATGACATCTTCATCGCTCCTTTGCGAAGCCAGAAGGATCCGCCAGACGTCACTGGAGCAGCAAGAGTCGCAAAGGCGCTTGTAGAATGGTTCCCCAAGTTTGGTGACTGCTATACAGATTACATGGCTGCACACGGCGACTTCTCACAATTGCTGAAAGCCTTCACCAGAGAGCCCGCCTCAAGCTTCTCGAGGAGGGTATATGAAACTGGCGAGCAGCGACTTACGTCGTTACTTATCGAACCTGTGCAGCGCCTGCCTCGCTACAATCTCTACATTGACCAGATCATCAAGCAGTTACCAGCCCGGCATCCAGCAATAAAGACATTTTTGAAAGCAAGAGATATCATTTCCGAAATTTGCTCAAGAGAGGGATCGACGGCACAGCAGATGAAAATTGTTGATCGCCTGCGGAAGATGACTTACCAGTGGCCATCTTCGTTCAGACCTCAAGGGAGACTGATCAGTGCCGTGGATGCTGTCGAATTGGCACCACCCTATCATGGAGAGCTCAGTGGTCCTGCCACTACCCCTGGGATCTTGCTACTTTTCTCTGACTTCCTCGTCATACTCCATAAGCCCAATGGATGCAATGCGAGCGCACGTAGTTTGATGGCCGATTTGGACACCCCTCGACTCACCGACACATCTGACGAGTCCGAGCTCGTGTTCCATCAATTTATCAGGCTGTGTGATGTCTTCGCCAGCGAGCACGCAGAATCCAGCATCGTTCAACTGTTGTCTCCGACTCCTCGTACAGTTCAGATAGGGCGGCCACCGACTCCAGATCGTCAGAACATTGGGCTTCGTATGTACTACGTGCAAGGTGCTTATGAGGGCCGCGCACAAAGAGTCGTCGAAGACATTGCCAAAGCTAGGGTAGAAGGCCGATTTGCAGAGGCCGAACGCGAGAGCTACAAATGGGAGGTGCGAAGCCGGCCTGGTGACCTCAATCTCTTCTCGGCTGTTACTGAAGAGACAGGAGATGCTCCACCTGAGGGTCGCAGAGAACCTGCGAAAGTCCAGGTTCTGATTGAAGCGTCAAAGTTCTCGCAGCCTATCGAAGTAGGTTATGATGGCGTTGAGGTGGTCATCAGGATAACAGTTCTGGATAACGGTTTCTACCTAATGGACATGAGCGGACCCAAAGGCTACCTTGCAAAGGACAAACTCACAAAGGTCGAGTTCCTGCCTGTGCTGACCAAACGCCTCGCCAACTACTTCCAACAGCGCAACAACGTGAAGAATCCCGTCTTGTCCGAAGCTTACCTCTTCCGGAATCAAATGATCCTCCAGTCACTGAGACTTCAGATGACAAATGTCGAAGAATGGAGAGAAATGAAGAGCAGGCCTGCCTCACCTGTCAAGCTACTTAGTAATATCTTTGGTGCAAGTGTCGGCAGGGAAGGTGGAGGACGGAGGCTTCAGCGTAACGCGCAGACCCTGGGAGATATTCCACGCATAGCGCCTCCTCCACAACTCGCACCAACACGGACCCACAGTCGTGACGGCCTCGGCTCGCGGCCCACCTCGTCAAGAAGCGGCTTCGAGGAGCTGCAAATGGTTGACTCTCTCACAAAGCTAGAAGACTCGCTGGCGAATATTACAATGGCCTTATCTGCCCGAAAGGGAAACATTGTCGGCCGATCGGTCCGCGCCAGAGTTGTCGCAGACGAGCTTGTGGTTAACGAGCTTTACAACTCCCTTCTTGAGACGCCTTCCAACCTAGACCTTGCCTCGCAATCTTCAGTCGACGTGCTCTTCGCCGTATTCGACAAGTTCCTGAATGTTGCCTGGAAAGAGCGGATGGGCCCAGTGTTATCCCATGCAACGTTTGTATCGTTGCAGATGCGATCCGACAGCATGTACCCCATGGAGTTCGAGGAGTATTTCCGCGCGACTTTTAATAGCCTCGCATCTCACAACCAGCGAGCGACACGAGTCATCATTCAGCTTCTAGCCGAATTACTCGATGGTACCAGCAATGATGGAGACCGTGGTATATTGACAGCTGCATTTGCCGAAATGATGGTACCCGCAGGGAACGCAAATGACTTCATATCGTTGATCGATCGTCTAGTACAAGACATCGACGCTCTGTTCCCTGCTGCGACACCTGGCTATGCAACACCGAATTTTGGCTCTATGGACGGGAAAAGTCGTCACAACGCTAGTGGCTCATTGAACTCGAATTCTCTCAGGCGGCGATTTGGCTTCGGCAACCTATCACGAGAGAACAGCAAGAATGAGAACGAATCCAAGGTCAGCCTACTATGGAGGTCTTTGAGCAAGAATAGCCACAGCCAAGAGAACTTCGCTGTCGCGGTGTCGAAATCTGGAAGTCAGTCTGTCGGGCGCTCCAACTCAATCGACAATGGCCGTCATTCGCCCAAACGCCCATCGTCACGCGATCGTCCAACCGTTCTAGGCGCTTTCCAGAATGATAGTGGAAGCCAGACCAACCGTTCAGCCTTAGGGACTATTGGTGAGATACCACCTTCGAGACTTGCCGTTCCTGTCCAGCCTCGCAGGAAGCGGCGTTCTTCTCTCAGCGACCTCAAGGAGTTACAGTTCACCGAAGAGGCGCCAACGTGGTCCTCACAAACTCCTCGCAGGCCCGAATCAACCTTGCCGAGAAACCGAGAAGTACGACAACCTCGGGAGAGTGTTTCCCCTCCTCGAACGCCTCTCCGCACCGCTGTATCTTCCCATAAGCATTCTTCGTCCATCCCCGGCCCGATGCGGTTGGGTTCACCGATGAGGAAGGAGAACGAGCCAGTCCTACCGGCTTCACGGAGAGGCAGTGTTGTGCCCGAATCGCGGCCGCCTCAGTCATCATCTACACGCAGGGGCAGCGTACAACCACCCACACCAGCAACACCTCGTCGAGAGAGTAGAGATGAGATTACAATCAAATCCTTCTCACAATCAACAACGGCGCACTCCAGAAGACGCAACGAATCCCTCACTAGTATACCCGCTCTAAGACCTATGACTGTCTCTATTGCTGGTTTGTCAGAACGTGCAGGTTCCGGAAATACCGCCAGATTACCTCCATCCACTCCTCGCTCACCCATCAAAGCTATTGTACCCTCAGGGACGATCAACGGCAATGGTCCGGGCACTATCTCGACAGGCACGCCTCGCAGGCTTCGAATGCAGTCACCACAGAAGCTACGCGAGCGACTTCAGACCCAACAAAAAGACATTGAGAGCGCGTCGCAAGATTTGCAGAGCGTCTTAAACGATATCGGCCACGAGCTGACAGCTAAGAGCACTCCCCGTCTCCACCCTCAAACATCTGCCCCTTCTTTGGGATCGGGAACGCCCACCAAAGCACAGTCTATGACGCTAGAAGCTCGCATAGCCTCCTTCGAGAAGCAGGCAAGGGCCACCCTCGACGCCCTTACCACCCGTTCCGCCACCATCGCGCAAGATGTCACCACCTCTCTTCAAGTCTCCGAAGCACGAGTCAAACAGCTCGATCAGCTTTATCGCGATTCCAACGCCGAGAATGAGGCTTTGTACGCCCGCTTCAATGAAGAACTGGAGAAGGTGACGAGCAGCGTGCGCAGAGGCAGGGCTGGTGAAGAGGCTGAACGTCGCATGAGGGCTAGCGAGGAGGAGTGTGCACGGCTGAGGAAGGAAAACGCGCGACTGAAGAGGGAGGTGGCAGGTTTAAAAGCGCAGATGAGAGAGTGAGTGAGTCGCACTCGCCGCTCTCTCTTCATCTCATCATGCCGCAAAGGCTTATTTGTTGACGCTCGCAGGTGGCTTCCACTCGCCAGTCAGTTTGCAGCACGATTACTTGTCGGCTTCTACTTTCTTCTCGTCGAGATGGCCACAACAAGCACCACCCTCTTGCTGTATTATCTGCGGACGTCCACCTCATTCCTCCTCACACCTGTTTTGGTATTACTTGGACGTCGTCGCATCGGAAGCGGGAGTATTGATTGAGCATTAATGGCAGGAGCATTGCATAGGATATGAAGCATGATCAGCGGTTTCCATCATATCATTGCAGGAGTTTGAGCATGGAGAAGGGCATTATACCACTTGCATATTTATCAGAACGAATCCATTGGACTACATCGTGCTTCTTGTATCGCTGGCGAATGTGATGACTTTGCTTGAGGTCGCGATTGCTGTTATTTGTCGCACTTGCCCTGGTTTACGTCAGTCGCAGCAACGCCCTCAGTCTGCGCGCCTCACCACACCATCGAGATAAGCGACATGCCCCCGAGACGAATTCGCAAGCATCAAGCTCATTGGACGGCCGAGTCCGCGCACCAATAACCGGTGACGCTCCTCGGCTGCTGGCGGCCTAATTCTCAGCCTGACGCATGCAGTGCGCCTCGTGCCGCGAGGGTCTCTTTCCATACAACAGGGTTCCCATATCCGAGCTAATGCAGCGTGCGAGACGCGGGACTCAAAGAGACCCTTCGGCTCTTGGAAGAGGCTGTGCTGCGTTGGCAGCTGCGGCGCTGGTGATAAAGATGCAGGTTCCCACTTGGAATAGCTGCACCACACTTGTACACAGTCTTTCGGCTTCTTCGTTTCCGGTGATGCTGAAACACTGGTGGAGGCAGTAACCACGTTGACCTCGGTGGTGAGGCGGATGTTAAATTGCAGCCAGCTTACGCTGCTCTCATACTCGGTATTTATGATACTACTTGATCCAGTTCCAAGGCTTACAAACGACAAGAAAGTACTTTACACTGAACCAAGGTGTAGCGCGAGGCTGTCCAGTCTCGCGCTGTTCCAATCTCGGGAGAAAATAATGATCATCTAAACTACGTACCCCGAACGGACCAACCGCATGTGGTGCTATGGCCCAACGAATGGTTTCTGGATTCCATGATTCGATCTAGCAGACCGGATCTTGATTTGATCAACTTTTCGACATTAGCAGCAGAATTAGGTCTACCGACCACTCCTTCTACCTCTTGCAGTCACCTCCTCTTCGCGCAGGACCTCTCGTTAGAGGACACCGATGTTCTTCAACCTCGCGCCTTCTTGCCATCGATTCCACCATCAAAGACATACTCCCCTTTGATGGTGGATGATGCACCCGCACCTGTCTTGACCCCCTCGAGGAGCTCGACGTCCGGGGACGCTTCCGAGTCAGTCCTTGACTCGCCGGCCCCGTTGACGTCGAAGCCTCCCCGTTCCCTTTGCAACAAGTTCAATCATTCAAGCGGTTCTGCAATTCAGCAGCGATTGAAGTAAGCCATCATCCCCGGAATCCCTGCAAGTCGCCAGCTAACAATAACGTAGAACCCACGCAAAGGAAAATAAAGACAAAGACACTGTGTACACGTGTAGCGAATGCCCTGTATCCTATCGCCACCCTAAGAACCTCCGCGATCACATACAATCCAAACATCAGGGCAAACGATACACGTGTACTATCAACGGGTGCGGAGAAATATTAGCGCACAAGAAGAACTTGAAAAGACACAAAGAAAAGAAGCACGGGAGTTTTGCGAGCCAAACAGTCTCACCGCTCTGAGACCACAGCTGCATTTCCGAAAAGTGAGTGGTCAGTCTAATGTCAAGATTTTGATCAGCCAGGACCTGAATTGGTTCCCATTAGCGACACAGCGGCGGGCAGGCCATGTTCTATGAATACGTTTTCTCAATACGTTATACCGATACGTCTTCTCAATACGTTACACCGATACGTTACACAAGCTGGCAATTTGTGGGGATCCCTACAACCATGGGACTGACGCAGTGACAAAGAGATAAGTCTGTGATTGGTTGTTTCTAGATCGATGCCCTACAGGACGTCGAAATAGACGAACACAGCCAGTCACAGGCCTTTCTCATACTTCTGTCACATGTTAAGGGGGGTCTGCACGTTCTTGCAAGGCCCCCCCCCCCCCCCCTATGGGGAGATAAGCTAGCAGTTTTTTCCCTTTCCAACGGCCTGCCCCGGACGGGGAGTTTGATGATCATTTGCGTAGCGGCGGTTTCATTTGTTTGAACGCTCCATACGTTTTTACCCAAGAAAGGGTGGCAGCGATCCTCATTGTTGCGTCTTGGCGACTGTAGCCATGCTACAATTTTTTGAGAGTATAGGTGTAGCATGGCTGCAGTCCCGATACGCAACGCTGTAGAACAAGGTAAGTGCGGCTGCTCAATCTGTACGAGGCAGAACTTGGCTAATCTCTGTGGAGTGTCACGCTCTTTGATAGCTCTTGCATACGTTTTAGCTGTTTTTCTTTTGCTTAGCTTGGTGTGGTGGTCAAACCTACACCTTGCTAGAGTTTGCCTAATGGCAGACGTAGGTTGTTGGTTCGAACCCAGCAGCCGTCAAGGCCACTCTTGTGTGCCAGACCTACATACCGCTTACGAGCAGTATTTCCTCAGACGAATGAGATGGGGACTTGCTAGAAGGAGTGGAGAATGCTCCTTGTTTAAGCCTTACAGGGATTTTTCCTCACGAGGTTTTACTCTGTGAGGGTACAAAGCATATACGTTATGCTGATTGGAAGAGTACAGCGTGGAAAGATGAAAGTACATGAGTGTGCTATGTGAGGTCGTGAGTTAAGTGGAGCAAACGTACTGTCTTCTAGATTATCTAGTGTAGTATCACTACAATGACCGAACATCAACACCACCTTCACACTCCTCATAACTCGGCGGCCACACCCACCCACCCTCCTCATACACCGGCACTGCCTCCCCCTCCGCCTCCTCCTTCCCACACTCCCCCGCCACCAAATCCCCGACATCAACCCACATCAACACCCTCGTAACCCCCGTCTCCCTGCACTTCTCCACTCTACCCATCCTCCCCTCTCTTTTACTAACCGCCTCAGTCAGCGCCCGCTGGAGCTGCTCACGCCGCAACTCCTTCTCGAACCGGAACTCAAGCGCCACTTGGTCTGCAATAGGGACCTCCGGGTCGGGCGACACGGCATGCGAGGTGTACGCGCAGCGGTGCAGGAGACGCGTGTAGCGCGCGACCAGAGCGAGAGGGTAGGCTGGAAGGGGCAGGGGGTCATTGTACAGGGGCTTGGGCGCGATGAAGGGGGATTCTGGAGGGGTTAGGAAGTGCTTTCTGGCACGGCAGTGCATTCACGTACCGAGGGTGGACAGGCTGCACACGAAGTCCTGGGCGAACAGCGAGGCGCGCGCTTTCCGCGCTTCCGGGAGCGAGGCTTCGGTGATGGGGCATGGGGTTCGTTGGTGTTTCCGGGTGAGTACTTCTTGGGCCCATAGTTCCATCAACTTGACGCGGTGGTTTGCGGGGCGGGGCTTTGCCTCTTGGAAGCGGATTTCGATGATGTAGGGTGAGGTGTTTGCGTGGCGGGTTATGCGGCAGCCCCAGTTTGCGAAGTCGTGGGCGACGAAGGAGACGCTTGTTAGGTACGGACGCGGGTGGTGTGGTGTGTAGATGAGGTAGTACATTTTGGCTTTGGACCTGTTCTGATTCGGTGTGGAGGATGCAGGTAGATGTTATCTGCGAGTAAAGCCAAACGTGGGGACTGATTGCTGTGATATACGGTTTGCTTCAAGGGGGTTGGGAGGTATGGAATGGGAGGTCTTCCGAGGATTTTGAAGATGTCGTGGTGAGTTTTCGACAATGTTTGTGAATAGTCGAGTTATGACTGTACTCGGCTACAATATATACAATCTTCACGAGCAAGCATGTTGTCACAATTATGTCTTATACAAAGTAGCAGTCCGGTCATGCAGCACCACATTCCTTCAGCCCTACTAGCGGGCGCCTACAAAATGCTCTACTTCATCCACAATCCTAGCGACAACATAATAATACGTACTAACAACCCCTTGATCGTGCTTCAACACCAGAAAAGTGGCTGGCTCACCGCAACATCCCTTGACGAACTGCTGTCCTTGCATCCAGAATGGCAACCCAAGCCCGATCCCTGGAGCGCGCGGCGCCAGAAAGCCACTGAGCTTGTTTCGCGCGCGTGCGGCTCAGTCCTCGCTAGTCTCAGCCCTACACTTGCATTTGCGCCATCGTACACGCCGTCTGGGGCGGCAGCTATGGTCGCGCTGCTAAACGAGGGCGCGCCGAACGACGCTCCAGTCCCAGCTGAGCGCGCGGGAGAAGCTCCGATAGGCGGCGCCAGGAATGGAAGCTCCTCTAGGAGTGCACCTGGAATACGTCCTGAGGGCTCAGACCGCAATTCAGCGCCGAAGAGATGGATGACGGCTTTGGAGTATAGATGGTATCGAGATCAGGGCTTGCGGACCCCGGAGACGGGTTGGCTGGTGTGCAATGAGGGTGAACGTCCGTTCAGGTATCGGCTGCTTTTCGGGGAATGGGACCTCGACGAGAGCTCTGAGTATCAGGTCGAGAGTTTGAGGGGTGCTTAGTCGAACACAGAACTTGGTGTGTGTCGAGTGGATTTCTGCATGGGCTGTTTGTTCAGCGAGACTTCTACGAAGCTTTGCCATGCTATTGGTCAGGCGTAGTTAGCATACCTGCATGATTTCCATTAGCGAAACGTGCCATCTTTCTCTCGATATCCGGTGAGCCTTGTGAGCCTAAGACGCTGTCGTTTAACGAGCAAGCGTCTTTCACTATGCACTGGATGATGCTATTTTTCTGACTGCCATGCATATGCAGCAACTTGAGACGCGTCCAGACGATGCTGCGGCCTGTTAGATCTCGAGGAGTGTATCCTATGCTGTCTTGGCTTGAGGCTGGCTGAGCGGTGTTTAGCATAGGTGGTGAAGAGGCTCAGCTGGACAGGTGCAGGAACGCTAGGCTAGCGGGCATGGGAATAGCAACCACCCAATCCAGTGGCCAGTAAGTAGGAGCTACTTATGCGCTCTTGAGCCTATCTGGCTGGCTTAAGTCTAAACGTTTGTTGCTCGACTGATGCATTGTTATGGGGGACCAAGCATCTGCTTGTCATCAAGTACGTTGGGTATAACACTACCAAATCCTATCTTTACAGATCTAAACGCCAGCTCCGGACCGTTTGGAACGCCCACATTCTTCGTGCTCGTCATCTGTATCATCGACTCATGTATGGTCTCGGTTGCTTTCGTTCAAACAATGTCTTCAACTGGGCAGTTGGGGTGCAGAACATACACGGCCTTGCCGCCGGCTTCAGACTGGCCTTGCTCATCCGCAAGACCCTCGCCCCGAATCAGCATGAGGTATTGTTCCTGCACGATGTGTTAGCACAAATCCATACCGCCGTTCAGTGATGTAACGTACCTTGACTACCTTCTTCAATACCTTCTTGGCAAGCGCCCTCTCTGCCTCAAGGTCTTCCTGGGTCTCCATCTCACTCTCCTTCTGCTCCAGATACCACACCAGCAGCTCTTCTTCCTCAACACCATCCTGCGTCTCCTCTTGGTCGTCGTTGACCCTGCGCACGAACATGTTCCGCATCGCAATATACTTGTCGTGTGTGATCTTTGTCTTCTCTCGCGGTGCCGGCGCAGGTGTTTCTGTGCGGGCGCGCTCGGCCATCAGAGTATCGTCTTCAGCTTCAGCCGCAGCAGCTGCTGCAAGAACAGCCTCGTCATCATCGTCTTCCATTTCGACATCGTCTTTCTCGACTGAGATAATTGACTGACGAAGTAGATTGTACGCCTCTTTCACGAACTCTGGTGTGACATCCTGTACACAGTTCGCCTTTGCAATAGCTTCAGACAATCGAATCATCGACTCAAGTTGACGGACTGTGATGCGGTAACTGTTGCGTCCAATGCCACCCTGCGCATCATCAGCGCGCAGCTCCTTGTACCTCTCAACCAGCGACTCGCGCGCTTCTTCCGTGAACTCGGGACGGAACGTCTTTGCAAATCGAATGTAGCGCTGCAGTTGCTCGGTGGAGAACTCGGGCTGGACGAACTCATCCCGGTCTTTGTGTATGCCCACGATGTGTTCGGCGAGATGACGGTCGACGGCTTCATCGCACTCATCGAGTACGACAAAGAAGAGATCGAAACGGGACATAATGGGTGCTGACATGTTCACATTGGCGCGAAGCGTTGTCTTGCGGTTGTAGCGTCCGCCAACGGGATTGGCAGCGGCAAGAATGGATGTGCGAGCATTCAGCGTAGCTTGGATACCAGCTTTGGCAATAGAGATAGTCTGCTGTTCCATAGCTTCGTGGATGGCGACTTGGTCGCTAATGTCCATCTTGTCGAATTCGTCAATGGCACAGATGCCATTGTCCGCAAGCATGAGAGCTCCAGCTTCGATGGTGAATTCGCCAGTCTCCTCGTCCTTGACGACCGCGGCTGTCAGACCAGCTGCCGACGAAGCTTTGCCAGATGTGTAGACAGCGCGAGGCAAAAAGCTGCAAACGTACTTCAAGAATTGCGACTTCGATGTGGAAGGATCACCAACGATGCAAATATTGATGTCTCCACGCAAGGCCATGCCTTCAGGCGTCTCTTTCGACACACCACTCATCAGCTGAAGAAGAATACCCTTCTTAATGACCTGGTGGCCGTAGACCATAGGAGCGATTGAGTCGACAAGTCGCATGAAGATGTTGGGCTTGTGCACCATATCCTTCAAGTCCTGGATTTCCGCCGCGGTAAGAGTTGCAAGGTACTCTTCCTGAGCCTCTTCCCCGGATGTCGCATTAGACTCAATTTGACCTTGATGTAAAGATGCTAGAATATTACTAGCCTGGCCATTGAGATGGTGGTTCGACGGTGCTCCAGGTGTTGTGTGGTCGGGTGAGATCATACAGGCCAGGAAAGACATGCGGTAGGTTAAGTCACGGACACCAAGCGCCTTAAGACCACTGACACCAGATCCGCCAGCGTCGTTGCCTCGCGATGCATTCGATGTGTCCCTCATAGCTTGGGGCCGCACACCTGGTACGCGGAATTGACTAACATCTGGAATGACAATAGCCGTGCCGGTGAATATGCACTTCTCTCCAGCCTTTGCACGATCGACCATCTCTCCTCGCAGAATGACATCCATCGTTCGAGGCATGCTGCCCGTGGGGATCTCTGAACTGTTTTCCTGGATGCGTACCTTCTGCCAATCCACGAAAGTGGATTGTCTGATGTCTAAGCGCCACCCCTCGCGGTTCATACATGTGACATTGGGACATTGTGTCGGTTCTGTGTACTTGAAAGTCTGCTCTATGTTTGGCACGACAGTGTTGCAGATCTCGCAAACGAAGGTCGCCATAGACAACTCCGGCCGTACTTCAGATGTGCGTGTAGCTGTACCTGAGATGGAAAGGAGGCTGCCGATGGAAGTGGTGCGCAGCTGGCGAATGCGCGAAACCAGGGGCAAGTTGTAGAATGCTAGAGTAAACAGCTTGTCCGTCTGCTGGTTGGCCGTCTTCTCCTTCAAACTGTCGTTCTGACTTGTGGCGTTTTCTGCAAGCGAGGCAGCGGTGACCGAAGATGTCGACTCTGGCTGCCTGTGCTGGCGGAAGTATTGTGGCTCGTACTTGGCGAGCAAGCTGTGGAGGGCGCGAATCATGTATGGCAAGAAGCGATAGTATTCGCTAGCAATGGCCTGCGCGAGGATGCCATCTTCATGCCTCATAAGGTGTGTGTAATCGACGTAGAGGGTCGACAGCTGGTAGAGCTTCATGCCTCGAATTTGCGCGATGTAATATTTGTCTGTTGTGGCGACGCTCGATACGGGTAACACTGAGGACGACGGTTCTTCTGTGTAGCTATTTGGGTGTCAGCGTTATTTCGAGATGGTCTTGCTGCGTCACCCACTTCTCCAAGAACTCTTGGAAACGGAGTGCCAAAGTTTCTCCGGTAACGTCCACCACCTTGGGGATGTCTGTTCTGGGTCCATTGGGTCGTCGAGTGCCTCCTCTTGCGCCTACGACCTCGTCATCTGGAAATGCTTCAATGTCGCTGTTCGCGCCGTTGCTCTCTGAAGGCGGTCCGCGGGGCCTTGCAGAGGAAGACCGTATGCCTGACGACCGTGGTGTTGGACCGCCGGCGGTGCTTGCTGGGGTCGCGGCAAGATCTGAGTGCAGGACAGCATCTAATAGCGAGGACATGGTGGGCTGCTGGTGCTCGTGTCGCTGTTGGCTTTGATGTGGGGTTAAGGGACGCGTTTTTGTCGCGTTATCGACCGAGCAACCGCGTTCTGCGCTAGACTAGATTAGGGGTTAATTGATATTTGGCCAGCTTTTGAAGAAGACATGTAGCGGTGTTGCACAATTTGGGAATGTCAAATGATGCATTCTTTGATATTTAAGTGCCATTAAGGCCTACGGAACCTGGCTTAAGGTCGATGCAAGAGAAAGGGTATACAACTCAAGTAATCCCACCCTACTGTGCTCTCATTCAAATGAGAACCAGTCCATGCAACGCCGGACTCTGAGAGCCACAAAAGCCGAAAATCCTTACAACGCCGAGATAGTGTCGCTTTGCAGTCGACTAGGTCAATTGACTGTATGCTGGCATGAGGTCAATCAACGAGATGCCGACATCTAGTCGTTCAGGGTAACATCGTAGTTATGCTTCTCCTCAGCATCGTCGCCGTGCAGGCGCACACGATAGATGCAGGTATTTGGTGCTCCCCAGTTGGACGTGACCTGCACGACAACTTTGCTGGTGGGGACCGTAAGCTGGGCATCGAGATCGAAGGTCTGTACGTGGTTGGATGCGTGGATGTTGTACTTGAAAGAGCCCAAGCAAACATAGCCGAGCTCTCGGAGGTCTCCTGGATCCAGACACTTGTTGTGGCTATGGCCGTAGTGTTGTTCGATCGGCTGGTCGGTTTCCGCCCAAAGCTCGATGTTTCGGGGTGCTTTCTCGATGTTGCCCGTAGGGGACATGCTCATTGGCGCATGTTCAACAGTGACTTGCTTGGGGAACATGTAACGGGGTAGAGAAACTCCGAGTCGAGCGTAGCCTTTCATCGGGTTAGGCGCTGCACACCAGCACTCGCCGAACTCGTCCCACTTTGATAGAGCAGCTTTGGGGGGGTTCGCCCGTCGTGTACTGCCAATCACCCTACTCATCAGTGACGGCGAGCCATTGTCAAAGGTCGATGAAGTATGGACAGGGTCGACAAGAGCACCCATGCCAGTCGAGAAGTAGTTGGGCTTCTTAAGGTTGAGTTCATAGTTAGCGATGAGGTTGCTCTGTGCAAGGGACTGGAGGCGAATGGAATCCATCAAAGTCTTGCGCGCTTCAGTCTGGATCAGTGAAGTGATTATCGTCTCATGTGTCTTTAGAGACTCGACGATTTTCCGGTTAACGTCTGCGGAGATAGTATCGTAGTGTTGCTGCATAGCCTTAACAAACTCATCGCGGCCTACGATCTGCGGTCGGGCTGTAGGCTTGGTAACATCGATGAGTGTACTGTCCAAGTCTTGCACCTTCTGTCTATTCGCTTTGAGGAACTCGATCCAAGTAGGGTCGCCGCTTTTAGCTTGTGCTTTGCTCAAAAGGGCGGTCCAGAATTCGTCAGTGATTTCGAGCCGCTCGTCTGGCAGACGGCGGATGACAATCAGCTCCGGTAGCTCTGCCTTGATCTTGTCGATGGCACTCTCAAGTTCCTCGAACTTTCCCACATACTCCCTGTGGTTCTTCCACATGCGTGACCAGAAGAGATGGTCGTCTCCAGTTCCTTCACCATACAGCCAGGTGATGAGAACCCTTGTTTCGTTGTACTTATGTTCTGCAGGCTGGATCCAGTCCGCCGTGTCATACCAAGACGCTGTGATGCGATTGCGAACAGCAGTATGCAAGGCGACTTTGCGAGTAGGGTCTGAGAACGTAGAAGATGCCATGGCTGTGAACATCACGATGCAGCTGATCAACATCACGACCCAAAACACTTTCTGGACAAGTGATAGCCATGGCCACTCCGGCTCATCCTCGAGTATCTCACTGTTCGTGATATCATCACCTGGCTCGACCCCACCTAGCCACTGCTTGACAGCTTCGGGACGGTTAGGCCTAGTCTGGGGAGATGGTCGGGATTGAGTGACGATCAGCTGCTCCGGTCGTCGCTCAATACGTGACTGAGATTGCGGGTCCGATCGTACGTCTGTTCGTACATCATAACGCGGTGAAGGGCGAAGTCCCGGCAGTGTTGCCAGCCCGGGAGAGGCTTGTGATGAAGTCTTCGGTGGAGGTGGTCCGAAACGCTTTAGCCGCGCACGCTCTTCTGCAAGGCGCTCGTCAACAAACGCATCGATGTCCGCCATATCGGTTGTAGCTTTAGCGCTGAGAGGGACTCTCGCTGATGGGCCATTGGGGCGCAGGATGCTCTTGGTTACGATGGTCTTGGTGACAGTGTTCTTGGGTACTGGTGTAGGTTCTGGTGATGAGGACAGCCGGAAGTTGTCACGTTGTTGCTCTTGTAGCATACCGGCCTCGTGCTCCATGCCAAACGACTTCGATGTATGTGACTTCGATGTGGTACCAAGTGAAAAAGCTAGGTCGTCATCGCTGAATGGAGCATCAGGTGTCTCGGAGAAAGTGAAGGGAGCGGGTGCTGGAGGAGGGGAGGAGCGTTCATGAGGTGGGGATTTGCGCGCGTTGTTGCTGTTAAGCGCACCGCTCATCCTTGCCTCCTTACCCAACTCGTCGACGCTGTCGGAGTTCTCGTCTTCTTCTTCTTCGTCGTCACGAGCGACAGCGTCACCTCGCTGGTTCTGGAATGCTTGTGCGAAACCAGTAGCGGAGATGGCAAGTTCCTCTGCAGCACCGACACGACCACTGGCGCCATAGGCATTCGACCTGCGAGCCTTGACTTTTGCGAGTGGTCCTTGCCTGCGTTGGCGAGTGCCGCCCGCGGTCATAGTCGTCACAACAGACTGCTCGAGGATGGAACCAGCCTTGGAACTCAGACGTCCAGATCGACGTGGCGTGGGCCCGCCCAAGCCAGTCAATTGCGACATGATGAGGTGTTGAAGTCAAAGATAGGAAAAGGTACAACAATGCCTGGGCAGACAATTGTGGTGAGGCTGTGTGATTGTAAGTCTTGATATGATGTGAAGGGTTCAAATGTAGAGTTGAGAAGAAAGGAGATGAACGCCGGCGTTCAGTGTGGAAAGAAGAAAGTGTCGTGGGGTTGAAGAAAAGTGACGGGGGAGAGCAGACTTTTTGAGAGCAGGAAATCGGGCAATGACTCCACAATAGCAGAGGCTGGACAATAGACTCAACAATAGCAGGAATCGAGGGGCTGGTGCTGAGGTTCGCCTCAAGAAGTGAGGTGAAGGTGAACGTTGCCCTCTGACTTGGACTAGCAGCAAAAGGATCGAGGAGATGGGCAGTGAATCACCGAAGCACGAATGTCGTACAAACTTACACTGTCGGTTTAGCAGTCTACAAATAAAAATGGGCCGTGAAATCTCGTGTTCCGAGGTCCAAATTCCTTCTCTTGCTCTTGCTCTGCCAATTGCGACGTTGTTGATGCTGGATCCTTGTGGTGGCAGGGTTCCCAAACACGTGTAGCGGAGATCGTCAACGCGTCGCAACCCAAGATAACGGCGTCAATAGGATAAATTTTGATCTTTCTCGTGTTCGGAACGGTTTGCGATCATAGTTTCTGAGCTGAACGCGCCCGCGACTGTATATGGCGGTGGTGATGAGAATGAGACGTGAGTTGTGAAGTGTCGAGGCGCGTGTGCAAGGGTTGGACATCGTCTTTCCCGAATGTGGTAGTTCGCGCCCGTGCACATCAACGAACAAAGACAATAATACACAGCTACAACAAAGAGGTACAGTAGTAAAAACAGTCCAGAAGATTGTTGTTGACATCGGCGCGTACTGGATTGTGCCGTTGAGCTACATGGCCAACCTCTGGCGGATGCTGAATCGATGTCGCACCTTCCTCGATGCGGCGCCATGGACCCTGACTCTCCGTGACCTATGTAAGAGCGTGGCAACAACACTACTAGCGACTAGATTATACAGTAGAGCCGGGAGGTATCTGGGTAGTTGGATGCTGTTCTCTTCTGTGTCAAATGAGAGTTTAGTGTCGCCTGCTTCTCTATCCACGGAACTTGTACAGATGTACTTCGAAGACTCCAGTAAAGCTGGTCAGGACTGATTTGAATTCCACCCTGACGACCGAGAGCGGAGCATGCCAAGGCTGAGGCTCAATCCCCTTTGGCATCTGCCTGCATCGTGCAGTCTTTTGAGGTGACACGAGACTTGAACATCGTGTCATTCGAGAAAGGACAACGACGGCTGTGACTACTGTAAGTGGCCGTATGAGAAACTTGCGAAGCAACGCAATGAGACTGTCGCAACAGTGAGGGAAATTCGTACTGTCCTTGGCGTCGAGCTCGCTGCCTATGTGAGTTACTCCAGCGGTCTAGATTGCTAAGCACCACTCCTACTGCTACATGACTAGCTGAGATAGGTCGAATTTCAAAGCAAGGACTCGAGTTGCATGATCAGGCGTTGGGAGCGTTGAACGATGCTCGTGCACGAAACCCTCCCACGCTTGCCGTAAGAAGAAATCTATCCGCTAAGAATCGCCGCGCGTACGACGGCATCGGTCGCGACCAGGTACTCGTAACTTTTTATAACTCACAATAACTCCCAGCACCACAGTTCAACTTGTCTCCGACTACTCCCCCTTCCAACTCTCAGCCTACAGATACTCCACACCATACCCCACAATGGCTTCCGGATCTGTCCTCGTCACTGGGTAGGTACCCCTCCACCCCACATTCCATCATACGGTACACAGCATCGTGTTAATCAAGTACAGTGGCACTGGCTACATTGGCTCGTTCACAGCTCTTGCTCTCCTCGAGGCTGGCTACAAGGTCGTCATCGTAGATAACCTCTACAACTCCTCGAAGGAAGTCATCAACCGTATCGAGCTCATCTCCGGCAAGAGGCCAGAATTCTACGAGCTCGACATCCAGGATGAGGCCGCGCTCGACAAGGTGTTCAAAGAGCACCCCGACATTGACAACGTCATTCACTTCGCTGCGCTAAAGGTAAACACTGCTACAGGTCAGCCAAATGCATATACTGACACCACTGGCAGGCCGTCGGTGAGTCTGGCGAGATCCCCCTCACATACTACCGCGTCAACGTCGGTGGCTCCATCTCCCTCCTCTCCGCAATGGAGAAGAACAACGTCACAAACATCGTCTTCTCCTCCTCCGCCACCGTGTACGGCGATGCCACTCGCTTCGAGAACATGATCCCCATCCCCGAACACTGCCCCATCGGCCCCACCAACACCTACGGCCGCACAAAATCCACCATCGAGAGCGTCATCACCGACCAAATCGAAGCCAAGCGCAACAACGCAAAGAAGGCCGGCAACGACGCCGAGTCCAAGAAATGGAACGCCGCGCTGCTGCGCTACTTCAACCCCGCCGGCGCCCACCCCAGCGGCCTGATGGGCGAGAACCCGCTTGGCGTCCCTTACAACCTGCTGCCGCTGCTAGCTCAGGTCGCAATCGGCAAGCGCGAGAAGCTGCTCGTGTTCGGCGATGACTACGCGTCCAAGGACGGCACCGCGATCCGCGACTACATCCACGTCCTGGACCTTGCGCGCGGCCACCTGCAGGCGCTGAACTACCTGCGCGAGCAGCAGCCGGGCGTCAAGGCGTGGAACCTGGGCACGGGCAAGGGCTCGACGGTGCTGGAGATGATCAAGGCGTTCCGCGACGTCGTCGGCCGCGATCTCAAGTACGAGGTCCAGGGCCGCAGGCAGGGCGATGTGCTGGACCTGACTGCCAATGCGTCGCTCGCGAACAAGGAGCTCGCGTGGTCGACCGAGTTCACGCTTGAGGACGCGTGCGCGGATCTGTGGAAGTGGACGGAGAATAACCCCGAGGGGTACAACCAGGCGCCGCCGAAGGAGTTTGTGGAGGCGCTGAAGAAGAAGGCGTAGAGGGAGAGTGACACATGGCTCGGAGATGCTACATACCAATTGTTGATTAGGGCATATCATCGCAGGCGCTGGTACATAAGATCACATCACATATATAGACTTATTAAAAGCATTGAACATCACTACAAACAAGGTCACCGCGCGTCACATGTGTGCTTGACATACTCGTTGTCTTGTCTTGATAGACGCCTGGCGAGAGGCGTCTTGGCTGTGGTTGATTGCTTGCGGCGCATGCGTCTGTCTCACAGCGCAGCAACCCACCTTCGTGTCTACGACTTACACTCGATTCGCTTTCTTTTCCCCGATACAGACAACTCTCATCGCACAACAGCGTCCTTGAGTGTCGAGACACTGCACAAGCCCGCGGCTGTCTTCAGCTTGGCGACACCCGTCTTCTTCTCCGGCCCCTCGCCGCTCAACTGCGGTACCTCGGCAACATTGAAACCGACCTCGAGAGCATCTGTGGTAGTGAAGCCAGGCTGGATAGTCTCCCAGACCTTCTTCTTGGGGTTGAGCACGCCCTCGGGCTCGCCCTCCCAGCCCTCGAAGAAGACTCTGTCGCCGGCCTTGCTGTCCGCAGGCGGGTTGACCAGCTCGACTGGCCCCTTGTGCGCGTCCTCGCCCTCCTTGACGCGTGGGCTGGCGGCGAGGACCATGGCGCACGACTTGACGCCGCGCATGGTGACGGGCTTGAGGTTGCAGACGGCGATGATCTTGCGGTTTTGCATCTCGGCGAGGGGGATCAGGCCGTTCAGACCCGAGCAGACGGTGCGGACGACCTGACCCTCGTATTCCGAGGTGTTTTCTGTGCCGGGCGCGTCGCCGCAGGCAATGGTGCTGACGAAGAGAGAGTCGGCGTTCGGGTGGGTCTCGGCCTTCAGGATGTGGCCGACGCGCAGGTCGATGAGAGCGGGCGAGAGAGGCTTCTCGACCGGTGCTCTGTCATGCAGTTAGCAGATGTTCATGCTTCAGTGGAGGTGGCCATCACGTACGCCTTCTGGGGCTTGGGCTCCTTCTTCTTCTTCTCTTTCTTCTGGGTTGGTGCACCCTCGGGCGCGCCCTTCTTGCCTTCTGTGGGGTTTGTGGGGTTACCAGCTACAGTTCCTGCGACAGCATCGCCGGCTGCTTGTGCAAGGTCCTTGACCTTCTCCTTCTTGCTCTTCTTGGCCTCGGCGCCCTGCTCGCCGGTCAGGGTTGTGGGTGTAGTGCCGTTGCCAGCAGCAGCGGCAGCGGCCGCCTCCTTCTCCTTCTTCTTGCGCTCCTTCTCGGCCTTCGCATCGACGGGCTTAATCTTGAAGATGACGCTGTCCAGATCGATGTTGACCTTCTCATCAAGCTTCAAGCCAAACACAGGCGAGTTCTGGACGAAGTCGACATAGCGGACAATGTGGTGGTAGCCCTGCTCGCCGGTCCTCTCCTCCGCGCTCCACTTTGAGACAGCAGGCGCAAGCTTCTGGTAAAGAGCGATGTCTGCGACGGAGGGCTTTGCGCCCAGGACGGTGGTGCGGCTGGCGAGGTGTGTATTCAGCGACGCGAAACGCTCGGCGGACTTTGCGGCGTCATCTGAAGCAGAGGCAATGTGGGAGGCAGAGGAGAGCCATTGGCTGATCTCCTTCTTCTCGGCGTCGCTGTATTTGGCCTCGGGAAAGAGAGCCTGGGACGCCTTGACGGCGTCGGTCTCGTCGGCAGCGTTATTCGGGGCGTGGGCCTTGAGGTAGGTGACCAAGCTCTCGTCGAGGGTGGAGCTGGACATGGCGAAGGTGCGTTGGAAAAAGTTGAAGGCGATTGGGGTCCGCGGGGTAAAGAAAGTCGGTGCTGCGAGAGAGGCCGCGGTTCGGCTGGCTGAAAAGCGATATCGAGCTGTGATTGGGACTGCGGCAGGTCGTGTGCAGCGTATTGGGCGTGTGGATTGGCCAAGTCGTGTGCGCAGAAGGGGCAGAGCTGGGGGTGAATGCATAGCAAGCTGAGTCAACCCAAAATTCGTGGGTCCACTGCCGGCGGCGCGGGGCACGAAGGCGGCGGCGATGGACAGCCACCGACAAACAGCACAGGCCCTCTCACGCTTTCACGTTGCAGAACAAACGGTGGACTGAGGACGTGAGCCAAGTACACCACACGACAGTAAAGTAGGGAAAACACCAAAAAACTCTATACAATGCTTTTTACCTCTAATATAGGTAGTTCTTAACTAAGTTCTAGCTTTAGGAATTGTAATAACTGCAAGTTATGTATCCTGTAAATTTGGTAAGCTCAGGGTCTTATCCGCCTGTTTTTCTGAGACTGGAGAGAGGCCATCGCGGTCTGATCAGACGCGTTCGAGCACCGTTTATGTTGAGTTGCTCTCATCGTTTACTGCTCCTCTAATGCTTTGCCTGGGCTAGCACGTGACGAACAGTCAACTTTCGTGTGCTGTAGATAGCGTAGCCTGCAAGTTGGTCTCAACGAGCACGCTGCTGAGAAGAACAGATATGAATCGCTGTTCCTTGACAACTCCACGTGCAATTGCTGCCTGCGCTGCTTGCTCGTCCAGTTGCTATGACGCGCTATGTTTGCTTTGGACTGCCCCGCGTACATAATAAACCTCCCCGCAACAACGATCACCACACCGCAGTCAGATCTCTTGGCCTGATCGGAACGTCGCCACAGGAACAATCAAAATGTCCGACGACAATCCTGACGTGCCCGCAGGGAGGAAGCGGTTCATTCCCCTGGGTAAGACACGGCCTTGCAAACGGAGCCATCAGCACTCACATGTCTCGCAGAGAACAATCCCGATGTTATGTCCTCGCTGGTCCATAAGCTTGGCCTGTCGACAAAACTTGCATTCCATGACGTCTTTAGCATCGACGAGCCCGAACTGCTTGCTTTCGTGCCTCGGCCCGCCCATGCCCTTCTCCTTGTCTTCCCTGTGAGCGAGACATACGAGAAGTTCCGTCGCGAGGAGGACAAAGACAAGCCCGAGTATGCAGGTCATGGTGACAGTGAAGAGGTAGTATGGTACAAGCAAACAATTGGAAACGCTTGTGGGCTGATTGGACTGCTCCACGGCGTGTCCAACGGAGCAGCACGCGCGAACATTCGTCAGTAGCCTGGGACAAGTGCATGTACTGCTCACATCATCTAACATCGCCCAGTCCCCAACTCAGACTTGGCAAAACTTGTGCAAGACGCTATTCCACTAAAACCGATTGAGCGAGCCGATCTGCTCTACGAGTCGGAAGCTCTCGAGAAAGCTCACCAAACCGCTGCCGGTGGCGGCGACACTAGAGCGCCTGACGCGGAAGACAACGTGGATCTCCATTATGTCTGTTTTATCAAATCAAACGACAACAACCTGTGGGAGCTGGATGGCCGAAGGAAGGGTCCTCTCAACCGTGGCAAGCTCTCTGCGGACGAAGATGTGCTGAGTGAGAAGGCTCTCGCCTTGGGCCCACGCAGCTTTCTTAAGCGCGAGTCTGAGGCTGGAGGTGGTGACGTTCGCTTCAGTCTCATCACTCTCGCTGAATCACTGGACTAGCTACTTACGAATTAGACGGTTCACGCTTCACGACACACGCTATTAACCGGGGTCAAAAATCACTTCATCAAGGATAAGACCAAAATCTTCGTTGGGTTGTTCGTCTCAACCTCAGCGAGTAAGTTGTATTGGACGATCTGCTGCGATGCACTTCATGTTCAGTTCCCTAGCACATCATGGCATTTGTAGCGCCTGCATATGATGCATCTAGCTTTTGGCATTTCCAGGAGCCGACCTCTATCCAGCTCAGCATATGGGGCATGAAGAGAGCAAAGGGCGCCGATCTTCGGATTTTCACGGCTGCAAAATGACGGCGATCGAGTGCTCATTCAAGGCAATAGTAGAGAAATCGAAGATAATGTTTCAGTGCGGCACGTCGTCAGGAACATCAGCACCCCAGAACAGGTCCTTGTTGCTTGTCTTACACGCTTTCGATAGGCATTGCCGACAACAACACGCATTATGAATAGCCTCCCCGTATTCTCAACCATCGCTGATCTTTGCTCCTTCACTTCCCTACTATAATACGAACCCTCTCATACCTCTGTAACACATCCGGAACCGATCTTCCTCGCGAAAGTTATAAGACTAATACCATGGATCGAGTCAGTAGCAGCCGTTCGTATCGTTCCCTGACCTTGCCTTACGTTCCTATTCCTTTCGGCTTCTCCTTGTCATTGTACGCTCTCGTGCTCTTCACTTTTGTTTCTCCGGCCTGCTCGCTTTGGTATAATCCAGTGTCAATGACGGATGGGAACAAAGCCAAAGAGTATGGAGTTGGAGTTGCGGCACTTGCATGCGCCACTGTTAGCCTCATCGCTTCTATCGTTTGTATGTACTGGTTCTGTCGATTTGCAGGACGCTTTCGCCACAGGTGAGTTCTTCTACCGCAGTCTGACTTGCTGATTGACAACGTGAAGATTGATTATGATATTGATATACGGCGACCTTATGCGTGGGGCGTGGCTCTTCGTTTTCGCTACCATTTCCCTAGCACGCGGAACTGTCAAGACTGGAAGCACTTTCTGCCAGGTCAGCGGATTTCTGGTGCAGTACGGAACGCAAACCAGTGGTGAGTGACATGTTTGACTAAATTTATCATCTGACATTAGCCTCAGACTATGCTGTCTTGGTAATGGCCGTACACAGCGCGATACAAGTCTTCAACCCATCAACGCGTGTCAGCTCGGATGGCCTTTACCCCTGCCGCCGATATATCTACGTTGGGGCCTTCGTACTCCCGGTGCTCATGGCTGGCTTGGCCTTCAGCAACCCGCGCCAGGCGTATGTGTCGCAGGGTGCGTTCTGCACGCTTCCAGTTCGTCCCTTTTGGTATCGGCTGGCACTTACCTGGGTCCCACGATATATCATCGTTATCACAATTATCGGGCTGGCTGTAGCAATCTATGCGCACGTAGGCTTCAAATTTCGCGGATACTCGAATGTTGATACAGGCTTCGAGGGCCTCAAAACCTACGACGGCCTAAACTCGACCCCACATGACACGCAAAACGAGGCAAAGATGGATGATATCACATTTGAGCTTCACGATACGCAGTCAAGACCACAACCACAGCGTCGGAAATCGTCAATAGGACACGACATCTTTACAGCCCAGCGCCAGTCATCGTCAGCCCTAGCCCTAAGTCCTACTTCCTCACATGTGCCCCAACGCGTCTCCTTTGAGAGCGGAATAGCCCAGTCTCCTCCCACAACCTCCTTTCATCTTGCTCGCTCCCGTCCCTTCCTCTTGGCCATTCCCTCCGGCCACAGCATCAACAATACCATCTCGCCCTACGACGGAACATCACGCTCGAACGGCAGAACCACCAACGACAACAGCAACAGCAGCTCGGAACCCACAACCCTGACCCCATCCTCCAAATCACTACGAACCCTCTCCCCCACCTCCCCCGCCCAAGTTCGCCTCGAACGCCAGCGCCAACGCATCCACCGCCAACTGCGCCTCATCTTCATCTACCCGCTCGTCTACACGCTCATGTGGCTGATCCCCTTCGCCATGCACTGCATGAACTACTGGAACAAGTACGTCGACCAGCCCGTCGAGTTCCTGCGCATCGGCAGCAGCATGTGCATCTGCATGATGGGCGCCGTGGACGCGCTGATTTTCTCCGTGCGCGAGAAGCCCTGGCGCGGCATGCCGCGCTCCGACGGCACGTTCTGGGGCAGCTTTGCCGTGCGCCGCAGGCAATCCGACGTGGGCGATGCTCTGAGCGACGGGGTCGGGGGCAGTAGTGCGGCGAGCGCGAGGCGCAGGGGGAGTCACAGCTATCGGTCAAGTGCGAGCGGGGACTTTGCGAGGATCGCGGCGGAGCAGGCGCGCCAGCGGCTGGATCTGGAGCGCGAGGAGAGGCTGAGGGCGTTGGGGGAGCGGCCGGTGCGGGATGTGTATGCCTTGGATTTTTACGAAGGGGGGAAGAGGGGCGGGAAGCGGGACTCGGTGCAGCTGGGCATGTTGAATGTGGGGGACGGGAGTGATGGGAAGGTGTACGATGATACCGGGCTGGAGGACGATACTGTGGAGACGGTGCAAGGCAGGAGAAAGAAGTGACGGGACTATAGGCCCCGCGGGTTTATCCTGGGCTTGAAGTGTGTTTTAGTGGGTTTGCATGGCGTGGTATCGTTCCAACGGGATTTCTTTCTGTATGTGGGCATGCTCTTAATTGTAACCTTTCGTCTCCTGGTTCGGCTCACTTGCCTACTCGAAAGACAGTTCGTGTTGCTATCCAGCGCCGACGCCCAAGTGAAATGTCTACCTGTCGTACACGCACCCATCATTACAACGAGGCGAGCTAAGCGGTGCGGTCGCCGCACATGGATGACCGACAGATGCGGTCTCTGTTGGAACGAAAGCCGCTCGTCCCTAATGGCCTGTCATATCTTCCGTCACCACTTGCAGTGACCAAACCGGCCAAGGGAAGTGCTGTCACATTGGTCAACCACGTAATTCTCGAGCTGAAGTAAAAGTAAAACGTAGAATTTGAAGGCAAGCTATCCTAAATAATATACGGAGAAGCCTGCCATATACCCCAGAAACGCCGTGTAAATGTATCTCGGCCTAATGCCCAGTCTCTGAACATAAGTACACGCATAGATGACGCCCATGAATCCGCCGAAGAGCCCATCGACATCCAGAAGATGGCCCAAAAATGGCAGACGTCCATACGAGCCAACTGCGCCGTGTGGCCGAAATCTTGAGAAATTTAGTAGCCTTAATAAGAAGTACTGCGCAAAGCATTCCAGCGCCGTGTGTAAATAGAAGATTGTAGAAGGCGAAGAACATTGCAACATCGCTTGGTGTGCTAATAAAGCCCACATTCCGTGGGCGGCGTGCGTGTAGTGGTCGTACACAGGTTGGTCGTAAATCATGTTGGATACAGGTCGTAAGGTCATCTAGAGTAGGGCTTGTTCATCAGCGCGATCTCGCGCGCGACGGTTGCCCACTCAAGCTCGCGGCGAAGAGGCTCGTTGCGTCTCTGACGCTGATACTCTTCCCACTTAAGAAGTTCGTAGGTGAATCGAAGATGCGGTTGAATGATGACATTCAGTCGTCGTGCTCTGACAAAGCAGCTAGAGGTCTGTTAGCAGCTGCTGGGTTATGCATGTATAACTAGATACTTACTAGGCACGGGGAAATGACAAATTCATCTCTTTCATGACTTCTGCGATGCAGATCGTCGCTGATCGAGACACACCTACACGGCAGTGCACAAGTGTGGCTTCGCCAGCAGCCTTTCCAGCTTCGATAAACTTAAGACAGCGCTCGAACTCGTTCCACAAGGGATCAACACCATTGTCTTGAACTTTGTCTACCATCAGAAAGTTCTTATCGGGCCATTGAAGCTGTGTCTTGGCGTCATCTGGCCAGGACAGGGCTTCACCGACACTCAAGATCCTTGTGATACCCAATTCCTTGAGCAATTCTGGGTTGTTGGCATGGCCCAAATTGCCCAGGTACATGTATGGCAGGATCCGACTAGGCAAACTGCCGTCGATCTTGGACAGCCACTGTGGCTCGGCAAGATTGAAGACACTCTTGTTAAACTTTGGTGACTCCTGCAAGATACGTGGCTGGATGGTTGTGAGAAGTGCAACATCGGAAGGGTAAGCGAAGAAGTTGCGGCCCTTCTCCTTGTGCAACTGGATCCAAGCATCATGAACCGGAAGGCCTTCCGCGTACATGAAGTAAGCTAGTGCAAGCAGGGTGGTTTCTGTGTAACCATCTGTGCAATGGATCAGAAACTTCCGTGGCGTGGCAATATCATCTAGCTCGATAGCTTCGTCGTCGTCACTCCGTCTGCGCTTTGATCGACGGACTTCTGATGGGTTGGCAAGATCGTACATCCACCGGCAGGTTTCCATCAAACCATCGACCTCCGTATGAGACCAGGAGGGCGGCATGATGCTACCAGATGATGGAAACTCCATGTGTAACGCAGACTTGCGTGTAACCTTCTCCATTGACATGCGCAGGGTTCGCAAGGACCGCGACTCTGGCACATGTGCAAGGTCCGTTGCTTCAATGAGCACGTCAAATTCGTTCTCACCCAAGCAGTCTGGATGAAGCGCCGAATCGGGTGTAGGCCCCAAGAACACGTTGTTGCTGATCTCGGACGACTTTGACATGTCACACATCTCGTATCGCTCCCAGTAAAAGAAATCGACGACGTTACCGGTCACGCGACCAGTAGGGTCGACAGCGATAAGCTCTGGGTGTTTCTCTTGCACGGTGCCGAATGAATCTGAGAGCATGAACGTGTTGAACAAGCCAGTGGGGAACTCGTTGCGCACTTCGTACTCTCGTTGAGCCTGTGAGATCATCTTGGCAAGAGCGATGGTGTCATTGGGGTGTGTCTTCTGATCTCCGTAGACAATGATGTCGGAGACCATGGCTAACTTGCATGCTTGGATTTGAAAGTTGCGCACGGAAAAGCCGTCTTGGGGATCGCACTCCATGAAGGTGGGCGAAGCATCTAAACCTGCGCAAAGGATCTCCTCAGCTGCAATGGCACCCTTCATCTTTGATACAGTCAAATCTCCTCCAGTCTTTACGATAGTCAAGCTGCGAATGCAATTGGGAATCTTGCGGGCGGCTTTGCGACGAGAAGCGAAGAAGGCAAGTTGAATCTGGTTCTCAGCATGCAAACCATGAAGCCATGGAAAGACCTGCTCTGGGCTCGGCAGCGGGTGTGTCGCCATGTATTCCAGAGCCTCTGCCATCCGGTCTGCAGTGATTGTGTACACTGGAGGATCATTGCAGAACTCGGTACAGTACTTCTCCGGTGGATATGTGATCGAGGACGTGTCGATGCGAATGTCGTCTCGCGGTGGAGAAGCTGGTGGTGTTGCTGGAATACCACCTGGCGAGCATACTGGAATATGTTTGTTGGGTATGGCGACGGGAGCGCCACGGGTCGACGTATTGAGCGAGAGATGCGTGGGAGATGTTGAAGTGCAACCTGGCATAGGCGGCGCTCTTGCCACTGCAGCTGCCATGCTTGCGATTGAAGTGTCGACGGTGCAGTTGAAGGCACGCGACGCAATGTGCTGATAAGGCCGGTCTGCCCTTCCTAAACAAGATCAAGTCGCCGAATGTGGGTAGCGCGAGAGATGCAACACTAATTGCGGGGTGACAGTGGTGGAGTGATAGCCCTGCGATCGCATGTCAATGTCGTTCCAATGTTGCATGCCTATATTGGGCGCGAGTACAACGAAGTGTTGACTTACGATGCTGAGCCGTTGCGATTTGACCGATGTTAGGAAGCTGCGATTGAGCGGCAGTAGAGCGCCGAGACACAAGAGCGGCCCACTCAGAAAGTAAAATCTACAGTGCGACAACAGAGGCACTGAGCATGCTGGCCAGATATGTGGTATGAAGTGAAGTGCAGGAAGAATTGGTTTGATGTGAAGAATGAGAAAAAGCGAAACAGGTGGGCAAAGGAAGAGGGTAATGGTGGTTGCACAGCGGAATGGTATCCTAGGTGTTTAGTGGGTTCCCCGCCTGCAGCACACAAGAGGCGCCGCTCTGCCTGAGCCAGTCTGGGTCGCATCTGCAAGCCACATGCACACTTGTCCACACAAGGTTCTGCTGTTGGATCGCAGGCGATAGCGCTGAAGCATGCTTTGCTAAAATAACCCTATTCGCACGCAAGATAGCTGTTCCACGCAAAGTGACTCGGCAGTACCCTCGTAGATATTACCGCTGCCCGATAACGATAATGCGGGTGGGTCGGATACCATTGAACCCCAGCATTCCCAGGTGTCCACTGGACCCGCTGCGCAGAGTTAAGGCCCATCGGTTCGTCAGCCTTCAAACTCCACTCGGCACGCCGATGAGTTGGCCCGGCCGAAGGACCCACTGACAGGCATCGCCGGCAGCGTGGAATTGGGCTGTCATCCTAGCGTCCAGTCGCATGCGGATCTTTCACACAAGTGGACCCCACATCTGCAGCCGCAAAGCTCCTCGCCACATTCTGACCACCGTGAAGCTCTGGGCTGTTCTGCGAGCCGCCATCAGGATGCATCGATCAACCCCGCCTCTTGACCGTTGCATGGGAGCCGCTTTGACAAAGCCGACACGACACGAGAGTACACAACAACGCATGTTTTGACGGAGACAATACCGCAGGCAAGGCACACGTGAAGGTGGTGCTGGCTAATGCTGACCTGGCGCACCAACCCCGCACCTCAGAAATGTACCAACGCCGCGGTAGGGTCTTGCGACCAAGACAATTCCAGGGATCGCTCGGTTACATTAGCCTTGGTGTTTGGGATGCTTCTGCCCGCGACGGCAGCGCTGCACATGGCCGCCTCTGCGTGGATGCAGCTTGACGTAAATCTGTGCCGTCTGGCGATCAAATCAATTAGACCGAAAATCTACGCTGTCAGCCAATGCTAGCTTGATGCTGCTGTTTACGATGAAAGACGGTGTGAGCGATCCATTCATTGTTCTCTGAATTTGTTGAGGCTAGCCCTCTATCACTTGGCGTAAATGCTCGCATGCACCGTTTCGAAGTCTGCAGATATTGCCTAATCCGTCACTGTAGCTCCTTAACTCCAAACAATACATAATACATAGGTTCATGCTGTCACATTGCTTGTAGATCACTCCGTTGATACGTCCTGAAGCGACTCCGACTTTGCACTCATGCCTCAATTTCGGTTCTGGTGTTTAGTAGCTCGTCCACATGAGATCGCTGGACCGCAAGTTTGTCCTTGGCGCTCTCTTGCTCCTTAAGGAGAACAGCAAGTACCTCAATAGGAGGCTCAAGTTCTAAACGGTGCGCACGCTTCCAGCGCTTCAGTCGCGCAATACCAGTGCATGGCTATTCGTCGTGAATTAGCTCGGTTGACTAGTTGCTTCGAATGGCTCAAACTTACGCCATACTGTGCACTCATGTCAAACTCCCGCAACACCTTTTCATGCAAGCTCAGTTCATGCTGATGTACCCTGGGCGCTAGCCTCTGCTTCTCCTTCGACGCCCAGTATTTCTTGATCGCAGAATCCGCGATGCGCCCGGCAGCTTCATCTTCTGGACTGCTCTCAGCCTTTTGCACTGCGACCTCTTTCTCGACTTGATCGATGATGTCAGCCTCGACCGTGGTGGGCTTCACTTCTTCGACGGTTTCAAGATCAACGACATCTGGCTTGATGGCCTTTGATGTGCTCTTCGAAAGAAGATCTTTCTTCACGTCCTGCGCTCTTGCGCCATGCTTTGTGACTTTGTTGGCACCTCCGTGGAAGGCGAGGGTCGACTGCTGCGACTTGGCTGCGGGACCGGATACTCGTCGTTTCGGCGCCATGGTCAATACGATAGGCGTGTGTCTGAATACGATATCTGAGGATAGTTGCGACGTGATGGAGGCGAGTCAATTGCGCTCAGCGCGATGCGATCAAGGGCGCAGCTGCAAGAGTGACGAGTGACGCAAGGCTCGCCAATCAGCGCTGCGTGGTTGGCGCGGTGATGCGCGCTAAAGGTGTCACGCTAGCACGTGCTCGCAGTTCACTGCCCATGTACTCGCGACTTAGTCGTGTGCACGATATTGTATCTGTCTAACAGATTGTGTTCAACGTGTGTCGATATGTAAGTAAACTATGTACAAGCCCAGTTTCTTCAAACCAGCTTTTTTCGTAAGGGTGAATGTGGGGTACTTCTTTTTTTCAAAGTGTGTGATCATGGTAGAGGATTCTTGAGAATTACCAATTCACGTTTGACATTCACTCTCTGAACTTCATCTCTCTTACCCAGTGGACTCTCAGATCGACTGACTGCAAGATAGTCAGCCTGCCGAGAAAGTTTTGATCGTCCAACAGGGAAACGTCGTAAACCACAATGACCTCAACAACTCCCCCAGACGTAGCTGCACATGTTGAATCCCTGATACCCAAATTCAAACTCACCCGCCTCCTCAATTCCGACCAAGCCGGCCGCCGCATCTCGCTCCTCGGCACAATCGACTCACAAGATGCCCTACTCATCGCTGAGCGCGCTGCCTTCGACACCTCCGACGCCAACATGCAAGGCTTCTCGACCTCCCTCCGAAACATCAAGAATCTCGGCGCAAACGACATCTACGCCTGGTTTCTCGCCAACAGCAACCCGTCCAGCTCCGGCTCCACCGCGCCCCCACCGGACTTCAAGCTCAACCTGATCCACCCGTGCACCGCCAAACACATCAAGAAGTACTCCAAACAAGGCGTCCGCCTCGTCACCGAAACTCCCTCCATCTACAGCTCCTACGTGCGCCCCTACATCGCTGCGCAGCATAAGAAAGGCACGCTGCAGTGGGTGTACAACATCCTCGACGGGCTAAAAGAGCAGGAAGATGTCATCTACCAGGAGCGCGGCGCCGCGGGCTTCCTGCTGCTGCCGGACCTGAACTGGGACCGCACGACGCTGGAATCGCTGCACTTACTGGGCATCGTCGAGCGCCGCGATGTGTGGTCGGTGCGCGACCTGACCAAGGGCATGGCGCCGTGGGTTGCGCATATGCGCGACAAGATGCTGGATGCTACCGTGCGCTTGTATCCGGCGCTGGAGCGCGATCAGTTGAAGCTGTATGTGCATTATCAGCCGACGTACTATCATTTCCATATCCACATTGTGCATGTGGCGCTGGAGGCAGGGACTACGCAGGCGACAGGGAAGGCGCTGGGGTTGGAGAATGTTATTTCGCAGCTTGAGACCATGGTTGGAGACGAGGATGCGAGTTTGGCGGACGTCAGCTTGTCGTATCATGTGGGCGAGAGGAGCGAACTGTGGGAGAAGATATTTCTGCCCTTGAAGGAGGGGAAGGGAGTCAAGGTTGATGAATTCTGAGAAACCGAATGAGTGATGAACATTAAGCTTTGGTCACAAAGCACACAAGAGGCAGCAGTACGTTTGAAGCACTTCATGAATTGAGGTACAGATTTCGAAGAATTATACATTGCCTAGCTTCTCTGAAGCAATCTGGTATCTTGACGCAAAATAACAACCATCACATCAGCCACCTTCTCAATTACCTCCCCCTCACTCCTCCCAACCTTTCTCTCGTTATCCTAGTCGTGTCGGCTATCCCATCCAACCGTCTTAGAATCATCTCGAGTATGAGCTTCCTGGATGAACTAGTTCAATCCAAGGAAGCTCAGTCGTTGCTATAAGTCCGAAGTTTTCGGATTGTGCAGGTAGATATCTGGCACTTTGGGAACCTGCGGACTCTTCTGCAGCGCTTGCTTGAATGCTTCTCTTGTTTTTGCACCTTCCTTCCCATCTCCACCACCACCAGTGAGTCGTCTCATACCACTACGGAATCTGCTTCGCGTTTCCGGTGGAGCAGGTTTTGGCATGTTCTCCAAGCTGAATGTACGGTCGGTACTTGTCAGGCGAATGTCGTCGTCTGAGAAAGATTCGCCGATCTCATCGAGTGTAGTCGTGGAGAGGGAGGGAGAGAGTCGCTGACTCTGATTTGGCGCAGATGGCGAGGTGACTGACCGGGCGTGAAGACCAGGGCGCGGAGCACTTGTAGGCCCCGAGGAAGCCGGTGTCGAATTGAAGGAGCTAAAAGCCCCTGGGGTCATAACGCCGGGAACCCGTGCAGGTGACAGCTTGACGTGATCGGTGCTAAAGCCTGACTGGAAAGACGTAACGCTAGCGTTGCGTGTCAATGACTTCAGCAGTATTGGTGCAGTTTGTTGGTCGTACAGGTTCTCCCGTGTATTCAGTGCCCCATTTGCATATGCACCATTGGGTGAGTAATGACTTGACGTGAAGTTGGGCAGATCTGTGAGTGTCTCGTTATCGTCGTCGTCATCGTCGTCATCATCAAAGAAGTCGTCGAGACTATCTAGCTTCATAACGAGATCGCCGATGTGGCCGTCACCACGTATGTCTTCGGAAGTCATGGTTGCTGTCCGGTAGTCTGACAACGGGCTGAACGGAAATTCGTCCGCACGGAACTCAATCTTTGGAGTTGCTGTTTCAGGAGCATCGGCGCCTTCCAGGTTACCACACGTATAGAATACGGCGTGCACATTCGCCCTTGTCAGATGCGAGTGATGAGCAGGCATTGGTATCGACCATCCGCTCTCATCGGGAATGCCGTACAACGACTGGGTTTTCTCGAACTGCTTCTTGTAACCTCTGGTTGAGTGTGACCCGGCCATGCTCATGCGGATATGCTGCTTCTCAAAAGGTGTTGGTGCGTTGGTCATGTTCAGATTGATGACGAAGTCCAGTACTCGCAGCGCTTGCGGACAGAACTCGGTCTGCAATAATCGCAACAATGGTGAGACGAGGTCAGGCCCCTTCGAAGCTATCTCTGGTTTGCGCATTTCGATTTCTGGTATCATGATACACAGTACCTCCATAGTGTTGATCTTCATCCAGTCTATCTTGTTCGTGAGCAAACCGAGCATAAAGATCAGGCTGCCAAGCTCAAGGTCCGGGAAGTAGGCTGATCGAAGGGCTGACAAGGTTTGCGACAGAAAATCTGTTTCTTGACGAAATCTCTTCAGTGCGAAGGAGGTAAGCGCATCAGCCAGTGGTGTGCACTGATATTGCTCTTCGGCAACACGAGCCAGAAGCTCGGCAGTTGCTTTGACACCAGGGTCCCGTTTGATTGTCTCGAAAGAACGTATGAATCTCGGCAAATTGGCGAGGATGGTGTAGACGAGTCGCGTGTCATCTCCAACGATCCGACTTGAAGGGAGAACGACCAGCCTACCGAGAATCCGTAATGAACGATCCAAACAAGTGCTCGATCGTATGCCCTTGAAGGTGAGCTGTGCTAACCCCTCGAAGTTACCCTCCCATCTGTCGGGGCAACTGTCCTCAAGTATCTGTAAGATAGTAGGGTCGCCGAGATCTAATTTGTCAAGAAACTTGTCCAGCATTAACAAGCTCTCCATGAATTCGCCTTCGTGTATGGTATCAAGACAGGCACAGGTTGTCCAGAAGAGCTGCGGGTATTGCACGAGGTCTTCCGGGGCTAGGGCTTCGATGATGGCGCGTAGGGTTGTCAAGATCTCCATAGAAAAGGTCTGGATGTCACTTTCTTCGTCCGAGATGGTGTTGGAGAGCCTGGCTAGCATGTCGGAGAGCATCTGCTGATCCAGAGAGCTCAGTATGCATCGGAAAAGTTGAAATGATCGACACGCAAGATGTCGGACGGGACAAGACGTAGCCCAGTTGAGTGCCACCCTTCCCCACGCCTCCCTAAGACCGGGGTAGGCAAGGCTGAAGAGCTTCAAAACTTCGCCGGAAACGTACTCCATGGACTCCGGTACCTTGGTACTAGAGTCTTCTGCCTCCTTGCTGTTCTTGTCGTCGTAGTTCCACACGACTTTAGCATCATGTTGGCGTATATTTTCGACAAAGTCTTCAATAGCACGCTTGTCGATGCCGAGGGCGTCGTCTTCAATCCTGGATATAACTAGTTCGTGGATGAGATGTACGAGCATCTCTCGTGCTTGATCCTGGACCACGGGCGTGTAATGATCCCAGAGAACAAGGACGACTTGAAGTAGCAGAGGCACGTGTTCGCTCGCGAGCTCAACGGGAGAGACCATGAGATCAACGAGTAATATCAAACAAACTTGCCCAAGAGCAAATCCAGACTAAGAGAATTAGTGTGAGCACGAAGAAGAGTGGTAGGGCACTTGCCTGCTTATTGCTGCTCGGGAGTAAAGCGCTGAGGTCCGCGAGATATGGCAAGTTGACAGCATCTGCTGGTGGCGGTAATGGTTCGCGCTTTTCACTCACTAATGAACGTGGGTTGATCTGAAGGAGTAGAAATTCGACCACCTTTTGTCCAGCCGGAGTGCTCGATAAGTGAACAACGATTTGTTTAGAGACATCGACGTAATTCTGTTCTCGTTTGTCCAGGCAGAGGTTGATGATGAAATCAAGGATCAGCTGTACATTGCCTCCATATGGCCCAGTGGCCAAGGCTTGCCAAAGTGCTTGGATTTCGTTGTGTAGTGCGTTTCCCGAGCGAACAGTGATTTCGAAAAGATTGACGAGCAGCATGTACGAGTTTGCTGTAGGATCACCGCCCGGCTGCACTTGCAACTCGATGGTTTGGATCCAAGGTAGCATTGCCGCGACCATATTTCGCTGATGGTCTGGCTGCAGCTCCTTGAAGTAGTACGAAAACTGTGAGAATACTAGGAAAGCAAGCTCAGAATGTTGCTTTGCGAGTCGCCGAGAAGTTTCAAACTGGGCTAGCTTGTACACGGCAATCGTCTTGTCGGAGATGCTGATGTCGAGATCTTGGAGTTTGGAGTTCTTCTGTTCTCGTCCCTCCAACGCTCTTAGTAAACGAGACGACTTGATGCGAATCCCGCTGTTCTCGTGGCCAAGTGTGTACAGACCCGCACTCAGTACCTTCCAAAAAGGCAGTGTGTAATCTTCTCGTTGTGTGAGTACCTGCGTGACGACTTCGAAATAGCTATCCAAGGATTTGGAGGACTTGGAAAGATAACACATTTCAATGGCGCGATCCAAGAGGTAGGGGTGTTCGCGATTGTGGATGATCAGGTTCGTGAGTGCTCGTCGACCGATCGCATGCGTACGATCACTGGGAGTTTCGAATATGCTGTCAATCCATGACAGCATTCGGCGGACATCAAATTGCATCAAGACCTTACTATCAGTTGTGATGCTGACTGGACCGCCACACAAAGCAGCCATGGCACTTAGCGCTGCTGTACGCAGATCACGTTTCTCGATCTCCATAGCTGCCGTTGCAATGCCCTTGTTGCCCAAATCGGCCTCTCGATCTAGCATGGATCTGCGCATGTTCTCCTCTCGCTGGCGAATTTGCTGTTGGTTCGCGGAGTAGCCGCACCAGTCCTCCATGAGCGTGAACGCGGCCTTGCGAGCTTGGAACGGCATCCATTGAAGTGGGTCATCCGTGCGGTTGATGCCTTCAAACAATACTTCTACAAGCCCACAATAATGGGTACGCAGCTTCTGAAATCCCCACTCATTCTGGACTTCAGCATCGCTGAGAAAGATCCTTAGATCCTTTGTGTAGTTGACGAGATTGTTGACAATCCACTCGTCGTTGTATGCTTCTGGAAGTCGCAAGAATTGAGATGAAAGCTTGTACACATGCGTGATCTCGGTTCGGAGGTGATCAGTGCGTCTGTTCCTTCGTGGGCTGCTCAAGGTCCGTGTATGCGATCCTAGTCTTGTCTTTGCTTCTTCGGCACATGCAGCAACAATACCTTGAAGCGATTCCAGAAGCGTTCGATAAAGATTGATGTTGATGGAGCCGAGACCTATCACGGCAGCCTCACGCACGGCACTATTGTCGACCGATAATGCGGGTAAGACTTTTGCAAAAAGCTCGCTGGCGGTGTGCAATTTATTCGTGCTCTTCTGTGAAGACTTCGAGCTTTTTCGTGAGTGTTGTGACATTTGGCTTGGTATGAGCGTGCTACCTGGCCCAGGATTTGTCAAAGTGGTGAAAGCGAAGATTAGATAAAGCTTCCACTGTTCAATGACAATTTCCGGTGAAGTTGAAGCCAGACGATTCGTGACTCTGCTTATGCTACCTGGCTCAAAAGGCGAGTATGGGGTAGCACGAGGCCCGTCGCCAATGCTGAGCAAGGTTCGATGCATCTGCGTGAGTCGCGCGCAAACGATGTCGCGAGTCAGGGTGACGGCAAACGGACAAACTTCAAAGCTGATCCGCACGAGGTTAGGGAAAATCTTGAACCAAAGTGTAGAATCATAAGGCACGTCGCTGCTGCACAGTTCCACCAATGTGCTTTGGACGTTGCTCTTGCGCATACCACGCTGAAGACGACTTCGCTCGGCTAGCGATAGTTTCTCGTCGCTGATGTCCATGACCCTTTGAGAACTGCCTTCCATGACGCGTATTACGCGTGTGTTGGTGGCGCCCAGTGCCGTATCGAACTCGGTGATAAGGCGTAACACGGTGACGGCGTAAGATCGTACACGTCGCGAAGGTGAACAGAGAAAGAATAGGCCGTGTGACTCAACTTCCTCGACATGTGTCCAAATCGATGAAAGATCGAGGAGCGCCGCTCGGCTGCCAGCGCCCTCTTCAGGCGTGTCGAGCGCCGTCTTGCGGACCTTATGTTTGATCTCTTCGATCCAGATCTGAAGTAACTCAACGTAAAGTTTCAGCGTGCTCTCAATGTGCCCTGCACCGAGCATACCACCGTCTGACATCGTAGCATAACGATCATCGAAATTAAATATGAAGCGAGCGAAACCGATCGTGACTTGCTGTGCGTGAGATTGGCGTGCAATGGACTTCAGGGACTGAGCCGAAGACACGGCAATATTGCTTTGGACATGTGCAGTGCCAGTACACAACAAGTTGACAAGAGAATTGAAAGGGATATGAGGAGACAGACATCGTGGTAGAGCTTGCACGGCAACGTGCAGAAGGTCGTAGAACCCTTGTCTGGGATCAACAGAACCTTGATGGTCCTCGCGCCGGCTGAAGCTGAACGCCTCTGCCATCGGCGTTTTCGGTGTATGGAGTGAGAACTTCTCGTCGAGAACTGCCTGCCCACCAAACGCGTTGTCGCATATGATCGTGATCTCACCCAATATCTTGCAAAACCGCACGTACGAGTCTTTTGCCACTTCGGCGAAACCATTGAAGTTGACAGGTCGTGACAATCGCTCTTCCTTCAGAAGTGACGATTTGATAGGTAGATGTTGCAGGGGTCGTGGGCTGACTGGAACGGCTGGCAATTCAGGAAGTATCGAATTGGGGTCGTAATCGAACGAGATGGGAAAAGGTGGCTGTACGGAGTTCTCCAAGTCTGCCATTATCGCCAGAAACGAGCGGATGCCTAGCACCATTCGATCAGGCTCTAGATTCTCGACACGAAGTTCCCGCCCGGAAGTGAACATCTCGGCATTGAGCAAAGGGAAGATGATCGTCTTGAAGCAGAGATCTTGGTACTTGTAACCGATGATTCTTGTCAGCTGAATGAGAGGCTCAGCGATGGCGGACTCGGTTGAGAGGTATGATCGCCGACCAGGTTGAAATATCATCCGAATGATGTCTTCGAGTTTGCGCACAGCAGTGGACGGAGAATCGGGGCCTTTCCTGTAGAGATATGTCCATACCAACTGGCATATGCCGCGGAGAACGATAGGTCGAGTGACGCGCTCTTTCAGTCGTGGCTGTGTTGATAGTGCGAGCGCGGACCACTGTGCTATAAAGGTTTCCGTCGGCGAAACGCACAACAGTGCGGTCATCAAGGGGAAAGCCTCATGCCAGTGTTTCGGTTTGCCAAGTAACACGGCAGCCCGCTGCCTCATCATGTCGACCACCGGCTTCCATCTTGGTGAGCTGAGTTCTACGGTGGCTTTTGACGCAATCCGCAGCAGTAGCTCTCTCAACACCTGGCAGAAGGCGTACTTCATGGGGTGACCATGTGCGCTAACGAATAGCTTCGCAAGGGATAGCATGAAGCTGCATGTGCGTTCCCATGCTTCCTCGGGGTATGTCTTGACCTTCAAATAGCGCAGAGCTCGGATGAGTTGAGCACCCTTGTTCTCGATGTCTCGTGTATACTGGCCTTTGACAGATAGCTGAGTGTCGATTATCTTGAGGTCCGCGATGAACTTTTCCTGGACTGGATCGAATATAAGTTCACTGAGGACACCGAGTAGCTGGCTGAAAATGGCAAGATTTGCTCTGCTCAGGTTGGAAAATTCGACCACCTCGGGATCTATGGTATTCAGCTGCCCGTAAAACAGACCAAGTAGACGATCGGCCATGTCGAAAGTCAGGTTCTGGATGTCTGTCTGGCCCATGATCTCAATGAGCACTCGGCAGAGAATGTACGTTGACACGGTTGAGCGTTGCTCGGCCAGTGTCACGGTGTCCTGCAGGGCAAGAAGTTGCTCAGCACCCGCAGCTATTGAAGTTGTCGACATACTCTCGGGCAAGTTCTGACTCGTCTCTGTGTTTCGGCGAGGCAAGTGAGTGTGGGCGGGCCCATTTGCTTGTTTAGCCTGAGTGTGTTAGCTGGATGACACGGCAGAGGTAGCAGACTGCCATACAGTTTGCAGCTGTGTACGCAACTTCGAAGCCTCTTCGCTCTTCGCCTTGCGCCACAGCATGATGGTGTCTATGAGAGGCTTGGGCTTGTGGCGCGCAATGTGACCAAGAGCCGCTATGAGCTGGTCGAAGTTGGGGTCCACGCCAGGGCCACAGATGCACTGCACTTCGGCCTCTGGCTGGTTGCGGTCCGTGGTCATGCACTGTATGATCTTCTGGTCGGCCTGACTGATGAACGAGTTGAAGAGGTGGTGCAGGGCGTATTCGCCGACTGTCTTCAGCTCATGGGAGTGCTGGTGGTGGCGCGACTGGGAGCGGTGGTGCACATGGCCCTTGCGAGAGGACCTGCTGGGCGCACGCTCGGGCTTGCGCTGTGCACTGCCGGCGTCGCCCAGCGGCAGAGGCAGGCCGGCGGTGGCGAAGCCAGTCGTGGTACTCGAGGCGGCCGGTACGCCGTGGGCCGAGAAGGCGGCGGTTATGGTGTCCTGCGACATGATGGCTCCATCGAGGCCGGCAATAACCTGGGCCGTCTCGCTGAGGGGGCTGGTGGCCGGCGAGTTTACGTAGCTCGTGCTGCGTGAGTGCTGGACGCCATGCACAATGGACGTGTTGCGGTTGTGGGCGTACGACTGCGAGGGCCGGCGCTCCAGGGTGCGCTCAAGGGCGTCGGGGCTCGAGTTGCTGCTGCTACTGGGAAAAGCCAGGCCGGGCGCCCTGGTGCGGGATGCAATGCGACCGCGGGTCACACTCGGCTCGCGTGAAGGAGCTTGTCGTGCTGGCGGAGCTTGCGCATGTGAGTGCGAAGCAGCTGTGGCAGGCACAAACGTCAGCAGACTCTCAGGCACCGCAGGTTGCATTAACCGACGTCCAGATAAGCTCGGCCATGACACCACAGCGGGAGGGCAGGCTCAAACACGCCCCGTCTGCGTGCGAGCGTCCCTCGAGCCGAGCGTCCCTCCAACCGAGCCTCCACGTCCTTACGGCGGCATCGCTGCGACAAGAGAAGGACCAACTCACACATGGGCACTCATGGGCGGACGAAGAGATCGTCATCTGGGTCGATCGAAGGGATAGCAGCCTGTGGGGGAGGCGAGCGACGTCTGCCATTGGGACGTCGTCGAAGTGCATAGACCCTGTCCTCTGGCGCCTCTCGTTCCTGGATCCTAGCCCGATTGGGGCTCATGATCTTCTCTGGCGCCGCGGCAGCAAACGGCTATGGAGATCAAGCAGGCGGAAATTAGATGGCTGAGCGCCTCTGCACGTGGTACAAGGGCTCAAGGCATCTGATCAGCGCAGCCTTGTATGAGTGACTTCAGGACGCTGCGACGGCCATCACCAGCGCGGTTGACAGCGAACTATCGCCTAGCGCAACGGGCAGACGGCCATGCTGCCACGCTTTCTGTGCCTGCCCTTGCATGGGCGGCATTAGGCTTTTGACGTGCAGCGTCAACGACAGAGTGACATCAGGACGGTTTTACGTTGAGAGTGGACGCCAGCAGACAGCCAGTCAGCGCCAGTATCAGCGCAGCTTGGGGCATCTTGCGTAGACAGCCTGCCACATCAAACGACGACCGGCACAAGCGTGCCGCTCTGTGCGTGACCTGCCCGATCCTCAGATAGGCGTGTTTCCTTTGTGAAACGCAGTCGAATCAGCCTTTGCAGCCCTGCTGGTGCTGCATGTGAGCGCTTGCCAGCTGCAGAAGACCGGTTGGAGACCGTCAACCTGTTGCGCGGACCACACTCACCAACAGGCATGATCTCTGGAGACAGGCGCAGAGGGTCCGACGCGACGCGGGGCGACCTACTGACGAAATAGGGAGAATTGCGCGACACCGCGAGTGTTGAGACCAGGTAGACCCCTGACCTTGGCTGTCAGTACAGCAAGGCTTACATACGCAGTGAGGCTTACATACGCAGTGACGCACACGATACCAAAATCGTACTAACTAGTGTAGTCAGCATTGGCCGGCCAGTCACAGCGCTTCATGGACTTCCAGAAGATGCTGTGTCTGCACCTGCTGCCAAAGGAGTCGCTCGCAGTCCGTTTCAGGGCTCCGAAGCTCCGCGATATACGTGCCGAACGAGTACTGGCACTCAGTCTTGGGCAGCACCGATCATGTAGGTATTGGTGCTGTCTGTCACTGATGTCGCAGCTGCATTTCGGAGCCCAAGACTTCCGACTTCCGTCCTCGCACACAGCTGGATGCAGTGTTTGGCCGCAGCGCGGAACTTTGGTAGTTCCAGCTTGCGGAAAGTGTCAAAAGCGGAATCGGGGGGTTTCCGGCGCATGTTGACCGAACGAGGACCGAGGACCGACATCACAAGCCTGGCGGCAGTCTATTACGGCACCACTTTCAGCCACATGTTTTTACTGAAGAGTGCAGCTTGTCGCATGTAGATAATATTGAAGTGTCCTGTGCCTATCAGCCTTCTCAGTCTCACATCCGGCGGTCCGACTAATTGACGACATAAGCCTGCGGTGTTGCGATAAAGAAGCGGCTGCCCAGACGATCCACCCAACGACTTGACGTTGGTATAAGTGCTCCCACCGCTTTTCCTGTTACAGCGACAGCGACTCGTGTCCAGATCGCAGCGCGTCTCTGTCTGCTCCGAACCCCTCCACGACCCTCCACGACCGCTCTTGGGCATCATGGCTCAACTCGACACGCTCGATATCGTCGTGCTGGCAGCACTGCTGCTCGGCACAGTCGCCTACTTTACAAAAGGCACCTACTGGGGCGTAACCGCCGACCCATATGGAAGTTCGCTCGCGGGCGCCAACGGCGCTGCAAAGGCGGGCAAGTCACGCAGTATAATCGAGAAGATGGACGAGTCGAATAAGAACTGTGTCGTCTTCTATGGAAGTCAGACTGGCACTGCCGAGGACTACGCATCGCGTATCTCCAAGGAGGGGCATTCACGCTTCGGTCTCAAGACCATGGTTGCAGATCTGGAGGACTACGACTTCGAAAACCTGGACACCTTCCCCGACGACAAGCTCGCTGTCTTCGTCCTTGCCACCTACGGTGAGGGTGAGCCTACAGACAACGCTGTCGAGTTCTACGAGTTCATTGGATCTGAGGACATCAACTTCAGCGAAGGCGGCGGTGCTGACGACAAGCCTCTGGCCAACCTGAAGTACGTCACATTCGGTCTCGGAAACAACACATATGAACACTACAACTCCATGGTCCGCAATGTTGACAAGGCACTTACCAAGCTTGGCGCGACACGGCTCGGCACTGCTGGCGAGGGTGACGATGGTGCTGGCACTATGGAAGAGGACTTCCTCGCCTGGAAGGAGCCCATGTGGGCTGCTGTCGCCGAGACAATGGGTCTCGAGGAGCGCGAAGCAGCGTACGAGCCTGTCTTCGAGGTAACTGAGAGGGACGACCTTACACCTGAAGATGACACAGTCTATCTCGGCGAGCCCAACAAGAACCACCTCGAAGGCACGCAGAAAGGTCCCTTCAACGCCAACAACCCCTTCATCGCCCCCATCGTCGAGTCGTCCGAGATTTTCACTGCCAAAGACCGAAACTGTCTCCACATGGAGATCAGCATCGCCGGATCCAACCTATCGTACACCACTGGTGACCACATCGCAATATGGCCCAACAACGCTGGCAAGGAAGTCGACCGTATCTTCAAGGTCCTCGGAAAGGAACACAAGCGTCATACCGTCATTACAGTCAAGGGCCTCGATCCCACAGCAAAGGTCCCATTCCCGTCCCCCACCACCTTCGATGCAGCCATCCGCTTCCACATTGAGATTGGTGCTGCCGTCTCTCGTCAGCTTGTCGCCGGTCTCGCTCAATTTGCTCCCAACGATGACATCAAGGCTGAGATGGTAAAGCTTGGTAGCGACAAGGATTATTTCAAACAAAAAGTCACCAGTCGCAACCTCAATTTGGCACAGCTGCTTGAAATTGAAGGACAGGGCCAGACCTGGACCAAGATTCCCTTTTCGTTCCTCATCGAAGGTCTTGTCAAGATCCAACCTCGTTACTACTCGATCTCATCCTCCTCGTTGGTGCAGAAGGACAAGATCTCAATCACCGCTGTCGTTGAGTCAATTGAGAAGGCCGACGCGCCGCACGTCCTCAAGGGTGTTACCACAAACTATCTCCTGGCTCTCAAGCAGAAGCAGCATGGTGATCCATCGCCCGATCCGCACGGCCTGAACTACTCGATTACTGGTCCCCGCAACAAGTACGATGGCATCCACGTACCCGTTCACGTCCGTCACTCGAACTTCAAACTCCCGTCAGACCCGTCGAAGCCCGTCATAATGGTTGGCCCTGGTACTGGTGTTGCCCCTTTCCGTGGCTTTGTCCAGGAACGGGCTGCTCAGGCCAAGGCTGGCCAACCTGTTGGCAAGACCATATTGTTCTTTGGCTGCAGAAATAAGGCAGAGGACTTCTTGTATGAGAAGGAATGGGAGGTGAGTCATTCATTAGTTCGATCTTGTGATCTACATACTAATGCGTACCGCAGCAATATAAGGAAGTACTCGGCGATAACTTCATTCTCCACACCGCGTTCTCACGAGACGGCCCCAAGAAGGTCTATGTCCAGCATCAGATGGAAGAGCATGGTGAGGAGGTCAACAAGCTACTAGAACAGAAGGCCTACTTCTATGTCTGTGGCGATGCCGCACACATGGCTCGCGAGGTCAACACACTACTCGGCAAGATAATTTCCAAGTATAGGGACGTGTCCCTGACGAAGGGCGAGGAGATCGTGAAGGCCATGAGGGCATCGAACCAGTACCAAGAGGATGTCTGGTCATGATAGACTTTTGGTATATAGCAAAGCATTTGAGAGTTGGGCTGGGGAGCGAAAGGCGTTTAGTGATGCATGTTACCGCGCAATTGCGCAGGTGCGGTCAGACAGGGCGTCGACTTTTGGCTACGCAGCGTTGCGGATTTGCTATTACTGTACTCTCCACACATATCCTAAGGTGTAGATAGAGTAGACTGCCATAGGGTTATACGAACATTACACACATTTCATGTTGTACTTAAGATGATGCTGTAAGTTAAGCAATACTTCAAGTTGGATCTCAGACTGAAGCTCGATTGGCCAGCGTGCGGGCAGCCGGCTCGGGTCTCCATTCCCCGTCGCAATCCATCTGCAGCCACCGTCACTCTTCCGACTTCATAACAGCGAAGACTCTCGATGTAAATCAATGACATAATTGCACATGTTCTCGCCATCGCCACGCACCCGATACATCCAAGCGAAATCGGAACCTTTCCGCGCCCAGCATTATGTACTACCGCGTCCCCCTCCCGTAGACTGGCAGCCCTCAGCAAAACCCGATTTCGCTCCGCAAAGTCACAGACTCTGACCGGCATATCCGCAGATGCAAATGAAAACGGCGAGAAGGGCTGGCGTTACATACCGTTTCTTAGGCTCCGCAAATCTCTGGGCTGTTACCGCTCAACGAGAGCATGGGCCAGGTCATCATCTCGCGATTCCCGCAAACCCTGATGAGGCTGATACGGCACATTTCGCGCCCTGTACGACGTGGAGCATGCAGCCTGAACAGAATCTAAGAAGCATCACCTTTTCACCGCTATGAACGGTAGCGAGTTGATCCGAAATCCAGGTTTCAGGTCGAACTGAGTAACATCAACAGAGTCGCAACGAAGCAATGTCAGGTGGCGCGAACAGAAACAGAAGAGCACTGATCGCTGTGCCCAGGGACAGAAGGACTACAGTGCCTTTGGGCGCACAGCATGCATGACATCTGAAGGGCCAGCGCTCGGCATGTACGCGATGAGTCGCAAGCCAGTACTATCCTCGTGAGCCACACATACGCACGCTCGGTGACCTCTGGTAGAGAAGACAGCCCTTGCCATCGGAAGGGTCTTGCTTCGTGGCGAGCCGTATTCCAACCATGCAATCACTGTTTCAGCAACCCTGTCTGCAAAAGGGGTCCTGGGTAGGTATCCGGAAGACATGCAACACGGTAATCAGTGCTCTGCGCCCACGCAGCACGCGAACAGACGTAAACGTCTCTATCCAGTGAGCTTTGTCACACATCTGCTCACATTGTGACCCAATTAGCCGTTTGTAGAGCGCTTGATGGGGCCATACACAAGCAAGGTTAGTGACCTCTCCCAAACCTACTCTTGTACTTTCTTGTCTCCTCGCTTGCAAAGAACACATTGCGGTCCCAGCTTTCGATGTACCATTGATGCGATGCGTTCACAAGCTTTAGCATCTTCCAAATTGTCGAATCGCCACGGAAAGCCTCTTCAACGCGCTGGAACCCGAGCCTTGATTTGGCCGCAGTAGAAGCCCTTGCAGCTCCGCAGTCATCGAAGGTATCGCGTAGTTTTCCTTCGTGGCTACTGCTGGAACGGGGCGGCGGCTTGTGGGTCATGGCAGCTCTGCATTGTGACCTGAAAGGCGTTGGCCTCGACGCTGTGGCGAGCTCGACCCCCAGAGCGTTGGCAGTCCAACGCAGCTAGTAACGGCTGCAACTAGCTGCACGGTCCCGGCTCGCAGCGGAAGTTACAAGTGTGCTGCGGACGAGATCGAATCCAAGACTGTGTCCAGCCTCTTATGGGCAGCAGTAGGTCAATAGGCTGTTATAAGAGAGGTACCTTGTGTCGTGTCACTACCCTAACGTGCTGCAAGCTAATTTCAATGTCAAACCAAGCGACGCATCTGGTCGGGCCCGAGGAGGATTTTGCGAATATCCGGGAGCCTGTGGTGCGGAGGTGAGAAAGTGACAGGGCAGATCCTCATCCCGCGATCTGACCCACCACGCAGATCATTGTCCCAAAGGCACCTCTACTTGCGCGCAATGCCATACATGAGTGTGTGACATCCACAGGAGGATTTCCTCAGACGCTGTCGCTCCTTCAGCCCTACTGCAAGGGCGCCCGGGGGCTGCATTAGCTCCGCCGTTGCGGAGAGCGGCCTGCTGGATGGAGAAGCGCGAGTGCAAATTAGGACGCCTCGTCGTCTGGAGAGTGCTACACACTCGTCTCAGAATGGCATGGCCGCCAGCTGCGGAAGCGGGCAGAGTGCACGACTGATGTGACCTCGCGTCGCCTGCACTCAAATTGCTGCTTTGTAGAGCCACATCCCTGGCTTGTACATATCAACGCTGTGGCTTTTGTCCTGGTCTTATTAAAGCAGTGCACTCCCACTGCAGACAGGAACAGTACACACTCTGCAGCTTCGTCCGTAATCGAAGATTTGACATCAATATTTGAACAGCTCTTTCTCAACATCATTACAGACCCGCTGCGCGCCAAACACGAGGCAAGAAAAGGAAGAAGCTCGACCCTCATCCTGCAACTGTTCCTTCTTTCGTCTAAACTATCCCCTGTCTACTGTCACTTCAGCGTCTATCGATAGCCAGGTTAGTGCTTTTCGTCCCGTCTACCTGGTCGTTGGCGACTTCCTAGCGAGGCTGCTCTGTGTATACACCCGCCGCTGCTACTCCCCTTGCCCACCGAGACATCACCACGGCTCTTTCCCTCTGCACGACGCCGAGCCGCCACCACCGAGCACCTTTTGTTCTCGAGTCCCCTCTTCGCTTTCGTCTCTTCCTCTCCTCACTCATTCTGCACCACTTCTTCCTCACCAATACGCTTCAGTGGCCACATTCTTTGTAGCTTTTCGCAGGTGAGGCTTCAGCAGTGCCTCACACATCATTCATGCATGCACTGACATCGTCGACAGCTTTGGAGTCACTACCAGTCCCACGCATTGCAACAGTTTGACATTTACGACTCGGTATGTTTTCTGCAACCACCCGTCCCCGTTTCTGCCCTTCACTTCACCCCACCACACCACCGCCCAGCTGTCGCAGACCCCACCACCTTTCTTTCGTGAAGAAGAGTGGCTGGGTTCACTCTCACCGTTCGCTGATCTGCAGTCTGACTTTTTGACTGGTTCGTATGACTGACCTTGCCGTAGAGCAACGTTCTTCCGTACATCTCAGCAGCCTCCTCCGCCCACCCTTTCTTGATACCTTTTGTCGCTGCATACGGCTCGCGTCTTCCGATTGCGCTTTTCTTGTCTGCAGCACTCTTCGACGCCTGTCTCCAGCCGTCCGGTCTATTCGTTGCCCCCGTCGGTCATTCCACTCTAGGTCTCACCATGACTACCAACGCTCGTCAGAACGGCTACGCCGCACCCGCAGGTGGCTACAAGGGCCAGCACATGCTCAACACATACAACGGCCAAGGCCACGGAGCTCAATACCTTCCACGAGGTCTGCCTGTGTCTCCCCATGGTGATGCTGGTTTGCAAGGTCTGACGAACACCATGGCAGCGCTCAACATGCACGCCTCTTATGGCTCCTCCACCAATCACAAGTCCGCTGGTTCCGGTATGTCTGCAAATTCTTCTGACTACGGCAACATGCCCATGGCGCAAGGGCAGGGCTTGTGGATCCCCAATCAGCATGCTCTCGGCTCGATGTACCAGGTGCTCCCGGGTGGGCAACAAGGACACTCCCCAGGCATGTACAACCACACCGGTTCGTTCGACCCACAGACCGCATACCAGTATGGCCAGGCTGTCGTTGGACACAGCCCCATGGCTCCTGGCTGGGCATCTCGCATGTCTTCAGGAGACATGCCTTCGCTCATGACACCTCGACGAGACTCCATGTCGTCCAACGAGAACGACATTCCTGGCACACCTTTTGGCAGTGGTGGCATGTACCGTTATGCGAACGGTGCTACAATTATGGACCGCTCCCCCAGCGCCGTCTACACGAACAGTGCAACTCCTTCACCCTCGCAGCTAGCACACCCATACCAGTTGGTGGCTCCCATCCAGAAGCAGCAGGTCATGCCTACTCTCCCGCCTCACTTGCTTGCTTTGGTGCATCAAGAGCCCCCTATCCCACGCGCAATCCCCGCACCCAGCTCTCCTCACAAGCCACTTGACCGTAGCCTCGAGAATAAGACTGGCGAGACAAACGTCTACATTCGTGGCCTTCTGCCAGAGACGACAGACGACATGCTGCATGGCTGGGGCAAGCGCTTCGGCGATATTCAGAGCTCCAAGTCAATCATCGATCTCAAGACCAACCTATGCAAAGGGTACGCATGTTCTCTCGCCCTTCCGAGGCAATACTGATTTTGAATAGCTTTGGGTTCATCAAGTATCACAACTTCGAAGACGCTGAAGACTGCATCCGTGGCTTTCACTACCTGGGCTACGAAGTTAGCTTTGCCCGAGTATGTCTCATCTCTTTCTCTTCTGCCTCGATGGCTGCTGACATATACAGGAATCATTCTATTCCAAGCTCAAGAAATTCTCCGACGATTGCAACACCAACCTCTATGTATCCAACATACCCAAAAACATGAACGAGCATGTAAGAACTTGCCTGTCCTTGGTGAACCCGGATTGTTGGCTGATTTGCGCATAGGAACTCGCATCGATATTCGTTCCTCACAAGGTGTGCTCCAGCAAGATCCTTCGTGATTTTGCCGGTACCGGCCGTGGTGTCGGTTTCGCTCGGTGCGTTGTGATCATCCACGTATTTCAATTTGATGCTAATAAAGAATAGTCTTGAGAGCCGCGAGATCTGTGAGGAAGTCATCAAGAAGTACAACAACACTCCAGTCTCCAAGCCCGGCACCGAGGAGCATCTCATTCAAATCCGCTACTCTGATACGCACGAGCAGAAGATGCTCAAGCAGCAGACAGCAGCTGGTCGAGTCTTCCGTGCCGCTGAGTACGAGGTTGGTGTCGCCCAGGCTAGGGCGTTGGGCACACCTGACCGCTACGATACTGTCTCGCCTGTGTCACACAATGCCGGGAGCGAGTTCGAGATGTTCATGCAGCGGAGTGCTTACCGTCAACCATGGGCACCAGCTATCCCATCTACGCTGGGAACCTCACGGCCAGCCGTATATCAGATGACCCAGCCTGGTGCTGTCAAGAGCGAGGATGGCGTCTCTGAGCATGGCATCGACAGCAAGACCGACCCTGCTACACCTATCAAGCCTGACAGCAAATCCGACTCACCAGCTCGTCGAGACGAGTAGACGCTTCAGGCGCCGCAAGCTTGCTTCCAATCGTCGTCGTTATACCTTCGTGCACTCTTCTATTCTTCACGATCGCTCCTCTAACATTCATCACTCGTGGAGTACGACGTTAATTATCTCAAATGCCGCAACTCGATACCCCGGATCGAACGTTGCATTGGTCATTTCTTCCCATCGCTCGCTTCCGCCATACCATTTGCGACATTGGCGCCTAATACTCCCTTATTGACACGGGGCTACCTGAACATATCCTTCTCATACTCCCGTCCCGCGATTCGATCGGACCATTTGGGCGGCTACTGTTTTCATCTTAGAGGTATCTATTAGCATGTGAGCCGGGCGGTGAGCCAAAAGATTTTCATGGGTTATGCATTGCATCTCTTTCCATCGATGCGGAACAGGATCAGGTATGGCCGAGGCCAGTGGCGTATTGTCGGATTTATCGTAGTCTCGATAGGTCGCCGCATAATTGATCTTCTTCTCAAATGATTGTTCGTGGAAGTCTGTTTGAAGTTGTGCAATAGCACTGATGATTGATTCATATCTAAAGTGGTTGTACTTTTGCAGCCTCTAAATGTGGGTATCGCTAAGAACGGAAGCAAGAAGATGATGCGAAAGCTCAGAGAGCCCAGCCGGCCTTTTTCTTTGCGGCTTTGGTGGTCATGGTGGATTGCGGTCGAGGCTTGCATTCGCTCAGGTCTGGCAACGGGTCGTTGTCTCGGATGTCGAGCAATGTCATCTGTGCTGCGACAGCACCAGGCGTCTGCTCTTCCGTGGGCAGAGCCTCTGGGTCGACGTCGTCTTGGAGCGAAATACCCCCAGACTCTTCATCTTCGTCCTCCTGCTGCAGATATTGGTCATCAACACTGCCCTCATCGTCATCATCGCGGCCGCCTTCAGCACCGCCTGCATCGCCATCGACGCCATGCTCCTTCATGTATGTGTCTAGCTCCTTGGCCATCTTCTTGCTAAAGCCTGAAGCTTCTACTTCGACATCCAGGCGTTTGACCACCTTCTTGACGGCGTCCTTGAAGAACGGGCCAGGCTCGTCGCTCGTGAAACCGAAGCGTCTGTCGAAAAAGCGCTTTATACAGGCGACATCGCGGTCGAAGTAGTACTCGGCGTTGGCATGATCAATCGAGACCATCTGCGGGAAATCGATAATAGTGGGCTTGAGCTCGACGCGCTCATCGCCTTCGAACTTCTCCTCAATCAGGATATTGAACTCGTTGAAGTCGCCGTGGATCAGCCCGTGCTGGGCAAAGCGCACGATGAAGCTCAGCAGCTCGCTGTACAGCGGCGCCGGGTCGCCGATCTTGGAGATGGTGCGCAGCGGGAAGGCATCAATCAGCTCCATAATCACCGTGTGTCTGTTCTGGCCCACGGGCTCCGGGACGGGGAACCCCTCGCGCCGCAGCGCCTTCATGAACTCGTGCTCCTTGATGGCCGCCAGCCGCGACATGTACATCCAGCTGCCGCCCTGGCGGTTGCGCAGGTAGTCGCGGTTGGCCTTGACAGTGCGGAAGGATATGCGGCCCAGTCGGTGGATTTTGAGGACGAGCTGGCGGCCCTCTTCGCTGGCGCACACGAAGATGTCGCTTTCCTTGCCGACGCCGATCTGGTTGCCCACGGAGAAGACGGTCGAGGACTTGGTGTGCGTGTGCAGGGCGAGGTAGTCGAGGCCGCCGTATGTCAGCCGGTAGCCGTCGTATTTGGCGTTTTTGGTCTTCGCAATCAGCCCGATTTTGGCCAGGTTCGAGATGGATTTGTGCACGCCTATCCCGGGTCCGGAGATTGAGGATATCAGCGAGGTGGGCACAACTTCGTGGTTGCGCGAGCCCATTTCTGTCTGCGCTGGGTCAGCGGTTGGTCGCGGCATGGCTCGCTACCGGGGCGCATACCGCTGTGAGGACGCGCCAGTCCTCTGGAGTGAGGTAACGGATGTTCTTGACGTTGAGCTTCATGTTGGCGGTATTTTTGGCGCAGTCCGGGTGGGTGGTGGTGCTGCAAGTGGCTTGTCGTGCTCGTCGTGCGGGACACTCAACTTTTTGGCGGGACCTGGTGGAGGTTTCTCGAACGCCGCAGTTCGTCGGCGTGGTTGCGCGCCAAGCTCCGACTTACGTCGAGCAGACAGAGAGCTCCATCAACAATCCACCCAGCATATCGCCGCACATCCCCCGCCACCCAGTCGCGTCTCGCACCTCTCCCTTTCCACTACCCAATCCAGCACACCGCCTGGACGGATCACACCGCGACCGCTCTTTCCCACACGTCGTTACCCGCCGCCCGTCCGCCTCGCCGCCTGCGCTAGCTGCCATTTCGTAATCACCATGGCGAAGGACGACGAGAAGAAGCCCACCGCCGCCGACAAGGGCAAGGGCAAGGCAGTCAACGGCGATGCCGAGAAGAAGGAGGACACAAAGGCCGATGGCAAGGACAAGAAGGTCGAGACAACTGGCGGTACGTCTTGCCGGCGACACCGCAGCGGCGGCGTGTCCCCATGTCCGTGTACTGACGGCGAACGCAGAGGAGCTCAGTGAAGAAGACCAGCAGCTGAAGAGCGAGCTGGACATGCTGGTGGAGAGGATACTGGTATGTTGCTGCCGTCACCACTCGTGTCACCACTCGTGTGCCCGCACTAACATGTGCTTAGGAATCCGACGCCAGCCTCTACAAACCGGCACTCAACCAGATCAAGGAGTTCATCAAGACATCGACGAGCTCCATGACAGCAGTGCCCAAGCCACTCAAGTTCCTCCGACCCCACTACGAGAGCCTCGAGAAGCAGTACGCGTCATGGCCAGAGGGCGAGGACAAGGTATGAGGTGTCATGTAGGGTAGGATGTTCTATACTGACCATAGCAGCAATCGTTTGCCGACATGCTCTCGGTCCTCGGAATGACGTACTCGGACGAGGAGCGCCTCGACTGCCTGAAGTACCGCTTACACGCGCCGTCTTCAGATCTCGGCTCGTGGGGCCACGAGTACATGCGCCATCTTGCGCTCGAAATTGGCAGAGAGTTCCAGAACAGGATGAACGACGACAAGTCCACGGACGATGTGACTGACCTTGGCGCCAGCCTCGTTCCCTTCTTCCTGAAGCACAACGCCGAGGCCGATGCGGTGGACATGCTCTCCGAGCTGGAGCTGATCGATCAGATTGAGTCGCACATTGACGAAGACACATATGCGCGAGTCTGCTTGTACATGGTCGGGTAAGATTTAACTTCCTTAACGTTCTTGCTTGGGCTACTACTGACGAAAACAGTCTCGTACCGCTGCTCACCTACCCCGATAACGAGAAGTTCCTCCGCACCGCATACAGCATCTACCGCAAATACAACCAGTACACACAGGCTGTCGCATTGGCGATACGCTTGAACGACCGCGACCTGATCGAGGAGGCGTTCAACTCGACAAAGGACAAGTCCATCCGAAGACAGATGGCTTTCCTTATTGCGCGACAGCGCATTTGGTTTGATGTATCAGACGATGACGATGCGGAGCTGCAAGAGTGCTTGAACAACTCCAGGTTACCAGACCACTTCAAAGCGCTGGGCAAGGAGCTTAACATTCTCGACCCCAAGACTCCGGACGACATCTACAAGACACATCTGGAGAGCAGCCGGACGGCAGGCCTGACCAACACTGACTCGGCGAGGCACAATCTTGCGTCGGCGTTTGTCAATGCATTCGTCAACACCGGCTACGGCAACGACAAGCTCATGCTCAACTCTGACAGCAAGAGCAGCTGGGTCTGGAAGACCAAGGAAGAGGGCATGCTGTCCACCACAGCGTCCTTGGGTATGCTGATGTTGTGGGACGTCGAGACTGGTCTCGATAAGATCGACCCGTACACGAACGTTGACGACGACATGGTCAAGGCTGGTGCTATGCTTGCCACTGGTATCTTCAACTCCGGCGTGCGCATGGACTCCGACCCTGCGCTGGCCCTGTTGGGTGACGAGGACAATCTGGCGCATAAGAACAAGAACATCCGTCTGGCCTCCATTATGGGTCTTGGTCTCGCGTATGCTGGCTCCAATAAGGAGGAGCTTCTTGAGCTTCTTCTGCCTATTGTTAGTGACACAAGTCTGGATATGCAGCTCTCGGCGATGGCGGCGTTGTCTCTTGGTCTGATCTTCGTTGGTTCGGCCAACGGTGAGGTCACAGATGCGCTGATGAACACCCTCCTGGACGAGGACCGATCGAGCCAGCTCAAGGACAAGTGGACACGCTTCATGTCGCTTGGTCTTGCGCTCCTCTTCTTCGGCCAACAGGAGGAGGTCGACGTCATTCTGGAGACCCTGAAGGCGCTCGACCACCCCATGGCGAAGTCTGCCTCGGTCCTGACCGAGGTCTGCGCCTGGGCTGGCACCGGTGCCGTTCTGAAGATCCAGCAGTTGCTCCACATCTGCAACGAGCACATTGAGGACGACAGCGACGAGAAGCAGGGCGACGAACTGCTTCAGTCGTATGCCGTTATTGGTCTGTCACTGGTGGCGATGGGTGAGGATGTCGGCCAGGAAATGATCCTCCGCACTCTGGGCCACCTGATGCACTACGGCGAGGCCAACATCCGGAAGGCTGTTCCTCTTGCTCTGGGTCTTATCAGCCCCAGCAACCCGCAGATGAAGATCTACGACACACTATCACGATACTCCCACGACAATGACAACGATGTCGCGATCAATGCCATCTTCGCCATGGGTCTGTGTGGTGCTGGTACCAACAACGCTCGTCTTGCACAGCTGCTCCGACAGTTGGCGAGTTACTACCACCGTGACCCCAACGCGCTCTTCATGGTGCGCATTGCACAGGGTCTCCTGCATATGGGCAAGGGCACACTTTCGGCCAACCCCTTCCATACCGACCGCCAGGTACTCTCGCGCGTCGCAGCCTCTGGCCTGCTGACCGTCCTCGTCTCCCTGATCGACGCCAAGTCGTTCATCGTCGGCGACTCACATTTCCTCCTCTATTACCTTGCCACAGCGATCTCGCCGCGCTTCCTTATCACGCTCGACGAAGAGCTCAAGCCGCTCACCGTCAATGTGCGTGTTGGCCAGGCCGTCGACATCGTCGGGCAAGCCGGCCGACCCAAGACCATCACCGGCTGGCAGACACAGAGCACACCCGTGCTGCTTGCGCACGGCGAGCGCGCAGAGCTGGAAGACGAGAAGTACCTCGCTCTGACGAACGTCTTGGAGGGTGTCGTCATTCTGAGAAAGGTGCGTTGAAGTATCCCCATTGCATATGTATACACGCGCTAATACGTCGACAGAACCCCGAGTGGGAAGAGTAAGAAGTTGCACGCGGAGCAAGGAACATGACGGGATCTGCATCAGCTTTTGGGCATACTAATAGACTTACGGACACTGCCTGATTGCGGGCCCGAGCGCCTGCGGTCAAAGGTACACCGCTGTATGTATAGATGTGCAGGCGACGACTTGAAATGAAAGCATTTATACAATTGCATGTTGTTGGTGACTGTGTTGGACACTTGTGTTGTGCTTAAGATTGCTGGGATCTCATACTACTCGTAACACCGTGTGTAATGCATGCTCCTGCGTCATTTGATGCGCATGGAGAACAGATGTATGACAGGGAAGCTGTTCATACGGTCTCTAGAAGGCGGAGAGACCTCGCTGATAGCGGAAAAACCAGCCAGCCGCCCCCCTCCGCCGACCATCCCAACCGCATTCCCACATCTACCTCCATTCCCTCGCCGAATATAAGCTCACTCTCCCTCGCTCACCCATCACGCCCCCCGACTCCCCATCCCCGCCAACACCCCCGCCCCAACAATCCCCCCATCCACCGCCTCCCGCAGCACAACCCTCTTCCCCGCCGCACACTCCCCAAGCACCCCATCAATCCACGCCTGACAGTCCTTCACGTACGCCGGATACCCCGCTATCGTGCCGCCCGTGTACGCGATTACCAGCTCCTCCTCCTCGTCTCTCTCTTCTCCGATACGCGTGCCGTTCGCCGTGCCATTCGTGGCAGGGGCCTCGAGATCGGGGGCCTCGAGATCGATCTCCCCCACACAGCTCAGCAGCCCCAGACACGCGGCGGCGATGAGCGCAGACGAGCGCCGCTGCACCGCGCGCGCGAGGTCGCACAGCAGCCGCACGCGCGCCGGGGTCCAGAAAAAAGCGTCGGGCGAGGGGAACTGCGCGCGCAGTGTTTCGGGTAGCTGGGGGTCTGCGCGGGCCACGGTCGCGGCGAGGAAGTGCGTCGGCAGCGCGTGGCGGTGGGTCAGTGCCTCCGGGACGCTGAGCGGGCCGGCGGAACCTGCGTCTGCGTTGTCTGCGTTGTCGGCGTGGTCGGAGTCGCCCAGTGTGTCGAGGAACGCTAGCCGTACGATCTCGCCCAGATACCGCCCTGAGGTCATGTACTCGAATGGCTGGAACCCTGGCGCGTCGCTTGCGGCGTCGAGCGTCTTGTCCCATTTCGTTTTGAGGTTGAGTGCGGTGAGGGGGGAGTCGGTGCCGCGGATCGTCCATTCGGTGTTTATGACCACGGTTTTGGGGGAGGGGTGAGCAGGGATTTGGTGCTGTTTCGAGGGGTGCAGGGTGTGTGGGCGCATGGGCACGGTGGCGTTGGTGCCGGTGCCGACTATCAGGCCCATGGCGACGCGGCTGTGGGGCGTGGGGTTGATGGCGTAGGAGAGGGAGACGAAGGTTGCTACTGTGTCGTTGGTTATGGCTGTCACCTCAATCTTTGGCAAGGTAGTAGGGTTGTCGAGTGCTCCGTTTGGTGTACTTTCTGTGCAGTGGCGGGCGTACCCGGTAAGCAGCATCTCACCTAGATTCAGGTTTGAGGCGATGGCGAAGCCTTTCCCCATGGGCAGCAACGTGGCTTCTGACAGATGCGTTTGGCTGTGAGAGATGTCAGTATATGCAACACCAACGACAACGTGGAGAAACGTACGCCATTGGAAAGCTGAAGGTGACGCCCAGTAAGATATCGCGGTCTGCTGGGATTGAAGTGCAGTCGATTGCTTCTCTAATGACCTCAGCCATGCAGTCGCCGATCCACCCGAAAAGGTCTTCTGGCTGGTCCATCTTCAGGTGGTCTCCAATCGGCCAGCTCTTGTCATGGCTTCTTCTGATTCTTGTAGATGTGGCATCCTCGACTTCGTCATTCCCTTGATCAGCTGTGGTTCCTCCGGTCAATTCAACAAAACCCACTCTTAAATTTGATCCACCAACATCGATAGCCAGAAACGTGCCTTGCTCTTTCCCATCCGGCAAGGCAGTCAAAGGCGTAGTGAGAAAATGTTCCGTAGAGGTCTTCGCAAGGCTTGTGTACGTCTCCGAAAACCGGCGAGCAAGGTCGAGCAGAGTGCTGGTGTCCAGGCACCTTGTCAGCTCGGCGAGAGCGTCCTGGGAGGCGACCATCACGGAATTGTATCGAACATAGGAACAGGCGAGAGAGTGAACGTGAGAGAGCACAAAAGCACTAAGGCTGCCATGGCATGAATGAGGCTCAAGCGAGGCGCCACTGGTTCGGTCAATGCGGTGAAGACGACAAGACTGAGTACTATCGCGGATACAGCGGAACGCTGCGACACGCCGCGCATAGCAATACCAATACAGTCATATAGGTGAAAGAGAAAAAAGACCCCTCCAATCGAACGTCGCCTGATGATTGTTGTGAGGTCTTGGTAGCCTCCCGTCATCGGCGACGACTCAGATGCATCATTGCCCCACTTTTCCCTGACTCCATGTCGACCACCGCTCGTGCATCAGCCGTGATGCGGGAGATCAGCTAATGGGCGGCACATCTTGCGCAATGAGGTTGATACTGCAACAAACGATTGCACGGTGTTTGCACTTGCAGTGAACGTTTTTTGTCTGCGGTCCACGTGCTCATCGCGCTATCAGTGTCGTATCACGCCGCAACCGCATTTAGCTACTCAGACCTTCGTATCGCCCCAACCAAACAACGGCCGGAGGCTCTGCCGGCAGCGCTACATACTTAATCAGCTATGGATTCATCCCTCGAGAAGGCTGCGATGGACTCGAAGGCGCCCTTGCTTCCGCAGACGCAGGAGCACGCGCCCGCCGACGCCGCCATGCTTCGCCCTCAGCACAAGCGCAGGATACACGCTGCCATGTTCGCTATCCTCTTTGCTGTGTTCTGGCTCGCGAGGTCGTGGAGCTGCGAGCACGAGCATGCAGACGTGAAGGCGAAGGTCCCACTCGATGTACACATCATGTAAGCCCGCCCAGCTCCCTCGTCTGCAACCAGGCGCTCACGCCCCCAGGTCCAAATGCCCCGACGCACGCGCCTGCCTGCAGAAGCTGGTCGTGCCCACGATGGCCAACGTCTCGGACAAAGTCGACTTCCGCCTGTCCTTCATCGGCAAGTGCGTACTCCCCCCATCCCTCGCCATCCGCCCTCGCCTAACCATACTCCAGACTCACCAACGAAGACGACGGCGTCCAGTGCATGCACGGCCAGACCGAGTGTCTGGGCAACATCCTCCTCCTCTGCGCCGCCCGCGAGTACCCCGATCCCAAGCTGCATCTCGGCTTCACCAACTGCGTGATCAACGATTACCAGGAGATTCCTGGGCGCCAGCTCATCGAGGACTGTGCGCTGGAACACGGGCTGGACTTTGGGGTGCTGAATGATTGTATGAGCAGGGATACAGGGGCATTTGGGATGGGGCTGTTGAGGGATAGTGTGAAGCATAGCCAGGATGTGGGCGCGGGGATTAGCTGTACGATTAGGTTGGATGATAAGGTGAGGTGTGTGTATGATGGAGGGCAGTGGAAGGACTGCGAGGATGGGTCCAGGCCGGAGGATCTGGTGAAGGATATTGAGAGGTTATATGATGAGGCTCAAGGGTGGACTTTTGCTTGATGGGGACAGAGCAATACCCTGCATTTTCGTCGCCATATCAAGCGTGTTTGGCGCATACTCTACAAGTCAAGAGCTCAGCTTTGGGGTTGGAGAAATACTCAGTAATGTCTACGATGAACTTCATTCACGTGTAGCTGCGCAAGGCAGTCGTGATTCTTGCTTTGGAATACCATGTACATTGGTAGTAGTGTTTGGACATATAAGTTTAAAGCTATGGTCGGAGCATATGCTTCAACGTCAACACTTTGTTCTCACTCAGAGACTCAATACTAATGTTGTCTGTGAATGTTCGAGTACAAGAAGTGGATATCATTCCATTCGCTCGCAGCTTCCACGCGTCCATCAAGATTAAATGCAATTGCAAAAGCATGTTGGGTCTGCACATCTTTCCACACAGTCTTAAGTTATTTGTTCAACACAGTCTTAAGTTATTTATTTCAACATGGAATCGGAAGCAGAAGGCACATGAATAAAGTACAATTTCGTATTCTGGCCTAGAACAACGTATCCCAAACAAAATAGAACTTATGGTATAAAGAAGCCACAAAACTCCAAATGCCGTCATAGCTAGAACAAAAGGGATTTTCATGAAACATAAATCCGGTAGTCGAATATAACTAGTCGTATTCAAACTACCGGATGGAGATGAGATCACTAAGAGTTCCGGATTCTCCAGTGCGGCCATGGAAGAAAAGAAGTTGAAAGGGGCTCTTCTTAATGAGCACTCCAGTCAAGTACTCGTACCGTCCCGTACGATCTCTGAGCGCCATACTGGGGCCCGGACAAGGGGTATGCCGTACGTATGGTTCTGGAGTCATTCGAGTCAGCAAAAGCTCGAGAAAAACAAGGTCCTGAAATGCTGGCCACTGGCCCAACCGGTCGAAGAAGATTACCATTATCAGAGTTTCAGTGTTTCCGAGAGATGTTGAGGTTGATCCAGTTGTGTCGCGTTGTCTTCGTTCTCGGTAAAGACAGAGTGCTTATTTTTCACGTGCCTCTTGAGATTTTTCCGTTGAGCGACCGTCTTCGTGCAGCCAGGAAAGTCACATTTGTATCGCTTCCCTTGATGTTTCGTCTGTTTGTGGTCGCGAAGGTTCTTCGCATGGTGATACCACCGAGGACATTGATCGCAGGAGAAAATTCGGTGGCCTTGCCTCTTCGTGTAGGTTCTAGCCTATGATCAGACGCTGTCTTGAAACTCGAAGAAGAGGACGCCTGTGTGGTGGAGTATGACTTACGTCGATTGCTGCTCTTGAGTGGTAGTTCTTGAACGATCAAGAGCTTTGCAAATGGAAGGAAGAAGTGCAGGGCGGATACACTGCAACGTCTGCGGTATGGACTGTGGGACGCAGAGGGTAGTTGCAACACTTGCCACGCTTGGAGGAGAAGAATCTTCCAACGACGAGTGCTCGGATAAGACCCGTTGATTTGTGGCTGTAGAAGACGATACAGTGGTCGATATTGACGGAGTAGGGGAGAAAAGCTCAGGCATAAGACGTGAATCTGGCAATTGAAGATCGTGTCTTAGGGTGTCAAAGTTGATCAAGTTGAGATCTACGCGACTGGCCTCGATTTCGGAATCTAGGAACCAATGATAGGGTAATGGATCTTCGAACAGTTGGGTGAATCCGGCAAAACCGATTAGATGATCATAATTGTCTGTCGGGATTGGAGTAGCGCGAGACTATTGTAGCCTCGCGCTACGCTTCGTATGAAGATGAAAGATAGCCTTCTACTAACTGTCAGAATGGAGGGCGTGAAACGCTACCTAGGTATAACTGAACGTACCTCGAGTAAACTACAGTCTGCAAGTTGGTGTTTGCAAGCAAAAAGTCGGAATGCGATAGGAAAAAAGAAACCGGATCGGCTGCGCAACGGCCTTTATACAGTTTGTCTTGACACCCTGTCGAAGGACGGTGCATAAGCCTCAGGCATGGATTGTTATCATACGATGACCTTGGGGGTCTCTCATGCAAGTCTCATGCAGGCCACCCTTGGCGCAAGCGGGGAGACCCTTTCCCTCGGTCCAATGGTGCTCAGGTGGCGCAGGCTCAGCTCGCCTTGCCTCATCGGAGACCCTCGATTATGACCCGTGCCGGTTCGCGACTAATACCTAGGTACGTATTGTGAAACCTGACCACAGAGGTTGTACCAACGGAACCGTCGTGATGTGACGCACGGACAAGCTGCCCTCGAAAAAGAGACCCTCTTGGAGCTTACATGATTGGTATATCGACAATGATCGCCTCAGTGCGGGACCATAGCACTCATTATTGTAGGTGGTGATCAACTCAAAATGAGCCTTCATACATCCCAGGCTAGAAGGAGACCCTCCTCTGCCGTCTATTGGGAAAGAGTGTCGCGTGTCCGTGGTGTAAGTATGTATTAACTTAGCGAACGAGCCCCAACCTAAGTCTGCCGATCAAAATCTGCTAAACAGAGTCTTCCAAAAATAATTTGATGACAGGAAGAACAGCCGCTCCTGATGCTCACAGTTTCCTTGCCGAAGCGCAGCTACCTAAGTCTGTGCCTGGACAAACCAATAGATATACAAGATGGATACATGGCACTGTGCGCGAGGTCATCCAAGGAGATCACAGCCCGAGGAACGGTTGGAGGTGGTTGGATGCTATAGTGAGCGAACAAGTACATCATTGACGCTCATTGGTGATGAACGTGAGGCTGGCCGCTGACAGCTGTTAATCTCACGACAATGGTATCGTGTGACATCACATGGGGAACACCCCTGTTTCACGAATTACGCTTCAGAGTGGCTCAATGAACGACCTGGACTTATTTCGCACACTTGCGTGTACATGCTTTCTCGACGTGGTGATCAATGAATTTCGGGTTTAACCCGAGACTCCCCCGAGCCTTCACAAGGCGTTTGTCCGTCTCAGCCTGCGAGGTGCCGTGCGAATGAGTGCCATCAGCGGCCACTGCATAATCAGTTTCCGGGAATGAGAGGGGCTCTTCTCTCATCAGAAAAGCGAGGAGGGCCTCTTCCTCATGAGAACTATGAGGAGGGTCTCTTTCTTGTCAAGACGAGAGAAGGGTCTCTTTCATGTAGAATTGCGTAAAGATCTTGAGTATTGAAGCTTTGTAGACTGTACTCCTCAACTTCCTGAAGCGCACGTTGTGAGCTTGACAACCATTGCAAACCTCAGCATGCCTTCCAAGGCTGAAATCTCGAAGCTGGTACCCACTGGGTTTGAACAGCGCACCAACACTTTGTCAACTTCCAGGAACGCGAGGGTCTCTTCCCTCATCCGAAAAGCGAGGAGGGTCTCTTTCCCATCAGAACATGAGGAGGGTCTCTTTTTCGTCAGAGATGAGAGGAGGGTCTCTTTCTTTTGGAATGTATATAGATCGTAAAGATTGAAGCTTTGTAGACTGCACTTCTCAAGTTCCTGAAGCGCACGTAAGCTTGATAATCATTGTTGCCAACTCCAGAATGCCTTCCAAGGCTGAAATCTCTAAGCCAATGCCCGTGGAGGTCGAGCAGCGCACCAACACAGCGCACGACATTCAGGCTTTCTTGGCCCATAGGCCATCTCGTATGTAATCTTCTTGTCTGTGCAGTCAAAGGTGCTGACTCCTTTTCCAGGCAATACAGTACTACCACAGAATCCTTGGGCGGTCCAAGCAGGACAATACGAACGGTTGGATGGAGCCATCATCTACATTGGTAGTAATGAAAGAATCAAGAGTAGGGAGCTATGTTCGAAAACGTGCGAGGCCTGGAGTACCAAGTGTCTCGTTGACAAAAACGAGTCACGTGGTTAGCTCGTGTCAAAGATGTGTCTGTGGTTGCGGAGGGAAGAAGTCGAGACGATATCGATATATGTTGTCTGTACAAGTTCCAGAGACATCTTTTGAGACATATGTCTGTCGACTCGGACGAAGTTGTTCGATACATCATTCTAGAGCCACATCCTCGCGGAAAGTTCGATACCGTTACCATACCGCTCTCGTTTGCGCATGTTCGCTCTGCATTATGGCCTTGAATTGTGACCGAGTTACCACTTCATTGTAGTGATCGAGGGTGTTTGATGATATCAATTGTGATGAGTTGGACTGACGGCGGGCGATGATGACGGTGCCATTTTAGCGCGTTTCTGCCCCAGTGTTCTTCCCCCACACCTCCACCTTTCCTGCACGTCGGACGAGTCTCACGTGCATCCCAATTTTAAAAGATCTACATGCCACCTTGTCGAAGCCATGCAACAACATCAATTCCGATATCTCACTCTCTCAATACCATCAATCACAGCCAACACAGTATAAAGCAGCAACTATGAGCGACTACCCTCGGCCAGACTTCGTTCGCAATGATCTTAATTGGGAGTCATTGAATGGACCGTGGTCGTTCTTGTTTGACGACGATGATGCTGGTCTGGTGCAAGGTTGGCATCTTGAAGGCCTCCCAGCCGAGGTTGCTGTAACCTCCAGCTCTGGTCACTCTGATTCAAATGCTGCGAATGACGCCCAGAGTATTACTGCCAAAATCGCCGCTGGTACCCAAGAACTCATCCAAGGCAACCAGCCAAAAAAAGGCAATACCACAACGCATAAAAAACGCGACATTCAAGTTCCTTACGTATTCCAGTGCCCTGCATCTGGCATCGAGGAAAAGGGCGTTCACGAGGTGCTGTGGTACGAAAGGGAGATCAAGGATCCACGAACTGCGGAGAACAAGCAAATTGGGCACCGTGTCCTTGTAAGATTTGGCGCAGTAGACTATGAAGCCAAGGTTTGGGTGGATGGACACTTCGTCGGTGGCCATCGCGGTGGACACGTACCCTTTGACATCGACATCACAGATGAGATCTCGAAGCAGTCCACGCATCGACTCACATTGCGTGTTTACGATTCGGCTTATGACTTGACACAGCCAAGAGGAAAACAGTACTGGGGTGCACAGCCTGAGAGCATTTTTTATACGCCTAGTGGAGGCATATGGCAGAATGTATGGCTTGAGGTCGTTCCGTTCGTGCGCATTGGTGACGGTAGCCAAGGCACAGTGCTGAGAAGTAATGATATCGAGTCAGGAAAGCTGTTTGCCGATATCAGCATCGTTGGTCGACCAGCTGGTTACAAGTATAGCGTGGAGCTGGAAGTTAGCCTTAAGGGCACTCATGTGAGCAAGACGAAACAGGTCGACTTGCCTCGCGAGACCAGTCTTGTCTCTTTGAGTGTTGACATGGCATTGTCCGAGGACGCCAAGGCTAAACTGGGCGAGTCGCTTCTCGATTCATTTGACGATGTGCGGAATGGCGTTGTGCTCTGGTCTCCAGACGATCCGACTTTGTATGACGTTATCATCCGTTTGTATAATGGTACTTCGGCACTTGTCGATACCATCCATACCACTACAGGCATGCGTTCATTGTCTTGGGACGACGGGCTCTTCCGGATCAACAACAAGCCACACTTCCAGGCGCTTTTCCTCGACCAAGGCTACTGGCTCGATACGTTTATGACACCACCTTCATCCGAAGCTTTGAAGACGGACATCGAGCTAGCCCAGAAGATGGGTTTCAACGGCTGCCGTAAACATCAAAAAGTTGAAGATCCGATCTTTCACTACTGGGCAGACCGTCTAGGTTTCCTTGTTTGGGGAGAGATGGCGAATGCGTACGCCTTCAGCGCTGAGTACGTCGAACGCTTCGACCAGGAGTGGCGCGAGGCCGTTCTGCGAGACATCAATCATCCCTGCGTCGTCGCGTGGACTCCAGTGAACGAGAGCTGGGCTTATACCGATCTTGCGCACAATCAGACGCATAGAAATCATATCAAGAGTCTCTACTATGCGACAAAGGCCCTTGACCCAACAAGACCAATCAACGACAACTGTGGGTGGGAGCACGTTCAGACTGATCTTACCACTTTCCACGATTACTCTGATGCCGATGCACTGACGAAGACCTGTGCGAACATGGAAGGTATCCTGGGACCCAAGTCAAATAGGCCGATATTCCTGTCTGCGATCGGCAATACGCCCGGATCGAGTCATAATGAAAGTGCGCCGGTAATCTGCACGGAGTTTGGTGGAATTAACATTGCAAGAGAGGCTGCCGGAGCTGACGGGCAGCGTGACTGGGGCTACACAACCGCAACGGACCCCAATGATTTGCTAAAGCGAATCGAGAAGATGATGACAGGAATCGCGAATCCAGGTCTTATTGGCGGCTTTGTTTACACACAGCTTACCGACATCGAGCAAGAAGTCAATGGCTTGTACACACCGGATCGGAAACCAAAATTGGACGCAGATGCAGTCAGACAGATTGTGGAAGATATCAGAGAGAACTACTACCAGATGCACACTCCTTAGAGAAGCGTTCTCTCATTGAATTTAGTCTATTTAATCTCCTCACTCTTCACAACAGTAGCAAAGATATCGCCCAACTCAGCCAATACAACTCTTGTAAGCTCGTCTCCCTTGATATCAGGAAGATCGCGATCACCAATTCCGTCCTCGACAACAAGCACATCATAACCCCTCTGGCTAGCCTGTCTGGCTGTGGTGCTAACACATACATGTGCCATGTAGCCGGTCAGAACGAGCTTGTTGATACCCCAGCCCTTCAACAGCTCTTCAAGGTTTGTCTCAGCAAAAGATCCCGGATGAAGCTTCCAGATTAGCTCCTCGCCATCTTTGGCTTTCAGAGAGTCGAATTCTTCGGCCAACGGCGTGTTGGGAGTGAAGATCGGAGCACCCTCAGGAGTCTTGTGGAGGATGTGTACGATTTTGCCGTTGGCGGCTCGATACTTCTCGAGCAGTGAAGCGATGACCTTGCCACTAGCTTCGGCATTGGTGACCTTCAAGTTGCCAGAGGCGTATTCGTTTTGAGCATCGATGATAAGGAGAGCCGAATCGGTGGGGGAGGCTGTTGAGGGTGGGACACCAAGGAGTTGACGGAATGTAGAAGCCATTATCGAAGCAAGGTTCTGAGTGGTAGATTCAGGATGTGGGTTTTACACAAAGGTTTAGGGAAACTTGGGTGGATATTTGTAGTGAAGCATCGAGCTTCCGAGGTCCATTCAAGACAGCTTACAGGTTCCATATCCTGCTATCTAATGCTTTGAAATCTCCAAACTTGTTGCACAGCGTCACAGACATCAAATCACATCTCTCTCATCAAGAACTCGCTAGCCAGATGAGGCAGTTTCCTCCGTGCACGGACCGCGAAGCAACCTGAGTCGGACCCCTCTGTTCGGCCCTCGCTGCCTTCGATGTATCCGATGCAGGTACTTTCTTCCAATGGATCTGCTGGCTCTTAGCTTATCATTTTGTTTGTGAAGCGCTGGAATAACGGAGCCCGAGCAGCCTAATGAGGGGAAAGAAACATGACGTGTGTCACACTTGTCGACAGCACAAGATCGGTGTACGCTCGGCATCCTATCTGCCTTGCAACTCAACTCTGATCTATCTTAGTGCGACGGTATCAAGCCCGCTTGTAGTCAGTGTCGACTGACAGGGCGTGTATGCCAAGGCTATCACCAGGACCTAGTGGTTTTCCACCACAAACCTACACCACGCTTGCAAAAGAGGGCGGCTTCCGGACCCGTTGCCCCGAGAAATCGTAACGCTCGATCGCCGTCAAGGTCGACTCCATTATCTGACGCACCTGGTTTGTTAGCGCACACTTCTCAACAGCCTACTTGGGATGAATGCGTGGCTATTTTGGTGCATCATTACATCCCGAAGGATGAGGTACCATTCCTCTTGCATGTCGAACCTTCCAAGTCGAGGATATGTGGTGGCTGGGTTCAAGCTCTACCTCATGTCAGTCAGAACCACGAGGATTTTGAGCACATCGTCTGGCCAGCAGTCCGTGCGCTCACCAAGTCTATGATGGTAAATAGTACGAGAGAACAACAAGAGTACCTCGACACGTACGGTACTGCTCTTAAGGGTATTCGAGCGGTACTGGACAGACCTACGGAACCAGTCGGGTCCACTGTTGCGATTGCGGGCATGTGTTTGGCGCTGTCAGAGGTATGCTGATTCTCAAACCTTTCGTCGGCCTGCCCTATGTATTGACACTTCGATAGGTCTTGGTGCCCACAAGTAACAGTGGCTACAAGACCCACTTACGTGGTGTTACTGCGATGATGCAGAGCCGCGGTCCCACTGCCTTCAATAGAGGTGTTGCTCATCTCATGTTTGTTGGAGTTCGACCTCTTATGGTAGATAGCCTATCTTGGGAGTGTCTCGTCTTGTATTCACTAACGTGTCAAGGTCCTTGATGCGATTCTCAGGCGTAAGAAAACGTTTTTGACGGACGAAGTATGGCAAACTGCACCGTTTTCCATACACCCTGCATCGAGTATGCAAGTTCTACTTGGACATGCAGCCACGATTCCCAGTCTACTCGAGGCCATGGAAGAAGGACGCACCAATCTGCAGGACTCCAGAACTGGCTTTCTTGAAACACTTGCAAGACTTCAAGATTGGGAGGACGACTTTGCGAGAGACGGGACTTCATTTCAACAGATCAATCCAGCTGAATTGGATCTGGCGACGGGTCAAGAGCGTTTGCCCAACCCGTGCTTCCACTTTGTGGACGTGTCTCATGCCAATTCTCTCACTCATTGTTGGGCGCTTCGCATCGTGTGCCTACTACAGCTCTCGAAACTAGAAGCACTGTTAGTCGCAAGCGAGACCGTTGTATGCTCGCCGCTGGAAAAGCGTTGTAGAGACGTGAAGATACTCGCCACTAAAATCTGTCGGGGACTACCGTATCTTCTACAGACAGAGATGCGATTATACGGTTCAATGTCAGCTGGGTTTCCGCTTCACATAGTATCAGAGAGCGTACTGAACCTGCAGTTGATAGACTGTTACCTCAACAGCTGGTGTACAGCAATCAAAGACCAGCTACAATCACAACGAATCGCACTGTACGAAGAGATGACGGAATCCAGGACGTTCAATTGAGAGCGGGGACCTTCCTAGTCATACCTAATTCTTACATAGGTACCATCTTTTAGTTAATTACAATGTTGGACAACAAGCTGATCGAGCTGCAGCGGTGCTGATTGGGGGAGCCTACCTAGACGTGACTACACATGACAAGGCGTGACAAACCATGTTCTGCACCTTTCCGGTCCGAAGCAGCGAGGCGGGCGATCTATGCGCATCCACGAGTCAAGAATCCGTTCTTGTCGTCGTCGAATCTGGGTTGGTGGAAGAGGCATCCGTATAGCCAGCCCCATAAACGCACCGCACGGAAGATCACGATTGGTTACTTGTTCTTTCTAGCAGAACAATGTCATTTCAAATCAATCTGTGATAGTTCCAATAACTCCGAAGTGAGTACCATTACCATAGCCAGCCAAATGGTCTCTGTAACTTCTCCGTTTAAATCTCAAGAAGACTCCGTAGCCAAGATTTGCCCTAGTATGCAAAAAGATGTCGAGGAATCAATCATGGATGCGTGGAAGTATGATAAGCATTTGAGGGTGGGAGAGACTTTCTGGGGATACATGTTGTCTATGAATAGAAACGCTACTGATAAGGGGAAAGCCCACTGGATTGAAGACATCTGAAGAACACTGGATGACCTCTGTGGTCTTTAAGTAGGGGACGGAAGTTGTGGGTCGATCTATTTACTCTGTACTCGTTAACTAATGACGATGAGAATGCATATGCCTCTCCAAGGGAATTTGAGACTATTCAGGTCAATCGCTTTTTTTAGGGAATATTTCCCTCTCAGATGATCCATCCTCGATCTCGTAGGGATCGTGCGTTTCTCGATTTTGTAATTCCCAGCCGGCCCCTTGACGGGTGCCTGATGGTTGTGTGGCTTCAGTTTCACCGACAAGAGTTGGTGCCACGTGGTGCAAGAACAGTCGCATAGTCGGGAGCGTACTTGTGATGATGATCAGGCTGGCTTCAATCAGACTAATAGAAGATGTTAGTGATGGCCTCTAGAGAAAGCTGGGGGAACCGTCAAGATGGAAATGCTCATGGTTGTCCAGCGAAGACTTACATCCACAGACTGGGGTAGACAGTATCCCATGACGAATCTTTCGAAGTCAACATAGGAGGGAGCAGTGCAACACGCACAGCACTAGTAATGCATGTACTGGTCCGCGAATTAGCTGATGCTTGTCAGAACTGCTACACAATCTTACATGAGACCGACACTGAAAAGCAGGACCAGCATGACTTTTCGCGATTTCGATGTCTGTAATCCCATGACCATGGGAATCGGCAGAATTATCACCATGATGTCCGTAATCATGTTGAGTGCTCCGGTAGCGATGTATAGTGCTGCTTTATTCAGACATTGCCCCTCCTTGACAGTGACGTCGATATTCCTCTTGAAGGGGTTGCATGCTGCAAGCAGAGATACGACAACCCCAACACAAGATCCGATGACAACCAGACTGGTGATGTAAACAGCAGTACGGAATCCCGTTGCAGGGTTCAGGTTCAGGTAGAAACATAGGAATGATAATTTGGCGAAAGCGAGAGCGGGCGAGTAGAGTACTGTCGTTGTCAGGGTGATCTGAACAATTATGATCAGCGGGTTTTGCAGAAACAAGAAGCCAAATGGTGCTTACCCGGGCGATAGTGTTGAGTTGATTGCCAGTGAGCTCCCAGGCATGTATCCCGATCAAACCGGCAGGTGCTCTGTCTGAGATACCACTGTGAGTCCTCGATTACTCAGGTCATAGTAAGTGCGAAGGGAGACACTTACAAACAATAAGAGATTGAACAGGTATGGAAAATATCTTTGAGAATCAAAGTGATCAGTCCAAAGCGCGATCATCGCTCGAAGCTTCATTGTACATACCCACGCGAGTAAAAGGCACCCTGCGGAGCAAGTTAGTAAGGTCGGGTCAAGACAGCACTGCTAGAGGAACTTACAATCATCCGAGCTCAACTTCTTGACAAGCATGATCTTCGTGTACGCTCGTATCATTAGTAGGATTGTAGCGATAACCATGCCCACGATTCCTACCCAAGTGATGATGGCCTCACCACGTCGTTGCGGGTGCTGCAGATCCACAACGTAGCCATCCGGTGCAGGTACAATGGGCTTGCTGAGATCTATCATCTGTGCATGAGTGTGTATGTCTTCAAGAGACCCAACACAGAAGCAGAATATGTTTGAGAGCACACGACGCTGTCAATGAGGAGATCACTTCATTTTGGGGTCGATCAACGTGCAGGATTCGGACCAAAATCCTGCTTGGGGATGCCCCAGAGACCTGGTAAACCCCCGGAGTGATGCAGAATGTTCCTCGCAGCCCGTGTGCCGTATCACTGGAAGAGCACGTAAGTCTGGACGCCTAGCTATAGTACATCACGACATGCGTGCCTTTCCAACATTGGCAATGGCCACATAAGTCTGCGAAGCGACTTCTACCAATGCTTCTGCAGCATTGATCTTCCACTGGGCGTGCAACAACTACCTTCTCAATGATCCTGAGAATGCAAAGATATCAAATACCTAGGTAGCAAATAAAGCGGCCCCCGAATTTTGATCGTCAGCCTTGTCCAACGTCTGGGCAGTGATCTTCCAATCAGTCGGTACGGGATCTAGTGTCGTGGCGCAAGAGCTCCTTCTGCGTATTGTTGCTCACCGTAATCTTGCGGGATAGGTCGAGAAGGCGGGTAGAAGGGGATGGAGTGGGTTGTGGGGCAAGGACCACGGCTGCCGCTTCTGCAAATATCTTCATTGGCCGTGGAAATCAGCCTGCCCGTCTAGTTAAATAAGTCAGTCCGAGCACTTGTTCTCTGTAGCTATGGAACGTACCTGCTACAATCCGCCACGGGCCGTAGCGGGCGCCTTACACCCGATTGGGACTAGCCTATTCCCACTGGGTGCGTCCTCCGGTAGTCCTGATCCTACTACGATATACCCCACTCTTTTTTGATCAAAACGACGAAGATGTTCGCCCTGCCGTGTGCGGCATAATTCTATACCGCTTGTCTTGGAATTCTGTCTGGGCCAACTGTGCAAAAACCCCTCGGCCTCTAGTCAGAAGCAACCCGGAGAGCAAGACGTACGCAATCTCGCTGACTCGTCCATTGTGCTCCCTAATCCTTCGGTGGCCGTCTGTCCGCGCCGAATCATTCGTATTAAGGGCAGCATGTCACGGATCAATCCAACCGTCTCTACTCTGAACACGCCAAATTTCTAAGCACGTCAAAAGAAGAGCTCTCAGCGGCTCAGCCCACCATGTTTCGTCTGAGCTTTGCTTTGCTCGCAGCAGCCTTGTTCCACGTATCATCTGCTGGAAATGAGGCGGAAATTGAATCTACAGTCCAATCGCTCTTCCCGAGTTACTGCGTAAGTCTCTGACCGCCTTACGTTATTTTTCTGACCGTCTCTAGTGCACAGTTTTGACCCTTAGCACCGTATCAGAACGCGTTACCTACCCTGGGCAGAGTGCGTACAATGCGAGCCTTGCTTCATATTTCGACGGCAAGAGCAGGCTGACGCCTAACTGTATTGTGCAACCGAGGACTGCAAAGGACGTTTCCACCGTAGTGAAGATCCTCACTGCGGCAAGCCTGCTCAAGCCATGCCAGTTCGCCGTACGATCTGGTGGCCATACTCCAATTCCAGGCGCTAATAATGTGGATGATGGTGTCACCATCGATCTGCTTTACATGAACGGTACCACGTACAATGCTAAAACTCAAGTAGCAAGCATCCTGCCAGCTGCACGATGGGGCTCCGTCTATGAAGCTCTTGAGCCTCTGGGTCGCATGGTAGCTGGAGGGCGTGGATCTACTGTTGGCGTTGGAGGCTTCCTCCTTGGTGGTGGAATCTCGCACTACGCTCCTCGTGTGGGGCTGTCTTGCGACAATGTGGTGAATTTTCAAGTTGTTCTTGCTGATGGCCGTGTTGTGGATGCGAACAAGGCGACAAACTCTGACCTCTTCACGGCTCTTAAGGGTGGCAACAGCAACTTTGGCATTGTGACGCGCTACGACATGGAAACGTTCCAGAACGAGGACCTATGGGGAGGCATTGTCACCTGGCCCGCATCTACCGCCGATCAGCACTTCCAATCTCTCGTGAACTTTGCTCTGAACCCGAACAGAGACTCTTATGCCGCTTTGATAGTCTTCCAAGGGTACTCCACAGCCAGCCAGGCCGACGTTGTACGGGCCGCTTTCGATTACACTAAGCCCGTGGCACGTCCAGATGCCTACAAGGAATTCTTTGCGGTCAATAACACCATCAGTGATACGACAAAGATTCAGCCAATGAGTGCCATTGCCGCCGAATTTGGCAGTGACACGACTAAAAGGTAAACATCCCGATTCACCCCATTTTATAACTCCGCTTATTTGAGATTTTCAGGGTACAATTTCGCACACTCTCCTTCAAGCCCGATCTTGCTACCCTCCAGGAGACCGCCCGCCTCTACAGCATAATGCTGGCAGAGCTTCAAGCCAAAGCATCCGGACAATGGCGCGTCTCCTGCCTGAGCCAAATATGGTCTACAAGTTATACAGCCAACAGTGCTGCCAGAGGTGGCAACGTGCTCGGTATGGAGCGCTACGATGAGAACTTCATCATGTACCAGTCATACCTCTCTTGGTCTGAGGCGAAGGACGATGAACTCTTCATAAGCTTGGGCAAGGCGCTGACTGACGGCATTCAGAAGTTTGCTGTCAGCAAGGGTACTGCAGTGGACTATCTATACCTCAATTATGCCGACAAGGATCAAGATCCGCTCTCTGCGTATGGAGCTGACAAGGTCGCGTTCATGAAGAAGGTTGCAAAGAAGTACGATCCTCGCGGTGTCTATCAGAGGCTGTTGCCCGGAGGCTTCAAGATCTCTCATGTTTAGATGTAATCACTTCGAGGCAACACTGTACATAGTAATGAATCAGCAGGTATGGGGGCCGAGGCTAGTTGTAATTTTATTCACAGCATGTAATGTTGATCTACAGACAAGTCCTGAAGTTTTATTGAAGCAATTATTACTCAGTGCTCCAATTGGAACGGACCACAGAACCGTACGTGTACTCTGGGCACAAGGCGAAGGCATGGTATGGCTATTAACACATTTGACATCGACATATCAGAGTAATCATCAAGCGAGAGTGACACCATTTCAGCTATCAGATCCGTGCATGGTGAATAAGGATACACGTTCCGCTCGTCCGCCAGAAACATGGATAAAAGACCCAAACGATTGAATGCTCTCAATGACGTGGTTACAGGAGAACCTGCGCGTAGCTGGAGTCAACTTCCAGCATATAGATCGGCGTCAAGGGATGAAAGAAGTTATAAATTACAAATGATCTTGCAATAAACAGATCGGCGACCCAGTGAAGCAAGGCTTGCAGTCCAATTCCTTGAAATTCATAATATCGCCACGCAGCCCAGATTCACTAACCCATCATGTTTGGAAAACAGAGAAGGCAGACATACTTGATATCATGGTGTAGTGTTTTGACATAGAACCAAAATGGTTGCTGCGTACATGTCCTTCAAAAAATTCATGGCATTGCTGCTCACACGGTTGGAGATAGAGACAGTGATTCGAGAAGCCAGAAAGAGACCCGTGTCTCCCAAACATGCTCTCAATTAAGGAGCAGCAGCAGAGAGAGTGATTCGGTAATCTAGACATGGTTTTGGCAGCCGAAGTATAAAAGTGCATTCATTTTCCGTGGGGCGGGAGCAACAGCACTCATACTGAGAAATGTCATTGGGTTCGTCTACGAGGAGCATGAGACCCAGAATCTCCTTTTTCCGATGCCTGCATTTGAAATAATGGAAGAACCCCCGCTGTGGAACATGAGCACAAACGTCTGGCTTTCCTATGTGTCTTGAGTGCAGAAGAGAAGTATAGCGCCCATTGATACCGACATTTTCGATCAATATGTAGAAGACATATTACTCGCGTCAAAGACTGAGAAGTGTGGACTCTATGATGGCAACGTAAGTAATTCGTAGAACAGAGAAGCATGCATTGGGATAGCGATATTTTTGAACTGTCGAGGGCAAGAGACATTGTTCCGTTCTCTGCTCGTTTTGAGTAAGGTGATGAGATATTGGATCGCAGCGTCGCAAACGTGGGATGGCGATGGAAAATTTTGGCTCATGAGATTTCTGCTACAGCCTTTTAGAGAGCCGGAACAAAAGATACCTGGGTGTTACAAGAGTGTTGTCGAAGGCAGCAGACATAGCGTGTTACTTGTATGCTTTAGGAGGCAAAGAGAGAAAACTACACATTATCTGTTTTCAGAAGAGATGTCGTGGAGAAGAATGAAGGACGGACGGGGTAGGACGTGTACTTTGTACACCAGTATCCTGTCAAAGACCCCAGGAATGAAAATAACTTGTCATCAGACAGTCGGTATGCATTGAGCAGGCAGTCAAGCAGACATCATATCTTATTTTTGCTTCTCTCAGGAACAGAGAACACAGGACATGCATATGCCTTGTACTTCATACTGCTTTGAAGGAAGGAGGAGAAACAAAGCACATTTCGTCGCTTTTCCGGATTTTCCCTCGGCCACGAGAGATGATTTCTGGTGAGTAGGAAGAGTTACACAAAGTAGAACCTACATACGCGGTTGTTCGACCGAAGACTTCAGAACAGACGGAGCTCATGCATGAGCTGCATGTAGATTTGGAAGAGACAGTGGAGCGAGCACCAATTCTCTGCATAGTTTTCATTTCAGATCCAAGGGAAAAAACACATAGGACTTTTCCTCCGCTTTTCGGTTGGAAGATGAGAGGCAAAAGAACACGGAACATGTACACTTGAAATTTGAGAGGGGGAGAGAGCATGAATCACATTGCGCAACATTATCGAATTTCTTCGATCAAGAAACGAAGAGAATCCATAGCAACACAACCAGGCAAGGTTTCGCCAGGACTGATTTGCGAGACGAGGAAGGGCTCAGAAACACCGAGCTGACCAAAGGTAACAGCACGGGTTTTCAGACAACCAAAACAGACCACATAAGGCCGTGTGTATCTTCTTGAAGTCGAGGCATAGAAGAAGGAGAGGTAATAGACACAGCAGAGGCAGAGAAAGCAGACATGGGAAAGCCTGTCCAAGATTTTTCGAGATCAGAAATACAGACGCAGACACAACCACGCAGCATGGGCTGCGGGCAGGCAATTTTAAGACAGGACTTGACATGACATGCTTTCCATGATGCTTCTGCGACAGAGGAAACGGTGTATCAGAGATATACTGAACTCGTACATAAAGCCTCTGATCGCCCTTTTGATTGGCCATGAGACAGACAGGGTACATGGTTGTCGTCAGTCGACATTTTGACGAAGTACGGGGAACAGACGCGCAACAGGCCGTTCGCATGAGCTCTGTGATGGGTTTTGAGGAGCTAGCCTGGCGGACAGAGGGCAGCAAACATTGAAACTTTGGACTATGTCCATAGAGTAGATAAGCAACGTAGTGCTTGACGAACTCCTCGAGGGCTTTCGACAGGCAGGCAGACAGACAGGACATTCCGCGACTTTCAAAGGCTTTAAGGAAGAAGACATGCATGAACGCAGAAAACGCCACTCATGATGGATCTGCACGAGGCTATCGGGCAGCCGGCTGGGCAGACAGAGAACATGCGTCAATTGAGGTATGTGTTTCGAGGAAGAAGTAGAGGCAGACGCAGAGAAGACTATTCATCATGCTGTTCTTGCGCAGTTTCAGGCAGTCAGATTGACAAGGACAGATCGGCACATATCGTTTGTTTTCTGCACTTTAAAGCCAGAGAAGAGGGCAGAAGGCAGAAGACCCAGACATTGGATCGAGGGAAAGATTTTGAGTAGGAGAAGGAAAAGACATGCATGAAGAATGGACGAATTTATGAACCTGGAGGAAAGAGGTGTGTACGAGGAAAACTCCTAAGTGCGGGACGATCTTTATATACGCAGAGAGGTCACACGCGGCGCTCAAAAAAGGCACGAGAGAATTTCATGTGAGTAGATTCCAAAATAATGCTAACGCTAAATCCAAACAAACCGAACAACAAACAGCGTAGACAATTACAGCCTGGACTCGCTGACGCCAACGGCGCCCTCCCAGCGCTCTGGCCACACCAGCCCAAGCGCCTCCCAAATATGCCCCACGAACTCAATCTTGAGGCCCTCTTTGACTTCATCGGGCAGATCCCGCGCATCCTTCCTGTTGCCCTCGGGGAGCAGCACGCGCTCAACGCCCGCACGCATGGCGCCGATGAGCTTCTCCTTGATACCGCCGACGGGCAGGACTCTACCGCGCAGACTGACCTCACCGGTCATGGCGAGTGTAGGCGGCACTGGTTTCCCGCTGAACAAGCTGATGAGGGCTACTGTGTGGGCGATGCCAGCGCTGGGCCCATCCTTGGGAATCGCGCCGCTAGGGCAGTGCACGTGGATGCTGCGGTTCTTCATGATGTCGACGCCGGCGTCGGCGAGGCCGAGGTCGAAGGCATGCGCCTTGACCCAGGTCAGTGCTACTTCGACACTTTCCTTGAGCACGTCGCCGAGTTTGCCGGTGAGCTGGACGCGGCCTGACCCGGGCATGTCGGCGATCTCGATGAAGAGGATAGAGCCTTGGCCGCCAGAGGAGTAGGCGACGAGGCCGGTGATAACGCCTGGGCGGGATTGTTGTTCTGTCAGTTCTTCGGCGAACTTCTCGATGCCCAGGGTTGCGTCGACGTCGGCGAGGGTCACGACGGGTGTGTACGTGGCGAGTGTATCGGTGTCGGCGCAAGTTGCGTACTCAACGGCTTTGCTGCGGCAAACAGAGCCAATTTCGCGCTCGAGATTGCGCACGCCAGATTCGCGTGTATAGGCTGTGATGATCTTGTCGAGGACGTCGGTAGGGATTTCAAGGTCCTTCTGGCGCAAACCATTGGTGATGATTTGCTTGGGGATGAGATGGCGAGCGGCGATATGACGCTTCTCGATTGTAGTGTAGCCGGATAGCTCGATGGTCTCCATGCGGTCGAGAAGTGGTGCTGGAATCGTATCGAGGGAGTTGGCAGTGGCGATGAATAGAACCTTGGAAAGATCAATGGGAATATTGACGTAGTGATCTGTGAAGGTGTGGTTCTGCTCTGGATCCAAGACTTCGAGCATGGCCGCGCTAGGGTCGCCGTTGTGGTTTGCGCCAGACAGCTTATCAATCTCGTCCAGGAGGAAGACAGGGTTGGCGACGCCCACCTTCTTCAGTCCACCGACGATGAGCCCAGGCATGGCTGCAACGTATGTCCTGCGGTGACCACGAATCTCTGCCTCGTCGCGAACACCACCCAGTGAAATGCGGTGGAACTTGCGGCCAAGTGCACTAGCGACTGACTTGGCCAGTGATGTCTTTCCTACTCCTGGGGGGCCGACAAGCAGGAGAATGGGCGACTTGTCAACCATGCGCTTCCTTTCGAGCAGTTGCTTCTCTTCTTCGGATTGCTCCTTGGTGGGCTGCAGCTGTGTATCATCGGCATGCTCATGTTGCTCATGTTGCTCACCATCGGGTGTGGGGCCCTCGGTTAGAGCGCGGATCTGGTCGTCAATGCTGCGATTGGCTTGCTCCTTGAGCTTGAGCACAGCCAGATACTCTAGCAGCCTCTTCTTGACTTTGTCAAGACCGTAGTGGTCATCATCAAGCTGCTTCCGCGCCTTGACGAGTGTCCCTGCGTCGAGTTGATCGAGGGTCATCTTCGTCCATGGAATTTCGGCAAGATTGTCGAGGTAGTTCCTGATAACTGTGTACTCGGCCTGCGCCGGGTTCATCTTCTGCAGACGCTGCAGCTCTCGTTGGGCCACTTTGTCAGCCTCAGCCGACAACTGAGCGTCCTGCAGACGTTTCTTGAGCTCATCAATCTCGTTTGTGTCCTCCTCGCCCTGCGGCTGGGAGCCACCAGGGAAACCTCCGGTGAAGCCGGGCAGCTTGCCGTCGCCCATCTTGCCCCGCTTGATCAGGGCCTGCTGTTGTATCCGTCGCAGCTGATCGACGTCGAAGTTGCCGCTGGGGGCTTGTTGTGTTGTGACTATAATGCGTGTGCTGCCCTGGATGTTCGTGATCTGGCGCTGGAGGATCTCAATGACGCGGTCAACTCGGTCTCTGGCATCAATCGCTGCCAGCACACGCAGCTTCTCCTCGTGAGAGCATTCGACAATGTTGGCCATGAAGTCGGCCAGCGAGCCAGCCTCGGACAGATCCTTGCGAGAGATGTACAGCTCTAGCCTGCGTGCGACGATCGGCGACAGTGTGACGGTAGGCATGCGCGGCAGGATTGCAGAGAGACGCACGAGAGCAAGCAGCTCACGCGACAGTTGCTTGAGGCGGTTGAACCTTTCCTCGAGCTCCTCGTCGACAACGTTGATGTACTCATCAACGGCGGCCAGGTCGCCCTCGAAGTACGGGCGCTCCTGCACGACGTCGACTATGCGCACGCGCTCCAGTCCCTCGACAACCAGGCTCAGGTCACCCTGTCGCCGGCCCTGTACGCCAGTGACCTTTGCAATGCATCCATATCCGAATATATCCCTCTTAGTCGCCTGCACCGGGTCGCTCTCGTAGATCGTCTTGTCGCCGCGCTCGGAGTCCTCGAGCATCAGCTGTCCGTCGATGGGGCTGATGGTGTTCGAGTTGAGAGGCACGCAGGCGACAGTGATGGAGGCATCGGGCTTTGCCGTCGGGCTGATGCTGTAGATCTTGGCGAGGATGGCGGCAACGTCGGGACGGTTCGTGATGGGGATCTTGACGGTCGTACCGGGAAGGACGGCGAGCGGAGGTGCGAGGGGGATGAGCGGCAGCACCTTGGTGCTCGTTTTGCTCGAGCCCTTGCCCATTGTGAACTGTACTGAAAGGCCAAAGGATGGGTGTGCAATGTGTAATGTACAATGTCGTACAATAATCTGGTCGCGTGGTGGAAGCACGTCAGTTGCGCGGCGGCTCCGCTTGCGGACCACTCGTGGCGATCGCTGGGGTGACGGTGGTAGTACAAGGAGGCGCGCTCAGGTGACAAGTCTGCGAAGTGGTGTAAATAGAGAATTGGCTACGGGCAAGACAGCGAAGGGATCCTGTGGCCACCCAAGAGGCGCTGGCTCGATTCCAGAAGATGCTCTGGTCGTTCAGGTGCATTGCCAGTCGGAGCCGAGGTAATCGTCGCCGATTGGGCGCTACGCCCTCACGACTCATTGACGATCCATCAGATAAGATAGGCTCAAGTAGCTGAATCACATGCAGCGCTACTCCCCACCCCGAGCCTCTCACGAGAACGCAACGAGAGGGGTTTATGGGTCTGGATCAGCGAAGGATGCCCTCAGGCGCACTGCCGCGTGTGCGGCACAGTTCTTGGATTCCGCGGACGCGCCGGTGTCGGTTGACAAGACAAATGGCCCATGCTGAGCGATAGAGCGTCCAGGTCTGAGGGCTACTCGAAACTGCATGGCTTTACCCGGCGCCTTCCCCAAGATGCCAAGCACTCTCAGGTCGATTGCATGAAATGTGTGGCAACTGCAAGCCATGGCCGAACATGGCAAAACCAAGCGAGCGTTACGATGCGCTTCTGCAGATCACAACCAGATCCTTATCGTACATGTGTAATTGAGCTGATTTTTATCTTCATTGATCATATACATGTTCCGCCAACTCGGCCTGTATTTGCACCCCTTACGCTGACTAAACCACCGACAAGAATGCCACTACTCCGTTGACCTAAATGCACAAGAGTGCCTCCTTCGCCAGAATAACAGATAGTTATGTGACGGCTGTACTGCCAGATGATATCAATACTTCGTACCATCCGGTGTGTTCCTGCCATGGCTTGCAGTCATGCTGTAAGGTGCCAGGACCTTCTTTGCATTGCATATACGCCATGCCAGGTTCCGAACGTTGCCGTCAGCCTGAACGACTTCAGGTGCAAACTCGATGCCGAACATCTGATGAACCGCAAAGACGACCCTCTTAGCGAATTTGCCGTCTCTCTCGACAAGGCTGCCGAAGGACTCCTCGGGGGTGTCAGGAGCAATTTCTGGATCCCGGTCGAAGCAGTTTTGGATGACTGGGAGAAGAGTCTGCTCGACAGCACGATGAACGGTGCCGTTGGTGTCGACCTCAACATCATCCTCGTCGAATCTTGGGATACGGATTTCGAAGGCTTGAGATAGCGCCATGACGTTGTGTTTGCCGCCGTGGTGGTAGCGGAATTCGAAGACACCGGTGGTCCACCAGAGTTTATCGCCACGGAACTCGACCTCGCCAGTGTAGTGATCGAAATCATCCTCGCTATCAGATAAGGCTGGAATAAGCTTGTCCGAAACTAAGATACCCTTCTCAGCACGGACTGAGTCGTACACGCCGTTGTTGGTGGCAATCCAGCGGCCATTGCTGCTGAGCTGCGTGATCTCTCGAGACTGGTTGTCGGCGACCATGTAGAGCCCAATCCAGTCCTTCTTGCTGTGGTTGAGCGGAGCTTGCCATCGAACCTTGATTGGTGCGCCATACTCAAGAGCCAAGGTTTTGAATTCACTTGTACGTGTTGCTGGCGTCCTCGCCATCTCGCCCTCACGCCCGCCATTCTTTTGATATTCGACTGCAGGTGCAGAGAGTGTGCCTTGAACTTCAAGCTTGTACTGCTTAGGGTCATAGCCAGCAAGATCTGGTGATAGACGTGTGATTGAGATGCGAGCTGGATAAGACTTGAACAAAGCTGTGGTGTCTTTGACGAAGGTACCGACTCCAGCCGCGAGTTTGGGCTTCGCACTCTCAAGGACTTCTTCGATGAACTCGACTGTGGAATTGATGTAGTCATCGGCAGCCGACTGCCAGTTGCGAACCGGACTGGGAAGAGCTTGGCGTAGAGTCTTGCTGACGCCAGACGTCTGGCGGAGTTTCTGACCGTAGAGCTAGAGCGGCATTTAGTCTCGACACCCATACCAAGTTCCAGGGCATGACCTACCTTGTTCATGTGAGGTCGCTCAACGAAGTGCAGGAACACCAAATTCAAGACTTGGGCCGTCGTTGCAAGATAGAAGATTGGTGCAGTCCAGGTGATGACAGCGATGCCCCAGATGCCTGCCATACCAAGGACACGCTCAGGGCTGTTGAGGAAGCGGTAGATACCCGAGTAGGTAAGGTTCTTTGGTGGTGGGTCGAAGAAGAAGTCGCCACAGAACCAACCAAACTCGCCCAAGGAATCGTAAATGCTGGCAGCTGTCCACAGATGCAGAGCGATCATACCGATACCAAGAACAAGTCTGAACGCTGTGAGGTCGTAGAACCAGTCAGGTGGGAGTGTGTACATCTTCCAAGCTGCAGCGAGAAAGCTGGCGTGGCTCATCGTCATACTAAGATGATATCTGATGTATTCGTCAGCGTGATGTTCCTGCTGATGTTGCGAGTGTCGATATTCGAGAGGACCCAGCTTCTCTTTGAGTAGACGAGTCGCTATAGAAGAGGAGTGTAGCTTACAGGCACTTCCATTGGCGCCACGCTTCCTCCTTAGTATCGCCATACTTGATGAAGTGACGAGTCCAGTTCTTCTTCTTAGACTGACGATCGAGGATATAGCCAAGACCCAAGACATACCACAAGCGCCAGAAGAACGCATTGACGAGGAAGAAGGTCCGCACCAGGCGGGTGTCTGGTGTCAGTGTCGCCAGGCAGAACATGTAGAAAGAAATGATTACTACCGTAACGTCGATGGCGCGATGGAAGTCCATGTTCTGTGGACCGACGATGTAATGCATTGGGGCAGGCTGTTTGACATCATCGGCGGGCGCTTCAGTGTCGACATTGTCAGACTGGCTGGAGGTGGGACGGTGCTTTTGGGTAATGTCTCCAGAATTATGGCGCGTTCGGCGAGGTGGTGCTGGGTTGTAGATCTTTTGAATGTGCGGCTCTTCAACCTTGATCAAGAAGGCAAATTGCGCTGCGTGCGCGATAATGGAAATCAGGAGCACCTTGTAACTTGCCATCATGAGAGCAATGCCATAGAAGCCGGCGTACCTATAGGTCAAGGTTTAGCACAAGTGTTTACCGATGAGGATGGTAATGCGAGCGTACCCAATCGAGTACATCGGATGCGGCGCTGCTTCGAAGACACCATCGAACGTCAGACGCTGATCGATGAGGTAGAAGAAGTCTCCCCAGTACCAGGCATAGTCTTTCACCACTCGGTGAGCATCCAGCTTGACAAACAAGTTGAAGATGAAAAGGACAATGCCAGTTGTCCATCGCAGGGCAAAGAGCAGCCAACTCTCCTCTGGGCGATGGAAACATGCAATGGCGAAGAGACAGTACGATACGAAGTCACACATCAGAATCAGGTCTACGACGCGCCTGAAGACCAGCCACGTGTTGTACTCCAACGGAGCCTCTTCGAACTTGTAGTCCCTGGGGATCTTGGTCTCCATTTCCCTCTTGAGAAACTTGTAGATCGTTGGGTGTGGATTCTTGCCCGTCTTGGGGTCCTCAAAGATGTGCGAGTTCTTCGCCCATAGAACCAGACGGTTGTGCTTGGACTGCACATCGAGAAGCCAGCCTATGCCTGCGTTGTAGCCGGCGCGCCAGAACAGGAAGATTACAGCGAAGACGGGTATGCGGGCGCTTTTGGGCAGTAGGTAGAGCGTGGAGATCAAGCTTGCAAGCACCGCGAGCACTGCTAGATCGGATAAGTTCTTTGGTTGCGAGGGCGAGAGCAGCTGCGACACCATGTCGTGGGTGTGCGGCACGATGAAGACTATACATTTTGGTCGTCAGTCCTGGCCTATGGACGTACTTGCGGTTGAGTAACACTAATTTTTTGTTTTGAGCATGCTGTGATAGGTCAATACTTACCTGTACCATCTGGTGTCCGGCCGTATGTCTTCTTTTCTCGTTCGCCCTTGCCATCTTCCTGCTCATTAAGCTCAAGAACTTTTTGTTTCGCCGCATCAGAGTCGTGCATACGCATCGGCTTAGTTGTCGGTCGTTCTCTTAGCTGGCTACTGTCGGCCCTCGGTACCTTGTCGACATCCGTCATGTTGAACGACGCGTCTCCAGAGAGCAATTGAGATTGCGCAAAACCAGGAGGGGTTATGTTGACGGGTATTTAAGTCGCGCTTAAAAGGTGTGCGTGCTTCCGCGCTATGCGAGGTTTGGCTTCGGGGCTGCAGCCGTTGCTGGGGTGGCCGGAGATGCTGTTGAACGCGCGCTGGCTGTTGCAGGCAGGCGAGAATATGTATGAGAACGGCCAAAAGGAGTTTGCATATGTGTATGATCCCCCCATACAAGGCTTAGAGTGTTGAACTCTAGCGGAAAGGTTTGATGTTGAACAAAGGCGTCGTGGGGAGGTACAAGTTCTTCTCGAACGTACCTCTGTCAGGACGCCTTGATGCTGGAAGTGGGGCGTGGTGGGGCAGGGCGGATTTACCAGCCGAAGCTGAACGACCTCGGGGGACCCTGGCACCTGCGTCTCTGGCGTGCACTGCTGGAGGTGACGGCACAGAACATGTATTCTTGTCTTAGCTGGGTTACTCTAAAAAACCACTACACCCATTGTTGAAGTAAGTACTCAATGTACGGACACGTGATATGCTATTTGTTCCTGCTTCTGTTCAAGTCTTTTCTATCTCTTTGTAGTGAGAACTGTGCTGGCATGTGCCATGCTATGATCGGACAAACAAGCAGAACCAATGGAAGAACGCGTTGCAAACACCCCCCAAGACACTAGACGAAAGAGGTCGTACTACTGAACTGCCGTCATGCCTGTCTCGCCTTTGCTTTCCATCAAAGCGAATTGGTCCTTTGCCTATTCATCTGCACCGCTGCATCCTTTTGTGGTTTCGTTTGCGGGGTCGAATTGCACCACATCTGTCCCGGCAGATGCTGCAAAGATGGCTGAACAGCATTCGAAATACGTTGCAATACCGGGTATATCTCTGCAGCAGTGCATCGTCTCTTTTGTAGCAGCTCTTCAGCTTTGGTGACTGCGGTTGCGCTTGACATGCTGCGCTGTTGGTATTCCGGCATGCAACAGCCGTCCTGTCGAACGACATGGGAGCAGTTGGGGGGTTGAAAGACGGCTGCTTCGGGACTAAGTATGGACGATCGCCTGATCTGTGACTGTGCCGTGTTCGGTGGCACCGGAAGAGAGTTTGGAAGCTCCACTACGTCTCGAGAGAGTGGGGGAGGTCGTCTAACATCCTTCGCCATAGCAGAGTCGCACCTAAGGCTTTCATTACAAACATCCGGAGCGAGATCATCCATGAAATAGGTGTTGCTGCTCTCCTTCTGGAATGGCGAGACTGCGGTTTCGTCTGCCCAGCCATTCCAGGTCAGATCTGTGGCATCTGAACTTGAGTATGAGCCAAGAGTAGGTGTATACAAAGTCGGTGTCGAGGTAATCTCCGATTGAACGGACGATGCGTTGGCTAGATGGTATGCTTTCATATTCGCAAGGATGATGTTGGTCTCACAGGCCTGTAGGTTGTTGAAGAAGCCTTGTTCGTTTCTCTCTCGGTCCCTGATCTCGCTGTCTAGATGTCTTTTGATCTGTTGCAACTTCTTCCGTTTTCTCGGTGGAAGAGCCGTCTTATTGTCGAGTTGACAAGCATTCTTGACTCGCTTCTCGCGCAGGGCTTTCAGATACGTGACACAGTCTGCAAGTCCCATCGATAGAACGTTCTTCTCCTGATGAAGCCTGATCAGATCGTAAGGGAGAGTGTTCGGAATCTCTTGGTTGTATGGGCTGTACGAAAGACCATCGTACATCATCCCATATTGAGGCGGGAGCTGATATGCCTCGACATGCATGGTGGATACAAAACTCAGTCTGCTGATATGCAATACAAGCTTGAACAGTGGAGTCAAGTCTGCAGGCCAAGTGGTCGATCGTTCCCAGGCTTCGATAGGGTTATAAGCCAGCAGTGGAGGAGCTGCTTGGAAGTATGACGGCCAGAAGCGTGGTAGGAGCCAGAACCTGTAAGCCAAGCAATACCCCTTTGATAAGAAGTAATGGCCTGTGGCAATAGAGTATCGCTTAACAACATCTAGCCTTTCTTACTGCTCGACACTGCTCTTTGATCATCCTAAAGTGGACGATGCTCGCCATGATCAGGCGCAACAATGATAAGCACGGTAAGAGAGCCGAATGCAGTGGCGTAAGATGCTTTATGGTCTATTCATCAACAGGCTTGATTCTGTTAGCGTTTCACCATTCAAGCTCCTCCAAGCACAAGGGGCCATCGATTTTGGAAATGCGGGGAAGTGCCGTGGCGCTTCGCATGTTGAATGGTAGCCGCGGGTAATAGCTGTTGTTCCTGGTTGAAAGGAATTCCGTTTCGAGACACTTGTGACGATCACATCTGCTACAAAGATCAATACAGAGGAAATGTATACCATTCTGATGGTTGCCCAATTCCAGTGTGAAATATGATTCATGTCTCATCAAAACGCAGGTCTGACAAGCAATACCTACTCAGCATACCCAACCCCATCAATGATGGATTGTAGTCATCTCCTACAATCGTGCAGACTGGATGCAAAGGGCGTGTTCTTTGTTCTAGCGTCCGTGTCGTGGCGCAAACCCGGGAACGGCTGCTTGTCAGACAATAAAGTGGACGCCAGTGGCGTCAACCCTACCTGTAACATGTCGTTCAACGCAGCGTTACCAAACGTACGAACTCCTCACAGTCAGGCCAGCAGCTCGCCACAATGCAGACAGGGTCGGTGGGCTTTTACCAATCAGTAACTATTGCTCACTTTGCTTTGATTGTCCAAGCCCAGGTATCGCCTGAAGGAATGTGGAGAGACGACTCGCAAGGGGTGCAGACGTCAATAAGGAACGCTTTATCAACGCCACCAAACAATGGGATGTACCGAATGCGCGAGTTCCAGAAAGGTCATTGATGCGGCTGCCCTTCGAACGTCGTTGAGCTAGGCTGGCGAACATTCTCGAACGCCTAAGGAATGAGAGCCCAGGACTGAGGGGGCTGCGGATCCACGGAGCTTTACTGAACATCAGCGACAACACGAAGTAATCGATCTGACAATACTAATCACTGGTCGCTGACGGATCAACCTGAGTGCAGTCAAGCGTCGTGTGGTTAGCGAAAAGCCCACCTGCAACTTGATAGCCCAAGGTTGGTCTTCAGGCAGCCAATGGGGCGATTATTGCGATCTTTTCCAAGTGATTCAGAGCACGTAGAACCGTATAATTACTGCATATGAACTTTTTTGCTTGCTGTTGTTGACAGTCGAACGACCGGCAATGCACAAAACGGAGCGCCATCGTTCCGCACTGGCACGTGGACGCGCTTCGAAGCGGAAGCGCTTACAATACCCGCCCAGGGGAACTCTGCTGCAGGTGGAACGTGCAATGGACTCTGGCATTTGATTCTGCGGGATCCGGGGTCGGTACGTGAATTGATTACCAACGCAGCTGCGCAGCAGTGGTCTCATTCCAGACGGGTTTGAATGTGGCGAGCCTCACGTCATGCGTCCGCAGGCTCCATCCCTTTTGATTACTTTACGGTCAAGGACTTGTTTGCGCCGGCAACGCAGCTACTCGCAAGTCGTGGAGCTCCCGGCTTACCACCTGCGCGTCATTTTCCAGCGTTTATGTACCCATCCGTCGACCCCGCACTAAGCAGTTTAAGTATACAAGTGCACGCTCGGGATTCGGGACTCGGGGAGAAATGGCGGTTTTCGACGGCTTCGGCCATGATCATGCTTCTTGTCGTGTGTGGTGTGTTCCTGGGCCGAGATCTTCAGATGTGGGGTTAAGGTTGTTTTAACGACTGTTTCCACTTCTTCCGAAGTCTAACGTCGTCATTACATCACCAATGTGGTTCCACCATGCCGCCGCCTGGACCTTGTGGTCCCGGCGACGAACCGGCGCAGCCTTTGATGACATTAGCAAAGATGACGAGTATTCATATGTGGCATCTACGACAGTGTCAGCGCATCATTCGTACCGTTGCCAACCGTGAGTACACCAAGTTCGCTGATTTGTTATTCCAAAAAGAGTGCTACATGCATTGGACGCACTAAGGATCCCGTACCTGACCTGTGACGGCACCAGCTGCGTTCGATTTGCCAATCAAAGCCAGGCCCCGCCATCATCCGGTACACAACAGTGAAACGATCTAGCTTCCTGTATGTACCTGGTACCTCACCACATAATATAAGTAGTTATCACGCAATCACCGCCCAAGAGCAGAGCTGAGACATCGGCCCCTGTACCGTACCAACTAAACCGCATTGGCAAATCTACGAGACCATGGTTCGGAAGACGGAGATCATTGACATTCGCGTCGGTTCTACCGACTTTGACATGGTGGCAGATATCAAGAAAGGCCTCAAGCCAGAGAACGGCGGCGAGAAGAGGCTCCCTACTCTGTTGCTGTATGATGAGGTATATATACCTATTAATCGTTGTTTTCCGTGGCTGACCGTCACAGGCTGGGTTGCGACTATTCGAGAAAATCACTTACCTTGAGGAGTATGTCATGCCAGGATCTACTAGATTACTTCCATCTGACGTTACATATAGGTACTACCTGACCAATGCTGAGATCGAGGTTTTGGAAACCTATGCCGAACAGATTGCGCGCAGGATCCAATCAGGCTCTGTCCTGGTTGAGCTTGGCAGTGGGTATGTAGCATATGCCCAAGCTTTGGTGGCTGAGAAGTACGCTTCAGCGAATTCTGACCAAACTTAGAAATCTGCGAAAGGTCAATATCCTTTTGCAAGCCATTGACCGTCTCGGAAAAGATGTAGAATACTACGCGGTTGACCTCTCTTTGCCAGAGCTAAAGAGAACGTTCTCTGAGATACCAACTGGTAAGTAAATTCCTTCGCTTAGAAGATAGACGACATATCCGGACATGAAAATTGTTGGGAGATCGTCGGACATCCGCGAACTCGCAGAGAGGGTGCATGTCAAACGTCCAGACCCACTCCTTGACCCCACTCCCGTATCACACGAGATGCAGGGAACGTCAGGATCTTGGCCTAAAAGTACCTAAACTGACCTGATTGGTAGATGGTTACAAGCACGTGAAGTGCTTTGGCCTACATGGAACATACGACCATGCATTGGAGTGGCTGAAGTCCTCCAGTGTCAGAGATAAGCCAAAGACTGTTCTGTGGCTCGGCTCCAGTCTGGGTAACTTCAAGCGACACGAAGCAGCACCGTTCCTTGCCGGATTTTGCGATGCTATCAAGCCTGGTGACACCATGCTCATCGGTATCGACTCTTGCAAGAATTCAAGTCGTGTATATCATGCCTACAACGATGGGCAGAACGTGACACACGAATTCATTCTGAACGGCTTGAAGCACGCGAATAAGCTCATGGGCAGCGAAGTATTTAACATTGGGGAGTGGGAGGTCATTGGAGAATTCGATGAGGAAGCCGGGCGCCATCACGCATTCGTTGCACCATTGAAGGATGTCATTGTCGAAGGTGTTGAGGTCATGAAGGGCGAGCGGATCCGGATCGAAGAGAGCTATAAGTATAGCCGTGAAGAGATATTGGAACTGTGGGAGGGCGCTCGCCTTGCTGAGAACGCAGTCTGGTCCAATGACAGAGGTGATTACGGTAAGACCCATACTCCTGTGCTGTCCCGAGTCCAGCTACTCATTACATTTCAGGGTTACACTTCGTCTCGAAACCCGCTGTCTTCTTTCCCACGAAGCCTAGCGTGTATGCTGCACAGCCAGTACCATCTCTTGTTGAGTGGCGCGAGCTGTGGAAAGCCTGGGACGCCGTCACCCGCCAAATGATCCCCGAAGACGAGCTGCTCTCGAAACCGATCAATCTCCGCAATGCCTGCATCTTCTACCTAGGTCACATCCCTACCTTCCTCGACATTCACATGGCAAGAGCCACCGATGGCAAAGCTACGGATCCTGCCTACTTTCAGCAAATCTTCGAGCGTGGCATCGATCCGGATGTAGACGACCCAGAAAAATGCCACGTGCATTCTGAGATTCCTGATACCTGGCCACATCTTGATGAAATCCTGACCCATCAGCAAGCGATTCGTGAGAGAGCAGAGACTCTCTATACATCCGGGGCAGTGGTTAACAATCCCCAAGTAGCACGCGCAATGTGGCTTGGTTTCGAACATGAGGCTATGCATCTTGAAACCCTTTTGTACATGCTTGTACAAAGTGACAAAGTTCTTCCTCCTCCTGGAACCACTGTTCCGGATTTTGCCGCTCTCGCAAAGCGATCTGCAGCGAACGCTGTCAAGAATGAATGGTTCAACATTCCTGAAACAGAAATCAGTATTGGTTTGGATGATCCAGACAGCGACTCAACCACCAAGCGCTATTTCGGCTGGGATAATGAGAAGCCTGTACGCTCGGCTAAAGTAAAGTCGTTCCGTGCCAGGGCACGCCCAATCACGAATGGTGAGTACGGAGCCTACCTCACAAAGACCGGAAGTACGGCCATCCCTGCATCTTGGTGCGAGGGAAGGGATCTCAGTGAAACTACACGTGCGGTAAACAAGAGAGACAGTGTCATAAATGGCCTCCAAAACAACACCAATGGCTCAGTGGTGAACGCCACTGATGGAAAGTATGTGAAGACAGTATATGGCATGGTGCCGCTCATGTACGCGCTTGATTGGCCTGTTGTTGCTTCTTACGATGAGGTCGCCGGCTGTGCGCAGTGGATGGGTGGACGCATTCCCACGATGGAGGAAGCACGAAGCATTTACAGTTATGTTGAAACGTCGAAGAACAAGGAGCTTCAAGCTTTGGGTAACACAATTCCGGCGGTGAACGGGTAGGCACTTTCAAACATGGATAGCCGCACGGATGACTAACTAATAGCAGACACCTCATCAACAACGGTGTAGATGAGACACCACCATCCAAGCCTTTGTCGAATGGCGACTCTAGCGCAGCTACTGGTCACACTCCTAATCCGCACGATCTCTTCATCGATCTCGAAGGGACGAATGTGGGTTTCAAACACTGGCATCCTGTCTCTGTAGTCGAAAAGGGCAATAAGCTCTGCGGCCAATCAGATCTGGGTGGTGTTTGGGAATGGACCAGTACTGTGCTAGAGAAGCATGATGGCTTCGAGCCGATGAAGCTGTACCCAGGCTACACAGCGGACTTCTTCGATGGGAAACACAACATTACGCTAGGAGGATCCTGGGCGACAGTACCTCGCATTGCAGGTCGCAAGACCTTGTAAGTAGCTTAAGGCAAGTATAGCCGAGATCCCGCTAACGGCACCAGTGTGAATTGGTATCAACGCAACTACCCTTATGTGTGGGCAGGCGCTCGCGTCGTGACTGATGCATAGAGACAGCAGCCTATTGACTGTTGACTGTCTGCACATTCTTGGACTTTGTTATTCCGCGTTCTGCTGGTGCTTGAGCACTGCATCTGCGAGCAACTGCGAGGTGTTACCTAGTCGCGGCGACCTGTCGTCGCGTAAGTACCAAAGGTGAAATTGTAAAAGACGAGAGCTCATAACAACTCGTAGGCGCTCTTTTCACGCCCCGATGTCCTCCTGTACTTAAGGCTTGTTTTTCCCCTCTCGATAGTGCAAAGTCGCTCCTTCCACTTACGTGATCCAGAGGTGCTGAGCCTAGGTAGGCATCAGTGAACCCTGCCACTTGTCCGTGCCCCACAATTACGACAGCCTTGTCCAAATTTGGCCTTTCACTTCCACTGCTCGCTGCGAGATCGCTGCCTCAGCCTGGCCCTCTATATACAAAGCTTTTCCGCGTCCGCTCTGCAACTAAGACAGCCTCACCAGCCCACAGCCTTCCCTTTAGCCACAATCTTCTCAACGGCTATAGCTTGTCAAACATGGTCAACAGCCTGCTCTTCCGCTGGGAAGATAGCCAGGCTCTGCAACACCATTGCGGTTTCTGTGAACGGCCCCTCTCCCACCCTGGAGCTCGAGCCAGCTGCTTCGGTACGCATAGTGAGCCATGTCACCGCTTCCATCAGGTAATTCGTATCTGTCGCCTCTACACCAAGCATACACTAATCTCGCAGGCAATGTTCATGCGTAATCGCGCTCACATGTGCAACTACTGCACCACTATCGATGAAGCGTAAGTTGACCTTTTTCCCGTCAGCTTTGGTTTTTGGATCACCCTGACGTAGCTCAAATCAGGCACTACAAGCGGCACCATGAGCTTGTCATCCAGTTGCGGAAGATCTACGAAAGCTGCGGTGAAGCAGACTGGACTATCCCACCTGTAGAACCTGACGACATTAGAAGAAGCCATTCTTATGACTTGCACCCAACCGCTTGCGACAATGGAGCAGATAGTCTTGCGCCAGACGAGACGCCGATCTCAAAACGTGATCGAAAAGACGCCAAGTCGTTGGCTCGTGCTGCAAACAGAGTGAAAGTCGTCACGCAGGACGAGATAAGATACGTCGAATCGGTTCTCCACTCTGCTGAGGGTGTCTCTGGCGGTGAAAGCACGAGTCCTGCCAATCTCGAGGAACTGCAGCTGATTGAAGAACAACTGCGCTACAACGCAAACGTCTACAATCTTTCGAGCCATCGTGATCTCAAAAGATTTGCCAAGATTCCAGACGTGGAAGTCGACTTTGACGGAGAGATGGAGAGAGTCCTTGCTACGTTTCGCATTACTGAACTTGTTAAGCGCAACGTTAAGAATCGCGGGTTACAAGGTAAGGATCTGACCATCTTTGAGAACTTGGTCGAGACTTTCAAAAGCGCTGTTGTCGAAGACTTGGTACTTGTCAAGAAAGACATGATGGAAGTTCAGATGCGCCGTGCAGGCTATTTACGCTACACCAGCAAAGCCGCATATAACATTGTCGAAGACCGGTATACCGACAAAGACTGGAAAACAGGCGAGCGTATTACGGCCTCGAATAGCGACTCCAGTGGCCTTGATTCGCTTGTAGGTGAGCCTGCTATACCATACGAGTATGCTCCCTTTCCACATCAAATTCGACCTGATACTGACTTTTTGCCGAGATGCGAGCCTACGATTCCCTCGTTACCTGTTCTACCTTCCGTCAAAGGTCCCGATCAACGCCATCTACTGCGCGTCCACACCCGTATCAGCGGAGATGACGGTCTCGGACAGAAGGTCATCGAGCCCTATCACACGCCCTTATTACCGCTCGCCCCAAAGCAGGCCATGAGAAAGCCTGCTGTCTTACAGCTGAAGGTGGTCGAAAACAAAGAAAACCAGATTCCTGCTGGTATGACTAACCGTGGGTGGTTACGGCGCGGCGTGACAAGGCAATCATCTTCCAAGAAACATCTGCGGACGTCAGAGGAGGAGCATCTATCTCATTCAGCACTATCAGAGAAGCCTTTCGCATCAAGCGAGACCAGACCCATGAGTAAGTCGACGTGGGGAAGTTCTGAAGCCTTGACCCAAGGCTCTATGGCCGAGCGTGCCACAGAACATGAAGAGGTGTCTGCTGCTCCACATGAGCGCGTGGAGCCGCTCAAGCGTGTCGCAGCAAGATCCAGTGCACCTGCCGTGCAGCTTCCTATGGAACATGAGAACGTTGGTCTTCAAGGTCCAGAAGGTGCGATCTCACCGAATCATGACACTCGAGACGCGCACCCGGTAGTTTCTCAGAAGAAGGCAAAGAAGGCTCAGCGTGAGGCTAAGCGCAAAGCTAAAAAGGTCAGTATCCCCGAGGAGACAGCCAATCCTACAGCGGTAGACCCCGTTGGCCTTGGGGTGACGGAGCAAGTCTTCCGTGAGACTTTGCTTGATGCTCCTTTGGCCAAATATACGTCTCATGCTATGGAAGATGTGTCTCCGCTACGCTCTAGCTCTCTTTCGAGAGATCTGGCCGACGGCGACAAAGATAATACGGATACTGGACTTGTAGCGAAGCAGAACAACGATCCTGGGTTCCCGATCGAGTTGACACCGCCGACCATACTACACACGACTCATGGGAAGCATAATCACTGGGCGCGTTTCTCTAGTGCTTTTATTGTCGACCGGTTGACTAGCCCGCTGCTTCAGTCTCTCGAGGCCTGCTCACCTGGGTCATCCTGCCTTTTCGAGAGCCATGGTGTACTTGACTGTCCATTCCATGAGCCTCGTAAGTACTGTGCTTTTCGAAGAGATGCATGCACTGATCATACATTCTAGGCTGTGATTGTGGAGATCCTTTGCTAATCCAATGCTACCTGATGCATCCTGGCAAGGAACTGTATACCTCAGGACCGTACAACCAGGCTCACGGCAAGAGGCTACTAGCCATGTACGAGCAGCATGACATCACCAAAGGTAGACTCATGCTCGTCGACGAGGATCTTGTTTCGTATCTCTTGGATCGCAACAGCAGTCCTGACCAGCCGGATCCTACTACCATGCCTACTCGTCTTCTACGCGAGCACTTCGAATCTCTAAATGGCTACGGATGCGGTCCGCTCATGCAGACAGAGCTGGAATTCGAGCGTCGTCTGGCCAAAGACGTATCTATTGGGCGTCCACTCACTTCAAAGATTCTCCAGAACATTCAGGGTAAGCACTCCGGTCTCAAGGGTTCCAGGACTCTATGTTATTGCCAAGTCGAGGTGTTACCTCACGTTCGTGACATGAACAAAGAGTTCGGTAAGGACTTTGTAAGTTGCTCGTATCGGAGGTGTGAATTTGGCGGTGTATTCCACACGCGCTGTGTCAAGAAGCTGGGCTCTGAGAAAGTCAGTCGATGGTACTGCACCTCTTGCGAGAAGCAGATGAAGGTCTTGGCCTGTCGGACTTTGAAAGTTCCGGGCAACGAAAAGGCTGCGACCTTCGATGGCACAGTGGGGCAACTAGCAAAGGTGTTTGCTGCAGAGATGGTTACGAACCGCCCAAAGCTGAACTCACACTTTTGAGGAGCCTCGCGGTGGTGAGCCGCGTGGTGATGTGTGGATCAAGCACGGCGGGTTAAGGTGAACAATGTGGAGCGGTGCCGAGATGCAGGACCACACTGAGGTGCGGGATCTTCCAAAAATTTGTAAAGTAATATGTATCTCGTAAGTCATCGTAACATCGTTCATATCATGATTATGGCCTAGTCGGCATACATGGCGAGATGTATCAGATCCGACTCAGCCCACCAACGTGTGCCCATCTCCCTCGACCAGACGTTGCCATTCTAATCAGAATAGAGCAGTTTCTTGATCCACTTCCTTAATTTCCTTGCCCTTGAGGGTCTACTCTTGCGATTCCTTTTCGCCCTTATCTCTTTGTCCTCCCAGACGAATGCTCTGCCAATATTCATATCGATACTGTCTCTCGCCCTCCGCCCCAAGTCTCCCACATCGTCATCATCATTTTCGCCTCCCTCTTCATCATCACTGTCACCATCGAGCTCATGATACCGCCGATGCATAAACTGCCGCAGCGCCAATCTCCTCTCCACATCCTGGGTGAACGTGATACTAGAGGTCTCCGACGCCTCTTCGAAACCACTATCAACCCTTTCCACAGGCTTCGGCTTGGATGCGCGTTTGGTTTTGCGCTCTTGGTGGGACGTACTTGGCCCGTTGCTCTCGGTCTTGGGGGGACTTGGTGACTCTGAGCAGTTGTGTCTTCGCCGTGGTGCCGAGTCTTGTGGTGTGTGCATGGGGTACGGCGAGTAATCGGCAGAAGCCATCATCATGAATGGGGCTGGTGATGGGAAGACCATTGCGCCCTCGTGCTAGCTACAGGTCGTTGGGTTTGTTTGTGTGTAGTATTATGAGGAGTGGTGGGGGTCCTTGGGTATGTTCAGAGGGTACTGGTGCGTGTAAGGACGGGGCGTGGAGATTGGCTGAAAACAGGGTATAGTTGTGATGATATGAAGGGATGTGCAGGGCAGCAGGGGAATGCAGAATATATGAGAGTAGGGAAATGTTTGAGGGAATAATCTGTGTCTGATTTACATTGCGACCAAGGTTGGGAGTCGGTGAGCACCGTCGACCATGGTTGACCCTTGCGGCATCTAGTCCACGTCGCTTGCGACTGGCCGGTGCACTCCAGCCAGCGCGTTGGGCTCGGGAACGTGCGTCTACACACAACAGTTCGCAGCGGTGACACCCAGTACCACGGGTTTCGTTGTCAAGGGGTCATGTTTGTTTACCACGGGTCGCTAGTATGCAATTATTGTGGGGACCGGGAGCTAAGATCGCAGATGAAGCACTACTGCGCGTTCTGCATACGGCGTCTCCAGAAACCCACCATCGGCTTCCACAGATTGTCTTTGCCGTTGAAATAGGAGTAGCCCACACCGATGAGCGCGCCGGACAAGTGGGCCTGATTGGGTTAACGATCTTGGACATTGAGCATTACGAGATGACTTACAGCGTGACCAAAGTTGACAAAGGAGTATCCGCGGACTACCCCAATAAGATCGAACAGCATAACAGCGGGGAAGAAGTATTGCGCTTCGAATTTGAAAGGCAGGAACAGTATTCCGAGCTGAGCAGTCGGGTACTCCATACAGAAAGCGCCGAGAATGCCAAACAGAGCACCGCTGGCTCCACCACCTCTGATGAATATTTCCGGAATGAGACGCTTGTTCTTAGCGAACATAGTAGTCAGGTGCTGCGCGTATCCAGATAGCACGCCGGTAGCAAGGAAAAACGCTCCAACGTGCGGCCCATTGCCCTCGAACAGGTTCGAATACCCCACCGGCAGCATGAAGTTGTAGGTTGCATACATATTGACTGCAAGATGCATGGGCCCAGAGTGTACGAACATTGACGTGAAGTTTGTGTAATTGACATTTCGTGCAGGAACATGCCACAGCAGATCCCAGTATCGAGGCACCAGGAAGCTGGTGAGATGGACAGCACTGTTTGCCCCAATGATGCCCCAACTGACTTTCGAGATGGGGTTCAGCTCTGTCCACCAGCGAGTTGCGAGCTCAGTCGCGCTGGGAGGTCCAGCACGTGATTGTGGGTTTAACCCCCATTGCGGTGCTTGAAACCATGTTGCCTTCTTCGCCTGCTCTATATCCTTCTTGGCCTGGTAGTACGCTAATCCAGAAAAGATGCCAGCACTGACGGTGAGTGACCAGATTGCTGGCCGGAGATATTGGACTCGTACTTTGGGCCAGGGATCATTGGGCGGTTCAAACTCGTCGTGATCAGTTTCCGAATATTGATTGCCTGATGGGGAGTCTGAGAATCTCCCCGCAGTGGGCGGTATTATCTCCACCTGTTCTTCCCTGATCTGTTGGACTGGCGATTTGCGCTCTGATCGTTGTCCGAAGCGTCGTGGTGGTTTCTGTGAGCTGTGTTGGCTACGCACATTTGCGCTTAATCGCAGAGGCGTAGATCTGGAAAGCTGGCCAGCTAGACAGATCCGGTGCAGAGCCGGTCTGCCTAACCCCAATAATGACATTGATGATGCACGTTGACTGTGAGTCACTTGGAGATGCGTGAGGTACATAGAGATTCAGGGCCTTTGGTGTCGCGGAACGCTAGAAACAGTCGGCCCGATTCGCACCCGTCTGTCTTCGACCTTCAACGTACCTTCTGAACACAATCCATCCTCGCCACTCTCGAAATGTATCTTCGATATCGGCCTCACAACTACTACGCAAGACAGTCAAAGGATGCGGTGACTGCCATGAGCAAGTTGCGGACTGCATTCCTGCGCTACTCTGGAACGCTCAATGTGTAAGATCATGGATCTTGCACATCACAGGGTGTTTTCAGGAACGGTAGCGACGACCCATGACGCTGAGAGTCATCTCGCGAATGTTTTGTGAAGACAATACGTGGCAGAAGAGCGAACAGGGTGGAACCTCGTCGCATCATCTGCAAGTCCTGACGCGCTTGATCTTTACCCTTCAAGCACACAATCCAAACAAATATTTCGAATGAACGGCATGATTTTGCTGAAGAGAACATACATCAAATAGCTTGGTGCACTCCTCCCTTCAAACCCAAAACTCCTAATTCTTATCTTGTTCACGCATGACAAATGTCACTTCTAACTCACTCCTTCCTAACATATGGGGAGCTGCGTTTCCATCTGCTCGGCTCCTGCTACAATGCTGCACCTAGGCTCGATTTTTGCTAACAAGCAGGAGCTTACGAGCCTTTTGTCCAATGATGCAGAGTACGATTGGCCGTTGGCCATAACAACAGATAAACTGACAGATGAACAGGGCAGCCACAGACGGCCTCAACATCCAAGTTGGTAGATCCATCGATGCACAGACTACAAAAGTTCCACAGTCTGTACTCGACTCGAATCCGAGTTTGAACAGTCTCCTCGTACCAGGCTGCAGAATTGTTAACGCCGACCCTGCTGTCTTCGCCATCGTCATCGGACACCTACAGTCTGCCAGCACATTTGGACTGATGTCCCTCAGCGCACCTGGTCATCTCCAGGAACTGGCCCTCGGCGATGAGCCTCTTCTCAACTTTGCAAAAGCGTGGCACATTGGCGACATGCTGCGAATGCCTGACCTACAGAACCGTATCCTCAAAGTTTACAGCACCTACTACATGTGCTGTTTGGATAATGGTATCTGCAGATCTGCAGACCGAAAGCCGGTGGACCCACGGCCGTTTAAATACCTGAGCGACAGTATGGGTAACCACACCAAAGCCGAGAGGTTCCTTATCGACTTCCACGCAGGGTCCATGAAAAATCAAACAGAACTCAGGCGAGATGACTTCAAGATGCTACCGAAAGACATCGCAGTGAAGATCAGATATCGCTGGCAGCAGCTCACGGTGATAGACAGCGATCGATTTGAGCTGAGCAACGATCGCATCACAGCCCGAGATCGCACGTTTAACGTCGTCAAGAACGAGGCAATCGTCCATAGCGACTTGCAGGTCCAGTACCTCTGTGCAACAGGGGAAACAAGATTCGGTCTAAACCCACCCATGACCAGATCGTACAGGTCAATACCGATGCCCCCCAACAGCACTGCATCTCACCACGGCAGCGAGCTCGAAGATCTGATAGTCCAAAGGGCACGGCACCAAGTGATGCGTTCCGGTAACGCCTCCAGTGCAAGTGATCTGGTGAATCCCAGACTGACCAATCCATTCGTTGGGGGGCCCTCGCGGCGACGTGATGCGGCTGACTCGCCTATGGTCTCACCGACTTCGAAGCCGTGAAACTGACTGCGGTCTGCAACGAGGCGTAGCACTTGGCAAGTTGGATTCGTTTGGGTACCCGACATGGGTGGAGGCCTGCATCATGCTATCTTCTGTACATATTTTAATCTGATATTGAGTTGAGCCTGACCGGCACAACAAGCACGTAGTGCAACGGTAGAAGCCACAAGGATCATCACGTTTATCTTCAATCCAAATCCACTTCTCCAGTAACTAAGCTGGTCTGTTCTGTGTACTCTTGCCCTGCTCCGCGTTCCATCAACAATACTGAGCTCAACGCCGGCATGCGAACCACGCCCTGATAGTCTATCAAGCATTTCTGCCACTGCAAAAATACCTTAAGGTATAGCAAGACGGTTGTACTGATGCTGATGGAGGTCGGGGGCCGTGACATGCCCTACAGCTTCGATCTACTCCTAGAATTGCCCGGCAACGAGTAATTTGGGTGCTTCGGGAGGATTGTCGAGAACGCCGGGCGATCGACAGTCCTAGTAGCACTGATGTGGTAGCTTATGCTACACGCAAACCGGCGCGCAAAGGCACAAAACTGTGAAGTAAGACTCGATGCATTGCGATAGCACATCCTCCTCTATGGAGCCCACGCGACAAAAGAAAATTCACCACTGTCATGATCCGGATATATACAGTTCAGTGCTGCAGCCGTTCCGCTGTTTCCAACATCCGCTCCCAGCGTCACGTACGCCACTCGACTCGCTCGGCATCCATGCGTCGACCGAGCTAGTCCTTCTTAACATCCGGATCGGCCAGGATGCCTTCAGCTTCAAGCCGCCTGCGTGCCTCCTCGAGGGCCCAGGTCTGAATGCTATTGTTCGTCAGCCGCTGCTCGTCGTCTCTCCTCGCAGTCTCTCTCGCCCCGTCCCATCACCCTCCTCGTCTCTCAGCCCCACTCCCCACCCCCAATTCCTCGTATATTCAGAATAGCTTACCTCGTATCAGGCTTAAACGCATACACGCCGATAAACACCACCATCAGCGGAATAAACACATAGAACGTCGCCGTCTCCCACCCCTCCTTCTTGTACTCCTCGCCAGGCTTGACGCCGAACAGCCAGCCCGACGGCGGGTCGTAGTGGTGTTCGTGGCCGCCGCCCCTGCGGGCGACAGAGTGCGAGAAAGCGCGCGCGCTGGGCGGTGTGAAGGCGCGGGCGGCGGGGGCGCGGAGGCAGGCGGCGGGGCGGGCGAGCGCGCGGAGGGCGCGCGGGGCGGACATTGTGGCGTGAGGAGGTCGGTGAAGGCCAATTGGGGGTTCCGCGGGGGCGTTGGGGGGTTGCGGAGAGCTTGGGGTTGGTGTCGTTGCGGCTGTGGTGAGTTGAGGTTCGTGGTCTTGGCGGGTGGCGCTGGATGGGGGTTAGTGCGTGGATGGGCATAGATGGCGTCACGGCTCCCTTACAGCCGACGGGAGGATTTTGGGGGCACGGATGGGTCGAGAGGAAGATGTACTTTATGACTGGAGAGGGACTGGAGGTTGTGTGATATGTATTTGCGACTCGCACCAATGTCTATGTAGTATCGTAAATGCCTGACGCCAATGCTATGCGAAATCAAAAAGATGAAGAAATAACTTCGTAGAAGCGCCGCGTCTCAAGCATATGCAGGCGTACGCTCTGAATCTGCTGTCTTCTCGTCCTCCTGTAGGAATGAGATGTTCGCAATACCCTGTGACGCCTGTTCGACCTTCTCCTCGACTACATCATCGTCAGACTGCTTCTCTTTTGCAGCAGCTGCTTCCTTCGCCTGTTGCTCCTTCTGCTTCCTCTCCACCTCCTCGAGCTCTGCGAGTCTTGCGGCTGTCTTCGCAGCTTCCTCCCGGTCTTTCTTCTCTTTCTCGACCCGCTCGAGCGCCTCAAATTCATCTTCAATGTCCACCTCATCGACAGTATCCGTCTCATTGATGATGTTCGTGATCTCCTCTGTAGTAGCCATCTGCTCATTGACAGCATCGACAACACCTTGTACGCCCTCTGCGCCGCCAACCTTCTCATTCAAGCCCTTCAGGGCCGCGGCGCCAGCGCGCATTGCCTCTACGATCTCGACTTGGTCGGCTGCTTGCTGTAGTCGCGAGTACACGCCTTCGAGCTGCAGAGCTACGTCCGAGCGCTGTGCGAGTGCTGTTTCGGCGAGCTTCTTCGACCGCAGAGCGGCTTTGGCGCGCACCATCTGCTTTGCGGCGACCGCTTCGCGAGCTGCGGCGTCGGCAGACGCGATCTTCTCCATGAGCGGGGGAATCTGAGCGTTGATGTTTGCGAGTGTGTCGCGCAGTCCTGCAATGGCGGCGTCTTCTTCAGTGATAGGGAGGACCTGCGTTTCGTGCTCAGGCTTGAATTTGATGGTTTGTGCATCGTAGGATATCGCCTGCTTGTCTCGAGCTAGGTAGACCAGCATGATATTGAGATCGTTGTTCGTCAGCGGCGCGGCGGGGTTGAGCGTGTGCGAGAAGCGTTCGAGGAAGTTTCGTCGTGACAGGACCCGGTCGGCGGTCGATGTGTGCTCCTTCATCTTCTTCAAGATCTCGTCGCCGGCTACCTCGATGTTCTTCAGCACGACATAGTTCCTCACTGCGAGCTTATCTGGCGGAGCAGCCTTGCCTAGCACACCGACTGTTCGCAGACTCCACTGCAGCGCAGACCACGGCGTCGGCACCCAAGACGTCTTGTATATGCTGGCATTTGAGCCCATGAAGTCTTTAAGTGGCATCATCTCCTTCTTCTGCACCGCCTCGTGAAACACAGCAGGTAGGCACGTGGGTTTGCCATACTGTGGATGCTGCAGCGCTCGCGCAAGGTCGTCTGCGGTCCGTATATTCAAGAGATCGCGCGTAGTACCCTGCGAAGGGATGACACCTGCTCGCGCAGCATCAGCCAGCGCTTTCGTCCAGGCTGCGATGTTGGCATGGTAGCCATCTGGGTTTATCTCGAGCTGCTGTCGGAAGTCCGCATACAGCGAGGCAAGGCGATGCTGACTTGCACGTGTCAGTACATTCCGAACAAGATAAAAAATGTGCGCACTTTTTAAACGCTTCCTCGTGCTGCAGAACAAAGTCTAGCAGCTCACTCATATTGCTCTGTGGTTGCGGCGCCCACTGCTGTTTGACGCTGTGCTTGGGTCGGAAGAGGCGTTTGTTCCGCGCTGGGACATCACCAAAGATCGACGAGTCAGACGCGTCATAGTCTGAGATCTTACGCTTCAACATGAAATGTACAGTAACACCAAGAACCAAGAGGGCGTGACATGTCAGTTGACAATGTTGTTGTAAGTCTATAACTTCTATGGCTGTGAAGCGCGCACCCTGCACCCCTTCACTCACGCGACGCGTGTGACGCTACCCCGCCCAGGCGGTGATGCATGTGGGGCTTGCTGCCTGCTCTTTTGTGTCTCAGCTACTGCACCACATTATGGCAATCACTACAGTCTGTAGCCTTGGTCGGGCAGGTAATAAATCTCGCCTCCTGAGCAAACTGCAGTGTCAACGCAGCATCATTTCGCAGGCGGTACTTTAGGCTCTGGTAAATTCGTCTCTGCTCATTTCTTGACGATTTTGATGCCGCCGTCTTTCTTCTGCTTCTCCATGAATTCCTTCATCTCATCCAGATCGTCCATCTCGTCATCCTCGTCGTCTGCCTTCTTCGCTGTGGATTGCTGAGGGGCTCTAGGGGCAGGCGGCATTTCAGCTTCTGGACGATCGCGCATATCTTTAGTCTCATTCTCCCACGCTTTCCTCTCTAGTTCGTCAAGCTCGTCTCTTCTGTCCAGCCATCTCTCTTGTACGTCGCGCGCATCCATCGTTACAGCATCTTGTTGCATGGCCATCGACCATACCGTCTCATTTGCGCCTTCGATTCCACCAAGTGCATAGCCACCAGCGCGATCTATTGCTCGCAACAGGGTCATCATGCTCTTCTTATCTTCGACAGCCAGTGTCTCGAAGCCGACAAGCGCGAATTCTTCGACAAGCTCCACGATCGCTTTGTTCAGTGCGGAGTACTTGGATGTAGGCTCCTCGTCGTCCAGGTCCATGTCATCACGGGCGTCCGCCTGGGTGGGTCCTGGTATACCTGAGTTCTGTTCACGGTTCAAGTGTGGTAGAAGGTAGTGGAGGTCCTGTACCTCGGTATAAAAGTCGAGGTTGAAGGGTAGATTTGGATAGTTTTTCAAGTTATCGATCTTGGTGAGGACGTTCAGGTGTGGTAGATCCATCTGCAGCATGCTGCGCAGGGCGAGGAGTAATGAAGATACATACAGAGACGGCCGTGAGAGGATGATGGAATCGGTCAAGTGTACGACGACAAGCTAGTTCTGGTCAGCCGGTTGCTACATGCATTGAGTGGTGGACAAATACTCGATACCCAAGTTTTTGGAGGCGGAAGAAGATGTTGCGCAACGACGAGTGCGATGTGAAGAGCTCGACTTGTCCAGGGCAGTCAAATAGAACATAATCATCTGCAACTTCTCAGCATCGCTCCAGCATGTTCAGACGGTGGCGTGCGGACCTCCGAGCTCCTTCAACCCTTCCTCTAGCCAGTCAAAGTTGTGCTCCAGTTCCTCTAGTGCATACAAAATACCGCCGTTTGGTCCCAGCGACTCCTGCTCCATAATCTCGTCTATCGTCACCAGATCTCGTACATCTACGGCCGGCTCATACGAGCAATGATCGTTGGCGGGGTCGAGATTGACGACCGAGCATTTGCGTTCGATAGCGCCCATGAACTGCTGCATTCCATCGCAGTAGGTCGACTTTCCCGAGCCCGGCGACCCTATGACCAGCTGAGCGAACGGCATGGTGGTGTTGCATCACAAGAACAAAAGCCTCTGGAAGCTTCAAAGTATAGTGGGGCCATCAGCCCTATGGTGGCTTAGTCAGCGGTGTTTTGCGGGTGAGCTGCACCTCAAGCTTTCCAAACACCAGCAACTCGTCGCAAACATCGCCAACATGTCCAGCCAGTTTGAGCTCGCGCAAAACCCCACCGAGCCCATATCCTCCGTCAAATTCTCACCGCGCACGCCGACGCGACTGTTAGTCTCGTCGTGGGACAGACATGTCTACCTCTACGACACACATGGCGAGCCTGGCGGCAAGCTGCTGCAGAAGTTCGAGCACCGAGCACCGGTCCTAGACGTGTGCTTTGGTCGCGACGATAATGAGGCTTTCACCGCAGGACTAGACTGGGAGGTGCGAAGGTACAATGGCCTATACATCACATCTCAATTCCAAACTGACAAAACATAAGAATTGACCTCTCATCCGGGGCGCAAACAGTCCTCTCAACCCACTCTCAGGGTGTCCGCAACATCCTGTACTCCGCCACACACAACCTATTGATCTCGGCATCATGGGATTCCACCCTGCACCTCCACGATCTCTCGACCCCCGGCGAATTTTCCGTCGTCACCCTACCCTCCAAGCCTTTCTCCCTCTCCGCCTCGGCCTCCAAGCTCGTCGTTGCCATGGCCAGCCGCGCTGTCAATATCTACGAACTGCCTGCGCTGTCCCACGCCGCCCAGCAAGGCGGTGGCGCCGTCGTCCCTGTCGAGCCCTGGCAGCGGCGAGAATCCTCGATGAAATACATGACGCGCGCGGTCTCGTGCATGCCCAACGACGCCGGGTACTCGAGCTCGAGCATCGAGGGCCGCGTTGCGGTGGAGTGGTTCGATCCCAGCGACGAGAGCCAGTCGCGCAAGTACGCGTTCAAGTGCCATCGCCAGAACGTCGACGGCCAGGATGTCGTCTACCCTGTCAATGCGCTGGCGTACCACCCCGTGCACGGCACATTTGCGACGGGAGGTGGTGATGGCGTGGTCGCGCTGTGGGACGCGGTTGCCAAGCGTAGGATACGGCAGTATCAGAAGTTCCCTGCCAGCGTGCAGACGATTGAGTTCTCTGCCGACGGGAAGTTCATGGCTGTCGGTGTGAGTCCAGGGTTTGAGGACGGCGTGGACGATGTGCCGGATGGTGTTATCAAGGTGTTTATCAGGGAGCTGAGCGACTCGGAGGCGCAGGGCAAGAAGAAGTAGAACGCTCCATGAGCGTAGGAGGGCGTATGGCGTTTACACGGTAAGGCCATGGTTGGAAGGCATATTTGTACTTTGCATACCCAGATCTGATACGAGATGTCAAACAAAATACACCACCAATGATGATCAATCATGGATATACCACAAGCACACCAAATCAGCACGACGAACAAGATCACTGCAAAGACAGGTAATGAGTCAGAGCGAGCTTTCGAAAGGAATGGGCTACGATGCCAAAAAAACGTGCCTTTCACGATGAGCTGCGGTCCGTGACGGAATGGGGTCGAACAGTTCCGAAATCTTCACTGAACAACCAAATCAGTATCTTACATACAGTGCACAGTGAAAATGCAAATAGTGTTTGAGTCGAATGTACATCTGCAGATTCCCATGAGCGCTCAGTCAGAACCGAAGTAAATACACGCAGTGTGGCACAATGTCAAGTTATTGCCTGATACATATAGCTAACGCAATCTCTGTATTTACAGTATATGAGACGTTGCGATGAGATTCACTGGTGGATGTATAAGAGGAGTTTCAAACTCGGGTAATATTGGTTGGAAGAACTAGAAATTGCAGCCGTGTGAGAGATGGAGACTCTGAGTGAACAAGAAGAAACTAGATAAACGCCATGATAATTCATTTTGTAAGACCCATGAATCCAACTCGAGTGTTTTGCTCCGCTTGACCCTTGAGCGACATTAAAACTTCAGCCCTTTCTCCATGCGAGGACCAGTAGTGTTTCCGATCAAGCTGACAAACAGTTTCCTTTCCCAACTTCCTGCCATCCCTAGCCGTACAATTTGATCTGAGATCATTTCCTCAGCACTTCAAGAACGACACCCTTGCCCTGAAAAGCTTCTATCAGCTCGTCCTTCAGAATCACTGTCCCCTGAAGAGTAGGCACAAAGACACCCAAACGGCGCAGCTTAGGAGCCCGGATCTCCACATCTTCGGCAAGAGAAGTTAATGCTTTGGTGAGACTGGGTCCGGCAGGGTACATATTGCTAACGCGTACCACCAAATCTTCCACGGACGAAGGTACGGGAAGGTGAATTCGCATAAAGAGCCACATGCCGGGTACCTCTGCCCATGAGTCCGGATCGCTGTCGAGGTTCATCTCTTGGTATTTCTCGTACTCCTCCAGGCTCATAATCTCGCTGAACTCATCGATGTCCAGGTGGAGAGTTTGCAGCTCTGAAGCTGTGTAGAGAAGTTGTAGCGTCTCTTCGTTATGAAACCCTTCGTGTCCACTTCCGGAGATAGCACACGCAGATGGTTGTGCAATATTACTGAGCGTCTCCGGTTGTTGCACATTGCTATACACCTCCAGTTGGTGCAAATGCGGGATGCGCCCTGTGAAAGCAGCAAGCACGCGGCACACGCCATCCGGCTGAGTCATTGTGACATATAGTCCTTGCAATCGAGTGACAGTTTCAGAGATTCGACGGAGAATACGTGAAGTAAGGTCCACTCTGCGTTCTTGGGGTCGTAGGTTTTCAAGAAAGAGGTGTTTGATTCGGCAGTCCTTAGTGGTTTCCCGTCGCAGTAAGTTGAGAGTGATGTTGAAGGCATCTATTCTATGTAGATGGAGGGACTCGAGATTTGGAATCCCAAACAGCAGCTCGACATCAGACATTATTTGAGAAAAACAGTCAATCTGCAATCGTGTGATGGATTTGAGGCTTTGACTGTGAGAAAAACCAGGTGCCCTATTGATTGTGCTGCTGCTGCGTAGGTAGGTGTGCAGGCCGGAATGGATCATTGAACAATCGAGATGCTCTAAGTGTGATAACAGCCTTAAGAGTTGCAGTAATGTATAGTTCGATGCCTCATATGCTGATGTGCGCAGTCCAAACAACGTGAACAAAGGTGGTCTCGTCTCTCCCGCTGTTGAGTGCTGATGCTGCAAGTTTCGACATACTTTGAGTTCTTTCACGTGTTTAACGAGCTCAGGTCGCTCTGAAAGAGTTCGAAGTAACAAAGACCCACTTGGACACTCTTCTGTAGATGGTTTGACAACCTCGTCCAGTGCGTCATCTGCCCAAGGTCTTTTCTTTCTGTTGAACGAATCAGACTGCGCTTCTTGCTGGGTGATATGGACCGCATGGTAGAGATAAGGTTCAGCAATACGGTGAAGCTTGTGCGATGTCGCTGACAATGCAGCCAAGCTTGCCTGCGGCGTCAAGTACGAGATGATGTTTGCGATCAATTCTTCAGGCAGGTCACCCAGACTGCGCAAATGAGCAGTCGCAGGTAGCGTGACGACAGCCTTTCCCGAGAGCGCCATGGCGCCGGTGATGAAGTTTTGGAACAGGAAGTAGCGGTTGCGCGATTTGCTGTGTGGTGTTGTTGTGTGGTTGCGTGTTGTTTGTGTCGAAGGGAAAGGCGCCTTTTACGTGGAGAAGACAAACGAGAAGCTATGACGTACGCGGCCGCCTTCACTGCAATGTGAGATCCCAAATCGGGATTACTGGGACCGTTGCACCAGGTGTAACTACGCCCTTGCCGTCCGTCGACATATCATTGCTCCGACGGGGAAGAAATGAGGAACGAGTCTGGATTCGATGTATCTTGAGCCTAGAAAGTTAGCAGTGGGGATCGAGGCGAAGGTAAGAGTGACAGAATGGTGTGAAGCGCGAGCGCAAGCTAAGAATGGTGACGGTACGTGTGCTTACGTCCTTTCGACAGCAGCTTGACCCCTCCTTGCGTGCAGGATCAACGATGACGGCTGGCAACTGGCACGTATCCGAGCATCATCAGCTACACATGTGGAAGAACGAGACGTAGCGAAAGTAGTGGATCTCCATTGCCTCCAGTACGAGGGTATCAAACACACAGTCTAACGCTCCCGCCCCTTCCCAAACGTATCCAGATATCGTAATTCATAACATCATAGCTCACCTCACCACCCAGAGCTCCCATCATCATCTTTCACAATCCCTTCACAGACTTGCGAGCGCGTACAGCCTGCAAAAACGCACCGTAGCTCCACGTCAAATCCCGCGCACCGGTCATAAACCCTGTCTCCTTATCAAATTGCTCACTCATACCGCCTTCAGAGTCGACGTGCTTCCTGACCACAGTCAAGAACTGGTCGCCTACAGTACTAAGGCGCTCGATGGTAGAGTGAAAGAGCGCATCGTTGGGCCCGTATGTGCCTTCGTTAACGTCGAGGCTAGAGGATGCGAGCAGGGAGGTGTAAAAGGGTAGCGCAGTAGACGAGATAGTGAGTTTCGAGGAGTCGGCGATGTGCGAGGCGGTGCGGAAGAGGATCTCCGCGGCAGACGAGGTGCAGAGAAACCAGGGGTTGCCGTGGTGAGTGGTGGTGTAGCCGTTGTACTTGTCTTCGGGGTAGCGGCCAAGACCTGTGCCTTCGAATGGCTGTTCGTCGTCGTCATCTGCGTCGTCGTCGGACGACCATGGGTTGCTGTTGATTGGGAAGCGATCGCGCTGGTCGGTGCTCAGCGCCAGGAGGGAGACGAGTACCTCATCTGACCATGGCGGGTATACTGCATCGTCGTCTGAGTCTGCGGCAGGAAGTGCGTGCAGCGAGCCGAGCAAGAGTCCGCAATCAAGACCAGATCTCTTACTCCACAAGGTCTCAACGAGGTGGCCCTTCTGCTTGTTCCAGAACTTGGTGAGCAGATTCTCGATGTACCCAGCCTGCAGCGTGTACCAGTCTGCTGCACCAAGGTCACCGAATACACGCGCAAGTTGGCTTCCCTCACGCAGACTGCGTGCGCTGACCATGAGCGTAAAGAAGTGCAAGCCTTCGACTTCCTCCCATAAATCGAAACCAGACTGATTCCAGAAGTGGCTGACGTATTCAAGATCAGCCTTGATGACGCTGGTGGGCGGCATGCTAGCCTCGTAATAGGGTGCAAAGAAGTCGTCCGCTTGAGACGACGTCCAAAGAGTGGGGTGCGAGGCATTGTATTCACGCAGGTAATGAATGAGAGTCAAGGCACGCAATGCTGGCCCATCTCGCTGAGGTCGCCCCCATGAGCCTGTGAATGGCTGACCATCTACCTCGAACTTCGGCTCACCAAGCCCGGAGAGGTCATTGAAAGTACCTGATGGGTTGGAGGTGCGCTGTATAGTTTGCTGCAAGGACGTGTATGCATCAAGGATGTTGGAGGCTCTGCCGCCGAGCTCCGAGGACGTGTCATCGGCGTAAACATCAACAAGGGTATTCATAGTGATGGCAGCATCTCGAACCCCTGCACTCGAGTTAGACACTGAACGTACACGCGCCATCTATCACGACTTACACTGATACCAGTAGTCAGGTCCGTCCTGACTTGGACTAGCGACCACAGTGCCAGGCGCCACACCTAATCCTTTGACGTTCTGCCCACCCGGCGCGACGTTCGCCAGCAGCTTGTCCAGCGCTATCCGCTCTTCCTGCTGTATCCACGCATCGAGTGAATCATGCAGCGGTTGTTGTTGCTTCTGGGTGTCGGCCGCGCCGAGGAAGTTTAGATGACGCAACGGCGGTATCGAGAAAGCGTATGTGTAAGGCGTCAAGGACGCAAAAAGCACTATGCTGGAGAGCATGATTGCTAGGATCGAAGTCGACTGTTCGAATGTTACGTGTAGAAAGTAGGGATAGCTCAGGAAGCCATAACAGCTTTAAAACCAGGAGAAAGACTGAGATGGCGCGTGAATAGCAAGAGCAGCGTCGACATTAAACAAGCAGCTACGCCGGGCTCCTACCTCCACTCCGCCCCAGACTACCCCAGTCATCCATCGTGCCATGTGCCCCACTGCCGTGCCCATTATTCACTGCCTAGTTGCGCCGTAGCGAGTCGGGCATCGTGGAGGCGGTCAACGTGGTCGAAGTTTAGTCTGACGTGGGCGGGTGATCCGTGGCTGTGAATCCAAGCGTGTCACGCGACGTCGCGAGCAAATCAGAAGCCAGGGAGGTCCGCGATGACGCCTGCAAGATCCGGGGAAGCAGGGAACTTCGTGCTTTGTAGCCTCCAGGCCGAACTACGGCCTCGGTAGACGCAAAACAAAGATCACCGACCAGGAGTCGCAAAAAGCAGTGTGAACTGAGGGTATGAGCTTCGTGGCTGAAGTTCAGGGTGCAACTATCTCTTGCACGCGCAAGGCATCGAAACAGCACGGCCGGCAGACCGAACGCTCTGTTTCATCGTGACCAGACCTTACTCAGATGACTCTATGACCCGAATTCTTCAAAGCCTGTCAAGAGGCCTTCCGTCAGCTGAATTTTGGTCCTTCCTACGCTTTCAGCCCACTCAAACTGTGTCTGTCCGTCACAAGGTCATACCCACCCAGTCCCCACCGCTGCTACCGCCGCCACCCAGCACTGGACGTGTGACTACGTACGCGGGCGAAGCCGGCCAAGAAGCCTCGGATGTTAGAAACAGTCTCTGTCAGAACCAAACACTTCACATGTGCAGTAAATTACTCCACTAGCAGAAATCCAGCATGTGAAAAGATGCCACACTATCTCATTACGCTCTCATGCATGCATGCTACACAAACAACCCATAGTGATACACCCGAACCCAAGGCAAAGCCAGCCCAAAGCCAACGCCGCATCTCAGACGCGCCCTAAGGGGTATCTTGCGAAAGAAAGCCATCATCATCAGACCCAAACATCGTGTACTGTAAAACAACGCAGGTAATGCAACGCAACGCAATGCAATGCAAATCAACGGCTACCGCGCGCAAGCCATGCTGGGACGCTAAGGCCACCTCAAATGCCTCTTGATGCATACCAAGTCGCCTCTAGGCGCTTGATCCAAACTTATCTTCTCCACTACCCTTCTTACTATTGCGCTTCTTCGCTTTCCCTTTCTTCTTCGCGAGTTCGATGCGTTCGTTGGGTGGCGTGTGTGTGCGCTGACTGCCTGCTGCGCTCGAGTCTCCTACTCTGAGGCCCTTGACTTCTTTCAGCACGTCGCGGAAGCCTTCTTCCAATGTCGTCATGCGGGCGAGCATGATCCTACTCATGCGGTTCGAATCTGATTCTGTGTCGCTTGTCTTGCGGTCCATGCGTGCTTCTGCCCTCGCCCGAGCTGCGAGCTCGAACGTAGTCGTGAAGGAGGCCGGGAGAGTGTTTAGGTTGCCGAAATTGGGGTTGTTGGTATTATCGCCAAGATCGGAGGCGAGGTCGAGTGCTACGGCGTTGAAGGACGGTGTACGGTTCTGGCGTTCATGCGCGAGGAAGTTCGAGAAGTTATGTGTCTTTCGGCTTGACTCTGGAGGCATAATTGCTCGAGCACGTGACGCCGAGGCCTGACTGATGTGGCTCACGTTCTGAGGGCGCTTCGGTGTTTTCGATCCAGACGTCATCGGTCCGTCGAGACGACCAGGCGTAGCTGTACCGCTGCGTGAGCTCAATTTCGCACGTTTATCGGGTGAGCCTGGACGCGAGAATTCCATCGACTCCTTTGTTGGGCTGAACAGAATGGTGTTTGTTGAAGCGTTGCGCGCATGTCCTGGTTTCTTTCTCCTGCCTGGTGACATGATCTTTCCACCCGCCGCGCTGGTTTCAGACGGTGAAGCTACTCTTGCTGGAGTACGTGCTGGAGTTTTCGGCCTAGAGACCACCATGGGTGTACGGAAGAATTCATCTTCAGACGTCACATAGCCCGACATCGGTTTCTTGTTCTCCTTATCTGAGGTGGGTAGGTTCTTCGGAATTATCTGGCGATCTGAGGTGGACTCGTTTTCGTCGGCCTGTGTTAGCAACTCGTCGTCGCCATCGGCGTCAGTCTGTTGCGGAGGGTCTTCGTCCATGACGGGTTCGTCCTCTTCCATGATTGGACGTGGAAATGTTTTGAAGGTATCATCTGGATCGGAGGCTACACTTCGAGTGAACGAAAGCGGATGTCTTCTCCGGGGCTGGCCAGACGTCTTTGAGCGGCGCAGATACCCTGGCCTAGCACGCGACTCCAAACGGTCAAGAACTGACTGTGCATCCTCTTGGGGCGGAGTCACCTCCTCGTCGTCGCCCATCTTCTTCATCCAGTCCGATACGACGTTGCTTGAATTTCTACGACCAGACGGATAGTTTGAAGGTGCTTGGACGCTGTTGTCGCGATACGGTCTGCGAAACACCTCTTCCAGGGCACGGTCTTTGTGGAAAGTCGTGATAGATGGCTCGCGTAAGCGAGGGTTGAAGGCTTCGACAGCACCACGAATACTGAAGGCAGGAATTACGGGTGATGCCGTACCCGGCCGTCCACGGTTCTCAACCAGGTCGGCAGGTCCATAGCCCAAGCTTGTGAGCAGAAGCCTCTCGTACGTGAAGATCGTGAACAAAATTGGAATATGCGTCAGTTTGATGATCAGTCTGTTCATGCGTACAAACCGCTTGAATGACATCGTGTACTTGATCGGGATGAGTAGCCAGCCTACGATGTTCGTGGGAGGAATATAAGAGAACAGGGCGTCGGACTTGACCATCGAGATTGTGTTCACTGCGAACAAGAACTGATGCTCCTCATTGGCGTTTTGAACGATTTTCATGAACGAGTTCGTCAGCACTGTGACCAAGATGGTGACAATGAGGAAGTGACACATGAAGAGGAAGAGAGCCAACAGGGCCTTGCCAAGAATGTTGTATCCGACCCAAAGATCCCATGCAGCCGGTGTGAAGCCCATGAGTAGCTGGAAGATGGCGTACGCGGCGTTTGAGGCGCCAAGATTTGTATCGAAGGCCAAAGTGAATGCGACAAAGAACCCGCTGCATGCAATGACAATGAGGACCAGAATAGCAATCAAGTCCATTGCCATCATGCGAAACGCAATGAGCAGCTGGGAGAAGTACTGGTAGTGGTCCAGAGCGGAGAAGAGGCGAGGAAATAGAAGCACTGCAGTCGCTCCTAGGGTATCGTACGCCATGCTGGCCACATGCCGACGGCTGACATCCGGCATGAGTATACCGTACAAGCGCAGAATGTAGTATGCCATAAACATGAGCAAGATGCCCAGATCACAGACATTCCACACGCTCATGATGTACAGGCCAAAGCCCTGTTCAGAGAATCCAACAATCTCATCCAGCATGTATCCAGCACTCCAGAACCAGAAGATGACTTCCAGAACCGTGATGTCGTCTGACTTCTCCGCCAGTACAGCGAGAAATAGGCCTAACATTATAGCGAAGGAAAGGGTCGAGAAGATGCTGCGGTAGCGAGGGACTCGGAGTCGGGAGAGCTTGAAAAGCGAGGCGTCGTGGGGATCGTAGAGGGTCACTGTTCGTCTCATGAGTGCAGATGGCGGCAACTCGGTGTTGGACCGCTTGCGTGGTGGCAGACGTCGCGACGGCCCCCTACCAGGAGAGATGTCGTCGCTATTGGGAACGCTACGGGCGTGAGGCGAATCAGGCTTGCGATGAAGGCTATCCGCGACCGAGTGAAAGACGATTGTGCCAGCCCAGATGGCCTCCAGTTGCTGCACTACAAGAGGATGGGCCAGCAGCTTCTTGGCTTGGGCGCGAATCGCGATCTCAAGTGCAGAGATGCGCGCAAGTTGTTGCCTCGGGCGCATCCAGCTTGCGCCACCGGGCGGCGACTCGAGACCTTGCAGAGGATCAAAATCGTAGCTCAGCGCATCGATCAGCTCCCTTGTGGTGAACTCCTTCAACAGGCGCATGGCCAGCAGCTCACAGAGGAGCGCGCGCGTCTTGCTGACGCCCACATTTCCAGGATTCGCCTCGCCCTCCTTCCTGAACTGAAGGCAATTCGCTATCAGACAGTACAGCGTGCCACGGTTGTAGTGCTCGGCGCGAATCTGCTGCTGGATGGGCTTGACGAGAAACTGTGAGACCTGCGGCGAGCGCAGCTGGTCCCAACTCAGGGTTGTCTCGCAGCGCTGGATAACCGCTGTACGTATGGCATGCGTGTTGTTGTATACGGGAATGCGATCTGAAACTTCGTGTTAGCGCAGTAAACAACAATCACATGCAAGCCTCCACGCACCCAGCAGCTCTGAAGAGAAGACGGGCAGCAGCGGGCCATCGCGCCGGCGGTCATGGTCCTCGTCGTGAATCTCGCCATCGTATCGGCCGGTATGATCCTCGTAGTGGTCTTCGACCTCGGACGCCTCGTCGTTGTGGCGGCTGCGATACTTGTGTAATGCGGCGAGCAGGGGCGTCGTCTCAGACGACCGGCTACTCTTCTTCGAGCGCAGTAATGAAGCGAACATCTAGATATCCTCACTCCTTCCTACAGAGCAACAGTCCTCGTGGCGGGGTGGCGGTAGTAATAAACAAGAAGTCGCATAAGTACGGGGGTATGGCCTTCAATAGGTCCCGGCTTGCTATCCTACCCTACCCTACCAATTTCGTACCACTCCCGATTCACGATTCACCGCCTCGCAAGCCCCCATGCCGCTCTTCGCCGTCATGCTGAGACGAGGTGATCATGAGGAAGGCTCAATTGCCATGTCCTTATCTACGCACTCTGCTTCCCCACGATTCCTGACGCGCATCCAGCCAATGACCTCGCCGCGTCGCCCACGATGTCGCGATTTACCCTTGCATGTGCCATGACGAACGCGCTACTTATGCACGTCTCGGCCCTCGCGCGCGATTCACCATCCACACTGGACATCATCATCGTTCCAGCCGTCTGGGGTGCAGATGCTCCTATTGCGCGCATTCTGATATGCCTCAGATCTACGTTCGCAGGTTGAGGTTTCTACGAGGTGTCCCCGTTACGCCTTTCTCGAATGACTCGGGGGGTTTCCAATGTATTGCCGCGTGCGGTCTGGCCCCTTCGCGTCTCTATACTTGGAATGGGATGCGGATTCCTGCCGCAGTAAACACTCTCTGCCAAGCACCGGAGATGCTTGCCCGATTCACGCACTGTGAGCGTCCTAGAGAACTGTTACTGGTGCCATCGTTTGTCGATGCCGATCCATCGCCTGCAGCCCCAATAATGGCCTCTCGTTCGTGCCGCGTGTGCACATCTACCGGGGTGCTTCAGTTCGCGCGAATTTCCACTGTTCAAGCCTCGTCGGTTAGGCGCAGATTTGCATGTCCACACGGGCAGCGTCCCGCGTCATCGTTTGATCCTTCGGCTTGGCTTCCGTGACAAGACCACTTTCGAAATGAGCCTTAAAAGCATTGTTTAGTGAGGCATGGTACTGTTGCACAGTCCGATCTAGGGCGTCTCTGATTCGATTGTCGGTGTGATACATTTTTCGGCCAACTTACTAACAGAAACAGCATCAGACCATCAGAGTGTGATGAGCCTCAGGTGAGACTCCAATGTTCATGATGCACCTGGATACGACAGAGAGCTGTCTTCCATTTGTAAGCTACTCACGTAACGTCAGTGTGTACAGCAACGTATAGAACTGGCCAAGATCTACTCGTCTCACCGCAGTGTGGGCTGCATGCTACGGCTGTCTTTCAGCGTTGTCTCGCCAGCTTCACTTCTACTGTATGTTGAGTTGACAGTGCATACGCCGCAGCCATCTGTTTCGTGAGACGCTCTGAGCAAGAATAACCGCAACCTTCCACTTGCATAGGACGCAGTCCAGGAGCCGATGATGATTAGTTGATACGCGCTTGTCTACTGGCACGACACTGTGTACTTCTTTCTGTGACCACGTAATGTTTGCGGCCTGATCTCATGGTTCTATGTACCACTTCCGAGCACGATCTTTGTCTGTAATGACAATGACTTCAGGATCTGAATCGGTCAGCATTGACTACAGCAAGCATTTTGTCCGCACCCAAGCGAACAGAGCCTTTGACATTTCAGCGCGACAGAACATGGCCGAGGAGCAGAACGCTCGGAAGTAAAGGAATAATCCCAAGACATCGCCGATGTGGTACATCCTGCAGATCCAAGAGTGAGACCAGACTCTGAGTGCAGCAGGCAAAGCTAGACAAAGAATGACGATTTGGCCTTGAAAATGTCCATCTAGAAAGAGAGTCCCATGTGAACTCGATGCGAGATATGGAGGACTTGAAAGAAGTTTGGTTGTCATACCGTCAGTCTTGCTAGCATGCCGGAGAATTTGGGGTCTTATATGATTTCTCAAGCCTCTCGACGAGACAAATCATTATCTGAGTAGGCTCTTCACCTTCACACACGTCCCAGTAGACACATGTAGGTGTATAGAATAATCATTCTAGGATCCCCCAACATTTGAATCGTACGTTTGCACCGCAAGTGTCATAATCATTGAATCACCATGCGGAATAATTAGCATCCGTATTTTCAGTGTTTTGAGCTTACCCGTAGCCGTTGTATGATAGAACAGCCACCGTGCTCCCTGCCATTGCCAGCCTCAGTATCTGTGCCGCTATGCTCCCTTCCAAACACCACAATCACACACGTAGTTATAAGCTGTAGCGTGACAAAGGCCAACAATAAGGGGAGTTTTCATCACTGGCTGCAGTCTCTCACTGCAGTGCATGCATGCTGCACATGTGCCAGACAATACATCATCTCTCCATAATACTGAGTTCTGTGAAGATTCAACGCCAGTTCATATCCTAGCCGCGAGACATAGGTTTGTAGTTGCTCACGGTAAACTCCACACTTCCACTCCGAAACACTTACAAGAACGATGTTCAAAGTTTGAACCCTCTAACAGAGAGATGAACATCGAAACTGAGTAATCCAGGTCAGCTGAATAATCAAAGCAGTTTCATTCTAGCGTCGACAGACTTATACAGGAAGCCAGAACAAATCCTTTGGGGGTTGTGTGATCGTGAGCCATAAGTCGGTCTTGAAACCTTGGGTGATTGACCCCTTCGATATTTACACCACCCATGGGACACTTTTGGTGTTCAGCCCTTTCTTTTTGCTGCTCACATAACATACGTCCATGAAACCAATTGTAGAGCAAGTGGAGCTTCTGACGCTATGGTAAGGCATGCGCTATTAGCTCTCGTGCATAGAATTTTGTCAGCGCTGGCTTCCTGTTCTACGATATATATTAAGATGTACGATAGCTTCGCACAGAAGTCGGGTGTTCACCAGAATTCAAAACCAAGTGACTGGTCATAAACAACATTGGCCCTAGTCGTGGAAATGTTGTTGCTCTGTAGTAGGGAACGTGTAAGGGGTTGAAGTGATGTCATGTATTCTGATGGATGATACGAAATAGTGTTTGGTTTACTCAAAACATACTTAGAAAATGGAAGCGCTCGAGTGAGTTATTCTGTATACCTCCTTGATAGCCAGATACGATGACAGGATCAACTAGAAAAGAATGATGCATGTTTGCGACACTATTTCTGGTACGATTTGAGGCTTTTGCGTCATTCTCAAGTCCGTGCAAGAATTTGGCCGTGAACGAAGAAGTCGGCCCTGTTCCCACTCTCATGATGCTCACCATGAAATCTGGGAGAGTAGCGCTCGGCCAAAACCTCTGGCATGCTCACATTGTCCGTACGTACTCCACACTGGTCGTCTCAGACCTCAAGAGGATGTTGCAGGCGCACACTAATATTGATGGCTTCATCATGCGAGACAACCGACGTCAGCCGCGACATGGGTGCGAGGACCCCGCGGCGCGCGATTGGCAGGTTTGGCGAGGCGCCATCACACCGCATTCAGCTGTGGTTAATCGATATCGCTCGAGCAATCACATGCTGAAATTGAACAGTGAAGGTAACATTGAAGCATGAGATGACTGCGTACATCGTCGAGACGAACCAATGGACGTCTGGCGTATTTGAAAGCTTTAGTGATGCGCTTCCGATCAGGAAAAATGTGATGTTGAGCAATGCGACGTCCGGATCGGCGATAAAGAGACTAGTCTCTTAGCGCTGAGGCCCCGCCAATGCGCTGCAGCATTGCAAGAAAAAAAAGTTGACGCGCAAAAGAGCTCTTCTCTCCTCTCCTTCACCATTGTTCGGCAGTCTCGAATCTCCAGGGTACTTTGAGCCCTCGAGCTGTCAATTACTTCATAAATCATGGCCCCACGCCCCGATGAGAGCCAGAACCTGGCTCTTGAGCTTCAGGATGGCTACGTCTGCTTCGGCAGGAGCTTTGGTGCGGAGAAGAGCATTGCGGGAGAAGTAGTCTTCCAGACAGGTATGGTCGGTTATCCCGAGTCGATAACTGATCCCTCGTACCGCGGCCAGATTCTGGTCATCACATTCCCTCTGGTGGGCAACTACGGTGTGCCCTCGCGTGAGGACCTTGATGCGCTCGCTCAGGACATCCCTGCGCACTTCGAGGCCAAAGAGATTCACATTGCTGGTCTGGTCGTCCAGACTTATGCTGAAGAGGAATTCTCGCATTACATGGCCACCTCTTCGCTGGGCGCTTGGCTCAAGGAGCAGGGCGTGCCTGCCATTACTGGCGTTGATACCCGTGCTTTGACGAAGCGCATCCGCGAGGAAGGAAGTATGCTTGCTCGCTTGAGACAGCGAACAGGGCCTTCGCCCGTTTCAACAGCCCTCACCAACGGCGCGGTCGACACTGCGGCGCTTGCTGAGGAAGAGGTTGAAGATTGGAGCGTCGCCTTTGAGGAGATCGAATGGGTGGACCCCAACACGAAAAACCTGGTCGCTGAAGGTGAATTCATCTGATGGCTCTTGAAGTGATTCTCTCTGACTTCTGTACAGTCTCTATCAAGGAGCCTAGACTCTACTCGCCCGATCCGTCTACAGCCTTGAAGCACCCCTCCGGCCGTCCTGTTCGTGTTGTCACTGTTGATGTCGGCCTCAAATACAACCAGCTGAGATGCTTCCTTCGCCGAGGTGTCGAGGTTTTGCAAGTGCCCTGGGACTACGACTTCCCCCAGCTTGCCGGCAAAGACTACGATGGTCTCTTCATCTCCAACGGCCCTGGTGACCCAGCCAAGATGGAGGCTACCGTCAAGCACATCAAGGCTGCTATGGATGAGGCACGGACACCCATCTTCGGTATCTGTCTTGGTCATCAGCTTCTCGCACGCGCGTCTGGCGCCCAGACGCTCAAGATGAAGTTCGGTAACCGCGGCCACAACATCCCTTGCACAAGCATGATCACCGGAAAGTGCCACATCACATCTCAGAACCACGGTTACGCGGTAGACACCAAGACTCTCTCTGACGGCTGGGAGGAGCTTTTCGTCAACGCCAACGATGGTAGCAACGAGGGTATCCGCCACGTACGCCGACCATACTTCAGTGTGCAATTCCACCCGGAGCACACCCCCGGTCCTCGCGATACCGAGTACCTCTTTGATGTCTTCATTAGCACGATCCAGAAATCGATCGCGTCTGCTGAGGCTATGAGCCAGCCCGTGGAGTTCCCCGGTGGCACACTCGAGGAGAACAAGAAGTTGACACCCCGTGTCGAGGTCAAGAAGGTGCTTGTCCTTGGTAGTGGTGGTCTCAGCATTGGCCAGGCTGGAGAGTTCGATTACTCTGGAAGTCAGTGCATCAAGGCTCTGAAGGAAGAGGGCATCTACACTATCCTCATCAACCCCAACATTGCCACAATTCAAACCTCGAAGGGTCTCGCCGACAAGGTGTATTTCCTCCCCGTCAACGCCGACTTCGTCCGCAAGGTCATTCAGAAGGAGCGCCCCGACGGTATCTACGTCACTTTCGGTGGCCAGACCGCCCTCCAGGTTGGTATCCAGCTCAAGGATGAGTTCGAGGGTCTTGGCGTCAAGGTGCTGGGAACACCCATTGACACCATCATCACAACCGAAGACCGAGAGCTGTTCGCTCGTGCCATGGACTCGATTGGCGAGAAGTGCGCTAAGTCCGCGTCTGCGAGCACCACCGAGGAGGCTATGCGTGTTGTTAAGGACATCGGTTTCCCTGTCATCGTCCGCGCTGCCTATGCTCTTGGTGGACTCGGCAGTGGTTTTGCCGACAACGACGAAGAGCTGCTCGAACTCTGCAACAAGGCCTTCGCTGCCAGCCCCCAAATTCTCATCGAGCGTAGTATGAAGGGTTGGAAGGAGATCGAGTACGAAGTCGTCCGTGATTGCCGCGACAACTGTATCACCGTCTGCAACATGGAGAACTTCGATCCCCTTGGTATCCACACTGGAGATTCGATTGTCGTTGCTCCTTCCCAGACACTGTCTGACGAAGACTACAACATGCTGCGTACTACAGCTGTCAACGTCATCCGTCACCTTGGCGTTGTTGGAGAGTGCAACATTCAGTATGCGCTGAACCCGTTCTCCAAGGAGTACTGCATTATCGAGGTCAACGCTCGTTTGTCGCGTTCGTCTGCGCTGGCCTCTAAGGCTACTGGTTATCCTCTCGCTTTCGTCGCTGCCAAGCTAGGCCTCAACATCCCCTTGAACGAGGTTCAGAACTCGGTCACACGTTCGACCTGCGCCTGCTTTGAGCCTTCGCTTGATTATGTCGTTGTCAAGATTCCTCGCTGGGACCTGAAGAAGTTCACTCGTGTTTCCACACTCCTCGGCTCTTCCATGAAGAGTGTTGGTGAGGTCATGGCTATTGGCCGAACCTTCGAAGAAGCCATCCAGAAGGCTATTCGTGAGGTTGATCCCAGCAACATGGGGTTCAACGAGACCGCCGCGCTCATGTCGATCGACCAGGAGCTCCAGACACCCTCTGACCAGCGTTTGTTCGCTATTGCCAACGCTATGAAGTCGGGATACACTGTCGACAAAGTCTGGGAGCTGACAAACATCGACAAATGGTTCCTTAGCCGTCTCAAGTCGCTCAGCAACTTCGAGATCTCTATGCAGAACTATGACACCGCGAGTATCACCCTACCTCAACTCAAGAGGGCGAAGGAACTTGGTTTCTCCGATCGCCAGCTGGCCAAGTTCTGGGGCTCGAACGAGCTTGCTGTCCGTCGCATGCGTGTTGACTACAACCTCTACCCGGTTGTCAAGCAAATCGATACTGTTGCTGCTGAGTTCCCCGCTCACACCAACTACCTCTACCTGACATACAATGGCACTGAGAGCGATATCGCATTCAACGACAAGGGTGTGATGGTTCTCGGTTCCGGTGTTTACCGCATTGGTTCTTCAGTCGAGTTTGATTGGTGTTCCGTTCGTGCTATCCGCACTCTACGCGAGAACAACTTCAAGACGATCATGATCAACTACAACCCGGAGACCGTCTCCACCGATTACGATGAGGCTGATCGTCTCTACTTTGAGAACATTTCTCTTGAGACTGTCCTTGACATCTACACCTTGGAGAGTTCCAGCGGTGTTGTCATCTCAGTAGGAGGTCAGACTCCCAACAACATTGCCTTGCCACTCCACCGCAGCGGTGTTAAGATCCTCGGTACCTCTCCCGAGATGATTGACACTGCCGAGAACCGGTTCAAATTCAGCAGAATGCTTGACCGCATCAACGTCGATCAGCCTGCGTGGAAGGAACTCACGAGCATTGAGGAGGCCAAGGAGTTCTGCGACCGTGTATCGTATCCTGTTCTCGTGCGCCCCTCGTATGTCCTGTCTGGCGCCGCCATGAACACCGTGTACTCTGAGCACGATCTGGCCAACTACCTCAACCAGGCCGCCGATGTGTCCAAGGACCACCCGGTTGTCATCACCAAGTACATCGAGAACGCCAAGGAAATCGAGATGGACGCCGTCGCTCGCAACGGTACCATGATTGGCCACTTCATCTCAGAGCACGTTGAGAATGCTGGTGTTCACTCTGGTGATGCCACCCTTGTTCTGCCGCCTCAGGATCTGTCTCCCGAGACGATTCGCCAGATCGAAGAAGCCACTCGCAAGATCGGCCAAGCTTTGAACATCACTGGTCCATACAACATCCAGTTCATTGCCAAGGACGACGAGATCAAGGTCATCGAGTGCAACGTCCGCGCTTCGCGATCCACTCCTTTCGTCTCCAAGGTTATGGGTGTTGATCTTATCGAGATGGCTACTAAAGCCATGGCTGGCTTGCCAGTTACCGAGTACCCCGCCACCAACATCCCCAAGGACTACGTTGGTGTTAAGGTACCTCAGTTCTCGTTCTCTCGTCTCGCTGGTGCCGACCCTGTTCTTGGTGTTGAAATGGCTTCCACGGGAGAGGTGGCCTGCTTCGGTCGCGACAAGTACGAGGCATACCTCAAGGGTTTGATCGCTACTGGTTTCAAGCTGCCCAACAAGAACATTTTGTTCTCCATTGGCTCATTCAAGGACAAGCTCGAGATGCTGCCTTCCATTCAAAACCTCCACAAGATGGGTTACAACCTGTTCGCTACTGCCGGTACTGCGGACTACATTCAGGAGCACGGCCTTCCCGTCAAGTTCTTGGAAGTACTGCCTCCTGGTGAGCACGATGAGCAGAAGTCGGAGTACTCTCTTACCCACGCTTTGGCAAACAACCTGATCGATCTCTACATCAATCTGCCCTCGAGCAACCGCTACCGTCGACCCGCCAACTACATGTCCAGAGGTTACCGTACTCGTCGTATGGCTGTCGACTACCAGACTCCTCTGGTGACTAACGTCAAGAACGCGAAGCTCCTCATCGAGGCGATTGCCCGTCACTATGACCTCGCAATCCAGTCGGTCGATTTCCAGGAGTTCGTACCCGAGGCCGGTGCCCACGATGACCACTACGGACAACTGTCTAAGAGCGGCTCTTTGTCTCTGCCTCAGTTGCTTGCCAAGTCTCCTTTCAAGCGCAAGCACATCACGTCTGTCAAGCAGTTCAGCCGTGCCGACCTCCACTTGCTGTTCACCATCGCTCAGGAGATGCGTCTAGGAGCTCAGAAGCAGGGTTGCCTTGATATTCTCAAGGGTCGCGTTCTTTGCACGATGTTCTTCGAGCCTTCGACGCGAACATCTGCTTCATTTGACGCAGCCATGAAGCGCCTTGGCGGTGAGGTAGTTGTCATCAATGAGTCGGTCTCCTCTACTAAGAAGGGCGAGTCCATTGCCGACACAATCCGCACTCTGGGCTGCTACGGCGACGCCATCGTCCTCCGTCATCCCCATGAGGACTCGATCGACATCGCTGCTAAGTTCTCTGGCGTACCCGTCATCAACGCTGGCAACGGCAGTCGCGAGCACCCAACTCAGGCGCTGCTCGACATCTTCACCATCCGTGAAGAGCTCGGGTCCGTCAATGGTCTCACCATCACCTTCGTGGGCGACCTCAAGTACGGCCGTACGGTGCACTCGCTTTGCGAGCTGTTGTCCCACTACGACTGCCAGGTCAACTTGGTGGCGCCGAAGTCTCTCAACATGCCAAGCTCTGTCCGCGAGGCTCTCAAATCTCGTGGCCAGCTGAACATCGTCTCAAACGAGCTTACTCCGGAGATCGTCGCTGCTTCTGATGTTCTATACTGCACCCGTGTGCAGAAGGAGCGCTTCCCTGACGAGGCTAGCTACGAGCAGGTCAAGGACTCCTTCGTCATTGACAACAAGGTGCTGAAGCAGGCAAAGACGAACATGATCGTCATGCACCCATTGCCAAGGAACAACGAGATTCACGAGGAGGTGGACTTCGACCCCAGGGCGGCATACTTCAGACAGGTAAGCTTTCTGATACGATCCTCAATGACATTACTGACCATTTCACAGATGAGGTACGGATTGTACACTCGCATGGCGCTGCTTGCTATGGTCATGGCCCCGTAAGCGTGTGTTGATTGCGTATTACATACCTGCTCACGAGCACTCTGTACTTGATTTCGATTTCCGGCGTTTTACGAAAAGCACAAAACCTACAAGGCGTTTCTTTGGTTACATTCTCTAGTAGACTCAACTAGACCAAGCATTAGATAGGCGTTCAACCACCGTGGTCACGGTGTCGTTTCACGATTATGGGTACATGTATGATGTAAAATCTTCAAACATCGGTATGGGGGAAGCTATTTCATTTTTATTTCAGTCGTTTTTGGCGTTTGTATGGGTTGGCGGGGAGTTATTTCAAATTTTCGACGACAAGTTTGGGTATCGGGGGGATTATCGGCGCTAAGGTGGACTACCTGGGACTACATGGACTGCGAAGTGCTCGAGGACCATCGATCGACAAGGGAACTGAGGACTGGAAAACGTAAGATAAACGTTTGGCGCAAATTCAATTGCAAACTACAAAGACCGATATGAGGAAGACACAACGGCTGGATATAAGAGTGGCGAACGGCGCCATGCCCTGTTGTGTACATAAAATGAACGCTTCCTTCGCTTGCGAATGGCTTTCTCCCTGTGTATTACGCTTCTTATCATGGTCGCTATAATGTTCATGTCAATAGCTGTGGCTCAGTCGCCAGCTTCAACGCTCTGCAAGTCCCAGCCTTCAACGCTCAGTGGCCCAGACATCTTCCCCAAGCTGCGGCTTGTTAGCATTGATCACTGCTCACGAAGACGTAGCAAGACTTACCTGGCAGACCGCATCCAAACCCAACAAATAAGTAAATCAAGAATATCACAACCAGACACAGCAGCACCATCAACTTAACGTTCTTCCACCACATCCTCCTCTTCAACGTCCGACTCCTAACCCTGAAGTCCCTCGCGTTGTCCCCCAACCTGCCCGTCTTATCTACCAGAACAGACATATGCTCACCACGCTCCAACACACGCTCAATGTTCTCTGTCATGATCTCCCTCACGCCCTCAATCTCGCGCTGCGCAGTGCGCAATGCATCCGCCTGCCCAGCCTGCGTAGCGCCCTGCTCGACCATCAACTTCTTCAGCGCACCGTTAAAGCTCGCACACCCATACGGCGGCAGATCCGCGAAATCCGTCTCCTCAGCAGCAAATGCATCGAAGAACTTCTTCTCGAGGTTTGTGAGGAAGCCGAACGGGATGCGCTGGCCGAGATCTCGCTCGGCAATGACGAGGAAGGTCAGGCCGCCGGCGCTGCGGCTGGAGCTGGGGAAGTCTGAGGGCGATTTGGTGACGACATGGATGAAGAATTTGGATTGGTCGATTGTCTTGTGTGCACTGGCGGTGTGTGTGAGTTTGGGCAGGACGAGCGAGACGAGGGAGGAGGCGTTTGAGGAGGCGCTTGCGGTGTGCTCGGAGAGGACGGTCGTGTTGTGGGCGATGCATGCGCTGGGGTGCTGTTAGCTGGATGGCGGTGAGAAGGCGTAGAGGAGAGTTTGTACTAGAGCAGCGGCGTGGAGGAGGATGAGGATGCCATTTTGGATGTCTTGGGGCTGTGAATTGGGTATGAGATATTCAGCCGGTGAAGAGAGGTATCAGTGTCACTACAGGGCGCCGTTGTTGTGCCTCTCGTTGTCGGTGCTGGAGGCAGAAAGCTGGGGATGGAGCGCCGAGCCAGGCGCGTCATTGTTGGCGCTATGGCGGGAACCGAGGTTGCGATTGGTGCGTTTTGTAAGGCTGAACACTGAATTTCTAGAGCTCCAACCTGAGATCTACCAGAAGTAACGACGGCGACGAATCATTGACATGGAGAGGTTTGAAAGAGCTTAAGAGTGACTAATAGAACGTTGCGACCCTGACAACAGAGCCAAGCGCTTCCGCGTCACGCTCCTTTCACCTTGCCTGGCTGCTTCACCTTGACACTCTCTATACAAGCGCGAGTCCTGCGATATCGAGCGCATAACTTAACAGGCAGTCACCATGGTGCGCGTCAAGTTTCGCTACCTTGTCGTCAACTTTCTCTATCCTGAGCCGTCTTCGAAGTCGCGCACCGCTCTCCCTGACCTCGTGCAAATCCACTCTCCAACACCAGATGCCTTCAACACTGGAGCGCTAGTGCGTCTTCTGCGCGATGCAGTAGAGGAGTTGTACGGCGACTATGGAAGTGGCATGGTTTCCAGTAGTCTAAAAGGTATGGGACACACGTTGAACGCTTAAACGTAGCAGCTACTGACTCACGGCACAGTCAACTATTACTCGCCCTCCACCTCCACAGCCATAATACGTTGCCCGCGTGACAATTACGAGATGGTATGGGCGGCGCTCACGTACGTCACAAAGCTGCCGCGTATTGACACGCCTGTCGTGTGCAGGGTTCTCAGAGTCAGTGGCACCATAAGAAAGGCCGAAGAGGAGGTGATTCGCAGGAGTCAGCAGATCGTCAAGAGGGCAAAAGCCTGGGAGAGCAGAGGAGCTGATCCCATGCTCATTAGCGTTGAGAAGAGCGTCGAGAAAGAAAGGAAGAGGGAGAGCGTTCTCGCCGTGGTCGACCAGGGCGACACGAGCGACGAGATGAGCGAATGAGGCATCCTTAGATTTCGCATCTTTGCCTGGGTTTGATTGGCCACCGAAGACACCGTTCATCGATGATACACGTCGAAAGCTGATCTGGAGCATTGTGGTTGCGCCAGATCCTGAACTTGGAATAGTCTATATGCAACTACCCATGGGCGTGTTTGTCTCTCCATACCGGTCAGACACCCCAACCTTCCGGATAGCATCATCCTTCCTCTCTCCTCGTCCATACTTCATTCAAAGATACGCCCGGGCTGCTACTTGAGCTCACTTCCGAGGCCGCACAAGGCCTCTTGTCTTTGACAACCTCTCTGGTGTACATGAGGTCTCCAACGAACTCAAAATGCGATACCAGGGGCGCCAAGAACCTTTTTCCATGAGATACGTCCCCCGAAGCAGATTTGCCTTCCGATCAGCCCGCCAAATCCCACCTAGGCCGCTTCAACATCTACCAGAGGAACTCCTTCTTCGCATTTTCACTTACGTCTCTCCGGCCGATGGGATACCGATTCAAGACGTAAACGAGCTTCGTGATTTACTATGCCTCTCACTGGTGTCGCGCAAGTTCCATCGCGTCGTTGAACCACTTCTGTATCAGAACGTGGCCATCACTGTGGGAACAGTTGAGGAGATCTTAGTTGTACCGCTTGATTTGGGAGATGGCGAGAAATTCACGGCGCATTTTCCCGTACCAACTGTGAAGGGTTGCAACATCAGGACGTTCATGCGGACTATGGTGACTCGACCGGACCTACCGAAACACGTCAAACAGGCTTCCATATTGAGACCACTCGGAACACCCCATCCAGCGCCATCGCCAACATCCCTTGCAGTGCTATCGCCGACCGACGAACCTGACTTAGGGTATCTTTACGACCGTTGTTTACGCTGCCTCAGAAATGCGGCTGCTACCGGAGACCCTATCCAGTCCGGCAAATGTTTTTGTGTGTTGCCCGTACGTGCAACGCTGTCAGTAATGTCACCCTTACTCAGCTGGTTTCTGCGAACGATGCAAAGCATAACGTACCTTGATCTCTCAAGGTACCAACGCTTTGACCTGCTCGATCCGGTGTTTCGAACTGTGGGAAGCTCGCCTACAATCTGCGAACCCCTCCCCTTCAATGGGGTGCGAACTTTGAGTATATCAGGCTACATCAGTCAACTCACATTGGCGGACATATGGACTGTTTTTGCCTTGCCACGTCTTGAACGATTAATCGCAGACGACTTGGAGCTCGGATGCGACCACGTCGATAACCACGACGATAGAAAGCGCGATCACTGGGCCTCAGCTCCGCCTTCTGGTTTGCAAGAGTTGTATTTGCACGACGTGTACTCATGCCGGTGTGGAGGCGACTTCCTGGCTGAGGTCTTCAGGGTGTGTCCTGGTGTACATACCCTTCGTATCACCACTAAATCGACTGGACACTCACGTGCGCTCCTGGAGAAACACCAAAAATACTTTGGTGGCGTACGACAACTCTTCGTGTACCCTGAGCCACAGCATTATGACTTTGACAACTTGGAAGATTTCTCATACACTGTCGACACTCATATGGATCATGTGCGCACATCGACCGTCATTGAGCACTTGGTTGTTAGCGTCGCTGATTTGTTCGAGATCAAATCCAGTGACACTTTTCTTTTGCTGGAGGAGGCACGGCTTAACATGATGTTACCGACTACACTCCGCTCTCTGCAACTGAGGGTTGATACGACCCTAACAGGATTCCCAGAGTTTACTGTTGCCATGGTAAATCTTTGCACTGCAGCAAGAGGTCATTTTCCCGTCATGCAGCGGATTGAGATTATCGAGGTTCATCACGACAGAAGCGAGTGCGTGGACGAGGTATGGACCAGTCCGGCTTGGGAGCTTATATTTCATGGCTTTCGTTTGAATGGGATTGAAGCATTCCGACCCTCGGGATCCAGAACGTGACATCGCGTCTCGGGCCTACTACCAATCGACTATCGGGCGCAGCTTCCTACGCAAGATCAAGTAAGCTTCTTTGGGCAATAGTTTGTGGTGTTAGGGTGGTTCCTCGTCGTATTAGGCATGTTAGCAATATAATGTGTATTCAATTGCTGTTCGCTCTCGGTGAGACTGTTGGTAGGCTTCTGCCGACGCAATGAACAACATATCTTCTTCTCTCCATCCAAGCTTGCGGCTGAAGTAGGCTCCTGAACTCCTTTCTACCGGCGGAAGAAGACACTCTGCTCTTGGCACGTGCACTGCATCAGAGAGATGAATCTGGGGTATATGTGACGTACAGATTATCCGAGATCGTCTGCACTGGTGACTATGGATATTAATTATCACACCAAATGCCGTCGGCTGAAGTTGCTGATATCGTCGGTCTTGTGCGAATATGGCGTACCCCTTCATCTAGGATCTAGCTAGCGCATTATTGACAGCCGCAACCCTAACTCGACTGCCGCTCTCCTCCGCTAGATGTCCATGTCCATTACTCAAGCGCGCCGATGAAACAAGTGGCGCATGCTATCCGTCGCTTTCGCCACGATTCCCATGATGCGCACAGCGTCCCGAGGTTGAATGCGCTGGGAAGTTCACTCTAAACCAGCAGGCCGCTTTAGCCGTAGAACGCATCGTTTGACTGACACAGGCAGCAGCTGAATGAGGAAAAGCTAGTTGAGGATTGGTTGCGGGTGTGCTCTGCCGAAGGAGGCCCTGCAACGGCGAGATTGAAAGGTCCATCCTTAATTATTTGCACGGACTGGGACCGGAAAACATGTTTCAGGACATTGCGCCAACCACATCGCAAGCAAAACCGAAATCTCTAAGGCATTTCAAACCAGGCGAAGCTCTCATTGGCGGTGCGCAACACTATTTAACGTTTTCTGGAAAATGTACATTACGAGCCGGGCGGAGCATATCAGAGCTTCACGCTTTCGGTCATGCATCCCATCTCGGCTACGACAAAATAGACAGCGGTCGTACTCGATGACCATGCGCGCATCACCCCTGCCTACCAGACGGAGTCTTCCAGACCAGGTCCATGTACTGGCTGTTCCCGTAAAGAAATATATAAGAGTTGTTTGACTCGCCCTGCCAGGAATCTCTCACCACAGCCGCTCTCTCAACCAGACTCTTGTTCGACATCGACCTTCCTTTCTCAAAAACCTCCCATTACAATACACACACCATGGTTTCTTTCACATCCATCTTCACCGCTGCCGTCGCGGCCACTGGTGCTCTGGCCGTCCCGGTCACTGCCGTCCCGGTCACTGACCTTGCTACCCGCTCGCTCGGTGCGTTGACTGCACGTGCTGGCACCCCCTCTTCCCAAGGAACCAACAACGGCTGCTTCTACAGTTGGTGGACCGACGGCGGTGCTGAGGCTACCTACACCAACGGCGCTAAGGGAAGCTACACCGTCTCCTGGAAGACTGGTGGAAACCTCGTCGGAGGAAAGGGCTGGAACCCTGGTGCCGCACGGTATGCTTGTCTCCTCACTACCGCCCCAAAGATCGAAACTGACGTCTCCTAGCACCATCACCTACTCCGGCACCTACAAGCCCAACGGCAACTCCTACCTCGCTGTTTACGGCTGGACCCGCAACCCCTTGATCGAGTACTACGTTGTCGAGAACTTTGGCACCTACGACCCCTCCTCGCAGGCCACAGTCAAGGGCTCCCTGACCTCCGACGGTTCCACCTATAAGATCGCTCAGACCCAGCGCGTCAACCAGCCCTCCATCGACGGCACCCAGACATTCAACCAGTACTGGTCTGTCCGCCAGAACAAGCGCAGCTCTGGTTCCGTCAACATGAAGACCCACTTCGACGCCTGGGCCGCCAAGGGCATGAAGCTCGGCTCGCACAACTACCAGATCGTCGCCACTGAGGGCTACTTCTCCAGCGGCAGCTCTTCGATCACTGTCAACTGCGCTTAAGCGAGTTAAAGCTGAGCAAGGGTACATGGCTGCAGACCTGGCCTGAGCTGAGCAGACAGTGGCGAGAAGCCGTTTGGCATCGCTTCGTTGTATATACTTTACTTTATCAGATGGGACAGCTTGCTGGCCACGTCGAATGTCAAACGCTGATTGATGTCGTCACTTAAATTCTCCGTGTTTTCTGCGCTCTCTTCAGCTCCCTTCTTCCCAATATCCTGACATCACTTGAAAATGTGTATAGTTCACTGCAAAACGTTTTCTTACTGTAGGCATACCGTTGAGGGCGAGGTGGACGCTTGCTTCAGGGCTGATTATTTCGGCTGCCTCCGCATGAAGAGAAAATACGCCACTGCACATGGGCTGTGCGAGCCGTGTGTTGAGAAGCTGATCCGCGTGTTGAGCGCACTAGAGGTGGTAGACACTGAGGATGAAGGATCGACAGAAGAATATTATGGGGTTCATTATTCAGACCCAGGCGACGAGGATTTGGAGGTGGACATGGAGGTGAATATGGGGGCGGAGGCGGAAGCGGAGGCGGAAGCGGAGATGGATGTGAAGGCGGACGAAAAGGAAGTCACAGAGAAAGGGAAGACGACGAAAGAAATCATCGACTAGACATTTCCACAAGGGCTATTCAATCTTAATGATTGTTTGATATGAAAACATATAAGAAAATGGGATTGAGGCATCGGTGCTGATGCTGATCAAGAAATCGGTACTCAGCAACGATGTGTATCCGAAACCTCCTCGCACATTCCTGTGGCCATTTGTGGTATAACACTGTAACACCATTCTCTTCATGCTTTCGAGCGCAGAGGGGTACAATACAGCGACAATGTGATGATGTAGTTGACAGGTTCACGAGAACTGATTGGTTGTGCAATGCGTATTGGACACACGAGGAGGAAACCAAGCAGCAGAACTTCAGTGAAGAGTGGCTCCAAAGATGAGGCTGAGAGATTTAGTGGTTTGTCTTTTCACGTGCGACATCTATGGGAATTAGTTTGCCTGCTCTCACAATCACCTTTACTTTTAGCGCATCCCGCACCTTTACTTGCAGCTCCGCCTACCTGGTAAAGCTGTTGTGGGAGGTTATCTCTCCTCCCTCCGCCAACGGAACACTCGCCAACCTAGTCTCGAACACGACAACAACAACGTCTCTTGCATCAACGCGGCCAAGACTATGTCTGGCTATCGATCTTTTGTGCATGCGAAGATTTTGACAGAGATCGCAATGAACGAGGGACACAAAAAAGATTTTGCAGCTTTGCCGAGCATCGAAGACGTTGAGTTCGACTGTCTTGATTATCAACTACCTAGAGTGCTTGTCGGTCATGACTCTGGAGGAGCGGTGTGGGCGAGGCTTTTCATGCTCAGCGATGAAACGGATGGCTATTTCAAGTTTCATCTCTTGTCATCCAACGGGAATATACACCCCAACCACTATTGCGGTGATTTCACTCTTTGCGGACCATTCGCTAACCTCTCTTCATGTACAACCCCCGAGTTCCAGGCTGTGGTATTGTTCTTTCTTGTGGAATTAGGCTGTCTGGAGAAGATGACAGTCAGTCCTGCGTTCCTATGGGTTTTTCTCAAGGCCTGGAGCTGACCGCCGACACCGAAGCCGACGTATCAGACGACCCTACCTCACTTGATTCGTTGCATATGATTGATGCTTCTGAGGCCTCAAAGAGCCAGATTAAACACGAATCTGACACGGAGAGTCAGAACCATGATCTCAGTAACCGTTCCACAACCAGCTTTTGCGCCTTCGATGCACTGACTGCAATAGGACCAAGCAAGAGACAGCGAGAAGACGATGACGTGAGTCATGTGTGTTTACAGACGTGTCAGACAAATCCACTGATAAGCCATAGTTTGCCGACTACCAGAACTTGGTCCAACGCATCAGTCGAAAGTTCAAGTCCAAAAACGATGCCGCCATCGCTTCACTTCGGGAGGAGCTGACAGACCTGGAAGTGTCGAGGGAGGAGGAAGCTGTTCAGAGTGTCAAAGCCGGCAGCGAGATTGCTATGCTTCGATCCGCAAGCGAGACACAACAAGAGCGGATTCAAGAGCTTGAGAAGGAGCTGCAGAGTCTTCGGAACTGGAAAGAGGAGATGAAGAAGATGTTTTGAGAGTGAAGCAGACAACGGTCAGGTGCATATGAGCAGACGGGAAGTTCTGATCATAGAGCTCTGCCCTAGTGCTCCGAACGGACTCATCCATAGTGATGAAACTTGGTCTGCGATTGATGCAGTCTCCCAACGATCTACCCACGGTGCAGGTCTCTCGTCGTTTCTCTTCGGTTGCGCGGCATCTAGTGCTGGCCTCGGCTACTCTCTTGTGGCCTTCGTCGGCGCGGCGATGCATGATACCAAAATACATAAATTCTTCTCTCACGTTCTTACTCTGATGAGTCAAGAGTATGGAAATTGCTGCACTTGAAGATGTGACGAGAAGGCGGGTCGACGGCGCTTACCAAAAGTAGCAATTCCCGACAACTTCCCCGCTATAGCTTTTCCGTCCGCCGCGATACGGAGCTCGTTCATCTCCTGCTTTACATGATACTCGCTCAGAACGGTTTGCGGGTAACCGGAACGGCTAGCAAGTGTACAAGCCCTCACTCACAAGGTACTGGTGACGTCATGGCCGACGGCGCCTCTCCGACGCCGTTCATCTTTCGACCGTGCGTTCTTCCTCCTCCACACACCCAGCACGCCTCTGGCATTGTAAATCAAGACCGACGCAGCAAGTCTTGCAATTTTGCGTTTATAAAAGAATGATGAGGCAGTTAGACGTCTCCTTTCAAGAGCAAGATATATCACATTGATTGCGCGGTTGAGGGCATACATTGAATCTGGGACTGAAGATGCTCTTCTGAGCTTTCCTGAAACGATGGAGACCTACGCGCTGCAAAAATATTCGTAGATCTGGCAGGAGCTGACTATCCTAAGGTACCGTTCACACAAACATCCTGCCTGCAGCTTTTGCCGTAACAGGAAGGCAAGATGCGACTTTGACATACCCGGCCAGTCATGTCGGCTATGTCGTGAAAGAAAACAAATCTGTGATCATGGAGGGAGACCTACAGCTCCAGGTACGCCACCCTTAAGACTTAAGAATCACCAGTCACAAACGTAGCTGAAGTCTTCAAGCACGTTTCGATGTCCATGAGTCGATTGCTGATGATCCACCGAGACCCTCCAAGCGGCCACGACATGTGACAGGTTCCTCTTCTGTGACACGGCCATCAGTCTCCCAACGACCTAAAACGTCGACACTGTCGACTTATCCCTCAATAATAGGAACATCACCGACTGAGTCTTCGTTGATGATGAATCCGCAGATGGCCGAAGACATTACAGTACTACAGCAATACCTGACCTCGACAACAACCGAACCTCGAGTGCCTTCCAGAGTCTACAACACCATTTCAACTGCCCCTGGAGGTAGTCTGGTTGTGTACTTGACGGTTCCAACGAGACGTCGCGGAATGAGAAGTGCCATAGATCCAGGTAAAGCGCAACGAGAGATCATTGAGCATGTTCTTGGGTCGTCTGCAGCAGAGGTACGAAAAGCCTTTTTCGAACACCTACATCCATGCTTTCCCGTACTTGACGAGAAGACATTCTCAGATATGTGGCGGAACGACAGCGATCGTATTTCGCCAGCCTTAGTTTGTGATTTGTACGCTTCAGCCCAACAAGTCTGGGGACGGTCATTAGTTCTCAGCAAACAAGCAAAGCCCGATCCTCACTTCATCTGGAATCAAGCTGTCACTGCTCTTCAAGATGACTTCATGGCACCGACTATCTCAACTGTCCATGCAGCCGTTCTGGATCTACTAGGACGCCCAGTCATCGGCGTTACTGGCAACATCGTCAATGCTGGCAGAATTGTTACTCTCGCTCAGAGCTTAGGCCTGCATCGAGATCCGTCGTCGTGGAAAGCTACAGATCACGAAAAGGATGTACGTATCAATTTGTGGTGGGGTGTATTGATACACGACTATTGGTCCAGTGTCGGTCATGGCATTCCACCCACCATTAACGCTCAGTATCATGATGTACCTATCCCCACGTTTGGACTTGACGCGGATGCAGACATCCAAGTGCAAGGCCAGCGGCAAGTAAACGCAACGTTTGTGCATCTATGCAGGCTCAGTCAGATCTTGGGTGATATCTTGCCCCTCGTCTACTCTCTCCGAGAAACACCTGGAGAGATCAAGCGAAGGCTTCGAAAGATCGAATGCGCTCTAGACGATTGGGTACTCGCGCTTCCCGGAAATCTCCGACCCAACCGCACAGCACCGTGCACTGTTAATGGAGCAAGCAACCTGTGGTTCGCGCAACTGTCCTTGAAGGTACTTGTGTGCCGACTATCTTTCAAGGCGGTTCTAGAAGAACCCAACCAATCATCCGAGGCACGCCAATACCACCTCTCCCTGCTACGAAATGCTGCAACAGAAGTCGCAGATTTCATGATATCTCTCACCGATGAGCAGCTGCAAGAATTCTGGATGCCATACACATCCTACTTGCTCGTTACAGCGGCCACCATTCTCCTTAGATGCACAATCGAGAGCAGCGACCTTGCGACCAAGAAAACATGTGTTACAAAGCTCGTGGCATTCCGGGATCGCCTACGGGCTGCACGCGACACGCTGCAGTGGGATCTTGCGGACTTCTGCTTGGAGAGATGTGATGAGCCTATTCAGAAGATTGCAGACGCCATCGGCCCAACTCCAAGTCATCTGGCAACCGCAGATGTAACCGACCAAACGCTTGGGTCACCATCGACAGAGCCTCACTGGACGCCGCTGGACTTGTCTTCGACCAGCGACCTGTTCCTTCCGGTGGATTCACTCGACTATCCGTGGGAGACACTGTGGGATGGTATTGAGGGACCATGGTCGATACAAATTTGAGCTTGTATGTCACTTTGTCACTCTGTCGTTGCATGGCTTCCGATGCAGGAGATCTACAAGTAGATAAAGGCAATCATCAAACTCAGTCTAAGAATCGAAGACTAACACACTCTCACAGAGTATTTAGAACAATGTGGTTAGGATGAGAAAGTAGATGGGGCAAACGACAGGCACTGGAGGCGCCAGAACTGGACTGAATATCGATGTGATAGTCGCTGAGCGAATTAAGGGAGCCTTGCATGAGGCGAGTCCGCCTTACGCTCCTCCTGTCACACTAGAAATACCAGTGGGTATTTGCATACCCATAGTACGTCCAACAGTCAGATGGACATTATTCGAAGCTTCCACGGCCCGGTCTGCTGAGATTTCTGAATTCAAGCCTTCTACGCAGCCACCACCTACCAAGCCCGACTAATAAAGCTCCAACTGCACCTCGAGCTATAGGGAAAGGTGCTTATGGCAGTTTGCCACAAGTAACGTCACTGCCTCGTCAGACATATGCAACAGTTCGTGTGAAGGCGGTTCGCAGATGGCGGCCGTAAGGGTCGAGCAGTCTATTCATCGCAACGCTGCCGAGTTGGTGTCGATCGAGACAATTCATAATCGATCTCTGGTCTTCGGTACATCCATGACTACCTCCTGGCTCTGACTGTAGCTACAACATAGCAATCAAGACCTGCCCGCACTTAGCGCCGAGCTGTTCACTTGAGTACCAGAGACGCAATCAGTAGCTTTCAATGCTTCACGAGCCCAAATCCCGTTGACATGTGCCACCAAGCTTCCTCGATACCTCTCGGCTAGGGGATTGGTGGACTGAGCTGAACTGAAGCTATGTCATGAATCCGGTACGTCGGTTGGCTGGTGCGAGTGTGGTGTTGTCCGTCCCAGAGCGGAGCGGGGCGGCAAATTCACCGCCTCAAACACGCTAGCGGCATGTCGTGCCACAACACCCCCGGGCCCTCCCAGCCCAAGTCTTCTATGCAGTGAGGCTCTCGAAGTCTGTCGACGGTTATTTGGGAGGCTTTCATGCTATGCTCCCTGGTAATTGTATGTTGTAGCCTCTGCTACCAATCCCGCCGCGGACGCCGCAGACCTGCGGCTGTGACAGGTCGCTACATTATTACCGCCGCAGCCTGTCAGTAAGCTGGCTGATCTCCAATATCAGAAACTCTATCTTGTCGTTCCTGAGGTTACCTGCCAATAGCCGAGCACAGCCAGAGCACCGCGGTCTGCAGTTGCGGCTCCTAAACGTCAATTTCCGCAACACTCTAAATCCAGAACTCTCACTCGTCGGCTGCACAAGCAAGCAGGGAAGTATATATGGAATCTCCTGGAGCTAGGAGATCATCTTACCGAGTGCTGCGGAAGTCGTCTGGAGATCTCGAGTGGTTGGCAATTAGATTGCCTGCATGGTTTTGATTAGGCTGAACTCGGCATTCAGTCTGCGCAGACCAAGCTCGACACCTGATGTTTACAACGCGACCGAAACCAGGATCTGATGTACTGTCGCATGCACTGGTGTCTGATGACTATCGTGGGAGGTAGTGATGCACGCTCACGTACCACAGCGGGACCATGCAATGCGGTACCGACGGTACACGCACCACCGAACAAGTCCCGGTCCAATCTATCAAGCGCAACGGCAGTCGGAAACTTCGGAACAAGTACACCAGAGATACAGTCAAGCCTCAGCCTAGCATACCCAGCTGCCAAAGGCTCTCGTCCCGTCTGCGCCGAAGCTTGCCAACGTTTGCCCCAGCGACATGTCTGAGGAAGCCACGACACAACAAACAAGCTACCGATCATGCACTTCGCCACTTTCGTCTTATGGCATGGCATTCCTGAAAGAGACATGATGTTATTGCCCTCGCAGATATGCAGATCCTGTGCCACATCTGCATTGCGAGAACTCTCTTGCCAATCCGCGTGAGAAGACGTTTCGCGTGCCACAGCTTAAGGATTCACGAGCCTCATGACTTCCTGCATATATTACCTTCCGGAAACGGCACGGAAGAACTCGAGTGTAGTCTTCCGGTCTCGCGTACCTGAACACCCAGGTCTATAGCATGCTAACCATACGAGAGGACCAGGATACACCTGTCCCTGTCAGAAAACCAGCAGCTCAGAGAGTTTGCCCTAGAAACGAGGTGAGACACTTAGCGAATGCAAGTCAGCCAAAGGCACAGATGTGCTCAAACCCTCGCGAGTACTCTGTGAAGTACGGCTACGATCAGCCTTCTCGCCTCTCTCGATAGTGTGCAGATGTCAACGAGCGGTAAGGATAAGGCTTCTCCAATCAAGACCGCCGCACCAAGCATACAACCGTAGCGAGGCTGTTCAGCATTCTTCCACCAGGCGAAACGCTACCTAGTTCCGGTAACGATCCCGCAGCGCCTCGCCCGTTGTACCCCAGACTACCCCACAATGAATTGAACTTCATCTATACTCAATCTTTCTGGTACTTGTGCCTCTGTCAGCTCTCCCGACGACCCGTAGGCGCCCCTGGCGGCTCATTTGGTGTAGTCCACCATGGAGATCTCAATATCGAACACAGCATTGTCCTGCCAGCTATTGCCACAGTCTCTATATAAGGGGTCGGTGTCTGCACCCATCAAGCATCATCCCACACAGTCTCTTCTTCCCAACAGACAAGATGTACAGGTCTCTCGCCCTCACCTCGCTCACCGTCCTGAGCGCCGTCCGCGCCCAGCAGGTCGGTACCTCTCAGACTGAGACCCACCCCAAGATCACCTGGAAGACCTGCACTGGCACCGGTGGCAACAGCTGTACCGCGAAGACGACCCCCATCGTCCTCGACTCCAACTGGCGTTGGTCTCACAACATCGGCGGCTACACCAACTGCTTCACTGGAAACACCTGGGATGCCACTCTCTGCCCCAACGGCGCCACCTGCGCCACCAACTGCGCCATTGACGGTGCCGACTACTCTGGTGAGTGCTGAAATTTCAGACATCAGGCACTGCTAACTTCTTCAAGGTACCTACGGTATCACCACCGCCAGCGATGCCCTGACCCTCAGGTTCGTCACCAAGGGCCAGTTCTCCACCAACGTCGGATCCCGAACCTACCTCATGGAGACCGACACCAAGTACCAGATGTTCAACCTCATCAACAAGGAGTTCACCTTCGATGTTGACGTTTCCAACCTCCCCTGCGGTCTGAACGGTGCCCTCTACTTCGTCGAGATGGCTGCCGACGGTGGCCTGAACAAGGGCAACAACAAGGCCGGTGCCAAGTACGGAACTGGTGAGTCATTCTATCTAGACCTGGCCGTTGCAGCTACTAATCCTCATAGGATACTGCGACTCCCAGTGCCCCCACGACATCAAGTGGATCAACGGCGCCGCCAACGTCGAGGGCTGGTCCGCGTCCCCCAACGACCCCAACGCCGGCAACGGCAAGCTCGGCGCCTGCTGCGCGGAGATGGACATCTGGGAGGCCAACTCCATCTCCACCGCATACACCCCGCACCCCTGCAAGAACGCGGGCCTCCAGGCCTGCACGGGGCTCGACTGCGGCGACGGCGCGGACCGCTACAAGGGCGTGTGCGACAAGGACGGCTGCGACTTCAACAGCTACCGCATGGGCGTCAAGGACTTCTACGGCCCGGGCATGAAGCTCGACACCAAGGCCAAGATGACCGTGGTCACGCAGTTCATCGGCTCCGGCTCGAGCCTCAGCGAGATCCGCCGCTTCTACGTGCAGAACGGCAAGGTGTTCAAGAACAGCAACTCCGCGATCCCCGGCGTGACCGGCAACTCGCTCACCAACGCGTTCTGCGCGGCCCAGAAGAGCGTGTTCGGCGACACCTCGTCGTTTGCGAATCTCGGCGGCATGAACGGCATGGGTGCATCCCTCGCGCGCGGCCACGTCCTGGTTATGAGTCTCTGGGACGACCACGCGGTTAACATGCTCTGGCTCGACTCCAACTACCCGACTGATGCGGACCCGAGCAAGCCTGGTATTGCGCGCGGCACGTGCCCGATTACGTCCGGTAAGCCTGAGGACGTCGAGGCTAACAGCCCCAACTCCAGCGTGGTGTTTTCGAACATCAAGTTCGGCACTATTGGCTCGACCTTCAACCAGGCGGCTGCTGTCTAAGCTGGAGGAGTGTCGGGGAGTGTCGGGGGAGTGTGCGGGCAAAGAGAGGTTTGAGGCGGTTTCTCGGGGTGTATATATTGCTGCGTTTCAAGACGGAGAGGGGTGTATATAGATCATTCGCTTGCAGAAATAAACCGGTGTTCCGAATTTGGGTGTTTGCTGGCGGGTGGTGTTGAGTTGCTGAAGCACTGAAGCACTGAAGCACACTAACAGTACTCCAATAGCCCAGATCATCGCGAGAAAGAAGTACGGTCAAGGAAGAAGAATAAGAACAAAAAAGATCAAGGCCAAGAAGAACAAGAGAAACAAACACAACAACACTGCGCGCAGCAACACAGCCCCTCTCCCTGATCATCCCACATTCCACATGTACGCAGACCACACAAGACACCGACTTGAGAGCCGGGGAGCTGGTGACGAGTGCTGGCGTGACGAGTGCTGGTATGACGCGTGCTGGCGTGAAGAGTTCTGGCGAAGATAGTCCTAGCAAAGGTCAGTCCAGGCGAAGATCACTGCTAGTGAACATGACCGCTGGTGAACATGACCGCTGGTGTAAACACCAGCACTGTTGTGGAGAGCAGACGCGTGGACGCGCATGCATGCAATGCAGCGAGACACGTGTGGTTTCGCTTGTGGGCAGGTTCTGCGTGCTCAGCGTGTTGTGTGGGCGTGTGGAGATTTCTTGGGGTGTGCGTGGACGTTCTCGGGGGCAGACGTGGACGGCGAGGGAAGGAGGGCGGCGAGGGAGGGGGGACAGGGGGGGTGCTGGATGCTGATGCTGGATGTTGGATGCTGGATGCTGGATGCTGGATGCTGGATGCTGGATGCTGGATGCTGGATGCTGGATGCTGGATGTTGGATGTTGGATGCTGATGCTGGATGCTGGGTTCTGGATGCTGGATGCTGGATGCTGGGTTCTGGATGCTGGATGCTGGTTCTGAGTTCTGGGTTCTGGGTTCTGGGTTCTGACGCTGATACTCAACGCCAGCCTGCCGTCCAGCGCGATTTGCCCACAGCCACGGTACAGCACAGCACCTACCCCTACCCCTACCCAACAGCACAGCACAGCACAGCACAGCACAGCACAGCACAGCACAGCACACAGCACAGCACACAGCCACTATCACAGCCACGCACCTCCCCGCTCCCGCCAAAGACCAGTGAAATCTGTATATTACAACACCGCCCTCTATACTACACGCGCGCCACAACGCCACACCCCAAAAGCCACAGCGCAGGAAACCCGTCCTGGAAACGCCATACGATGCCATGCAAATGCGACCCAAACACCCCCCCTCCACCTTCCCTTTCTTCGCCAACGAACACTTAACACCCAACACACCCCCCTCTCTATGTAAACCACACCATCTTTTCTGGTTTTAATAGTAACCACCCCATTTTTCCGGTCACCAGCCCTAGTGTTTACTCGAGAAAAAATGGTGTTTCTTCTTCTTCTTCTCCTTGTCCTTATCCTTGTCCTTATCGTCTCTATGGCGACCGCTACTGGACGACTGCTGCGGGGGCATTGGTCGCTGATTCGCATTGAGATTGACAGCGGCCATGGCCGCGGTAGGCGGGGCGCCCGCTCGCGGACCGGCAGGCAGACCCGCAGGCTTCGCGGCCGCGGGCGGCGGCTTGGGTTTCGGCGGCTCGGGCTTCTCGAAGAGGTGCTTGGGCGCGACGGGCGGGGGCGCGTCGACGGGGAGGCGCAGGCGGTCGCGGCGCAGCGAGAGGTCGCCCAGGTGGCGCAGGAAGAGCTGGGGCTTGAGCATGTGCGAGGTGACGAGGAACACGTCGCGCGAGGTCTTGTCCGACGTGTCGTAGCACGCGCGGCTCTCCGAGTAGGTGGCGCCGCCGGCCATGAAGACGATGACGCGCTGGCGCGGTTCGGCGGCGGCGAGGCGCGATTTCGCCCAGGTGGGTTTCGCGGCGCGCAGGGAGGAGGCTTGGGCGCTTTCCTGGGCGAGGTCTTCGGGGGCGGCTTTGGTGAAGGGGAAGATGTCCTGCGGGAGGGTGCCGCGGACGTGGGCGTCGAGGACGTCTTGCAGCGCGGGGGTGAAGCGCGAGAGGCCATACTCCTCGGCGTTGGGGGGCGGGACGGCGTTGCGGGGGAAGAGGGGCGGTGGGGGGTCGCGCTTTTCTTTGAGCTGCCGGCCGATGCGCGCCCCGAGGAGGTCGAGGTTGCGGACGACGTCCATGTCGGGGGGTGGGAGTTGGGCGTGGAAGATGAGCTTCTGCAGGTCGGCGGGCAGCACGCCGTCGCGGAACAGCACGTAGAGGGCGATCAGGCGCAGGCGGTCGGCGGGCGTGACGGCCTCGTCGTCGAGGGTCCGCACGACCTGGTCGGCCATGTTCTTGGCTTTGCGATAGTCTTCATCCAGCCCCGTAGCCAGACACTGCTCAATCGACGCCAGGTCGGGCAGCTTGTGCTTCTGGAAGATGGCCATGCACTTCTCGGCCATGCCCAGATGCAGCGTGTACGACTCCTTCATCTGCTGGAACTGCGGCAGGCCCGCAATCATATCTTTAATCGCATTCAGCCCGTTCATACCAGCGGCGTCCTGAGCATCCTGATTGGTAAAGTTGGGGTTGTCGGCGATGAACTTCTGAAAGTCGCTGATCAGCTTGTCGAGCGTGTCCTTCATGTGGCGGTGGCGGTTCTCGACCCAGATCTTGTCGTTGTCGCTAATCTCCATCTCCTTCTCCTCGGCATTGGGGTCGTCCTCGTTGACGATGGCGCGGTAGGTGATCTTGTCGGTGTCGTTGATGGGCAGCAGGTCGAGGGCCATGGCCTGGTAGGTGAACTCGTGCAGGAACGGGGCGCACAGGTCCATGGAGCGGTCGGTGATGTAGAGGGCGCCGCGCGGGCGGTTCGAGGGCGGGGGGAAGTCCTGGTTGAACTGGGCGTACATGTCGAGCTTGTCCTGGACGAAGCGGGCGAGGTGCGAGCAGAGGACGCTGGCCTCGTGGGTGGGGGCGCGCGGGCGGTAGTAGCGGATGACGGGGTACTCGCCGAGGGCGACGCAGACGCCGGTGATCTGTACGGTTAGCAGGGGTGTGGTGCGGGACGGAAGATGCGCACCTTCTCGGCGACCTCCTCCATGTGGCGCACGACCAGGTTGTTGCACTCGGGGTGGAACAGCACGGGGAAGCTCGAGGGGTCGCGGAAGGTCACGAGGTGCGACTCCTGCGGGTGGTAGTCGAGGTGCACAGTGCGAAAGGCGCGGATCTGGTCGCGGGCCATCTGCGAGCGGTCGATGCGCTCCTTGAGCGGCGGCGGCAGCAGGGTGGTCCACACCAGGAACAGGCCGCGGTAGCGGCGCACGTCGAGCTCGGCCATGACGCAGTCGACAATGTGCGGCTTCGGGGTCAGGATGTAGATGGCGTCCATGTCGCGCTGGGTCTCGCGGCGGTCCTCGAGGCGCTCGATGTTGGTGATGTTGGAGTTGAGGATGTCATCCTCCTTGACGACGTTGTCGATGAGCTTCTTCGAGTCCTCGTCGAGGATCAGCACCTTCCACTGCGCGCGTTAGCCGGGCGGCGGGCGGGCGGGAGCGGGAGCGTACGTCGCCGCGGGTCATCTGGCGGATGGTGGTGAGGATCACTGGGGGCGTTAGTAGGCGGGGGATGCGGGGGCAGGCAGACGGACGCTCTCGCTGGATGTCGATCATGGACACCATGGCGGCGGTGGCAGCGGGCGGAGCTGCAGCGGCGCAGGCGATGGGGGCGGTGGGCGCGCTCGAGGGCAGGACGTGGGCGCGGGGGCAGAGGGTGGGCGTGGTGCTCGAGGGGTGCTGTCGAATGCGTGGCTGGCACGGGCGACGCTGGGCTGCACTGATTGCGCTGGGCTGCACTGATGGCACTGACGGCGCTGGGCTGCACTGGCTGCACTGACTGCACTGACTGCACTGCACGGCGCTGGATAATCCCTGGCACTGCGCGACGTCTCGTCGGTGGGGCGTCGCAGTCGGAGCTGGTGTTGCGGCGCGGGCAGAGCATCCGAGACCCTGGCCGCCGTGACTCGCGCAGCCCATGCACCGCGCCGCCGGGCCTGACTCGCGCGGACAACTTTTTGCTTGACGTCGTCGACTGCCACGGCTCCTCCACACGCAGCCCGACTGCAGCGCCTCCGCCAGCGCCCCGACAGCGCCGCTACAGCGCCTCCTACAGCGCTCCCGCGCCTCGATGCCTGCACTGCCTGCGCTGCGCTCCCCGCTGTGTCTCCGCTGCGCCGTCGCCGCGCGCCCGCTGCCGCCCCAGCGCCTGCTCGCGCGCGTCCAGGTCGCCCACCGCTCCACGTCCACGCCCAAGAGCCAGGGCAAGGGCAAGAGCAATGATACGCGGAGCCGCAATCTCGTCACCAACCCGCTGACTGTCCGCCGCAAGGCCCCGCCCACGCCCTCCACCGGCCGCCTCCACGACTCGGTCCAGAATGCGCTCGAGAAGCTGCGCGCCGAGTTCTCCGAGCCCGACTACCTCCACAACCTGCAGCTCAACCGCGAGCAGTTCGCCGACGAATGGAAGCGCTTCGAGGCCGCCATCGCCGCCTGGGTGAAGCAGTCCGGCCGCGAGCTGGTCGACCTGGTCCAGCAGGCCAGCAGAGGCAAAGACACCCTGCAGACGCGCCTGCGCTACCTCTTCTATGCCCAGACCTGCGGCGGCCGCTTCACCAAGGCCGAGCTGGAGAACCAGAAGCAGGTCGCGGATCTGCGCTATCCCGCCGAGTGGTATCCCGCCACCCGTGAGGTCCCGCGCGTCGTCCACATGCACGTCGGGCCCACCAACTCGGGCAAGACCTACCACGCCCTGCAGCGCCTCGAGGCCGCCAAGTCCGGCATCTACCTCGGGCCCCTGCGTCTGCTCGCCCACGAGGTCTATACCCGCCTGAACGCAAAGGGCCGCTCGTGCGCCCTGGTCACCGGCGAGGAGCAGCGCGTGCCCGACGGCGACGCCCCGCCCATGTACAGCTGCACCGTCGAGATGGCCCCGCTCAACACCAAGTTCGACGTCGCCGTCATCGACGAGATCCAGATGATCAGCCACCCCGAGCGCGGCTGGGCCTGGACCCAGGCCTTCCTGGGGCTGCAGGCCCGCGAGATCCATCTGTGTGGCGAAGCGCGCACCGTCGACATCATGCGCGAGTTGTGTGCTCTTGTGGGCGATGAGGTCCACGTCCACGAGTACGAGCGTCTGACCCCGCTCAAAGTCCAGTCGCGCAGCTTGTACGGCAAGCTGCAGAATCTGGAAAAGGGCGATTGTGTCGTGGCCTTCACCGTAGTCGGCATCCACGCACTGCGACGCGAGATTGAGTCAAACACCGGCCGGAAATGCGCCATCGTCTACGGTAGCCTGCCGCCCGAGACGAGAGCCCAGCAGGCGAGGCTGTTCAACGACCCCGACAACGACTACGACTATCTCGTCGCCAGTGATGCCATCGGCATGGGCCTGAATCTGGCCATCAAGCGCGTCGTCTTCGAGTCCACCTGGAAGAGCAACGGCATCACCCACGTCCCGCTGGAGATTTCCGAAATCAAGCAGATCGCCGGCCGCGCCGGCCGCTACAAAACCGCCGCCGACGCCGTAAACGACGCGGACAAGACTGCCACTGACAAGCCCGCAAAGGAGGAAAAAACAATCGGCTGGTGCACCACCCTCGACCAGCTCGACCTCCCCGCCCTCCAGGCCGGCATGCTCTCCGAGCCCACCCCCATCACCACCGCCGGCCTCTTCCCGCCCTCGCTCATCGTCGAGCGCTTCGCAAACTACTTCCCGCCGGGCACGCCCTTCAGCTACATTCTCCTCCGCCTGCACGAGATCTCCGAGACGCACCCGCGCTTCCGCCTGTGCGGCCTGAAAGAACAACTCGCCATCGCCGACGCCCTGGTCAGCATCAAAAACCTGTCCATCCAGGACCGCATCGTCATCACCTCGGCGCCCTGCAACGTGCGCGACCGCGCGCAGCTCGCCTTCCTGCACACCCTCGCGTCCTGCATCGCCACGGGCTCCTCGGGCGCCCTGCTCGACCTCGACACCCTGCCGCTCGCCGTCATGGACGCGCCGCCCCAGGGCACCCGGGAGTACCTGTACTCGCTCGAGCAGCTGCACAAGATGCTCGTCCTGTATCTGTGGCTCAGCTACCGCTTCCCGAATGTCTTCACCACAAGACCGACCGCCGAGTATGCGAAGAAGCTGCTCGAGGACCAGATCGAGAGCACGCTGCTCGAGTTCTCGCATACCGAGATCCGGCGGAAACAAATTGCTAAGCGGGAGAAGGCGCGCATGGAGAGGGCGGAGCAGCGGGGGCGTCGGAGTGAGGGAGCAGGATCGGCGGGTGGGAGTGAGCACCCATCAGCATCCCCAGACGAGCCCGAGACCAACACACAACCCGCCACCATGCCCCCGCCCCCAGGCCTCCCCGCCGAAGCAGCAGCTATCCTGAACGACACAACCCCGTTCCGAGACCCCGCGGCCGCGTTCCCGGAGCAAGCGCTGGATGATGTGGATGCCAATGCGCTGGGCGCCGTGGCTGAGGAGCGCGGGGACGGCGGGCGGCGTGCGGCGTTGTGATTGCGTGCTTGGATCGTGCGAGCGCGAGGCGAGTTGGACACTAGAAAGAGTGTATGAGTATGGGTATGGGTATGGGTACGATTATGGGTATGACTGATTGAAAGTATGAGGTTGACTACGAGTAAGAGTACGAGCAAGAGTAGGAAAAGTATGAACAAGAGCATGACGAGTGTGTACGATACTAGATGCTAGATACTGGATATTGGATACTAGATACTAGATACTACAGATTAGCAGCACGATACTAGAATTAGCAGTAAGACACTACAAACAGGAGCAAGATACCACCATTAGCAGCGAAGTACCACAATCAGCAGCAAGATACTACAATCAGCAGCTAAATACTACAATCAGCAGCTAAATACTACAATCAGCAGCTAAATACTACAATTAGCACCAAGATACTACAATCGGCAGTGGCATACGCAGCGAGACACAGCGAGACACACCAACACAGCAAGACCCTACCTAGTCTACCAGACGCAGCAAAAGCAGGGAGACAGTAAGCTCCTACCCTACCCACCTACCCATCCACCTGTCTGCCTGCCTACCTGTCTGCCTGCCCGCCTGCATGCCTACCTAGTCTGCAATAGCTCTACCTATTCTACTAGAGCTCTACATAGTCTACAGGAGCTCTACCTAGTCTACTAGAGCTCTACCTATTCTACTAGAGCTCTATCTAGTCTGCAAGCGCTCTACAAATAGACACAACACGCTGTCTAATGTCTCTTTTTCCTTCTCTTTCTGTAGCTATTTAATCCCGACCTCTAATCTTTTAATTTAGCTCTTAACCGTTCAAGCTCTGATCCTTAAGCTCTAATTCTCGGTCTTTAGCTTTTGGCTTTTGGCTTTTAATCTCTGACTTTTGGTCTTTTATTTTCGACTCGTGACAGTGCAGGTTTGCTCTTTGGCCTTTGACTTGTAACGTTTAGCTGGGCTTTTGGGACTTTGATTTCTGGGACTTTGGTTTCTGGCTTCTCGACGCAGGGTGCTGGGGTCTGGGGAAGCCTGCGGTGCAGTGCGGCGCTTTGCTCGGCGGGAGTCCTGGACGACGGTTCACCTCACCCTAACCTTAACCCTAACGCAGGCACACAGTCACTTAGTCACTCGGTCACTCACTCGGCCGCTCAGTCTTTGATTGCTTTGTTCTCACACTCATGTTGTCTTGTTCTCGCACTCACTCTGGAGCTCCTTCCCTCGCCGACTCACTCTGGAACTCCCTCGCCCACCGACCCACCCTACAACCCCCTCTCCAACTCCTTCGCTCACTCTCTGACTCCTCCGCTCACGTATCCACGCCGAGCCCTCCGCTCACCAACCCACTGAGATTCCTCAGGACACGACGAACAGGAGGAAGTGGAAGAAAGCGGGATTATGCATTATGGAATGAGTTCTAAGCTCGTCTAATCTGGTCTCGTCTAATCCAAGCTGATCCAAGCTGATCGAAGCTAATCAAGCTGATATCGTTTAAGCTGATATCGTCTTAGACGGTGCTGATATCATCCAGGACGGTGCTGGACGGGTCTAGGTCTGCTGCGGGAAATATTTGCTGTGGGGGATATCTCTGCTGTCGACGTTGTCTTCTGCGTTCTTGACGCGTTCTGCCTGGGCTCTTGATGCGTTCTTGGAGGATTGTCTGCGGTGTCTGCGGTATCTGCGGTGTCTGCGGTGTCTGCGGTGTCTGCGACTCTGCGTTTCTGCGTTTCTGCGTTTCTGCGTTTCTGCGTTTCTGCGTTCCTGTGGTCTCCGCATCCTCTCTACCTCCCAACTCAACACACCACCCCCTCCACCCCAGCGCGCCGCTCCACATACCGCCAAATAGCCCGCCACTCCACCTCCCTCTCCCGCGCCTCCTCCCTCCGCCGCTCCAACTGCCACGAATACGCCAACCGCTCCCACACACCCTCCCCCACCTCCTCATCCCCCCCTTCCCCCTCCCCAGCGCCCTCAAAAGCCGCCCTCACACTCCCCTCCACCACGCCCCCCTTCCCCCCCTCAACCCCCGCAATCCACCCCCCATGCGCCCGCCACCCGCCCTCAAACGGCCCCTCCCCTTGCCCCAAATCCCGCCACACACTCACCACCACCCGCACGCCCCCGGGCACCCTTACGCTCTCGACGCTCCAGTCCGACGCGCACTCTCCGCACCCGCGCGTTCCCACGCTCCACCCCCGACGCACCACATTGTCCAGCGCAGCGAGCAGGCCCGTGTGCGAGTGCGACGCGCGGTGCTGCGTCAGCGCGGGCGAGAGGAGGGGGAAAAGCGCGTGTGCGAGGCGCGGGGAGGCGGCGGCCCAGGGGGGCAGGGTGAGGGCTGTGGATGAGTGGAGGTAGAGGCGGGCGTTTGCGATGCGCGGGGTGTGGGATGTGGTGGTGGGGACGGGGGTGCGGAAGAGGGTTGCGGGGGCGGAGGAGGAGTGGGTTAGGGCGGAGAGGGGGAGGCCGTGGGCCGGGCCGTGGGCGTGTGCGGCGAGGGCGAGGCGCAGGTGGGCGTATTGCAGGGTGTAGGGCGGGGAGGCGAGGGCGGAGTTGTAGTGTGCGCACGGCAGGGAGGAGGGGCGCGTGGGCGAGTCGGAGGCGCTCCATGGGTGGAATGCGTCGCACCATGCGCAGAGCCAGGCGCCGGGCAGCGCGCGCTCGACGGTCTCGGTGAGGCGCTGGCGTGCGTCGATGCGGCTTGGTGCGCTGGCGAGGTAGGACGCCAGGCGGTGGGTGCCGGTGGCGAAGCAGATGCGGCGGCTGGAGAGACAGAACTTGGCGGCGGAGAAGTCGTCGAGGTAGGATGCGACGTGCTGGAGGAGTTCGAAGGGGAGGTCTTCGAGGGAGGTTCTCGGCGCGGGGGGCTTCATGGTCGCCGCCATGTAGTCGGAGGCCGAGTCGGTGCTGGTGCGTGGGGTGCTGCAGGGGGATGGCGAGAGCGCGGATGAGGCCGAGGAGCTGCTCGCGCGGTGGAGGTGGAAGAAACCCATGTTGAACTACTGTCCTGCTCTTTCTTGGGTCCTTTGTCACGAACTAGGTCTATGCAACACTACGAGGAGTGACCTTGAATCAAGGCGAGGGCAATTTCCTTTGATAACTAAATCTCTGGACCCAAACTCCGGTCTGCGATCTGGTCCGGCGCTTTCAAAACAGGTCAGAGGACGGCGACGACCAACCGAGTGGACGCGCCAACGGCGCCGACGTCGTCTTGTATCATGCCGTTCGCGACCCTGACATATGACACAGCCATGGGCACCGGTGCACGTGGCTAGTGAGACTAGTGCCCTACGCAGGCACGCGGCCGGGTCAGCAAGTTTGGCGGTGAGTTGACCAAAGTCAGGGAAGTTGCCTGCGCCTGAAACATTCACATGATTAACGTGCGCTAGCCCGTTTCGGTTACCATGCTCGGCTGAGCTGCTGGCGTCAGGTGAAAACCGGCATGTGCGATAACGGTATGAGTGAGAGAAGACGAATGAGAGAGACGAGTAGAATAAGACGTCAGATAAGATTTGCGCGTGGTCAACTGCCGACGCTATGCCGCTGAAATGGGAATCAAGAATACCATACCTCCTCAGCCCTGTCAAGCTCTAGGTATAATACAGTGCACCTCGTCCATGCCAGGACCGATATTATATAGTCATTACTGCTGGCTCACCAGCCTTCCGCGCCTGCACCCAGCAACCGTCTGCAGAAGCGAGTCTATCGCACAATCTGCAGGTTGGCAAGCTGCGGGACAGGCGGTCCGGTGCCGCTGCGGCGGCGCCTCTCACGCTCGCTGAAGCCGACGGGCTGCTCGAGCTGTGTGTTCTTCTTGAACTTGCCGCCGACGGAGTGCTGCCACTCGTGCTCACCGTCCGCGCCGAGCCAGTACTTGGGCGCGCCACTGAGCATGACGCGGCCGAGCTTGCCCCTCCAGCCGTCGCCCTGCTCCTTGCCCTCGGCGAACGGGTTCTCAGCGAGGTCGGTGGCGGTGGTCTGCATGTCGTTGGAACTGTACCACCCGGCGGAGGCGGCGTTGGCGGCGATGTGCTGGCGCAGCGACTTGCGCGCGAACGCCAGCATCACGAAGACAAAGTACACGCGCAGAGCCCAGAAGCTGGCGATCAGCGAGATGCTCATGATGCTGCTGCTCTGGAACACGGCGTTGCCGAGACCAACACCGACGCCAGGCGCGCCGTCTTGAGGGAGGCCGCCAGCGACAGCGGTCTGGCCGCCTGCGATGCCGCCAGTAGGCGCAGCAACGACGTCGACCTCAGAGACGTTGTGCTTGGGGCTCGTGAAGCCGGCGGTGTCGGAGATGCCGTGCGAGCCGGGGACAGCGACCTCCTCGGGGTGTGCGGCGAGGACGTAGAACCAGGCGATGCCGAAGAAGGCCGTGTACAGCGCGTTGATGACCGAGTCGAGGGCATAGAGGTGGGCCAGCAGGACGGTCTCAAAGGGGCTCTGCAGGCGGATGTGGCGGTAGAGAAAGGCCGTGGCGATGAGGGCGAGGGTCGAGTAGATGTACATGGAGAGCTGGAAGCCGTCGATGGCGGCGCCGGTGATGATGGCGAGCAGGCCGTACACGCCCGAGGCCTTGTTGATGACCTGCAGGTAGGTGATGATCTCGGCACCGGTGCGTAGCGACATCTTCTGGAGGAACGTCTGGCATCGTCAGTACTTGTTGTGGCTGGTCGCGCGATGACCTACCCGCGGGCGCGGGATCTCGAGGATGTGGGAGGGCGCCATCATGGCGGCGAGTCGGAGAGCGCGAGACAGAGATCAGAGGAGACGAGCGTGCGAAGAAGTATGCTCTACTAATAAAACCGCAGCGTGTTGTTGCTCTCACCGACGAAGTCTGACATCGCGGCCTTAATTCAGTCCGCTTCCGCAGGGGCCCGGGGCCAAGCCTCCTCGCAGGGCTGAACGGCGCTAGCCATCCTCGAACCTTGCGCCTCAGACGTCAGTCAATCTGAATCTCGAATCTCGAATTTGAATTTCGAATCTAAATCTCCAATCAGTCAGGAAATAGCTGGTGTGTCTCCATGTAGAAGAAAGGTCCCTCCTGTCCAATCTCTTCTTCTTTTCCTAAAGGTGAAGGGGACGATAGGGGCTAGCTACTCAGCGGCACCGATATTTGAGTGGGAAATAATAATGGCTGAATGATTAGTGACGACAATATACCCATCCAGAAGTTGTTGTATAGGTGCTTGACCATTCCCCTTCCATGTATGAGATCCCTAAATACTACATCAACCTCTGTACGTGGACCGCAGCTTCAGTGTCACAGGCTGAGCGGGCTGTGAGTAAAGTATCTTCCAGTCACGTCGCAGTGTATGGATCTGGGCTGGAACCTGCATCAAACTCTTGCTAAATAGTGCAATTGGATGGAACAAGTAAATCAACATCTCCATCTACAATGTCCCAAAACCCCACCGCAGTGACGTCTAGCGTCCCTTATCTTATCGCTCCTCCCAATTTCTCGACCCTCCCCACCACCAACAGCCACCCACCCAAAATGGCCTTCCGCAAGCGCAACATCGCGCTCTCACGCGCTCCCGCAGACGGCGACGCGTCGCCCGCTGCCCCCTCGCCAACCGTATCCCCCGCACCCACACCCACCGGCGTGCGCCCGTCCCCCATCGACGGCCGCCCCACCACGTCCACCGGCACGCCCTCGCTCGATGGTATTCTCGCCGGCCACGCTGGGCTGCCGCTCGGAAACTCGCTTCTGATCGGCGAGAGCGGGACGACGGACTACGCGGGCGCGCTGCTGCGGTTCTACGCGGCCGAGGGCGTGGTGCAGGGCCACCGGGTGCATGTCGTAGGCATGGGCGAGGTGTGGGGGCGCGAGCTGCCGGGGATCGCGGAGGAGCGGGGGGACGAGAAGAGGAGGGAGAGCAAGGAGCGCGCGGAGAAGATGAAGATTGCGTGGCGGTATGAGGGGCTGGGGCAGTTTGAGAGTGCGAGAGGTGCGTGTGGGGTAGTTAGGGCAATGCAATGTTGTATTCTGACTGTGCGTGACAGGTCCGCAGAAGGTGCTGGCGCAGGGAGAGAGTGCGGCGGAGGTGGTGTTCTGCCATGCGTTTGATCTGGCGAAACGGCTTACGCTGCCGGTGGGGTCGGCGGTGAATTACATCGCGATACCGCGTGTGGCGGCGTCGCCGTTCATGGCGATACTACAGAATGTGCAGCAGCAGCTTGCGACGACGCCGGCGCACGTTGTGCATCGCCTTGTCGTTCCATCTCTCCTCTCGCCTGCGCTGTATCCTCCCACGTCCTCGCACCCGAATTCGATCCTCCAGTTCCTGCATGCCCTGCGCGCACTGCTGAGACAACACCCTACACGGCTCACCGCCATGATCACCCTGCCGCTATCCCTATACCCTCGCTCGTCGGGCCTGGTGCGCTGGATGGAGATTCTCTCCGACGGCGTCCTCGAGCTCTCGCCCTTCCCATACTCGCACGCGCAGATGTTGGCGCAGTCGGCCGGCACCACCAAAGACGAGGAGAAGCCGCAGGGCATGTTCGCCGTGCACAAGCTGCCTGTGTACCACGAGAAGGGCGGCGGTGGAGGCGCAGAGGACCTGGGTGAAGACATGGCCTTCACGCTGAGCCGGCGCAAGTTCGTCATCGCCAAGTTCAGCCTGCCCCCGCTCGAAGGCGACACCGAAGCACAGGAAGCCGCTGTGCGGGAGGCCGCCGGTGGCAGTGCGATGCCGAAAAAGGCGGATCTCGAGTTCTAGGTGGTTGGTCGCAGCGTGTGCGGCACGTCGTCATCAGAGCTGTCCTCGCCCATCATATCCTCCATCTCGATCTGCTCCCAGCCTGCGCTGCCGGCGCCGGAGCCAAGGCCGCGTGCGTAGCCGCGCCCATATGAGCCGTGTCGAGGGTTGATGGACATGCCGGAGATTCGTGCGCGGAAGCCGTCGCCCATGCACGACGAGAGCGCGAGGAACACCAGAAAGAAGGTGAACGGGATGAATAGCAGCAGCGATAGCAGAACGAGGATGTTCATGTTGAAATACCGTGGTGGTTGTGACTGGCAGACACGAGGGTGGAGCGAAAGCTGCCGGCTGGACCCTGGTTTTGTCGTCATTCGCCGCGGGAGCTAAAATGATTGCCGGCCCCTGGCGACGACACTCGGCTCTGTTGAACTGCACTTGACAACACACACTCAGCGACAATGGCATTATTACGCCTCCCCCTGAGCGCGCTGCTGCTGCTCACATGCGCGCTCACAGCCTCCGCGCACGGCGGCGCCGAACACGCGCAGATCGTCGTCGCGCCCGACGCCGACTGGGCGACCCGCCACATGGCTGGCAAGTCCACACGCCTCCCCCGCGGCTCCCCCGTCTAACCCCCCGCAGAGGAACACCACATCTCCGGCTTCGACGCGTCGACCTTCTTCCACCTGCACGACTACGACAGCACCGGCCTGTGGACGGCCCCGGACATCCGCCGCACCTACGGCCTCTCCGACCCGTCCACGGCCTCCATCAGCGAAGCCAAGAAGCAGATGGTCGTGCAGACCGTGCTGGACATGTTCGACTCGGACAAGAACGGCGAAATCAGCCTCGCCGAGTTCCTGGCCAAGGACGCGCAAAACATCAAACTCCCGGACTTTGGCATGGGCCCCGGGCACCACGGAGACGACGAGTACGAGTACGAGATCCACCACTGGGAGAAGTACCACTTGGGCGACGATGTCAAGGAGGAGGATCTCACGCACCCGGAAGATATTGCGCATTTCAAGATGCACGAGGACAAGGAGCGGGCGCAGGAGGAGTGGGAGAAGCTGGAGCGGGGGATCGTGGAGAAGAACATCCCATCCAAGTACAGGCAGAACTAGGTGGCTGTGTATTGTGTATACAAGGGCGTTGGGGTGCTTGAGCCGGCCTGGGCTTGGGTAGCAGGTATGATGGCGACGATGCGACGAATCCACGATTGAATATAGAAATGATTGAGCATGTTAATAGAATATGGCAGGCTATGTAATCAGTACTGCCAGCACACCCCTCCTATCCTTTACCCCGAACAGAGCTCATCGTCGCCCAGGAGCCATGCCAGCCCGCTCCGCCACCCGAGCAGCGACAACCCCAACCACTCCATCTCGCACGCTGTACGAGCCTCGTACTCGCAGCACGTCGGGCTCCAGCGCTTGGAGACACTATTACACGTCTCGAGTGTTACTCAGGCCAGGATCTCGCCGCATAATCGAGCCTGTTGATTCTGCCTTGCTGCAGCACTTCAATGGTACACTCGCGGCATTCGGTGACCGAATTGAACTTTCGGTGCAGTTCATGAACTTCCTATCTGGGTCGTGCAGCTCGTGAACTTCCTATCTGGGCCATGCAATCCACGAACCCTTTGGTGCATTGCATGAACTAGTGTCGTGCAGTTCATGAACTTTTTCTCTGGGCCGTGCAGCTCGTGCACTTCCTGTCTGGGCTGTGCAGTTGCCGTGCAGCGCGTGAACTTCCTATCTGAGCAGTACAGTTCACGAACCCTCCGCTGAACCTCCGGCTGGACGCCCGAGCAGTTCATGAACTGCAGTGCACATGAGCTTTGCTTCGTGTGCAGCAACAATCGACAGACCCGGGCGCGATTCGTTCTCTGCACCTCCCCTCGATTCTCGATCTCTCCCGCTGGTATGCATCGACACCGCTCTCGAGAAGAAATGCAAGCGATACTTCGCTTCCCGCAGATGGAGACCACCGACAGGACTGTCAACCTTTCGAGGTGCCGGATCTGCATATTCGACTTCCACGGAATCATTGAATCCGACTGGAATCAACAGCATCAGTGTCGAAGAGCAGGCATCTACTAATGGTACGGAATCCTAAACGGATGCGCTTCAGTGTTCAAAACGAAATCATCCAAGCTGAGCGTGTCAGGCTCGCTGAAGATCAGGTAGAAGTACTTCAGCGTTTCCGCCAACCAGAAGCTCTCCATGCTATCATACCTCTCCGCCGGCGTCTTCATGACATCTCCAATCGCCGCGTTAGCAAACTCCGTTCTTGTGTGCTTATCAATGGCCTGGAACATCTCCCACGCAATGTCCTGATACTTCGCCTCACCCGTGATGCGGTACATGACGAACACCGACTCAATCGCTTCGGGCCGTAGCACATAACGTCCGTCGTTGACCTCGCTAAATGGGCTGCTTCCAGGTGGGAGCGTGAAGTCGCATGCGGCGAGGGACGGACACGCGGGCATCGTGAAGACTTCAGGCATGATGCCGTTGGGCGCGTTCTTGTACGTCCATGCGCAGCCATCGGTGATCTTGCGCCCGACATCCATGTGCGTGCTGTTGTCGAACAGACGCCCGCCGAGCGCGAACATGCCGCCGGCGAAGCACACGAGATGCTGGCCTTTGCTGTCGCGCTCCCCGTTTACGTTCGCGCTGGCGATTAGAATGTCGGCTTTGTCGTGGACCATGGGGCGGAATAGGGTGTGTGCTATCGCGGTGGACATCGCGTACTCGTACATCTTCTGGTACTGGACTGCGACGGGACCGATCCCGTTGAGCAGGAGGTGCATCTTGGGGAGGTACTCGTATGCGGAATCAGCCATGGCACCAAGGCCGAAGAAGCCATCGAACGTCAGGTCCGGCTTACGCATGTTGACACTGATAGGCCACATGCCTGGAAGCTTGGTGAGACCTTGCTGCTTGTCGAGTACGTCTGTGACTCTGGAGATGGCATCGAAATAGCGCATATCTCCGGTGAGTTGCGACAGGCGTGTGAACTCCAGACTCGCTGACGCCGCCTCAGCGATCAGCATTGACTCCGCAGGCAGTTGTTCTTCCCCGTCTACAGCTTTCTTCGGGCTCCACCTCGAGACCGGCATCCTATTCGGCGTGTCGAACGCGGCATACGCCAGATCCGCGACCTCCATCGCTTTATTCAGCAGCCGCGCATCGTGACAGCCGGACACATCGTAAGCGCCCAGAAAGCCTCCGAGATACCGGATAATCGTCTCGAACACGTTGATCTCGCCGTCGATTTTCGGTCCGAAATCGATCTGCACGGCAGCATCCATGGCCTCTGCAAACTCCGCTTTCATGTCCATGATCCACAGCGTGTCGAGGCTGTCGACCAGAGTGGCTCCCCAGCTTCCAAACGTGTCCCTGGCTCTGCCGGATATGGGCGCGAGTTCGTCTTTCGTCCACGCGCGGTCCTTGTAAGCGGTCCAGCAGCGCTTAAAGACTTGTCTAACTGCATCCTTGCGCGCTGCGTTTGCGTTCTTGGCTTCTGGCGAGGCGGGTGTAAAGGTGTGCTGCACAGAAGGCCTAGGTGTCGGCTTTTCTTGGGACAGTTGGGAGTATTCTTGGAGAGGGTGGTGTTTCGGGACCGTTCGCCAGTCAAATCGACCAGAGGTGTTGGGGATCAAGGCTGGTGTTGGCGGCGCGGTAGGACAGGCATGAGGGCTCTGGACAGGTGTTGGCGACCCCGCCAGCGGACCGGACTGTCCATGACTGTTTACTCGAACAATAGAGCTTGTGTATGGCGTACTGCGAGCAGAAAGTAGTGCTACCGTGACGAGGAAAGCGGTCCCCGCGAGGAGGCATATCGGCCACCTATATTTTCCGAACAACATCTCAGCCGCACTGTTCGCAAGCCAACGCAGGGGAATGTAGCAAACAACCCACGCGCTGAACTCGAGGGAAGCTCGTCTTAATAGTCAGCGCGTAGAGTACCCGTTTTAGACCCATGCACGTACCCCGGCACCGATCCGCGCCGCAATCCTGTCGGCTGACGGGACTGTGTCATTGGTCCGCTCATCTACTGGCACGAAGAAGTGCCCACGCAGGAGGAGTCTAATCTTGGTAAATATATGCAGGTACCGAAACAGCAACCGGTTTGGGTGTGCGGTGGGCAGACTCGAAACCAGACGCCGCGGCGCATGCACGGGCGCACTGTGCCACAGGTTAGCCTCTAGCCCTGTTGTTGTGTGATATCCCTTTCACCGAGACTGAGCCTTGTTTGGAGGGTGTCCTCGCTGCTGTAGGCTTTGTGCTGCTGTAGTTCGCTTTTGGTGGTGGTGGCATGGTGGCGATGATAGGACTCTAATTTTTCTTCATCCAACAGGTTTCCTTCTCGATCTCTTTCCACTACAGGTAATATGGCACACAGTGCAAGTCATACCCCGCCACGAAGATCAAAACCCGAATCACCGACGTTGTCACCAGCTCTACCCAGGTACCATCGGCCTCGCCCTGGGGGCCGCACTGACGTGGTTCTGTCTACGCAAACGCAAGAATAATAAGGCGCGCGAAGACGCCCACCAGGACCAAGGTAACTGGGTCCAACAATATCGGCCTGGCCAAGAGCCAGTAGAGAAGTACTCTCACACGATAAGATGGGGAATCAGGGTGGCTTTATGGCTGAGGGGGCTGATCGTACGAGTCCCTTGCCGCCTGTGGAATTGTGGCATGGGAACTGCAGAGAGTAGATAGGTATGCTGGATGAGGGTGTGCTGTGAAGCTTTGGTATAACGGCGAGACTTTTGAGTGGCTCGAAAGGGTGGTTTGGGGAATAGATTATGATAATTATGAAATTTGACAGTTGGTGCCTCGGTGAAATATGCGTTCTGCGTTTGCTGGAGTTTCAAATACTTGGGTTATTCGTTTTATAGTCTGTGAAGTAACATGTATTCAAGGCGGCTGATCGTACCGATTTGAGGGTCTGTTTGATTGATATCTGCGTGGCACATGGTTTGTATATAGCTGTGCAAGATGCGGATCAGTGGTAGGATAAGATGTGATATTCGGTCCAACATTGCGGGAGATATTTTGCCGCAACCGAAGATCTGGCTTCATGAATCCTTGGACTCTACTCGATTTAATAACTGTCGCAATTCAGCGCACTCTTAAGGACGGCACATCAGTCGTCATGATGACCTTAACCTTCTGGCCAACCAACGCGGATGCCATCTATATCGACCCGATCTACAGTGCAAGATCAGGACGCATGTCGGTACCGTTCGAAGAGCACATAAAGTACTCGCTGATATTCTTAGCTTATTAAGAGATCTCGGCTAATGGATTGGTACAAAAAAACAGAAAGGTACCGTCCAGCTCTGCGTCGGATGACGGAATGCTGTGCAGCAACTGCCAAGGAAGACGCTTTCACGCCTTCGGAAGGTGTTAATGTCCGCTCTTGGCACCGACGATCCACACTCTTGGTAACTGCCTCTCTCGACACAGCGACCGCAAGAAAGCGTCCAATGCGCCGATAACAGTGGAACGGAACGATGTCGTGCGGTGTAGATAGCCAGCCACCCGGATGTGGGTATATGAACTGTCCTCTCCCATATCTTTAACGCTCCACTTCTCGAACTCTCCGAAAGCCAGCAAACTACGATGAAGGTCAATGCTTTGGTACTGCTGTCATGCACGGCGCAAGCGTTCGGGGCGGCGGTAGACGAGCGAAGGGAGTTGGTCTCGTCTAAGAAGCTTCAAGACAAGATCACGACCCAAAAGTACAGTCATCGATATGATGCTGAAGACCGCATAACTGATTTCAACCCAGGCTTATGGGCAACCTAGAGGCTCTTGACTCTATTGCTAAGGCTAACGGTGGCAACCGTGCCTTTGGTCTCCCGGGATACGCTGCCAGCGTCAAGTACATCCTTTCGAAGACCGAGAAGCTCAAGAACTTCAGAACCTGGGTTCAGGACTTCCCTGCTTTGTACAACTCAGTCGAATCTATCGAGTTTTCCGTCAGCAACACGTCGTATCACGTAATTGGCCTGTCCTACTCTCCATCGACGACGCCGGAAGGATTGACCTTGCCTCTGGTTCTCGGCTCCTCTGGCCCTGCGGGATGCACCAATGAATCCTATGATGGCTTGGACGTTGCGGGCAAGATCGTGCTTGTGCAGCGTGGAACCTGCCCCGATGGCACTACGCTTGCTGGTCGTGTCAAGCCTGCGGTTGCAGCGGGAGCTTCTGCTGTTATCATCTACAGCGATGTGACGACCAACGTGACAGGCGGTACTCTTTCAGCGCCAAACCCGGAGGCGTACCGTCCGGCAGGCTACATCAACAAAGTTGATGGCGAGGCTCTCGTAGCCCGTATCAACGCTGGTGAAGCGGTCGAAGCATACTTCCAGCAGACGCAGACCGTCGAGACCAGGGTCACTCAAAACGTTTTCACCGAAACTAAGGGTGGTGACCCTACCAATGTCATCATGTTGGGTGCTCATTTGGACAGCGTGCAAGCTGGAGCCGGAATCAACGATGATGGTTCTGGAACGACGTTGATCCTTGAGGTTGCTAGGGCACTTGAGAAGTATGCAGTTAAGAACAAGGTCCGGTTTGGATGGTGGGGTGCAGAGGAGAATGGTGCGTGACTTCGTTCGAGAATGATTGAAAGTAAGCTAACGATCATGTAGGTCTTCTTGGCTCGAAGTTCTACACCCAGAACCTCAACACTACCGAGGCAAATAACATCTTGACATACCTGAACTTCGACATGGTCTCTCGCGGTTATTTCGGCGTCTTTGATGGCGATGGCAGCACCTTCAACCTTTCCGGTCGCCCTGGTTCTGATGCCATTGAGAAGTTGTTCGTTGACGACTTCACCAAGAAGGGCATCAACGTCACTGCTGCTCGCTTCACTGGTGGTAGTGACTACCAGTCTTTCATGAACATTGGAAAGCCCGTGGGAGGACTGCACACTGGAACTGGTGTCGAGCAGGATCCTTGCTACCACCAAGCTTGCGATACCATTGACAACCCCAACCCGCAGACCCTTACCATCAACGCCAAGGCTGCTGCACACGTTCTCTCGATCCTTGCTACAAAGGGAACCGAGATCATCCCGAAGAGCCCCGCAAACGCTACCATGCTGACGTCAAGGAGCTTGGGAGGTTTTGAGCTGCCCTGGACCGTGCCTGCTGATGGAGAGAGGCACTTGTTGACTTGTGGCGAGGAAGTGTAAAGGCTGAGGCACCATGGTTAATAAAATGGGTGGCATTTACGATGATTATGATTATATTAACAAAGCCTCTCCGGCGATGGTGTAGTAGTACGAGAAAAAAACTGAGCTGATTTCTCCATCCACTGTCCCCCCTGCAAGACGAATCATTGAACGCTTTTCCCTGTACCGTTTCTACATCAAGAAACTACTTTTCCATGCCGGAAGGCGCGCTTCTGTTTATACTCTGCGAATGCCTGTCTTATCTTCCTGAACCATCCTTTTTTAACTGGCTCCTTCGTCAAAGAATCGCAGACTTGGTCATCGTGTTCTGTTGATGTGCATGCTTGACTGACATCGAGGCCATCCTCAGACCTTTTGTCAACCCACAAAGACGCGACTGAAGCTGCAAACCTAGGTCGTGAGCTCAGCGTAGAGCGTGATCCTCGAAGCAACTGCTTGTACTTTTTCGGATCGTCATCAATCCTCAGGGGCGGCTTGCCCTCTGCCTGGCTCCATTCCAGAGAGGGAGCTGGAAGATCACCTGCGGTGTCCTGGAAGCGCAATGACCTAAGCTTGCCGTTGGTCTGGAGTCGCGGCTCTGTGTACATGACTGGCCGGAATGCATCGGGTTCTGCACCAGATGTTGTTTCGAGGCTGGTCTTCGGACTCGTACGCCATCGGGCATCGTTGCTGCGTATGGTACTAGACTCTGTCCAGCTAACGGGTCTTGAAGGGGTTGGGCTGTCGTCGTGGGAATCTTCTTTTGGTCGTGCGGGATATGTCTTTGCGCGCATCTCAGCGATTACCTCTTGGTATGGCAGTGCCAGACCTGGGTTGTCGTGATATTCGTGGAGGGTTCTTGAGGCAGCTGAAAGAGATTGTGTTTGTGTCTCTTCCGACCCATGATCTGAGTAGATGCTGCTTGCATCGTCCAGTGTTTCCTCGTTTTGCTGGCACCGATCCTGGGACTGACTTGGTACTGGTTCTCCATCATAGGCGCGTTGCTGCGATCTACTCACTTCTGCATCCAATGCCGACATGTCTACTGATAGTGTGTGGTACATCATGGTGAGGTATGGGATGTGATGTGATCTTTTGTGAAAAAGGGCAGTTAATGTTTACGAATAAGTACCTCCGAGAGATCTGTATCTGTATCATATTTATGGGTGCCATCGTTCAGGGTTCGCTCTATCCAGGACCAAACAATATGTCGCCCTGGGTTTCTTGGTAGACTTTTTATAAAAATATTATACCTGCATCACAGACGTGGTCTGGGACAAAGTAATCGTTCAAACCCTTGAACTACGGTTCAAGTGTTGACCATCCCCAACAGTAGCCGCAATAGAGCCAAATGGGCCCCGAGCAGCTCTCACGAGTACAGCATACGCTAAAATTTCGACGCTGCGACCTGATCCTCACATCGCGTTATTTGGACTATTGTGATGTTCAGAAGACGGAGCCAGGCGCGACCTCAAGAGAAAAGGGTGGCGCAGTACGCGAGGGCGCTAGTCCTGTGGCCCAATGTTGTACCCTCCCTGCCATGTTCCCACAACATCACAACAGAAGCAGCGAATCGTCGTTTTGTCCGTTTTACTGCCTCATGCGGCTCATTCTGCAGACTGCGCCTCATTTAGGCCACTATGCACGTCTTGCTGGCTTAGCTATGGATGGTTTAGTCGAGGCTGATGCCTGGTAAAAGATGCACTTCATTAGGCCCCCATCGGGCTTATTGCCTGGCCGAGTCAAACCAAAGGCTCTTTCGATGCATTGAAAAGAGACGCTGCTGCTACATGATATCGCATGTATCCTTCCTACTACTGTGGCCATTACTGGTAAGACCACAAGGATCTACTTGAACGACATCGTGCCTGGACGATTGTTACCTAATTGCCTCGCAAATCCACCGCAAACGCCCAATCGTTAACCACCAAAACCAAGGTACCACGGTGCTGCAACTACTATAATCACGTCCGGTATTCAAGCGGAAATCCAATCATGGCGAGCTGGAAGATCACCCCTTCACCCACCGAGGAGAGTAACGTCGAGTACACGTCATTTCTGGACTGTCGCAAGTACTTCGCGGTAGATGATTCAATGTCAACTGGTGGCGGATCAATCTACAGAGAACGTGATTTCGTCGAAGCCTTCCGAAAGAGCTATCCCAACAAGACTGATGCGATATCTCTGTGGGGTGATAATTGCGACGACCCTACTACGAAATTCAAGTCTCTGAAATGGCATGCGCTCCATGATGGTACCCACCCAAGCTCCATTCTCAGGAACTCCGCAGCTTTGGATGCAATCAGAAAGTCGGATACGTGGTTCTTGCTCACAGACGGAGAAATCTTCGAACAGGACGTTCACGGGCTCGCCAGACTGGCTTATGACGCTGAGGTGCTTAATGTGCCGCTGGTGTTTGTCATCACCAATGCACGCGGCAGCTCTCCCGGAACAGCAGATATCAGCGTTGGCATATCCTTTTTTGCCAGCTCTCGGGACACCCTGATCCTCTTTAAAGACCAGCAAACTGGTAAAATCTACGTTATCGCAGCCAAGGGTTGTTTCGCAGATCTGGGAGGATCGGCAGCGACGAAGAATCTAAACAACTGGAACGACTTGACGACTTTCACAAGCGAAGCTGACCTGTTCCTGCGCTGCCAGGAGAGGAACATAAAGGTTGTTAAGTCAAAGTCGCGAGCGAAGGGGACCGGAGAACTCAGTCTTGGTGCAGTGTGGGAGGAGCGGAATGCTGGACCCGTCAAGGTTGATCTCGATCTCCTCCTCGCCTCTGAACAACTTTCGGACATGGATGCGACAAACCTTTTTGCGGACGAAGCCTTCGATGCCCTTGCAATCGCCTGCAAGACTCGAACTCGTATACCTGAATTGCGGGCATTTGTTCAGGCACAGAAGGTCGAGCAGGCTGTTGCCCCGAAGTTTGAGGACCGAAACAACGCGACAGCGATCATCGCCAAGATGGCTACAGGACCAAGTGACGAAGACTGTAAGAGCCTCCAGGAACAGCTACGGGAAGCTCATGCCCAGAATCGTCGAGACTACCTAAGACTGCTCGCCGATCATGCAGCGTCAGTGACCCAACAGGCTCTGAGAAAGCGGAATCAGCTTGTCGATGGAGCACTCAGGTCACTCGCCTCTATCGAAACCGCTAGCTATAACGCGGAAATTATCGGTCGCAGAAGCGACAGAGCTCGACGCGCTCAAACCATCGACCCTTCGTCAGTAGTCGACATGGCCGCGCTAGATCTGGAAGCACCGTCGTTCAAAGGGTACTGTCTTGTCTGCTGCGGCGAGGAGGAAATTATGTCCATATGCTTCAAAGAAGCCGCTCCAGAGCACAGGGAAGACAACACCAGCGACTTCGCACTCAATTTTCCTTTGGCGGTAGGGGCATTCACGAAGAACGTTGATCTCGTCTCAAGTCAGAATGTATGCTTCCAGTGCGCACTACTCTCGCACGATGGCTTGTCCATCTACAAAGAACGAATAACGGCGATTATTCCCGCTGTGCAGTACGATGGAAACAACAAGAAGTACATCAACGATCAGCTCTACTCAGCCTTGACTGCACGATTGGCCACCGGTGCTGCAGGAGTAGCACAGCTGTTCATGTCAATACTTCAGACCGTCATGAAGACAAAACCGTGGGCAGGTGCCGGCCTGGATATCTCTCGCATCTCCATCGATGAGCAGAACGAAGCTGCGCAGCGTCATAGGACGTTCCAGTGGATGGTGGACCAGTTGGCTCATAACAGTGACACTCGCGAAAACTTCAAAGAGACTGGACAGTGGGTCAAGTTTCCGCAGGCATTAAAATGGGTCGCTGAAGACTTCGAGAGGAATGGACTGTCAAGCTTTGCTATCACATACCCTGTGGAAGGCTTCAATAACCTACTATCCCTTGGCCAGCGAATAGATGCATTCTCTCAAGACACCGTCAGCCGGCTCCGGAACACGAAACTGCTCGATTCAATTGCTGCAAAGTACCTTCCCAATGTGCCAAATATGTATCTGCAGAGCTCAGAGGTCACGAACCCAAACAGCGAGGACTGGAAGGAGAAGTACTTTGAGCTCATCTACCGCGATATGAACAGCCCATTAGTACCTGTAGATCACGGCGAGGACTCCATACTCAGCGACATCGAGACCTTCAAGCAGCGTCTGTCCGCATGCCTCACAGAGACATACGACGTAATCGACATCACCACCATGCACAAGATCCAAGTCCTTCTGTTCTGGCTCCTCTACACCCAGCCCATCAGCTGCACGCCCCAAACCCTCTTCACGCGCCTCACCCACAACGAGCACCTCGCCGCCGCCGTCCTCAACCCGGCCCTCACCGTCCCCGCCTCCGAACACCAGCACATCCTCCTCTCCATCTTCTCCCCCCGCAACGCCGAGCCCATCAACCCCGCCCACGCAGCACTCCACCACAACACACTCATCCCCTTCGCCACCCCCTTCGGCCCCTCCGTCCTCCGCTGCGGCGTCCCTGCCTGCGCACACCCCTTCTACGACCCCGCGACCCTGCGCCCGGACACTGTATCCCGCGCCGCCATCGAAGCAATCCGACTCGCCCGCTCAAAGCACCTCGTCGACGTCTTCGGTCTGCGCGGCCGCTTCGAGAACTCGGCTACGGGCCTGCCGGAGCGCACTGCCGCGGGGCAGCCGCCGACTTCGGTGCACAGTAACTTGCATATTAGTATTGTGCGGGAGTGGGCTGAGCGGTCGGTCGATGCGCGGCGGGCGGTTGTGGAGGGGGGCGATGCGCGCGCGGCGTTTGCTGTGGATGTGCGGCGGCGGGTGGCTGTGGAGGGCCGTGGGGATGTGTTTAAAGCGGCAATTGAGAGGGATGTGGAGGCGCTGCTTCCAGGGTTCTTTGAGGTGCTTGCTGTGGCGTTGAGAGAGGATGGTGGGAGTGCTGAGGATGTTGCGCTGTATGAGCATGGCGTTGAGAGAGTCAAGCTTCACGATAAAGTTGTCTGGGAGTTGAAGCAGGAAGCTGGCCGTGAAGTCCAGTCTTGAGCGGTTCTCTTCTTTCTCGACCAGTAGTCTTTCAATGCATCACTTTCGAAAACATGTGCAAGCAGTTGGAGTATGAACATTGTGTGTTTCTCTACGTATGTACTTGAATACCCAATGCGCCGCTGCCAACTACGCCATTGGCGTGTATCCAGATGCCAAATGAAATGAAAAGGCTTGTCATGAGTATCGCTCCAACTGGAGTCGAAAGATTAGGAAAATGCAAACACGCTTTCGTGTAACGCCGTCATATGCTGTGTAGCCTGTATCCGGTCCATGCAATAACAAAAGGAAATGTGCGATCTCGAATTAAGAATCTAGGTTCAGGCGCTGAAGGCCAGGAGCGCAACGGTTGTGGCGAGCATGGCCCATACAGCCGTGAAGGAGGTGGGAGAGTTGCGGGGACTGGCGTTACTCTTCCTCGCAGTGCTGCCGTCGCTCTTCAGAACCGCCGTGCTGCCAATCTGCCATCCGATGTTGGCTACAACGGCCTGTGAGTCGCGGACAGGGATGGTAGCCTTGCCAGAGCCGTCAAGGGTGACTGTGTGGAGAGTGTCATCGACGATGCTGGATTCGCCAGTGATGTCGGAGTAGGTCATGCCGTTCCAGGTGGCTCCAGTCTGGGAGTCAGCGCCGTCAGCGGTCAGGTAGGAGAGATAGACGATCTTGTTGCCGTTTGAGGAGCCAAAGTTTACGGTAAAGCTGAAACTGCCCTTGGCGGATTGCGACGCATTGGCTTGCTTGCCGTTGAGCATAATGACAGCCTGCAGGTTGCCATGAGCGTACATTGAATACGCACGAATACGGCCGTCGTACGTGGCGCCGACATTGCTAGTGCTCATGCTGGCAATTTGGGTTGTTCCGTTACCGTTGCCAACAATCTGGGCCATGGCGGCATGGGCATAGTACAGCGTTCGTACGAAGGGCGCACGTCCATACATGGTAATTGGCTGCCATGCACTGGCGTTGGAGTTGTCGGTCATGTGCATCTGTACAGAAGAAATATCGAGGGAGGCGGCGTAGAGCAAAAAGTTGAGGGTCCAGAGAGAAGCACCAAAGGCGTCAGACACGCCGGGCATGCCAATGGGTCCAATAGAGCTCATCTCACGGAGGACATAGGGCAGGCCGGTCTTGAGGCCAATCTTGACCTGCTTCTCCCAGTATGCGAACTGAGTGTTAGTTTGGTCGAATTGCATAAGATCGTTAAGCGTTATGGGTGTCGGTGTGACGCCAATGACTATCTGGAGTTAGCTTGCTGACCTGCACGTGGGCTACGACAAGTCGCAACTTACAATAGAAGTAGTCGTGCTGGTTCCAGACGGTTATGTAGTTGTCGCCGTTCCTGCCTTCCATCATGCCGTCATCGACCAGCTGTGAGATCTCGAAGGTGGTGCCGATGGTGGAGGCGGTCGCAGGAGACTCGAAGAAAGACGACGGCAGGCCCGCTGGCTCCAGCACACGGGTGTAGACGGCCTCGGCGCGGTCGAGGAACTGTGTTGTGTATTCCTTGCCACTCCAGGGCGCGGTACGGAAGGTGTTTTGCAGCCACAGGTCGGGCTCGTTGCCAACCTCGAACGAGTACAGCTTGACGTTGGTCATGCCAGACACAGCACCCTGGGCAGCAGCCACGATGCGGTCCTCCCAATCGTCCTCCATGTAGGCCAGGTTGAGGCCAAATGTGACGGGCGTGTCCTTGGGGAAGCGGTTCAATGCCTGGAAGTAGCCCGGCCCAATGATCATCGAGTCGGCGGCGATGTTGCCCTGCGCCGTGGAGCTGGGGTTGCTCTTCCACCCAATGTTTGTGTATTCTGCATCGTAGAGCATGTAATCTTGTGTGTTGCCGCCCAAGCGAATGTGCGGCGGCGCGCCCGAGTAGTCGGCGAGGTTCTGCAGCAGCTTCACAGAAAATGTGTTGGGTGTGTCGCCGCCGGTAAAGGAGAACAGGTTCGAGGGCTCGATGCCAAAGCCAGCAAACGAGGCATCGAGGTATTCCGAGGCGCCATCTGGGGCACTACTCGGAGGGGACAGCGACAGCGATTGTGCGAGGGCGCGGTGTGATAGCGAGAGCAGCGGCAGGAGGTGCCCCAGGCCGGCGGGTAACGAGGGCAGCATGGCGGCTGTGTGTTAGAATGTGCGCAAACAACTACCGTCGATAACAACTGCTGGACACAAAGCAAAAGGAAAGCAGGCACGGGAGCAAGCGACAGGACTGTTATGTTGGCAGCAAGCGGATGGAGGAAAGTCTAATAATGAAGCATGCAGGTAGGCTAGCAGGATCGCCTACCGCAAGTGACGCATGGCGCCTGCTTGGGCTGTTGCATGTTTGTTGAGCGGCCACTGCGGAAGACTTCGGCGGCTCCACCTCCCCGTGGACAACGTCATGACAGGCCGAGCGGTGCGCAGCGCCTTTTGCGACAGCCATTGACTGGAGCGCGCATGCTGAAACGCGTACTCTGGAGACGAGTGGGCTCTCGCTGTCGACAGGATCACCATGGGGGACTCGGCAACGCGTCAGCTCCAAGCGGCATCGTCAGATGGGCGCCAGCAAATAAAGACACTCCGAGCGTGCACGGGCTGCTAATTACGGTAATGCAGATCGTACATATTAAAGCTTGAATGAACTCACGCAGGGGCCCGATATTGGTGTCTGCTGCCTTGTCCTGCTCGAGACCCTTTGTTCTCAAATACTTGCCCTGCGAGACTGCTTTGACGACAGATAATGGAGATTTTCTTCCGGTGCAAACCCAGCGATGATGGAAGGCGCAGAGGCAAGCGCGTGCACGGCTCATCGTGGGATCGTGGAAGCTAGGGCAAACCGGCATCTATCGTTTTACCTGGGCCTGGCGAGAATAGTAGGCCTGAAAGCTTGAATCCTGTTCCAGCGACCCCGCCGGCACTGCTCCACTGGAAGACGGAGAAAAGGCTAGAAATGCCATTCAGAATCTGGGCAGCTAGCCAGCCTCTGGTGTTCTTATCAGCTCCTCCCCTGCCACCGAGCACCAGCCTCTACAGCCACATCACAACCTCCTCCAGCCTCCCGAGCTGTCGTCTCCAGCGCACTTCAGCACATAAAAGAGGAATGCTTGCCACCCCGTCCGCTAGATATGTGCCAAGCTTGAAAACTTGGTTGGTATACATCGGTCGCGGACCACTCGGAACGCATACCTGCTTACTACAACACCATGATCTCACTGACGGACAAAGCTCCTGCTGGCTCGTCCGTTAAGACAGGACCCTGCATATACCAGACTACAGACACCGTCACCAGCCCCTTGGATATGCTTTGTGTGACGTGAAGCTGGGTCTGCAGCTCAGCTAGGTATGCAATTGTCTATTGCATGACACAGCATAATGCCTTTGTCGTAGCGCAACCTTGACAGCCATGGAACGTGCAGCTGGCGATTGCCATCTCCAAATGTGGGAATCTGGAGCAACAAGCGTTACTGACGTCACCATGCACGAACATCAAAATCTGCGCAAAGTCTGGCTCGTTCCTGAGAGACACATCACGCAAGGCGAGAGACAACGTGTTGCAACTTACCCACTGATCAACAGGAGCCGAGCGGCAGCATCGCTACACCGTTTATTTCGGGCCTTCCATCATTTTGAGTTCAGCCGCACATTCCCGTGGCTTGGCTGAGGCTCACTAGCCTCGATGTCTCGAGATTTTCGATATTGGCCAAGACGAACCTTGCATGGCAGCAAAATCCGTGGAAGATCTGTAAGTATAAGCTGGGTGTTTGCTTATGAAGTAGTTTTCGACTGCCATTCGTATCTGTGGCTGCGACCAGGACACGAACAGACACAACACCAATGATGTGGGTGCACTGTAGCAAATTACTCCTGAAACGCCAGGTGTGAATCCTCTTTTAGACCACGGTGAAACGATCTAGAGAAGCATCCCAATACAGACATCTACTGTTTCGAACAAGAAGCGATTAACCGACGTTGAACTGCAGCCAAGTGGTACCGGCCTTCATTCCGAGGAGTTATTGAGAGTCGTCCTGGAACCTGATCTTCATGTTGTACAGCGATACCCGATATCCGAGACGCGTCGTCGTTGAACGCGCGTTGCTCAGACGATGATTACCTCTGCTATGTATCTGACAGAGCTCTGATTGGGTACTGTGTAACTGCTGCTTCTCGCGGTCGGCTTACTCTTCCTGCGCATGCTGGCCTAATTCGCTTACCAACAGATCGGAGGAACGTCTGCGAAGTCCTCGATACTAGAATATTGCCAACATCATAACAACATCACGCACGAAAGTGGAAGTGGACATAACCATTACTTACGTTGACGCTGGAGGACTCTATTCCAGGATGTCGGCGATTGCAGAAGCATGAGCATCGTTGCTAATGAGCACAGATATTGCTCAGCTGTATTACCCATCTCACCTCGGGCAGACTGGACGCATATATGAATCCCAGCGCAGGCCGTATGAAAGTAGCGTGATCGAGGGGCAAAGACATACGCCACAGCCTCAGCTGCCAAATTTGCACGGTCATGGTTCGCTGGTAGCATGTACTTAGAATCATTATCTGGGCGCATTTAGTGTTAATCTAAATGATGATCTTCCTAATCTATGGCCGCTCGAGCCGTCCACACATTCATTCGTTCAGTTCGCAACAGTGTCCCATCAGTCCGCCAAACACAAGTCAAAAGTCAAGGACACCCACGACGGCTACTCGCGTGAGTGTGCATCTTAGAGGGCTCATTGAAGGAGGGGAACATTCTTCTATTATCAACTCCCACTGATTGCGTTAAAGGCACACTGGTGAGTAAGGGATCTATCTCTTGTATTGCCAAAGTATGACAGGGTTTGCAGCACGTCGCTCGTTGCAGATATCTTTCAAAGAGCTTTTCGGCGCAAATTATATAACGTATGCAGGTATGTACCCAAGTATGAAACTATAGTGATTCCTACTTGAAGAGAAAGATACTAGACTGGCCAAGACTATCATGACTATACTGCACGTGTTAGTGGTCGGTAGCATCCACGTAACATCCTTCTTACGGTATAATGCACCGCTGAGTATGCACTCGGGGTGTAGGAGAAACAGGCCTCGGGACAACGTTTGTGCATGTAGAAATGCAGAGCTTGATAGACAGTACCGGGCCAGACCAGACCGTGCCTGGAGAACTAAATGCCCTTTCTCCACACCACAGACACTGCTTGGATGGTGTTCAATACAGTAGGCCATTGGGGTAGAGAGGAATTGCATGCTTTCATGCGTCTATCGTAGTTCAAGTGGCCAACTCTTCACATTGGAGAGGGCCGCAGTGCTTGGTGGTATGGTAGAATAGATCATCAGTGCGGATCGCAACAGCCACAGAACGTACTATGTCTATGCAGTGGTACCCTGTGGATAGAGGTATAGTGAACCCTTAAAGACAAGTGAAAGCAACCACGCGCCTCACAGTCACCCCCCAAACTCGCAACAAAACGAGTACAACACCAGCTCGCAGCTCTCAACACCTGATACTCCCAAGCCCAAATAATCTTTCTGTATCTTCCGCTCAAGTTCCTGTATTCTCATCCAATCCAAAGAGGCTGGGATGCCCTCCTGGCGATCCCCGGGCCCTCTCACTTCAGAAAGTGTCGCTGGTTTGAGTCGTGATGAGATCTGTTGGTTGCCAGCGGGTTTTCAGACATCTCCACGTCTATGGCATAGCGTCCCACCGGGGATGCTGATTAAGAACGACCAAAGGCAGGGAGTGCTTCTTTTTGTCGTTCGGTACTTTTGAGCTGCTAGGTTTGCCGTAGTCAGATGCTATGATAATGTGTCGGAAGCTGTACACAACAGTTTATGATCAAGTGTCGGCGCTTGCAACTCGTTTTCAGTAGCTTGCAGGGAGAATTAGGTTGACTTTGATACTTTTAGATGACAGTTCTCTGGTTAGGTACTTCCATTACCTTTTCAATCTGCTCGTCTATGAGGTAGCTCAGACTGTATGTAGTCGAAAGCTCGGTATTCAATTCGCGATACCTCCATTTGTCGCCGACCTCACTGACGCGCTGCGTGTTTACAAGACTGTGACTCTTGAAAACTGAGCGTGTTACCTGTATTTAACAGTACACAGATCTCCCATGTGGCCCAAAGATATCACACAGACAAGAAACTTGTGGATTTGGGATACTTGTTTTGTCACGTAGGCTCGCGCCTGCCTCGACTTTCCTGCATTACAGATATTTCACAAGCAATCTAGCTGATTGCTGTTGATTTGATTGTATTTAACGATACGCAGAAGTAATGGGTTCTCTCTTGCTTTGAGGTCCCTTGATCAGCTAACCTTGATCAGGACGCGTGAAGGAAGTATGAAGACACAGGTTCCATACCAAGATGCTGGATACTTCTATGGGTCACATTTTGCGTAGTCAGTCCTAGTTGGTCAGCTGACGGCATCGAGTGCCGGTACATTGTATCCATTATAGGTAGTGACTCTTTCCACACGATTTGTGATTGGATTACCGTGCTGTTAGATGATAAATCACCGACTTACGAGCTAAATGAGAGTAACATTAACGGAATTTCCGCAGAACGTCCGTTGTAAGACGAAGCCATTAGTGCCGTGCTATTTCAGCTACTTCCATGATTTCGAATCTATTCGTATAGCTTAAGTTTATGCAGATCTAAGCTTGATGACACATGGTTCCCGACCTGGTTGTTTCGATATGATCTTTCGGATACCTAATGATTAGTCTTCGAGGCTAGCCATTACAAAGCGTCTTCTGAGCAAATGTCCAATGCAACATCAGTTGCAAGCTCGATAACACATAACGCAAATCAAGATTGGAGATTATCGGTCATCGGCCAGCAACAGAGCAACACACAATCGTGGGTCGAGTAGATGAGTTATATCCTGACACCAAACGAATCTGGCATCTGACATTCCCTCGGTATCACCTTCCGCCCGCTCGAGCCAGCCTCATATTACTTGCAACACCGTGGTCATATTCGAGACGAACCACACCGAGTGTGAGAGATGAGACGTTGACAGAAAGCTTGCTCAGGCTTGTTTAGAGTTTTATGTAAATCCGCTGTGCAAATCCGCAAAGTTAGGTAAATCCGCGTTTCAGGAGGATCGTGGGGTGCGTTGCTAGGCGGGTGCTCAGACGACTGGAGTGCCGTGTCTGTGGGTTATCTCCGGTGCATGAACAACAGTAGTGTCAGAGTGTCGTGGTAGCGGAAGGGAAGACGGACCGATCAGTCGTGAAGGGACTTTGGCACATGGATGCCTAGATAGGTAGCACTGTGATAATCACGACTCCACAAGAGCAAGGATACGATGATGTGATGATAAGGTATTATATTATTGAAATAGTAGAGGTGAATGGGTATCTGCAAAAACTTTTTCTCTGCCAAGCACCAACGTGCCTCCCTTCCTCTTCTGTCCCCGTCTTCGTAATCAGGCCGGACCTTCCATGGTTGGTAGAGATCCCCCCTCATCGTGATCCTTTGTGACCCCGCACCTCGACTCGTCGATAACGTGCTTTCACGGGCTAATGTTGATAGTGTCCGTTTGCGACACCCACTCATTCTTGGAACTCCGTTGTTTTGGTAGATGGCGTCGAGTGATGTCAGCCTCAAAGGACTACACCTCAGCTCTCGTCTCCGGGCTGCTAGCGTTGTCCCAGTACTCCGGCGCCTTGTACAACCACCGTTGGTGGTATTTAGTTTTCGGTTTGTGGATTTAGTTGCGTGACCCCGCAATGGGATCGTGCTCATTCTGTCTCTTCGACGGAGGAGGCAGACGAGATGCTGGCGGAGCGTGTAGAGTCCCGGAGGCGGGAGGGACCATCCTCCATAGTCTCGTTTGATGCCTGGGAGACTGGGGAGGAGAAGGTGATGATGTTCTCAGCCTCGATGTCCTCAACGGGGACACGGAGCATCTGACGGCCGACAAGGTTGGGGATGTAGACGTATTGGGTTGCTGGAGAAGACATGATGTACATTCGATATGGAGTTGGTTGATGTGAGGTGATAGTGTATGGAGATACAGTCAATGTGTAGTATTGATTGAATTGGGTTATCCGTGATAGTTACTGAACATTTTCAGGTGGGGAACAGCCTCATACATATACTCACACTCTAGGCCTCACAATCCCATTTCCTATCCATGCACGATCGCAAACGCCTATCCCCCTACCGCTCCCAAGAAAGCCAAAACCCTAACCCCATCGCACCAACACAAGCTAAGCCCAATGCAAGATTAATCCCTGTTTCCCTGCCCAATGGGGCTACGCAGCCATGACCATAGGCTGACTTCGCTATCTCCGCCGGCTGAGCCGCCATGCTGATTCGCGCTCCGTGCGCACAACGCGTGGCGATTACTCAGGCCAGCTCCGTCCTATCCGATCGTCGCGCGCGGCGATAACTTGTGCAGGCTTGTTTGACGCGCCTGATGTGACGAGATGCGGGGCCGCCATTCGCCAACCACAGGCATCCAGTGCAAATTTACCCTGGCAGCGGAGCGGCCAAGCGCTCGCCTACCCAACAACGAGACCGAATGCGTGGCCAAGAAGGGCAAGTGTGTGTGAAGAGCGGAGTCTAGACCCCACCGCCATTACCGATGGTGGGCTGTTGAGCATACGTGACGCACCCTGCTGTCTTGCCTGAGCAGTTCTGCGCGTCGGACGTTGCAAAGTCCCGATTCCCCCGTTATGTTTCGTGCTTATTTATTTATACCTTCGTCCGCGTACACTATTGATTTCGGATATAACTTCGCACCGAGTGAGTCACCGGGTCACGACATGGTCAGTGTATAGGGCACGAGGTGTTGATTACACAAGAGCCCAACTGTAAACGTGGACCGTGATTACAATCGACGTTCGCAGCAGCGCGGTCCGAAAGGCGGGTTCACGATGACGAGACCGCGGGGCTGGCACAACGTTCGTTTCTGGGCATCTCTGGGCACCCCGAAAGAGCGCCCGAAGGTTCTAGCACATTGCCGTATCAGCGTCCATCGTCCGGGCTATCAAACGTCAGAGCTGTGCATTGCATTGTGAAATGCGTTCATTGCCTTCATTACGCACAAATTGCGAGGTCTAGATGTGCGCAGGTTGAAGTGGCCAGAATCGCACAAACAGCAGCATAACAAAATCCGGGGAAACTCGAAAGCCACATCAAGCCGAGTAACAAAGGTTGATCGGGACATCAACCGTAGTACGGAAATAAAGTTCGAATGTGTATCAGGTCCGGCCGTGTTCAGCGCCTAATCTTGGAAGTCAATTCCCATTCGACCCGTCCGACGCCTCGTTACCTAAACACCAAGCGATAGCGCAGCTAATGGCGGAAACCCTTGGCCTGAGCATTCCGCCCGCTCAGAGCCAGAGCATCACGAGACCCTGCGGTGGAACGTCCAAGCCCTTAATCCGGGAAGTCCAAGATTATGCACATTTGGTCCAAGAAGCGCCAATGCACCCGAGGATCGCGGCAGTGACAGTTGGGTTCGGCAGCCTCAACACCATGCCTCGGTCAGCTCCGTCTATCGTAGCTCTTGCAGTACATCATCGGCACGTGGTACGCATTGAGCTATTTTGAAAGGCATGTCTAAGTTTACGCATATGAGACACTGCTGTACACCACCCAGTAACGATCGAATGTTAGTCTGCGCGAATTTCTTCAAAGTTTGTCTCGTCCAATCCGACAGAGCAAAGTGTTCGCCCTTGAACACCGCTTCGCAGCACTGCACGCCATGCTGGCACCGTGTATCTGTCCGACGTTTCAATGTGGTCTCATTGCGTTCTATGAAAATACGTGCTCAGCGTAAGTCGTCCGGAACGACGATCCTCCTTGCTTCAGGATTATGCCTGTTACTCTGCCAGCCCCAGCCTATTCGCTCCATGGTCTTATCTTCATCTTTGCCGGGCCACATGATTTCTCCACGATACAAAGCACGAACGCAAAAGAACGCGGTGACGAACCACATGATGACCAGTAAGATCGTCAGCGCACTAGCAATACCGTTCAACGCCTCGCTGTTCAGAACTTTGCCAGCTTGGATAGTCGCCAGCGTCAGTCCGGCATTTGGGAAGATGAAAGCCCACCAGTTCAAAGAGAAGGTCATTCTTCGCACACCAGCTAGCACCGCAACGGTGGTGATGAAGAAAAACCAATACGCAAAGAGGATCACAAAGAGCCCGGACATGATACCGAAGATGCGCACTATGTCACCGTCTCGCGACGCGCTTTCGGTCCAGTAGTTCGCGCCGATGAAGGTAGGTGCCTGGTTGGCTAGCGAGATCAGTCCTGCAGCAGTGTAGCCTGTAGAGTGTCAACACGTCTCGAACCTTCCTGCAGATCGACGATTACCTACCTGCCGGACCCACCGACACGTACATTCCAGGTCGTGTCGCTGGCGATGGCAAGTTGCCTGTCATCAATCGCTGCATGTATATAGCATACATCAGAAACGATACCACCCAAGCAACCCCTTGCAGCAGCACTCCGCCAATGAAGATGTTCCAACTAGGACCGGTTGGTTGAGCAGGCAGTATAGTTCCCGCCAGTGTTCCGACGACAAGTAGCGGATATATTGGAAAGATCCAGGCGGGTACAGCGTCTGTGACGTTGAGACGCTCAAAACGAAAAAACATGGAGTACTGGAAGACGCCAATGATGAATGCGATGCCGCAGTATACCCAGAAGCATACCTCGAGTGCCTTTGGAAACCACGGTCCGGTGTCGGCGTTACCGTAGATGTAGGCACAGTTAAGTATCAGGGCAACCGACACCCAGTAGGTGCCGTGGAACAGTCCTTCAACGGGATGATGTAGGGACGCAGCAAGCTTCCGAGGGACGAGAATGAAGCGCGTGATCATTAGGCCGTTGAACAAAAGGAAAAGCACAAGGTCGAATAGAAAGACCACTTTGCCTATGGTCTGTAATCCGGTAAATGTATTAGGTGTATTGCCTAATACGACAGCCAGAGCCCCCGTGGACATTGTTGTTGCAAACCATGGCCTAACTGTTGTCAACAGGAGCTACTAACAACCTCGAAAGGCCCGACGTACCATGTAAAATGTGTTATGCGGTCACGCAGACCGACAAACTGAGGCGGTCTATCCTTCTCCTCCAACGCTCCCTCCCCTCCATAGTCGATGTGCGTCTTCTCGCGGAACCGCATATTTTGGAGTCGGCGACAAATATCAACAGAGAAGGCTCTCACGCGATGCAAAACAGTCCCAAAGAAACGTTAAATGCTTTCCTGGATATCAAGACCGCTTTCGTCATCCCGCAGCGCGATGTGCACGCGTCGAGGCCTAGGCGGGCTAACCCGTAGCCGACTTCCGGCCAGAAGTTTCGAAGCGCGTTGTTGAAGTCTAACACTCGCCAGGCTAAGAACCACAAGCACCCGGCTCAAACATAGCACGACGCCTCTCCACGGCGTCAAGATCGGTGACGTAGCACGCAAGCGTTCACCCCCTCGCGACAGGGCAAATTTCGAGTGCTTTGGCAGCTGCTGGGATCTTGCAGGGTGGAGTTGCGGTGCATCCCCAGATCGCTGGCTGGTGCTTGCCGACTGGGATTTTGGTGCCATGACGTCAGTTGTCTCAGGAGGATCGATGCTCTGATCGGATGCTCGCTAGCAGCGGCTGTGGGCAGAATATTGCGAGAGGATTCAAATTTGTTTATCTCATATTTTTTTAGATCACTACGTGACCAGAAAAGTCTGGTGACTCACAATATGACGATAAGGGGAGTCGCGGCCAAGGTGACGGTGCAGTGCTTCACGTCTTCATCAACGACAACGATGAAGCACGATAGTGGAAAAGGGTATCTTATGATCTATCAGCCTTAAGGCGTGAAACTACTTTTGCTTGCTCTTTGCCTTGACGCGCGCAGCCAGCTTCTTGATATCTATATCGCCGCCGTCATCCACCTTCTTTGACTTCTTGGGCTGCCTAGTTTGCTCAGGCTCATCTCCCTCTCTTCCTTGCTTCCTCTTTTTGCGACCCTCCTCTAGCAGAGCCTTCATACCAGAGGTCTCCCTGAATTTGGGATTTGTGGGATCAATAGCAAACTCATGGCTCTCGTACAGCTTCGCAAAACGAGGATCGGCAGTATTGATCTTGAAGTTGTCCTCGACGATGGGAGCATTCTTCTTGCCTTTCTTGCCCTTCTTCTTGGCCTTTTCAGCCTTTTCGATCTCGTTCATGTTGAAGTGGCGTATCTGATTGTCTTCGTCATCAGCCATGAGTAGCTCGAGCTTGGCTCGTTCGGCTGCGGTCGCGGCTTCTTCTGCCTCCTTCTCCTCGCGCTTCTTTGCTCGCTTTAATCTGTTGTCTGCCTTCCTCTCTGCCTTCTCAACATCTTCACCATCAGACCCGAAGAACGGATCGTTGAAAGGATCGTCGCCTTCTGCGCCGGCTGTGGTGACTTCCGCAACTTCAGCATCAGGATCACGGCCCTCTCTCTTGGCCTTCATCCTCTCCTTGCGCTTGGCCTTCCTCTCTTTCTCCTTGCGGATGTGTTTCTCCAAGGTCGTTTCGTTCAATGGAATCTCGTTCTCGAAGACAGAGCCACCCTTGCCCTCGCCGAGCAAGCCCCCAGAGAATGTGATCTGCATCTCTCCGTCAGGCTTAGGGAAGTCGCGATCCCGTTTAGAAGACGATGTATCCTTCGACTTTGACTTCTTATTGGGCGCCTCTAGGCCGAGAGCGGCGCGTAGGCTGGCAGCTTTGTCTGTTTTGGCCGCCTGCTCCTCATCCTCAGAAGACTCTGAGTCGGTGCCGAGGTACGCCTTGAGCTCGTTCTCATCAATCTCTTTTCTTGAGAACGCACGCTTCTGCACTTCCTTCCGTGTTGTGTCTTCGGCGTCCCAAGTCAACTTTACTTTCGAGTGTGTCAAGGCATCTGTGGTGAATTCGTTGGGTTTGTAGCCGTCCGGAAGCTTTGTGCATTCGTCGCTGGGTTCTTGGTCGAATTCAGTGCCATCGGGAACGAAACGAAGATCGAAAAAGTTGGCGCTTGTCAGATACTCTCGCCCGTCTAGATCGTCGTAGATGGCCTTGGCTACGTTTGCAGAAGAGCAGGTGATGACCGCGTAGTAGTAGCGCAAACGATCGAGCTGGTAGCTCCGAAGTTTAGTCGAGTCAAACTCCTCACCGTTCTCGCCTTGCTGCAGATCCTCCTTTTCTTCTGCCTTGTCTTCGGCATCCGATGCGTCTGAGTCGTCGTCCAGTGTAGGAATACTCTCTTCAGCCTTGTTCGCGGTAGATGCAAATATTTCTCGAGGGGGCCCTTCGATCTCTTCGCGCTGCATGCGCTCCATGCCAAACTCGCTCGGATAGATGAGCACGTTCAGAATGCGCCCGTCTGCGGGCACAAACGAGTTTGCGACAGCCATAATGTCGCTCGCGCGAATGTTGTCCCAATCCATATTGACTGCTGCTAGCCGTGATGAGATGTCTCCGGTGGGCACCTCGTTGTCATCACCGGCTAGTTCCACCTGTTCCTCAACCTCCTCCTCTTCCTCGTCACTAGAGCTTTCGTCCGAAGACGATTCGAGTCCACCGTCGCGGATTGGGTCAAATCCTTCTTTTTGCACCCTCTCGAGCTCCTTCAGAACCGATTTGTCGCGGATCCCCGCCTGGAGATCCTCAGGCTCCTCGTCGCTCTCGTCGTCGTATTGCTTCTCGAGCGCCTTCTTGCCGGCATTCTTGGAGATCTTGCGGCCATATTTGTCCACAGTCGCCTTGTTGTAGAAGTCTGGATCGCTCCGTAGCCGTGAGAATCGAGGATCGAGTTTGGTCTTGGTGTGTTTCTTTGAGGGTAGCGTGAAGCGAGCATCACTCTCGAAGTTGGCAAAACGAGAGTCTGCAGAGCCGGTTGTTGAAGACTTTGCAGGCTTGTCTGATTTTGCGCTCTTCGCAGGGATCGCCTGACGCTTAGGGAGCGGCATTGCGATCGTTGAGTGATACGGGCAACGATGTTTTAGTGATATTCGTCCGTTTGGTAGCAGAGGCTGCTGGACAAAAAGTTGATTTCCTGCCCACTAGCTTCCGCTGTTGACGGGCGGTGGCGAGCGGAGCTGCAGCGACGTTGATTGGTTAGCTTGAAGCAAGGGTCGACCGAAGCCTGGATCGTTTGCGGGGGTGCGTAACCGAGAACAGATGCTCTCATCATGGACACGCGACAGCTCCTGGGAGGCAACGACTCTCTCTACAGCTCTTAAACCTTCGAGTGGCTACATAGAGCGTCTCATAACGTACCAATCTATCACATAGAGTCATCACGTCGCATCAATGGCTTACTCAAGGATTCTCACGTAGGTCTTCGCTACTTCTGGAGCTTTTATCCGTTTTAGGAAGACTAACTTGTCTCTTGCAGTCCACGCACTTTCATATTCATCACAGCTATGTCGCTTGGTACCGGTTACTTGATGGTCAAGTCAAGATCTCTGGCGGAACAGCAGAGGGAAAGAGTTGCTGGTGATTACAGTGTGACAGTAGATAGGTCGGGTACGTGCTGCAGAAGCATTGTTGGCCAAAGTCGTAATCAACAGAAGTGCTAACTCATACACCAGGCGGCGGCATTTGATTCACAGGCCATATCACAACTTACGAATACGTCGTATTGACTGGGTGAACGAGTTTCACTTTGAAGATCAGTTGCTCTCGTAGCTTTGGCGTTACATCGTCGCAACGCATACAGGGAAGATTCCCAAACTCCTAGCAAATCGTTTCAGCAGCGTCATACGATCAAATACTTCCAAAGGAACTCTCGTAACTCGAAATGATAATATCTAAACCTGGTGTGGCTTACTCACTCCAGCTAGCCGCAGCGGTGCAGGGGCCTCTCTGAGGTCGCTAAAAATAGACGACTGATCCACTACCAGCGAGCCTCTACCACCTCCAGCCACAAGCCCTGTGACTACGGAAGCGTCGGTATCGCTTGCTCTCGACGTAGCAGCGCAGCTCTATAGTATATTTTGCGACTAAACCGCCACGCACCCAGCAGGCGACCATGCTTCCTATGTCTAGCGTCGACACCGCGCACAGGTCAGCTGTAATCCACTTCAGCTCAGACCAACTGTCAGAGCCTCAGTGTACGGATGTTACTGTGCCGCTAAGCCTCGCAGCATGCGGCGCGTGCTTATAGTAGGACGACTCGCAGACTTCGCGCAGACTTCACTTCCGGAAACGACGTTTCCGTGCGTGTTGTAGTCATTGCCAACCCGCAATAAATTTACCTCGATTCTATCAGTACTTAGTTATACAGTCCGTGGTCGGCCTCCCAAAGCGTTCTTGTCACTCACAATGCTCTGGGCGTCCTCTGCTTACTGCCTGATTAACAATAGAATTTGACAAAACTGCCACCATGGCGAGGTCTGCTAGCTACTACGATGTGGACGACTTCAACAAATACAAAAGAACACAAGGAAAATGCCTACCACCACGAGCCAATGTCTTAGCGGCTGCGAGTCACATCCAGGCACTCTTCGATGCTAAAAAGCTCACGTATGGCTTTATTGGCGGGTTGTCGATGATGTGTCTGGGATATAAACGTGAGATGCCTGACCTCCATGTCGCTTACGATGACAAAGACTTCGCGCGGCTCAAAGCCAAATTAGAATCTGACAGTCGGTATGACCACCTCACTTGCGTTCATGTATGCATGCTGACGTTCTAGAATTGCACTACAAAGAGGCATGAATCCGCTCTTGCCATTTAAGATTCTTATTTGGACAGGCCCTAAGTACAAAGATCGGGGCTGTACAGTCCCTGCAAGTATTGAACTAGATCTCATCCCATCAGGTTAGCCATTTGATACAAGACCCTCAGACCATCGCTGATAGTTTAAGGATCCTACGGTACTCCAGCAGCGGGCAGCTTGGCCCAGAACCTTGTTCTGATTAGCTTGCAAACAGCCAGTGGCAACCGAGTGACGTTCAAAAGCCTGAACATACAGTATCTCTTATCTACACTGCTATCTTATTGCAAAGCGCGCGACCTCTTATGGGATCCCAAAAGAGATATATTGTACCTCTGTAGGAACGAAGCTGAGGAGATACAACGCATCCGCGCCCGAGTCAACGAGAGAGAAGTCAAGGAACTCTTTCTCGGCACCTCCTTCTTCTCTCGACTAAAATTAGAGGACCAACGCTTATGTTACAAAGTACTACTTGCAACAGTACCTCCGCCGACTATGGCAGTCACGCCACCAGCTCCGCAACGAATTGTACAACCGCAACGCAACCCAGAAGTCGCCGAACGAGATACTGATACAAGGCCACCACGTTCGCGATACCGACAAGTCAACGGACAAAGGAGCAGCAGCGGTGGCATCGTAGATCATTGGGTTACAAAAGACACGCGACCACAATCGATGGACTACATACAGGATCCAGGACGCTTGTCTTACATCCAAGGCCTCCAATGTGTAAATTCCGCGAAGCCGCAACCAGTCTCGGCTGAGGCTGCAGCGAAAGAAGCACGGAAGTCCATGCCAAATCTGATGGCCATTCGCAACCCATCACATGCTATGCGTGCAAGTCCAAAGGCTGGCCCCGAATATAGCCAGACATACTCAGGCGGCGCACACGCAGCTCATGCAAGCTCAACTTTTGGCTATGGAGGCGCTTTCCAGCCTGCCTACATGAGAACCAAAGAAGAACCTAGAAGCCACGATCGAGGTTTCAAACTGGATGATAGGTCGACGACAGATAGCGTACACACTACCCAAACCAATTCGACGGGAGCAGCTGTGAGTGGGTTACAGTCCCAACAAGGAAGCCTCCACGCTGTGACTCCCGATGAGCAAACCGCCCGTCAGCAGTACTTCGAGGACACGAGTGCGCCGCGGCTGCAGGTAGTCGGCTCAGAGGGGGTATATGGTGCTCCTGAGAGGGCTCGAGATGCCATGCAAGCGCATCAGAGGAACCACTCGGCCCCGGCTCCCCGGGTACAGCCAAGCTCCATCGTCGAGCTTGATTCAACGGTGTCATCGAATACTATATTTGTCGCCAAACCCCCCGCCCGACCCATGATGGCAGAGCAACACGCTGCCCGAGATGGCGAAGCCTCAAATCAACACGAGTACGATGTTCGGTCAGCCCTGCACACTTCGCCTGCGCTTCCTGAACGTGGCTCGCTTCCAGCCAGCCTCGTAGCTGGGCGACCAGGAATGCACGCCCATCGTTCCTCCCCCAACCACACCGGGCACTCAGACGGCCCGACACCCACTTTCTCCACGCGCCACACAAACGCTTACCGGTACTCTTCCTATGCCCCCTCATCGACAGAGGTTTTCGAAGCTTTCCAGAACCAAGGCGTTGCACCCATATACAAACCATACCGGCCGTTTGTAGCCACAGATAAGCTCAACAGAACCGACTCCCTGAGTTCTGTGTACAGCCCTGTGCACAAGCGCAACGCTTCTGATATTCCAAACGCGAAGCATGACTCCATCACGTTAACGTTGGCGAAGGAGTACCAGGACCTGATCGGCGTACAAAGGGGGTATATGAGTGACTAAATGCTTTGCAAGGTTTCCATGGTGGACCGGTACAAGATAAGTTTACCTGTAGGAAACGAACGGTCAAAGCTACAGATAGGAAGAGGCGGATAACCCGGAATTGAGGATGAAGGGACATTGGCCGTCTACGATGCGCTGCACGCTGTTGAGCGCTGCATGCAAGGCGACTACCGCTTTTGGAAATGTGCACACGATGCTCGCACTTACCAATCAACACCAAGCTGGGTTGTTACGTGCCTTAGTGGCTCGTGCTCATCCTGAGTACTTCGGAAAACCCCCACCTCGATAGCTCGGTAGAACTACACATGGTTTATCCACTCCACCACACGCCCGAGTATTTGTCCGTCGTGCCCTCGTCAACCCCGGAATTCGACAGTAGCCGCTCACCGTCTACTGGCCCCACAAGTTGTGCTTCTTGTTGCTTACTCGGCTTTGGATTACAGTACTCCCATAAGTGACCGATCGATGTATATCATGCGTGGGACATGCGACTTTGGCAGGTTACCTGAAGGAGTGTGACATCTAGAATCACTGGCAGGAAACGGTACTCCTAGAACGGCAGCAAGACAAGAGAGAAACTGTAGCAGATCAGAAGGAGTAGGACAGAAGCATGCGACAGCTCTTTCTGCAATTACTTCTTACTCTTTTCTTTCTCCTCTATTTTCTACCTTTTACGCGTCGCACATATTCGATACCGCATGTCCCCATCTTGGGTATTATGCCCGCTTGCTATAGTACCCCAAACTTACGCCTCTGGTAAGTCCTGGGTCCTAGTGTCCGGCTTCCGGGTACTCCGAGTCCGAGTCTGGGACATGGTACATCAACTCCACTACGACCCACACGCGTCAATTTACAACAGCTTCCTGGGGCTACAGATTTCGACGATCTATTCCACATCATGAGCAATCGAAGCGAAGAAGAGCCGGGTGCGTATAAAGAGGAGTGGGCGTCGCCGTAGCATCTATCATCATCCGCGAGCTTCTCGAATCGACAGCACCAACAACCCCAACCCTCTGAACAGCCACAATGTCTTTGCCTTTCGGCGATCTCCCAGTAGCAAAGTCGCTGCTCGACTTCCAGCGCGTGCTCTCACCCACTGCTGGTGTGCGTGTTTCGCCGCTGTGCCTGGGAGCCGGGAACTTTGGCGATGCGTGGAGCGAGGCGTTCGGCGTGTGCGACAAGAAGACGTCGTTTGAGATTCTGGACTATTTCTACGACCAGGGCGGCAACTTCATCGACACGTGGGTAGCAGCACAGCTGGTGGCGGGTGGTTGCTGACCAAGCCCCAGGGCCAACCTCTATCAAGACGAGCAGTCGGAGACGTGGATTGGCGAGTGGATGCAGAAGCGCGGCCGCCGTGATGAGATGGTGATTGCTACAAAGTTCTCATCATTGTACCCGGCCCCCAAGACCAGGCCGCGCATGGCGGCCAACTTTGCGGGTAACTCGACCAAGTCTCTCCATCTCTCGCTCGAGGCATCCCTCAAGAAGCTGCAGACCGACTACGTGGACTTGCTCTACATCCACTGGTGGGACTTTACCACGGGCATCCCCGAGCTGATGCAATCGCTCAACCACATGGTGCAGAGAGGCAAGGTGCTGTACCTCGGCGTCAGCGACACACCTGCATACATTGTCAGCAAGGCCAATCAATGTGAGTCGCGGAAGCGGACTGATCCCGTCTCCCTGCTAACAGCCACGCAGACGCGCGCGACCACGGCCTGCGCCCCTTCTCCGTCTACCAAGGGCGCTGGTCAGCGTCAGAGCGCGACTTCGAGCGCGAAATCATCCCCATGGCGCGCGAGGAAGGCATGGCCCTGGTGCCCTGGGGCGTGCTGGGCAGCGGCAGCTTCACCATCAAGGCGAAGCGCGAGAACAACGAGCGGGGCCGCGTCGCCTTGATGCCCCAGCTCGACAGGGCCGCCAAGGTCGCGGAGAAGCTCGAGGCGGTGGCCAAGCGCAGGGACACGCTGATCACGTCCATTGCGCTGGCGTACGTCAGGTAAGCAGTCTTCCGTCGCGCTGGAGTCCAGACGCTAACGTCCACCAGGACCAAGTACCCTTACGTGATCCCGATTGTCGGGGGCCGCAAGGTCGAGCACCTGAAGGGCAATATAGAGGCGCTGAGCATCGACCTGAGCGCCGAGGAGGTTCTGGAGATTGAGTCGGCGGTCGAGTTTGATGTCGGGTTCCCGCTGAGCATGATCTTCGCGCTTGAGGGAGGAGTGGTCAGCTCAAATAGCACGAGCGCGGATGTTACAACTCTGAGTTGGGCGGGCAACCTCGAGGCGCCGCAGCATCAGCAGCCGATCAAGCCGCATGGACTGCAGGGCTATGGGAGGAACCCGTAGAGGTTGTTGATACAACGACATGGGAACGGTGGTATAGACGTAAGGATGAACAATAGAGTCTTTATTTTTTCTGTCTTGTTGGTGTTGATGCTATTCCCACTGCGTCCCCTTGAGGCGCTGCATCAGATACTCGACCTCGACCTCCTTGGTCAGCGGGATGACCCAGTCCTTGTACATGGCCACGACAGCGTCCGCATTGACCTTGCTCACGCCATCCGCAGCCAGGTCCGGATCGGTGCCATACGTCTTGGCCTTGAGCCTCAGGCGCTCCAGCACCTTCTGCTCGACAGCGGCATTCGTAATCGCCTCGTCTATCCCCTTCCTGTCCCCCGCCTTGATCAGGGCGGCAAAGCGCTCCGGCTCCTTGACGAACTTGGCCTCGGCGACAAACTTGCCGAAGTGGATGCGCCGCGACAGGGCCTGCAGACACAGCACATCGCACGTCCCCGCGCTGCCGTAGTTCTCCTGGCTCTCGCCGCGGTCGCCCTCGAGCTTCTGCAGACACGCGGCGGGCAGGATGTGCTCGGCGTAGCAGGCCTTGAGCTGGGCGTTGACGTTGACGTCGTTGGCGTGCAGGATCTTGGGGTAGTGCAGCGGCTTGAGAATCGGCTCCTGCAGCACGTCTGGGAAGAAGGGGTATTCGTCGGGCGACTGGTAGCGCCGCACGAGCGACTGCAGGCGCTCCTGCTCGCGCAGCATCCAGTCCAGGAACGAGAGGTGCGGGGCGCCGATGTCGACGCCGCCCGGGATGTAGATGGTCTTGTTGAGCGGGAACTGCACGCGCTCGATCAGGTGGAAGGTGATGGTGTCCTCGAGGCGGCTGGCTGGGTCAGTGGGAGTGCGGCGCGGGCGGGGGTGGGGGGGGTACATGAGCTGGAAGCGGATGTTGGCGAGGTCGAGGGCCTTGGAGGCGTCGGAGAGGTCAATGGCGGTGTCCATGGCGGGGGGCGGTGCGCGCGTCTGCAGGGAGCAAGCACGGCAGACAGACTCGACCGCAGACGCGGAGAGGAGGGCGCCGCGCGCGACACAGGCGGCGGAGCGAGGTCGGCGCGATGAGGGCGCTGGGATGACGCAGTGGGCCAGCTCCACTCGCGACAACACCGCAGTCTAAGCTCTGCAGGCCAGAACCGCCCCAGCGCACAAGGCCACGCCGCACCACCGCACCGCGCGCACCCCCTCCGGCCCCCCTCCGCCCCGACCCGCGTGAAGACGGCAGCGCCATGAGCTGAGCCTGCACCGCGACCTCTCACGTGCGCACCCACACCCGCTGCCCGCATGCCCGCCCGCCCTGGCTCGCCCGGCCGAGGGCGCTCGACGAGCCCGCGGCCGTTGATCGCGCCCGAGCACGAGGACGACGACACGAGCCTCATTGACGGGCTGCCCGATGTACGCGCGCCCCGTGATGCCGACATTGAGTACTGTACTGACTGACGCTGCCAGACGCGCCAGCTGCAGGCCTTTGGCCGCAAGGTCACGGCCACGGCCAGCAGCCTGATGGGCACCGACGGCGTGGCCCAGCACTACCAGAACGCGCTGGGCGAGCTGCACCGCGAGATTCGGCGCCCGATGCTGCAGCGCTCCGTCTTCTCGTTTGCCAACACCACGCCGCGCGAGATTGTGCGCTCGCGCATCTCCGTCCCCGAGATCCAGCAGCGCGCCCTGTCGTACATCCCCGACGAGATCCTGCACAACATCCCCGAGGACACCAACGAGTTCTCGCTGTTCCAGGGCTTCCAGGCCTCGCTGCCGGACGAGCCCATCGCCGGCGCCCGCCCCGCCAAGCGCAATGCCCGCGGCCAGAAGCTGATCGGGGAGGACCTGGACGACGGCGCCAACACGCCGCCGTCGATGCAGAAGCTGCAGAACCAAAAGCACAGCATGAGCCACCGCCTGGAGATGATGGGCGTGCGCAAGCACATGTGCGTCGCCGAGATCCTCGAGATCGACAACAAGATTGCGAATCTCAACACGCTGCGCAAGATGACGCTGGACCGTCTGGCGGGGCTGGAGATTGAGGAGGCCGAGCTCGAGCAGGACCTGCTGGGCGTCGACAACCGCATCGAGGATCTGCAGGAGGAGCTGGACGACGCCGCCGCCCTGGCGCCCAAGTCGCCCGAGCGCCCGTCGACGGCAGAGGAGGACGCCGAGGCCGAAGACAGCTTCATGTCCGAGTCCATCTACAAGAAGATTGCGAGTCCCAAGTCGAAGAAGCACGCCCGCCGCCCGATTCGACGTATTTCGATGCCCATCCTGCACGAGCATATCGAGGCAGGCTCGAAGATCAAGGAACTCCCCGCGCACAATGACAGCATCACGGCTATGGACTTTGATGCCCCTTGGGGGACGCTCGTGACTGCATCGTTGGATGATACAGTGCGAGTATGGGACTTGAATGCTGGACGCTGCATCGGCATGCTCGAGGGCCACCTCTCGTCCGTGCGCTGTCTGCAGGTCGAGGAGAACATCGTCGCCACGGGCTCCATGGACGCCACCATCCGCCTGTGGGACCTCAGCAAGGCCGAGTACGCGCCCCTCGACAACCGGATCAACAAGCATGACGACGAGGATGAGGACGGGCTGGCGTTTGAGAACTCTGCCGACGCTCCGCCTGCACCCCCGCCAACGATCATGCAAGACTGCCCCATGTTTTCTCTCGAATCTCACGTCGACGAAGTCACGGCCCTGCACTTCCGCGGCGACACCCTGGTGTCTGGCTCTGCGGACAAGACGCTGAGGCAATGGGATCTCGTCAAGGGCCGCTGCGTGCAGACACTCGACGTGCTGTGGGCTGCTGCCCAGGCATCTGCAACAGACACCACCAGCAATGGGCAGTGGCGCGGCACCGGCCGGACCATGGACGCGTCTGCAGACTTTGTCGGCGCGATCCAGGTCTTCGATGCCGCGCTGGCATGCGGAACCGCCGACGGCATGGTCCGCCTGTGGGATCTGCGCAGCGGGCAAGTGCACCGCAGCCTCGTCGGCCACACAGGCCCCGTCACAGCGCTGCAGTTCGACGACGTGCACCTCGTCACTGCCAGCGCGGACCGAAGCATCCGCGTAAGCCACTCCACCACCAAATCCAGAAGCACACTGCTAACAACACCCCCAGATCTGGGACCTCCGCACCGGCTCCATCCACGACGCCTACGCCTACGACCACCCGGTCACAAGCATGATGTTCGACAACCGCCGCATCGTGTCCGCCGCCGGCGAGGACGTCGTCAAGGTCTACGACAAAACCGACGGCCGCCACTGGAACTGCGGGCCCGGCGCGCTGGAAGACGAGGGTCGCAAGAGCGTCATCGAGCGCGTGCGCATCAAGGACGGGTATCTCGTCGAGGGCCGCAAGGACGGGACTGTCGGCGTGTGGTCGTGCTAGCGCGTGGGAAACACGTAGCGTAGTGTAGTGTAGTGTACATAGAAGCCGGGCTGGTGTCCTGAGGCATGAAGTGGCGTGGCGGATGTTGTACGAATAGATTCATGATCCATCCACTCCAACACACCCACGCAACCCTCCCGCTAAAAACAGCCCACAATTCGAGAGTTCGTGACTTCGTCGCGCACCGCGGTCCCACGCGCTCAAACACCCGCCCCGCCCGTGCCTGAAACGCGGCCTCGTTTGAGCGCTGAAACCGCCCTGACGCTGTCACGTGATCTCGCGCCGACGTATGGTATAATACTATAATTGTATGCCCCCCCCCGACACGGTTTCCGCAGTCCGCAACAAAACACCATCCACAACGGTAATCCGGAATTGAGAATTGACAGGCGCCATGTCGCTCCTTGCTCGCGCCCGCGCGTTGGTCACGGAACCCGCGAATGCGAGATATTTACTCCCTGTGTTGCTGCTGGTGGATGCGGTGCTGTGCGCTGCGGTGGTGAGATATGTACCTTGTGAGCGTCCCCCAATTCTCTAGCAAATGATTAAACCATGCCAATCCACACCAATCCACACCGTACTGACAATCCCCAGACACCGAAATCGACTGGCGCGCCTACATGCAGCAGATCGCGCTCTACAACGCAGGCGAGCGCGACTACGCCAAGATCCGCGGCGACACGGGACCCCTGGTGTATCCCGGGGCGCATGTGTGGATCTACCGCATGCTGTACTGGGCCACGGACGAGGGGCGCGATGTTGGTAGGGCGCAAGGGGTGTTTGTGGGGGTGTATTTGGGGTGTTTGGGGGTTGTGGGGTTGTGTTATCGGAGGGCGAAGGTATGTTCTTCTACTTGACTGTTCTGGCGGGATGGAGGGGAGGGATGGTCAGGGGCACGAAGGGTGTGTGGAATGAGGACTGTGCTAATTGTAATCGTGGACAGGTCCCGCCCTATGTGTTCCCGCTCCTGGTGCTGAGCAAGCGCATGCACAGCATCTTCATGCTGCGCTGCTTCAACGACTGCTTCGCGGTGCTGGGGCTGTGGGTCGCCATCTACGCCTGGCAGCGCGGCTACTGGCACGCCGGCAGTCTGGCGTACACGGTCGGGCTGAACGTCAAGATGAGCTTGCTGCTGCCGCTGCCGGCCATGGGGCTCGTGTTTCTGCAGGCGCTGGGCAGCAGGGAGGCGATCACGCAGGCGATGATTATCTTCCAGGTCTCGGTACGTTGCATCACAGACACGACACGCGGGGGGATTCATTGGTTGACATGTATAGGTCCTGTTCGGCTACCCGTTCCGCAAGCAGAGCTTCAGCTACTTCGGCCGCGCGTTCGAGTTCTCGCGCGCCTTCTTCTACAAGTGGACCGTCAACTGGCGCTTCGTGTCCGAAGAGACATTCCTCTCCAAGCCGTTCGCGCTCGGCCTGCTCGCGGTCCACGCGGCCCTGCTCCTGTTCTTCGCGTACTCGCGCTGGATCCGGCCGTCGAAGCGCTCCGCGCGCCAGTTCCTCGCGCTCGTGTTCCCCGCCCGCGAGCCGCGCGACCAGGACATCATGGCCCGCCGCGTCACGCCGGACTTCATCATGACGGTCGTCCTGACCGCCACGACCATCGGCATACTGTGCGCGCGCTCCCTGCACTACCAGTTCTACGCGTACATTGCGTGGAGCACGCCGTTTCTGCTGTGGAAGGCCGGATTCCACCCCGTCGTGCAGTATGCGCTGTGGGCCGCGCAGGAGTGGGCGTGGAACGTGTACCCGAGCACGCCGGCCAGCTCGGCGGTGGTGGTGGGCTCGCTGGCGGTCGCCGTCGGCGGCGTGTGGTGGGGCACGCGGCACGAGTTCGTGGGCGCGACCAAGGGCATCATCGAGGAGCCGCACGAGCACGCCGAGTAGCTCACGCATCCTCGTCGGAGTCGGTCGGCGGCATCTTGCCCACGGTCGACGCCTCGTCGTCGCTGTCCTCGTACGCCGGCTTCTTGACGAACTCGCCGGGCCTGGCGCCCGTTAGCACCGCATATATACCCCGCCTAGTAGACAGCACATACCAATACGGCGACTTGCGCCACGCCTTCTCGTCGCGCACAATGTTCACAATCACCCCGTCGAGCTTGTTGTCGCGCTCCGCCATCGCCGACGTGTCCACCACCACGTAGCTGCCGCGCTTGATCCACACCGTCGAGCGGAACCGCGGCTCGAGCTCCGCCAGCACCGTCTTCCCGCCGGGCAGTTCAGCGCTGTACAGGTTCTTGCCCTCGGCCTTGACGATGCGCGCCAGCAGGTGCGCCGCCGGCAGGACGTCGGGCGGCGTGACGGTATCCTCGATGGTGGCGAGGACCTGGCGCTTTGGGCGGCCCATTGTAGCGGTCGGGTGTGTTGTGGAGTTGAGGTGGGTGGGACGCAGAGTAGCATGCAAATGCACGTGTGTACGTGGGGCTCGTCGGGAGCGAGAAATCAATTCAGGGTCCAGGCAAAACGCCCCGCGGGCAATTCTGCCCGACGCCAAACCTCGCACTTCGTGGACGTTTTGGGGAACGCTTCCTCCGCCCTTCGACGACACTTCAACGCCCTTTGTCATCCCGTGTTGCTGGCTGCACGCTGCAGATGCATATGCTGTGCACGTCGGGCCTGCGGGATCGGCTTCTTGTATGGTGCACATGGTACTCACGAGCGGTAAGCTTGCCATGTTGGACGTTCAATTGATGCATGCCGGGCTAGAACTGTGTTGTGGACCAGAGAATCTTCGTTGCTAGTGCGGCTCTCCGCATTCGCAAGCGCTTCAATTTATCAGCATTGGTGCCCGTGACCGTGGTTCTTCCTATCGCAGACTGACGGACTGCACGTAGGTGGCTCTGAACCCACGTATATCTGTTGTCCCTCTGAACATATCGATTCACACAGCACTGCAGTTCCATTGACACCCTGCAACATCTTACACACGCCTAGCTTGGTGACCATTCACCTCTCAAGATGGCATCCTCCAGCCTCCACGGCGTCTTCGACATCCAATCCGTCCCCCCAGCTCCAACATACCAGCAAAGCAAAGGCAAACGACCCACCGGCGTGCTCCCAGATGTCGAGCTCGAATCCATCCACGGCAAGGACTCCTTCGACCAGCCCGCGACCGGAACCCAGACGCCCAAAACCCCCCATCAAATCGAGGCCAGCTGCCCCCCCTCCCCCACCCAGCACGAAGACGCCGTCGGCCTGGTGCAGACCTGGAACAACCCGTCCATGAACAAGTGGCGACTGCTGTGTTGCTGCATGATCTACTTCGGCAACGGGCTCAACGACGCCGGTACGTACGCGCCCTCGAATACAGATCCTCACTGACACGCCCAGTCGTCGGCGCGCTGATCCCCTACATGGAGGCCCACTACCACAACAGCCACACCATCATGTCGCTGATCTTCATCGGCAACGCCGTGGGCTTCATCGCCGCCGCGCCGCTGGTCACCTGGGTGCTGGCGAAGCTGGGCCGCGCGCGCACGCTGATCTTCGCTGAGCTGTTTCTGATCGCCGCGTATGTGATGTTGGTGTGCACGCCGCCGTTTGCGGTGGTGATTATTGCGTGAGTTGGAATTGTTTACTATCTACTGCAGGGACCTGCTGACGGTGATAGCTTCCTGCTGATCGGCTACGGCGCCGCGACCAGTCTGGCGCTGAACAACGTCTTCTGTGCTAACATCCAGCCGTCGAGTGCGGTGCTGGGCGCGGCGCACGGCAGCTATGGCATCGGCGGGACGATTGCGCCGATTATCGGCACCGCGCTGGTCTCGCAGGGCATTCTGTGGTCGCGCTTCTACTTTGTGCTGCTCGCGCTGCGGTTCTTCTGTGTTGCGTTTGCGGCGTGGGCGTTCCGCAACTACGAGGAGGACTCGTCGGCTACGCTGCTGACTGCGCTCGAGCAGACGGCGAGCAGACAGCAGGCGGCCGAGGGCCCCGGGTCGAAGGCGAGGGAGCTCCGACTGGCGCTGCAGAACCGCGTCACGATCTTCGGCGCGCTGTTCATCTTTGCGTACCAGGGCGCCGAGGTCGCGCTGAGCGGCTGGATCATCTCCTTCCTGATCAACTACCGCGACGGCGACCCCGCGAAGGTCGGCTACGTCACGGCTGGCTTCTGGGTACGTTGAATGGTAGAGAGTTCTATATGTGGGCTACAGCTAACACAACACAGGCGGGCATCACCCTCGGCCGCTTCGTCCTGACCCACGCGGCGCCGCGCATCGGCGAGCGCAACTACGTCGTCGGCCTCACGCTCGGCACCATGGTGCTGCAGCTCCTCGCCTGGCTGACGCCCAACGTCATCGGCAACGCCGTCGCCGTCTCGCTGCTGGGCCTCCTGCTCGGCCCCGTGTACCCCTGCGCGCAGACCATTTTCTCGCGCTCCGTGCCGCGCCACCTGCAGACCTCGTCGATTGGCTTCATTGGGTCCGCGGGCAGCTCGGGCGGCGCGGTTGCGCCCTTCACCACGGGTATTCTGGCGCAGGCGGTTGGCACGTGGGTCATTCATCCCGTGGCGCTGGGGCTGTATGGCGCCATGCTTGTGTTCCTGTTTGCGCTGCCTCGGATGAGCAAGAGGACGGAGTAAGAGGACGGAGCAAGATTGGCGATGCTGGTCTATGGAGTTTGGGGTTTGGATTGGCGCTGCGGTGGTGCGGGAGCGAGCTAGATTCGTCTTGACGTCACGCATCGCTATCTGCGTTTCCGCGCGACACTCGGGCTCCGAGCAGCGTAATACAAAAGCGCGTTTAATCCTTAGGAAAAGATTCCCACTCATCGCAGTATATCGCGAGTACAGCACTTCCAACCAGTGCCCGACAATCACAGTCCCCCACAATTCACAGTCCCAAACACTCCAAACATGGCCGCCCTCAAAACCCTCCAAACCCTGACCATCTCCACCGCCCTCCTCACCTCCGGCGGCATAGCAACCCTCTCACTCTTCGACATCCCCATGCTACGCTCCCAGCCCGCCTCGCGCTCACTACCCCTCCTGCGCTGGCTCTTCAGCCGCGGCTCGCACACCGCGCCGACCGGGATCCTGCTGTCTTCCACGGGTTTCCTGGCGCTGGCATATACTTCCCTACCCGCGTCCTCGACATCGCCATGGACATCGATATTCTCATCTTCCACGCTCTCGGCTCTCACGCAAGGCAAGCCAGCGCTCTACCTAACAGCCGCGACCCTCTCCCTCTTCGCCGCGCTCTTCACCCGCGCCATGCTGCCCACAAACTTCGCCCTCATCGAACTCAACGAAGCCCTCGGCGGGTCCAAGAGCGCGGCCTCAGCGACGTACCGCGAGCGCGTGGGCGCGCAGCCTAGGAGCGCGCTGGAGAGCGTGCAGGGGAAAGAGGATGTCGGGGAGTGGGAGGGCAGCGGGCCGCAGGCGAAGACTCGCAGGGAGGCGAGTGAGGAGGAGGAGCAGAGGGTAAGGGAGTTGTTGGGCAGGTTTGGGGGGTTGAATTTGGTGAGGGCGGGGTTGGTGGGGGTGGGTGGGGTTGTGGGGTTGGTTTGTGCGCTGGGGTAGAGGTGCTGGTGCTGGGTGGTTGAGAGGATGACTGGGGATTGTTTGGTGGGGAGAGGATGGCTGCGTTTCTTTGTATTCGGTGTTGTAGGATAGAGTAACGCATTATCATCCAAGTAATTACCTTGTAGCTAACAAAATCCGTCGAGAAAGTCGGTTTCGCGTGTGTATCATTTCACGTAGGATTCTTTGATGCGAGAAGACCAAGCGAACACCACCTTGCCTGCTGAAGAGAGGACTTCAATACAGACTTCTCAAAGACAACGACACAGAAATGATTCTCAAAAGACCCAACGTCACAAACACGCTAAGCAGCCCGCAACTCATCCGCCTCCTAGCGCCAACTTCCCGGTTCCCCCGCCCCACATCAGATCTCTCCACAGCCCCTTACCCCAGAGTTTCGCTCACAATATAACACGCCCACGTCGCCACTTCTTCCATCAAACAACAAGCGCATCCTCGCGGTGCATCACTCCGCTTGGTGTAGTTGGTTTATCACGTTCGACTGTAATAGCAACATTGTTATCGAAAGGTCCCTAGTTCGATTCTGGGAGCGGAGAACAACTATCTTTTTTGCTCTTTTCTTCTCTTATCCAGGAGAAAAGACAACGCGCGGTGTTGGGGTGGGCGCTGTGGTGTGTTTTTGGCTGTTGCTACTGTTGGGTGGGTGCTGGGTATCGCGTGAGGCATGCGTGTGGTTTGGGGGGGAGATGTTTGTGCAGGGTCGCTAGTCTGGGAGAGGGTTTTTTGTGAGTTCGATTCTGGGAGCCGAGAGCAACCATCTTGGTTGCGCGCGCGACCTCCTTAGAAGAACACACAACGCGCGGCATTGAGTTGGCGCTGTTGTGCATTTTGCTTGGTGTCACTGCTGGCTGGGTATTGCGTGGTGTGATTTGAAGAAGAGGATGTTTGTACAGGAACGCTAGTCTAGGAGAAGGTACCGTCGCTATGAGCACGCAAGGAAAGGAGATGTATATGGAAAGCGCGCGGTCTAGAAGTTCATCATATCTGTTGTATGTCAGCGACTCGTTCGTGTATGCTTTGGTACACGACTCACCTCGTCCAAAAAGCGCGCGCTTCGTCCAGTCCATGGCGAGCAGGACTCGTGTCCGGAGGCTGACCGACTGGGCAAAGTACACGCTGCGCCACAGATACACGGCGACCAGGCCGCCGCTCAGGCCGTAGCCGTTCCAGTCGAAGATGGCCGCGTTGCCGATGTACGCCAGGCTGCCCAGGTGCTTGTACTCGAACGCCTTGTACACGGCGTCGTCGATGTCGCCGTAGTCCATATCGTTCAGCGCCATGCCGGGCGCTGCCATGGCGATCTTGTTGAACTTGCGGCCGAGGTACTGGCCCTGCTGGTGCGCGCGCTGCGCCGTTGCGGGGAGCGATGTGAGCTTCGAGTCGATCTGGAACAGCAGCTCTCTAAGCTCGCCAAAGTCAAGGGTGCCCGACTTGTCCTTGTCGTACTGCTCGAAGAGCTTGTCTAGGCGGCGCAGGTGGTTCGCGGCTTGCGGGAAGCGCTGCTTGACGCGCTTGGCGACGCTGCGCCAGTCGTTGTAGGAGATCTGCAGCTTCTCGGGGTCCTTGCCCTTCTCCCAGGCAGTGGTGCGGAGAAAGTTCACGATGTGGTCGGAAACGTTATTCTGCACTGTCGAGCAATCTCCAATGGCGTAGACGTCGCCCAGTGGCGCGCCGCTCAGGCGCAGATGCGTATCAGTCTCAAGGGCGTGCTTGTTGTTCTGGCCATCGAGCTTCTCGGCAAGAGTCTTGCAGAAGTCGGTCTGTGACACACCAGTCGACCAAAGACAGAAGCCCATTGGGATCTCCTTGGTAACTACCTTAGCATTGTCGCCGTCGCCCTTCTGCGAGTATAGAATCCTATCAGGCAGGACCTCCTTCACACGAGCGTTGGTCTGAATGTCGACGGCATCGTTTGCGAATCGCGTCTCGGCATATTGAGAAAGGGCCTCGTCGTAAGTGTTGAGAATATGGCTGCGAGACTGGATAACGTGGACGGAGATCTCGTTGCGAAGAATTCGCGGGTATTGCTTGCACAGGTCCTCATTAAGCATATCGAACAGCTCGGCTGCGAACTCGACACCGGTCGGCCCGCCTCCACAGACGACAAAAGACAGCAACCTCTTGCGCTCATCGTCGCTGGTCGTGGGCAGACATGCAGTCTCCAAGTTCCGAACGACAGCATTGCGGATGAGGCGAGCGTCGCTAATATCCTTGAGGAAGTGGCAGTTTTCGAGACCCTTCACGCCGTGCGGGTTGGTGACAGAACCCACGCCAACAACCAGCTTATCGTAGGGAACGTAGAAATGCTTCGGCTGGCCATCAGCGCCGATCGATGAACACTCAATCAGCTTCTCGGAGAAATGGACATCCTCAGCCTTTGCCTTGAGGAAATGCCCGCGCACTCTCCTCACAATGCGCCTGACGGGTTCAACCAACGATCTCAACTCAAGGGTGCCAACGGTTGCGGACGGCAGCATGGGCGTGAAGAGGAACGTGTTCGAGGGCGAGATGACGGTGACATGGTATTCGTCCGGGTTGAGTGTCTTGAGCAGCGCGACGCTTCCCCAGCCTGTCCCGAGAATGACCAGCTTGGGCTTGTGCTTGACAGCCCTGTTCTCCTCGCAGTCGTCATCGTCGACAAAGTGGTCGGCGATGGGCAAGTTCTTGGGTCCACCTCTTCGTGGGTTCAAAGCCAGCTCTGAGACAGGGATATCGACTGTATCGGGCTCCTCTTTGTAAGTGGTTGCATCATAGATGAAGAACCCGACAACGAGGGTGCCGCTGACAGCCACAAATGTCCCTAGCCATGCTGCTGTTCGCCATGCATAACGCGCAATTCTTGATTTCGGTGTTGGAAGCGGCTTCGTGGATATCGAGCGGGCGAGAGCTGTATCCCTGTTCAAGCGCGAACTCTTGAGCGCAGCTGAACCCAGCAGTTGGGCGCGTCTCGTTTTGGACTCGGGGTTGCCATTGCTTGTGAAGAAGGTGCGGTTCTGCGAGAGGATAGCACGAGGCACTCTCTTGCACAGCGGTGATGTCCGAGAGATGTTCGAAACGCGCGACAGCGATGCAGCTTGTCGTGGAAGCATAGCGGCGACCGGGGATGCAGCTGTCCGGGCAGCCGAGAGCGGTGTCGGGGATGTAAGAATATACCAATTGAGGAAATCTACATGCAAGATTCAGCGCACATCGTAGGAATCAGGATTCAAGTGAGTGTTGGCGGTCGAGAATTGCCCTGTCTCAAGCCGAAGGCCAAAGCTTCTAGCAGTTGTCGCTGTCCAGTGCTAACTCTGACGTCAACTCGCATCCGAACTAGCCTGGCGGCGACGCTGCCTCGAAAAAAAGCTCAACGCTACACGTTTCGGTGGGGGTATTCGCGTATGCTTATCTAGCCCTTCCGAAGGTTCCATCAGGTCTAGCCATCATGGATTCGTACGAGTCTATGTACAGCATCCGAGGACTCCACAGTACGACAAGTCTTCAAGTCGTGACTAACCTTGAAGCGTGACTAACTTCGAAGTGCAGACAGCGCCAGGTTGCATTGTTACAGTATAAGGTATTGGTCATGGAGTTTGACTCCGAATACATGGTATAGATGATGGCTACCAGCAGTTGCTACATAATACGACCAACCCAAAACATAGATGCCTCTCGTTTGAATACCCACGCCGACATTGCAAAATAAATGTCCAATATGTCAATCGCCACAAACACCGCTGAATGCATGGCTGGGTCCCACAAACCTTGGGTACCTTCTGTACAAATCACCGACTACGCCAACACCGACACGCCAGTCGTCCGACCAGCTAGTGCTTGTTCTTCTTCTTACTCTTCTTCCTATTTCTTTTCTTTTTCTCCTCGCCCTCTCCATCAGCCTCAGGCTCCGCCGCAGCTGTCGGCAATCTGACGTTGCCGTATTTCTGGCGAATCTCATTCTCGAACTCTTCCTTCTCAAGACGAAACAGGGCCATGGTAGCTCTCGCATCCTCGACTGAGCTATGCGCGCCAGTCTGGATCTCCACCCCCAAAAGCTTCTGCGTGAGCATCTTCAGTCCCGGTGTCCACCCTGCTTTTGTTGCCAATTGGCGAAATTTCGAAAACTTGGAGGTATCGCGGATCAGGCGTTTGTCGTGCTTCAGGATCAGGACGTCCAAATCGTTCTTCACGGCATGTCCGACGAGTATACGTCCTCCAAGCAGGATCTTCAAATCGCTGCGTACCTCGTCAAATGTGCGCGCAACATCTTTGTGCAGGTGTTTGGGCTCGATGCCGGAGACGGCTGTGCGGTAGTCGGTGACCTCGACCTTGGGAAGCATCTGAACGTAAGAATCGTAGACTTGATGGCCGTGGTAGTTGACCAGTGACACTCTGGCCAATGCCGAGTCGCGATTGGGCTCCGGGCCTACGCCAACCATCTCACAATCAAGAGCAACATATTTGCCAGGCAGCGCCTTTTCGGAGACGCCTTCGTTTTCGATGTCGGGGAAGTCGGGGTGAGGTGTGAGAATGTCATCGGCAACAGCAGCATCCTCCTCGGTCGTGAGGAGTGGTGTGCGCTTAAGCTGGGGTGTCGACACACTGCGGGATAGCGTCTTGACATTGTGCTGCTTGATTGATGCGCCGACAGACGCAGGCTCCTCCATCTTTTGCCGTTTCCTCGACGCAGGAGACTTGTGTGGTGCAGATTTCCCAGTCCCGTTTAAAGAGTGTCGCGGCGCATTCGTAGACTTGTCGCTGGTCTTGAAGGATCGCTTTCGCTTTAGTGAGGCCTGATCTTCGGTGGAATCCTTAGGTTTGGAGGATGTTGCGGGTTTCGAGGCTTGGAGCTTGGCCTGCAGCCTCTTCCAATTTGAACTCAGTTCTGGTGCCATGTCGATGTCACCTGCGTGGCATAGCGGTGTGCAAATCTGTCCCTTTACTGGTCGTCGACGTCGATGCTGTTTGAACGCTCCAGTCCCCGCAGGAACTTTTGTTTGAACGGGTCGCGCTAGCGCAGTATTCTGCCGAGGGGCGGTCTGGCACGCAACAGCGCGACAAAGGCTGTTACACTATCAACTTCATCACGACATCATCAACCACAACGCGATCTAAAACCTGCAGTAACTACCAGGTGCTTGTCGCATAGCCATGGCGCCTCGAGAGAACTCCCATGAGCCCTCCGGCACACCTGTGCCGGTAGAAAACAGGTTTTGCCACACTCACACAGCTGAGGTACGTGCGATACAAGTGCGCCAGGTCTTGAGATGCGTACTGATGCTTTGTATGCAGGGTCGGAGTGAAAGCATGGGTTGAGAAAGTGAGTAGCAGTATGGCGTGGCGTTCGCCAGACGCGTTCGGCTTCTCGTGGAACATCAGAACCTCACAACACCACAATACGCAAATGCCGACTAATACTTTTCATAGGAAGGCGAGAAGCGCAAAGCCGAACTGCTTTCAATTCAAACCCGTCAAGGCCAGACTAAGTTTTATGTGCATTATGAAGACTTCAACAAGCGTCTCGACGAATGGATATCTGCAGATCGCATCGACTTGTCACGAGAGGTCGAGTGGCCTGCGCCTGAAAAGGCTGACAAAAAGAAGAGTGGTACTCCTAAAGTAGACAAGGCGCCTTCCAAGTCGGAACAGAAGAGTCTCAAAAGATCGCGTAGCAAGCTCGACCGCGAGATATCAGGCACGCCAGAGTCCACGTCTAGCAATGTCCCTGGTAAGGCCCAACGTCCATCCAAGGCAAGCGGAAATGAGAATCAAGAGATTCTCGTAACGAGCGAAGTCCTCGATGGCACTCCTAAGCCCGAGGATGAGGAGATGGACTTGATGGATGTTCAAGACGCAGCCGCAGCAGCCAAAGCTGTGCCAGATCAAAACTACTCACGTGAAGACGAGATCGAGAAGCTGCGTACGTCCGGCTCTATGACACAGAACCAGACCGAGATCTCTCGAGTACGTAACCTAGAGAAGGTGCAGATGGGCAAGTTTGAGATTGAACCGTGGTATTTCTCGCCTTACCCAATCGACTTTATAGATTCGGACATCGTCTACATCTGCGAGTTCTGCCTTTCATACTACGGTGAGCAGACACAGTTCGAGCGCCATCGGGCAAAGTGTACGCTACTACACCCACCTGGCAACGAGATCTACCGCGACGACTTTGTGTCTTTCTTCGAGATAGATGGACGGCGACAACGAACATGGTGTCGAAACCTCTGCCTGCTCTCAAAACTTTTCCTGGACCATAAGACCCTCTACTACGACGTCGACCCCTTTCTCTTCTACTGCATGTGCACGCGCGACGAGCATGGTTGCCACCTTGTTGGCTACTTCAGCAAAGAAAAGGAATCAGCTGATGGCTACAACGTTGCTTGTATTCTAACCCTGCCCCAATACCAGCGGAAGGGCTTCGGAAAGTTGCTCATTGACTTCTCGTACATCCTCTCGAAACGGGAGGGCAAGCTTGGCTCTCCTGAAAAGCCGCTCTCAGATCTGGGTCTTCTAGGTTACCGTGCATATTGGCAAGAAATCATCGTCGACTTGCTCATGGACGGTCGCGTGGAAGCCAACGTCGACGATCTTGGCACTGCAACAGCAATGATGACGAACGACGTGCTGCACACGCTGCAAAATCTGAATATGCTTCGCTACAGCAAGAACCAGCACGTTATCGTCCTGACAGACGCCGTAATTGAGCAGCGCGAGCGCCAGAAGGCGAAGGAGAAAATCAAGGGCAAAAGAAGCCTTGATCCGGATCGACTTATCTGGAAGCCACCGGTGTTCTCCGCTGCCAGTCGTACATGGAACTGGTGATCGAATGTGGTAGTCCAGGCGTTGGCGCATACGTTGATTCAGATTTTACTTAGGTATACCCCAATCCATTCATAATTGCTTCCATGCAAGATTGCCAGACTCATTATACCCAATCGCAAGATGTCAATCTGTTAAGACCTATCGCTGACTATGATCAAGAACGGGAATACCCAGAGGTGCTAACCAATGTAAGCGCTTACTCAACCTCACAACACCACTCTCAGAAAGGTTGTGGGGCGTCGGAACTCCACAGCTGACGTGAGGCTGAACAATAAACCGCTGCATGCATTAATCTAGACTGTTGTATTTCAGGGGTGGAACTCCACGGATCTGACTTGTCTTCGTAGTCGACTATCTATTCGTACCAAGCAGCAGCATGTGATTTACGATTCGACACATCATTCACTCTCTATTTCCTCTGGGCTGGGGCTGAGATCAAGACACTGAAGAGACTCAGCAATGCATCGGATGTGGCAGATTCCCGAACTTCTCGTGCAGATCGTATCCTTCTTGCCTGCCTCGGATATTCATCGCGCGTTCCACCTCTCGCATTACTTCCGCACCTCCCTGAAAGCAAACCTGCCACCGTACCTCCGCCCTCTACCCGAAGACTTGCCCATACAGTCCAGCCACAAACAAACGCTATCACAAAATGTGCGCGACGCAGCAAGAAGCCTTGGGACCCAAGACGCGACCCTACCTGACCAGTTGAAGATGGCAGACACGTACTTCTACTGGCGCGAGGCTGCGCGATATGAGGTCGTCAAAAAGCTAAGGCCGTGTTTACATCCTGTTCTTGGCAAGAATGCTGCGTATCTGATCGACGGGTATGAGTCCCTGGCCGAAGGGGAGATGAAGATTTGCCTGCAGACGGATATACCGTACCATCAGCTGTACGACCTGGCGTATGGCAAAGATCCGAAAGCTTGTAATGAGTTGTTGGCGGTTGTACATCCTACGGCGGTGACTGTGTTCTGTATGCGTGGAGCGAGTTGGGATTCGTCATACGCGAATGTTCGGTGTCGAGAGTATGGGGGTATGAAGGGATATTCAGTCAGAGTTGAAGGAGAACACGGGGTGACAATGGGCGACGTGCTGAACGAGTTGAGGGGTACGCTTGTATTTGATGGGATGAGCGGAGGATGTGGGCAGGACGTTGTGTTAGTGTGGATGTTCGATGGCTAACGCAGCGCGTGAGCTCAGCAGACCTTTAATTATCTTGTAATCGAGATTCAGTAACCTTAATCTTCACACTGAAGCCGGCAGTACGAGCCATCGCAGAAATCAATGACGTAGTCTGGAGAGCGCAGTGGTCGTTCGCTTAGTTTGCGCGCTCGCGCAGTGAAAGTGAAGGCGCCGATACTTAATAAATAACTGATTCTTCCGCGCTCATTGTCTCTCTTACCCCACCATCAAGCCACCCATGAATTTGACAGCTTACAGATCGAACGAGTACCAGCCTGTGACGATGGCGGATTATTCACTCGCTGCGCTCAAGGCATACGCCGAGGAGCATTTCCCTGAAGACTTTGCAAAGCTTCCATCAATGAGCCACTTTTCTATCAAAAAGGGCGATTGGCCAAGACAATATACCATGCAGCTCGGTGATATAGACATATTCTTTACCTCTTCGATTGGAAACTTGGATTACAGGGGAGACACTGTTATGGCTCACGAGCCTTTCTGCTGGATTGAGTCACATCCTCCTCGCTACAACACGATGGAAGTGTTCCTACGATTCTGCCTCCATATGAGAGGATATGATGAATCATTCTTCCCCATCCCGCGCGATTACTTCTTGCAGATCCAGCTAGCCTGTGCGGACATCGCTAAAGGCGTGCGAGCCAAGGAAGCAGCTGTCGACGACCCTTCAAAGTGGGGTCTCACGGTCACAGGTCAGTCCCAAGTACAGAAGTCAAGTTGAACACATATCTGAAGATTAGCACCTAACATCCTGTAGCTTCAAAACCGCATTCAGCAACTGGTCACCACAGCCGATGCTTCCAAGGCCAAGTCAGCTACCGATTACAACACTCTCAAGCAGAAGGCAGACACGTCCGAAGCTAAGATCAAGGCTCTTGAGGAACAGTTCGCAAACTTCAAGGCCGAAGCTCAGGCCGCGAAAGCCAAAGACTGCGAGGATGGCGTGGATTGGATGAAGCAATTTGCGGCTGGCAAGGTAGAGGTGGAGGAGCTGAAGGCGAAACTCACAAACGCTCAAGTCAAGACCATCAAGCTGGAGAATGAGATCGTCGAGCTGCGCAGACAGCTGTCGGGTTAAGTTGGTTGATGGAAATGACGCGCGTAGGAGTTGTGCAGTGCACGAGTGTCACGCCTGAAACGTCATGTCACAGGTACTGAGCTTCGCACAGAGGGTTGGTAGTCAGACCTCCATCCTCTCATCCTGAAGATTGCAATCAAACAATCTCTACAACAAGTTTTCAATAGATGCTTCCTTTTGTTTGCACTGTCTTGGTTACAGCATCATCATCCTCAAACCTTCACTTATTGTATGGGAGTCGCTATCTTCAGTGACTCAGAACGCGGTACGAAGAACGGATCGTGCGCCTCTAAAGACAATTTCGCTTGTAGAAGGCAGCAGACTATCTATGAAATCCAATCAAAGCGTTGTGAATGAAACTAGCTCAGCCCTATCTACAGAGTAGGATGCTTCAACTTGCAATTTGACTCGCAAAGCAAACACTCAGTCTTCTATTTTTATCCAGCTGAATCGAAACCGTACACTGATCTTTGTTCACAGGTATTTGTTCACAGGTCTTTGCTCGCAGGTCTTTGTTCGCCCTGGAGGTCTTTGTTCACAACGTTGCGACATGGGACTTCACGTTCCAAAGCACTGATCTTGTCAGCTTCTCCGGACCTTAAGCTGCGATACTTAAGCCTAAACATGAGGTCCTACTTATTTTTTACCGTCACCAGATTATCCTTTTCACATTCCATCCCAGCAAAACACATTGCAAAAATACTTGTCAGAATTCGTTGCAACACTCTTCCTCCATACCAAAGACTTATCAGCTACGTCAGCAACATGAGAATCTCTATCTATCTAGTCTCCTACATCAGCATGGTTTCTACCATTATGGTGGATCTAACTTCTGGCAGTCTGATTAACTGTTTCGGACTCTGCGACGAATTCATCAGCTCGGTACGTGCGCTTCTGATACAAGTCCAGTCACCCACATCCATGCATTTGTTTGAGATCTCATATGAGCCGCTGCGGATTAGATCCTACATCTCCATTTGATCTAACATCACAACAGGTTCCAGGACACTGGTCTGATGTGAGATCTTCAGCGCTACACTTGGAAAATCAGAAAGACGTACTACGTGACATGGAGGCGGAGTTTAGAGCTTTTAATGGAGACAAGGCTGTCTTAGAAGAAATCATTGCGAAGAAGGATATCGTCATTGCGAAGCTGAACACCACCATCGCAGAGCAATATATCACCATCAAAGAGCGGGATACCACCATTGCGAGGCGGGATATCACCATCACCGCGAAGGATGCCATGGTGTCTAAACACAACATCACCATCACTGAGCAGGGCAAGACAATCGAAGAATTCATGAAATCCTACGACTTGCGTCAAAAGGCCGACATGGAAGAGAAGCAGTCTGTTCAGAAGATCAAAAAGGCTGAGGAAAGCGATTGAACCGCGAGATGCTCCATCGACGGTTCGATGTAATGACTTTGACTCAGGTCCATGTTCATAAAGTTGTGTGACGCAGACATTAGCTCATACCATCGGGGGGGGAATCATCTCAAGTGATACACTTAGGAGATAGCTAGATGAGGAGGGGCTCACCACTGTGGGTGTTGTTATGTGTTGTTCTCCTTTGGGTATTCTCGGATTTATAGAACGTGCGCGAGCTAAACATGAACGCTTCCATTAAGACCGGGAGCCGAGATTTGGAGTCAAGTGACCTATGACACATGTGAAACTGACTTAGGACAGCACTGGTGATGCAAAATTTGAGGTCCGATGCTGAGCCGAACTCCAAATTTCTCGTAGAGGAAGCAAATGTCTGGACATTCCGCTGCTGGAGTAGACTTGCCCTCACTTCAGGCGGTGGTTTGTTGGGACTTGCTGATGGCATGTCTAGCGCAGGGACAGAATAAGATGCCCTTGCTCGGAGCTATCCTCATGTCACCGATCGCGATCTCCACGACCAGATGATGACCTACCAGTAAGCGTCTGATAAACGGAGTCATGATCTGTTGCACCAAGGCTTCTCGTGTCTTGTCCCGGATCAAGTGGAGAAAAGGGACCATTCAGAGGCCACCAATGACACTCCGGATCAATGCATCGATATTGACAGCACTGTGGTCTTCGAAAATTCAACCGGAATAAGCCCTTTGTGACTCCAGGTATATTGGCTGTGCATCTGGAAGAAGATGGAGGCGCAGGCATATCCTTGTCACGATCACGCAATGCAAGTTTTGGGCGAACTGGATATGCCTTACAACTTCGATACCCGTCCCCGGAACGGGCACAATCGTAATATCCCACGAACCGGGATCGAAGTGCTACCCATTCTTAGCATATAGCAAGGTGTGATATGCTGATCTTGTCTTAGGCGTTTTTAGTCTTTACCATTCTGCTGGCGTACTCCCAAGGAAACAAAACAGCTGGAACTATAGGTGCATATACCCGAGAGGTGATCAAGATGCCAAAGTGGGCACCCATCATGGGTCGCAAGATCGTCTGCGAGATGGAGCGCCGTGGTTAGTAGGATCCAACCATGCCTACCACGGTGATCTCGTTTCGACACATCTAAGACACCGGCCGATTCGATCTCCTTGGCAAGGGGTGTAGTAGTGAGAGAATGATGGGAAGAAAGTCACCATATGAGCAAGCCTTGCCTTCACGTAAGGCTGCGCAAAATACATCGGCCAGGAGGCAGAATGTGCGCCCTGAACAAATTTGAATTGGGCATGATTCTAGATAGCTACATTAAAAGCCCCAAAGGCAATGTTCCGATAATTGCAATGACGGGCTTTCGTGCTCCTGCTCTGCGGGCAGGACAGACCCCACGAGCTTGGCGGTGAAACTCAACTGCTTGAGATTGCCTCGCAAATACCGAGTTAACTGGGGGCTTTGCGATCTCAGCCACTGTAATTGCAGGCACGAGCGAGTCCCGGTGGCTACTCTTCTCCGCTATCTCGCTGTGATGGTCGTACTTGAGGACAGAGTCAGACTTCCAATCACACTGAAGCGATGCCTGCGATGACAGATCTGGTGGGGACAAGCTGCTCGCCTGTCTGTTGTACAGCCTCAAGAAGTAGATATAGTGGTTCTGCTACCAAGCTCAAAGAAGAAGCAGGCGCACCACACCTCGAGTGTTGTGATGCTTTCCAGTAATTATAAGGGCTCAGGCTGAGATGTGGTGGCATCTCAACTATAGCCCAGGACCGAACGTGAATTTCAGTTGGGCCTTGATGTTGAGCTCAGTAGCCGACGTTGGGCTGTCCCTTTTGACTTCTCAAAAGCTCGAAAGCATGAATAATGCCGGCGACATTCTCGTCCAGTTCAGATCGTTCAAGAAGATACGCCCCCTCGGAAACCTTTCGTGCTTTAATGTCTCTCCGGTTGCCTGAGTGCACTGCGTTTCGCAAGCCTTTGCAGATCCCCTCACCTGGGTAAGCGACGATGCCAACAGTAGCAGACACCGTTTTCGAAGTGAATCCTACAAAGCCCTTACCGAGGCCCTTTGCAAAGCCCATAGCGCCCTCTTTCTTTGCGCCTTCAATCGGGCGCACGAAAAGATCAGAGAAGCCGTCAGTCATTCCGAACGCGAAATTTTTGCCTGCTTTGCTGAAACCGCTCTGGACGTTCGTCACTTCGCCATGATCTCTCACTTCTTCGCCATACAACTTGGGAACCGCTCGGAAGCCTTCGGCTGCTGCTAATGGCAGGTCAATGATGGCGCCTTTAAACAAGGCAGCATTGAACCGTCCAAAGCCTTTTGCACCAGCCGTAGCCATTCTGCCTGCAGTGGATGCGCTGTGAGCCATATCGCTTGTACCCTCAGTCTTCGATCGATTGAGCTCTTTGTAGGGATCAGTTATCATGCCTGTCGTAGCTCTACCCATGTTGGAAACGATCGATATGCCTGCAGAGGTCGTACTCGTGACAGGATCCCAACGGTTGTGGATGATGTGCATGGTTTGGGTTTTGTAGCTGCGATGATCAGGAATGACTCACTTCAACAATGGTTGCTAAACGACTTACTTGCTGAGGTCGCTCTGCGATATGACTCCGTTCTGGATGAGAATTTGCGCCACTAACTTCGACAGCCGAATTGGGACCTTCTTGTAAATCCAAGCAGCTGGCAGGTCGTGCATGATGTGGCATGGGATAGCTTCAAATGGAAGATTCGCGTGGAAAGATTGGACTGCTGCTTTGACGCCTTCTTCGTTGGCCATTTGTGACGAGATATCCTCGGCTGCCGATTTAGTCTCTGGGGCGAGGAGGAACTGGATCGCGTCCACCAAGTTCTGGCTAGATAACATCTGGTGTGGTATGGGCTTTGGTCCGGCACCAGCTTTGGCAATCATGTTTCCCCAGAATGGTTGATCACCAAAGAATGGCACTACGAGGGTAGGGCATGCGTTCTTTAATCCACAAGCGGCCGTCCCTGCACCGCCGTGATGGATTAAAGCCCTGACGTGTTGAAACAACCATTCATGGTCACAGTCGCCAATGAAAAGGACGTCGTCTGCTTGGTCTGGATGGCCTTCACCTAAGTTGCTCCAGCCCTTGGATATGATTGCTCGGACACCACAAAGCTTTACAGCTTCCAGGATCAGCGAGGTCATCTTAACTGGATCTTCCAGAACAATGCTCCCGAAGCCGATGTAAATAGGAGGTGCACCAGCTTTCAGAAACTCTACAATCGCTGTCGGTGGCTCGTAAGGAGGGGGCTCGCGGAAGAAGAAGCCACACACGTCGATGTGGGAAGGCCAATCTGCAGGTTTGGGAACAAGGGCTGGCGACCAGCAGTAGGTGAAAGGAACTTCGAGTGCCTCGGCAAGTCCAGGTCCTACCATAGTAGGTACGGGTTCGAGGTCAAGAGTAGCTCTGAATTTGTTGATGATATCCCCCAAGCCCTGCCACGTTAGGAACTCTACAATGCCGTACGAAGCATGGTTGATGAGAGCTGGGTCAATCGTTCCCGCATTGAAGTTAGCTAGAGGGTGTGGAAATGCTCTCGTGCTACTCCATGGCATGGTGAACATCATGTGAAGCGGGATACCGAGTGCCTGCGCGCAGTGGATGTGCGCAAAGCTGGGAGGATTTGCGATTATTGCGTCAGCAACAAATGGCTTTTGCGAATCGAGGTCTGCTTCTACGCATGATTTCCAGCACCCCTCGAGGATTTCTGTTATCATGACGCGCTTCTTTTCAATATCGCCTTCACGCAGACTCTTCATCGATGGGATGAGACCAGGATTCTTGACCATGTAGGCCATTAGCTCTTTTGGATCGCCGCCGATGGGATAGAACTCCAGATTGGAACTCTTGACAAATCCCTCGAACGTATTGTGCGTTGCTAACCGAACGCGATGTCCGTATCTTTGAAGTTCTTGCCCTAATGCGACGAAAGGCTGTACGTCACCACGGCTGCCTACGACCTGAATGACGATATTCATGCGTACGCTCCACCCGCGGTAAACACTGAAGCGTCGACTGGGTTCGAATGACTCCTTGCTTTTCTCGGGAACAAGCTTGAGGAAAGTCTTGGTTAGACGGGACTTCAGGTCGATGTTAATGCGACCGTCGCCTAAGAACTGAAATTAGTTCGGCTCTTGAATTAAGGACGTATACATACGTGTGACTCCCGTGTCTCCTGGTGGAGGTATAGAGCCTTCACCAGCATGTAGATCAAGAAGCGAACTAGATGCGCTGGAGGGACCAGTGTTGCTGTACAAATTCGACGTATCGGCTGAAGGTGGCATGTTGTACGCGTATTTTTGAGCTGGCTCCGATCTGCCAGATTCAGGCCCTGAGACTTCCAGATTGTAGGGTGGTGGAGGACCTGTGTTTAGCTCTACTCCGTCTTCATACTCTCCCCAAATCGGAATTGGTGCCTGCGTGCTATCTGGTCGAGACTTTCCATTTACTTTTGTATGAAGCGTAGACTCTCTTCCCTCTTCAGGCTCTTCGCAGAGCGGAATTGGCGCTTGCGTGCTGTCTGGACGAGGTCTTCTGTTCAATCTCGAATGGGGTAAGCCCCCGCTTCCGTCTTCATACTGGTCCCATAGCGGAATTGGGGCTTGCGTGCTGTCTGGTCGGGGTTTTGGCATCCTGTCAGGCTGTGGAATGAGCGAATATTCTTTTCAGGGTTCACAGCGGTCGTTCGGATATATACTACGAGGTACATTAACACAGACCTTAGGAGGCTCCAGTCGTTACGCGTATTCGGTACGCGTATCCCGTTAGCTTCGCATGGTGGCGGACCGACAGGCGCGGAGGTTAACAAAGTCTCCGGCACTGCGACGATCACAGCTGAGCCTTCAGACACGACGCATACGACGGGACTTTTGATGTTACGCGTTGCGGCCTTTGCTAAGCCTCCGGAATCGGCTCAAGCTTACATGGCAAAAGCTTTTGTACATCGTGCAGATACGTGTAAAGCTCGCCGCTAAAGGCCTATACTGTCAAGATTGATGATGTACCTCATCTTCAAGGCAGGTACTACCTGACGAACACATTCCAGTGAAATGGTCCCTTTTGATCGAGTTGATATACTCCGACGGTATTCAGCAACGGCCGATTGTGAAAGCCTCCAGGAACGTATGCACTGGCTGTGGGCGATGAGTTGCAGGGATATGAGGTAGTGCTGTCGACGCAGCGACTTGCGTTAAAGCATGGTCGATCTGCGACGCGGTCACTTCATCGCGTACTTTGCTATGTACCGATGATGATGCGATAGGTGTCATGAGAGGCTGAGCCAGGCCAAAGGGGAGTTGAACAGCGAAACCGAGCGCGAAAGCGTTGGCTACAATATGACAACATGACGCAAACTCAGCGTGCTCAGGTTAGACGCTATTGATTCAGCGCAATCGAGTAAGACCGAAACATTGCGCGAAACACGATACATTAAGGGGTTCCGAGGCTTGGCTCGGAAGGCTTTGGCTATGTAGAGCGGAGCACACATAGAGAGGCGTTATTCTTGGCGCAATGCGTTTGGCTGTAGACGTAGTCTCACTGACTCAGTGCTATCGTGCTTCAGGGTTCAATCTACAAGGTCTTTGTGTCGTTCGAGCTGTGTGTGACTGGAAGAAATGCTATTACGATCATCTTTCATACCCAGAATACGACGAAGTGTAGGACAAGCTCAAATAAATCTCCGTGACAGATGAGCTTGTTTATAAGATGATGAAGTCTCGGCACATTGAGGAGCGGAGGATCGTGGGGGGCTTGTGCGGCGTGGTACGTGCAAACTAGCCCTATGCTCTCTAGCAGCCGTTCAAAAACTCCGGTCGAGAACTCGGACGTCGAGCCCCACATACCCACCACCGCGCCTGCGAGGGTGACCTGCTTCGTGCAAGAGACGTCTCCACTACCGATTCTCGTCTCGCGCCATAAGCCTCGTAATGCTCACCTTTATGATATTAACCACTCTGCGTTTGCGAGATATTCCTATTGGTGGGAGTTCTCCTTGCCTATCGCCAAGCTTCGTTTACAGTTCCCAAACAGTGGCGTCGGAACATAGATTGCTGTTTCCTTTTCTATCGGGAACAAACGGGCTAGCTGCATGTGCAATTAGTGAATCTGGGGTACAGCTGTCAGTGATCGCTGACTTCGGGTCACGCGTCCCAGACACCAAGCTACACACCAATGTGCGTGTGCAAGACGAGTCTGTCCAATTCAGGCATGGGCTTATTGTTCCTCTTTGCGAATGGTGGATGAACTTACGGATGCACAAGACCCAAGAACGCGTACAGTATGGGAACCGGAGGAATTGAACCATAGATCGCCAAGAGGTGTCCTAGTCGTGCGATATTTAAGGGGGATGTACCTGGGGATCATGGCAAGACAGCTACTCTTGGTATTCTCTTGGTATTACAATCACGACTATATAAGATCAGAGCATCGTCGACTTCCAAAAATCATCCAGCAAGCACTAAGAGTTGATCTCTGTTCCTTCTTTCCATTCTCTTCGAGACTTCCATTCTTTACAAACCACATTCTTTACCAACCAATCATCAATATGCGTTTCTTCGAGCTCGCTACTGTCCTTGCGGCCGCCGGTGCCGTCTCGGCTGCCCCTATGGAGAAGAGGGCTGCTGCCGTCGATGAGCTTGTTGGCTTCGCTGCCGGTGCTACCGGTGGCGGCAGCGGTGCCGGTACTACCGTCTCTGACTGCGCTGGTCTGACTGCTGCCGCTAAGACTGGCGGTGTCATCAAGATCAAGGGCACTCTTACCGGCTGCGGTATCATCAGGATCGGCTCCAACACCTCCCTCCTTGGTGTTGGCTCCAACGCTGGTATCACCGATGGTGGATTCCAGGTCAGGAGAGCGGACAACGTCATCATCCGCAACCTCAAGTTCTACCGTGCACCCAAGGGCAAGGATCTCGTTGACATTGATGGCTCTACCCGTGTCTGGGTCGACCACAACGACTTCTCCTCCGTTGGTATCACTGGTGACAAGGACACCTACGATGGTCTCTTGGATGCCAAGGCTGGCTCCGACTCCCTGACCTTCTCCTGGAACAAGTTCCACGACCACTGGAAGGGCTCCCTCGTCGGTCACTCCGACAACAACGGTGCTGAGGACAAGGGCAAGCTCCGCGTCACCTACCACCACAACGACTTCCAGAAGGTCAACTCTCGTCTCCCCTCGGTCCGCTTCGGAACCGCCCACGTCTACAGCTCTTGCTACAACGGCGGTATCTCCGGTGTCAACTCCCGCATGGGCGCTCAGGTCCTTGTCGAGAACAACTCGTTCACTGGCGTCACCAACGCTGTCATCACCAACCTCGACTCCGATGAGGATGGCTTCGCCACCGAGCGCAACAACCTCTTCGTCTCCTCCACCACCCAGATCACCCAGAAGGGCTCCTTCACCCCCAGCTACAAGTACACTGCTGACGCTGCTGCCTCCGTCTGCAGCATCGTTGCCAAGTCTGCTGGTGTCGGTGTTGTCACCTTCTAAACAGCTCAAGAAATTTTCGAAACCCACGACTGTCCACTGGAGGGGACGCCTGAAGGTTGACAGTCATCACGTTGGTAAAGTGGGATGGAATCTCGCTCTTTGTAAATACATTCCTTCTTAAATATACTTCGTTTGCTGTCCTGATCTGATTGCCGTTTTTGACATGAACTGTGAGCTATAATCATGAGCTGTAATTAGCATCTCCGCAAAACTTTACTGCGTGACGTAACTACAGTGATAAAAGGCTCGTTACTTGCGCGGGGGATACATCTTCTTACAGCTTGTTAGCCTGAATTTAGACAACTATGCTGAAGCTTTCGTCGCCACTAACACAAATTGTACACTGGACTGGACTGAACCTGGAGGTTCCGTATTGATCCAACGACTCGGAGGAGCTCGCGCTGATTTCGTCGAGGAAACTGCCCTCACTAAGCTCGCACTGTACTTCAGGAGCAGTGAATCGCTGCACTTCTTCACAATCAATACAAGTGAGATATATAAAAGAAAAACGTCAGAGCGTGCATCGCCTGAATTTTTCTTACCATCATCCCTGCCGTTTGTTTGTGACGCCGGACGTGCACTGTTTGTTCCTTCCACATGAATCTAGCCTTCACCTCAGCACAACGCAACTCTGTTTGCAAAAACAAACGCCCCACTTCTCTCGCTAACATATGAAGCTATACTCGAACCTCCTATCGGTCGTTGTTTGCTGCCTTGAAAAGTGGGGTTCATGGTCAAGTGAAAGCGATTCTTGTTTTGTTTACGCGCTGCGACACTTCCACACCACTGCACGCACCGCGTTCCCAGCCGCGTCCCACGCCGTTCGACAACAGCTCTTCTTTCCTACAATCGCCTCAGTCAAGATTCAACAGGTGCGTTCTTCTACCTTCTGTCTTCTGCCAGTCAGCATGTCGTTTCCGGCAGGCTCGCGCGAAGATGTGGAGGCTTGGGCTCGATCCGAATTTCCCGCCTATTTCGAAGCAACTCTTATGGCCGGAGGCGTAGGATCCTACGGCACTTCCTACTTTGGAGGAGAGTACGTGGATGGTAAGGTAGTCCTGCAGCCAATACTGGTCGCGGCATTGAAAGTTGGATTGACGACCACCGGTCAGACTGTGTATGCTCGCCTTAGGGGAGACGACGATGTCCAACTCTTCAGTGACCACAAGCTCACACCTCCAATGGAAGATAGCAAACCGAAGCGACTACTCTCCAACGACCAAAAGCTCACATCTTCAACGGAGGACAACAAATCGATCCGATGCATCATACCCGTCATGGACCTTGCCGATGTCCAGCTTCACTCGCCCTTCTACCACTCGCTCGAAACCGGTCATCCGGCTGGCGTTGATCGACTCGAGACTTTAATCAGATTCCAGTGCTTGATTCATGGTGACATGACCGCAGTGCAGCCTAAACTTGGGTTCTTCAAGACGCACTTCCGTGCCGCCTGCCGCGACGTAGCTCGTGGAACCGGTGCTGTAGTCGAAGAAGATAACTTAGACGACCTCCTTCCCGGTAAGCTCGCAACTGCGAAAGACTGAGGAGCATCATTGACCTAGATCTATATAGGTGACACACCACCCGAACTCATCGCAGATACCGATATCGGCAGGCTGCGCGACAACCCAACTGCAACTCACGTCTTCCGCAGCCACATCCATGCCTTGGACGAAAGCTACCACGACTTCAAGATAAGCGCTCTGAGGCACCTCGGCGCAATCCAGGCAGTCGAAAAGACCGACGCGGAGGAGCTTCGAGCCCGGAACAAGGAGCTCGAGCGCAGCGTTGTTCTGGCTGAAGAAAGCCGAGTGAAGCTGGAGAAGGAGCTTGCGGTCGAAAGGGAGAAGACCAAGGCAGCAACGGGCGAGGCGGTGGGATGGAAGGCTCAGTATGAAGGGTTGATGGACACGCTGCAGAGCGTTGTGGGTCGACCTTGCTGATGCTGTGGTGCATGGTCTGTGAGATTACGAAGCAATGATGACAAGGCAATGGAGATGGTTCTGATCACTTGAGATCAATGAAACCTCATGCCACAGGATGCTCGAGACGGAGATAAAAAAAAAGGGTGCGAAAAGCGATTGCATAGCTAATTCAATTGAGGTTGACATCATAATTGCTATATTGCGTGTGTCGCGGTGTGGATAACGTTGACTTCGCTCGCGAGAGCCGCCTTGCGCGACTCAGCCGCTTCACTTGCACCGGCCTCCTCACTGTGCTGCTGGATTTCCAGTCCAAGGCCCTCAAAGAAGATCTTACTAGCATCACAGCTAGTAGTAACAGGACCAATCTCCTCGCAGAACTGCGCCTGCAGGCTTAGGTAGTTGGCAGTGAGATGTGTTTCTGCGACACCACCCCTCGCTGCGTGACAATCCTGGGAAGAAAGCAGACGGCAGTGACCCACTGAACTATGACCACTATTCCTTCCCACGCTCCCTCTCCGTGAGCCTCCTCACGCCGCATCCTCCATCTCTACGTCGCCATCCAGAACCTTGCTGAGCTCCTCGTAGTGCGACTTCGTCTTCTGCACCACCCTCCTCAGCCCCTCGTACTGCGCCTTGCTCTTGGTCGCCTCCTCCTGCGCCTTCCTGGACGCCTCTTCCGCCCTCCTCGCTTGCTCTTCCGCCTTCCTTGCTGCCTCGTTGGCTGCCTCGACTTGCTCCTTCAGAGCCTTGTTCTCGGCGCGCAGAGACTCGGTCTCTCTGCGCTCCGAGGCTTGGGTGGCGTTCACGTGGTCTTCGAGATCGCTCTTGAATGACCCGAAGATCTCCTCGATAGTGCGAGGCTGTGAGGGCAAGGCTGCGAGCACACTGGTCTCGGGTAGTGACTGGGCAGCGGCGGCAGGAGGAGGCAGCGCCTTGAACTCTTGGACGACACGTTTAGCATATCCACTGATGAATGGACGGGTATACTTACTAAGAATAATCGAGCGACTGGCGGTTGCTTGCTCGCGAGCCTGTCGTGCGAGACTCTCAGCGATGTCTCGACACGCGCCCTCGAAGTTCTCCTTGAATCGGTCGACTCTCACGCTCCGCTTGCGCTCGATGTTGGCCAGCACTATGTACTGCACCAGTGCCTCTAACCTTGTCGCACCAACCTCGTCTTCGGCGGGGTGCAGCCAGTTGAAGGGCTCCTTGAAGCGGGTTGTAGGCACTGAGCAGTCATCGTGCTTGACCATGTAGACTTCGCGCCCCGATGGCATGAACCGCTGTGTGGGAGTGTCGGGTTGGATGGGTTCCTGTGGCTCGTGGTACAGCAGGAGGTAACCCTTCGAACAGCTCAACGAGGCGTAGACGGGTAGGTTCTGCTCCCCCGTCACGCCCACGATGACTCCCCAGATGTAGTGCCTGGGCGGTCCGCTGCTCGTCTCTGAAGGCTTTACGCGGAATCGGTACTCCGCCGCTGTGACATTGTTCTGGTGAAGGAATCCTTTGAGCTTGTCGAATTCATCGGGGAACGAGTTTCTAGCCCACCGATCGATGTCCTGAAGCGACTCGTCGGTAGTAAACATCTTGTGGGACTGGGAGGTTGATGAAGTCATTTTTATGGTGAGTACGTTGTCTGCGAAGAGGTTGCGAGGTAGGAGGTCAACAAAACTCTGTGAACATGGAGGCGAAGGAAACGCGCCTTCACTCTGGCACAGACCCACTTCGACAAACAGTACCAGGCAGCACGGAGTCGCGTAGAACGTTTTTTCTTACTGTAACAAACCAGGAGGTCGTCGAATTGATCAGTGACTCGGAGCTCGTGCTATCTACGGCTTCAGCAACAGCTTTCCAGTGGTCCTCCTCCCCTCGATGTCCTCGGTCGCGCGCTTGATATCCTCCAACGGATAGATCTCGTGGATCTTGACATTCAGACCGTCTTTCTCAATGAAATTCCACAGCTCTTTGGCGTACTGCTGGAGCTCATCGCGGGTTGCGATATAGTTGAACAGTGTAGTGCGCAGCAGCTTCACGTTCTTTGCCGAGAGACGTCTGTCGCGCGTTAGTATCCCAGACTGGATAATTGAAGAGAGACTTACGCAAGAGCGAATCCAGTAACGGGCCCAGACGCATTGCCAAAGCTGACCATCGTGCCCTTCCTCCTCACCACGGCCAAGCTGCTGTCGAACGTGTCTTTGCCGACCGAGTCGAACACGGCGTGCACACCCTCGCCACCAGTAATTTCCAGCACCTTCTTCACAAACACATCGCGGTCATCAGCGTGATACTCCAGCAGCACCTCCGCGCCATTCTGCTTCGCAAGCTCCCTCTTCTCGGGCGTCGACGCCGTCGCAATCGTCCTCGCGCCCACCGCCCGCAGCAACTGGCACAGCCACAACCCCACACCGCCCGCAGCAGCGGTCACAAGCACCCAGTCGCCCTTCTGCACCGCATACGCCTCGCGGATCAGCGTCAGCGCAGTGAGCGCCTGCAGCGGCGCAGCGGCGCCGATCTTGGTGCTGATCGAGTCCGGGATCGTCACGACGTAGTTGGACGGCGCCGCGGTGTACTCCGCGTACGCGTTCTGGCCCATGTAGGACACGCGCGCGCCGACGGTGAGATCGGATGGCGCGTTGGGGCCCACGGCGGCGATGGTGCCGGAGCCCTCGCGGCCGAGGATGTAGGGGAATGAGGGGGGCGCGTAGACGCCCGAGCGGAAGTAGCTGGACGGGGTCAGCACGAGGTTCTGACACGAATTGGTTGTTGCAGGGAGTGTTTGCGGGTGGTGAAGTGAAAACTCACGTGTCGATGTAGTTGATGCCGATGTACTCGTTCTTGATCAGCACCTCGTCGCCCTTCGGCTCCGGCACGGGCACGTCCGTCTTGTACTGCAGGACATCCGTCCCGCCCGTCTTCTCAATCAGAACCGCCTTCATCGTCTTCGGAAGGGACGCCATATTCCTCACGAAAACAGCTCTGGGGCCGAGCTGGCTACTCAAAGAAGCTAGTCTTGAACTCGCAATTGCAGACGTAGTAGACAGGCGAAAGGCACGAGCAGCGCAGAAAGCCAGGGACATGGAATTGAAGTTGACGGTGGGGGGATTGAGAGTCCTCAGGCGCGCAGACGCGGCTATTTATCCGCTGCCGTGATGCGTGTGTGAGGTCGCGGATGATAAATACACATGGTATATCCGAGTGAGCCCCGCTTTCGGCGCAGCACGTCATTGCGCCAAACGTCGGATGTTTACCATCTCAACGAGCTTAGAGCTACAACTTGGAGGTTAGCATGCACTCAGGCATCCTGCCGCCTGGTACGGTGAGGCTGAAGAACGAGCTCGCAGGCGCGGTTAGCTTTCGTTGGTGTGCGGACTTCGAGGCATGTCCGGCTGCGATCTCGGCTCCGGCCATCGACTACACTAAAACGACCACGCCGTGTCGTGATGTCTACACGAGGCTTCAGATTCAATAAAGGAAATAGTTTCTATCACCGCTATCACCGTGTTTCATGACGGTTCCAACAGCTGAAATCGATTCCTGCTGTTGCTGGGACCACAGAGACTGGCACCGTCCCGAATAGGAATAGAGCGTCGCCGCTGTTCAACTGCACGCCCTTCGCATGTCTTGATACTGCACTTGGGCATGCCCGCAGACACGTCCAATCGGCTAGTTGGCCAGATTCGGCATACCTAGGCAGGCAAGAAGCAATGTCGAGTTTAAATCTAAGTAGCCCGTAACACTACTAGCTAACCCTCTGCTAGACCTGTTGAAACAATCTGTATCTCTGCAAAGACTATTCAAATGCAAGAGGCTTAACCTTTATTACTACAGCATCCCTCCCTGTCACCCTTCTGATTAGCCCATCAAGTCCTAGGCCTCGTTTCAGCTGCACAATATTGATAGTGCAGGTCACCGTACCATCACGAATTCACGTTCACGATTATTGTATCCCTACGGGCAGCAACTCTTAGATCACGGAAGCATCTGGTATCGCAAGCAGATTGCAAAAAAGGGCACAAGAAAGAGCATCTAGCAAATATTCCATTCCAACACATTTTGTATCCAGAATGCCCGAGTAGCTAGGTTGGCAAGTTGTTGAACTTCCGCGGTCCAGCAACTCACACGTAGAAAAGAAAAGAAGAAAGAAAGAAAGCAGGCACCAAACCAACACCTCAAGGCTAAAGCACCCCAAAAGAAAAGAAAAGAGAAAAGCTCCACAGTAAAAGCACCTGGGGATCTCCACAAACACCCAGACACCAAATTCCCCGCTTCACAGCTAGCCGTCAATGAAAGATCTGTCGAACGCACCTCACACTTCGCCGGCATACTCCTCATTCCTGTCGAACTCATCAGAAGTAGCGAATTCGTTCTCGGAGCCGAACACAGCATCCTCGTCGCCAGCAGGCTCCGTCTTGACCACAGGCTCGGTCTTAGCGACGTCCTTGGAGTAGCCGGTTCGGAACCCATGGGTAGGCACGGGCTTCTTCCTGGGAGACTTAGTGCGCTTGACCGGGACCTCGCCGTCGTCGTCGTCGTCGTCGTCGTCGTCGTCGTCGGCAGCAGGCATAGCGGTGCGCTTACGCTTGGGCGTAGCGGAAAGCGCGCGCTGCGCGGCCTTCGCAGGTGCCTTGCGGGGCGTGGCGGGCGTCTTGCGGGGCGTAGCGGGCGTCTTCTTCACCTTGGCCTTGGGCGTGGCGGGAGGCGACTCAGAACGCGTATCCCCGGGCGCAGTGCCAGGCGTGGAGGACGCGGCGTCGCGCTTAAACGACGCCTTAAGGCGGGACCAGCGCTTCGCGACCGCGCCCTTGGTGCTGCCACACGCTTTGGCGATGGCGGCCCAGTCGTGTGTCTGTGGGTGTTAGCATCATCGCGTCTAGGGCACGGGTGGAAGAGACGTACCTTCTCGCCTGCGTGTTGCACGAGGAGCATGACGAACGACAGGTTCGTCGCGAGCGGCGCCTCGCCCTTGTCGATGGACTGTTTGAGGCGCGACCAGCGCTTCTGCGCGGTTCCCTTCTCGAGGTTGAGGGCGGCGCAGACGGGGTCCCAGTCGATCTGGGTGTGTTAGTGGGGTGCTGGATGGAGACGAGGAAGAGTGAGATGGGGGAGGAGGAGCAGGAGGGAGACTTACGACAGGAGGACCGTCGTGGGTGAGGATGAGATACAAGAACAGGATCTGCTCCTCTGTTGTCGGCATTGCAACGGTGGTGGAGTGAGAAGCTGCGGCGGTGTTTTGAGGCGGCTGGGAGTAGTAGTAGAGTGCAGCCGTGTTCACAGCTATATCTTGTAATATCTAAAGCGCTGTGGTGAAATATGTGCGTCTTCTTCGCTATCTCTGATGCTGTCCGTGTTGTCGTAGTGGAGGAGAAGAGACAGAGTGCGAGAAGGTGCAGCAAGTCACGCTTTTATCTGTGCAAGCCAGCTTCACCCTGAATCAAGGCAGCAAGAAGACAAACAGCGACGCGCTAGCATTCTTAGCGTGGTTCTGTGGCTCCGCACAGGTGTTGGCGGTGAGGCAGGTCTGTGGCTGTCTGGGTGAACGTGAGGTGAAGGATGTAGGCAGCTGGATCTTGGTGTGGTAGGACGGCAGGAAGGTGGAGGGACTGCGCGGATGCAGGGACAGTACAGGAGCTAGACAGGAGTAAGTAGAGGGAAGAAGTAGAAATTGAAGATTGATTAGAAAAGAACATCAAGAAGACCTGCAAGTAGTGTGATAGCAGGCAGGTAGAGTGACTGCAGATGAAGATGATCTAGACTTAACACTGCGAGATAGCAGCACCCCAGCATCAGTTGGGAACAGCATCCTAGTTAGACAGAAACACGCAGATATAAAGTTTGGAAGCAGAAGAAGAAGATTAACCAGAAAGCAACACGCAGAAGCCAAACCCAGCATCAAAAGAAAGACCCAGCATCAAGAGAAAGAGAGAGAGAGTCAGCATCAAGACCCAGACCCCCAACACCAAACACACCTCACCCGTCACCAAGAAACCAAATACACAGAAAGAGCAGAAGACCTATTGACAAGCAACACAACCCAGAAGAACAGAACCCAGCATTGCAAGACAGAGGCAGCTTCCACACCCAAGCCGCCGTACCATCGGGCAAACGCACGCCAGCTGGATAGAGCCAGACGGACAGAAGAAAGACGAGCACGGCAACACAGAAGAACCAAACCCAGCATTGCGAGACAAACAACACCATACCACCACGCGCCCAACCCGCCATCGCCGGATAGAACAGATAGATCGAGGAAGTGAAATGTCGACGAAAAGCAGCATGTTGGAGAACAAGACCTGGCATTGCGAGATGGCAGCAGCGTAGCACTGGTCACACGCGTCATCGTCATCGGCGGATAGAGACAGATGTATAGAGAAGGAGGACGATTGGCCCGGGCGCGAGGTTTAGAAGAAGAAGGAGTTCTAGCATCGCAAGACAGCCGCGCCGTGCCGTTCCTTGAGCGCAGCCTGGCTCGACCAGAACAACTAGACTGGGAGAAAGTGGGAATGGAATATTGACTAGAAAGTAGCATGCCGGAGAACCAGCCCCAGCATTATACCACCACAACACCTCGCGACCTCACCCCCGTCCCCCCCCCCCCCCCCCCCCCCCCCCTACGAAACCCCCAACCCCACCGGCGCCCTCTCGCCCCTCTCCCCACCTATTAGCAGCCCCTCCTCCCCCCCCCTCCCCACCAACTCCGAGAAATCCAACCCCACCTCCCTCAACAACCCTGCATGCTCCTGCGCGAGCCCCAAACACTCCCTCCACGTCTCCCCCTCGCGCTCGACGCTGCTGAGCTGGCGCTCGAGCACGACATTGAAGCGGTCGACGTGTTCTTTAGCCCATTTGACGCACGCGGACATGAGGGGCGGGGGGAAGCAGGACTGGAAGGTGGCGACGGTGTTGCGGAGGGCGAGGAAGTAGATAGAGGAGAGTTGGAAGATGTAGTCGGGGAGGTTGCCTTCGAAGGTGCACTGTCTGTATCTTATGTTAGTAGGGGGAGAAGTACGAGGGGGGTTATTTGGGGGGGGGGGGAGATGGCTTACCGCGCACGCGTCCGGATCATGGCACTGCGCGCGTCGAGGTACGCCTCGCGCGCGCGGTCCTCGAAGCCGAGCCGGATGACCCACGTGACGTGCTGCGTGACGGGCCCGTTCCAGGCGTTTCCGTCGGCGAGCTGGCGGACGAGGACGGCGGCGAGGCGGGCGGCGCGCTCGTTGACCTTGAAGGTGACGATGGTCTTTGCCATTTCGTTGCCGCGCATGTTCTGGCTCAGGGCCTTGAGCTTCTCGACTTTGGCCACGGCGGCGCTGAAGTGCTGCAGCGCTATCTCAATGTCCAGGTCGTCGAGCTGCGCTTCCACCCAGCGGATGTTGCGCGTCTGGCCGTCGATGTCGACAAAGGTGCTGGCGTTGTTGTTGGAGACGCCCTCGCTCATGGTCTCGAGGAGCTCGGTTTGGGAGCGCAGGCCGGGGTCGCGGGACAGCATGTGGTTGTAGCTGTCCTGGGTGCGGTCTTTTTCCTCGACCTCAGCTTCCTGGCTCTTGCGCAGGTCGTCCTTGGTCTTGCGGAAGGTGGACAGGAAGGTGATTTTGTCGCCTGTGTCCTCCTGCTTGGTGTCGAGCGTGATGGACTCGTTGCCGACGCGGATGATGACGCGCTCTTCGGGGGCGCGCGAGACCTGGACGTCCTGCAGGGCGAAGCAGCGCTGGGCGACGTATTCGACAGCCGAGCGGTTGCGGTCGCGCTGGCCGGCGATGTCGTTGCGGGCCTTTTTCTCGGCGGCGAGCAGCAGGTGGTCGTTGAGCAGCAGCAGGCGCACGCGGCGGCGGGCCTTGAGGGTGGCCGAGTCCAGCTCGAACCAGCGGCGCGACTTCCACACGATGAAGCGGCCCGGGATGGGCGGGAGGTACTTTTGCGAGCCCTCGACGTCGCGGTACAGCTGCTGCAGTTGGCCGGCGCGGATCTGGTTGAGGTCGCCGATGGAGCTGCGGTTGGCGCGACGGGCGCTGACGGCGTCGTTGGCGGTGGCCGAGGCCGTCTGCTCGAGGGTGGTGGTCAGGTCGGCCATGAGCTGGCGCAGGGTGCGCATCTCGCCCTTGAGCTTCTCGGCCTCCTTGCTGATCTTGATGAACTGCGTGCGGTTCTGGTAGACGTTGCTCTGCAGGTCGACCGAGGTGCGGTGCTTGGCCTTGCGCAGCTCCTCCTGGTAGCGGCGGATGTCGTCCTCGGAGGCGTCGGCCAGCATGGCGGCCACGTACTGGTCGGCCTGCAGGTTGGGGTCGCGCAGCACGCGCATGTCGACGCGCAGGCTGCGGGCGTCGGCGGGCCGGTCGTCGCGGTCGCGCGTCTGGCTCGGGTCGCGGTCGCGGTACTGGCTGGGCAGCGGCGGCAGGGCGGGCATCGGGGCGCCGGCGCCGGGGAAGTCGCTGGGCAGCTGCATGACCTTCTGCGAGTAGCGGCGCTTGACCAGGTCGGCGGTGCGGTCGGCGCGGGCGCGCTGCTGGCGGTCGTCCGGGCCCCGGCTGCGGTCGCGGGCGGAGTCCTGCGACGGGCGCGAGGCCTGCGGCAGGGCGGTGGGCATGGGGGCGCTGATCTGGCGCGGGGCGCTGATGGTCGGGGCCGTCTTCTTGCTCTTGACGCCGCGCTTCTTGCGCAGCGACATGCCCTTTTGCTTGTCCGACATGGTGGGCGGTCGGGAAGATTGGCGATCGAGGGTCGGGTGGTGGTATGGTGTGGGTGTCGGGGACCTCCTGGGTGTCGAGGACCTGGCTGCGGCGGCGGGTGTTGGGGAAGATTGGCGACTGAGGGCCAGGAGATTGGCGCGGATGGCCTGGCTGCCTGGGAGAAGGCGGTTGACTGGCCGGGCGAGGGCAGACTGGCGGCGGTGGCCTGCGATGCGGATGGGTTGCGGATACCTGCGGTGCTGCGGTGCTGTCCACGCTGCGTCAAGCTGCCGCACGGACGTCCCGCGCCGACGACTGCTCAAAAAGTCGTCGCGCCCACCCATCGATCGCCCCCGACCCGCCGCCCGCCATGTCCCAGCAGAGCTCGCTCAAAACATCGACCGTCGTCGCGCTCGGCGTCGGCACCGTCGTCGCCGGCCTGCTCGCGTACGCCGCCTACTTCGACAACAAGCGCCGCAACGACCCCGAGTTCCGCAAGGCCCTGAAGAAGGAGAGCAAGCGCACCCAGCGCCAAGCCAAGGAGGACGCCGCCCACCAGGGCGCCGCCCAGAAGCAGGCCATCCGCGAGGCCGTGGCGCTGGCCAACGAGGAGGGCTTCCCCAAGGACCCCGAGGAGGTCGAGGCCTACTTCATGCAGGAGGTGGCCCAGGGCGAGGGCCTGGTGCAGAAGGGTATATACCACACATGATGCCTGATATACTGGATACTGCTGACTCCGCTGGCTCCCAGGCGCCGACAACGTCGAGGCCGCGCTGTGCTTCTACCGCGCGCTCAAGGTCTACCCCAACCCGCGCGAGCTGATCAACATCTACGACAAGACGGTGCCCAAGGTGCGTCCGCCATCTCCCATATAACACACCACACACTAACGACCCAGCCCGTCCTCGACATCCTCGCCGAAATGATCGCCGTCGACACATCCATCCCCGTCGGCGACAGCAAGACGCCGTCCGAGTCGGGGTCTGCCGGCGACCTCGAGTAGCCGTGAAGCGTGCACTGAGCCACTCCCTTGGTCGTCAAGCGTGCATTGAGCCACTCCCTTGGGCGCCTGTAATATTCTTGTACATGTAATCGGTCTGCAGCCTGGCATAGAAACACGTCCACATCACAGACATTGAGAAGCATGGATTGTAGTCGTCGATGGTAGCGTGCTTGGCACGACTCGTATGCTACAGATGACAGATGACAGTGACGGCACGGTGCAGCCCGCCCATGCCCGTGAAACGCCTTGCTCCATGTGGGTGAATACAACGCAAACAAGCACAAGACGCGCCTCAGCACGCGCACGAGTTCTGCTCCTGCGGCTGGCTGGGGTTGATGTTGACGTCGATCACTGCCGCCGTTAGCACCCGCCTCACTCCCCTCGATGCGTGACGTACTCTGGCTCTGCCCCTGCTGGCCCTCGCCCTCCATGCCCGGCAGCGCCTGCGCGATGCGCTTGAACAGGGCCTTGACGTTGTGCCCGACCTTTGCGCTCGTCTCGATGAACATGAGGTTGTTCTTCTTGGCCTCCTCCTCGCCCTGCGCGGTGGTGACCTCGCGCTTGTCGTTCAAATCCGTCTTATTGCCGACCAGCACGATGATCACGTCGTTGCCGCGCTCGCCCCGCACGTCGTCGACCCACTTGCGCGTGTTCTCAAACGTCTTCTTGTTGGTGATGTCGTAGACGACGACGGCGACGGACGAGTCGCGGATGTACGAGGGGATCAGCGAGCGGAAGCGCTCCTGGCCGGCCGTGTCCCAGAGCTGCAGGCGCACGGTGCGGTCCTCGAGGTACATGGTCTACACGGTCAGCCAAGTACAACTGCAACAGCCAGGCGGTGAGCGCACCTTGGACAGGAAGTCGATGCCGATGGTCGCCTGGTACGTGTTGTCAAACGAGTCGTACATGAAGCGCGTGATGAGCGACGTCTTGCCCACTGCTGCCGTCAGTCGTGCTCGTCATGGTCGTCGCGCCCGTCGCGCCCCCCGCGGGTCCGGCTGCCTACCGCTCTGCTCGCCCAGGAAGACCAGCCTGCGCGCATTAGCAGCGCCCGTAGCACGTGCAGGCGACTCACTTGAACTTCTTCAGCGGGTTCGAGTACCCGGATTGCGCCATGGTGAGGTGGGGAGACGGCCGGTGCTGCTCTGTCTGCGGTCCTGTCTGCGGTCCTGAGGGGAGATGCAGGGTCCGGAGGTTGGCGTGGGGCGTTTGAATAGGAGATGCGGCGACGCTCCCCACACCGCCGCCCGTGCAGGGATCCGGCCATGTATGCCGCTAGCGCCCGCCTAAATTTTGGAAAAGATGGATGCGATAGAGCCGCCGCAGTCTGCTGCCCACACCCAGCACACCAGCACCCGGCACACCAGCACGCCATGTCCGACGCCGCGCCCGCGCAGTACAAGCAGAAGAGCCGCAAGGGCAAGAAGGCCTGGAGGAAGAATGTCGACGTCACCGCCGTTGCGTCGGGGCTGGACGAGGTGCGGGACCAGATAATCGCCGGGTACGCCTCACGTTGCTGCACACGCCTACTATATGGTGTCTCCTTCTGCATACTGACTTCTCCAGCGGCGTCATCGCCGAAAAACCCTCGGACCAGCTCTTCGCCATCGACACCGCCGGCGACGCCGCCGTCCAGAAAAAAGTCCAGTCGCGCCACAAGCCGCTCAAGGTCGACCAGATCCTCGCCGCCCGCTCCGCCGTCCCCGCCGTGCCCTCCCGCAAGCGCCTGTCCGAGCTCGACGACGAGGGCAAGCGGAAGAAGGCCAAGGTCTCCGGCCGCGAGTACGACCGCCTGCGCGCCATTGCCTACGGCGGCGAGCAGGTCAAGAAGGACGTCGTGCAGTCCGGCGCCACCGCCACGTACGATCCCTGGGCCGTGCAGCAGGTCGTCGAGGAGCCGCAGTTCTCGTTCCTCGAGAAGAAGAAGCCAAAGGTCGAGCCCACCACCCTCAAGCGCGCGCCAGTCTCGCTCGCCAAGGACGGCAAGAAGATCCCCGCCGTGCGCAAGCCCGCCGCCGGCAAGTCCTACAACCCCAACTTCGACGAGTGGCAGGCCCTGCTCATCCGCGAGTCCGAAAAGGCCGTGGCCGACGAGAAGAAGCGCCTGCAGGAGGCCCAGGAGGAGGCCGAGCGCATGGAGCGCGCCGCCGCCGACACAGACGAGGACTCGGGCGAGGAGAGCGTGTGGGAGAGCGAGTGGGAGGGCTTCAGCGGCGACGAGGCCGCAAAGGCAAAGGCAAAGCGCCCCGAGCGCAAGTCGGCCACACAGCGCAACAAGATCAAGCGGAGAAAGGACGCCGAGCGCGCCGCCGTCCACGACGCCAAAATGAAGGCCAAGGACCAGCAGGTCCAGATGATCAAGGCCCTCGCCCGCAGCGTCGAGGAGAAGGAGCGCGCCCGCGACGCCGCCAAGACCATGGCCCTCGCCATCGAGGCCGAAGCCGCCGGCACCCTCGACGTCGACGACGGCGACCTGCTCGAGCTGCGCAAGAAGCAGTTTGGCCGCATCCCGTACGTCCTGATATCCCGATATCCCCCCTCCTACCAAATCACATCGCTAACAATGTCCAGCATCATGGAAGCCCCCCTCGAAGTCGTCCTGCCCGACGAGCTGCGCGACTCGCTGCGCGCCCTCAAGCCCGAGGGCAACCTGCTCAAGGACCGCTTCCGCAGCATGATGCTGCGCGGCGTCGTCGAGCCGCGCCGCCACATTCCCTACGCTAAGCAGAGGAAGTACACCGTCTCGGAGAAGTGGAGTTATAAGGACTGGGAGTTGCCGGCGGCGCAGTAGATGTACAAAAGGTGGTTGGATTTGGCTGGAGTATGGATACCCTTTGTTCGCTTCATACGGTTTTGTTGGCTGTGATGTGATGTGGTGTGTTGTGAGGTGTTGTGATGTCAGTGATGAGGCTCTAACATACTGCATTTAGGCTTGCACTCGATCAGATGGTATGCAGCGCTGATGGCCTTGGTTCCTACATCTCGTGATGCTGGGAAAGCGTGCTTTGTACAGGAGATATCCAGGCCAAACCTCCTTGTCATCCGCAATCCCTTGACTCCCCTCCAAGCATTTCCACGCTGCTCTAACAGATTAAACAATTCCTCCACAAGACCTACTTTCCCATCACAAGCACACGCCTCCACAAAAACCTCGCACCCGCTAATCAATCGCTTTATCCGCAACATCCAAACGTCGTCCACCCCAGCACAGACACGACGTCATCCCGCCTCCCTCACCTCGGACCCCGGCACGCGCCGAACCACCCCAACACGAACACGACCCCTACGACCACCGCACTGCAAGCCCCCCTGAACCGCGGAAATGCCTTGACACTTCCACACACCAATTGCGCATGACACGCCCACGCCCACACCGCAGGCAACATGCCACCCCGCGTCTCGCTGCGCCGGAGCACAACGCCGCCGCGCTCGTCCTCCTCCTCCAACAACAGCAGCAACAATAACGCCCCACTCCTGAGCGAAGCAGAGGCGTATGAACTGCGCCCCCTGGCGCACTCTGTCCCGGCGCCGCTCCTCACCAAAAATCAAGACGGAAACCAAGACGAATCTCAAGACGAAAACGAAAACGAAGACCAAGACGAAGACCAAGATGAACGCGACCTCGACCACGCCCATCACCGGCGCCGCCTGTCCTTCGACTCCGTCGCTAGCTACGAGTTGTACACGCCCGACGAGGACCGGGCTGTTCTACGGCGCTTGGACCGCAGGCTTGTGGGGTTTATGGCTGGGTTGTACTGTTTGAGTTTTTTGGACCGGACGAGTGAGTGTTTATCTGTGCTGTGTTGTGTTGTGTGTGCGGGGCGTTGGTGTGGGGTGGGAGGGGTGTGAGATGATATGTGAGAGATGAGAGGGGAGAGATGAGAGGGGAGAGATGAGAGGGGAGATTCAATGCGATGCGAGGAACGGACTGGGTGAGAGTGCTGGCTAATGTGACTACACACAGATATCGGCAACGCGCGCATCGCAGGCATGCAGGACGACTTGCGGCTCTCCGAGGGCCAGTTCGAGCGCCTGCTGTGGGCCTTCTACGCAACGTACATCGCGTTCGAGTGGATGACGCTGCTGTGAGTGACTACCCACCCAGCGGGGGAGCACTGCTAATCCGCCAGGTACCGCGTCATACGGCCGCATGTCTACATCGCGATATGCATCTTCTCGTGGGGCACCATCGCGTGTCTGCAGTCCGTCGCGCCCTCGTTCAGCGCGCTGGTGCTGCTGCGCGCGCTGCTCGGCATCGCAGAGGCCGCGTTCGGCCCCGGCGTGCCGTTCTATCTGTCCTTCTTCTTCCGCCGGCGCGAACTCGCGTTCCGCACCGGGCTGTTCATCTCCGCCAGTCCGCTGTCGTCGGCGTTCGCGGGCGCGCTGGCCTGGCTCATCACCAAGCTGGCCGCCAGCACCCCGTTTAGCCCGTGGCGGCTGCTGTTCCTGCTCGAGGGGTTCCCCAGCATGCTGGTCGCCGTGTGGGCGTGGAACTTCGTCCCCGACGGGCCCGGGTCGGTGCGCTGGCTGACGCCGCGGCAGCGCAAAGTCGCCGTGCTGCGGCTGCGGCAGGAGAAGGAGGCCGACGACGCAGACGAGCTGTATCCAACGCAGAACCGCGGCGTCAACCTGCGAGAAATCCTCCACACCCTCAAGGACCCCAAATCCTACCTCACCGCCTTCATGCTGTTCGGCGCCAACGTCGCCTTCGGCAGCATCCCCGTCTTCCTGCCCACCCTCGTGCGGGACATGGGCTTCAGCGCCCTCACCGCGCAAGCCCTCACCGCGCCCCCCTACCTCGTCGCCTTCGTCGCCGTGCTCGCCACAGCACACTACTCAGACCGCCTACAGTCCCGCTCTGTGTTCATCATCCTGCACGCCCTGCTCGCCAGCGGCGCATACACGCTCCTCGCGCTCCTGGGCTACTACGAGTCCCCCCGCAGCACGCTGCGCTACTTCGCACTCTACCCCGCCATCACCGGCTTCTTCAGCTGCGTCACCGTGATCATCACCTGGACACTGAATAACCAGGGGTCCGACAGCGGGAAAGGCGCGGGCATGGCGCTGCTTAATGTCGTCGGCCAGTGCGGGCCGCTGGTCGGCGCGAGCGTGTTTCCGAGCACAGACGGGCCGTGGTATGTCCGTGGTATGGCGGTTTGTGCGGGAGCCATGGGGCTCGTGGGGTTGTTGGCGGGGGTGCTGAGGTGCGTGTTGGTGAGGGAGAATCAGAGGGCGAGAAGGGGGGAGGGGGGGGAGGGGGGGGTATGCTGGGGTTGCGGGTGAGGAGGGGGAGGGGGCGGGAACGAGGGGGGGGAAGAGGGGGTTCGAGTTTATGCTGTAGAAGAATGGATTTCTTGAGCTCTGGGTAACGTGGACTATGTGTGTGTGTGTGTGTGTGGAGTGAGTAAAGGGAGTGGGGTGTGGAGATGGATGGGTGTGGCGCGGGTCGTTGCGCGGGTCTAGATCCAACTGTGGACTGCGTTCGTGAGAGCCGTGAGGAGGAGTGTAATCGTGGACGAAACCCAGAATTCCCTCTTGCTCACAATGCGGGAAACCCCCCTGTCAGCCCTGTCAGGGACTTGCATGTGAAGGTTGTGAGGCTACCTGTGGTAGGGACGTGGGCAGGTAACTGTCCTTTTGTTGAAGTGTGCTTGCCTTACGTTTGTGATGATATATAACGATACGACTTCTCTAGAGCCTCTACGAGCGGTTCTGTCAGTCTAGTTGAAGAGCGGTACTAAGGATGTAGAGTATCTCTTGCTAGCAGTCCTTACAAGAACGCCTCTAAAGTGTGCCTTACTAACGTGGTATATAGAGTCTGGCCTCCTCATGTACTTCCAAAACCGAGCAACTCACCGTTCAAGAAGCCCTGCAATTGCGCCTTTCCTTGTCTATCTACTTCTCTCCCCTCATCCTCTTGTACACCTCGTAATGTTCCATAATCAGCACCCGCAGCAACGCCGGCTCCTTGACAACATACGTCTCCGCAAGCACCCTCCTCTGTGCAGCCGTCTCGCCAATCAAGCCCCTACACGGATCCCTCGACAGCGTCGGCTGTTCGCTGAGATTGTGCTCCCGCACATACGCCCTGTCCTCCTCCGTCGGCGGCCCAATCAACGCCGTCACGTCCACGAACCCCATCGGCTCATACGGCACCTCATTCTCTTCGCCCCCCACCGTCCACATCGGCGAGTTCCAGTACGCCTCCAACTGCCAGTCAAACGACACGCTGAACGAGATGCGCGGTCTGGGCTGCCGCTCCCGCAGCCGCACCACCACGGGGCTGAAGTCCGCCCAGCAGAACCCCCGCGCGGTCTTCTGCAGCCGGATCGCCAGGTGCTCCAGCCGCGGGAGCTGCAGCAGCGCCTCCCAGCGCACGCGCGACGGGGACCCCCGGCACGCAGCTTCGAGCGCGTCCAGCGGCAGCGGATCCGGCAGGGACGCTTCTACGGCGTCGATCTCCAGCCGGCGGATGTGCGTCTCGTACGCGGGGAACGCGCTACGGCCTAGCGGGCTCGGATGGCGGTCTGAGAACTGCACGCGGAAGGTGGCGTGCGTGTAGAAGGCCTCCAGTAGCTCGGGTGTCAAGGCGGCCGTGTCGTGGAGCGCCGGGAGGGCGAGGCCTGCGAGTCCGGTGCGGACGGCGTCCAGAGGGACGGAGGGCAGGTCGCGAAAAACGAACGCGTAGATTAGGTCCCGCAGTTCGCGGGGGAGCCGCAGGAGGTGCGCGGCCAAGGCGGGTGAGTGGCCGGCGGTCATGGTGAAGGTGGGTGTGGGGAGATGTCAAGGGGGGCGTCGATGGAAGTTAACTTGCATTGCTGCCTGGACGCGTAACCGCCCTGTGGAGTATCCACATGAACACTGGACGTTGCGTGTCCAGGCAGACGCCAGGCTGACCTCCACGCGATGTAGGTACATAGCCCCGTTCCTTAGTAAGTGCTGACTAACAGGATTACACCACTGCAACCACGTCCAACCACTCAGACTGACGGGAGGTCAGATATTATCACCTAAACGAATGAGCCCTGCCTATGCATACCCTACTATCGGTGCTTATTAAAATGTACATACCCTCCCAAGACTGGCATAAGGGTTCATCTACTGATAACGTACCAATAAGCCTACAGTTGAAAGCACTGTTCCAGATTTGAGGAGTGCGTAGCGCGGAGATGGTTAACCTCTCCTCTATCAGATTTGTCGTTTCAGCCAACATCCTCACCAGATAATGTGTTTATTCCGAATCGGCCCAAAGGACCTTACCGCTGGAAGCAGATCATATAGAGTCTGTTCCTGTGGAAAGCTAGAAGACTTGAGTAGCTGATCAGGTGCGAGAATGAGTGATCAAACTCATCTATCGGTGTATTTACTGAACAGGTTGGTACCTACTTATCCTCACCCTGATCTTGCACGCTAATCCTTTTGTGTGCTGATCCTGTGTATTCGTCCGATTGGCTAGCTTGAGTTGGTGTGATCCTTCACGTTGATCATGTCTTGATCCGCCCAAACAGTGAGCCAAGTTTTCCACTCAACAGTTCCTAATTGCGAGCATGCAGAGGAATCAATCATTACACATTGAAGCTACGGAATTTACTTGGGGCAATGAGTGAGCTCTATGTAAGCGCTGAGTTTGATCTTGCGATACAATGTGCAAGGGTTCTTGAAGCAGAAGAGAAAAATCAATAGTGATCTCCTGTTTCTGTTAAAATTTGATTACACGAGTGAGCAGGCACTAATATGCATTGGGTCTCCTTCCTGTCTTTTTCAAATAGCAATGTTCCTCGCCGCCCACCAGCCCTTACTGCCTCCTAACATGTTCGTCATTCCGTCTTCCCGTAGCTGTGCCTTCCTAACGCCCACACAAGCGGGTGTTTACACCAGAAGAGCAGAAAGAGCATGCGGGTACAAGGCACACGCCCCTATCTATCCTCACACTTCTGCCCTCTTCTCCATTCTCACTCCACTCACAACTTCACAAATCTTCACATCGTGCAGACATCTTCGCCTTCTAAAATCCTTTGTAATCTATTCCACTCTATCTGCTCTGCCTTTGCTGATTTTTGAACTTCAGAATGTCTTCGGCCGCCATCGTACTCTCTCGTCGAAAGCCTGGCACGCCGAGCTTGCATCATCACCAGTCCAACAGCTACACCTGCACCTGCTGTGACCGACCGATACCTGTCTTCAGCGTCCACGAGCACCCAACAGGCTGCATCCACCGAAGTGAAGGTACATATTGGATTGCCAGAGTTCTGAAAGAAAGGATACGAGGGCCCACTTCCACAGGTAGGGTTGGCCGCCCTTTGGTCTTACTCCTCCATGCTGAGAACTGCACTCTGAATGGCGGTTAGGGTAAGTATACCCCTCCCCTCGTTGATGACTAACAATTAAAAGAACAGCTGGAGAGAGCGGAAAGTGAGGGGCGGCGGGCCTTTTCTATTGTACAGCAGTTTCTCCCAGCCTACCAGTCAAGCGAATTTCGCGCAGGCTGACCCGGAAAAACTGTGTGCAGATTTTTTTCCCCAGTCAGCATGTAACGCGGTTCCGGTTGTTCACTTCTTGGCCCTGATCCACGGTTTGCGCGACCCTTTCGTCGGATATTCTTGCAGGCTGTGACTGGCCATTCCCAAACTCGATATCTCAACGCCCCCGAATTCAATTGCTGCCCATCACGGTTCCGGCATTCAAAGAATCATTTGGTTGCTGGATGAGCTGGTTTTGATGACGCGGCTGGAGGGCTGAACATTCTGTGTCGTGTAGGGATTCTGGAACCTTGCGGGTACACATGCGGGAAAGCATGACGTAGTTCTTTTTGAGAGACCGAGAATGAATGCAGCTCAATCACGTTTGAGATATGTGCACCTGTCTTGTAAATAGTCTATGCATGGCACTACGAAGTAGAACAGATGGTATAACTCGACTGTTCAAGCGAAATGCCGATACAGATTTATTGGTGGGGAAGCGGCGCATGGTGAAGGTAAGTTTACTGTCACCACGGTTAAGCTGGCTCAATGTGTTTCTATACGAGTCCGGGTCACCAACCATGGCACCTCTGCTAATGTAATCGGCCTATTGCTTACATACCATTAATCGATCCGCCGTCCTGGTAGCCAGTATCTTGGAACTGAAAGCCTCCTTAAGGCTTCCTCGTACTGCAGTGCTGAGTTGTAGAAAGCTGGAAGACTTAACAAGAGCAAGAGATGAAATCGATCTGCTACAGTACTGTACATTTTGCCTCGGTGAGTATTCACTTATACTCGTGGATCTTACGTACTTAGGTAGGTAGTCTTTATCTAGAATAATCTACTCCATTTAAGTTGCTACGCTCTCACCCTTGATACATACCATGATCTACTCGGATGATATCCTATATTGTTCGTCTAATACAATGGTATGTTGCTGGCAATATGCGCTTTAAAGGCATAGCCTCGTTGCTTAGTAAGATGCTGACTGAAAGAGGAGAACAAAACCATATCATGCAAGAAGTTTTGACAATCTTTTCAGGATTCGTTCTTACTAGGATTTGTACGCCCGAACAAAGTCATCCAGTTGTGATTCTTCAGTTCATTGGCTATAATAGAACAATTCGATACTACAAGAGTGCCAAGTGGTCGAATGTGCCTGAGCAGTCTGCAAATCTACATCCCTATGACGAAATAAAGCAAAGATTTGGTGATTTCTCACGCAATCGGCCCATTTCTAAGCATTCGCAGCACGTCTTTGCGGATTGACGAATCAGAAACCGTGCGGCCGGGCCGAGCCGGACTTCAGCAAACAACGTCATTGCCCATGAGGGTACTAATAGCAGCAAGTAGCCGACCAAAAACCGCAATTCAAACCAAAATCTGTAACGCTCCGGATCACCAATTGAAGTCCTCCGCGTTCTCACAACCTTGTACTTGCAACACTGATCTTACAACGCCGTGCTCTCGCAGTCCCACCCGCAACAATGTCCCACCACATCCTCCTCATCGGCGGCCACGGCAAAGTCTCCCAACTCCTCACCCCCCTGCTGCTCTCCCGCTCCTGGACCATCACATCCATGATCCGCAGCGCCTCGCAAACCCCCGCCATTGAAGCCCTCGGCACCAACCAGCCCGGCAAACTCAACGTCCTCGTCCACAGCATCGGCGACGTCAAGACCGAAGCCGACGCACAGCAAATCATCGAGCGCGTCAAGCCCGACTGGGTCGTGTGGAGCGCAGGCGCGGGCGGCAAAGGCGGCCCGGAGACGACCCTGGCGATCGACCGCGACGCGGCTGCTGCGTTCACCAGGGCGAGTGTGAACACGCCCAGCGTCAAGAAGTTCCTGACTGTGTCGTATTTGTCGAGTCGGCGCGGGCGCGCAGGGTGGTGGGCGGACTCCGACTGGGAGGCTGCGCAGAAGACGAACAATGAGATACTGCCGACGTACTACAAGGCGAAGATTGCGGCGGACGAGGTGTTGACTGTGCTGTCGAGGGAACGGGTTCAGAAGGAGGAGAAGGATGGAGTACCAGCGAAGGAGCAGTTTGCGGGGATTAGTCTGAGGCCGGGAATCCTGACGGATGAAAAGGCGGGTGGGGTCAAGGTGGGCAAGATCGGAGTGGGAGGGGATAGCAGCCGTGGGACCGTAGCGCACGCGATTGTGGCTGCCTTAGAGACTGGGTTCAAGGGCTGGGTTGATGTTATTGATGGTGATGAGGAGCCTACTGCGGGAATCCAAAAGCTTGCGGATCAGGGCATCGACACTGCTGAAGGGGAGGACTGGGAGGCGGCAAAAGAGAGGGTAGCGAAGTTGTAGGCTCGGTCAACTCGTTTACAGCTAAATGTCTGATCGCCTATGGTAACACAAAAGTATGAATACAGCGACACTTCTGCTTCATTTTCACAGTCCCCGTACGAGCAAGCACTAAGTTTCCCTGCAGCCTTCATATGGAGGACACTTCAGACATGTCTTCCAGACGGTCAAGACGTTGCCTGCATGAGTTCGAGCAATTACTCAATGTACAGCATCTGGCTAATCTCTACTGACACAACCAAGGCTCGACGGCAGTGCGCTGCCGAACCGCAGTGTCCAAAGCTGGCATAGCTTACACAATTCTGTCACCGCTATCAAGCACAAAGTACAAACCGCCTGAGCTGAAGATGCACCAGTGGGTGCGGGGCGAAACTTGCTCTCTTCCAGGTTGAAGCAAACGACACCTGGAGGCGGTGTGTGGGTGCATGGAAGTATCAGGAGTACAAAACGCAACGCCTGCAGATCGAGTAGTACAAGGTGTTGTTAGCAAGAAGCACTCTCAACACGCTGATAGAGGGTGCAGGCGTCTTTGTTGGAGAATTCAGAAGGTAGGATACGATGTGGCAGACAAGTAAAAGGCTTTTTCAGCAGCCGTTCAAAACAAGAAGCGAGTTCACGAGACGAATAAGTGGTTAGATACCTGGTGAAAGGAGGGTGTTACGAACCTTGCGAAAACATATGCGTAGCTGCCCTCTCCGCTGTGAGAAATCGTCGCCTACAAGCATGTGCAGCCCCCCCTTGACTATGGAATACATATGTAGAATGGCTACATACGTTTGGTGTAACATCATGCAGAGTAACAACATGGGACCTGACCAATCACAGAGTCACTTCCTCGTCACTACTACCTGCATCATGAAATCTGACCCACAGTTGTGGGATCTGCACAAATTGTGAACGGCCATAATGTTGTTGCAATCGGTATTGTATCACATTGCCGGTGGCAAACTGGCCTTTGGGTGTTTGTCGTTTCGAGAGCTCCTTCACATAAAGCTCCCTCTCCCTACGCAAACAAAGACCACACTGGTCAAGCTCCTTGGTCACTCCCCTTTTCCAAGCTCTGCTCAAACGCTCTCTGCTAGTCCAGCGCCTCTTACTCCGATTTCCAACAATCATCCTTCACGTCAACACATCGTGCTCACAACCTGCACTTACGTCATCATGGCATCCTCCGTACAGCCAGGTAAGAGCTGTCATCTCGCATCAGTGAGTACTCCCTTACACAACCAATCTCATATCAAAATAGAGCCAGACCGGACTGGACCTGGTCCCCAAGCAGACAACTTCGTAAGTCCATTTGGTGCATGATGTGGAGTGCGTGAGACTGATTCAGACTAAAGAGCGACGTTGACTTCCAACGTCTGATCCGATGTTACAATCGTCTGAAAGCCGAGAGTGCGACGAAAGACAGGAAGATCGCCGACTTGAGACGGCAGCTCAGGATCTCTGCTAGGTATCGCTCACAGCGACCGAAAAATGGCGCAACTCCAGGGGGTGCTGCACGATCTTAAAGCCAAAGTCGAGGCTATTCAGCGTAAACAGGCACCTTGGCTTGCGGATATCCAGGAGACGATTGATGCAATGGATTGATGCAATGAAGCGCGAGAATGGAGAGCTCAAGAAAGAAGCTGGACAGCTGTGACGCCATGTGACGCAATAGTCACCTTTCGTCAACCTCACTCTCGCCTTCATCGGCACCGTCTTCATCTGACGCGACATTGTCTATTGGGCTATCACAAAGCTCGTTGTGAAGAACGTAAGCAGATAGACTAGTCACTGTTGCATAGCAGCTATTCAATCAAATTCAAGCTGTTTTGCCATGACCCCTACAAGATAGGCCCTTTTCATTCACACCTCACCATCTTTGGGAGAATGCCAAGAGAAGACAAACTGTTCTCCACTTGCGTTGTTCCCATTCCATGTCCAAGATGCTTGCACGAGACGAAGACGGGGTCTTTTTGAATGAATTTGCAAACTCTTGGGCATGGAAAGCCCCACCTCTGTTGAAACGAGTGCTCCTTTGACGACGTAGCTTTGTGCCCTTGGTGAGGTGAGTAGTCTCATCATGTTGGAGAGGTGTAGGCGCGATGATATGGAGAGCAGGTGGTTCGGCAGTGTCGAAATCCTGGGCGAACGCGCCGGTGGAGCGAATGGGGAGCCTGATCACGTCGGCTGCAACTTGAACCTCATTTCCAGCCTGAGCCACAGCCTCAGCATCCTCGTAATAATACTCTTCCAAAGTGGGATCCGCCATTTCCTCGTCAAGGTCCTCACCATGATCTGCACACTTCTCTTCCTCATCTACACCAGTCAGCTCTTCCATCCTGAACTCCCGTAGCTCATCTAGTTCTACGCGAACCTTCTTCAGAACCTACAACGAGTTCACATCTTTCTTGTGTGTATCTTCGTTAATGCTTGTGTGATATGTCTGTTCGGCAGAGAGCCTCCAATGATCTGCCTCGTTCCACTCGTCAAGGGCACATGCGATGAGCATGCAGTTCTGGATTACGTAGTAGGGAGAAAGCGTGGGGTCACTACGACGTCAGTAGAGTTCGAACGATTCATGGCCACAATATCCAATTTCGCAGCGCAAAGATGGCCATAGCTCACGTTCATACTGTTGCTAAGTCCTGCTATAGATGGTGTTCACTTACGTCGAGTTGGTCTTTGATTACACGAGCCATCATGACAAGAATGAGGGGCGCCGTAGGTCAGGGTGAGACGGATGCGCGTCTGCTAGGTAAAGGGTTATTATAATCGTTGGCGATATTTGCAGACCCCTACACCTATAGAACAGATTACACGATGTAGGTACGTATTACAGAGGTAGCATCAACAAATTATCCTATCATTAATTAATTCCAACGTTATCCTGCAGGACATCTAACTAGACTTCTACAGCTAATTAGAGGCCCTTGTTACCTATAGGTACATCTCTTTTCAATAGTTCCAGTGTGGGTCTGCATATTCTTACAAGCACCGATACCTACCTACTGCTTTTGAGAGAGACCGAAATTGAAGCCATTCCTTCGATGGCACTATTCCTTCCTAGGTCTTGACGTAAAGGATGTGTGGGACGATATACGGTACACAACAGTGCCTATATGAATGCGTTTTGGGCGACGTCTGCATACTGCACTTAGGCATGTCCGAGTTGCCACCGACGTAGCTGCAATGCAAGAAACGAAGGATAAATAACATTGACAGGCAGCTTTCTCGTGCAGTCGCGCTTAAGTGGAGGCATTCAGTCGTGACTTGGAAGCCTATTGGCTGTGCTAAAGGACACTTCGATCCTACAAAACTGCCAGGAAGCGACTCGGACGTGCCTGGGTGCAGTACTGCAGATGTCTGTTGAGCCTGGGATGGAGAGACAAATAAACGAGCTCCGTAACACCTTGGCGGGCCCTGTGCTGGTCCATTCGCCTTAGATGTTTATTTGTAGCCGACTCTGCTTGCAGCATTGCGGCACTGGAACAGTATCGTACGACTTCAATAGCGGGCCCCCATCTTTGCGTGCAAGACTCCGATGGCTTACCTTTGCAACAACAGCGCTGCTGACCACGTGTACTGTCGCGGGCTGTCATCATGACTAGGAGCGCAGATGTAGAGCATCCAAAGTTTGTAGTTGGAGGATGCGGCGTCGCGGGAAGCCTAAATTCGGCTATACGGATCAGCAGAGCACGAATCAACAGCCATGAAGCGCCGAAAAGCAACAGGTTGTGTAAATCTGGAGATATGGGGAGATAGACGAGTCGTTAAGAGGCTTGTCTATCATTTGTACTCACACTGTCTGACAAAGTAGTACAACACCAAATGTCAAGCCACATCAATTCACCAATCCCATGCTCCCGTTGGACCCTTATCACCTTCGGATAGACGCTAGGCCGTGTTAGGCCGAACTCTTATCATGACCACGCCTCCCGTCCACCACTCTTCCAGCAATCTCTTCCTGCATTGTTCCCGCCTGACTTGGCCTAATCCTCACGACTGTCCGGAGCGATTGGCTCCTTTGTCTTCTCGGTCATCTTCTGGTCTCTTACACGAGATTTAGATACGATCCTTCGGCGAGGCAGGCTCGGCCTCGACAACCAACATGGGACTTAGACAGTCTCTCCTTATCAGTGCCAAGCGGAGCGTTCTGGAAAGAGTTGGGGGCACAGCTTGGTCGGAAGAGATGGTTGCACTAACCAGGAATCAATCCTACCATAATGACGGTACGGGAAATTGACGGGAGAGGATGAATTCCTGAGTCGTTATATGAACCATGAGAACCCCCTGTAGGTGTCTGTTCTTTTCTCCAGGCGTTTTGCGTCAGTCACAGCTGGACGAATCATATCCGCCAATATGGAAGCTCCAGTAGCAGTGAGTATTGCCCATGCACTGCAGGCGACGAAGATGTACTTGTTTGCCTGCAAAGTTACGAACTGACCCATCTCCAGCCTGAATTTGATGAGTCGAAGCCAAATGGAGGCAACCCAAACATCGAGAATGTCAACGCCCAGTACCAGGGACTTGAGATCCATTATCTATACCTCATTGTAATGGCATTCTTGGTCTGGCTCATCATCCCTGGCATTGCTTTCTTGTATGCAGGTCTTGCTCGTCGCAAGTCCGCGTTGTCTCTTCTATTCCAGTCCCTCGCGGTCATGGGAGTGTAAGTACAGAACCAACATTAGACAAGCATAAGAGCTGACAAATCAAGTGTCTGCTTCCAGTGGCTGTTCTGGGGTTACTCGCTTGCCTACTCACGTACCGCAAGTCCCTTCATTGGTAACATGGCCAACTTTGGCATGAAGAATGTCATGTCTGCTCCGTCGCCTGGCTCCGCCTTGCTTCCCGAAATCGTCTTCTGCTTGTACCAGATGCTGTTCGCCACAACGACCGTGCAGCTGGTCATTGGCGGATCTTTCGAAAGAGGTCGCATCTTGCCTTCCATGATCTTCGCGTTCATGTGGACGACAATCGTAAAGTCCTCTGATCTTCGTGTACTCAATGCATACTAACAATGACAAGGTATACTGCCCCATTGCTTGCTGGACGTGGAACGCGAACGGTTGGTTGTTCAACCTTCCCAGTCTCGACTTTGCCGTAGGTTCATCCCAAATTTCCCCGACGTATTTTCCAGGTTTCCCCAACGGATTTTTTTAAATTCCCCTAATGTATTTTGACTTGAAACTGATGTTATTTGCAGGGTGGCGGTCCGGTCCACATTGCTTCGGGGTTCTCTGCTCTCGCGTATGCGTTCGTTCTCGGAAAACGGCTGCCCAAGGGCGACAAGATTCACAGCCGCGCTCACAACCCCACTCTCGTCTTCATCGGAACTTGCTTCATATGGTTTGGCTGGTACGGATTTAATGGTGGTTCTGCCCTGAACGGGACTATACGCTCCATGCTCGCGGCTTTCAACACAAACACGGCCGCTTGCTTCGGTGTCCTTGGTTGGATTCTTGTTGACTACATCCGCACGAAGGGCCACTTCTCTGTCGTTGGCGCCTGCTCGGGTGCTATTGCTGGTCTAGTCGGCATCACCCCTGCCGCTGGTTACGTCTCCATCTGGATCGCTGCGTTGATCGGTTTCCTCACTGGCGTGATCTGCTCTCTTTGCCACAACCTCGACAGGTGGATCAAGATCGATGAAGGCATGGATGTCTTCAAGCTCCACGGTATTGGTGGTATGGTCGGTTCATTCTTGACCGGTATTTTTGCCCAGTCTTGGGTGTACGATCTCGACGGCATGGGCCCATACGACCCTCTCGGTGCCATGGACGGAAATGGCATCCAGGTCGGCTACCAGCTTGCCGAGATCTGTGCCATTGCTTCTTACTCCTTCACAGTCTCTTGCATCTTGTTGTACGCGCTCAAGTTCATTCCCTTCCTCCACCTTCGTGTCAGCGAAGAGGCTGAGATGATGGGTCTGGATCTTGATCAGTTCTTCGAGGAGGAGATTGGTGACTGGAGCATGATGCACCAGAATGAGTACGCTGGTCATGGAAGCAGCGCAAGCAGCGGTGTCAACCATACTGTTAAGGCAAACTAAGTTATGTAAGACCTGACGTACTGCCTGCGGTACTGAACTGCAAGGCTTTTCATGCTGCCTTTAGGCAGGTCCAACCAGCCTGATACTTTCTCAGGGTTCAGGCTGTCTCTAGTACAGACAATGAGCAGCTAAACGAAGACTGAATAACTCCGTTCAAGAGCCTATCTTACCTGGTGCTGTGTTGTGACGAATGGCTGTGCCTGGGTGTCAATCAACATTATACACCATTGCAATTTTTCATTTTCGAATTACAATTTCAATCTTTGATCACTATTCTACATAACTATAAACTATAATAATCCTTTCAAGTTGCGTCTTCTATGGTATTTTCCCAATTGAGTCTAGCGCGACCCCCACTTGTAAGTTCACTGCATCGTCCGAACCATCAATGTTCGGCTTCATAACTGCAACAACCATCCAGTTTGGACTCATCGTCGTCCAATTATTGCCATTTATTCCAGGAATGTCACAATCACACTCGGTGGACACGAATAGAATGCCCAGGACGGCTTGCGTGCGGCTGAACCGCCCTTTCGCCTATGGCTTCCCTTTCAGATCACGGAAGCTCGCATCGCTTCTTCATGCCATATGATCGATTTTGCACGTGTGCCTGACTTGAATTTACATGATACAAATTACAGTCGAGCCGCTGGTTGGAACAAAGACTCAGCTCGATTCCCGCTGCGTACAAAAAGTCGCCCCGACCTCGACTAATCGTCACTGAGCCCAGAGCTGTAACCAAGGTCAACACTTATTACGGCAGTGCCTTCCATATCAACGCTATGCCTTTTGGACCTTTCGCCCTGCAATGGCAAGCACCCTCTCCAAATCCGCCAAGACCTTCGATACCGCTCCCAGATGGCATCAGTCGCAGCTACATCAACACAGCCTCCGGTCCACTCGAACTTCTGACCGCATTACCCACTGATGTCAAATCTTCAAAACCACCCCTGTTGTTCGCCCACGGTGGCTTTGGCTGTGCTTCCATATGGCTCTCGTATATGACCTATTTCTCTTCACGCGGCTATCCTTGCTATGCGATCAGCTACCGAGGACACGGAAACAGCTGGTACCCCGGATTCTGGAGGATGTACTTCACTTCTCGTGGCACGATGGCAGAGGATCTCACCGCTGGAGTCAAGGAAGTGGAGAAGCTGGAGACAGAGAGGCAGCATGCTGAGGAGAAGGTCCGAGTGGTCTTAATCGCTCATTCGGCAGGAGGCGCGCTGAGCCAGTATGCGTTGAGCAGGGGATTCGTGATGGTACAAGGGTTTTGTATGTTGGCAGCGGTTCCAGGGTTTGGATCGTGAGTTTACCTCTTATCATCCAGAAGGAGAATTGCAACTAAGCTAATGCCCGAGCAGCTGGTCTGTCTACAAATTCTGGGGCCTGACAGCACCGATCCACTTCCCTTACCGGCTCTTCCACCCACGGTATATCCTCGCCACAACAAAGCAAGTCCACGACGCTTTCTTCACCGCCTCAACTCCAACATCCGTGGTCAAGAAGCTCGAGTCCTTGCTGAGTCCGTATGAGTCTATGCTTTGGCCCATGCAAGCACTCTTCCGCTTTGTCAGCGGATCAGACGTCATCAGCTCGATAGTAGGCTGGGCTCTGAAGAAACATCCTGGGACTGACAAACCTGCTAGCATTGCACCGAGATTTCTGGTGTTGGCAGGCGAGGAGGACGTGCTATGTACGCCGAGTATTCTGAAAGATGCTGCGGAGAGATATAGTGCGGCTGTTCATTTTTGCGTAAGGGTGGGCAGGATAGATTTGTCCGAGAGCGACATCATGTCTGTGACCGCTGATAAGTGGGATGGCGTCAGCTTCAAGATCACACCAGGACTGGGTCATCATCTGCAAAACCATGTTGAGTGGGAAAGGGGCGCAGAGGAGATATTGAAATGGGCAGAGCAGCTGTGAGGCATTGGTAATACGCTGTCAAATGTTCGAGGTTGTCACTGTCTCAATCACAGAGCTTGGCCATTGCTCATTGTACCATCACATGTTCTGAATAGTGTAGAGCATATGTGTCTTGTCGACACCTATGATTTACCCATGTTCTCGTCTGAGACTGGCGGTATCATTCTCTCTTGTCAATTCCCATAGGCCACCACTGTTTATTTCCGCATCTCTTCAACAGAGCATATACTCAATCGGAACCAGACAGATCAAGAATACGATAACAATGAAACGTAATATTGACGCCAGAGAAGCCCTTCAACGCAAAGATACAGATTATATTTTCGGTTACCTTGGACCGCCCCCGTTAAGATGTGAGTCGAGAAGTGGAGATTGACTCTCATAATATTGCAAATGCTGGATATCTCCGACCAACAATACTGTGAATCTACCGAATCCCGAGTCTCTGACGAAGTGTGCACATGTCCCTGCTCGCGAGCACCGGAGGATTGGTGGGGTGGGAGGTGGTGGAGATGCCGAGGCAGGCCGATCTTGAGGAGTTGCATTTGTAAGCTCGCCATGCGTGAACGGCAACCCGAGAAAAGTCCATTAAAGCGGCACGGTAAGAAAAGCACGAAATAGAGTGAAGACGTGATTATGTCAATTCAGGTCATTGAGCAAGGTATCGTGGTATTTGTGCTGCAATATGTCCCCTCAATGGTGGTAGGAGGCCCTGTGTACCTAAAAATGCCACCTTTATATCCATTTCCTTCTCTACCCGATGCTAAGCCGCCGACCGAAATCGTTTGGGAGTGTACATTGCGCGCGCAATTTATGCGTCGATGTTGGACTTGATGGCGGCCTCGAGAGCCTTGGGGTTGGCACCAACGACCTCAGCGACCTTCTCACCATTCTTGAAGAGAAGGAAGGTGGGCATGGCACGGATGCCGAGTTCTTGTGCAACGTCAGGGACCTCGTCGACGTCGAGCTTGTAGAAGCGCGCGTTGGCGTATGTGCTGGAGAACCTGCAGACTACGTTAGAGAGGTTCGAGAGATAAGTGCAAATTGACTCACTTGACGACCTGGGGCGCGATGACCTTGCAAGGACCGCACCAGGTAGCGAAGCAGTCCAGGACCATCAGGCTGGACTTGTCACCGAGCGCCTCATCGAAGGCGGTCTTGCTGTGAACCCGTTAGCAGTTGCTCGCAGAAACAATGACGTTGCATATGCAGCAAGACAGTCTGCTGTGGCGCCATTGTGACAAAGGGAAGCCTACGTTTGAAGGTTGTGCACACCGGTGTCAGACATTCTGGCTGTGTTGGAGAAGAACTTTTGTGTGAGAAGAGGTCGGTATAGGTTTGCGGTGGATGTGGGGTTGATTGAAGCTGTTTGCAGACGTGCAGAGGTAAGCAGTGTTCTAGCAAACCGTGACGTCGATGGGGTGAACATGGTATAAGTACAGCGAGAAGAGTGAGACAGAAGATTAGGCGATTGATAAGACGCGGCTGATAGAACGAACTGGACAAAGTTGCCTGCTGGTGCCGATTACAACGCGGCGACAAGATGAACGACGCGCCGCCAGATTTAGATTCGGCAAAGCGCGCGAGTCGTCGAGTCCATGCACGAAGGCAAAAAGATGCCAAATCGTGCCAGCACGCAAGATCTGAAAGCAAACGAGAACACGAAAAGGGCGACTTACGGAGTTCTGCGTGTCGGAGGGGTCTCTGTGAAGGCTGACGAGTTTGAGGAGACGATGATTAATGCTAGAGGGGCTTACTTCCGCCGGTGGGCTGCTGCCCCATGACGTGCGCGCTTACCTGACACGCGCCTTTTTCCTCAGGCGCAAATGCCTTGGGCAAGGTCAGACGTTGATTCAGTGGCGACTGTCTTTACAATCTAATTATGGTCCTGTGCTATGGCTATCAATCTTGGGTTCTGTTCTCCCCAGTTCTGCAGCCGCCATGTCATTCGGCTTGAATGTGTCCGTGGAGCCCAAATTGACGTGCCCCACCAAGCCCCAGTGCCGGCCCAAATCCATGGAGGGGCAGCCACTTGGCAGAATGGAAGTATCGATAATTTTGGCAGGACTCTTTCTCCGCCGAGCAGATCCGCTTGAGCGGAGGTATTCGATTGTACTCCTGCTGCTGTAGGATGAGTTGGAACCTACAAAGGTTCCTAGTGGCTGGTCAAACGTGCCTGGGTGCAGTGCGGTGACGGACAAGACCATGGCAATGAAAAGCATAGCTGTCAAAACAGCTGTAGATAGAACTACAAGTGGCTCTCACAACAACAGATGACGCGTGAGCGCAGTCATCTCCCAAACCCCGGTGCCAGATTGTCGTAGATAGTACATTTTGATAACCCACCACGTAAATAGAAACCCATGAAGACGCGTATTTGCGTTTCCAAATGCCTTTGGTGGGCCAACTCTCCCAAACACGGTTCGAATTCGAACCACGACGAACGACAGAGCACAAAGGCCGAGGCTCATACAATACAATGTGGTATCACGCCCAAAACCATAACTCCTCGAAACAAAGACAATCCCGCGCTGTATAGTCTCCCAGAGACAAGCGCCCTCTCTCAGCCTTCATCTGCGGATGCGCAGCACAAGTGTGATTATTCGTTAACGGAGGATGATCGTCCAGGAAGCTGCATGTGCCAACCAAAAGCAAAAAGACGTAGGTGGAAAGGCGAAAGGAGTGACTGGGGTGAGTACAGTAATGACTGACGAAGACAAAGGAAAATACAAAGGGAGTGGCAATGTGTGGCGATCATGCAGTCTTCCTGGAACAATTTCTCGGCGCCTCAGATCAATCATCTACTCGTGCTGGGACAATCTGCTGGGTGAGGCTGCGCTCGATCGCTTTTGGATGTCCAAAAGCTTGGCCGAGCCGGCACTGAGGTGCCGCACGTGGTGTTTACCAAAATCCACGCTTTTCGCACGTTGTACTGTGGCCTGCTCTCCCGAATCGTCGGACTGTGGCGAGTCTGGCTCCATGTTATGTCTCCTGCCGCTTTCGTCGGGCGTTGGCGCATCCGCATCGAACATGGTGAGCAAGCCTTCTGCAGACTTTACTCGGACATTCCGGTGGATGACAGTAGGATGTCGGGCAAGGCCGGCCTGGACATGCTCGCTGTCTTGTGACCTACGTACAGATGGAGTTAGGTCTTCTTCTTCCTCGGATTCGGCAGCCGCGTCGAGCGTGGCCATGGCAGTGCTGCTGGCTTTCCGGCCGAGGAGTTCACTCGAGAGATTTGAACGGCGTAGTTCCTCCGGCTGAGGCGTTAATCTTTTGAAATACTCGTCATCTGTCATTCCCAGCTCTTCAAACGAATTGTTGAACTCGGGATTCTGCTGAACAGCCGACGAGGCAATGCTGGACCGCATCATTGACTTATTGGAAATACGCTTGACAGGCCTGCCAGACAGCCATGATCCCTCTGAGTCCACCGAGGCAAGCGACTGTGACATCTTGTTGCCGAGTGCTAGGCCCGGGCTAACAGGAGAGTCTGAACGAGCATTGGCTGCCATCCCTAGTGAACCCACGCGGAGATTTTCTGGGTTGTGAGTTCGACGACGTGCAGCAATGGCACTGGTTGAAGGCACTTCTGGAGAAGCTACACGGGAATCGGGTGGAGAGATGGGAAATTCGGGCAAATCCTCTCTGAACTTGGACATTGTGCGGCGAGGAACGCTCGAGGGCCTTTTGATCTGGATGGGGGCACTTGAGACAGTAGCGATCAGATGAGCTGGAATAGGTTGTCGAGACATGGACTCGCGCGATGTGTTGGAGAAAGAAGCCTCTGACGGAGTGGTACGTCCCGGTTCTTGGGAGCTTCGCTTGCTTCGTCTGAAGAAGGACGCAAACGCACTCATCCGTCGCCCGTCTGAGCTGCGTCGGCGGAAACTAGAGCCTTTGTTGGATGTTGTGGTGTCGATAGTATCGATTGGATGTAACGAGCCGCTCCTTGTCGGATCGTAGTGTGGCTCGACGGATTCGAAAGGCGACTCTTCGGCCAACTTCTCAGAGAGCAGCTCCGGCATCATGGAAACATTCGATGGTCCACGGGTATGTACAGGACTAGCAATGCTGCCTCGAGAGTAGCGAACAGCCTGAGCATCTGAAATGATCATGTCCTCCATTGGCGTTTCTATGGGAGTCGGCAACTGATCATTATCAGGACTAGCTGGTATAGTAGTCTGAAGTCGATGCATGGGCGGCGGTGTGAGCGGTCGAAGCCATGGCGGTGTTGAAGGTGTTGGTGGACGTACGTCCTCCATTGGTACAGCAGCCTCCTGTACAGATTCTGGCTTGGGCACTGCTGTTTCTTTCTCAATACCAAGGCCAACTGCTCCAACAGCGTCACTCCGCGCAGGCACTGGTGGAGTACCTCCTGGGGCGGCATTCTGCTTCTCTGCACGTCGTTCCAGTCGACGACGCAAACGCTCCTGATCAGCCCTAGCCTTCTTCTCCTGGCGCCGCTTATCCCTATCAAGGATCTCTCGCAGCGCACCAGCATCAAGTGTGTCAGCAAGGTCATCGATCCTGCTTGTCCTTTTCCATTGGTTGTCTTCCTTCGCGCTGGCGGGTCTTTTTTCCTTCCGTGAGTTGCTTCTTTCTAAGCGAGCAGTTGGTGACGAGCGATCGCCACTGTAGTAGTATTGCGTGCCGACGGAGAAGCGGATGGTCGGTCGTGGAGCGAAGAAATCGAGTGCGCTGACGCGGAAGGCACGTAGTTCGGAGTTGCCGGACATGGACGAATGGATCGAGTCTTCTAGTGGCAACGAGATGTTGGACTGCGGGCGCTCGAAGCGTGCGTTGAGACCACCCTTGACCTTTTTGCTGTCTCGACGCAGCATGCCGCCGGAGTTACCAGCAGGCCGTTTTTGTGGCATTGGCAGAGCCATGGCGCGGATCTCCTCTTCGCGAATGTGGTCATGCTCCTTCCGTCTCTTGCTGGATTTGCGGCGCATCAGGGATGTCTCGTTGGGAGGACCCCTGCGCAGTGACTGGGGTCGCTGGAGCTTCCCCCGCTCGCGTGCCGTGCGCAGGCTGGTGTGGGAGGGAGATTGGAAGTTGTAGGGCACGCCGCTGAAATCCTGGGTGACGGGTCGCAGGTGCGGGCTGTGGGCGAGGTGCTGCTGGCGCGGTAGGGCTGTAATGTCTTCGACACTCGAGGCCGGGTTGGGCAGACGCGCCTCTTTTGCAAGACCAGGGTCGAGCGGTGGGTCACCGAAAGGATTCTTCTCGACGTCGTGCAGAGACGTTGTGGAGCGCGAACTCGTCCGCCTCCTGCGGCCGCTGCGCTGACTGGGCCTGTGGTGCAGGGCATCGCTGCCGTGGTCCTGAGTCGCGATGGTTTGCTCTGCAACAGGCCGGCTCCTGTCCGCAACCGCGGTGCGGCCCTCTTTTAATTTAGCGGCTCTTCCGCTCCTGCGCCCAAACGGCCACTGCATGGATGCACGGTGGCCGGCCTGGCGAGGACTATGCGGCGGTGGTGAGGTGGTGCACTCAGCTCGTCACCAGCGCAAAACGTGACTGCGCGAGGCGCGAACGGGGCGGCGTGGTGCACTGATACCTGTCGGCCTATCTGGTCTTGGTGTCGCTGCAGTGTCGGCTAGAATGCATCATGTCTGACTGGGCAGGGGACTGGGCGGAAGCGGGAGCTGGGGCGAACAGCAGCCGTTGAACAGCGTCAAAATGCAGGCCGGCGTGTGGGAGAAACTGGGAAGTAAATTGGGCGGCGGCAGAGGAAGGGAGAGGCGGCGATGATGGAACGCCCTGGAGCTGCCAGACGGCGTGTGTGATGTAAGGGAACTGACAGTCACGCAGCGACCCTGCTGAACCTTGGAAAGGCTCGGACGCCTGTGACGAAGCAGAGCCCTGAAGCCCCCACCACGAGGCACGCCAAAAATACCCTTTCAGCGTTCTTGGTTCGGGGAATTGCCTGGCGCACGCTGGCTCCGCCGGTGCCACTCCCTCAGCCGTCCGCGCACAGGCTATGGCCGCTCAGCTATCGTGCAGACGTGCGCTCCACACGGTGCCTTGCTGCTCAGGCCCGCTCAGCGGACTCGCTGCAGAATGCGACGCGGAACATGTGCCGGCCAAAGCAATTCATTGCGACTGGGTGTGACTGGCGACCGCCTCGATTGGACGCCAGCAACGCTGCCAGTTGATCACTGACGATCACCCCGGTCGAGCCTTCCTTCTTCAACGAGCTCAAGGAAGGCGCGCGAGCTGCTAGGCCCACAGTGGCTACGCTCCTCGGATGCATCGTGGGATCCATGGCCGCTACAGCCCTCATCAATGCTTGTGCCAATCACCGTCATCGCACGCTGGTTCCTCGAAAGCCGTTCAATCTCTCGCCCATGGCTCATAGCAAGTCAACTTGGTCAAGTCACCTGCCTCTGCTCACGCCGCCAGCACTGGCTACAGGCGTAGCATGCCCAGTGGCGCCCGAAGACTCTAGACCCTCGCTAGCGACGGATCACGCTGAGGATCGCGGAACAGTGCATTCGAGTCCTGCAGCAAGTATCGAAATGTGCCGGACGTGGAGAGCCACGTCGATTTTGCAGCGTCCGCCAACAACGATAACAATGCTAACTTTGCGGGAGCAACTTCGTATCATCATCACCGAGGCCTTCCCCTCCAATCATTACTATTGCGCTCAGATACTGCGGCCGACTTCCCCAGTCGAGAACGCCTTGGTCAATAACGTTCGCCAGCTCACCCACTTAGGTTCTCGGACAACTGCAAGCTTCTGTTGTAGGTAGACTCGGCTCGAAGGCTCAGTACGATCGTAACTTCACAGACGCCGGCAATTGATCTAGACGGCTCCACGTTCAAGGTACAGTACCTATTCGCAGTTCTCGTGTCAGATCCGCCTCTCGAGGTTGTGTAACAGGAGATGGATGGCATGCAGCTGTTTCAACTCCTTGATGTTGTGTCCGACCATGTCTCACCATAGGCTGCATAACTCGCGGCTGTGCTCAAGAGATCCCTTGGGCCTTGGAGCCGGATCTTTTATCAAGTAGATCGCTTTGGTAATGTTGCAACAAGTGCTGCAAAACCCTTGGGTTCTTGTTGGTAGTATATCCTGAATCATACCACAACAATGTCTTGCTAGGTAATTGCAACCTGTCGACGTTCTGGGATCTCCATGCACGCTGTTCCTAGTTCACGATAAATATTGGTGCGCCATCACGGCTCCTTTTGTGGACCTCAACTAGAACCCTCGAACTCTCTAAGCCTGCATGCTGATAGGTATGACTGCTTTGACGCCTGCATGTTGACCGATAAAACGACAACATATTACACACAGACGCATCGCCCTCTACTTTCGCTGACTCGATGCAGCGGACGAGTATTTGCTGCAATCGGAAAGTCGGCTCGAAATGCACCTGGGGCCTGTTTCATCGCAACGTAGATACCTCCACGTGCAGGCGACCTGTATCCGTCAAACCTCAAGCGACGACCGCTGTACCGGCCATGGCGGGTACTAGCAACCAATCATCCAAGGACTGCTGTGTTGTACAAACACAAGCGACAGCTCACCGTGCTCACACCGCAGCAGTCATCACAACGGGGAAGCAGATGCATGCATCGAAGCGAGGCCATAGCTTCTCGAGTATGCTACCTATAATCTCCGAGCTGCTGGGACCAGTAGGTATTAAGGTGTCACGATCTTCATTGATTGTCGTGGAACGAAGTACTCAACAAATAGTTAACTTCCTACGTGGCGGTACCATGTCTTCTTCAGGTTCGAAGGATGGTCGTCGACTGCAACGGTCACTTCTTGCATGCGATCCCTGTACCATCAATCGGTGCACCGACTTGCTCGTTTTTTGCAAGCACTCCTGTGGTGACAGCGAACTGACTTTATTAAGATATATACAAGGTTTAATCGACACGGTCCATGTCTCCACTACACGCGCTGATCGCAAGACAAGTCTCGCAGTCGATAATGCAACTCCAATTAGCATTCCGACAGCTTATGCGACTGAACCAAAAACATGCTTGCGATCACAGGAGAGAGATGCAGGTGTCACTGTCAATCCTTTGACGACGAGAACCATCGCGCTCACGATTCAACGTCGAGCACGTGGTATCGATGGCAGAAATAATGTGTTCATTCCCTGATGCGACTGCTAAGGTTGTCGCCATGGTGTTAACTCCTGCAGAGAAAGCTTAACACAGCAAATACCGTGAATTCTCGAATTGTCAGGTAATCAAACATTCCGTAACCGTCCATCTAATTGTTGACCTAAAGATTGCCCAAACCATCTCTTTAAAGACCTCCTTTAGTGTACAGTATTGACTCGGCAATGATAGAGTTGGTGAGCAGAAGTTCCCACCATAACCTCCGGATTGAGTCAAGCGCTTGTTGTCTTCCTCGCCAACGCCTTGTTGACAAAACACACCAGCTGGAACACCACGATCATAGCAACAGCGGAACCGACATCATACCACTACAATCACCTCAACATTACAGTCGCATTCGCAGCCCATTATGTCTTACGGGCATCGCATGAGCATGGCCCCACGCGCCACCACTCACGGCGCCCACAACCAACGCGCCCCTCCGCCGCAAGAGAACGACGCCTTCATGACACTGGTATGCACTCTTCCGGCCACATGCGTACAACGCTGATTCTTGCAGCCCGACTCTGAGATTGCTGGATGCATAACAGACATCGGTATTGCCTTTACTGTAGCAGACCTCCAAAAGCCCAATCCACAGATCATCCAAAAGGTGTTCGAATGGCTCGCGGAGCTGCTCATGAACACGACCCGCGAAGTTATTGCGCCTGCGATGGAGGCTGCGGCAAATGATCTTTGTGGTGAAGGCGCTGAACGTCTATTCACTAGCGATACACGCGATCTCATGGCTTTCTTCGTCATCCTGAAGAAGCTGTTGCACGAAGTAGGTCCTACAGATCATACAACCGCGATACGCAGAGACTGACTTCATTTAGTGCGGCATTCATGATTTCACCTTTGCGGACCTTTACAAGCCTGCCCATCATCGATTGGTTAAGATCTTCTCGTACATGATCAACTTCATAAGATTCAGGGAATCGCAAACGCAGGTCATCGATGAGCACTTCAACAAGGCCGAGCGCACGAAGCTACGAATCGAGCAATTATACAACGACAAGGCTACAAAGGAGATGCAGCTTGCTGAGCTACAGCGCAACCGAACGGCTACCGAGAGGCTCATGCAAGACAGGAAAAAGCGCAACGACGAACTCAAAGCCAGGCTATTGGAGCTAAAGCAAGGCCAAGAGTCCGTAATGGAGAAGCTTGAGCGGGCGAAGGCCGAGCAAGCCAGGCTTAAGGAAATGCTGCAGCAGAAAGTCGAGAATAAGGAGAACGTACAGCGCGAGATCATCAAGTTGAAGCCGTACACGCAGCAAAGCCCAACAGCCCTCGAAGACTCGCTGCGCGATTTGAACGACCGCCTTGCTGGCGATAAGAGCCACATCGATACCCTGGACCGTCGCGCCCGCGCTCTGCAAACATCAACCGACTCGTTCGGCATCGTCATCACAGATGTTGCGTCGTGTACACGACTCTTGACAGACGTGCAAGCCGATCTTGCAAAAGAGGAAGAAGAGTTGGCAAAAGCATCACGACACCGCGACGCACTCGCAGACCGCAGCAACAACGTTAGAGACGTCGAGCGGCAAGAGCGACTACTCCAGAAGCAGCTGAGCAATGTGAACGCCCGAACACAAAAGCTGAAAACAAAAGGCAACGAGGAAGCTGAGCGCGCGCGCATACGCATGGAAGAGCTCCGCGAAACGCACTCCAAGTTGAATGAGGAACGAGGCGAGAAGGGGCGCGAGATGGAGAGACGGCGGGTGCGCATCGAGCAGACAGAGAAGAAGATGGCAGAGCTCAAGGACAACATAGAGAACGAGGTCCATGCGGCGCACGACGAGTACATCAAGATGGAGAGTCACATCAAGCTCTATATCACTGAGATGGAGCAGAGCATCTAGGAGTGTTCGGCTGTATGCACGAGTCTGCGAAGCCCCGACTGGTGCTTGGATGTCTTATGACGGAGTTTGTTTTCAGCGCCTTCTGATACCTCATATCTCTTTTCTTCGATACCACACATTATTACTTCTAGTCAGCGTTCGAGTTTTGCGCGTGGTTCACCCGTGGGATTGTGAAGCGACATGCACGGTAGCATTGTGTATTATATGCTCAGTATGACGCCTCGCCATGCGTGACTACATTTCGGGACTTGACATCATTACATCGTCCACCTCTCACTCGAACCCCTCCGCGAAAGGATCGCTCTTCTCGCCCCTTTCAAGCGCCGGGCTTATAGGCACGACATCTGTTCCTTGTAGTGGGTTACTCAGACTCTTCCTATGCGCCCTCGGGCTCCTGTCGAGTGTCTCAGCCTCTTCCTCGACCTCCCCGCCGTCCTTCTCGTCCCCTTCTTCCTCGCCCCGCCCTTCCGCAAAGCCCTTGTTCGTCAGCCTGAGCCCGAGGATCTGCTGTCTCAGCTCGTCGATGAAACGCTGCATATCCTCAAACGGCAACCGGATAACTCCGCCGTCCCTCGACTCTGCGCGCGTGTTGTAGAGCCGTAGGGCATTGTCCAGAGCCTTCTCCGCCTGCTGGCTGCGCTGCAGCCGCCACCACGACTCCGCAGCCAGGACCGCCCAGAGCGCCGCTTTGCGCCGCCGATTGCCGAGACGGTAGGTCCCGATACCAGTGCGTATGCTGTAGCATGCGGATATGCGTTCTGTGACTAGGGCGTGGCCAATGTTGCCTACGAGCCCTGCTTCGAGAATGCGAGTGCCCCAGCGCGCGGCATCGTCGGCAGCGCTGGATCCTCGTAAGCGCAGGAGTTCGGTTGAGAGGGCGAGCGTGCGGAGGGCGTAGTACGGGGCCGCGGATCGCTGCCGGTCGGTGTAGGAGTAGGAAGCAGCTTCGATCCAGGTGTCGACGTTCTCGCTTCTGTTCTTTGAGCTCATTGGGGTTGGTGCCATGAGCGCAGACAGAGCAGCCATCTCGTTAGCACCAGCGTAATGCCGCCATGCTTTGTCGTTCTGGAAATCAGTACGTAGGATGTCGTAAGTTGAGAGTGCAAGTTTCCAGTCTCGAAGCATGAAGCAGTAGTCTGCTAGTCGGCGCATGATGGCTTCGGGGGCATCAGGGCGGTAGAAACCTTGCAGGCTGTCGTAATTAGAATTTGAAGAGGGCGAGGCGGACGTGCTGTTGCGAGAACTTCCGAAAGGTGCCCATCGCTTGGAAAGGGACATGAAGCGACCTGAGAGACCGCGGCGACGTGACAGAATCTGCTCATTCCAGGTGGCAGTACTGCGCTCCATGTTGGGTATTATGGACTGGGTGACGAGCTCACGAATGAAGGTCCGTAGGCTGCTGATGTCGGAGTCGGGAAAATAGGGCGTTGGGTCGGTGATGTCGTCTGTTGTTTCTGTGTGATAGGTTAGTAAATTCTCATAGTTGATGTCGGAAGACGTACCTCGCTTTTGGATTTCCGCCAGCTCTTCGCCTGCAGACATCCACTCGCAAGTTGGTAATCGCACGCTGTCATCATCTGAGGGTATACATTCCTGGCTCTTCAAACGGAGAAGGTGACAATGTAGACCGAAATGTCGTTTCATCGAATCGAACGTTTGATTCGACTTTGCAATATCTCCGTTCTCCTCATCGTGGACCAAGACATAGTATCGTAAGAAATCGTTCTCGACCCACTGCGGGAAGCGCAGGTCTCCGTCATGCTGCCTGTTGTATAATCTTCGAAGCTCCTCTATCGGATGTGGGTTTGACGAGCTGATCGCAATTATGCCAGCTACAGGGTGGGCAAATGTCTCGTGTGGTACGATAGGAAGTCCCGAAAGCAGACGTCGTAGGTATAGGGTATAGAAAGGTGATCCAGCGCCCTCAACAGGCGCGATTCGCTCTCCTCTATTCATGTAGTCTGCATTTGGGTCCTGGTGGTTGAATTCGGAGTATTGCAGGTGTCGGTCGACAACTTCTTCTATCTGTGGCACATCTCCACCTGTCCGTCTTGGCCGTCGTGTGGACTCTGTAGATGCCCTTTGGCCGCCCCGTAGGTCTGGATACGCATCCTCAACGCCGACGAAGCGTACGCCAAAATCATCATGGCTCTTGCTTGCGCCGATACTATCTCGTATGGTGACTTTGCCCGGTACCTGCTCGCCGAACGGCCTCAAGAGCTCCAAGAATCCTCCATCCAGCCCTTTGCCCCTGACCAGAGCTTCTGTCTCGGCATCCGCCAATACGGCAACATGTGGCACAAACGCGCGCTGTATGAGGGTCCGGTATTCATCTGACACGCCGGGCGGGAGGCTGTTAGGCGTTCTATTGCCACTCGACCGCGACCCGGGCGAGAAGACGGAGCCAGGTACCGTGGTTGCTGTGGGCGTCGCAGTGCCTGAGCTAGGGCGCGAGCCGGTCGTGGAGATGCTGGTGGTCGACTCGAATAGCTTGGAAAGACTCGGATTCGATTGGCGGTACGGCAGCGACGACAGAGAGGACGCAGGCGACGCGCGATGCTTATGGTGACCAGCTGAAGCTTCTACATTTTGCGGGAAGTCGGGGGCTTTGGGCGTGGCATCTTGCGGCGGCGTCATGGGAGGCTTGGGCGGGGCGCCCGTGGGGTTCTGAGTGCGCGCGGGTTGTCTGGGGTCGTCGGCATGTATTCTAGTTCTCGTTGTTGGTATACGGCGCTTGCAGACGGATTCGACGGGTTGCTGGGGGCTTGTGGTGCTGGCGTGCGCTGAGGTGACGACGGCAGTTGCGGCCACTCAGCTTTCTGACTGGACGAACTGCGGCATCTCCATCAACCCACCACCTCCCCGGTACTGCCCCTCCAGTTCTCGCGCTTTGCTTTCACTGTCGCTCCTTACTTGCCATTTAAGACGCACGGCGATGCTAAGAGAGCTGCACATTTTGCAAGAGATAGTGTTTGGGCCTACGTGCATGCATGTCTTTGAGTAGAGCCTGCCGTTTGTGTTCACCGCGCACAAGTTTTCTCTACAAACGTGACTTTGCTTCACCGGCCACTCGACTCAGCCATCTGACTCAAAGATACACGTCTCTTTCATCTGGCCTGCAGCGCATGTCAACGACATCCTCCCCGCCCCATTTGCAAGAGCGGCGCACAAAACGACGGAAACTCGACAGGCCATCGCCTCGACTAATACAGCCATACGGCACAATGGCCTCGGAGGCATTGCCGAAATCTGCTGTTCAACTCGAGTTGACTGAAGTTGAAACCAAGCTTCGTCAACTCTTGTTGGATGTGGCTGCATATATTGACGAGCAGCCTGCGTCCAAGGCAACTGCAGTGGAGGCACCAGCAGACCTTGCGAACGAGAAGGTCATACTAAGATGGACAGGAGGCTGGGTGCGCGACAAGCTATTGGGAGTAGGAAGCCACGACATCGATGTTGCCATCAATAAAATGACCGGCGAACACTTTGGATTGAAGCTGCAAGAGTACCTGGAGATTCCTGGCAACGCCGAGAAGCATGGCTTGCTCGAGAAGAGCGAAAAGTCCGACAAGCTCAGCAGTAAGGATAAGGCAAAGAAGATCGCGCCTGGCCTTCACAAGATTGAGGCGAACCCTGAAAAGTCCAAGAACCTGGAGACGGCGACAACGAATATCATGGGCATCGACTTGGACCTTGTCAATCTTAGGAAGGAGATTTACAACGAGATTTCGCGCAATCCGCAGATGGAGTTTGGCACAGCTGAAGAAGATGCCGTGCGCCGAGATGCTACCGTTAATGCCATGTTCTTCAACTTGCACACTTGTCAGGTCGAAGACTATACCGGACAGGGATTCGATGATATGGCTGCGAAGATTATCAGGACGCCACTCGAACCTGTTCAGACCTTCAAAGATGACCCGCTTCGAGTACTGCGGCTGATCCGCTTTGCATCTCGATTGGATTACACAATTGAGCCGGAGACTGAGAAGGCCATGGCCAATCCACAGATTCAGGACGTTCTCAAGATTAAGATCAGCCGAGAACGTGTGGGCATCGAGTTGGAGAAGATGTTAAAGGGTCCTCGCCCACGCATGGCACTCGAGCTTATCAATCGGTTCGCTCTGTACAAGACTGTGTTCACAGATCCCACAAGAGAGCTTCCTGCTGAGCCTGACACAAATTTGTTCCAGCCAGCTTTTGAGTTTGTTGACTCTGTTGTTCGTGGAAGCTCCAAGGATTCCGCCATTATCGACAACCTTGTTCGCAATGCAGACGAGCAGTACCTCGCCTGGATATGCGCGACTGTGATGCCATGGGCGGATGCGCCTACTGTCCCTCATCAAAAGCCTCTTCAAAGACCCTACTTCTCTGCGTATCTTGTCGCTCGTGAGGGCTTCAAAGCGCCCAACAAGGTCTGCGATGTCATCGCTGCCTCACTCAGCAACGGCGACGAGATCCGAAACCTGATCGCACAGTGTGCAAGAAGCCTTCAGCGACCAGACAAGATCGACCCTACGACCGATGCCACTGCCCGAGATACATTAGGGATGGCCATTCGCCGGTGGGGATCGACATGGAGAACACAAGTTCTGTTCAACCTGACATATGAGGTTGTGATTGGTAACCAATCGCAAGACCGTAAGTGATCAACTCCTTCGCATATTGCACAAGTGCTGAATACCTAGCAGAACTGGTCCGCTCTTACTCCTCGTTCCTGTCCCACCTTGCCATGCATCGGATTCTAGACGCAGATACCTTCAAGCCCCTTCTGAAGGGCACCGATCTTGCCAAAGCTCTGTCCATCAAGCCAGGCCCATGGATGAAGGACGCTCTTGACGTGGTCATGGCTTGGCAGCTTCGCAACCCAACCATTACGGATCCAACTGAAGCTATCGAGGCTGTCAGGAAGGCTAAAGAGAGTGACAGTGAGCTTCCCCAACGTCTCGCCGCGCACTTCCTGAAGCTTACCATTCCACCTTTCTTTCCACAGACTAAATCGACGACCGCGTTCGAAGTATCGCAGAAATCTGCTCCGTGGAAGGACCCTCATAATGAGTTTGTCATGGGCCTGCTGGATTGGTCAATCAAGGCGCTCGATAGGGGAGCAATAGAACAAAACTGGCACCTCATAGTTCCGCCCATTTTGAAGATGCTCGATGATACAGAGGTCGAATCAAAAGCGAGAGGGTGCAAGTACCTTGCCCAGGTACTTCTGGCGCTACAATCTGGACCCAGCCGAGACACGGCCGCAAAGTTCCTTGCACGTACAGGTTACCACGAGGTCTTTGCTTCTACCCTTTGGCCGTTACTCACATATTTCCCCTCCCTCACCCCCGAGTCTGAGTCTATTACTATCTTCCAATCTATCTACGAGCCATTGCGCGCTCTTGCAACTCTAACCACTTCCGAAGACAAACGAGCAAAGTTCGTCGACAAGCTTATGCGCGAGGGTATCCTTGCACCTCTCACGCACTTCCCTACACCTTCTACTTACCCCCACCTCGCATGCGAAATGATCCGGCAGATTGAGAAAGTCGCAGCGCTCGCGGGCATTGAAACTGTCAAGCATTTACGTACACTTGTTCCTCTGTTGACGGGTATCATGCAAGACCCATTCATCTTGGCTCACAAGCAGCTCGCGCTCGCAGCAGTAGAGGGGCTACAGTGTTTGGCGCAGGTCTGCTGGCCGAGGCTGCCTGCGCACAGGGGAGCGTTCACTCTAGGACTCTGTGTTCTCAAAATGAGATGTGACGAAGAGTTCAGCGGGGAAAACAATGGAGAGGAGGGGAGCCAGAAAAGACAAGATTGGGATTTGTTGAGGAAATTACGTGAGGAGGTCAAGGACACGGCGGAACTACTAGACATGGTTTTGAGCCAGAGTGAGGTCGGCGAAGATTGGAAGAAGGAGAAGGTAGCCCTGGTTGATGCCAATGATGATCTGAGAGGGTTCTTCGAGGGGAAAGCGGCAGGCTCTGAGGAGGAGTGAATGTATCAGTAATCGACACAGCATCGAATGTATGACTACAGAGGTATGGTGCAATCTTAGGACAGCTGCATCTCGTTCCTTTCGGCAACTGAAAATTGCACAGCACTGTTGTTGTGTGACTCTGATCGATGAGTCTTCCGCAAACTCAATGATCTTCACTAGGATCGCCGAGAGTAAGGTGCCTTGGCTGGCAAATTTCCCACCAAGGATGTGCAGAGCGGTACAGAGGTGGCTCACCCTTGAAGTTGGATGGTAGGGGACAAGTCTGACCCACAGTCTTGCGCGGAGTCGGAACGCACGTACTGTAGGACGAAGGGTCTTGGACCACAGTTCATGACACAGTCTGCCCAAAGCACTGGCACATACACAGCAACTAGGAGAGGGCCAAGTTGGCTCGGACACATCGGCTCGAAAGCCTGAGCCATTGCACTGTCGAACGCTCGGCGCGAATTGCGACTTCGCAATACGACTGAAGTGGTCGAGTGCTCTGTTGCGTGCAGTAGTCCGCCATGGATATTGAGACCGGGGCGCGAACTGAGGCGGTGAGGCAATTTTGCCGCCTCATCCAGCAATTGACAAGTTTTGATTTGTCCAAATGTTGATCTTGCATGGCTGATTTCCTCCGCGCAGTGTGGGGAGAACAAAATCAGCAAAGCGTGAAAGGTGCTGCTTTGTGCGTCATCCTATTGCAGCGTTCCCCACAGCTGGCGCTGACCGCCCACTGGTCAGCTCAAACGAGTCCGCTCTCGGCCCCTGCGCAACAGCATCATCGGCGAGCAGGAGAATTTTGAGCTGTACTTTCTTGACTCACCTGGAGATAACGGCCCAGACTTCAAATACCCGCTAGATCCTGACTTCATTCCTCTTCCACTCACATCCACACCCAGCTTTCACAATGTGTCCTTCATGCGAACCTGAGCAGACCAACGGCAATGCCAATGGCACCAACGGCAACGCCAATGGCAGCCATGAGGGCTACACCGGCGTGCAGACACGCGACAACCCTCGCCCTGATATCACCCACGCCAGCCCCTACAAGCCCGTAGGAGATTTCCTCTCGAACGTCTCTCGCTTCAAGATCATCGGTACGTCATCTGCAGTTTTTGCCCACACCATCCGAGCACACGAGCAGAGCGAGCTCCATTAGCAATTTCGTCATAGGCAAAGATTAGAGAACCGCGCTAATGTTCCTGCAGAGAGTACACTTCGTGAGGGCGAGCAGTTTGCCAACGCCTACTTTGATCTCGAGGCTAAAATCAAGATCGCCAAGGCACTTGATGAGTTTGGTGTTGACTGTATGTCTTGCGTCCGCGGTACGATCCTGTGCGCGAACCTGCAGTGCTAATTGTCGTCTAGACATCGAATTGACCAGCCCTGCTGCTTCCGAGCAATCAAGAAGGGACTGCGAGGCCATCTGCAAGCTCGGTGTACGTTTTATCTCTGACCAACCCACATTTTGTTGATCACTAACTCCTGCACAGCTCAAGGCCAAGATCCTCACTCACGTACGATGCCATCTCGACGATGCCAAGATCGCTGTTGAGACCGGTGTCGATGGACTCGATGTCGTTATTGGAACCTCAAGCTACCTTCGCGAGCACAGCCACGGCAAGGATATGACATACATCAAGAACACTGCTCTCGAAGTCATTGAATTCGTTAAGAGCAAGGGCAAGGAGATCCGTTTCTCATCAGAGGACTCTTTCCGCTCTGACCTCGTCGATCTGCTGTCCATCTACAGCGCCGTCGACAAGGTCGGTGTCAACCGTGTCGGTATCGCCGACACGGTTGGTTGCGCTTCTCCTCGCCAGGTCTACGACCTTGTCCGTACTCTCCGTGGTGTTGTCTCCTGCGACATTGAGACTCACTTCCACAACGATTCTGGCTGTGCTATCGCCAACGCGTACTGCGCCCTTGAGGGTGGTGCTACCCACATTGATACCTCTGTTCTTGGTATTGGTGAGCGCAACGGTATCACGCCTCTCGGTGGACTTATGGCCCGCATGATCGTTGCTGATCGTGACTACGTCCTCTCTAAGTACAACATCAAGAAGCTCAAGGAAGTTGAGGATCTTGTTGCCGATCTTGTTGAGGTCAACATTCCCTTCAACAACTACATCACAGGATTCTGCGCCTTCACACATAAGGCTGGTATTCACGCCAAGGCTATCCTGAACAACCCCTCGACCTACGAGATCATCAACCCCCAGGACTTCGGCATGTCCCGCTATGTCCACTTCGCTAGCAGACTCACTGGCTGGAACGCCATCAAGTCTCGTGCTGAGCAGCTTGGCCTAAAGATGACTGATGCGCAGTATAAGGAGTGCACCGCCAAGATCAAGGCCATTGCCGATATCCGCAAGATTGCGCTTGATGACACCGATTCGATCATCCGTACCTACCACCACAACCTGCACGCCAAGGAGGAGCAGCCGCTTTTGCCTGGCATGACCGAAGAGGAGAAGAAGAAGTTTGTCCAGGCCGAGCAGGAGCTCAGCGGAGTTCCTGAGAAGAGGGCACTGGACGCTGCCGCAGACGCAGACGCTGAGGTCCCAGCAGCTAAGAAGACAAGATCGGCCGCCGTGGCTTAAGCGATCAAGTCTGTGTGTGTATGCGTGTGTGTAAAATTGGGTATCCGGCGTCTCTTGCTTTACTTTCTTTACTCTCAGTTTCGCAGGTGTATCTTCACGGCATGTCTGCTCGTTCCGGTTTCGGAAAAGTCCTCTTGTTTTGATACCTCAGATCGACGAGCTTTGACAGCTCGTCGCAACACATAGAGCACGCTGCTTGCAATGGGCGCAAAGAAGCCTAAGTACAGTCAACGGCAATCTGAATTATTCAACCGATGCCATCATTCCACCGATGCCCTAAATCCACCGATGACAATAATCATCCGATGTTAGTCGTTCACCGTGGGTATCTCGACTTAGTGAGTTATGTCCGCGGCTGATGCCGGGGCACGTGCTCTAGTATACAGGGTCCTTAGGAAGCGCTTTCCCGCGGCCAGGGGTATTGTTATTTTGTCCTTTGCCGTTCGTCCCCACCAACCCCTCAGCTGTCTTGCTTTCTGGCCCTATATCAGTTCACAATCATGGGCTCTACCGCCACCGTCACCGAATCGCCTAAAATCACGGCTGCAAACGTTGCGCAACTGTTTCCCGAAGTCAACACAACTGTCATTGGGGGGTCGCACGAGTCCGCTCGCGACGACGATGCGCTTGCTGGCTACGATGAGGAGCAAATCAAGCTGATGGACGAGGTCTGCATTGTATTGGACGATGATGACAAGCCTATCGGCAGCGCAAGCAAGAAAGTCTGTAAGTAATTGCCGCAAGCGCAGCCTGCCCAAGTGGGATGAGATGCGCGATTTCTTGCCTACGTCCTGACGCGCTATAGGCCACCTGATGGAGAACATCAATAAAGGACTCCTCCACCGCGCTTTCTCCGTATTCCTCTTCGACTCCCAGAACCGACTCCTCCTCCAGCAGCGGGCGACCGAGAAGATCACATTCCCGGACATGTGGACGAACACCTGCTGCTCGCATCCTCTGGGCATTCCGGGAGAGACTGGCACAACTTTGGAGGAGTCGGTTCAGGGTGTTCGACGTGCGGCAGTCCGCAAGCTTGATCAGGAACTTGGCATCAAAGCCTCGCAGGTCCCCATCGATGACTTCAAGTTCCTGACTAGGATACACTACAAGGCGCCAAGTGATGGCATGTGGGGTGAGCACGAAGGTAAGTCCGTTGAGGCGTGGGCGCAGATGTTAGCTCGAGGGTTCCGCGGATCCCTTGAGCTCTGGCTTCGAGCATTGCTAATAGACCACAGTTGACTACATTCTCTTCATCAAAGCCGATGTTGATCTGAATGTCAACCCCAACGAAGCCCGTGACAGCGCCTTCGTCACCCAGGACGAGTTGAAGGCCATGTTCCAGGACAAGTCGCTCAAATTTACACCGTGGTTCAAGCTGATTTGTGAGACGATGCTATTCGAATGGTGGAACCACCTTAATTCGGGCCTTGAGAAGTACCTTGGGGAGACAGAGATTCGAAGGATGTAAATTGAAGAGTAATAAATGATACCACGAGAGGAAGAGATGGATATTCCTAGCGCATGATAGCGGCGCGCAATACCCCCCGTAGGCTTACATTCGTATCTGAGGGGTCGCGAGCGCCAGTGTTCCGAACGGTCGGACCAGCACCAATCCTGCTTCCGAAGGACGAGGCAATGCATGCACGCCCGGTCAGCGATAGATACCACCACTATAATTGATCACAGCAACACGTCAAGTGACTACGTCCCACGGCTCCAAGTCATGGACTGCAGCGCATTCAACTTAATGTGCATGAATCTCTCCTATCATTATCTACCTATGACCAACGTAACGGGCGATCGTCGACATCTCCTTCGACCGACTTAACTGATAGGTAATTAATAGGTAACACCTAGTCCGTATCTCACAACGAAGTAGGCCCGAGCAAATCACCTTATAACGGGACCCGCGGACATTGGTCTGGTTCTTGTAAAGGGCAGAGCAGAGCGAACGTTGCCTTGGAGGGCCCATGCCACATTGAGGAGGTACACGCGGCGTCAGACCAGCCGCTTCCGGTCACCCCACACTTTCACAGCGCCACACTCCGCACGCTTCACTTCGAACTTCTCTCTATCAATGGGGGGACAGCCTTTTGTCACAAGTCATCAGAAGCGTATACTTCGATGCGTCAGCCAGCCGCAATGCAACGGTACCATACGAGCCGCATTTTCCAGAAGCGCGGCTGAATGCTAGGCGCAAGATAGCAGTGAAAGACGCTGCGACTGGCTCCAGAGATAGGTCCCGCTGCGGCACTAGCGCGATCTCCACCTCTGTCCGGGAAGCTTGCGATGGCAATCGGGGTTGGGGCGGAAGCATATCATATGGCCACTCCCACCTTTGTCTCTTCATCAGAAAGACTTCAACAAAGCAGTCTGGTCATCACCTCTTCTTTCTCCCTACAACTGATCTTGCACCGATCCCACGACCCACGACGAGCATCGGCCCCTCCCGCACGAACCGAGAATCACACCTATCAGTGCGTTCCCTTCCTGCGCATTACGCCAAGCCTGTGCACGACAGTGCTGTCATCGGTCTTGTGACGAGATACCTGCGATCCGAACACAAGTTACCTTTATCGTGCACCCATCCATCCACGCAAGCCTTCCTACAAGTAAGCCTGAACAACGATAAGAGGCCTGCCTACTGCCAATCCCAAAGGGTGCACGTTCGTCACACGTCTCGCAAATACCTATCCTTTACACGAAGGCAGTCGCCTAACATCGCCTATTGATGTCGGTTGATCTACGTCAAGCTTTCCAATCCCTACGCTACCCATCTCGAGTCGAAACCGTCTCGAGATCGCAGCTCTCTAGAGTGCATACAGGAGATACTACCCGCCCATTAAAACCGTAAGCGCTTCGTGAGATACAAAGGTATACTATGGCAGGCATTCGACAGTCACGGCTCCTGCTAGCCCGACTTGACTACCCGCATCCGCTAGACACTAATTGCAACGTAGTAGCAGTGTTTGAACTCTGTGACCTTCTTTCGAAGACCAAGTTCGACTGTTTGATCACATCGGCCGCTGCGCCCATTCAACGATAACGTTCACGCTGGCGTATTCGATTGTCCCAATTATCAGAAAAAGCGGAAGATCCCACCTGAATACTAGTAGAAAGTTACGCACGAAACCGCAATCATGGCGAAGTCATTTGGTCCAGTCGCACCAGTTGCCTGCAACATGGTTGACACAAAGTACACCTTGAAGTCAGCTAACGTGAAGGGTCATGAAGTTCCTACCAGCTTTACTCTCCTTAAGCAGAAGTCTCCTGCTGCTGTTGTGCCTCCACTCACCGATGGTGTGCGTTTGGTAACGATAGACGAGTACCAGCAGGCGGCCGCTTGCTTGGCCGAGGCTTTTGCTGAGGATGATGTTGCTCGTTACTTTATTGATGTGCCTGACCGTGAGCATTGGACTGATGAGCAGAAATGGGACTTGCACGTTGAGATCATGGAGTACGTTACTTACGCTCACATCCTCAAGGGACTGGTGACTACAGTGGGAGATTTCGAGGCAGTTGCACTATGGTACGTTCACACTTAAGTGTTTCCAATCCTCTGATCTAATAATCACAGGATGCCGCCAGGCCAGAACATGGATGACTACCTGACCATCTGCCGCAGCGGCCTCTGGCGTCTCAATTACCGCCTCTCGGCGGAAGGCAAGCGCCGTTTCTTCACCGAGTTCTTCCCACTCCTTCACGACACGATGCACGGCACTCTCGGTGATCGCGAGCTTGAGACATGGTATCTTGTGTACCTGGGCACTCGTCCTGCTGGACGTGGTAAGGGACACGCCCGTAAGCTCATCGAGCATGTCACAAAGCTTGCCGACCGCGAGGGCCGCGCCTGCTACCTGGAGTCGAGCAATGCGGCCAACCCTGCCATCTACAGAAAGTTTGGCTTTGAGGAGCGTCGCACGGTTCATCTGCAGCGTGCAGAGAAGAACATCTCACTCGACATCATGGTGAGAGAGCCTGTAGGTCAGGGGAAGAAGGGCGCTATGTGAGCACGTGAGCTATTGCGAGGGGGACGAGACGAGCACTGCTTCAACACGCAAGGCTCGATGACGGGATTTATGCAACCTTCTTCAACAGAAGTTTTTTTCATCTGTTTGCACGACAGTCATTATTGGACTAAGGTAGACGCACAGTCGGTACCAAATTGAGATACATGTGAGAATTCAAGACCCATGCGATTTCGTAAATTGCATGCACACGCACTCGTGATCAAGAATTGTGGATATGTCTAGTTGCCGCGGATAGAAATCGATGATCGACGACTACTCCGTAGTAGATCGCGAACTCGACGCGTTATTGTCTTATTACGATAAACAAATCTGTCAACTCACTTCGCAGTCGCCGGGCTCGCCCTGCACTCGACTGTGTCTCAGCAAACGAGGCGGGCACTGCAGCTGGTGTTTGGATCAGGGCGCTATCAACAAACACGCCCGTGGTTGCGCCTCGCCAACAGCCACGGTACTACAAGCCTGTATTCATCTGTTTGTCGTGCATTCGCGGCGGGGGCTGTGCCAAAGTGCGGTGTACGAGGGGAAGGATGCGATATATAATTTGCTTTGTCACATCCTGGCTCTACGAAACGCAGTGCCACGCCCACCCACGTTTGACACCGACTCCTCTCATTTCACTTCGATCGTCAGCCTCTCCTTCTCCTTTCCCGCTCTACGTCACTTTGTTTCCACCGGTCACTTGCTTTTGCAGCGCATTTCACTCTCCCACGTCCGCGTCACCTTCGCTCCAGAGTGCTGTAATTCACCGCAGATACCTAATCGATAGTCTCTCCGCACCACCCCCGCAAGTACAACGCACGCAATCACAAGCCTTGCCCGACCCAAGCGCGCCAGGGTCTGGATGAACCCGCAGCCTGCCAGCACATCGTGCAAGTTTTTCTAGAGTCTGCAAACACACGCATACACACGCAGACACGCGACTGCACACGCGACTGCCTCAGGCTCCGGTCGCCTCCGCACCACCCATTCAGCCTTCGACTCGGACCACGCTCACGATGGTAACGCAACGACGATACTCGGTCACCGGCCAGACACCGCCCAACGACGTCGATGCCCTGAAAGCTGGCTCGCCGAAGCCACACGCCCTTGACACCAGCGTACAGACCAGTTGTGGGCTGTGCGAAAGCGGCGCAGAGGAGAGCAAGGCCGACGAGGAGAACGCAGCGGCGCAGCTTCGCGGACGCAAGATGTCGCCAACATGCACCATCACGCGGACGTCGAGCAAGCGCTCAGCAACACAGCTGCCTTCGCCGAGCTCGCCAACCTGCGGCCTACCGCCAAAGATCGCACGATACAGACTGAGCTACAACGAGCCGGGCATGGACATGGACACAGACACCGATTCGGATGTCACTGACATGTTTCGCGGCAGCGATAAGGACGACGAGGAGTGGGTGAGCCACAGCCAGGTGGCGTCATTGCCCTCCACCCCGGAGTGTTCGCTCCCGCTCAGTGGACTGTACCTGCCAGACACAGAAGACGAAGGTATCGACGTAGAGGATCTCGCACTGTCGCCGCCCCACTCGAGGAACCATAGCTTGAACTGCGCCCACCTCGATGAGAAAGCCCTCCAGCGCGACTGGGCTGTCTTCAAGCAGGCGAACGCTCTGCTCGAGTCGCAGATCCGGCATCTGAACCACATCGCACCACCTCACATGCGAGCAATACCACGAGAAACGAGCACCCGCACACCGGTTACCTTCCTTACCTTGCCCCCGGAAATTCGCTACCAAATCTACCGCCTAGATTCCGATCTCGTCAAGCCCAACCCGCTCTGCTACTGCCTCGAGAACGCTGGCTCCAAGATCCAGCACCCCTTCGCCAGCGTCAGCACACAGATCCGCAGCGAAGCGCTCGCGATCTTTTACAGTTATAACACCTGGGCCATAAAGACAGAATACAAGATGTTTTACGAAGCGTTTCAGGAGTGGATCATCCGGCTGGGCGACGGTGCTGCGCGGCTACGGCTCGTAACGCTGAGTGTGCGGGGAAAGCTTTTCAAACCGGTCAAGACACACCCCCAGAGCGTTGTGGTGAACGGTCAGATTGTGATCATCCACACGGGACACCCCCCTGCAGGCGCTATGGGCGTATTGCCGAGTCCGACACGAGAAGAGATGTACAGCCCGCCAGATGGGGAGGCGAGCTTCAGCATAGACCTGAGCGAGAAGTACGTTGGTGGACGCGTGCACTTGACACGGAATGACGGCACACCAGACGCAGGAGAGAAGGGGAGAGCGCACCTCGAGAAGATGGTCGCAACGCTTTGGGAGAGGAGGCGAGACGGCACACTCAACGGGCAAGATTGGATCAGCCTTGTTGATGGCTTCCTAAACTTCGTCGGTATGATCGGCGGTGCCTGGTAATTTTCCTCATTTAACCACTCCGGAGAACACAGGTACGTTTCCACGTCAGCGCAAAGCATTTATTCTGGTCATTTTCGTTTCAGCATTTCAAGCATTTCTGCACGGATGGGTAATGGACGGATGGGCGTTTGTCGGCGAATCTGATTTGGAGCATGAGGAAAGCATAATGTCGATTTTCTTCGCGCAAAAGGTGATGGGATGGAGTAACTGCTCTAATGGCGTTATACTACGAGGGCCAATGGTCGCCGGGTGGTGAATGGATCTGAGACGATTTTGGGACCTAATATGTGCACACATTTGTGCTTAAGAGATGCCAATACACTTTATCGATATCACTCAGCATCTGGTGGTCTTCTGTGTGACTCATTCATGCCTGCGATCTCTATACACCTTTTCCGTGTGCTTCAGAGGTACTCGTGTCCGGAATTCACGCTTCTTGACACAACGCCGTTGCAACAGAAAACTACAGATCAAGCTACAGTCTTGCTCAAGTGATTTCTCAGCTATCGCCATCTCCTCACATTCCGATGGACTCCGTTGTCCGCCATACACGTAGTATGCTTCTGCATACCTACCTCCCGAGAAGCTCCCCGCCAGCGTGATAACAAGTGCGACGAGGACGAGGGTTCCTAGTATCCACCTAAACATCTACCCCCTACTACCGGCTTCGTGAACCCAAGCGGAGTGATCGACATGGCATGCCCGGCAGCCACGCCGACCTGTAAGTGTTCGTCAAGCAGCGGATGTGTGACGCTGGAGAACCATGCCAGTTGCACAACGCGTTTCCAGTGATACGCTGAGCTGCCGCATTGGAGCTGGGCGGAGCTACTGGTGAAGATGGCCGGCTCTGTGATAACTTGCAGGTCGCTTGTGAGAACCAAACACTACGGGGTTCAGCTCTGGAATGTCAAGAAGATTGAGATTGAAAAGGGCATGGTTGCTAATTTATAGGGTCTGGGAGAGGCGCCAGCGAAGCAGGTGCCAGTCAATCGGATTCGCCTTGAGTCTACCATTGTTGGATGTACTGCGTGTTCGTTGCTGAACTGGCATGGGCCGGTCTAGACGGAGTACGAAGATAGAGTGAACAGGTACGAGTCCCACTGACAGTGAGGTCGTATGCAAGCCTCACCTGCCTCGTGTCAATAGCGGACAAGTCGAAGAAGTCACGCCGATGCCTGGGATAACCGATGTCAGTGTTAAGTGTGCTGGCGGATTGGCAGAGTCGTGGTGACAGGTGCTCCAGTCCACGATTGAGCCACTTGTGGAGACCGTCGCACAGCAGCATTGCGAATTGTAGGCTGCTACATTGTGAGACGAATAAGTCGTTGATTTTGACTCGACAAATAATACCTGTGATGTGCCTCATTTGATGTGAATGTTGATAGGTGGCACTGTCGTATCCATATTCGGTGGTATACAGAAGACTGCAAGTTGCCGAATGGGTAGCGAAGCGTCAGCTGTAGCATACGCATTCTTTGCGTGATCTTGACATTTTTATCAACAGATAAGCAGCTGGGATTCAGTTGAGAGCCGAAGAGCTTATGATATGAGCAACAGGGATCGAAAGGCGTTCTATGTCACTGTACTCGATAGTTTGGTGGACTGGAGACCACAACATCAGCCACAGCTCCATCCGTACTTGCCCGTTATCAAGCAGGTGGGCCTTTTCGATTCAGACTATACATCATCATCGTCGTTCACTCTTGGAGGAACATATTCCCGAACCTGAACCACAGAACACCGAGCATTTTTGTATATCAAAATGTCCCGAACTCGGGAAAAGGTTGCAATAGTCACATGCCGGCCGAACAGGACTGTTGCGGCTGTTTTGACTTATGAACTATGCATAGACCCTTGGGAGATTGTGATCTCAGTAAGACTCTGCAACGTTGTGATGATTCGATGCTTGAGATGCTTCCACGGACATCCGGAATCCGGGCCCCTTTCTCGGTCGATTATGCCGTTTTTGGCCGCCCCGAATCTCGGATCTTCGAAGTTTCCATCAGGAACAAGACGTACGACTTTGACGTGGATTTGAGATTATAAAGATCTGGTGTTACTTTGTTTTCTTCTGCGTCATCACCATTCTGCTCACCATGGCGCGCGGCCTCCTCATACTTGGTGCCATTCTCGGCTTGCTCACCAGTGCAATGTACATGGTCGAGCCCTACCTGGAGCAACTCTACATTTTCACGCCCCGCGAATTGCATCAACTCTCCAAGGATGCTCTGGAAGTTCATGGAAATGACACTGCCTCTGTCGTCTCCTACATTGTCGATAACCTCTCCAAAAACCACCCCGATCACGTGAACTTGGATGAAGAATGGATCTTCAACAACGCTGGCGGCGCAATGGGCGCTATGTACATCATTCACGCTTCCGTAACCGAGTATCTGATCGTATTCGGAACTGCCATTGGTACTGAAGGCCATACTGGGCGCCACACCGCAGACGACTATTTCCACATCTTGAAGGGCGAGCAGCTGGCGTATGCGCCCGCAAAGGGCGTGTATGAGCCGGAAGTATACCCCCAAGGTTCCGTTCATCATCTGAAGAGGGGAGATGTTAAGCAGTACAAAATGGACAAGGACTGCTTCGCGTTGGAGTACGCTCGGGGATGGATTCCGCCTATGTTGTTCTTTGGCTACGCAGACAGTGAGTTTACAACTTGACATTTGAGCCTCGAGGAGATTGCTGATGTTTTGTAGCTTTCTTCAGTACTCTGGACTTCCCAACGCTGTGGCGCACAACATTTGTCACTGGGCGTGAAATGATCGGAAACCTGCTGAAGGGCAAGGTGTAACCGTCAAATCATGTTGACAAGCAAGACCAGGCGACATCGATGCTGTTGACGGCAGTGCAGTCATCCGATGCAGAGCATCCAAGGCATCGGGCTCTCGGGTTACAAAAGTAATATACGTATGCGGCCTTACTGTCAGCCTGCCAAGTCAGGCAAGCAACGGCTGACCAGGGTACTTATTGTGGATACGAAGCACGCGACGTAGTGGCTGTGAACCGGACAGAGCGGTTTTGATACCCGAATTGTGTTGCGTTCATTTTTCAATCCTGATTGTTGAGGCATCGTGGAGGACTCTGCAGGAGAAGTCGTGCAGGTACCTCAGCTGTACTACACCAGTGATCGTACGACTGTTGAGCTGGCCTGTGTTGTGTCGTAGTCGTCTGGGAGACGCATGCTGAGAACAGGCAATACCAGTCTTAACTTCAGTGCTTGTTGCATGACCTGCAGATTGTGTGAGGGCCGGTGCTATTCAACACGTTGACCTGTGCAATGCCGCTTTAGCAGACGCGCGTCAGAGAATTCACACAGCCTCGACGCAGGGTGTACCAGGTCAAGCAGGCTCTGAGGTCGTTAGATGTATCAGCTAGCGGTGTCCATCCACTGTGTCTTCCAGCTGGTTCGCTGGCTGTTGTCGGGGATTAAGAAGGCATATAGCATTGAAAACACCCTTGGCTGAAGGTGCTGTGTTTCGAAACCAGCGACCAATGGGGCAGCTCCCAGGCCGGTCGGCTGCTGTCCCGGGCCCGTCAAGGCCGGGGCAGCCTCGCCTGCAAAGTGCTTGGAACACTCTAACAGCGACAGGCACGGCGTGTTGGGGGAGACTTCAATGCGATGACGGTGTGGCAGAGGTGCAATGGCCTCCAGCAGGTTACTGATATGCGCGGTGCTGGCAGCAAGCAGCGTGTTGAAGTCTTTCGGTCTGGCTCGTTCTTGTGCCGTAGCGCACTGTGCATGTTGACTGCGCCCCATCCACGTCGGTGTTAGTGCAAAGGAGATGGATTCCAGGCTGGGTCACTTCCACCACGCGCATGCCGTCTCTGCTGCGTCTGCGTCTATTGTCATTGCCCCTCCGCCTGTCTCGCTGTGGGCGCGCCGCATTCAGTACCAGGGACAAGACACATTGCGCCCGGCGACCAGCTCCCACCTGCGCGCCGACAGCTGCGCCCTTGGCAGTGAACAGCCCCGGATTATGAGCAGAGCTTATGTTTCTTCGACAACAACAAGCACCGCTAGCCCCGTCCACCAGCACGACCACGCCCCGCAACAACACTCACCCACCTCCGTCTATTCGGCCGACTGCGCAAGCTCGCCGCCTGCCACGCCCTACAGCATATCGAGCCCCATCGGCGCCCCCTTCTACCCCAAGCCGGAGGACTACGGCGGCTACCAGTTTGCCCGCCTCCCCCAGCGCCTGAGCGCCCGCATGCCTCTCGAGATCCTGCCGCGCGCGCATTGGCTCAGTCGCGTGCGCTCATGCCTGCGCCTGCTGATCATCGTCCTGAGCGGCGCCGTGGTCTTCATGCTCATGCACACGCTCGGCATCTATAGGGGGAACCGCTACCTGGAGCTGCGCAAGGGCGAGATTCCCATGGTCTGGCCTGCACACACGAATCTTGCGGCCACGATCATTCTGACTGCCGTTGCCGGAGCCAATTTCCTCGTCTCGGTCGCAATTCTGTCGCTGAGCTTCAAGCGCTCGTTTCGCCGCCCCATTCGTTCCAGGGACCTGTACCGCATTTTGGCTGGGAGCTTTGGTGTCGTCCTATGGGCTGCTGCGCTTGTCGTGTTCCACCTGCTTGATAGGGCGAGCAAGGCCAGCCTGGGGCGGTACTCGTGCACGAACCAAAACGAAATGACCAATGGGCGGTACCAGTACCGCGCAGTCTGCGAGGAACAGGTAAGATCTCATGCACACGTGATTACTCTTCACCATACTGACTGATTCCAGAATGTTGCATTCTACACTGCGATAGGCGCCGCCTCCGCCGAGTGCCTGACGCTCATTACTCTCGCCGCCTCCGCAATCAAGACGATGCGCGAGGAAACCCCGCTCCCCACCATCCAGATCCACGAGAAGAAACACTCAAATCACCTGAGCTCCGGCTGGAAGCCCAAAAGACCGAAGACGTGGATACAATAGCATCAATGCCACTCTTCAGCTTCTGTACATACTTACACTTACCCGCACACCCTTACCCGTTTCGCTGCTTTGCATGATACCCCGGGCCAGCCATTTCTTTCTTTTGTTTTAACGACGATACTCGATCAGCTTCGGCGCATCGTACGGCATCTGCATATCCCGGCGTTTACTACGGATGCATCACAGGCAGCATCTGATCCAGGAAGCATTGGAGGTCCAAGGTCAATTAGGCCAGGAGACTGAGGTACATACAAACCTTGTAATCAAAATCAGTGTAGCTTCAATTCGAGAATACGAGTGCTCCCATGTTATCAATACCCTCGTGTTAGATCCATCGTGAAGTGAAGTTACGTCCACAATCATCACTTGCAACCAGTAAGTAGCGCGAGCAGTCTGAGTACACGCATTGGAAAAAGAAAAATCGTGTCATTCCTAGCTATCCCCATGTATGCAAAAGATCAAGTGGTATACAGATCCCAGGACGCCCAAGCCAGATTCAGGACGCAGGCCCAAGCACTTTGGCACCTGTCGCTCCTGCTGGCAATGCATATGCAACCGTGCCATGCTTGTATGCTATGCAAAGGAAAACGTAAAACGGGAATCGTATAGTAAAGCACATGCGCTCATGGCCGTGCGCGAAAGGGGTATCATCAGCTCGCGTATCGTCGTCTTTGTCGTCATCAGATTCTACGATGTTACAGTAGAAGAACTCGCAGCCTCGTCTAAGGCCGGAGTGGTGGTGGGTGTGGGGAGTTGGGTGCACAGAGACGTCTTCGCTGCCACCGGTGGGGCGAGCGGTGTCTGTGCGGTTGAGGGTGGTATTGAAGGCACAGGTGTCGTGCCAGTAGATGCGGGGGTGAGAGGGGCTGGTGTGGATGAGCGGGTAAGGGCAGGTGAAGGTGTTGGGTCGCTAGTTCGCAGACATCTGAGCTTCAGTGTAAGCTTAGGAGCTCTCACGCCCGGTGCTCGTGGAACATCATGCTGAGACTGCTGGAAGCTAGACATGACGCCACTTGACTCGTCTGACGAGGTTTCGCTGCCTTCAGGCGTGGAATCAGAGTCGAAGAGATGAAGGGGTGAACGGCGCTTTTGAGCCCGTGATGCTTGGTCGTCGTTTTCGCCATCTACGCTTGGACTTGGTCGCTTCTTTGAGAGTCCTTCGGCGTTGAACTTCACATCAGGCTCACCCGTGTGGGGTCCTGCAGTATTGCGCACGGAGGAGTAGTGCTCCCAAGTCTGCAGCGGTGTTAACACGTCATTAGCCAAACGCAGAATATATCAAACATACGTGATAGGCGATGTGTAACGTTCTCCTGTCATCCTCGGCAGTTAGGTCATCGTTCTGCGAATAGTATAGTCGCGGTGAGAACACGTAGGTATAGTCGCCCTGCCAGAGACGAACGTGCACGTTGAGGGCAGAGGCAAATGCGGAGACCTCCATGTTGTCCGCCCATTCACCAGGCTGGCCCATCTTCTCGACATGCTCTTCGAACTGCAGCTGCAGCTGTTCTTCTGTATAGTACGTGGTGTCGATGCGGGTTGGCTGGGCAGCTGTGGTAGTGCGTTTGGGATTTCTCCGCAGGTTATTCACAGCCATATATTGACGATAGAACTCCGAGTTGTCCCGCATGTGCTCGATAGTGGCGTCTCGAAGGAATGCGTGCATCTCTTGGTTGCCATAGAGCTGATCAGACAGAGCATTGAACAGGCAGTTGCCTTGCACACAGTCAGCTACGACAACGTAGAAAATAATTATTGCAAACTCACCATCACCTCTGATGTTACTCGGATACAGGCCATTGGCTTCTAAAATGGGGAACTCTGGTGAGCTCGCTCGCGAGTTCGCTTGCTGCTTGCGGGGTGCCATCTTGAAAGCTGGTGCAAGCTGGTCGCGAGACAGGAGAGATCGGTGTATGGGAAAGAAGACACAGGTGGGGTGACGCGGTCATAGAGTATTTTGGATGCAGGTGAAGCACACGAGGTGCAATATATTCCAAGCACAGGGCCAGCCACCACGGTTGGTGAAAGGTGTTGGCCCGTGGTTGAGGGGAACGTGAACCTTTGGATAACTTTGTGACGCGAAGCTCTGGTAAACGGGCGCAGGGAGGGACAGGGATTGGCCACTTGGCGAGCTGAGAACAACAATCACCACCCCTTGTCAGGGCTGCTGGAGCTATTCAGGAACCTGATGAAAGAACACGAATAAGCGGACAGCAGTGCTAATAGCTATTGTTTGTACCCTGAGGTAGCGTGCAGCGGAGGAATTAGGAGCGGCAGGATTGGGCACAGAAAATTTCTGCTACGTACCTCGGGAGCAACGATGATGTCACGGTTCAAAGGGAAGCTCTAGCTTTCAGTCCGGCGCATGGCAGTTGCGGCGGGAATGCTCATCCAAAAGACGGTTGCAGCACCTGTCTGAGAAGCCTGGGTTGCTGCCTGCTGCACCTTCTAGACGATGGAGAGGATCGCGGGACACGTCGAAATGGCAAACGGCTAACGGTGCAGCCTTAAGCTAAGTTGCGATCAGGTGAAGGTCAGCTTGCCATGTAAACAAGAACATGTGCTCGCGCGTCTTGTGTCTCGTGCATTATCTGTGTGCGCGCCATCGGCTTACCCCAATCGCTTTCCACCGGGAAACCACATGACCCCACCCTACTGTAGTGTGGAGAGGAACTCCAGATCAAGCTCCGTGGTGCACTATAAATCGCCAATTGCCTTTTAACAAGTGAATCTTAATCAGGCAATTGCATTTACTGAACATGGCACAGACCAATGTCGTTGTTGTTGGGTGTGTATGACCTTTTCGAATTCCCTGCCAAATTGGGAAGTTTCCAGCCCATGCTGACTACGAACTACAGTGCTGGTGTGATCGGACTGACGACAGCCCTCGTTCTATCCAAACACAAGGCTCTCAATGTTACAGTTGTGAGCAAGCATATGCCTGGGGACTATGACATCGAGTATGCATCCCCATGGGCGGGAGCAAATTTCATGCCGGTCGGCAAAGAGGGCAGCAAGCTGCGAGCATTCGAGAGGACAAGTTGGCCTGAAATCGATCGCATTTGTCGAGAAATCCCGGAAGCTGGTATTCATTATCAGGAATGCAGGGTTTATGGCAGGAAAAAAGACGAGGGTACCGCTGTTGGCGTTTGGTTTCAAGAGTTGATGAAGGAGGATCCGTGGTTCAAGGACCTCATGCCAGATGTAGGGTCAACTCCTCCGCAATTGATTATTGCGAGCCTTATACGAGTACTGACTGATACCAAGCTACGAATTCTCGATAAATCCGAACTTCCGCCATCATGTGATACCGGGACAGTTTTCAGATCCGTCTGCATAAACACCGCCATTTACCTGCCCTGGTTGGTGGGCCAATGCCTCAAAAATGGGGGTAACGATCAAGCGCGGTATTCTCAACCATATCTCTGAAGCGTCCTCGTACCATAGTACCGGGAGAGCCTCTGTTATTATGAATTGTACCGGCTTACTAGCCTCGAAACTCGAAGGCGTGATGGATACCACCGTGTATCCCGGCCGCGGCCAAATAGCTGTTGTAAGAAATGAGCCAGGCGCCATGTATACAACCTCCGGTACAGACGATGGCTCAGATGAGGCCATGTACATTATGCAGCGCGCCGCAGGCGGAGGAACGGTCATCGGTGGCTGTCTGCAGCATGGCAACTGGGATAGTCAGGTTGATCCAAATCTTGCGCTTCGTATACTTCAAAGGGCAGTCGATATTTGCCCCAGTCTTGCACCAAAGACAGGTAAAGCGACGGAATTGAGCGTGATAAGACATGGTGTAGGCTTGCGACCAATGAGAGAGGGCGGGATTAGGGTGGAGAAGGAGAAGATTGGGAGCGAATGGGTTGTCCACAACTATGGACACGCCGGGTATGGATATCAGGCCAGTTTTGGCAGCGCTTGGGCAGCGGAACAACTACTATTAGAGATTCTGAAGAACGAGGGTTCGAGAGCGAAGCTATGAAATGCCACCTCTTTCATCGACGCGAGTTTCGTACGTCTACACGTTACTTATCGCCCACTGAACCCACTTTACTATTTTTGACGGCCGACAAGACTCGCTCCTCTAAGTCTTGGACGGTGCCACTCTGTGCTAAACTCTCTTGTGTGTTGCTGTCGAAGTGAGGCTCGACATTGAAAGCGTTCTTGCAGTAACTATGGTGTCTGTTAGAACGGCGCAGCTACGTTAGGAATTGAATTTACGTCGTAAAGTTGCCAAAGTCTTCCTTCACAAAACCTATCTCTGCCAATTGTGTCTGTCCGCTTAGTTGAACGTCATCGGGTATCTTCTCCATGGCCTTGAGAATGGTCTCAACTGTCTGCTCAAAACGAGGTTGTACGTCATCAGCTGGGTCTGGTGAGCTGGCCGTCATGTTGAGTGTGTGAAGTGAGTAAGATCGCAAGTAATTGATTGATTCAGGTAGGGTGTTATCGCTCGAGACGTGTTTCGCACGAGGTACGAAGCAGACGCTCTGCCAGAAGTTGAGAGGATCGATACACCTAAGTTGTCTGTCGAGTTACCTCAATAACCTGCGTAGTGTCGCCTGGTTTTACGGGGTTGGGTGAGGCGTGTCGATAAACAGGACAACCATTGCGGGGTAAGCTGTACATGCCGCAACCCACCACCCTTCCGAAAATACAGCCTCGAGTCCCAGAACATGCTGACACCGGTGCGTCATCCCGTCAGCATCACTGGCCAATCCCTACAATGACACGTGAGGCCGCTACGAGCATCCCGCAGCCACAACGTCAGCGACACTCGATCAATGTGTGTTACACGGATCAACGTATAAGCTGACATGGCAGTGCTCAGAATTTGACGAGTATGAGAGCGTGTCATGCAGATCGAGAGCTCAATCGTACAAAATCCGACGGCCTGGAGCTCAAGTATGTACTTGTATTGAGCCGCACAAGGCTTATGCAGTGCCGGCCTGATGCAGTTTAATACCGTCAACTACTGACTGCAGACTTTTCGAAGGAAGGCTCCAGTCCTGCAGCTTCAGCCCGTCGTCCTGAGTCAGAATCCATAAAGTCTCCGCAGCTGTTATCCGAATCTGATATGATCGTTAGCTTGCAACCTCTCATGAGACTGGATATGGTACCTTTGGGAAAGGATGCAGGAGCATGCTTGTCACTTTGGCGAGGGTGTCGGTGCGGGCTGCTGGAATTGTGCCGAGTCCACGATACACGTCTAAGGCGAGATGCAGCTTCTGTATATGTGTCGACTTGAAGTGAGCTTTCTGGATGTATGAAAGGAGCGTTCGAAAGCTAGCTTATCAGTTTTTCGTGGTTCTAAGACCTTCGAGGTAGACTTACTTGAAATCCGTGGAGACAAGTCGGTGCGTGATCTGCATGTCAAAGAGGAACGCCCAACCTTCAAGTAGAGGCAGCAACACCCTGTCATTCTCGAGCTCTTTCTTAAGCAAATCTAGCAGGCAAGTAGCGAAATCCACCAGCGTGAACTCGTTCCTGCCTGAGGTGTTGGTTAAGGGTAACGTTATAGTGAAATTGAGTACCGCCTCCCTACAGTTCTGAACAACTGACTCGGACGCCATACCAGCTGAACTCACGAGACCTTGACATATGGCTTCTCTAATGATTGAGGATTTCGTCGATTGCATCGCTTGCAAAGCCTTTGTAAAGTACGACTGCGAGGAGACGTCTTCGATTGATACGGCGAAGAAATCTGGACAACTTGCAATTGATTCCTGAGCGATGATAGCCGCTGCCCGTGCCCTGACTTTGTCCAGCTTCTCTAAGGAGAGCCGTAGCACGTCTGCGTATATGTTGCGATCTGACTCCGTTGTTTGATCACGAAACAGATTGGCTTCGCTTGCTGTTCGGACAGCGTTCAGAGCCTCTAATCGCACAAGCGAGCCAACATCGCCACGCTCGGTGACAGTGTAGTCATTCAATGCTATGTGCAGTGCACTTGCTATTCTTTCTTTGACGTCGGCTGCTCTGGGTGATCGATTGTCCTTCGTCATCTCCTCACACGTCCTGAGTAATGTGTTCAGGGCCCTTAGGGCTACCGTACGCGCCTCGATTGCTACTGCTGATGTACACCTGAACGTGAGTGTTCTAAGGATTCGGTGCTGTAACTCCGTGGTGACACCACTTGGAGTGGACATTGACACCCCATATGCCGATCCAATTGCGATAGCGTAGCCTGAACATCGGAGCCCACTGTATGAAGCCTCGTTCTCCAGCTTTGTGATCCAATCTATGATCAGAGACTCTGCAAAGCTAGCGGTGACATTGCGTAGGACTGCTAGAACTGGGCCGGCGACATCAGCTATTGCGGACAAAACGGTCTCCTCATGGCGCGCAAGGCACAGATTCACAATGCGATTGATTTCGACCACCGGTATCGCCGATATCCAGTCGTCTTTCGGTAGAATGGCCATGGCCCGAGCCAGGGCAGCGATGAGGCTGCAATATGACGATGCCGTATACTCTGGTCGCATTGCGGGTGATGTAAAGGCCTTGTCCTCTAGCTTGAGCTGTTGTTCAAACAGGCGCCACAGATGAATGAAGGTTGCTGGTCTATTCAAACCTTGTGAGCTGTACTCCACATGATTAGGTATATCCACAAGTGCCGCCAGAGCTGCAACAAATCCTTGGCGCTCCTCGATTTCTCGAGGTCGCAGCGCCTTGAGCTGGCTACAAATTTGTTCGTCCATCTGTCGCACTGTGTCGGGCTTCTGATTCTCCGATAACAAGCCGACCGATCTGGCTGCAAACAAACGCGGATCTGAGTCCAGTGATCCAGTACCACGCCAACCCAGTAGATTTTCGAAGATAGCTTGCCAATACAGTGGATGCAGACTGCTCGCCTTTACTGCTACATCGCACATAGCTCGCTGGCGAAGGCCCACCGCATGGAAGTCGACGATTTGAACGAGCGGTATACCCTCATATATGGTGTCGGGATGACGGCCAATGAGTTCCTGTAGCGCTGCAGATGATCCTCGACGAATGTTGCCGGCCGGGTCAAGACATGCAACAACGACAAGTTCGATCGCCAGGGTTTGAGGGACAGACACGTCGGAGCGGTGCTCAGAGGCTCGGATCGATGAAGTCTGCACACCGAGCATGTCTTTGGTAGAGTAGCGGCGAGACAAGGCCCAAATACCAAAACAAGCAGCGTCACGTACGTTTGTGCCGATGGAACCACCTGTTGGTGAACGTTGTTCGAAGCCGAGAGACAGCAAGAGCGCATTCAGAACATCTGGCAACTGATGCATCGGTATCGCCTTCCGGTAGAGCAGTTGCGACAAAGTCAGAGTAAGACCGTGCCAGCGAAGAGGATTGACTCCACTCAAGTTGCGCTTAGTCCCTTGCCAATACACACTCTCGTTGAGCGATCCTAAAACTGCCTCGATGACTTCTTCAGCCATCTCTGGATCCAGTTTCAAAGTGATGATACTAAGGGCTTTACTTGCAGCATATCGTACTGGCGTATCACCGTCACCGACCGCTTCCAGTAATGCCTCTACGACTTCCTCGAGCGCAGTTGTGGGATCAAGCCCCGTTGGACTCGAATTTGCCTGGAGGCAATGTACAACAATATTACGCATGGTCTTGACAACTAGCTTGCGCGCTACTGCGGAAGATTTGAGGAACTTGAGGTTGTCTTGGCTCAAAATCCGTTGGCAGACTTGAAATGCCGGAGCCAGGAATGGCCCAATCTCATCGTTGGTTGCAGAAGCCACAAGGCCTGACATAAACGATAGAATGCCAATACATCTATGTATATCTGAAGCGTCTTCTGTTGCATTCGAGAAGAACGATAAGGACCAGTTGACAAGGATATGCAACAGACCAAGATCTTGCATGTCTGGCCGCACACACAGTGTTACCAGGAGCTTCGCGGCAGCAGTCCGTTCCTTCGATGCAGACTGTAAACACTGGAAACAAATATTGAGAACGCGGAGGGTAATACCCGGAATCTCTGCTGGCAGCTCGATGCCCAATGCTGCCGAGGTCTCCTCGGACGACTGTAAGGTCGATATCGAGGCCAGCGGGAAAGGCGCAAGCAGTAAATGCGAAAGCCACAGAAGCAGAACGTATCGTTCGGTCCAAGGCACTATCGACTGAGGAAGGCTGTCATCTGGCTCCTTCTGGAAGTTCTTTCCGCCCTCGAACTCTCTTAGCACTGGTTCAAGATAGCGTGGCTCGTTGTTGAGGAAGCCTTGGATGACCTTTTCGCCCCTGACTTTGGTGAAAAGGTTGATTATGTAGCATATCGCATGTGAAAGAGGCAGAAACCCTTTTTGGCTTCTCTCTCTGGATGGGGCCTGTAGCAAATCAAGGTAGGCAGCAACTAGTGGGGGCAGCAGGTTCTTCAAATGCGTGTCGAGAAGCTGAGGATCTTCTTGAAAGGGTTCAATCTGTACTATTCATTAGCAAAACTTTCTATATGTCATGTAGAGCACGTACCAGAGCGCATGCTCGATGCATGTCCACCTCTCGCACATGATGACGGACGGCGGCTGTGGATGAGCCGTATTGTCGTCCTCGAATCAGCCTCGGGAGCAACTTCTCGAGGTCTGAGAGCAGTGCAGAAGATGCACGCTGCAATTTGAGATCATCATCCTCACCACTCATCATTACGAAACGTTGATGGATAGCGAGTGGGTTGATGGCTGTGTCAAGGCGCGCTTGGCAGCACGACTCGGTGCCTGCCACTTTGACGCGTGCACCTGACTCTTCGCTTTCTCGTAGTTCGCGACGCGTCTGGCGTGCAATTGATCGCTAGCAACCATCCACCAAACTTTTAGAACGTATGACAGCGCCCACAATGGCAGAGACAAAGCACAGAGACTATCTTGCTGCGAAGATCCTCGTTGAGAACCAGCCTGTAAGTTCCGGAGGAAGGAAACTCTACGTGCAACGCATTGTTTTCCGGTGATTGATGCGATCTAGGTCACATACAAGCTACTCTCGAGAGCACTGCAAATCAACGTCAGTGTCGCTAAATGGTGACTGATTCGAGTACCCAATTCGATCCTAACGCTGACCTTCCACAGGATGCTCTTCGACTTCCACCAGAACCAGAATGCGAAGAGGGCGAACTCCATCCACGCAACGTACCTCATCTCCGGCACAAAGCGGCCTATTGACGACACAAACGGCACGAACGACCGAAAAAGCGAAGATGTTAGCATGCGCAGCTCTCCCTTCATGAGCTCCATGCCCGAGCAAGAGGAACGAGAAGAAAAAGAAGTGCCTATCAAGAAGTCTACCATCTTGCTGGTACGAGAGGAGGAGTTTGCGAGTAGGTGTTGCGTGCAGATTGGAATCGCTGGGCTGACCAAACCGTGTAGAGACCCGCGCTGAGTTCTCTGAGGAAGCCTCTATTCACATCTACAGCCTGGGGCCCGGACCACTTGAGGTATAAAGGGAAAGAGCCAGAACACTGGAGAAGGGCTAAGCATGACAGAATCTAAACATACTTGCATCGTGCAATCGCGAAGTGATTGCAAAGCACGCGGACAAGGACCCATTGGAGCGATGGCGAGCATATGGATCTATACACAATCCACACATAAAGGTAATCAAGACTCTTCTGTCTAGTTTGGTCGAAATGCTCTTTTCTAACGCCTCCGTAGCGAAGGACGGCTAAATATGCACCCCCACCTGCTGCCGCTACTTCGGCCAAAGCAGCCGCAAAGCCTACTGCAAAGCCACCCGTGGCTGCCCAGCTGAGGAAAGAAGTTTCGACATCCTCACGTAGAGGTAGCGCTTCTGAGGACAACACATCTGCACGATCAACACCGCAGCCAGTCGCAGCTCCCAGTACTCTGAAAAGGTCAGATTCTACTAAGTCTACGGGCACGAGAAACAAGACTGCTGGAGATATCTTCAAATCTTTCGCGAAGGCAAAGGCAAAACCGAAAGAAGCCGCGAAGCCAAACGAATCAACGCATGCGCCAGTTGAGGATGGTAAGCCCAATGTAGTCTTCCGTGGTTTCGTTGTTTAACACCGCTAGATCTCATGCAAGGCATGTCAGAAGACGAAGGGGAGGAGGAGGAGCCTGAGATTCAGATAGATATCGCAAAGATCGAAGCCGCAAAGAAGGCTCGTGATGAGCGTGCCGAGAAACTGAAAAAGATGATGGACGATGACGGTAAGCTTGAGATAGCATAGTGCCAAAACCTCAGCTGACAGGATGCAGATGAGGATATGCCCGACGCTGGCAGTATAGAAGAGAAGCCGTCTGCAGCACCACCGCCTGAAAAGGCCGAGACGCCCAAAGACGATGAGGAGCCGATCGTCATGGTAGAAAACGGTCGCAGAAGAGGCAAGAGACGTGTCACGAAGAAGAAGACTGTCAAGGACGAAGAAGGGTATCTTGGTAAGTTTAATTGGTGCTAGATTAGAGCAAGAAATAACCGTGAACAGTCACCAAAGAGGAGGCAGTATGGGAGTCCTTCTCAGAAGATGAGCCTGCACCTAAGCGAGCGAAACCAGCACCCAAGCCGGTAGCAGCAGCGAAGGGAAAACCTGCTGGCAAGAAAGGACAAGGAAGCATTGCTAGTTTCTTCAAGAAAGCATAAGACCCTCGTGGCTTCCCATCCTTTATCTCACCTCCAAAGTTCTGCAAATATTCTATGGCTAGATTTTCATGAACATATTGGCGCGAACTATCAATAAGTCCTCCAGCTGTCATCTGCAATTACTCGGCGACATATTCAATGCTCGTCGCTTGTCATACCGGTACCAACTATGTACCTCCTGCTTTCTTAAATCTCGCACACATCGGAAATTATAGCCCGAAGAGGTAGTAGGTAGCTACAGACGACCGACAGTGCACATGCCGGGAGTCGTCACACAGGGGCACGGGGACACCGAACGGTCGAACAAGTCAAGATCTGTGTGCAACCCGGCCTGTGGCACGCTCTGTGAGACTTTGCAGGGGGAAGCGGGCGCCTACGTAGTACAAGTCGGCGACCTGTGAGAGTTCGCTTCGGGGGAGAAGAGCATGGATTGAGAGCAACGTGTATTCCGAGATGTTGGTTGATTACTATTCAAGTCTTCCCTTTCGGATATACTACCATGTGCTGGTGAAGTTGGTCTAGTCATCATGGCCACAGCTCTTCTGTTCTCCAACCTGCGTTGTGTCGCGCAGTCTCGCCATCCCAAGTGTATCTAAATCTCCGCCCCTTTGCTGGGTCGCTCAGGTCGGTCTGCTCGACAACATCTGGGACGATGACAACGAGACGGAAGTTCTTCCTCGCAACTTCGTCGTGGAGATCGTCGGCTTTCGAGCCGAGCTGCAGGCGCTCCTTGTCGAAAGGTGCAGTCACCGGTTGACCGGGCGGCGGGTTCTTGAAGGAGCCTGGTAAAATCGTTAGTCTGACATGCTTCTTTGGCACTTGGAAGACTCATACCCTTGATAGCAGGAGACTGGTTGCCAAAAAAGCCTGTAAGCTCTCGTTGCCAGCTCCACTCGTTCTCTCCTCCCTCCTTGAGCGCCCTCATCCTCTTTCCAACCTCACTCTTGACAGTCCTGACACCACTGCTCTCCTCTGCACCCTCAATATCGTCCGCAATCACGTATGCCTTGCCTGCAACACGCCATTGTGTCTGAGTCTCGCCCTCGACCCACCAGACAGCTTCAACAGGACCCCCACCACCGCTGCCTTGGACCTGGTCGTCGCTCGTCGCATGTCCGGCGCTGGTCTTGAAGATCTGTCCGACCTTTTCCATGCGCACGTCGGTCGTGAAAGTCGGGCAGTCGCTGTGGTAGAGCTCGGGGTTGCGCTCGGCATCGTTATGCTTGTTCTCTGGTAACTCGGCCCAGAAGCCTCGGAAGATGCAGTATCGCACGCGGGGCACGTAGTCAACCGGCGAGCCCTCAGGGGCACTGTCTAGTGTGCCCAGAACAAACTGGGGAGGCTTCATCTCGCCGAGATGCTTGTTGAAGAGCTGCTTCCATGGCGCTTGAGGCAGCGTCGAAGCCGCGGGTGCAGTCGTCGACATCGTGCGCAGAAGACGCGAAAGACGATTCACTGGACGCGAAGCTATGGTGGCTGCTTGTGAGACTTGCTGTGGTAAGCAAGAGCGTCAATGATGTGTTGCTGCAAGCGTTGGAGCTCTTAATGAAAGCCACTTGATGTATGTCATGTCGTCATCAAACAGAACTGCTGCGTCACAGCTAGGCATGGGAAAGCAATAGTCAGTACTGGTTCTGGGTCATCATTCAAGCTGAAGGCTAAATTCTGGATGCTCTATTTCACAATGTATCAGGGCTTTGGGCTACATTGACGTTGGACTGTTCGAAGATGCTGCTCTTGGCAGTTGAGCTATCGATAGGTAGGGAGGTCGCTGATACTGCAAACGCGGCTTGCGAGTCGGTTCAATTGAAAGATCAGCTATCACTCTTCGGGAAGCTCGGATGACACAAGAATTGCACTCATTCTTAGCGAGCGTCTCGCATCCCGAGTTTTCAGGCTTCATCACTTTGTGCTAGGCTCGAGGCTAACCTTGCTCGAACATGTATGCAGTTAACGGACGCAAGATTATCGGGAATGGCGTTGATCAGCAACTCAATCATACTTTACCCTCCAATCACACGCCGGCAGGTGTGTTTTGAAGCACCAAAGCTCGCCAAAATGCAACGCTATGGAAAGGCCCGCCCGGCTGCCCTTCTGAGCCAACCCAGTGCCAGTGAAAAGATCTTCGATTCGACGAAAATAGGGTCGTTGATGAACAGTCGCACGTTTGTTTGGTACGCGAATGCCGCATTTCTTGCGTTCAGCAAATCAGGTTGCGGCCGGAGAACAGCCCAAACGCAGGAATTGGCCCTGCCTTGATTGATCATGCTCGGACGCGTTGTAGGTAATCAAAATTCTGCGGGTCAAGGCAAGGACAGCGCTTCGAGAAGCTCGCCGACCTGAGCCACAGTCTGGGGAACTCGTGTCGGAACGTTGCATCTGGGACATGCAAGGTGTCTACGACGGAGTGTTACACGACAGGCTTTCTCGAGCGTTTTCGTGGTGCACGTCGGATCCGTAGTGTGGCTGGACTCGGCAGTACGAAGTACGTAGGTAGTGGGAATGTCGGAGGTATCCGAAAGGGTTCAATGCTGGACTCGAACAAAGAGGCAAGCTTCTACAAGTGGACACCACGATGTCAGATTGGGTAACCTGAATGCCGACGTTCGAGTCGGTCGGTCGGCTGGCTTTGTCCGTACGGATGAGCGCGGCTAAGAGACGAACCACAGTGCTGGAATGGTGTTGACTGTATTCAGTCATATGAACCGAGGAACTCACGCAACAGAGTTTGGCTCAGAGAAGAGCGATTTTTCCTTTGGCCATTAATACCGTTAAGAGGCCTTAAAGACGACTACGTAGCGCCTAAGATACCCCATCCGGCACTGTGGAGCTGTAAGCTCCGATCTCCCAAGTTTTCTTAAATATCAAGATGTCACTTTTGAGGCGGAGTCGTCCCTCTCGTGCGCCCTTTGTTACCATTCATTGGCGCCACTAGTCAAGGGCTATGGGTCGTTTCGATGTGTTGTCTACATACATGTAGACTGGTCATGTGCTCAACCTCTTTGAGGCACGTCTGCGAATAGATGTACCTTGCAACACATTAACAGACGTGATATGACTATCATGTCGACCACGCAACTTCGCAATCTATTCACACCGCAAGATATGAGCAACGAGACACTAGTAAACGTTAGCCCCCGTTCCGCGCCGTCTCGCTTCACATCGCGCCGAACCTGCGGAGGCACGGGAGAAGGGGGCCACTGGATGTTGATTGGATGATAAGCCGCAATTGACAATTAACCGCGCCGTCTTCGTCTAGCGAGGGGGGCCTGAAAGGGCAGCGATTCCTTTGAGCTGTGCCTCCATCTGATGCTTGCTGAGTTGTCACGGACACCCCGCCAATGGCGCGTCGTTGTCTACTGGTGCGCAAACGTGCCTCGATATGTACCACACACAACAGTATCGACAGTTTTGGAGAAGTGGCGGCCTCGTTTCTGCAAATCACGAGCGGGCAGCTGATGCTCATGAGCCTAATCGCGCACTTGAAGTTAGTCGACACATGTAGATCTTCTCATCTCCTCGCTCCTAGACTCGATTTTAATGCGCACCGATCCCTGCTAAAACACAAGTTTTCTTTGGCTGCAGCATGTGATGCCGCAGACAGCGCAGCACAGGCTTCTCTGGGGAGGAACACAGCCGTGGAGATGCAAAGACAGTGAGGCCCAGACCAAGCTCGACCGGGGCAAGCTCGACCATGGCCCAACGCGAATGCGGTCGCAGGCGCGCCAAGGTGGCACACAAGACGCCTGAACGGGCTGCACCTAGCAAACGTACCGTTCACTCGGAGCAGTCTGCGTTCTTTGAGTCCTTGCACCTGCTGGGCGCTCCACTCTCTTTTCCTGCACGCTCCTCATGTATGTAATGCGCCGTGACTTTGCGCAACCATAGTAATCTCGCGCGTCCGTCCGCTGCAGCGTGGCCTGTTGATCATTCCATCCGTATTATATGCAAACCCCTGCCCGCCAGCCCGCTACCAACTCCACACCGGTCGCCGACTTGCCATCCACCCGCTCTTGTCCGCTGCAGGCACGCTACATACACTCCACCAGCGCCCGCCCGCCCGCCTCCACTTGACGACTTCTACGACTACCCGCTGGACGACTCTGCTTTTCGCGTGTTGTACCTACTTCTACGCACGCCACTGCCGCCCCGTACACCCTGTTCTCCTCCTGCACTCCCCCGGACTGGCCGACCGCCGCGACCTCGCTTACAAACAATCCAACGCAACACGACATCTCGCACACGATCAACTCGCCCAGCATGTCAGATATCTCCAAGGCCTTCACCTTTCTGCGCGACACTATACCACAATGGCTCGAGGATGCTGCGCATTTGGAAGAGAAGGTCACCAACATGCAGGGACAGAACTCCAGGGTATCCGTGTCAACATCGCCGTTCGCAAAGGGCCGGACAGGGTCGACGGAATCGATACGGCCTGATAAACTTGAAGCTGTCGTCGAAGACAGCACGTCTTCCAACCTTGCACCGATCGATCCGCTGGGTAATCGCAAGCGCAAGTCGCCCTCAGTCATATCTGGCCATGGTTCAGGACCCGCAAAGTACCGCCCTAAGACCATGGTCGTCGTGAACTACGATGGTGACATGCAAAAGTCATTTGAGCTGCTCGTACGAGGGCTAGCAACGGGGCGCAACATGTTGCGGAAAGCCAAGATGGAAGCAAAGATGGCCGAACTAGCTGCCCTCGCAGGCTCGAGCGACGATGAGGATGAGGACGAGGATGAAGAGGAGCACATAATGTCGAAGATCAGCTACCGGCCACAGATTGCATCCATGCGGATGCGTGCTGCGGCGCGCCTAGGAGGAGCACGCGGTGGCCACGGCGGCGGTCCAGTTCCGCCAGCAGAGCTTTTCGAGACGACAGATAAGACGTTGGAAGAAGCGCAAGAGCTGTGCGAAAAGTCGGCGCATCTTACCCTGCGTGATGGTGACTGTAGGACCGAGTTGAAGCTTGTCCGTATGCATCTACAGCACATTCACTCGACCGCGAATACAGAAGTCATCAAGAGTGCAGCCAGCCAACTGCAGTCGACCCAAACATCACAAGATCAAGACACATCCGACACATCGTTGTCTTCCATGGAGCCGTCCTACAAGAGACACTTCCCAAGTCTCTCAGCGCTCAGACCGGTCCCGGAACCAGAAGCAAAGTTGGAACCCGTAACCACTCAATCAACCATCCGTGCGCCTGTTGCAGCCCCAATAATCTCACCAAAAATGATGGATATTGAGGTCGATGACGATGACGAAGATGAAGACATGGACTACGTCATGCCACCTGTGCGCTTCACCTCGCGGCGAGCTCGCGTTTGAAGTATTTCGTTGTGTATTATTTCGTCACGTCTGCATTTCAGCGATATCTTTGCGTATCTCTACATGGCGTCCTCGGTGCATTTTGAAGGAGAGGGTTACATCATGGCTATTATGAAGAGCACACACTAAATGCATCGATCACGCTGAGGTGGCAGGGCATTACCGCTGGCTTTTGCTTCTCAGCGCTAGCTCGACCTTGTAATTACTGTTCGACCATTGCCAGCGGCGGCAGATGCTGTTGTTGCTTTACACTCGATTTATAGCGATACCCAATGCAATGCTTCGTTTACCATCAATCATGCGTTTTGAATTCGATTTTTCCTTGTTTGTTCGTAAGCCGCTCGGCTTTCTGTCTGCAAGGCCTTGTTCAGTCTGACTTTGGGTGTCTGGTGCAGCCTGCCTGCTACGCCAGCTCTTGCCCTCTATAGTCGACGACAACACAGTAGCCACTCCTCGTCGTGAGGGCAGTCTCACACTCTTCCTCCGCACCTGCTCCGCAACCACACGCTGCGCTGCATCTTCAGACTGGCAACCCTTCTCATCCTGCTGTACACATTCACTCTCACTCTCACTCTCACTCCTTGATCTACGCTCGGTTAACTTTGCCGTCCTAAAGCGACCTGTCAATTTGACAACGTACGCAATGGCATCACCTAGCTCTGAAGTCATCGATGAAGCTGTAAGATCTTTTCCTGATAGCAATACCAGCCCCAGTTCCCGAACCTCCAGAAATATCGATGATGTGCAAGACCTGCCAGCATTTACGCAGGTGGTAGCTGACATCTACGTAGGACGACTGCGACTTTTCTCCTTCCAGTCCAGAGATTGGCATGGCAAGGGAAGGTGAGAGCGAGATTAGCGGATGTAGTCTGGATGATGATGAAGAGGCTGTCGCAGACCCAGGTCTGCCTCGGACGCTGGTGAGCAAGCTCTGCGCGTCTCGAGGTATTGTTTAACATATCTGCAGTCCAACCTAGTCGAGGAACATGGTGCCGATACTGGACCCGACAACCATGCAAATACTTTGCCCTCGAAGTGTCAAGTTCAGTTGTCACGACCAGGAAACACTCAAGGAATAAGCTCGGCACCAGATGAGCAAGCTGCGGTCTTAGCCCCAACATGTGCTCCGCCACTTCGCAGTGCCAGAGCGATGAATACACTCCTCTACGACCAGAAGTACCACCCGATGGACGATTTCATCCGGCCTTCCTCAGCAGCCAAGCGTCGTTCAATACACGGTGTAACCAGCGGTGTTCTCGACAATGAGGCATCTGAAGATTCTAGCTCCGATATGGCAAGCATACTTGGCGATACAGACAGCGATGATGAAGATTCGCAGCCGCCCACGAGAGGTCAAAAGAGAAAAAGATCAAAGTCTCCAAGCTCAGAGCCCACGCGGCGCTCATCTCGTCAGAGAACAACACCGAAGGTATCCTACAACATGAAAATTCACCCTCAAGACAGCGATTTGAAGCGAGTTTGGGCATGCGATGGATCTAACAGCTCACCCTCACCGACGAAGAAAGTCAGTCTCCACGCAGACACATCTCTCAGATCAGAGAATCGGCCAGATAACTCTCAGGAGGTTTATGAGTCGCTTTTTGCAGATTCTCCGGAGGGTGAGCGCTTTCTACCTGCAAGCTGAAATGAGTTATTACTAATGGCAAATAGATTCCTCATCAGAGCGATCATCGGAATCAGTACAGAATCCACCAATATTGGAGATTTCTATTACTGAACCTGTTTCAGAGCAGTCAATTTCACCCGCCGATTCATACCAGGACTTGCATCCAGACGTCGCATACCTGGGTGGTAATCTGAGGTCCTGGCCAGACGTGAAGGGGCTTCCGTTCTGCGTATACACAGAGCGCATAGAAGATCAGTTGAGCGCAGAGGCAGAGGCAGCATCACCATTCCACTATGAGGACGATGATAAAGAGAACGATGTGATCAACCCTGAATTTGTTCCCACACCAAACCCCCTTGACGGCATATCGATCATACCAGCTTCACACTACCGACGATCTCCAGGATTCCATTCTGGACCAGCTCATGGCTCAATAGCCAGTCATGCATTCTACGCACATCCTCAATTTGAGGCGTCACCATATGGTCTGGGCTGGAGCGATGGTATTCACGATGCAGGCAACAGCTACACGCGCGACTGTCCCCTTACCGACTACATGAGTATCCTGGCATCTGGCGAGAATCTACCTCGAGCTTCTACACCTCCGGAAATACGTCCATGTAGTAACAATCCTTCTGATGGTTCTTCTCCGTCACGAAGCCTGAAAGAATTCGATCTTCGACGCTAAATATGCGCTTTGGATGGAAACAGACATTTAACATCTACGAAGTCTGTTCAAACAGGGGATGTAATTAGGTTCTAGAGTCGCTAAGAGCCGGTCGTCAGCATCATTGTGCAAAAAAAAGAAGGGACAGCATTAGGGGCGGCAAGCAGATGATGATGACAATTTCACGTTGAGATCTGATGAGGCAAGATCATACTGTTGCATGCAGTCCGGGTGTAGTCAGCTCACTGGCGAGATATAGCGACGAAATCAAATCAAGTTTAGAATGGGAACCTCGTAAAGGGGGTTACGTTCAAGCACCTTCAGTCAACACTTGTTCTCAAATCCCAGTCGCGGTCTAATCCAGGGAATCTCGGATGTTTTCAAAAGCCTATAACCGAGCTGGTCACTGTCCCTGGCTGTTTGCCTTTCATTTGACCCTATCCCGCCCATGAAAGATATCGAGAAGTAAGTGGCTTCCGACAAGTCCATCGTCATAAGTTTGATGCTCATGGGAACATACTTGACCTGAACAGAGTCCCTGTTGAATTACCGAAGGCCCGATCTGCACTGGTGATGTGGGAGATTTTCCACTCCACATAGTCGGAAAGTAGGCTCCAAGGGGTTGATTCACAGCAACTCACGCTGCGTTAGCCTTACGCAGCAGCTCGACAAACTACCCGAGTGTAAATAGACGCAAACATTATAGACTCAATCCATACACCCACGGCCGTAAATTCATGTGGATGGTAAGGGAAGAGACGTGTTGAAGGGACAGAAGAGTAGCACTGTGCACATGCTGCGGACGTCTCAACTTTCGAATGGGACAAGACGTAACTCATCAAGAATGAGCGAGCCGCAGGCTTGCAGTTGTCGATGTTTGAACTGGTCAATGGTGATCTCGGGTTGTGAGAGAGCTGGAGTCGGTGCTGATCGTCTCGTGGCTTTGTCAATGGCTTAGGCAGGCTGACTTGCATATCTATCTCATCACAGGGCTCGCCTCGACCCAAGATCGGCGAACACGACGCTCGACAGAAAAATGACAGCTTTGTGACCCTAGCGTATCTCTACATGGTGCTTGTCTACGTCAGAGCAGCGTACACGTCCCACTTGCCAGAATTTATCTGTCCTGGAGGCCATGGATCGAAGGGTGAGCTTTATTACATCGCCATTTGTAGACTTTGTTGTCTCTTATGCGCCTCCGATCTACTCAGAAATTGATTAGTGAGATGGTTGTAAACGTCTATTGCTGCGGTGCGGAAGCACCGACGAATAAGGAAACGTGTATGACTGTATGTGTGCTGACTGTAGGTAACCAACAAGCAAGCATCTGCGCCTTGAGCTTAACCTGAAATCCTCCGAAGCCCAGTCGCTGTGCAATTGCACCTAGAACTCATCGCCCGCATGGTGACTCCGCCATGCAGCGGCCGCGAGATATGCCGTCCTTGCTCGTATTCAACCTCACCAATGTCTCCACTCCGGCAGCCTGACGACTTCGTGTTGACATCAATGAACCACTATCGCTCCTGCAATTGCTCCGCGGTTCTTCTCGTTTGCGCACACGTCTTCGGAGGGACCGTGACTGCGGACCTCGGTGAGGTCGATCAGCATAGTAGGTAAGGCTAGGCAAACACGATGAACGGTCTCCTTCACGTTAGCGCAGCAAAACGCCATATGCGGTGCACCTGAACACGCACACAAGTCATTCGCACACGTGCATGTCTGCCTCGCCAACCGCGGGAGCCCCGTCTACACTCTTGCTGGTCGCTCACCGGGCCAGCCTTACGCTTACACAGATGTAGTCGCTGGCGCACAGTCCGGCCAGTTTTCACCGCCATAGACCCTGACGGTAGGCCTGGAAGGCGCGCAGAAGGATTTCGATGTAATTGCGCCGGCTACCTGTCAATCCAGACCTGAGCTCAGAGCGCTAGCCCAGTGCGGTCATTTTTGGAACGTGGGTACGAGCTTGAAAGAAAGTCTTCGACCGAGGTACAACATTACTTCTTTGCAACGAAGTCCCTCAAGTACTGGGCTGTCGTGAATTGACTTCGTTGGTAAGCTGGCAACCTGGAAAGGATTGAGACGTGGTTTGGAGCCATGTTTGATGGTCACCCAGGCGTGTCCTGGTACGAACTACCTCTGTGATTTGATAATGCTGGCGAGGATCGCACCACTGCACAACACCGGACCTAGCGCACCTATCTTAGTGCAATGGGTTTCTTTCGGTCCTATCATCCGGACCCTGCAGTCGAGATACGACTTCCGAAGATCACATCGAACCAATGGTGAAATGCCGTCTGCGTTCACCATCGGAGTGGATCACCAACACTGCTTGACGTGCCAGTGATGTTTCTGAAGTCGGCGTGTGGAACATCTCTGACGCGGAACAGGCCTCATCTTCAGCTCCACCATGAAGATCCTCAGACCTCAACCATTTCCAAACATCACCTTGCTCGTAAACAATGCAACTACGCTGCAAAGCCATCAATTGCTCTCCTCAGAGCAGGTCGGATCAGCGACGCTTTGTTACGCCCTCGGCAATTGCATGTAGAACGCCGCGCAGATCCAACTGAGAATTCGTGATGTGGCAACGATACGTCTGGGACGTGGGCTGACTTTAGCTTACGAACTTAGGGCTCGTGGCTGGCTCACTTCTGGTAGTAGACCAGTAGTCTCATCAATCAATACACCAATCCGCTTTCTAAAATCAACACAAGGTGCGCACACTGGTGACGCTGGTTACTGTCAAACATTACATCGCAGCGCACCTTGCAGGGAGGTTTGCAGGAAGTACCAAAGTTTACGATGTGGACAACGACCCCGGTCGCTGACTCTCGTGAGAATTGCCCTTTGGTGTTGGTGTATTTACCGCGGGCTAGACCCCTGAGAATGCAACATATTTAGAGTTGCGCTAGTACTAATGCATCTTACGCGTGCGTGCACCCATCCCAGGGCACAGCCGCTTTCTATGATCGGGCTGCCAGCGACCCCAGACCCTCTGCACCTGGCGATATGGGCGCTGACATGCGGCAGTTATGTGTTTTTAGCGACGGGTTATTCGAATTGTGCGCAAACGCGCCATGGGTACGCACGCCATGTGAGCGGGCGCAAGGCCGCTGTCACTGTCTGAGGTTAGGCCTCTCACACCGTTCTGAGGGTTATAAAGTCGCCAGTCGCTTTGTGTTTGAAGGCATCCAGAATCGAGAAGTGGGCCAGCCAGTCATACTTGCTTCAGTAGATTCGAAACTCCCTCATCGTTACTGCCTTATCTTTGGAACGTTTACAGCGACGACGTATAAACATCGCACGCACGGCTTGACGAAGACAGCTTCTGTACGCCTCGCAACGCACGGTCCTTGGACTACTCTGGCCGAAAACGAGGAATAGCATATTTTGGCTTTCATCTTCAGCCTAGCTCCCATCTTCTCGCGGCGGTTCCGTAGATTGGCTCGATCATCCTTGCTCGTATTGGAGACCAGCCATATAACCTTAGTCGCTCCACCAATTTGGCCTGACCTACTTGGACCATCGACCCCCAGGCCTAACAAAAGCACTCCAGTATCTGTATACTTCGAATTATACATATACTCGAGCCCAATCGACACGCTTTCAGACCATACCGACGGAAACCTAGGACTCAACATGGTCAGGCTTGGCGCTCTTGCCTTTGGGCTGCTCACTGTTGTGGCTCAAGTGAGCGCTCAGAAAACAGTCAAGATCATGCCTTTTGGTGCCTCGATAGTCAGCGTAAGTTCATTCATGGTCATGCTTCTGATACACTTTACTTACATCCACTTAGAGATGTTGGCGGGCAAACCTCCAGACCAAGCTCCGCAATGAGGGATTCACAAACTTCGACTTCGTCGGCACACAAAAAAGCAGTTGTGCCGGAGCCAACATAGATCAAGACCATGAAGGCCACCCAGGCTCCCAAGCAACCGACTACGCCGCCAAGGGTAACCTTACAGTCTGGCTCAACGCCGTCGACACCCCTGACGTGATCCTCATGTTGCTCGGAACCAACGATGTACTGCTCGGCAAGAAGCCTGTCGGCGACATTCTCAAAGCCTACGACGTCCTGATCGAGCAGATGCGCGCCAAAAATCCTAAGATGCACATCCTCTTCTCCAACCTGCTGCCGTTGGATCCCGCTCGCTGGCCCGCCACTGGTGCCCAGGGCATCGAGCAACTCAACACGGCGATCAGACAATATGTGCCCAGCAAGAACACGCGGGACAGCCCTGTCGTGTTCGTCGACAACTTCACGGGCTTTGACGCCGTTGCTGATACCACGGATGGCGAGCACCCGAATGATAGCGGGAATGAGAAGATGGGAAGCGTGTTCTATGCGCCGACGCGGGATGCGATTAAAGCTGTGAGTGCTACGAAACCGACCGTGAAGCGTGCGAGTGGATTTCTGAACCGAAGGTTGGCGTTGCTTACGATGTAACGGGAGAGTGTATTGGAGACGGATGATGACGGCATGGCCTGTTACGATTAACGACCTAATGTTTTGTGCTATTGCATAATGATTGTTGCTGTACTTAGACGTCTTGCTTTTTTGTTTTCTTCTTTATCTCCCTTTCTCCTCTTCGTCACCCTTCTAGCTCGCATGACTGCGATGACACATCTCCTCTGAGAACTGTGAATTGACCAACGTACAGATCTCCGGTACAGACGTAGCCGCCAAGGGTCAACCCCAAGCTGAAGAATTGCAGCCCGCTTCCAGGCTGGCCGTGCCGCCGGCGGAGACCTCTGCCCCAGCCCAGAGTGCCGCCCAGAGTTCCACCCCGGCATCGAGCGCCTCGCCCTCCCAGAGCACCGTTTCCGCCCAGGGCTCTGTCCGGGCCCAGGGTGCTGTTCAACCGCAGAGTACGCTTTTGGCTCAGACTTCTGTGCACCCTGTGTCGACACTTGTGCCTGTAACAGCGCAGATGCAGACCTCGACCGTGCCAGCCGCAGCCGCAAAGACAACGACAACGACGCAGTCAAGCCAACAGGCGTCGGCGGCGAATAGTTTGAACGTGCCGCGGCCCTTAGGCATGTGGCGGGGCGTGCGGTGGGCGATGGGGATGGGAGCATCGAGACAGAGCGTACTCAAGCAGTAGGGCGCGACAGGGTTGTAATTGTTTGAGGCACACCAGAGGTGCTTGTTTCTGCTTGTACATGAAAGCATTTGCATATGAAGCGAGGCGTCATGGGTGTTCGGCGGTCGCCTGCTGGCTCAGGCTCGATCGCGGTCTTCGTTCTGGATTTTTTACGGCCCGCACTGCATGTAGACATTAGCGATAAGACTGCATCTTGCATAATATGTAAAGACATACCATCACATCGACATGGAATCAAGATTAGAAATTTAGCATGTGTTCCTTTGTGAGTGTATACGGAAGGTATAGGCAAGGCGTTTGACGATGGTACTAGCCTGAGCCCGATGTCAGACCCCATACATACTTGCTGCCACTATGACCTTCAATGTCCTCATGTTCCTCTGTGGGCTCCAGTGTCTCTGGCCACCTAGGTCTTTTTGTCCAGATCGCAATACTGACAGGGGTAAAGGTCTCTTGTCTGTGATGTCCTGATTTTCTGTGTGTCTGCACTCCGCCCGTCAACTACAAACATTCCAATGTGCCGTTTGTGATGTCTTTTGGAGCCAGCCTCCTGTGGCCAGCCATGTTATATGACGTTGTCCTCAGAATGTATGCCTCCCGGTCGGCCGCCTCCAGACTCACTTGCCGGTGTCCTCCATCTCAGCTTTTCGCGCAGCCTGTACGTCGCCTGTCAGTCAAGCACCTACGTAGCGCGTTATGCAGATCAACCTACCACGATGCCGCGACTTTTCTTTCCCTTGATGAGCTTCAATTCGGCAGCTGTGATAGCCTCCGCGGCAGCTGCTTCCTGAAAGGCGTCAGACCCAGTAACTCATTGCGCAGCTGTCCAAGATAGTACCTCGCGCTTTTTCTTCTTGAAATCATCAAGGCACAGGGCCGCACTGGCCATCTTCGATACGTCTTTGGCTGGGTCTGTCAAATCGTATCCGCCCCGGCCCATCTTGACGGCGGTCCCAGGGTCTCCCGGTGTATCCTATACATACAATTAGCTTTCGCTGGCAGTCAGTTTCTGACTGCATACCGTGACTGTCTTCGGATGGATTTGAAGCCGCAGTGCGCGGCTGCCGAGTTTGATCTGCTGCAGTGTTGTGTTGCGACGTTGGGAGGTCCTGGCCCTGTTGACATACGATGTTGCGGAGCAGGCGGAGCACGTTGAGGACGGACTAGAGATTGCGACATCACGCCAACTTTCACCTCTAGTCATAACAGAAGAAGAGGACAGGCTTTGTGCAAAGGATGTGCCTTTTGTGCTTCCAAGTGAGGAACAAAGCTCGGGCGTACAACCGGGGGAGTGAGGGTATATGGAGGTAATGAGGGGGAAGGTGAAGAGGAAGGAAAGACCCTGAACAGTCTCACCACCAACTGGTGAAAAGCATTGCAAAAAAACATAGGCAATGTGAACGCCATCATCGCGTTCTAGTTCCTACTCTTGTGTCGTACCCCTGTATGCTTCAAAGTAAACACTGTAACTGCGGGCAGGCAAGGGGATTGTGAGGGAGGAAGAGGTCCGAAGTCGCCCACAGAAAGCAAAGAATGATAGTTTCGAGACATACAAACATACATGCGGGCCTCTTCAATGCGTGGGTTGCTTTATTCTTAGCATCTTAAGATCAACCTCGTTTGCACAACAATAAGGTCACGCGAGGACCTACTCTCAAACCACGAAAAAACAAACGAAAGTGACTTGAGCCAGTATTTACACATGATACCACACTTCTTTACTTTGTCCTGACCTGCTTCAACTTTCCGGGGACGTGTACGAAGTTGTTAGCGTACGCCTTGGGGACAAATTTGCGGACGTTGGGTTCCTGGACAAAGTACTCATAGCCCTGCTTGGTGGCAAAGTTGATGGCGTCCTGCTTAGACTTGAACTCGATTCGCTGGCCGTTCATGAAATCGGCAGATGAAGCCCAGCCCATGAGAGGGTTCTCCCATCGGTGGCCCTTGGCGAGCACGTCCCAGTCCATGAGCCAGTGGTCCGATGTCCAGCTTCCTGACTGTGTGGCGGTCTTTGCAGGCTTGTAGATGCTGATCATGATGTTAGCATTGCGAGTTTACTGTGCTAGTGTGTCGAATGCCGTACCGAACCTGACGGGCCTGGAGATCGACAGGCGCGCCGGAAAGAACGGCTGCAGGTACAACTTCACCAGGCTCGCTGCCATCCATGACGCGCTTGGGGATGGGAGAGAAGTTGCTGCGAGCTTATTAGCTAGCTCTTGACTGACTGCAGTCCAAGATGACGCACGAGGTCCTGTAGTCGACAGCAACAGTGTAGTCCGGAGCGTGCCTCATGCCCTCGGCAGCACTTTCTCGCCTGATCTGGGTCGAGTCGCTCTTGAGGGGGACGGCGGGCGCATCCTCGGTGGATGTCTTGTGCTGGTGGGGAGTGTCCTCGTTGGTCGAGTATGTGCGGTAGGCGGGGGCCAGCGAGCGCGTCGCTGAGGAGCGCAGGGCGGGGGCGAACAGGCGGGAGCCAATTGACCGGGGGAGTGCAGACATGGCGGCGGTGGGGGGTGGTCGTCGTTGGCTGCGTTGGTGATGTCGTCGTTGAAGCTCGCTGGGGACATGCGCCAAGCGGCACTTCCCGCTCGCAGAAACTCGCAGTTCGCAGCACGACGACCATCACCGTCGACCTCCACCCGCAACTCCATCGTCTTGCCCGCCCAAGTACGCTCCCCGCCACGAAGCCATTCGCCGCGCCAGTGCAATTGATGCTAATTCAGCCCCAGCCGTCAAGATGAGCTTCATCCAGCGCCGCGCCCTGTCCACCCTGATCCCCCCCAAGGTACGCCTCCACACCCACCGCCCGCACCACCGGCACCGCCCGCAGTACTAACTCCGCCTTCCAGATCGCATCTCCCAATGTAAGCGCCCTTCAAGCATCGCCGCCGCCGACTCCGATACCTGCACGACGCATCTGCGCGACTCTCGACGAACCGCATTCGACATGCTACGCCCGCAACAACTCTCATTGAGCACCGCCGGCGCAATGCCATGCTCAGTCATGGACTCTTGGGCTAACACGATGAAGGCTATCGGCTCCTCCCCCAATGCCGTCCGCATGCAGAAGGTCGTGAGCTTCTACGAGAAGCTCCCTCGCGGCGCTGCTCCCGAGGTCCAGGCCAAGGGCCTTCTCGGACGCTACCAGAAGAAGTACATGGGCAAGAACCCTTCGGCCATGCGTACGTGCATCGCCCGGCGCATTGCAGCAGCTCTGTCCTATGAGCGCTGCTGCGCCGGCCCTACCTACGTCCGCATCTTTGCTGACCCAGCTTACAGCGCTCGTCCACGTCATCGGCGCCCTCATCGCCCTTGGCTACGCACAGAACTACTACTTCCACCTTCGTACGTCTCCAGTGCGCTTCGCAAGACCAGCAGACTGACAGCTCCAGGTCACCACAAGAACAACGTCCACCACTAAGCGTATCTTTCCCATGATTCGATCTGAGCGTTAAGGTCGGGACGTGTAAATATAGATGTAGTTGATCAATCAAGATCTAGACAGTGCATCTTGCTGACCCTTGTTGCGACAATCTCTATGTGGATCAGACTCTCAACTGGAGTCATTTGGACTCACTCTACGACTCGAATGGTAGCGTCAGTTTTGTGGAACATAGAGGAGTCAGACTCGAGACTTTGATGTTGTGGCATTTCGTCGACCACGTCGATGAGGTCCAAGAAGAAGTCGGGCTGCAGAGTCAGGTTGCAGAGCCTCCGGATTGGCCAGCTTGGGTCTGTGAGAACCGAGCCTTAGCATTTGGATGAAGTAGATGGCTCGAACAGTGGTGCTTAACGCGGTATCCACTCTGCTTGACCTGTACATGTGTGATGACTGCATGCGGACCAAGTGCTGTGACACATGTCTATCGTGAGGTGAAGATGGTCCCCTCGCAGCTGCTCTGCGTGGCACGACGCTGCCTGCGAATCGTTGCTTTCACGTGCAAATCACCGCTTTCACCTACTTTCCGTGCAGGCAGTTTCTGAGTCACGCACAAAACGGCCGTTTGGTGTTGCTGAATGCGCGCCTTCCCTCCCATACAAAGAGCGCCAAGGCCGCCTCACGGTGACCACGACCTGCATTTGACTCGTGCCGCAGCAGCTCCCAACCCAACCCGCAACACCTCCGCGACCCGCCCACACACCGCAAGGGCCTCTCTCCCCTCCCCCTCCATCGCACTCCCGGACGACGCCTCGAGCCGTTCGGCGACACCACGCGACCGAGCCACTTCCGCCGCCGGCCACCAGCTCGAGCGACCGCGCCGACACCTCCGCTGCGCCGCGACAGTCACGACGACCAGCAGAGCACGTTTCTGCGGAAGCGCCAACTTGAACCCCGTGGCGACTTGTAGTATCTGACATTAGGTGAATACTTTCCAGCTTCCCTCGCTGCCCGCGCGTCACATGGAGAATGCGCGCAGAACCGGACACGACGCACCACAGTCGGCGTCCGCAGCCCCCCCTCCCGTCGCGCAAGTAGAGCACCAGTCTGACAGCAGCCCTTCGCCCGCGGCAGTTCCGAAAACTGTTATGGCAGAGCAGGTCATCAACGATGTGGTAAAGGAAGCACAGTCGGTGGGACGCCCTGCGCCCATCGACGCCAATGCGACAGCTACCAACTCCGCCGCCACCAACGGCACGCCGCCCTCGGGCCCCGCGACTACGAACAGCACACCCTCTGCTCCGACGAATGCGACGACGGCCGACCCAGCCGCGGCTGCAGCTACCCAAGCTTCGACCAACGGCGATGGACCGACGCCAACCGTAAGTACCGAGCACCCTGCTGTGTGCGTATTCACTAAGCAACACAGATATCCAACGGTGTGGGGAAGGATGCTAGTGAACTCTTACAGAACGGCGATGCTGGCGAACACTCTGGCGCCGAGTCGCTACCTGTCAACGGCGATGCAGTCAGTGGCTCCGACACGGACATCAGCCGTCCTGGCAGTGTCGACCCGTTGAAGCAGGATACTGGCAACGCGCGGACAACCTCGACGAAGAAGCCCGCGGCTTTCAAGTCGGTTTCTGTGACGAAGAGCTTCCTGGCGAAATCAGCGGCTTCAACTCCGTCGGCGTCCCCAGGCTTGAAAGCTGCCCCTGCAGTACAGCCTCCTACCTCGTCCCTGCTGACCGCGAAGCCTCGACTCGTAGCCAAATCTGGTACCGCAAACGCTCCACGGACCCTTGGAAAGATGAATGGCGCAGGAGCGGGGCCGGACGCGAGCAAGGTGTGGAACAAGAACCAGCCAGTACCCCCACCACCTCCGAAGCAATATACAGACGAGGAGCTTAAGCAGCAATACGGTATCCATCTTGCGACACGGCTGCCCATGGACGAGGCTGGAAAAGAAGCCAAGTGGGCAGATATAGACGATGATGATGGGGATTGGGCTCCAGATACTGTGGAATGGATGGACGGAACGAAGTCGTCGGTCACAGTAGCAGAGAATCAGCCACCGCCTGTCGAGGAACCACCGAAGCCCATCATCCTCGCAAAGCCAGAGCAAGCGGCCGACGCACCGAAGCCTGCAGCGCCTGCAGCTACCAGCGCGCCAAAAACGAGCTTAACAGGAGGGCCAAAGACAATTTTGAAGCCCGGAGGACACGCGCAACTCGGCGCTACGAAGTCAAGCCTGGTACTGAAAGGTCAACCTGAAAAGCCCACGCTGGTAGCCAAACCTTCCACAGGCGCCCCTGCGAAGTCGCCGTGGGCCACTCTACCTCCCGTTGAGAAAGCTGCGCCGCTTCAGATCAACCCGCCCACGCACCAGCAGCCCGCCGATCGCCGTTTCCAAACACAGGATCACCGCGCGTACGAGCACATGCCGCAACACCATGGAAGAGAAATCGCGCCCGATGATTTCAACCGCACATGGCGAGAAGAACGAGGCGGACGTGAGCTGTTCAACTCGCAGAATGGTCGTTATGAGCCCGTCAATGATGCGCGGCGCGGATCTTTCCGTGATTCTGGCTACAGACAGCAACAGCACCCATCCTTGCTGCAGAGACCATCACATGAGGGCCCAGCTGAGCCATCTTCTGCTTTCCAGACTTCTAGGTCTAGTGCGGATATGCCCTCCTGGGGCAGGCGACGGACTTCATCGAATGTCAGTAGTGGCCCTGGACGACGTATGTCATTCGACCGACGTGGACCCGAGTTCCCCAGCGTTATCGTGGATGAAGAGCAGCAAGCTTCGCCTACCGTCAACGCAGTACAGGTTTCGTCACCCCATGTAGCTCATGCTGAACCAAGCACGTCTCAAGCTGCAGCGCCTGCGGTGAACGCAGCGCCACCTGCCCCCGAGCCTGCTCCTCCCATGGAAGATCCAGTAGAAGTGCAAAAGCGACTCATGGCTGACAAGATCGAGCGTGCTCGTCTCAAGAAACAGCAGCAGCTGGAAGCAGAGAAGAAAGAGGAAGAGGAGAAGAAAGCTCGTATCGCCAAACGCCTCGCAGCTCTTGGAGAGGCGCCCAAACCCAAGTCAAGCGAAAAGTCGCCATCCCCCGCTGTCGGTCGTTCTCCGCAGAAAGTCAACGTTGCCCCTGCAACTGTGCAATCGCCACCGAAGCCTCCTGTTCCTGCAAACGACGGTGAGGTTGCTCAATATGGCATGATGAAGGTTCACCAGCCTCACCCCGTGAAGAAGCACTCACCGGTGCCTCAAACGGTGAAGCCTGTGGAGTCTAGACCAAACGCGCACCCAGATAACCAGGTCAGGCTGCCAGTGTCATTAGACCAGCCCCCTGTGCTTCCGTTCGACTCCAGTCGTGATCACGCGAAGAAGACAGCGGACCACTCGCGGCCGCTAGCTGAGACTTCGATTTCTCAAGGCTCAAAGCCAACACAACCCGCCTGGCAGCCTGGCTCTGGCTCGCAGACACGAGGCGGTTGGACTTCTCAAGTATGGGGCTCTGCGCAAACACGAGACCGCAACCTCGGAAACGGCACTTTCGACTCAGGCTTTAACCGCGGTCAGCCTCGCCCCGGCGCTCAACAGCAGCTGTCCGCTCAGCCTCCTTCTGCTCCCATTGCGCCTATTGGCATTGATCCTGTAGCACCGAGTGTCACACATATTGTGAAGATGCCGCTTTCGTCGCAGACTGCCCCCGGCCCTATTGCACCTCCATCAGATAACAAGTGGGGTAACTTCGCAGCTCATATCGCTCGTGACGATGCAAACATAGTGGCGCAGGCACGACAAGATCGCGAGCGCAACGGTGCAGAGACTTTCCGACCCGAGCTGCGAGAGACCTACAAAGATCAGAGAGGAAAGGCCCAGACTATGGTGCACAGCAAGGTCGCTGCAAGCACCGGTTTGGACAGCGCCATAACTGCTAGGGTATCTCCTGCTAGCTCTGAGCTCAAGCTGCGAGACGAGGCCATGAAGCCTGCACACGACGGTGCTTCACCGCAGCAGTCGCTCATTCAAGGTGCACCTTTACAGCAAACTGGTGGCTCGCGCTCCTCGCGGTTCTTCCCTCGCCCCATCGAGACGGCTTTCCAGACACCAGCCGCTGCATCAAGCAAAATGGATTCTCCGCCACCTCCACCAGAGACCGAGAGTCACCCAGTCTTTGCTGGCAGCGTTATTGATCATCCTCTTGTGAGACTTCCTAAGCCCTCGCCTGTTGTACGTCTGCCCAAGCCGGCGCAGGAGCCAGCAGATCCTCCGGTCAGCATGCCTCCACGCGGATACCATGGACCAGGTGCCCGCCCTCTGGCTATGAACCCTGAGTGGCAGGCCCGATTCAACAAGCTCCTTGATAAGCCCACTGCTCATGAAACAACGCCAACCCCCAGACCCTTCACCGCAGTACCTGTCGCGGTACCTGTAAAGTCGACTGCGCTTGCTGTTGCTGCCTCTAGTAAAGCTTCTCTTGATGTACGGGCCCCTACAGGGTCTGCGACTGTCTCTCTGCCAGCATCTGCACACGGCAGGAGTTCTGGGGTTGACCGCACCCGTAGTGCCTGCACACGAGAAGGCACCGCTGCGTTGTTCGAGGACAGGGAGTTCGGATCTCTCCCCACTGTAAGACTGTCCAAGGTTCCTCATCTCAGCGCAAATGAGCCAGCGATCAATCCTCCCAACAAGGATGACGTTTATGCCCGCCTTATGAGGAAGGAGAATCCTTTCACGATCAAGAGACTGGATGCATTCGACTTCGGTGCTGGCCCAGAGGTCGACGTCATCGTTCGTTTGGAACACATGAGAGCACCCGTCACTAAGACGATGCCGAAGCCGCGCCGTGGCAAGGGCAACGGAGCCTACGGCAAGCCGAAGCGCAACGGCACTCCTACAGGGCCCCAGACTGGTGGCGCAAAGGACCGCCCGCGTAAGCCATCGCAGCAAGGACAGGGTGAGCGCACCACCAGCTCGCCCAAAGTCAACTTGCCAAACGCCTGGCCCGCTCAGCCCCGTCCTTCTGTACCCCCAAAACGCGAATCTTGGGCCCAACGTGCTGCTGCTGCCCCAGTGCACTAGAAGCGAAACCTGCACAAGTCAGGAAGCACAGTGCCTCAACCTCGGGAAACCTAGTGTCTCCCACCTCGCGACACTCTTTGCTGAGTTCGAACTGTTGCAATGGAATTATCAATCGTTATCGGGCTTCCGATGCAATGCCTGCCCAACTGTGCAGGCTTGTCAGAACATGATATTACGGCGTGTACTCGGATGGTTTGGGATCCATTGGTCGTGTTTGATTCTTGCTTTTCTTCACAGCAGTACATATTGCAGCTCTTGGACCGCAACGCTTTGGCGGTACCAAAGCTGCTTCTCTGCGACCCTTCTTTCTGCCTTCATCAACTCATGAACTCGCCTACTCTGGCTACGGCGCAGGACGCGGATGTCATGATTGATGAAAGTTACATGCGACATGTAACAGAATGCGGACAGATACTTGTACTGCGAATAATACTGATGCAAACTCTTTATTTGAGACTTGATGGTTGTGTGACGTACCTGCTCTGTTGCCATGAACTACGTCAGGCCCAGCGAGGCCTCCCACTATCCACGTGGTGCAATGACAGGTAATGACGACCTTAACTTTCTGCACATTTGAGTGAGATTAGGACTGTGTACGTTCGAATGAAGACCTGCCTTCTTGACAAATCGTCCCAGCTGACAAATGTTCTACGTTGAACCAACCAACCAAAAGAATACATTGTGAGGGGACCCCGAAGCCTTTGTAATAACACACTTGATCACCAACGCCTTGTAACAATCAACGATCTATACGCGACAATATTCCATACAGTGACACCCGCTCCATCAAAATGCAGACCACATCTTCGCACACCGCGAACCCCTTCTCTCCCGGCTCCTCCACCCAGCCCGCCATCATCTTCCCCGCGCCCTTCACCCCAGGAACAACCGACAACTACTTCTCCAACGAAGTCTTCGCCGCCGGCGTCTCCGCAGCCCAGATCTGGGCCCAGCTCGCCGATATCCGCAAATGGACCACTTACTACAAGAACTGCGCACAGGTGACACCGCCCGACGAGGGCCCGCAGCTGCTCAAGGGCCGCGTGTTTAAGTTTAGCACGTTCGGGTTCGCGCCGTTGACGTGCGAGGTTCGGGAGAGCGTTGCGCCGGAGAGGGGGCGCGAGGGCAGACTGGCGTGGTACAGTCGGGTGGAGGAGGGCGTGGAGGTGTATCATGCGTGGCTTGTGCAGGATGTTGGGGCCGGGCGAGTGAGGGTGCTGACACAGGAGAGTCAGATTGGGCAGGTGAGTGGTAATTTTACTTGCGAGTGGAGAGTGCTGATGTGAGTGAATAGGTTTTCAAGGGTTGGAGTGCGCAGAAGCCGAATCTGATGCTGTTGGGACATCAGGATTGGTTGGATGGCTTGGTGAGTAAGGCCTGGGGGGAGAAGATTGGGGAGACGAATTTGGAGGCTGTGGGGTTCTCTGTGGGACAACTTGTAGAGGACGAGGAGGTTGAAAAGCCCGCTGTGAAGTTTGGGGTCTAGCTGAAGCGACGTACATGGCTAGTGGTGAGCGTATGGTCCTCCTCCATACCCTTGTCCACCGCTACGTCCTTGGAGCGCCATGTTTATTCCGTTCGCCATCGTGTACTGAGGCGCAACGGGCACACGACCTTCCGTAACGCGACAGTCGAGTGGGGGGAAATGTTGGCAATGACACGGCCGGCCGTAAAATTGGTCAACGCAATCATGGTCGGTTGCGAACTCCTTATTTGACACCTGTTGGAAATATTCCGGCATCGTTTCCAAATATTGCGGAGCCAACTGACGCGCTACCAACGGCTGTGCGTGACTTCCTGGGGTGAAAATAGTCGCTGTCGATGAACAGGCACAGTTGCAGTTTTGATGCGGGTGATGCCCGCAAAAAAGCCCGCAGCCAGATTCAGGGAGGCCCAAAAGAGGCTGGCCTTCCGGATACTGTGGGAGGTTCTCTGCCATGACCAGATTCTGTGAGAACAAAGGTTCTGGCACCCAGTCAGCAACACCTTGGTGCAAACTGCCCGAACGCGTAGTCGCAATATCTGCATCTTCATGCTTATTTGCAATCATCGAGGTCGTATCTGATTCGAGTTGACTATGCAGAGACTCTCCAGATTGCTGGGGTTGGGGTTTATGGCTGAACGGAATCTGCGTGGTCTGTTCTGGCAGTCCCTTTGATGTCTGGCATTTCTGAGTCGTTACTTTGGAAGCATTGTTCGTGCCTGGCGGATGTGTCATAGCTGACGAGGTGCTCATTAGAGCTGCAAAGTCGAAGAGGGAATCTAGAGCATTCATAGTGAAAGCTTCGACTGGCAATGAATTGTAAACTCTGTATTCGCAACGGAAATCTTCCAGCAAAAAGCGTACTTGGAGTGTAGAAGGATGGAAGAGATATAGAGAAACTTTCATTGACAGCCTTGACGCTCGGCCAGGCTCTAGAGGGTGGTACAGTGCTGTAGTGTACATGACGGGTGTAACAGGCCACCTTCTGGATCTACGCCTACCAGCGACTGCCTAGTCAGGTACATCATATATGAGCACTGCCTCAAGAAGGGACACCAAACCCGACCCACCTGCAGATGATCGACTGTGCGGCACAATGCAGGTAAACTCTCATCTACTGACCGATCGCATCCAGCTCCTGCATGAAACTCTCTTGAACGCCAAGCAGGTCACCCCCTCTTGAAGTCATACTCGCCATCAGATAGATAACGTTGCCAAGAATGCGAGAATGAATCCGGGTCTTCTGTTTACCACGGGAAAGAAGCGCATCCCGAAGTCCTATAGCTGCGGATGAATTGTAGCCTAGAAGTGTTATTACGACTGGAAGAATTGAAAGGTGAAGAGCGTTGACTTACCGGCGCCAGCCTCGTCTTTAAGTGACACGGCTAAGACAGAACCAAGCGCGTTGACATGTTCAACACACTTGTGCTGCGACAGAGCGAGCACGAAATCTTTCCCCCAAAAGCTCCAAAGCGCAAGATGATTTCCAGGACTCATTCTAGGCTTTTTTGAAGTCTTCCTCCAAATCGGTAGTCTCTCCTCTTGTTGGAATGGGGCTCGGACTTTCGACCAGTTATGTTTGAACACATTCCATTTTGAGCCGCCGGAGTATTTATCCATAATGTCCAGACTTATATTGGCAACGTGACAGCCAATCGGGTGCGCAGTATAGCTGTGACCATGAAGGAGAGCCTCAGACTTCTCATCGCCCCAGAAGGCCTGATAGATTGAGTCACTAGCCGCAGTAATCGAAAGTGGAAGTAAACCCCCCGTGAGTAGCTTCGCGTGAACGGATATATCGGGGCGTACATCGAGAAACGATGCAGACGAGAATCTGCCGAGACGGTACAAGCCAGTGAAAACCTCATCGAACATGACGGGCAGCCCATATGTAGATAATCCTGGAGCGCTCTCGGATGTGGCAAAGTTGTAACGACGCACAACGCGCGCAAGGCTCTTTTGGAATAAGGGATCCACGAAGATCATTCCGCCAGCGCCGAGAACGACGGGCTCCATGACAAGCAGGCCAAACTTTCTTCCCTCTTTCTTGACGAGCCTGTCCAGTGTCTTCTCGATGTATGCTTCGTACCGCGGTGATTGCCCTCTACCGTGAAGGTCAAAGATGTGATCCTGCTCGGCAAAATGCTGCGCAGGACCGAATTCCTCTTCCATTCCCGCAGGTGGTTCGACTGTCCAACGACCCTCCTTTAGTTTGAATGTAGGATAGTCAAACCAGTATCCCCGACCTCGATACCAGTCGACTTTCTCGTTGAATACACACGGCTCGGACGCGTCCATCGCGCCAATTGTATCGCCGTGGTAGCTGCCCTTCAGGCCCAATACTCCAATAGCCTCTTTCGAGCCATCCCAGCTGTACTGCTTGCAGGACGCACGTACGCCCATCTTGATGCCAACTTCGGTCGCCGTGCTCCCATTATCTGTGTAGAAGACCTTCTTCAAGCGAGGGTTATCCAAACCCTTCAGTACATGCTCGGCGAGTTTAATTGCTGGTTCGTGTGTTGCTCCCGCAAACATGATGTGTCCGTAGCGACCTGCTGCATAAGCTGCCTGAAGGGCCAGTTGAGGATTGCCATGTCCCAGTCCTGGAGGTTATATCAGTGTCAGATATTAAGGCAAGTCTGGATCAACGCTTCTTTTTTCCTTACCTTGCGTCCACCAACTAGCCGATCCATCGAAAGCTTTACACAACATAGAACTTGCGTTATTGACTTTGTCATCTGTCTCTAAGCTTGGAGTACGTTTGACGTCGAAGAAGTCACCGTATGCCGAGTCGAAGACAAGCACATCTTCCGCCTTCTTGACATGCTTATGTTGTGTGAATGGGTGCCAAATCTTCTGGAAGGTCCGCGATGCCATACTCTCTATGTTCTTGACCCGATTGTGGTGCTGGAGAAAAATACGTGCAGCGGCATCCTCAACGCTCTGGTGTTGGCTGACCTGCGCGTAGTATTGCTTCATTAGCTTCGTCTCCTCGCCCTCGCTTTTGCCATCGAGACCATTGGGTATCCAGGGTATGCTATATACTGGAATCGCTAACTTGTCTTCGAAGTACTTTGTCAGGTACTCGGCGTTCTGGTACTTGCTTTTATCATCAAAGCATATTACGGCGTCGATATCGTAGCCTCTCATAATCAATGATTCAGCAGCGGAAATGGTCGAACCAATGCCGCCCAGCTTATGATCACCAACAAGAATAGCTGGGAGTCGTAGCGATCGGTAAATGTCCGCCTGCGGTGTCCCTGATGGTCCTGGGCTCAGAACCCCACCAGCAGTTTCTACTATAGCAAGGCCCCAATCGTTTGCGGCCCCAACAGCATGGCCTCGAAGCTGCTGCTGGAGGCGGGTGATGACATATGAATCAGAAGGCTGAGGTTTTTAGTCTATTGACTTGAAAGTCTTATAAGCCAACTCTTACAATCACTTCGGAGTCCCGAGCTGCTATGTGAGGACTGACAGGGTCGTTGAATTGGAACAGGGTTGTGACGGTCTGACCCACGTACTTCTGTATGTAGCTGATTGAGGTCAGACGAATCAGCGCATTATTGAAAATGGTACAGCAAACCAACCTATCATCGCGGTCGCTCGAGGGTCCTGTCGAGACAGGTTTGATGTAGTGAACTCGGTATCGACTTCCTCCTACTCCACCCTTAGCACGCAAGCCAAGGAGGGTAGAAAACACGGTTTTTCCAACATCGGTGTTAGCACCGTATATTTGCACCGCAATGTACTTCTGCCAGAGTCCTGCGGGCAATCTCGACATTGTCGCGGCGCAGGGACCAAGTACGATGCAATTGATGCGACCACAATGTTCGGACTAAGGTGAAATGTGAGCTGGAGACTCTGGCTCTGGGGCTGTTGGTTTCAGTTCAGGACAAGAGAGGAAAAGCCTACATTGGCTGGTCCAGTTCATGCATAGGACCTGCATGCACAGCACGCCGAACCGATTTCGGACCGTAGCGGTTACTCGAGGCCTTGGAGGGGAAAAGTTGAGTCAATGAATGTGTCAATCCCCCCGCTCGCCGTCTGACATTACCATTTGTGTGTGTGGGCCGAGCATGTCCTTGCCGCCCACATTGCGGAACAAACCCCCGCTAGCACGCTACTGGTCCAGCTCGGCCGGGAACGACATCTGCGCCTCAATCCGGTGCATTCGAACTTCACGACGACGGAAGAGATGGATAGCACAAATGGGAAAAGGTCACTCGATGCCGAAATGAAGCTGTTGCTTGACAGAAGACGAAAAAATTCGATGCTACGCAATCTGACCTTGCCCAAACCTGGCCAGATCGATTTCTCAAGCAATGACTTCCTCTCACTATCGACCAACGTTGGATTGAAGGAGTCATTCCTTTCTGGGCTCCAAACCATGCAATTGCCGCTCGGTAGTGGTGGCTCGCGACTCTTGGACGGTAATTCCATCTATGCCGAAACACTAGAACGCGACATTGCCAGATTCCATGGTGCCGAGGCAGGGTTGCTGTGGAACAGCGGCTTCGATGCAAACGCTGGCTTCTTTTCGTGTGTACCGCAGCCAGGCGACGTGATCATCTTCGACGAACTGGTTCACGCGAGTGTACACGATGGAATGCGACTCTCCAGAGCTGCACAAATGGTACCTTTCGTACACAATTCGGTGGCAGATCTGCGGAGAGTGCTGCAAGAGGTAGCTGAGCTTCCCGGTGGATGCAACGTCTTTGTTGCTGTTGAGTCAATCTACAGTATGGATGGAGATGTGGCACCCCTACGACAAATCGTTGACATCGTCGTCGAGACCCTAGGCAATGAAAGAGGGTTCATCGTCGTTGATGAAGCACATTCGACCGGAGTCTTAGGTTTCGAGGGAAGAGGTCTTGTATGTGAGCTCGGCCTCGAAGAACAGATTTTTGCACGACTACATACTTTTGGTAAAGCATTGGCCGGCAGTGGTGGTATGTTTGGAAGTCGATTTCAGATCAACAACATCACGTTAACACGTTACCAGCTATCCTCCTTGGCTCTCACACCCTTCGCCATTACTTGATCAACTACGCCCGTCCACTGATATATACAACCTTCCTGTCCTATCCATCTCTGATGCTTGTACGATCTTCGTACGAACTGCTCTGGACTGGTGTCACCGTGTCTCTGCAGTCCCATCTGCATGACCTGACGGGATTTCTTTTCAAAGCTATGCAACAGCTACAGATCACTTCAGCTGCCGCAAGGAATCTACTGAGCATACCCAGTGCTTGTCCACAGTCCCCGATCTTTGCGGTGCAATTGCGGCGCCCCAGAGATCTTGCCAGCTATCTTCAGGAGAAGGGCATGATGGTCAGAGCCGTCGTAGCGCCCACAATTCCACAAGGAACAGAGAGGGTCAGGATCTGCCTTCATGCGGGTAACACAGTAAACGAGGTTGAAAGCCTAGTAGGGGCATTACGGATATGGTGTGACGAGCGTTCAAGCGGGACGGACGGAGAGCAGCATGGCCAAGAGCAAAACAGAGCTCGGCTTTAATTCAACTGATATTCCGGGTAGTCTACGGGCTGAAGCCGAGGGAGATAGATTTATGCAACCGCAGGAGTTTGCTCGGCCTCTTTGACTGCCTCAGCAACAATGTTTTCGGCCTTGCGCACTTCTCCAATAGTCTCCTCCATCGCCATTGGCCTTAAGCCCCATCGAGCAAACATGGCCTTGTCCTCTTCCCAGCCATTGCAAGCAGTGGTAAGCATCTTTTCACCAGTGAAGACGGCGTTCGCGCCGGCCTGGAAGCACATGATCTGTTTCTCCTCGCGCATAGTGTGGCGACCAGCGGCGAGACGGATAATTGTCTTTGGCATGACCAGTCGTGCAGTAGCAATGGTGCGGAGAATTGCGTCGAAAGAGACTGATTGAGTCTCGCCCAAGGGTGTACCCTTGATCGGTACGAGCGCGTTGACGGGGAAAGACTCGGGGTGTGCAGGTAGGGTGGAAACTGTGTGGATGAGACCAACATGATCTTTAGGCTTTTCGCCGAGACCAAGAATTCCTCCCGTGCAGACGTGAATACCAGCTTCCTGGACATTTTGGATGGTCTTGAGGCGCTCGTCGTACGATCGTGTTGTGATGACGCTAGGGTAATGCTCGCGACTAGTGTCCACATTGTGGTTGTAGGCAGTCAGACCAGCCTCCTTCAGTTCTTTGGCTTGCTCGGCATCGACCATACCAAGTGTGACGCAGGCCTCCATGCCCATCTCCCTGACGCCCGTGATCATGGCCTTGATGTTCTTCAAGTTGGTCTTGCGACCCCTCATGTCACGCCATGCAGCACCCATGCAGAATCTAGAGCTACCATTCTCTTTGGCGACACGGGCAGCTTCCAATACAGAGTCCACAGAGGAGAGTTTAGTAGCCTTTAGGCCTGTGTCGTATCGGCTAGATTGGGCGCAGTATGAGCAATCCTCGCTACAGCCGCCAGTCTTGATGTTCATCAGAGTACACATCTGGATAGCAGCTGGATCATGGAACCGCTGGTGTACCGAGGCCTGTAATTCCAAAGATCAGAACGGTCTTCCTGGTAAATTGTTATTGAAAACATACTGCTGCATTGGTCAACCTGATTAGTGGAGTGTGATAGATCTCCGCGATTTCCTCTCTTGTCCAGTTTGTCCTGGGCCCGGTGGCATTCACAGCATCTTCGTATACCGACGATTTCCGGTTCGTTGGTGGGGTAACGTTTTGGGTTTGGGGATCAATTGGGGCATCGAGGACGGTGCTGAAAGGACGAACAAATTGGTGTGTACGAGCAGAGCTTAACACAAGGCCGATTGGCCTTATAAGCGTTCTTTGTGCCATTTCGGAGCTTCAAATGTGATTGTGAGAGGTATTCGCAGGTCAGTCAACAAATACCCCTCGGTCGACTGGACCGCAGGCGGGACGGTCATCCACGGCCTTTATTCAGCGTGCGCCTCATTGGTGGCTCACTGTGAGACCGCTAGTGGGGCATGCAAGGACCGCCGGCGTCTCCTCCTGCACGTCCGCAAGACTAGCCGCATCCAACCAACAATCCACGCAAACCATGCGCGCAGCGCGACGCGACTTTCATGTGTCGTTTTGAGCTGTTGAGTCTGCTCATCGTCTTCGTCCAGCGTCTCACTGTGCGGAGCCGCCAAAAGCAGGCTCCGACAACGGCAACCCCGCCATTGTCGCCGCTGCCATGCTCCACGAAATCCTCCTCTCGCTTTCCGGACACCCCTCCGCGCTCTTCGATACCCATCAAGGTTCCACGCACGTGACGTCTACTGCCACCCGCTTGTTGTCGCCACCAGAGGCGGAACTATTGGCTTCAATAGGTCATCTGTCGCGATTGCACCGCAAAACACGCGATCATGTAGCAAGAGTTGCAAGTTCTCATCCATCCACTGTTTGCCGAGCAGTAGCTACCGCCATAACTTCATACCATTTGGACAAGTTTCAGCACAAGATTCTGGAGGTTGAAGGCCAGATCTTGACGCAAGATGCATCGACAGTTGGAGCGTACAACATCGTGCCGCTGGCCGGCATTGTAGGCGAGTTCGCTGGGTGGGTGCGGTTGATGGAATGGCTATGGGATATCAGTAACTTCATGCTACCCTCAGAGCTGCCATCAAAGAGCGAAACTATCAGCCAAAAGACAGCCTCCGGCTCCGAGCTGATTGACAGGATGCGACTGGAAGCTCAAACAGGGTATCCGGACATCGAGGAAGCTGCTCAGTACTTAGGCAAGGTTGCTGAGACGGCATGGCTCCGCCAGCTATCAACATGGCTCCTATATGGCCACTTGCCATCTTTTGGAGCTTCTGACTTCTTCATTGCGCAAGAGGATGAAGAATTCAAGGAACTCTCGCTCGTAGCTCGGAACAGGCTGCTACCCAAATTTGTGTCTCGCCAAACAGCACTGTCCATAATGTTCGTGGGAAAGTCACTCAATCAAATACGATCGTTGCCATCCGCATCAAAGACGAAAGCTACAACACCGTGGATATCAGAGCTTGAGCTCGTGCCAGTCCATGTGCAACATCTCTCACAAGTGACCGCGCCTATCTCCTCTGCAAAACTATCCGAGGTTGTTGCCAACATACGAACATCACTTTCACGCAATCTACTTCAACACCTGTTACCTCGTGAAAAGATTGTTGAAACTCTGAATGTACTCCATCAATTCTTCCTACTTGGTCGAGGCGAGTTTGCGATGGTGCTGATAGCAGAAGCTGATGAAAAGTTATCCTCCCGACATCGTGGCCCGCAGTCGACAAAGCCTGGCCAGGCTATCAAGGGCCTGCTCTTGAAGGAAGCTGAGATCAACCAAACTCTGGCGCGATCACTCTCGGTGTTGTCAACCCTGGGCAGCGAAGACGACCATATCGATGATATCCTCGATGCAGCGTCAGATGTCCTTCATCTTGACGTGCACAGCGCATCAGGCCATCGCCTTGGCACACCTGGTCGCGCGAAGGATGCTGAGTCTGCACTACCTCAGATTCCGGATATGTCATTCGATGAGCTGTTACTTTCGGTGCCTGTCTCCCTCAGTATGGACATTCTGTCGCCCCTTGATCTGTTTATTACCAAAGCTGACGTGGATGTGTATTCGTCTATAAACGACTACCTTTTGGCAGTCAGACGAGCTCACCTCCATCTAGCGCAACTATGGCGGCACAGCACGATTCGACGAGATCATCCCGCTCCTCCAGGCTATCGATTCAGCAACTCATCGCACGGAAAGGCGATTTTGAAGCGACGTCGGCAAAGAACGAACCAGCGAGCAAGGAACATGCGGAACATCTGGGCCACCTGCCGAGCTGCCATCTTCTTCCTGGCAGAAAGCGAGGCTTACTTCCAAGGAGAGGTTGTGCAAGAGTCGTTCAAGGTCTTCCTAACATGGGTAAAAGGTCCCAAGAACCACCAGACTAGTGAAACTCGGCCAACAACCCCAGATAGGCCCGTCACACGTGAAAAAGAGAAGGATGTGCTTGACGGTGAAGTGCAACAGCAACATGACCCCGAGGCGCTTGCGTTTGCACATCGAAACTTCCTTGCGTCCATCGCATACTCACTCTTAATTACCGACGGAGCCTTTACCAAACTGCTCCGTACCTTCTGCACTCACGTAGATGATCTTGTTGGCCACATAACGCGTCTTCAGTCGATTCAGCAGAACCTGGATCTTGAAGAGGACGAAGGCGTGGAAGACTTCTCGCAGAATTACAAGAAGGAGGAGTCTGACGTTAGCCTGGAAATGGATCGCGCGAGGAGGAGGCTTGATAGCGACCTTAAGGGATTAGTCGAGCGCCTGAGAGAGATAGATAGTGAGAGGATTGGTGCAAGCGGACCGCGACCGGCGAAGGCGCTAGATGAAGAAGAGGGTAGATTCGAACCCCCTCGCGTTGGCGGCATTGACCGATTGCTCATGAAACTGGACTGGGGCGTTGAAGATGCTGAAGATGAGTATGACGATCTGCTATAATCACGTCCAACAATGAATAACACCCAGTGGCCTCGGAAGGGGGCTTATTCATTGCATGTACAGTGAAACACGAAGTTGAAAGCATTATTACAGCGCACCTACAGCTAACTCAGGCACCGCCGTCCGCCGAACCCACATCACCTGCAGCCTTCCCAATAGCTTTTGCGTCCATGTCCTGCTTGTCGTATCGTATCCAGTTTAGGCCTAACGCAAGCAAGATGTCCATACCTGGCGCCACATTTACCACATTCTCCCTTCGCCACTTGAAGATATTGGGTTTTGATATGGTCACAGCAAGGCAGTTGTTGACTAACAGGCCAAGATCTCCACTTGTCGCGGTTTTTTTCACTTCTACCGATGATGTAACAGGCCCCGAGGGCTCGAGTGTCAAGTCTGTCGCATCCAGTCGTCAGCTAACGTTTGTGGATGGTGCTTGTACTTACCATATGTCGTTTTCAGCAGCCCTGATTTAAGGGACAAGTGCCAGAGTTTCCTTCCATCGGGTGCGTAGCCGTGGTACTCAGGGCTCTTTCCACTCCAAAGGTGCACCTGCTTCGTTATCCGCATCGCCTCCTGGCCATTTGGCATGCGGAAAACAATGGTTTTCTTCTCCTCTTCATCGATTCGCATGAGAACTGCACCGGGACTACCGGTTGGAGACGCGAACGAAACTTGGAAATGTGCTTTAGTCGACGAGCCACTGTCTGCTTTCATAAAGAACGTTTCGGGGCGCTGGGCTGTGAACCCAGGAAAGAGTGCGATTATTTGGGGTGGAATGAAGAGCACTGTAGCTGATATTGTCTGTCTGATGACGGCGACAGAGCATGATACATATAAATACAACTCAGACTTTCGCTGCCACAGCTGCGCAAGCCTCCGTCGTCATAACAGTCCCCATACTTGGATTCGCGATGCTCTGGGTGACAAAGCTGCATGGCCAGTCACAAACACTCCTGGCATTCATCTGTGTAAGCACTGCTGCATGCTAGCGTAGATATGAATGACTATTGTAGCTTAGTGCCACTCTTTGTCTTGTCTGATCGGGAAATTGCGAGGGCCAAGGAGTACATAATCTCATTAGCCAAAAACGTTATGAGGGCGGAGTCACGGACAGTGGAGTGGCAATCACCCGAGGCTGACCCGCCACCCCGCATTTGGCCAATCGCAACCTTGTCACCAACATCCTCAACATGCCTCGGATCAAAGTTGTGGTTACGCGGAATCTGATCAAAGAGGCTCAGGCTTTGCTTGATGTGCGGTCAAACGAACTGGAAATAGTCCAGTGGCGATCTGACCAGGTAGAGAGTATCCCACGCAAATTGGAGCTGAAATCGCTTACACGTAACTGCAGCCTTGCGAGAGATTATGGTTACTAGAGAACGTAAAAGATGCAATCGGACTCTTGGTGATGGTATCGGAAAGAGTCGATGCAGAGCTACTGGACGCAGCTGGTAATCAATTGAAGGCAATTGCGACGTTCTCCGCGGGCGTTGATCATATCGACCTTGATGCCCTCAGGAACCGTAATATCCGCCTAGGTTATATAGCAGGCTGCCTTTCTGATGCAGTCGCAGATCTTACAGTCATGCTTGTATTGATGGCGCAAAGAAGAGGCGGGGAAGCAATGACCAAAGTAACCAAGGGCGAGTGGCCGCGGATGCCCTGGCATCCTCTGCTCATGACTGGTCCGCAGCTTCAAGGTGCGACGGTGGGATTCCTGGGCTTCGGACATATCGCTCAAGCTGCTCTGAAGAGACTCATTGCATTCGGCATCAAGCAAGCTATCTATGTGACATCAAGGCCGGGGATGCCGGTCCGTGAGGACTATTTCGATCTCATCAAGCAATCCGAGGCCGGCTCCTCCATTCCAATCAAAGTCGCTGGCACCCTGGATCAGCTTGCAAGTGAAAGCGATGTTGTTATCGTAGGATGTGCGTTGACGCAGAGTACGAAACATCTCATCAACGACGACTTCTTGAACAAGATGAAGAATACTGCAGTCATTGTCAACATTGCTCGGGGTCCGGTCATTGACACTGACGCACTGGTAAATGCACTCGATCAGGGCACGATTTTTGGCGCAGGTCTCGATGTGATCGAAGACGAACCAAACATACAGGCCGATCATCCCATATTGAAGCAGCCGCGGTGCGTCGTACTCCCGCATATTGGTTCAGCCACCTACGAGACAAGAGAACAGATGGCAATCGAGTCAGTGCAGAATCTTCTGGCTGGGCTAACAGGGAAGGATATGGTCAATGAATTGAAATTATGACGAAATTCCAACAGGCTTGTCATCAGGCAGCATGTCCTTCCTTCCCTTGAAGTGGCATTGCGAAAGCCGCTCTTCAGTCACGATATAGCTCTTTGGAAACCAGTCCAAACCATCCAAACTAGCCGATCCTTTTTTATGCCCACATTTTTTGTCGTTGTCGATCATGTTGACAAGGGCCTCTGCCGACTTCAGACACTGCACCATGCCATGTCCGTTGAAGCCCGCCGATATCCACAGATTTCTGAAAGAAATATCTGCCTCTGATTTCTGGTAGGCTAGACTCCCTGGTATCTTTCCCACAAATGGACGCCCGTCTGCTGTGGCACCCATTATTCCTGACCATTCATGCACGACTCGATTCGAAGCCTCTTCATCGTTGCTTTCCCCCCAAGTGGTAGAGCCGAAGTAGCCGAGGAGACTGCCGCGCAAGTAGGCCGACATACCCGGATTGAGCGAAGCATCATCGACGATACCAAACTCACTTGCACCAGCATCTGGCTGGCGGCCAAGGCCACCTCCAATGATAATATGCTGACCACCTTCGGACAGAGGTCTCGGTATCATATACTCGTAACCATCCTTGTAGATGAAAGAGAATGTATTTGGCAGTGGCGATGGCAAAGATGTACGCGCGCCCGGCTTTTGAACTGTGATTTGGCCTCGCATTGGGACAATCTTGCCCTGAAGAGATTGTTCGAGGAAGGGCGTGTAACCATTCGTAGCAAGAATTGTGTCTCGAGCTATGAAGACATTATCGGCTGTAAGAACTTCCCATACAGAATCGGTGTGGCTCCTTGAAGGCTCGAGTTTCAACACAGATGTGTTTGTGCAAATCTGCAGTCCCATTTTGATGCACTCGGCCAGCACGCCTGTAACGAAGCGGTATGCATGCACCCTGCCAGCCAGGTACTCGAATGCACCAGAAACTTCTTCCACGCCTTTGACTGCAGGATTCTCGCTCTTAGTACTGACTTGGAAATGCTTGCTCACAGTCTCAACGTTCTCATGGATGTTGTACCAAGCCATCTTCTCCGACTGCGTTTCTTCTTCCTTCACAGCTGCACGTAGCGCTTGAATGGCCAACTTCCCCTGCTCAAACGTAGGTCTATCGTAGATGATATCAACTGTTTTGCATAGCTTGTTCTCACAGTCGATGTTCAGCTCTTCTGCCAACTGGTGTGTTTCAATGATGTTGTTGTACTCCAATCGCGCAATCTTCAACGCCTCCTCTTCACCAAGCCCTTCCACATTTTGTAGATACGATCGGTAACTCGCTGCTTTCGTGTGGCCTCCATTTCGACCTGTTGCTCCACTGCAGATTTCACGCGCTTCCAACATCATTATGCGACGCTTGGGATCTTTCTTGAGCAGATTGTACGCGATCATGGTCCCTGACATACCCGATCCAATAATGATAAAATCGTATGGCTCGTGAGAATTGTCCTCGCCATGATTGATATTTGCGAGTGAAGATTTCGGGGTTTGCCAGTATGATGATAGCGGATCAGCAACTGGAGCAGCGACTGGTATGCGCGCACGACTTTCCATGATAGCCGTCGAGACAATAAAAGGCAGTCTGAGGTGATACAAAGATGGAGACCTAGGTTCTGACGTTTTGTGCTATGTAGGTACTCTGATAAGCAAGGCGGGGCCATCCGCATGTACCTTCCCATTACAGTCTTAGTGCTGTGATCAAGATGAAGCTGGTACTAATGTTGGAGAATAAGGTTGGCATTTTGCTGCTGCTCAATTCATCCATAAGAATGATGTTTCTACTTGCTTAAAAGTATGAGCCTTCCACAAGGAAGCCCACAGTCAAACGCACATGCTGATATAAGTGATCGAAGTCCATCGTCGAAAGTGCGTCGTTAGCGGTATGAAGGTAAGGTGTCGCATCCACCATGTTCTCATCGCAGACATACGCAGCAGGATAGCCTGCATCGTAAGCAGCGCCGCTTTGAATATGATCAGTAAAAGTTCGAATGTGCTAGTGGGCTGTTGGAACCAAACTTACTGGTCGCTACACGCGTAGCCGCATCGATCAGTGATGACGGGAATGGTAGTGTACACAGGCACCAGCTTGATGATAAAGTTGCTGAGTGGTGTGCTCACAAAGTCTGTGTAGACTGCGATGTTGTGGTTAGGAGAGTAGGCAGTCATGTCCTGGTTCATGACAGCAAGAACCTTGACGCTGCGCTTAACGTAGTCTTGCATGATAGCACGAGCTCCCAAAAGGCCACCTTCCTCGCCCGAATAGAAGTGGAATTCAAGTGTGTTCTTAGGTGCGTAATTGGCTGCAGCAAGGACGCGGAGTGACTCAAGGATGGTGACAATACCCTGTAAAAGTTAGCCGATGATTCATAAGTCTACGTCGCAAAACTCACAGAGGCATTGTCGTCAGCACCAGGAGCTCGGCCGGTTGTAGGATTGGCCTGGTTGATTGAATCGAAATGAGCAGAAACGATAACGACGTTTGCAGATGTTCCAGGGATCGTAGCGATCACAGAAGGTTGGTTGTAGCTGTGAGTGAATTGCTTGACAGTGATCTTTGTGTTTGGTGCAGCAACGTTCTTAACAAGGTTGAAAACCGTGGTGGCTGATGATGCAGCATACGAGCCCCTGTAATACCGGTTGTGAATGTTGGTCAACGTTGTGGCCCAAGTCTTGGGGTTGGTCTTGCTGATCTGGTTGATCAATGGGTTGGCCACAGCCTGACGAGAAGCAGCCGATGGAAACGTGGCGGATTGACGTTTGTCAACCTTGAATCCATTTGCAACGGCGACGCGGTGTGCCTCCAAATCCTGCTCTCTAATTAGCTTACATGCACTGTATCTTGTAAGTGCCCACTAGTTCTCACGCACCTGAGTCTCTGTGATATCCATAAAGTGGGCGCATGATGGCGTAGAGATGAACAAATCCAGCTTCTCTTGTTCGGTGTACCATGTACCGTTGTCACTGTCTGACGTTTTGATAAGTCGTAGCTCCTCTCCTGCCGCATTCAGCTTCGGGGTGAAAGCATTCGCTGAAGCAATAGCCCCAACTGCGATGCTAGCGAGAAAAGTCTTGCAAACCATGTTGACGGCAGCTATATGTTAAAGATAGCAAAATGATCCTTGAAGAAAGCTGGAATAGTCGACATTTTCTGGCAACGGCGCTGTGTTTATAGCTACAACACCACCGGCGAAACCCACCTACAAGCTCCTCCGATGGTTTTGCGTGTGCAAAGGCACCTTCTGAGACGGGCATTGGCCGTCGACCGATTCCAGGATTGAGATGGCAAGCTTGGCTGAGCTTCTTCAGCCTCAACAAGACCGTGCAAGCAAATACCGACCGGCAGTCCTCAGCGAATAGAAATTGATAATGTTAGCCCTGCACGACCAGTTATACGATGGTTTTGTCCAAAGTCGATCATGCTAAGACCTGCGATAAGATTTGTGTCTTGGCTCCTGCCCCTTTCGATGATACTTCCGTCCACACCGTTGTTTTGGAGATCATATTAATGAAGCCGAAGCCAAAGGCAAATACATGGGGTCCATTGGAAGAGCAGGACGAGTTGTGAGGGGTCTGCTTTCGCGACAGTGTCGTGCGAGCAAATTCGGTTGATTCAACGGCTCGTGACGTCAGCGCCCCTTGTTCAAAATCGGCAGGCCATCTATCATACATCTGGCGAACATGGAATCGGCCATTGTGTTGTGTCTTGTAGCACATGGGTAAAAAGAGTACTACATAAGGAGCTTAAGAAGGGTTATCTAACAAGACGGATTTTGATTGACGATGATCAGTGCAAACACGTTGCTATCTGTGTCTACAAATCCTCATTCACAAGACCTTTGCTTCACTAAAATACGAGCCTTACCTAAGTACGCACCACATTTGCATGCCGAATCTGGCCTATCACAACATGTGCAGCCTGGATCCACCTTTCGTAGTGGCTTCTGTAAGCAGGTACCATTTTGCGAAAGGAACTTTCGTATGTACTAAACGTACGCAGCCTCATAATAAGAAGCCTAATAACAAATCAAAGTGAAGACTGGAGGGTCTGGTAATGTCCATCTGGACCTATAAGTAGAATTGATATACAATTTATCTCAATGCCTAAGCTTTGTTATAAAAGTATTGCTACTTGAGCTTGTGCATTAGCATCTACGACTTTTGCTCAGGATGCTTTGCTCAGGATACGGCCTAAACAGTGCTTAAGCTCTTACGCGGAGGACAAGCATGCGCCGCCCATCGATGTGCAGCTTGTCCGAAAGATCGGTGAGCTCCTCGCAGCCAGCCATCTTGACCCGCGCGATATCTGCATCTCGCCCAGCAATGCCTCGATATATCAAATTAGAGGGCTGCTGCGGACATCGGCGATCGTTGCGGGCCTTGCTCCATTCAGGAACGAAGGTCTCCTGTTCGCCAGGTTGCTGAGAGAGGTACGATGCACACTCTTGCATGCACATGCAGGCCTGTCAATTCGCCGTTAACATACTAACGGATACGTACCTGTTCAGGAGGGCCCCCATGCATTCCACCGCTCTCATCCGCTAAGCGAGGCGCTCGGGCTTGCGAGTAAAGATCAAGGCGGAGTGTCCCCTGGACATATCTATATCTAAGTAGTCTGCAGCAGATCGTACAGCGTCCGCGCGACGACCTTAGTGGCCCGCCTGAGATCTTCAAGATGCAGCCGCTCATCCGCTCGCTTGGCGTGTGATTCGAGAACTGTGCGCGGGCCAGCGCCGTAGATGACTCCCGGCACGCCGGCCTCGGCATAGAGGCGCACATCCGTGTAAAGAGGCGTGCCCGTCACTGGTGCCGACTGGCCAAACACCTGGCCTGTGTGCCTCTGAATGGCATCAACAAGCGGCTGATTACCCGGCGCTGAAGGCATTGCCTTGGCGAGGAGGAGGCGGCGCAAGTCGACGGTGACGCCGTTAGTAGCACCAGCGATAACACGCCGAATCTCTGCTTCGACTGCAACCGGATCCTCCTCGGGGATCATGCGACGGTCGAGCTTGAATGTGACCTTGCCCGGTACGACGTTGGTGTTGGTACCGCCTACGATATGACCAACGTTAAGGTACGGGTGATTGATGCCGCTGACCTGCGAACGTACTTGGCGGTACCCATCGTTGAGCGCGTACAGGGCGCTGAGAATGGCGACGGTTCCCTGAAGCGCATCGATCCCCGTGTCGGGAATGGCGGCATGAGCTTGCTTGCCGTGGACGGTTACTTCCATCTGCAGGCACCCGTTGTGGGCGGTGACGACTTCATAGGCGAAGCCAGCAGCGATGAGAAGATCCGGTCGGGTCAGGCCTTCTCTCAGCAGCCAGCCAGGGCCCAGCTCACCGCCAATTTCCTCGTCGTAGGTGAAATGCAGCTCGACCGAACCGGTGAGGGTCGTACCGAGGGACTCCAGTGCGCGCACAGCAAAGGTGAAGCTGGCAAAGTCGCTCTTGCTTACGGCGGTTGCGCGGCCGAACATGACACCATTCTCAACCTCGGCGCCATACGGATCGCGCGTCCAACCCTCGCCGGGCGGCACCACGTCGCCGTGCGCGTTGAGGGCAATGGTGCGGCCTGTAGGCGCGTAGCGACGGCGCACAATGAGGTTGGTGACGGAGACCATGCCGTGGGCGCGCACCTCGGCCTCAGGTACGGCGTGGCGCTCGACCTCGAAGCCGAAGCCTTCGAGTAGTCCGGCCGTCACCTCGGCGTGCGGTGCATTGTTGCCAACGGGCGTGTCCGTAGGCACCCGCACCAAGGTCTGTAGGAAGTGGACCTCGTCATCAAAGTGAGCGTCAACCCAGGTGTCGAGGAGGTGATGCATTATGGACGGGGAAGGATGAGAACAGAAGGAGGTGGGGAAGAGGGGTTGAGTTGACCACCGTTGGAGGGGCTTTCGCTTACGTGCACATACGAGTTCGTTCAGCATACTACTCTCACTGAGGTCCAACCTAACATCACACCATATGGGGTTATCTCTTTCGTAGAAGAGCTCCAGTACTCCGCTCAAGGTATCCAGGTGCGATGGCGATGGATCACGCACACCTTTCACTTCGGGACAACACCGCATGTTGCCACTGATCAGGAGAAGGCGACCATGCGTGATAGCGAGGACAACGATCTTGGTGTTGAGTATGACCACGCCCAGCCACACGTCCAGGACAGTTGCTTATGCAGCTGCCCCACCTTGCAGCGCTCACACCCTTATCCCCATACCTACCACCACCTGAAATGCAAGACGATTCAAGATCACACACTGTCTTACCTAACGGTCTCATCGATTCTGAGTCCGTGGAAAGACGTCCTGGTCAGTACCACGAGGCTAAACGCCAACAGAAAGGCAATATCGGCGGAGAAGAGTTCTGTGCGCCATGTAAAAGTGCCATCTATGACGGAGACTTCAATCGTATCGGTACTGTATCCTGGCTCAACGATGGCTTTGAGAATTGCGAGCACTTTGACAAGCCAATACTCTACTGCTGCCTGTGCAAGCACATGACTCGAGCAAGGGAGTATGCACGACGAGGCGGCACGGTTGATGCACGCCCCTACAGCATCGAACTGGACTGGCACCTCTCTAGTATGGAGTCTGGCATCTTTATTCACGATGATGGCGCGGATCTGGACGGAGATAGTGACAGCCGTCTCGACGACTTTGAGGTCGAGAAATGCTACTACACACGATCAATCAGCCGAGACTCGGCCAACATCAGTCTGATTAGACACTGGCTTAGCGACTGTGAGATCAAGCATGGGCCAGATTGTAACGCACATCGGCACGAAATGGTCGCAGAGACTTTGAGTCTGCTACTAGTCGATGTTGAGAGCAACTGCCTTGTTGAAGGACGTTTTACAGATCGTTATTTCGCATTGAGCTACGTCTGGGGTGCTTCGAAACAATTCCTTACACTCGTGGAAAACTACAGGACGCTATTAGAGCCTGGTAGTCTTTCAACACAGCCGATCACTCAGACGATCAGGGACTCGATGACTTTCATCAAGAGCTTGGGTGAGCGATATCTCTGGGTTGACACTGTAGTATGCCTGCATAGCGCCGTTCAATTTGGCATCTATCGCTAACTAGGCCAGTGTATCATACAAAATGACGCCAGCAATAAAGCCACAGCAATACAGCAGATGTCATCGATATATAGCTGTGCAGTAGCGACTATAATTTGTCTGAGCGGCTCGTCTGCTGACGCAGGATTACCAGGAATACTTCCCACTGTACGGAACGCATCTGTTGTGCCTATAGCACCTGGCTTGAGCATTGTGGAGCGTACACCACTCGAGCGAATGCTGAACGAGCATTCGTACGGCACTGATGAATATGTGTACAACACTCGAGCCTGGACTTTCCAGGAACGAGTGTTGTCAAACAGAAGCATCATGTTTTCGAATGAACAGGTCTATTTTCAGTGTAAGAAAGAACTATTGTGCGAGGATAGGTACGGCAGGGATTATTCGGACTCTGCTCTGTTCACCCTTGAGAAGGCACGTGTCTGGAGCAGCAACAATAAGGCACGAAACAAGCCATACAGTCTTCTTGAAGAGTTTCGCTGGTATGAAGAGATCGTCTCTGAATACACAGCGAAGCGCATGGGCTACCCAGGAGACATCATCAACGCATTCACTGGCGTCCAGATACAGCTGAGCAAGATGTTCGACTGGACATTCAGAGAAGGACTTCCGGAACCGCTGTTAGATCTTGCATTGCTCTGGACACCCCTCGAATCTATCGAGCGTAGAGCTACAGGCTTTGAACACCCAAGCTGGAGCTGGGCTGGCTGGGTCGGCCGAGTGCACTACAAAGATCTCGTCCGGCCGCTCCATCTTCCCATCGGCGAGGCTTTCCATGCACTTACGAATCTCAAGGTAGACACGGACAATCTCCAAACACTGCGGTTTTCAGGTGAGACTGTGCAGCTGAGCGCATTCAACCTCAGCAAGTGTCAGAAGCGTCTCTCCAACTCCCACTACAGTGTACAGGTCACACCGCACACGCATTTCCTCTTCGACCAACAGAATCGCCGATGTGGCATACTCCACGGGCTACAAGACTCGCACAGTAACAATAATATCCAGCCAAATGCGCCTGTAATACTACTGTGCTTGTCAAGTTGGAAACGCGTCAATGCACCATACAAGTATGGCCCTGTCATCGCCCACCTGAATGACAGTCAATATGAGATTAATGAGGATCTTTTCGACGAGACGTTTGCGGATGTAGAGTGGTGTACGTTGAATTTTATGTGTGTGAAATGGTGGGGAGCCGGGTGGTTTCGCGTGGGCGTGGGGCAGATACATAAGGAAGCATGGTGGCGGGCAAAGGTGCTTAGGCAGGCTGTTGGTGTACAATGAGAGTACTTGCAGTCCTGGCAGATTTACAAAAGCAGTAAGTAGCTGGTGATTGTCATTCTTCAGTTCGTCTGGTTATTCAGAAGGAGCCATGCTGCATTGAAGGTGACACCTTCGCTAGATAATGAGAACTATTTTGTCTGTCCTTTCTACAGAGTGACGAACAAGAAAGACCCCAGTTTCGACACAGCCCGTGTTGACTTAACAGACCTGGCAGGAAGAACTCAGTGCCCATGCTTTATCGTCAGAGGTGCCGAGTCCAATCTTCCAAATCTCCCTCGCAGCCATCTTTCTGCCAAAAAGTCTACAAGATCCCTCTTTCTTTAACAGGACTATGTCACTAATACAGCATGCACGGACTCTACTCTACTCTCGATGCCGTTCCTCACATTGAACAAAGCGAATATCAGCAAATGACAGGGTATTTGCATAGAATTTATCAATATTCATAAAACTCAACCATGGGGGTATCGATATAAATAGTCTGTTCATCGGCGTAATGTGGATATTTTTGTACCTTCTCGGCTCTTACCAGCCTTTATTCCGCCGCCCGACAAGCGCCGCCTCGTCATCGCTGTAATCGTTCACATCTCTTTTCGGCGTATCTAAGCCTTTCACGCTCACGCTGCCTTCTGTGACGCTTTCCAGGCTCCCTGTCCGGACTACCCTCCTCTCATCCACATTAACGCTGTTCTTTTTCGACTCATAGTTCCCTGTGATCTCAATATTCGACCCCCTCCTTTCACGCTCGAAGAACGGATTTGGCTCGCTGCTGATGACAACTTGTTGGGTCTTCTTGATCTCGTTTCCGGTGGGCGCAAAGCTGACGACACGGTCTTGCTCTGCGTAGTGCGTGACGTCACCCTTATAGGAGAAAACGCTGGCAAGCTCGTGCTGGGATTCGCGGCGTGACTGTCTTGCCATGCCAGTACCGCCAGACTTTGCACCGGATGTCGAAAGGTTGGAGGATCTGAAGTCGTTGGCAAGAGATGCCTGTCCTGGCTTGCGAGATGCGGAGATGGCGATACGCTTGATGAGATTTGCCATGGTCATTTCGATGTTTAGTTTGACAAGGTATGCGAGGGGATGGAATTGGATATAACTAGTACAAATCAGCAAGGCGTGGGTGAGAGGGGCGAAGGAAACTTACACAAAGGAGTTAGGAATTGACATGGCTGCAATGATCATAACATCCATGAGAAGGGAGACGACAACGATACGCTGATTGAAGCGAACGAGCCGGTTGTACTTCGTGAGACCGTTGCTGATCAGGTTTGCCTTGACTGTCTTGAGGAAGTACCAGTTGAGTGCAGCGTCGACGATGAGGTACAAGAACTTCTCAATACGATCCCAATACTCGTTGATGACGTGGTATTTGTGACTGATTTGAAGACGCGCCGGTATCCAGATGTTGAAGACGCTAATATTAATCGCAGTAACGAATACAGCGGTTGCGATCATAATGTGCCTTGAATGTCTGCGATCAGGTACGATGACACGAATTCGGTTGATGATGATTTGCAGCAACAGCTGAACCTGGATACACCACCAGAAGAGGATGGTGAAGTAGAACGCAAAGCCTAGGAACTGTCAACGAGTGTCCTGAAGCATGGCTGTGGTTTTGCTTACTCGGCCTGATGTACTTCAACAAATGCAGATAGCATTCAAGGCCCATTAAGAACGAGATGACCAACTCCAGCCAGATCATCCACACGTACACACTCCGCAACGGAGAGCGTGATGCCTTTGACTGTCCCCAAGCAAGCCATATCGCAATGATAACATTGACCAATGTCAATCCCCAGACTACGGATGAGATGATGATATCAGCCGTGGTAATGGGCTCATTTTCGTAAGTTGGCGAGATCAAGGGGCCCCAAGGCTGGAAGGACGGGACGTCGCGATACTCATCAACCATGGCTTACGAGATGGACTCGACGCAGAGAAGAGTCGAATTGTTATTGAACAAAAGAAAACATGGGACAGCTCGTTTGCTGGTGAACAGTAACGACAGGTGGTACCCATTCTTTTGATGTCTGGAGACCCAGAAAAGTAGAAACTCTAATGAGGCTTCAGGAGAAGAGGCGCTGGATCTGACAGCTTCTCGAGTCAAGTTAGTGTTCGTAGATTTACTCGAATCGGCCCTGCAGGGTAACTCTGTGACATTATTTGTTGACTGCCGCGGATCCCGTTGGGTTCCATCTGGCCAAGCAGATCCGCTCGAATCGTCTAACATGCTGTTCCCGGATTGCACCCAAGACTAAGGTCTACCATAGTTAGAGGATTGCGCTGACTTGCATTTGAAACGGGAAGGATCCTGGTTGCACGTTGATCGCATCCGCTTCTCCGCTCGCCTTCCCATGCATTACTCATAGATCCTGTATACCCACTTGATGTTCTTCCAGACTGCGGGTGGCAAAGCTCGATACGTGTGTCAGTAGATCCACACAATGATTCGAAGATTTGCCTTGCAGGTTTCCCAAAGATTGTTTGTCACGATAGTCGTGACGCTGAGATTCTGGATGGACCAGGATATGCGTGGCAATGAGAGATCGTAACAAATACTGAAGGAGAGCCGCAGAGCCGCGACTGGTCTGCCTTCTCGAAACGCGCCGCAACGGGAGGAAGATTTGGCACGTTATTGGTAACCTGAAGTTTTCAACGCGGTCTTGAAAGTATGGCGAGTCCTCCGCGCGATGTGATTTGCTCACTTTTCAGTCCGGCTAAGGGGTCGTCGACGCAGACCCCGAACTTGCGCGGGCCGAAAGGCAACTATCCTCCCGAAATGTTAACAAAGCAGGCTTGATAATATTTGAGAGGTGCTGTGAACAATCCTATTTGACGATTGTCAACCTTTCTGACCGCCGAGAATCCATGGGCAAACGATAACATCAATCCGTAACAGCTCAGAAGCACCCTGCCAACGTTGCAGGATCCCCAGATGCACCAAGTGCTCGGGTTTGCTGCAGTCTGGCAGTGTGGCGTAAGCCGGCACTAGATACTAGTGAAGATGCCGTTCGTCCTGATGTGGACTGTGAGACTCAACGCCACGTGCTTGGTGCTGAAGTCTAACGATACTGGATACATAGTCATGGTGTCCGTTCCCGCGCAGAAGATTGTGTTGAGAGTCTGGACGCAAACCAGGTTTAGCAGCGCAAGGAGTGACGTTGTTGTTGAAACGCCTTACAGGTTTGGCATGGGAAATTGCCGACTACCAGGATTGAATGCCAATTCCTACATGAATCATCTCATAGCCCGGTCTTCTGAGTCCACGAAGCGTGTTCGCACTCGACACGAGGCTGACCTGAAGGATGGAATGCCTGCGCGAATCTGGAGGATGCTTGTGCATTCGGGAAGGATCCCATTGGCGACCCATGCACGATCGGTGGGCTCTGGTTTCTCAAAAAAACGCCGAAGCGCCGAGGTTGACAACGGTGAGAGCACATCTGCATGGGAAATTGGGCTGCAGTCTTTTCACCACGGGTAGTAACAGTGAAGGATGTTGACTCGAGGTGGTTTGCATGTGAGATCCACACAAGAGAAGGAGCGATAGGAAATCCCGCGATCGCCCAGACGCACGGCGGGATAGTTCGCCAACCTGTCAAGAAATGAGACCAGGCGGAATTTCCGGGGTGATCAGTGGGCTATTCGGTTCGCTACCAGGCCTTTCGTACGTCGACAGCCTCAGCTGAATGCAGCCATTTTTCTGGCTTAGAGGACTGCGCTCGCATAGTTATTCACAAGTAGGGTAACTCTTAGGATGTCGCTCAGTCAGCAGTCGAACACGTAGAAACACCATTCGAAACCACACTGTCGGAGCTTTGTCGTGCTTCAGCACGCAACATTGTCTTCCACGGTACACTTGAAACCTCTCGCGAATCGAACCGAACAAAGGACTAAGGACTGAATCAAGACAAGAAGCGTAAGTTGGATAACAAACTGAGTCGACATTGGGTACGAAAGATGCCACACCCGATGAGCTAGTGGATCTACTTTAGAGCCGGACGCTTACAAGAAAATCGCACAGCAGGGAGGGAGCGGTGTGAGAGACATGACTCCCCATAGCAAAGATGATCCCAATCTCAGCTTCTGAGATAGTAGAACGCGACTCTCTAAACCCAGTCACTTTCAGCTCCGAGAACTACGAATCATGCGATTGCCGGATCGTCATACCCGTGAACCTGTGGCTGCCAATGATACCAATGGCCAAGACAGCGTGACGAGGATAAGGCAGCCCGTGAGAGATGTTGTGGAATGTTTAGATCTGATGATCCTCTAAAGAGATATACACAGAACTATGTACAGTATTGCGCCACATGTCACTCTCCCACGCGGTAACATCTTAGTGTGGCCTTAGTAGTAAAGCGATGGCGGCCGCCGCGACTACAGCTCCAGCAGCAGCGCCTTGCAAGACTGCAGTGGTGAAGTCGACTCTGCGCATCGAGATGGGCCGGTCGCTTACGATGTCCTCCGCGATTACGACAGCTTTGCTCTGCCACAAATCGAGCTTAGCCCACATCGTTTCGCTTCTTGAAAGGGGCTTCCTGTCTTCCTCCTGAACGTCAACGGCCTCTTGTGGCAAAGTCTCTGTAGTCTCGGGCAGCAAAGATGCAGCGCTAGAAACTACGGGGTCAATTGCAGGCTCTACAGCCTCCTCAATAACATTCCCGATCTGGATGCCATCCTCATCAGCGATGCGTAACGGAATCTCCGTTCCTGCGGTCGGCGACTCTTCAGTGCTTGGCTCTCTGACGACAGGTAATGCAGTCGGCGCATGTGGGCCGGTCGGGTCGATGGATTTGTCTGTCAACGCTTCAGGCTGTGAAGCCTTTAGCGTTGGGGTAGCCGGAACACTTGGAATAGCTGGCGCAGTGACTGATGGCTCGGTCACAGGATTGGGTGCTATGTATGCGGTGGTTGAGGTCGGGGTGAGTCCTGTTTCAGTGGCGGCCTTATGAGCCTCCAGTGCGGTCTTGATCTCGCGTACCATCCGTCTTCTGCGCCATGGCTCGAGAATCAGCAGACTAAGGAGTAAGAGGAAGATGTTCACGCCCATCAGACCAAATGTGACCCAGGTGCTGTTCCTCCGAATTGTATCACTCCAAATCTGCTCTTCATGATATTGTGCACGCTCTCTCTTCTCTAGATAGCTTCGCGCCTCTTCCAAAGAAGTCTCAGCAGCCTCCACAGCTTCTTTAGCCTCTCTCACAGCTTTGTCGTTAATATGCTCGGACCGGATCAATGACATGTAACGTTCGAGATCGCTGGAGGACCAGGAGTGTTTTCGCTCGAGAAGGGCAACGACTTCTTTCTGGGAGGTAGCCTGTTGTTCAAGAGCGGCATCAAGAGCTTCTTTGGTAGAATCGATCGCAAGACGACGAGCTTTGACAAGCTTCTCTGTTCAACGTTAGACGTGCATCCACATATTGGGCATCAGCGTACCCTGTTCCTGAATCTCCCGTCTGAGAGCTTCGACGCCTGAGTAATCGGTCCCTGTAAACGTATTGACCTTTTGTGTGACAACGGCAATCTTGGGTAGTAGATCGTCCATCAAAGCTGTAAAGCGTTTTTCGAGGTTTGATCGTTGACGCTCCTGGTGCGAGGGCAATTGCTCATCGGGCACACGCTTGACGTTATCAATGACTTCATCTTTACTGTGACTGGCCTCTGGATCGCTCTGTACAGGCTTCTGAGTCGGTGGTGGAGCCGATCGCTCCGGCGTGGGCGCTGGCGTAGTGGCTTTCGGTGTAGGTGTGGGTGTGGGCTTTGGGTCAGAGGCTTGCTGAACCTTTCGCAGAGAATCCTGTTCTTGCCTCTTCCTTGCAGCTTCTTCCTCTTGTCTCTTCTTTAAGGCCTCTTCTTCTCGTTTCTTTCGTAGAGCCTCTTCCTCCTCCCTCTTTCGTCGAGCTTCTTCTTCCTGTTGTTTTTTTCGTAGAGCTTCCTCTTCTCTTTTCCTTTGTTGCTCCTCCCACTCCCTTCGCAGTCGTTCTTGTCGTTCTATAAGCTGTTCTGGTGTTCGATCGACAGAAGAAGCTGGCGTAGGTTTCTGCTCGGTTGCAGGCGGTGGCATGGCAATTGGATCAGACGAGCTCGGCGGCCTCTTTTCCTCCTTCCATCTTGCAGAGCTCGAGAACAACCGATACCCTCGTCTTGCTAACACATGATTGCCAATCTGTGGCCCCTCAATCCTCCTGGAGGCGGTCGACGCTTGCTGGGTGACGCATACTAACGGCGACTGTGTCACGAAGCGTCCAAATGGTCGAATCGAGTTTGTTATTGTCGCTGCATTTGCATTGTGGAAGCGTGAAGCATGCTGCAGCAATGGCCTCATGCTTGTTGTGGCTGCACTTGCTCATCAGCGCCAGCAACAAAAACGTCTCGGTAATCCGCCGACCTCTCCGGTGCTCGAATGCGAGCATGGACGGCCAAGCACAAATGACGCGCCGCTGGTCCCTGGCGCCCTCTGACAGAGCGGCATACCGTTTTGAGCGGGCCCCTCCATCAACAATTTCTGAACCGCGTCTTCGCTCGCTGTCCTCTTCACGTACACAATCATACACAGATTGCCACAGTCAAGATGGGTGTTCAAAATGCGGCCGCGGACCTTTTCGCCATGAAATCCAACCCCAAGGTATGTTGCAATCATTCCGAGATTCGGAACTGCTTATCTGACTGCTCGACTATAGTTCGTCTTCTTCACGGATTTTGACGGCACAATCACCCAGCAGGACAGTGAGTCTTGAGCCCGTCACCACGACCTTCTCGACCCTTCATCGACCGCCCACGACCCTACGCCTCGTTACAGTCCGTCAACCAGCTGCAGTACACTGACGATTCACAAGGCAATGACTTCATGACCGACACAATTGGCTACGGCCAGGCCAAGCGCCGTGAGGGCAACCTCGCCTGTCTAAATGACAAAATCACATTCCGCGATTCGTTCCAGGACATGATGGACAGCGTCACTCGCCCCTACGACGAGTGCATTCAATACGTTGTCAACAACGTCAAGCTCGACCCCGGGTTCGCAGAGTTCTTCCAGTGGAGCTTGGAGAACAACATTCCCGTTGTTGTCCTCAGTTCAGGAATGGAACCAATCATCAAGGCGCTACTTAAAAAGCTGGTTGGCCCTGACGCTGAGAAGATGCAGGTCCTCGGTAACTCGGTTGGCCCCAGGCCTGGCAAGGACATTAACGAAGAGGGCGGCTGGACCATTCTCTTCAAGCACCCCGAGTCAGGTTTTGGTCACGACAAGTCTGTTGAACTGAGGAAGTACTCTTCACTGCCTGAGGATGAGAGGCCTACTATGTTCTACGCTGGTGACGGCGTGTCCGACCTCTCCGCTGCGCGTGAGACCGATCTGCTTTTTGCGAAGAAGGGTCACGACCTGATCAACTACTGTGCACGGGAGAACGTTCCCTTCACAGTATTCGAGGACTGGACGAACATTCTGGCCAAGTGCAAGGACATTGTCGAGGGCAAGACCACCGTACAGGACGCCGCCAAAGCAGGATTCGAAGCATACAAGAGTGGTGCTGCCGGCATCAACGTGAAGTAGGCTATCAAGTAGATGGTGCGATACACGAGAGGTTGATATGAGCATCTAGAGAGGCACAGAGCAAGCGCACTAACGACTTAAGATTCCCGGTAGATTAGAATACCACATAGATTAGAAGCAATGAAGCACAAACATTTCGTTTTGCCACCCACGGAATTCACATATCCAGAACCTCTCTTGGCTCACCTTCGCCTCTGTCGTCTTCGGGACCTTACAACCCCTTTCAAATCCTATACTCCGTGGATTTGCTGTACTAAATGGACTCATCGGCCCCTCACGCGCCAAATACTCTCGTCACTCGCCATCGCTGTGCTCTGCCTCCTACTCCTCCCGACACCAACACCATGGCTGTCTTTGGCCATGACAAGGCTCTTGTCGTAGTTGTCTTTCTTCTTTGTCTCAACCGTAGCACTACAAACTCTACGTGAAACGTCGTTTAATGTTTGAGAAGGCTCCAGCTTAAGTTCCCCAAATCTGTCTGTCTTGAGTGATGTACCTTCTCCGTTCACAATACTGACAATCTCTTCCTTCATCATTACTCACGCGTGTGAAGGAAAAGCTCGATGAGTGTGGCGAAACCCGAAGCTGACAAAGACTGTCTATGGCACGACTGTCCTCGCTGATTCTACAGCGCCTAACTCGGCAATGCCTGACAATATGACTCTCGACTATGCATTCGCGAGCGACGTCACATTTGGTAATGCTGTGTCAAGAAAGGACCATAAGGACCCTTTCCGCCACATCTCCATATGAGCGACGTTTCTTGTGATATCAGGACTTATCAGTGCACATAGTTGACTTCCCAATAATTTACTTCTGCCGCTCAGTAGCATGAAGTTCAGCCAGCGTCAATGTTTGTGGTTGAGTCAACGAGAGCGGTGTATAAGCTAGACGTCTACAAGCTGTTGTAGCCGCCCGACGCAGTTCTAAAAAAATTAAGACCTGCGACACCGCTCAAGTGCCGATTGGAGTGGTGTGCATTGCATGTCGGTCATGTGAGTTAGCGCAGATGGCGTTGCTGGCGCGTCTGAATCGATGCACGCCCTGCATGCCAACGCATCACCGTACCAAAACACAGTCATGTCCTCCAATCCATTTGTCCACAGTCGTTGGACGTTTCATTCGCGGTCTGCTAAGCCGCTCTTTCGCGTCTCCATCGGAACCCCTCTTTCTGTGCCCTGAGCGTTCGTTAACATCTGAGGCTCCGACGCTACCCCGCTAGCTTTTGGCGCCTTTATCGATATACATTTGGAGCTGCAAGAACAGCACCACGAAGTTTGCAGGATCAAAGAGAGATTTCATAACAGGCCGCAGCGCTAGTAATATAATCAAATCACATAACGAGATGAACACCGATCCTCTCACAGGGCAGGCGCTGCCTGCAAACGCAATCCAGCGCATCCTCTTCATTGCGCCCAAAGTCCACGTCTACCAGATCCCCCCGGCGACCTCCACGAAGGGGTACCAGGCCTCGAGCTGGACCGCGAACAACAACAAAATGCAGATCTTCACTGCGCGGTTACGCATCGTCGAGAACTCGATCCCACCAGAACGTGACGACGGCGACGAGAAAGTGTCTACCACGATCCTGCTCGAAGACTCCAAGACCGGCGACCTTTTCGCCGCGGCCCCGTATACAAGCGAACGTGCAGTCGAACAAGCGCTAGACAGTAGCCGCTTCTTCGCAATCACAGTGGTGGGCGAGGGCAGGAAAGCAGTACTGGGCATGGGCTTCGAGGAGAGAAGCGAGGCATTCGATTTCAGCATCGCGCTACAAGATGCGCGCAAGGCACTCGGCTTCGATACAAAATCAGCTGGCCAGCCCGGCGCAAAGGCAAAGGCGAAGAAGGAGGCTGAGGAGCCGAAGCGCGACTTCAGCCTCAAGGAGGGCGAGACAATATCGATCAATCTAGGTGGGCTCAAGGGGAGGCGGAACAGACCAGATGTAGACAAAAGCCCAGGGGAGCAGAGGAGTGAGCAGGAGGCGCTGTTCAGTATTGCGCCGCCACCTGGGAGCGGAGGCGCACCATTCCTACCTCCACCACCAAGTGCAAAGAGCGTAAAGGAGGAGAGGCGGCGGAGCAGACAGAACTTTGAGCCTACGCCAGAAGATCTGGGGTTCGATGACGGAGAGTTTGGCGAATTTCAATAGCGGAGTGAGAGATGGAAACACGGTATGTAAGGTGGATGTGCTGCATACATAGAGTTCTGCATGATATTATAGAGTGACGAATCACGCACTGTACATCCAAATGTGCTCCATCTAGTCTTGCCTTTTTTCCTCGTGTGAAATATTCTACTTTCGACATTGCCCAGTCCACTTCTCGACACGTTCTCTGTTAGCCTCAAGAGATGCGAACAGGGGTTGTTCTCTGAAGCTGACGCCATCCGGGCCCTCAAGCTTGGCGAAAGCCTCTAAGAAGGTATCGAGTAATTCCAAAATCGGTGGTCTGATTCTGTCCTCGCACTGATTCCTTGTCCATAGCTTCTTCAGCCGAACCATAAAGAGCTGTATCTCTGTTCGATGTGTCCAGAACGACTGGTAGATCGAGAATCTTCCATGTGCGTCTGACGGCAAATCAAACTCGTACTTCCATCGAATATTTGCGTAGCTTGGCTGTGTACGTAGTCTTGACCATCCAGCTAGTCTGCAGAATAGTATGAAGAAAACTTTGGCGCTGTCGTGAGTTGGATCGTGGTCGATATCGTTGAATAATGCAAGCGGCCCGCGGGCATTGGATGTGCGTGTTGATTTTACTGTGTACAAGTTGCCAAAAGGTTGGCAAACTTTCCAGTGATTCTCCATTGTGTCATCCAAGAGGAAGCCCTTAGGTGGGTATGTGAACGACTTCGAGAGCCCGGGAATGATCTCAATAGTCAAATTTGGGTTGCGTGAAAGTAATGACCTATGGGACGGTTGTAGACTCTGCAGCCACCTCATGATCATCGCGAAGTTAAGGTTCTTTACTATCCATGTGAATGAAGCCTCGGCGAAGTATATGTATGCTGCCTCAATACGGACAGCACGGCATATGTGCAACAACGTCGATGGAGAGTGTCTTATACGACCGTAGTTCATCAAAATCGGTCTTTGGAGGTCGCCCAGTACAAACGTATAGATGAGTGTCCTGAGCTCGCTTGGAAGTGTAGCTAATAGACACGGCTTTGACGGGTTCGAAGGCTTTATATGGTAAAGGTCCGCATTGTAGGCTATGCTCTCGCGGGCACGTCTGGTAAGAGTCGAGGGCCGTTTTAGTTTTTGACTCCTTTTGGGGCTTTGCGATGAGGGCTTTGAGCTCTGTGCGTTGACCGGTGTCGTCACATGTCTCGTCTTCTCGTCCACAGGGCTAATCTTGAGACCCGACGAACGTGTGGCACGCGCAAAAGATGGAACTACCATACTTTCTCACCCAGTCTGGATCATAAGACGTTGAATGACCACCGGAACTCTGACTCTTAATCATCTAAGCCCCAAAGGCGGTACCAGTGTAAAGACGAGTACTGCCGGAGGAGGTTCATGCGATTGTGAGTATCTGTGGAAGCAGAGTCATGCCTGTAAATGAAGATATCGTATGGCTTTTAATCAAAAACGGAAGTAGACGATGTGTAGTGATCGTTACTACTTACGGACCAACAAGGAAAGTGAGGTGGGGCGCCACGTGAGCACGCGCCAACGTACCTGCTTCTCTGGTCTACACGCGCGTCACCTCATGAACATCAGTCAGGATCAGCATCCCTTTGATAGTGAAATTAAATCACAATCATGACAGATGAAATGAAAATTACGCCACCATCGCCTCGCGGTACGAAACGAAAAGTCGATGACACCCTCGCACCTCCTGCACCACGAAGGATCAAAGCACTTGCGCAGGATGTTGTCAACAAGATTGCGGCAGGCGAGATCATTGTAGCGCCAGTACACGCGCTGAAAGAGCTGATGGAGAACGCTGTCGATGCAGGATCGACATCATTGGAAATCCTAGTGAAAGACGGCGGCCTGAAGCTGTTGCAAATCTCAGACAATGGTCATGGAATCGATGTAGGTTATTCCTAATTGTCAGTTGGGTGATATTTACTGCGATATAGAAAGAGGATCTACCCATCTTGTGTGAGCGCTTCACAACATCCAAACTGAAGGCTTTCGAGGACCTCACCTCTATCGGCACATACGGCTTCCGAGGTGAAGCACTTGCAAGCATTAGTCACATTGCTCACTTGAAGGTCACGACAAGAACGAAGGAGTCGAGCTGTGCTTGGGAAGCTCACTATTCAGATGGCAAGCTGGTGAGCCCTAAGCCAGGACAGAGTGCCGAGCCAAAGGCCAAAGCTGGGAGGAATGGCACGGTCATTACGGTGAGTCAATTGAACAGGCAAGTCAAACGCTGCGGCTGATTGCAAACAGGTCGAGGATCTATTCTACAACGTGCCTTCGAGACGACGTGCTTTTCGCTCAGCAAGCGAAGAGTATGCCAAGATACTCGATATGGTCGGCCGGTATGCTGTTCATTGCACTGGCGTAGCATTTTCATGCAAGAAGGCAGGCGATAACACTGGAAGTACTGTGTCAGTTCCTGCGTCTGCGGGGACGAAAGACCGCATAAGACAAATGCATGGTAGCACAGCAGCAAACGAACTTGTTAACCTCAAGGCTGAAGACCAGCGATGGGGTTTCAAGTGCGAAGGCTGGGTGAGCAATGCAAATTACAGCTCGAAACGCACGAATTTGTTGCTCTTCATAAACCACAGATCTGTCGAGTCGCAAGCGATCAAGAAGAGTGTCGAACAGACCTACGCGATGTTCTTGCCTAAGGGTGGCCATCCGTTCGTGTACCTCAGTCTCGAGATTGAACCGCAACGAGTCGATGTCAACGTGCATCCGACGAAACGTGAGGTCCACTTCCTGAACGAGGACGAGATCACTGCCATGATCTGTGATGAAATCCGCGAGAGTTTGAGCAAGGTCGATACGAGCAGATCCTTCATGACACAGTCACTGCTATCGAATCCAAAAGTCCCACTCGCTACACCTATCAAGCAAACGACGTCCGCAATTCTAGACACAGACAACACACCTGAGCACAGTGCGTCACGTGTTCCTAGGACGGCCACAAAAAGACCGTACGAAAATAGCTTGATACGAACAGATGCCTCGGCGCGTAAAATTACATCCATGTTGCGACCCGAGCGAACTATAGAGGAGTCTATTATCGAGGGCGGTGATGATGATGCAGAGTACGAGCATACCGAACGGGAACCAATGGCTTGTCGACTCACATCTGTCAAAGAATTACGCGGCGAGGTACGAGATGCCATGCACAACGAACTCACTGACATCATCTCGACACATACCTTCGTGGGTATTGTGGACGAGCAGAAGCGCATCGCTGCGATTCAGGGTGGTGTGAAGCTGTTCCTGGTCGATTATGGCATGCTTTGCAACGAGTACTTCTATCAGGTCGGCCTCACAGACTTTGCGAACTATGGAACGATACGATTCAATCCACCACTGCCCTTGCATGATCTGTTGAAGATAGGAGCAGGTCAAGAGATGAATAGCGCAGGCGATGCAGCCGAAGAGGTCGACTGGGACGCAGCTATTGAGGGTGTCCACGACCTACTGATTAGCAAAGCACCACTGCTCAGCGAGTACTTCTCCATCGAGATTACTCCAGAAGGCGAGCTATGTTCCATACCCATACTGATCAAAGGCTATACCCCTTCACTGGCGAAGCTACCGGAGTTTCTTATCCGTCTTGGTCCTCATGTAAATTGGGATGATGAGAAGCTATGCTTCCAGGCTCTCTTGCGCGAGCTAGCGTCATTCTACACCCCAGAGAGCTTACCGCTCCCACCTTCATCCTCATGTGATGAGAACAAGAAAGCAAAAGAGAATGCGATTCAAGAGGATCCTGAGATTGCGCTCAGACGTAAGAAGTTGAGGAAAGCGGTCGAGCACGTTATCTTCCCGGCTTGCAAAGCAAGACTCGTGGCCACGAAGGGATTACTGAAGGGTGTCATGGAAGTTGCAAATCTGAAGGGTCTGTACAGAGTCTTTGAGCGGTGCTGAAAGTTCGATGTGAAGACGGCGTAAACATACAAAGAAACATAACTTTTTTGACAACGACTTTCGCCTCTATAGTCCAATGTTCGTGATAACACGAACAATTGACAGATCTGATATGAAGATACCATGTGCAGCATATGCACAGCTGGCATGATAAGTCCTCAGACCGGAATCCTCCATATGTGGTTAAGTAACGAAAGAAGCTCGCATTATATCAGCCTTGGAAGACACTACCAGTACCAGGTTGTGTCACAGTGAGTCTGCCACTCGCTGATGCCTACATCTCCAAAAATGGCAATTTCCTTGACCATCAATTCCTCAAAACGGTCTCTCTCGTATGGATATGTTAATATTTTGCACCATTCGGAGCGTGCAAGATGGAGAAATGTGATCATCAGTAGTTACGGGGTCTTAGCTTGTAGGGGAGCGTATGACGACCTGGTGAGAACACTTGTGTGGAGTTGCTTAGGAAATGAGCATGAGACCTGTTTACCGATTACTGTACTGTATTATGTTAGCTGTAAGTATGGAGCATCAGATCTTCATTGTGGTTTATGGTTACTTGATATTCACTCACACTTTAGGAGATGGTGAAAAAGTCAAGGTGTGTTACTGCCAGGTGGGGCACCCGAGTCGCCAAGTGAACGCAAGTGGGCTTCGTGACCGTGATCCCGAGACCATCAACAGCAGCAGTAAACAACCCAACCACAACCACAATCAGATAACAGCGCATCGAACGCCAGTCAGCACTACACCTGGATACGGAAATGCCCGCAGAACAAGCGTCCGTCGAAGTCCGCCGCAAGGCCGCTCGCGAGGTTATTGACATTCTCCACGAGATTGCAACTCTGCTTGTACATACACATAGGCTACGTGCATGAAAGACCCGTCGCTCACTACTACAGAACACACATCTCGACCGCCAACAGTTATCATACTGCGTATCCTTGATTGAGAATGGCGCCAATCCCGAAGCATTAGCTGTACGTTTGACACTGGTGCTTTTATTCAATTTTCCAAATGCGCACGCCATGATTTGTTCGCAGGATAATGCTTTAAATCATAGACACACTATGTTCTTGTACTGACGTGGTTTAGGCAGTGATCCAACAACTTCGCGAACAATACCCACTGTCGGACGATGGTGATGCAGAGGTCTGAACATAGAACCGTAAGCGCGCGCTGACCGTGATCGTCGGTGGCCGAAACCTGTGCAGCCTTGCACGACCGCAACTCTGTTTCAGTTCGTCAGGCAGCTGCATGTGGACGCCTGGTTATGTGACCGAAGCGGAATCTGCCGCTATCTTTGAGGAATGTGAAGGCCGTCTCGGCTGCCGAGTGTTAGTGTTGGCGGTGGGGGTTGATGCTGGTTCAATAGGATGCCCCGATCACCGAGATCCCTGGTTCACCCGCATGCATTTTGGCGAGAAAGCTTGGGCTGATGGAGGGGGATGCGGGGGTACAGTTGGACACGCCAAGCGCTGGCTATCAACCACATGCACTGTTATCAGAATGTTCAGAATGACGCGATAAGGTGGGACCACGCGGCTATACGGGACGGCAATCCTCTGTTTTATGCCTGACCGAGGGGCTGGAGATCACTATTATGCGGAGGGCTCGGAAGGATCCATGCAGCTAGTAACATATGTCATCATTATATCTAGTCGATGCTCTAAAGCTATGACATGGGTATGCTAGGAAACGCCGAACGAGAAATGCTGATAACGAATGGTTGGGGTATCTCAACGAGGGAATTGGGTATCTTCCAAAAGAAACAGGTTTCAAGGAAAAAAGAACACGGCCCTCAATATAGGAAATATAATCATCGACTGCCCCAGGTGGGCGATGACTGGCGCTGTCGGAAGTTGCCCTTCTCGTCGGCGACTTTGCGGAGTGCCTTTTCGGCCTTGGCTTCCTGCTTATCGAGAAAGCCATTGTAGATTGCTGGGAGGATGCGTGTGGAATCTAGTATCATGATCAGTATATGGCCGCAAGGGATCGGGCTTGTGGCTGTACTCACTGGCATGATCTCCAGCGAACAAGATACCGTCTGCGCCCTTCTCTCCAGCGACTTTGACGGCCTCTTCCAAAAGGCCCTCTCCAACACCCTTGCCTCTATACTTGAGCTTGACGGTCCATCCGCGTACGATGGCCTTGCCTCTTCTTCTCCTGCCCCGCTTCTTCGCAGCATCTCCGTCTGCCCATCCTAGGACGAGAGCGCCAATGACATCGTCTCCCCACTTTGCGACAACAACACGGTCATCACCAAGCCATTCGTTACCAATCTCCTCAGCGAGGCCAATGTACCCGCCAGTGAGCCATCGGATGAGGATGAGGAATGCCATGGTGATGCCGCCAGCTGTTGTGCCAAAGACAAAATAGTCGCCGTGACTGCGAAGCATGTACTGTGCAACGATAGCCATAACAATGCCCAGCGCAGCAAGATTGACCGGGTGGAAGACCATCATCTTACTCGCGACTTGGCGTTGCTGTGCAACCGAGTCGGCGATCAGGTTCAAGCCATCGATGCGGTCGTCCTCTGATTGGGCCGTGTACGTGGAGAGCTGAGGGAGCCCGTTGGCACTTGGCTGAATAGGAGCAGAAGCTTCGCTAGACGGCATGATTTCGGCTTCGATTGGCGAAGGGTACGCAGGCGCGGGGAGGTATGAGTACGAGAGTGATGTCGGGATGTGAGGGTACGATTGTGACGAGTAGTAGCTCCCGGCGCGGAAGGTTGTTGGTGTGCCCAATGGCGAAGGTAGATCCGGATCAATTCTCAGGTTTGCACTCAGAGATGTGAGAAATGCTGTTTGGAGGTGTTAGCCATGAGTTCTGTGTTGTTTACTAAAAATGTTTGGTTCTGACATCATGTCGATCAGAGGTCACGCGATCACCAACCTCAAAAAAGAAAAACGTACCAGCACTTGTCCGAAATCCAGGAAGCGAAGGTATCGCGGGAATAGCTTTTTCGAATCCTGAGATCTGATTCACAATGACTGTGTCTCCAAGAGAATATCGTTGCGGAAATGCATGCGGGCCCGGAGGGACTTTCAAATGCGAAGGGGGAAGTTGGCGACCCATCTCTTATTGGATCAATTTACATATAGGTACGAAAACTCGCTCAGGGTCCGGCCTTGCGCACTAAGTATCTAAAAGGATCAAAAAGGTATTAAACGAGTAACGTGTTCCGGAAGTCAATAGTAAATATGTGGGAAGCGGTCGTCAAGGCAAGGTAAAAAGGTAACAGCCTCAGAAAAATATGAGGCACTGGCGGGAAAACGTGCATCTATGTATTGGCTCAGCCAAGACGACGTGCACACGGGGACGCGATGTGGGCGTTTGGCGGCTGGTAGTGGGAATTGGCCCCAGGCGCGATCTTCACAGGCCTTATCCGCGCCAGTGTGCTGAACTCGTCGGCGATTCCCTATTGGCGAAAGGCTGAAGCGCACAGATAACGCAGTACGCACTTACAGCCTGGACCCTCGCTACTTGCGGGCACCTGTATGCGTGCAGGATGAGCAGATTCTGCAGATGGATTTGTTGGGACTGAAAATCGCCTCGCAAGTATGCATCGCTGAGGCACAGTTCGTGATTGAAAGCGCGCTCAGGCTTGTCGTTGGCTCTGCCGCAATGACAGAATTGACACTTCACTCTCATGCATCACCAGTGTTGACATCTGGGAACAGGAAAGCGCACCCGAGCACAAGAGTTCTTAGTTCGCTGAGGACTAGACTCGGCCGCATCAAACATGCTCGTCAACTCCGCACATCTCACAGAGCTGAAACGAACTACGGGGCTCAAATGCATCCTCCTTGTCTCAGGGCCTCCCCTGCAGCATGCTGGCTCTTACCTTTCAGTCCCGAAGTGCGAGATACCTGCATAAAGATTGTAGCACATCTGTTATCTGCCGTCACTTTATCCCTCCGTTCGCACCCCAGCTTTACATCCCAGTTCAAGATCGCAGCATTGCAAGGTAGCTGGACCGATAGGCTCTTCTCCATGTCTGGTGATGTCTTGTGACTCTTGACTATCCCCCACACTCCCACCGCCTGAACAACAATATGCAAGCCATCGATCGAGTCCCAAATCGACTTCGTATCCCTCAAACGACGTCTGTCTAGCCCCAGTCCAGCCTCCCACGCATTTACCTATTCGCTGCGCAGAATTGCGCAAGTGTTGTTCCTTCAGCCAACCAGAAGCGCAGCCATCCTAATGCAACCATCTTACGTGTGTTGCTCCACCCAATGACGACCATGAATTGTCATGCTCAACGTCAACCCTTTGGCCTGTCGGAAGGCCGAGACGCCAGGTTCGCTGTCAGGCAAACCACAGCGACCTAGGTTGAGGCCCGGTGCTGCGCATGTTTTTCCTTGTCGCTCAACCCATGCATTTTTCTCTTGTCACTCAGCCCATGCATTTTTCTCTTGTCATTCAACTCATGCATTTTTCTCTGACGCGTCCCCGTCCCCACCTAGATGCAGGTTTCGGCCTGTCATGCGAAGTGTTTCAACGGTTCGGTTCCGCGCCGCATTTGGTGGGGATAGACGAAATGTACGGGAGAAGCGCATTAACCGAGGGTGTACCAGCCTGAAAGACACGAATAAAAGGCTTGTGAGTTTCGACGTTTAAGTGGTGCGGCGAGTAAACGAGAGCTGTAAGATTGGCACTTTGCGTTTGTTTGATGGTCAAGATTGTTAAGTGTCAATGTTTCATTCTTTTAGGCCTTGCAGCCATACCCTGACTATATCCCAACTATTAACAAAAGCTCGCTCGCGAGCTGGAACCAAAGTACATTAAGTACACGAAGTAGGGATAGCAAACTTTGCTGAACAACGAACCGTCCACCCACCAAGTCTATTGTAACCAAACTGCACCAGATAGTAACAAACGCCGGTCTGCTATATGTCGAGAACTCCTTCGAGGGTTGTAGCGCAAAATGTCGACTAAGAAAACCGCCTTCTCTGACTGCTCGCAAACGCGATAAATCTCTGCAAAACACTGCCGCGACGTCAATCATCAAAGACAGAGCTTGAGGCAAATTAAAGATACTGCGTGCTCTAAGCTCACTTCTTTTGCTGCGTGCTGGGAGCGGATGCACCGGCGCCAGGCTCGAGCGTATGCTCGTGATTGTCGCATCGAAGAACGCGGCCACCATCTTCCTGAGAGCACACCTGGCTATTCTGAACCCACTTGTCGTTCATGATCTCTTCCAGTGTAGCACGCTTCTTTGGGTCGACTTCAAGCATTCTGCCTATGATGTGTCTACTCTCTCTTGGGAGCAAACGCAAGAGGCGCCATGGTCCCTTGATCACCTGAGGTTGTTGCTGGCTTTGACTGCTAGCAGACACTGCGGGGGCTCCATTAGAATTCTGACCTTCACCGGATGGATGGCGTGAAGCTGGCGCAGACTGAATGCCAGCTCTGTGATCATCAGCAGCATGTTGGAGGTCGGCAGCAGATTTTGAAGGTCCAGTAATGGATCTCGGGCCATCGTTAGGTGGAGATACAAACAACTTATATGAGTTGTCAGATATCCGGGGGGCCTTCCACGGGAAACGACGCAAGGTCATGCAACAGAAGATGATGGCCATTGACCAGACGTCCGTAGGTTGCGGATCGTACTTGGAAAGGTCATAAACTTCGGGAGCCAGATAAGGATCAGAGCCAACGATACCTAGATGTGTCAGCTAGAAGTAACAATCTAACGAAAAAGCCAAACTTACCACTTGCAAGAACAACATCATTCTCGAACGGATATCTGTAAACTGCCGCACTCCCAAAGTCGATGATCTTCATGATGCCGTGTTCGTTGACCACGACGTTGTCCAACTTCAAATCACGGTGAGCCAGACCCATACCATGCAGATAGTTCACACCGTTGAGAATCTGAAGGGTGCAGCAGGCCATCTCCTCACGGCTCATCTTGCCAGTCATGACGATGGCGAAGAGGTCGAATGGCGCATACTCCATCACGACGTAGTAGCTACCCTTCTCGTTTACCAAGTCCATGGTCTCAATGATGTTGCCGTGATGAAGAGTCGAACCTATACAGAATTCGGCGGTGACCTTCTTGTTGTAGTCGCGTTCTGACTCGTACGAATGTCTGGCACGGAATTGCTTCACAGCAAAGGTCACGCCATCACTGCTACGCTTCATCAATCGGACGGAGCCCCCAGCGCCGGAGCCAAGGACTTTCCCGAACTTGCCATACTTGCTCTCAAGACCGTGATCGTCCGCGAATGGCACACTAGCCATTCCGTTGGTCAAAGGCGGAGTCATGATGCCTGCCTTGCTGGACCTGGTAGGCTTCTCGCGCTTGATAACCGGAGCGGGGTTCTTGTGCTCTTTCTTCTCCTTCTCTTTGTCCTTGTGCTTGTGTCCGATCTTGAAAAATCGCTTCAGGTTGGACATGGAGTCGTGTCCGTGCTTGTGAGGCTTTGAGTCGGTCTCTGTGTCTGAGCTGTAACGGCTCCCAGGTCGCCCACTGCCGCCAAAGATGCTTGCTCTGTTACTACCACCGTCTTCCTTATCAGAGGCTGTACCCTTGGACCTGGGTAACGTGGTAGTCGAGGATGACGCTGATTGATTTCGGCGACTTCGCCCATCACGGCTGCCAAAAATGAATCGTGCATCCAAGCCATCAAGGTTCTTTGGCTGAGGCATACGTTTGGAGCGAGAGTATGGGTCATTCTGGTCACCTTGAGGGGTGAATGGGCGGCTGATCGACGATGGAGTAGAGGTGCCGGGAGAATGATATCCAGGGGTCCGCTCTCCGCCCGATCCGGAAGGGCTGGCATCTCGTGAAGCTGGTAGAGAATCACCAGCTGGGCCGACAGTGAACGAAGGTCCATGCCTTGGGTGTGGTTGTACGACATCCGGTTCAAGTACTGACGAAGGTCGGGTCCGTGGCGCTGTCTGTGGGGAGCTCGGAGCTGCCGTATTCTGATTTACGGACGAATCCATCGAGGTTGGTGGAGGCTCATGAGGAGGAGAGATCTGAGGAGTCATTAATGCGGGGTCGCTCGGTCGCTTCATGTGGTCGGCAATTGTAGGTCTTTCATCGCGGGAGGATGTGCCGGCTGGTGTCAATGGCGGCGACTGTACAGCTTGCGTGACTGAGGAACGATGTTGGGAAGATTGAGCAGAGGGTGTGCGGGAGGCAGGCGATGGAGATGGAGCCTGCTCATGTCAATTGTACGCTCGACGTCACTTTGAAGATTTGTCTTACTCTTGAGGGCGGCAACGAGACGGGCTCAAAGGAGAAGTTCTCCATGCGCTTCGCCTGGACACGAGACTGCTGCAAGGTTGAAGACAAGTTACGCAGTTCCTGTTCCGCCTGGGGGCTCAATGGTTCCTTCGACGTCGTCTCACCAGCGCCGGTAAGACCAGTCACATGCTGGAGGGCGCCTTCAGGCTCGATCTCCTGGTTGACATCGCTGAAGCGGACGGATTGCGGCGGCTGTTCTGAAGCTGGCGACGCCATGATGGGCTGGGTGGGTGGTGTGGAGGATCACTGCAAGTGCAGTCAGTTGCCATGAGCCATGACGAAAGCACAGCTCTGCTAGGCCGAATAGCTTACACTAGAGAAAGATACGTGATCGACGAAATCGGACGAGCTACACTCCGTTGCCCGGCCGCTTTCGCTCGATTCCGGGGCAGGTGGGGTCTACGGAGAATCCGGATACACGCTGGAATACAGCCCTGCGAATTACGATTGTGGGCGAGGAGTAATGAACGACGATTTGAGGGTTGGCGGGTTACAAAGCGCGCAAAGTCGTCATGCCCTGGATGTACTCCGCCAAAGAGCTATGCCCCGCGCTACCGAGCGATCGCGTGCAAGTGGGTGACGGTTGGCCGGAAAAAGAATGATCGATGCGATTGCTGGCGCACGTGATTGGCAACGATGGTGCGCAAGTGCAGGCTGTGCGTTTGCTGCAAAGGGCAACGGGAGCAGCTGCAACAGGAAGTCTGTCGCAATCAGAGAGGAAGGCGATGTTTGGAGGGGCGTGGGCCGAGATATCACGAGCAGAAGGGGCGGGTTACTCTTTTCGCGCGCCGCAGCATCCCGGATCAACGTCACATTCGAGAGCCTCGACGCCGCTGGCACCTCCACCACCACCAGCCAGTCAGCCCTCAACAGCCAACCTGTGATACCCACGAAATCAATAGTATCCACCTGCACACTTTCTGCCCGTCCCGCGCGTGCAAGCAAGTGCTCCGACCGCTCATCTAAACGACCTTCGCCTGACCTGCTCCCGGCCGTGCTACCGTTGCCTGCGAAAATTTCTGGCTTGTTGAACAGTTCTTCTCAAGAGTTTTTCTCCCCCTTTCAGTAAGGGCGTTCCACCACCAGTCACTTACGCAGCGTTTTTGGATAGTGCCTCGTACTTCCCGCAAAATGTTCAGCTGGGCCAAGTCAGCGTGAGTGAACCCTACCCCCCGGCTCCCACGGCTCCCACGTGTTATGCGCGACATAGGTGTATGACGTGCACGTACCGCGCGTTTTGTGCATCAGTTTTCTGACAGCTTTACAGGTTGTCCGCCGTCGCCGGCACCGAGGAGCCCATTTACGGCCCCGAAGCCATCCAGCCGGTTGGCAAGAATGCAGGCGACCCTGCATTTACCGAGTTGACCAAGGAGAACCTAAAATGGCAGGCCCTCAACTACACCAACGTTGAGACCCAGACATTCTACTTCAACTCAGACGCTGGCCACATCGGCTTCTTGCAGGTCATCTACAACAACATCTTCGGTGCGCGCACAACGGTGCAGTTCAACACCAAGCTCTTCTACCCGAACAACGAGAAGCCCTTCCTCTGGTCTAGCGACCCTCTGTCAAATTACGGCTTCGATGAGGGCCACTACTCCTTCCACGCCGACGGCGTCTCCATCCAGCTCAACGAGGACGGATCTGCATACACAATTAAGGCTGCAGTGAACAACAGCAGCCTGGTTCACGTCAAATTCACCAGGACCGCTCCTGGATTCCAAGGCGGAAAGACTGGAACGAGCAACTATGGCACAGACCCGAAGGAGCCATGGGGAAGCATGCACCACCACTTCTGGCCCAGGTGCAGCGTTGAGGGCTCTGTCATCACCAGAGAAGGCGAGATCAAGGTTGACGGCAGGGGAATGTTCAGTCATGCTCTGCAGGGAATGAAACCCCACCACGCCGGTAAGCAGGCACACCAAAACACTGTACTGAGCTCACTGACATGTAATAGCCGCGCGATGGAACTTTGTCAACTTCCAATCGCCCTCTTACTCCGCTATCCTCATGGAGTTCAAGACTCCTCCATCGTACGGATCGACTGTCGTTCGTGTTAGTGGTATCGCCACAGACGGCAAGCTGGTCACTGCTGGCATCAATGGCGACGTCAAGCATCTCAAGACGAAGCAGGACTCGGACAACGATTGGCCCGAGCCAACTTCGGCAAGCTATCACTGGGTGGGCAAGACTGATGATGGCAAGGAGATCACTGCAGAAGTCACTGGCCCTTTGGGTAACAAATACGATCGCGTGGACGTCATGGCTGAGGTGCCTGGCTTCATCAAGACCATCGTCGCATCTGCAGCTGGAACAAAGCCCTACATCTACCAGTATGCACCAAAGCTCACCATTAAGGTGAAGGTCGGCGACGAGGTCAAGGAAGAGGAGGGTATCCTTTTCACGGAGGCAACTTTTGTCTCGTAAAACCTTCCCATATGCATCTATACCATCACGACTCATAGCATTAATAATAGAAAGTCAGGCCAGGAGCTTGAAACCTAATAAGAAACATATTCTCGGGCTCATTTTGTGTACTCCATATCATGTCGTGCTTGCACAGTAGCGGCGAAACGTCGCAGTACTAGCCACTTTGCACTTTTGTAGGATCCAAAACATTACAAACAACAGCAGCCGATGCATACGTTCTCACAAGAGAGAATCCTAGCAACACGACAAATTGTTATTGCCTGATGCTGCCCAAGTAACTGGTTGAACGTGCTTGGGTGCAGCCCTCTCTCACCTGACTGCGCGCGCGTAACTGACGCGTCTCGCGACTGGCCCGCCCCACCTTCGCGCAGCTAGGTAGCACCCGTAGTCTCCACAACATCCACCACGAGCATGGTCAACGAACGGCCCAAACAGTTCGGTGGAGCGCCACGCTTCGGTGGTGGTCCTCGGCCTGGTGTTGCATCGTCATCGACATCTCGGGCGGCTCAACTTGGTATTGGTCTCGGTAAAGGAGCCGCAGGCTTGGGCGGCTTAGGAAAGGGAAAGGGAATCAGACGCCACCAGTAAGTACCAGGCCGCAATGGGAATGACTACTTGCTAAGCAGCGCAGAAAGATTCAGCGCGATACCATCCAAGGTGTAACCAAGGGAGACATCAGGTAAGACTCCGAGTTACCCTGATGGAGCTTGCAAATCCAGATATTTTCCCACCATACACCAGCTTTCTGACATCTATTGCAGGAGGTTAGCTCGTCGAGGAGGCGTCAAGCGTATCTCGGCGACAATCTACGACGACGTTCGCCAGGCTCTCAAAGCTCGACTAAGTGATGTTAGTGACCATCTCTGTACAAAGCTGAGGTCTTACTGACAGCCATTCAGATTTTGCGCGAGGTCGTTGCTGTCGTAGAGCATACTGGCCGTCAGACTGTCTCCGTCACAGATGTTATATTCATACTAAATCGCGTAAGCTTGTCAGCCACATGATCAAAAGCCTAGTGACTGACTTCCATGCAGCAAGGCCGACAATTATACGGGTTTGATCCCTCTTTTATGGGGCGTCGACACTGAGCCGAACTCAGTCTCCGTGAGGAGCGTCATTTCGACCTATAACGGTACCAAGCACTAGTGCATCGCACCCGCTGAAAAACATCCCTACTAATTCAGAAGTTGACTTCTCTCTGCTCAATGATGTGCGGAGGCGATGTCAGCTGAAATCTGCGGTCGTGGCCATCTTTGGTCATATCTCTGGAAGATAAGTTTGGATAAGAGATCTTCATGGTGTGTTAATGTGATATGACGGCGGCATGTTCTACTTGTGGAGGAATAGAGCTAAGTCGATGCAGTCCGTTCAAATACTGGAGAAGCAAAGTGTGTATCTGGGTTCGTTCTTGGACAGTATATACGAATGGCAGCATCTCCACAGGAGGTAGTATAGCAACAATAACCAAGGTGATTCGATCTCCAGATATTGCAAATTTTCCTTACTGTTTTTTTGTACTGCTAGGATCAATGAAATCAGCCACAGTGGTTTGCCCCGCCAACCGCACTAGCACGTGTTCTACAATTTCACTCCCTGACCTGTAAGATCGCTTGAATCGATGCCTCTCCTGGACGCGCACTTTCAACGTATATTGTCAAGATGGTCTACTACTTCACTTCGAATACAGTCACCCCTTCGGCGTTCATCTATGTTGGCAAGGATAAGGTAGAAAGTTTGTTCTCCGCAATGCGCTAAATTCGAGCAAAGTGGCGTATCGAACGCATTTAATGCTGACGCATTCTGTAGACGAAGAGCTCATCAAGCATGGCTGGGAGGAAGATGTCTGGTTCCACGTCGACAATCTTTCCTCGGCACATATCTACGTCCGCTTACCTGATGGCGAGAGCTGGGAGAAGATCAGCGAGCCGTTGTTGACCGATTGCGCGCAGTTGACCAAAGCAAATAGTATTGAGGGTGAGCACTATCTGAGCACTCATACACCAAATTGGGAAGATTAATGGTTGATATTTCGCAGGCAACAAGAAGGATAACATTACGGTCATCTACACGCCATGGTCAAATTTGAAGAAAGACGGGAGCATGGCTGTGGGCCAGGTTGGCTTTAAGGACAACAAGAAGGTAAGTGGTTCTTGCTATTCATGTCTAATTTTTCCTGACGACTATGTCTGTAGGTCAAGCGTATACATGTCGTGACCCGTGAGAACCCCATCGTCAACCGCCTCAACAAGACAAAGGTTGAGAAGTATCCTGATCTCAGGGAGGAAAAGGAGGCCCGTCTACGAGAACTTAGAAAAAAGGACCAGGGCGCTCGTGATGCAAGAGTAAGTGCGACTTTTTTTTCCTGCGCAACCTTTCTGGCATGCTCCTTCAATATTCACCAGTGTGTCTACGCACCTGGCGATAGAGGCACCATTTCTGTCGGCTCGCACAATGCCACGTTCACTTCGTATCACCAATGCTCTTCTGAACGGCTTCATCTGACACTGGCTGCAGCGAAAGGAGGAGGCCCGCGTGGCCAAGGAACGGAAGGAGCTCGCGTGGCGGAGGGATCATGCGTACGACGACATGATGTCAGAGGACAACATTGCTATGTCGAGTAACCAGGACCGCGATGAGGACTTTCTGGACGACTTCATGTAGTTGAAGTTACCATTCGTCTCATTGTCCTTTTCGTAGGGGTATACGGTGGGCGGGTGTTCAGCAGCGGCTTCGGTTGTTCAGCAGCGGCTTCGGTTGTTCAGCAGCGGCTTCGGTTGTTCAGCAGCGGCTTCGGTTGTTCAGCAGCGGCTTCGGTTGTTCAGCAGCGGCTTCGGTTGTTCAGCAGCGGCTTCGGTGGTAGTTCAGATACCGGGAGGGTCTCGAGAGGTCATCGATGGGATACAGGTCCCCATGCTTTCATTCAACATGCGAATATTATGATTGAGGGTATCGTAGGCAGTCGTGCGGATCTCGAGATGGTCCCGAAAGCTATTCCGTCAGTACTTGCAAAGTCAAAACAGCGTCAACGCTACTCACCGAGATTTGGTCTTTCCTCTTGTGCGACCACCTCTATCCTGTTGCCACCATACGTACATGAGATTCTTTATGATCTTGTGCTCCAGCCCATTTTGTTTCGCGGCGTATCGCAGGAACTCGACAGTATTCGCGATCTTTTGCTCGTCATAGTCGGCAACAGCCCCTTTCCGAAAGGCTGCGCGGACTCGGTCAAGCAACGTGAACCGCGCAGGTCTGGAAAACTGTATCGCTCTCAAGCTATTGCGCAGAATATGTCGATAGGCGTGGACGATGGCTGTGTTCGGCATGGTGGGTGATGCTATCATGGTTGCATTGCGCTCGAGCATCGATTGGCTGGTGACGGCTTAGTCATAGCTGCGGCGTGCCGCCACTACCGCCTCGAGACAGCGGCAACCTTCCACTTCCGAACTCATCGTCACGCTCACCCCGCCTGCTCTTCTCTGCAACCGGGGCGTGTAGCACTTTGTAGACTCGTCTGAACTACTACAGTCTCTCTGTAGACACTGCGCCGTGCTAACTACTGACCACTGTAGCGCAGCCTCATTGAATATAGACGCCGTCTTTTCTTCTATCGTCCTATCTCAGTGCGGTCTATGGCCATCGCCGCAAACTGTGATCATGGCCAGAATTCATCATGCACGCCCGCAACATCAGCAGGGCGTCAGTCGTGTAATGGCGATTGAGAAGACGCGTGCCGCTGTCAAGAAGAAGAAACCGTATAAGATTGTCCTCGAAGCAGTTACTCAAGAGAAGAAGAAGCTACACTCTATTGTCCGTCACCTCCAGGAATGTCGCGCGTTTGCAACTAACTTCAATCCAGCTCACCTATGCCTCCAACGCTCCTCAAGGGTTTGGCTTCGTTCCAGCTGGGCACCCAGAGATTACTGAGTGGTGCAAGGAGCAGTGTCGCCAACGGAATCTCGATGTGCACGTTGTTTCGGTCAGTGGCGGTCGGCCTCCACAAAATCATCGTGACTGACAGCACTATAGGCTAAGCCGAAGAACAAGACTCACGCAGACCCCGAAAAGCTCTCGCATCACGTTCATCGAATCGGACATCACTTCCCTGTAGAAATTATCAAGCTGGCTTGCAGCAAGTTCGGGTACGAATATGACGAAGAGTCTGGTCTGCGTAAGACCAAGGTCAGTGACAGAGAAAACTGGATACAACAGCAGGTCGAGAGCTACTCGACCAGGCAGGCACTGCATGGCCGTCCAACATCCAAGGAGGGTACGAAGGACCACATTAGCGGTGCCGTGCGTGAAATGTTCCCCAAGATTCCCGAAGCAGATCTGTCGTCCATCGTCAATCATGCCTTCGAAGAGGTATAGTTTTCACTTGAGTCTGGTGGGTTACGTCGATACTTACACTCGACAGGGCACAAACCGAGTAGGTAACGCAAAGGAACTCCCTCTGGCTCGCCGAGTTCAATTAGCTGTTGTTGCACACATTCGTCACACGTACACAGATTATGACAAGATGCTCAAGACTGGCTCGTGGATGGAAGCTCGACAAAAGGTTGAACATGTCTCTCTTGCCAAGCTCAAGGAGTGGAGAGATGAGACTGGTGAACAGAGTAACGAGATCGAGGACACTTTCCGCGAGGTGATCGTCCTCGACGACGATGAAGACCAGACCAGTGATGGCGGTAACACGCCTGATGAGCGCGAGCAGAGCATGGAGATAGTTTCCAACCGAGTATATGCTCAGGATATCCAGATCGATCGATATCCGCAATACTCACACGCCACTGATCATGAGCGAAGGCGAGGACATGGAAGGACAATATTTGTACAACCGTATCCTCCTCCCCCCGCACCTCAAGGGCCTCCAGCGCCGCCGTACCGCGCTCCAGTAACGCATTCCGCGAGAGCACATGGGGAGTCGGCTCGACACAAGTCGTTCTATACTGCCCACAGTAGGCCTCCAATTGATCCGTAAGTTCAAGTACCTCATGCTAAGAGTAAATCCTCATGTTCATAGGCCACCGAGAACAGCGGCAGTTCAACCTGATTCGAGAAGAGCGCCCAACTACATGCGCGACTCTAATGGCCAACTATACGAAGTGAGTTTTCAGCAGACCCGCTACCGAAGCTCGACACATCTTTCAGCAATCACCTCCTTTTCATGTGCTAATTACCGTAGCTGTTACCTATCGATGACCATCCTCCCCGGGTAGAGTATGAACAACCCTACCGCGCAGCAGCACCTCGTCCTGTACAAGAGGGCTATGCCCACTCCTCACATCGTGTTAATGCACAGCCCAGCAGGGCCCTACCACCTAGACGCACCTCCGAACACGACACTGTCTTGCCGTCTGTTGAGCGCGAAACTGCTGATTTAGCCTCTCCTCCACGGACAAGCAACGACCATCGCTCTGTTTCTGACCGACATGATATGCCAAGGGGACATGATGATATGCAACCGTCCAAACGGAAGACACATCCTTCGGCCTCACAGCCCACGAATATGCATCCCCAGCATTTTGCCAAACGGTGCAAGCAGTCTCAACATGAACATAACGTCTATCCAGGACCAAGCCCGAGTCAGGCCGAAATGTATCCGCATCCGCTAGAGTATTCGCCAATGGAGACGCGCGCCAGACACAGAGCGCATCCGTCACGGGAAATAATTGATCTAACTTCTAGTCCGCGTCGGCCACCTTTCGGCAAGGCTGGTGATCTGTTCAATGCCTCACAGGGCTACCCAGCTGCCGGTGTGAGCAACTATGCCTACGCTCCTGAAGTAAGACGTCGTTCACCTGTGAGGATCAATTATCATGAGCAAACTACTGAAGCGCGAGCCAACGCTTACATTCCTGAACATGACAGAATGTATCAGAGACCCCCTCCGCCAGCACATGAATATGTTCCCTTGAGGAGATGATCACTGTCTGCATTCACGGCATCAAAGTTTTGGATTATCCTAAGGCGCAAACTCTTGATCGGCTGCATACTGCCCAGGCCAGTACGCGCGATTACGGAGGTTCTTTCGGCGTTTCTCTCTTGCAAACGATACCCTTTTCCTTTCGGCTCCTGTTGCATTTCCGGTATCCAAGCCTTTCTTCACCAGGCATCTTGTGGGTTGCTTGGTCTTTTCCGATCATCTGAGCGTTAGCAATCTCACGTCACTTGACTACATGCTGCATGTTACCCTGCGAGCTCTCGGCGTTAGAAGCTATGGACTGCGTCTGCTGTTGAGCATAGAACTTGTACATCCTCGTGGGTTTGGGAAGGTAGAGCAGGTTGTCTACTAAGGATGTCTGTAGAATCAAGGATGGTGGATATATGTCAGCTCTATCCCATTGGTGTAAACTGCTGGATGCACTCACATGTTCCTGCATAGCAACAGAGACTTCCAAGATTACCACATCGAACCCAATACCCTCCCACTCGCCCACAAGGCTGCATGTAGCGCGGCGACTTGCGCATCTGCCGCGGAGTGTCTTGGCGCTAAAATGTTTAGTAGACTGTTAAGTGACCTCATTACTTTGACTACGTCATAATGTCTACATGTCAAATCAAATTGACACTTTCGACGTGACTAGCATTGGGATTTTATTAGTATGCAGTCCCCAAGTATCTCCGGGCTCGAGAAATTTTATCGTTTTGCAAACGCCCTTTGGTCCGACCGAAATATTCTAACAACGAAAGTACGATGCTATTCAGGTCACGCAAAAAGGCCAGCTGGGTACCTGACGTTGGAGGTCCAGCAGCAGATGGCAAACCCTTTGAGTCGAATCCTACACCTGTTGGTTTCTGGCACCCCTCTTTACAAAAGGTACGGCGTCGTGTTTTCCGAGAATGGGCCATCACTACCGCTTTCCTGATGGCCTTCATTCTTGCGGTGCTTTCGATATACTGGGGTGTCTTTTTCCAAGTCGAGAATCGACTAAGCCATCTGCTTGTCTATGTTGTTGATATGGATGGCGCTGCACCTTACGACAACACTGGCAATGCACCATTCGTTGGACCGACTATTACACAGCTGGTGCAAGAACAGTTGTCTTCTGGCACGCCAACACTAGGATGGGGCATCCGGAGTGGCTCGGACTTCAATAACGACGTGTTGGAAGTGCGTCAGGCGGTGTACAATTGGGATGCTTGGGCCGCGATCATTATCAACCCCAATGCTTCAGCATTGTTGTTTCAAGCCATTGCTACCGGGAACTCCTCATACGATCCTCTCGGTGCCTGTCAGCTGGTCTACCAGGACTCCAGAGATGACACGAACTGGTACGATTTCATGCTACCTCTTATCAGCCAGTTCATGACACAGGCCACGAGCCAGGTCGGTCAACAGTGGGCGCGGATGGCACTCCAGAATGCGAGCGATCCTGCAACGCTAGCGAACATCCAAGCGGCGCCACAAGCTATCAGTCCAGCAATTGGATTTTCCGAATTCAACCTTCGACCATTTTACCCATACACTAGTATCCCGGCTGTATCTATTGGTCTCATTTGTAAGTCACGATCTCAACACGCAAGAAAAGAATTATCTGACTCCTACCAAGATTTGATTATTATCTCTTTCTTCAGTTTCTCCTTCTACCTCCCCATCCATATGACATACATAAACCCGAAAGGTCATCCTCCTCTGAAGTTCTGGCAACTTATCCTGTGGCGCTGGTTTGCGACCATGAGCGCTTACTTCATGCTCTCACTGGCCTACTCCTTCGTCTCCATGGCCTTCCAAATCAACTTCACACACACAAACCCCATCACGTCCGAAACACAAGTGACGGACGTCGCATACGGTAACCCCGTTGGGTACGGTCACGGTACGTTCCTGGTGTACTGGATGCTGAACTTCTTCGGTATGATTGCGCTGGGCCTGGCTTGCGAGAACGTCGCTATGGTCGTGGGCATGCCTTGGATGGGGCTTTTCTTGATCTTCTGGGTCATCTCAAATGTGTCGACGTCGTTCTATGATATCGAGATTGCTCCTATGTTCTACCGCTGGGGATACGCTTGGCCACTCCACTCAAGTAAGTTTCCTTTTCGAGCGCAACAGTTGATCGTGCTAACGCAGCTTCAGTTGTCGAGGGCAGCCGGCAGATCTTGTTCGGGCTGCACTCCCGTATTGGACTGGATTTCGGTATCTTGATTGCATGGGGCGCGGTCAACACTACGTTCTTTCCTTTCTGTTGTTACTTCATGAGGTGGAAGAACAAGAAGGGCGTATCGGAGTACTGGGAGAGTTAAACCAAGAAAACGTGCGAGTCATAGACTAGGTCTGTTGCAACTGTTTGGCACAGAATATCATTGTAATCTTAATTATTCCGCGTCAAGAATTTCAAATGTCAAATAATCCATCGACGATAGCATAGCCTCTGCAAGTTTCTCTCGATTCGTCTAGTATCGTTGTGGAGAATAGTTCATGTTGTTATGATAATCTTGGGTAGATCATCAATTTACCTGAAACTTGAAGGGCGATCACTCACTTCTACCATGGTTCACGACGCCAGTCAGACAGCTTACCGACGTACACAACGTTCACACTCTGATAGCATTCCTTATCCGGCCTGTGACTCGCACATTCCACGCGTCCGCTTGCTCAAGGGGGAAATCGAGGCCTACAAGCAGATCCGAACAAGCCCAATTCGGGTCTCAACTCATCTGCCAAGCTCAATGCCGACGCACGCTCAGCTTGGACAAGCAATAGCGCATCCACGTGGGAGCATAAGGTCGGCGATGAGCACCCAGCCAAGCGGCTAGATCAGCAGACGCAGTCGACAGGGACTACCGGCACTGGCGGCAGTGAAGAGGTGAAAGGTGCAAAGAAAGGCCTAGGTGGGATTAGTTAAAGTGGAAAGAAGACTCAGGCTGGACAGTAGGGAAAAGGAGGATTACTAGCTTGATACATTAGTACCATCACTCCATAAAGTGACGTTTCGCTTGTGCTTCGAGGCATTAAGACGTTTGATATGGGGTCCTTGTTCATCAGCAATCCGGAGGGCGTTCTTGTCGCCATGCGAGCCGAGCATTTGTAGGTTTGAGGGCCAGGGCCCGGGCATCGAGTCAGTGCTGGCCCTGGCTTGGCCTCAGAGAGCCAATGGACCAATGGTTGAAGCGTAAGCTCTGTCCATAAGCTCGGCGTGGTCGACGTGTTAAGGAACAGAACTCCGGTAGGGGTTTTGCGGGCGCTATGTTCACGTGGCCAGGGAGTGGATGTTGGTCCATTATCCACCAGATAGTACTGTCTCCGATGATCGTCAGCCAGCATATTGGAGGCCTTACACAGCCTTATAGACGAAGAGCTCAATTGTTTGACAATGAAAAAGGTCACAATATTGTTATGGATCGTGATTACCTAACGCTGACCTTCTGTTTATTGCTAAAGCTTGAAGAGATTCTTCAGGCAGGCAAATCCTTTATCTGAATGTCACAAGAATTCTGTGGGAACATGCCGTACCGGGAACACGCGCATGCTGTTGGTGTGATTCCGAGGACAATCCCACAGTATGCGCGGCGGCGGTGGCTCAAAAGGGTCCAAGCTGTCGGTATGCCGTCTGATGGATCAGATAATGGGGCCCCTGGAATCAGCAACAGACAATCTATGTATGTTCGATAAGACGCCATAGCTGACCGGCTCAAGGTTGAAAGCGGGATAGATACACCGGTCGTGCTGTTATGGAAATTGGTACATCACTTCGTACATTCCTTCGTCAAGGATCCGTAAAGACGAAAGCATGTGAAGTACAGCATGCGGGGGGTAAGTACGTTGCTCGGTACGATAGGGGTCGTCTTGGGAGCGGCTAATCCCTACCTGGTGATCCTGGTATAGCACGGCCCTAGGAGGAAAGATAACGGCGTGGCTGACACGTAATTCCGGAGACTGATGGGAAACGTGGGTAACAGCCGTGATGAAGTCAATCCATCTTGATATCGACCTGCCGCTGTGAGTTGTCGGAGTGTTGCGATGCTTCTTACAGACAGCGGAAGGCTCCAGCTGCGCCGCCCGCAGGATGAGACCCTGGGGAGCGGCATGACTGCCGAGATAGCTCAGCATGTCTGTAGTAGGCAAGGTCCCGTCCTGCATGGCTTGCCCATACCAGCATCCAGAGGACGTTGATGGTTGCACTCGTGAAGGGAGCACGTTAGGCTTCCAAGGTTGTTTCTTGGATGCAGGAATGACCGAATCTAACATTCAGGTATTCAATGAAGTGCGACTATCGCAAACACATAGTTTTTGTCATTGGTTCATCATCGATATCGAAACGTCTGCGCGGCAAACGGCTCGAGGTGGGATGAGCGTCAGGGGTCGAGGCCAAAAGCAACGACCGTTTGGGCGGGCTCGTGCACTGGCCACCCTAGTGGGTCTTTCCGCCATGGCATGCAACCTCGGCGTCGATGTGCAGCGTCTTTGGACGTCGAAGCGCGTATTGGTCCCGGCAGAGTGAAACCTTTCTTACTTTTGATGTATTCCCCAGGATTATGAGTAGTAATTCTCAGCCATTCAAACAGTTTAATGCCATGTCAAAAGCACGATCAGGCCGCACTAAAGTAGACATGTCGAACTGATACCGACCGCACTTCTCCACGCTTCACCCCACGTCATACCACGATTTCCAGAGCTTGTGCTGCTAGCATATTAGAGCAAGCAGTTGGACCCGTCCAGTCTGGAGTTCGCATACCGAAGCCACAACTCCTCCAGTTCGCACTACCAGCACAGTTCGCGCATTGTTCAGCTCGCTCGTCTGACAGGTCGCCCATGCATACCACAACATAGGTTGGCTTTGCGCAGACGCACACACGCTAGGCCATGGCTCCAGGGTAAGCAGAGAGCTTTTACAGAGCGTCACGTAACACCAACGTGGCGCATGACCTGTCAGATGAAAAGGTCTAACCTCAACCTAGCTCTATGAAAGAAGCTCTTAAGGCTCTCGACAATGCCTTCGGCGCCCCGACCGTGCCGTCTCCTCTACCCGATGAGCTCTGTGCGACTATACAGAGCTTCCTCGACCGTTACGATAAGATCGACGAACACGACTCGCAACGCTTCCACGAAGACCTCCACGCACTGTACCAGCGGCATGTCGCGGAAGACTCGGCTAAACACGGCGCTTTTCTCTCTGCATTGCGACTTGTACGCCCGGCTCTGACGGGAGAGGCAAGACTGATAGTTTGGTGGAATCTGGTACTGAAACCTACGATTGATGGGATAGGGCACAAGCGGCTTGAGATCGAGGATGCGAGAGAGATTGTGCAGAGCATATTGGTGTACGACACTGAAGAGGATGAGACTGGAGAACAGGCACGTCTGTCGAAGCTGTTCACCAAGAAGATCCTGGATGCATACATTTCAAGAACAGACGTATCAGCGTCACCTGAGAATGTTGTGTCCCCGGAGAACGAGTTCATCGCGAATGAACTTGAGAGCGTACTCATCACGTTTGGAAGAAAAATGCCCAAGGTAGGCTCTTCCTGTACATCCTCTTGACAAACCACTGATCAGAGCAGCTACTTCTCTCTGCCCTTGATGAGCTCTTCGTACAGAAGCAGTATCGCATGCAAGCATTGGGTCTAATGAGCGCGTTCGTGCGCCTGCAGCCTCCACATCTTCACTTAGTCCTTGAGACCTCACTCTTGCAGCACTTGGAAAAGTGTCTCCTGATCGACACCTCCACCATCGTTATCGAACTTGCCTTGGTGGTATTGATCATGCTTCTACCGCATATCAGTGGCGCACTGACTTCTGACCACCACCTTCAGAAGCTGTTCCTGGTCTATACCAGAGTCCTCTGCTTCGACAAGCTGAGCAAGTCTGAAAACCAAAACACAGAGAGGGAGGACAATGAGAAGGATTATGAAGATAGCGACGAGGAAGATGAAGCGGACGTGGAGAGCGAACAAGCTTGGGAGCAGCTGCAGCCGGCGGAAGGTGAGGAAGGAGGCTCACCGACCCTGATGCACTACTTCACCTTCTTGTACGGATTGTTTCCCCTCAACTTCATGAGTTTCATCAGAAAGCCTAGGAAGTACCTGAAGTCGCTCAATTTCCCGGGTGCGCGAGATTTTGATCTCGACCAGGATCTCATTTATAGTCGAACCGAACCCTACCGGAATGTTCATCTAATGCACCCGAACATGTTCACGACGACTATCGAAGAAGAATTGAGCGAAAACAGATGGTTGAAGAGCGATCCGGCTGATGTTGTCACCGAATGTATGGACCTTTGTGTGGCGGTATCAGCAGCGTTGGAAGACCCTGGGCCACCTCCCACGACCGGGCTTCCGCCTGTACCACCTCTACCTGAAATCCCAGCAGAGTTCGCCCTTGATGAATCTGGTAATGACTCAAATGTGAGCTGGAGGAACACGCAATCTACGATGTTTGTCGCTCCCGGAGACGCAGCAGATGTACCGGAGACCGCCGAATTGCCATTGCGTTCAAAATCGATTGCTTCTGCAACATCTTTCAAATCAGCCTCACCCCTGCTGAAGACTCACGACGTAATGGACTCACCAACGTTACCACCTGCAAAGGAATCATTGAAACAGAATTTGCTGGGCGCGCCCTCGCTACGACGAGTAAATCCACAGCCAAGCATTGACAGCTTTGTGCGCTCCGCTGCCGGCACAATTTCCCCTCCGCATCCCCACAATGACTTCCACGCTCAAACGATGTCTTCCTTGCAGCGTGAAATTATGCTTCTCCGGAACGACCTAAACTTTGAACGTTACTTGAAGCTTCAGCACCTCTCCCACATTGGGCAGCTACAGCGGAAGCACATTCGAGAGGCAGCGGCAGAGGCCGATACTCAAAACCTGATCAACACAAACAAGACATTGAAGGCCAGGCTCACAAAGGCGAATGAGTTGTACGCTCAACTCAAGAAGGAGACCCTCACCAGTCGTAATCAGTCGAAGAAGTGGGAAAGCGACCTGAATGCAAAGGTTCGAGGGTACAGAGACAGCGAGAAGACATGGCATAGCGAAGAGGAGAGTTTGCGTTTTGACTTGCAGAGAACGCAGTCCGACTATGAGCATCTCCAAAAGGTCGTAGAGAAGGCCGAAGCCGAGCAGCTAAGGGCCGAACAACGCACGAGGGCCCTCGAGTACGAGCTCGAAGACTACAGCAACGTGCGCCATGAGCTTGAGACTGCCCAACAGAAAGTCATGGAGTACGAAGATCAAGCTCAAGATCTTCATTCCCTCATTCAAGAGCGAAATGATTTAAGCAACGAACTTGAGATTGCGCATATGCGTCTGAACAGCCGAGACTCCGAACGAGAGCACTCCATCGCAGCGTACGAACGGCGCATAATGACTTTAGAACAACGTTTGCAATCGACCGAGAGGTCAGCAGGCCCGCCTGGACAATTACCTGCTTCGGTACAACAGATGCTTGACTCGGGTCTCGCAGCAAGTCAAGCCAAACTGCAGACCCTCAAGAAGACGTACCAGAATCTTTCAGCACAGCATACGGAGCTACAGATGAAGTATCAGGATCTTGAGGCTGAACATCAAGCAGCATTGGGTCGTTTTGAAGTTCACGAGAGGACAGGGCACTTCGAGTACACACAGTCACAGTTGAGTCGTAACTCTAGCTTGCGCGAAGGAAGCCACTATAGTTCACGGGGTCTGCCTCCCTTGTCGACTGGACCTTCCATCGCCGAGGAGCGCGAGTATTTCTCCGATCTTCACTCTCCCAACTCCATGGGTAGCCCCAGCTCGACCATCTCACCAGCAGCACAACGACCAGTCCGTTTAGACTCTATGCCTCGCAATGGGAGCCAGCGAGCGCAGCGATCACCTCCAGGCCCATCAATGTATCCTGCCTTTGGTGGTGCTCTCCACCCAGACCTGTATGAGCCACAGGCGCTAGCTAGAAGTGGCGCTGCGGTGCAGTCAAGTGCGAAGAGCAGCTTCTCTGTCGACACGGATGGCAGTGGTGGCAAAGATAAGGTCGAGCCGAAGTCAGAAGTCCGTGTGTACGGGCGTGGTAAGTGATGTCTTTCCGTTTCAGAGTGACATAGGCTAAACTAAAACAGGCGGCGCCCAAAACATCGGCAAGAAAGTCAAGGAGAAAGAACAGAAGAAAGCTCCGTCAACGAAGACAGGCGGTTTCCGTGGTTTGAGGGGAATCATGTGAGGCACGAGCTACTTGCTTCTGCAGCCGCAAATGCTGCATGACGAGCGAGAAAATCGCAGACCGTGCTCTGCATTACTTTGAAACATCGTAGCACCTTCTGCCAACAGCCACGATACGCATATGAACATCATTGTCCCTGATCAGCGACGAAAAAAGACGGCAGCGACTGCCACTGCAATTGCTTTTGGAGCAGGGCGTCGAGTAGTAACGCTAGCATTAATACATAGTACATAATACCTCATACTTGACGAACTTTACAGGGCAGAGATGAAACGAAATCACAAAATCTCCGTTCTCGCTTTCTGAGGTCCACGGCCAAGATCTGAGCAGGGGATGAATGCATGTCTTTGTAAGTGTTAGGGGGCGAGAGACCAGCTGTGCGTGGGAAACCCACAACTTTGGTGCAGGCACATGCCAGCTATCCACAATGATTTTGGGGCATGTCTTTCTCTTTATTGTTTCTCAAAGTCAGCGGAGAGAATACCGTTTCCTGTGAGAAACAGGTAGCTATGGTCTCTCGAACTGCTAGAGCCTGCTCTCGTTCTGTAGTTAACAAGTCATTCAAAAAAATTCAGACCAATCCAGACATGAACGCGACGTCGAGGTCTATTTGTGGTTTATATTCAACTTCTTATCATAGCAGGGTTGTCACCTCGACAAAACAGAAGAGCTGGAGGAAAAAAACTCTTATGACTGCTTAGTTGTTTTTGGACACATGAATTCCGCATTTCGTTTTTTGGTAAAGCAAGGACATATTGAATTAACAAGATTTACGATGGTTTGGAAGGGAGGCTCTTGCCCCAGCTGCTTCTGCAGTCATACAATGTGTTCAGCCGCATTGGAATCGACAAGGTGTACTTCGAGTTCGGTTGACGATTTCGTCGATTCCGAAAGTTGAAGACGAGCTCTGTGCTCTGTGCATGTGAACTAGATAGGTAAACACTGTCGGTGCAATCCTGCTCGACACATGTGAATGTTTCATGAATGTGAATTTGAGAGCATGTTTGCGAAGATTTTGTAGTTTAGACTGATGTAGCAAACCTTTTTCTATGGAGTAGGCTTAGCATGACTGGGCATACCGTTGACTTTGAAGCATTCTCAAAGGAACGAGTACCACAGTTCGAGTTTCCAACGAGCAGAACCAAATCAATGGAGGAGGTTCTTGAGATATAGTAAGGCACTGGGACGCAGAGGATGATGCTGGGGTAACAGTACCACAGCGATGACAGGCAGAGCTGGCGTACGGTTGTAGTAAATCTAGTTTTGAATCGGATTCCACTCATAGTCCGTTTGTTGGATGCGTCACGCAAACGACAGCATCAATCAAACCGGTCTTGATTTCAGGCAGAGAAGGCAGACGGCTAGCCGAAGTTGAGAGTGTTTGGGGGGCAGACCGGATCATTGGCTATTATGTTGCATCGATCAAGAGCCGAAATCTTTGGTACAGAAAGATTCAAATTAGAGACTGTGATGTCAACGAGAGAGCCACAACGGTTCATCAAATGCGCTGCAATTTCCGGGACCATGTGCAGGCGGAGTTCGCTTTTATGTCATGGCTACAAACAGTTTGCTTTTCTCGACTTCGATGGCTGACTTTGTGATATTCTGGCCCATTCCGGTTTCCATTCAACAAAAATGATTGATTGTCAAGCTTAGGAGCATGTAACAGTATATGCGCGTTTTAGCGACCCATATATGGTCCCTCTGTGCTGTTTCAGAGACAGAGCAGGAGGAGACGTGAGTGATTGCCAATTGCCTTGTGGTAAAAATGTAAGGTAGGAAGAAAGCTCGAAGCAACAGAGGCCATGTACAACAGGTCTTCCGCTCTTTGGTTTTCTGCAAAGAGACAGATAATGGTGTAGGAAGAAGACATAGGAAGAGCAAGTATGTATTGTTGTGACCTTCGTGGTCATGCTATCGAGCATCATCACTTCATGGCAAGTCTGGTGTGTACTTTTGGGACAGGACGTTAGAGCTGTGGTTGATGGCTGTAGTGTAGGCTAGCGACATATGGCTGTGCTGTCGCACTTTCTTGCAGACCCATCAGTAACCATCTTGTGAAATCGACCATGTCGTGCATTTTCATGGGGTCTGGAGGTGCACGGAATGGAATGATGTTGGGAAGAATAATCGTCAACTGTTATGCTCTTTGTATTCGTTGTATCGTGGTCGCCCCTCAAAGTGGGTGGTCGATAATTCAGATGTGCTCGCTAAATCGCTACAAAAAACCAAACGCTTTGTTCCACCTGTATAAATTCAAGGCTGAGTTCAAGAACTAAAGATTGACTCAATCGTTGTAGTTAACAACACCCGAGCCGTCCTTGTTTGCCTTGGGGATGCCATAGCGCTCACTCAGGTCATCCTCTTGTGACTTGCCGTTGGGGTCGAGGTACGGTCGCTCGGCCTGGTTGCAGACACGAACTGCATGGCGGCGGTGTGGTGCGAAACCATATGTAGCAGAGTGGTTGGTGACACGGTTGTCCCAGAAGGCGACGTCGCCAGCCTGCCACTGGAAGCGGGCATGGAACTCTGGTGATGTGGCAACGATCTCGTTGAGCAGAGAGATGACATGATCACTTTCGGTCTTCGGAACGCCGACGATCTTGGTGACGAAACCGGGGTTGAAAAATATACTCTTCCAGCCCGTGACAGGGTGGGTGCGGACGAGTGGGTGTTCAGTCGTGACTGGCTCGCGGCGTACGGTACGGCCGAGTTCGCGCGTACCTTGCGCTTGCAGCTCTGCAGAGTGCAGCGCTGTGAGCGACTCGAGATACTTCTGCATATTTGGACTGAGCATGTCGTATGCGGCGTACTGGGATGACCAGAGTGTATCACCGCCACCGCCACGAGGCGGGCCACTCAGTACCTTCAAGGAGGTGTATGAGGGAGGTTGGATTTCGTATGTTACCTTTGTCATGTCAGCGTGATTCATGTGAGAGGGAATAGTAGCTTACGTCGGAGTGCCACAGGAAAGTGGGGGAGAACAGTGAGCGAAGGTCAGGCGAATCTTCGCCAGTGTATACTACGTGAACATCCTCGAGTCCTTCCTGGCGGGGAACAGCAGTAGTGGCGTGCTTGTGTAGTCTACCAAAGTATTGACCTAGAGCACGCTGTTCTTCGATGCCAAAGTTCTTCTGGTCGCGGAAGAAGACAACACCTCGTGTCGCAATCAACCTTGCAAGATCGTTCTTTTGGGGGTCGGTAAGGTTGGCGAGATCTACACCGCGGATCTCTGTGCCAATCTTGGGGTTGTAATCAGAGACCTCGGTAGCAGACGATAGGAGGTTCTTGAAGTTGACATCGCCGAGTAAGCCTTTATCGGCGTAAGGAATCTCCTCTAGTGCAGGCCATGTGATATCAGGAAACCTTGTTCGTAGGTGCTCAAACTCGTATGTGTCGTCGTGCTTGGTTACAGTCGTGCGTCCTGGGACGTAATTATGTATGTTTGTAGACTTGACCGCTTGCTTGACTGCTGTGATGGGTGCCGTATCAATCGATTGATAGGCTGGGTCTACAAGTCCTGGTGCCATTTTCACTGTAGTGGTGATGCGCGAAACAGTCCAATTGGTGGCGATCTTCTTTGCTAGGTACCAGTGGTCGGGCGTGGCAGTGATCCTGCGAGTATAGCTCTGAAAAACACCTGATGGGTTGGAAGTTTCAAAGAGGAATCGATTGATAGCAGAATCGCTTGGCTGACGTTATCGAGCCCGTAGTGAAGACAGATGAGCAGAGAATAGCGGCCACAATACTTATAGGAATACTCTTTGGGGAGTACGTAGACTCATGTCAAGGCGCTTACATGGCGGATTGCGCCATCGCTCGCAATCACGACTCCTGTCATGTGTGGCCCGACCATTTTCTCCACATTTCTGACCGCCGTTGTAATATGAATGTGGAACTTTTGCCGGATTCGCTCCTCGGTATCACGGAGGTCGATCCGGGGAAGTTACCATGTCGATTGCTTTGTCAAATAGTGACGACTGTTGTCCGACTTAGACTGAGTACTCTCGTGATTACAGATTGGGCTGCTGACAATTAATGAGCAGCCTGCGCATCCTTATGCTGGATTCGGGGTTTCCTTGTTCTCTGGTCTTATCTCCATAGTACTTGCGACGACCTCCGCTTTTGAAACGCGATCTCAAAAATGGCAGGTCATTCCCATGAGATTCTTGACGCTGTGACATTTCAGTGCTGAGGTCGACGGGTGGCTGCGCTAGAGCCCAATGTGGTAAGGTGTCGAGTGATTGCACAATATCACGCCTTCGCTGGTCGTCAAACATAACACAGTGCAAGGGCCACCGTCGGCACCATTTCGTAATCTTGACAGGAATCATCTGGAATTGCTCGATCAGATAAGATCTTGCCGGTCATTTGTCGGCACTGGCATGGCATAACGCCTTCGCCCGCTCCGTTCTCGCTCTTGGTGGTTCGACATCGGACGCATGATGCCAGAGATACGATGCAGTCATCTTACACTGTTTGTAGATATTGGCGCTTTGGGATGTCGGCCTTCTAGTCCTGATTAAAGATTGCCATCAAGGCGTCGATGCAGGACGGTCACATGCAGTGGAGTGACTAGGTACAGGTGAATCGAGGGCAGCGATCTCCGCTCGCTGTCATGGTGCGTTCGATTCGACATTTGAAAACCAAAACTGTTCGCCATAACGCCGTGTAGTATGCCCGAAACACCATACAACATGCTGTGAAATGCGTCCGGCCTCCGCTATATCTCCACACATGCGGCCGGTAACCAAAGTTCGTTGATGTGTGTCGGGTCATCTTTGTATGCCATCTGCATGAGATAGTACAGACTCTCCGCATGGAGGCTCAATCCTTCCGTGTTGGTCGAACGCTGGTCTCGAGTGTAGGTATGGGTACACCATTGAGATCAGTCCATTTTATCCAAGCCTTGGGTCTAGGCTGCTCTGCAGCGACAGCCTCTGGCTTAATACCGCCTGGTATAACACTGCCATGTTCTGCCATGTTACTGCGCTGCTTTACGATGCCCGCCTCTTCTAATCGGGGCGTCCAATACGGATGGGAACCCTTGTGTATTCGCCACAATTCATAGTTCCCGACAACGAGGACGAGGATCGAGGTGACAAGACGAAAGCGCTGTGTAGTGCGTGTAGATAGTGCAGGACTCATCGCGAAGACAGCTGGTGGTGGTCGTGTAGGTAAGCGTAGTGAGCACTCAGGTGAGAAAGGTGATGATGCGGAGATGCTCAAACGTGACTGGCTGCAGCCTGAGACCGCGCATCATCGCGACTTCCAAAACTTTCCAAGCCCCAAACGTCGCGCCCATTTGGGCTTCAACCGCAACAATGGACGACCTCGAGAACCTCGAGTTCCTGTCGCTCGTGTCCAAGGTCACGTCAGAGATTCAGAATCACTTGGGCGTGTCCGACAAGACGCTCGCCGAGTTTGTCATCGACCAGCATGCCAGCGCAAAGGGCGTCGACGATTTCAAGGAGCAGCTGGAGGCCATGGGCGCCGAGTTTCCACAGAGCTTGGTGGAGAGTATCGACCGTCTAATTCTGACGCTACATCCGAAGTACAAGAACAAGAGCGCAAATGGGCCCAAGGCAACTGAGGATGGGGACGAGAGTCGCGACCGCAAGACACGCGTATTCAAGGGCCTCGCTATTGCAGACAAGGAAGTCGATTTCAGCGATTCTGAAGAGGCGCCCGCGGGCAATGCGCCGGAGCCCGACGCGCTGGACGACACGTTTGCCATGCTGGAAGGCCTGGCCGGGAAGGGCGCAGGAGCAGGGAAGCCCAAGGAACAGTCGCGCAAACGCAGCATGAGCCCATACAGTAGCGACGATGACAGAGGAAGCAAACGTCACAGGCGCAGGGACATGGATCCGTCACGGTCAAGATCGCGCAGCCGCGGGCGCCGGCAGCAGGACCACGACAACCTGGTTTTTGAGGACGAGTTCGGGCGCACACGAAGCGTGAAGCGTCACGATAAGCAGCGAAGCCGCAAGAAGTACAGGGACGAAGACCTCGATGAGTTTCGCCGACCGCCCACGCCCGAGCTGGACGACGAGCCTGTCCTGTACAAAGTATACAACGGCAAGGTCACTGGTGTGAAGGACTTTGGTGCCTTTGTCAACCTGCAAGGCGTAAAGGGCAAAGTCGATGGACTGGTGCATGTCTCGCAGATACAGGAGGGAGGGCGCGTCAACCACCCGTCTGATCTCCTCTCAAGATGGCAAGAGGTCAAGGTCAAGGTCATCAAGATGGAGAATGGGAGGCTTTCGCTTTCGATGAAGGAGGTCGATCAACGGACAGGCCGCGACCTTGCACCCTCGAAACGCATCGAGTCTTTTGGATCAGGCGCAAACTCCCAGGCGCTTGGAGGCATCCCGGGCCTTATGGATGGCAGTGTGCCTGTGGTCGAAGATGGGTTCAACGGCCGAAATAATGGCATGCGAAAGCGAATGACCTCACCTGAAAGATGGGAGATCAAACAGCTTATCGCTTCTGGAGTCATTCCAAAGTCAGATTACCCCGAGATTGACGAAGACTACAACGCACACATTGCCGGCGAAGGAGGCTTCGAAGAAGAGGAAGACGTTGATATTGAAGTGCGCGAAGAGGAGCCGCCCTTTCTGGCTGGTCAGACCAAGCAATCCCTGGAGCTGTCTCCCATTCGAATCATTAAGGCACCTGACGGTTCACTCAACCGAGCAGCCATGTCTGGCGATACGTTAGCGAAAGAGAGACGAGATTTACGGCAACAAGAGGCTCAGGAGAAGGCTGCGCAAGAAGCTGCAAATGTGGACCTTAGCAGTCAATGGAACGATCCTATGGCCCAACAACGACAGTTTGCCAGTGATCTCCGGAACACACGAAGAGATCAGCCTACTGAGGCTATGCCTGAGTGGAAAAAGATATCAATTAACAGCAAAGACGCCTCGTTCGGTAAGCGAACGAACATGAGCATCAAGGATCAGCGAGAATCGTTGCCAGTCTACAAGTTCAGGAAGCAGCTGCTTGAGGCCGTTGCTGCACACCAGATTCTGATCGTTGTTGGCGATACAGGATCTGGTAAGACGACACAAATGACTCAGTATCTGGCAGAAGCAGGCTACGCGAACGAACTCGTCATTGGCTGCACACAGCCTCGACGTGTGGCAGCCATGAGCGTTGCAAAGCGTGTTGCTGAGGAAGTAGGTTGCAAGCTCGGCAACGAAGTTGGTTACACCATTCGTTTCGAGGACAACACATCACCAGACACACGCATCAAGTACATGACTGATGGTATCCTGCAAAGAGAGATCTTGCTTGATCCGATGTTGAACAAGTACAGTTGCATTATGTTAGACGAGGCCCACGAGCGTACTATCGCTACTGATGTTCTCTTCGGACTTTTGAAAAAGACACTGAAACGACGACCAGACATGAAGCTTATCGTCACTAGTGCTACGCTTGATGCCGACAAGTTCTCTGAATACTTCTACAAGTGTCCCATCTTCTCGATCCCTGGACGAACCTGTAAGTTGACCTATCTGGTAGCTTATGTACAGATATACTAACGTACTACAGTCCCTGTCGAAGTCATGTACAGTCGAGAACCAGAGTCCGACTATCTAGACGCCGCTCTAGTGACGGTCATGCAGATCCATTTGACAGAGCCTGCAGGAGATATCCTGCTCTTCTTGACAGGTAAGGAAGAAATTGACTCGTCTTGCGAGGTCTTGTCCGAACGCATGAAAGCTCTTGGGCCAAATGTGCCTGAGCTTATGATCCTACCCATTTACGGTGCCCTTCCTTCGGAAGTGGCATCACGAATCTTCGAGCCTGCACCAGCTGGCACTCGCAAGTGCGTCATCGCCACCAACATCGCCGAGACCAGTCTCACCATCGACGGTATCTACTACGTCGTGGATCCTGGCTTCGTCAAGCAAAGCTCGTATGACGGCAAGCTCGGTATGGACCGCCTACAAATCACACCGATCTCGCAAGCGCAAGCTCGCCAAAGAAGCGGAAGAGCTGGAAGAACAGGTCCAGGAAAGTGCTTCCGTCTGTACACTGAGGCTGCTTTCCAGAATGAGATGTTACCTACCACAATTCCAGAAATTCAGCGCCAGAACCTGTCGAATACCATCTTGATGCTCAAGGCTATGGGCATTAACGACCTTCTTCATTTCGACTTTATGGATCCGCCGCCAACGAATACTATGCTCACGGCCCTCGAAGAGCTCTATCAACTCGGCTCGCTCGACGATGAAGGCTTGCTCACTCGCCTTGGCCGTCAAATGGCTGACTTCCCTATGGACCCCACCCTTTCCAAGTCACTCATCAAAAGTACAGAGCTGCAATGTTCCGATGAAGTTCTCACTATCGTCGCCATGATCAGCGCCACACAATCAGTTTTCCACCGCCCTCGAGACAAGCAACAACAAGCAGACCAAAAGAAGCAGAAGTTCAATGATCCTTCCGGTGACCACATCACACTTCTTAACGTATACAACGGCTGGAAACAGGGTGGCTTCAGTACGCCATGGTGTCATGAGAACTTTGTTGTTCCGCGCAACATGCAGCGCGTCAAAGACGTGCGAAACCAATTGCTGCAGATCATGGCACGACACAAGCACACTGTCGTATCCTGCGGGCGCAACACAATCAAAGTCCGCCAAGCACTGTGCTCAGGGTTCTTCCGCAACTCTGCTCGTAAGGATCCTGCGGAAGGCTACAAGACGCTCGTCGAGGGCACACCAGTTTACTTGCATCCCTCATCTTCGCTTTTCGGCAAGCCCTCAGAGCATGTGGTGTATCATAGCTTGGTGGAGACGACCAAGGAGTACATGCATGTTTGCAGTGCAATTGAGCCCAAGTGGTTGGTGGAGGCTGCACCTACATTCTTCAAGGTTGCGCCCACGGATAGATTGAGCAAGAGGAAGAAGGCGGAGAGGATTCAGCCCTTGCACAATAAGTTCCAGGGCGAGGACGATTGGAGACTGAGTGCCCAGAAAAGAGCTGGTAGGGGAGGAGGTGGCACATGGGGATAAGAATGGTCAGACTGGCTAAGTTTGCACATGTTGTACTGCGTTGGGCGGCTTTTTGATACCAAATGATCGGGCATTTAAACAACTACCCATTTTTAGTATATTCTGTGTCCTCTGCACCCATAACACCATTCCTTAGTTCCAAACACGAAGTTATCGGGTGCATGTCGCTTTTCCCCTCACATGTCAGCTGATTCGAAATAAGCACGAATGGAGATGATGTATGAATTTGTGTGGCCTCTGCCAGTTCACAGCAGTCTTGACTCTCGAAGAGCCGACCCTTGCGACCTCTACCGACCACTGAAGCTCTTATCATGTGGACCTCATATCGATCCCACCGCAATGCATGTCCACCGCTTTGTTCCCGCACATCAGAAAGGTAATATGGAAGGAGTTCAAATTCGTTCCATGTTTTTGTATTCGAACCACCCAAATCTTACGCTGCTCGATCAATGTGAGCCCTAGCTGGGATTTAGATGACTGATCTCCCTTTCCTGTCAATCGTGTAGCTGAGTAGTCTACGTGTGATTTGCTCCTAAACTGCTTTCACGATCCATCAACAACTATGTAAGAGGCACATAATTCACCCATACTGCAAATTGTAATATGAGAATCTCAATAGCAGTAAATTTAATAAGTTTGATCAAGCCAGACTAGAAAGCCGTAAGGCAATCTTCCAGGGGCGAGCCGTAGCTTCTCCCCATGACACCATGTAACCGCGACCGTGCTTCAGTACGGGCAAGCCGCAAACCCAGATAAATGCAAACCTGCCAACGATATACTCCGCGACATCTCCTCTACCCCATAATCCACACAACGGAAAACAACGAAGCAATGGCGCCAACAATTCCTAACAAGAACGGCCCCGCGACAATTCCCACCGGCAACCCTTCGGTTGTGAACTGTGCAACGAGCCCAAGTGTGAAGTTCGTGGCTGCCTCCCTCAAAGCGATCTCGGTCCAATTGCCGCAGGCGTTGTTGAGAATTGTATCAGCTGTTAGTTTGGGCAGCTTGGCGATAGCAGCATCCATCATACGCGCATTGTAGATGGTGCCTGTGCTGGACTTCTGCATCAAGACAGTGCGATAGCTACTGTTGGCGCCGATAGTGGACATGTTGGCTGTACGCTCATAGTCGAGACAGAGTTCTGCTTGCGAGGGCTGGGCGGGGACTTGTCGGACCTGGAGCTGAGCGACGGCGGGCACGGCGCTGGGGACGGCGGCCGAGAGTTGAAAAAGCGAGAGCAAGAGGAGTATGTTTGCGAGCAGCGAGGAGACCATTTTGGCTGAGTTTGATCCGGGTACCAGATGTATTATTGGATGTGAGCAAGTGTACCAGCACTTGGTATTAGACTTAGTTAACTTTAGAAGTGAATGTGTATGCCCAAGGCAACAAGGATGAGAAAAAAGGCGAAAACGAGGAGTAGAAAATCAGGCCACACCTCAGGACTATATGAGGCTGCCACGAATTAGATCGTTCATGCTCATGCTACGGTGCGACGTGGACTGCTGGATGTAGTCGACTTGAACCTATACGTGTCTCAAGTCACATGGTGCATTAAGCGCCCTACTACTGCTCGCTGGGCATCGCCGCGCGACGATGTGGGGCCTCAAGAGACACCACCTCTTGAACTAATATTCAGCACCACCAATAGATATCTTGAAGTCCAATACTGGCTTCACAGTGGTCGCGCAAAAAGCGCGAAGTCCACGGGTGGCGTGCCGGTGGGGTGAGAGGCAAGGCGAGGAGGCGAGGACGTGGCCGCGCTTGTGATGCGGAAAGAACGTCAACCGCGCACAGACGTTTCAGCAGGGGGAGGGAAGCTGTGAACTGCTGCGGGATGGCAGGTGTCAAACTGTCAATACCTAGGTATACTACTACACTCGAGGAACAATTGTTAGAACCTTCTTTTAGAACTTTCCGAACACCTACGTTCCTGTCACTGCATGCGCAACCTCTAAGCGAACGAGTCATTTGGTCGAGCTTCTGATGGGAGGCATCTACTCGCGCAATCAAAGAGGAAAGTGAACGTAACCCTATCTCAATTTTGGTAGCTATCTAGACTACGCGTTTTGATGAAGCTTCTCGCTCGCTTACCGTCAAAGCTGGACTTTTCCGTGTATTCGCATCTTCCCCGAAGTCATTATAGTAAAGTTGTTCACCACTGGGCAGCTTCGTCAAGCCCTCCTGACTAGCCGTACTTTTGAGTGACGTAGGTCGGCCCATCTCGAAGTCTTGGACTCGGTCTTGGTGTACAACGTGTACTTCCTTTGTAACAAAGATGGCGCTCCAGTTTGCTATCACCGTCGGCCAGAAGATGGGCATCGATGCACAGATGATCGCAAAGTCGATTTCCAGACAGCTGATGATGAGCACTTCTGGATACCACCACGTAAAGTCGAAGCTCTTGATAGCATCTGCGCTGTGCTTGAACGTGCTCCATAACCGAAGGGCGGCCATTAACACAACCAGCGAACCCATTGCGAACAATCCAGTCATTGCGAGTATCTGTTTCTTCCTGAGCCCTGGCCTAAAATATTCGGTGAGGGGGATCAGGAAGATTACGACGTCGAAGAACATGTTGGTGCCTGCAAAGACGAACAGTGTGATCTTGACTTCTTCCAACGTCCGATAACCAAATCCATAACACTTGGAAGTGGCCGTGCGATTCCAGAACCCGGAGGGCGGTAGACAAGGAAACCAAGCCATGAAAGAAAAAGCCACACCCCAGGCCGCCACTGTGACCAATAAGCCCAGGACGATGTAGCGAAGGATGCCCTGGCGAAAGAGGCGGAGATACTGCAGTAACAGGGAGACCTTGATAAGAGCGGTGGTTGTGTGGTAGGCGGCGGTGGTGACGTAGAGGTATTTCATCATGGTCGGGAGTGACCCAATCATGTAGACGAGGTGTTGACCGAGACCATATTTGACACCTAGAGCGACGTTAGCGTGATCTGATGCACGATGCATAGGACAACTCACCCCCAAGGAACGCGATTACAGACACCAAGTTGACAATCGCCGCCAGAAAGACAAAGAAATCGTCCCACCAAGGCTCACGCACAACTCTCAAGCGTGTGTGAAGACGGAAGCCCACAGCTGCCCAACTGAGGATCTACAATTGTCAATTCACGTCCGGATTCCGTACACGTTCGGAGCAGCCTACATGGAAGGTGATGGTGACTCCATACATCGTCACAGGATAGTTTGATATCGGCCGTGCGCCATTGGGATCTGGGTACAGCCTCATCATCTCCGTGATGACGGCGCTGAGTTGGTCCATGGTGGCGGACTTCCTGCGAAGAGCCTGCTGTGAGTGTTGAGGGGGGCGGGACTCCGCGGAGTCTTCGATCACCAGAATGCGGATAGAAGCTGTTGAAGAACTTCTGGCGCGGTTTCCATGAAGTAGGTACAGAGCACAAAGACAGCGGCAGGTCGCTTAGCCGCGTGGCTTAGAGGCCGTTCAACCCTTAACATCATGTACCACATGGCTCATGTGGATACATCCACAGTCTAAGGCCTGCATGACTCGAGCGAATTTCGTAGAGTGACATGGGATACCCTCGATGTAATTTGTTAGGACTGCCTCACCATGTTAGGATCTACCGGTAGCGAGACGAGTCGGGAGGGCGTAATAGGTGTGAAGGTTCGGTCGTTTCCTCATTCGGGACATGAACCGTTCCGTGCACTACAGGCTACTCCAACACGAGAGGCGTGTGAAGCGGCGAGCTGATTCTGGGCCTGGTGCACAAAGGAGAGTCGGCAAAGGCTCAACGATCTGACAGGTCATTGGAGGATCAGGTCTTCTGGGCGTTCGAAGGAGTGAAGACACGGGCTGTATCTGACAAAGGATCAGCACCAGGAGGGGATCGCTCGCAGTAAATTCCATTGGTAGGTATAGGTGCACATCATAATAGCGCGGTCAAATCAGAAGCAGTTCACAAATCCGTCATAGGTACAAGCATGGTGGTGGCTGCCGTTCAATGTCAAACGCTTCGCTAGACCATGCAAAGCCTAAACGAACGACTCTTTTGGGAAGGTGCCCCTTGTTCTGGACTTTTGGTGAATGAACATTTGCGGCAACGCCGACATGATGGCCGGTTTAGGGCAGGAAAATCTCTCCGAAAAGCACGTGCAGGGCTGAACGGTTTTTTGTTGCGTTTACGCCGGTGTCTCAGAACCACGAGGCATGCAGTCACATGAAAGGTACATCCCGCGCGTACATGGGAAAGTAATGTCACTGGCATCTTGGTTCACGTCTTCCTTCGCTCCCGAGGCTTTCTGCATTACGATTTTTCACCGTGCGCGTCTCCACTTCTCAGCCGCGATGAACCTCACGAGTCACATCCCGCTGCGCGATCGCAGAAGACAAAGGCGAAGCAAGGGGCGCGTTACTGACAGTCTTAGAACCCCACGTTCTCTTTGCCGTCTGAAGCACTGATCACGCAGGCCATGTAGGCCCACCAAGAACGTAGTTGACGACTCAGTATCGCCGGAATTGCGCGCTTCACGTCCCACTATGGTGGGCTTCAGCTCCAGAGTGGACGGACAGCGGCCCCGCAACGGCCACAGTCTGTTCGAATAGTAAATTGCTAGGTATTCTACATGAAGATGGCGATGCTTGCAGATGAAGATGGGGCTGGAAGAAAGTTCCAGTCAGAATTGTAAATTGATCGCCCATGACGCGCATATGCGCGATTGAACCCAATTACTTGACAACATGGAAAAACTCACGATAGCTTCCATCCGCGGTAGGTATGTACGAGAACTCTGCTCCTGAAAACTTACCGAGGTGGCCATTGCCACAGACCCGATTCGGTATTACCCTCTTGCTATCCCTCCGGCATCGTTCGCATCGGCACGGTGCAAAACTGCAAAGTGCCTGCGCGTAGGCAACCATTCACCTCGGTTGACTTCTGACAGCGGCCATGTGCATTGGCCAAGCCCGCCTCGTCGAAGATAAGCACTCACTCTCGGCGCGGACGGGCTCCTTGAAGTGTGCGAACACCTCCGTTTTGACATCTCTCAGTACGACCAGAGCTTGGATTTCGCTACAGCACCAGTGGTCTGTAACCACGGGCCGATAGAGCACATCGTCGTTAAAGGATCTGGAACCAGGTTTTCTAAAAACCGAGCAAGCTCCATATGCGGAGCTTGGACTAAATCCTTTGCGCAGGGATCATGCTAGTCGTCGAAGGATGGTACCGCGGCAGGCACTTGGCCAGCCGCCACCGGAAGCATGTATTCGACGACCAGAACGTGAGACGCTTCACGTTGATCAGTCTCGGTCTTGTGGAGCAGATCAAGAGCGCATCAAACGCCACTTCAAGGTAGGTATCAGCTGGAGATATTCAGTGAGCGATGTAGTTCAAAGAATTCGTGCGAGGAGATAAGGTTTCTTTTGTGAAGGCCGTTGAGGCCCACACTATTCAGAGTATCTGCAATACCAAATGCGCCCAATCCTCTACCGTCCCATCTCCATCATGCCCTTTTTAGACCACTAACGCCTCAAAATGCAGCAGAACGTTCGCAACTACCAGCCCTGGACCCGAACTTGACCCCGTCTACTCCTTCATAGTCATGTCCTCAAAGTCGTCCAGCAATTGCTCCATGGGAATCGCCAGCCCCTGGTCATTCTCATCTTCATCCTCGGTCTCCATGGCGTCGGCCTCTCTCTGCTGCTGCTCCTGCTGCGCCTTGTACAGCGCCATGGTCGCCCGCAGCTCGGGATCCTCCTCGACATCCTGCAAGAACATCTCGAAGTCGCGCTCCATCTTCTCTTGATCCTGCTTGCGGGGCAGCATCTCGCCCTCCTCCTTGCCCATGCGCTTGACGCGCCAGTTGCGCTTGTTCTTGTTCTTCTTGGCGCGCTGGTAGAACTTCTTGACAAGCACAACGTCCGGGATCGCGGCGGCGTACTTGTTGTTCTGTTCGAGCACGTCGAAGAGGTCGCTGTTGAAGTTGGCGTTGGCGAGCAGGTAACCCATGACGCTGTCGCCCACGTGCAGGATTCCACCAAGATGGGTGCGGCAGTAGTAGGTCTGGTCGGTGCGTCCCATGTCTGAGGCTCGCGCAATGGTAGCTTCAGCCAGGAAGTGTCGCCCGGCGGACTTGCCTAGGGGCTCGATGTCGAGCACGATGAACTCGGTGAGTTCTTGCACATCTGCGAGCGGGCGGAAAGGGGTGCGCCAGTACAGCTTTGTGTCGACGTCGGCAGTCTGGAGGGTGGAGGGGTCGATGATCTGTACGGATGTACCAATGCGTGTGCAGAGGCCAAGGGGCGAGATGTTGCCAATCTTCTTTGCCAGAGGGATAGGGAGAACGACCAGGTCGTCCTTGCAAATTGGCACGAGTTCGACGGAGTATGAGAACTTGTAGTTCTTGGTCGACGTGTGGATGTCGTGGGAGATCAGCTCTTGCGAGTCCTTGATGTTGACTGGTACGGTCGCCTTCAAGAAGTCACAGAAGGAGATGGCGTGATTCCGCTGTGCGAAGAAGAAATCAATACCGTCGTGGACTTCTTTGATATTGATTGTGTCCTTGTGTGCGCCATGCTTCAAGATCAACTGCTCGAGGTACAAAAATGTCCTCTTGTGGGGAACTTTCTGTCGCACCTGCACGCAGGCTCTCCATGTGTTGTGTGTGTAACTCTTCGCGCAGTCGGGACACTGGTGGTAGTTTTGCTTGAACTCGACTTCGAAGGTCTGCTGCATGATGGCGCCCTCGTTGATCTCAGATTGGGCTGTAATCTTGACCTTGATTCTCCTGCTGTGGGGTTCTGTCCAGATGAAGCTGGCGTCGATGATCCTCAGCTTGTTCAGTCCTCGCAGTTTTCGCAGGCACAGAGCGAGCAGCTCGCGCGACTCGGGTGAGGCAACGACCCAGGAGGTAGGTGGTGAGAGCCATCGATCGCAGTCACGGCACATGAGCAGGATTGCTTCGCGCTGGACACCCGCTGTGACATCGGTCTTGAGCTTGATACAGTCGTAACAGAAAGCGCCAGAGATAGTGCCGTCGACGGGCGCACCGCAGTCCGCGCAGAGAATCGTCGCTGCGTTCTTCTGCTGAGGCGCAAAGGCCATGCCACCGTCAATCTCCATGGCTGCGGGTATCTTGGGAGCGAACGGGGAGGTGGATATATGTATTCTTAAGAAGAGTTTCCTCTGTGTATTCCTCGCCGGGAGGTTATCGGGCGTGTGAGGCGTGGAGTGCTTGTATAGCGTCCTGGGGCAAATGTCTGCTTTCAAATGCACCAAGCCCCACCAACTTTTTTCGAGCCGCTTCGGTGATGACTGTCGCCCCTCCACACCGATAAGATCTTATCGCCACGTGCTCAGGCGCATAGTCGGCGTTTGACACGCCGACCGAATTAAGAAGTCTCGTGCATTTGCCATCGTCGACAACTACGTCCATCAGTGTCAATATGTCTGTTCCGTCGCGATTTGTTTGCTGCGCCTGCAGAAGTATTGCGGGCAGGGTGTCGAAGCCTGCGTCAGTCTTCAATGGCTTGACAATCCGGACTGCCAGCAAGACTTCGAGAAGCGCCTTCAGTACCAGCACATTACGGAGGAAAGACAAGCAGGATCCCACCAACACCGACCCAGAATATGCATTTCTCGACGCCAAATACCCCGTAGAAACCGAAGTGGAAGCGCAAGAAACCATTGCTGCGACTGAAAATGTCATCGAGCCCGAGTCCGTCGCAGAAGACATCACCGAGTCCATAGCGGAAGCAAAACCCGCCACAGCAACACCAGCCGTCCCATGGTACCTAAAGCAGCAATCTGCACCGCGCGCGCCCGTCTTAGACGCTGAGATCCCCGACTTGCCCGTCAATCCACCGCCGATCCTCGCACAAATCCTCGAATACCTCGCCATTACAGCTGGTCTCGACGACCTGCGCCTGCTCGATCTGCGCGATCTCGACCCCCCGCCCGCCCTCGGGCCAAAGTTGATCATGCTGATCACCACTGCACGCTCCGAGCGCCACCTACATGTTGCCGCGGACCGCTTCGCACGCTGGCTGCGGCGCGAGCACGGGCTCAAGGCCAACGCGGCAGGGCTGCTGGGCCGCAACGAGCTGAAGATCAAGCTGCGGCGCAAGGCGAAGCGCATGCGCATGCTTGCCAATGTCGGCGGCGCGATGCCCGAGGGCAACATCGATGACGGGATTCGCACCGGCTGGATCTGCTGCACGCTGTCCAAGGTCGAGGCCCACCCCGAGGACACACATATGCCTGGCGACGATGTGAAGGAATTCATCGGTTTCAGGGATGTCAAGCCCGGTGTCAATATCGTCGTGCAGATGTTCACCGAGGAGAAGCGGGACGAGACTGACTTAGAGACGCTGTGGGGCGGCGTGCTAAGGACGAAGAAGAGGGAGGAGCGGTCGGCAGATGAGACACTCAGAGCGATTGAGCAAGATTTGGAGGATATGGAGACCGAGGATGCGGACGAGAAGGCTGCAAATTTGGAAGAGGCGGAGGAGAGTACACCAGCTCCGAAGTCTGCAACACCGGCTAAGCAGTTCCGCCAGCCTCAGCCGTCTCTTGGAGACGCATTCCCAGATGCTGATGATGTTCCTTCTACAAGGCAGTTACGGGGGCAGATGCGGGCACAGATGCGGGGACAAGTGCGCAGTCTGCATACAGTAGGTCTGGGGCGATGAGGTGACAGGACGAGTTGCATTTACTGTATAATATGCACGATACCCAAACTCATAGACGGAGATGTTGTACAATATGTAACATTAAAACGGGTCAGCATTGAAAAGATGATTCCGAAGTATTCAAAATTCCAATGCGCTCATTACTTCATTTAACAGTCTGCACATACACCGCATAGCCACATAATGTCCGTCCTGTGTTTACAACGCAAGCATACCAAGCAAGCTACCAGCCGCAACAGCTGTCCAGAGACCCATTATCAGTCCGCCATGCTCGACAGCTTTGGGCCCGTGCAAGCCCGCCGCCACACCCTTGGAAGTCGAGCTCGCCGCCGCACCCGAGGCGCCCGCAGTACCCCTTCCAGTCGGGCTAGCAGCAATGCCAGTGCCTGCTGTGCCGACAGCCGAGAGCAGGCTCGCGCACGTACTGGCTGTCGCAGCAGACTGGACAGTCGCCACGCCGCTGAAGGCACATGCAGAGCTGCTCCTGCCGTTTCCGAGGTAGTACTGATTGGCGACCCAGGCAAGCTGGTCTTTGGGGTCACAACCAGAGTAGCCGCCATAGGACCCGGTTGTTGCGTTGCGGGTAATGCCCGTGCAGAAGTCCTGGTTGGCGCCGCAGATGAAATTGAAGACGTCGGCATAGGACTCCTCGTCGGTAGACTTGACGTTGCATTGCAGCGAGGCGACCATGCAAGAGCAGAGCTGGCTGTTGGGGCTGGGAGGGAGAGGAGAGGCTTCAGCTTGCCACGAGGCATCGACGGTAGGGCAGGCAGGTGCGGAGTTGGCGGGAGTGTAGGCACTGCGCTGGGTGATTGTCGGGCTGATGGATGCGAGCTGAGACTGCAGGGAGGTGAAATCGGGGTAGGGAGACACAGAAGCATCGTTGTCTGTGAGCTCGACGAGACCATAGTTGTTGGCGCCCATAAACCACTCATAGACAATACCGCCGGAGAAGACGCTCGTCATGTTTCCGAACAAGACTTGCACCTCGGTGAAAGGACGGTGTGTCGCACCACCTTCCGACTCGAGACCCTCGATGCAGCCGTACTCAGCGAAGAAGACTGGGACCGGGTAGTCGGAGAAGAAATCGACACGCTCGCCGTACGAAGAGGTTGCATAGTTGCTGTCTCCGCACCAAGAGTAGACATTATAACCCCAGTAATCGATCTGAGTGGAATTGCCGGAATTGCCGGGCTCGCAGGCGAAGTAGTGTGCCAGTTCATCGCGGGTTGGTACATCGGCTGTCGCATAGCCGACACCGAGTGTCCTACGATAGTTTTGTGCAGCGATGTACCCCTTAACGTCGCGGACAGCTGCCTTGACAAATGCTGCAGCTGCCGTCTGATTGCCAGCGCTGACATTCTCGTTACCAGCAAAGAAGCCAACAACGTTCTTGTACTTGGAAAGCGCATCGACAACACCTGTGTAACGCTGATACAGAGTGACGTCCCACTCGGGATCGTTCGACCTGATCGATGTGCCGGGCTCGCCCAAGTCAGCTATAACGTAGATGTCCGCCGACGCCAGCTGCGCCATGCAATCATCGTGGTTCTTCGTCGGGTCAATAGCGTAAACGCGCAGGATGTTGGTGTAGATCTGCTTCAAGTAGGGGATGTCTCGCCTGCAAGCGTCACCGTCCGCCAATGGGTCAGTGTATGTGGTGTTGGCGCTGGTGGAGCCATTGGGCGAGTAGTTCTGCTGGTATGCAACACCTCGCATGTAGCTGAAGCTGTGTTAGCACTATTTCCAGGCATTTTTCCTGAGAGTTTGAGCGTACAATTGCGAGCCGTTGTTTGTGTAAAAGAAGTGTTGTCCGTAGACCTCAATGTCTGGGATGTCATCATAGCTCGCCGCCGAAACACTGCCGAACAGTGTAGCAGCGACGGCACCAATGCCTGCGAAACTGGTCGCAAGCTTCATTTTGCCACGATAACGAGCGAGAGCAAGCTGTCAAACGAGGGATAAAGCTTTATAGCTCGAGCTTAGTACTTGAAAAAGCTTGGCTGTGGAGTGGATGAAGCAAGGGAGAAAACCGGAAGTTCCGGGACTTTGTACGCGCGCGTGTTTTGTTGGCCGCGCGGAGGCTGCAGGTACTATCTGTCAATACGCTCATTGCGTGGCTCTGCTGACACCAAACCCGCCGGGGTGGCGTATGCGGTTGGTGTGTGTTTGCTACTGGATGACGATGGTTACGGAATAGGATGCGGGGCTAATCCGACCGGTTTGTCCATAGCGTTTCCGGCCTTGCCGTTTTGGGGACACCATGTTTATTTTGGTCAAGAGGTTGACGACTGCTGTCAATTTTTGCGGCTCTTTGTTTACTGCGACACGTGAGGGTCATGTCAAGACAAGGGCAACAGCCTTACATACAGTTCTGATACTTTGCAGATGGTTTTCTTGGTCCTTCACTACACAGTTGTAATGCTACCTCGTCTGCCGGTCTGCATAGTCTTCCCAATTGGGACATTCTAGTGAGGGCACGGGAGGTTGGGTGCGAAACAGCGAGGCGCAGCAAATACAATGAAATTGCTCTACAAACAGAGACCAACCGGTTTTAACAAGCATATCGCACACTGCAAGATTGCAATCTCACGATCCCCTAGAGCCCTCCCCTGCCCTCGTCATTGTCTTAGCGATCCCACTACTGGCGGTCCTCAATCTACTCAAGTGCTTCCGCACTCCGCTTCGGAAAGCCTGCGTTCTCCCAATGCGCAAATGCTCTCTTGGTGTCTCTGTAAACAAGTCCAAGCTTTGCGCGCGGCGAAGTCGCTGTGGCTCTTCGAATGAAGCAGTAGATCCAGGCTGCCATTGATCTTGGTGGATCTCAAGCTCTGGGCAGCTGGATGGTCGCGGACTACTCGCGAGGTAACTGGTGCGACGAACAGTGCTAGCTGTCGAGGGCGGGGACGTCGACTCATCAAGGTCAAGGTGTGATACACAACTTGCAAAGATGTCAGAGCCTGGTGTCTTATGGGGTCTCGAACGATGAACTGACTGGTGCTTTGTGTCGGATACTTCACAGCGATGAGCGCAGTGTGTTTTCGCCGAACCATTGGTCATCACCACGTCGCCTTCGTCTGACATCGGTGTACCACTGTTGTGAAGGTCATGATGCTCGCTGTGAGTCCTGAGGACATCCATACAAATCAGATTGACCTTCCAACAAGTCAGCCTTGCGTCCAGTATTTATACCTATGACTTACCAGTTCGTCTTGTGTTGGCGATCGGTGCCCGCTGGATGTAGCTACGTCTATGTCCGGAATCATCATCTCATCAAGGATGACGGCGCCGATGACCCTGATGTACGTATCAATGTCGGAACACAGTACATCTCCAGACGATGCTTTCAGTCCCGGTAGAATACATGTCTGTGCTTGGGCAACAGGCGACTCAGGATTCGTTTCTACCCTGGCATCATTGATGATCTGTGCTACAGAGTCGCGAAGCTCCATGTCCAGGTTCTCGACACCATGTACAAGCGCGTCGATGTCAATGCTTGGCATGCTGTTATACTGATTGCCCTCCGACGCTTGGATTGGGTCTTGCGATACAGCATTTATAAGATCTGGAGATGGGGACCCCATATTTTTGTTAACGAATGCTGTACAAGAGGATGCAGGCAAAATGTAAACAATGGTCCTGATGTAGATCTATGTAGGAAGGATGCTTCTTTCAGTTCAAAGTATACTTCAGGAGCTTAGGTACAAAAACTGGTTGCGGCGAGGAAATGTCTCTCGCATACCATGGTAAACTGATCCCTTGAACCAGCCATTGCAGTTCACGCGATGGGGAAAAACTGTGCACGCCGGCAAAACAGCGGAGTGGAATACACATGGATGTTTGTGATTCCCAGATCAAAAGAAAAGAAATAGTCGTTAATCGTTGTTGCAGGCGCCGTTGCTCGAGTGATAGGCGTGGTACCCAATGAATACGCTTATTCGCTCAGCTCGACATCCTCCACATCCGAGCCTACTTCAACAACCTCAACGCTGACCACCGAGTCGTGCTTCGTGTGTCTCCCAAATCCTTGAAATGGCTTGAGCGACTTCGATAACCCTATGCATGCGATGGACATCGACCTTTTGGCGCGCTCTCGGCGAGCCACCTCTTCTGTGTAGTACTTCTCCAGTTGCTCGGCTCTCTTATCGACCTCGTATCTTGCCTCCTCGCGCTTGCGGGCGGCTTTGCAGTAGGAGTCTGAGAATGGCCGCGCCTCGCAATGCCAGCCCCACGAGAGACAGTCCATGTACACGCTTGGGTTGTTGGTAATGAAAGGACGGGGCATTTCCGGTACGTTGATGATGTACGGCATATTCTCGGAGAATTCAGTGGTGTTACTGGGGTGGGATAGTTGCTTGTATTTTGGTGGGAGGCGGAGCGTTTATGGGAGGTAGAGATTGGAAGGTAGAGCTCTTGGGTAGTTGAATAGAAAGGCAGAGTGCAAAACAGACCGACAGAGCTCAAACAAGGTGGGGGGCTTTGCGCAGAAACCCTTAAGTTGTGTAGGAACCTAGGTTCGAGTAGCAAGCGTGCCAAATTGTGGGTATACGGTGTACTAGCGTACTGATGAGGCTCAACAAGCATGCAGAGTCTCTGATAAGGTCGCGCGTGCCTGGTTCTTAAGTATTTTCCGAGGAATCAGGAATGTCACGTCGCATAATCCCGTGGGGACCCATTGTGCAACGCGATACGTGAAGAAATACTTGGCATACCGGGGAATGGCCTCAATCCCCAGCTTGTTTGAATTCGAAACAAAAACTGCTGCCAAAGTCTTTGCTGTCAGTTGGCCTCCGGTGTAGCCCCACTCATTGGATTCGACGTGAGGATCTTCAAACACGTGCGGTACCCAGGCTCAGCCAATGGATCCGTACTCCTTGGTTGTTGCGTTCTGCAGCTTCACTTCATTCTCCAGGTCCATCCTATCAACGAGCGTAGGTTTCCGAATTTGTGATAATCTTTGCAAGCATCAAATGAAGGCAGAGATGGACGCTGGCTCGCGGGAGGACGTGGGGATACCTAAAGCTTGGCAATGACTCCATAACGAGACCCCTCCAAAACTTTTGGACGGTGCGACAATATACACATTTGCATACGACAACCCGCCAAAATGAGTTCACAGTCTGATTTCGACATCGTGTCGTCATACCGTCGCATACTCAATGAAGATCCAGAGCTTACTATGCCCGTCGCGGCTATCGAAGCCCTCGTTGAAGCTATTGCGCAGAGTTCAGTGTCGACCGTTGCCGAAACACTTGAGCTTCTCGAACGTCATACTGCCGCCTTGAAGGCCTCGATCGCAAATCCCATATCCCTCTCAGCCGGCACCGATCTATTCCAACGATACCTCATCACCACCCTTAATCGCCCAGCAAGCCTGAATCTCGGCCCCGACGACGATTTCCGCGCAATACGCAACCACCTCTTGTCGAACGGCAAGCTTTTCGTAGACCGAGCAAAACAGAGCAGAGAAAAGATTGCAAGCTTCGGCAAGCATTTCATTCGGGATGGAGCCACCGTGCTTACAAACGGAGGATCGCGTGTGGTGGGCGCATTGCTGAGAAGGGCCGCCGAGTCCAGCACAATCCGTTTCAGGGTGGTCTACGTAGTCCCATCGTCGCGCTCTTCTGATGCCAATGAGGGTGATCAGACCGTGTCCGACCTTCGCGCGCACAACGTCCCAGTCGCTACCATTACTGATTCGGCAGTCGCATACTCATTGGGCAAAGTGGACATGGTCATTGTTGGTGCAGAAGGTGTGGTGGAGAACGGTGGTATCATCTCACGCATGGGGACATATCAGATGGGTCTGTTGGCCAAGAGCAAGGGCAAGCCATTCTACGTGGTTGCTGAGAGCCACAAGTTCGTCAGGTTATACCCGCTCAGCCAGTTCGACCTGCCGATCGAGCAGAAGGTGCTCGACTTCAAGGTCACGGACGAGCCAAAGACAAGCAAGTCAGATGGCAAGTCAGATGGCAAGCCCGCAGTCGACAAAGGCGTTGCCGACCTGTCCTTGAAGCACACCGCGACAGGCTTGAGGGCACAAGATGCTGTCGATTTCACCGTACGTGCATCCATGACCTGCTCCTGTTTCAAGCTAACTTTGAGCCTAGCCTCCTGATCTGATTTCTGGGATCATTACAGAATCGGGCGTGCTCACACCATCGGCAGTATCCGAGGAGCTGATCAAGATCTGGTTTTGAGCCCTTCCTAAGCACAGATTCCCTGACCTGCATTGATTGCCTATTCCTCCAATTCATCAAGCTCGCTATGCCTCGCGATGAATACTCACACAGGGACAGGCCACTGAACAATGCATTCCCGCGACCGAGTACTCGGTGCCCTCACAGCAAACGCCACAGCAGCACTGAAGAAAAGAGCCATGTGTGGGACGGCGATGCACTGGACCAGCCATAGAGGTCGGTCATTCGCATGCTCCCAGCAACAGAGTGATGAGGAGGCTAGTGGAAGGTTCACACGCTATCAATGTGCGTCGAGTGATACCCAAGAATACTTCAATGAGAACACGAGAAGACGAACATTCACAAACAATCCAAACCGCTGATTTTCAATGTACCTTAACATTCCTATTCCCACAGACACTGTCCTCAATATCAGATCCCAGTCGTCATCGTAATGGAGTATGCTGAACAAGTCTACCCTCGACCTCCCAGGAAGAAGCTCGTCCCGAGAACAGAAGTGTACAGAGGCCCCCTCAACGAGCGCGCACCATGGATCACCGGCACCACCACCCCTCTGTCTGATGACGAGCGCGGCCTCGACATGGCAGGTTTCCTAAAGCACAGTCGCTTCGACCACGACGCTGCAGCATGCTCCTTCTGCACCTCCAATCGGCTTAGTCGCGTTCTTGCTTCACCTGTTGCTTCGCCCGTCCCTGTCCCAAAATCACACTCTTTCTGCCAGCAGACTGTCGTGTACATTTCGAAAGCGTGGTCACGGCAGAGAGCGGTGTTGGCCAAGGCGGCAGGCGCGCGTCGTGTTTGTGGCACTGTAGCGGCTCACTTCTCGCAGAAAAGACAGAGAAGGATCGTTGCAGAGCTTCCGCCTGTTTTGCCGCCGTTGCGTGCATTTCCTCCGCTATTCAGGAAAGGGGAATTGTGGGTGTGAAGGAGGGCCGGGGCGTGGTGCTGTATGTTAGGGCGATGTTCTCTGGATCAACACGATATGTGGACTGTGATTATCTGGTCAGATTCTGACAGAGAAACACAAAAACGTCTGAGGATCAGAGTCTACAAACGAGTGAGATTAACATGAGCAATCAATCCGCTATCTCATTATTAATTGTTTCCACGAGTACCCTGGCTGGTGAGACCTCCTAAATGCGTCTTTGAAGATTTTTCCAAGTCCTCTTCTCTCCGAAATGCTGTCTTTGTCCGTAACGATAAGCAGAACATAATACAATTCCCATACAGGATCCCAACAAGTCCAACTGTCGTGCTCCTCAGTGGAGAAGCCCCGCGCTTCTGATATCGCGATGAACTCATGTATCTTTTCTGTATCTTCGACTATTGAGGTGCGCGGTTTCCGAATCTCGTTGAACTCATCAAGATGTTGCTCTTCTGGCGTATCGCCGTGATTGGCCCATAATTGATCAAGCATCACTTTTCCGCACCAATTCCCTTCAGCGTCGAAGATACTATACCAATGCAAAATTTCTCCTAGGTCGGAATTCGAAGATCTGACTGGGTCCACTCGGAAGAAAGCCGAATGGGTACAGAACTGAAGAATATCATATTCAGTTCCGCTTTTAAAAGGCTCCGTTGATTCATCTGATCTTCCGCTACGGTCAGAGAAGCAATCCAGTTCCTTTCCGTCTTTGTGTCCGCAATTTTGTGTTCGGCCGTAAGGACTGAAATCAGTAGGTTCTGTGTAGCCTTCCCATCGGCCTGCGGGTCCTGAATGTGTGCCGTCCCAGACAAGTGATGGGGACTCGGAAGGTTTGACCATGTACCAATCGATCCATGTACGAGAGGTAAGCCACTCATGCATATTGACGAGTACTCCCTCCAGCGTCGAGTAAGAGTATTCCGATCCATCGGTCCAGCCAGCCCACGCCCAGGACGCAAATGAAGGAATTCTTGCAGGTGACGCTCTTGGCTGCTGCTTGCTTGGCGTCCACAACAGCGCGAAATCAAAATGGGATGCTGGCAACCCAGCACAGAACGTATTATTCAAACTCTTGCTCAAACGTGCCGCAATCGCGGAGAAGGCGGCCAGTCTATCAGTTGAATACGTCAACTCCCGTTGTGTGTATAGTTGAACAAATTTCAAGTATTGCCGTATAGGGTGCTCCAAGAAAATTCGGTCCATCGCATCCTTTACCTCCAGAGACCACATGGGTGAGTCGTTGGAAGAGATGTCGTCTTCCATGTGTATGTCTTCGCACATTACTGATTGTCGACACTGGAAGAATGCACGCTCGTCGACGAAGATGAGACACCTTCTGGAGAAGACGCGCTCCTGGAAAGTCCATGCCCGGGTATTCCAACGGCTTTGTTCGACGAAGAATTCTGCAGGGCGAGTGACCATCAGGTGCACCTCTTCATTGTAGCGTATAATTGCCTGGCGAAGCTTTCGACTCCCGTTGGTAACACCATGCAAGCCGGACTTTGCATCCTCACCTGCAGCGCATATCGTTAGTGTCGCAAGATTGTACACTGCGTCCATGTTGTATACAATTCTGGCGAAATCGCTGGAATCATCCTGGACAATGCAGAGACTGTCGACCCATAGATATCTGTATCCTAGCAGATTGGTTAGATGCATCGCGTCCTTTATGGTGCGAGGGATGTCTATTGAAGTAGATGATAGCCCTCCTGGCTGCATCAAGGTTTCGATGTTGTCCTTCAACGCTCTATAGAAGGGATCCTTGCCCCAAACATAGCTCAGCGCGACAAATGGTTCGGCTTTCGCGGATACAATACAACTTCTCTTGACATCGATCATTCTGAAGGAAGGGTTTGAATACAAAGGCTCTGCAGCGGAGATGCCTGTTGCTTCACGACAGCCTTCGTGACCATCTCTGCAAGTGGTAAGCCAGCGACCGAGTGTGGGAATGTCGATTGTCGAAGAATCGATCGTTCTTCCGAGAAATTGTTTGCTTGAGGCTTCGGATGCCATCAAAATTAGGTACGCATCTGGCAGTACATCATTGTTGGCAGAAACGCGTAAGCGTCGAGTCGAAGGTGAAGCAGAAACAGAATCATGAAGACTGCGACCGTCCTTGACCCACTCAAGGCTGAGCTCCACCAAATCTTGACACGGCTCCGACCATTCCAGTGGCTTGACGTTGCTGTTGATGATGGCTGTCAAGAGAAATTTGCAGAAGAAACAGCCCTGTCTTCGAATGATGTGGGCCGGGGGGAAGATGACCTTTTGGAAACTTGCTTGGCGATGCACCGAGGTTGTGTTGCGAGAGCCCTTGAAATCCTGAGCATGGAGATTGAGGCTCGCACAGAATTGGCAGAGACCGTCAACGTTATGATGTATGGAGTCCAGCGGCGTGATTGTGGGTAGATGTGAGCGCCGCTCTCGTCTTAGTAAAGATCGCAACGAGAACCTTCCTGGCATGATTGTTGATGATGTGTTTCCAACAGTGAGATATACGACGACGACCTTTCTGACTTTATGGCTAATAGTGGAGGGAATCGTGTTACTTGAGATCAATCGCTACTCATGTGTAGAGCCATGTAGTCCTTTCAGTGACATTTGAAGGCCAGCATTAACCGCCATGTTTTGGCGCCGGCGGCTGCGTCGCCATGCCGTAGAAGTGCATAAGCCCATCATGCATAGTTTCAGCGCACAGTGTACTCCATTGATCACAACTGACGGCCGATCAATCGTTCGATCAAGCTTAGTGGGAGCCGAGGCCCGACGCAAATAGCTCTTGTTCTTGAGTGTTGAGGTGTACTGCGTCCGAACAGCCACTTGACAAAACAAGACTCTTTCATGTCGGAAAGAGTATGTGTGCTTGAATGAAGTTGTTCGGTCATAGATCTGTTAGCCGCGACAAGAACTAGTTGAATCGTACAAAAATGCCAAGTAGTTGGTCAGATGTGCCTCGGTGCAGTGCGGTCGCGGTTCTGAGTTGCGAAGGGAGGACTGATGCGGGACGCACAGCCAATGAGACGCCGGGCCAGCAATGACGTTGGCGCCAGCTTGGCTTCCACCACAGCTCCCACGCAAACCAACAGCTGTCACACATCACCCATCCATCTCCAGACAGTCCGTCTTCCCGTACGAAACCCGTATATCGATCGCCAAAGTGCGGTATCCACATCTCTCCAGCTCCAACATGGACTTCTCCGACATTTTGTACGTACTTGCGACCTGGAAGCTCCAACAAGCTTGAGCTGCACCAGGCAGCAGCATCCCGCCCTGCCATTGCCGTTGAGACCACGTTAACTAACGAACTGCAGTCGCATGGTGAACTTCGCCGTCGCCGCCTTCATCGTTCTTGGTGGTGTCGCGAAATTGTTCCCCTTCAACGATTTGTGAGTGTACACCTGTTCAGAATGTTTCATCCCATCGACTGCACCAACGCCGACCACCCGCCTGGATCGCTTCGCCGCACATCGTCGTATCGTTTTCGAATTATACTACACAATCGCGGTCCCCAGCAAGACCATGAGGGTGGTTGGTGACCTGGCGCAGAGTGTTGCGCAAGGGCACGGCGCAAAATCGCAATAAACAGCGTTCTTGGGCTTGCGCGTCAACTAGAAGCATCAGTTTTGTTGGATGACCCGCCTCGGCGCAAATTGCACTTCGCAAATGTGACAACGATAGCAAGTGGAAGGACAACGCTGACTAGCGGCTAGCTCGCACATTATCCTTGGTGTTTACCTGATCATCTTCGGCGCTGGTAAGAGCACCCATGAATTTTCAGACAGGACGTGAAAGCTGACGTTTGAACAGGCACTGCTCTGCTTGAGTTCCAGATCCCCCAGCAAGTGGCTCGCTATGCGTCGTTCATGTTCTCCTTCCTCGGCCGTGGTATCTGTAAGCAGCTGACTATCTCAAATTCGCATCTCCTGTTGACCACGTGCAGTCTACGTGTTCATCGGGTGTGTTACTGTCGGTAATGGCTGGTACCGCATTATTCCAGGCACCATCGTTGGCATCATCGGTATCGCCTACGCTGTCTTGGAGTACATCCCCTCGATCGAGCCCCCGGCGAACATGCGGTACGTTTGACGAGATCAGTGTGACGGCTTATGCTAATACTATAACAGCGATGCTGACGCTGGCTGGGGCGCGGAGCAAGTCTAAACTCCTAACTCCGTGCTCAGAAGACGGCGGTTGACGACTCCGTTGGCGTATTTTCAATTTCTAAATTCGCGCCTCGGCGATCGTCCGCTGTGTTCCTGTTGTTCTAATTACGCGATGCATGGGGCGGCCGGTCTGGCCAGGCGAACTGCAGTCGACGTCGGCCAGATGCTGCCGGCATAGTTTGGTGTGGTGGAAGATACCCATTCCCGGGATCAAGAATCTGTGGACAGCTGTCCTGGGAGACTCTTGTGAATCGTAGAGTCTATAACCTGAAGTTTTTGTATACCTTCAATGAATGCTATTCGTTCAATGCGTTCACATAATCCACACGTGCTCGCTTGTCTTAGTGTCCGCGCTCGCATAAACCGGGTCCAGGCAGCGGCTTTGGTTAGCGTATTGGCCTCGGACGCTGCTCGATCGGAGTTCGCGTCCTTCGAATCGTGTCGAAGCATGCTCGAGTCGCTGGAAGATCTGACGCAATATGGTACACGGACATTGGTGACATCGTCTGAGGCGCTCGTACGGTCCGTCGAATCCTGATGTAGATGCCTGCAGAGTGGAGACAAATCTTCATCTCAGTGCCCAGCTAGGTATACAGCTTACAATGGGGCCTGCATTTCGACCGGGTCTCGTGGCGACCGGCTTCAGATCCGCTGGCAGGTGGCTGACATGCAGGCGCATCTTGCAGGGCCACGAATTTCCCCGCCCAGCTGCCACGGCCGAGCTGTGCAGGCAGTGGCGATACCATGTTTTCACTGTCGGCATGCAGGCAGGCTCTGGCAGAAACGAGTTTCGGCGTAGTAACGGACTCTCTTTCGATGTTGGGTCGTTCGTCTGTTAGTTTCTCATCCCAGGGTCGCAGCACGCTAAGCTCCGCTTACTTTCGCCGGAGTGCGATTGGCTGTAGCATGTAAGGCGGTGAATCAGTCTGGACATGCATAACAAACTCGCGGCAGCAGGGTTCCCCAATGACTATCGCGGGCGACTTATGACGAGGAATAATACCGAGCCCCATGACAACCTCCCTTGCTGAGCACACGTCCCCATAAAGCAATACTCCGTCCTTACAGCGTGCCACACACACCCAACACCGCGAACCATACCCTAGGGTCGCCCGCATATCACCCAAGGTCACGCTTGCGCCATTCCACCCGATTCCTGGACTTTTGTTTTATCAGATCGACCAAGACAGTTGGTGTTCGCCGCGCCGCGACAGCTCCCCTCAGCCTCAAACCCCCCCTCCTGTCACAGGCAACACTGCGTTATCGCGTACGACCGTGCACAGTCCCTGAGCCAGGTTTCTGGTGGCAAGGCCACTGCCACAATGGCGCATCCTTCAGGCACCGGAGGCACGGCACTTGCTCCAACCCCTACCCATCCACATCACTTGTCGCGGGAATCCAGCAAAGAAGAACTAGACATGGCCGAGAGTCTTCGGCGACTGAATCAGGCTCAAGATGCTCACATGTCAAACACGCATTCACCCTCAAGAGAGCAACCACAGCCAGGCACACCGCAGGACGACCAAAAGTCAGAGATCTACCACTCACTCGAGGATGCTGTGCCTATCGCGGGGGCGTCGGCTTCACCGGCACCTACCACCTCGTTATCTTTTCTACCACGGGATGCCGGCGGTAGTAGCGCGCCCATAATTGGGCAGGTTTGCAGGTACGTCTATGGCTTGCTTGGGATTGTGTGTCGGTCGATGCCCAGCTTCGGCGCCCACTGTGTGGAGAGATGCTAACAGAACACAGTAACTGTAGGACTACCCAGACACCATTATGGCGTCGTTCCCCAACAGGCGAGACCGTCTGCAATGCCTGTGGACTCTACATCAAAGCAAGAAACCAGCAACGCCCTGTCAACCTCAAGCGCAACACTCCTTCGCAATCAGCCGTGCCGGTGCAACAAAGTCCAACACCTAGCGCTACCGCCAACCGAGATATTTCTCCAGGAAACCTTGCTGCGTCGCCCCGAGTCGCAACCTATGTTGCTGCAGACCAGATGGCGGCAGGGACCTGTCCAGGAGGAGGCAGGTGCAACGGCACGGGAGGTCAGCAAGGCTGCAGTGGCTGCCCAGCTTTCAACAACCGCGTATCCAAGACGGCCAAATTCGCGTTGCAACAGGCGAATGCTACTCCAGGTCCAGGCGATGCCGCGAGCGAGAACACACCTGGCCCTTGCTCAGGTCCGGCATCCACGAGTGCAATCCCAGCATGTCAGAACTGTGGCACCACCATCACACCACTCTGGAGAAGGGACGACGCCGGTCACATCATCTGCAATGCGTGCGGTATGTGGTTTCTGGCAGTTGTTGCAGCGTGAACGCTCACTGACAACGCATAGGACTGTACTTCAAGCTCCACGGCACCCACCGACCTGTTGCCATGAAGAAGCAAGAGATAAAGCGCCGCAAGCGCGTGGTTCCTGCTGGTGACACCGCTTCGCAAGCTGCGCCGTCTGTCTCAGGCTACTCTCCACCTCCACGCACGTCGCAGACACCCACCGGATCAGCGTCTCCCGACCCCATCGAATCGCGCGAGCAATATACTCCCGAACCCAGGGGGCCTTTGGCGGTCGACTTTACCCACTACCGTAACAACAACAAGCTCAGCGTCACATCCAACCCAACGACACATCCCGGCGCACCTTCGCCACGAAAACGCAGTCTCAGCGCTACCATGGACCCTGAGGAGCTTCCTGCGAAAGCCACGACCCCCGCACCGCACCGACCGAACGCGATATCGTCCATTCTGAACCACCCGCGCTCCGAAGAGCACAACATCGATCCATCTTTATCCGTACCTTTGCGGCAGTCAGGGGCTTCATCGCCCAACCCGACCGCGACCCAGGAAGACAAAGTAGCGAGAAGAGAACGGCTGATCCGCGAACAGGAGGCCGTGAGGAAACACTCAGCAAGAATAGAAGCCGAGCTAGCCGAACTGGGGCATGATTGAAAATTACCAGGCGTTCAGGCCAGCGAAACCCAGTGGGTTGGCCTTTTAATATTTGGGGCAAAATGACGAATCACGAAAAGCGAATTCTAGACGGGCTGGGACGGTGTTTTGCTTGAGCGTGTCTGTACGCTGTCGCGGCGCGAAGGAATACCCTTTCGCTTTTCACAGCGACCGGCCGACACTTATCCCTTCCCGGGGAGGCGTTTGGACCGGGATGGAATTGCTAGCCAGGGCGGTTGGAGAGTTCTCAGTGCAGACTCGCAACGTCAGCCTCATACTTTGACTGTGGTCAGGGTTATTTGATGGCAATCATACTAGTTGAGCCTTCACCTTGCTTCTTGTGGTGACTTCTTCCGCCTCTTAGAACGAAGTGCGGATAGTCGGCTTCCGGTGATGACTGCGCTGGTGCTGTTGTGTACTTGAGCTCACAGATATGCCACCAAATGTACAGACTAACCAAGTCCAGGAGTGCGAGAGTGCGTTGCGGAATACCGGACCGCCCATATGCTCATCCAAGTGAACATCGACTAATACTAGGAGCAGATATCGTTATCTTTGCTTTGCCTTCGTTCGGCATTGCAAGGTGTCTGATAGTCTCCATGATGGTAGACCAGACGAGAACAGCAGTACGCAGATCTGGCACTGCAGCGACAGTCTAGAAGTCAGCACGCAAGCGGGCCAGCGAGCTTCTAGATACCTGTCTGCCAACTTGTATGTCTTGCACTACACATAGACAACACAACAACCACATGCAAACCCACCCCACCCCACCGAGCCACGAAGATCCACACAGCGCCGCCGAGTCTCCGCACGCATACCCCAAGGCCCGCGACGCCCGGCGTCGAGTCCAGCGACCCTGATACCCAACAAGTACCCGCCCGCGGTGCCCACCATCGCCGCACCCCCCCCCCCCCCCCCCCCGGCCGGGCAGTCCTGCACCACGCCAATCCTCATTTCCAACCGCCGATTACTCAGCCAAGCGACCCAGTAAGCCGCTCCGAAGTGCAATATTCATCTACACGTCTGGGCGCCGCTGATCGCTCGCACACGCAGCGCTGAGCACGTTTCCAGCGGCGTGGCTCGGTGCTTTGACGTACTCGCTTGGCGATGGGGCGGAGGGGAGCGGCGCGGGTAGGTACGGGTTCATCGCGTGCGGTGCTTCGGGTGGGCTTTTTGGATACTGCGGGCTGGTCTGCTCACGGGTTTGATGTGGTTGCTGTTGTGTGCGGTTGTTGGGCTGGAGGGGTTGGGTCTGGAGGACGGCTTGTTGGCTGCCCGGGCAGTGGGGATGCGAGGGGATCCCACTGATCTAGTCTCGCGGTACTACGGTTGCGGCGCCTGTGCGGCGGGTGTTCGTCATGGGGTTGACTGCGTTGCCACGGATGTGTCTCACGGAATATATCGTCGGGCGCGACTCTCCCGTCCTGCCGTAACCGCTCAATAGCACACGCACACACACACACACACACGCACATATGCTCTCTCACATGAACAATCCAATCAATTACTCTCCCTCATGCAAACCAACCCCTAATTCGCCGCATTCCTAATCTTCGCCATCTCCACGGCCCCCTCCCAACTCATCCGCGCAATAAACACACTCTCCACCAGACTCACAACGCCCAGCGCCACCGCCGGCCCCGCCCACAGCCCAAACAACCCCCAGTGCGCGCCAAACCCGGTGCCGAAACTAATCGGCATCCCGATCAGGTAGTACGCGACCAGCCCCACGTAGCCGCCGATCTCCTGGCGCCCCAGGCCGCGCAGGATGCCGTTGCAGTTCGCGGCCAGCGCGTCGAAGACCTGGAACGTGGCGCACAGCGGCAGCAGGCGGGCGACGAGCGCAATGACCTCCTCGTCCGGGGTGAAGAGGCGCGGGATCCAGTTGCGCAGCAGCGAGAGCAGGAGCAGGTTGCCGAAGCCGACGATGATGGAGGCGGCGATGGCGACTTTGGCGGCGGTTTTGGCGGGCACGGCGAGCGTCGCGCCGATCAGGTTCGCGATGCGCGTCGATGCTGCGACGCTCATCGGGAACGGGATCTGGAACGTCAGCCCCGTGATGGAGCCCAGCACGGACTGGGCGGCGAGTTCGTTTGCGCCGAGCCACGAGGACGAGAGGGTCAGGACTTCGAAGGCGAGGAATTCGGCGAGCACCATTGAGAGGCCTGGCAGTGCGAGTTTGATCATGGGGGTCCAGTTGCGCAGGGCGCGGCGGTCGAAGCCGCCCCAGCACTGGTAGCCGTCGATGAAGCGCACGTACAGGAACAGCATCAGCGGCATGATGTTCTCGGTGATGGCGACGGCGATGGGCGCGCCGACGTAGCCCCAGCGCAGGTGCCAGACGAACAGCCAGTTGAGGAAGGCGTTGAGCGGCGCGCACACGAGCAGGATGTACATGTTGACGCTGAAGAGGCCCTGGGCCTGGACGAAGCGCTTGCCGGACTCGAAGGCGGCGTAGCCCGGCGCGCCGAAGATGAGGACGCGCAGGTAGAGGCCGGCGAGGCGCGCGGTCTCCTGGTCGGGTACGATGAGCGAGATGATCTGCGTGCCGAACGCCCAGATGATGGAGATGGGGATCGTGATGAGCAGGAGGAAGGCGAGCATGCGCTGCAGCTGCAGGCCGACGAGGTGCGGGCGGCCGGAGCCGTAGGCCTGGGCGCACAGCGTATCGAGGGAGGTCGCGAGGCCCTGGTAGACGGCATAGCCAGTGATGGAGGCGGTCATGGACGCGAGCGACACAGCGCCGAGCTCTGTCTTGCCGATGTGGCCGACGGTGAAGATGCTGGCCACGGGCAGGCTGTACTGCAGCAGGAATGTGAGGATCATCGGGGCCGAGCTCTTCATCAAGACCTTGGTCTCGCGCTTCCAGCTCGTGTTGATCTTCCCCGCGGCCACCGCCTCGTTCCACTTCTTGTTGATCGTTTTGCGCGTGTCGAACGGCGTCTCCCCATCCCCAGCATCCCCCAGCAGCGCATCGTGCTCCGCCGCGTCCCGCCCAGTCTCTTCGTCCGGCGTGCTGCGGGCCCGCTTCAGAATCGAAAACGACGTCTTGGGCCCAATCCTGGTCGCAGGCCCCACGCTGCCCGACCGCGTCTGCTTCGGCAGCAGATTGTTATCGCGGAGCAAACTCCGCTCGTCCTCCCTGACAGCCTCGCGCTCCTTTTTCGACAGGTAATTGTGCTTCTTCGCCGACGTGGACAGAAACGAATGGCCCTGCGGCGCACTGGTCGACACAATCGCCAGGCCGCGTTGGCCGGGGTTGACGTACGACGGGCGGCGGTACGAGTTGATCATGGAGTACTGGCGGATAGTAGACGAGCCCGACGACGACCCATCGTCGGCATCCGTATCGTCTGGGTCAGTCTCGGAGTCGTCGTCCTCTAGGTCTCTTGCGATAGCTTCCTCGGCGATGTCCGTAGCTTGGGCAAAGCCCTCCATCTGCGCGGCAACATCGTTGGCGAACTCGTTGACGCCGGTGGGGTTTGCGTCTGGAGAAGGTGGAGCCATTGTCTCTGCGACGCAGCTCCTCGTGAAGCGTGCCGGAGTCGCGAAGCGCAATGGCCCGGCGAAGTTTCGAGGCGCACAGGTCTTTATGGATTTGGGTGGAGACTAGACTGATGTCAAGCATATCAAGACCCTGCTTAAAGACCCGCAACTGGCCGAGAGCGGTAGCTCCATGCGGATCTAGCTTGGCGTGGCGCAGGTCGCCCTCGCGCCCTTCTGGTTATCGACGATAGGCCAATTGGCTGCATCACGGTGTTCGACGTGCTGCGAGTATGACTGGACTGAGGTTGCAGATGCGATCAGCGTAGTGAGCGCGACCATGAGTCAGCATGAGTCGGAGCGGTGGCATCGCAGCTGCTTGGATCGGCGGAGTCAGCTTGTGGTCAAGCGTGGTGCCATTGATCAATGAAGGTTGTTGTTGCACGTTCGTGTGCGAGACTCGAACGGGACGCACGTGGCGTTGCATGCTTGTGCGACCTGCACGTCTGAGACTCGAGATGGGTCAACGAAACTAGATATATGCGAGTACAACATAGCTACACGTCTAGCTTATATCCTCCGTCACCAGCAGTGGCGTGCGCTCACTGTCTGCGTCAGGAGATGCTTCCTGCTCAAGGCGCTTCTGCACCTGTCGGTCCCTCCACAGGAATGACAGACTCATAGCCAGCAAGCAACCCTGCAAACAACCTGTAAAGATGAAGAGCCCCCATGCGCTCCAGCCACCGCTTCCCAACCGAGCATACAGACTCGCTGCAAATACAAAGCTGCCAGGAGTCTGAATGCACATCATCAGCACTGATAAGCTACCCGGCTCTTGTAGCCGCCACGTGGTGATGATCTGCGGAATGTACTGGATTGCAGCCAGCACAGTTGCGAGGAGGCCCAGGAAGTTGGCCCAGCCGCGCACGTGCGATGGTACGGCGTAGACAAAGACGACAGAGCCGATGAAGGCGAAGATGAAGAAGGCGAGCGATACGGCGAGCACGAGCACAGCCTCCTTCCAGGTCGGCATCTTGGAGATGTCTTCCTCTTCGGCGTCCTGGTCGATGCCGGGGATGAGCGGGCGCGGGAAGAAGATCAGGAAGAGCATCATGCTGGGGCTGTCAGCAGTGCCGGTGCCTATGTAGCCAGAACCAATACATACATGAAGAAGAAGCAAGTCCACTGCACGCCGATCTGGGCAATGCCGAGCAGGGCGGCGGCGCAGGGGAAGCGGCCGATCTCCTTGCAGCAGGCCATGTCCCTGGTGCTCTCGGGCAGCGTAAGGATGTTGGCGATGCTGGCGGTACCCGACACGGTGCCGAGGAGCACAAACAGCGGGCTGAGGCCCCGCGAGGAGCGGCGCGAGATGATCTTGTAGTGCTGCGGCAGGTACGAGACGAGGATGCCGACGACGATGAAGCTCCGGCGGTTAGCGACGACAGTACGTAGACAGAGAAGCCGCTTACACAGAGACGGAGAAGTTGGCGATGTCGGGGTGGGACAGCTCCCGGCATCGCGCATGATCTATCGGCGCCAGGGCATCCATGGTTGTATGTGGTTGTGGTGGTGATGCTGGTGCTGGTGTTGAGTGCTGGCGGAGCTCATGACCGGTGACGCACGGCAGCTGCACGCGACGGGACGCGACGAGCCTCGGCTGTCCGATGGCAACTCCGACCGCGACCCCAGACTCCCGCATCAACACCAACCCCAACGCCGCACCCACACAGCCCATGCTGCCCCTGCGACCCCCGCGATAACACGGCGACACCTCCACGACAGCGCGACACACCACACACGACGGCCCACGATGGAGTTCCTCCCGACGCTCCAGGCTGGCGTCGACGACCTCAAGCCGTCCCTCTTCGAGCTCCTCTCCGAGCAGCAGCTGGCCGCCCTCCTCCCGCCGTCGCTGCGCTATCTGCTCGCCGTGGCCACCCCGCGCTACCCGCGCTACCTTCTACCCGTCCTCAACTCGTTCGATGAGGTGTACGCGGTAATCATGCTGCTCGTCGAGCGCCACTTCCTGCGCACCTACGGCGGCAGCTTTACCGAGAACTTCTATGGCATGAAGCGCGCCCGGGTCTTGAGGGTCCGCGGCGGCGAGGTCCCGCGCGCACAGCTCGGCGCCCCGGACAGCGTTCGCGAGGCCAGCCGCCTGCACTCGGGCGACGTGTGGGGCAATCTCGCCGTGCTGGTCGGCCTGCCGTGGCTCAAGCGCAAGCTGGACGAGTCCTACGATGTGCACGCCGCCCACAGCAACCTGCTCGGCGCCGGGTACAGCCGCGAAAGAGACGGCCTGCCACCGGGTGCGGGCGTGCGTCAGCGATTGATGTTCTGGTACATGTGGTTCCTGCGAAACATCTACCCCAGCGTCAACGCCGCGTACTACTTTGCCCTGTTGGCCTTCAACATGGCCTATCTCTTCGACAGCACAAAGTACCACTCGCCCTTCCTGTGGCTGATTGGGACCCGCATCCGCCGTCTGGGCCCCGCAGACCACGCCGCCATCGAGGCCCTGACCGCGCCCAAGCCTGTCGGCCCCGCGCGCCCCGGCGAGGGTGGCAGCATCTTCAGCCCGCGCAATCTCGCCCGCAGTGTGCAGCCGCGCCTCCTCAGCAGCCTGAAGATCCTGCTGCCGACCTCCATCTTCGCCCTGAAGTTTCTCGAGTGGTGGCACGCGTCCGACTTCGCGCGCCAGCTGTCGCGCAAGGCGGCCGAGAACATCGAGCTGCCGCCGCCGATCCTGCCCTCGCTGCCTCCGTCCTCGCACGCGCTTTCAAAACCGCAGTCCAAGTCCCAGCAAGACACAATGCCACAGTCGGAAAAGCAAGCGTCTGCGTCTGCGCCCGCCAACCCGCCCATCGCCGCTTCCTCCCTCCTCCCCATCCTTACTGTTCCACTCCCCCAGGACTCTACTCTCTGCCCTATCTGCACCGCTCCCGTTGCGACACCTACCGCCAGCCCATCCGGCTTCGTGTACTGCTACACGTGCATCCACCGGTGGGTGCGCGGCGAGCACGAGCGGCAGACAGCCTTCATGGAGGGCGCTGCGGGATTTGCGCGCGAGGGCGAGGACGAGGACGGCGAGTGGGGGAGAGAAGAGGGGAGTCGCGAGGGACGGTGGGAGAGTGGAGAGGGGCGGGACGCGGTGACGGGCAGGAGAGTGCTGGGTGGGACTGAGGGGTTGAGGAGGGTCGTCGTATAACGAATGCCACTGACGTGCTCACGAGACAAACGATACGGGATGGCGAGACAAAAGACGGCACAACACGACACCACACGACACCACACGATACAACACGATACAATACGAGCAGCCAAAAGGACCAACTTTTGACGCCTACAAACACCCTACACCCCACACGCCCCCCGCCCCCTCTCCCTATCCCCCACAACCTCAACAAACCCCCTCCCCTCCAACCACCGCATCTTCCGCCTCGCCCTCCACCCCGCCAACCCCCCAAACCCCACGCCCCACCACCCCCGCTCCTTCCCCCCCGCAAACGCCGCCGGCCACGGATCCCTCAACGTATACGGCGGCGGCGGATCCCTCTCATCCTCCTCCCCGTCCGCAGCTTCCTCGCTCTCGCGCCCCTCGGCGCGCGCCGCCGGCGTGAATTCAAGCGTCCACTCGTGGTCGAAGGCGTGCGTGTCCAGGGCCCCTGGGTCCGTGGCGCGGCGCGAGGGCGCGACGGGGGGGTTGTATGGCGGCGAGAGCGCGGGCAGGATGATGGCGTGGCGGCGGGTGTCGGTTGGGCGGTAGGGGAGCGGGAGCGAGGACGCCGTGCCGCGGCGCGTGGGGGCTTGTGGTGCAGGGGGACTGCGGTGCGGCGGCGCGGTACGGTGCTGTGGTGTGCACTGCGTGGGCTCGGTGCACCGCATGGGCTCGCGGTCGGGCGTGCGGCAGCTGTTCAGCGGCCTGTGGACGGTGCTGTGCACGCGCCGTTCGCTTCTGCGGGGCTCGTGTGTGGTGTTCAGGCGGCAGAAGTGGATTGTCGATGGGAACAAGGGGCAGGGCGAGGGCGAGAGCGGGGGCGCAGACAGCATGGTAACGGTGTGGGCGTGGACGCTCATGGTGCAGGACATTCAGTAACGAGGGGATGGAGTGAATGGCAGCAAGGAGACGGACGACGGACAGCTCGCATTTCAAAGAGCAGCACCCGTCCATTGCCCGCCGCGTGAATAGCGAACTATGGTGCCATCTCGACCCGGTCCCCGTGCCGTGGTCGCGGAGGCGCGAGAGCGGTCCAGTCTTGTCATTATCTTGTTAGTCGAGGGGCAACAGCGCCGCAGAAGCGTGTGCCGGGTGCGTGCCAATACCACCGTATCTTGCGCTCTCACTGCTTGGTTCCGTTGTCTGAGGTTGCATTGGGGTCTTGTTGGCCGGCGCATGGCCGCTTGCGGTCGCGCATCGCTGGTCGTCGACCGCGCTAGGCGGGCTGGCTGTTGCTGCCTCATCACCTCGCTCCCGCGCCTGTGTGCTCCGCGTCTCTCCAGGCAGTAATAGGCGAGAGCAGCATCATTGTGTGTCCAATGGCAACTCTCAGCCTGTGAGGTCGCAAAGTGTTGCTGGTGTTGGTGCGGAAGCGAGGCACACAGCTTGAATCGCTATCTACGTCCGAATGCGTGCTTCACATGCCAGTAGCGGCGTCCTTCTACCGGTACAGCAGGACCAGCGCGCCGGGCCGGTAGCGAGGACTGCGTTCAAAGGCAGAGGTAGGCCAGGCACGCTGTCGGCTGCAGGATTGCCATTGCGGCGTGTACAGGGCCGAGTCACGTGCTCGCTGAAGAGTGCTGTCGCTGTTGAGGACTTTGTTGTCTTTAGGCTTGGTTATGGGCGCTGCCGTTTTGGGTGGGGGTGGTTGCGGTGTTGGGACTCAGGATGTTTCCTTTGGTATCTGGCTGTTGATGCTGGGCCTGCGCGACAACAACGCCTTGTCAATCCACAGTCGTCTCTGTCTCAACGAAATATGCCAACATGACCAACCACGATCAAAGCGACACAACTCACGGATCCTTGGATCGGGACCCCGACAACTACGAAGGGTGCTGCGTGTTCTGTGTGCTCGCAGTAGAGTGACTGGCTGCAAGGCTGACGGGTTTCGGCGCTAAGGCGAGGTGTGTCTGGAGAAGGAAGGGCGTTTATACTGACTGACTGGGGTGCAAGTGGTTTGGAAACTGGTTACTGCAGGGACTGCGATTGGACTGCAGTGTTGAGCCTCGAGTGCGCATTCAAATTGGTGCTCCTGGAGGAGCGCAGATCGCAGAATCCGCAATGAATCGGTGGATAACAGGTGCTGACGGCATGTTCATCTCGGCTCAGCCTTGTCAGACAGCACTTTCCAAGGATCGAAAAAGCGGGGTGAAAGAAAAGTAGGTATAAGGGAGGAGCTGCTCAACATTTTCTACTGTATACCGGAACTGTTGTGCTGTTAGCGTTGCGATCCGGGAGCTGCTGCACCACCTCATCTTCGAGAAGGAAACCAGTGCTCACCTGCTGCTTCTCAAGGATTAGATGCGTACGAGGCTGCTGACCCACTGGGCTTAGCGTCCTGGGGCGCGGTTGCCTATAAAACAGTCAGCCCGCATTCGTTCAGCCTGATGCACACCTCTGCGATAACACCTCAAGTTACGATTCCGCTCACGTCGTCGAACCATGTCAGAAACAGATGAAGAACCGTGGATCATTGACGCCAGCCGCGAGACATGGAGCGACTCTGAAGGTGTGCCTCAGCACGATCGGATAGAGGGGCTGTGCGATCAGTGCTCGAAATGCCCCTGGGATGATGTCTTGAAGATGTCTCTGTGCAAGAGTCTCCGGTACACCGGCATCCCGAGGTCGACATCGACTTGTCCTATGTGTCGACTCTTTAGGGCGCTTCTTCTTCAAAGAGGGGGCTGGACCATCGCTTCGAGTCGTATATCAGATTTACAGAAGCTAGGCTTCGAAAGCTTCCAGACAGACAGTGTTTGCTGTCTGGGTGCCAGTTTTCTTCGGGATTATAATCTCTTTCAGGAGGCGACACTCCTCATCTCCCAGCTTGACCATGGACGGGTAGTGTCTCTGCTGCAAAACTTGTATCCCGAGAAGGCACGCCTCAAGTCCGCCATAGCATGGATAACGCAGTGTGAATTGGAACATAGCGCAAGCTGCCTGCTACAAGACCCACCACGGCTCCAGAACCTGCGCGTTATTGACTGCAAGGAGAGAAGAGTTGTTGCTGCGCCTCCTAAGTGCAAATTTGTTGCTTTGTCATACGTCTGGGGTGATTCTACGACTTCAAACGCCGAACCTGACGGTAGTCTTCCACAATGGCACATTTTACCAAGGACAATTCAACAGTGCGTACAAGTGACATGTGACCTTGGTTACAGATTTCTCTGGGTCGATCGTTATGTATGTCAGATATCCTCTCCCATTTACTGTGCTGAGTCTGACCAAGTGAGTGCATTCGGCAGGACAATCCAGAGGACCAAATAACACAAATCAACCAAATGGGCGACATCTATGCTGCCGCACACTTAACAATAATCGCAGCTGCAGGCCAGGATCCGTCTTATGGGCTGCCCGGAATCTCGCCCACTTTTCGGCAATTTCCAGAGCACGAAAAGGTAGGATCTACCTGGATATACCTTCTCCCAAGAGTTCGAGGCCTTGAAGACGCATTGCATCCCAGCGAATCTGAATGGGTCACTCGGGCTTGGACGTTTCAGGAGGGATTCTTCACTCGACGGCGGCTAATATTCACCGATCGCCAGATGATCTTTGTTTGTAACACGCATACCTGCTATGAAGCTCGAACAGATCCGATGGTCTACGAAGACGACAGATGGTTGCAAAGGTGCATACCGCGAATTCACACGCCTGACTCAGACCTTGATAGCCTACCTATGTCACGAGCCCAGAGCTATCTTTGGGGGTACAGCGGCCGCATTCTAAAGTTTGACGACGATGCGTTAAACGCAATCGGTGGAGCATTAAACACACTCAGTAGAGAGCATCTTTATCATATCTGGGGTGTTCCATTTCACTATGGTGCATCGGACGATACTCCCAAGCCGAATACTTCCAGTTGTGGTTCGCGGGGAGAGATTTCACTGTCATGGTACAGTTACTTTTCCCCATACCGAGATCCCGACGTGAGTTACCGGCGTTGGCAGTTTCCAAGCTGGTCGTCATTGGGTTGGAAATTCCAAGTAGGCTTTGAGAATCCAGTTGACCTTTGTGATGTTTCCATGCAAACAGATCAAGGCCAGATTAGTTTGCAGGATCTTGTACCTGAGTCTGGTATCATCTCATCAGATTGCTCTCGGCGACTACGGCTCGATCTTGCTACTGCAGATTTCCGTGTAATCAGACCAATAGAGAACAGGTATGATCAACCGGAGTATCAGTGTAGGGTTGCTCTGTGTTATCAGAACAGCACTTACGTGTACTTTGACACCATGTGGGATATCAGTCCTAATCGCTTACCAAACACATCAACAATCAAGGGCGTGCTCATGCCGTTGTCGAGACAGAGAAAGTCAAAATACCTTCCTGGGTCTGCCTGTGTGTTGCTACTGCAGCCACATGGCCAGTACTACGAACGGGTAGGCATTGCCTGGCTCATGCTACGCGACAGATACACTTCTCACCTTGGGCGTGAAAAATACGAGTACGAGGGCCACGTCTGTAAATTCATGAATGACCCAGACATCGAACAAACGGACTGGTGGAAGAAGCATTCCACCAAAGAAACCATTGTTCTGGTATAATGATCTCAACACAGATAGATCTATTATAGAACCGAAGATATGGAAGAATACATGTATTTCAGCCAGCACTGGTCGCGACCGAAGGCTACGTTGATTCGGTGATTTCACTGCATGTAAAGCTTGTCATGCTTGACTGGTTCAAGTGGCCCCCACTTCGCTATCAACCCACCCAGAGGCGTCAGCTATCAATTTCTGTTTGCAAACCTCTATCTCATCGAACTCCAGCTATGCGGCGACCCCAATCCGTCAGACTCATTCGATCCAGTCATCACGTCGCCACGTTCAGGTATTACCTGATCATGGCGCTGGAAATATGTCCTCTGACAATGTGCTCCTACAAGTCCTTTACGACGCCCACAATCGCACCTTTAGCATCAAAGATTCTGACGCTCAATTTCAAACGTTCTCATGTCTGAGACGATGGGTGCTCTTGCACTGCTGTGGAGACCAGAAGGGGGTGAGGGCGCAGAACGTACTGTGGATTGTCCTCATGGAGAGTCAGCGAAAGTTGTCTCTTCTATGCGAAGAGAAGTATTTGATGAAGCAGATGCGCTAGAGTTTTATAGATATCCACTACTTTCTCAGTATTTTCCGGAGTTATTACAGGTAGATTATTCTTTACTTTATTTCAGAAACTTCCTGACCTTTGAATACGTTCTATCACGCGCGCACTGGTAGATATAGACTCTCACGCTGCAGCATCTTTCGCAATATCTGTGAGCCAGCGCACAAATCCAAACACGCACACGCTTTAGCATCAGCAACCACGGCCTTGATCACTTCCGCAATGACACTCTCGAAACCAAGCAACGCTAACTCTAACGCCTTCGCATACTTACATCTCGGCAGATTCATTACAATTCCGAAGTTGAGAAACAGTTGCACCAGATCTGTTCGGCCATGCTCGGCTGCTCCTTCCAAGGCAGTACGTCCGTCGCTGACAGCTCCGTCGGAAAATACATCTGCGCCGGCGTCGAGCAGAATTGACACGATCGCAGCGTAGCCATGTATCGCTGCAAGCTGAAGGGCGGTAGCCCCTGCTCTCTCACTGGGTGCTGCGTTGACCTCAGCCCCACATTGCAATAACTCTTTCACCAGTTCCACATCCCCTCTCTCCACAGCCGCTTGTAGTGAAGTCCTTCCGAAGTTACCACTTGCAGGCACATTGACAGGTGCACCGCGCCGAATAAGTCGACTGACGATCCCGGTATGCGAGAGGTTATTCCTGATGGCTACTGCAAGCAGTGACCCGTAGCAAGCATCGCTTCCAGACTTGCCCGTGTAATATGGAAAACAGGCTACAATTCTTGCATCAGCACCTGCGTCAAGTAGAACGTGAGCAAGCTCGTGGTTGGAGTTTGCAACCGCTGCCTGCAGTGGGTTCAGGTGACCCTCAGATTGATCAGCCCAGTTGAAAACCTCTGCATGGGCGTCGATGTCTGCTCCGGCGTCAAGAAGGTCGCGAGTCTGATCCAAGTTTCCTCGACTCACTGCTGCGACGAGTGCAGGCCCGTAACATCGATAATTGGAAGGAAACGAGCCGCCAAGGGGGAAGTCTCCACGAAGTCTGACATTTGCTCCCGCACGTAGCACAAGACGGAGAGAGTCGTTACAATTTCGTTGCATTGCTGCCTCCAAAGGGGTTCGTCTGTCGGGTTCGTCGGCCGTGATAACGTCTGCTCGTGCGCCGGCTTCCACGAGTCGTCGAACAAGTTCCTTCTCGTTGCTGTCTATAGCTGATTGCAACGGTGTTCCCAGGGCGTAGTTTTCGTTTGGATGACGGAGTACAGCGCCTGGTATGTTCGGATCAGCATTGTGATGTAAAAGAATCTCAGCGACTGCGTTGTGACCGCCAATGACGGCACAGTGTAGTGCTGTTCCAAAGTCAGCAGTCTCTGATGATGCATTGATGTTTACGCCCTTCTGTAGTAGGAGCTTGACAACAAGAATGTGTCCTCGCCGCGCTGCTATCTGAAGCGCAGTACCACGTTTGTCTGCTGCGCCCGCATTCATCTCGGCTCCTGCTGATAACAAGCGAGCAACAATCTCGTGATGGCCTGATTCCGCAGCTGCTTGCAGAGGTGTTAGATCGTTTGGCGTAGATTGGTTTTTCGGATCGACTGCTGCGTCGAATCGTAAAAGCAAATCCACCATGTCGACGAACCCATCCTGGGCTGCCAAGCGTAGTGGTTTCGCGGTGTGATCCTCCTTAACGTCAGCTCCGGCATGCAATATGATCTCCAATAATTCAATGGAATTGTGGCTGACGGCATGCTGTAGAGCCGTCATCCTGTCACACCCAGCGGCCGGAGCGTCCACGTCGGCTCCTGCGGCGATCAAGGATCGGGTCAGAGAGATATCACCTATGCTCACAGCTTCTTGCAGTGCAGTTCTGTCTATGCCATTGGTAGGAGCATTGACTAAAGCGCCAGCATTGAGAAGTGTGTGTACGACGGACTGATAGCCATGCCTGACTGCTTCTTGAAGTGGTGTTCTTGTTGGACATCGGGGTACCGTGGCGTTCATGTTTACGCCAGCCTTGACCAAAGTATCCACTGTGTCGAGATCACCTACTTTGATGGCAGCATGTAATATGTAGGCATCTGCATCACTGGTCCTGGTTGATCCTGCAGAGAGCAGCAAGTTGAGGACACCTCTGCTCGGCTTTGATGCTGCAATCTCGTAAGTACTCAAGACGTATTCTCCTTGACTCCCAGAGCATGTGGCCATTGTCTCGATCTCAGCTCCAGCTTGCAACAGCTCGCGCACCAAAAGAACATTTTTGTTGCGAACAGCTGCGTGCAGTGCAGTTTGCCTAAGCCAACCTCTCCCCTCCACAAGCTCTTCGTTCAATTCATCGACCGCGGCACCGGCTCCGACCAGGAGCTTCGCCATGGGTAGATCTCCCAGGCAAACCGCTGTGTAAAGCGCTGATTGGTGTCCATTTTGGTCAGCATTTCGTGCTGTTCCGAGATCGGCACCATTGTCCAGCAGTAGCTTCGTGATTTCGATATCGCCTTTTTTGATCGCTTCTAATAACGCAGTGTCGTAGGAGCGAATACCGTCGATCGAAGACTGTATCAAAGGTGGATTCACAATGGCTCCAGAGCGTATCAATAGGCGGATCGCCTCAGAATCGCACACTTCGAGGGCCGAAGTAAGTAAGCAGCCCATGACGTTCGCTGGCGAGTTGACATTCGCGCCGTTGTCCAGTAAAAGCTTGACAGTCTCAATCTGGCCGCAACGGATAGCCCCCTGAAGAGGAGTGTGACAGGTTTCCGGCACAAAGACAGCTTGCAGATCAATACCCGCTTCAATCATGAGACAAATCGAGGAAGACATGTGCCCGGTTCTCCTGGATGGGGGCAGCAGCAATGTCGGATTTGCGATCTCTATTCCACTTAGACGCGCCCCGCTGGTGAGAAGTAGTCGAGCAATATCAGATTGACCTCGCATAAGAGCCAGTCCTAGCGCTGTCTCATCACACATGATAGTGGTAAGATGGCCGCGGATGAACCCGCGGTTCACGTGGACTGTGCAATTGACGTCTGCACCCAGCTTGATCAGCTCAGTTACTGATCTCGATTTGTGCCGTGCTATAGCCACCATCAGTGGTGTCGTTGTTTGCTGGTCAAATTCCGCACTCCCCTTAATGTCAACACCTCTTTGGATCAAAAGAGGGACCATATCATGATACCCCTGTTCAATCGCCGTGACAAGTATCTTTGGACCCCAGAATCTTGTCAAGTTTGCGCCAGCTTCGATCAGACGTAAGGCAAGTTTCCTTTGTCTAGCCAAAAGAGCGGTAAAAACAGGATATCCAGAGTCGGCTTTCCATGTTTCCAGGATCACTGTGGCGTCCAGGTACTGGAGCAGTTCGATATGGCTATATTTCACCGCATGCCGACAAATCCTTTCTACCAAGACTCTTGTACTTGTCGTTCTCATACCAACGAGGACCTCAAAAAGAACGCTGCGTGATTGAGCGTCAAGCTTCTTTATCACACCGTACCAAATTTCACTTGGCTGATTAGACATAATATAAACTGCGTGGACAATTGGGTGAAGCTGTGATATCGTTTCTCCTCGTTCAATTCCTGTATTGCAAAGGCTTAAAGGTGGGAGTGCGGCACCCGACTGAAGTTCTGCAAGGCTGGGCCCTAATTCGATGATAGGGCTGACACGGGGGATGGACTCTGGTTTGAAGTCAGACGTAGTTAAAGGCTATCCAGTGTTTATAGTCGTACCTAAAGCTTGGAACTCTTCTTGGAACCTGACCCATGGAATGGTGCCCCACAGGTGGCTGAAATCCAGGGCCGTCTCTGGAGTATGAACCATGGAGCTATCGGCAGGCTCAGGACTTGTAGCTATATATGTCAGTCAAAGATACTTTATGCTATGGTCAGACAAACCCGTGAAGAACATTTCCGTAGTGCTCTTGTAGCAGTGTCTCGCCATCGCTTTGCGGAATTGGACTTCCGAGACCAAAGTTCCCGGAAGATGAACTTTCGTTTTCTTCCCTTGTTTGTCTCGCTTCTGAACCCTCGAACCTACTCCCTTCCATACTGTTGACTTCCTGTTCTTGCTAAACTCGGGTCCCCATAAACGGAATTTCGATTCGTAGGTCTTTTTCCTACAAACGTGTCAGAAAGGAGTGGTTTCCACGTAGCGCACATCCTACTTCTTGTCAAATCCATGTTCAGTTCTCATGCGATCTACAACCTGATCCAGCGTCAAGTTGGCGACAATCCAGTATTGTCTGATGGTCTCTCTGTGGTCGTCCCACTCGGAGCCCATCTTGATTTCCAAGGTCATGGGATCTGAAAGGTAGCGCACAAGTGGTGTCCATGATATGAAATGACGGCGTAGAGAGAAGATGTCAAAAGGTGAGAAGGCTGAAACGGAGGGCTGTCACGTGCGTTGATGACGCTGGGGGGACGTGGCGGCAAGCTTATGTGTTGCGCCTGCTGATTGGTGGCTTCCAAAACCCTCGTAGGGTTCGCAAGCTGACGCGACATTCACAACTGTCAGATTTTGGTCTTTCTCGAAACCCTCGAGTGCTGAAAGAAATACACATATCCTTTGCAGATGTTTGCACAAGCTCCAATTGGCTGCAACCAAAACCCTCATCAGGATGCGATTTGGGTACAAGCATAGGTACCTAGATATGATCGCCGCACAGCATGGAGATATTTAATAGTGAAAGCGATGGACCTCGTGGTCTTGATACATATCTTACTGCTACTGTTCATCTATAACGCCCAGATTTCCTTCTCCACCTGTCACTTTATTCCGAGTAATCAGCTTCAACTTCTCAAGTTGCGTCGCCATGAGTTTGGATGTCGCAAGTATCCTTGCCATCGCAGCAGCGCTGCTCAGCCTTCCACCCTCGATACTTGCAATATGGTCACTGAGCCAACATCTTAGAGGCCCTCAGACAGATATTGGTAGATCTACTGTTCTTACTGTCATGTCCTTAATACTAACCATGTATCATAGAAGTTGGTAGCACCCCTGGAGCCGGTCCACAAGATTCCGACACCATTCCCTTCCGTCCGAAAGATGATCAGGCTGTCATGCTCCAAACGCTGCCCAAGATCGATGCTGTGGCTTTGTCCACCCCACCCAAACCATGTCTTCTTCGAACGACCGACACCAACGAGCAATTAGAGTATCGGTGAGAGCGGACAGGGCCGGTGATGGTTGTGACTAAACGGCGAGAGACTGTTGGTTAGAAGTGCGCTATGTGCCTGTTAATACGCTAGAAAAGTCAAATATGAAAATTATACAATGCATAGTACAGGAAAATGATACAGCAAAGGGCTCTATAATATCTTTCTTGATTGGCGTCGGCACCCAATACACGCATTACCTCAACTCAACACTCGCCGAGACGGAAGAGCTCCTAACCCTCCTTCTCATCCTCCTCCTTCTTGCCCTCTCCAACGACCATCTCTGTAGTCTCCCCCTGTGGCTCAACGACTGCGTCCTTGGGCCGGTCGTCCCTACTCCTCCGCTCATCCCTGCTTTTCTTGGGCTTGCCCGCCTCCTCGGGGAACAGCTCCTTGAACAGCTCGGGCTGGAACCTATTGATACGCTTCCATGTCTCGTTCCACAGCTGCTCTTTCGCGGGCTCCTCATCGGGCGGAACGAGATAGCCGCCGTTGGATAGCACGAGAAGCATGTTCTTGAGGTTCTCGCCGACCGCTTCTTCCATGTCGCCCTGGCCGCTGTTGACCAGCCGGTCCATAATGGTTATGATCTTCAGCCACAGATCGAGGAATTCCTTATCGGCTTCGACTTCGTTCAGCAACACGAGGTAGTGTAGAAACACCTTCGAGAGCAGGGTGGCAGCGCGGACGCGGGTCTCACTCATACCGAGGGGATCGGATTGATAAACCTCGGGCTTGAGGAGCTGTGTAATGAGAGGCATGAGGACGGAAGAGAAGATTGCAGTCCATTCTTTGTGGTCGGGGGATGCGAGATCCGACGAGAGCAGGGTACGCTGGATGGACGAGAAGGCGTTGGAACGGATCTCGCGACAGGGGTTGAGACATTGGTGGGCAAGCGTTTTGAGGATCGGTGACCAATATGCTGTCCATGCTGTACTGGGTTAGCTCAATTCACTCGAAGTTGAGATGTGATAGTCAGTAGGGCTTACCTTCTGTGGTCTCGAGGTGTGAGTGCTCGATAAACGCCGGGACCTTGGTTGACAGCTGGAATACGATGGTCATCGCCTTGCTGCCGCGCACAACAACTTCAGCGCTTTCGGGCTTCTTGGCCTTCTGGCCCTTGCCGCGTCGAGCCTGGTCATGGAGTTGTTCTTCGCGTGCGCCCACCTGCGCCTGTGTGGCAAACTCATTGAGGAGCGCAATAGTTGCTTCGTAGTTATCTGCGGTGATGCAAGGTTGAGGAGACGTAGTGAGGTCTTCAACAAGCTGGAAGACGTCGCCAGCTGCTTCTGGCACGCCACACAGACGACTAAGAATCGTCCAGAAGTCTGGCGAGCCAGCCAGTTCACTGCGAAGAGCAACCGGTCCTTTGCAGCATTCCGACAGACCGTGGAGAAGTGGCTGCGAACACTGCTTGAGCAAAGCTTCGTCGAAGCTCGAGAATGTGTGCAAGAGCACTGGCGCACGGATGAAGTCATAGTCGTTGCTAGCCTTGAGAAGCCCAAGGAGGTAGTAGACTGACCGGGCGATGACGACAGGATGATGTTTGGATGCATCGCGAATGACACTTGATAGTGCATCCGTGACATCTTTCGCAAGCTCTTTGACAGTCTCCTCGTCGCGCTGTGCAAGCACTGTCGCCAGCTCAAGAACAAAGACAAGGCTAGGATCGTAGATTGGGCCCTTTCCCTTAGCCTTGTTGCCATTTGGTCGAGGGACTTGCCCAGGAACCTCTGGCTTGACCACAATTACCCTTGGCTCGCCATCCTCCGGGATGTGCTCAAGCAAGGACTGGAGCAGTGAACGCAGCGCCTCGATGGGCAGTTGACTAATGTTGGCGAGAATGTCCTCGAAGTGACACTCCTTCACTGTGTCAACAGTGCAAAGCGTATACTCGATTTCCTGGTCTGACGGCTCTGGTGGCTCATCATTGGCGAAGCTCGAAACATATGATGTGAACGCTGAGAAGATGCCTGCATCAGCTGGACGCTCGGCTCGATCGATAACTTGGGCAGGGTTCTGAAGCGGTATCGGAGGCAGTGCAAGCGTCTTCTGAAAGGAGAGGAAGTAGGGTGGGATGAGAGAGTTAATGAAGAGGTTAATCATGATGCGGATAAGATGATTCCACCCATCTCGGATGCCCGCTTCGTTGCCCTTGATGACCTGGAACAGAACTACGGTTGCGAGCTGTGCTCTGCCATCTCGACCGAAGCGTACGGCAGTCTCGCTAACCATGACGCTCTTCTTGTCGGCCTGGACTTCAGTGTTGAGTGACGTGCTGGGCGGCACATCAGGCGCCAATGTACTGATGTAGGCAAGGCTCGAGATGATTCGATCCAGTGCATCGCTCAAGCCATACTTGGCAGCGATTTGTGCGCACTGATCGAAGCCTAGCACAACACGCGAGAAGACAGCGTCATCTGTTGCAGACATGAAGACGTACGATAGCGTGGCCACGATTGGCTTCCACGTTGCTGCGAACATGTCGGCATCGAAGATGTTTGTATCGCAGATGGTCAAGTTCGAAGTCGACTGAACTTTGACTAGTAGTTCCTTCCAGGCGTGGTCGTAGGCGTTACGGTCGTTGTGCTCCTCGGGAAGAATGATTTCGCGTGTCTTGATGGATTCGTACATTGCCTGCAGATATTCAGGATCAAAGTTCTTACCATCGTTGACGCCTCGAAGGTTCTTTCCGAAGTCTTCGAGCTTCATGCGCTTGTCGCCTTTGAGGTTGGGATTGTGTTGATCAGTATTCAACATGATCACAGCATACGTGAGCACAAAAATGGCGTCCTTGTTGGCGATCTCCTCTGGTTGCGCAGCGTCAAAATACTCCTCAGCGAAATCGGTGACAATCCTCTCAATGAGCGCTGACTCGCCAGGAAGACGGAAGGAGTGCAAGAGCAACCTCAACGCCTCATCAAGACGCAACCCTCGGAAGTCGAAGAGCTTCATAAAGGCCTTCAGTATAGGCTCGTTGTCGCGCTTAGAGATGAACTCTCCCAATACTTTCTTGTCGACTCGCGTTGTGCCCTTGACAAATTTAGCTATAGCGACTGGGTCGTCTGGATCAGATATGATGCCTTGCGATACTAGGAATGCGATGCCAGCCTTGGGCTTCTCGTTGAACTTTGCAGCTCCGCGAATGATAATCTTCTTTCGCAAACGCTGCTCACGCAGTTCCTGGGGACTCCGGAACCCTTCAGTGACAGGTTCGTCGTCCAAACGATCCGCTATCGACTGTACGAACCCCAGCAATGCATCTAAGCAAAGCGGAGGTACGTTGACTGTGCTCCATGTCGCTGAGTCAGGGAAGGCGTTACGTGAGAGTAGACCAACGATGTCCATGCACACATCGCCACGGTCGGTCTCGCAGTCATAGTTGACGAACAATTCAGCCATGAATGAGGGTATCCGCACAAGGCCACCGAGATTCTCGACCATGGCTTCCCTGGCATCAGGCTTTCGAGCACCGCCTTCGAGGCCAAGCTGCCGCCTATCTTTGACAGGTACTGGCGTTGAGCGACCACTGGCGGGCGCTTGCTGTGGCGGAGACTTGACCAGACTTGGGGCTTGCGGAACTCCCTCGTACAGGGATTGATCGATACCGGGTTCCAGGGGTATCTCAACTCGTGGAAACAAGCAAGCAACAACGTAGGAAAGATAGAGCTCTTGCTGCAGCTTAAGTACGTTTCTGCAAGTAGCGAGCAGCGTTCCCGTAACACGCAACGACTCATTCAGAACGGCCATGTTGTCCGACCTGACTAGCTGGAACAAGTGTCGGCAGAGGGTGTCCTTTGCCAAGTTTGCAAGGCTTGGGTGGCTGGCTATCGAGGGTCCAGCAACTTCAAGCGCAACGTCGACGATGCGTAGCGCCATTACGCGCATGGTATCGGTGTGTTGACGGTCATGGGGATCCAGTAAATCAACTAGCACCCTGAACAGCTCCCGTATCGAGGGCAGTGAGTACGACTTGATTTCTGCAGGAGGCTGTTCGCCCTCCGCTGTCGCCGGTAGATCGAGGGTACTGCTTGCAGGATTGGCGGTGTCTTCACGATCGTCCTGCCCTCCCTCGGATGTGCTAGGTTGCTGAGGCGCTTCGACCTTGGACTGCGCAACGTCGCCCTGACCGTTCGCAGATGGATCCATCTTCAACCCGTCTGGCTCTTTCTGCCCTTCTAGCTCTTCGTCTAGCGCATCCAATTCCTCTGGAGACTCTATCTCAAGCGTCTTCAGTCTGCGGAATATAACCTGGCACATGGATACCATCGCAATCTCTGCGGAACGGCGAAGCAGTTCAGAAAGTCTTGCCTGACAACACATGCTCAGTCCTGTCTCCATCATTTCGCATACACTCTCATCGCCAAGAACCTGCCCTCCAGGCCCGGAAATCATGCCCTCCATGAGCTTCAATATGCGAAGAAGTACGATCTCGTCAGCGGCCGAGTCACTCGCTTCGAAGCGACAGTGTGTTATGGCGGAGGAGAGCTGCTGCATGGCTTCGGGGAGCCGGGGAGAGTCATGGCTAATGACACCGTACGAGAGAAACTTGGTGATTGCGATAAGGGCGAGCGACGTAATCGGCGCAGATGTAGATGAGGATCTAATGACCTGGAGGAAGGGGTGCAGCATCGAAGGGGTATCGAAGGTTCGAATATCTGCTGCAGCATTAGCTTAGCTCTGAGCGGCATCCAGGTTTGCGCCTACCTTTACAACCCTTCAGATCATTCCTGAGGCGCGCAAATGCAGACATGAGGGGATTGTCCTGCATGCTCTTCCCTTTCTTCCCCCGTAAGCCCCATCTGCTGGGTACAGCCTCCTCTTGCTCTCCACCGCTGATTATGCCCTGTCCGGTACGGTCCCGCCGTTGGACAGCAGGCGTTTTGTTCGATGACCCGCCTAGGATCGCTGCGACCGATGAATGCGCCCAGCGAGCATGCTTCCGCATAGCAGAAGTAACTGTGATACATTCTGTGACCACCAGCGCTACTGGGTTTACTGCGACGGTGATGGGTCGAGGGTCGAGGCTTGTGGGCGCATCCTGGTGGAGGGTTGCAGCGTCAAATTCGCTGTCTTCGCTCGACATTGCGACGGTTTATGTGTGGACGTGTGTATAATGCGAGGTGGGCGCGACGTGTGCGAAGTTGTAGTGGGTGGGATATAGCTACATGTCCCGTTCAAATTGACCAGAAGAGAACACGCATCGCTCGTGGCACGGTTGCCTGTGTCTGTGGAGATGTATGCGATATCGAGATTTGCAGGCGTCTGATCTGAACACGTCAAGCAAATGTCGTAGGCATCAATGTCGCGGAACGCTATTCGAGTTGCACTTGATATCAAAGCTCACGCCAAGCAGCGCTCGGAGGTCTCCATGGCTCTCCGCAAAGGCCAGGTTGTCCGCGTTGGCCTCAGAATCGCCTCCTCAGTTGCTCGCGCAATGCAGATGTTTCAAAACGTGATAATATTGTTACGAACACAACGCTCAATCAGACTGTTGAGCTTGAAACGCCCCAAATGCTACAATTACATATCTAATGCAGGCAAAACATTGGCAAGTAAAGGAAACCCGTCATCAACATCGCATGCTCTAATTCCTCCAACGAGACCGGCTTGCCGGGTTGTGCACCAAGCCAAAGTATATAATAAAAACGATCTGATATCCGTGCTCGCATTGTGCAGTTGCGTTGATGTCGTGCTTCAGATAAAAGAAGAAATGTTGGTGGTATAGTCCATCCAATTCGTGTCGGTCGTTGTTGCCTGAGCAGTACCTACCCAGGCCATACGTAATCCAGAGATGTCATCTCACAGGCAAGAAGAAGTTGACACGAAGCGAGCTCAGTCTGAGGCTCGCAAACTTAAAAAGTGCTGCTATATGTCATTAGATCTTTTCCGTGCTTAGAAAGCCCAAGGAGCAACGTACGATCAGTTTCTAAGCATCCTCCTTCTTTTGCTCCTTCTTTTCTTCTGGGGCTTGAGCTTGAGCCTTGTCGCCTTCCTTCTTGGCCTGTTCTTGCTCAGCGCGAGCCTTCTCCTCGTTCTTGGCCTTTTGAACAAGGTCCTGAACCTCAGACTTCTCCTTCTCCCACTCAGATGATTTAGTGTCGAACGTCGCGTGCATCTTCTCCTCCTTCTCTTTTTTGGCCTTTTCCTCTTCTTCCTTCTTTTTGCGCTCTTTCTCCATTTCTTCCATGTGTCGAATGTCGTCGACACTGGGCTCGTAAAGATGCCAAATCGTGTAGTGGGGCAGTCCAACGACAGAAAACTTCATGCGCTTCGCCATCTGTTACACTGTTAGTTTGTCTGACTTTCCTACTATGGATCTCGGAACATACCTTGCCAAAGCCCTCAGTCTCAGCGTGCTTCTCGAAACTGAAGGCAGGGAAGTGAACACCCGAACGGAAGACTTTCGCTTTGGCCAGGATACTGACACCACCAACTCCATCAATCTCCATCTCCATGTCTGGGTCACCGTAGGGATCGCGGAGATAAGCCAAATGAGGTCTCCAGGTAGCGTACTCTGCATATCCTTCGACGATAACAGCATCTTCATCGAGCGTGTCAGCGAGCGCGAGAGCGGTCTCAGACTCTTGCCAAGAATTTAGATCGTAGGGTTGTTCTCCGCCAAGCCAGTCGGGGAGCGGTCGCCATACATCTGTTCGGACATGTTAGTTACCGCCAATCTTCTAGACGAGCTCTGACTTACTGGGTACAATGACATCCTTGTTGTGTCGCATGAGATCCTCAAGAATAGTGAACGGCGCAGTTTCAACGTCGACGTCTCTCCAGTATACCCAGCTATGAGTGGGTCGCAGGGCCGCGCTGAGAAGCCAGTTGCGCGCCTGTGCCATCGACTTACGACGGCTAGCTTGCGCTGCAAACCCGTGACGCGACTCAACATCCTGGTTGACTTTCTGCCCAAAGTCCTTCTCCATGACCGATATTTCGCCAAAAGTCTTCTTGGGGTCTGGGTTGGCCTGCAGCTCCTCCAGCTTCTCGGTCAACAGCGCAATGGTGTTGTCCTTCGAATCTCCAACAAGGAACGCCAGATCGATGAGGTTGTGCGGGTATGTCAAGTTCTGCAGGTGACTGAAAAACATTGGCAAATGCGGCGACGCATCTCGAAGAGGGGCGCAAATCAATATCCTTTCTTCCCTCTCCCACCCTCTTGCAGTGCCTTGCACATTGTTGAGGTCGTAGTATCGCACAGTCTCGAGCTGAGAGTCTTCGCTCGAGGTCAGGTAGCTAAGAGGGCCGGAGCCTAGGTTCGGTCGCAAATCGGGGAAGATGAAGTAGAATGCTGTGAGGAGGAGCGAGCCTGCAAGCAGCAGGCGTTGGATAAGTTGCCTCCGCCGCCTAAGCGCTGGTTGCGACCGAGGTTGGAATCTGCAGTCGCACTTGTCATTAGCATCTGGCCTCCAGGATTTGATGTCGTGCAAGATAGAGGGGAGCGGCGACGGCAGCGCGGTGCTGAGCATTGCAGCGGCTGAACGTACTTGTGAGGTTGAATTGAAAAGGTGCTTCCTTGCGAAGGATAAGCCCCGTTCGAATATGCATGGCGATGCATCTTCCCTTTCGGCGATGATGAATGTAAGGGCAACATTCAGATAGCGGCACAGCAGATTTGGGTTGCTCTGCAGTACCTATCCCTTGAACACCCCGGCCAACCTTCGACCCGCCAGATCACTAAGTCGCGGAACACAGCACTACGCCTCTAATGCAGGCGCAAAAGGGGTCGACGGGTGCAATGCCAATTGCTGGCGGCGTCCAGCGAGGAGGATGTGCTGGTAGCGCTGGGGTCCAGCTGAAGGGTCCGTAGGCGTCCTGGTTGCTTGCGCGTCCTGAGGGTCTCCTTGTGTCGCTCCTTGGCCGATGATGGATTCGCTAAGGCCACCGTTGGCGTTGAGATAAGTCCCGAACTGACTAGTAGCGCCAACCGGAGCCGAGACGAGGGATTCAGAGACGCAAGGCAGCGGGAGGGGATGAGATCTCTATAGTCTACGGACAGCTTTCCTTTGCTTGTTGGAGATGATCGCGCCAAGAAACACCAGCATCGACGTTTCAGAACTCGAGAAGCAATGATGTGCAGGAGCCTCAAGAAGGTTACCGAGATGAGTTCGATGCCAGAAGAGAGTTATAGAGCTATTCACTTGCGACTTGCGATTCATTGCACTTCGAAGTACGTCTCACTGGCTTGGCCTGCTGGCTGCTAAATCTAGCAAGCGCAAGATCAGTTTAATGCTTACTGATACCACCAACACGACAACGAACTATTGGAATGCTCACACAATCACGCTTGAGCTGGTTGTATCAAGTAGAAACACTGGCATTGCGAGGTAGAGTAGGTAAATTATATGTATTACGACTGTGAGCATTTCCAAGCTCACTTCTACTTACAACAGACCCACGGTCGTCGAAAATCTTACACATCAGATTGAAGGCTGAGAAAAGACACCTACCTGAAAGATGGTTAGCCGCTGACTGACCATGTGACAGGAACCAATGTTTGAATTCTCAAGTTCAGAAAGCCGTTAAAAACCTGCGCCCGCCGTTGACCTCTCTTCGTAGCGGTTCAAGACGAACCCCCACAATCTTTGGTACTGAGACCACAATTACGCGCCTTCAATTGGTAGAAATCCAGCGCAACTCCACAACGCATCCTCCTAGCCGAGACCAGTAGCGTGCGGGAGGGTGACCCAACGGTAGACATTCATAGAATGGATATAACTTAGGTTTCTTCATTACGAAGAATGGAGTGCAGAGGGAACTGATTGAAGCGCTTACCTTGGCAACGGAGCGAAAGCTGGTCGATCAGGGCTGATAAAGAGTTTCTGCGCGGCATGTCAGCATATGTCCGCTTCGACGATTGTGATTTGAGATGTAGAACGTTGATAAGATCAGACAAAGGTAAGCTTGTGGTATGGGTTTGTCGACATTGAATTCTGTAGCAGAACTGAAATTGAATACACGTCATCATTGGAGTGGGCTCCGGAGAGCTGAAGGCAAAAAGATTTGTGGAAACTTACAGTTCGTGCAAAAGCCCACATCTGCTAATCAAGCAGACGTAGGCAACCACAGCTACCTGAACACCCGCATCAACCACCAAGTTTGCGACAAATAAGACGCGAGAGCGGGTGGTCGATACGCCTGATGTGGGGTACTCGTGGTGCAGTGATCTTGTGACGGTCTGAATCAAGCCCAACAGGGCACTCAAGACCGAGGGCGACGCGTCGCATTACAACTCCAGTCCATCTCGCGTTGCGGAAATAGCTGGTGCTACTGTACAAGTCAGCTAAAGCTCAAGCCATGAGTGCGAAAGCTGCAGGTAGAGCTAGGAATCAGACGGTGGTGCATGTGTTCCATGTTCATTGATGATCACATTGAACGTATATCAGGGGGTATCGATCATAAAAGGGTGTGCGGGAGAATTTTGATGTGGACATACCTTTTGCGTGGATGTGATGAGGAAGAAACCCGCAGGCCTGTGAACGAAAATTGAAGAAGCAGCGCTGCTAGCGCGAAATCTTAGCGCGCAATTATGTCATCCATATCTGCAAGAGCCCAAACTTTCTGGAGAGCTCACAGAATACCCCACAATGGCAGCAAACACAGACAGAAGACGGAACAATGCACCCAGCGGGGGCACGCATGCGCCAATCTATGCTCGGACCCTCAGAGAGCCAGAGTATTTGCACACTCTGAGGCCGACCAGAACAAGAGGGCCGAACGAACTTCGCAGGATCTGTAAGTAAAAAACAAGCTTCTGTGAAACATCAATCGCCAGTTCGATTGGAATCGAGACTTGTTCATGGAACTATCAGCCACTTTGGAGCATGTTCAAGGTCGAGAGGCGCGCAGAGAGGCTAACAATGTCTAGTCTTGCAAACCTCCATCATACCCTCTGCGTCCGGCTCTGCATACCTCGAAATACCTTCTTCCTCCGCCGCTTCATCCTCAACACTTATTCCACCCACGTCTTCTCTCAAAATCACCGCCTCGATACAAGGGCCCAAGCCACTGCCCCGCAGCGCGCCGTTCAGTCCCTCCCTTCTCCTCACGACTACGGTCAAGTTTGCGCCCTTCGCGACACGGCAAAGGAGAGGCTACATACGTGACAGCGCGGAGCGCGACCTCGGTGTTCACCTTGAAACCGCATTGAGGGGTGTGATCATTGGGGAGCGCTGGCCAAAGAGCGGGGTCGAGGTCGTCGTCACGATTCTTGAAGGAGATGAGGATGGCTGGTGGGGCGATGCACACGCCAGTGGAAGTGGCTGGGGTCTGCTGAACGTCCTGGCAGGCTGTATCACAGTTGCTAGCGCTGCAATAACAGATGCAGGGATCGATTGTGTGGATATGGTCTGCGGCGGCGTTGCAGCGATGATCCGAAACCCGGACTCCAAAGATGAGCAGGACCTGGTGAGGATACTGGATCCTTGTCCGGCAGAACACAAGCATATCGTTGCAGCATGCGCAGTAGGATACCTGGCTTCAAGAGACGAGATTACAGAGATCTGGATGAAGGGAGACATTGGCTCTGATCCAGATGCTCTTATTGAAGGTGCTACACATGCCTCCGTTGGCAGCCTGGCGGTGGTTAAGGAAGTACTTCTCGAAGCCTTACAGGCGAAGTTTCAGAATACGGTCGAAAATGATCAAAGCGCACAGAAGAGGAAGGCTCAAGATGTGGAGATGACAGGATGAAGGGACTTCTATACGCGGACATGACCCATTCAGCGAGCGTACATCTGGTAGCGAGCGTCCTGTTTCTCAATTGGCTTAGGACGAGACGAAACGCGCCTGCGTACGACGCATGTCTAAGGCGTATACCTTTGGAGCACCGCAGGGACGCAGGTTTGAGATCATCTGCTGAGGCACCTTCTAGGCGATGCACAAGAAGTAGCCTTGGGTCACACTGCTTCAGAGCCTCAACGCCAAAGCTATTGGATGTCTGACCTACCACTTTGATATCCCTCAACGCATAAACAACCAAAACGAATACCAAAAGTTGTTGTTGATGTGTAGGTCATCAACGGCTCAGCTAAAAGCTACTCTTCTGATGAGGTCTATCGGTGATAATTGCCGCTTCATTCCAAAAATAAAGAGAGGTAAATGCATGAAAGCTGCTGTTGATTTGATATTTATTCTGGGTGATGTGGCGTGTCATTATTGACTATTATACCCATATTGTAGGGCCAGTAACCAGTCTTTGCCCGTCCGTTGCCCAATGTCCATTTAGTGCCATAACATCGTACAAGTACAAAGGGGCCGTAGCTATCCCATCGGTCAACGAGGCTCATCTGGTCCAGCTCAGATCTTCTTCAACAACGTGCCCTCCGCAGCAACAAACGGGTCCTCTTCGTCACTACTGTCCATAACCTCAGTTTCCTTGATCGCAGTATTGACCTTCTCGTTCTTCATAGGCGGTGTGTTGGCATTAGTGTGTCCACCAACAGTATCCTGCGCTTCGAACCCGGACGCCAGACTCAGCGTTCTGGGGCTGTCGGTACGTTTCTTTGTATCAAGGCTTTCGGACTCGAAGTCGGGATTCAGTGTCATGAATGATGAGTCTTGATGCTTCTCGCCATCCCCAATCTTCGAGTACAAACTGTCTCGGCAACTTGATGAGGTGCTAAGTCTCTTCGTACCAGCCCACATGCTCTTCATCCTTGCACTCGGTGGGGACGCAGGTGCGTGGGTCTGACGAGGAGGTGTTGGCACTGCGCTAGGCAGGTCCTTGGACGCAGCGTTCAAGAGAGCCATGGAAGGCTCCCGAGACGACATTGCAGAGTTGGGCTCATGTCTCAGTGAGTGTTCAGGTGATGGTGGCGTTGTCGGTGGTTGAGAAGAAGGGTGTGATGGTGGATGGGCTTGTAGACCCAGTAGGTGAATAGCATCGCTAGAAGCCTTTTCGCGAATGTACTTCCGTTGGGCATCGGTGAGACCAGGGAGAGCATCAGAAACGTCGACAACACGGACATTGGTTGGAGAGCCCTATTGTTGAATCAGTCTGAATGGCCTTCTGCTGTATCTCTCAAGGAACCTACGATGTCCAGTGAGGATTTCCGCTCGCGCTTGTTGCAGCATAGGAGAGAACGTCGGAACCTCGAGACAATGTCCTTGAAGGCCATGGCTCCACTCGGCTATTCAGATATTGGAGTGATTGGGGACTACTGTAGTCCGTGGAGAGGGAGAACGAGTGGATTCAACGTGGATTTGTGGAATGAGAGTGGGTATATCGAAGCTTGTGAGCAAAAGAAGGTATATGGGCAGTGAAGCCAGCAAGAACACACAGTGGCAAAAGAGTGAAGGAAGAAACCGGATGAAGAGTGAACAATGATGCAAACCACAAGAGAAGAAAGAGTGGCAGAAGACAGACGCAATGATCACTATAACGAGCAGTCATAAAAGTTTGGCGTAGGTATGGCAGGAATAAGAAGGACCGATCGCCACAGGACATTCAAGAGGGAGGTGAGATTGGTTTCCCAAGCGACTCGTTGAACAGAAATTTCCACCGCGTGGCTTTGGAACATCCCTTGCTCGCTATTGTCATTATGTGCTGGACATTCCTCAGTCCCGGATAGTGAAGCGAAAGGATGCGGGCCGGTGCGGCCGGAATGCTGACCAAAGAAAAGGCACTGAAGACATTGTATGTCCACAATAGAGCAATAGAGGCTCTTCGGGCACAATTCGAGTAGTAGGAACCCCAGCTCTAGGACGAGCGTTTAACATGGGGAGAAACTGTTTTACCGACTATGAACGTACACGAACGCCGTTGATCGAATGTGATGCAGTGGGGTCAGACAAGTAGACCTACATTCGGGTCATCGGCAGCATCGCACTTGTGCAACCACACCTTGCATACAGGGTCGCATTTTTTAGTAGTCAGGTACCAGAAACGCATGTACTCGATTGAGGGGACAGTGTTCCGCCTTGCTGTAACCTGTAGTGGACCTACATGTGTAAGACAGGCTGTTTCACATCCACGGACGAACATTGCTGGGAACCGTCGGGTTGGCGTATGCAGGTCGCACTATATGTAGCACAGCGTCAAACGCCCTGTCATGTGAACACGCGAACGCGCGTCGCAGCTCGATCGCCGTGCATCGATTACCATAGCACACCACCAGTCAGCAACTATTCTCTGTTCTCCGTTTTATGCATGGGGTTGTTGAGTGTCGAAGCTTCTACTCTGGCATCTATCATCGGTCATGTGGGTACGTGCTCGGATGATCACAATGACGCTATGCTGACTGCTTGGAGAAACCAGGTGTTTCATTTCAGCGTGGCCTGTTGTACCAGCTGTCCTTATGCAGTGCCATCTATTTCGGGTAGTCCTTGACGTGATAGCTTTTGAGCTTGACGAATTGGTCGAAGCCAAATTTGCTCAGTGTCTGTCCCTTTCCAGAGTCCTTCCAGCCAACCCATGCAAGATCCTAAGTATGTTAGCGAAGAAGTGCAATCATCATCTGGTGAATCTTACGGGTGCAGGGTAGTCGCATCGGTTAACAAAGACGGTGCCAGCTTCTACATCATCGACAAGCTCATGTCCCTTGTCGGTGTCTTTGGTCCAGATACTCGCCGTTAGTCCAAATTGACTGTCGTTCATGAGCTTAATGGCTTCTGCATCATCTTTTACCTTCATCACTGGGATGATAGGGCCAAAGGTTTCCTCGGTCATGACAATCATCTCGTGAGTGACGCCAGTGAGCAAGGTAGGAGCGACGAAGTTGCCATCAGCGGGAGGGTTCTTGAAGCTCTCGTTCTCGGGGGTTGCGTTCTTTGCGCCTTTCTCCACAGCATCCTTGATGTGTGCTTGCACAGTCTCCGCTGATCGCTTCGACACAACAGGGCCGATGTGGGTATCCTTTTCAAACGGATCGCCAAGCTTGTAGCCCTTGAGGACGTCTTGCACCGCTGCGACAAACTCATCGTGGATCTTCTCATGAACATATACTCTCTCGACGCTACAGCAGCTCTGACCCGAGTTGAAGATTGATCCATCAACGATTTCTTCCGCGGCCCATTTGATGTCAACATCGGAGCGGACATAGGCAGGATCTTTACCACCAAGCTCAAGTCCCACGCGAAGAGGAACTCTGTCGTTCGCAGCGCTCTGCACAGCAAGTCCGTTGGCGACTGACCCCGTGAAGCAAACGAGCTGGATCTGCGGCGATCTTGCGATGGCCTCAATCTGTGTATTTGATCCGCTGTGGAAGATCTGAAGTACACCTTCGGGCAACCCAGCATCTGCGAAGACTTTTTGGATCTGCTCTGCGCTAGTTGGTGTCTGGGGGGAAGGCTTCAGAATCACTGAATTTCCAGACAGAATAGCAGGTACAAGAGAATTGATCAATGTCAGATAAGGGTACTTTTGGACACATTAGCAGCTGTATGAAGACATCAGGCATGCTTTACGTACGTTCCAAGGGAAGAGGATCAATACAGGACCCAACGGGACCTTTCTGACGTAGCGCTTGAAACCCTTTTCGGTTTCTCCTGGCGTGTCCTTGAGAGTATCGTCGCTAATTTTGAGTAGGTACTCGCCACGCATGACGGCTGTGGTAACCTCTTTGGGCGTGTACGCAATTGGACGGCCCATTTGCTCGGTGATTTCTTTGCCCAATGCATCCTGGCGTTCATCAAGAAGCTTCAGGGCTTTCTTAACGATTTGCTGTCTCTCTGATAGTGAGGTACGCCGAAAAGACTCGAAAGCGCGAGTGGCTATCTCGGGGATCGACTGGATATCAGCATCTGAGAGGCCATTGCGGGTCAGAATTGGCTGGTTGGTGATGGGAGAGATGGTTGTGATCTTCTCCACCGACATGATGTTGCTGACGTTTACTTTGTGGCTTAATGTGTGCGAAAGACGTCTGAGCATCAGCTATTGTATGCGTTGGTGCAGTTCGAGCCAGAGTAAAGCTTTCAACGTCGTGCGCGCCCGCACTAACGGCCGACGGCCGCCGATGTCGGTGACGTAACGCCCTTTGCCCAATCAGGCACCATGTGGATAACAAGTGCTCGGTGCTCCTTCCCTCTCGGCCTCATCCTTATCAATCTTGCCGCATCCCACAGATGATACCAACAGCATCTCTGGAGCTTTCGCTTTTTTTTTTTGAGAATTTCCGAGGTAACATTGGGATTCAAGGCAACTTGATTCAAGCTGCAGTGGTACCTGCAGTACGATTCCACTCAGTCCACACCGCTGACCAAAACCATGCAAGCAAGCGAGACGTAAGGCCCTCGATGGCCTTCGGTCACCGATAGGTACCTATTCTGACATTAAACACTTTGTTTTCGGTTGACACATGGCTTGGTCTCGATCACGAGGATGCTGATGAGAATGCTCACCTGCATTGTCAGCACCACCTTGCCAGAGTAGGCATCTTGCTACTTTGGGGCCTGTACTTGATATCTTTACAATTCGAACCGAAACAAACACGGCGTAAACTTAGGATATGCACCGCGTCGCAGCACAGCCCTGTCACCGGAAATCTTCTAAAGCCTTGGCGGTATCGTACAACAATAAACGCCTGTGGGAGTGTCTGATGATCGATCATACCATCAAACTTTACGAGAGATCGTTGTTATTAGCGAGGTCCAGTGCGTGCTCAGCAATGCATTGGGCCCTGTTACCCACTCATATGCAATGGCAACTGCATATTCACGTGTATCGAGGAACTCCGCGTTCGGAAAGGTGTGCCGAATAGCTTTGACTAGCGAGATTCTGAGCCGTCACTGACATCGCGTACGCTTACCGTTGAAAGCGGAGCGATCCGCCGGCCGCAGTATCGTGCGATATGTGGAAGTAAGGATCGACTAGCGAATGCCACCTAGGCCCTCGTTCCGATCCCCGAGGGCGAGCAGCATCATGGCCTTCACCATCATGGCCTCATCGATTCAGGCGGAGCAGTTCCCTCCGTTCAAGACAAAGCAGCCCGGAGCGATTGAAGCTGCAAGTCCACGAGTACAAGCGATCTACTTGACCACGAGCCGCTGACTGTGGGCCTTGTTCAAATTAAGTCAAGACGCCACCAAGGTTCTCTGCTGCCACAGGGCGAATCCTATTCGATACAATTGTATCGCGCTGCTTGGACCTATCCCTATCCGGCTGTGACATAGCAACTACTGCGAGTGACATCCAGTCCGTCAGAAAACGAGGGCTGGGTCCGAGGCGCTCATTACCGAGCTCAAACTCCATCAAGTCAATTGCATACAAATTTGGTGCCAACTCCTGACATCGGGGTAACCTTGCGAAGACGACAGTACCTAGTCACTGGCGTCTGAACATGAAAATAATACGACAGGTACGGATGTACATACTCCACTGCACAATGTGTCCCCTGTTCAAAGCACGCGCAAACGCGTCAGGCCCGTAGCTACGACCTCACAGCGCTCGTTCATCATGCTGCTAGTTCAGAGCTAGGGTAGATGACAACGCACATCAGAACATCGCATCTTGCCAAGTAAGATCCAATGTATCTCGAGCGAAACACAAAGCGAGAACACAGACCAGCAGGTTCCGTGCCTTGAGGTCCACCACGGCTACGGGATACGGTTGCCGATCAAGGTTCCAACCTGCTCGGAGACATGGCACCCAAAAAAATGGCACATAGGAGTGTCGTATCACAGCTTAGGGCCCCGTCGCCTGTAGAATCAGGGTGGGTCCAATCCACCAATTACTTTCTCCAGAATTGCTGCATTTGCCTAGCCCATGGTGGACAGTCTGGAGCGCATCTTTGCAAGCTCCCATCACGGAAGATCCAGCGGTTTTGTGGACTGTGCTCAAAGTGGAACTGATGGTGTGCAGCGGGACCCTAGTCGCCTACAGGGGTACATATGGACTTGCATTAGCGACCTGAGAGACGGGACGGAGCATCTCGACTTTCGAGCAGGCGCACGCGCAGACTTGCGCACCCTGCTTACTCAAAGCTACTGCAGCGTATGGTTCAGTGACGTTCCGAACGCGCGATACAGTTGGTTCCAGGGAAGGAACATGTCTGCCTACCCTTGTTTAGTGCTGGGCAGGTACTTCTCTAAGCACCGAGAAAGTCATAACGCCTTGCGACTTAAGGCCCGTTGCGGAGGCAAAGAGCTGCCCGACATCTATAATGAACTGAGGTACACCGCACCGTTTGGACGGGAACGGTCGCCCTGCATACGCCTATGACATACCTTGACGGCAAAGGTACTGACCTTTTGCCGCGGGACTTGGGACATCACTCACATCGTGTTTTGCCACCAAACACCCTTCGACATTTCTCAGCCGAGACCTCGACATTCCCAGCGCTTGCATTTTGACAGTCGAGCTTCCAGTTTGTCTCTCCGATTCGGACTCTGTAGTGCGATCTTTTTACGGGCGCTAGGAACAATATGTCCACCAGTCTCCATCAATACCCGCCGGGGTCCAGCCTACTCCACACGCCGAACACTGTTGACCCGCAACAACACCACGTTCTGCTCGCACAGCGTACTGGACCCTCAAGCACAAATTCGTTGCGGTATGAAACGCTGCAGTTTTATCATCGTCCGAGTGTTACTTTGAATGGCAATGCTGTGGGTAAGCCTCCTCGCTTGCCGTACGCCAGCGGACCGTTAGCTGCAGCCCCCCGCACTCATCGGGGCACGATGCTTCACGAACGATCAGGTCGTACGTCAGGACCTGTGCGACGAAGAATTAGCAGGGCGTGTGATCAATGCAATCAATTGAGAACGAAGTGTGATGGACAAAAACGTACTTCACTCCCCTTGTTTTATAAAGCATAGGCTGACAGAAGATAGCTTGTTCACATTGTTTAGGTAAATACTACTATCGAGAGCTCTCTTGGCTTCTGCGGTATCGAAAGGACTTCTAGAGAGTCGAGCTAACTACCATCTAGAATTCGGATTGACCTGCGCGTATTTGCGCGAACGTAAGAAACGCGGCAAAGCTTCTCGTAAGGAGATCGCCCAGCAACAAGCCGTCGCAGCGGTATCATTCGACAGGCAAACGCGTCCCAGTGAAGATCCAGTTATCGCGACCCCTCAGTCGCAAGAAACCCCATCTGACCAAGCATACACCACGAGTCCAACCCCATCCAGTAGCCAGTCGACATTTCCAGCAGCTTTCGTACCAAGTCGCTCCAATAGTCTGGCAACGACAAGAGCCAGGAAACCAACGCAGATTTACTCAGGTCGTACTATGAGTTTGGGTGCTCTTGATTCGGTTCCAGGAGACAATTTGCAAGCTACCGGTAATGGATTACACCCTCCACAACCAGCCCGAATCCAGACTCAAGGTTTACCTCGAAGCGAATATGCCACTACCCACGATTTCCAACAAGATATCGCGTACCAATCACCGCATGCCATGATGCAGCCGACGATTCACCCGATCGTCCCTTCCAACGAAAATTCCATGGAATATCCGGGTCATCCTCCCATCGCGTTCATGGCACAATCTCTTCCGGAAAATGCATCACATCTGGACTTTGCCACTCATTCGCCCTTATCTGGCTCGCCAACTTGGATGCTACCTTCACCTTCTGCTACCTTGTACTCTGGTGGAGCCCGTCCAAGATCATCTCAACTCCTTCGCTACCCGGTCCTGGAGCCCGTGGTACCATATCTTGTGGATATCATGCCTCTCTCATTAGCGTGCGATCTTTTGGAGCTTTACTTTGAGAGCTCGTCATCGCTTTACATGCAACCGGTCTCTCCATATGTTCTTGGTCATGTGTTCAGGAAGAATTCGTTTCTGCGGAGAGATAACCCACGCGCTTGCAGCCCAGCTTTATTGGCAAGTATGCTATGGATTGGATGCCTGACCAGTGAATCTCCGTATCTCGCATCAACGCCGACTGCCAGGAATCAGATGTCGGAGAAGTTGGTTAATCTCACCATCGGCCTTTTGAAGCCATTGGTACATCAAACACCGGTAGTATCCGACCAAGACCATGCTTTGTATAGCAATACCAATATGGCACATGGTATCACCATGGGAGGGTTTGGAATGCCGACCCAAATATCGGAAGAAAACATCGGGCTTGAGCTGCACTTCGGCAATCTAGATGATGTAGCAACATACGTCAACCTCGGAGTGGTGACATCCGCTAGCGAATATAAAGCGGCCTCGTTGCGTTGGTGGAACGCTGCGTGGTCACTAGCTAGGGAGATGCGTCTGGGCAAAGAGATTGTCACGCCGCCACCTGACCTGTACGACGAAGATTCCATTGGCAACATTGACAATCGGAACACGTATCTAGAGGCTACAGAAGAGCAACGCGAGGAGCGCAGACGTATGTGGTGGCTCTTGTATACGATGGATCGGTACGTTCATGTCTCTTGATCAAGAGCAAAGCACTAATAACATTTCCAGACACTTAGCATTATGCTACAATCGACCACTTTCCTTCACAGATGCCGAATGCTCAGGCCTTCTGCAACCATTTGAGGAACACGTATGGCAATCTGGCGATTTCTTCGAGGATTCCGCTCAATCATTACCAGATCCCACATTTCGCCGAAGAGGTCCTGCATTCGAATGCACCGGTCACTCCTCCATATTCGAGTTTTTCCTACCACTGATGACGATTCTCGGCGAGATCCTAGATCTTACGCACGCAAGAAATCACCCCAGATTTGGTGCAAAGACTGACTGGGACGAGTACGCAATGGAGATCAGTCAGCGGCTAGACGCTTATGGTCGATCGTTACAAGACATGCAACAGCGGAGCATTCTCGAAAGCAGCACCAATACGCATGACGCTGCCCCGTCACACTCCTCATCAAAAACCACAGCAAGTCCAATGGCGCAAGAATCGTTAATGCACGCCCGAAGTGTAGTGACGTATGGCACGTATCTCATGCATACACTTCATGTCCTATTGAACGGGAAATGGGATCCGATCTCGCTGTTGGACGATAACGACCTTTGGATATCATCGCAAAGCTTCGTCACCGCGACCGGGCATGCGGTTTCTGCAGCTGAAGCACTAAATGAGATTCTTGAACTTGACCCAGACCTAAGCTTCATGCCATTCTTCTTTGGAATATACCTCCTACAGGGGAGCTTCCTGCTGCTTTTGATTGCGGATAAACTGCAAGGGGAAGCGAGTCCAAACATAGTGCGCGCGTGCGAAGTAATTGTGCGCGCGCATGAAGCTTGCATTGTCACCTTGAACACGGAATACCAGGTACGTCCCGCTTAGCGTAGGCGAATTCTTCCCATCCATCCATGCGTGGCGTCATCGAGGCTGACCCAGGTGACTGCAGAGAAATTTCCGTAACATCATGCTCTCGGCTCTGCTGCAGATGCGTGGCAGAGGCATGCAGGCTTCTGTAGAGCGCCGCCGGGAGATGCTAAGCTTGTACCGATGGGGCGACGGAACCGGGCTCGCCCTGTGAGGTGTCTGTATATGATTATGTGCTATGATCCACGATCTGGTATTATAACGACATGTTCTTGTTGAGAATGAAAGCTCATGCCCGATCCCGTCATAACTCTCTCCACGTTGTATGCAAGAGTGATTACGCGTGAACCACCGGACTGGGTTTGTTGTCACGCACTGATTCGTAGAGCCCACACAGCTGCTGACGAGCTTGGTCTCGGACCAACGGCGCGAACATGTCTTCCCGATTGATGAGTCGCTGTTGTTGATCCCGGTATTGCCACACGCTCGGCGACGGTATGATCCGTGATCGTACCGTGAAGGAAGTTCAGACCAGGTTGTTGTTCTTCATCCGGAGACCCGTCACAATCCGAGCCAAAAGTATAATCATTGCCGACTGCTCGATGAGACGCCTCCGGACCCCATGTTTTCCATGCGAGGCAAGGATACGAGAGCCGCTTCGGGGCGTGCGGCAGCGGTCTCCGGCTTCGATATCGTCCCGTGGCAAACCCCCGAAGCTTAGTTTGGGACTGACATACGAGAATGACTCTTGGTATCTAGGAGAGATCAGCTAAGGAAGATAACTTGCGCAAGATCGTCTCAGCAGAGCCTAGAATCGGCCTGGATTGTGTCCAGCGTGTCTCTAACGATCCACTGTTGTTATGAAAGGCGGAACGGCCCCACGCGCTCTCCAATAGTTTGCGCCACGCTTCTCCATCCGGAACCCGTCTCGAGATTCCCGTTAGTCGCGCATCTTTGCACTCGAAGCGAGCGCTCGTCACACTTCTTCTAGCCAATGAGTCGTGATGGCCAATCAGGGCGTAGGGACAACATTGGAGGTCTAAGCCTCCAGTCACGCTGGCATGCGGCTCGCTCGAATCTCACGTCCTCTGACGACGCACCTGATAGGTAGTTGGGGGCTTTCCTAAATCTGCTGGGTCATCCAGGCATGGATTCGAGCCAATTGGTGACTCGAGCTAGGGACGGTGACTAGGATATCGTATATGGTACCAAAGATGCCGATCAAAACTGATAGCTAGTTCCAAGTTGAAGCTGCGTTAGCCTGTACTAACAATGCTGTGGATCAGTGTTGCGTCCCGTTGGGGCTGTCAGCCGGCGTCACAAATGTGGACTTGTCGCTGCTTGAGGAAAATGGACAAATATGCCCGGTGCTTCATAGAGAATACGAGGCCGAACAATCTATGGATGAAGGTTGATCATCTCGTCGAGAAGGTTGAGTGCAGATCGGAGCCTCGGAAGGTCGTAGCGAGATGATGCCAGGTCAACGGTCAAATTGCATTAGTTATGTCCCCGTGCGGGATACCCTGCAACATCGACGGAGGCGCTTACCAGATCGTGGAGTTCGATCCTGCGCGTTTTTTAACGCCGCGCAGGTCTAGAAAGCACGACACTAGACTGCAAATGAGAAAAAGTGAATGCGACCACGTGTGGCGCTGGTTATGCATGGGACCCCGATCGTTCATCCCCGGACTGCTAGCCCTTGTTATTGACCGAATCGGACGGCCAACACTCAATACCAACAATCAGCACATGTATACAACGTTTTGACGATTGTTTCCAGGGCACTGTGTAACAGCCAGGGTAATAGTTCGGGGGTCCAGGATGCTCGGAACGCCGTGCCGACCATCTCGGGACAGCACGATACGTTTCATTACCCGGTGGACATGATCTTGGCCCATAAGCCAAGACCTATACCAGACCCAGGTATATACACTCATCGCCCACCGGTTTCGCAAAGGATGCGTTTCTGCCTGTAGCTCGAGTAATGACACGCCACCACTCTCTCTTCGAAGGGTCAGCTTTCCCGGCCCTTGCCGCATTGTACAGTGGTTCCAGGTTCAGATGAGATTGCGCAAAGCTGGGCTGAGGGCTCGGGCGAGGCAATAGGTAGTTGTGGGGCTCGTTGTGGCCGCACGTCGTGCCGTGGTCCAAGAACAACTTCCACTCGTGTGCAGGTCGAAATTGGGTGTCTGGCGATTGACTGTAAGACATGCACGGACATATTGTAAGCCTTCTAGCGTTTCGAAATCCAGATTTCATGCTCAGCGACATGCAGTCGGGATTCATGGAAAGAGTTGGGTACTTGTCGTTGTGATCGAGGTCATCGAAATACGAAGTGTCAACCAGACCCGTCGAGATCGCGTCAGCCGAGCTTTCCCCGGGCCCTTTGTCGATCCAATTCACCAAACGTCACGAACGCTGCCAATCACCTACTCGTTGAGTATACCAGAGACATGCCAGCAAAGACATATCTCCGTCGGTCAAATCAACAGTCCGAATGATGGCCAGGCACGGTTCACCTATCTGACGAGTCATCAAGCAACGGATGATTCACTGCCATGGCCGGCCGATCATCATTCGCGACCTTGAAAGCCGCCGCTGATGCTATGCACGTAAGATGAAGTGCTACCCAGCTAATCATGACACACTGTAGCAGCTCTACCCCATATGAAAGCACTACGTTCTCGTCTCTTTTGCACTGCATCCAGGCATGTTCGATCAACCACTTGGCAAAACGCAGTATAATAACAGGCAAGAAGGATCAACGATGTCACAAAGACACCTCAAGCTTTACCCTGGGAAAGACGGAGATCACTAGGTCCTTGGAGTTATCGTTGGTATCTCTGGAAATAGTCCCTACACTTCTCATCGAACTTGCTTCTTCCTGTATTGAGGGACGAAACTACACACAGCTTTTGTCCATGCTATCCGTAACGAGTTCACACTGTACCCAGACTTCGTCGGCCCTATCACTGTACGCAAGCGCGGGCATCAAGAGTACTACCGCGATACTAATTTAGCCAAGTCAAAGGAACTACGTGCCGCACAGCTAACACTTCTCGCCTACTGTAACGTCATCTTCAACGCCTTTCACTATCGATATTAGGTGTGTTGGTCTACAACCACTCAGAGGTGTTGGGCGAAGACTTCAATTCGGACACAGAGTTAGTGATCGCCCTGTTCTTCTTCTCCTTTCTCTACATCGCTGACCAGACACAAGTACATCTCATTCGATACGCTCCATCGAATCCTCGGAACCCCCTCTAATGTTCTACTAGACTGCAAGGTGGACGGCGGACCAGAAGCAGTTGAGACTCTAAGAGAATTGATGAGCGTACAGGCACAAGCATGATCCAAAGAGATGTTTATCATGTCTTTTGGATATCGATACTTGCGATCGGCCTTGCGTGACTCTTTCCAAGGCATAACAAAAAGGTGTCTCCGACTAGCTGAGAAGCAGTGTCATCGTACTCGCTTTGGATTAGTACGATGGTGAAGTACCTGCGCTTCAGGTCCTAATTCGACAATTGGATCACCTTTGGCACTTTGATTGTACATTACAGGCAGGCGTTTGACCCGCTGCAAGATCATCGACGAACATCCGCTTTACGTATAAAGCTCTTAGTCTAACAAATACAACAAACGGCGTTGGATTGCGCAGCCGTTAAAAGACTCACGGAAGTTCATGTTGCAAAATGCACCTGTCACGCAATTGTCCCACCGTAGCCCCCTCTCGGGGAATATGACAACTGCGTTCTGACCTCTGAGTAACTCCATTAAAACCCTTTTTAGAATCTTCCTGAAGTCAGAGAATGGTACGGGTTTCCTCGATTCGAACGACAGTACAAGTTTACGTTTAGGCCTGGCTCAACCGGAGCGAAGAACCGCAAGGATATTAGAAAAGAGATGGGCGAAGCTTACGAAGACTGGGTTGATGTCGACTGTGAGGAGAAATGCATGAACAAGGTAAACAGACCGCAGTGCCAGCGAGAAGACGGGAGCAACAAATTACAGCAGATACTGCTAGTGAGTATGCGGAGACTGAGTGTTGGCATCCTGTACTTATAGCTTCACGAGTCCATGTTCTAATACAAGTTATGCGCAAGTGATGACTAGGATATCTAGTTTCGGTACAGGTTACAACTCTCTATACATGCCAGAACAGATAAGACAGTAAATCAATCCTCGCCTATATCTACAGCCTCGCCATGGTTCCTCTCTTCGCCCGCCCCTTAGCCTTCTTCTTCGCAGCTCCGACTTCGTCCCGTCCTATGCTCTTTGCATCCAGTACGTCGCCCTCCCACAGCGCTTGACCCACAACATCGACCAGACTGAGCACTCTTGTCTGCACCGTCGCGCCGTCTCGTCTGTTCTTGCCTTCGCGACGACTGGCACTTATGCGTTCGGCAAAGCGCCACAAGGGGCCGTCTGCGATGATGCCCTTCGACCCTCTTACCGGCGACCATTCGTCTGCAAGTCGGATTGTGGTGGGCATCTTCGCGTTCTTGCTCTTCGCGACGATAATCATGCCCTCCTCTTCGAATCTCGTGTAAGAGTTCTTGAGCGTCTCTTTGTTGACTGCTTCATAGTACGACAGGTCGCCTTGGTGATAGAGGGTCTTGCCGAGCAATTGAGCGCGATCTTGGACTCGTTTCATGTCTAGCCACCTCTCGTTTGCGGCGGAGAGCTCGCTGGTAGTGTGGTTCAAGGGTAGTGTAAGCATCATGAGCGAGACGGCCCCAAGCCAGGCGGCCTCGATGAAAGGCCAGATGAGAAAGCAGTAGAAGTCGAAATTCTCTCTGCCAGTCTCCCTCTCTTGGTCGGTCAACTCCACGTACTCAATGACACCCTCGGTGTCGCGAGTTAGTTTGATAACGTTGTCCGCCTCAAGACCAGCGATTGTGCGCGCAAGGTTAATGTCGAGACCTTCAGTTGGAAAGATGAATTCGCCACGGAATAGTTGAGACAGAAAGCCGACCTGCGCGTGTAGGTCGGCATATGGCATACGTTGGGATTCGGGGGCGCCGCCCCGTTTGACAGTGCTGTAGAGCGCCGCGGAGACCAAAGACTGGAGAATGAAGAGGTGAATCGTCATGTTGCGGTAGAAGGAAAGTTGGAAGCTAAATAGTCTGTCAGCGAATATGAATGGTGACAAAGAGGTTACACATACCGATCCACAGCGTAGTAGGTATCTTCGGGCAATCCAGGCACAAGACCCACGAGCCCTGGACCAAGCACTTCAAGCGCTCGATCCACTACAACACTATTAGGCAAGTTTCCGAAATGCGCGACTCTACCACCTTGAGCACGAACTCGATCACATAACCATTCCACTCGTCTGACGAGCTCAGTCTTACCTACTCCACGTCCTCTAAGGGTAAGGAGTACTGTACCGACTAGCGCAGTAGGCATGACGACAGATACATCGTTGATCTCAGATAGCACCTTGAAACCAAGCGTTCTCAGCAAGCGAACGCGATCTTCTTTCGAATCGAGCTGTTTAGGCAGCTTGCTGGCGCGCGCTCGTTGCTGATCAATGAATGTTCGCAGTGACCAAGGCTCATGGAAGCGAACGTCAACGCGCCCAAGCTTGAGTGACAATACTGAAGATGAGGATAAAAAATCCATCAGGTTCTCTTTTGGCTTTGGCTGCCCGAGAAGCTCACTGATATACGAGTCGACTTCAATTACCTTGTCGTATTGTGTAGACACAGGACATATGATGGCGTCCTCAACCCGTCCGCTCGCCACACTGTCAAGCATGTAGCTCAAGATGCCGAACTTGGGAGGCAAGAGCTTGCCAGTGCGACTTCTGCCTCCTTCCACAAAGCACTCCATGTTGTATCCACACTGAAGTAATGTGTCGATGTAGGCCTGTACAAGGGTGGTGTACAACTGATCATCTCCAAAGCTCCGCCGTATCCACATCGCTCCAGCGTGTTGGAGAAAGGATCCCACAACAGGGAAGTTAAGGTTATCGCCGGCGACAACGGTAGGCAGTGCGAGACCTAGGCGATAACAGATAATCTGCAGCGAGACATAGTCGACGTGAGAGCGATGGCAAGGTAAGAAGATAATCGAATGCTTCTTCCGCGCTGCTTCGGCAGCCACGGTGCGTAGTCGCAGAACCTCTTCGCTAGAAACGTGCACGCCCTGGTGATATGCCCTTGTTAGGAGCTGCGTGGCCAGGTAGTACGCGCCGCGAATGAAGTTCTTGCTCTCCATCTTACAGATCATACCGTCTGTCCATGTCTCGCTGACCTGCATGAGCGACTCCTCGATCTCTGTCTTTCGCTTCGCTTTCCGGTCCTTCTCCCCTACACCACTGCCATTTTGTGCCTCCACGCCCAACAGACCCTCATTAGCTTCTACCTCGACTCTGCCCTCGGCCAGCTCTCGAACTTTGCTAACAAGCATGGGATTGTTGAGCACCCGCGTCTTCATGTCCTCTGAGAAGCCTGAGTAGAACTCGGGCTGCCCGACATGATTGTCAAATGAGCGCCATCCTGAGCCGGAGAACTGCAGGGACACTTCGCGTATAAAGTCCAGGGGAGAAGAGCGGAAACGGGCGTAGCTGTTGATGAGGCCTCGATCAGGCGATTCGTTGTAGCCGGCGGCGTGGAGGTGGACATCGTCGGCTGCGGTGATGCTCAGATCGGGCGCGTATTCGGACGTTGTGGCACGGGTGCGATCTTCTTTTCCGCTCTTCGAGGCGGTCATTGTGGGCGAGGAAGGAGCTTTGGACTGTTGTGGTGGTAGGTGGCGCCGATCGACACTGGAATTCGACGCGGACGCTTCATGGACAAGAAGCGACTAACAGCGTGGAATTATGTGCAAGCATGTGAAGTCATATAAACAAGGGTATAACGCATAAGAGGCAGATCATAACAGTGTGGAGAAGATCCCCAGGAGCGTCGGTGTGGAAGCGCGTTCCGATGGCGTCAAGCCTTCAACCCTGGACTTCCCTGTGCCTCGGTTGCGGGGAATCGCCGCTCATTTGCCAATGCACATCACGGAGCAACCTCGTTCAACCTTGCTGCCCCTAGACCATCAACGTGACTCTCAGTATTGTTGATTTCTTGTTATGTTTTAAAACAGTTCCCAAAGGCTGACCTTTCCATCTTTGGCCCCTGCAGCAATCCAATGTTTGACCTGCATCTTTTCTTCACGGTGTCTCTGCAGCTTGCCGAGCCCAGTTTCCTTATTTGTAACCTCTCCAGATGTCTCTCCGCTGTTGCTTTTTCCTGCGACCTGATGCAAATCGCTGGCTACCAGTATTGCTGCAAATGCTACAGCATACACTCCTTCTTTGTGCCACTTCAACACCGCAACTTCTTTCAGCGTCTTGGCACTGTATACGCGGACACGCGAGTCCCAACCTCCTGTGACCAAGAGTCGGCCGTCTGATCGTACCGAGAGTGATTGTTGGCCGGCGTGTTTAGTGTTGTTGACCTTGTATGGCGCTTGAACTGATAGCAAAGGTGGCGGTGCAGTCTTAGAGGTCTTCAGAGGTGTAGCAGCATTTGACAAAAGCGAAGAGAGACCACCTGCTCCGCGACTGGACAGTCCAGGCTGTACTGAAGTGGCTATGGGACGCTTTGAGAACGAAAAAGGCTCACCAGGAGAAGTGTCATCTGGAATAGAAATGGGCGGGTCATCCACTGGCAAATCTTTGGTACCGCCTCCAACAGTCCCACTTGAAGCAGTCTGAAGCTCAATTTCAGGACTTGGTTTTGGGATAGAGATGGGCGGATCGTCCTCGTCGTCTTGAACCCGCAGGAATAGATTTTCATCTTCGGGTCTGGACGGCAGATCCGGTATGCGATGAGCTGCAATGATAGCATCGGCACCGGAAGTGAAGTACATCTCAGCATCTGGCGAGACGTCCAGAGACAGGATAGGCTGTGTATGAGGCTGGCTGAGATATACAAGCTGAGCAATCCCAATGACTGAGTCATCATCCTTTGGGAGTAGATGTACGGCAGTCAGCCCTCCTTCGTAGCCGGTTACCACAAGCGTCTGTTGTGCTGTCGAATTTCGTACAAGTTTCAGAGCCATGACCATCCCTGCATTCGTCAGCGTGCCTGCCGGTAGGTGCTTGTAACGTCAAGATGTAACCTGCGATTTCACGCAGCAATAAAGTACCTACCTGTATCTTTAGATTGCGCGCGAGGGACTACGTACTTCAGTCTCTCTTCTGGAAATTGATACACTTCTGCTTTCTTATCGTCTCTTGCTGGCACTGCGATTAGAACTGACGCATCATCTTCGATGAATCCACTTCGAGCTGATCCAATCGTGTTCTCGTTCTTCTGTGCCTTTCCCTGCACGATCCCCTCACATGCAGAAAAGGCACAAAAGTTGAGGGTGTTCACCGGGAGCGTATGCAGAAGCCATGGTGTTGCACGATCGCCCGAAGGAACCTCTGCAGGCAAAGCTGTCGACAGTGCGGACTCATCGGCTGCGCGTATTTGCCATATCCGAAGATTATTGTCGCGACCGTGGCTGGGTGACGCAAGACGTCAGTGACACGACTGGACACGGTCATGGCAAACCACTTGAAACAAGCGATCGCAGCTATACAGAACTAAAAAACATAATCTGCTAAACTCACGTTATAATCTTGTCATGCGCCCATGCAGCTGTTCCTAGAATGGCACCGTCGTGCGCCTTCCACACGGCTAGCGCGCGTTTGGTCTCGAGTTTCCAGTATATGATCCAGCCGTCTGCATCGCCTGTGATAAGACGAGTGTTCTGGCGTGCGAATTGAACGCTGTGTATCTGCGAGGCGTGGCCACGAAGGATGTAGCTGGGCTGGGCTGGCGGCAGATATGCTGATTGGCGTTCAACCGCCATGAGTGGTGAGTGCAGTCTCAGAAGCGGGCAACCCGGAACGAGACGATCGGCGAATAGTGGGACGGGCGCCTGTCAAATGGTTCAAGTCTGTCGACGTGCAGCAACACGACGCGGCTGTGCAGGCACCGCCCGGTCCTCGAGGCAGTCTGCAGAGTGCTAGGAAAGGGCCCGTCGTCGTCGAGGCCGAAACGCAGGGAGCCTCTATGCTTGCGCGCACTGCGCAGCTGTGAGTGGCTTGGTTGAGCTACAGACGCCGGCTCACGATGCACCCGCCGCCAACTGATGTCGACAGCACGGTCCCTGCGCGGATCAAGTGAAGACACATCAAGCAAGATCGGCACGGTGTCCTTGATGTGCTGTTGCGTCCCTGGTCGCCTCTCACTGCTCTTTGCGAGGATGGGATGACAGTGGCCAGCAGCTGCAGGGAAGGGCTATTTTAGGCGATAGCTTGTTTCCGGCTTCTTACAAGAATTGACGACCTCACATGCAGGCGGTCATCATGCATCAGCGCCATGAAGCTGTGAGATTCGAGGCAGCGCGAGTTGCACGCGGTCCAAAAGAGACTCCCGCAGCGCGCGACGACATTGCTGGAAAGCCGCGGATGCGGTGAAAATCAATAACTTTATCAGGGTGCGAAGTCGCCGAATTCCATTGCAAATCGCGGCCAAGTTGTGCACATCACTGCCAGAGCAGGGCATGCCGGCGCGCATCATCGGTTTGGCGTTTGCTTGTGACAGCCCTCTGAACGCGAATCCCTACCCATCGCCCTGTTGCAGCTGTTGCGTTTCTTCTGCTGGATTGGCATTGCGACTCTGTTCCCAGCGTAAATGATCCTGCGACTTTGAGGAGTTGAAGCCCAAAGTGGCCCGCGAAAACGTCACCGTCCAGGGATCAGGAGGCCGTCGCTTATACCTGCCGCCTTGCACCACAGGTCGATCCTTCCTTGAACTCAACGAAGCTGAGCAGCACTCCTTCTCTCGTCATCGTTGGTCTTGTGCCAGCCAGCCAGGGCAGAAATCAATAAATCTTCTCCTTGCGACGCGCTTCCACGGTTCACATCCTCCCGCGACTGCGATCCGAATATAGCATTAGTCAACGCCCTCCGGTCTTGTAACTGCCGTACCGCCCTGCGCAGAACCTCGCTCTCCCGCAGCCTACACAGCAATTACTGCCGACCCCCTCTACCCTCAGCCTCACAACTTCTGTGCGCTCTCTTGTTGTGCACTGCTTCGATATTCTTACCTCGCGCCACCTCATTGCTCTCCAAGTACCGTCAGACACGTATCCGCCGTCGCCTGCGCCGCCCTTGACAGTTCCCACCATCGCACAGTACCAATCGCACCATAGGCTGCGCCACGACTCCGAGCAACTGTCCAAGCAACTGTGCAAGTTTCCCGTTGCAGCACCGTATCCAGCCAAGACACGTAGGAGGGACAAACGGTGTGCATTGCGGCGTGTGTAGTATACCACTTTCCACGTCTTCGAAGTGCTGAGCCGACCGCGGGACATTTGTTCCTGTCCTGCTGGATGCTCTCAAAAGGAAGACAGGATGGCCAGCACCGTCGTTCTAACGCCTCCGCCCCGGAACGACTCGCCTAGCAACAAGAATTCCAAGAAGAGGGAAAGTGATGCTACACCAGAAGGCAAGCCCAAGAGGACGCGCACGGGATGCTTGACATGCAGAGAAAGGCATTTGAAATGCGACGAGACCAAGCCTTGCTGCAACAATTGCGCGAAGTCACAGCGCGACTGTAATTGGGGCAAGAAACTCAACTTCCTTGACACTACATGCGAGAAGAATGCCTATTTAATTCCCAAGGGCGCGGAGTACCAGGTTGCCTTCCAGGACGAGTCGAGAATCATCGCGGCCGAGTACGTGGGCGGGCGAGAGATGTATCCTGCGGAAGAGACCGACGCGTACATACCTATGGCAGGCAATGGCTTCTCTATGGGACCACCTGAGGGTATTGCACCTCCACCAGCTGCACACCAGCTATTTCCTCCCATCCAAGGCATGGCTCAGGAGTCCTACCAACAGGCGCAACACTACAGCTACGATCGCCAGCAAGTTCCACAACACCATGTACGAACTCGTAAGTAGTGCTTCCTAGCCAACAAAATAGACAATTTAACTGACAACATAGACTCCAACTACTCGAACTCGAATCGATCGCCGTATGCCATGGACCATGGCGCGAGTCCAGCACCGGTCCCCACCCGCGACTACCTGAAGTCCCAAGAGGAAGTGCTATACATGCAGGTGTTCGTTGAAGAGATAGGGATCTGGATGGACAGTATGGATGGGCATAAGCACTTCTCGCGTCTGCTTCCATTCCATGCGCTGAATGAGCCTATGCTACTAAACGCTTTCTTGGCTTGCGGTGCTCGTCATTTAGCACTCGTGAACCCCAAATACAGCGAAGAGAAAGCGCTGCACTACTACGATATTGCGACACAAGACCTCCTACACTCCCTACAAGACCCGGACCGCGATACCATCCTCTGCGCGACCACGGCAGTAATCCTGAATGTATACGAGATCATGGGCGAACGAGCATTGCAGCGGATGAACCACATTGCTGGTGCTCGAGCCTTGATCAAAGAGTGTCAGTGGAACGCACGGTCAATCGGTGTTGGGGCAGCCTGCTTCTGGCTGAATGTAGGTATGGAGATACTCAGCTGCCTTCACTTTAACTGGCAGGTGGCTTGGGACCCAGACGACTGGGGCATCGAGCTGGACTTTTCGCCTGAGACCGAATCAGGAAAAGAGGAGACCTGGACGCATAAAATTCTGTACATCGTTGCAAAGATCTGCAACTACCGCGCGTCCATACCACGAAATCCGGACATTGCAAGGCAGACGCTACAAGACCGACACAATGAGTGGCTTCGTCTGAAAGATATGACAGACCGATGGAATGAAGGCATTCCGCGCACTATGCATCCTATGGCATACTTATACCCAGGCCAAACGATTTCAGGGTCGGCCTTCCCAGAAGTGTGGCTGATCAAGCGAACCTCGATCGTCGCGCGGCTTTTCTATCACACCTGTCTGGTTCTGCTTGCCCAGATCAATCCCATCCAAGGGTCTAACGAGCCAGAGATGTGGAACATGATTGAGCAAAATTCCAAGTTCATCTGTGGTATCAGCGCCCACGTCAAAGACCGAGGTGTTGCAAGTGTAGCCTTGCGTTCGCTGGCTATTGCGGGCGAGTGTCTCACGGACCGAAGAGAACAGGAAGAAGTCCTGCAGATCTTCGATAAAATCCGCCAGGAGACCGGTTGGCGGGTTGGGTTTGTTAACACCGAACTCAAGACAAAGTGGGGTTGGGACGCACAAGACCAGCAGTCGGCAAACGGACATACTCAGGATGCGAACGCTGCCTACCAGCAGCAACAAGCGCATCAGGCTCAAGTCGTCGTTCAGCAGCAGATGCAACACCCACCTACTCAGCCTCCCATCATACGGCCAAGGCCTCCACCGGGTTTTGGCAACCCACTTCTCGTCGCAGATTTCAATATGCCCCAACATCCTTATCAGAGCCACTATGTGCCAGCGAACTTCATACAGCAACAACAACCTGCGACGCTTCTACAACCACCAATTGCCATTGCAAATGGTTTCGGTGGACATCAGTTCTATTGAGCTTTCTGTTGCCATACATGAACAGTGTTGGAGCATATCTACTTCTATGTTGTATAACCGATTTGTCCCTGCATTTACCTTAGGAGCGACGGCGTCTTTGGATCTCTTGCTGTTTCCCATCCTGGTGTGGACGTATAAAAAGCGAGCAAAGTCTCCTCATGATGTTATGATCAGCGAGTTCGACTCTCGAAAGGGAGGTGCATGTCATCAATCATTGACCTGCACGATGTACATAAACCCTGGACGTAGCGTGTGGAGAGGATATATAATGTCACAGCTACTCATAGTTCTACTGTGTCTCTCGCCGCCAGCCTCTGACAATTTTCTACAAACTTTGCCTGGTACTGGATAGTCGCACAGCCTGATATCGGATTAATTCCTATAAAGATATCGATCTGTAGCATGAAATTATTCCGGTGGCAGAGTTATCTTTGCCCAAGTTGAGAATACCAAGCGCTGAGTCATCTTCTTCTGAAATAGCTAGCAAATCGTCTAGCAGGCGCAAGAAGAGAAGTGGGGCGAGTGTCTCTTAGCGCTTGCTAAGCGGTGATGTATATAAGAGTAAAACATGACAGATCACTAAATTTTGCCCCTAAATTTATACTGTATTGCCTCTTATTATTCTCGTGGCCGAGAGATCTTGCTTCCGCCAAGGTTAAATAAGATTATACCGGAAATACATGTCTCCATGCGGAAACCTTGTCCGCAGGAAGTCGAAATCCTCCAAATGTGTACCCCGCAATACCCAGAACAAATCGTATTTATGTCGTTAGATACTCCACTGGGATTGGGCACCATGCACATAACCCAGTCCACAATTCTTGTGTCAGGCTGACAGTAGGCTTGGTATCACCTTAGGTTTAAGTCAGTGGTGGAAATGGAGACTTGGGAGGAAGAAGCCAAGGAGTGCCACGGTGAGTACTGACTATCTGAAAGCTTGGTGTGAAGCTTTAGGTCCTTGGGAGCGGAATCAAGATGGCGGGAGCTATATGAAGAACAGCGTCTCCTGAAATCGTCACGACTCTGCTAAGGACAGCTTCAATTCGGCTCTGCGATTCAAGATGCTCGCTCCCAAGGTGGCATCGATTTTCGTCTCCCTCCTTCCTTCTCTGACACAAGCAGCTACTCTGTTCGCTGCTCAGTCGAGCGGCGATCTGAGCACCCTTGCACTTACTCGAAGTGGCGGCTCTTACAGCCTCTCCGTAACATCAACAACTAGAGAATGTGGCGGTAATCCCTCTTGGCTCAGCCTCGACACTCCTCAGCGCCTTGTGTATTGTCTTGATCGAGGTGTGAGCAGTGCCACCAAAGGCTCACTCAACTCATTCCGGATCGGAGAAGGGGGCGCGCTGAGCAAGATTGATAGCGCCGATGCACCATTCTCAGGCGTAGCAGCTGAGTACTTCGAGCTCAAGAACGGGAAGAGGGGATACGTCACTGCGAGCTAGTCAGTTATTCTCCCGCAGTATAGCACTTTCACTAACAACCCAAAGCAACAAGTCTGCAATTGGAGCCTTCTCATTCCCCTCCGACGGCTCTGTGGAACCCCCAGCACAGGTTCTCTTCCCGACAAACAACATCACAGGACCCATTCCGAGCAGACAAAGTGGCAGCTACTCTCACCATGTGATTCTCGACCCAACTCAGAAGTACATCCTGATCCCCGACCTGGGCGCCGATCTGATTCGCGTTTTCACATACGACCCTGAAACCGTCGCGCCGCTTACGGAACTGGCCCCTTTGAAGACTGATCCAGGCGCTGGTCCCCGACACGGCGCGTTCTGGAAAGCGCCCGGGCGCGGGAAAGACAAGGCCGTGTATCTGCTCTTCAACGGCGAGCTGAGCCAGAAGGTGTACTCGTACCGCATCACGTACAAGGCCAGCGGCCTGGTCTGGGAGAAGGTATCCGAAGCCTACGCGCTCGGCGAGCTTGGTCAGACACTGGCGCCCAATACCGCGCCAACGAGCGAGATTGCTGTTTCTGTGAGTTTCCCGTTGGTTTTAGAGGGAGTGGGTTGAGTCGCAGCTGACGAAGTACAGCCTGATCAGAAGTTTGTCATCGTGAGCAGCCGACAGCACTCTTTCAACCTGTCTCCGCTGTTCCAGAAGGCGGATAGTGATTCACTGTCGACCTTCAAGATTCATGATAATGGAAAGTTGAGTCTGGTGCAGGTAGCCCCGAGTGGGGGGTATCTGCCGAGACAGTTTAGTCTGAACAAGAAGGGTGACAAGGTCGCAGTCGGTCATCAGGGGAATAGTACGGTAGTGGTATGGGGCAGGGATGTCAGGAGCGGAAAGATTGGAGCAAAGCTCGGGGAGACTAAGGCTAGTGGTCCGGTGGTGTTTGTCGGATGGGACGAGTAGATGGGAATGATTTAGATGTGATGTAATAAAGAACATTGCGCTAATTGCAGAAGAAGTAACATATCATAAGGCATTACCATGTTAGAACAATCTTACGATGAGGGTCATTGACGCAACGCCGTGATTCCCAAACGCAAGGTTAGTCTGGAGACACATGCGCAATCCCGTTGTGATCGCAAATTACAGATGACAAGCTCATGGATATTTGGAATCGCATAACGTTCGGAGGATTTCAAGATGAGAAAAAGCGAATGTGAGATTCAAAATCCACCGATGTCCGAGGCAGTCCTTATACGCGCATGGGGATCCACTACACTGGTTTGGATTCGTTTCACATATATTATCGAGGAACAGGCGTGTGGAAGAGAATTGAAAACAAAATGCAGTCATGAAAGCATATGCAGTGTACTTTGATTTTGGTGGGTCTATGCGTGGTTGTTCTTGGTGTATACAACGTTCTGCATGCACGAGCAAGGAAGATGCTTGGGAAGTCTGGGGTTTGGACGCAGTATGGCAGGATATCTCGATGGACATTCACAGTACGGTGTTTTGTATCTTACCTTCACACATGCAATCACTGAGAGAACATGGTGGGAGCCATTAAGTGAATCAAGACTGGTGACCAACCTGAGCTATCTGACCAATCGTGATATCAAAGCTGATTGCTCAGCTAAAAGTTCTCGATGTCGAGTATTTGCCATCATGGTCCTCAGACAGGCTAACTCGTTCCTAGTTCGGCTATCAAGGTCCTAAACAGCATGCTCCTATAAGGGCCGGTCTTCTCCCCACTCCGCGGCTGTCGAATCTCCAAATCAGCCCATCTTCGTCGACGCGCACCACAGCCAACGAGGCTGGCTTCCCTTGCCCCCCGACCTAGCAATGTGAGGGTGCCCTGTCAAAGTCCGGCCTCGATACTATTCCCAGGGTCTACTTCCATCGCCCCGCGATTGGTGCTAACCGCAATGTCTCACCATGTCAGCCCGATTCCTTCCCCGCACCCATAACCACGGGCTGGTATTGCGACCAATACTCTAAGACGAGGGAAGCTGCCTTGGCCGTCCACTTGCGATGGTGTTCCATCTGGGACCGATCTCAAGATGCGTCGGCCAGGCGCGCGGCAGAATCCAGGCTTAGCGTGTTCACAGTCCATACATACGGACTGCCGGACAGATTCAATCGCCAATTTGAGCAGTATGTTCTGAAACCCGGGGGAGATGTGGATTTCACCGTTTTCCACAGCGGTCCCTTGCTCCGCTTGTTGTCATTGCTAGAGTGACCTCGTCAGAGTTGCATTGTGCAAGCTACCTACCCCGCCATGGTAGGCGCGGTCTTGCGGGTCAGGTATGTTTCCTCTCGGCATTAAGGATCTCCGCACGGTAGCCCGGGAGCCGCATGCAGTGGATCTGCTCAGATACAGAAGCAGCGCTACTATTGGATCGTGGCATCGCTCTCCTGGGCTGTGAGAGGTGCAATGTGGGCTGTGGCTTTAGGCTTGCACGACAGCTGTGGAATAACGTTTGCGACGCGTTCGACCGACCCAGCTACAGCAGGCCAGGACTCCAGGTGTCCGGGGTGTTGATGGATTCTCTTACTCATGTGAGGTACATCGAACGATGTGGTTGGACGCGAGGCTGACGGATGTTCAGCCAGGGAGTGCATGGGCCGACTGGGACACAAGGATTGATGGACGTGGCCAGCATGCATGTTTTTTCTCGCAGATCACGATCAATTGCATCAATGTCGCTGATAGCAAAATTTGCTCTTCGAATTCCTCGTCATGCTGCACGGCCGTGGAAAGCTGTTGGGCTTTTCAAAAAGATCAGGAGATACCCGTGTTCCCAAAACAGCAACGTCAAGCCACCCCGCCTCGACTTGCTGTTTGCTCACCCCTCACACCATAAAGAACGGGTCTTGAACCCTGGCGATGATGTACACACTAATGTCAGGCCACGTTAGTCCATGCTGTTCACGGGGTTTTCACTCCACTGATGGACGCTGCGGCCTCTACGCTTTGAGTTTCGCCTCCCGTCCGATGCATCATCATCCGACAGCGTGTTGCCCGGGCCTCGAAATGTACCCCTCGGTGGGCACTGCACTTCGAGATAGGATCATCAAAGGCCAATGGCAGGCCTCGACCAGCCACGAAATGCCTCCGGCCCGCCGAGCACGGCACTCGGAATGGCCGGTAGAGAGGAGCTTGTTACTGACCTGAGCTGTAGCTTCCCAAGATAGCAAGCGCTCGGGCTATCGAGATCCTGGCCTTGTAAGTATACTGTGGGTGGGGTCGCAGTCTCGAGCTCTCCCAAATGCTCGTATGTAGGTATATAAGACCTCAGCCCACCCTGTCCATTGAATCATCAGCCTTCGATCAAGCAACTCACTACCACTTTCGAGACTTTATTGATACCCAAAGTTTTATTATAAGTCCTCACACACAATCACAATGCCAGAAATCCCAAAGGAGCAATGGGCGCAGGTCATCGAGAAGACCGGCGGTCCCGTTGAGTATAAGAAGATTCCCGTACAGAAGCCGGGCCCAGATGAGGTTCTCGTCAACATCAAGTACTCTGGTGTCTGCCACACTGATCTCCACGCCGTTAACGGCGACTGGCCTCTGGTAAGCTCAGCATCCGCTCTTACTCTTGATCACATGATCTAACAACCACCAGGACACCAAGCTGCCTCTCGTCGGTGGCCACGAGGGAGCAGGTATTGTCGTCGCCAAGGGTGACCTTGTGAACGACATCGAAATTGGCGACTACGCTGGTGTCAAGTGGATCAACGGCACGTGTCTTGCGTGCGACTTCTGCCAACAGTCGGACGAGCCTCTGTGCGCCAAGGCCCTGCTCTCTGGTTACACAGTCGACGGCACCTTCCAGGAATACTGCATTGCTAAGGCCGCCCACGTGGCCCGCATCCCCAAGGAGTGCGCGCTCGACGCCATCGCCCCAGTTCTCTGCGCCGGCATCACCGTCTACAAGGGCCTGAAGGAGTCCGGCGTCAAGCCCGGCCAGTGGGTCGCCATTGTCGGTGCTGGCGGCGGTCTCGGGTCTCTTGCGTGCCAGTACGCGAAGGCGATGGGCTGCCGCGTGATTGGCATCGACACGGGCGACGAGAAGAAGAAGATGGTGACCGAGCTCGGCGGAGAGGTGTTCGTCGACTTCGCCACGTCGAAAAACCTCGTCGCCGATGTCCAGAAGGCGACGCCCGATGGCCTGGGTCCCCACGCTGTCATCCTCGTCGCCGTCAACGAGAAGCCGTTCCAGCAGGCGGCTGAGTACGTCCGCGCTCGCGGCACCGTCATCTGCATTGGCCTCCCCGCTGGAGCGTACCTCAAGGCGCCCGTGTTCGAATCCGTCATCAAGATGATCAGGATCCAGGGTAAGTCTAACCGTCCCATTCCAATCTTCAAATGCTAATTCAAACCCCCAGGTTCCTACGTCGGCAACCGCAAGGACAGCGCAGAGGCCATTGATTTCTTCGCCCGTGGCCTGATCAAGGCGCCGTTTAAGGTCGTCGGCCTGTCCGAGCTGCAGATGGTGTACGACAAGATGCACGCTGGCGCTATCGCTGGGCGATACGTCCTCGACACCTCCAGGTAGATTGCGTGTAGTTTTGCTGGCAAAGGGCGCCAATCCTGATAGGAGCGACCGAGGAATATCACGGTGGGCAGGTAGACAGGTATCTTTCCTGTACATAATGGATCAATGAACTTTCAACGTTGCAAACGACACTTTGTTTACTCGCGATGCGTATCGACTTTCTCTTAGGGCACCACTGAGTACGTTGTAAACGTTTTCTGTGTCTAAATGAATACATACGATCAAAAGACGTTGAGAACAAGCTCTCCTGTCTGATCCGCCGTCTTTCAAGGATGGACGCTTCCGGTATCAATACACACTGTGGTAACTCGCTGTTTCGCTAAGTGTGAAATGATGCACCCACAGCGGCAGGCCTGGAAGGAAAGACTCGTGCGACAGGGCCCGAGATATTCGAGATTTGACTGTTACAAAACAAAACCGCCTCGACCACATTGCTGAGGCGAGTAGACGCTATATAACATTGACAGAGGAGATTCTTCAACAAACGTTTGAAGAATTGGTCGCGACAATCTCTTTGCTAGTCGGTGGATATGCGATGGCGGCTTCGATATTCTCACATGCACTTGTCGCCTTTCTGCAGCCGTGTAACAGTCCCCTTGAACCCAAATGCCGCATGTCGTAAATCACTCGTTGCATTATCTTTGTCGTCAACGACCAACAAGCCATACTGCAGTTCCTGCTTGGCGATACGCTTGTCAACAGGGTCAGATCCTAAACAGTGCCCTCGCGCCCACTCGTCTAGATCCTTATTTCTCGTCGTGCGCACAAGAGCTGAGAAGGTGTTTGTATGTCCGACACCATTAGCCCAGAGAGCGTGAAGCCCTGCAAGCAAGATGATGAGTGTTGCAAGAACGGCCACGGCATAGGACAAAAGTAGGGAACGTGCGTTATAGCTGTGTACCAACTTAGTCGTAGAGATTGTGAGATCAGCTGGTGTCGTTGTGATGTTGTCAGTTCTGTAACTTGGAAAGTTGCTGTTGCTGTCAGTGGCCACCTAACGAGTGATGCCAGATGGACTAACATGATTGCGCCTGCGCTGAAGAAGCTAAGCGTAGCATTCTCGCTGAGTGATTCAATAGCTCTCTCAAGCGACGGTGCCGGGCAGATTGCTTCCACACCCCATGCCATATCTGCTGCCACAGCCATCTCGGGACATCCTGCCAAATCAGTTTGTAAGATCTTAGTGTCCCATGTGATATCTGCAGTGGCCCCTGCTGTTCTTACAAAGCCAGTGAAAATGGAGGCGACTGCGGCGTGCCAGCCTTGATATGCACACTTGGCGAGGTCGTAGCAGTACATCGCATCCGAGTCCCATCCCATCACGAAGCGATTGATGTAGTCGATGTCCGTGACGGAGGTTCTTTGTTCGCCATTTACAAAGGTAAAATTCGCGGTGTATGTGACGTTCCACATCTCACATGTGAAGTTGCGCTCCGGGGTTGTAAACCAGATGTCGAACTCGTACTCTGCGGGATATCCCTTATAAGGGAGCGACTGGCTTGGCACCGTGGCATTGTATGGCGTGGTCATGCCTTTCACGGGGGCAGTGTACACCTTCGATAAATCGAATGCAGTCTGATTGTGGACGTCGCCGCAGCGAAGCTTAGGTCCCTGAAATGTGAGTGTGTACGTAGAGTTCAGATGCTCTGGCGTCATAGGGAGAATACTGCCAGTAAGTGCCGAGCTTGTGACTATGCGATGTTGGATAGGACCCGCGTCTGTGAACATCATCAAGGCTGCTGAATGATACTCGAAAGCAATGTATCGCCAGTCGAAAATAGGCACAGGCGAGGTGATCTGCCGCTCAGCAAGGGAAAATGCAGCTGTCAGACTTGCTGGCGGGACTATCGCGGAGAGAGGCAAGCACCTAAAAGAGTAAGTCGAACGATCGCTGAGTGACTTCAAAGCTCCACAGCAGATGACTGACCAAATTGCAAGTGCGATGACCACAGATGCCCACGCTTTCCTTAGAACCTCCCAGTTGAAGAAGCACATTGGGTTCGCAAGAAGCCCCATGATATCGTCGATGCTCGTGACTGAGACAGGTCGACTACGTAAAACTCTCCAATAGTGCTGTTGGTATGAGATGCCAGCACTTGCAATCAGAAAAGCCTTCGCGAGAAAAGCGATGCCTGTTCCAATTCGAACAGCCCATTCCTGGCTGGTCTCCGCGACTGGCTCGCCGTCCAGCGACTGGTAGTAGACGTGATGCGCCACCGCGAAGCCGACGCCGAGAAGCATGAACGACACCATGCCAAGTGGGACTCTGTATGAGATGTGCCAACGATCAGCCTTCGTGGAGACATCATCCCCAGAGGGGTTGAAGGGATCGTGCTCAGTTGAGCGAGTCGTCGGCATCTTTGATGTACTCATGGGAAGATGTCGAATGTTTTGACAGTACCTAAGACAGACGGTGCGGCTGACAGCCTCATTTAGGGTTCTCAGACTGCGTGCCTAAGCTTAAAATGAATCACACAAACATCGTGGATCGTGCGCGCTGCATATGCAGGCTTTCCTTTAAATAGTAACAGTAAGTCCTTGGTGGCCTAACGAGTGAAGTAGGAGCGCAGGTCCACACGTGGGATCCGATTCCTTTCTTTGTGCGAGTTCCAGTCGATTGAGCAAAATTTTTGCGGATGAACGACGCATATTGCGATCGTGCAGTCTATGAGGGTACTCTCGGTGTACCTGGTCACCGACCTGACCCGAGGTCAGGCCTCCCGCGCTAATCACAAATTATAAGGCTGTGTACGCAACTAAAAATTATCTTATTTTCCTTAACACTACAAGTTAATACAAGATCAGCTAATTTAGTAGGATTACTTTGCTGCGCGATAGCTGCAACTTGATACCTTCTATGTAGAGTGTTCTACCTAGAGCGGTTGGTAAGCGTGGCGTTCTTGTGGGCGCGTATTGTCTGCCACACATTGGGCCTACGTTTAGGGCGTCCGCCACGCAGCTACATAGTGTCAGCCCAATGGGCCGACGCATGGGTTAGCCATAGGTAAAGGGCCTAGTATATATACTGGAGGCGCCGTACCCTGTTCCTGTTCTGCAGCGAACCGTCTATAGTCTACCAATACACCCTGTGGCTACCTACTTGATATTGTTTGATACATCTGTGCAATACCTCCTCCTCCCCTGTGCACCAGGTCTACGGGCTCTGACACATACATGATCAGCAAAGTCCTGTTTTGCGTGGCTTGCTTCCTGTTGTCAGACTCTCACTTGCCGTGAATAGGAAGATCAAAGGCATCTATGTTAAATAGATAGGAGACAGCAGAAGTTTTCAAGCTTCATGTAATCAGTTGTTGCTCAATTCTTTCACATACGACCATAGGCTTCCCGTTCGCTCAGCCCTATTTAAGCAACGTACCGGCGGATTAGTAGTTAGGTGGGTGACCACTAGCGAATACCCGCTGTCGTATGTTTTTTGCTCTACTTTTGCCCTCCCTCTGCTCTCATCGTTATAGGAGTACAACCCTCACGCCTCCGTACTACTGTGGAAGCTGCCTTCTGTCTTATAGAAAGTGTAATCTAGGTAAGTGTAAATAACAATCTTGCAAGTAGATAGAAGGACATGAGAATAGGTTTGTGTGCGTATAATAAGTTTGCGCAGGAGAATACGTATCGGACGTCGGAGTGTGGGAGGAACGCACATTATATGAATGTGGCAGACAAGGGGACGCAGAGTGGTTGTTGGAACAGTTGCGTAGCAGAGTAGCGAAGCCACGAAGCAAGCACTGTATACCTGCTATGTACGCGCTCTAATAAGATCTTGGGAGTGTATAGGTAAAGTTTGCAACAAAACCGTGACCCCTAAACTAGCATTAACGAGACTTAGGATCGTGCTAGAAGTAATCTGCAGCCCTAAAAGCAGTCGTTCGTAAGGGCTACTGAGCTGCATGCTTACAGTATCGTGCATCGGGACTGCACCGAGATGGTAAGCGATATGGACATCTACTGGACGATGCAGGATGCGGGAGAGGCGATGGCTACGCCAGCACCCGTTATGAATGTAGCGAGCCATGCAGGAGTCAAGAGCTGCCATGAAGTCCCTTCCCTTTGATTGACTATCTTCTCCTACATGGTAGTAGCAATGACAATCCTGGCGTATGCGTTTGCTCTACAGATCTTCTCGAAGAGTTGAGTGCATCGTTTCTCGCTTCCTGTCACGCGAGTGCTATTAATCGGTTGCAAAAGTATGACACCGTGGAGTAGTTTGTTGTCTTGGTAGGAGAGATTAAGAAAAAAGTCGGCATTGCTCTTCAGAGTGTCGGAGTCCATTACGTTGGTGTTGTCGAAACCAGGCGTGTTAATCAGACAAACCCATATGCCCCCGATTTGACATTGGGCGACTTGAACCTTCTGTGTGCCTGTCGAATGTTAGCGTACTTACGAGATGGTTATTGTTTTGATCTTGTACAAGAACGCAAGGTGTTTCCCTCTCGTATGCCCGTGTTCGTGGTCTGCCCCGTGGTTTTGTTGATGAAGGTAGATTTGCATGCACCCGTCACACCAACAACTGCGATAAGCACATCTCCCTTTTGCGCCACTACTGACACATTGATCTATTCTTGAAGAATATGTCGTTTCTTGTGGTTAACTGCATCGAAAGAGCCGAGCTCCTGGGTTTTATTGTTTACTCCAGTTCGTTCTTACAGTGGGTCATCACTTTAGTCCTTCATGCCTGACGCGGCCACAACCATGCCGTGCCTTTTATCCTGACCAATGAACTTAAATAGGAAGTATTGGATTTGAAGAGCATTCGAATCAGAGTCTCTCCCTCTTGGCCAAAAGTCTACCCCATACTTGAGATGCGGGCGCCGCACTCACAAACATCGTAGCTACTGACCATGTCTCGATATCAGATCTCCACGGAAGCAGACGAGGCAACAGGCTCAGCTACTGTGACGGTGATACCAAGAGGTACCCAATCAATTCCCCCGAAATTGCCTGAGAGGAGACAACAACCAAAGATGATTTTTGTCCTAGGCAGCACTAGTACGGGCAAGTCGTCGTTTGTAGCCACAACCTCTGGTCAACCAGTTAGAGTTGGACACGATCTTAGACCCTGTAAGAATTCGTTGAAACAATTCGAAGATTATAGATGCTCACAATTGTAGTTACCGCCACCTGCCAAGCAGTAGAGTTCAAATTGGCCGATAGACGACTCGTTCAGCTCATCGATACTCCTGGTTTTAGCGATACCTCGCACCCAGATTTGGACGTGCTGGAATCCTTTGATAGCCAGTCACGCCAAATATATGCGGTACACTGGTGATTAAACATCTGGATTAGCTATAGTTCAAAGGCCGCTCAAACATCCAGCAACAGGCCAAATGGAACTGCAACTCGAACTTCGCGATCCATGCGATGTTAAAGACACACGCGCTGGTAGGGTCATTACCGCAGAACTCCGCAAGAAGGAGGAAAGGCTCCGCCAAGAACGACTCGAAGAGGAGGAAGAGGAGCGCGAGATCAGGGAACAATTGCATTTTGAGCGTGAAGCTCTACAACGAGATGAGCAGAAGAAGCGTGAAGAGGAAGCTGCCATGTTCCAGTCGCGCGGATTGGAGAAGTTCCGGAGATACACGTAGTGAACAACGCCCAAGAGAGCCCCGTATTTGAAGGCAACCAAACGTCTTCCGAAAGACGAGATATTCTATATTTAGGTATTGAAGTGTCGCAACCTTATCCTCTTTGTAATAGCTAGAGCCCTACTGTAGTAGCTCTAGCTTCTCCTACGCACATACGTCGCACTAGAATCTCCGCGATCGGGCAGCTACGCTACACAGTGTTAATTGCAGCTCGATGTCTTGCTGCTATTGCTCACAAAGGGTGACGAACTCATAAGCATTCCGCTACTTCTGGATTAGCACCTCAGCGGTTTTCCAAATGCGATTCCAATGTCGGGAACGTTGGTTCCGCCGACAAAAAGAATCTTGTGGTAGGTGATGAGAGGAGTCCAAGTGTTACCTGAATTTGTACGGCTAGTTGTATCTTACTATCCTGACCGCTAGCATATGCAACCAGACTCCATGCCGTTAGGCCTCATGATTGGTGTGCTTCGATGAATTGGCTCCCAGCTAAGAACACATGAAAAGCTTTGGGACGTGCCTAGGTTTCTAGAACCATCCCCACACACGTCGTAGGCAAGCCGCACTGGTTCTCTAAGTACCTCAGGCCACCTAGCTGCGCTACCTGGAAACGGCCCACTCCAGCCTAACCCAGCATTGCTCAGCTGCTCCCTCTCTTTAGCGAGAAATTGGCTAAGCACAACAAAAACAATGTAATATCGGCGTCCGTTGGCCTCGAACTCCTGATTGAGATGATGATCTGCCAAGAACGCTTCATGTTCCTGGGGTTTCAGGTTCCAATGCATATCAAGATGATCTAGGACTCTGTCTTTGTCCCTAGCCATTCGCTCTGCCCAGATGTCTCGCACCACAGCCGGATAGTGATAGTCGCAGTTCCAGTTTGGACGGGGCACGCCATCCACCAGCCAGTACAGTGTCGCAGGGGAGTGAGTTTCTTGCATCCCCCTAACAAACGCTTGGACGTTTTCAGAACGCAGCTCATGCCGTCCCCCCCAAGTTGCCCATGATGGATGCCATTCTAGACCTATGCGGTCAAAACATGCAAAGGTTGTCCCATGCAACCCTTGCTCAATCCAGTACTGCCAGGGCGCATGCCTAAGCAGTGGTGTTGCTCGGCCTTCATTATCATGGAGGCGGAAGATAACCAGGTCGAGCGTGTGTATCCGAGGTGTAAGTAGCTGCCAAGAGCTATGTTTTTTTGCAACGGGTGGGTCTCTATTGCCGCTATACTCCCTTTCCCAGTCATCTATTGGGCGTGGTCGGTAAGGCGGGCCCATACTGCACCGGATAGGCCAGCTGCATTTGCGGTTATCCCGAACATATCTTTTTGCGATATTGCGGGAAAGCTGGCAAACTGAGAGGAGTGTTGTAATCTGGGTGTACGTTGACAGTTGCCTACATCGGGTGGTATAAGTTATCTCATCGACGAGATCAGGTTGAACGGCTTCGCTGTCGTTCGACCTTGATCTTCCCAAAACAGCTGGTACGGTGGTAAGGAGGAAGCGAAAGAAGGGACTCGACTCTTGCTTGCTTTCACTGGCGCGTATGTCGAACTCGGGGTTTCTCTGCCTTGCATAGAACACGTCTGATTGCGTTTCAGGTATGCGGTCGAAATGGTACCATTTTGTCATGCGAATGCTGTCGCGGATAAAGTCAGGGTCGTGTGGGATACCTTCGACTTCGACCCAGTGTACGCCGCGAGAGGTTGGGAGTACCAGTTCCCAGATAGCCTCTTGTAGCTCAATTGCAAGGTCATTGAAAATTGCCATGGCGTAAACTAGCAAGTAGAAGTAGTCTAGGAGGCCTGATGCATTACAAGGCAGGCGCGTTGGTACAGGTGTACTGTGATGTGAACAGCTTACTTCCGAAGACTTGGTTGGGTCAGGCCGATATAGTCGGAAGAGGTCAGCACAGGCCATGGTGCACGCGACTAAGCTATTGTAACGGTCTGGGCACGCCACGTACGACGAAAGGTCAGTGCACAGCCACACCACCACTCATTCCCACAGATCACCAGTCTCTGGCTCCAAATGGAGCATGTCATTTGTGTTTTGGTTCAGCGTTTGCAAGTGTCGGAAGTCACAGTATCGCCTGGGCACTGATTGCGCAAACCCGAAGACCGAGGCTTTCAGGCGCCCATAGGTAGTCCATCTCCGAAATCCGTCGACCTTGGCCCTTCGCAGGGCCCTGCATCTATCGGCCACTCCTTCCGCCTGCATGTATACGTCCATGTGAAATGTGCGGCCACCTCTTTTGCCGTGTCAGATGCTACTACGTGCGACCTAGCCGTCATACCTAGGCAGTAGCTGAGCAGCAGATGGCGCTTGTTGTCTATGCTATAACTAGAATCTAGTTAATTTTGCTATTGCTAACAACACTATATTAGGTCTCCGGACTGACTAGGAAGCCTTCTCCGCCACGATCCGCCGTAAGCTGACGGTAGTCGATCACGACGCCGTCAGTTTTCGACATCCAAATGCGAAACCCCTCCACTGTGCCCGAAGGCCGGATCTATGTCCTCGGGAACCGACTAGACATGTAAGAGCAATGGATCGTGTGTAGTAGCAGCTGTATCCATTCATTCGCAACTCTATCTCCTTCTTCAATTCTTTAGAGCCACTCGTTATTACCGTTTGCCTGGAGCAGCGGTTCTTTCAGTCCTTTCTGCTATACAAAATCATACGTTCGTTTCATTACGTGTTGGAACCTGCCAGCCGTAGTTTTGATCGTATATCGAAAGCATATCCACGAGCACCTCTCTTTAGCCTATCCCCGTCCACCTGAAGCGACGCTTCCACAGAACCTATCCGACGATACAGCGGAACAGTTCTCCAACAAGTCAAGATGAAGTTTCTCGTCACCCTCCTGTCAGCTGCAGGACTGCTTGCTTCCGGTGTATCTGCCGCGCCTCTGAAAGAGCGCGGTATCATCAGAGCCCGGGCCCCAGGGATCGATTACGATATCGACACTGCCATCAAAGACTGGATGAAAGATGCTAGGACCCAGGGAAGAATGGAAGTTGCCTGTGGCACTGTAGGAGGATGGGAAGGGTGGGCGCAGCTTGAGCTCGAAACTGAATTCAGAGCCAAATTCAAGATCCCAAAATCTACGGCTATCCGCGAACAGTCCAAGGTTTTCGAGTCAAAACAGATAGCCGACTTCCTCCTGCCAGAGACAGCTACGAACAAAGGCATGATCATCGAGCTGAAGTGTGAGAACAAGAACGCTCAGAGCGGTGATGGAATGCAAAAGCCGGTAGGCTCGGATAAGAAGAAGATCTACAACGTCAAGGCAGCCTACAAGGACCACACTTTTATGGCCGTTGCCATGGCGTTCACGCCCACGGCAGACAAAGCTCTCATCAAGGTCGGAATGAAACCAATCCTTGATGCCGAGGCTGACATGGGTGGCGGAAATACCATGCGAGCATACAAAGAGAAAATGAAGGTTGGAACCTTAACCAAGGACATGGATAGCTTGGAAGAGGCATTCAGAGGTCTATTCGGTTCTACTCCTCCCGCATCGCCACGCCCTAAGACGCCCCCTACAACCGGAGCACCGAGACCCAAGACGCCACCTCCTACCAAGAAGCCAACTGGATCCCCGCCACCAGCACCCAAGAAGCCGGCTGGAACGCGCTAGCGGGAACCTGAACCACCAGAGGCGACGACAACACCGTGCATATATCTCGAAAGGCCGTAAAGTAACTACTGCTTAGCAAACATCAAGCGAGCGAGCATGTCAACAAAATCATGCATATATCTCGAAAGGCCGTAATGTAACTCCTGCTCAGCAGACATCGAATATGTTAATAGTCTTAGCTATCCCGCGTTTCTAGCATTAGTATAGCTCTCTCTGACTACAACCAATCACATCTTGCGATCCGAGACCCCATACATAACTCAGAGCAACATATTCCGCCTGTTCTGTACACCTACGCACTTGTCGAGTCTCGCAATCAATCAAGCGGAAACCAGGAATATTGAAAGCGATTGCTGGTAGTCGATCATTACAGTTGCCTTTGTGGTGAGTTCTGCAATACTCTATCCTGATATTACAAAGGCAAATCTGCTTCTAGATATACGAAGGGTGGCTGTTGCCTACCAAAAGCCAGCGATGCCCGTGTCAGGAAGGATGACAAGGGTTTGTAACTTAAGCTGCCACAAAATCTGCAGATTTACGGCGCAGTTAGGGGAACAAGCAGTAATGTCGGACGTCGAACCCCCTGCAACCTTGATGCTTACGCCAAGCCAGTCTCCCCTGCCCTCAGAATTCTGTAATCAGTGCTAATTGATGAGCTCTCTTTGCCCAGATCCTGAATTACGATTACCATTTACGGTTGTATTATGGACACTGGTGGTGAACGGCCAGGAGACAACAAGGCTTCCCGTTCGCAGCCCTATTTAAGCAACGTACTGGTGGATTAGTACTCAGGTGGGTGACCACTGGGGAATCCCCACTGTTGTATGATATGTTTTTTTTCGCTGCTTTTGCCCACCTGTATGTATAGTGGCGGTAGTCAAGGTTGGTCTGGCACGACGAGGACGTGACCGACAGAAGCACACCACACACAGCCGCAAGTCGTATTTTTAATCCCTAATTCCCTGTCACATCATTCAGTCACTCTACCACCGAGTCCCGACAGAAATTGGACGCAACCCTGGACGAGAGCTCGGCCGTCTACGGTCCGTTCTTGATCTCGGTTACTCGTTACACGCACAATGCGCTCTGACTTAGTAGCTTCCAAGACAGGCGGCCAGCGTGGTCGACGAAGACGCTGCTTGATACACTACGGCATCCATGGCGAGGCGAGCTTTGCGTTGGATAGACAGCGCCTCGTTGACGTCGAATGTCGAGGCGAGTGCTTGTTGGAGCATGTATTAGCTTCGACATCTTAGAGTGAGGGATAGTCAAGCAAGTGTGAGCAAACAAGACATCACTTCATCATAGCATCGGGAAGTTCAAGTGTGAGGTGCAGCAGCTGCCGCTTGGTAATCATGATCATTAAAGTATCGTAGCATCGTCATCTCAGACCCAGTTAAGGGTTGCACTTGTGCTAAAGCACCACCAGTACATGGGTTCTTCCCATATCCAATGTGCTACTGCACCATGACATCCGCACCCTCGCCATTGTTCCCAAGCGCATTGTCTTCAGCGTCTTGCAGACCGAGTGGCATAACAGGAGGGATGTCCATGGTGGCTTCTCTAGCCTTTGTCTCAGCCCACTGGCGCAGGCGTACCAGGCTCCTCATACGCGCTTCTCCACGAGCGCCCATGCTGGTGAGGATAGCTTCGTTGACCCTGCTGGCAACATCGCGACGGAGAGATGGTTCAAGCAGCTCAGCAAGCTCTTTCTGGAGCTTCTCCGTGGCCGGGAGGAAGATAAGCAGCGTCATGGTGAGCTCAAGGTCCTTCAAGAAGTCCGGGTTCGTGGCTGCACGTGGAGCGAGTTGCGATGAAGCAAAGCTCAAGGCAGGAGTCACGTCCGATGTGGCAGATGAAGTACACGACCGGATCAACTCGATGAGTTGCAGACGAAGCAAGGCAAAGTGAAGAGCCGCATCGGTGTCAAGGATCTGATGAACTGGTTAGCAGAGCTCGGTAAAGCAATGTGTTAACTAGATCAGGTGTTTGCTTGCAATCATACTGAGGACTGAAGGTTTGATTATCATCAAAGAAATTCTGCGTGGTGCATGAAACTGAATATAATCCTGCAAGAGGCGAAGGGGATGTTTTTGTTGTTCATAGCTTACCTGAGGGTTCAGATCATTGATCTTGGTGACGGCAGTGTCAATGTCGCCAGCGTGGATAGCCTGTCGTATTTCTACGCGAGACTGGATGGACTCCTCTTCAGAGGGGAGCAGGATGTTCGCTTCTTTGGCGAACTTCTCTGCAGCTCGGGGATATCCCTCGCTGACCAGGTAGTCCATGACGACAAAATTAATGTCACTAAGCGTCGAATTAGCAAAGGCTTCGTATACAGTTGCTGACGACAGTGATGTAGCAGAGCAACAAACGTTGCTCGAGATCAGTCTACAAGTTATGTTGTGCTCTACACGGAATTTTCGGAGAGATTCCCAACTTATTTTTTATCGCATCATATAAGAGGGCACGGACAGAACAAAAGATTTTACTTACGTCTTCGAGGGTTTGACATCGTCAATCTTCCTCTGGAAAGGGTGTTGGGTTGGCGTCGCAGCCGAGACGGAAACAGTGGATGAGCTCTTCGCAGCCTGTCAGCACGCGGGGCGCAGCCTTGACAGTCGGGGCGTGCATACCATGATGAAGCAGAGGCTCTATCACCTCATCCGACGTCCATGAGGAAGGAAACGGAGCTGCTCGACCGCGGTCGAGGTACGTGGGCTCGCGCAGAGTTTGCGGGCTGTTGGTGCAGGAAGGGTTGATGGAACGTCGTTCGTGAAGAGAAAGTCGAGCTCGCTTCCTAGCGGCGCTTGGCGGATGTGGCTTGTGCTCGCCTTAGTGCCGCTGGCACCCAGTAAGCGGGCGGGACCGAGCAGCCTACTCAAAATCCGTCGTTGCTGTATCACTACATAAGGCCTTGCATATCTTTAATCCTTCGCTGTTGTATACTTTGCGCGACATGAGGTAGAGCTCGATCATTTTTAGCCACTGAGATCAACCCACCACCATGTCTGCACAAGGCCGCCGAACGCACTACCAGCCCCCATGGGGCAACGCGAACATTATTGGTGTAGCAGGTAGTTCGGGGTCTGGTAAGACATCTCTGGCAATGGCTATCGTGGCGTCCATGAACTTGCCATGGGTTGTGATCCTCTCCATGGTGCGTCAGCGGTGCTCACAGCAGGTCACGTGCCCACATGCTAAGAAAGCCAGGACTCATTCTACAAGCCATTGACTCCGGAGCAATCCGCCATGGCCTTCAGAAATGAGTATGACTTCGACGCGCCCGAGGCCATTGATTTTGATATCTTGGTCGAGCGGCTGCGGGACATCAAGGCCGGGTACGGACACCACCACACACCCCCATCGACTGGCTGACCATCCGCCAGCAAAGTCGCCGAGGTGCCTGTCTATTCGTTTGCGAAGCACGCCCGCCTCGAACAGACCACCACCATCTACTCACCGCACGTAGTGATCCTAGAAGGCATTTTCGCGCTGCACGACCAGCGCGTCCTGGACATCCTGGACCTGAAGATCTTCGCCGAAGCCGACTCAGACCTGTGTCTCTCGCGGCGGCTCGTGCGAGACGTCAAAGAGCGCGGCCGCGACATTGAAGGCTGCATCAAGCAGTGGTTCGGCTTCGTCAAGCCCAACTTCTACAAGTACGTTGCGCCGCAGCGCGAGATAGCCGATCTAATTGTGCCGCGCGGCATCGAGAACAAAGTCGCGATTTCCATGGTCGCGGACCAGGTGCGCAAGACGCTCAAGCAGAAATCCGCGCAGCACCAGATGGAGCTGCGGCGGCTGGGCCAACTGGCCGAGGACCGCCCGCTGCACGACAATGCGAAGGTGCTGGAGCAGACCAACCAGGTGCGCGGCATGCACACGATGCTCATGGACCAGAGCACGTCGAAGGAGGACTTTGTGTTCTACTTCGACCGCATGGTGGCGTTGCTTATCGAGACCGCGGTCGACTTCATCCCGTTCTCGCCCACGCAGGTGTACACGCCGCAGAACAATGTGTACATGGGGCTCAAGAAAGACGGGGACGTCAGCGCGGTGGTTGTTCTGCGCGGCGGAAGCGCATTCGAGACGGGTCTGCGACGCACGATTCCAGACTGCGTGACAGGGCGGGTGTTGATCCAGACCAACTACCGCACGGGGGAGCCTGAACTGCACTACCGGGCTCTTCCGCAGAACATTGCGCAGCACAGTCTTGTCCTTGTGTTGGACTCGCAGTTCTCGTCTGGTGCTGCGGCGTTGATGGCCGTGCAGGTCCTGGTCGATCACGGCGTTCCGGAAGAGAAGATAGCGTTTGTCACATACGCGGCTGGTCGCGTTGGTATGAACCGTGTGCTGAGCGTATTCCCTGAGATCAAGATAGTTGTAGCAAGGATAGGTGACGATATGGAGAACCGATGGGTTGAGACGAAGTATCTAGGATGTTGAACATATTGCATATATAGCATGAATCTACGATATCAACAAGTTCACAGATGGTAACAGATCGAAAATGCTTGGCCGGCAGTGAAGCAGCACCTGAAAAGTGTGGACAGGGAATAGATGACAGAATTGAATATGAATGAGTCCCCCGCAAGCTTGTACATACACTTGTGAACATCAGGCGACCGAAAAGGTGGAAATCCCAGCATATCGCCAGACTTGGAAAATAGCAGATGATATATACTAAGTAAGACAACGCATAAGATATTAAACACATCCCAGTTACAAGAACCACCAGCCCCCCTACCACCCCCTCGCCTTCCCCTTCCCCTTCCCACTCCCCAATCTCGGACTCAGCGCCGGGAACTGGTCCTCTTCCATGTCCCTCCTGCTCTGCTCCTCTGCGAGACTCAACTGCATCGCGAACTCCAGATCGCTCAGCTCATTCCCGTTGTTTGAGCTCGCACCCGCTTTGCCCTTCTTTGCTGGCGTGTTCCAGGGAGAACTGGAGGCGTACTTCTTGCCCTTGGCGTACTTGATGGGGATGTCGAAGGGGGAGGGCTCGAAAGGGTCGGAGGAGAAAGGGTCGGCGCCGTTGCTCTCGGCGAGAGAGAGGCGGATGGCTTCGGCGATGTCGGGGTCGAGGTCTTCGTCGCCTGGGTCGGCGGCATTGTGGGAAGAAGGTTGGGCAGTGCTGCTGGGCTCAGGCTTGATGGTCTCCTGGCGAGACAACTCAATGAACTCGCTCTCGCGGCGCTTCTTCTCCTCAATCTCTGCGTTCTCTTGTGAAAGAAGCAGAGCGTATGCTAGTGCTTCGTCTTCGTCTTCAAGCAGCTCAGTCCCGTACCGAGCTGCTTGCCGCTCAGCCTGCTTGCGTCTCTGTATCTTGTCCCGCTCCAGCTCGAACTGCTCGTTCTCAATGTAGCCCTTCAAGTTCACCCGCCCAGTTCCAGTGAAGCGATCATTGGCTTGGTTCGTGCCCCGCTCTGCGCGACGAAGGCGACGTTTGCTGCTCTTGTACTGGTCAGCCGCAGATGAACTGAAGCTCCACCAGCGGAGCTGATTGCCAAGCGAGACCACACCGCGCAGAACTGTTGGGTCCGGATCGATGCACACAGCACCAGCTGCAAACATGTTGATGCCGACACCCTGAGCAGAGGCTTGCGCTTGTACGAGACGTCTGCGAGCGCGAGTTGCATGGCGCGAATGCAATGTTGTAATGGGCGACATACTGGACGCGAGTGGGTCCCAAGCCTGGACCAGTCCGTCGTTGCCGCCAGCAACGAGGTAGAGAGATGTCAAAGCTAGTGACGAAATCTCGGGAGAGTCGGTATAAATAATGCGAAGAGGCTCGACATTATTGGGATACTCGGACGACCGTGAGACGGGCGCTCTCACATCCCACACAATCACCGTCCCGCTCTTGGTGCCTACTGCGAGGAAGCGCGCTCGTTGACCAGGAATGTCTGCAGGCGAGGCTGGCTGGCTTGCCACTGACATCGGTGACGCGTATGGCGACGATGCTGTCGATGCTGTCGAGAACCCCAGCGCTGGATCTTCAGACAGGGTAAGCGTGGCAAAGGTCGAACTGTCCAGCGCCGACACGATCAGTCGAGTATTCTTGAAACCACCGAAGTTGAACTTGGAGGACCGCCACTCTTCCACAAGGCTAGCCGGCTCGGGTGAGCTACTGGTCGACATGTAGGAGGAGCTGCGATTCCGTAATGGTGCCTGGATAGTGACTGGTGTGCTGACCCCAGGGCCACCGAAGAGTGACGGACCTTGGGACAATTGCGGCGTCGCAGTGCGAGTAGACGTAGCGGTACTCTTGTCTCTGTCGCTCGATCTCCATCGAGTGAAGCGTGTGACCTCCGCAGTGGTACCTTCGTCAAGACCACATTCAAGGATGACTAGTGCTTCACCTGCGTCGTTGCCATCGTCTCCAGCGAAATCGACCTCGAGGCGCCTGCGCATATCCCAGCCAAGACAAGACTTTCGAAAGTCTTTGGGCGGTTTGCGAAGAAACTGCTGGATCTCTCTCGTCTCCGCAGCAATCTGCTGCTTGCCCAAGCACATGCCGTCCCACGATGTGCGCGGAGAATAACTGCCATCAATCTCGGCATCGCTATAAGGGTCCGGTCTGGCAGTACGCCTACTGGGCTCGACTAGGTTCCAATAAACACTCCGTCCGGTCAGCCAAGCCAAGTACTCGGTAGGTTCCGCAATGTCGGTTGTAATGGCGTGACTGCGGGTGGGAAACTTGGTCAGGTAGAACAATTCTCCAAGTGCATTGAGAGCTACCGCCCAGATGCGGTTCTGAGTCTGCCGTTTCGTAGAGTAGTTATCGTCGACAACAATCGAGATGATTGGAACACCAGGACTGAGGATCCAGCGAGCAGTAAGCTCGCCCTTTTGCAGACGGGCCGCCTTTACACCATCCGTGCCGAGACTGCAGGCAGTCACCACACCTGCAGCAGAGCCCATCAGCATTCCAATGACGCCCTCGGAAAGTGTTGGTATCGTGTTGGACTTTGCGATCCAGACGCTACAGATAGCGCCACCGTCCACGCCCAGTTTGGGGACTCCAAATTCGGGACTGCTGAAGTCCAGAGGGTCTGCGATGAAGCGACCGCGCATCTCGTCGGTCGCGCGGTAGTAGCAAGAGCCTTCCGGACAGCCCTGGCCGTATATCATGCCGTGAGGCTGCGACACATCCATGACATTTGGTCGTCCCACCACTTCACCGGACCCAAGGCCCCACTCCGCAGTCCCTGGGAAGCGTTCGGAAAACTGGCTGTAGAAGTTGGGATCGCTCTGGCCCCATGGATCGACCTTTGCGATAGTCGGGTCGCTCGTCGTGGACATGCCAACGTCGTCTGCACCGTGGATGAACCGCGGCTCCTTCTTATTCAGGCCACTGCCAAACGAAGCATGTATATGGTTGATCGTCGTGTACGTCTTGGCGTCGTAGGTCACTACTGGTAGCACACTCTGCACCAGGCCAGCCCGCGACGGGGTCGGGGCGTCTTGCATAGGCTTGCCGCGAACCAAGGAGCGCAGCATCCTGGTGCGCAGGATGTATTCACTGCGCCATGATGCCAACGCGGTGAGCCTCGTGAATATCCTCTTCTCCGACCGCACAATGTCACCATTATCCTCCAAAGCCGCGTTGATAGCAGCATCTTCGAGCGCGCCAGGGCCCGGGAAGTAGCGCGCGAAGGCTACTTGCCATGCGTGCGGCGTCGTAACGAGATCGTTGAAGCGCCGAGAAACAAGCGCGACAGCCGCGAGATCGTTCGGCGACAGGTGTGCAATGGCGTGGATCAGGATCTCGTTGGGCAAATGCGCGATAGGGGAGCGCTTATCGTCCGGCTTTCGCACGCTCTTGATAACCTCAAAGAGAGGCCCTTCCGGGTTCTTGCGCGCTGACTTGGAGAGCGCTTTCTCGTATTCGTCGATTCTGTTCCGCGGCGGCGGCGTCGACAGCCTGAGACCCTTCAATCCCTCGGTCTCAGCATCGGCGCCCGCGCTGGGTGACGCGGACCGCGTCGCGTCGCGCGTGTCGCCACCGGACGGTGACTCGGAATCTCCTCGCGACCCACCTGAGTGAGGTTGCAGAGGAGGCTGCGGGTCATCGTCGCGGCGCTGTCCATGCTGGGAGGTGGATTCGAGGGCTTCGGGGGCGACTGGTGGAAAGGAGGCGTTTTCGAATTCGGCAGGGGACTCTGGCTGCATAAACCTGTTGGAGGGGCGGAGGGGTGTGTGCGAGCGACCGAGCTGTCAGACAGTACTCAGTCAGAGTCAGGATATGCGTGCGCGGGGCGATTGGCGGCGTGGGTAGTGGTGTTGGTGGAGGGGCAATGTTCAGACTTTTGGTGACTCGCCGAGACTCATGCACCATGACGATTGCGGGAAGGAGCGAACGTGGGGCCATCGCGACCTTCACATTGGGTCAAGCATATTCTATACAGAATCCAATTATTGGTATGTACCGATATCGTGAATCAAACACATTTTTCTTTCTAGAATTCAATTATCTGTGTATACCGATATACATGGGTCAAACATGTTTCTCATGTTAGAATTTAATTTTCTCTACGTACCGATATGCATAGGTCAAAGAGGAAGATTTATTCCACTTTAGAATCCAATCATCTATATGTTCCAATCTGCATAAGCGCAGCTGCTCACTTCTTGGATGGCTTCGCACGATCCGCAGGACATTGTCTCATCTCCATCAGCGCCTCCATGTGCTTGACCGAGATGCCAACCGGCACCTTATTACAATACCCTTTATGCAAAGGCCAGACGTTCTTCTGATGCTGCCGGTCGCAGAACCACACCTCGCCGCAGCCGCCACACTTGAACTTGGGCTTGGGCGCCCCACAGCACGCGCACCACTTCTCCGTGGCCCGCTTCTCCCACCTGTCCTTCGCGCGCTGGGCGGCTTCCTGGAGATGCCTGGCGTCCTCGGGGTAGGCGGGACCGAGCAGCGTTTCGATGAATGCACGCGACCCGGGCTGGTGGCTGTGGGCGAAGTCGCGCCACCTGTGCTCCCATCCAAACGCGTGTTCGCAGACGAACGGCATCCTGCCCTTTCTGCCGGGGCCGCGGCCGACGTCTCCGAACTGCATGGACGAGAGATCGAGGAGCGACATGGTCCACTCGCTTCCCGGCGGGCTGAAGCCCATGTGTGCATGGTTCAGCGTGTGCTGGTAGCCGCTGAGCCAGAAGTTGTCGTTGGTCTGCGGGCTCCTGTTTTCGATTGAGACGGCAGTGCTGAACTTGGGGAGGACAAACGTATCGCTGATTCCCGTCCGGTGGCTGATCGTGGTGTCATACGTGAATGTACCCATTCCATCCATGGGCTCGTGGCGGATGCGGAGTGGCGTGTCTGGTGGGAAGAGGCCAAAGAAGCACTGCAGGAGGCACACGCTTGAATAGCAGGCATCTTGGTGCTTTATGCGGTAGTAGACTGTCTCGAGGTCTTGGCTTGACAGAGGGCGCAATGGGGGCATGGCCTTGTTGATCATGGTGCTGGGGAGATCGGGCTGCTCGTCGTCGCCCTTGCTGTCGCGGAGAATGATCCAGGTGCGTTCGTTTGGGATGTTGTCCTTGAGAAGTTTTGAGGGGGTGTTCTTCTGCAGCTTTTCCAACATGGGGTCGTCAGGAAGCAGAACATGGACGAGCTTGGTGTGGCGAGAGTGCGGCTCTCTGGTGACTCGTTCGTAGTTCAAGAGAGTTGCAATGTCGATGAGATCCATAGGATCGGTCGCCGTCGCCATCCTTGCCATGTTCTATGTGTTGTACGAGAAGAGAAGATGAGGTTAGTGGAGCGGAGGACTGGGTTATTTAAGAGGGCAGTGCCGACTTTCACCTTCACCTCGAGCTTGCGCCGCCACATTGTTTGCCAGGTGTGAGAACGCGCAAACCAGGCAGCAAGGCAGCAGCGACGACTCGAGGAATACCTAATCACCATCGTATTGTGTCGTCGAGGCGCGGAAAGTATCGAGATCAACTTTCAAGACACTTGTACTCAGTGGGTGAATAGCATCAACTAAGCAGCCCCAGCAGCCCCAGCAGCATTCGAGTTGTTACATTTTAGCTACAGTATGTTAGGGGTAAGTAGTCAATGTGTCACAAGACTTCGCAGCAGCTAGCTGTTAACAAAACATGGCCTATAGAGGTATACAAAAAAATTCAGCTTTGATATTAGCACTTTATTGTTTAGTTTAGTATGCTGTACTATAACTTGCAGAGAGGTGCTGCTAGAAGAAGAATGTTTAAGAATCTATATTGATTACTTACCCCTGCTATACTGTACGTGCCATCGTATTGTGTTGTTGAGGCGCGGAAAGTATCGAGATTAACTCAAGACCCTTGTGCTTTCAAGTAGACATCGTCAACAAGGACGTCACAGCAGCATCATGCTGTTGCATTTCACTAGACTACAACGATCCCAGACACAATCAGACATTGCGATTCAACCCACTCCGATGTCATATCAGTGTTGCGAAGGGGATATACCCGTCCAAGTCCCCCATGCCACCAGCAACCAGCTCAGTGCCGTCCTGCACAACCACACAACCGAAAACCTTGGTGTAACGTACTCCAGCAACTGCTATACACACAGCCGAAGAAGTTCTGGTTGTTTTGGCGACATTTCGAGCGCGCGTTGACACGGAGTGATTTTTTGAGCAAGTACATATGCAGCAAGGTTTGGTGAATGTCAGTGTGCACACTTCCACGAAAAAAAGTTTTTGTACTGGCCAACTCCGAAGACTGTACACCCGACGATGAACACGTTTCTGTGCTCGATTGTATCTTTCCGCGCTATCTTTCCGCGCACCACCACGCCACCGTCCACGCTCAAATCATACACCACGCCCGAATCGCACTAAAACCAGAGTCTCTGCACCAGCAAGCAGCACCAACCCATCTCCCACAGCCCCGGTCCTGCAAAAAGCCATCCAACCCTTCCCCCATTGACATGTTACACCTCTCCCCGCCGCCTCACTCTCCACCCACGACCACGAGCCAAAAAGCAATCTTCCACGCCCCCAGGACACCAGGACACCAGGACACCAGGACACCAGCCAGCAAAAAAGGGTCCTGCCGCGACTCGAACGCGGGGCCTCTCGCAAATTGCTTAGTCACCCTAAGCGAGAATCATACCACTAGACCACAGGACCGGGCTTTTGTTGGAGCTGATTGATGAAAATCCGATCGAGAGGAAGGAATATGTTTGAAGTAGGGAAGGTGCTGGGAAGGTGCTGGGAAGGGGGGGGATAAGGGGGTGCGCAGCAAGGGGGTGGTGTGATGTGGGAGAAGGGGGCGGGGCGCACGGGCGCTAGCGGGCGGGTCTCGTGTCGACCCACTTGGATCTGGAGCGTGGGAGGGAGGCGGTGTGGGTGGGTCGCGTACGGGGGAGGGCGAGGGAGTGGAGCCGCTGGTGGACGAGCTGGGTTGTCAGGGGGTTTGTGTGTTAGAGACGGGGAATGGTGGGGGAGAACATCTGTGCGGATCACAGAGCGGAGGGAAAGCAGACGCGGAAAGGGTATCTGATTGTCATGTCCCAGGGCCAGCCATTGGGTGTGTGGTAACATTTACAAGTGTTGTGGCTGGAGCCAAACGGGGAGAAAGGAGTATGGACTATGGTCGGATGCCCATACCGAGGCCGACCATTTCGAAGATGATGGGATCGATGCCCACGGCCAGCATGCCGATGCCTGGGACGAGTCAGTACATATCAGGATAACAGTGACGAGAGCACAAACCGGTGTACACAATCAGCTTCGTCACTACTTCAACATCGTATCGCACGCGTGGCTTCGTAAGCTTCATGAAGATCTCGCGTTTCTCGTTCTCCTCCTCGCTCTTCAGCGAGAGATCACCCGCGAAATCCGTGTCGCTGTCGGGCGGCGTGTTCATCTCGCCCTCGAAGCCGTGAGTGTCGCCAGTGCCCATCATGCGCTCGTACGACTGCACGCGGGACGTCATGGGCGTGGGCAGTAGACCAGCGCCCAGCTGAGTCTGGCCTTTCTCGGCCGTGGGTGGTACTACCTGGGGGGTTGTCGACCACTCCAGGTCTTCGGGTATGCCGTCTGAAGAATTAACACTTTCCCGCCGCCGCCGGTTGCGGTAGGCGAGCGTTTCGTAGGCGTCGGACGCTGACTGGGGACCGACTGAGACGGATCTTTTGCGCGGATGGGCCAGGTTCTTGAGCATCTGCGGGAGCTGCGACGCAGGCGGAATGACATTGTCGTCGTCGCGCATGTTGGGGATGGACGTGTATGACGAAGCATTGAGGAAGAAAGCGCGGGGCAAGTTCATTCGGCCGCGTTCCAGCAGTCTGAAGATGGGCGGCAGTATCTTGAACAACGCCGGCTTTGCAGTGGCCCTCCAAATGAAGATGACAACGACTCCAAGCAGCGTGCGGGCGATGGCTGTGGGCAGGCCGATCTTGGCCAGCTCAAATGGCACCGTGGAGGGGTAGACGTCGTTGATTGCAAAGCCCGACTGCGCATAGTGCCAGGCGCCAATGTTGATGCCAACGACCACGCCAGAGAAAGCAACACTGTCGTCGAAGCAGGGACAGTCGTCAGCCGGCTCTGGATGGATGCGCACAAGCACGAAGATGACCAGCGTGGCTATGATGACGTCCTTGTACGATCCGCTGAATATCCACGAGTCTATCCAGTCGCTCAGGACCAGCTGGAAGACGGTAATGACGGCGCCGAGCACGCTGCCCACCAGGACGTCCAGGAAGCCGTGCATGCCGCAGTACAGGCGGCCGACAATGATGGATATGGCGTAGACGTAGAAGAGGGCCTGCAGGCCAATGTTGACGGCCGGGCTGTACTCGTCGGACTGGCGCAGCATGTATATAGCGTAGATGGTCACCGACACGGCGTTGGTCGAGTGCGACGAGGGGAAGCCGTACTCGAGGGCGGCCGAGCCACTCATGGAGATGCGGGCGAGCGGCGGCGACAGCGGGCGCGGCAGACAGAGCATGTCCTTGAGGAAGCCGCTCCAGTAGATGCCGGCGGCCAGCATGAAGACGGTGCTGGGCGTGTCAGTGTGGCACGATTGGACGGCAGACGGGCGACCTACGCTCGGCCCAGGCTGGTGTAGCCGCACCAGAACTGGATGGGCAGGAAGACCATGAAGAAGGTGTGGGTCCCGAGGTTCGCCGTGTAGGCAAAGTACGTGTCGAGGGCGGGCGAGCGCAGGCTGTCCTGCATCCAGGCGAGCCACGGCGTCTCCCAGCGCACAATGGGGATCAGGCGGTTGCGCAGGTCGTTGCGCCACTTGGGCAGGCGGCGGGCATCTGTTCAGCGTTCAGCTTCAGCGTTCAGCGCTCGGCACGCGTCTCTCGGCGCGCTCAATGGCACCGCGCAACGCACAGTGGTCGTGGTGGCGGTTGCCGGCGTCGAGGCGCTTCTCGTGCTTCTCGAGCTGATGGGGCTGCGCGGGCTGGGCGGGCTGCGCGTGCGGCGCCTGCTCCGTGGCCGCGGCGAGGGCGGGTGCGCGCGCGGGCGCATCATGCTGGAGCGACATGGCAGCAGTCGGCGGGCGGGGGTCGCGCGCGCAGGACGATCATGGCAGCGAGGTGGATGCTGGGGCGCGGCCGGGCGGTTGCGCGCTGGGGCAGCCGACCGAGTAGCGCCGCCGGTCGTTGCTCGGGAGACGCCATGTGCGTTAGGGCTAACCGTCTAACCACCACGCCTTCCTCGTCGCGTTGCCCTCGCTACCAGCGCATTGTTACCAGCCCACGGCCGCATTCCTCGTCGCCCGCGCTCTCCACCCGCCCTCACCACCTCCATCATCACGCCCGCCATGGCCACCGCGCCCTCGCAGAACTACGACTACCTGCGCCGCAAGCAGAGCACAAAAGCCCCTGCTGCGTCTGCCACACCGGTCCGCAAGCCCGCCCGCACACCCAGCGAACGCAACAGCAATGGCACAGTCAGCTCATACGGAACCACGCAGACAAATCACACCAGCGTCACCGAGCCGCCGGCCTTTTCGAAAAAGCTGGTCGTCGTGGGCGATGGCGGCTGCGGAAAGACATGTCTGTTGATCAGCTACAGCTCCGGCAACTTCCCAGAGGTACGTCTTGCGCGCCGCCTGCACCGCCGCCTGCACGCCTGCACCGTCGCTGCACCGCGCTAACCGCCGCAGAAATACGTGCCGACCGTCTTCGAGAACTACATCACCCAGACGCCGCATCTGCCCACTGGCAAGATGGTCGAGCTGGCCCTGTGGGACACGGCCGGCCAGGAGGAATACGACCGCCTGCGCCCGCTGTCCTACCCGGAGACCGACATCATCTTTGTGTGCTTCGCCATTGACTGCCCCAATTCGCTCGAAAACGTCATGGACAAGGTAGCCTGCCCACTTCCTGCTTTTGCCAGCCCGCACTAACCCGCCCAAGTGGTACCCCCGAAGTCCTCCACTTCTGCCCCACAACGCCGCTGATGCTGCTCGGCCTCAAGTCAGATCTTCGCAACAAGAAGAACTGCATCGAGCTGCTCAAGACACAAGGCCTGACCCCCGTGACCCCTGACCAGGGCCGTGTCGTCGCGAAGAAGATGGGCGCCATGTACATGGAGTGCAGTAGTAAAGAGCAGGACGGCGTCGAGGACATCTTCGACACCGCCGTGACCATCGCCGTCGGCGACGAGTGGAAGACACCGGCAGACACGCGCAGAGAAACCCCCTCGTCGTCCGCCCCGGGGCATCACCGGACCATCTCGACAATGACCGACCTGCCCAAGAAGAAGAAGAAGAGCAAGGGCTGCACCATCCTCTGAGCGCGCATAATCACACCGAGGCGGCCATCTCGACACCCGACGCTGGACGACACGATCAAGATGCTAATGCCCATCGAACCACGCCTTCGATTTCTTGCATACTGCCGGTGCGCCCCAGTCACCTGCGACCCCTTGCGCGACCCCTGCGCCACCCATTTCTGTAGAGCTCTACACGTACATGATTCATGGCGTTTCTGGCTGCTTTTGAGCGACAATTAGTATGACCGGGCTCCGTCCTGAGCGTCTACGTGTGCATTCCACCATTCTGTATCTGTATTCGGTATTTAGTTGTGCGCGGGCCTATCGCCGCGCGACGAATAAATTTTAACGTCTTCTCATCTGATGTCTTGACATGGTCGGTGTGAAGGTCTGGCAACGTGAATGATACAGACGGCTTCCTGGAGTCTGACATCATATCGCACAGCTCGAACAGGGGCATCCTGGGTGACGTTGACAGCTGTAGGCCCTTGTACACATCGTTGTGCACATCATTGTACACATCAGATTGCCCATCCTAGTCTACCATGGCCAGAGCGGTCAGCTGTTGTCTGAACGCTGGCCTCCTCGTGCAGTTGACGTCACCAACGAGGGACTGAAGTCTCTGTTTACATCTTCCACCCTCAGTCATCTCCCAATCGCCCTCTCTAGAAATTCTGGCAAGCATCCTCGTTCAATTGACGTGACTGAAGTCTCGTTCAGATCTTCCACCCTCAGTCATCTCTCCAATCGCCCTCTCCAGGAGTTCTGGCATGCGTCACCCATCTCATCCGTAGTCTTGGCGTCTCACGAGTCCGTCTGAGAGCAGTCTGTCCCTTTGCCGCGTCTGTACTTCGGGACTACCTCAGCGTCTTCGTCTCGTGACACCACCCCGATGCTGTATCAACTCTGCTCGAGTCAACATGACATCTCCTCACTTCTGATGCTCCGTCACTTCAGTCGCATCCTCGTGCTCGGTCTGCCCCTCCTGCGTGCCCTCCTGGGCATTCGGATCCTTCGCCATGACGTTCTCAAAGTGGCTCCACAGCGACTCGACGGGCGCAAACTCGGTCCCGACCTGGGTCACTTCCTCGAGCGAGCGATTCAGCTTGTTGATGTTTTGGAGCACGAGCTCGAGACTCTGGGACCGGTCAGTCGGCTGCATGCGCCGCGGTGTAGCGGTGTGTGTGAGCAAGTGCGGGGCGGTGGGTTACCTGCGCGATCTCGCCCACGAGCATCTCGCGCTGCTGCTCAAAGTACGACTTCTCCGGCGCAGGCTGCGCGGGGGCAGCGGTCGAGGCGCGATTCGTCGACATGTTGATCTGTTGTGGCCGATTGTTTGGATGCAGGAACGCGCCGCATGGCCGCGGTGGGGTATGCAGCGCTCGGGCCGCGCGCTAGCCCGCCGTCCATAAAATTCCGTTTGCTACCTGCGCTACACTCATCAATCGACCACCACGATGAAACCACACAAGTGAAGGTAAACCCGCCCGCAATTTCCTCGCCCGGGGTCTTCCTCGAGGTTCCTATGATTAACACCATAATATCTGTCAATCCCCTGAATCCCACAAGATGGGACTTGATGACTCAAATTATTGTATTCACACTATGATCCAACCTTCTGCCTAATATTTTCAACTTTACTTCCTGCCAAGCAGCACAGCTAACAGCTCTGCTCAGATCGACATCATGGCGCCCGCCACGGCACCAACAGAAGTCTCGGAGCCCTTCCCCATCTCCTGCGTTGCAGGGCGATACCTCCTTTTCGACGTCGACGTGATCGCTCACGTCCGGCGCACCCATAACATCTGCGGCGTGCTGGTCGGCACCATCCCGAACCTGTCGCAGCAGAATGTGTTCCTCGGCATTCCACTCGAGCTCATGCCTGAAGAGGCCCGCGTGCTCGTGGAAGGAGGACACGCACACATCGTTGACGATGTCGAAACACATCGCCAGGGATTCCAAGAGATGAGCCGCGCAGACCGGCTGAAGTACCTGGCGGAGCTGGACCGTCAGGGTGTCGAGGCTGCGAAGGAGAGTCTGGCGGCCCAGGAGATGAAGAAGGACGTTGCTCTGAAGAAGAAGGGGCTGAGGAAGCCTGTTGAGACCGAGACTGCTCCGAGCGTTGCGGATAGCACTGCGACGATTGAGAGCACGGCGTCCGACGAGACGGTCCATGTTGAGCTCCCCAGCCCTACTGGCTCAGGTCTTGGTTTCATCATGAAGGGCTCAGGTTTTTTGGACCCACCAGCATCGGTCGACACATCATCGCCTGTAGCGTCGTCGTCAGTGCCAGAGTTACCAAGCTCTGTTGCTTCTGACCTTGGGTCGTCGTCGTCAGTGCCAGAGTCACCGAGCTCTGTCGCTTCTGACCTTGGGTCGTCGTTCATCGACCTGGGTTCTATCATGAAGGGATCGTCTTTCTTGGACTCGGCTTCGGTATCAGCAAAGTCAGAAATTGATGCTGCACCTGCCAGCCGCGGTCCATCACTATCCCCGCAGATCTCCGACCTTGGCTCATCCTTCTCTGATCTTGGCTCGATCATGAAAGGATCGTCCTTCATGGACCCTACTCCCATCCAAGTAAAGGTCCGCAAGGTCGAGATCGAGGAAGCCGCGCCGCTCTTGGTCAAGGAGGAAGCCGCCGAGATGGTGGAGGCAGAGGAGACTCAGCTTGAAGCAGCGATGCAGGAGGAGCTCAAGCCCGTGACAGCCGACCCAGAAGTTGTCTTGCCAGAGGTCCCATCTGCGGCTGACACCAAGCCCGTGCCGGCAGAGGATCCCTCAACATCCCTCTTCGCCGAGCCAGCCACCGCCCCTCCCGTCAAAACCACCAAGAGCGTCTTCGCCCAACGCCAATACATCACCCCCACCACATCCACCCTCGCCCTCCCCACACCCCCCAAAGACCCATCCCGCTCGCTCCCCGTGGTACCCAAGAGCTACCCGCTCTTCCGCTTCCTGCACTCGCGCGGCTACTTCTTCATGCCCGGCCTGCGCTTCGGCTGCAACTACTCGGTCTACCCCGGCGACCCGCTGCGGTACCACAGCCACTTCCTGGCCACGGGCCTCGGGTGGGACGAGAAGTTCGACCTGCTGGACATTGTCGGCGGCGGGCGTCTGGGCACGGGCACCAAGAAGGCGTACATGGTCGGCGGCGAGGACCCGAGCAAGCCTGGCACAGAAGGTGTGCGCGCGTTCTCGGTCGAGTGGGCGTCGATGTGAGGGCGTGCGGGGTGTGTGAAGATAATGTGTACATGATAGAAATGAACGTGCTTGATGCTGAACTTGCGTAACCTGTCTGCGTGTTGTTGTGATGCAGTGCCCCATGTTTTGCTGTGATGCAGTGCCCTATGTTTTGATGTGACGTGCAGTGTCCCATGGTATGATGACGACGAAGCGCGCCATCGTCTCGAGTCTCCCGACCTCCTCGAGTCCAAGTCCAAGTCCTCTGCCGTCGACCGTCGGCCTCAACATGTGCATCTGCATCTGCATCTGCATCTGCATCGCCGCCGCATCAACACATGCACGCCATGGGTACGCAAGGAGCAAGAAGCAAGAAGCAAGAAGCAAGACGCAAGTAGCGAGAAGTAACACAGCACAGCACAGCACAGTAAATGCCAAATTACATCTCCCCAACCCCGGTATGTAAAGTACCTAACCGACCTATCCCATCCCATGCCATCATCCCTACCATCCCTACTATCCCTATAAATCCCATCCCATAAACCCTCCATAGCAGACCAAAACGCCAATCATGAATTGTACCTGTAAAAACGCCATGAAGTAGTGAAAGAAAGCCTGTACTCCATGCCCGCCCCGGGGCCCGGGGGTTGCTGGACCGGATCCAGCCCTTGGACGCCGGGAATGCAAAGCGCTTTCTCGCTGCGAGTGCAATGTCGACGCATCGCGAGTCTATCGCTCACTCGCCCCTCCGCACCCGCTTCGCGCACCCGCCCGCCTCCGCCTCCGCGGCCCTCTTGGCTCCGCCCTTCCCCTGCCCCTGCCCCTGCGCCTCAGCCTGCGCGTCCGCCTCCCCCTCCTCGGGCAGCCAGAACCGATGCCCCGTCTCCGCCGTATCGCCAATCATCTCGTCCCCAATCACCCTCTCCTCGCGGAACTGTGCGTCCCCCTCGACCCCCCCAGGGACACTCAACGGGCCCTTATCCCTCCTGAAGAACACGCGCTGGACGAACTTGACCCGCCCCTTCTTTCTAGCGAGTCCAAAGCGCCAGTTGCTGTACGGCAAGAAGCCGAACAGCGCATCCGGCGCATCGTCGGGGACCTCGAGCATTTCCCAGCGGGGGTCGGCGAGCAGCGCGGGGAGCGCCGAGTGTTTCCAGTCGGCGTAGATGTCGTTGGGGACATGGGCGGTCAGTTTCGTCAAGTGGGAGAACTGGCTCGCATAGCGGGCCCAGAAGCGGCGCCAGCCGGTCTTCTCGCGCTGCATGAGCTGCGTCTCGGCGGGCGAGGCGCGGCGGTGGGCGCGCAGGTAGCCCGACACGCCGGGGACGTCGAGCGGGTACTGGATGGTCAGCTCGTCGACCATGTGGGCGATGTGGCTGAGGTTGAAGGCGGCTTGGGTGGGGAGCAGGTGCTCGACTTTGGCGTCGTCGGGGCCGGAGAAGGTTTTGTAGTCGCCAAAGTAGAGGGAGCCGTCGAGGCCGGACGAGGGCGATGTGTTGATGCGGTCGCCGATGGACAGGCGGATGGGCACGTGCAGGTCGCGCAGGGTGCTGACCATGGCTTGGATGCGGGTCAGGACCTGGGCTTTGGGGAGGAAGGTGCGGTGCGGCTCGAGGTTGGCGGGGAAGACGTCGCACATCATCGAGGACCAGGCGAGGATGGGCTTCCAGTCGCACTTGTGCAGCAGCCAGCGGATGGCTTCTTGGACTTCGGCGTTGGAGCAGGGGTCGATGGGCGGGGTGGTGTTGGCCGGGGCGTTGTGGTGGCCGAACTGGCGGCGCTGCATGACGTTGACGAGGTGGAAGGGGTGGAGTGTGATATTCTCGAGGTTGCGGATGGGCTTGATGCTGATGTTGGGGTACTTCTTCGAGATGGTCTGGAGGCTCTGCAGCAGGTCTTCGAACGAGGCGCCGACGCCCTGGACAACGTGGTTGCCGAGTGTCATGTGGTCGCGCTTGCAGTCGTCGAAGCTCTTGTCGTCAAAGGCCTCCTCCTCGTCGCGGTGGTGGTGCCCTTGTGTGATTCGGTAGGGGATGGGCCCGATGACGTCGCGCTCGCGGCGGTCCTCCATCCAGCTGTAGAGGCCGATCTCGACGTCGGTGATCTGCGACCAGTCGGTGGCGTCGGTGGAGAAGAGCGAGCGGTACGGGGCGTAGTCGTGCACCTTGAGCTTGGTCAGCGTGGGCGGGCAGTTGTTCTGCACGCCGTCGACGAGGCAGCACACGCGCTGGTGGACCTCCCACTCGTTCCAGGTGTGGAAGCCCGAGTAGCGCTCGCGGATGGCCAGCGTCTTCAGCTTCAGGCACAGCGGGAAGATGTCCTTGGCCACCGAGCCACCACCGCGGCGGCGCGACAGGCGGAACTTCTGCTTGAAGCGGTAGTCGTTGTACGAGTAGCTGTACTCGATGCGCGAGTGGGCGGTGTAGTCGGCCCAGTTGGCGACCTCGAGCTCGTCCAGGCGGGCAAACAGGCGCGGACAGGCGTCGGCCAGCATGCGCCAGGTCCACGTCTCCTCGGGGGTCCACACAAAGTCCTTGATGGCGGAGATGTCGAGGCTCACCAGGGCCGGCAGGTTCGCGTCGATCCAGCGGAAGTCGTCGACGCTCGCCCAGTGCGACACGGCCAGCTTCTGCACGTAGGCGCGGTTCTCGTCGGTGATGCTGTCCTGGAAGCTCTGCCAGCGCATCTGGCCGCTCGGGCGGTACTTCCACTCGCCCAGGCGCAGGTCGCGCACGTCGGCCAGCTGGATGGGGTACTTGTACAGCAGCTGGCTGACCGACTCGCTGCGGGCCAGGCCCTTGCACAGGCGCTTGAGGCTCCAGGCCTCGTCGCGGTCCAGGTAGTCCAGCACGCACTTGAAGATGTCATCGGGCAGGCGGAACAGCGGGCTGTGCTGCGCCGCCGTCTTGGGCTTGCGCATGTTGAGCGGGTCGAAGCCCATGGGGCTGCATGCGCGGCTCGAGTCGGGCGAGTCGGCGCCGGGCGACGGGGCCATGTCGAGCAGCGCGAGCAGCGAGAGCCGCCGCGACATGAGGGACAGGCGGGGCCGGTCACATGAGCCGCACGGCGGGCAGTGGAGGGAGCGCGGGGCGGCGGGCGGTGGGCGGTGGGTGGCGGGTGGCGGCAGGGCGGTGGTCGGTGGTCGACAGTGGAGGGTGGAGGGCAGAGCAGCAGCGGGCGGAGCTGGCTGCGGCGTGAGGTCGGGGGTCCGCTAGCGCCGTTCGCACATGCCGCAGCTCTTGCGCCCGCTTGCAGCACCGAAATCTGCACCACCAGCACATCCGCGCATACGCCATTCCCAGCACACGCCATTCCCACGCACACCCGCATACGCCGTCCCCGCGCACACCGCCGCCACTCTCCCACCCGCAACAACCGCCGCCGCCAAATACCACATCCCCCGCCATGGCCGACGCGCAGGTCTTCGAGGAAACCTTCAACCTCACCGAGGTCAACAGCGAGCGCTACGACCGCGTGTCGCGCATCTTCGGCACCTCGGCCGACCAGTCGCTGACCATGACCCTCGACATCAACCACGAGCTGTTCCCGTGCCAGGCGGGCGGCCAGATCCAGATGGTCCTGGCCACCACCCTCAACCTGGACGGCACCAAGGAGGAGACCAGCTGGCGCAACGTCACCAAGCAGGGCACCACCACCCTGGCCGACATGTACGACTACGTGTGCTACGGCAAGAACTACCGCTTCGAGGACGGCGACGGCGACACCCTGTGCGTGCCCCGGACAGTCCAGAGAACCACGCTGACACCCCCCAGGAAGTACTTTGCCAGCTTCGGCGGCCTGCTGCTGTACATCGAGGGCCCCTTCAAGAAGCTGACCGGCCTGAAGATCGACAACATCTACATGCTGCTCAAGCACAGTTAGAGAGGAGTCCAGCGGCGATGAAGAAGAAGAAAAGCATGGGCGGCGTTATGTGTGGTATTGCTATCATCTGGTGGTCTACGGCGTCTGGATACCCTCGATATCCTCAATTGAACACTTGTCTCGACATCTCATCTAAAACTCGTCTCGCCATCTCATCTTGAATCAGTGCAATTACAGCGTAGGAAACTCCAGCCGCCGGTGCAGTCGCGACACAATCTCAATAAAGTCCTTCTCGTTCGCCTCCGTCAGGATGCCGTGTCTGACCAGAAAGTCCAGCACCACGAGCGAGCAGTTGGGCTTGAACTCGCCCTTCTTCATCGCCTCCTGCACCTCCTCCACACTCCACAGATAAAACTCCTCCACCTCGTCGTCCCCAGGCTTGGGCACAACGTCTTCAGGCAGCTCCAGGTCGTAGATGTACTGCACCTCAGGCTGCAAAAGTCCCGTCTCGCCGCCCGCCCGCTCGTCTCTCACATACCAGTACGTCACTGTGCCTGCCGCCTTCGCGCGCTCCCTCACCAGCGCCTCTTGCAGACTCGCTTCCTCGGCGCACTCGCGGACAAGGCTTTCGAACGGGCTCTCCCCCGACGAGATTCCGCCTGCGACCGCATTATCCAGCATGCCGCCGTATGTCTGCTTCGTCTTCGCGCGGCGCGGCGTCCAGATTTTGATCTCGCCCGACTCCTTGTCCTTGGTGTACGCAGTCAGGTGCACGCCGTACGTCACGACGCCGAGCAGCGGACTCGCGCTGCGCTCCACGTTGAACAGCAGCTCCTTGTCGCGGCCGTACACCGCATACAGCTCTCCGCGCCACTTCTTCAGCACCTCAAAGTGCCCGAGTTCGCGCAGCGCCAGCAGCGTCGTGGCCACCGCGTGGCTGCGTATCTCGGCGTCGTCGCCCGCCGTCAGCGTGAGCGTGCGCTCCGTGTCGTCCAGCGCCCAGCTGGGCGTCCCTCGGAACACCTCCGCCACCGACGGCAGCACATATCCCAGCGCGTAGTCGTGCCCGGCGACGCGCAGCTGGTAGTAGGTTTCGGTGCGCGACCAGTAGGCTGACGGGTCGGAGTCGGCGTAGGGGAAGCCGTCGCATTGCGCCACGAGGGCGAGGTTTGTGAAGGACATGTCGGATGGATCGAGGGGCGTCACGGCGGTTTGAAGGTGTGACGACATGTGGGAGGGTGTGGGCAGCGTTATGGGGAAGTTGAGATTGGACATTGTGGAGCGGGCGTCGTCATTGCGGTTGCAAGGGAAATGGTGGGGGCGGGGCAGTCTGAAGCAACATCTGATCAGCTTACATGTGAGACTGTTTCAATTGACTCTGGTTGTATACTGCGTCTGTACAGTTCTAGACCCAACAGCGGTGCAATTGATTTCGTTGATACGTGAGGTTTCGGTCACAGCTCGTCCGTCATGTTCGCGCCGATAATTTCTGGCCAGACCACAGACCACCATCCACCACCATGAGCGAGGACGTCACACCCAGCGAGCATCACCCCGAGCCACACCACGAACCGCACCACGAGCCGCACAATGGAGCAAGAGTCATTCTATCAGTCCCACGGGCCTACGTGAAGGACGTAAAGCTCGCATTGGAGCAGCACAAGCTATTCGACCGGCACCATGGCATCAGCCCAGAAGAGAAGGATGCCACCTCAGACGGCCCGCGAATGCGCATACACACCACGATCCCCCACGATGCCACGAGCATAGAGACCACGACTGCCCTCAAGGCCCTCCTCGCCATCTCCCCCGCCATCACAACCACCCCCTTCGACCCCGAACCCGCACCCCTCACAACCCCCCTCCGCCGCGCCCTCGCCACCGCCCTCGCCGCCCTGCCCCCCAGCACCCTCGCCTCCCTCCCCCCAATCCCCGCCCTCATATCCTCCTTCCCTCGCACATACACCCTCTACCCACCCCTCCTCCTCCTCCCCGCGCTCCCACCCCCCTGGTCCGCCCTCCTCACCACCCACACCTCCCCCCTAACGCCCCTGTGGACCCACCTCGCCACCGCCCTGCACTGCACCCACATCGCCCTCAACGCGCCGATACCCGCCTCGCACGCGCCGCACTCAGTCCACGCGCGCGACGCACACAACCTGCTGCGCAGCCCTGCGCACCTGGTGCCCGTGCACGGGGACTTTGGGCCGGGTGTTACGGCGGCGCGGTTGTTGGAGCCGTCGGGGCGGGATTTTGAAGAGGCGTTTTGGGTGCAAGTGGTGCAGAGGGGGGTCGTGCAGGTTTGGGCGCCGAGGTGGACGATGTTTAGTCGCGGGAATGTGGGGGAGAAGGGGAGGGTTTTGGGGTTTGAGGGGTTTTTGGGGGGGGAGGAGGCTGGGTCTGGAGCTGGATATGCATCTGGGTCTGCATCTGGGTCTGCGTCTACGTCTGCGTCTTCTGGATCTGCGTCTTCTGGATCTGCGTCTTCTGGATCTGCGTCTTCTGGATCTGCGTCTCCTGCCTCTGCCTCCGCCGCTGCCTCTCCCGCCAGGACACCCGACACCAACGCAGCCCCCGCAGCCGTCGCCCCACCACCCCCCGTCTCCGCAGCAGTCGACCTCTACGCCGGCATCGGCTACTTCGCCTTCTCGTACCGGCGCGCCATCGCCCCACTGGTCCTCGGCTGGGAGATCAACCCGTGGTCCATCGAGGCCCTGCGCCGCGGCGCCGCGGCAAACAACTGGCGCGTGAGGATCTTCACGCCGTCTCCGTCCTCTCCCTCCTCTTCTCCTTCCCCCGCGCCCTACCCCTGCGCCACGACGCCCTTCCCGGACGCATCTGCAGCCCCCGAGGTATGGACGGCCTGGGCGGAGGACGTCTGGCCCACGACGACGACGACGACGACCCCCACCCCACCAGCCCACGATTTCTGGCTCTTCGCCGCCCCCAACGAAACCGCACCCGCGATCCTCAGCGCGCTGGGCCCCCGCCTCGCCGTGCGGCACGTGAACCTCGGGCTGCTCCCTTTATCACGGGCTAGCTGGCCCGCGGCGGTCGGGGCGCTGAACGCGCGTGAGGGCGGGTGGGTGCATGCGCACGAGAACGTGGGGGAGGGGGAGATGGGGCCGCGGCGGGGGGAGGTGGAGGGCGTGTTTCAGCGGCTGGTGGATGGGCGGTGGGGGGGCGGGAGGCGGGTAAGGGTTGTGCATGTGCAGCGGGTGAAGATGTATGCGCCGGGGGTGGTGCATGCGGTGTTTGATGTGTGGGTGCCGGGGGCAGGTGTAGGTGAGGAAGAGGTCAGGGGTGGGGTGGAGTCGGGGTGCAATGGAGTCAAGGAACGTCGTCAGAACTAGGGCATGAGAAGACTGAATTGTATTTTCGTGGGTGATAGGATTGCGGACTACCAGATGATTGCTACTAGCAGAAAGGAAATCTACAATCTCCACCGTCAAGAGCTTCAGCAACACAGCTGAGCGGCTCGCACCACCGCGAGAGCAAACGAAGATATCCGTGTCGGATGGGTATTTACATTAAAACGTGTATTGCGGAGCCTGCACGTCCAGCTGCAGCACGTGGAACTGCTCAACTCCGAGTACGCCATGAATGCAGGTTGTTGTACAGTAAAGCAAGGTTATAGGTTCAAGGTTTGGTGTCGTCCTTCTTGTCGTTCAGCTTGGGGTCACCGGCGAAAGGCCCAATGGTAAAGTTTGGTGTCGTCTCCATGTTCTGGCTGGGAGGGCCGCGGTATTCATGCGCATCGGGGGCGAGGATCGGATCCGACTGCTTAGTCTGGGGGTGAACCTCGATACCCTGCTGCGCCTCAAGTTCGTCCTTGCCCATGTTGCGGCTGAACTTGAGCGAACCCGTGTCGCTGAGATCCTTTCCGATTGGCGACCACCCTCCAACGCTACCGGCCACAATACCGGCCATGACAGCAGCGGGTCCGAAAGCCGAGTTGGAGCGAGACCTGGTTCGGTGTCGGCTGGACGGGGTGGGTGCTGGGGAGCCCTCCTGTTCAACGGCACCATTGTTGGGCGTGCTCGGGTGAGAAAAGCTGGTCCTCGATCGGGAGAAGATTTCCTTGGGATGCGAGACCTTGTACTTGATGTCGCTGAGGCGGCCGCCGCGGAACTTGCGGATGAAAGCGAGCTCATCGCGGATCTCAAGAAGCCCCTGGTTCCACTCAAAGTCGTCGTCGGTAACAACCACCTCGGGGTTGCGCTTCCTCTTGAAGAAGTCGGGGATGCACTTGCGGATGAGTTCGTCGGGAATCAGGCGAACAATCATGCCCACTGGGAGCGACAAGAAACCCAAGACAATCGAGTAGCCCCATTGAGCGCCGTTAATCCTAGTGACGGAGAAAGCAACACCTCCGACGAAGACAATCATAGTCTGGCCGCCAATCATGATAGCCAAGATTCCAATGAAGAACCAGTTGTGAGTGATGCCTTCGAAGATGTTGAAGCGGTTGTCGAGGCGACGGTTGTTGAGAGCGTTGAAGATCTGCATCCACACAAAGGTGTTGAAGACAAGAGTCGGCAGTTGCTTCTTCTCGTTCTCGCTTTCGTAGCTCAGAATAGACTCGCCGGCGAAGTATAGGATGAAGGTGACCACCAGCTGGTAGATAGCCTGGCCAATGATCATCTTCCACATCCTGAGAGTAATCAAAGGAGCAGACTTGGGGTCGGGCTTCCTGTTCAGGAGGCTTCGTGTGGGCGGATCGGTTGCAAGCGCAAGAGCAGCGAAGGTATCCATAATGAGGTTGACCCAGAGAAGCTGGACAGCAGTGAGCACAGACTGCTGGTCTTCGCTGGAAACAGCAGAGACGAAGGTGAGGACGACGGCAGTGATGTTGACGGTGATCTGGAACTGCAAGAACTTCTTGACCGCATCGTTGACAGCACGGCCCCAAAGCAGAGCCTTTACGATGGAGGCAAAGTTGTCGTCCATAAGGATAATGGCAGAAGCTTCCTTTGCGACTTCAGTTCCGGCGATACCCATGGAGAAACCAACATCGGCTGTCTTGAGGGCTGGAGCGTCGTTGGTACCGTCACCAGTGACCGCTACGGTCTCACCCAACTCCTTGAGGCGCTTCACGAGCTTGCGCTTGTCCTCCGGGCTGGAGCGTGCGAGAACACAGAGCTTGGGAATGACGGCATCCATATCCTTCTTTGATAGCTTGCGGAAAGTGGGGCCCTCCATAACGACACCGCCAGGAACGAGGATGCCGCAATCTTCAGCAATAGCCTTGGCTGTCATCACGTTGTCACCTGTAACCATGCGGACATAGACGCCAGCGTGTTGGCAGTCCTTGACGGCTTCCTTGACGCTGTCACGCAGCGGATCTTGGATACCGACAACAGCTAGGAATGTCATGTGCTTGAAGATGTCCGTAAACGAGGCCTGGGTCGGGTCATCCTCATTGGGCTTGGAATCCTTGGGTGGCCAACTCTCAAAGTCGCGGTAGATCAGGCCAATGGTTCGGAGCGAGCGAGAAGCGTATGTCATGATCACGTGCTCGAGCGTCTCGCGGTTTTCGCTGGTCATTGAGGTTGCAGTGAGCTCCTTCGATGCGTCCGTCACGATCTTGTCGCAGTTGCCGAGAAGAATCTCAGAAGCGCCCTTGACGTACATGCGGTAGTGTCCGTCAGCAAGTTTTGCGACAGCGGCCGAGCACTTGATGGCGGAGTCGAAAGGAACGACTTGTACAATGTTGGCGTTGGATCGCTCCTCGCCGAGGTGGCCCATGCCGAGATGGTCGCGTGCAAAACCGAGAAGAGCAGTTTCAGTCTTGGAACCGATGAAAGGGTCAGGTCCGCCAGCCTCGCCTTCGAATGCAGTGGTGTTCTGGACAATCGATTGTTCGAGAAGTTCTTTCACGCCTTTGCTGATTGTACCAGCAAACTCAGATGCGGAAACATCATTGGGGCCTTCGACCGGAGACTCTGCAACATCCTTGCCCTTGCTGACATCTTGAATCGGGGCATCTTGCTGAGAGGCCTTGAGCTTGTGGTCGCCGAATCGTAGAACAGTGCCGAGAGAACCAGCGACGACTGTCATCTTGTTCTGGGTCAGAGTACCAGTCTTGTCGGAGCAAATCGTCGTTGCGTTACCCATGGTCTCACAAGATCGAAGTAAGCGCACCAGATTGTTGTCCTTCAACATACGAGTCGTCGCAAAAGCCAGTGCAAGCGTGACGGCCAGTGGTAGTCCCTCAGGAACAGCCACAACGATGACAGTGATAGCAACGATAAGGATGTCGAGAAATTTCTGGCCCTTCTCTGCTGGAGTAGTACCGCTGCCACGCAGCTTGACCAGGAATTCGATGAAGAGCACCACGAACAAAAGGAGAGCGGCCGCACTACCAAGCTTGGCGATGTACGTTGCAAGAATGTTTAGCTTTGACTGCAGCGGGGTGACTTCGCTGTCTTCGCGGAGGGACATCATCGTCTTTCCGTAGCTTGAGTTGACACCAACGGCAGTGACTAAGAAGTGGCCAACACCCTCTGACACCTTGGCGCCGGAGAGGATGAAGGGGTCAATCTTTTTCAGGTTCTCGTGCTTTTCGATGGCGCGGAAGGCCTCGTCTCCAGGTGTCTTCTTCAGAAGATCGGATTCACCGGTTGCGGAAGACTCGTCGCACTTGATGCCATGGCCCTGGATGAGAATACCGTCGACGGGGATCATGTCTCCAGGCTCGAGGGCGACGACATCTCCAACCATAATGTCATAGACCAAAACCTGCTGGGTTCTGCCAGAGCGAATGACTTTGATTTGTCGGTCGTCCTTCTTCCTGTTCAACTTCACGAACTGACGTTCCTTCTGCCAATCGTTGGCAGCACCAACAATAACGACGATTGCGATGGCCACGATAATGGCTACACCTTCGATCCACTCGACCGCGGGCTCGCCCGGTTCGTGCTTCACTCCAAAGGTCTGGTACAGTCCAAGCGCAAGCGATATAACCGCAGCGCCAGTCAACAGAAGTAGAATTTTATCGTTATACGCCATCCAGGCTAGCTGAAAGATGTTCTTTGTCTTCTTCTCCGGAAGGCGATTATCAGCGAAAACGCGAATTCGATCCGCAAAAGTGTTCGGGCCTGATGAATTAGACGTATCGTTCTGAGCAGCGCCGTTGGCGGATGCTTTCGGTGGTGTTTGTGTCTGGCTTGGCATGGTGGCTTCCTCGAACGTGACCGTGCCGTCAAGATGCTGTTCATCAATGCTTAACCCGGCCTTCCTGTCCGTTCGCAGGCCTTTCTCTAATCCGTCTAATCCACCTAAAGCATAAAAAGCGCTTAAGCTCTTGGGGTTGTACAACTTGGCAAGCTGACCGGGCGAAAACGCAAACTTGTTGTTTTCAACTTCAAAATCAGCTTCTGTGCCAGGATCAGGCTTAAGAGCATCTTTATCGTTCAGGACTTCTGTAGGTCCCATTTCTCCCTTAAGCGTCTCCCCTTGCGAAGACGGAACGTAGGTACCGGTGGAATTCGATTCGACGTGCTCCCCGTTCGAATCCATTGAGTTCCCTCGCGAGTGCGCGCCGGGTACCGACAGAAGGTTTCCGCCGGTGTTCCACTTCGTGGTTGGCGACGACACGTTATGCGCCGAGGAGGCTGGTCTACTAGCATTGCTTTCGAAAGAACCTGCGCTGCGCAGTTCGGGCGACGCGTTATCCATAGTAGAACTGCTGTTGTCGATTTCACGAAGAGGCACAGGTTCGCCAGTGTTGTTGCCGCCAGCAGCGGAGGTATCAATGGTGATGGTAGGGGCCCTCGCTCGGCGCGGGCCCGCGTCCGGTGTGTTGTCCGCCATAGTGGTGCCTGAAGTCAGCCTCGCGGCTGGGGTGATAGGCAGAAGGCGGGATCGAATGCGCTGCTAGGCAAGCGAAGGATACGGATGGAACAATGGGTTGAATAAGTTTGACCGGTGAGTGCTGCAGGCGCGCACGCGGGTGATTTTGAGGGATGAGACCAGGGGCGAGGAGGCTGTGTCTACTGGCTGCACATGTGGTGCTTCAAGGGAAAGAGCTAGCGGTCCGCTCCCAAACAAGTGTAAACGAGGCTGGAGTACGTCAGTACAGCGTCTTCACTCAAGCGCGTTCACTCTCGCGGCACTGCGCCACAGCAAAGCCAGCTGGACAGAGTGCAAACACTGAGACGTGGATGTTCGGAGAACGCGACGTACACCTAGAACTCTCGGAAGGAGGCGAAGAACACCAACAACAGCTGATCGTTCTGCCGAGGACAGTGGGCTGGATCCTGTGTTCAAGTGAGGCAGTGCTGTGCTGCGCCTGGTGGTGCGACTATACTGCTTCCATGGGTGCAGCGTCAGGTATAAAGGGCTCGTGGCGACCTTGGTGTCCGGTTTCCAGAATTCGCGCGACCAACAAACTTGAGTGTACAGCTCAGACAAGAATCCCTTGGGGAGGCGCGCCAACACGACCCCATGGCGATCAAGTGTTGTCTAGTGAGGTGCTGGGCACTCTTGCACAGCCCTGTTGCCAAGCGCATCATTCCCGCTTTGGCTGGCTGCCGACAGTGCCCCAGCTAGCCCTCGAGTTAGCTGCCCGATTCCGCCCTAGACCCCTCTGCCGGCGGTCTGAGGTCTGAAATCCAGGCGTTGGTCGCAAGTCAAGCCGTTTGCTGAGACTCGCTAAGCTTCTGATGCTTCTTCGACCTGTTCGCGATGCTCTTTTGCGTTGCATACAAGCAGGAGAGCAATAGCTGCAGTGGCATGCCAGGCACAACGCCATGGCAACACAGTCGTACACAGGGAGAGATGGCCCGCGCTCTCCCAACGAAGAAATCGCGCCCTGTCCATAGATGAGGCCAAGCGACACTTTATGTCAGAGCGCCATATCACGCCAAATACCTCCTGGAAGCTTGTCCCTCGCTTTGCCTTTCTCATCCACGACGCGACAACAACAACAACGGGGCCTCGCACCAAATGAGCCCATCTCCAGCTCACCGATTCTAAAGACTAGCGCTTGTGTTGGTCGTTGTTGGTCGCCAACACAGCCTTGGGTGGTGCTCGTCCCCACCAACAACAGTGCTGGTTGCCGCTGGCGCTTGCTGTGCAAACATCCGTGTCCTCGAGCCGAGCGAAAAGTGCCTGGCAAGTGCCTGGCGATCACAGCGCATCTACAGCAAGCGAAGCCAAGCCAGACGTCACCCCTTCAGTGATTTGATTGCCAAGTGCATGAGGAAATGACCCGCTCCACGTTGACCTCCGATTGAGCTTTTTCCCCGTCTCGGCGCCCGCTCTCCCATCATGCTTGTGCGCGTCAGAGACACTGGGAGGCTCAAGCTCATCATTCCCCTTGACTCTTCCAGCCGGGTCAGTCTACGCCACCCTACTGCATTATCGATATCGCTTTGAAAGCGTACATCTGGTAAGGTGTACGCAATCATCGTACAATCCGAACCCTGGTTCAGCCGTCGCCTCAGCAGGTTTCGATGCATGTTAGATGGCTTCGCGTGAGTTTCCAAGCTTCGAGCCACGACATCCTGATGCTTGCTATGCACAAGACCATATGATGGACCCAGCTGATCTTGTTTACCTTGGCAACTCCAATCGCACGACAGCAGCAACCGCGTGGGCAGTAGCTTGCTTCTAGCTTCTAGACATGACTGCATGCACCCCGCAAACAGCTCTCCATGGTAGTGCGCGTTACTATTGCGCTTTACAACCACGGCAAACAGGCTTTGTAGACATTTTCAAAGTAAGGCAATCTCAGTTCACTCATCTCAATTGCGGAAACCGATACATTGGCCTGCCAAACTTTGTAGAAAGAACAGGTCGACGAACAGTATCCGAGTCAAAATTTTGCGGTACGCAAGGGTCCAGTAATTACGCAGCGCTCAGAACTATCCAGCAACGTCACAGCCGTAATGTTTACAAGCTGCAACCTGTAATACGGTCAGGGCGGTGAACGATGAAGTTTGCTTTACAAATCCGCAGTCGAATCAGGATCCGGGTTGGTTCGACATACACGCCCTTGAGCCTCAGGAGGCAAGTACAAACATAAGCCGTCGCGCCCTTCAACTGCACTGAGAAAGGCTTCCACAAAGCTCCGCAACCATGACGAGAGTATCGTGCAAGTACAGTTGCTATAAAAGCTGTGCACCATCTTCACGTTTAAGTCAAACACGACATCTCTGCAGCTACGCTTCTTCGCAATTGTTCATCCTCAAGTCTGAGGGAAATTCGCCAAAGATATATATCACATACAATCATCATGTCAAGCGTTGATGCCGACGCCAGAATCGCGAGTAACGGATGGGCGGCCGTTCCACGAAGCCATTCAAAGGCTCTCGATGATGTTAATAAGAACCAGCATGCCACGCTCGACCTTGACCTCGTGAAGGTGCCTGACACCGATGTAGCCAAGGAGGTGCTCAAGTATGCGAAGGCCACACTGCCAGAGAGGACGTTCAACCATAGTATGCGCGTCTGGAACTATGGTACGTTTTACCTCCGTTGTTCATTTTATACAAACCAGCGACTTTACAACGACCGTAAAAAGGAGCATGCGGAGACTGTGCTAACAGGATCAGGAAATGCAATCGTGCAGACGCACTTGCCGCATCTTACGCCTCTCCTCGAAACGTATTTCCTGACCTGTCTCTTTCATGACATTGGCACCACACCAGAGCACATGAAAGGCACGCACTTATCGTTTGAGTACTGGGGTGCTATGAAAGCAAGGTCGTTCTTGAGCGAAAATGGCGCACCCAGCGATCAAGCTGATGCAGTTTGCGAAGCTATTATTCGCCACGCGGAGCTGGGTGAGATAGGGATGATCACCAGTCTCGGATTGCTGATCCAGTTGACAACATCATTCGGTAAGTGGGGGAAATTTTCCTTTCAGTAAACCGATCCATTCTCCTGGATGGCCTGCAGGACTGAAACAGTACCCTCATCGCGTTCGGGACCGGGATTTTTGTGGAGCTCCCATCTTGCCAAATCGGCCCTTAAGCAAGTCAAGAACAGTGGAGTCGCAGAATAGTCGGCATTGTGTCCAAAGGAGGCACGGTAACATCGGTGAAGTTCTGTGTAGAGCAACGCTGCATCAGACAGCCGCGCGGACACCCGATTCGTGACCAACATACGCGCCACTCGCGTCGTCACTGCACAGCCTACCACCTCGAACACCTCAGGGATGACAGTTGCATCTCAACACTGCACCAAAAAGTTTAAGATTCTCATGTCAGGCCGCCACCGGAACGTGAAATGTTGTGCACTCCGCATGTCTTGGGTCGTTGCCGGTTAAAGTTTCCCCGGTCTCACACGCCGCAGCCTCGACGCCTCGAGCACACGGAACGCGACTCCAAGCAATCAAAAGCAAATCAAAGTATTGCCTCAAGGCGCGGCGCCAATATCACCTCGTTCGCGCTCCGTAGCCGCCGTGCATGCGCTCGTGCACACAATTAGGGGCCAGGAACCGCGACCCGCAGGACGCCTTGAGTATGCCTCGGCCGCCTCGCCATGATCCACCAATATCAGAACCACAACAGCCTCCGTTTCCGGTCCCGTTCATGGAACTTGACCGACCACAACTACCAAGAGTCTGCCTGACACTCACTAACCCGCCCACCAGATAACGCAGGCGCCAACCCGTATCTCATCGCGACCGAGACTATCGAGAAGGTCGTGGCCAGGTACCCGCGCAAGGGATGGTCGTCGTGCTTTGCTGCTTGCATGACCGCCGAGATGGACTTGAAGCCGTGGTGCCGCACCACCGCTCAGGAAGGATTCGTGGAGAGTATTGCCGGGAACGAGTTGATGGCACCTTACGACAAGTAAACGTGTTTAGCTGGCCAGGCACACTGGTGGGCTGGGGTTCTCAAGCAGCAATGACAGATTGTTCTCACGACGCTTACTATTACATGCTCTGGGACGTTTTCACGAGTGACGTGTATGCGAGGGCCGGCTCGTTAAGGGAGCTGCCATTGCCCATAGAACTCTAGACTGATACTACAGAATGTGTGAGGGAGCAGTCGCTACGATTGGCACCCAGTGTCGTTCGGGTATCTGCTGAAGTGCACATCCTGAAGACTCAGTTAGTTCTCTAGCCCTTGCTTCTTATTTCACAAGGCGACATTGTCCGAAATAATCGCCCAGCCTGTGACGTGTGAGTGATCGCTTTCTTTCAGTCGCTGGTCTACCTTGCATGCGTATCCAGTTCCCTCACTTCAAGTTTTGCCGATGATCTTCTTGACCTTGCGTACCGCCCTTGATGACTCACGACCAAGCATTGAACTTCTCATGGAGAAAGTTTCCTTTCCCTGAGCATGTTACTGACTGGCTAAAGTCACAAGCAGGTAGACGCATAGCAATAATTCACACATGAAAACGTGCCATCATAGTAAAATAGATTACATTACTATTAAGAAAGGAAGACTCAGTGAGTACAAAGGCCATCAGACCAGTGTGTATGTAGCTAAGCTCAGCCTAGCATTGGCCTCGACCACATCAAGGTCGGGCCATCTCACGTCTCGAACCAATAACGGCGAGATACGTCTCTTCTGACAAATCGAGCGGTGCTCGTGCAAACCAATGTGAATGGATTTAGTAGGCCTTGCCGGTGATGACGATGTGGCCGCCCTCACATTTAAGGGTGATTTCATCGTCGAAAGTGTACTTCTTGGCTTCGTACTTTGGTGGTGGTGTCTCTTCCTTCTTGGGCTCCTCCGGCTTGGGTGGATCGGGCTTGTAGCCATCCTGATCATACTTTGGCGGTTGTGGCTCTGGCTTGGGCGGCTCTGGCTTGTATTCATGCTTTGGTGGCTGGGGCTCAGGCTTGTACGGCTCGGGCTTGTAACCCTTGTCGTGCTCGTACTTCTTGCGGTCTTCGTCGTCCTTCTTTTTACGGTCCTCGTCGTATTTTTCTATCAGGATGAGTGCTGGTTAGCAATAAGTAGGTGGGTGACTTACTCTTCTCATCTTCATACTTCTTCTTTCGCTCCTCTTCCTCATACTTCTTCTTCTCCTCATACTTCTCCTTCTCTTTGTCATACTTGTTCTTCTCTTCGTCATACTTCTTCTTCTTCTTCTCATCTTCGTCGTATTTCTTCTTCTTCTCCTCATCGTACTTCTTCTTTTTCTCTTCCTCCTCATACTTCTTCTTCTTCTCCTCGTCGTCATACTTCTTCTTCTTCTCCTCTTCCTCGTACTTCTTCTTTTTCTCTTCCTCCTCGTACTTCTTCTTCTCTTCCTCTGCTTTCTCTGCGTGGATGTCAGTAATGTCCATACAATAACGACACGCGAGACTTACTCTTCTCCCAATCCTTCTTATCTTGGTCTTTCTCTGAAACTTATTAGCTTTGTGGCATGTAAGTATCTTATCAAGCCGAGAACGCACTGTCATCGTCGTATTCGCACTTCACCTTCTTTCCGTAGTGATCGGTGCATTTCTTGTCTAAAGTCATGTCAATAAACTCAGGCTCGACTCTATAGGTGACATTACTTACCATCATCATCATCGTCGTGCTTTTTGTCGTCGTCGGGCTCTGCATCAAGAGTTAATATGTCTCACGATCACAGCGAATGAAGCAATATCCATACTGTGCTTTGCTGGCTCCTCCTTCGGAGCATCGCATGGCTTCTCTTTGCCATACTGGTCCCAACACTTGGCAGGGTAAGGATCGGGAGTGGTCTTGTAAGACTGAACGTCCTGGCGAGGCTGGAGGGGCTTCGCCGCAACCGTCAAGGCCATGATGGCGACAACGGCAGCTTGAGTGAGACGCATGCTGTCGGTCGGTACTGGTGGGGAACGATAGAATTACCGCAAGAGCGAGTATGGATGAAGTGATTGAAGTTTCAGCGACCGACCAACGAATGTTGATGCGCTTGTCATGTGCGATGCCAAACTTATGAAGGCACTCTTTCTCCTCTTTATACTTGAGAACGCTTCAAGTCTTCCGTGGATAGTCATCCATAGGTACGGCTCAGTGAGACCGCCCGCGCTGTTACGTTTGGCATTGTCTGATGCCTTCCACCGAGACTCCTCTAGCGTCTTGATGGGGGCTTTGTTGTTCAGCTCTGACAACTGTGATGCTGCCTGCCCGCACTTGCCACGACGAATATGATCGCAGTGAACGTCATCTTGTCTTGACGAGCACCGCTAAGATGCACTTGTCGTGAGCTTGCTGCCACGGCCATCTGCAAGACAGTATTGCCCAGCACTCCACATCGTAGCGGAACCACATCCGTGTCGCTGAGAGCCACTATGGAGATGCCCTGAATGCCGAAATGCTAAGCTAAGTACCGATGATCTCTGGACCTTCACTGGTGGTGGAGTGGTTGGCTTGGCGAGATGCCGCTGCTGCCAGACGTGTTAGCCGTGTAAGCTTCCAAGCCGCTGTCGTAAGTGTAAACAGAGCGTAAGTCTTGGCGGACGCTCGTGTTCACTGGTGTGTGACCGTGATTGAACATCGTTGTGTGAGAGGCAAGCGCCTTCCGCCCTTAGCCGTGACGCGGGGTAGCGCCTGGGCAGGTCATGCCTGAAATGGCATTTCCAAACGTATCTGGGAAGTCCGACCTCGTGGGCCTGAAACTCACATGGGTTGTAAGGCTTAGGCTATGCGGCACACGTTTTTTTCCGGTAAAATGATCTTCATGACCCCCGGATCAGTAGCCATAAGGCTAGATCACGTGTATGTGACTTTCACTGCCCAGGCCGTTCTGAGATCATGAGAAGGGGAACGCAAGACCAGAAACATATTCTTCGGGTTAGAAAAGCTCCCAGTCGAATCATCGAGCATCTTTCCCCGCTGGCAACGCCAACAAGCGTTTTCCCGCCTTTGCCAACGGACGTGGTGAGTCCAATGCCGAAGTGCCGCCCTTAGGCACGAACATGGCGTGCTTACAGCAGCTGGTGTACCGCATTCTGGCTTTGTCTCGAGGCGCACTGATCCATGCACCGGTCTGCAGTAGCACCAAGGCATCTAAAAATACGCCCTTGATCATTGGTGTCGGTGACGAAACATTCGGCAAGCCTTTTTCCTATTGGTCATTCAAGGTTAGCTTGCCAAGGGGGTACTCTTAGTTTGACTGCAGGCCAGTTGTCCGCCCTACAGCGGAGTGCAGTAATGGTTTAGTAGCGAGTGAAGCTATCGATTTTTGATGGACTGCATCCCAGCGCAGTGAGGCACCACTGCCACTGAGAGTATCGCGATTGTTGTCGCCCTTGGTGCGAACTGAAGCGGGCTGTTTCAGAGGAACCCCAGCCTAACTCTGTAATAAGTCGTCATACAATTGTCGAACGTCTTGTATAGCCCATACTGTTCGTCTTCCTTCCATGTCCTGCAATGCCCTTCTCTGGCCTCCAGGCCAAAGCAGCAGATAACAACTCATCGCTTGGCTCCGGATTGAACTTGAGCGATAGAGGCCAAGATTATGGCTGTGTGCCTTCAGACACAATGACCTATCTTCCCTCCCATAGAGACTAGCAGAACGGAAACTTACACGCGAATAGTCGATCTCTTCTGCCAAGCTTGTCGGCGTACCGGTTAGCAAGCCATGGAATGCTTCACGTTGCCGAGACTTTACGCCTCGTGCCAAGCTCCGCAGTCAAACGCGGGAAGCTACCATGGGTCACTAACCGTTGGTAGCCCAGCCATCGACGCCGTTGTCGTATCCAAGGCTACTGGCGCGATCGAAACAGGTGAACAAAACCTCGCTGATTTGGTAGTGACCCCGCAAGCACAGTTGTCAAAGACTCGAGAGTTTAGAATGCGGGGCGAAGGACTAGGAACTCATTCCGGTTGGACCTAATCACACTCATCGAAATCGAGTGAGCTTGTGAGGGTGAACTACTGAGCGCGAAGGAAGTTACCGACTGTACTCGTCTCTGTAGCAATCGGTCGAAGACGCCCACATCGAACTGTGTAGCCGAAGAATCCGCGACTGAACCACATCCGATAATCTCGAGCCTTCAGACACAAAACTTGCTCTGGAATTCGCGGGCTTTTCATGATGTAGGTCGTACTTTGCCCCGCTATTACAAGTCAAGTGCGACCGCATGCTTTCCCTAACATGCTATGCTTTGTAAAGACTATATCCAGAATATCAGGAGTGTAACAGTGATGTCTTTGGGTCGACTTGTAGCGTACCTTTTTTCCACGGTCTGAATTTATGTGATGGTAAAGAAGCCGTGTGTTTAGTGTGAGTAAAGGAAGTTCGCCAACTGCTGAATTCAGAGGGGATCATTGGTGGTGGTTCCACGGATCGTGGCCAAAGGTGGGGCGCAATTGGACATCCTGGAGCTGTGACGACGGATCAGGTTTGAACTGAGACCTGGCTGTCAGCCTGGTCACTCATGAATAAGATTTAACTAGATCACCGCTGTCATCCTCATCTGCAAAGCTGCTGTAATCTTTCCATTGTCTCCCAGCTCTTGACACAGTCTTTGACATGTGCTGCGCCTAACATTTACCCTCACATCCCGAGACAGTAATACCGCTCTCTCACATGTTCATTTAAACAGCTCCGGATCTTGAGCGTATACCCAGACAAGGAGCTTCCCCTTTGAAAGGCGCCGCCCCTTCTGTGAACTCAGATACTACATACAGTGCTTCGTAAACCCCAAGAGAATGCTTGACCTTCTCGTGTGAGGTTGCTGTTCAACACACGGTACGATTTACGGTCGACGCATCGATGCAGTTCCGCTGTCGGCATCGTGCTCATCTGGTCGAAAGGCTATGGAAGTGGAGGTGCTGGTATTTTGAAGGATAAATGCGTCCTGAAGGTTGAATACAAGGCTGGGATTGGGGGTCGAGGCTGCGGATGCATGAGGGATGGTACTTGTGGTGCGCGTGATCTATTTAGGCATGACGTACGTCCAAGCGCTTCCCCGCCCCCCAAAACCAGGCAGTCACAACAGTACCGCTCTTCCACCATAACACCGAAGTTAAACCTCTCAGAACCCTCTTAGACACCAAAACCTAGTATCAAAGTACCATCAAGATGTTCAACTACGCCCTCGCCGCTCTACTGCAGCTATCCATGTTCCTCCTCGTCGAGGCTGCGCCCGTCACTGTCCAAAGCGCCAAACCGTGGCAAGCTGGTACAGGTAACGATGTTCGTTCGCAAAGATAGAACCTTCACTCATATCTCTCAGGTGGCGGTATACTTGGTTTTATTGTGCTTGTTCTGGACATCATCGCATGGAGTAAGTAAGCGCCTGTCTTGCATATGCACCAGCTGACATCAGTGCCACAGTTGAAATCTTCAAGTCAAACCGCCCTGTTTCCGGCAAGGTGATCTGGGCTCTCGTCGTGTTCCTCTTCCCGGTCGTCGGCATGATCATCTACTACCTCTTCTCCAACCGCCAGGCCCACAACACGTACGAGCCTATCAGCACATAAGCGACGATCAGGCCAAACGTACACATGCCCCACTGCATCTGCGGTCGTGGAAAGACGGACTTGTGTGTGCAGTCAAGATGGGATGGGGAGGAACAGGACGTATGAGACCCGCACGATTGGCGCACGCCGGCGTGGAGATGTTGATGAATGATCATACCCTTGGCTTTCTTTAGGCGCCCTCGGAAGCATTTGATGTTTATTTACGCGATGGAAATTCAATTGAAGTCTACTTGGAACAGTACTAATGTTGCACGTGCCTCTTCTGCCTTCACTACATTTGAATGTGGGTGGCAACTTGCCATGAGCTCGACCCGCAAACAATTTGCCAGAGGTCAGCGTCGTGACAGTCGCCTCAGACGTGTATCTCGAAAAAGCTTGTTGCTACTGAGCACGCGCTGATACCTAACCTGTTGCTGTATGATTGGCTACACAACACAGACGCAACGCGATTGCACATGCAACTACATGAGGAGTTCATGATCGACTCTTGCAACTGATGCTTGACTACAACTACCTCGACTTCACTCTCGCTGTTCCATTACTGGAGGGATAAGCCCCCTACTGTCGGATCTTGAAAGCTAGTGCGGTTAGATAATGTTACTATTCAGATTCTGCTGGGCATTTATCTACGGCCAGTTCGAAGTATTTCCAGGCTCTTCTCAACATTGTTTGTCGACCCTTGAGCCTAATAGTTGTTGTCCCATGATCTTGCCTGTTCATTGAAATACATCATTTGGAGGTTCCTGCACCGGGATCTGGGAATGTGAGCAATATCCTAGGACCCTGTAGCTGCGTACAGGTCGGTAGTAGTCCATTTTCGAGTTGTCGTACGAGCCGGATAACAGCTCGTCTGTATCATCATTCAGATAATACAACTCGCCGTCTAATGCTCTTCTTACATCAGCCTAACCTGGGAGAATCCGTTGAACTTCTGCTCTAACCCTCTTGCAGTCTTTCAAGGCCATCTTCATCTTCCACCTTGATTCTTCCATCAGAGAGACTCACAGAGTACTTTCTCCCGTCCCATTTGGTCGCAGGAAGCCTGTAGGTGGATGGAATGCTGTCGAAGAACGAATGTTTAGGCGCACTCTGAGCACGACCGATTCCAACGACGATATTCAAGCTTGGATGCTTGGGATCGATATCGTTCCATAACGTCCTTGAAACGTTGGCCTTGCTTGGAATCGGCGATGTATATTTTCCCAAGTGCGGAAGTAGCTCAGAGTGTCTCAGGATAACATCCTTATCTGACGCATGTCTGGGAGCTTAGACGCAAATCTCCTTTCCTGGCCGGGCTTTCGTGGGGAGTTCAAAAACATACAGTCCCCTCATATTATAAACCCCCCCCCCCCCCCCCCCCCCCCAAACTTGAATTGTTTACAGGACATCACGCGCATCCAAGCTGGGAATTCACAGGAAACCCCCCCACCCCCCCCCTTATTGTTACAGGCATCACTTGCGCATCCAAGCTGGAATCACGGAAATCACTTACGATCCAGCATTGCCTGGTTGCAGCGCACATGTCTTCGTTACAGCCTGAACATCCCAGGGAGGTCTTGGATAGTCTAGAGCGAGTATTCAGTACAAGTAGTACCTAGGTTTACTGACCCAATAACCAACAAGTTGACCTTTGGTCAAGAGGGCTTGGAGTTAAGGTCGCTCGGCTGGACTGGACGATCACGGTTGACATCATGATCAGGTCGGCTGCACTTTCCGTCCCAGCAGCAGCGGGCGTCGCAATCATATGCTCACACTTCCCAAAGTGAGCTTTCCACCCTTAACCTCCAGCATGCCTCTAAATTATGGGCAGTCTTCTGTCGCATCCGAAACCTGATCCGAAGTGGATTTCAGAAGCGGAGTTCGCGATGGAATCCTCGTGTTTCTGCGTAATCTGCGGGTCGCCGTTCGATCTTCAGGGCGAAGTTCACAACTTGGACACAGCGGCGGCACGTTACAAGGTGACTGTCGTGCTCACACACTCAACGTCCCTTTGCTTACAATACCCAGTGGATGCAAAATCATCGCTTAATAGGCAGCAGGCATGATGTTCACCACCACAACTTGGCAGGTTTGACAGAAGAGGAGTTTCAGTATGTGTGTTGCTGCCAACGAACTTACTCGATAGTGACTTTTGAACAGCTCTGCCTGCTTTAATGCATCGGATACAAGTGATGTATTTCTTTCTGCAAGGGCAACTTGGAACGAGAGAAATGACCAGATGTTCCACATTGATGGGCTCTATCCAGTAACAGACACTCCCTCCACGGTTACGTTCAACGCCATGCAACCAGTCGCTGAGCATGATACGATATTTCCTTTGCACGACGATTGTCTACAGATCTGCCGCCGTGCCATTGATTGCCTCAAGCCCTCTCTTCCGGACGCTCAAAAAGTATCAAGCCTATCGATTCTGAATACTGTCCTACAAACTCGATATCGAAATAATGTGAAATGCACCAAAACCAATGACATAATCGCAAGGAACGATTTGTTCCATCTTTGCGCTGCAACGGAGACAAATGGACCTCGGAGTGTCGTGGGTCTTTCACTCCTAGATTGGTGGGCTGGCGCATACGAGGTGTGTGAAGGTTGGAATGTTACTTCCAAGCTAATCCGTACGCAGAAATTTTACACAGATCCGGTGAAGGTGCCAAGTATGACCAGCAGCGTCTTGACTTCACTTCAAGATACTGCCGCTTCCACAGCGTGCCAAAAATCATACCATCTAAACTCATTTCCAGCGCCAAGTGCACTAGAGCGGCTACCCACCGAACTATTGGATCATATCAGCATTCATCTATCGGTCTACGAAGCCCTTTCGTTACACCGGACTTCCAAGACATTGGCAACAAAAGTGCCGTTGGACAACAACTTCTGGCGAGCAAGCATCCTGAGCGGAAACGGGCTTCCGATTCTTTGGGATCTCGATGTGAGAGAGCTCAGTAAGCGATATCAAGAGTCCTTCAAGGCTTCAGTGGAGGCAGATGCGATGTGGGACTGGAGAGGTGTTGGACAGTTGCTAGCGACGAAGCAATTTCCCGTGAAGAGCTCGGATCCATGGATCGCTGATCTGCCAAATGGGTTTTGGAACCGACGAAGGATCTGGAGCATCGTCGAACAAGCTTATCGACACGACATCCTCAAGACCTCAAGGAGATTGAATCATGATCATATGCTTGAGTTACGTATTCGCCGTGAGCCGGTTTCTGACTGGCAGCTGGAAGAAATCATGGATGATCTTGGGCATTACTCATGAATGTTCAGTGGAATTACACTACCAGATCAAGTTTAGCCATTGCTCCAGTAGCGAACCATAGCCAGCATATACGTTGTCCGTCAAGTCGGTAATATACAGCCACTCAATGCTTCGCCTCACATTGTCAACAACCCTGCGTAGACGTATGTCACCGGTCTTGGAGGGCATTGAGTTTATCATCATCCCGAAGTTTTGTCTGTGTAGATTGTGCTGTTCCAGCCTGGCCACGCTGTGCTTCAGCTGCTCGCGGCCTGGAAGATCCGCATATGTGCCTTCAAACATGACGACAATATCGGTTCTGTATCGCAGCAACCCAACGTCTGGAATACAGCCAGGATTATGCACCACCAATTTCGGCTCCGAGAATCCTTCGGAATGCCGCACCGTTGCACTGATATTCCTGAGATACTCTCGCGCACTGTCCCCATCCCGATACGGTGTCTGATCGAAGAAGATGCCATCAAGCCTCAAGTCCTGGAACTTAGACCACCCACTGTACCTCGCAATTTCCGCACGAACAGTAGCACTGCTGCGGGACCCGCGGTCAGTGTGGATGTAGCCCAGGGTCTGCACGTGAGGATACACTTCTAGTGTATTGAGTACACCAACGAATTCCGGGCTCGGCCGAGTACCATTTCCTGGTCCGTCGTCTGGATTGATGATGACCGTAAACTTTACATCTTGGTGTTGTATAATGCTTTGAGCTGTCAGTGCTATCCTTCGTAGCTTCAAAAACATGCTCGTAAGACATACGCATCATACAATCGATTCCACGATCCGGCTTCCCTGAACGAGTGCGAAGGGACAATCACATTTACTGGCAACTGCACGACAAACTTCTGCGCTATGACGGCGATAAGTGGCACTCCCAGCATGACCAAGACCGCCAGTGTGAATGTAACTGAAAGCGCTAACACACGGTCATTGATACGCCAACAACTAACATAGAAATTCCTCTTCTTCTCAACCGACTGTAGTCTGCATTGTCTGTAGTACGCAGCGAGCGCCCTGGACTGCCGATTTTCCGGATGTGGGCGCGTGGGTCGCTCAGCAACGATTACGGCTGGCTTGAGCGGCGTGATTTTGTCTTTGTCTTCGAGGTCATCTTGATCTTGCGAGTAGACCGAGCTTGCTGGTCTGATGCTCAGTGGTATCGAGACTGGGCGTGAAGAGCGCTTGCTGTTGCGACCAGGAATGGCGAGGCTGAAAGGACTGGAAACATTGCGATTTGTCAATGAGTCACGATTGAAATTGGATGTGACGAGGCTGAGACGAGGTTTGGTAGGGGAAGTCATGATTTGTGTCTGAGGGAGTGGTTTTCAAAGGTGCAGTAGAGTGTCCATCGCTGGAGATATCGACTACATTCCTCGCTTCCAGGACAACGTCAGACGAGAAGACAACCCATACAGTGGCCGAGATATGCGCAGGAGTAATTCTTGACTGTTCTTGGAATTGTGTGCCTCTCCGCATGACAGGTTGGGTGTGGCGATTGCTCAGTTGTCCCTGCGTGCACGTTCTGGCCGTGACACATAGCATGAGATGCGGGAGATTGTCTACATGACGACCAGATCATAGCTCAACAACCAAGTTCTGGCATTGCTACCAGTCTCTGCCATGGGACGCAAAGACTGCGCATCGATGTTCTTGTTAACGTAGTCGGGATGATGGTGTTCATGCTTCAGAGTGGAGCACAGCGGGTCGAGCGAACGCTACGCTAGCACTAATCGAGGCATTAGCAAATCGTAAGCGAGCCGCCCAGCGTTTTCCCACAGTATTCTTGAAATCCTCAACTTCGCAACCTCCGTCGACATCGCTAACCCACAGCACCTCCAAGATGAAGTACATGTATGTCAGCCTTCCGAGATCCATAGCTGTATTGCTGCGTCGCGCAATTTTCGCTCCCTCGAAATTCGGCGTCTAGCTGCGAACGACGGGCGCGCACTGCGACACATTGAATTGTACGAATGGAACTGACAAATGCGCAACAGCCACTCCGAGGAACTGCTCGAGATCCCCGAGGGGGTCACGGTCTCCATCAAGACCAGGAACGTTGTCGTTGAGGGTGGGTTTTCACAGCTGCAAAAGTTGCGCACGAACACCATTGACATTCTCAGGTCCCCGTGGCAAGCTCGAGAAGTCTCTCGCCCACTTGGCTGTCTCGTTCACCCACCCCAAGAAGAACCTCATCAAGATCGAGCTCCACCACGGCTCGCGCAAGAGCGTCGCTACCCTCCGCACCGTCCGCACCCTCATCAACAACTTGATCATCGGCGTCACCAAGGGCTTCAAGTACAAGATGCGTTACGTCTACGCCCATTTCCCCATCAACGTCAACGTTGAGAAGAACGCCGAGACCGATCAGTTCGAGGTCGAGATCAGGAACTTCATTGGCGAGAAGCTTGTTCGCAGGGTGGTCATGAGGCCCGGTGTGGACGTCGAGGCATCAAAGAACCAGAAGGATGAGCTGCAGCTCTCCGGAAACGTAAGCGTGCTCTTGGAGCTTACTATGGTTCAGCCTGCTAACGGACGTCTAGTCCCTCGAGGATGTTTCCCAGTCAGCTGCCGACATCCAGCAGATCTGCAAGGTCCGCAACAAGGATATCCGAAAGTTCTTGGATGGTCTCTACGTCTCGGAGCGTGGCAACATTGTCGAGGATGCTTAAGTAGCGAGCGGGAGTACGGCTTGATTCTTTCACGGGCATATGAACGACTACGAGTGTCTTTGCATCACGGACTGCGGTCGGCGCCTTGGGGGATAAACTTCAAAACTGATGTTCAATATCATCACACCGTCAAAAAGACGGAAACCCACCTACGCGCACCCGTTTGCCCTCGCACTATGATCGGTGACTGTTGCGGATGTGACTGACTATACTCGAGACCCGCTGCTTGCTAATTGTAGAAGTCCAAGTGTGTGAACCTAACAATACCATTCCACCATTCTGTCGAGCAGGGGTTATAGATGGCAGGACTTCAGCCGAAGATCTTGTGGCATTTCGACATCTGCCTATAATGAATGACGTGTGCTTGGCGGTTTTGTCGTTACTTGTCTCACCCCGCTATAACACCACAGATCGCCGGCGAATGCATCCTATCACCGTAAAAGCCGAAAACAGCGGCATGTACAGTAATTCAGCCGTCGCCAACTGCCTATTCAAGTAACACAATCAGCCGCGCATGAGGGTATAAGTTGAGGACAAGTCTGCGACGAATTGTCACGCTTGTCGCCGATTCAATCCGCCCATCTACCTAAATTGGCTCATATTTCCCCACGTAACAATGCCAGCCGACAAGCTAGACATCGAGGGCCTCCTCAAGGAGTCGAAGGCGGAGTACAGACAGCTAGGCAAGAGTGGTCTGCGTGTCTCAGTGCCCATACTTGGTGCTATGTCCATTGGATCGAGTAAATGGCAACCTTGGGTGATCGAAGAGGAGGAAGCACTTCCACTATTGAAAGCTGCGTGGGACCGTGGACTTACAACATGGGATACCGGTTTGTTGGACGTAACATGGTAAAGAAGAATAACTAACAAGGCGCCTTCAGCAAACGTATATTCCAACGGTGTCTCCGAAGAGATTATTGGCAAAGCGATCACAAAGTATTCTCTTCCTCGTGAGAAACTCACTATCCTCACCAAATGTTATGGTACGGTCGGTGAGGACGTTGGCCTGCGCGGCATCAACTATGCGAAAGAATTGCCACAGTTGAAGGACTACACAAACCATATCGGCCTTTCACGTCAGGCCATCTTTAACGCCGTTAACGCGTCACTGAAGCGTTTGAATCTCGATTACATTGATCTGTTGCAGATCCACCGATTTGACGAGAACGTCCCGATTGAAGAGACTATGGAAGCACTGCACGATCTGATCAAAAGTGGGAAAGTCAGATATATCGGTGCAAGCAGCATGTGGGCAGTGCAATTCGCCCAGATGCAGTTCGTGGCGGAGAAGAACGGATGGACAAAGGTGAGCAGCTACGTTACCAGGCTCACACATAAACGCTGACATGTGTAGTTTGTTTCGATGCAGAATCACTACAACCTCCTCTACCGTGAAGAAGAACGTGAGATGAACCGCTTCTGCAACAGCACCGGAGTCGGGCTCATCCCAGTACGTGTCTCGCTCTCACTCGCCTCACTCATTGACTGATATATCACAGTGGGCGCCTCTCTGCCGCGGCCACCTTGCACGCCCTGCCTCTGCTTTCGGCAGTACCGTCCGCTCCGGGGGTGAGAAGGACAGCGGCACGTCATTTTCAGGTCACACCGAGGCGGACCATAAGATTGTCGAACGAGTGGAGGAGCTGGCGAAGAAGCATGACTGGAAGATGAGCCACGTCGCGCTTGCGTGGATCAATAAAAGAGTCACAAGCCCGATTATTGGGTTCTCGAGTGTCGAGCGGATGGATGAGGCACTCGAGGCCAGGGGAAAGGTTCTGAGCGAGGAAGAGGAGAAGTACTTGGAGGAGTTGTATGCTGACAGGAAGATTCAGGGCCACTCATAGATTGAAGCTGAGTCAGCTCAGGTAGTCTTTTACAGTTTCAGTAAAATGTATGTCTCGTCAGACACTGAGCCTGTGTATTCCTGACTATTGAAACGATATTGGGCATACGCGTAATTAGTTTGGTGTCATCCAGACCGAGAGCTGCTGAAATGGAAGCCTTGGACGCACATTCCAAATGAGGCTGCTCATGAAGTTTGAATTGCGAGCTTCGAGTTTCTATCAAGGAAGGTTTCCCTATCGGCCGCCGATATGTTCACAACGCATTGCTCTTCGATGCCATTGAGGTGGGGTGATGATCTGCGCGATGCGTTCATAGGTAACATTCCTCAGCTACAGCCTTGCGGTAGCCTGGGATCAGGCCAGCGACAAAGAACTCATCAAATGACCAAGCCCCACGCGGAACCACCGGGAGAAGCCAATTGAGTGGATATGTCGCTATCTTGCACCATCAGTATTGCAGTTAGGCCCAATTGCATCTGGCGAAGCAGTCTCCGCTTTGAAAAATCGTCCTTGCAGGTACCAAGTGGAGCCTGCAACAACCCCTCTGGCTATCCGCCGCGCTATGGGCCGATGTGCGAGATGCTCAGTTGGTCGTATGACGTAGATCGCTGTCGCGTGATTGTCGTCACACCACAACCACGAGCTGCGAACACAACAAAGAGCACGAAGCTGAGGTTCAAGTAAATCTCGAGAGGACGTGATACAGGCTCAATTGCTAGCTTGCGAGTATTTCTATAATGCCGCCAGCCCCTCTTGGTCGTGTCAGGGCGCGTTGTTGGCGTTCCGTTTCCCCGCATTCATTACCCCAGATACAGTGGCCCAAGCTCCAGCCTGCCAGATCCGGCGCCGATTGGATAGCATGATGGTGTGGTCAACAGGTGACTGCCTCCTGTGCATCCGCCGACAGATTGACCCCTCATTCAAAAGCGCCTCAGCCCCCTTCTTCTGTTCCTCACACACTCACCTGTGATCCAACCTTCCCACTTCACACTCACCTTTTGCGTGACAGTCTCACCAGCTCTTTGACAGCTTTTCCAGCTTCCAGCTCACAAGCCACCAAATAAGCTCCCGCTTACCACTCTACCACTTGTCCAACCATGGCAGAAACCGAGTCAACCCTTTCCAAGGTCGATTCTGCTACCCAGCAGCCTGAGGTCAAGGCCAAGCGCCGACCAAGTTCTATGGCAGCTGACTGCTACGACATCTTAGACCTCCGTAAGTAGCTTTTTGGTGGTACTCGCCCCGCGGAGGGGCTAAGTGAGGGGAAGCGGGGCTGACTCTTCCGCAGAGAAAGAAGGCAAAGAGATCAACATCGCACCTGAGACTCAGAAGCTAGGGTGGTAAGTCTGAATCCTTGTCTGGAAACGTGGACACAGGCTGCGGCCAGGCTGCATCATGTGTCCTGTCCTCTCAATCGCTGCAACGCTTCTGCAGGGACAAATCTGACTGAGCGGCATTACAGGAAGCTGAACAAGTCACCATCGACAGTCGAGGACCCATCGTATCTCGCTCTGCCATTGTGCATACCCAAGGTCAAGAAGATCACCCTGCACTTCCCGCTGGGGCTCGAGGTCTCTGCACGGAACATGAAGGGCGTTACCATCAAGGATGCGCTGGACGCTATCCACAAGCAGTTCAAAAAGAGGGTACGTTGTGGTCCTCACCTGCATTCCTGCTCACGTGAACCTTGCGTCGACGATTTCCCACTTTACCCCGCACCTACCGCATGAAAATAAGATGGAGCTTTCGACTGTATTTCTGACTGTACCTACAGCAAGACGACGAGTTCGAAAAGCCCTACTTAGCTGGCTTCGAGTGGGATCCTGAGGAGGACTACACACGATTCATCGTTCACCAGACGAGCACTCCAACCTCATCATTCACCAAGGATGGCTCGTCCAAGAAGAAGAAGAAGAAGGCTGCCGAAGGCATTGAGGAGTAGATGAATGACTCGCCCTCTTCCCTGCCCTCGACTTCTCAAACGACTCCAGTCGTCTCTCTGCGCTTATACGTCGGCTGATGGTGGGTGCGGCGAATGCGTTCGGAGGTCGGTCAACCTGCATCTCGAAGTGGGAAGAGTGAGTACACTGCTGCACATGATAATGCTGGCATATCGTGAGCCCCTCAGGGCAAGCGGATTGCTCATCGTCGCGCGGTGGTGTGTTCGTTGGACGACTCATGGTTGCTCTATCAGCACCTAATTATGTACGTTATAGGCACTCGCTCTGGCTGCTAAGTAGCGCCCGAAGTAATGAGCAGACCTTGTATCATGATCCTGTACCTACGTGTCTGTTGTGATGTCGTTGAGTCGCGGGCGGAGACCCACAACGGGCTCCTCCTGCCGTCCAAAGTGCGGCAGGTGCTAAGCGATTGCAAACCAGACTTTTGCATGCCCTTCAATTGGCAAACATCACCCTTGACAGATTGCAAAAGACAGCGAAAGCATCCAAGGCATCATGCGACAGCATTTACGCCCGCTTCAGAACGATTCGACGCGTATGGTTGATCACCCGGCATGGTTGCCCGGGCGCTCGTCGCCTAAATGGGTGCTGTGAGCGGGGCGGCCCTGGCGAGTCAGTGGCTAGCTACATCAGTCGACGTCTCGCTGTTCTGCTTCCTCCACAAGGAACAACTTGAGAGACAAATCACCAATTGACACAAGCAATATGAATTTTGTACTCCCACTTCGACCTTCGAGATCTTCGAACGCTCCGAATACGCCTAAAGCCCCGAGGACTACCAAAACGCACCTTCCACCGCCTGAATCACCTCGACGAAGACCAAGTCTTGCTACACGCGCTGGCGTTACCAAACGTCGGAGTAGTGTATCCACTACTTTCAATGCACCATCAATGAGCTTCTTCGAGGCAATGTTTGGGGACGATTTCCCCGATACATTCGCACGTGACAATGGACGCAGCTGCAAGAGCCAGAAAACACTGTTGGATCTTCCGGCGGAAATACTGCAAATCGTGTGCCAGACGCTTTCCAACATGGATATCAAGCGGCTTCGACTTACGCACAGGGTGCTTGCAGAGTTGGTAGAGCTGCGCATCGATCGTGTCTTTATCTCTCCAAATCGTGCAAACTTGGACTGTTTGAACAGCATACTCAATCATCATCGGTACTGTTTGCGCGTTCAAGAAATTATTTGGGACGATGCGCAGCTTGATGATTATCCCACACTCGATCTGTTCCGAGGACGGCTGGATTCGGATGAAAAGAAATCAAGGGTTGCCCTGGAAGACCATATCTCTACATTCTTCCTTGGCAAGGACGAACACGAAGCCAATTACGAGTCGATCAGCGCCGAAAGCTGCATTAACGATGGAGTGTTGACCGATGTCGGCAAAGCCATATTGCTCAGTTCGAATGACACCAAATCCATCGAATTCATTGCGAGTCATGCCGCATCCATGAGCATTGAAGACAGCTACGAATTGTACCAGAAACTTTACCAAGACGAAAAGGAAATCATCAACAGAGCTTGGGATGTGGCTGGTTTACAGCGTGCGCTTACGCAGTTACCAAACTTAAGACGCATTACGCTTACAAGTGAGGCTTGGAGACCATGGCGCTCTTTACCAGTGTACGACACCCCTTTCTACCGCGCTCTACCTGCAGGCTTCAGGAAACCTTCTGTATGGCCCTGGGTTGCTTGTGGGTATCCCGGTTCCCAGGACCCACTCAAGTATGACATATCCGTTCAGCGTCTGCCATCGAAGTGGAGAGGCTACAGCGTTGTCATGGCTCTGTTAGTCGCAAATCCAGTTCCGGATCTAGAAGAATTCGTGTTAGACACCGGTCAAGAAATGATTGGCCTACCTCACGAACTTTTCGCTCTACCGAACATCGACTACAACAATACCATCCAAGTGTTCAAAACCGCACCTCTTCGAAGATTTCATTTCTCTTTCATTGAGCACGCTGCCGTAAACCACGGTCAGGATGTAAGCGGCCAGGTCTCCATTGACACCGACCTCTTGACAAATGTGATCAGTGTCATGCCGCATTTGGAACATCTCGATCTAAAGTGGAAAACTCTTCCGCAACATGCGTACGATCCTTTTCCTTATGGCTTCCTCCAGCAGAGTTGCCCCAGACTCAAGCATCTAGCATTGCGGTACGCCAGAGTTGTGGATAGCTGGCTTCACAACTTGATCATCAATCAAAAGACTTTGGAAACTGTTGTCCTCGACAAAGTTGAACTTGTTAGTCAGACACACTCGGCGTCAATTTGCGAACAGGTCTTCTCCTGTCTCAGAGACCACTACGCCAAAACTTCGCTCCAGGGACCACGATTCACATGGATAGAATATCTTCCCCCAGACCTTACACACCAAGTTAGCCACACTTGCAAGCAATGGTCAGTGGTTGACGAAGAGCTAGACGCTTTCTTGTACGATGATGGCGCGTCGCCTTGGTCTATGGGAAACCTGCCGGGCCAGCTTGAAGATTCTTTTGGTTGGGTCATGGATGGCAGGGATCCGTCGTTTCGCGAAAGGAGAAGTGATGTGTTAAGCAATACGGGACTGAGACGGAGAAATCCGTGGCCAATCGATGGATCGATGACAAGCGTGCATCCGGACTGGCGTATATATTAAAGTCAATTCAAACTACATTCCCCATCTGACTTTGTCCTTTTACGCTGGGCTATTCACAATCGTTCAGGAAGCATCAGCTCAAGACAAGAGATTGTAAAATAAGCGACTATTGAGATACGAATGACCTGATATACGTCAATACAACGCGGACACCCGACAGAAAGCTCTAGCCATGAATAAGTTATATATATTAGAGAGATCAAAATCTTGCTCAAGCATCGACATCGCTCGCCACCTGAATAACCACGGCCCCGACACCAGCCCCTTTGTTGAACATCCGATGCGCCTCCGGCACTTCTTCCAACGTCCACAATTTTCGGATCGGCACCTTGATCTCACCATTCTTCAGCATCTCTAGCAGAGCCTTGAGCTCCGGCTCAAATGTGCTTTGATCTCTATCAATGTAGAAAAACGCAGTGCTGTTGGGACAAAACACGTTCAAGTTCTTGGCCATCAGCTTCGCTACTGGTGGCCAGGGACTTCTCTGCTTGCCACCATTCAGGATCGCGTAGTTTCCGCCGTAGCCGATCAATTTACCGCCTTCAGGTGCTAGGATCTCCCAGCTCTCGTCATACGACTCGAAGCCCAGCGGGTCAAAGACAACATGCGCACCGCCGATACTGTTCATAGCCATGATCCAGTTTTTGTCGGTGTATACAAATGGATTTGCACCTGCTGCGCGCACAGCGGCGTGGTTGTACTCGGACGCTGTACCATAGACCTCTGCGCCTTGCATCTTACATAACGTAAGCAGCGCAAATCCGACTGAGCCACTGAGGCCGTGAACGAAGACGCGCTGCCCTCTGCTGACTTTGCCACTGCGGAACACCATGCCGTATGCGGTTGTCCAATCGAGTATCAGAGCTACGGCTTGCTTAAGGTCGACGCCTGTGGGGATCGGAATCAAGTATTTCTCCGGCAAGTTGACGAGCTCGGCTTGCCCTTCATACACGCAGAGGCAGCCTACGAGACTTCCAACTGGGAACTTTGAGCTTTTGGCCCCGTTGAGAGTTACTGTGCCGATGCAGCTGTAGCCGGTAGTGAGTGGAGCTGCTTTCTGGTTGGGGTAGCCGCCCACACGCATGGCGATGTCTGAGCCGCCAAATCCCGAGTAAAGAACTTTGACTTGAGCTTCATGAGCGCTTGGAGGACCGAGTTCCGTTGTGATAACGGAGACGTGGGAGGCATCGCCGAAACTTTCGATCAAAGACTTGCGGATCGTTGTTGTAGACATGCTGGTGATCAAGTTGTACTTGGGCTTGAGATTGATACTGGGGTTAGGTTGGAAGTTTGGATGTTGAAGCTGAATGATGTAGTAGGCTTGAAGTGACTGGAAACTAGAGCTTGTGATATTGTCTTGATGATAAGTACATTGAGATGGCAATGAGCCCGATCCTTATATTCGCGTGCCCATTCGGTGCGTGGACAAATGCATCCCCCGCCGCTGAAACGTCGTCAAGGTCTTGTTCGCACGTAGCAGCTCAACTTGGGAGTATCAAAGGCCAAGATACGCGATGTTGTAGTCCGCTGGGAGAGACCGGGCATAAGGTGGAGCCGCACGGGGACATATTGGCCCGTCTCACCATGAGCTAGTAGGGAGAGCCGAACCAAATATGTACTAGCGTGGGGCGCCATCTTTGAACGCGACTGCGCCTTCTCTCCTGCGCCGCATGAGCTCACGTGAACATTGGCAGGATCGCCCATATTTGCTTTTCGTTCAATGCCGACTCTGTGCAACGCCAGGTCGCGCCAGATATGACCAGATTCGGCACATTGTGCACATCATTGGCGCAATCTATGAACAGCCATCAACAAATCCCAGCTCATGCACGATCACATACATACACGAGCCGCAGAGTGTGGAGGATCTGCGCGCCTCGCAGACGCCTCACACTTCCTATGACTGTATGGCAGAAGATGCATTCATTGATCGTGTTCGTGGCGAATCAGAAGGCGTTGAAGTCGGAATAGGATCTGAAAATTGCGAAACCCTCTTCGGAGGAGGATCTCTTGCATTATATGTGTATCCGAAATTATGCGCAGCGAAGTAGAATCTAGGTATGTACATGCTAGGCTGTCCCGTGACTCTTCTGATCCGCTGGGTATAGCTATTTCCGTCTTGAGTAGCAGCTAAAGAGCGCGATCCAACCCTGCCGCTGCGGGCCGGGCCTTATGCTTTCGTGTGTTCTGATCGCTGTCGGCTGGCCTGTGGTCTTCCTTGGCCGCTCGTTAAAAGAGATAGTTGGAAGGCCACTGCTTTCGGGCCCGCCCGATTGAGATACGCGCGATCTGTGTGGCGTCCCTGGTGGATTGTCTACGAGATGCTTTTGGAAAAAGTCCACGAGATTCTCCACGTCCCCAAGCGTGCTCATGGCGCCCAGAGTCGCCCGTATCATCCCAAAGGGAATATCGCCCCGAATGTCGTCACTCGTCTGATTGCAACGGAATCCTGAGTCAAACGCTGCTCTGAGATCCTCCGCCGACAGGCCTAGTGCAGAGGCCATACCCGCTGGATTGCAGAGCGAGCCTGTCCGAACATGGATCTTGCTTGCCCTCAGCATCGCACCTACTTCGGATCCGCTCTTCCAAGACCCGTCACTCTTTCTGACATTAAATGTGACCGTTGCACCCTGTGACGTTCTGTCGTCGTATGCGGATGTTGGCGCCTTGTACATGTGGCAAACAGGCATGCCATTCGCATGCTTTATATTGGCAAGTCGATCGTACAGGGCTTTTGCCAACCATCCTGTGTGCTTCGAGACTTGGGCCAAGCCGCCAAACAGATTTGTGTGGGTATCGATAGCACAGCTCAAGGCGAGCACACTGCGTATTGCAATCGTGCCATCCTCTAAGCTGGCATGTACGCTACTGTCTTTCCGCTCGACCCACGGTGTACCAATGCATCCTATCATTTCAGTGGTACCACCACCGAAGTATCTCCGGCGGCGCAGTACATGCGCGGAAGCCTTACGTACGAGCAGAGCACCGAGGTCGGGGAAACCGAAGATCTTGTAGAAAGACATTGACACGAAGTCCGGTGATGTGGCGTGGTCGCTGAGGTCCAGTGGGCTGGTCGAGACTAAAGCAGCGGCGTCTAAAAGTGTATACGTGTTGTCGTGTTGGCGAATTCGGGAAGGCCAGCTAAGAGGTAGACGTTCTCCGTTCATGTTTGACTGAGCGGGATAAGAGAACAGAACAGGCCGACACCCGGGTGGCTTTTGAGTCGGCAAAACTTGACCACCGCTTAGCCAAAACTCCATCTCTTCGGTTGTCGCGAGGCAGTGGCTGTTTTGCGCTTGCTCTCTCACACCAACGAGACTAGTATGAGCATTGCGATGGTACAGATAATCGAAACCTTGTCCGTGGCCAGCGAAGCACTCCATCACTAGCTTGACGGAAGCTGTGGCATTTGCAGTAAACACAACATCCCATTCATTTGGGTCGGCACTGAACAGTCGTAAGACCTTCTGACGTGTCTGCTCTACCATCATGGCGGAGAAACTTGGCCTCGAGGCATCCGAGTGTGGGTTGGAAAGTATGGAAGCCTTCATCTGTGTACAGAACGAGTTCATCAAAGACTCACTCGCTAAAGTAGTTCCACCATGATCGAGGTAAGTGATACCTTCTTTGACATTAGTATTAATAAGCACAAAGTAGAGAGTGCATTACCTCTCAGCATGGGATATTCTGTCTGTCTCATAATCTCTATTCGTCTGTTGTATCCCAGTTGCTTCGCTTCCAGCAACACTGTCTCGTCTTGTGCCCCTGCTTCTGAATGCTGACTCGGGACAAATGGTGTCATCGTCACGACTGATGACCAACAGAATGTCTCAGACGATGCCATGCTGTCGCGTCGTTGACCGATATCACTGGGATGTAATGCGCCTCTTATGTCCCCTCTAGGAAGTTTCTGTGCAGGCAAGTCGTCCAAGCTAGCAGTCTGCATAGTTCTTCGGATGCAATGATGCGCAAGTCTGATCAAAGCTATGCACAGTGACTGGTGATGAGATTTTCAGTAGAACGGCTTCTACGTGATCCGTTAGCGGTTGAATCCTCCAGAACGCAAGTAGACATACTGTTCGGCGAGTTAAAACCAGTATCACACAGATCAAAGAGTCCACAAGGACCCCAGAGCTCGATGATTTGCGCTTTGCTTTTTGCAAGTCGGTGACCTTTCAAGGGTGGCAATAGGCTAGTGACGCCTCAGTGTGAATCCCAGTGCTCTGTGGCAAGTGGGGTCGCTGGATTCGTGATAGAAAGCATCGAAGAGACTACTTTCGGATGATGTATCAAATCAGACATTGTGAGTAGCCAGGCAGATGGACAAGGCCCCATGTCAGGCGAAGGAGCCAGAGGATTGCTTTGCCTAAACTCAGATGCAAGGCGGCAGTATCAACCATTCATAGAATTGCCGCCTTTTTTGGCCCCTCTAATCCACTGTATTTATATGCGTCGGTAAACAAATCGGCGGCATTACTGTCAGCCTTGCACCGTCAGCTCGATAGGGCTGACAGTTGCATGCGCCTACATTGTCATGTCTACCATTCATCCGTGAATCGACGCTGCGCGCCATCTGACATCACTGTTCCTGTTCTACTCGTAATTTCTCAGTGTTCGCCTGAATGTATGCCACATTTCGACTCCTTGCAATTTCCGCGATATATAGTGTCAGGTGCACAGTGTCAAGTTTCCCTGTATCCTCAAAGCACAAGTAGCAGATGCTACTGTTACAGTCATTATCGTAGGTGTTTCTCAAGGGATTGCCATACACGTAGCCCAGATAGATCCAGTGCGTTTCATTCAGTCATGAACCCAGCCCGGGGTTTTCCGGTCGATCCTGCACCAGCAATCCTTCGTCCGCGACTCAGATCCACCATTGTAAGCAGATTGGCGAGTGATGGCATCCTTCTGTGTACAGATTCGAAGTGGAAAGGAATGATTACCTTCCAATAGCTCAGGGCCGCATAATTTGACTGCTTCTTTTGGTAAACTCAAGGCGAAAAAGAAAAGATAGCAGCCCGAATTGACGTGATCAGGATGGACAGCAACCCTGTGCACATCATTCAGGCCACGTTCAGTCATTTGTATGAGCAGGTAGATTTCGGCGGCCGTCATCGCATTACGGTGGAGACGTGGCGTAGCCAACACATTCTTGCTCGTGCGTGAGCTCGGTCGGGGCTGAGGTTGCACCGCAAGGTTGGAGGCCTTAAAAGTCTGAGCCCCACGAATCTATTCTGTGCCTGTTCCCGACAATTACTACGGACTCAGCCAACCCTTTGTTTGCAGTTCCACTTACCTGTCTTGCGACGCTTTTATTTGTTTGAAGTACCACATACGTAAAACTAGATGACCGTCAATATTCCTCTACTCCCTCTTGGACGACCATGTGACCGAGTAATCCGGGTCTTAGTTACTATTGGCTGTCGCAAACAACCACTATATCTCGATAAGTGAAAAGCTCGCCAGTCAAGTGACATTGTTGGAGCAAAGGTGGTCAGCAGGCGCCAGACCAGAGCGCCAGTGCCAAGATGTGGCGCGGTTCTCCAGCGACTGTACAAGAGCGACATTCGGATTAATTGGCACGTCAGAATGGGAACTCGAAGTAGTGAGGAAGAATTACAATCGGCCCTCGATTCCATACCTATGAGCTTATCTGAGCCAGCGTTTCGATTGTCGTTGGGCATGCGAAATGCCACTGTCAAGCCGATGATACATACCTATTACACATGGACGCCTGCCCCGCTGTTACCCACTGTATGATTCGAAGCGGAAAAATAGGTCTACGTTGAACTTTGGGTCTTGTAACAGGGCTGTGTAGGGTGCCTAGCTGCCAGCCGACACGACATATTCGATTGCTACCCAACCACCATGCACTGCTGCCCTGACGTACACCTCAAATAATATTATCGTAGGCATTGGTTGGACGTTTTTGTTCAATCTGGCTGTTTGGACAGGTTCCAAATTTACACCTTCAGAATACATCTTTGCGGTTCTTGCGACAGGACGCCTGTCTTTGGCTTCGTTGTAGGTGGCAATGTCTGTTACGGGTGTAAATTGCATTTCGGTATTAGAAGCATTGCATAAGTCCTTGTGTGTTCTGCTCAAAAAAAGTCGGTGTTTTTGTCCAAAAACTTGCGAAGTACTGCCAGGGTTTGAAGATATTAGGTATAGCAAAGGGACCCACCTTGATGGAGATCTAGAGACACAGGCCTCAACAGTCAACACGTACCGTCCATACCTGACAGCTACGTTTGAGTATTGCTTTGCTTAGTTTCTCGATGTGTCCTGGCAGATAAATCTAGTCTAAGGCAAGTGTGACGACCGCAGATGGCCTAGCCGACGTGACCGAAACATCACTGAATCGCTTGGTCAAGTAGCGAACCGATGCGGAACTTAACGGAGTTTGTGAATGTACGATGTCGGAACTGGGTAGCTGACGCGAGTACGAAGCACATAGAAATCGCTATAACCTTTGGAGGTCTCTTTGTTGCGTGCTGCTCTCTTGTTCGAACTTCCCGCAATGTGGCAGAACTCACCTGATAAACCCAGTGAGAGAATTGAAGTTCTCTGAAGTGAGATCTACCCGGGACGGAGAAGGGTGTTGACTCTCTGGGTACTTGATTCGGCACCAATCGAAGCGGACTTGTGAACGACCTTCTTATAACTAGCAGTAACGACATGCCCAAACTGACTCGAAGTCGATGACGAATTGTAGGAATAAGGAATAACCCCTTCTCTTGAAGCGAAAGAGCGCTTGAGGCTTTCTGTAGGTTTCCGTTTTTCCCGTAATTTCCCGTAATTTCCAATCTTGACATTTGTGTAGACAACGATGAAAGACACTGAAGAGGATTTATTGCCCATAATAGGCGTTATCTCTGTCGCAGTGGGACCCCACATTGGAGAATGTAGAAAGAACCACAAGACGTGTATGCTTTGCGAAATGTGAAGCGCGATCATTGGTATGTGATCGAGTCGCTGCTGTTGACTCGCGCTAGTACAACACAAACAGCCAACGCATGGAGAGGCAACTCTATCGGTACCGAGCTTTGTGTCAGCGGGTTGCATCTGAAGTCGTAGCATGTTGAGATAGGCTATGTGACTTTTACCCCGGTAATTTTCGCACCCCAGATTCCTGATATGCTTATCCCGCGAGGAGTGCGGGGGACGTGCTTGGCACATGGGGAGAGTATGATTGCCAGGCGATGGCCAAGCTTGACTATTCTGCATGTAGCGCTCGACGCGTGATGTGATTCGATAGTACTCTACCGACCGGCATCTCTTTGCTCCACAATGTCGAGAATCCACTCTCTGCCGTCAGTGTCACGCCGGAATTAACGACCGTCTGATTCATGCCAGGAGTGGACTTGTCTCGTAAAGGTGCAAACAGGCTACTACGCGCATGATGGAAGCAGTACAAAGCTGAGGACGATCCCTGCCTCTGTTAGAGATACTGAACAGTACTTCAAAGTCTGCAGCTCACTTACAGCCATGCTTGTTGACGAGAAGAACGATGTCGACCATGTCGAGAAGGCATACGATTCCCCGTCACCTCGGGAGCGTGATCTCCACCCTGAGCAAGACTGGACACATGAAGAAGAGCAAGCAATTGTAAAGAAAGCGGACTGGAGGGTTTTCCCAATGTTGTGTAAGCAGAACGTGCCATGACCCCGTTGTATGGCTCCACTAATGTGAAGGCGCTCATAGGCATTGTATTCGGCCTGTCGCTCTTGGATAGGACAAACATATCCGCTGCATATATTGCAGGATTGGCCAGAGACTTACAGCTCACGGGCCAGAGATACAACATTGCACTGTTGGTCTTCTTCATCGGTATGTGGATTCGTTGGCGCGAAACCTTGAGCTGACTTGATAAGGTTACTGCCTCTTTGAGCTTCCCTCTAATTATGTCATCCGTCGGTTGGGTGCTAGAATCTGGTTGTCTGTGCTCATCGTGGCATGGGGCGCCTGTGTATTGGGCATGGGCTTTGTCCATAGCTGGGAGGTCCTGACTGTTCTGCGCGCCTTCTTGGGTGTTTTCGAGGCCGGCCGTAAGCACCAATTACCAAGCATGGGAGTCGGTACTAACCAAAGCCAGTCTTTCCCGGTGCTGTGTACATTATTGGGTCCTGGTATCGACAGTTCGAGACGGCAAAGCGAGTATCAGTTTTTTATATGGCAGCATTGCTGGCATCAGGGTTCGGACCGATCGTAAGTCGAGTGATCATTGCGTGCTGATGAGATAGGCTGACCAAAGTAAGTTTGCGTATGCTTTATCGCTCATCAGCGTTGGCGATGGAATGTATAGTCAAGGCTGGCGCTGGGTAAGTCGTGCGTACGAACCACACTTACCGGCATACTAACCCACTTAGATCTTTATAATTGAAGGGATTGTCACTATAGTGGCCGGATTTATTGCGCCTTTCTTCCTCGTCGAATGTAAGTTTTGTGTTTCCCTAAACCGGCAAACGACTAAGATAATGCAGTCCCAGAGAAAGTCGGGTTCTTGACTGATCGCCAGAAACAAATTGCAATCACCCGAGTCTCTATGGAGAAGTCTGGCAAACAGACCGAGAATGCCACCGCCAAAGAGATGTTCCGGATGATCCGTGATTGGAAACTACTCGTCTAGTCAGTCTTGCCAGCTTCAGGCCCTCCAGCAAGCCATGCTAACCTTTGCAGCTCTCTCCAGTATTTTGTAGCAGCGTCAAGTGTGTATTCGCTGGCATTCTTCCAGCCCATTATTCTCCGTCAAGGTATGGGCTTCAGCTACGCCAAAGCCCAGCTGCTCTCATCCCCTCCGTACATCTTCACCGTGTTTGCATCGCTCGCGACGTCTTGGCTCTCAGATAGGATTCGAATGCGATGGCCAATCCTTGTTGGCCAATCGCTTATCGCCATTGTTGGACTCCTCCTCGTACTGTACCCCAAGCCTCCGGCAGTCCGGTATTTTGGCCTGTTCCTTGCAACATGGGGAACTCAGGGCAATATTCCAGCATCTTTGGCGTACGGTAACAACCAAACTGCACGTGTACAGAAGCGTGCTGTCGTCGCCGCTGTCATGATCTCGGTCGGCGCAGCCGGCGGAGTGACTGGCAGTACCATCTTCCAAGCGAAGGACGCGCCGGTAAGTCATCCAAGCATCTGTGATTGTTCCACGGATACTGATCTTTGCATAGCGATACATGCCAGGGATGTGGGCCACAATCTCTATGCAACTTGTGTACTCCGTTGCCACATTGTGCATGTCGATGTATTTTAAGCGCCAAAACAAGCTCGCAGATGAAACAGGAAAGACACTAGAGGGTGTTGAAGGATTCCGCTATGCTCCGTGAGCTCTGGATGCTCGTTGGCAGGGTTCATGTAGTTGAAGCCCACAATAAAGTTGACGACCGTAACCGCATCAGAGTCCATTGATGCATCAAGATCAAGATCATGATGCGCTCTTGAATGTTGAAATATGAAGGACGAAATCTCAAGGCTCTCGTCCAAACTAAACGCGAAAGATATGCCATCATAGATAAGCGAGAGACTAGCCGGCCCCTGTCACTTTCAACTCAGTTCATGCCTCAGCAGAGTCAACACCGACTCCTCTCCATTGACTTTGCGCGATATGAGCCCGAGCTCCTGTCATTATGCGAGTGTAATGCCTGTTCAGGCATTGCGACACACATCCGACCAGCCAAGCTTTCGCCAAGATCATGCGTGCCGCTCCCGTGGTCTCCGATTCTGACATCGAACGTGTCTCACAGCCTTGTTCTCCAGGACAGCATCCACATCGGGTAGTCGGCCCCACCAGATCGCGACGTGCAACGTCTGTAACGGCCTGTCAGCGCCTGTAAGTACGATTAGACTCGTGGGGAAACTTGAGGCGAATTTTTGCGCAGGCGCCTGAGGACCGTGTTCATGGAAGCTAGTGCATCGTTCACGTCTGAAGATGGGCCTTGGAAGGCTTGCAGGCACGCCGAGCCTGGTTTCGAGGGCAGAGAGAGGAGCTTAGATCTTGCATGCCAGGGATACACACGATGCGCGTGAATCATGAAGCGCTGGACACCTGAGTATAAAGCCACCAGGTCAAGTCGCCAATAAGTTTTATTCTATCATCAAGCATCGTCGCCTCGCATCTCTAATCCTATCTTTCAATCTTCTTCGGTCTCTAGCTTGACGCTGCGACATTCAATCTTTACTATTTTTACAGCCGGTCTGTCTTTACACTATCACACTCACTCTCAGCAACCCAATATAATCCCAATACCAAACATCAAGATGCGTTTTCAGCTCACCACTGTCGCTGCTCTCGTAGCACTTTCCACCGCTCTTCCGACCCTCAAGGTCCGCCAATCCGGCCCTGTCCTGGCCGACACAACCTACAATGCCATCTCTATCTCCGGCGGAACAGCTGGCGATGCTGAGGCCGAAGCCCTCGCTGTCTTCTCAGCGCTTGATACCAACAACCCAGAGAGCATTGATCCAGCTGACCTCGACTTCCTTGGCGCAGTCAACGACGTAGCCAACGATGCCGAAAAGGAAGGATTCAACACTGCCATTGCAGCCGCTACAGGCGCTGAGGCCGATGCTCTGGCAGCTGGCAAGACGAAGAACAAGGTCCTCAAACTGATGGCCACAAAGATTCAGCTTGAGGCTCAGCAAGCCCAGGGCAAGGATGTCGCTGCCAAGCTGGCGGAAGAGACAACGAAGCTGAATAACAACATCGCGACCGACAAGAAGAACGCAGGAAACCCAAGTACCGCAGTATCCTTCGATGCAACAGTCTCCGGTGGAGGCAATGTTGCGGCGGCTGGTGGCAACAATAACAATGCGGCAGCTAGCGGCAACAAGAACAACGCGGCAGCTGGTGGTAACAACAACAATGCGGCAGCTGGTGGCAAGAACAACAATGCGGCAGCTGGTGGCAAGAACAACAATGCGGCAGCCGACGATGCTGCTGCCGATGACAACGCCAATGCTGATGACAACGCCAACGCGGACGACAACGCTGATGATGCCGCCGACGACGACAACGCAGCTGATGCTGGCAATGCCGGTAATGCAGGCAACAACAACAACCAGAACAACCAGAACAACAACAACGGTGGAGGTAACGCTGCCACAGGAAACTTCCTGTTCGGTGGAAACTAAAGAGCGACTGTGCCGGTCAACAATAGATGGCAGTGCCACTGTTGCTGGAGACGCAAGTCGAGGGAAGGTCGAACTGCCGGCTGGATACCAGGCGTAGACGCCGCTTACGCATTGATGCGTATCTGTACTCATAACATCTACATAAATTTCATTAACATAACTTCATAAAGAGTTTCTATCATCTTCAAGCAGCCCCCTCTTCTCTTCTCGACTCCCCTGCTCACCACGATATCTCTTCAGCCCCGCGTAGTTATTGCCTTTGACGATATTCGAGGTCTCGCCTCTCGTCCCAAAGCAACAGTGCTCGACTCTCCCCAGCGGCCCCTCCCGCGGCTCATCCTCTAGCAACACGCCGAACCTCAACTTCGTCTCTCGCAGCTCCTTCGGGAACGGGTCGCCGCCCAGACACGCACCGACACTGAGATGGTCGAGCGTGGGGTTCCTCGTCGTGACCAGGATGCGCGAGAACAGCGTGTCGCTCGCCACGCCGTTCTGGTATATGGCCCACGAACCAATAAGAATGGACGCGAGCGTGACCGCGACGGCCATCGCGTAGCCGATCCACAGACTGCGCGGGAGGTAGATGTACACGATCATCAGCCGGCTCTTGACGCACTCGACTGCCTGCGTCTCGGCTGCGACGAGCGTTGGCTCGGAGAGCAGCGTGAGCAGCATGTCTTCGAATAGGCTCTGCACGGCTGCCATGAGGTTCCGCTGCGGGTATGATGTCCGCCCGTCCATGAGCCGGGTCTCGGAGATGTCGGAGCGCGTGATGATGAATGTGTCCGAGGTCTTTTCGATGTCGCCACGGATGAAGGTCCGGAACATCGCGCCCATGGAGTGGTAGGTTGCAGTAAGTTTGTACGCAGTCGGATCATCTCTGGGGCTGATGAAAGCGGAAGTCGGGGACGCAGTGAAGGTAGTATCGTTGCTTGAATTTTGTCGAAGCGTGGTATTGATAACAGGATATAGAAAATGGCGCTCTTTAAGAGTTGCGTTCTGTGTAGGACGATAGCGCATCTCAAATGTATAGTTAGTGTGGTACATCACGCATTTGAAAATCTTAGGCTCATGCACCCAGACCCACTTCTGCGCGTATGGTGAATCTGCCGGATACTTCGTACTTGTGTTTTCAGTGTAGCCTATCCATAGCACTGGCTCATCTTCGAAGACACCAAGGGATTCTGGATATCCGGGATCGGGTACGCCTTCAGTAGTTGGGGCCTGGGGTCTCTTGTATTCGCCTTGATCAACCTCGGCGTGGTAGATGAAGTCGCCTTGAGGTGCTATTTGGTCAAGTGTAAACGGAGCATCCCAAGGTATAGCAGTACTAACGTCGTCACATTTGTAGCCCGGAGCCATGAAGTTGATCGAGTACGTGCAATTCCAGCCTGTACCACAGAACTCGGCGGCTGCCTTTTCGCGTGGCTGGGCCTTCTTCAAGTACGCGCTGCTGAACGCCAGCCGCCGAGCAATTTTCGATGGTCCATCATAATAATCAAAATATCCATCTTGCATCCCACTGGGATCTGTTGTATTGTAGTAAACGAGCGAGTTACCGCGCGAATTACCGTGTTGTTCTTCTCGAAAATTAAATACGGCCTCGCGCGTCAAATTGAGTGTAGCAACAGTTGGGCAGATCATTGTCATGTTCGTAGGTCTGGGTTGGGAGGTAAGTGAAGCTGGAGACAAGACAGAAGCGATTGGTATAAGCCTGCGTTTTGCATCAGCGTGTTATCCCTAGGCTGTGCGGTCCTCGCACTTACCAGCTGCAAATCGCCATCAATGTTGCTAGCTTGCCATTCCTGACCATCTCCCAGTTCAGGAAAAACATCGTAGGGTCTTCTGTCGCAGAGAAGAGGCCATCAATACCGTTGATGGTCATGGCTTTACGTCGAAGCGTGTGCCATACGCGTTGCCTATAACATACGACAACACAGCTTACAAGCATGCTCTTGGTGAAGAACGCTAGGGCTGTGCCATACCGCACCATCATCAATTGCTCTGTCGCTGGCTTGCCATTCAGATGTGCGTAGAAGAAGTGATGTCCTAGGGCCCCCATAACTCCTGCCACAAACAAAGATGATATTATTGCAGGCGTGGTCCAGTGAACGTGCCATTGTGCCAGTTCTCCAACGCGCTTCTCCACGAGAGCCTGTGTATCCGCGTCCATTGTCTTTGCCTGGTACAACGAGGCCACTGATATCATTGACTCCCGCCCCGAGCGCATTGAGGGCCGGGGACTTTCCTGTCGGCTGTTCAAGGGCGCATACTGGGAGCTGTTCTGTGTGGGGAGAAGGTATGCTCCCGAATGCGACCTGCCATGAGACCTCCCACGTTGCTCATCTTCCAAAGACTGTTCGCGCGAGCTGTGCGAATTGTGTGCATTTAAGGAAGGCTCGGGTAGATGTGACATCTCGATTTGGTCGTGGAATGGATCGTACGGTTCTGCGCGGCGGTTCGGCGAGACATCGCGTGACGAGTATGCAGATTGGAGACCTCGAGAGGTCATTTTGGCGATGTTGGACTCAATGAGTATGTGATGCAAAGCGCGGGCTATATTGCCATCTCGTTCGGCTGGATCGTCGGATCAACAAGGCAGCAGGGAGCTGTTCGAGCCGAGGTGAGTGTCGCTGAAGCTGTATTGTGAGTGTCGGGTGAGCCTCAAAGGTGCGAGACAGCTGTCGCGAGGAGATACGCGCCATCTTGGTTGTATGCCCCTTCATGGGCGCTACTCATGGTGTGCTGCGGGCGAGACTCCAACTCCGAAGAGCACTAAGAACGATAAGCGCTAGCTGCAGCTTGGTGGCTGGAAGCTGAGGCTGTGATGACGAATGAAGAAAAGCCTTTTGAGCTTGAATATTAGAGTGGAGTACCTTTCCCAGACATGCTTTGGTGGCCGTCTTGCAGTAGTATAGACACATGGTAAGACATGCCCGCAAGTGTCATGCGCATACTACTTCCCTTCTCCTCTACCAATTTGGCAACGTCCCGCAACCATAGTCGCAGTCCCAATCAGCTGCATGCGGCCTCACACTCTGTCGCACGGCAGATCTCAAGTCCATGTTCCCGGGATAGCGATGTTTGTGGCTGGCGGTAATACCCCAGCCAGCCTCAATACGTCGGGCTGCGGACAACGTGTCGATGCACTCGCAAGGACGCAGGGCCTATAGATGCTCGTGTGGAGCTGTTTTTACTGTCGTGACCCATGCTCGCGAATATGCGGGGCTTTGTAAGCCTTGTAAACGAATGCGTGCAGGCCAGAGGGCGTTTCTCAGTGCCGGTCCATGCTGAGATGGTAAGAGAGGCTTGATCATCTTGCACGGCATTTGGGCTTTGTATAGAATCTGGGGTCTAAAATAATGCACAGAAATCCGAGGAACAGTCGAGACCCAATGATTTTGCACAACGTCCGCTGCTCGGAGGAATGTCGGGTGGGGCCGCAATGACCAGCCCCAATTTTGCACTCCAGAATTGCACAGCACAGCACACATGCGAGCAAACCAGCAACAACGGAACGAGTATCTGAAAGACAAGACAGTATGATAAGCGCAGAGCGTCTGGGTTTCGGTATTGATGACTCAAGGCCCGATTCATGTCCGTTTCGGTGGAATATTACCAACATGTCGGCGTCGCATGAGGGGGCATTCGACAATCTTACATGATCGCCAGCCTCAAATCGGCTATCTCCACATGCATGGGGAAAGGCATCTGGAGGTTGATGAATGGATTCTACGGCACTTGAGCTGGAGCGATCTGATTGGCTTTGCGAATGGCAATGTGGGTCAACCACGAGGCTATCCGGCCGTTATTGTTGCGTCATCACCGAAACTTCTATAGTTTCCAAGACCCACAGATTTGTAAAGACGACGTCCGACCTTGAGTACATAAAGTCATTGTCCTGCCCTGATAAACATGCATCTACATCCACATCCACATCCTTTTGCTTTGCTATACCCAAATACTGTTCTATACCCAATCAACTCCCAATAATATTTCACATCCCACAATATGGCACCACCAACGACCAGGCAATGGAAAGTCCAAGGAAAGAGTGGCTTCGACGCCCTCAAGTTTGAGGAGAGCGCGCCAATTCCCAAGATCGGCGACAAGGACGTCCTTGTGAAGAGTAAGTACCTTAAATATCACACTATCATGTAGCCTTTACTCACACTGTCAGTCAACGGCGCATCCCTCAACTACCGCGACCTAATAATCCCGAAGGGCAGATACCCTTTCCCTGCGAAAGACGATGTTGTTCCCGGCTCGGACGGAGCCGGTGTGGTCGAGTCTGTTGGTAGCGGCGTCACACGATTCAAGGCCGGCGACCGCGTCGTAACACTGTTCAACTCCGGTCATCTTGCCGGCTCCCTTGATGCAGCATCTTTGGCGACCGGTCTCGGCGGTGCTGTCGACGGCACACTGCGAGAGTACGGCGTTTTCGACGAGCAGGGTCTTGTTGCGGCGCCCAAGAACCTGAACGACCTCGAGGCCAGCACACTGAGCTGCGCAGGACTGACAGCGTGGAATGCGCTCTATGGCTTGGAGAGCAGGGCGTTGAAGCCCGGGCAGTGGGTCCTGACCCAGGGTACAGGTGGTGTCTCGATCTTCGCGCTTCAATTCGCAAAGGCTGCTGGCGCACGCGTCATTGCTACCACATCCTCGGCCTCGAAGGCCGAGACGCTGAAGAAGCTCGGCGCCGATCACATCATCAACTACAAGGAGACACCCAACTGGGGTGAGAAGGCTAAGGAGCTCACCGGCGGCTTGGGCGTGCAGCATGTTGTCGAGGTTGGTGGTCCCACGACCATGGCTCAGAGTTTGAAGGCCATTGCAATCGACGGTGTCATCACCATTATCGGCTTCATCGGCGGCATGGACAAGAACCAGCCCACCTTCCTCGAGACATTGAACAACATCTGCACTGTTCGTGGTATCTTGGTCGGCAGTAGGCTGCAGATGGAGGATATGGTGTCTGCGATCGAGGCGAACGATCTTCACCCTGTTGTCGACGAGAAGGTCTTCGAGCTCAAGGATCTCCAGGAGGCGTACGAGTATATGTGGGATCAGAAGCATTTTGGCAAGCTTACCATTAAGGTCTCCGCTTAGGTCTGGAAGTAGAGTTCATAGGTCAAACGAATGTAGAAGGTACTCAAACAGAGCTTGTTCACAACTATGTGCGGCTTGTGCAGCCGTGGGGTATCTCAAACGATCGTGCTCCAAAAATGCTCAAAAACAAAAATTCAAAAATACAAAAAACAAAAAACAAAAAAACAAGAAAGCCCCCCCCCCCCCCCCCCCCCAAAACCCGCAACCAACCCAAAAAAACAAAACAAAAAACAAAACCAGCCCAAAAACAAAACAAAACAAAACAAAAAAACAAAACAAAACCAAAACAACGCTAGGCGCAGGAAGAGACTGACCACACCACACCACAGCTCACTACTCCAGCTCCTGAGCCTCCCCGGTGATGATGGTCATGGCCAGTCTCTCCCTGGCCTCCTCCATGCCATTGTAGGCAACCACCCCCTCCGCCCCCGCCCCACGCACGACCGCCACCGCATTGAGGAGTGCGAAGACTCCACAATCGCTCCCGTTGAGCTGGCGGGCGCTGCGCTGGACGGGGGCCACCGTCCACTCCTCCCCCCTCCACCCCTCCCCCAGCTCGTGCTGGAGGTACTCGCCCAGCTTGGCGACGTACCTCCCCCCCTCCCACCCCAACGAGTCGAAGTACTCGATGGTGCGGTCTTGCGGCTTTACGGCCAGCAGGCGCCAGTGCGATCCGTCGCACACCGGAAACAGCACGACCTTGGCGTCGAGGAATTGAATTCCTCCAAGGCCGGCCCTGCTGGCCCACCGCTCCACCTTCTTCACCCCGCCCTTGATCGAGGTGTACCAGTGTGATGAGAAAGCGTGGTAGGGAGGAGCTGGGCCTCCACGCTTGTAGACGAAGCCACATTCGTCGTTGAGAATCTTTGTGATGGTGATGAGGTATTGGTTGACAATCTCATCGTTGAGCCAGGCTTTTGCGCTGCCATTGAAGAGGTGAGGAAGAAGGGTACCGAAATCTCTGGCAGAAACCTTGTTGGGGACGATGGGATACGATTCGTTGCGGCCATGCTGCGACGCAACAGCAATGGCATTGAGCTTGGTACGCTCCTCGGGGGTAAGAGGTGTGACGAGAGGTTTTGGTGCTGGCGGTGGTAGAATCTGCTTCGACGGAAGAGCATGAATGAGCGCTTTCCAGTCTGACAAGAACTCCTGGGACAGCTGCGACTCTTGAAGAAAATCATCCAGCAATGACGGGTCAACGACGGGGTCGACAAAGTCCTCGGTATAGTCCTTAGCTTTCGCGAGTATGACTGGGTCGACAAAGTCTTTGGAGTAGTCGTCCTCGTGGGTGGGTGGCGTGACAAGAGACTCTGAAACTGGTGGTGGTAGTATCTGTTTGGACGACACTGGCGGTGGTGGTATCTGCTTGGATGATGATGGCGGTGGTAGAATCTGTTTGGAGGGGAGAGCATGGATATTGGCCTTCCAGCCTGACAAGGATTCCTGTGACAGCTGCGACTCTTGTACAAACTCATCCAGCAATGACGGGTCTACGACAGGGTCGACAAAGTCCTCGGTATAGTCCTTAGCTTTCGCGAGTACGACTGGGTCGACAAAGTCCTTGGTATAGTCCTCATCAGTGTAGTCCTTAACATCCACCGTTGAGGGGCCATGAACAGATTTAGAGTCGAAACGGGGATGAGATTTCGTGGGTGTGATCGAGTCGACATCATCCTTAGTGTAGTCCTCGACATAGTCCTTGCTATAATCCTCGACATCGTCCTCGTTTTCTGTGAAGTTGGGTTTGGCAATTGGAGAGCGGACCAATTTGAGTGTGTTATCCAGCATTTCGCTGATGGCCTCGTCGATGTAATGGGGCTTGACGGGACATTGAGTAGCCCTTCGGACGCTATTCCTCTGTACTGATGGGGGTGACACAGAACGGGATGACGGTGACTCCGAATGGGGTGATGGTGACCGAGAATGCAGGGATTGGGGAGCGCTGCTGCCACTGGGAAACAAGGACTCTTCGAAATCTTTGAAGGTGACATCGGACGTGAGTGGGGCGGCCAACAATGGTGAAGGGCTGCTGACTGGCTCCACGGTTCGCAACTGACCCTTAAGAAGTTGCTTGCGCATCATCGAGACCGGTGTGCGGCGGAGAGCGGAATAGTATGCTGTCGTGGAAAGGATGCTCGTCCTAGTTGGGCGAAGCTTGTGCTCTGATCGTCCAGGCCAGGAGATACCGGTGGGAGAGACGGTCCTGGTTTTGTGAATTGGAGTGCTTGAGTCGACATCGTCCATCGAACAGTCAAGGTCGTCGCGGGTGATGTCGATATCGTCATCTCTGTGAATTTCATTGCGCTCCGATGTACTGAGGACCGGTGGTGTGGAAGAAGTCTCAGCCCATGACTTGGGTGTGTGTGTGACGTCAGGGGGTGTATGAGGAGCCTCGGCCCAGGACTTGAGTGTGTGGATGACGTCAGGGTGATCAAGAATTCCAGCACGCGTTGAGGTGGTTGGTGTGGTTGGTGTGTTTGGCGCGAGACCGGCATCAACAAGGCGTCGCTTCGACGCGCCGTCTCCCCTAGTGACGGGCACGACGAGAATCTGCTGGGGACGCGTAAAGCAGTTGACGAGACGTTCGGGTAGGTTGAACACCTCCGTTGTGAGTGATGTCGCGAATTGGGTAAGAGCGCAGAAGACGCTGCGGGGAGGAGAAGGTGCAGTTGTGGTGTCGTTGCTGGACTCATCCGCTGGCCATTGACCAGGGACGCGACGCGTCTGTGAGGTGTAGTATGCCTGCTGCGGTGTGAGCTCGTTGTCAGACAAAGAGCGGCAATGCAAGACAAACCTGAGGCTCTGCAGCGACATTGTCACCGGGTGAGCCGACAGGATTGTCGAAGGCGTGACCGAAGTCGCGTTTCGAAGTGGCCATCGCGACTGAGGTGCGAACAGCAGGTGTGAGAAGAGAAGTGGGATAGAAGTGCAGCTGCGACTGTGGTAATGGAAGGAGCAGCGCGTGTGAGAAGGTGAGGAAGAGAGCAGTTGTGACTGTGGTGGTGGTTGCTTAACGGTCTGGAGACTGAAGTCGCAACGCGTTGTGGTGGAGGAAGGAAGGCTTCCCGCTTCCGCGCCTTTTAAAGGCAGGTTTTAGCGCGGTCTTAGCGCGGTTCGGAAGGAACGTCCGATCACCGCGCTAATCTGCCCCCATCATGTGACCTTACCGGAGGCAAGTTATGCCATCCGCCGGCTAAGCCAAGCACAGGGCTACCGCTCCAACAATTCGACGACCCGGTCTGCTGCTGAACCCTGCTACCACTGATAATCTTCTGCTTGTGACAGCACGCCTTTCGGACCCTCGGAGCGACTCCGCACACACCACGCCCCCCGCGAATCTGTTTGCCCGCCGGTGGCACGTCATCTGCCAAGTTTGAAAGGGCGATAACCCCTCGACAGCTCGACCTCCACAACAATCGACCCCCACCTACCCACCACCACGCCCGCCGCGCCGCCACCATGGATACCAATATGGAGGATGTCAAGATGCCCGAGCCGATGCAGCTGTCGTCAGTTCCGGCGTCGGAGCCCACCACAATCCCCACCCTGGACGGCTGGATTGAGACCCTGATGCAATGCAAGCAATTGGCGGAGAGCGACGTGCAGAGGCTGTGCGACAAGGTACGCGACAATGCGCGCAGGCAGCTTGCGATAATGAGCTGGATACTGATTCTGCTGTGGTAGGCTCGTGAGGTTCTCCAGGAAGAGTCAAACGTACAGCCAGTGGTAGGTGCTTTCCCCCTAGCCTCGCGACGCCATGGCTGACATTTGACTAGAAATGCCCCGTCACAGTCTGCGGTGATATCCACGGCCAGTTCCACGACCTGATGGAGTTGTTTAAGATTGGTGGTCCCAACCCAGACACGAACTACCTCTTCATGGGTACGTTCATCCCGTTCTTGTCATGTCGCGTGCTGACCCCTCTCAGGTGACTACGTTGACCGAGGATATTTCTCTGTCGAGACCGTGACTCTCCTTGTTGCTCTTAAGATTCGATACCCCCAGCGCATTACTATTCTCCGTGGAAACCACGAGTCGAGACAGATCACCCAAGTTTACGGCTTCTACGACGAGTGTCTCCGCAAATACGGCAACGCCAACGTCTGGAAGTACTTCACAGACCTTTTCGACTATCTTCCCCTCACAGCTTTGATCGACAACCAGATCTTCTGCTTGCACGGTGGTCTCTCTCCTAGCATCGACACACTTGATAACATCAGGGCGCTTGACCGCATCCAGGAAGTACCCCACGAAGGGCCCATGTGCGATCTTCTCTGGTCAGACCCCGATGACAGGTGTGGTTGGGGAATATCTCCTCGTGGTGCCGGCTACACATTCGGTCAGGACATCTCGGAGGCCTTCAACCACAACAACGGCCTGACTCTGGTGGCACGAGCCCATCAGCTTGTTATGGAGGGTTACAACTGGTCGCAAGACAGGAATGTCGTGACCATATTCTCGGGTAAGATCTTTGACCCGGTTCAGTGTTCCTTGCTAATAGATCCAGCACCAAACTACTGCTACAGGTGCGGTAACCAGGCGGCCATCATGGAAATTGACGAGCACCTAAAGTACACTTTGTACGTTGCACTCTCTTCTCATTTGCTCAGTACTGACTTGTTAACAGCCTGCAATTCGACCCCTGCCCGCGCGCTGGCGAACCAATGGTGTCGCGTAGGACTCCGGACTACTTCTTGTAGAATACACCAATTGCGCTGTGTATGGCACAACGTAGCGGAGAACCAGCATAATACGAACTGTTCATGACTATTCACGGCAAGACTTCAGCTTCATCACAATGCTTGACAACACTTCGGCACGATGCTCAAGGAATATGACAGGTGCCTGCGACTCTGCGACCCTTGTACAGCTGGCCAGTGAGGACGAGTGTTATTGCTACCTATGCGGACAGATTGCGTAGACTCAGCCGTATCCTAGGAAAATACAATGAGTGATGACTGCTGTGCTCCAACACCTTACGTTCCATGTCATCGCGTTTGATCTGAAGTATTGCAAACGAATTCTAGCTCCTGGTGATAAGATCATTCGCGTTTACGGACCACGCAAACACTTATGATTCTCAGGGACTCCGAGCGTGGCCGCGTCACGTCGTCACTCCCATCACGAATCCTGATTCTACCGTTCGCGACTCGTACGATATGTAGTTAGTGTTGTTGACGTAAGTCTCAATCAGTGGCATGACGCGGAGTCTGATCTACATAGGTACCCTGAGCGTAGCTGCCATCCGAACCGTTCGCGGCTCGTACGATTGATAGTGTGTTTGTTATCGACCCGGGCCGCATTGTTATCGACCGGGCCGCAATCGGTGTCAGGACGCGGTCTGGAGCCGTGATCTACGGACCCTGAACTCATCTATCGCCCCAACCGTTCGCGACTGTACGATCGACAGTGCGCTCGGTCTCAGCCCAGGCCTCAATCAGTGACGTGGTGCGACAGCCTGGAGCCCAGGTCGCCACAATCTACGGACCCTGGACGTATCTGGCATTCCAACAGAGGCGCGACGCGTTGATGATGAAGATCAGTACGCGCTCCTTCCCAGCCCCACCTGATGTTCGTGCCTTCAACACGCTGCTCGATTCTGACGATGCAATGCTGTCATGGTTTTGAGCACATGATTTCAAAAGCGATATCACGTGCTTTGATGTGGTGAAGGTGCACTCAGGTATTCATAGAACGCGTTATATGGTTGTTATACAACAGTTCTCCGCAGAGCAACAGCTCTAGTAGGCAGTCACACTCACTCGTCCTGATCCCCCTTCCCCTCCTTCCTCCCAATGAACAGCGCAGCCAGCACCGCCGTAAGCACACACACCCCAGCCAACACCGCGTTCATATTCCCATACCCGATCCGCTCCCGCAACGCCCCAGCGACCAGCGGCCCCACCGTCAAACCCCCGCTGAATACCATGCTGTTGATCCCATACAACTGCGCCCACGGCGCGCCCTCGCTGAACACGCCCGGATTCGCACGCGCATAGTTCTCCACCAGCCGCCCCGCCTCGACAATACTCGGCGACCCGATGGCCGCCAACCCCGCACCGTTGAGCGCCAGCACGCCCGCGTACACCGCAACAAGCTGCCCGTTGTCGAGGCGCGCGCGCAGCGCGGACTCGAGTGGCAGCCGCAGCAGCACGAGCGCGGGGGCCAGGAACGCGAAGCCCGCGACGGAGAACACGCGCGGGCCGTAGCGGTCCACGGCCCATCCGAACACGGGACCCAGCAGGAAGTCGGCGCAGCCCAGCGGCAGGAAGAGCAGGCCGGCGCGTAGGCTGTTGAAGGCGAAGGCGGATTCGGCGACGAGGGGGACGGTGGCGTCGAAGGAGCCGAGGAGCGCGGCTTGCATGAAGGCGATTAGGATCGCGGTGAGGAGGCCGGGGTCGAGGAGGAGCAGCAGGATGGGGAGTTCGCGGGTGATGCGGTTCTTGGGGGGTGTGAGGCGGTATCGTTCGTCGATGTGTGGGGTGGAGGAGTCCGGAAGCAAAGGTGTCTGCTCTGTGCCTTCGTCTCCGTTCGTGCTGTCGGTGCTGGTGTTGGAGTCTGATAAGTACTTGTCCCTCACTTTCTTCTCAATCATCAGCATTCGTAGGATGAAATCGATGGCTACGAGACCAATTCCGACGCCGAATACACCGTTGTAGCCTGTCTTAGCGTAGAGCAGACCGCCGCAGATGGGCGAGAAGAGGCCCGCGACAGATATGAAGCTGAAGATCGTCCCCATGGTCTTTCCGAGATTTTCTTGACCCACCGTCTCAACGATGATGGCCAGGCCAACCGTCCACACCACACCTGGACGCAGTCAGTATACACAGCAAATGATACCAACAAGCCATCCTCACCCGCCGAAGCCCCCTGCAGCACCCTCGCCACAACCAGCACCGCAATACTCCGCCCCCACGCAAACATAACCGTCGCAGCCGCCAACAAGCCCAAACTGATCGTAAACGGCAGCTGCCGCGACGACGCAAACTTATCCGCCAGCACGCCCGCCACAGGCGAGGTCGCGCACGACGCCGCCGCGTAGACCGCCAGAAGCATGGAAATCGAGCCCTGCACCTGCGACTCGGGCATGTCGACGCGGTCCTTGAGCAGGAAGGGCAGCACGGGCACGATCAGGCCGTACAGGAACAGGTCGGTGAAGGCGCCCATGCCGACGGTGGTGGTGATGAAGAGCGTGTGCGAGCGCCAGCGCAGGCCGCGCGGGGGCGTGTCGCTGCTGCGGCCGAGCATGGTGGATGCTGTCTCGAGGTGTGTGAGATGCGGTTCTGGGCGTCCAATGCTAGCTCTTTCTTTTGTCTCTCTGGCTGCCAGGGACGCCTACAATGGAAGGGCCCTCGCAGGACGCAATCGATCCGGAGATTTAGGAACAATTCAATGTCTGGACTCTGAATGTTCTGGTTATCCGAATACGGGACTTTGGCGCTCGAAAAGTAATGCGGTGACGTCAAATCATGCTTTGTATGTTAGCTCATTTTGGTGTGCATACGCGATCGAGGTGATGGCTCATTGGCGACGGGTAGCCGCACCATGCATCTTCAATTGCTCTAAACCGTGTCATTTATACATGGTCGCACCGCTGTAGTCTGCATCGACTTTGACTGTTGAACGTGATGCGATGGTCGCACCGCTGTAGTCTCCATCGACTTCAACTGATTAACGATGCTGTTGCGGAGCTCAGCACAATAATAAATACATACTCAGCATGTGTTAATGGCATCTGAAATTCCATTTTTTAAGGCTACGAGATGCATGTAGCTGTACAGTACTAAAGCTGGGGATGCGCGTGCACGTGATCACTAGCGCGACCCGCGACGTCGGAATTCCGAGCTCAAGCTGCCGACGACTTTCACATCCACCCAAACCACTTCCACACGACCAAGTCGCCCAATATGGCAGACCGAATGGAAGGCGTAGTAATGAGCGGCGGTGTGCCGCAGATCGACGTCTCAAAATACCCCGTGCCCGTGGAAACGTAAGTCCTAAACCACAGCAGCCGCTCCAGGTAGGTCGTGCCATACTGACACCGCTGCCCCAGAATATACGTAAGTCCCCTTACACCCCAGACTCGCGCTCGCATTGCACTCCGCGGCGCGGCACTGACCCTCAGCCGCAGGTCAACAACCTCGAGGAGCGCGTCAAAATCGACACCATCAAGGACGCCCTCACCCGCGTGTTCCAGTACTACGGCCCGATCCTCGACATCATCGCCAAGTCGTCCATGAAACGCAAGGGCCAGGCGTTCATCGTGTTCGACAGCGAGAAATCGGCGCTCGACGCCATCGAGGACATGAACGGCTTCGAGCTGTACGGCAAGCCGGTCCGCGTCTCGCGCGCCAAAACCCACAGCGACGAGACAGTGAAGCGGAAAGCGGCCGACCTGTTCGAGGAGCACAAGCGCAAGCGGCTGATGCTCAAGGGTGCGCCTCCCCCACCGCGTCCATGCAATCCCCAGCTAACACACCCAGACTTCAAGCGCGCCGAGGAAGACGCCAAAGCCGCGTCCCAGCCCGCGCTCACGGAAACCCAGAAACCGCGCCCGGCCAAGTCGGGCGCCGCCGTGGTCCCCGACGAGTACGTGCGCCCCAACAAGACGCTGTTCCTGCAGAACATCCCGCGCGACGTGGACGAGGACGCGCTGTCGGAGATTTTCGAGCGGTTCGAGGGCTTCAAGGAGGTGCGGCTGGTGTCTGTGCGCGCGGTGGCGTTTGCCGAGTTCGAGAACGAGCAGTTTGCGATTACGGCCAAGGAGGCGACGAGCGGGACGCTGGTCGGCAAGGAGGGCGTGCCCATGAAGGTTACGTATCAGAGGCAGTAGATGGGGGGAGGGGTGTAATGATGTTTATGATACCTTGGTTGGATTGCATGGACGTTGGAGGTCAGATTACAAGACGTCAGAAGTCAGATTGCAAGACGTCAGAATGCGCTGTATAACTTGTTCTATGTGTATGTGCAGTAATTGAGACTCCTCTAGAAGATGACGTCCTGGCCATCTTCGTCGCCCAGCACGTCCTTGGTCTCAGGGACCTCCTCGGCCGCCTTCTCAGGCTCGCTCTCTGCCTTGGCGGCATCTGCGGCCTTCTTCTCTTGTCTTACAGCCTCCTCGGCGGCCGCGTCGCCCTTCTTCTTCGCGGACACCTTCTTCAGACGGTAAAACTCCTCGCGGTCCAGCTCGTCGAGCTCCGAGTTGATGTACTTGATAGTGTTCTCAGTGCGGGGGATGATGACGTGCTCACTGGGCGTATTAGCGGAGTTAGCGGAGGCGGGCGGGGAGCGGGGCGACGGACATGGCGTTGACACGGCGGTTGACGACCTTGATGACCTCGTCCAGGATGACAAAGGCGGTCTGCAGACTGGCCAGCTCGACCAGGGTCTCGACGGCGCGCGCATACGTCTCGCGGCAGCGCTGGATCTGCTGGCCGCCCTTGCCCAGGCCGGTCAGGGCGAAGTCGTTGTTGGCCTCGACGGTGTAGCTCTCGAACTGCGGCAGGAACACGCCGGACACGTTCTCCTGCTTGGTGCGCACGCGGAAGCGGGCCTGCTTGGCCGACTCCTGGATCTGGTAGCCAATGTCGCCGCCGACGGCGTACGAGACCTCGGCGAGCGAGAAGGCGGCGACCTGCATGACGCGGCCCATCTTGCGCTTGGCCTCGTCGATGCGGCGGGTGATTTCTGGGTCGTCTTAGCGGGGCGCAGGGTGAGGGCGTGGGAGGGGGCGCGTCGCACCGCGGAATCGCCTGGGACGGTCAGTACAGCTCGCAGGGTCGCAGGGCGCGCCAATGCCTACTTGGTCAGCGCCTCGCTCTTGCGCTTCAGCAGGTCGTGGCCCTGCTGCGCGGCCTTGAGCTTCGTCTTCATCAGCCCCAGCGACTGGCGCGTGGGGAAGACGGCTTCGCGGGCCTGGGGCAGTCAGCGGCGGTACTTGATAACGATCAGTGGGCGACGCACCCCGGCGCCGGACATGGCTGCGTGTGGACGGGCGGGTGGTGGAGGGGGAGGGTGCCGTGCAGTGCGACGGTGGTGGGTGCAGGACGGCGATGCGTGCTGCTGGTGCTTGGCTTGGCTGGCTGCTGCCCACTCTGCCCACGCCCTGCTCGGAGCTCGCTGCGTGACGTTGCGCCGTGCGGACGCTGCGCAGCGCTAGCGGACTAGCGGGCGGCTGGTGGGGCGTGCGCTCATTGGGCGCCGGCCACGCCTCAGAATAAGTCTCCGCGCTTCAGACCTGCACCACCGCCGCCGTCCTCTCTCGCGATCCGCGCCGCGGGCAGTCCATCGCCCACCCTGGCGCCGCAATGCCCGCTCAGATGCTCCCCACCGCGGCTGCCACCGCCACGGCGGCCGTCGCCCGCCCCAGCGCCGCGAAGCGCAAGCTGCAGCGCCCGACGGACCTCTTCCTGATCGCCGACCAGGACGTCGCCTACGAGCAGGACATCCAGCGCAACCCCGGCTCCGTGCGGCCGTGGCTCGACTACGTCGCCTTCAAGCGCTCGCGCGGCAGCGTGCTCGAGCAGGCCTTTGTGCTGGAGCGCGCCGTGACCACGCTGCCGCGCTCCTTCAAGCTGTGGAAGCTGTACCTCGAGCTGCGCACCCGCCATGTCGCCGCGAAGAACCCGGCCACCTTCGCCCCGCACTTCCTCAAGGTCAACGCCCTGTTTGAGCGCGCCCTGGTGCTGCTCAACAAGATGCCGCGCGTCTGGGAGATGTACCTGGCCTTTCTGATGCAGCAGCCGCTCGTCACCACCACCCGCCGCACCTTCGACCGCGCCCTGCGCGCCCTGCCGCTGACCCAGCACCACCGCATCTGGGCGCTCTACCGCCCCTTTGCAACCTCGGCCTCCGGCGAGACCGCCGTGCGCATCTGGCGCCGCTACATGCAGATCCACCCGGAGGACGCCGAGGACTTCATCGAGCTGCTCAAGGACATGCGCAAGTACACCGAGGCCGTCACCAAGTACATGGAGATCCTCGACAACCCGCGCTTCAAGAGCAAGGACGCCAAGGGCCCCTTTCAGTTTTGGACCGAGATGATCGACCTCCTGATTGACCACGCCAAGGACATCGACACGGGCGACGACTCCGGCATTGACGTCGAGAAGATCATCCACAGCGGCATCGCCAAGTTCCCCGACCAGCGCGGCGTCCTGTGGGTCGGGCTCGCCCGCTACTGGATGCACAAGGGCGAGTACGAAAAGGCCCGCGACGTCTTCGAGGACGCCATCACCACCGTCATGACCGTCCGCGACTTCTCCATGGTCTTCGACACGTACGTCGAGGCCGAAGAAGCCATGATCGGCGTCAAAATGAACGACGCAGCTGCCCGCTCAGAAAAGGGCCGAGGCGATCCGGTTGCTGACGCGGATTTGGACATCCGGTTGGTTCGCTTCGAGTCTCTCATGCAGCGGAGACCCTTTCTCCTCAACGATGTGTTGTTACGGCAGAACCCACACAACGTTATCGAATGGGAGAAGCGCGTCGCCCTGTGGGGCGATAACAAAAAAGAGATCGTCCAAACGTACACAGACGCAATTGCCGCCATCCACCCCAAGAAAGCCGTCGGCAAATTCCACGAGCTGTGGACAAACTACGCAAAGTTCTACGAGGCTGGTGGTAGTTTGCACAACGCCCGGGCAATTTTGGAAAAGGCTGTCAAGGTCCCCTTCAAGTCGGTGTCCGAGCTTGCGGAGATGTGGTGCGAATGGGCCGAGATGGAATTGCGCAACGAGAACTTTGACAAGGCTGTCGAGATCATGGCCAAGGCCACACAGGCGCCGAAGCGGTCGAATGTCGACTACTTTGACGAGTCCCTGACGCCGCAGCAGCGTGTGCACAAGAGCTGGAAGCTATGGAGTTTCTACGTCGATCTCGTCGAGAGCGTCAGCACGCTCGAAGAGACCAAGAAGGTGTACGAGAGGATCTTCGAGCTTCGCATCGCCACACCGCAGACCGTTGTCAACTACGCCAACCTGCTGGAGGAGAGCAAGTACTTTGAGGATAGCTTCAAGGTCTACGAGCGCGGCCTCGACCTCTTCAGCTACCCGGTCGCCTTTGAGATCTGGAATTTATATCTTACCAAGGCCGTCGACCGCAAGATCGGCATGGAACGCCTACGAGACCTGTTCGAGCAGGCTGTCGAAGGCTGCCCGCCCAAGTTTGCCAAGGTGCTGTATCTCATGTACGGCGCCCTCGAGGAAGACCGCGGCCTCGCGCGCCACGCAATGCGCATCTACGAGCGTGCCACCCGCGCCGTTGCTGATGAAGACCGCATGGAGATGTTCAACTTCTACATCACCAAGTCTGCGTCCAACTTCGGTCTTACGTCGACACGCCCGATCTACGAGCGCGCCATTGCCGCGCTTCCAGACGGCGAAGCCAAGGAAATGTGCCTCAAGTTTGCAGAGATGGAGCGGAGATTGGGCGAAATCGACCGCGCACGAGCAATCTACGGCCACGCGTCGCAGTTCTGCGATCCCCGCACGAGCCCCGAGTTCTGGAAGAAGTGGGAGAGCTTCGAGGTCTCGCACGGAAACGAGGACACGTACAAGGAGATGCTGCGGATCAAGCGCAGTGTGCAGGCGCAGTACAAGTATGTTTTTGTGATGTGCTCTGATTGGATAACAACTAACGCATCACAGCACCGACGTCAACTTTATCGCATCGCAGGCCATCGCACGCGGCACTGCGAACGGCGGCCAGGAAGCCCCCGCAGACGACTCAGCGGCCGGCGAGGACGCCATGGCCGCGCTGGAGCGCCAGGCTCGCGCTCCCGTTGGCTTCGTTGCTGCCAGCACAGGCCTAAAGGGCAACATTGCAACAACGGCCGAGACAGCGGCAAACCCAGACGCAATCGACATTGACGATGATTTGTGATCACCACATGGACCACTTAGGGATAGAAGGACGGGGGACGGAGGGAATCTGGGGTGTGCATAATCCGGCGTTTGGGTAGGCGCTCCGAGCGAGCCTCGCCTTTGAAATCTGCACATGCTGGCCTTGGCTTTTAGCATCTTTGGGCGCGTTTTTCACCTTTCCTTTGTCTTGTTGCGTACGGGACATATCAAAATGGACTTTAGCTCGCTGCCCGGCCACAACGGTTGCCCTTTTTTTCTTTTGTTGTTACTATGTAGTGGTGGACTCGCTTCGCTTCGCTTCTCCAACACACTCTATATATCATTCACATACCAGATTGGCTCTCGTTGGGAACGTGCAGCTCGCTTGTGCAGGCCGTGTCGGCTGATCCGTCGTGTTGGATGGCGTTGTCAGGGTAATCGCAGCTTACGACTGACGCCAGCCAGATAAGACATGGCTGCATGCTCAGCCTGTCAAGTGTGTTGTGCCGCCGATAACAACACGAGAGTGACGAAGTCAAAGTCTGCCCGTGCATGAGGTCACTGAAGGATTCGGCCCTTGCTCGCATGTTGTAACCAGACCAGAAGCTAGCATTACAACACCGACTCTTTGGGACGCAACGCCGGAAGCGCTGCCGAAAGCGGCATGGGGCTTGGAGTACCGATGCCCTCGAACCCTTGGTGGCACCAGGCGGCTGTGTGCGTCGTTGCACAGGGTTCGCGGTGGCAGCGTGGGGTGCAGCTGATGCGAAGTGGCCTCTTGGACGGACTCGTACTGAGGACACGAAGGGCGATATTGCTGGCAGGAGGTGCAGTGCAGTTGTAGCGACGGCAACGCGGGCTAGCGCGCGACTGATAGGCGCGGAAGTGTCTCCAACGGCGTGGCGCATGGCCGAATGCAAGCGATTGCGACGACTCTTGGAACGGACCCTGCTCTACAGTACCACGGCCACTCCTCCACGACACTCGCTAGACTCCCTCTCTGCTTCAATTCCACGGCCGCGCCGCACACACCACTTGCACTTACTCGTTTAATACTGCTGCTGCTGCATGGGCTGCTGCTAACCGCTGCTCCACCCGCTCGACCATGGGAAAGTGTACGCAGCCCCCGCCCCGCCCGCCACAGTGCGCTGACGAGACGTGTAGGGCGATATGGCGTGGTCCTCGACGCTGGCTCCTCGGTGCGCAATCCTGCCGCAGTGGCAGAGGCCGCTGGCTAACGGGCTCAGGGGACGCGCGTCCACATCTACCGCTGGCTGAACAGCGACGCCGCGCGCAAGGGCGCAACCGACGCCCAGCTGCACGGCCTGCCCGTCATTGAGACGGACAAGAAGTGGACCAAGAAGATCCACCCCGGCGTCTCGACCTTCGGCGAGCACCCGCACGACGTCGGCCCCGACCACCTCGACAAGCTGCTCAGCCATGCCCTCAAGCACATCCCGCCCGACGACGTGCCCAACACGCCGCTCTTCCTGCTCGCCACCGCCGGCATGCGCATTCTGCCGCCGGTGCAGCGCAAGGAGGTGCTGAAGGAGGTCTGCGACTACGCCCGCAAGAACACCCAGTTCCAGCTGCCCGACTGCGACGTCCACGTGCAGGTCATCCCGGGCGAGACCGAGGGCCTGTACGGCTGGATCGCCGCAAACTACCTGCTGGGCGGCTTCGACAAGCCGCAGGACCACGCCCACGGCAAGGACCACAGCACGTACGGCTTCCTGGACATGGGCGGCGCGTCTGCGCAGATTGCCTTTGCGCCGAATGCGACCGAGGCCGAGAAGCACGCCAACGACCTGACCCTGATGCGCCTGCGCACCGTCGACGGGACCCCGCTGGAACACAAGGTCTTTGTGACGACGTGGCTGGGCTTCGGCGTCAACCAGGCGCGCCAGCGCTACGTCAAGGCTCTTCTCGATTCGACGGCGTCCAAGGAGCTGCCGGACCCGTGTCTGCCTGCTGGGCTGGAGGTGGAGGTCACAAAGGAGGGCAAATTCATTGAGCTGGACTCGGACGACGAGGATGACGACGAGGAGGAGCCTGCTGCGAAGCTGCACGGAACCGGCAAGTTCCAGGAATGTCTGCACCAGACCTTTCCGCTGCTGGAGAAGGAGAAGGAGTGTTTGGACGAGCCCTGTCTGCTGAACGGACAGCACGTACCCGCCATCGACTTCGACGTCAACCACTTTGTCGGCGTTTCCGAGTACTGGCACACCACGCACGAGATCTTCGAGGGCAAGCACAAGGACAAAGCCTACGATTTCAAGACCTACCAGGAGCGCGTGAGCGAGTTCTGCAACCAGGACTGGAAGCACATCCAGAAGGGCATCGACAAGCACAAATGGGGCAAGAAGGTGGATGAAGAGAAGGCGCGCGAGGTGTGTTTCAAGGCCTCCTGGATCATCAACATGCTCCACGACGGTATCGGCGTACCGCGCGTCGGCATCGAGCCGCTCCCCGACTCGAAGAACACCACAGCTGTTCTTGACTCTGCAAAAGCAAAGGGCTTCCTCGATCCCTTCCAGGCCGTCAATAAGATCAACGACGTGGAAGTGTCGTGGACGCTGGGCAAGATGGTGCTCTATGCCTCGTCAGAAGTTCCTCCGCCGGATGAGAAAGCGCTCGCAGTCGGCTTTGGGTCCAATGCCCCTGGTATCCCCAAGGACTTCCAATACCCCGGCGGCTCGTACCTCCCCTGGAAACACGACCCGCTCGACGACGACAACTGGCACCGCCTGTTTGTCGAATATCCCAGCCGCATCCCCGCGCTCCTTGTCTTCGTCGTCATCATCGTCGTGATCTTTGGCATCATCCTCGGCAAAGAGAAGCGCGCAGCCGTGCGCAAATACGTCGTCGCGCTCTTCAAGAAACCCGGCAAGACCCACACGCCCCTCAAAGGCAAGCGCCGCGGCTTCCTGCCCAGCAAGCTCTTCGGCCTGGGCGGCTCCGGCGGGCAGACGTACGAGCGCGTCGACGCGGGCGAAGACGGGCTATCCCACAACGACTTCGAGCTCGAGGAGACGTACCTCGACAGCTCCGACGACGACCGCCACTTCTCCGACGACTCGGAGGGCTCGCGCGTCGGCCGCACCAGCGGCTGGGCCACGCCGCAGATCAAGAAGTCCGCCGAGCCCCTCACCCCGGGCTACTTCGCGGCCCAGGACGTCGTGGGCGCGGGCCAGGCGCTGGGCCTCGCGCCGCTCAATGCGATTGAGCGCGGCGGGCTGCTGGCGCGGACGGACAGTCGCGAGCGGATCCGCAGTCGGGCGAGCAGTCCGAAGCGCGCGCGCAGCAAGATGGGGAGTCTGGACGAGTGATGATGTGTTTGTTGTTCGCTGCATGGGATGGTGTACGGTGTTAGGACTGGTAGATTCACGCATTCTTGGGCACGGCGTTTGAGATAAGGATTCTGTCTCTACAATACCAAGTTATACATTTACATATACACTGATGACATCTATACGTCGTGTAGGCGCGGCATGTGTCGATCTCGCTTGTCTAATCTCTTTGCAGTCTATCGTTCTTCATCATCACCTTCTACTTCCTCATCCGCGTCCTTTCTCTTCAGCACTGGCAGCTTGATGGCCAGCACGAGGATGTTCGCAACTACGAAGACGACAATCGCGGACATGAATGTCAGCTTCAGACTGCGGTCGTAGGCCTCGATCACCTGGGCCTGGTGCTTGGGGTCCAGGTCGATGATGCTTCGCACGGATCGGCGGACTGTCAAGATGATCTGTGAGAGTTAGCTCCTGCGTGTCGATATTCGACAGACTCTTACCTCATCTTTATGCCGCCCGGTGACAAGCGCGTTCAGATACGCTGTCAGCGCGTTCTGCAAGATCAGACTGCTGATTGAGACGCCCATGACCACGCCCAGACTGCGCCACAAGAGCAGCGTGCTCGTCATGACCGCCTGGTCCTCCTGCGTACTTGTCGCCAGCACCGCCAGCGACGTCGCCGGGAACGACAGCCCCTGTCCAACGCTCGACGGAATCAGAAACGCCGTCGCAACCCACGCCGGCACCCCGTCCCACAGCGCCCCCAGACACACGGCCCCGACCAGCATCGCCAGCGACCCCACCACAATCAGCCCCTTCATCCGCCCCGTCGCCGTCATGATGAACCCGCAGCTCACCCCGCACACCGTCAGCGCCACGCTCGGCCCGCCCAGCCGGAACCCAGACACCGACGCCGACTCCAGCTTGACGGCCTGGAAGTACAGCGGCGCGTTGAACAGCACCGTGTTGATCCCCAGCGCCGCGAAGAAGTTGTTGAACACCAGATTGCCCCGCGGCGCACTCGCCAGCATCGGCAGCGGCATCACCGCGCGCTCTGCCCGCGCCTCGACCCACAGCAGCGCGGCGCCCGCGACGACTGCGACGCTCAGTGAAGTAACAACAATCGGGTGCGTCCACGCGTACACGTTACCGCCCAGATTCAGCCCCAGAATCAGCGCCGCCACGGACCCCGTCAACAGCACCGACCCCAACCCATCGAACCCCCTCAGCGCATCCCTGATCCCCAGCCCGGACCGCGCATGCAGACACGGCCCCAAATCCCCCGGCGTGGTGAAATATGCATTCACCAACAATCCCACAAACACGGGAATCTGCACCGCAAACGTCATCCGCCAGCCGAGCCGATCGCACAGGAAGCCCCCGAACGCGGCTCCACACGCTGACCCGCCCCCGTAGAACAGGTTGATGTACGCCTGGTACGTGCCCCTGACCTCGATGCTGACGAGGTCGTTGGTCATCACGTTGCCCATGCTCAGCACGCCCGCGGCGCCGATCCCGCACACGGCGCGCGCGGCGATGAAGGAGCCGATGGATTGGGCGGCCGCGCACCACGCGGTCGTGCCGCAGATGAGGGTTAGCCCCGCGAGGTAGAGGGGCCGGCGGCCGATGGTGTCGGAGAGCCGGCCCATGAGGGGTTGGAGGGAGGTTGAGGTGAGCAGGAAGGCGGTGGAGAGCCAGGAGGCCGAGTTGGAGGCGTGGAAGTGTGAGGTTATTACGGGGTGGGAGGAGGCCATGAGGGTGGAGTCGAACATGGCGATCTGGATGGGCTTGTTAGTAAGACGTTGCGAGGCGGGGAGGAGCGGGTGGTGTAGCTTGAGCTGTACTTTCAGGCTTGAGCTGTACTTGCAAGCCCTCAGTGTTCACTTACAAAGTAGCCCACCAAGATCCCACCGAACACGCAGCGGAAGCGCCACGTCGGTACGCCCTCCAGCAGCCCGTTCCTCTGGAACCGGACGAGGTGCGGGGTCTGCGTGCTCTTGCCCAGCGCGGGGACGTCCAGGGCTCCTGCGCCCAGCGCCGGGCTCACGCTGCCCTCCCGCACGGCCGCGACGCTGTCTGACGGCGGGAGTAGACGCGTGGTCTCATCTGGGGGGGTCATTGTATCTTTTCCCTCTTTCCCTGGCTTATCGTTCTCCTTGCTACGCTTCTTTTGCTATCCTTCTCTTGCTAATTTTCCCTTACAATCCTTCTCTTACAATCCTTCTCTTCCCTATCCCGTCCACCTGACTCACCCAGCAGCACACAATTAAGTAATTCAAGGAAACACTCCGCACGCGGAACCCCAGTGCGGAACCTGCGAAAAACAGTCTAAATATGTACAAGCAACGCTTTCCTCGCACCAAAACCCTCTGCGCAGTCAAAAGTGCAAGTTCCGCAGCCGTTTGTCAGCGCCGACGTCGCCGCCCCGCCCGCGTTTACTATCCCCCGAGCGGGTGCCCGTGCCAAGCTTGACTGCCGCGGCAAGTCGCCCGAGCGGCGCCCGCGGACTAGACGCGCGCCTCGCAAAGTATTGCGCCATGCGGTATCGTACCGCTTATCGCCGCGCCCTGCGAGCGTGTATCGCGGGCTAGTGCAGTGTAGGTGCCGTCGGGCGCACGTGGCTTCCTTCTTCCTCACTCACAAGTCCCGAACCTCAAGTCGTCTTGCCTTGCCTTTCCCTTTCCCTTTCCCTGCCATTTCCATTTCCTATACCCTGACATCCTCACACCCCTCTGCACTCGCACCCGCACACACAACCACCCCCCTGCACTCAACCACCCACCATGAAGAAACCCCTCCGCATAGCCGTCCTCCAGTGCGACCAGCCGCCGCCCGACGTCGTCGCGCAGTACGGCGCGTATGACCGCATCTTCGCCACGCTGCTGCAGACGGCGGCTGCGCGGATGGGGCTGCAAGAGGCGGATTTGGAGATCACGGGGTGGGATGTCGTGGGCAAGATGGAGTATCCGCTGCTGGAGGACGTGGACGGGGTGTTGATTAGCGGGTCGAGTGAGTGCATTGTTTCACTTGGTTGCTTGTTTGGGAGGGGCTGGTTGTTTGCTCTGTCTGTTGTTGTGTCTGTTCTGTCGTGTCTACTCTGTCTTTCTGTTCTATTGATTCTGCCTGTCGAACCTCTCGAAGCTTGATATGTCGTGGTCCAGCACGTGCTAACACCATCAGAACACAACTCGTTCGACGACGAGCCCTGGATCCTCAAGCTCGTCGCCTTCACAGAAGTTATCCTGCGGCTGAACCGCGTGCGCCTGGTCGGCGTGTGCTTCGGGCACCAGATCATCGGGCGCGCGCTGGGGTCGCGCGTCGGGCGCAGCGACGCCGGGTGGGAAATTGCCGTGCTGCCCGTCGAGCTGACGGAGCTGGGGAAGCAGGTGTTTGGACAGGAGACGCTGGTACGTTGATTTCCTATTCGCACTTGCTTGCCTCGATCTGCTTTCTTCATCTCCCTGATGAGCCTTTATGGCCGTGGTCTGGTGTGTATGTGAAGCTTATTTCCCCAGGCTATCCACCAAATGCACAAAGACATCGTCTACTCCCTCCCCCCCGGCGTCCAGAGCCTCGGGTCCTCGCCGCGCTGCGCAAACCAGGGCATGTACGCTCCGCGGCGCCTGATCTCGGTGCAAGGCCACCCCGAGTTCCACGAGGGCATTGTGAGCCGGCTGGTCAAGATGCGCAATGCACAGGGCATTTTCAACGACGAGCAGGCGCAGGATGCGCTGGGGAGAGTCGGGAACGCGCATGATGGGGTGGTGATTGCGCAGGCGTTTTTGAGGTTTTTGCTGGAGGAGTAGGGGGGAGGAAAGTATAGAAGGGACTGGTTGACGCGGGCTGGTATAGTAGAGGTAGAGGTATAGACAGTGCTTGTATCTACTAATCAAGTCCTCCAACTCCTCCCGCTCTCCTCATTAACCCCATCTCCATCAATACTGCGTTGCAACCGGCGTCCCCACGGGCGTCTGCAAACACGCCCCCACCACCGTCCACGACGTCGCACACCCCTCCGGACACCGCGTCGGACACGCTGCAAACACCGTATCCGTGGCCGTCCGCGTACAGCAGCTATCCGTGATACACGGCTGCGTGATGGTCGACACCTCCAGACACGCCGGGCGCACGCACGTCGCGGTATCGAACGCGCACGACGACCACGGCGCCGGCGCGTCGACGCGCGTGCTGAAGGACGGGCAGTGGCGTGGCGCGAACGTCGTGGTGGTGATGGTCGTGCGGATTACGGTTTTGTAGGTGCGGACTACGGGGGTTGAGGCCGGGCAGGTGGAGGTCGGGAGGGGGATGGCGGGGGGGACGGAGGGAGGAATGGCGAGGGTGAGGGTGCTGTGGGGATGAGTTTGGGAGTGGGTTTGGGTATTAGGGGAGGGGGTGCTACCTGAGGCTGAGGAGAAGCAGGGAGGCGAGCATTGTGGTGGGCTTGTTGCTGGTGGAGAAGTGTTGTGTGGTTGGTGAGAAGGTATGCAGCCTGTCACTTATATAGTCGCATCTTCTTGTACTTGCCTCTGGGAGCTGCTCGCATGCTCCGTAGTGCTATCCGAGGGATACGAGAAGTGAGGTCGGTCACAAGTCTTGAATGAGGGGTGAACACGACCTGTGTCACGCTTCTTCGTATACTTTCTTGAATTCATCGAGGGTCTCAATTTGGAGGTCGAGCTGAGGATGGGTGCAGCCAATCGGCTGCTGAGTGGCTTTTTAACGGCCATACAGACGATGACGCTTGCCGAAAGGCTATTGATGCTATTTCGAGCGTTCTCGAGGTTCGAACTGCCTGGCTCAGTGGTGCTAGTAGGTCAAGCCGCATTCAACAGTGGCATACTCTTTCTGATCAGCCATGCAGATGGGTGTAAAACCTGTGGGCCTCGTGATGCTTCTGCTCACCCACATCGGACGCGAGAGAAGCCAGAAAGTCATGTTTTGATTGACGTGGGATAAACTTCAGTGACATTCGTACAAGATTCCGTGGATGTATCAGCGTAGCTCGTAGCCACCTCCAATTTCAACGCCATTGATGCCAAATATGTTACACGAATATACATGTCTGTGTACATTTTCTTACTCGGCGGAGGCCTTCTTTGGCTTCTTTGTTCCGTACTTCGATCTCGATGTAATCCTGCTACCGACACCTCCCTGCGATTCGTTAGTCAGGATAAATATGTAACCCGTGTTGATACGCACCAAATCCAGCGCTCCTCTGACCAAGTGGTATTTCACACCAGGGCAATCCTGCGCACGCCCTCCTCGCACCATCACGACCGAATGCTGCTGCACGTTGTGGCCTTCGCCATGTCAGCTGACGGCTCTGGTGTCCTCTGAATTGACCATAACATACCTTCTCCAGGGATGTATGCTGTGATAACCTTTCCTGTGCTCAGACGCACCCTAGCAATCTTCCTCTCGCCAGAATTGGGCTTCTTGGGCTTGGTTGTGCCGACCTTCAAGCACACGCCCTTGAGTTCTGGTCTGTTGGCAAGCTGCGGCGATCGCAACTTTCGCACCCTCTGCTGTATCCTTCCTTGCCGCAGGACCTGGATCAATGTGCATTTGTTGGCGCGCGATGCTGGTGTAGGGGCGAGGGAGAGGCCAGCGAAGGCATTGTGGAGCGGCGCAGCGGCGCGCGCAGCAGCCAGAGGCGATTGCGCAAAGACTGATGGCCGTACAAGGCGTTGAAGGAGTTGAACGGGCATGGCGGCGGTGGTGGTGACGTTGAGTGTCGCGACAGAAAGTTCGAGGTGCGGCGCGACTGACGGAGGTGGTCAGTGCGACTGCACGAACGCTCTTTCCTCGAAGTCCGTAGCTCGATCCTTGGATTAGAACATCTTTCCGATACCACGTAACATGTTCTCTCATTGCAGCTACAGAGTGTGTTCTTGCTTTACGTTTGATCTTCTAGAGTTTTTATAACCCTTGACATAAGCACCATAACGCAATCATAAGCACAACGCCTTCCATCTCTACACGACTTCGAAGTTGAGTACGAAGGTGCCATGTACTGCGCTAATCTCCAAAAACACGGGGCCTTGCAGCTCAAAGTTGCAGCCATGTTTGGGAGTGCAGATGCTAAGCGCCGACACCCATGTCCCTACCGGCCGCATCAACCACCCGTACCATATCATCTCAGTATATACGCGCACTCCGCTGCCGACGAGCCGCCAACACCAAACAATGTGGACACCAAGGCGCCCCATTCTTAGAATTGAGGTCCAGGCCAGCATTTATAGGCACCTACTCCTCGCGTCGCTACATCATGCAATCCTCTGGGAAGTGATCGTTGTGCAAACTCATTCTTTTCGTTTGTCTGGTCTTGAGTTTTGATAACATGGTCTGCATCATCTGCCAAAACATGCTGGGCCGACAAGCTGGTAGGTTCGCCCAAGGAACGCTGGATAACCGATACGAACATCACACAAATGCAAAGACTTTTCAACAGGCTGTGCGGCAAAACTGTTACATCTGTCGAGCTTTGTACGTCAACCTGTTGGATGAATTGGAGTACTATGCTGAACAGCCGCGCCGAGACTCTGTCACGTCAAGTTCGCATGCTTCAGCGGAGGAACAGATCCTTTCAGACCTGAACCAGTCCTACCTGAGTAGCAAGGCCTTCCTCTTCCTACAAAAGTTCGATCATACTTACCGCCTTGAGATTGAGCTAAGGCACGGGCAAGCTGAGATCCAGCATACCTTCTATCTGGAATGTCAACAAGGACCCCCTCCTTGTCCTGACCAACGATCTGTCCATGTCAGGTATCGAACGCTGGAAGACCCTAGTTTCTCATCACATCCTCCGCCAAAGTTAACCCGCCACCGAGACTACGAGGTAGCGCATCGGTGGATAAAGGAGTGCAAATGTTATGCCTCTAGATCAAGCTCGTTCTATCCGACAAGGCTTTTAAGCCTCAAGAACGTAAAAGCCTCAATGGCAATCCATGGTAACTCTACCTCACGGTGCCGCAACTCCCAAGTCTGTGTCAATCTTGTTGAGACAGCAGCCTGGCTCCGACCGAATGCCAGAGAACCGGACTACAAAGGAAGCAACGAGCGTTATGTGACTTTGTCGCACTGTTGGGGAGGCTTGGTTAGTCACCGCTTGCTCAGGAGCAACTACGATGACTTCGTTCGCGGCATACCAGTTGCCGATCTGCCAAAGACATTTCAAGATGCCATCTACTTTGCTTCTACTCTTGAGATTGTTGATTATATCTGGATCGACTCGCTCTGTATCATCCAATTAGATAAAGCTGACTGGTTGAAAGAAGCTGAAGTTATGGGCCGCGTGTACAGCGAGACTTTCCTGAATCTGTCTGCCACAGCCGCATTGAACAGCACTGTTGGACTTTTCAAAGACGGAGACTTTGAGCTGCTGGAAGAAGACAAGGTTGTACTGGACATCGAAGGTCTACCCATGGCGTATGACAGGAAGACCGTCCCGAAGAATCCTGATGAGAGGGAGCGCTTTTTTCTGCGATCATGTACAATCATCGACACTTCGTTTTGGGAGAAAAAAGTGGACAAAGGGCCAGTCAACACACGTGGCTGGGTGCTGCAAGAAAGACTGATGTCTTCGCGGGTGTTGCACTTCTGCAGGGACCAGGTCGGGTGGGAGTGCGCTTGTCGCGATGGTGATGGGGACTCTGCTATCTGTACTGCGCAGATATCAAATACTGTTCGCGAGTACTCTGCTCATCACAGAATCGTGGAGGGTATTCGCCAGAGACTATTGAGGGCGAACAACGCGTCCTACTCACCTTTCGCTCTTTGGGCGGCTGTGGTGAAGGTGTACACAAAGACAGCCATTACAAACCCGGATGACAAGCTTATCGCTATGTCTGGACTGGCCGAAATCATTTCTGAAGAGGTGGGCTGTACATACGTTGCTGGCTTATGGCGGAAGAACCTCGCTAGCCAACTTTTGTGGCATGTTGAGCCTGTGTTTCGCTCGAGCGACCGTACCTTTTCGCATCCAGCAACCTCTATAACTGGATGTGCCCCATCGTTCTCTTGGGCGGCTATAGATGTCACCGGGCATGGCATTACATACGCGAATTCGACTAAACGCAGAGTGTTTGTGCGAATCGAGGATTGTGTCGTGGAGCCCCTTACAAGCAACAAATTTGGTCTCGTCTCAAAAGCTCGAATCATCCTTTGGGGAAAATTGCGTCGAGCACGTTTGATATCCAGGCCTAATAATTGCTTTGGGTGGCACCTGGTAGATCGCGATGACCTCGACAACGAATGCCACACGAACGTATATTTGGACTGCCCTACCCGCGACGATGATTGTATCGACAACGATGATGCACATATATACATCCTACCTGTCGCTAAAGATGTTACCTCTGCTGGAACATCGAGGAACGAGCATCTGGTCTGTCTGCTGCTGCGTCCTGAGCTCGAAAGAGGAACTTTCAAACGTATCGGGATGACCAAATTGAGTCCGTTCGCAGATCGGCGAGCAATGCAGAAGTCTGGGATACGCGACAGCCCTGAGTATGAGATAATGAGACACAGCATGAGTGATGCAAGTCTACCTCATGATGGAAACTACGATGAGGTGACCGGATTACATAGAATAAGTCTCATTTGAGGAGCGCAATAGAGCTTGCCGAACCTCGTATGCATACAAGGCTAGCTCTGAACAACGTTGTGATACAAACTACAGAATATGTAGAGCTCATACCTTCGACACATCCACTGCTTGGCCAGTCTTTAACCAGGAACGTATAATTGTGGAAGTCTCATCACTACTCAACTTCTACATAGTCACCTGCTAGGCAGGCGTCAGGGTACTGTTGACCCAAATGATTACTTACAGCAGTCTGTCTGCTTCCTGCACAAATTAATGTTGCAGACAGTGCTCGCATGCGCTCGCAACTACTGCTTGTCAGAAGACCTTTTAGTGCAGAGGTCAACTTCGTGGGAATCTTGGAGCAAGGCCGACATGGTGGAAGCGGTAATTAAATCATTACAGTCATCTGCTCAACAGAATTAGGCAACGTACACATCACGACTACCCAGTCGAGTAATACAGTGGCATCATCGACTAAACACGTGGAAGATCTTGGTAAATCTCTTCTCTGTTACGGTGTCGCGTTGAGGAGACAAACGTGTGCGCCAATGGTAGAGAGCATGCGGGAGGCGCAGGCATGTGGGTCTTGGCGCTATGACGACGAGGCAGTCACAGCCACAGCTCGTGCGCGGCAATGGCAACGGGGCAAGCTTCACGTTTGCGCCAAACACCACTGTCCTCAGACAACACCCCAACTTCACACAGAAACAGCGCATATCACACAAAATGTCCGAGAAAACAGGAGCCGATAAGGTCCGTCTACTTCATAGTCTCCAATGAAGCTTGGACTGACGCCTGCAGCCCCCAGAGAGCCCCACAACGGCGCGTGAGCTCGACTTCGACGACGACAACGAAGCACCAGCCTCTTCTGCGCCTGAGAAGACCACCTCTCCACCGCCAGCCTCAAAATCACCAAAGCCAGGTGTGAGGTTCTCCGAACAGGCAGAAGAGATCCCCCCGCAGAAGCCCCCGCGGCCCGCAGACCCGAATATCGAAGCACAGAACACGTTGATTGAGGCCTTCCCTGACATCGACACGAATGTTGTTAAGGCAGTCCTCCTTGCTAGTGGCGGAAAGGTTGAGCCTGCGTTCAATGCGCTTTTGAGTATGTGGTTGCCTAGACATGTGCTTTGAGGGGCTGCTAACAAGGTGTGCAGGCATGTCCGACCCCAACTTCAAGACCGAGGAGGCCCCGCCTCCACAGCCTCCGCGACCGCAACCGCGTAGCCAGCTTGAGCAAGATGAGATGTACGCTCGCCAATTAGCTGAACACTACCAGAGCCAAGGAGGCCAGCAGAGTCAGGGTGGTTATGGCTCACGGCAGCCGCAGCCCTACGCAAGGTCAAACAATCAGAGCAACCAGAGCAAGGATGAACGTGAATACAACTTCTTTGACGGTACGTGCACTAAGTCTGCTCATGCCATCGCTTAAACTAATGCTCGCAGACGACCTCCCTGAGATCCGTAAGAACATCGAGCAGGGTTTCCAGGAGACACAGAAGACAGTCAACAAGTGGATTACCAGCTTCAAGAAGAAGCTTGATGGCGAACCAGACGACTACGATCAATACGGAAACCCTGTACCTCGTGAGCGCGAACACGGGCAGTCTTCGCATGGTCGCCAAAACTATGGGCCATCACAGTCTGAGCAGCTATACGGTATCCGCAAATCGGCTGAGCAGCGTCGCTCTGCGGACATCCGCCGCTCTGCGGACCACAACCGCTACGATGCGGACAACCGGGTGCTGGGCGACGACTTCGCCCAGCTTGAGATGAGGGACAACGATTCTCAGCAGAGGTCGAGCAGCCGACCGTCGGCAAACCCCGACTTGTTTAAGCCGACCCCTGTTTCGCCACCGCAGAGCGGCCCCGTTGACGAGGTTGATGCGCTGTACCGAAACCCCTCGCCGAACAACCAAGGAGGCAAATCTGGTGGTAAGAAGTGGCAGCCTCTCACGTCAGTTGCGCCACACCCCGAGACGGATGAACACGATCCGTTCAGCCTCGGTGACAGCGACGATGAAGACAACAACAAGACCAAGGACATTAATCCTGAAGATACCGAAAGGCTTAAGAAGGCCGCAGAGTCGAAGGCCAAAGAGACGACAACAGCTGAACTGAAGCCTGCAACAAGGAGCGGAAGCGTTGGTCAGAAGGATGCAGCTGCCGAGGCGCTGCTGAAGGATGCCAAATGATTGCTCATTGATCGATTGACTAGGGTGTAAATGCTGAGAGCAGGTCTTCAAATGATACCAATAAGCTATACAGATCGTTTCGACCCTACACATCATCCATGTACGATTGCCCAGACCTCTACTTCGTACAGTAAGCCCTTCAGAGCCAAGCTCGCAACCCCCAACACAGTGTCAGGTGGCTTGTGACCATCCCCATGTTGATCCATGAAATCAATCCAGAGTGGTGCCCATCCTCGTTCAACGATATCTTTTTGGTTCAATTCGGTGTTGCCAGAGTCGTTTACTATGTAGTGGCGTACATGGACGATGTCGCGCGGAGTAGCGCCAGCTGCTTCCAGACAGATTCGCACATGTTCGTATGCTCCCTTGACTTGCTCGATCCACGGGGCTTTGTAGTCGCCTGTCTGTCCAGCGAGAGTTATGAATTTGGAAGTTGGAAGGATTGGCGTAATGCAGGCATGCTTGTACGATGGCGGTGGTTCGTGAACTCCAGAGGGATTGAAAGCTCGGGGCTTGTTGTCGTCAGCCATCTTGGTGGAGGTGAATGAATAAATGTGAACAGCTGCCCAATGTATCGATAATTCAAAGTTGTCTCATACTCAAGATGTTTGCTTACATATCATGGACACCTAAGCGACGTCTTGGTGAGGGGTACATTTGGTACAAGCCCGCGTAGACTTGCCGCGGAACAATTGCTGAAGCTCAAATCCCAGCGCCCTGACCAGCAGTGAGCGATGAACAACGTCACGCGTTATTGATCACTCTTGCTCCGCTCAGCAACCCAATGCAAGGGATTTTTTACTACGACCAGCAGTGTGCAAGACAGCAGACAGGACCGTTCAGTACGCATCATCGTTTGTTGTGGCTGAATAACTGAGCGGGGTCTATTGGATCGTCAGCTCCGTGAACGTTCGCGGAAGGACAACAGCTTCAGCCGAGCGAATCAACGCCATCAGCTCTGGGTTCGCGACGCGCTCCAGGGCCGTTAGTAGCGGTTACATCACTCTATGGCATGTGCTTTTGCGGGGAAGCTATGGATGAGCTTTAAACAAGCTCGTCGCACAAGCTGCGAGACTTCTGTCACTCTTTGGCAATCCCTCAGTTCATCATGGCGTCCGGACTTTTCTCCAGAGGGTCCAGCCAACCGACTAGCACTCCTGATGCTCGCATTCAATTTGGTGAAGAGCGACCCCATGACATTTACCTGAACAGCACTCCACCCGCCGCTCAGCAGGCGTACACATATGTCGACAAGACACACTCAAAGACACACGTTCATACCGCCTCGTTGTTTGACGTTGGTATCTTGAAGGACACTTTGGCACCTTCACTGACTCTCCACTCTGGTCTCGCTGTCATTGCGTACGGCATCTCACGATACACCCAACGCGTTGAGGTCAAGGACTGGCTCTGGCCCAGCGGACAGGTTGCCAATGCCTGGTGGTCTGCCATCGGTCGACGTCTTGCTGCAGGCTTGACACTCACACAAGCTCTCCATCGTCTTTCGTGGCATGAACGCGTTGTTTTGACCGGCGTGACACTCTGGGGAGGCCGGCTCTTCTATCGTGTTGTCCGTCGCTCCATCCAGCGCGGCGAAGACGATCCACGCTATGCTGAAGTCAAGCAAGAGGAAGGCTTCTGGAACTCGGCTTTGTTCAAGATCTTCATTCCGGAGGCTTTCTTCCAGATGCTCATCAGCTTGCCATTCACGGCACCATTCAGGCACGAAGGTGCTGTCATGATAGGATACCACCCAATCATCCAGATGGCGGCTGTCGGTCTCTTCTCTTCTGGCCTCGCATTGGAAACTCTAGCAGACTACCAGCTTGACCAGTACAAGGCGGAAGGCGGACGCGGTATTCTTCGTGAAGGCGTCTGGAGCCTTGTTCGCAACCCGAAGTAAGTCTCTCATCTGTGCCCGCTGAGCCACTCTTCTTAACTGCCAATAGCTATCTTGGTGACGCACTTGTCCATATCTCCTTCATCGTCATGCTTTACGGCAGTGATATGCTCGCGCCCATCGAACTTCTCGGACCCATCGCCAACTACTGCTTCCTCCGCTTCTTTGGTGGCGACAACCAGAAAGAGCGGTCACAAGTACGTCGGTACTCTGCTTCTCAGCCCGACAAGTTCGCCGAGCTGCAGAAGTTCCGTGCAGACAAGAATGCATTCTGGCCAAGTATGGACGAGCTTAGCAATAAGTGGCTGTGGACAGTTCTGGGTATTGGAGGACTCGGCGTTGCGATCGAGCAGACACTCAGGACGCTGCACTAGGCTGAGCTTGGTGAAGAGGTAGTATGCAATGCTTGCTAGTATCGTACTTGCAGCTGTATCGTGCCTTCGCTTGCATGTTGAACGCATGAGCTTTTCATTCCTTTTCTTTTCAACAATCATGAACAAAAACCCATTACATATCGAAACAATCAATGCATTAAAAAAAGAAAGCAACGTTTATCTGGAATTTACGATGGTATCGATCACTGCCCCTGCTTTGCCCACTTTGTTTTGCATTTACAGCTACCAACACGCACTTCAAGCTGTTTTATCTTCCTGCTGCTTTTCCGTTGCTATCTTTGCTAGAGGTACTACGAAGTATATGACCCAATATTGTTCTAATGCTTCGATTCAGTCTCGTCCGCATTCTCATCTCCCTGTGAATCGATAATCTCTTGATCAGTAGGGCCTGCATCACCAATACTTCGCTTGGCGGCTTCTGCTTTAATCGCCTCTACTTCTCCCGGATTGAGCTTTCTCCGTTTGCCGGTCAGCTCATTCCAATCCCACCCATCTTGAGCCCATCTCCACTTCAGATACGGTTTAAGGTCTTTGTCTAGCGGCAGTACTCTTTGCCATTCTGGCTCGTCGTCTTCAATCTCCCTCAATCGGTCACGATAGAAGATCCTATAGCTATCCAATGCATACGGTCCCATCCCAGGCAGGTGCGCAATCTCCCATCCTACTCTTTCGTCGTCTAAGCTAAGTGCCTCCCCTGGCTTGATGTCTACGCCACATCCCTTATCCGGGTAATGTAGTCTTCTATACCGGCGCTCCTTACATGGAGGGGCCGCTATCCACGCTTCAGCCAGCGCAATGAGGCGTTTACCACGCACATTGTGCAGCCCGAGAGGTTGCAATATCTCAGTCAGCTCACCGAGCCTGGCTTGCGACAGATGGAAAGGTGTAGGATATAAGATTAAGATCTGAAATAATATCGGCCGAGCCGCTGTACCGTGCGTCTGGTTCCAAAGAATAACTTGGACTACAAGTGCGTACAGGCTGTCTTGTATGCGCTCCTGAATAAGGCCGTACCCCGCCGGGCGAAGTTCGAAAGGTAAATTCTCCGGCTGCGGTATAGTTACTGGTCGATTTGCTTTGCGCTGTGGACCAAAATGGTGCGATACACGTTCTTGCCGCTGCCGCTTCTTGGTGGTGGGCTTGTCAGGGGTGGGCGGAGGGCTGGCAATTGGATGTTGCTTTATCACAGTTGATTGCGATCGTGTAGTTACCATGACAAAGGCGAGATAGAGATGTGATAAGAATACACTTGCTGTACGTGGTCGGCCAGAATTGGAAAGAGTTGGACATGAGGTACATGCCGGCTGTACCTGCCGTTTTGGGTGAATCAGCGTCATTGCCGCCCGCGGACACCGCTGGTCCATCGTGGTCCATCGTAGGTACTGCCTCCCTGAACATTGTATATGAGGTGTTGTAGCTCAACTTCTCTTCTCGAGGCCAAAAAGGAAAGACACCGAATATGCTCAACAATCTAGCATTGACCGTTTGTGCAGCGACTATCGCAAATGCACGCGAAATCAGCTTCCCGCCCCTCTCTGGATTCACATCGGATCAAGCGGTGATGGGCATCATCAGTCCAGACATTACTCAAGCGAAGTTCGGGGGCTTGACGACATATGCGAATTTACCATATGTGCATTGTTTGGCACCGGAGGGTGAAGTCGTCGAAAAGTTCGACATTGCAATTTTGGGTGCTCCTTTTGATACGGTGAGTTATTTGTCTCGATATGCTTTGGTTGTTTTGAGGTAGAAGTCGAGCCGCATGAGACACCTATGCTATCGTGGCACGACGACATGCACCGCGGCCTCGGAACCGGTCACTGACATGCTGTAGGGAGTGACAGCGCGACCCGGTGCACGTTTTGGGCCGAACGGTATTCGGCGTGGTTCACAACGGATCGGAGCGAGTATGGGCTGGAGCATCTACACAGGTTTGTCTTCCATGCAAACTTTGCAGCTTGACGACCTTTTGTGGGACAGGTGTCTATAATTGGCATTGTGTTTGATGTGCAACACAACATGCTCAGCATGTCACATTGCCTGGCCAGGATGGTCACCATCCAGATTGGACATTTGCAGCAACATTTTGCTTCATATGGCGATCTGTGAAAGATAATCCAATGAGAAAAGGAAGAACGGCTGCAAGTAGTATCTGACGACATTTAGGTCAGAACGCACTCGCCGATTGGGCGAAGATTGTAGACTGTGGAAATGCTCCACTAACCTTCCTTGTGAGTCGTCGCTGTTTACTTGGCAGACTCTAACTAATGTTTAATCAGGACAATACTGTCGCCTTGCATCAGCTCGACGAAGCGCACAAGGTGAGTGACACCGTTCTGAGAGGAGAGTGTCCACTGATAGGGTCCTTGAGGTGACTTCGGCAAGAAATACCAATTCGAGTGACTTTACTGTTCCACGCATCGTCACACTTGGAGGTGACCACACCACTACACTTTCAGCATTACGATCAACCAATGATCACTGGGGTCCCGTTAGTGTAATCCACTTCGATTCCCACATAGGTCAGTTCCATTTGCAGGCTGTGCCAATTCGGAAACTCCACTAAAGACTTCTTAGATACATGGGACCCCGAAGTGTTAGGAGGAGGCATCTCGCATTACGCGTGAGTCATCTTTGCCTTGTTGAGAGCTCGGAATCACTTACCGTCTGCAGTGGTGTAAATCACGGAACCTTCTTGCACATCGCTCATGAGGAAGGATTGATTCGAAACACATCTATCCACGCTGGAATTCGAGCTCCAGTCGTTCGTCCAAAAGGAGACTTACGCAACGATGTCAGATGTGGCTTCGAGATGGTGCGGGCGCGCGACATTGATCGATTGGGTGTTTCAGGCGTCATCGAGACTTTAAAGAAGCGAGTCGTTGGAACGAAAGTCTACATCAGCGTGGATATAGATGTGTTGGATCCGGCTTTTGCACCTGGTAAGTAGGGTTTCGAAATAATCGTAGCCGTGCAGCACCGGAAAACTGTAAAAGCAAGACGGTACTGCCATTTGAACTCAAACTGATAACGTGGCAGCCACTGGTACCGCTGAGGTAGGCGGCTGGACTACCCGCGAGCTGCTGTCGATTCTCGATGGCCTAGAGGGTCTGGAGGTTGTAGGGGCTGATGTTGGTAAGTGTCAATTGGTTTCCCCGTTCGAGAGTAAACGGCTGACATATCGTACAACAATAGTCGAGGTTGCGCCAATATACGATAATCCAGGAGAAACAACGGTACTGGCAGCAGCAGAAGTTGTTCTCTCGCTGCTCACCTTGATGGTGAACAAGCCTGTGCAGGCTATCGTCTAGCTGCTGTAATGCAGGCGTTTGCGCCCTAGTTGATATTGTAAAGATAAATCCAGTCGTAGCCGAATGTTGATGTGGTCGTTTAACGAAACGACACAACGAGTGTATGTCGATAACGTGTGCTCGATGGTGCAATCTGGACCGACCAATCATGAAAAAGCCATTTGCGAGCTAGTTGCTAGCGCCGACTGTTGCCGAGGGCTGTAGCTTGAAGCCGTTGCACATGAAGACGTCACGCTAGACAACACAAAACGCAAAATGGGCGAAACAGAAGAGCCAAAGAAGGAGAGATTTGCTCCAAAGGAGCCAGTGACCCTGAATCCGCCCAAGGACGATGTCATAGCCCGCGATTACCTTGCCAAGTGTAATGGTGAGATACCCCGCGAAAGCAGCCACGGCAACAGTACTGAGAACGACATGCTAGGCACAAATGACGGCTACCCTACCTTAGTTGGTATCAAGGTAGGCACTTGGTTCGAGCATAAGCGATCGGGCTTGCTACTTACACCGAGTTTAGGGAGATGTCTTTGATGTTAGCGGAAAGGAAACATACGCACCTGGCAAGGGTTACCACGGTAAGATCTCGAAAGCGTATTCTTGCGTGCCTACTTATTCGATTCCAGTCTTCGCTGGCAAGGAGCCAAACTGTGCACTTGGCAAATCCTCCCTGAAACCAGAAGATTGCGTGTCAGACTACTCCGGGCTTTCCGAAACTGAGACGAAGACTCTCAATGACTGGCACACCTTCTTTAGCAAGCGATACAACATTGTTGGTCGTCTACAACCAGAGAACGAATCACGAATTTGATTATATCTGTCTCCTCAACGCACTACCAACGACCCGGTCATTTTGTATATCGTCACGACCACATGGCTAAACATGGGTGTGCTTGTCGACTGGGGCCAACAGTTACTCGAGACTAAGAACATAACAAAAGCTAGTAGTTCGAATACAGTCGGTTTTGTCGAATCCCTTCATAATTTTGTCTTAAATGTCACGTTGGCACGCGAAAGAAACACGCGGATGAGGAGAAGTGTGCAGGAAGTATTAATTATTTGCGTCACTTCAGAACGCTATTGACCCTTGAACCAGACGGAAAACAATCTAATCGTGACAGGGTGTACATACACAAAAGCTCACACAGAGCAGCTAACAGAGCACTCAGACTGTGTTAATGCCGCCACCAGAATTCCGGCAACCATACCGGATCTTTGTCCATGTAACAAAACTCTGCTGACCATGGATCCAGATGTCCGGCCAAAACAGATGACCAAATCACACATCACCGCCACGCCGATCAGCATCTGCTGTGAACCCCATCTGGCTGCCGAAGTCGTCGATGTGTCGTCGCGCCGATCCTCTTGCCAGATCTTACTTCGCTTGCGCTATAACATAAACGGGCTGTACGTTGTGTACCAGATTGCTGGCCTTCATGCGTTGATGGTGCTTGGCACAGTTTTCACACACAACCTGGTGTTGCTCCCACTGGTGTCTGATATTCCAAGCACCAAAACACTGATGGCCCGGATCGTTGCGTGCAAAGTGGCAATACTGCTGGAGGCGCTTCTCCTTGTGTCCGCATGAAACGAAGTGGATTTCCTCGTAGTAACACATAGTGGCTGACTGTCAAGAAGGGGCTGGTCCTAAAGCTATGGCTTGTCAGCGTCAAGCTTTCATGTGGCCTCATCAACATACTGCGTATGTATTTGACGCAGGTTCGAGTACAGAAATTTCCAGTGCGGCGTTGCTGGCTTTGTCACCGAAACTGAAATCCGACAGTATTAAGTAAGAAGAAGATGAGTGTATAAGTTGAACGTGATATGGATTGGTAACGAAAGACTGATATTTCAGTAGTGTTGCCTACTTTATATGTTCAAAAATCTACGTGGAGGCATGCGGCCTGCGACTATTGTCGACATCCGCGCTATGCTCGACATACTCGACGTATCGACTGCATCTTCGACATACATGCAGCACGCAGCAGGCGTATGGTCACACCTTACCAGGGATCCCTCTACCCCGGCATTTTTGATTTTCACAAAGAGTCCACCCCCGCATCTGCTGGTGTCTGGAGCCCTGCACATCGTCTGCTTGATGGTTTGGTAAGAGTTTCCACTAGTGTCACTATGACTATTGGTACTGCTCTTGTTAGACTCCTCAATGGCCGCACAGGTGTACGCAATGGGTTGCGAGTGCTACACAAGCAACGCGTCTGCATACTGATCCTCAAGATGGTGGAGAGTCTTTGGCTCATGAGAGCCCCCACTCTTCTGTAGTGTACCATACGGGGGAGAATCAAGCAGGCGCAGCACGGTTGCCTTGGTTCAGAACACCCCATGCGCACTGACCTATCGGTACGGTGCATGCGTTGTCCACCATCCCGGATTTTGGTCGAGATCAATCATGGTCGACACAGCCTCCTCGACCGCGTTTGAGGCCATGCACCTCCACACAAAGGCATGCTTCGTATTGGACGCTCTTCGATTCGAGAAAGTCTCGAGTCCATCTTGCGCCAGACGTCTTGTCTTGACCTTGGCACTGGCCGGAGCATCGATCGGGCGAGCCTTGGAAGACGTGTCACTCTCCACAAATCTTCTTCTGTATCTGTGCACACCCTTCGCAAAGCGTGTTACTTGGAACTTCAGTCAGATACGTCGAGAGCCCCTGTTTGAGTGCAGCTCAACCCAAGCTGACCTACGAATGAGGAGTAATTCTCGACGAGGTGCTGCACGGCTTATGCAGCCAAGGTACAATCGAACAGCCTTAACGCTATTGTGGCGGTGAGCCGCTGTATTTGCCGGAAAGAGGTCTCGTTGTTCTTCCCCACGCAGGTAAGCGTTGGAAATACAATGCCTGTGGCTACAGTCACTCTGGGCTCAAGTTAATCACTTTCCACGTGCACCCTACACTATTCGAGTTGAGGGTTGTATCCAGCTTGGGTATATCGCCAAAACCACACTCATTCTTGTCTTGAAAGGTCTGGTGTGGTGTGACCCAGAAGGAGTTTTGAGGTCATTGACAACTTACAGGAACTTTGCGTACAACTCTGAGATCACACTTACCAAAGAAGAGCTTGCGTCTGGCTGTTGTACGCCTAGTCGATATCTGCAAGATGGTACGCCGGCATCCCAATCGTAGCCACCTTCCCGTCCGCTGTCAGGGAAGAACCGCTTATGCGGTGCTTCCGAGGGCACGATCCACATAATTGTTCTGAAAAACTCTAGGTAAAGAGCGCCTGTGTGCAACTAAGATAAGTACAGGAGCACGTATGGAGTACTAAGCTGCGGTGTAGCATAATGCGCTGCACGGTCAATCGTGGGCCTGGACAAACACCTGCTCAGTATACAGCCTCTACTGGTTTGCAACAAGGCTGTGAGTCTCAACACGAAACACGAGTCTAAGCGCGAGAAGCACTCTAAGTGCCCACGTTGTTGCTACTGTTGGTCGTTTTCTTGGTCAGTTGACGCCCTGTCCAGGTTGCAGTCTTTCCTAAAACTGATCCGCGCGTTCGGCTAGCCAGCCGATACCGTGTCCGTGCACCCAATGCACGGATTCAACCAATGCACGGGGAACGCGATTTGCAGCCCAACTTCAACGCGTAATTACTCAACCACCAATGCTAGGAATTAAAGAAGCGCTTGACAAAATTAGTGCTTTAAAGCCTAATAAAAAACTTTGCTATACTACAATTGCAAGAAATCATGGTGTTAATTGCTCCACGTTGTTGCGCACGCATTGACTCAATTAGGGTCCTTAACGCGTTGCAAACAAGAACTAGCAGAAACTTAACTACTAATAAGAAGTAGACTTAGTTAAGTATATAGAAATATTAACAGCGCGTTACTATACACCTACTAGGCATATAATATAAAATTTTACATCCTCTGTTGCCTTAGAGCCCTACTTAGATAGCTAGGTTATGCGCTTCCTCAACTATTACTACAACAAACTTACCTACTAATAGAGCATAGGGATAGACTCTAATCACTATAACGCTAATTTAGTATAAAAGTACAAGCTTTACTTTAAGCTTCTACAAGCTAAAATCACTAAGTATAAGCTAGAGCCTAAGCACACATATAATATAGATAAGAAGGGGTTTATAATTAGGGTGCTAGGGCGTACTAAATAGGTGTTTAGTAGGCGTTAATATAAGAAGAAGGAGGTTAGGCAGGCTCTTTAAGATAGCTCACGTAAGTAGGTAAGCCTTCTAGCTTGCATCTGCGCTAATAGTACTACTCTTTCTTCTAGCATTGTCTTAGGGTTAAAAAACTCTACTATATAAAGCAGCTAGGTAGTAGATATTAAGGCAGGAAAGCACTTAGTTCACGTTGCCTCTTTGCTGTTAGGATGGATAAATAATAATATAGGATTAGCCTAGCTTAAGTAGGTTTTTAACTGTTATATAAAGGCAAAGGCATAGTTAAAGTACTACCTCTTAATTATAGATAGCTATGGCAGTTACCTAACTTAGGATTTCCTTAAATACTGTCACTAGAAACGGATTATACTTGCAGTTTTACCCCCTTATAGTACCTAGACGCTGCAGCCCCTAGATATAGTCTGCTTTAAACCTCTTGCTTCTAACTACTCCTATAAACTTAATTACCACCTCTAGGCATCCTAAGGCCTCTCCCCACTATCAAAAGCCGACTTTTTTAGACTTTTCTAGCCTGCCTAGGTGGCTACGTTCTAGGAAGATCTTATACTTAAGGCCTTCACAGCCACTAGTATATCCCTAGTTAATACTAATATTATCCTTAATAGATTCTACTACGCAACCCCTAATAACTTAGGATTAGTCTCCTCTAGTTCTATAGCTTATTCTACAGAAGACTGGCTTAAAGCTTGCACTATGCTTTAAGCAGAAGTCAAGGATCACTGCAGTATAGGTGCGTGGAAGCTGGGTTAAACTATCTATCACCTATCAACCCAAGTTAAGTTACTTCAGGTTGAAATTAATAGCCTGTAGAAGGAGCTATACTAAAAGCAGAAGCGTTAGAAGCAACCTAACAGGTAATTAGACCTGCAATAGCATTAGGAGTATTATAGAGGTGCAATAATGTAGTCTCCTTATGCCTTCTAGGAGGCGCAAGCTTATATAGAAGTACAAGAACAAGAGAGGCAAGAAGAGGAGCTAAAAAAGGTAGAGATGAAGGAGTTAGCAGCTGCTAATAAGCTATATAAGGAGAAGATTACAGTAGAAAAGCGTAATTAATAGGAGAAGGAGAAGGTAGCAAGAGACTAGGCGCAGGTAGAGGAGTGAGCAGCTATAGAGGAACGCAAGGCTGAAAGAAAGCGCTAGAAGCAAGCTTGTAACGCTAAAAAAGCTCTATAATTATCCTAAAGAGGCAATTGCAAGACTTTAAAAGCTTCTACAGTTAAACAGAAGCCTGCGTGTTGTGCTGTAGGTGCTTGTAGTTATCCTAAGCCTGCAATGCCTCCTCTACCACGCGCTACTGTTACCACCTGCAGTAGCTGCACTGCTATAAAATATAAGTAGATTTGTATAAGAAAGTTTGTTGCATAGGTCTATAGAACACTTTATCAAGATATCTCACAATAATAACTATTGTGTGTGGCTATACAGCCTCATTTTTGTTGTTGCAGTGTAGGCTCGGAGCGTGCATTGGTTGAATCCGTGCATTGGGTGCACGGACACGGTACCTGCACAGCATAAAAAAGTCGAAACGAATGGAGCAAGTTTCCAGGGTACCTATTTAGGCTCATCATAATAGCAGCTTCCATTTTCGTTCATCGGCACAGGATCTAGGACATGAGAATGTGACGTGAGCAGGGTTGCTGTACAGGTTGTACGACGTAGCGCACGAGCGACGCCTCTGTCTCTTCAGAGCATGGACTTTCGGGCCCGGGGAAGCATGTCCCTGCCACCCGGTATTATAAATGCATGGGCACTAGTCTGCGTCGTATACACGCTAATCACACGCATTATTTTGCACACCAGTCGCGGGTACAGCATCTGTACGCGCCTGGCTGATTGACAAGTGTAGATGACGCAAGTATTTTGCTTGAGTGAGCATTACCGAGATCTCGAGGAAATGAACGATACACAATAGTAACTTGTACATCCGAGAGAGACTGCAAGATCTCAAGGAAGAAGCACCACGACCAGCATGGATTGTTAAAAGACATGCCCTGTAACATGGATCACAAATGGGAAATGACGGCGACTAAAATTAACGTCGCCGGTTCACTACGGGGTTCCAGAGCTGTGTACTAGTGGAGGGTTGTTTCTTATGTATCTTTGACAATGCGAAAGCATCAAACGGACACAAGCATCAGGTTCGAGCTCGATCAACACTCTCGGGGATGAACATAGGGTCACTGCCCCCGATTCGCGCCTAGTCATACACAGGTTCTGCGCAACAAACACAAACGTTTTTGTACAGGGTCAGTGCCCGGGTGTATCGCTACTTCGTTGCGGTACGTACATCAACGTACCAGACAAGCCACCGCGATTCCTAAGTCTTCCAGTCCAATGCTCGTTTTTGTTACACAACAGACAGCTCCCAACAACAGCAGGCATCCTTTAGCGATACGACACCAGCACTCCAAAGAAGCGGCAAGGGGGAGGGAATCCCCGTGCCCTCGTCAAACGTGCTTTCTCACATCTTCGTCTCTGTCCACGTTGTGCTGACACGCCACATGCTGCACCCGACAGTGTCACAAAATTTTACACCGGCACGTCGAATGCTCAACACTGACAGATGTTTCTTTTGCAGTATCATTGGCAGCTTTTGAACTAAACGCCCTCGCTATGCGCCTCCCTCCATCCGGCCTGATAGAAGGTCAACACTACTTCGACCTATTCGCCTTTCTCTTGGCCCTCTTCTGCGCGATAATCCTTGTCCGTTGCGCCAACTTGTCCTTATCCATGCCGGCCTCGGCAGTAGCGGGTCGCTTGCTTCCATCCGCTCCCGTCCCTAGCGTCTTTGTACCGGCATCCTTGCCCTTGGCTCTCTTCGCGTCCCGGCCTCCACCCGAGCTCGAGTCGCGTTTCCTCTTCTGGTCCTTGCTGCCTGCCTTGCCGGCCTCCTCGAGATCGGAGTCAGCCTCGTCCTTTGCAGACTTCGGCTCGCGCGATTTCTCTTCGGCGGCTGACCGGCGCGAAACGACGTTCGCATTCTCGATAGCAAACTCGACAATCAGACGCTTGCGCTTGTCTTCCATCGCCTCCTTTTGAGCCTTCTTGCTCTTGGGTGTCTCGCCTTTGATTTTGTAGTCTACTGCATGGCCGTTCAGCCATCGCAGGCCCATGAGCGCGTTACGGTGTGTGTAGTATTCAATGAATCCGTAACCTCTGCTTCTGCCAGCGCCTGTGTCTTCACCTACCTTCGAGCCCTTCTCAGTCTCGAAAACGACCTTGGCCTGTCGAACAATACCCTTCCCGCGCTTCTTGCGGATCTTCTCTGCAATGACCATCTCCTCCCCGCCGCGAGCAATCTCAGATTTACTAAGCTTTTGACGTTTGCCAAGTTTAACATCCTCTGCAAAGCCGACAACGCCTTTGCGAGCCAGTTGCTTGAGATCCTTCGAGGTGATGGAACGCGGAAGGTTGCGGACAGAGAGACGGGTAAGCGAAAGGTGAAGGGAGGGGTTGTCTTGGATCTGTTTGCGGCGTAGTGTTGCGCTGTCTTCTCGCATCTTGACTTCGGAAGGCGCGAGCTGCGCGTACAGCGGCGAATTTGAGGCGATGGTGCCTTCATTGAGGAGGTAAAGACGGCGCTTGTCCTTGTCGCGGTTAAATCGGTTCGCGGCTCCTTCGGCGGTCAGGCGCGTAGCTTCGTTCTTGTCAACGGCACGACTGAGATGGAGAATGCGACCATCTATGGTGTATTTCCCTGTGGGATCGGCGTCGGCATCCTCGAGGACAGAGTGTGTAGTTGTAATTGTTGCGCCGTCCTTGCGCTCAATGTTCTTGGTATGCAGTGTGACCTTCGGTACACCTTTAAGGCAGTCAATCATCTCTTCTTCATTGAAAAAGGCCACAAAGCCTGTGCCCTTCGGTCGTTCAGTATCGCGGTCGTACACAACGCGGGCATAGCGGATAGCACCGAATTGCTGGAAGTGTGCTTTTAGACTTTCATCGTCGACATTGAATGGCAAATTGCGGATGAAGAGAACGTAGTTGGGTCGTTGTGGCTTCTGCTCAAGCTCAGCACTGGCCTCCTCGTCGTCGGAGATGTCTTCGTCGTCGTCGTAGTCCGTGTTGCTGTCATCGTCATCCTCGCTTTCGTCCTCGTCAGATTCATTATCTGAAGGTTCTTCGCTCGGCTCAGCCTCAGAGTCCACATCCTTCATGTCTACATCCTTCTTATCTTCAGCCTCGTCCTTCTCCGTCTTCTGCAGGGTCTGCCATGCATCCCTGTCTACAGCCCAATCCACGGCGATCGGTCTGCCGTCAATGTCCTTGCCGTTCAGCTCTGCTAAGGCCTTTTCGGCATTCTTCTTGCCACGCATCGCGACAAAGGCAAAACCTCGTAGCTCGCCGTTGGGCTTCTTGGGTAGGTTGATGAAATGGGTCTTGCCGAAGCTGCGAAAGTGCTTCTCGAGATCCTCGGGCTTCTTGATACTCCACGGCAGATTACGAACAATCAACTTGGGTGTTTGGCTCTCTTTCTTTTGCGCCTCACGCTCTGCCTTCAATCTTTGACCCTTGCTCTCGGCTCCATCCTCGCGGTGTCTTGCCTCTGCGCTCTCAAGGCGAATTTTCTTGCCCTGCAGACTTGCGCCGTTCAGCTCTTCTAGAGCGCGTTGTGCGTCCTCGACGTCGGCGAAAGTGACGAAGCCGTACCCTTTAGACTCTTTCGTATCCTTGTCGAGAACGACGAGCGCGTTCTTGACTGGGAATGAGTCGGAAAAGAACTCGGTGAGTGTTTCGGTCGTGACCTCCTTCGCGAGACTGCGGACGAAAAGCTGTCTGCGGGCGTTCGATTTGCGGTCATTTGTCGGAGCGCTGGCGACTTGTTCGACGTCAGCGGTAGTAGTGGTGGGAGTAGCGGCGGTGACGCCCTCAGCGCCACCCTCTGAGAGACGCTGCTTCTTCCTGCGGGGTGCCATTGTGAATGTCGTATGTGGTCGAGAATTGTCCTGTGTTGTGGATCTTCCAATTCTCTCGAAACTTTTCCCAGGGAAGCGGTGCCTTTTTTCTGCCGTTCGCGCTAACCGTAGAACTGCGCAAAGAGCGGGGCTCTCCCGCCATTGGCCCGCCGTCCTTCACGCCCCACCCTCACGCATCCTTCTTACACGGGATGACGGCAGTCGTGCATGTCGTGCACCTTCACGTGGACATAGTTCGCAGCCTTGCACTTCGCTTGAAGCGCGACAACCATTGAATGCTATTGATTTGGCCCAGCACGTGCAAGTTTCATGCAGCTGCGGGTTCCTCAACATCTGTCTGACCGCCGCGGACGGCGGTCAACGCCGTCTTAGTGCTCGAGGAGTGTCTTGCTTCAAGGTAGGATTGGTGGGTGATGCCTTATCGCGGGGTGCCTTCCTATGTTGAGATTGGCCCTTGCCGCAGCAGATACGAACGAACAGGTATAAGAGGTAAGTCACGGCCGTGCTAATAGTCGCCGCTCCCTTTGAGGTGCTCTTTTCTCTCTGTTCGATTGTCTCCAGTGTTATCACTGTCTAGGCATCCTTATCCACTGTCTTCCGCGGTTCGAGTTGCCGAAGTCCCACACTGGACGGCAGCCTTCGACCGACCTGAACAGTTTGCCTTTGCAAGCAGAGGCTCCCCCCGCCATTACAGCTTTCAACAACCTCTACATTGCTTCGTACTCGACTTCTTGTCGTAACCCGCTACGCTTATTGTTACACAAACGTCGATCTTCTGACAGCGCCAGCTTTCACCAGATCAGCGGCTGTCATACCGCTTTCCGCTAAGCTCCTGCCAGAAACGGGTTAGCCTCGTCCTTGACATCTGCGTACAACATACTCTGGTGTTTCTGCAGTCATGAATCCAGCAAGAACTGGCTTATTGTCAGTGTCGGAAGCACAGAACTTGAGCCCAACATCACAGCAAATGTCAGAGACTCAACCACTTCTATCACCGGAGGCTTCTGGGTCCTCATCGCGGTCGGTTGATAATACAACATTTCCACCATCGATGGCCGCGATACTGGATAAAATTGAGAAAGAAGTGAATCAACTCGACAACAGGAGCGACACCGAGTTTTCACATTCATCCAGGACCCACTTTGACGACGACGCGACACTCTATGATAAGAAATGCCTGTTGGTAGACAGGCAGATAGACGCGTTTGGCATGGGCCGCTACCAATGGATGATCTGGTCACTGTGTGGTCTTGGATATCTCATCGACCTGATGTGGGCGCAAGCTTTTGGGCTCGTTCTGTCTCCACTGCAACAAGAATTGGGTTTTGGCAACGATGAGACAGGAAAATTGTCCACTGCATTCTCCGTAGGGCTTACAGCAGGAGCATTTGCATGGGGCATTTTGGTAGATGTCATTGGCAGGCGGTGGGCCTTCAATCTCACCGTCCTCATTGCCTGCGTCTTCGGATTGTGTCTGGGTGCACCGAATGACTACAACACAATCCTGATACTCACTGCTTTGACGGGATTCGGAGTCGGCGGTAATATCCCAATTGACACTACCATCACTCTCGAGTTTACCCCAGAGAGCAGGCGTTATCTCCTTCCCCTGCTTTCCATCTTCCAGCCTTTGGGTGTGGTCATCTGCAGTGTCATGGCCTATGGTTTTATACCCGTTCACAGTTGTTCACCAAACTTCTCAGAAGCCGGTCCACTGCCTTCATGTAAGAATGTCGACGTAGATGTGGCATGCTGCAAGAAGGAAGATAATGTAGGCTGGAGGTATCTGCTGTAAGTAGGTTGTCCCGAGACATAAGCTGAGAATGCTGACATGTTTTAGTTACACGCTGGGCGCATTGACTTTGCTCGTCTTTGTTCTACGCTCTGTCGTCTTCCGATTCCAAGAATCGCCAAAATTCCTACTCTACCGAGGCAGAGACGCCGAGGCAATTGATGTGCTGGAGAACATAGCGCTGTACAACAAAACAACGTGCAGTCTGACCCTGGAGCAGCTGCAAGCTGTGGAGCGAGAACACAACACGCTTATGATCAACGCCAACTCGAAAGGGGAAATACCCACTTGGTCAGGTAGCATCAGACAAGAGCTCGCACGCTTCAAGATCCTCTTCTCCTCACCACAAATGATCCGTCTCACCACGCTTGTCTGGCTAACCTATATTTGCGATTTCACTGGCTTCACGGTCGCCGGCTCGTACTTGCCGCGTATCATCGCGTTGAAGAATGGCGCACTTCACCTCTCCCTCGACTACACATACCGCTCCTATATCCTCATCTACCTCCCAGGTACCGTTGGTGTTCTACTTGGCTCTCTGCTATACCGCACCCCTAATATTGGGCGCAAGTACACCATGGTTGTGTCGTCATTCCTCATGTCCGTCAGCATCTTCGTGTTCAGCACTGTTAACAGCCCCGCTTCCAACATTGGATTGAATGCAATGGAGTATTTCTTTCAGAGTATGTTCAACGCCGTACTGTATGGTTGGACACCGGAGGCTTTCCCGGCGCAGATTCGGGGTACGGCATGCGGTGTAGCAAGTTTCTGGGGCAGACTATTCGGGATTATCAGTCCTCTCATTGCGCAGCATCTATATGCAAGGAGCAGAGATGACAAGGGAGATGTTAACAGTGTACTGTATCTCGCTGGCGGTGTGACTTTGGGGTGTGTGATAACAACGGCGCTTCTGCCAGGAAAAGCGCTGAAAAGGTAAGTAGGGTTTTGTAATACTGGTAAAATGGAGCAAAGGAGCGGGTTTTTGTGTTTTTTTGTGCATGCATAGCCTACGGAGAAACGAGTAAAGGTCATTCAATTCCGCAAATTGTCGAGACATGGAGCAGTACACTTGCTCACTTCATTCATGCAGACTGCACTGAATGTCAGCCTCGTACTTGCATTACTGAAAGACATGTTCCATACGTGCTGTGATAAACACTTGGGTTGAAATAGCTGCTGGCAAGAAGCGTATGATCTGTCTCACTTCCACTGCCTGCACATAATCACCATTTGCAGTCCATCTGTTTCAACCATTAATCAATCCAACTATTCTAGGCGAACGCATATATTAGCTCCACATGTGCTCCTCCATGGCAGATGATTCTGCAAAAGAAGAGTCGTTGAAAAGATGAAGTAAGTCATTCGTGAGATCTACAGCCTGACTATGTTTGTCTAATCTCCACTTTCAACTCGTTTGCTGCGTCTTCTTCAGGAAGACTGCAGCCTCGGCAGCATATTTGCAGCGCTCACGTATCGCAGCACCGTACCTATAGAATAGGAAAGGAAAGGGAACGCAAGCCAAGGCCAGGAATGCTGGAACTGACGACGCCCAGTGGATTCCGAGGTCCCTAAACATGTAGCTGGTAAACAACGGGAATGCAGCGCCAAACAGTGATCGCAAAACTGAGCTGGCGGCAATCACTGAAGCGGCGTAGATCAAGTACGAGTCGATGAGATAGTTCAGAGTCGAAAGGAAGACAAGAACCATTCCAAATCCGAATGGAGCACCAGCCATGATACTGACGACCCAGTGGATGCTGGTTGAGTTCGTCCAAGCGAACCAGAAGAGCCCAATGGGCATGGCAATGGAGCCGACAAGGGCTGGCGGAAGCCGGGCTTCGGGTGCTGCGACCCCAGACGGAGAGGCATCGATGACCCTGTTGTATCGCTTGTTATCCCAGATAGAGTAGAAAACAGACGCAATCATGCCCACGGCTACGCCAACAAATGACAGGCCACCAATGCCCTGCGACCATCCGCGACCTTGCTGAAATACTATGGGGAAGGCGCCAAAGAGCATATAGAGTGTTCCGTAGATGACTGCCACGTAGATGGACAGCAGGAAAACGATGGGTTCGCGAAAGAGTAGGATCCAAGGACGAGTGAGAGCGGTTCCAAACGCGGATCCTATCGACTTTGTGCCCCGGTCGACGTCGGCCTGACTCATATAAACCTGTCCGGTTCGCTTTGACAGTGCTATAGCGCGCTTGCGCAGGAGGATAGGGGCGTAGGTCTCGGGTACGATGAAAATGCACAGGACCCAAAGGATACCAGTGAAAATAGCCATAACACCTTCAATCCAGCGCCAGCCAATGGATTGACCTACAAAGCCTCCGACTATGACGTGTTAGTTCACATATCTTTATTTGAACAGCACAGAGACGCTTACCAACTGGGCCGATGACAGGTCCTAAGAACGGAGCAGCAGCGAATACACTCGTAGCAAGACCTCTCTGAGACGCTGGAAACATGTCCGCAATGATACCGCCAGAGTTCGTCAGGGGTGAGGAACCAAGAGCACCAGCTAAAAATCTCAGGACAACCAGAGTCTCGATGTTCTGGGAGCCAGCTGCGCCAGCGTTGAGGACAGTGAGAGCGAGATAAGTGCCAAAGAAAAGGTACTGGCGGCCGTACAGTTCTAATTCGTGTTAGGAAGTTGACTCCAAGTTTGGCGGACTTGAGGTACACACCACTCAAAGGAGCCCAAATCAATGGGCCGATGGCAAAACCTAGGACGAACAATGAGATCCCAAGTGTGCCGACAATCTGCGAAACCTCAAACTCTTGCATGATCTGGACGATGCCGCCAGAGTATGCGGATGAAGCGAAGGTAACTGCCAGTGTTGAGACCGCGGCGAGCATTGTGATGGTCCATCTCATGCCCGGCGAGTAGTTCAACGGATTGACAGGATCATCTTCGATCCATGTGACCACAAAAGGGTCGCTTTCGGTTCCCGATCCATTGTATGTGCAGTCTCTAATATCGTCATTCAGGACTCCTTGATCACGAACTCTTCGGAAGAGTGTGATGCGACTGGATCGACCGGACTTAGGATGTTCTTCCATTGGACTGCTGTTCAATCACTGGTAGACTTCAGGGCTCTTCAGTAAACTTTCGGAGGTGAGCTTGTGAGCCTGTAAAACGAGAGAAGTATGCCATGACCTACGAAATTCAAGGCATGGCTATAAGCAGCCCATTCCGGTAGATAGGGCCGTACCGTCTTTTGATCCATACCATTGCACAGCTGTCGTACGTATCAGCCTCGTCTTGACTGCATAAACGCGGTCCGCCCGCTTCCGTGAGCCGACAAAGACAAGTCATGAAATGAGTCTGATGATCATCTCCCATACTGCGTCCTTACCGAGCGAATGCCCGACCGAGGTAACTACTGTGTAGGGGATGTGCACTCACAGCTGTCTATCAACATCGATTATTAATATTGCTTGTAAAGAGGTCAGCCGAGCGAATAGCAGTTGCTTATCTCTACCAAGCTGGATCCTTCAAAGTCCTTTCTAAGTCCTTCGGCCACCCGTCGGCGGTGGTAGGACGCAGCAGATTTCGACTGGCGCTGCGACCAATGATCCGAATCACAAACATGTATTCCATCTGAATAGTTCTTCACGCGTATCGCATGGATCCGTACAGCCGCGCGGTCAATGGTCATTGATACTCATCGTTGCGTCGTGTGCGAGCAAACCCCACAACACCACCTGAAGTCACGCTTACTTGGCGAATTATGTAGCCTATACGGGACTCGTGAGTATGCCACCTCTTGGTATGTCCATGCATGCCGCCTGGCGGATCATCCACTTTAGCCCCTTACGTCACCCCGGACGCAACCACCTCGGCCGAGATGAACTAGATTGATTTAATCAATGCGAGGTGCAATGCGCCTTCGTCCGACCGCAACTGTGGTAAATGCTGGGTATCTGACAAATACAGACAGCGGGGTAAGTCAAATTCAGTTCATCTTTAGTGAAGATGGATGACAGTACATGAAGAGTGCACATATATTAGTTTCCGAAATATATAATAGAATGCGCTTGCTGATGATAATAGGGTATTCGCTCAAAATCAAGAGGCCAAAGTCCATTCCACCCAAACACCTGAATCCCCGTCATTAACCATTATCGTAGCATGAACTCGTGGACCATCAAACGGGAAAACGCTTTCGTAGTCTTTACCGCCTCGGCCCTTAGCTCCCGCTCGACTTGCCTATGAATTCTTCATGAGAGTCCGTCCTCACCGAGGTTGTACTAGCCGCCATAGCTTTTCGGTACGCCCAGGTCTGCGCAAACTGCTCCTCGTAGTGCTCCTTGAGCTTCCGTTGTCGCTGCTCTCGCTTTGACATCCAGTACACAAGACCAATCAGGCCGATGACCGCTGCACCAAGTATGCCTCCAATGGTACCACCAACGACAGCTGTCTTGTGCTTCTGGCTCTTGCATACATCCTCATTGGATGTCAGGGTTGCTTCGAGTTCCGACGGAGAGTCCGAAGCAGTCGCAGATGAAGGCGCTGCAGTAGAGGTTGATGACGACACCAGTGTTGCAGTCTGAATTTGGAATGCACCAATGGAGGTTGTTGTGACCCTGGGCGCTGTGGAGTTGTTGCAGCAGTTTCGTCGATCATTGATCGCCCTGCAGCAGTATGTACCGAAATCACACGTTTGTATGTTCCATGCAGCCACTGGGTTCAACCCACCAAATTCGTTGTTCACTAGTTCATGTTAGAAGGTTGCTCACTAACTCAAACATAATGACTTGAGGGAGACGTACTGCCAGGACATATCTGTGGACACTGTGTAGCTTTGCCAGTCGAGTCTGTACATCCAGATTGCCATATGGTGCCAATATACTCGCTCTTGGTGGCCATACACAAGCCGCTATCTAGGCAGATGTCGGCGCCAGTAGGTCGGTTCGTGGCGCAACAGCCACTGTGCTCAGCGGTTGAGTTGCATGGCGTGAACGTGCTGTCGAGTTCTGCGCCAGTAAGACTGTAGCATTTTTGGCTCGCTGCTGCGACCAACGATGTCGCATAGAGGACCGACAGAAGGATCGAGAACGACGGCATATTATACAAAAGAGAATCGGGTGATGTGATGACTAGTACGTCGACCGCGAGATCGGTACTCAACCAGGAGTGTGGATATCAATCAAGTCTTGAGACGAAAGGACGAAATACCAGGGCGATCAGGGTGCGCTGTAAACACATATAAGGCTTCCTAGATAAGTCTCAGGCATATGCGCTTTGCAATGTTATTATGCGTGGCCAGCCCTGTGCGACCGTCCTGAGCTGCTAGCCAGCGTCTTCGACAGGCGTTCCTCGTCGTCGGCTTGAAACATGTCATCAAACCCGGCAACATCAGTGCAACATCCCCGTAGCGGTTGGCTGGGGTAACGCAGCTAACGTGCTCACGAAGAAAGACAGGCAGTCTTGGTCTAACGCCTGTGGCACGCAGGAGACAGCTTCGGACATGGCGCGACGCCGTGCTCGGTTGAGGTTTGCAAGTCCGGGTGAACAAAGGCACTGGTTGTCGCAGTCCGCCTGTTGAGAAACCCTTCCATCGACGCTGATGGGTGGAATAGCCGCACAAGGGATTGAACAAAGCAGAAACAAGAGCTACTGATGGGCCTTGGCTACTGATGCTGTAGTCCGTGGGGTTGGAGCATGATGCGCTAAGGATTGGGCGTCTGAGGTTCAGGCGCGTCGAGGGCCTGAAGACTTGCGATTGGAAGGACAGCTCGCGCTAGTGTCGCGTTCTATCCCCGACAAGATTGTGCCTGTCTGTCATCTTCATCTTCAAGCATTCAACATGTCACTGTCAAATTGTCGGACCGCATTCGTATCTCATCTAACGAAAGTCTGGACGAACTGCCCCATTTGGACGCTCCCGCAGAAATGATGCCGGGCCGCCATGCCCCCCGCTGATGCTTGCTTGAAATATCCACCGATTGACTCAAGACCCCTAAGGAATCCAGGCCATGCGCGACCATGACCGTATTGCGGTAATGACTCTTAGCATGGCGCGAACAGGACGTTGTTCGCCGTTGAAAGGAGAGATAGTTGCCGCAATCTGTGCTCGTGCAGACAGGGCGATTGGCATCCTTCCTCTTGACAGCTGGAAAGCCAATGGCTACTCACCACTTCTATCAGCCCCAGTGGCCGGAGCTTGGATCACATGAATTCTTCTGAACACTTAAGTCCCCCCCCAAGACTTTGATTGCTGATGACGCCTGTCCTCGGTAGTCAAGTTTATCTCCTCTACTATGTGTTCCGTCAAAACATTCTCGTACATCGACTTGGCATGCAATCGACTCGGATAAACTCGAGATCTTCACTCAAGCCGAGGCGCCCACGCCATTTGGTGTAACACAACTGAAACCCAACACCGGCGACATGCATGAGCGGTTCAACAACCATGATTTCTCCGACAACTGCATTTTCCAGATAATCTACATTTCTTTACGGAAAAAATGGTACAAGAGACGGTGGGCCTATCCTACTACATACCCTGCTGAAGTCCGATAACAAGCAACCACATACCAAGTATCCGGTACAGACACCCAATTATCCATACCCTGTCCAACCCCCGCTTACAACAACCTCGCATCAAAGATCTCCACGGTACCTGGTCCCACATCACGCACCATCCTAGCAGTGGCGCCGCCAGTCTGGATTAGCTCATTAAAGACCCACGGATCTGCACTGTTGTCAATGCATGTCGTACCGGCAGTAGTCGTGGTGTAGATGACGGGTAAGCGCTGGGCTTTCGGTGGTCTGCGAGTGGTGGCCTGTTGGCTGGTGGCTGGGTGAGCGTGGCATCAGTGAAGCAAGGACGGCGAGGGCGGGTGTGGCGGAAATAGGGGATCACTTTTGTTTTGCGATGACTCGAGAGGGACTCGATCCGATTGCTTGACCTGAGCTTATTGACACATACATAGCGCCCTAGAGAGCCGTGGGCTTACTTTTGCAGTGCACGTATTGCGGCTCGGAAGTCGACAGCAATCCATTCGCTGCATCAACACCGGGAATGACCTTGTCTGGCTCGGTTGCATACCACCCTCACACATGTACGCTCCTCGAGGCGCTGCTGAGTGCCCCTTGGAGCTATGCAGCTCAACGCACCGAAAGGGGCAGTGACAGGTGACACGCTGAAATCCACGGGAAATGGCCTGCTTACTCAAAGCGGTAAGTTGAACCCAGGGCCAAGAACACAGGATGTAGGCGTTCATTCGGCTTTAAGTGGCTGTCTGGAGTTGAGACCGGGTACAATTGGGCTGCTTTGGTGCGCCAACAGACACAAAGGATGCACGATGAAGCAATTATGTTGGTATCGACACGTCATGATCTACTTTTTGACAGGAAGGCATGCTCTGAGCTTAGCCCAATTTGCCCATCAATAGTGCATCCACCCTCTCGCCTTTCTTCAAGCTCCCTTCACCCATCGGCATAGCCAAGAGCGCATTCGCACCCCTGAAGCTCCCGATCCTGCTACTCCTCTGCCCACCTGTCGAACTAGCATACATAGCTCCATCTCGCACATTTATAAGTGCACGATGGTACTCTGGCCTGCCTCTATCCATTCTGATGTCCTCTTCAAGCAGCACACTCACCTTCGGCAGGCCCACAGGCATGATACCAGCCTGTTGGTGTAGCGCAGGTAAGACGAAAAGGTGGAAACACACCACAGCCGAAGCAGGGTTGCCGGGTAAAGAGAAGATGGCTTTAGAGATGCGCGTGCCGTCGGGAGCTTTGGTAGGGACCGTGGCGAAGGTTGTGGGTTTGCCGGGCTTCATGTTCACACGACCAAAATGGATCGTGCCACCTAGGGAGCGCTCAATAGTAGGCTTGAGCAAATCAAGTTCGCCCATGGAGACGCCGCCCGAGGTTATGATTATGTCGCACTTGAGAAGGGCCCCGCGAAGGGTTTGCTCAAGGGAACCCGGTCTGGTCGGTCAGATATTAGTACACGCAGTATATGCGTATGTGTAGACTTACTTGTCTGATACAATACCAAGATCAACAACGTCGAAGTGGTGGCTTCTTGCTGCCGTGATGAGAGTAGGGCGGTTCGTGTCTCTCACTTCTCCTAGACGTAGTGGTCCTTCTCGGTCGTGTGGGATGATCTCATCTCCAGTGCTCAAAACACCGACAATGGGTCTTTTGTAGACGGAGACTTCTTTCGCGCCCACTGATGCAAGAAGACCAAACTCCCCTCCGACAACTGTAACGCCTTCGCCCTTTTTCAATATGGTATCTCCTTCTTTCACATCGCTTCCGACCTCACGCACATTCTCACCAGCTTTTATCTCGTCGGTCAAGATCTCCACCTCCTTCTCTTCATTACCATCATCTGTCTGGCTCGTCAGTACCGTGTCTTCAACCATGACAACTGCGTCGGCACCAGGTGGGAGAGGAGCTCCCGTAGTGATGCGCGCTATTTCTCCCTCTTTCAGCTCCTTCACATCACCTGCTTGAGCGTGAGAAACAATCGCAACTGGGTAGACGCCCTTCTCGAATTTTCCAGATGAAGGTATCTTCACGGCATAGCCATCGACGATGCTAGCTCGGAAAGCGGGGACCGACTCCGCAGCTTTGACATTCTCAGCAAGCACGGAGCCGCCCAAGCTCATGTTGACGGGTACTTTCTCGACGATCGGGGGTGGCGTATGTTCTGCAATCAACTTCAACGCATCCTCGACTGCAAGCATAGGGTAAGGAGATGATCGATATCTGCGAGATGGTCCAGCATTAGGATCGTTCGACTGAGGTCTGTCTTCCGGCTTTGTGTGCGGCTGCACTGCAGCGTGGCCTCCATGGCCGTGAGAGTGACCATGACCATGGCCGTGATGGTGGTGGCAACCGCTTGCCACTGATATAATAAGTTAGTCACTTCAGCATACACACGACGAGGGTCAGTGTACCTGGTGGTGAAATACCAGAAATGCCTGCATCCTTCTCGAGCTTCTTTACGCCGCCTTCATGAAGCGGTCTTGAATCTGCACCTGCCGCCTGAATGCACGCATGCGGTAATAGCTTGATGACAGCCTCGAGATTCTCTTTGGCGCCCTTTGGTGATCCCGGTAAAGTAATAATAATGGATTGTTTTCGAGTTCCTGCCACCGGCCTAGCCATCAAGGCAACTAGAGGAGTCAGTACGTAACATTGTACAACGGAAGGAACTTGCTGACAAGGTGTGACTGCATAGGAAGTTGTAAGCATCCCATGGCTATATTCATCTCAGTCGGTAATCTCAGCAAAATGAGGAATGGCTGCTCACACAAGTCCAGGCGCATGTCTATCTATCAATGGTGATATCGCCTACCCGTATCGTTAGCCAAGAAGATCTGTGTGGTGTACCTAACGTCGTACTTCCGGAGTAACATCTTTCGTAGCGAACCCAGTCCCACCGCTGCTGATAATTAGATTGATCGGGTCAGAACCGTCGGTCCATCTTCTAATGGTCTTCTGGATTGCCAGTACGCTATCCGGCACGATTTCGGTCTCTGAGACATGCCATTGATCATTGCCGGAATCGAAAACGTCTTTGAGAATTGGTATACATTTGTCGGTCGAAGGATCGCGCGACGCAGTCTCCGACACGATGAGAATTGCAGCCTTTAGCTTTGAGTCTGTGGTGCTCATCTTGCAGAGGTGGTGTTGACGGTGGAGTTCCTGTCCCGCATCCATCATGTAGTCCGCGCATGACATAAGCACCACTAAGCAGCGTTCGACGTTGTCGATATTTTGCAATTGAATCCTGATCGAAACTTGATATCTAACGCCAATGCTCGCTCGTGATACATGCATTATACAAGCGCCTGCCCTATGTACATCATACAACTTCGGCGAACCCAACATAAATTGCCCTTGAACGCGGTGTTTTGTTAAGTTCACACCCTTTCTGCCACCACCTTCTGTCTGTCGACGTCTCTGCTCCTCTACTTGAGTTCCTGCATTACATAATGACGTCAATGCGCTCAGTCGAAATCCTTTGCAGCGCTCTGCATAAGTAGTCCAATGATCAGTCCAAACAATCCCAGGATGGAACTGAAGATTTCAATGACAAGGATTTTGACGAAACTACAGACAAGTTAGTCATCAGCACGAGCTGTGGGGTATTGTGTACATACAGTGACGGATCGGCAGCATCTGCCAACGCAGCGCTACTTCCATTGATACCAACCGAAACACCGCAAATCAGGTTGCACATGCCGACTGTGAGACCCGCCCAGAACAGTGCGTAGCCGGTGAAGTAGTTGGAGCCAGAGTAGAGCTTCTCGGTGTCGCCAACTGCTTGCATCTTCGAGGAAAAGATAATAGCCATGATGACGCCGTAAATAGCGACGACTTCGCAGAAGATGATGGAGATCAAGTTCTTCGTCCGTATCCTGGGAGCCTTGACACCACCACCGACGATGGATACACCGGTTGTAAAGATACCCCTGCCACGAGGTTAGAACCTGCCCAAGGCCTTGCTTCTGTGGAAACGTACCAGGCCGATCCGACGACGGAGAGACCGATACACAGGGCGATACCCAGACTGGCCCAGGTGTATGGTGATATGGTTTCGAGGAATCGCCCGACGTTGAATGCTTCGCCCTCGCCATTGAACAGCATGTCTGCGTGTCGTTAGCTATTGCCTGCGTCCCTGTCGTCGCGACACATACACAAGCCTACTACCGTCAAGGCAGCGGTCGCGCCGCCTGTGCCATATGTGAGAACCATCGTCGCAGATAGTCGTGAGAGCGGAGATGGATGGAGAGAGTGGCGGACGGTGTTTCCTTGGTGAGGCAGCGCTGCGATGATGCAGCATTGATGATGCTCCAGAGCGCACGGACTTGCCGTACCGGCTTGGCGCCGTATCGTCTATCGGCCTCCACCATAGGCAGTCGCCCGTCACCAGAACACCAGCCAACCCGCCTTGTCGCAGTCAACATGGCCGCCGATCTCAAGTACTACGAGCTTTACCGCCGAAGCAGGTACTGCATGCACGCTCGGGGACCTAAGTTTGAGCACGCTGGCTGACAGCAGACAGTCTGGGCGGCGCCCTCACGGACACGCTGGACAATCTGATCACCGAGCGCCGCATCGAGCCCCAGCTGGCCATGAAGATCCTCGCAAACTTTGACAAGGCCGTTGCCGATGTACTCGCAGACAAGGTCAAGGCGAGGCTCACGTTCAAGGTGCGACCGCCATCACTTCGTAACAGCCAAGTGGAAGCTTGGGGGCAGCAGTACGGGGTACTGACAGCGTTGCGCAGGGCCACCTCGACACCTACCGATTCTGCGACGATGTTTGGACGTTCATCATTAAGGATATCAACTTCAAGCTCGACAACACGAACCAGGTTCATGCCGACAGGGTCAAGATCGTCAGCTGTAATACGAAGCGCCCCGGCGAGGTCTAGAGCTGATGCTCCAGTCTTGCTTGCTTCTTACAAATTCTGAATGCGATCATTCGGGTACGAACGACGACGGCAACAGCAGACCGTAGAGAAAGACATGGTGGCGCTCATGTCAACTGGAGCAAGACTGGCTCAGTATGGACAAGCAAGGGTCACTGCAAGTCATTTAAGGAAGCTAATGTGATTCAAGTGGTTTACTTTTAGGCGTTACGGATCAAGATCAAAATGGATACCATGAGCATGCTTTGGCGTTAGGGACATGACGCTTGCATCACGCTTCACGCAAACAATTATATATCAAATCAGCAGAAATACTGCGATCTACCTCGCATCTATGAACACAATATGCTATGTCTCTGTGCTTTCACTCTGTCTCAATCAGTTGTGATCTTTGGGCTTGGCTAAACCCGCGGAAGTCCGGTCCCTGCAGTAGCCTCGTCGGCTCCCGTAGTTACTTCCATTACAGAATGATGTAGCACTAAAGCACAATCACCTATCATGTCGACATCAACGCAATCCGCGTGGCTCTTTTATTCTGTAACAAGTGGAGCATGCGCAGCTTTCAATGGCGTCTTCGCGAAACTGTGAGTCCTCGTTGCGTTTGAAGCCGCGTATCCTGACTATTGCGCAGCACAACGACAGAGCTAACGAGCTCCTGGTCGAGCTCTCTGGCTGCTGCATTCGGTCTTGATCCATCGAACAAGTTCTTCGAGTATGCTTTACGCGCCGTACGTATCTCTAATTATTTCCACCTTGCCGTTCCTAACTGTTCCGTAGGCTTTCTTCGGCATGAACCTTCTCTTCAACGCCATAATGTGGGGCCTCTTCACACGCGCTCTCACCCTCGCATCCTCCACCGTCCGGGTGTCCGTGATCAACACGTCGGCGAACTTCATGATAACTGCGATCATGTCCGCGCTCATATTCTCTGAAAGCCTGCCGGGGCTGTGGTGGCTCGGCGCTGCGATGCTTGTAGCTGGTAGCGTGATAGTCGGCATGAGGGAAGAGGGGGAGAAGAAAGAGATTGTGACCGGCACCGGTGAAGCGCCATTGCTGAACACCGAGGGCGAGGCGAACGCAGACTTCAGAGATAGCGACGATGAGGCGCAGTCGAGGCATGAGCTTGGCAACTTTAGGCGCAGGAGTAACAGCAGTGAGCGCAGCGATGCGGACGGGACGCTGAGATAGCTTTTGCTACGGAGCCACCTCAAGATTCAGACAAGTGCTTTATACCAGGAGTTATTTTGAGTCCGCGTCGAGAACCTCTTAGCTCCAATTAAGTGCTCGTGCCCGTGCCTGCTCTGGCTCTCGTGTTGTCGCAGGTAAAACACCTCTGGGCTCTTCGTTGGAATCAAGCATTGCAATGTCCTCGCGACAAGCACGTATCTCTGGCTCTTGCAAAAAACAATCGATCCTGGGGTATATAAGTTGTTATTGATCTTCCTCGGTCGTAGTAAAGCACAAGAGCACCCCCCAACTTAACTCTGTTCATCTCGCCCTCCTACATCGACCTGGTAGTTCACGCATCCCAGATCAATATCCTAATCGACCCACATATCCCGAATGGCGTACTGGTAGAGCATATGTACGGCATTCACGGGGAACACGCTTCCAATTCCTCTATTCCAGCCTCGCATGTGTCGTGCGACTGTACAATACTCTGAAATCTAAACTCCGTCTAATGCAACCGCCTCAATTCCTCGACCAGCCCTTTGATCTCTTCAATGTCTCGCCCAAGCCCTTTGCACGCCTCTGTTTGCTGATCTTCGCTCAGATCCAGGAACTTCTCCACCAGCTCACCATCAACAAAGCGGTACGGCTCCTCGCTCTCCCTGACCTGGTTTTTGAAAGCTCGATATTGAGCAAAGCTCATGTCGCCGGGCGAGGGAACAATTGTGCCGAGATTGCTTTGCAATGTGATGAGGAGGTCAAGGTAGGCGGGCTGAATGAGGCCAAAGAGATAGATTGAGCCCTCGACCTGTTTCACGTTAGCATAAGTTCGGGTTTAGCATTTAGACGACATACCGTTCCCATGAATGCGCGCGGCAAAACTACAGCGTCCGGCTGTGCAACGACATCTATGCGTCTTATCCTGTTCACCATCTCACCGAGGAGAATCTCAGATGTGGTTTGTAGTCGCTTCTTATCATCGTCCGTCACGCCCTCAGGATTGCGGATCAGCACTGCCAAGTTACCCTCCGCGTCGCTTTCTAGATATGTATTCGTGTCCACTTCAGCTACCGCTGTAGCCCAGGTCGTCTGGTAGTGCCTCGCGACCTCTGTCATTTTGTCGCTAAGACCATCTTCGCCAGACTTGTATTCAATCACCACAAGGGACTTCATCAGGTCTGCTATCGCAATAACGTTGCCATTGACGGTGATGTCGATAGGTGCTGTTGAGCAACGGAATGTTGCTGCTTTCACAAGTTCCGGTTTTGATTGCGTGCGGAACTCGACGTTGTACACTACGATGGTCTTTATTAGCGCGGCAACTATCTTGCCTTCACAAATCGCTAGACATCGGCATCCCCCTTTGACGGCGAGGGAGGTGACAAGCTTGAGTGAACGCTCGGGTGTAACTTCCAGGACAAGGATGCGACCGCGCTCTTCTGTTGCTTGCTGGTCGTCTAGATATGCCGTGCCAAGTATGAAGCGCTCGGCTGTTCCGCCGGAGCCGTCGGGGAGGGTGCAGCGTATGACGCATTCGAGTAGCTCGTCCTCATTGAGGGGATAGTTATCGAGCTCCTTGAATTGGATCTCATCAACAAGTTTAAAGTGGCTGATCATGAACTCCTCTCCGCCTTTAAGGATACGCTTAATTGTGCCAAGACCAAAGGCTTTGAGGCTTGGTGAGTATGCTATCCGGCGAACGGTCTCGTCAACCTTGAGTGTCTGGATATGTGTAGTACGCTCGGTGTCGATAAGGGAAATTCTGAGGTCTCCTGATGTGGCAATGGCAACAGACCCAGGGTATGCTTCTGAGTCAAATGGACACACAGTCGTTGCTTTTTCTGCGGTGACGGCGGAGTAAACTAAACGCCCTTCAGATCCATAAATCAGCGAAGGGTGCTCGCACGTCGCGAACACATTGAACAGATTGCCACTGCGAGGTAGAGCGCGGAAGGTGGCCTCGCGGGTTCCTAGTACGATACTCTTCCGGCCAGACAACTCGTTTGTCGATGGGTCGAATGAATAGGTCACAACATTGCCATCCGCCAGAGCAGCGAACAAGGTAGGTGCTTGGTCGTGGAAAATCTGCGTAAGAAGCAACGAGCGCGGAACCGAGTCTTCCGAAATCTGTACTGTCTTGACAGCCTCAAGCGTGTCCAGAGAGCAGATGGCCAGGCCAGACTCCTTCCAGAAACCGATGAAGCACACAGAGCTGGTGCCAGCTGGTAGCGCCACGCACGCAACCTGACTCTCCGTCCCGAAGGTTCTCTCCCTGATGACCTGTAGGCCACCGTCTGCCATTGATGGCCCAACCCGGCGTGGGGGAGCCAACAAAGTCAGAGATACGACTGTGACACCACCCAGCGAAACCAATAAATGGGTGTCATTGATAGCAGCTGCAGTAATCTGCTGGCCACCAAAAGGCATCCATTCCGACACCACCATGCCACCATCAAGATCGCATATGCGTGCTCGTCCGTTTGTGACTTGCACCAACCTCCCTTGGGAGATATTAGCCGCTACAAGAGTGGTCTCGTCCAATGCAAGTGAAGCGAAGTCCTCAACCTCCTCGACCTCGCCTTGAGAATCGAACCTAAAGACACGCGACTCATCGACAAAGGTGACCAGAAGGGTATCAGCAAAATCGGAGGAAGGGTTCGACTTCAAACTGAAAAGATTGGAGATGTGCTCCATCTCGCCAAGCAGGCCAACATCTTCCAGACCTACACCGCTGCGGACACTGCGCAGACTGCCGTCCTGATAGGCGCCGCTGCCAGTGACTATCCGAGCCTGGCCAGAAGAGTACTCGTTTGTTTGGCCCTCGCCTGATCTGTTGCCCATATCCATGATCGTAAAGTCGAGTACAGGAGCAATATTCGAGAAAGTCTGTACAGTTTCCATCGACTTTTCTATGATTTTGATGACCTGAGAATCACCTTGATGTGAGCCAACAAAAACGTTTCCGGCGTCTAAGTAGACCAGCACCGACGCTCGTGACGTTTGACCGATGACGTCGAGTTTCCATGACTGGACTTGATTTTCTTCGCCTAGTATGAGCATGAAAAGATATAGGCGTCCGTAGTCGTCCGCGAGCACGAAGCGTTGCGAGTCGATCTTTTCCCAAGCTACGAATATTGTGGCTTCTTCCAGAGGTTCGACTTGTAGCTCGCCAGTCTCAGCGTTGTAATATCCGATAGAAGTCTCGCCAATTACTATCAGGCCCTGAGAAGGCAGGTCCACGGGTATCAGATGGCTGGCGCCTAGCTCCATGTCCGCTTTGCACACGTCTCCATCCTCTAGCTCGATCTCATCACCGCTATGCTTTACTTCACGAACCTTGAGCTTGACATGAGAGTGTGTGTCCTCGTACAGTAATGCGATCTTCGGGTTGTCGTCGACAGAGGTAGGGTTCAAGAAGGCAGATGAGCGGATGAACATCTCTGATAATCGGACAGGCACGGGCTCCCCGAGATGAGCAATATCTGACTGTCCAATTTGCTTTCTCTTCTTGCCCCTCTGTACCAATGGTATGACTGTAATGATGCCCTCGTACACTTCGACAGTCATGAGGCGGCCGGTGGGATCCACATGGCACCTCTCGCCCGTTTGTGACTCTCTCGCAGCATTATCAGCGACGCTTTCGAAGGACTTCTCAGTATGCAGTTGGTTTTTCTCGGGGTCCCATGACAAGGTGAAGTACGTGAACCGGTCAGTCCCAACGAAGAGGTGGTCGGTCTGTGATAGCGCCGGGCGGAGCTTTTGGAGCATAGTGACCTTGCCATAGATGGCCTTCTGGTGCTGTAGAGCTAAACCATCGTCAGTCTGAGAGTAAAACTCAAGTCGGTTCGCTTTACTACGCGGCGGTCAGTATCTCCAGAGCTATTCAACACGACATGCTTACGCGACTACCAGGCAATCCTCAGCAGCGCTCAAGAAGTTGAGCTTGAGCGCGTGGCGGACACTGCTCGGCTTGTGAATAGGTGCGATGTACGCCATGACGGATGCCTAATCAGTGTGCAGCTCGTCTCTGATCTTGAAGCTACAAGGAGGATATGAACGGCGTTGACGAGGCGAGACGTCTTGAGCTCTCGGACGTCATTAGCTATCTCCGAATCGCGCTAGCGATGGAATCGCGTTGCGGGGACTGAACTTCAAACTTTGGAACTTTTTGGCCGAGCCACCCTCCACTGTCGCAAACCCCGTCCTGCGACGCTTCTTGCTCGTAAGACTAGCCTTTGATTGGTTCTGCATACTTTGATCATACCAGCTAACCATGGCTGCCAATTCAGCAGCAATGGACGTAGAAGATGATGACCCCGTGGTGGCAGAGTACGATGTTTACATTACACCTGAGGCAGAAGAGCAGCAGCTGTACGTTCTGCAGTACCTCAACAGACCTCCCGACCAACCTTTCACGAAAGCCACCGGAAGCCAGCCTGCCGAGCTGCGTGTCAAAAGAGAGTCCGGCTTCATTGAAGTTGACGTCCCGATCAACATTCGTCAGAACTACAACCGCGTCAATGGTGTACGGTGGGGCGAGGCCATGCGCAAGACCAAGGGATTCGGGCAGAAGGCTTATGGCATTGCCTCTGGTTTCGAGCGAACCATGCCGCGTACTGGTAATAGACCTGGCGGCGAAGGAGCATCCGCTGCACCTGTGGTGACAGCAGAGGATGATGACAACTTCGAGGAATATGTCACACATTTCGAGGATGCTAATGAGAAGGGACACGTTTTCAACTCGCAAATCTTCGGTGGCCAGATTCTGAATGACGATGGCAAAGGGCCAAGCTACATGTTGGGAACCTTTCGTGATGGTATGTTCCTGGTGGCTATGGATTCAGTTACCGCGCTGACATCTCCAGATCAGCTCCATCTCACACGTCTGAACGGTCTTGTACAACTCCGAACTCAATTCCACCACATTGACGCTTCGGCGCAACTCGAAGCAGTTGCACGGCGACGCGAAAAGGAATCGCAGGAAGGCGCAAAGCTAGCAGAGCCCAAGGCCTTCATTCCTACCGTGAAGAAGGCGGGCGGAGACACAGCAGCAGAGCTGACACAACAATTCATGAAGGCTGCAAATCAGGAGCCGTGGCACAAGCTACAGTATTCTGACGAAGATGTGAGTTGTCTCGGTATTCAAAGATCGACTATACACTAACATATCACAGTCTGAAGTTGCCTATGATTCTTACAGCGAGCGCCTTTTTCTTCCTGCCACCATTGGCGCACCGAAGCTACGGTCGAACCTCAACAATGATCAGTTCCTCGACGTCATCAGTGCACCATCAGCCGGCAAGGGTGCCAAGCGGAGGAACTCAGTCAGAGAGAAAGAATTGATCGAGATCTCGGATGAGTCAGACGAGGAAGATGAGACCGTGGGTTAGCAAAAGTGAACTTAACAAGCATCATATGGAGTCTGCATTACCAGCTACTTTTAGGGAGATAGATTATGATACCCAGCAATACATTTACACAGCACCGGCGGCGAATATTGGCTCTGGATGTTGTAAATTCCTGTGGCAGAAAAGGCGCGAGAGTGTTAACATGTACTAACTTCCTATTTGCATGTTAAAGCTACCGGCTTTCCAGCTAGAATCCCTTTCCCCAATCGTAGAAGGCTGTGTGAGTCTTGAATATGATTGTCGATGGATGAAACTTGTGCAGAGATGCTGTGGAGACTACGTACTTGTATCTCCCTTTCTCAGTAAGATCAGAGCTATCAAGTCGTTCTTGTATCCACCAGATAGGTGATAGTTTCTCGTTGCGACCGGAACTCTCACCTTAGATTTGTACGAGCCGTGTGTTGTCACAAGGTCGCGCTCTCGACACCACGAACAGATTCAATGTCAGAAAATTGAAACCCACGATTTCTCACGTTTTAGACAACGCGGTGGACAAGCGATCTTCAAGCTATCCAATTTTAACACGAACTTGTAGCTATTATAATACTTGGAGCTACGATGTTTTCCAAGTATAGGTTGTCTGAATTGTAGGCGAATAAATATTCTATGGAGCCTTTTAGTATTTGCCCTACTTAGCTGTTATGTAGTGGAGTACTTGGCCCATACCTAGGTATCCTTAATCCGCTGTTTTTCTTGCAATATGAGAGACAATATATCACTGATCTGACTGAAGGTCTCCATGGTCTTATCGTTAGCAGATCATGTCGCTAGCCCGCGCGCACGGACGAAGGGGTGAAAAATCCCACAAAACCTTTTGGAACTTTCCTAACTCTATCAACAACATCATGTCTTGAGATAAACCCATAGCAGGCGCTTCGGCGCAAGCTACGACTTACTTACACCACCAAATGTGGACCACTCTTCAAGTCGCGATGTCTTTGGTGTCTATCGCTTTAGCCGCCCTCCCTTTCGTGCTGTCGCGACCTCGGTTGAGCAAACTCGGCTGGTACCAAGAGTGCGGAGACCGATTCCAGCCGCCGGCCCACCGAACAGCTCGACATGCAGCGCCCGCCCATCAGCCAGCGTAGCCGACAATAGAATTCGACACCCACGATGCGGCCGATCACAGCAATGACAATGCCTCTGAGGCGGATAGCACCATGTGCAGCACGTCAGAGCTCGCGGCGATGCTTCTCGAGCACCCGAGACCTGCAAGCCACTTGGGGATTCATAGGCCTTGGGCGAATGGGTGAGTGTCCACACGCAAGCTCACATGACCGGGCATCTCGCTGACTTTACTGCCAGGCTACTCTATGGCTAAAAACCTCAAAGCAAAAATTCCTGCTGGAGACACGCTCTTCGTCCACGATGTCAACACTGCTGCTACCCAGAAGTTTCTCGATGAGAATCCCACTGGCGTACACGTCGCTGAGAACGTCCGAGAAATTGCCGAGAAAGCTGTACGTCTTACCCTTCCTCCCTTTACACTTTGCATGATGATACACTTCCTTTTCCAAAACTTTATGATCTAAGTTGGGGCCACTCGTGGCTCTTCCCATGATTTTACACTTCATAGCCAATCCTCTGATGCAACCAAACATACATGTCTTTCACTCAAACTTGTCCGTGGTTCTTTGTGACTGACTGTTACCAGGAAGTAATCATAACGGCCCTACCGGAGCCTCAGCATGTCAAGGGCGTGTACAAAGCCATGCTCGAGCCTCGTACACTGCTGACAGGTGGCTTCGTAAAGAAGGAACGTCTCTTCATTGATACGTCCACCATCGATCCCATGACCTCGGCTGATGTTGCCGAAGTCGCGCACTCGTCTGGTCAAGGGAAATTCATCGATGCACCTATGTCTGGCGGAGTTGTTGGCGCAGCAGCTGGCACACTCACCTTTATGATCGGCGCAGCGCCTGAATTGGTTGATCAAGCTACTGAAGTGTTGTCTTTGATGGGCCGAAAAGTGCTTCACCTCGGTGAACAAGGTGCTGGACTCAAGGGCAAGCTTGCAAACAATTACTTGTTGGCTCTCAACAACATTGCAACCGCAGAAGCCATGAACATGGGGATCCAATGGGGCCTTGACCCTAAAGCACTCGCAGGCATGATCAACATTAGCACAGGAAAGTGCTGGCCAAGTGAAGTCAACAACCCCGTGCCTGGTGTTATCGAGGGCTCGCCTGCAAGTAGAGGATACGAGGGAGGATTTGGAGTTGCTCTCGCCAACAAGGACCTGAAGCTCGCTCTCAAGGCGGCTGCCGACGCGAATGTCAAACTTGCACTCGGCGAGTCAGCTAGACAGCTGTACGAAGCGGCAGAGAACGCACCAGACTGCAAAGGAAAAGATTTTTCCGTTGTATACCGATACTTGGGAGGCAAAGAGTAGACAAAATTCCATCACAGATGAAACTTTTAATCAATGTTGTACGGTGATCTCCAGAATTGTGGCTGTGCTGGTTCTGTTGTGGCGCTAACGTCTAAGCCACACCCGTGCGTCATCGGTCAGATGGGGCCGTGATTGTCGCCTGACTGTCACGACTGCTACGTCTCCTCCAGCACCGCAACCCACGAATTGCTCGAACACATCCATTAACGTGTCATTAGAAGAACCCGACATTATGTGCGGCGCCGACTGTTTCTTGATGCTCTTAAGCGTCCTTTTCCCACCCATCGGAGGTATGTAAACGCTCTCTAGGCACCCACATGTGAAGTCGCCTTCGCACAGATATATTGCACATGAATACGTACTGAGGAATACCACAGTTTGGGTAAAGCGTGGTGTCTGCTCCGGCGACTCTCTCATCAATATTGCGCTTTGCTGCCTCGGCTTCCTCCCCGGTCTGCTGCACGCCTGGTACATCATACTGCAGAATCCCGATCAATACGATGGTTACGGCCCAGTGCCTGACAACGAGGGCGGACGACAGGGCACAACGTACTATGTCGTCTCGCACACGGGACCAGCACGCCAGCAGGGCGGTATGAACTATGGCACTGTTCCGCAGCAGCAGCCAAATGGTGGACAATTTCCCGGCCAGCAGACTGGCGTCACAAACCAGAATGCTCCCAAGAAGAGCGGTAAGAGTGCCAGCGGTCCAGGGAATGCGCCGCAGCGTTCAGGCGGGGAGGGGAGTAGCAATCAGCCAGAAGGACCACCACCAACTTATGCGGACGTTATCAAGGGCGACCATAAGGTGCAGAGCCTATGAGCCCAGGTCAGCTCATGCAGGCCGATAATCAAACTGTCAACGGTTGGAGGATACGAAGTCATGTCTCGTATGGATATGGCGTTTAGGTTAAGACTGGTATAGGATAGCGACGGCGTTTTGCGCATGCGAGGTTATTGTGGAGCTGTATGTATCGCACTGGACATAATGAACTTTCCACGCTGGAGAACGCAACGAGATTATTCTGGGTTTAGCGATGCGCCTCGGTAAAGGCTCAAACGTGACGGCTGAACGTGACGACAACGCCCCGCCAATACCTGAATCTTCAAATATGTCATCGCTGGGAAGGGAAATTTTCGAACCTGTCTACAACCTTAGCGAAGGTTCTGCGGCGCTGATATGGTGGGGTTGCTTCGCAAACGCTGTACGAGCTCTTGATACATTGGTGGTATTATGGGTGGGCCGTCTTCGATGCCGCGGGGCGCGTCACTACAGCGAGTATGCGTCATAGCATAACCGCGTGGCTGGCCTGTATGCATGCAAGTCTCGAGGGCAGCTCGGAGTGCCTTGAAGTCCTCCATAGGCTGCCTTGAGCAGAAGAACGGAAAGCCGCATATCCGCGTGGGTGCCGGATTGCCGTCAATTGCAATCTGGACCCCGAAGCTTGAGCAGCATAAGACCGTCGTGGACCCCAGCCGTGCGCTCTTGCTCTTGTTAACTCCAGTCGTCGTTGCTTTGCATCCTTCGGCCTCGAACACATGCCTACTCGGCCTATAGCCGGCCTCATTAGTCGCTTGCCACCTCACAGACTCCAGCATGATTGTCCCAGCAGGAGCTCCGACACCCAATGGTCGCCCTGGACACGGAAAACAATCTGTTGTATCAGGATAGCAGCCAAGTATTCACGGAAATGCAACACGAGGTTACCGTTGATTCGAGGATGAATAGCTTAGGCTCGAGAGGAAGGACAGAATCAAGCGTCTGCGCCGCGCCAATGCTGTCACCGCCCAGCCGCTTGGATCACAGTTCCTTGCTTGATGCCCAGCCAAGCCACTCTCAAGCCTTCAAGCGCAGCCCTTGGCTTGCTTAACGACGATTCAATCGTGACGTGTGAGCACTGCACGTCGCGAAGGCCGTGGAGTACACAACGATCTTTCGTCTCCGGCGATGCTGATTCGAGACTTCTTCGCCTGCGCTAGACAGCACTGCCGCGACCTTGCAAATTAGATCCCCCTAGAGCTGTGGCTGAGGGTGACTTCGCATTGCAATTCGTTCGTACGAAGACCTTCAGCCACAGTTACGTGGGCTGCGTCGAGTCGCTCAAACTCCTGTTTAATTACGTCGCCGGGTCCCCTTTCTTGCCGTCATTCCATCCTCAAAGCATCTTCATAACACGAGGCAATCAGGCGACACAGCCCTCCTTTTGCCTTGTTATTTCAACTTGCGACATCTACCCCAGATTTTGCAAGTTTTGGGAACACGCACTTGCGTACTCAAATACCAAGCAACATTATTCCCATTGTTCTCGCCCCTCAAGATTACGCCAAAACAACAAACATTGCTCTACGCGTCAATTACAAGCATTTGCACGTCTGAGCTTCACTGTGGGAACATCCACCCAAACCTTTCACACAGCTAGGATATCCACGTCGGCCGAGTTGCCTACAAGATCGTACCAATGCGTAAGTGGATCTGCCATCTCCGGCTCATCGCCATCGATGCCAAAACCAGATAGCAACACCACACTCTCCAAGTAACGACTTCTGACAGTCATGATAGATTCAGTCAGAAGGCAGGCGCATCGCGCCGCATCGCAAGGTGGTAACAATGGAGCTTTGAACTACAACCCGTTCGCCAGAGTACGATCAAGGGACCAGGCACCACTAGGAGACGAGGAGAATGTTCACCGTACACGGTCCGAGGCCGATCAAATTCCAGACATCGAGGAGCAGAGGCGACTTGAGAGAGCAGAAGCAACAAAAGAGTTCGGAGGACCGCATCACCACGCCACAGAGCCCAATCAGGTTTCGCCAACGACAGCTTACGGCGACTCGAATCTCATGGAATCATCGACAAAAAGAGAAACCGAGGCAGTGCCACAAATGAATGAGGACGCAAAGGATGGAAGCGACAGCACTGTTGTAGGCTCCACAGGCGGTGTAACGAAGCGCGGAAAATTCAAGAAACTCTTCCGGCAAGAACACGATGACGGACACGACGACACCCTGACGAATCAAGAGTCCCAGGATCTTTCTCTGGAAGAGCGCAAGCGCAAGGCGCATAAGAGGAAGATTCCGGTCGGACAGCAGTTCCGTTTCGTTTTGTTCGGAGCCTGGATTAATGTCCTGCTCATCTTCGTCCCTATAGGGTTCGCTGTTTTCTACGCTGGTCTCAAACCCGTCCCGGTCTTCATCATCAACTTCATCGCCATTATACCGCTCGCGGCCATGCTCAGCAATGCGACCGAGGAGTTGGCGATCAGAGTGGGCGAGACCATGGGAGGCCTCCTGAACGCAACCTTTGGCAACGCTGTTGAGTTGATCGTCTCAATTCAAGCCTTGATCAAAGACGAGATTACCATCGTCAAGACCTCACTCATTGGCAGTATGCTTTCGAACTTGCTCCTTGTCCTGGGCATGTCTTTTTTCTTGGGTGGCGTCAATCGACCTGAGCAGTTCTTCAACGTCACAGTTGCGCAGACAGCTGCATCGCTCCTTGCCCTTTGCATTGCTTCCCTAATCATTCCAACTGTCTTCCACAACACTATCGCAGAAGACAACAATGATGACGGCGATGCTCTGAGGAACCAAGAACTGTCACACGGTACTGCGGTCATTCTTCTGTTCGTCTATGGATGCTATCTGCTGTTCCAGCTGAAGACTCACGCGGAGATGTACAACACTCCTAGCCAGAAAGTTCCCAAGCGCAAGTCGTCCAAAATTGAGGAGGGTGCAGCAAACCGTGGGGTGGCAGCAATTGGCGCTGGCACTGCAGCGGCATCTGGAGGTGGTGTAAACCTGAAGAATCTTCTTAACAAGCCCGACGATGACGAGGAGGAGGAAGAGGAGTTTGAGACGCCTTCTCTATCTGTCATCGGCGCTCTAGTCACTCTTGCTATCTCTACCACTCTTGTCGCTTTCTGCTCCGAGTTCATGGTTGACAGTATTGATGGTCTTACTGCCACTGGCGGCGTGTCGACCACTTTTGTTGGCCTCATCCTTCTCCCAATTGTGGGTAACGCAGCGGAGCACGCCACTGCTGTTACTGTCGCGATGAAAGATAAGATGGACTTGTCTATCGGTGTCGCCGTTGGTTCGAGCATGCAGATCGCTTTGCTCGTCTTTCCTTTCATCGTTATACTTGGCTGGATTATGGGCAAGGACTGCATGACCTTGTACTTCGACACCTTCCAGATTGCGACACTGTTCGTCTCTGTGCTTCTGGTCAACTACCTGATTCAGGATGGAAAGTCCCGTAAGTATCTGCCAATTTACATGTTACAAACCATTAAACTAACGTACACACAGATTGGCTCGAAGGGATCTTACTCATGGCAAGTTACATCATCATTGCTGTCGCTGCCTGGTTCTACCCTGAGATCGCGGAGAATCAGTGCTAGTTTTACGACCTCCGGAGTCTCGATCGTTGCCTTTTCTACTGGCATGTTGGATTTCTCATAGGAATGCCTTAGCATTACGAGGTATGTGGTCACTTTGAGTGCAGCACCAATGGCTGTGTGCGGGCATTCGCATTATCGATTTTCTTGCCGCATGCGCGATACCCCTGTGCCCTAAGTGATATAATTTCAAGCAATACAAACAAATGCAAACACCTCTGAGCATCCTGGCTGGCGCGAGTGATGATGGAAGCATATGTGCGTTAATCTGCTTCCTGAGTAGACGGGGAGCTGCTGCGGATGGTCTGTCGTCGTTACTTCATTAGCCACCCTCTGTTGACCTCACACCCTCCACCAACGTACTTCTTCTCCATATTTGTTGATTTGATGAATACGATAAACTTAAAGGCTTGTCATATCCACCTTTGATTGAACATGAGGCCATCAACGCGCCCAGCGGGCCCTTATCCTGACCGGCCCGCTATACTATTCTCTCACCTCCACCACGCATTACTACATATGTCCACTGGCCACTATGCTATCGTTCCAAATCTCACTCACCAGGCTCTCTCACCTTGCTCTTGCTTGATGCTAGTCGCCAGCTCCACCTGTTGCTCTCACCTGAGCATCATATAAGACAGTCCCTGTGATCACCTAGCTGTTCCTTCGCGACCGCACTCCTCCCTCCACAAAGTTCCTCAACAAGCTCTACCATTAGACCCCTCGGGCTCAACAAAACTATCAGCCTAAACACACACCACTTACTAGCGATCACTGACAGCACTGGCAATAGCGACTTGCCACCCTCGCAGCTCACGCGCTTCATCCTCGCTGATCGTACCTGGAAAATCTACGCTAAAATTGTGAGACACTGGTAGACTTCTATCGTTCAGCTCATACCTGCTTTGCTCTCTGCAAGCCTGAAGGTACAGACACCCTTGATCACTCTCATTAAGTTCATGACGCTAGCTTGAATACCTAGCAGATCCGTTCCGACTCAATCTTTGCTCAGCTACTCAAACATCTCTCTGAGTCGCTGTACGAGCAAACCTTCTACAGACCTCCAGCGTGACTGACGCCCTCAAGGTTTGCCAAACATCAACATGGGCGACGAAGTTTCCGAAGACCAACATGTGCCAATGCGGTCTGACTCTCCCGATATGGATGATTTGTTTGAAGAGGATAACGACTTTGGCTCCCAATTGGGTGCCTCGGCTACTTCAACGGACATCCATCAACAAGTACTTGGTGTCGAGGAGCATCGCAAGTTGATTCCTGCTTACGAAAATCATGACGAGGACAACCATGAGTCTGTTGAAGACAATCTCGAACCTGATACACCAGTGCCTGATCCCACCGATGCCGATGTTGAGCCTGAAGAAGACGGTAATCGGTACAATACACAGTCGTCTAGCCACGCCAATACCGACTTTGAACCCGAACAGCAGGCGCAGCAAAGCTCTCACGAGCCGTTCGACCACAACGGAACTATGGAGGATCTCCCGGATGAGCAGAGCCGTTCATCATTGGCTACTCCTATTGATGCGCAGCCGCACACAAACCCTGGTACTGCACGCCCAGTCAACCACGACACCGACTCTTCCTCTCTGTTTGTGCCGGAACGCGGTTTATCGCCACATTCTCCCGTGCCTAATCTTTCACCTCCACGCTTGAATCTCCCCACCACTCGACAGACAGCAACGCCTGCTCGCCGGCCCGATACGGCTCCTAAGCCCTCCATCTTTTCCCAGATCCGCAATAAGCAAAGGTTAGCTCAAGCGCGGAAGAATGCCAGTCATAGATTCGCTGTAGCGCCTCAACTTAGTGCTGATCTTGATCCTGAGACCTACCTCGAGGCTGTAACGTCCGGTATTAACCCACCGCCTGGTGCGTATCATACCAAAGTCGACGAGGAGGAGATGGCTCACAGGCACGCCTTGGCCAACTTCCAAAAGCAGAAGCTTCACTATCAGGCGATCAGAGAACAGCACAACGGACATCTGCCATTTCAGCAGGATGTTGAGTGGATGAAAATATCGGGCGCTGAGGACGCTCGTCTGAAGAAGCGCCGACGCGATCTGGTAATGGCTCAAGACCTGGGTGACGAACAGGATCTCTTCCCGCAAATCCACAGGCGCCACGACGAGTGCAACAACGAATCTGATGGCGAGTTATATGGTGAATCAAGCTCTCATAAACGCCGCCGCAGTGGTGATCAACCTCGCAAGCAGTCGATGCCGGAGTCGATGCAGGATGCAGAATATCGATCCATGTTCGTTATGATTGACGCCGACGATGATCGCCCCAAGAGGAAAAAGAAGAAAGAAGCCGCAGGCACCGAAGAAGATCAGGAGCCACAATCTTCTGCTGCGAAAGGAAAGAAGCCAAAGGTCAAGACCGCACGACCATCTCGGGCAAAAGGAGCAGGCAAACCATCAGCTAGAAAATCGCGCAGATCGGCCAAAGATAAACGCGACCTTGAGCGCGCTGCCAAGCAGGCAAGTTCGCTCTTCAACTCCGACGTCTTTGTACAGCAGGCCGGTATGAATGCTGCAGATCAGCCATCTTTTCGCACTAGAAATAAGGCAACAGCACTCAAGGAGCTCCCTAAAGGGTTACCAAGTGTTGGGTAGTGCGTTCATGCGCCGCCGCGAGAATGACGCTTCAGAGCCCAAGGGAGGACTGATGGCTGACCAGATGGGACTCGGCAAGACGCTGATGATGCTTGGTGAGTGTTTTTGATGTTCGACGTTTAACTCTTGTTGTTAACCACAGTCAGCGAATATTGTCAACTCTCGCGATGCCATGCACCGTAACAAGGACTCTGGCCCTAAGTCCACGCTTCTGGTCGCAAGTCCAGCGCTTCTGACCCAATGGGCAGCCGAGATACAGCAACACACTGACTGCAATATGAAGGTCATGCGTTACGGGGCTGGCAATCGCCTCGACTCGACTTGCGCCTTGGGGATCCTTCAGACCCATGACATTATCCTTACTACATATGGCGAGATTATGAAGTCTTATCCTAAGAACAATCCCCCTATCGAGTGTCAAACTGCAGAGGAAAAGATCGACTGGTGGAAGAAAACTTACAAAGAGCATCGCGGAGTCCTGCACAAGATGCATTTCAAGCGCATTGTGCTTGATGAAGCGCAAGCAATCAAAAACCACCAGTCGCGAACCTCGATCGCTTGTCGCGCTCTCATGGCTCACCACAAGTGGGCCCTGAGCGGCACGCCTATCTTGAACGGACTGGACGAATTGTATCCATACTTCAAATTCCTTGAAGTTCCGCACACTGGCAGCTTCAAGATCTTCAAGAACAACTACTGCGGTGGTGGTGATGGAGAAAACGCCGAACGTCTACTTGTCCGCCTGTCACAGTTCATGATCCGACGCACTCACGCCGACAGAATGTTCAATGCGCCCATATTGAAACTTCCGCAAGCAAACCAGATGACTCACTGGTGTGAGTTTAACTCGGTTGAGCGTAGCATTTACAATATCGTCCATCATCGATTTGCCACGAACATCAACATGATGTCCAAGAAGGGCACACTATCAAGGTCGTACAGCAATGTTCTGGTCATGTTGCTGCGTCTGCGACAGCTCACTGCACACGTATTGATGCTGGAGTTCGTGATGAGAGACCTGCTCGAGCGCGAAGATATTGAGAAGATCAAGGAGGTTATCAGGAAGCAAGACGGCTCTAGCGACATGGATAAGGGCCGCGTGATCATCGCTATTCGAAGGCAGCTGGAAGCTCACGAGCTTCAAGAGAAGAGGAAGGCAGCTGCTAAAGCCAGTCGTCGGCTTGCGGCGGAGGCGACCGCGAGAGCGACTCGCCAAGAGTACGTCGAGCCTGATGATGAGACTGATGATGACAGAGAAGACGGGGTCCCTGTCGAAGTTCCACAGGACGGTGAGCCAGATGACGAAGATCCCGATGCGTATCGAGGTGCAGAACGCAATAAGTCTGGAAAAGGATTTGGCAAGAGCTACGACTTCACTCCGTTTGTCAAGAGCCTCGCGACCGGGGTAAACTGGGAGAAGAAGAAAGAGCAAGCCAAGTGCGGAGAATGTGGCAAATTGCCTGAGAAGACTTGGTTGACTGCCTGTGGACATCTGATCTGCGACCTTTGCTACGAGAGTGCCATGAGCTCCGCAGCTGAAAGGGGAGAGTTGCACGCCAACTGTACGACATGCGGCTCGATCTTTGCCGCATGTACTCCATGTGACGAGGAGACGAACGATGCTTCAGGCCCGAGTCGCGAGACCCGCAACAGATCTCTCCAGAGAAGGAGGAGGGAAAATGAGCGCCTGGAGCGTGTCGCAGATGACTGGCTAAGCTTCGGCGGCGACGAGGTGCTGTCATCCGCGAAGACACTCGCGATCAAGGCCCAGATCCTCAATTGGATTAGGGAAGATCCTAACGTGAAGGTCATCATTTACACACAGTTTCTGGCGATGTAAGTGCTTGCTTGCCCTTGTCTGTGTTTTATCAAGCTGACAACGTTAGGATACGCATTCTTGCAAAGGTTTGCCAACAGGAAGGCTGGGGAACAGAGCAGGTGAGTCGCTGTCGATAAGGTGTTGTAATCGTTGCCTAACAAGCCTGCAGTACCACGGCAAGTCAAGTCTAGCCGCGCGCGACAAGGCCATCAAAGAGTTTGCCGGCAACCCTCATTCGCAAGTCTTGCTGGCGTCTCTTCGTTGCGGCGGTCTTGGCCTCAACCTGACCATGGCCTCAAAAGTCATCATTATCGACCCTTGGTGGAACCAAGCTTCTGAGCAGCAAGCTTTCTGTCGAGTATTCCGTATTGGCCAACAGGACGAGACATTTATGACCCGGATGTGCGTCAAGAACACTGTCGACGAGAGGCTTATCGAGATGCAGACAGAGAAGCAGAGGGAGATTGACGAGGTGATGGAGGACCGTGGAAGGAAGACGCAGCAGTGAGTTTTCGTCGAGCATCTGAATTGACCTGTGCTGACTCGTTACCTCAAGCCTGGAGATTTCTGATCTCATGCGTCTCTTCGGAAACATTGAGCAGACCGAGGATGGCAAGCCGTTCATCGTCGTCGACAACCCTGCTGCTGCCGGTGGATTCCATGCTGACAGCGACCACGAGGGCTATGCGGACGAGTTTTGAGATATGGTTTTGGAGGCATTGGGCGAGTCACGGTTTTGGCAGTCGCGAGTTCCTGGTTACTATGGGCGTTACGGTTTTGGCAGCCGCGAGTTTCTGATTACTATGGGCGAGTTACGGTTCTGGCAGCCGCGAGTTCCTGATTACTATGGGGCCTATCATTGGGTGCTGTGCAATGCTTGCTTTTCGGAGGGTTAGCGCTGGGGTGCGGCAAGGTGCTTTGACTCGGGTCGAATCTTATCAAATGTCAGGTTCTGGGCTTCTTCAAGGTGATATCACGAAGGCGTCCGGCGTGAAGTTGGGTCGTGGTGGAGCAGTGGCACGACACAGACTAGATCGGCCCGAGCGTAGCTGGCCCACCGTTGACGGCTCCGCAATGCGGACCATGTGGTTGGCGGCGCTGAAGACTGTCACACATCGCGAGACTCGAGGAGCCGTCGCAGAATCAGCTTGGCCTGCAGCCGTCCACGCCGCCGCTCCGCGCAACGCTCAGTGTGTGGTACCTGGGCAGATAAGACGGGGCTGCGACCAATCACACGCCCGCAGATAGCATCGCCCGCGGTCGCTGCCTCATGTACCGGCGTGCGTGAGTTTTGCTGCCAGGAAGCTGGGCCCGCCATGTTGACAGCGACCCGAGCTCTGAACCACGACCGACAGTACGGCAGACAGTGCGACCGACAGTACGACGGACAGTACCCGCCTGTCGCTGATTAATGTCGCGCTGAGCGAGCGCTGCCACCCGCGGAGCGCCCCGCCACTGGAACCCCTCCGTTTGTGTACCACGCCCGTCTGCTGGCCATGGACGCCGCCGCCGCCGCCGACGCGCAGGCGAGCGTGTCTGCGCGCCCGCCGCAGCCCTCGCCGCAGCCGCCGCCGGCAAAGAAAGGCCGCCGGGGCAAGAAGAACGCCGAGGAGGACGAGGCCAGCAAGAAGCGGCGCTGCATCTCCAGCGCGTGCGTGCCGTGCCGGAAGCGCAAGAGCAAGGTACGTGAGCCTGCTCCTGCCGCACCGCCTTTCTCCGCGGCGGCGAGCAGCACATGAACACCCACAGCACCCACGCCAGACGCTGACCCGCTCTAGTGCGACGGGACCACACCCGCCTGCTCCGCCTGCGCCGCCGTCTACAACACCGAGTGCATTTACGACCCCAACTCGGACCACCGCCGCAAGGGCGTCTACAAGAAGGACATCGACAACCTCAAGACGCGCAACTCGACCCTGCAGACGCTGATCCAGGCCATCCTCAACTACCCGGAGGACCATGTCGCCGACCTGGTGCAGCAGATTCGCACCTGCGAGAGCCTGGACTCGGTCGCAGAGGCCATCATTGCCCGCGAGAACGGCGATGACGACGACGACGACGAGCCCGTCAGCCCGCTGACCACGCCCGCCATCACCCCCGTCAAGCCCACCTTTGAGAACCAGCTAAGCGGCCGCATGGGCGAGCTGCGCCTGGAGGACGGCTCGACGCGCTACATTGGCGGCACCTCGCACCTGATCTACCTGGGCCAGCACAACGAGACGGCCGACTCGCCCGACCCGTACGCCGAGGAGCAGTACCAGCAGGTCGAGGACCCGTACTGCTCATGGACCACCGTCACCTCCGACCCCGAGCTGGTGCAGCACCTGATCAGCATGTACTTCTGCTGGCACTACAGCTTCTTCACTACCCTGTCCAAGAACCTGTTCCTGCAGGAGTTCCAGGCTGGCAAGCCGCCGCCAGGCTCGGCCCGGAAGATGCAATACTGCACGCCGCTGCTAGTCAACGCCATGCTGGCACTGGGCTCCCACTTCACCTCCCTGCCTGCAGCACGAGCTGTGCGCGACGATTCCGCGACTGCCGGCGACCACTTCTTCCGCGAGGCGAAACGCCTGATCATGGAAGAGGATCTCCACGAAGTCCCTGCGCTGCCAACCGTCCAGGCCCTAGCGCTGATGTCTGTACGCGAGGCAGGCTGCGGACGCGAGGCAAAGGGCTGGGTCTACAGCGGCATGTCTTTCCGCATGGCCTGTGATCTTGGCCTCAATCTCGGTATGCACAGCAAAGATGCCATTGACGAGACTGAAGAAGACGCCCGGCGCATCACGTTCTGGGGCTGCTTCTTGTTCGACAAGTGCTGGAGCAACTACCTCGGCCGCATGCCCCAGCTGGCCAACAACATCATTACAGTGCCCAAGTTTGACGTCTTTCCGGTCGAGGACTCAGAAACTTGGAGTGCGTACACAGACTCGGGCATCAGCCAGGCCCACTCGCAGCCTTCGAGGACGAGGGCTGTGGCCTTGCAGATCACCAAGCTATGCGAGATCTCGAGCGATCTGATGACTTTTTTCTACAACCCCATTGACATGGACAAGGCAAAAGGCAAGCAGGCAGAGTTGAAAAAGCTGAGCGAGATACATGTCCGTCTGGAAACCTGGAGAAGGGATTTGCCAAAGGAGTTGGAGCCGAAAGAAGGCGGACTTCCGCACATGCTCGTCATGCAGTAAGTTTCGATCGTATATCCCCTCCTGCATTGCTAACCAGGACCAGCATGTTCTTCCAGCTCCTCTACATCCACCTCTTCCGACCCTTCCTGAAGTACAACCCCGATAACTCGCCTCTGCCACCGAACGTTTCGCCCCGCAAACAGTGCACACAAGCTGCAGCAATGATATCCAAGCTGCTCCGTCTGTACAAACGATCGCACGGCCTGCGACAGATCTGTAATATCTGTGTCTACATCACGCACTCGGCATGCACCATTCATCTGCTAAATCTCCCTGAGAAGAACGCTAAACGAGATATCATCCACGGCATCAAACACCTCGAAGAGATAGCCGAGGGTTGGCTCTGCGCTAGACGTACTCTAGGCATCCTCAGCGTCCTTGCCAAACGCTGGAAAGTTGAGCTCCCTGAAGAAGCTGCGGCTGTCCTCGCGCGAACAGACGGTAAATTCGGGCCCTGGAATGAAATCAGCACGCCCAAGGTCACACGAGCTGAGCCTGTGATCATCCCAGAAGGCCACCAAGCAACAAGCCCAACTCAAAAATTCTCTCCTAGTCTACATCCATATAGTATGAGCATGGCAGACGTCACATCATCGAACTTCCCTTCGAGGCCATCTGCGACAACCAGTAACGCAGCTGCAGCCGCATACGTAAGCTACTCCCAGAACACAGCTCAGCCTACCTCATCCTTCACGCGCGACCCCTCCTCCATCCCACCAACGGACCTGACTCACAACCGTCTCCAGCGCCACCCATCGGATCCTCTGAATCACACTACGCCGAACCATGCGCATACACCCGCCACACCCGCGTCAACGCAGGCCAGGCAATCTTTCGACGCCGTGAGCTCAACCGGTGCATCACCATCAGCGCTGTTTGGTGGTGTAGACCAACTAATACGAGAGGGGCAAGACTGGATCTACCGAGACCAAACGCAGCTTGCCAGCGGGTTTGATAACTGGAGCAACCAGGATTTTGGCGACATTGCGAGCTGGTTTGCGTCCACTGGCGCGTCTCCGGGGACTTTTGGGCCCGTGCCTGCGAGCCAAAGCATGAACGGCGGGCCTGTCGGGGGAGGCGCCGTTAATGGGGGCACTGAAAACGGCTACAACGTCAATGGTGTGCCGATGAATGGAGGGGCGAACGGGAATGGGAATCCAAATCTAAATCCAAATCCAGGGCTGAATGGGATGGGTGGTGTTGGCGGGATGCACGGGTTTACGTACGATGAGCGGAGCTGGTACGATTACCAGTGAGCGGTGTATCGCCCTGTTGCGGATTGTATGTTGCGTGTGTAGAAAAGGAACGGGAGATACCAATCAATCTTATCGGGCGTTACGGGGGCCATGGGTTTTGGAGTAGTCCATGAATGTATTCTTTCTTGTTGATCAATACAATCTTAGAGCAATCCGTCTTCTTCATGTGGAAGCGCACTTCATTCTTTAGGAGCTCCACAACTTCTCGAGTGGCACAGGAGATCTGAACAATCTGGTATTTTACGCTACCCAATTCTTGCAACACAGTCGCCCAAACGCGAAGCCAGCGGCTCTACTGCTATATACACGGCGAGGACAACTCAAGAAAGATACACACCTCCCCTTCAACGAGGCGGAGAGGAGAGGAGAGGAGAGGAGAGAAACGAATCAATGCAAAACGATGCGAATGCGATGCGATGCGATGCGAATGCACCTGTGCCTGGATGCACTATCCAAGGCCAGAAGCCAAAGCCAAAACGCCAGGAGTCGTAACGTCGTTTGTGCACCCGTGTTGACAGAGGAATGGAAATGCTCGCTAAACAGGAAGGAAGTGCAGGGGAAAAAAATCACAAAGGCGCTATGCAAAATATGAACATGCCAATCTATCATGCAATGTGATGATAGCAGCGTGGCTGTTGTAGCCAATTCGAATGTCGTCCTCGTGGGCATTCGTTTAGAAATCCACGCTCCACCGCAGCGTCGGGTCGCGATCCACGTTGCACTGGCTGTCGAAAGGGGCACGCACGGGCTCTTTGTTTCTGTTCCACTCATCTCTTGCACTGGCTGTCAAATCGCCATTGGACGGCGGTAGACGGATCTTTGCCTCGACAAGCGGCGCAGATACAAAGCGCGATTTGAGCAACGCGCGGGTTGAAACGGTGTCTTGGAGGCAGTTAAGCGACGAGACGTCGGACGAGTCCAACGGTGCGCGTTCGCGGCGGGGCAACGTGCGGGGAGTGGGGAGGGAATCGGAGGATCGAGTGGCCTCACTGTAGTGGGCCTGTTCGGGCCGTTGTGGGACTGCGTTCTCGTCTGTGCTCTGGAGGCCATCGGGCGAGGCGTTGGCGCCAGAGCCGCTGGATACGACGGTCGAGAGAGCGGGGCGGCTTTGTCTGACGGACACGGTGCGAGAGGCCGTTGGTGTAGTGCGCGCCGTCCGGATGGACTTTTGCGACTCGGCGGTGCTGGTCCTGTCCAGGGTGGTGCCGGTGTCACGGCGCTTCCGGGAGCTGGTGGCCGAGGGTGGGCGTGCCTGGGGGGTTCTGCTCCGGTTGCGGCGCTGGCTGGAGACGAGATCGGTATACGAGCCCTGGGGGGTCATGGGTGGCAGCTCCTGGGTCTGGCCGCGCTCGAGGCGGTGCATCAGATGCCGTGTGCTGACCTGTCTCTGCAGACTCAGCTCCACGCGGCTGCTTGCGCCGCTCCCGCTGCGGCTCCTGTGAGTTGCACGCTCCTTGCCGGACATGACGCTAGCTTTGGGCGGGGGCTGCAGCATCCAGCGGTTGTCGGCGACGTCGGACGACGGCAGACTGACGACGGGCGGATGCAGGTCGTTGACGGGCGGGGCGCGGGCCGAGTAGTAGCTGCCGGAGCGCGAGGTGCCGGGGCGGCTCATCTTGTAGGCCAGCACGCTGCCCAGGCCGCTCGACGACGAGCCGGAGGTGGTGTGCTGCACGGGGATGGGGGCCTCGTCCAGGCCCCATAGGTCCTCGTCCTCCCGCTGGTAGCGCTTCAGATTCCATGTGTCGTCGTCGATGGTGTCGTCGCTGAGACGCAGGTCCTTGGCGCGGTCACCGTCCAGGCTGCTGCCGTTCTGGCTGACGACGGCGCTCTGGGCGCCGGCCTTGGGGCAGCGCGTGCTGCCGGTGTTCGTCCTGCGCGCGCGGCGCGGCGGCGGCCCCGGCCCCAATGCGATCTCCTCTTGCCAGTACGGGTTCGTGCCGGTGGGCTCGGGGTGGTGGTAGGCGCCGGGCTCCTCGAGCACCAGCTTCGCGCGGGCTTTGCGGGCGCGCTTGGCCTCTCTGGTGCGCTTGCGGCCGTCGGCGTAGCCGGTGCACGGCGCACACGAGGCGTAGTGGAAGATGGCGCTCTGGGGGACGTTAGCAGACGGCGCGCGGGCGGCACGGCACACGCACCTGGACTCCGCGCAGGAACCACGACATGCCGGGAGCAGGCAGAAGAATCGGCGGCGGGTGGCGGCGCGGCGTGCACAGAGGCACAGAGGCACGGGTAGGATATCACTCGCGGGCGCTGCAGGGGCGCGAGGGGAGGTGCCGGTCGAGGTCGGGGGCACAATCACACTGTGCGGCGGGGAGAGGCATTGCAGCCCGCGACGGAGACAGGCAGGAGCGGCGGTGGTTGCAGGACCATGGGCAGACGGGCGGCGGCAATGGCAGTCACAAAGGAGAGCGCGAGTGTTTCGAGCAGGAGCGGCCACGGACCAGGTAATCCGGAGGGTGGAGCAGCGCAGATACACGCAGATAGCAGCAGAAGCCACGGCAGCTCTAGGCGCGTGGGCTGCGACTCGCCGTCTCGGCCCTCCAATTCGCGCCGGCGGCGTCCAGAGGCGGCCGCGCAGCAGCGAGCGTGGCCGCCTCTGGACGACGACGACGCGGCAGGCAGCCCAGTGCAGCCAGCGAGATGCCAGGACGTCCAAAGCAGCCCGTTCCCCACCCGTGCCTCTGCTTTGGGACCCTGCGCCAGGACGCCGACCGCCGACCGAACAGCCGCGCACAGCCTGCACGCAGCGAAACGGCCGCTTGATCGTCGTTTCCCTCGCTCGGCCGCCCCTAGCGCCGTCGCTCAGACGTCTCAGGCGCGCACCGAGAGTGCGAGACAGAGCCCGTCCTTGTGTGTCCAGCGTCGCCCTCGCGCCCTCGCGCCCGCGGCCGCCTCTCCTGGTGCTGCCTGCGAGCACCTTCCCCATCTGCCGCCCGCATCGTAGCCGACATGGCCCAGTCCCGCGGACCCGCCTAGCCCAGGCACGGCATTGCGTGTGTTGGCTAGCGCGGATCGCGAGTCCGTCCGCACCATCTGTCCAACGAGCGTCCCCACCGCCGCCGATTTCCTGTTTCCAGTTTCCTGGGGTCCGAGGACGTGTTCGCACCGCAGCCAAGGCGCTGACTACGCATGCCATGACGCTGCATGCCCGTGAGCAATGCCAGCCCTTCACCTGCACTGCAGTCGGATGCCATCCCAGCGCGCTCCATGCACGTCAAATCCCGCAAAGACGCCACACAGACCCATGCATCGGCCCGTCTTACAGACCATTGGCAGCCCGAGCGTTCGAGGCGTGACACGGTCACGTGCACAGCAGCATCGAGCGGAGAACGCCAAGTCCAACGTTTCCAGCAGCCTTCTGAGCAGCATGTTGGCAATGCCGTGCCGCAGGAACCTCAGACCGCGGAAGCCGCAGCCCGTGTCGATGCCATACGACCTCTCTGTCGACACAAATGTGCATACAACACACCTGCTCGCCCAGCGCAACGCTGACGCAGTGCTTGTAATACGGCTTGCAGACGCCGCCGCTGTTGCTGCGACAACTACCACACAGCAGCCTACACGATGAAAGACAATGCAGCAGACTAACCACTAAAAACGCCCTGAAGACCTCACCTACACAAGTTCACTGGAACACTCGGCTTCACTCAATACAGCCTTAACTAGCGCACTCTTGGCTAGTCCTCTGCCAACCTGGGCGACCCGGGTACCAACTGAGGCATCTTCAATGCAAGGACAGTGGATCCTTAGATCCTGTCTATGTATACTGACAATGATGTGGCACCACCGAGTGGATCGGTGGCTTCCTGAACCTGCAAGGTCGCACGAGAGGTGAGCATGTACCTTGACCGTTCCCCAGCACGACCCTTGGGGGATTGGATGCATCGAGTAGCCTCGTCACCGGACGCTGTCCATCTTGACTAGGCGCCACTAGCTCTACAATCAGTGAACCATCACAACAAGGCGTTAGAGAAACGTTCAAGTTCCAAGGCAGTCGTCGCCCGGCGCTGCCAAGTAGTATCGTGGATCGTATGGTATAAGCGCTGGACGGCGTCAAGGGAGTTTGGTCGTAGCCACATGCAATAATATCTTTCTAAAAATCGATCCTCCGATGCTCGCAGCGTACGCAATGCCTTTACAAACCACGAACCACCCCTCCTCCATCTAGGAACCCCGATCCTCTGCAAAACAACTCTCTAGACCCGGCTATTAGCATTCAGATCCCAAATCCTCAATGTCTCGCCCTTGCTGCCCCGCTTCTTAGTCTCCTTCTTCTTGCCATCGTACTCATTCAGATTCAGCATTGCCTGGCTGACCTTTGCGAATGTCTGCACCAGCTCGCTCATTCGGCCCGTTCTGAGAAACAGTTCCTGCAGCCACTCGTTGTCTGGGCTGGCGACGAGGTTCGCCATCTCCATAGCCTTGATCGCCGTTTCGCGGTGCAGGAGGAAAGATGACGTCTGTAGAATGGACAGGTATGTAATGACAATCTCGGGAATGTACGCGCGCTTCAGGTCGAGAATGTCAGGCGTGTCGGCCGTGTGTGAGTCGGCGAGTGATGGGATGAGGCTGTCGAACACGGCCGTGATGTTTTCGAGGAGTTCCTTGATTGGCTTTGTGTTGACCTTGGGTTGCGCCCGTTGACTACAAATGGTTAGTTCTGGTGATCTGAGTGTTGAGGGAAGGCGAACGCACTCGATGACTTCTTGTTCTTTGGCACGCCACTCGCGGAACATAGCAAGGAGGCGCACAATTTGCTGGAGGTCATAGTAAGGCGCGCTGCGGGCTCTCAGGTACAACACAATCTGCTCGTGATGCTCGGGATCAGGAAGTTGTGAGACGGGGAGTTTGCTCCGGGCTTCGCGCGATAGAGTCTCGCGATGGGCGTGCAAAGCACGCTCGTCCTGTTCCTCCGCACCTGGAGCATTGAAGTCGAAGGGATACCCGCAAAGAGCCTCTGTTCTCGACAAGGAGAGGTATTCGACATTGACCTCTTCGATCATCTTCTCGGCAGCGGCGAGGCGGCCGTTTACTGTTACTGTTAGCCGAGCATATCCACCATAATGTGCAAATACGTACGAAGGAAAATTATCAGTGCGTTCTTGAGATGCTCGAATGTCGCATCGACCTCCGTACTCAGATAATTATACCAGTACACGGCGTCGATGATGCCTTCGTCCTTTGTCTCGACTTTCGAACCGTCGAATACTGGCTTGATTCGCTGGCCTGGCCACAAAAGCTTCTTGTTCGGATCCATTCCTTCCGTTGATTCGAGTAGTGAAAAACGCTTAATGGGCCTGGTGATCACAGAATTACCTTCCTCGTCGAAGTGGATGAAACCACTATGATTGAATGCAAGGAGGAAGCTCTGTGCAACGACTTCAACCGTGTCGACCCTGTACAAGTCGAGCAGAGCAATGCAATTTCGTTGTTCATCTCGGTTCTTGATATCGGGAAGCACACGCGCCAAGGTATAGGCCTGGCGTGTTGTCTCTAGTTGCGCCGCGTAGAGGGGTATCAGCTGGATGCGCTTGCTGAGGCGCAGAAACTCAATGTAGCCCGCGATAACGTTGTCCATCGCCAGACGTTGTGATCTATCCTCGGCACTCAGCAGATCCAGGCCACCTCTGAGCGCGATGAACACGTGTACCAAGGTGCGAAAGGCGTGTGGGTCACTAGCGAGTGTCTGGTAGTGCTGATCTGCTATGGCTGTAGGTTGCCCAGATACAGCCTTTGGTCCCCTGTCGTTCTCTGGCGAGTTCGGGTGAATCATGAGGTTCCCCGGTCGGTCTTCATGCTGCAGCATCTCAGCCAGCGCAACTCCGACATTATGAACAAGCTCCTCCAACGATTGGGCAATCACAGCGCCCTGAACAAGCTTGATCGGTGTAGTTGCCAGAGCTGTCGAAGCCTTATGCTGCTTCAACGCATTAATGACTAGCCTGGGGGAGTTCGTCCATTCCCCAAGGTTGGCAACAGCGTCGTGGAACACGAACCTTTGGCTCAGACTCTGTGTGACTCGGCTCGGGTATTGGCGTTGCAGATAAGAATCGAATCGAGACAACAGCAGTGCGTTGTAATGTGCGTAGAGATGGTCATCCCATGATCGGGCGACATCGCGGGCTTTGTCCAGGTCTCCGCTCAGAAGACCATACACAGCGCCTTCATACTGTAGTCGGGTACCCTGAGCAGCATAAAAGCACATTCGCCGGAACATGTATCCAACTGTATCCCCGGCAACATTGGGAGTACCCGGAGTATGTGACTCGTGAGCTGCGCCTATACTGACGCCACGCCATGCTTCACTCCTATCCATGGCCCATTCGCAGATCTCTTTCCAGGGAACACCGCGACGCATCATCTCATAGCAGACCAACCAGAGAGCTTTCTCGTAGAATTCGTCCGACTTCTCGAGCGCACGCTTCTGACGGGACGGCGCATCAGGATCTAGCTGTGTGACCAGCGGCTGTGATCGATCAGCCGTCTTCAAGATCGAGCTTTCGGGCTTCAATGGTCGGTCCGAGCCTTCCATGCGCTTTGCCTGCTTGATCTTCGACTTTGTGTCCAGCCATCCACTGGTCCAAGTATTGGCGCCCTTGCCAGACTTCTCTTCCAACACCGCAGTGATTGAGTCAATATCGCTCTCGCTGTCCTGTGCAGTCTGCTCTAGCCAGCGTAGTATCAAATCCTTCTCTTTCGCCTGCTCATCCTCCAGTAGGAACCGGTCCCAGATCTCACTGTTTGGGCTGTACCGCTTACTTCCCCCAACCTTGTCCAGTTGCGCTCGATTCCCCGACTCGATGTCTCTCCCGGGTTCGGGGTGATAGTGGTCGATGATAGTGCGCAGGAGATCCCACGTTGCTAATTCAGCCTGCCATTGCCGCAATTCTTGTACGCTTGTAGAGTCGAGCGGGGTGCTGGGTTCGGCAGACGGAATGACAGATTGAAACGACTGTCCAAATGACCCTTCTCCCATATGCTGTACGCGACGGCGTGTGCTCTTGTTCAGCGCTCCTTGGTTCTCTGCACCACTCGTACCCTTCAGTTCTTTCACCTGGGATTCGGCAACGTCTCTGAAGTGCCCGACCATATTCATTGTCGCCTGATGCTTGGCAGCAGCACTATCCTTCCCTTGTGTGTGCCAGTGGTCGACCCTTTCGGCGAACTTTTCCACCTCTTTGCCGACTCGATCGGCCATTGCGCGCAAAGGTTGAATTGGGTCGCTGGAGGAAGTGCCATTGGTTGCGCGCGTGTTGCCAAAGAGCGACGGTACAGCACCACTTATCTATATGAATTCCTTAGCAGGGGGTTTAGATGCAATGCTTTGAAGCTTTGGACATTTACCTGCGCTGATTGCGCCTGGCGCGCGAAAGAGAAGGGAGCCATCTTGCGAAACAAGGAATATGATTTCTAGTGCATTAGTTGTAGCCGCAGCTGCAGGCACAAGTGTAATGTCGACTTGAGGTGCTGTTGAACAGAACGTTGGTGGCAGGAGTTGCGTTCACAGTTAGACAAAACAGTCGCGTACCTAGCTCCATGTTCAGCGAAGCACGCCCAAGCGCCGCGTCTCCGCTTGGCACGCTAGTGCGCGTATAAAATTTTGAAGTTTCGCAACCACGAACTTCTTCTTTAAACAAATGTTTAAAACCTATTGGGCGAGCCCCTGAGTCATCTTTTCGATATTCAATTATGCAAAAGACGCTCGGCTTGTCCTAGAAAGATTATATTTCCCAGTGAACCCGCCAAACTCCCTCGCGGAGTGGTGGACAAGAAAAGGGAGGTATAACATCCTACCGTACTCTCTGTCAATCTGCAGAGTGCCCAGGGGCATCGAGAACGCCGCGTACCGTCTCGTATCGTAGATCTTATTTTGAGAGTACGGAGGCCTGACGGTGATTCGCGTTGGATACGTCACAAATCGGACTTGTCACCAGGAACAATGTCCATCTTGCTAGACTCGAGTACTCCTTAAGCTAAGTATCGTGGTCCCCGGGCTCGGCTTGGGAGCTTGCGTGCAGGCTCCATAGCAGGTTGCTGTCAATACGGCACGCAGAAAAGTTTGATCTCCTTGAGCTTCGTACGAACGAACTCCCAGTGGCCTACGAATCCGTCCGGGCGGAGTATACATTCGAATATCGTTCACGTTATCAAGGACTGTTCTGCAACGTTGAAGTGAGAAGACGCCGAGAGGAGTGTTTTATCTCCAGACACAGTAACACATCACTAGACTAGAAGAAGCATGTAGCTCTCATGCTTGCAGGCACGCGACCGCGGCGCTCCAAAAGATTACCAAGTCGAAGGATGCCTCTCTCGATACTTTAACGGATATTGATTCAGGGTCTACGCAATGGCAGTGCAACGGTCTCTGCGTGCCGAGCACTATCATGTTCCTACTGCGCGTTGCTTTAGTTTGATCCTGTTCCAACAAAGTCTCGTCAGTACCATACCAGACTCTCGGGTGCACACTTTCAATCCACGTACCTGAGCAGATCAGGCTTTGGACATGTCACGCATCTTGCATCATCTCCTTTCTCTTTATAGAAGGCGTTGCAGCATGCATATAGAGCATCGACCTTTGACATGTCAGACTTGTCACATAGATATACGAGTGTGATTGTGTACTTCTTTTCGGCATTTCTCTTCGTTGAAATTGTTCTTCTGTATACAGTCTATGGCCTGTGTTAGTGACAGCCTAGTCTTCATTTCATGACGCACTCTGGATCGCACATGCTCGCGAATGGCATGGTGGATCTTGTCTGAGATCATTCTCAATTTCTCCCTGTCCAGAGTAAGTTTCCATTTAACACAACTGTGGGTGACATCATAACTATACCATGATGAATTGCCTCAAGGGTGTGCTGTGATGAATCCGTGTACTTTCAATCGTTGTACGAGGTAGATAGCTTGTAAGCGATTGTGTAACAAGGTGTGCGGCAATTCGTGAAACACGTGTGGTCCATGGAGCGGAGAGTGAAGGTGAGGGCACACTCGGTTGGTCAGACCGGCTAGTGCGCGAGGAAAGAGCCCCACTGCGCACCTCACTTCTTCGCGACAGCTGCTTGCGCCTTCTAGTCCCTCTCACCATTTACCTTTGCCACCGTTACTCTGCAATCACTCGACGCGTTTGCGCACCTTCACTAAGCTTTCTGTCACCTGACTCGATTCGCGACCCAACGCCGGCCATTCGGTTACCTCCGTGACATATAAAAGGTAGTTCCCCGCCGCCCAACGGCCCTCCGCTCGACTCCTACCGCCTCCGAACACCCACTGACGCGAGAGACAGCCTTGCGCCGCTGCAAATCCACCAACCACACCACGCCTACGTCCAACCCGACGCACAAGCCCCACGCACAAACACAATGTCCGACAACGGTTCGCCAGCTCAGAAGCCTGAGGATGCTGGTCCCTCTGAGCACTTGAACATCAAGGTCACCGACAACAACAACGAGGTCTTCTTCAAGATCAAGCGCACAACTCAGCTTGGCAAGCTCATGAATGCCTTCTGCGATCGTCAGGGCAAGAACATCAACAGCGTGCGATTCCTGTTTGAGGGCACGCGCGTGGGGCCTACCGACAACCCAGACACAGTATGTCCATCAGCCGCAGCAGCCGCCAACAATTCAAATGTCTACGGATCAGGACTAACATATGGACAGCTTGACATGCAGGATGGTGACACACTTGAGGTGCACCAGGAGCAGATCGGCGGCAGCTGGTAGTTGGTGACAACATCGGCGCAGCCGCTTGCTAGCACCATAGCACCACACATGCAGCCGTACGCTTCCGCCCACTTACCTACTCGACACTACGCACGAAGTACATGGCTTGGAGAACTCAACAGAGATCTATGCTTTTAGCGCCGGCGAAGGTGGTATAAGGATGGCTCCTCAGTTATGACCTGGACGATTCGGAATTTGGCGTTTACGGAATCATTGGGCTCGCACGGAGCGACGCCGATCGTGCTTGCATACAGTTTTCAAGGAATGTCATGTGCCGCGATGTCGATTTGAATGGATTCGAGCACCTATCCCCATGCATGTGCCACTGTCCTTCCGCATACGACCCAGTCTAAAGTTGATACCTAGCATCCTCGCAAGCTCCAGGTGGACAGCCATTTCCACGTTTGGGAGCTGACTAATCAACGGCTGTAATCAAGCCGCGAGGGCATTTCAGATCCCATGCCTTTGATCTAATACTAGATTGCTGACATTTGAGAACCATTTCTTTGGATCGGATACTATATCTATCTAAGATCGGATATACAGTCACATCAGCGCAAAGTAGCATCTGCAAACAGCTCTTGATCCTTTCTGCTAAATAATCAAGGTGTAGTGTGAGATATTTCGCAGTAGTAGTAGCTTCAAAGAACAGCCCGTGTTTCTGCGACCCGCTATCCTTGCTTTGTAGAAAATATGCAAAGAGATAGACGCCACACCACTTCCAAGCTCGATTCTGAACATTCACAGTACTCTTCATTAGCTTCTCGCATTAGCAAGCTCACCGACCTTCTTGACTGCTTCCTCGAAGTCGTTGATTGCGAAGATGGGCAAATTCGCTTTCGCCAGAACTTCTTGCCCCTTCTCCTCATTGGTACCTCTTAAGCGCACCACCACCGGCTTGTTGACGCCCAGCTCCTTGAATGCGAGAATAATTCCTTCAGCAATCATGTCCGCTAGCGTCAGGCCGCCGAATATGTTGACGAAGACGACAGCTACGCGTGGATCCGCGAGGATGAGTTTGAACGAGGTCTTGATAGTCTGGCTTGTCGCTTTGCCGCCGGTGTCAAGGAAATTCGCATTTGCAGTCGAGTAGGGCGGCTGGGACAGTCGCAGATGCAGAGCGTCGTTGGTGTTCATCGCCAGTCCCGCTCCATTGACCAACGTACCCACCAGATTTCTTGGCTCACCGGCTGTCAAGCTCGATGTTTCCGGTGGGGTCTGGCTGCTAGCTTGTAGACGACTGTCGGGCTGTGGCGTGTCCAGCGGAATGTACACGATACCGGCTTCCTCGGCTTCAAGTTCGGTAGGCGAGAGCTTGTCGCGGAGTCCGTGCAGGTCGGCTTGCCGCTGGTTGGAGCGGTAGGCGGCATCGTCGAAGAAGAGATAGGGATTGTAGATCTGGATTTCGTCTTTGTTGGGGTTGAGGGAGAGGGCGACGTGCGCGTCAATGGCTTCCTTCTCCGTGTACAGCTTCCACAAACTTTGTATCGTTTCGGCTACCTGGGCTTTTGCCTTTGGGGGTGCGGCATCAAGCTGTAACCACGCCATCGCATCGTTAATGGCCTTTGATGAAGGACCTTCTCTATAGTCGAATGTAAATCTTCGCACGCGCTGATGTAGTTGATCTGGGTTGGCGGTAGGGCTCGCGATAATCGAAGGAGAGCGGTTCACACGGTGAGGTGAGATTCCAAGGTAGTGGCTTGATTGTTGGTCTTCAGGCTTCGAGACCACATTAATGTTATACTTCCTGAGGATGTTGGCGTTTTGCTCAGCTGATAGATGCAGCGAGCGCTTCTGCTGTTGGGCTTTTGTCCGTGTTGGGTTCCAGTTCACCTGGCGGGCCGATGTGTGATAGCTTCGACGCGCTTGAGCTGCGGATTGCTCCTGATATTCTTGTTAAAGCTATCATGCGCACGCTGGAAGCTGCAACTTACGATCTTCCTCACGTTACGGCCAGAACTTGCCAAGATATTCTTCATCACACCGCCGAACTTGGCTGGATGATCAACCATAGTGACTCCAGCAGCCTCAAGCGCTTTGTATTTGACTTCCGAATTTCCTTCTCCGAGGCCAGTCCAGGCTCCTGCATGGCCAGTAACCTTCCCAGGTTTTGCTTGGAAGCCACCGATGCAGGCAGCGATTGGCTTAGGGTTCGACATTCGCTTGTTGTAGTCCTTGATCCAGTCTGCGGCCTCTTCTTCATTGGTGCCACCCAGCTCACCTACTAGGATGATGGCTTCTGTGTCATCGTCTGTCTCGAAGACCTTCAATGCGTCCACAAAGTTGGTTCCGGCGATCACATCACCGCCCATACCGATGCATAGACTTTGCCCCACGCCTGCTCTTGTGAGGGAGCCTACAGTCTCGTATGACAGAGTGCCTGATTTTGCGATGATGCCTATGTGACCGGGCGAAAAGGTAGGCAAGGGTTGGAAACCGATTCTACAACGCCCAATAGCCGATATGATGCCTGGTGCGTTTGCGCCAACGAGTCTTGATTTCGATTGTGATTTCAACATGGAGTGTATCTGGTATCAGTCAGCATGTGTCTTGCATTCTCATCAGGACTACTTGCCCTCATGATGTCGTGGATAGGAATGTGCTCTGCGACTGCAACAATGAGTGGCACTTCTGCTTCGATGGCTTCTTCAATGGCAGCTGCAGCTTGAGGCGCTGCGACATAGATACCAGTCGCATCCGGCTTCAACTGCTCCATGGCCTTCCGTACAGAACCAACAACAGGAAGACCTAAATGTTCCTGTCCGTCTTTCTTTGGGTTCGTTCCACCGACGACATTTGTTCCCCATGCGATTGACTCCTGTGCATTGGCTGTAGCGAGCTTTCCTGTGAAACCTTGGAATATGACACGAGTGTGCGAGCCAATTTTCAGATTCTGGATGGTGTCATCGTATCCATTGCATCTTGGTGTTGTAGAGAAGGCTGCTTGGAGTATACGTCGGTTCAAATATTGGGAGCCAAGTGCTTTGCTGCTCAAGCAGCCTGCGTGTCGTGAAATCATGACACGGTCTCAAGCTCGTAGCAGCAACTTGTGAGGCACGATCAGAAAACAAAGGAACGGACACGCGTCTCGCAACAGCAGTACAGCTTGTGCGCCCTTCAAGAACACCCAATCGAGCTTTCAAGGCCTTGATTTAGTGCTTCAAAAAGTTTTGGGGAGAGCCGTAGTTTTGAGTGACGCGCACCAGAGATGGAATCTGGGCATAACCGGCGGCTACTTGCGAGTAACCGGCTGGCTACCCCTCAGCCGCCGGCATTCGGAGCAGCCTCAGAGCGTGTTTGTGTCCCGGGCACATGCTTGAGGCTGCTTATAGATTTCGAGTCGCGATGTTGACGGGGTTGATGGCGACAATGTGTGTTCGACCTCGGAACACGCCATGCAGATGGTATCCGCCGTCACATGTTGTTGTTTAGAGGAAAATGGTCATTACTCAGATTTGACCTGTCATACACCCAACGTTGTGCGTAGTACTAAAGATAACATTTCAGTGTTGCTATAGCTTAATGATGCTACAGCTATTGTGGATGTCTCTTATGAGGACTCCAACGTTCTCGAACTGATCGCCCGCCAACGACGCGTTCTTCCCTGTTGTAATGCAGGAACACGCAATGCGCCCTGGTCGTCCATCACGTTACATAACAATGCGCCTCACTCACAGGACTGACGGGCTCCCAACACAGCAGCCTCACCGCCCACGGTTCTTTAAATACTCGGAACCATCTGAGTCTAGAAGGTTGCAGAGACGGCTGGAAACAGCGGGGCCCCTGGCAGCAATAGGCATGGATCTGGATGACGCGCACCCTCCCCACAATTTCTGGTGGACGCATACACGATCTTGGGATGCTTGCGCGGGCTCATCGGAACATCGCCGTGGACGAGAGGTGTTTCACGTTAGTCTGTGAATATAGAAATGGTTTAGTGGTGGGCTGTTCCTTGCTTTGTTGTACAGCTACAAAAATATCTCGCTTCCCTGGTCACCAGGCATTGTTACACATCGTGCTCCAACACTTGACCGCACCGTTGCAATCCCCAGACTACCCCGCAAAACCTCCCGCTCACGCCATTGAATCCTGTCTGCGCTCGCAATCCCATTGAGACAACGTCGACACACATATTCGAACCATGTCAGCCGCAGATTCCATCCGCAAAACGCCCAGCGAAACGGGTACGCCATCCTCACATGCGCGATCCAAGATGCCACCACTGACACGCACCCAGAGATCGTAGCCACCCTCTCACACCTGAAGCTCTCCACCACCGTCCCCCAGAAGCCGCTCCACAAGCCAAAATCCAAACCCGTTGCCGACAGCTGGGATCTCGAGTCCTCCGGCTCCGACACCGAGACCGAGGCTTCTGATGCTCCGCTGTCGATCATTAGCACCGCAAGCACTGCGAACAATGATGAGCTCCCCCCGCACCCTCCGCCGCCAACCCCCGCGTCCCCGACTCCCTTTGACTTTCCGGATGACTCGGTCTATGGCGCCGGGCGGTTGCGCGGCGACAGTGGCGTGAGTTCGGGACTAGATAAACGGCCCGAGAAGACAACTGCGGTTGCGGGGCGGATGATTGCGGGAGCGCTGGGCATACGTGCGCCGAAGAGGACAGAAGAAGAGAGGGAGTTTGACCGGGCGATGCGAGAGAAGGAGAGGAAGAGGCGCAATGAGGAGAGGGAGAGGGAGAAGAAGGAGGGAGAGGAACGGGAGGCCAGGAAGAAGGCTGTGTGGGATGATTAGGCCTGGTCGGTTGCAGGACGGGCAACTCGACGTGACGCTGCTGATGATTCATGGCTCCCCTCTCGTGTATATCATGTCCCCTCCAGATCCACCTGGCCACTGGACGACTGTCTTGCGAGTTAAGCATTTTTTCTTGACCTTGTACATATTACATACATAACATAGCTGGCCATGGTGAAATGCACGGCGCCCTCAAACAGCGAGCGCGAGGAATTTCATTAAAATACTCTACTTCATCATTGGAGATGGTTGCCCCATCCCAACCATTGTACAAACGAATGTACACCGTCCAACCGCAAGGACATGCAAACGCCAAATGAGCAGAAGATTGTAAGGTATCTGCTATAAGTAGATCGTGTGTGATCGACGAATACAGAATGAATTCAGAATCCAACACTGGTAATGCAGACAAAAAGCCGACCGTCAGGAACTAAGGAAACATGCTACCTCCCAGCTATACTGCGAAGTACTGGATGGCCGTGCTGAGCTGTGTTAGCTGGTGTGTCGGGGAACGAATGTGAGTGTACTGACCCAAGTGCTGCCATTACTGTCAGGCCGACAAGCGCTCTCCTTGTAACCTTCTCCTTTGTAAGCTTCTGCTCTGTCGTGTACAGCTTTTTGGTGAGCTTGGCCGGTCTCTCGGCTTCGAGCTCCTCCGGGTCAAGGACATCTTCGACCTTGCGCTTGGACGATGTGAGGGTGCTCGAAGCGCCAGCATCCAGCTCTCGTGCCTCCTCGACCATGCGTTTGGCTTCCTCGATCATCTTGGTCGGGTCCTCGGGCTCGCGTAGCTCTGGGAATGTTGCAGGCACGTCAATTTGGACGTTTGTCGTTGTAACTTCCGAGTCTCCCTTCTGTTCGACAGTCTCCTTGACTTCGATGCGCACCGTCTCGGACTTGACACCGCTGTCTTGCGCGTCCTGAACATCTCCACTCGCGGCCACGAGCGACTCCGACGGCTTCACACCGTTGGAGACCAGCGCTGACGACGGCGACTCAGTCGCGATGCTTTGGAAAATCTCTTCGGCTTTCATAGCCTCAGAGCGGCCGCGGGTAGCGCGCGACTTGCGAGGCGTGGCGAGCTTGCGGCTCGGTGTAGCCATCTTACTAGGCGACACACTCCTGGTAGATCGGGCGCGGGTTGTGCGCAGCGACGCGGTGTGAGGAGGAAGCTTAACGTTTTGCGCCTTGCTCAGATCGAACTTTGGGGGTGCTTGGATGTGAACGTTGTGCTTGTCCTTTGCGCCCTTCTCGATTGGCTCATTGTCCAATAGCGCTAGAACCCAGTGGCGCATCGAGTACTCGTCGGCAAGTGAAAGTGCTGTGCGGAATCTCGTTAGCCGCGCGCGCTTTGCGCAGATAGCTTCTTCACTTACACTCTTCTGGCGCGATCCAGACGCTGCCTGCGACCTCGTCGGGGCCCGCAGAGGGGAACGTCTTCTGGTACTTGCGCTCGGCTTCTTCCTCGGCCAGCGTGGCCCAAGGGAACGCGGCCTTGAACATGCCAGTTGCGCTGATGTACCCATCGCTGCTGCGGCGCTGTCCTCATCGTTAGTCCAGTGTTTGCGCTTTGCCGTCGATGCATCGTCGTACCATTAAAAAGTAGGATACTGGATATCCGTTGCTGCCGGGCATGAAAATCTCAGAGCCAGAGAGGTCCTTGGGCAGAGGCACGCGCAGATGCGCGTAGTCAAACAGGCCACTGTTCTGCGGCTTGGTCGCGCTGGTCACACCAGTCACGCCAGTCTTGGTACCAAGGTTTGTTTGACCCAGGCGGCGCCTCTCGATGAGAATCTCGACTGCGGGACACGGTCAGCTACTGCGACGCGATATGCGCGATGCGCCATAGGTACGTACTGGCGGTGCTGTCCGTTGGCTCAAGGAGCGGGTTCATGCGCTCGGGAAATTGACGCGTCGTAGACATTGTCGCGAGTATAAATGTTGGTCACAAGTGATGTAGTGTGGTGAGGCGCGCAGCGTGGTGTGGTCGCGGCAAGAGTGGAGCGTCACGGCGACGTAGCGCGGGAGTCGCGGAGAGGAGCGTGTTGCGAGGGCGAAGAATCGAAGACAACAACGCGATCAAGCGTTGGCAGGCAGAAGGCTCGGGCGCGTCTTGGTCAAGGTGAAGGAAAGGTGCGCGAGCGTCGACGATATTGAGCTTGGAGGTTTGTCGCGTCTGGGAGGAGGAAGGAGCTATGGAACGGATCGCACGCTAGGCTCGCTTTGTCGGTCCCTGATGCCCGCATTCCCATGAGTCGCGAAATTTCACTGGCTGCAATTCGAGCTTCTACCTTCTTGGACGTGCCGATTGGTCATTCGATGCTTGAGTCCTAACACGGCGCCGATTCAGTGGTGTTTCTTAGACACGCGGTGAGCAGCCCACCAATCGCTCGCAGTCGGTTTCTTGAGCGAGTCGCATTGCCAAACCCCAAGCCTGCCCCGTAGCCGTTCTGCACCAGGGGTGCTTGGGAGTAAGCCCTTCGCTGCAGCGGATGGCAAAGCCTGTGGAGCGGCTGGCCAGGTACTTCTTGACACGGTAAGAACTCATATCACGGGCATGTCTATTCTCTGGATCGCCAGTGTTGAAGGATGCTCCAAAATTAAGGGCCCGTTGGATTTGGACAGGGGCACGTCGAGCTGTGGAGCTCACTGCAACCCGACCAAAGACAGCGGCTGTCTGGTGTCTCAACCTTGCGCAGGCAGCGACGTGCGACGTGGACATGCACGCCGCTCTGCATGTCACTGGTTCGCAGAAGGAACAAACGTCTTGGTGGTACAGCACGAGCAGCGATTGCAGATCTGAGGTGCTGTCGCGCGCCCCGCCTCGTACCCTGTGGCTCTTGCATCAAGCGGTGAATGCCTGCCCCACTATTGCTAAGTCGAGGCTGTCCAACGAGCAGCAACACACTCGTCTTCAAACACACCGTAGTCTACCTCAGGTATCCAGAACTTACCCACCCATTCTTCGCAAGCAGCCATGGCCGACCAGCACGATGACCTCCGCGCCGAGCAGACAGAGGGCTTCCGGGTTGGCGAGAAGAAGACGCTCGACGAGTACCAGAACTTGGGTAAGTGAGGTCAGCTTCGGCTCTCATCGCCTCGACTACTGCAATTGCTGTGATTGCTGACTCTACGCCCGACAGACAAGGAGGACGAGGCGCTGAACAAGTGGAAAGCTTCCCTTGGCCTTGGCCAGGGCAAGGACATCTCCGACCCCAACGACCCCCGCAAATGCATCATCTACTCGCTCGGACTCGAAGTCGAGGGCCGACCCGACATCATCATCGACCTCAAGTCCCCTGGCGCTCTTGAGGCTCTCGAGAAGAAGCCCTTTGTGATCAAGGAGGGAGCTACGTTCCGCATGAAGGCGCAGTTCAAGGTGCAGCACGAGATTCTGGCTGGCCTAAAGTACCTCCAGAAGGTTACACGCATGGGTGTCAGCAACAAGATGCAGGAGATGATGGTAGGGCACGGCGTTGTATCACAAGCAGGAAGACGCTAACTGTTTGGACAGGGCTCGTATGGACCCAGCACAGAAGAGAAGCCGTTCTACGAGAAGAAGTGTAAGTCGGGCCTAGATGTCACACAACCCCACATGGGCTAACACGACTGCAGTCGAACCCGAGACGGCTCCTTCCGGCATGCTTGGCCGCGGCCACTACACGGCCGTGTCCAAGTTCGTTGACGACGACAACCAGACTCATCTGCAGTTTGTGTGGTCCTTCGACATCAAGAAGGACTGGTGAGGGCTCGGCGCGGGCGATATCTGATTCGAAGTGGCTGGCCACTTAGCTGGCATTGGATGCAGACCAAGCGGTGGATATGGATGTCAGGGCGCGCCCAATGACGACTCAATGGCTGACGAAGTCGATGATTTCCAGACGCAACAACCCATAGCATAGCGAACCAAGACATTTGCACGTTCTGCACGTATTGCAGGACATTTGGCAGTGTTCAAGCGGGCTCTGAGTTTGTGTGACGACCGGCAAGATGCTGGAAGCGAAACCACCGTGCCGCGATTCTCTCTGCCGTGACGGTGCGCCCGGCCCACGAGCGCTCGCCGGCGGCGGAGCCAAAGCGTCGCGCGGAGACGTTGAGGATGGACACGTCCTGGTCCCACGGGTCGTGCATGCGGTCGTCGGGGTCGCCGTCCGACATGGCTGCGTCGTCGGCGGGGGGCAGCACGGCGGGGTCCAGCACGGCGGGGTCCAGCTCACCGGCCTGCTGCCAGTCCTCGCACTCGACCAGCTGCAGGGCGGCCCCAGTCCTCGCGGCGGCGTCGACGGCAGCGGCAAAGGCGCGCGACAGGCCCTGGGCGGAGAACGACGGGGTCGGCTTGTGCAGCGCCAGCAGGTTCACCAGCACCAGGGCCGCCCCGCCCCCGCTCTCCGCGCCGTGCTGCCCGTGCGCCTGTCGCGGGCGGCCGTACGCGGCCAGGAAGGCCAGCAGGGCCTGCACCGAGGGGCAGAAGGCGAGGCCGACGTGGCGCGCGACGGACAGCGTGTGGACGGTCGGGGCCAGCCGCTGCTGCAGGCCGCGGCCCGGACGCGTGCCCTGGGGCTGCAGCGCGCGGGCGAGGGCGGCGACGAAGCTGGCGCGGTCTGCGCACACGACGACCGTGGCCGGCGACGCGGGCGGGGCAAGCAGGCGGTCGAGCAGGGCCGGCAGCGTCAGCGGGCGCAGTACGGTCGGTGGTGGGGCGCGGGCGGGCGCGGGCACAGCGGCCATAGCAACCGCAGTCGCAGTCGTGATGGCAGCGGCAGCAGTGGTGAGGGCGGCGGGCTGCGGCTGTGGCTGGTGCCGGTGCTGGGGCGGGCAAATGGGAAGGCGGCGAGCATCCCCGCGGCGCTCTGCAGCTCAGTCGCGCCATCACACACTGCCGCCCGCTGCCCACCACCCCTCCTCCCATCTGCCCGCCCTGCCCGCTGCGCGCGGCCCTCCCCCCCCCCGAACTCGCATCGGCACGCTGCCGCGCTGAGCTGAGCACGCCGAGCTGGCGCGCGCCGGTCCCGCCGGGCTGCCATGCAATCCATCAGCCGCATCTCGAGCCTGCTGGAGACTGGTATGTGCGGGTCCGCTGCTCCTCTGTGCCCCCCGTGCCCCCAGCGCCCCCAGCGCCCCCCCAGCCCTGCAAATTTGCGCTGCCGCTGCTTGCGGTGCTGGCGCCGTGCCCGGCCGTCTGTCGCGGCCTTGCTGCCCGCTGCCCGCCACGCCCGCGCCTGGGGTTCACCCTGCCCGCGGCCATGCACCCGTCGAACTTCGCTCACTGGTCCCTCTCCACAGCCCGCGACCTGACGCTCGAAGCCGCCCGCGACGCCAGCAATGCCCGCAAGCCGCCCGCGCGCCCGCTGCCCTCGGCCCAGCTCAAGAAGCTGCTCGACAGCCGCGCCGAGCGCGATGTGCTCGAGGGCCTCCGCCGCGTCGTCACCATGTCCTACCGCCAGCCGCCGTCGCAGACCCTGCCCTTCTTCTCGCACGTCATCAAGAACGTTGCGTCGCCGTCGCTGCCCGTCAAGAAGCTCGTGTACATCTACCTGCTGCAGCACGCCGAGCACGAGCCCGACACGGCCCTGCTGTCCATCAACACCATCCAGAAGTCGCTCACCGACCAGAACCCGCAGCTGCGCGCCCTCGCCCTGCGCGTCATGTCCGGCATCCGCGTGCCCGTCATCAGCCAGATCGTGAGCCTGGCCATCAAGCGCGGCGCCGCCGACATGTCGCCCCACGTGCGCCGCGCCGCCGCCCTGGCCATCCCCAAGTGCTACCGCCTGGACCCCGCCACCGAGCCGCAGCTGCTCGAGTACCTCTCGACCCTGCTCGCCGACAAGCAGTACCTGGTCACCGGCGCCGCCGTCGCCGCCTTCCTCGACATCTGCCCCGCCCGCCTGGACCTGATCCACCCGCACTACCGCGCCCTCGTGCGCAAGCTGCCGGACATGGACGAGTGGGCCCAGCTGGCCACCCTGCAGCTCATGATGGTCTACTCGCGCAAGTGCTTCCCGAGGCGGACGAGGAAGGTCAAGAGAGCCGTGCCCGCCGTGACCACGACGTCGAAACCTGCAAAGTCCACAAAGGGCTTCTACGAAAGCGAAAGCGACGACGAGACAGAAGAGGACGACGACCAGGACTTTGAACACGTCGTCGTCCTTGACCCGGACCTCGAGCTTCTGCTGAAGAGCTGTCTTTCTCTCCTCCAGTCGCGCAATGCTGCAGTCGTCATTGCCGTGGCCCGCACGTACCTATACTTGGGCACTCCCGACTACGTCGTCTTGGCTGTCGGACCCTTGGTTTCGCTTCTGCGGTCGGCTGGAGACATCCAGCATGTTGCTCTCTACAACATTGTCCAAGTCTGTTTAACACACCCGGAGCCATTCGTCAGGTACTACACACATTTTCTGGTCCGCTCGACCGACGCTCCGCATGTCTGGCGGCTCAAATTGGAGCTGCTAACACTGATCTTTCCCCACGCCCAGCCCAGGCTACAGAGCTTGATTCTGGCGGAGCTCAGTCATTTCTCACACTCTGGCAGTCTGGACCCGGCCCTCGTCAAGGAATCCGTTCGTGCGATAGGTAGATGCTCGCAAAGCCCCGCTACAAGCCCGCAAACGTCAGCGCGATGCTTGAGACTGCTTCTGAAGCATATTGGCTCCGCAGACGTCCATCTCGTTGCCGAGTCGCTTGAAGTCATCCGCCACCTCATCCAGCGCAACCCAGATGCTCACCGTACAACCGTGGTCCGACTGGCAAAACATCTCGACGCCGCAACAAGTCCACAAGCACGTGCGAGTATAATATGGCTTGTTGGCGAGTTCGCCGGTCTTGACCCAGACAACAACATTGCAGCAGACGTGTTACGCATTTTAGCAAAGGGCTTTGCTGAGGAAGCAGAGCCCGCAAAGCTGCAGATTATGCTTCTAGCGGCCAAGGTCTACATTCACCATCTACACGCCAACCCCCCACCCTCCCCTGTGAAACAAGAAGAGACTCTAGAATCAACCACTACCCTGCTAGACATGCCCGAAGAAGAGGGTGGTTTCCGCGACGAACATCTCGAAAACCCTACGCCTATCGAGCCCCAACACAAAGAGTCACCACATCAAATCGAAGCATTGTATAACTACATCCTCGCATTGACACGATACGACACTTCTTACGACCTCCGCGACCGCGCCCGTGTGTACAGATCTCTCTTGTCGTTACCGTCTTCAACTCAATTAGCCTCGCTCCTCTTGCTCGCGCCGAAGCCGGTTCCACACATCCCCTCGCCATCCGAGACACGCAAGAACTATGTCCTGGGCTCCGCATCACTAGTCATTGGTGATGAAGGCGGTGTCGGCGGTCTGCGCGGGTATGAAGATTTACCGCCGTGGGTGAGAGAGGGCAAAGAACCTGATCCGTCGTTGCGTGACGAGACGTCTTCGTCAAATTACGTTTCTGCGTATGAGGTTGCCAAGAACATGAGTGCGAGTGAGAGGCTGGATGCTGCAGCGCAGGTTGATAACGAGAGGCAGAGGATGCCTGAGACTATTGCTTCTTACCGGTCGAATGGAGTCGGGGCCGCAGAGAAGCCGGCACAGAAGGAGAAAACGCTTGATGATTGGCTGGCAGAGAGCAGTGGGAGTGAAGAGACTGATGATGACGATGAAGAAGACGACGATGAGGGGGAGAGCGAAGAAGAGAGCGAATATGAGACAGAGAGTGAAAGTGGCGACGAGAACGACAGGCTTGTCAAGTAACCTTTGGCGGAAACAAGCGGCATGAAATGCCCACTAAAGAATCAATCCTCTGTCACAAGCATCTACTTGTTATCTGTCCTACTGTCCCATCCGGATAGTCAGCCACAAGCCGCTGGGCCTCGTGAATGCGTAACACATAGAGAGCTTTCACCGTAGTCTTGTACGCCCACCCACATCTATAGAACTGATTGCGAGTTGAGCTGTATCTCATAACCACCTACAAGATTTCGACAGTCCCAAACACTCTCATTACAAGTATCGACGCGAACGCCTGACAACTGCACCGCAGCTTTTCGACAATAAAGTGCAAGCTCCGCAAATCACGTCGGCGCAGATCGTATGAACAGCCAACTCACCTGCTGTATTCCACTCTACCGGATTAATCACCTGCAACCAAACTTTAAGACACGCAGATGAACTAGAAGAGAGCAGTACTTGGACATGGAACTGGAGATTGGCCTGCGCATACCTCATGCATACGTGAAAATTAGTGAATAATAGATGCTTGTGAAAATAGACTGAGAACTGAATACAACAACAGTAGCAGTAAACAGAAGGGGGAAGACAGTATGCGACAGGCTTATAAAGAAAGATTTTGATGCCAGACAATCGTGAAGATACGGAAGACGTCAAACCAGGCCTTGGGGGTGACCAAGAACGCAATAACGCCATGCTATGCCCCATCGTGAGTGATGAAAGAATGTAGAAACAAAAAAACAAAATGTCAGTCAATCTGTAGTGCTGATCGCCCCAATGTGCCTTCGGCGAACGATGAACGGACTGGTGTCAACCAGAGGGTCTGAATGGTGGCGAGGCAGGATCTGCATCGACGACAGGATCGAACCGGACTGCAAACAAACCTAACGGCGGCTGCTAGTCGTCAGTAACACTGGTTAAAGACAAAAGTCAAGTGTTGTATAAAGTTTGAGTCCTTACCCATATGCTGCATCAACTTGGGAGCGACGCTTCCTCTTGGTATGATCATCATGCTCTCGTACGCGATCGTCGTCGGCGTCAGTATCACCATAGCTCCTCTTCCTGGACGCAGAGCTGTCGTTGCGTTCGGACTTCGAACCAGGGGTAAGGGATATATCATTGAGATCGGTCGGGTTCTCGATTCCAAAGTCAGACCCAGCTGCGGTTCCATTGCTAGCCTCAGACCGAGCAGGACTTCCTCGCCCCCCATTAAAGCCTTTGGCGTGATATTGCTGGTGACGGTTGCTGGGGTTCCAGGGATCGTATCGGTTTTGCTCCGGAGGAGGCGGAGGGGGCGGAGGTGGACCTACGATTGAAGAGGATATCGAGCCATAGGATCGCTGCAGCAGAGAGTGGGCACTGCTGGCAGGAGCGCCACTTAATGACTGACTTCTCTGCTGCTCTGCCTGAGGTCGAGATATTGTACTAGCAATCATTAGCTTCTTAACGCAAGCGAGCATTGGCTTGACTGACGAGGATTGTAAAGGTAGACTGGGTTTCTCAGGCAGCGAGACAATTGACTCAATCTCTTGCACCGGAGCTGGAAAAGGCACTGACTCTTCTGACACAGGCTTAGGCAAGCCTGTAACTCCAAGTGAGGCAAGTATATCTTCTTGCGTCTGAGGTCTACAATGTTGTGATGTACGGTCTCGGCTCGTAGATCTAGGCTTCTCGCCGCTCGCTGACAACACTTGCTCTAGGTGATCCATCACACTCCAATCAGCTTCGTGCATCTCTGCGTCCGCGGTGCTGGCATCCAAATCGACTAGCTCGTCTGGCCGATCTCGTTGGGCGATGCAGTCCTCGATGGGTACGAGATTGTTTTGCATCTCTTCGTCCGCGAAGGTCACAAAGGCGGGATCATCCTTGATGCAATCCCATTCGTCAGTTTGCCTAACGTTTAGGAATGCCTCATGAGAATTCTCTGTCGTGAAATAGATGGACACTGACTCGCCGTTTCCTAGCTTTTCAGGAGTGGGCTTCAGGGATTGCTCCTCGGCCTCCTCGAATGTGGCCGGCAATGCTCGAGTCACCTGCTTGGCTGGATGCCAGATGATGACACCGAGACTAAGATTTGGATCCACGGGTTCATTGCTTTTGGGCCAGATGGCGCCGTCGAAATCAAAATCCCAATCATCCCATGCCAGATAGAGTTCTGGCTTTTGGTCTGTCGTATTATCATGCAAGGTGGCACGAGACGATAATGTTGATGGATCCTGACCAAGATGGGCGGTAGCAGGTGTTGGGGTTGCATTGGAATCCGTCATCGGTTGGTCAACGACATCTGAGCCACTCTGCCCGTTGTACTGATTCTGTAGCGGATAATTTGGCTGCGATTGTGTCCGAGACCAACCCTTGACATGATTGTACGCTTGCTGGCCAGCATCTACTGCTGTTGTGCGTGCCGGATATGGTGGATATGATGTGTTTGGTGCTGCATAGCCTTGGGTGCCTGGGTAAAGAGATGGCTGTGAAGAGGGTTGACCTGGTTGGAAGCTTTGCAAGGGCCATTGGTAGTTCTGTCCTTGAGGGTACGATGGCGGATAAGTAGATGCTTGTGGAGGTCCATAATGTGGAGGGGGATATACTTGTTGGGGAGGTGCAGCAGCATAAGCTTGGACTGGATAGGTAGGTTGTGCTGGAGGCACTTGCGGGAAGCCAGGCTGTGGTGGGGCTTGATACTGAGCAGAATGCTGAGCAGTATGGTAATGCCCCTGAGGCTGTGCCGGCCCTCGATATCCTGGAGGAGGAGGATAACGCGTTATGATTGGATTGCCTTTCTTCTTAGGTGGTCTAACAACCCATCAACACAAGCCGACTGACAGGCCTAGAACATATCGAACTGACGGCCGAGAAAGGAAAAGTTCGCTTACCTGCTGTCGTGTGATCGTTGCGGCGGCCCAGGATACGGCGGTCCCTGTTGATACTGACCGTAAGTTGGGTGCTGACCATACTGGTGAGGTGGATGTTGGCCATAGCCAGATTGATTGTTTGCATATGGTGCTGCCTGGTATGGTGTAGCACCGGCCACAGGCCCGCTCCACGACATTTCACCACCCGCAGAAGAGGCGGACGGACGACCCCGATGGGAATTCGTCGTCTCCTACCAGCTTAGGCTAGGTATAGTCCGAATCAGCTGTTCCTAGGTGGAGTGGCGTGTGACCTTCGAGGAAAGAAAAGCTGCCGAATGAAGTGCGTGTTCCTCAAATTTGGACGAGAGAACACGTGCCAAGGGACACCGGAAAACACAACCTCTCATGAATTAAATCTTTGGCACTTTCTAGGAAGCAAATCGACTGGTCAAATTGTGCGACTGCGAACTACCGGCGCTGAAAACTTGAGACGAGGCGGAAATGCTGAAGCTGGAAGGGCCGCTGATGCAAAAAGACTGCCAGCTACCAGAGATTGCAGACGCAGACGCAGACGCAGATGCAGGGCTGGCACGGCCGTTCATGGAAACAAGGCGAGGTCGGCAAAGCGGACGGTAAAGAACTGTGGCACAGGCGAGCGTTGCTCATCGGGCTTTGTATGGGAGGCATGGTTGACACAGCTCGAGAGGCCTTCCTAGCTTCTTAGTCACCCGAGCTTGGCCAGATGCGGGATGGCGACGGTAGAGGAAGCGACAGCGCAGTGTTCGTGGTTGCGCCATCACTTGCACCTCACGTCCCGATGCGTCTCCAACGATGATTGTACGGTATCGACACCTGCTAGCGACTACCTTGGCCTCGATACCCTGAGCCTGCTGTCCATGCCGCTTGCTTGCACAGCAACCCCACCGACACTATGCCTGGTCTCCCATGTATGTCACGCATGGGCGCGGGGGCGCGCGACACACGGCAATGCTGACAGCGCACAGCTACCGTAGACCTCGACGAGTGCATATCGCGGCTGTCGAAGAAGGAGCTGCTTGCCGAGTCGGTCATCGAGGCAATATGCGCCAAGACGAAAGAGCTTCTTATGAAGGAGAGCAACGTAGTGCACATCAGAGCGCCCGTGACCGTCGTCGGCGACATCCACGGCCAGTTCTTCGACATGATGGAGATTTTTAAGATTGGAGGGCCATGTCCAGACACAAACTACCTCTTCCTTGGTACAGCCGCGCTGCTCAGCTACTACGCGACCCGCCTCGCTGACAAACTCCAGGTGACTACGTCGACCGCGGCCTGTTCTCAGTCGAGACCATATCGCTGCTGGTGTGCCTGAAGCTCCGCTACCCACACCGAGTCCATCTCATTCGCGGCAACCACGAGTCGCGCGGTGTTACCCAATCCTACGGTTTCTACACTGAGTGTTCCCGAAAATATGGCAACGCAAACGTGTGGCATTATTTCACCGACATGTTCGATTTCCTGACGCTATCTGTGGTCATCAACGACCAAATCTTCTGCGTCCACGGCGGTCTATCGCCCTCGATACATTCCATCGATCAGATCAAGATCATCGATCGCTTCCGAGAGATCCCACACGAAGGGCCCATGGCAGATTTGGTTTGGAGCGATCCTGACCCAGAACGAGACGAGTTCTCGCTCAGCCCTCGCGGAGCAGGATATACATTCGGCGCGCAAGTCGTGAAGAAATTCCTAGAGGTCAACGCCATGTCGCACATTCTGCGAGCACATCAGCTGTGCCAAGAGGGCTTTCAAGTTCTCTTTGATGATCGACTAAGCACTGTATGGAGTGCTCCCAACTACTGCTATCGGTGCGGGAACATGGCCAGCGTGCTAGAGGTTAGCGATACCGGCGAACGCTTCTTCAATGTTTTCGATGCTAGCCCGGACAATGATCTACACAGAGCTGAGCAGCAGCAGCAGCAAGGCAAAGAAGTGACAACTGAGTACTTCCTATGATACCCGCAGTACCTACCCACGCTTTATGGCTTCGGCATGGGCTTGCATGTTCCTCTGTGTAGATTGTTTAACATAAGACATCCCGGGTCCTCTGAAGAAATGAGGTGGCAGATATCAGATGGGAACCATCTCCAGCATCTTAATTGGCAACCACTTCATGGCGGGACTCTATTCAAACCTGATCATGTGGTGCACTAGATGTTTGGACGTGGAGCTTGTCATTCAGCGTGCAAACTAGAAACGTCCAAGCCGGCGTTCATAAAACGCTGAACATTACACCTGAAATGCACAACACCTCATACAATGCTGTCTTTTCCCTCTACCAGTCCCCGAACGCCGTGCGCACTCAATAAATGTCAAGCTCATCATCTAACGGGTAGCTGGTTTTGCCACTCGGGATCCACCTTACTCTGCTTGAAGAAACTCTTTCCTTTCAGCCATTGCCTGTAGGCTTTGTATCGTTTCTTGGTACCATCCTCTTCCTCGACATCGAGCGGATTCTCTTTGACGTACAGATACTCTTCGAACTCTTCAATATCTTCTTCCGCTATCTGGAACTTGCCAGGCGTCGAGTACGTCAGCGGCGGCTCATCAGGAAAGGAGGGAAAAACATGAGGATGGAAGTTCAGACTTTGCGGCCAAGAGTATGTTGGAGCGTGCGAGAACGGGGTGCTGACCGAGGCCGAGGTCATGGGTCGCGAATAGGACTGGAAAGAGCGAACTGACATAACGTCAGTGTCGTATCGGGGAAGACCAGAGGGAGCCATGCTAGAATCGGCATCTGTCGGCGGCTGTGGTCCATCCTCACTCATGCATAAGAACTCATAGTACTCCATAGCAGCAGGGTCGTCTGCGCTCGGCATCTCACTGCTAACGACCAGGGGTAGATTTAACGGATGTTCAATGTAACGTGCGTACTCATCTGCTTCAGAACCAGAAACAGTCGGATTCATACTGTTGTCGTAAAACTGCGCCAATGACCATTGGTTGATGAGTGATTTGTCGGCGGGCTTGAAGCCGGGTCGAACAGTTGAGGCCAAACCTGTCGATGTCGACATGGAAGTTGAAATCGGCGGGAAAGAGCTCATCGCGGCGGGTGCCGAGGAAGGCATATCCGTCTCAAAATGCGGATCTCGAAGGATCGAATGGGTAACAGAATTGGTGTCAGGCACGCTAAGCTGAGGGTGGTGGCGCCTCCGAGCCATGATGCTGCCCTGTTGCGAGTCCGTCTCACTCACAGGATCAAGTATAGTAACGCCTTTTCGCGGTCCCTTCTTAGTAGCGTTTCGCTGAGCGATCTGTTCTTGTTGTTTCTTGCGGGGAACGAATGGCGATATATTATCAACCCGCGAGGGTGCAAGTCCATCCCTGCTATCGCGTGCAGCCCGGTTTGGTGATGCTAGTCGGAAGGCGAAGATTTTGAGAAACGACGATAGAGCCAAAGGTCGGTAGTATTCGAGCCAGTAGTCATCGCGGAAGCTGATGTTAGATTGTAGCCACTTGCTCTGCGTCGTTGCGAGATTGGCTGAGGGCAGTGTCCGAGGCTCTAGATTCGAGGGCGTGAACCACTTATTGTAATCTCGTCGTTGTCTTTCTAGATATGCGCGTGGATCAGCATGATGGAGATAGTAGTCTGTCGATAGATCCCATAGCATAGGTTGGCCTTGGTGGAAGGTGTAATTGCCCAAGAAGAGATTATACGCTTCTTGTCGTTGTGAATCGAGGAATGAGTTGTGGTAGTATCTCTTGAAGCTTTCCACCATATCTCGAGAACTGCTTTGCCATTGATTGATTTTCCGATATGTTGCCATCGTGTTGACTAGGTGGGATCCTCCGTACTGTATCGCAATGGTGTCTCCATGACCATGAAACATGTGAGTGAACATCTCCACACAGTCTGAGTCGTACTCGACAGTATTTCCAGAAATCACACCAAGAGCCTGCAGCTGGCGACCAAGAGCTCTTTTGCCGATTACGAATTGAGCCGCGTTTGTGCGATCGAGGCAGTCGATGCAATTCGTTCTCGCTACACCGTTCTGCACCTGCGGTGTGCCACCCGTTTCATCTCCATTGTGAAAGAAGCCTGTATCGAGAAGGACCTTCTCGGCCAGGCTCTCAAGAGTGCCAATGACATCTTGGCCACGCGTTTTTGCAGCTCGAGACATGTCGAAGGCCTCGTAACGTATCTTTTTGCCTTTGGGTAAGGACTGGTTGAGGTAATCGATACAGTATTTGTATTCATACAGAAGCTTGGATTCTCTCGGTGTGCGCTCTCGTGCTTTGATTAGATTTAGAGCTATGACGGGGGCGCCGTATCGTTCGAACAGATTGTCGAAATGGAGGGCGGCAGCGCTGTAGAATGGATCTACAAGGCTCAGATCAATGTCTGGTTTCGGTGTCACACCTGTATTGTCTTGGGTCCAATAGAGTGGTATACTGCCACGGTGTTGTACATATGATGTGTATGTTGGACTTGTGTACAGCCGTGGGCCGGGCGCGTGGAAGGAAGTTGTGAGCGCTTCAGACACGATTTGTTCAGACTCCACATCGTTGGCGACATACCCTAAGTCATTTGTTCCTCTCTTCAAGAACCTAGCTCCTGCAAAGTGTCGGGATCGCCGAGCAACGATAGTGATATAAATCCTACGCCCAAACACATCGAGAGACGACTGATCCACGTATCCATGTATGACTGGATGACACCAATCATAAACGTTTTTCAAGTTGGCACGAGCGGGATCTAGTAGATAGTGGTTCCAGACAAACATGTCTTGATAGTCGCGTTTCGGGTTTTCGATGCCCGCGTTTAAAGCTGTCCTCTCGTGTACGATGTTTTGTTGAAGACTCCTCGTGATATTGTACGAATAGCTGAAATAAAAAGCCCGAGTCAAATCCAGATTGGCGAGGCTTGCAAGGAATCTGGCTTCTTCCGGATTTCTGTCCTTTTGGAATCGTGTGGTGGATCCCGTCGTAAGCGGAATCATCTCAGTTCCATCAACCTGGTAAATATAGTGACCGCCTAGCATCGCCACCTGGACTCTCTTGGATATCAAAAGCATGTAGTAAGCATCAGTGAACCGTATAAATCCCAGTAGACCCCACGTGCTACATTTGAGCTTCAGACCGCCTGTGCCTTTATTGCCGTCCTGGATCGTGCCCAAAAGCCTGTACATCTCTTTCCTATTGTACACTATATCGTCCTCGAAAATGTTCAGAAGACCAGGCGCTGATGTTCGATCGATCTTGAGCACACGATATTGTTGTTCCATGATGTCGGCCCCGATCAGGTAAAACCGTGTACTTGTTTCGTACAACGAGAATTTGTGCATTCGACTGATGCCATTCTCACCAACTTTCTGGTACGAGACATCTTTGACTTTGTGGATGGTTGCTGGACTCGTAGGTCTCTGAAAGGACATGCCCACCGCAGGGTCCTCCTCTTCGCCACCGAACTTGGATGGTTCACTCTCTGTACGTGGCTGTCCTACTCCAGGCAACTTGTCCAGATCGGCCTCCGGCTTAAAGTTATTTGAGAGCGTGTCATCTTGTGGCAAGAGTTCGGGGCTAGCGGCGACGGAAGACGCAACTTCATACTCCTCGGATTTCTCGTGAAGACTCTCATGCGATATTGTTGCTTTGGATGCAGCTGAACTGGCGCGTTCTCTGAGCTCCGGCCTTGGCTTTGAGGACTCCATGGTTTATGGCGCGAGAGGTAGAAGATAGCGACTGTGGTTTGGACAGGTCTGTATCATGTAGTCCAGGTCATGGTTGCACTTGAGCGAAGACCAGCGCCCGCGAGAGCGATGCACGATGAGCGCAAGCAGTATTCAGTAGCTGCCAAAAAACCCAAGCAAGTTTGGCATGTGCTGTGTCGTGACCGCGCATTTGACGTGTTGGCTAGTGCGTCATTGTAGCGCGGATTGGGCTTGGCAAGCCCAGACCCAGTGGAGAATGACCACCTCTCACAGTCTCACTGCACGTGGTACGTACACTCAACATACGTCCTGCCTGGCGCAAACACTTGAATCTCGCGATGCGAAAGAGCTCCCTGATGCCGTCGTAAACCCTCCTGGGCCCTGCACTGACTCTGGTCCCAACGCCCGACATATCAACATGCGGGTCAACAGGCAACATACTGCATTCTAGGGTTCAACTATCCAGACCGCTACCATGGGACAAGGTTTCTCACTCACCACACTTTCGGCTGGCACCGCCAACATCGATGTACCAGAGCTGGCTGACTTGCAATATGAGAAATCATTGGGCGCGGCTCGGTTTATGAAAGCTGTGCGGGCACGACACAAAGATGGCCTTGTTGTGGCACGTGTGGTGATGAAGCCCTACGCGCAGTTCAACTTTGAGACCTATGCAAGGAAATTACTTCGTGAGTGACTCTAGATGTATTCATCCTAGGCCATGACTGATCTCGGCATAGGCGAACGCAAGGCATTAGCTGAAGTGCCGAATGCTCTGCCCTACCATCGCATCATTGAAACAGCTGCCTGTGGGTACCTTGTCCGTCAGTACATCCACAGTTCCTTGTACGACAGACTAAGCACACGTCCGTTTCTCGAAGAGATCGAGAAGAAGTGGCTTTCTTTCCAACTGCTGTCCACCATACGAGATTGTCATGCCAAGAACATCTATCACGGCGATATTAAGACAGAGAACATCCTGGTAACGTCCTGGAATTGGCTATATTTGACCGACTTTTCTGCTGCATACAAGCCTGCTCATGTTCCCGAAGACAATCCGGCAGATTTCTCATTCTATTTCGATCTTTCTGGGCGGCGTACGTGCTACTTAGCTCCCGAACGATTTCTAGCCTCTGGCCAGCAACCAGAAGGAGAAGGAAATGTGAATTGGGCGATGGACGTCTTCAGTGTAGGCTGTGTCATTGCAGAACTGTTCCTCGAAGCGCCTATCTTTTCTCTGAGCCAGCTGTTTAAGTATCGACAGGGCGAGTACAATCCGGAACATTCACATCTGGGGAAAATACAGGATTCTCACATACGAGAGCTTATAATGCACATGATTCAAGTCGATCCAAACTCCAGGATGACGGCCGAAGACTATCTGACACACTGGAGAGGAAAGGTGTTCCCGGATTATTTCTATGGATTCCTTCAGCAGTACATGTTCTCGATAACTGACCCGTCATCGGGACGGAAGCCAGTCACGACAAGCTCTGAGCACCTCGGAGAACCTGATGAGCGGATCGACCAGGTGTACAATGATTACGATAAGATCTCCCATCTACTTTCAAGTAGTGAGGGAAAAGAACCCGTCAAGCCACAGCACTCAACACCCAAGCCAAATGCAAAGTTATTCCCGTTGCATATCGACATCCCCAACTACCAACATCAAGCCTCGCCCACGCGGAGTCTTACACAGGACGACGGTAATTTGGTGTTCCTAACTATTGTCGTATCGTGCATGCGAGGGACAGCTCGTGCATCTGCTCGCGTCCGCGGATTGGAGCTCTTGCTGGCTTTCTCAGAGCGCTTGACCGACGAGGCGAAGTTGGATCGTGTAATACCTTACGTGGCACAGTTGCTCACCGATAAGTCTGAGCAAGTCAGGATCACTGCATTAAGGTCACTTACACAGATTCTTGCGATGGTCCAGGTGGTATCTCCAATCAATGCCTACATCTTTCCGGAATATGTTCTACCCCGACTGGAGTCATATCTTCCTGGTTCCTCTTCCGCAACAAATTCTCTGGTTCGAATGCAGTATGCCTTGTGCATAGGAACGCTTGCGACTACCGCTGCTAGATATTTGGACATGATACAGGCGTTACGAGCAGATGGGGCCCTTCCTGCTACCGATCCGGAAGCCGAAGATAGTCTGTCCACCTCCGCACACCGTAATCGCTTTGATGCCGATCGTCAAAACCTACTCGATGCATTTGAGAAGCACACAAAGGCTCTTTTGACGGACTCTGCAGCATCCGTCCGCCGCGCTATGCTCCGATCTGTTTCTGATCTCTGTGTTTTTTTTGGGAGTCCACGCGCAAATGATGTGGTGCTGAGCCATCTCAACACATATTTGAACGATCCTGACTGGATGTTGAAATGTGGGTTCTTTGAAGCAATAGTGGGTGTAGCTGTCTTCGTCGGAGGTGCTAGCTTGGAGGGCTACATCCTTCCGCTTATGGTTCAGGCTTTGACAGACCCGGAGGAATTTGTTGTAGAGAAGGTCATACGTGCTCTTTCTTCGATGGCAGAGCTTGGCCTATTCCAAAGGTCCAAGACCTGGGAGCTGGTCGACATCGTTGCACGGCTTACAATGCACCCTAACCCCTGGATTCGAGAAGCGGCCGCGCAATTCATATCAACCGCATCCAAGTATCTCTCGATTGCGGACACACACAGCATTTTGATCAACCTCATCAGGCCATATTTGAAGGTTGTGCCGTCAGAGTTCTCACAAACGCGCATTCTCGAATCCCTCAGGAAGCCAATGTCTAGATTGCTCATGGAAATGGCCTCAAATTGGGCCGTTCAGGCCCAGAAAGGGCTCTTCTGGACTGCTGCAAGACAACAGCAGACATTCACTTTCGGATCTACAGAAGATATTCTTCCTGCTATCTCAGGCCGTGAGCTGGATTCCAAAGTGCTTCAGAGGATGCAGAAAAACGCAGAAGATGAGACCTGGTTACAGAAGCTTCGCAATGCAGGAATGACCGCTGAGAATGACTTCAAACTTGTTGCTCTGCGAGAGTTCATCTGGCGCGTCGTGCACCGGCGACGGTCTGACAGCCTCGCTTCAAGTCCTACTAAGTTCAACAACATTGTAACGCTGAAAGATCTTGGGATTCAAGCTCTTACTGTCATATTCGACGAGAACGTACAGCAGACTATCAACGAAGATCGAATGATTAGTGGCCGACCGGATGGCATTGATCGACCTCGTACACTACAGGATGCGTTGCTGGATGCTTCCACAACGGAGGTTGACGCTCTCACATCTCGAATGCCTCATGTTCAGGGCCAAGCCGAGCGCTTAGCGCGGGAAGAGGGCGGCGGGCGACGGATTGCAATCCCGCCTCGCTCCATACCTGCAATTCAAGGGAAAGGGTCCCCATCTTCCGAAGCTGATGTCCGAAGAAGCTCTCTACAGATACCCAGCAGCAGTTCCCCTACCCATTCCCATATTGGATCGTTCAGTCTAGGCGACCATACACACAGTTTGCAACATCGCAATAGTGCATTGAGCTTATTAAGCAAGAAAGAGAACAAAGCTCTCCCAGAGATTGGGACTACTTCCGCAAATGCATTTGGGAAAGTCGATGCGGCGCATGTGCGCGAATCATCTCGATCTCGCCAGCCGTTGTCGCCACTTGCAGTCGAAAAGCCTCAAAGAAGCACTTCTCAGGTGCGATTCAAGAATGCGCACAACTACACTGGCAATGATCCGGCAATCCTGAAGCTTCTCGATTCTATGCTTCTTGAGCGCTTCCCCTCGAGTGAGATCGAGTTTGGTCCCCACATCCAGCCGCCACTCAGGAAGCCGCCCATCCGTTACAAAGACGCTCGTCAATCAGCACCAGGTGTTCCATGGAGACCTGAGGGTGCTTTAGTCGCAACATTCGGTGAGCATACCGCCGCCGTTACTCGTGTCTTAGTGTCACCAGATCAAGGTTTCTTCATAAGCGGATCTGATGATGGCACCGTCAAGATTTGGGACACCTCGCGGCTTGAGCGAAACATCACCCGACGATCACGGCAGACGTACAAGCTTGGGGATGATGTCAGGGTTACAAGTCTGGTCTTTGTGGAGGGAAGCTACTCTTTTGTGGCCACTGGTAGTGACGGCAGTGTTCATGTCGTGCGAGTCGACTACGTCCATGGGCCAGAAGGGACTGCCAAATTCGGTAGACCGCGTCTCCTTCGCGAGTACCAGCTTTCTAAAGGCGATCAAGCGGTATGGTCTGAGCACTACACTGAGGACAGTAAGTCTGTGCTACTTCTTGCCACAAACACCTCGAAACTTGTGGCACTCGACCTGAAGACAATGAACGAGCTGTTTGTGCTAAAGAACCCGCTGAACCATGGTACACCGACCTGTTTCTGTGTGGACAAGAAAGCGCATTGGCTGTTGTTGGGAACATCACATGGGGTGCTCGATCTCTGGGATCTTCGTTTTAAGCTACGTCTCAAAGCTTGGGTCTACAGTGGCGCTTCACCCGTACACCGACTCCTCCTTGTTCCAGTGCCAGGAAGAATGCAGAAGCAACGGCTATACATTGCTGGTGGTAGTGGACAGGGTGAAGTAACCATGTGGGATTGGGAGAAGCACATATGCGAACGTGTGTATCGTATTGGCGGCGGCAAAGAGACGGGGTTAAAGAACACTCTCCTTACCGATCTTGACGAGGAGAAACCAGGCGGCATGCTTGGTCGTTTTGCGACTGCACTGGAGCCTACTGCAAATCAGAGCGCAGACCGCGGTATCCGTGCGCTTGCTGTGCACACGCAGGCCGTAGACGAAAAGGGCGATGCGAAACACACATTCATTTTGACAGCAGGTCCGGACTGGAAGATTCGGTACTGGGATACATACAAACCGGAAGCCTCGATGATAGTCAGTGGTTTGGAGGCTGACGAAGCGAAGCCTCAGTTTGCCGTCAGTCAGCCAGGCGTTGAAACCACTGTGATAACTGAGCTTTCGTCGCAGCCTCAACCACAGGCTTTAAGCGGGAGAGAGAGTAAGAGCTCATCTTCCAGTAAGAAGCCGGCACCGAAATCGTCGAGGACTGGGTTGATCTCGCAACAACAGCAGCAACTTCTCAAGTCGCATTTAGACAAGATCATGGATGTAGCTTTGGTCGAGCAACCGTATGGCATGGTCATCTCTGCGGATCGGTCGGGCATCATCTACATGTTCATGTAGATGCTAGAATGTATAAAGATTACCGTACCTTTTGGATTCCAGTTTACAACGTGCCTGCATGCCCATCAGTAAAATGGATGCCGCTTTTTTTTTACACAAATCAGCCTTAGTGATTACTCTTTCATATTTGTCTTCGCGTAAGCTGCCTCCGTCAATCAATCATGTTTGCGTGGCAGACAAGATTCTTGCAAGCCAGGTAGAGCCAGCAAACACATCGAGGTGATCTCAGGTAGTTTTCAGACTTGAGCTTCGTGTGGCAAAATGCCATTGTCTCATTTATGTGTTACAAAAGCGTCACCATGCGTCCAAGTCCTATTTCTTCGACAAAGCCTTTGCGCTTTGTACCTCGTCGTCCTTTTCCAAGATGTGAGGCAGCGGCCCAACGGGGGTGATGGCAAAGGGGTTGATCTGACCGTGACTCTTCGTGTAGTGGTTACGAATATGCTCGAACTCGGTTGTCTCACCAAAAGCCTTGGGGTAATCCCAGTAAAGGTGCCTGACCCAGCGGTGGAGATGTGGGTATCCTGAGCGGACTATACCTTTGTTAGCTCGTTTGGAACGACGTTTCGAAGCAATATTCACTTACTGTCACGGATGTTGCACTTGAAGTGCTGTACGTAGACAGGATCAAAGCGGATGATTGTTGTGAAAAGACGCACATCTGCTTCCGTAACGTGCGGAGATGAAAGCAGGTATGGTGTCGACGAATCGGCGAGAGCCTTCTCAATACGATCCAGAGATTTGAAAAGTGTGGTAACGTTCTTCGTGTACGCGTCCTCGGTGCTATCCATATTAGCATGCGCGGAACTCCATCATGACCAGGAAGAACTTACGTCGCGAAGCCAGACTTGTACACACCATTATTGATGTCATTGTAAACCCAGTCATTTATCTCATCAATCTCCTTTTGAAGATTCTTTGGAAACAGGTCCACCTTCTTGTACTCATCTGCAATCAGGTCATCAAACTCGGTGTAGAGCATGCGAATGATTTCACTGCTCTCATTGCTGACAATGCGCTTCTGCTTCTTGTCATACAGGGTCGGTACTGTGAAACGTCCCTCGTAGTCCGGGTTCTGCTCAAAATAGATGTCGCGTAGATGGGTGTAATCCTTGTGCAGAGGATCCGGCGTAGCGTTCTCACCAGGCAGCTTCTCGTCCGGTGTAGCGAAACGCCAACCCTTTGCACCCATGTGCCAGTGAACGCTGGTGAAGGTGATGATGTCTTGTAGGCCTTTGAGGTTACGAACAATCAAGGTGCGGTGGGCCCAGGGACACGCATATGAGACGTAGAGGTGGTAGCGGTCCTTCTCAGCAGGGAATTCCGCGCCCGGCTTGTTTTCGATGAAGGAGCGGAAGACGGATTGTTGGCGTTTGAATTCTCCTGACTTGTCCTTTGGGTCTACCCAATTGAGAATGGAGTCTTTCTTGTCCATGGCCAACGAACTTGCAGTGAGGGAAAAAGCGCGGTTTGATGTGACGGTTTTGGCGTGATTGAATGAGAGTCCTAGTCGCGTGATGGCAGAGAGCATAGAAAGTGTACAATGTGTCTTGCAGGCAATCGTGGCATTCATCTGGAAACGAGTGTTTATATATTGTCGATGTCATTGAAGCTCGAAGCTCCACTAGCGCAACTGCTTTCGTCACAGCTCTTGCCCCTCCACGGTGTTACTCAGCATTGGAAAGCTTGACTAACCGCGAATGGCGTCGCATCTGACAAAGCCATTACCAAGTAAATCTTTCCGCGCTTTGCAACATGGCTGCACGTGCGGGGTTATCCCGGTGACTTGTGAATGATGGATTATCATGCCATACCCTTGACATTTCTGGGTATCTACCTGTTCTGAAAAAAAACGACACACTATCTTGTGCCCACTCCGTTGCGCCGGGAACATGCAGTGCTCTTTTTTAGCCTGGGGCCGGTGGGTTCAAAGTAGCGTGGTGCCTACATGGCCCAAAGTCTGCTTTGTAACATCATCTCTGACCTGTCCAACCTTCTTCGCTGAGTCTAGAATAGCGCCTTCGATCGCCTTCAGCGCCTCGACTAATTCGCGGCGCTGATCGCGAGGCGCACTTCGGCTGCCCGTTAGTTGCTGTGCCTTCTCCAATGTGCCGGCCTCCATAGTGCGTAAATGGCCTTCGATTTCGCGGATCTGTCGCTGGTACACATCGAGGGTGCGGCCGAGGTCGCCTGTGCGGCGATTGAAGTAGCCCATCAAGTCGACAGGTTTGGTCGGATCGTCTTCATCCAGAGCAGCGCTTGCTGGGGGTTTCGCACTTGAGGCGGTTAGGTTGGTGCCATTCCTGTAGTGGAACTGTGCTGGCAGTCGTTGATTCTCAATGGCTCGGAAACTCAACGTCGCGTCTGCAGCGTCCTTCTTGACAAGCTCCCGCAGGTAGGCAATGTTGGCAGAATCGTTGTCTATGCCGACTTCGACGGTGGAAAGGCAGTCCTCAACGTAGGCAACGTCAGGGGCGATAGTCGCAATCTCGGCTTCACTGTTGGGAAGGGTTTCGCGGATCTGGTTGCAATACCCAATTTTGCGCTGAATGCCCTCGTCGAAGGCCTGTATCTGCTGTTGAAGTTCCGGAGCCAGGTCGTTGAAGCGGGTTGTTCCCCGTATGCTCTCTAGGCCGATGTTGACTGCCTGTGTGCTGCCGCCCATCTGGCCGCCTCCCAGTGTTGAGCCGCCAAGCGCGCCCGGCCTCGCGGGAGGGTTCATGGCGCCGCCGAAGAGGGAGTTGTTCTGCTGTGGCGGGGCCTGCTGCGTTGTGCCAAAGAGCGAGGGCGCCGTGGTCGGCTGGCTCTGCTGGGTGTTGGTGTTCCCCCACAGGGACGGAGCGGAGGTCGGTTGCGTGGATGCGCCGCTGGACGATACGGTTAGCTTCCTTCTGGGACGACGCGTGGATGCACGTACAAGAGCGACGGCTTCGCCTGCTGTGCGCCGCCAAACAAGCCGGCGGCCGGGGCCGGTGCGGGCTGTGTGCTGGCTCCCAATGCGCCGCCGAAGAGACCGCCGGTGGCCGGGGCGGGCTGCGCTGTCGAGGAGCCGAAGAGACCTCCGGCCGGGGGCGCGGCAGCGGCAGGCTTGTTCATGCTGCCGAAGAGACCTCCAGATGCTGGCTGAGAGGCGGCGGGCTGGGCTGGGGTGGAACCGAAGAGGCCGCCGCCGCTGGCAGGTTGGGAGGTTGCCGTGGCAGAGGCATTGTTTCCACTGGACATGGTCAGAAAGCGAGCGGGTGCAGCGCGCGAGGCGGGGAGCCATACAAGAGACCGCCGCCCGTGTTGATGCTCAGCGAGTTGGAGCGCCCAAAGCCGGCCATGGTGTCGCGCCTCGACTTTCTGTCGCCGGCGACCGGGGATGCAGCAACTGCAGACGCTGGCCGGGTGCGCGGTGCGTGTGTGGGCGGAGGCGGATGGCTGCGCCTGGTGGTGGCCGGGTCGCAGTCGTGTTGATGTTGATGGCGCGCAGCCGCGCAACAAAGTGCGACCTCCGCGCAAGCTCCAAGCTGCCGCCGGCGCACGGGCGCATCAGCCATGCCTCGCAATGCAAGTCGCGTCTCTGCCCACACCACCCGCCGCAGCTCTGTGCCAGCGCGCAATCCTGCCGCCCCCCCCGTGCCCGCCCTGCACAACGCGCCGCCATCGCCGCCCGCCCCCCGCCGCTGCACGCCGCACACGCACTCGCACACTCGCACCCGAACCGTCGCGCACAATGGACGAAGAGGACGACGATCTCTACGGCCCGTCCGAGCCAGCCACCGAGGCCAAGAAGGAGCCCAAGAAGGACGAGGCGGCCTCGAGCGACGACGAGCCCATGGACGAGGGCGCAGACTCGGGCGACGACGACGACAGCGACTCGGTACGCGCTCCAGGCCGCACGAGCTGCAGTGGGCTGACAAGACCGCAGGACCTCGAGTTTATCATCGACAAGCCGGCAACCGCGCCCAAGCCCGTAGCGTGTGTGGAACGCGGCCCCCCGAGCATTTGTCTGTGCTGACCACTCCTCAGCGCCTCACAGCCGGCCGAGTCCAAGGCCATAAAGATCGAGGCCCCGCCCCAGTCCACGTCCACACCGCAGCCGCCGTCGGCCCAACAAGCGCGACCGGCCCCCGGCACTGCCCCCCAGGTCTCGCAGATATCAGGCCAGGCCTATCCAGCCCTGCACACCTCCAACGTCGACGTGAACGCGAACCCCACATATCCTCCCCTCAGCAAGCCGCTGCTCCAAGTAGACCTCGACGCCGATCTTGCCGAGGAGCACAAGCTCTGGCGTCGCCCGGGCGAAGACTACTCCGACTACTTCAACTATGGCTTTGACGAATTCACATGGGAGACGTACAGGCTCAAGCAGCAGCAGATGAGCCAGACAATACAACAGCAGAAGCAGGAAATGGCCCAGATGCAACAGATGATGTCTGGAGGCATGCCAGGCATGCCGCCCATGCCTGGCGCTGGGCCGACCCCAGGCGCCCCGCAAGGCCCTGGCGGCATGAACGGCATGGGTGGCATGCCGCCGGGAGGCATGGACGAAAGCCAGATGCAGATGATGATGCAGCAGATGGCCAGCAGCGGCATGGATCCGAGCCAGATGGACTTTGCCACCTTTATGCAGATGGCTGGCGGTGGCATGGGTGGGCCTGGTGGGCCAGGAGGCTTTGGAGGCGGCGGACAACAAGGGGGAGCTTTCCAGCAAGGGCATCAGGGTGGTGGTGGGAGAGGCGGCAGAGGAAGGGGAAGAGGCTGGTGATGGAGCCTAGAGCCTAGGGCCTAGGGCTATGATACTGTTTGGCGCCTCACGCATGGGATTACGATACCAAAGAAGCTTCTTCGCAGATGAATGGCAAGACTCACGGAACATGACTGGATTTGAACAGGCTCGTCCTATCATTTAATTGGACGTCTCATTCCGATCCTTCATTTCAGCTTCAGCTCCGTATTCTTGATTCATCCACCCAGGTTCCAGCTCATGCAGCATGGTACTGGAGGAGCTTGTGCCAACGCCCTTGTTGGTCGAGACACCACTCTCGTCTGCTCTCGTCTGCTTTATTCATCTCCTCTCCTCTCCTTTCCTTTCCTTCTCCTCTGTGCGATAGCAGACAGCTTTGAAGCTGCGGCTTCGGCTGTTTCTACTGCTGCTGCGCTCATATCGTGTCTCGCGATTGCAGAATCACACTTCACGACTCCATTGCTGTTCCGCCCGCTAAGATATGGGCAGGAATCCTGCCCTCTGCAAAGTCTTTCTCCAGCTTCGCCATCTCAGCCAGACTGCTAGCTGCCTGAATAGCAGCGCGCATCCTGCTCTTCTCGTCGTCTGTATAGATGCGGTCCTTGTTGTACGAAGAGTCGGCGCCATTTGTGATTGGCGCGACGAAGCCCGTCGATTTCACACCCATGATCTTGCTGGCCAATTCAGTTGGCTCGTCTGACGTACCAAACAGCTCCTCTGCCTTCTTGCGCTCTACATCTTTAACCTTGGCAAAATCCAGATATCGTATAGTAGGACATCGCCAAATCACCCAGTATCGGTAATTCTGCGCCATATCAGTATGATACTACATGCGCTCCAGCGGCGCAAGGGTACCTACCTCCTTAGACGCTACTGGGTTGCCGATGACGCACAAGAACACGAGTTTCTTGAAACCGCCGAGCGGATCAAGATCAGCGAGCTCTGTAAGGCGATTCTTTGTAAGGACCAAAGTCTGCAGGTTTGGAATGCTTGTAGATAGGTTTGGCTGGATGTTCGAGATGCGGTTTTGTCCGAGGAACAGCGTGCGGAGGCGGGGTTGGAGCGGAAAGTTACCGAGCTGCGCGATATCGTTGTCGGTCAGGTCGATTGCGTCGTTGTTCTGTGAGCTCTTAGCGTGTGTACAACTTGCTCTCTGACGCTGAACTCACTCGTGCGGCGCCCATGTTCTCTACGGCAGAGATCTTATGTCCTACATATACAGATATTGATATCAATTCAGCTCGCAAGTGTAGTATCTGCCCTTTTCAACGCACCTCGAAGATCGAGCTCACGCTCCGTGAGACAGTTGATGAAAGAAAGGGAACTATTGATCAGGTCTGTTGTCAACCTCATGATGGCGGTTGCAGGGTGCTATTTGACCACGAGGATATAGCTTAGATGGTCGGAGAGCCGCGTAGTGGCTGCGTGTTGGAGTCTGTCAAAGTGCAAGTTTGGCGCGGAGGTCGCGATCAACACAAATTCCCGAGGTCACGACTGCCAAGGTTTCCTCCTCTAGCGCGGCCCACTTCAGCCCTACAGGCTCCGGCCCCTCCACCTCTTCCCAGCTGGTACGACGCCTCTGCGCTGAGTTGCGAACAACATCAGCGTGCTCCTACAATACACAATACCTGCATCGCACAAGGAACGCAATATGTCACAAGACTTGCAACCACTCTCTTGAACATTGCGCGGTCATAACAAATGATATTGATACGGCTCTTTCATACGCATTCCCAGGAACAGTATTCTCCTGAATACCATCGGCCTTGTACATGCATCGCTAGAACGCAGGAAAAGAAATCAGGTCGTCTATTCATACACGTTGTCCACCCACCGGTTCTTCACTCCACTTCGGACAACCACCTTCTGACTCCTTCTTTGAGCGAGGAGTCAGTATATGTTCTCTGATTTACCGTCCTCATACTCTTCTCTCCTCCACCTTGTCCGTCTTTTTCGCCACTCCTCTCTGCCGTGACGTTCCTTACTACGGTCTCCAGGGCATCGAAAATCACTCCCTTGCAGTCTGTCTGCGGAACTTCAACATGAGTTTCGCTTGCCATGCCCGTAACGTCCGACTCTGCTCTGGTATTTCTTCGTCCACGTCGAGAAGACGAGCGTGAGGACTGAGTGGAGTTGGCACGTGTCGTGTCACCAGAGCGCGCGAGTATGCGATCAATTCCTTCGATGAGCACGGCGTCAAAGTCCATGATAGCCTCTTCATCAAACTTTTCCGCGAGATGGACTTCCGTCGGCATTGGAGCCACAGAGCTTGATGTATATGGATTGCCGTATTGCGAGCGACCGGGCGGCATGCCTGCCACACCGGGCGTGAGCGCTGTTGGCAGGTATGTTGGAGCAGGAATAAGACGGACAAGGCGGCGCAGGCTGAGGCGTTTGATGGTGAACGTACGAGTGTCGGCTACGAGGGCGGAGCAGACATCGACCCAGCGTTCCAGAGGTCCTGTCTCCACAGATGGTGTTGTGGCAGAGGTGATTGGTGTCGGCTCAGCTGACATGGCGCGTTTGATGTCCCGCTCAAGGGATGCATAGGGCTTGATTGCTTGAATGGCAAAGTCAGGGTGGAATTGTGAGAGCCAACCCGCTGCGTTGACAGGTTGTTCGGGCTCTTGGAATGGCAAAGACAGCACGGAGGATTCGCCAAAACTGGAGCCGTGTTGGCTGCCAACCGAACCTGCACCTCCGAAGATAGGTGACTGGAGAGGCGAGCCGAAAGCAGGAAGTGCGATGTCAACATCTATCACGCCATCCTTCTCATTGACAGACAATTTGAGCTGCGAGTCATAAGTCTTGGGCCGTTCGGGGATGGGTCGTGCTGCCGAGGCAGGGATACCGCTTGATGTATTGATGGGATAAGTTTCGGAAATCGCCTGTGTGGCGGAGGTTGCGCTGGTTCCAGGCGTGTCGAATGCTTCTCCGTCCTCGAATACACTATCATCCACGGAGAGCTCCTGCACCATTTGCTCGAGTTGAGATCGTGGGCGCTCCTGCCCTCGGAATCCAACGCCATCATCTGTGGTCTGGAGGTAGCTGCTGCCATCCGTAGATGAGTCGCGCCTTCCTCCATTCCAAAAGTTCATGAAGCCACTCCAACGGCTGTTGTTGCTTGAGTCATTGCTTGCCAAGCTGGTTTGTCCTGTCCCGCTTCTTTGCAACGTGTTGATGAGATTTGTTGATGCTAAACTGTCGCTGCTCTCTGGTCTGTATTCGGCTATCGACCCGTCGGGCCTTGTCCTGGGCAATGTGAAGTGCGCGATTGGTATGGCGCTCTGCGGTGCAGCAGTTGAGGGGGAAATAATGCTGCTCATGTTGGGTCCAGCACCCTCAGTCATGGAAGGGAGTACAAGACTTGTGCGGACTGAGTGCGTTGAAGACCGTCGAGAATACGTCGGAGGCCGTGTGGGATCGGGAGCTTGAAGGACTGCCGACGCGGATCGATGATGCGAAGCACTGGCCGACGATGCATCTGCTTTGTTGAACGCGGGTGGCTGCACTGTTATGTTAGTCATACTCTGCTTCTCTCGCGGCCGCCTGTTAATCTGACGCCGCAGTGACTGCTTCCTCGATGGAGGCATGTTGGTCGGGGGGGACTGTGAGTAGGCGCGATGCGAAGCAGATGTGCTTGGGCGCACTATGTTGATGGCATCGCCAATCACAGGTGCATTTGGAGGCAAGAAAGCGGCAAGAAGGTAGATAAGCCTTCTTGCTGCCATCTTGTCAGGGGACACGATGACAGTGCGATTTGATATGACAATGTTTTCTCCAGCGGCAGCCTTTTGTTGTTCTCGGTGGCGCTTGCGAGCCCATCTAGGTCCCAACATGTGAAGCCACTCGGTGTGATTCCCGAGGAAGGCTGTGAGCAGATTGAAGAAGAAGAAGTTCTGCTCCCGCTTCCCAGCCCATCGACCGAGCCATCTTGCTTCCTCACGCCAGACACCCCATTTGCCTTGGCCTGTCATGACGCGGGGTATGCGCATGCCACTGATGACTCGGTTGCCGGTTATTTCTGCAGCCACTTGAATCTCTTTGTCCAGCATCAGTGCATTGGACTGTAGCCGCAAAGGGGGTCTGCGGCCAGGCTGTGGTAGACTCTCCCGAGCACTTGTGCGAGAGGTGGTTCGGCGATGTTGGGGATGCTCGGGCGGTGACATGGCAGCTGGGGCTTTGAAGTGGGCGGAGATGCGCTCCTGGACGACATGCTGCAGGCTTGTAAGAGCACGCATGATGACGTCCCAGTGCTGGCCGACGACGTCGACGCGATCGTCGACGTGGCTGCTCAGCGCCGACGAGACGAGCGAATCAGCCCCGAGGTTCGAGTCGATGAAGGCCCAGCCTGCACGGCGGTCCGAGTCGAGGGAGGAGGCGAGCGAGTCCTGGCCCGGCGCCGAAGTTGACAGGTGGGCGGGGGTCTTGGGAGGCGGGCGCGTGGCCGGAGACTGTGCGATTGGCAGGTGCAGGATGATGGTGATGGCGTACATGGGCGTCTTGCGCGGCTGGCTCAGGTGGGTCGGCTTCTGGGAGGCTGGCTTCGCGACAGCGTGTGGGAAGGGAAAGCCGCCGTCGGGGGGCGGGGCGGCCGGGGAGTTCGTGGGGGTGCGGACGGCGGCGCTGTCGTCGGGACTCGGGACAGAGAACATGCGGGTGATGAAGATGGTGCGGCGCTTCGGTTCCTTGGGCGCAGTATCGCTCGCGTGGGCGCGGGGCAGGTCGGCGGGCAGGGCCGCCGGGGCGAAGGCGGTGGGCAGGTTGGCGGGGGTGAAGGACTTGGCCAGGTTGCTGCGCCTGCGGAAGCCGTCGCCGCGGCCGAGCGAGCCGGGCACGTCGGGGCCCAGCACGGGCGGGTCGGGCTTGGACTCGAGCGGCACAATGTGCATCTTGTTCGAGTTGCCGCGGTAGGTCATGCTGGTGCTGCCGAACATGCAGTCGAGGCAGGTGGCGACCAGGTCGGCGGCCTCGCGGGCGCGGGCCTGGGCCTGGGCGTGCTGGTGGGCGTGCTCGTCGATGTTGGGCATGGACGAGATGGAGGCGCCGCGCGTGCGGGTGCGCGTGAAGCCGCCCACTGTCGGCGAGCGCGGCGTCGGGTCGGCGGCGAGCGAGGTGCGGCGGGCGTGCAGGGCGGGCGGCGCAGGGCCGGCGCTGCTGCTGCTGCTGCTGCCGCCGCCAAAGGCGCGGGCGCGCGGGTGGGTGGGCGACTCGGCGCGCGGCGGGCCCGGCTTGCTGTCGAACAGCACCGTCTTGGCCATGTGGGCGAAGTCATCCTGGGCGATGATGATGCGCACGTCGCGCGGGAACTCGAGGTCGATCTCGGGCAGCGGGCCGTCGTGGGCGCTGGCCAGCGGCGCGGCGGGCAGCGGGTACGGCTGGCGGTCGTGGGCGAGGCGGCCGTCGGCGGCGAGGCGGCTGTCGGGGTACAGCAGATGGCGCGTGTGCGACTCCTCGGTGTGCGAGGGCAGCGCGGGCGCGGGCGCGCTGCTGGCGGCGCTGCTGGCCTTGCGCCCGGCGAAGAACTGTCCCAGCATCAGAGGCGGCCGTCGTCCACGGCGCGCGGGCAGGCACAGGGCGGGGAGGCACAGGGCGGGGGGGCGCAGAGCCGTGGGCAGCGCGGCCAGCTCATGGCGGCGACAGGCCGGTGGGGCAGCGAGCGAAGCGACTGCAGACGTCGACGCGGTGGGTCGGCGATGCTGCTCGGCAACCGCGCAGATGCACCCGCCGCGGGCGGTGAGCTGCGTCGGCGCAGGCAGGCAGCCAGCCGTCCGCCAACAGCCAACAGCCACCAGCCAACAGCCAACAGCAGCCAGTCCACTAGCCGGCAGCACCACAGCACGACAGCACGCCAGCCACTGCAGCCCCTCCAGCCCTCCTGTCCGCCTGCAGATCGCACCAGCGTCCCCCAGACCCTGTGCCTTACTCGGCTGCTCGCCCACAACAGTAGCCCCGCCCACAACAGCAGACACGCTCACCACAGCAGACACGCTCACCACAGCAGACACGCTCACCACAGCAGACACGCTCACCACCGCAGACATCTCCAGCGTCGCCGTGACAAATCATGACCAAATGAGCTTGCATGTTGCTGCACCCCTGCATTGCTGCATCGCTACGTCCCCCCGCTATCCATGTCCTCCTCACCGCCCGCGTCACACACACTCAGCTGCTTATCAGCACGTGTGGCCGCTGCATGCAGCCCGCCTTATCTAACCAAATATCTCCAACCATCCACCGCCATGGTCCGTTGCAGCGTTACATGCCCGTCCCAGCACTGCCCTGGCTGTCCTGCCTCTTCGGCACACTGCCCGCAGCACTAGACTCTGTGATGCTGCCCCTCTTGCCCAGAGTCGACATACTCCCCTCACTGCCCTGTCTTCTTCCCGCGATGCCGCTGGCACTGCTGAACGCCATCTCGCTGATACCGCCGATGCGTTCTGCCGCCGCACGACTGCCCATCATGCTGGACGCTGGTGACCAGTCTCGGCTTGCTGGGCTGGCTTCGCGTATGCTGATTGCCGGTGGTAGGCCCAGGTTAGGAATGTTGTTGTCGAGGACAGGCAGGATACGTGGGGATGGTGACGGCGCTTGCCTGAACGCTTCGCTATAGAACTGACCGAGGAGCGCCGCGTCGCCACAAAATGCCTCCAATTCGTCCTTGACTTGCTCAGGCGTCTGCATTGCCTGCGTTGCCGGTACTGGCTGCGCTGCAGCATGTTTCTCCAGAGCACTATGCAGCAGACTTGTATCTTGCACAGGCCTTACCAACGGACTCGAGAAAGGGCTGCGATGGGGGTTTGGACGCTCCATGGCAGGCGTGGATGGGATCCTACTGCTTTGACTACCATCAGTCGTGACTTTTTTGTGTTCGTAAAGGTCAAGTGGGCGGATCCGACTCATGTCTTTGGCGCGGTTGTGCGCCAGCCTGTTTGCGAGCACCATGAAGTTGCCGTCTCCGGTAATCTGAGCGAGCAGCCCTCCGCTTCGGTGTATGAATTGTGTGTATTTGTAGTCTGGATTGCCCCACGAGTACGACACATCGACATCGGGGGGAAATGCGCTCGCAGCTTCCATGTCAAGCACAAAGTTGAGCTTTCTCAGCAATGCTTTGTGGTATGCAAACTTATCAGTCCGCGAGTATTGCGGCGAAAAGTGCATCGAGTCCCACATGGCCTCTGGTTGATTCTGGGGAGGCTGCATTGCAAGTTTAATGTGGTACGGTGAACGAAAAGGATGATAGTCTGTGATGTTGCCAAGTTCTGCAATGGGAACTTCGACCAACTTCAGACCGTATTTCTCTACACTGGTCGCCCAAGTAACGATTGCGTCCTCGATAAGCTTTGCCGTAACGTTCATCCAGTCAATTCGTATGTGGTAGCAGTTGTCCGGATTATGGACGAGATCGTAATGCAGCGATATGATCTCTGGCCGGTACGAGCGTTTCCTCGAGTCGACATCGTACCGCAATGCGCGTGACAACATCACTCTTCTTCTACCCGTGCCTGCTCGTGTGTTTGTCTTCGTGTCATCTTTCGCTGAATCAGAAGCGTTCGACGTAGACGATGATTCTGCTGTGGTTGGTCTAGACATGACACCTCTAGCCGTGAGTGGCGATATCTTTGATCCTTCGACTGACGGTGTCAAGGGAACAGACTTGTCGGCCTTGCGCAAGCTGAACCAACCAGCACGCGATTCGGGCCGTGGAGCCCGGTACTCGGGTGCAATCTGGAAGAAGAAGTTGCCGTCGCGGAAGTGGTGCCTTCGTTGAACGTGCTGAAATAAGCCCCTATCCATGAGTAGGTTGCCAAGATCGACTGCACCCTCACGAGTGTCTATCTCTTTGAAATTGTTCAATAGCCAATTAGTGAGATCAAAGCCGAGGAAACAGTTGTAATGAAGCTTCCAATGCCAACGGCGATCGAGCATCTGTATCCCTCGCTCGCTCTGGAGGTCTTCGGCCAGCTTCTTGAGGTCCATGTTGAATATGGAATATTTCTCTGCGTCAGAAAATATGGGGCCTGGCAGCTCATTCTCAGAGCTGTTGAAAAGGGGGTTGACAGAGCTGGCCGCCACCACGGCCGAAGGATCGCGGGTATGATACTCGATTGCAAGGGGATTAGGGTCCTTTTGTTTCGAAGAACTTGTGACCTGCGAGGAGCGTTCTTCCGGAAGGAAATAACGATATCTTTGCCACAATTGCGTAAGCTTTCTGATGCCCTCCAGCCTGACCTCTTCCTCAGAATCTTCAGCTAGCATAGGCAGCGGTCGACGATTTACTGAGGGTATTTCGACGGGGATCAATACAAATCGCGCCCTCCAGAATCGTAGCACGTCGGAGAACTCGTCTTGATAACCAGCCAAGAAAGTGTCGATGAAGTTCCAGTTGTACTCTCTGCGAGGTGGGCGCAAAATGATGTTTCTTGGATCATACGTGGTTTCAAATGCAGTCCGAATGTATGGTCTGTACGGAAGAGGCGTGTCGATGCCTGCTGAAGATTCCAAGGCTGTGGTTGGCTTTCGGTGGTACCGCTTGACCTCCACTTCCCCTCCAGCTATGCATACCAACTGATGGATACTGGTGCCCACAGTCATAAAAACTGTGTCTCCATCTGAGGCTAGATACTCAGGCGCTAGAATACTTGACAGTGATTTCTCTCGTTTTCCAGAAAAGTCTGCCACTGCGGTTCCGGTGCACATTTGAAATCCATGTGATAGCCGAAAGGCAACAAGCTCACGGAGCAAAGTCTCTCTGCCTCGGGGAGCTTCTAAGATCTCGTCATCGTCGCTCTGAGTAATTTTATACGGGCTTTCATTGTACTCTGATGAGAGCTGTTCTGCAGTCGGAAACCACTCGTGTGTCAGAGGTACAGCGGCGGGTGAACAAAGGGACCTCCATTTCATGGTACCGGTCCGCAAAGTTCGAGGGAATACATGATGCCACCGGCGGTATTGATTCATGCTGTTCATAGAGTTTTTCCGTGGATTGCATGGGTTGACCAGAACAGCCCACGGTGCGATTGCACTGGTCGGCGACAACGTCTTCGGTACATCTTTTGCCCCTCCGCTCGATGAAAGATCCAGATTTGGCTTCGTGTCCCCTTTACCAGCGATGAGAAACGTCGATCCGGGATCTTTCTTCATCGAGCTTGGGTGTGACGGAACTGAAGTCCGCCGTGTTCGCAAATCTCTCACAGTTTCCACAGAACGACCACCATGGTCAGGAGAGGGCGTGCCACTAGATGAAAGGCCAGCCCGAGAGGATGATCGGATTGCAATTGGCTGAGAAGGTTTCTCCGTCGAGGTAAGCCTCGTGCTTGCTAATCTTTCGGCGATGGCACCCTTTTGGCTTTTCTCGACTGTGAGCATCGCAGGTTTCACCTTACCTTGTGTAATGTCTGTAGTAGCATCACCCAAGGTCGGTTTGGCTGCGGTCGCTTTGCCACCAAAGCTGATCTGCCTCAAAAACCAATTTGACGGTCGTGGCTTAGTTTGAGCTTGTGTTGGCACTGGGCTAGCAGCGATAGAAACTGTGGGGATCCCAGACCTCCTCGGTGGAGAGTGACCACGACTTGCTGCAGGTGAGTGAGGACGGGTGGCAGGATTGGCGATAGAATCACCTAAGCGATCTTGACGATTCATGTTAAGACGAGAGCTATCAGTTGAGGTGTGCGCAAAGCCGGTTTGCCGTCGCAGAACGTCAGCACGCGGCACCCCTACCGGCCTCTCCCCCAGCAAATGGTTAAAATTGCTGCGAGGGGAGGAATTCTCTATGTCTCCATATCTGCTAAGAGAGATTGGCTGCGTAGCCACATCTGGGGACAACCGTGCTTGCTTTCCCGTTGCTGCTCGATTTTTCAGAAATGAAGTTGACAGAAAAGCGTCTTTGAGGGGACCAGAAGGCGAGCTCGATTGCGGGTCTCCTTGCGTCCTGTCTTTGCCGCTTGTTGGCTGACTGATTGAGAGACGATCACTCGCAGATGCAAAGATGCTGGTATCGTATGCCTCCATCCACGCCTTGTACATATTTGTTCTCGAATCCGGGTATATCCGATCGCCTTTGGACGAAAACGATCCAATAGAGTCGGTGGCAGTGTTGAGAGCGATGGTGCTTGTTTTGGTACCGTCTCTACTAGCATCCCCATCTATGCACGGATAGCTGTGCTCTTCTTCCAGGTAAGGCAACGAGATATCACCGAGTTCATTTTCGATGACACCCATCATTTGCAGCTCGTACAAACGACATCTTAGCGCAAAGGTCCGCCGTTTTCTGTGATGATGTTTCACGACTCGATTCGCGTTCCTAGCCTTTGTCAACTCCAGCATGTCATTAGACTGTCTGGACCAGAAGGAAATGTCCACCCAATATGGCATTGCAAATTTCCAGCTACTCGTGGCGTCTGTTATTGGAAGTGTCGAATCGTTGATGTTGGGGGGTGACATAGAGTCCATGGACGCCATGGGTCCAAAGTTGGGCTGACTTTGTTTTGGGGTTTTCTCATCAAGCTCGCCAGCAACTCCATCTGAAGGATAGGTGGCTTCTTTGTGAACGGCCCTGGAGTCTGATACAAGTGAAGGGGTCCGGTATTTGAAAAGTGGCACTGAATGAAGAGGCATCGGCGACAAACAGACCAGGTCGATCCCTATGCCAGACCCGATCAAAGTGTCCGTGGTAAGTTTCAACATGTTATAATCAACCTCAAACACGCCTGTTCCAGGTGTAATTACGACCACAGAGATACCAGTCCTGACCAAATCTCGGTCAATGTGGTCTTGTGCAAACTGTGCTGCAGCTAAATTGATGGCCTCAAGAACATTTCCTTGGCTTGCAGATGACGGTTTGCCGGCAATGATTGAGCCGGTTTCCAATTCATCTGGTCCATTCTTGTCGCTCGATACATCAGTCGCCTCTTCGACGGGCTTCGCCAATAGTGAGACTTCCCGAAGAAATGTACGAAACTCGAGTTTCAGTTGATGTAAGATTTTGATCCAGTCCCCACTCGCCATATCGCTGACGACGACACGGTAGTAGTCCCTGAAGTTGCGAGCATTGGTATCTGCGTTGTGTCTGCTGGTTGCATCGTCGGGGCGATCGATCGAAGCTTCTGCATCGTATTGCATGCGCGTGAACAAGATGATTGTAACCACGTGCTTTGCATTGATCTTCAACCATCTTTTGAAAAGTTCCGGGAGGAAGCCGCTGACGACCTTATTGAACATAATCTCACCAGCGCCCTCGGCGTCAAAGTCCCACATTTCCCTGGACATTTGAATGAAGAGGACGTACCGGGCGGATTCACTGCGGAAGACTGGTTTTGTTGTGGGAGAGAAGTATCCGGAATGTACAGACTGTCCGTCAATGTAGATTTGCTTCACAGTAGCTTTGATAGTACCCATGAAGATGATCTTCTGGCCGCGATAGACGGTCCTTTTACTGAGTTCTGATATAGCCATACGCCACATGTCCGCCCGCGCGAGATATTCATCACGGAACACAAGCTCAACATGATGTGCTTCGTGTCTAGCTTCATCGGCCTGTCAGCATTAGCCAGCGGATGCCCCCGAGGTGTAAAGCTCCTCACCTCACTAAGAACAACTTGCATGCGATTTCGAAATCCAAAGACCTTAGCAATCTTCTCGGCAATGGATATCTGTAGATTCGCGTGCTTGGCCTTGAGATCTTGTGGAAGCGGTTTCGAGGTGAATATGTATGTTTTCTCATTGTCAAAGTCGTGACATGCTGGTACAGCAGATCCAATCTCATCAATAAGCTTCGAGGAGGATCCTCTACGCGTCTTTCGCGCATGTGCATCGACCGCTTCCTTGGATAAAGCTTCCGCTTTAGTCGGACCGGTGTCATGGGTTGGAGCCTTCGGTGTTGATGAGAAGTCTCGCACAGCTGTACCAGCATTGACTGCTACTATCTGTAACAAACAACCTTGTGTAATTGGAAGATCGGGAAACTTGTCGCCATTAAACACAACGTCGTCCTTGGAGAAATTCTCGTCATGAGTCCACAGAGTGCATATCTTGTGCACCCTGGCCTGTTTCGAGCCCGTCATTGATTTCGACATCGAGACAGATTCCGCGGTCACGCCTTCATACCGCGTGCAGAGGCCCACACATTGGCAACGATCTATCAGCACGATAAACGCGAGGCTCAAGTCGAAAGGGTGTTAGATGGGACGTCGATGGTGTCGACGTTGCGCTTCGCGCGACGTCACGGGCCCCGGTGCCGAAAGTGGAAAGGCCGATTTTCGCGACAACCTTACACGTCAGCTTCGCGTGTGTCGTTGAGCAGACCTAAACACTGCACACAGTTACCCCCCTCCCCCCGACATCATGGAGGAGAAGGAGCATACGGTGTTCTTCCACCCGGATCTGGGTATAGGTGGAGCTGAGCGGCTCGTAATCGACGCTGCTGTGGGACTGCAAAATCGAGGACACAAGGTCACGATCTTCACTTCGTACTGCGACCCGCATCATTGCTTCGACGAGGCACGCGATGGTAAGCATGCCCTGCTGAGGCCACTTCCTGCCCGCGCTCAAATCTAGAGAAGGTGACTGAGACTTGACCCTCGTTGTAAAAGGTACCCTCGATGTTCGCGTGCGCGGCGCGACTGTCATTCCGGCGACCTTTCTCGGCCGGTTCGCTATTCTTTGCGCGATCCTGCGCCAAGTTCACCTCGTCCTGCAAACCGCTCTCTTCTCCGACGAGCTCGCTCAGCTCGCACCCACCTCGTTCTTCGTCGACCAACTCAGCGCTAGCATTCCACTTCTGCGCCTGCTACATCCACGTCCGCGTATTATCTTCTATTGTCATTTTCCTGACAAGCTGCTCGCGAAGAAGGGCAGCCCTCTGAAGTCGATCTATCGTCTACCGTTTGATTGGCTTGAGAGTTGGAGTACCGGATGCAGCGACACTATCGTGGTGAACAGCAAATTCACGAAAAGCGTTTTTGCTGAGGCCTTCCCCAACTTACGCTATCGAAACCCTGGCGTGATATATCCATGCGTCGACACCAGCGGTGGCCAAGTAGGTGAAGTCGCACCGCTATGGAGAAATACAAAGGTGCTCCTGAGCATCAACCGGTTTGAGAAGAAAAAGGACGTTGCGTTGGCAGTGAAGGCATTTGCAGGGCTCTCACCCTCAGAGCGCAAGGAAGTTCGTCTCGTCATCGCAGGCGGCTACGATCCTCGTGTGTCAGAGAATGTTTCCACATACACGGACCTCTGTAGTCTCGCCGATTCTTTGCAGCTCAAACACGCAACGGCTGAAGATATCGTCGCTGCGCAGGCCATACCCAAAGAAATTTCTGTCATTTTCCTTCACTCGGTTCCCAACGATCTGAAAACTAGACTCCTCTCGACCTCGCGGCTTCTGATCTACACTCCACGCAACGAGCATTTTGGCATCGTTCCTTTAGAGGCAATGCTTGCAGGTATTCCAGTGCTGGCTGCAAATGAAGGCGGGCCAACGGAAACAGTTATCAGCGGACAGACAGGCTGGCTTCGAGACGTCGGCATGATCAACGACTGGACGGAAGTCATGCGTATCGCGTTGGAGGACGATGATGGCGCGCAGAGATTGAAAGAGATGGGTAGATGGGGCAGAGAGCGTGTCATTGCCGAGTTCTCCAAAGAGAAGATGGCAGAACGACTTGAGACCGAGATACATGGTATGAGAAAGAAGTCGGGCCGTCCATCACTCATCGCCCTGCCTGCCCGGCTGTTAAGTCTTGCTCTTGTTTGCGTAGCAATAGTATATAGTGTACATATACTTAGTAACAATAAACCTTAGGTATATTATAGCATCTAATACTAATAGACTTTAATATATATCTTAAACTCTAGATTAATATAGTATTTATTAATAAGTATAGAATAGTAAGATATAATATAAAGTACTACTAAGCTAGACGCACTACTAAGCTAGACACTTTTTCTTAGCACTATAAACACTATATATAATTATTAAGGTTATACTTTAAGCAAAGCTTATAAGCACTATTTAATTAGTTCTTAGGGATAAATACTATTAGAGAAACTAAAGGGGGGGTCTTATGCTAAGGAGTATAGATATAATCTATCTATCTTAAGAGTAAGAGATAATAATAAGTAGTATAGAGTAGACTATCTAGCTTAAAGGTTAAGTTAAGATCTAATATTATAGATTAATACTTAGGTTAAATATAAACTATAAGAGTTATGTTCCTACTTACTATATACTATAGAGAATATAATAGCTTACTAGGCTTAATATAAGCTATATAAGCTAGGCTTACTAAGCTTAATATAAGCTGCGTAAGCTGTATATAAGACCTACTTTAGCTTAACTACTAAGGTATAAGCTTATTATATAAATTATACTAAAACTATGCTATATAGGAGAGCCTATATAATATTGTGCTAAGCATGTTAGCACTTGCTAGGTATTAGCATCTAGTTAGTTATAAAAGGCAGATTATAACATATACTATAGAGAGTATAATAGCTTACTAAGCTTAACGTAAGCTATATAAGCTAGGCTTACTAGGCTTAATATAAGCTGTATAAGCTCTATATAAGACCTACTTTAGCTTAACTACTAAGGAGTAAGCTTATTATATAACTTATAATAAAACTACACTATATAGGAGAGCCTATATAATATTGCGCTAAGCATGTTAGCACTTATTAAGTGTTAGTAGCTAATTAGCTATAAAAGGTAGATTATAACACTTTATAAGGCTAGAGCTAATTACTCTCTATATAGTTAACTACTCTATCATAGTATATCTTAGTTAAAGTAATATTACTAATTATCTTCTTATCTACTAGTTATGTTATAGTCTGCGTAGGTTCTAACTATATTATACTATATTTGCAGTGCTTTAGTAAAAGCTTCTTAAGTGCCTAATCTATCTATAGGTTATACTTTTATAACTAGGGAATTCCTAATATAATATTATAAGTAGCTATTCTAAAAGTATCTAGAGTAATTTCTTTATAGTATTCTTAGATAGTTGTTAAAATAGAAAATACCTTATAGGTTATTTCTAATTCCTTAGTATAGGTTCTCTATTAGCTACTTATAGTAGGTAAGGTTCTATCTTCTAAGTAAAGTATAGTCTAGCTAGCTATATTGCTTATAAAGAGATATAATTAGACTATAATCTATAGTCTAGTAGTGCCTATATCTATACTCCTCCTAATTTAATAAAGAGTATAATAAGGTAATTAGTTCTAATAATATTAATAGATTAATTTCTAGCGCATATTATTTATACTAGTTTAAAAAAGACTTATCCTTACTATCTAATACTTCTTTATATTTAAGGAATTCTTACTACTTCTTAGCTTTCTTATAGCTCTTATAGTTATTATAAAGAAAGTAGGGGGAGGACTAGTCTACTTTCTCCCTAGTCTAGTAGACCTAGACTTACTAGACTAGTAATTTCCTAATAGGGAAGCCTATAGCCTAAAGAGGTAGTAAAGATATAAAAAAAGTAAGTTATAATAGTATATATAACTTAAATTCTTAGTTGCTAGGTACAGGATAACGTAGAGAGGAATAGGAGTACTTATACTTTCTTCCTCCCTACTCTATTACTAAGCAGAATATTCTAGATAATACTAGACTATTCTTATTAGTAATATACTTATAGGATTTATAAGCAGATTACGCGTCTATATATGTAATCCCTACTAATAATACTAGTATATATTTATAAGCTTATTCTAGAAGCTTCTCTATACTACTAAGAATAGAACAATTAATATCTCTAGAACTAGTAAAGCTATAGGCTTAGTAAGCACAGGAAAATACTCCTTAGAGTTAGGAGATTCTATAGTGTGATTATCTAAGCGCTATACCTAACTAGGAATTTACTAGAGTAAAGAGTATTCTAAGTAATCTTAATAACTTTTATAATTTAAATAGATCTTAGAGATATAGGTACTTACTTAGTAGTATAAGCTTATTATAATTAAGTAGGTAAACCTATATTTAAGTACTCTATTTAATAGACTACTAGTTCTATAAACTATAGAATAATACTTGTATATATATAAAGGGAAGTTCTATAGGTTATATAGCCTTATTTAAGTAAGCTTCTACTATAGCTGAAGTAGCTTTATATTAGTTAATAAGCCTTTATAGGCCTAAGCTTTCTATACTACTCTAGGTACTTAATTTATAGGTTAATAATTAAGCTACCTAATAGTAGTTTAATACTTAATTATATAACACTTATAAATCTACTCTTGCTATATAAGAGAGAGTAAGTATAAACTAATACAATTTAATTATTTAAGAAAAAATTCCTACAAGTAGAGTAGTTAAACCTAAGTGTAATTAGCTAGTAAATAGGGTAGGTATAAAGTAGCTTAGGCCACCACCTATATTAGAAGTAAAGAAAAAGATATCTACTTTATATATATTAAGCTAAAAAAGTAGCACTTAGTAACTTAGTTCTTAAGATTATAAGTATATAGTTCTAAGTATTTAGTAGCCCTATAGTATAACTAGGTTTACCTAGTTAGTATATAACTATAATATATTAATAGAGAATATATATATAGCTACTAAATAGCTACTTAAATAGCTACCTAAGTAGTACTAAATTATTATAGTATTAGTATTATCTCTATTACTTAGCAATATTAGTTACTTAGTTATATTAGTTACTTAGTAATATTATTTACTTAGTACTATTAATTACTTAGTAATATTAGTAACTCCTAGTATACTTAGTAAAATTTATTTCTAATCTAAAGAGAGAGAGTTTATAAAATTAGAACATAAAATGTAACCTAGAGAAGATTAGGCTTAAGGCTAGTACTAATATATGTAGAGTTTTTAACTAAAGCACTTAAGATTAAGTATACTATTAATTTATAAAGTTAAGCTAGTATAGTAGGGTAGGAACTAAGTATATCTATTTTTTTTAATAGCTAGCTTAATATTACTATTTATATAGTATAGTAAAATAATTAGGCTATGTTTTATACTATAAAGGTTAGTGTAGTTAAAAAAGCTAAGAATACTAATTATTCTTCTATTACTTAAACTTAAGCTTTTATTCTTTTATCTTACTTATTTAAAGTTTTAGAGCTACTATATAAAGTTAATATAAATTAGTAGAAGTATACTAAATTTAGATAAAACTAGCTATAAAGAAAGCAATTTTATAACCGTAAAATAGAGCCTAAAGAAGTATTTAAACTCTAACTAAAACCAGTTAAACCTTAGCTAAAAAAAACTTTTAAACTGTTTTTTAGACTTTTTATAAAAAGTAAAAACTAAAGTAAGTAACTAACTAGCTATATAAATAGACTTTTCCTTTAATTAGATAAGATAGTGTATCTAGCCTAAAAATTAGATAAGTATATTGCTATTAGTAGAGCCTCTCTAAAAGCTAAATAGATAGGTTTAGATTTTTTTTTTATCTTTATTTTACTAGATTACTCTTCTTTACATAAAGTAACTTAGCTTAGTATAGAAAAGTAGAAAAAGAAGTATGATTTAAACTTACACTTTTAGTATTCTCTTAAAAAGAGTACTAGGAAATCGAAGTACTTAACTACTTTACTATTTCTATTCTAATTATTTTATACTATATTATGTAAAGTAAAAGTTATAAGTAAGTCTTACTTATTAAGAAGCTTCTATTAATATATAAGCTACTATAGTTACTAAGGCTAAAGAAAATATTATATAATTATATGTTAAAATAAAAGCTAGCAGTATATTATTAAAGTATCTTGTTATATATATTTACTAATGTAATATAGCTAGTTAGATTTAGAGTTAAAATATAGTAAAGAATAAAAAATAGGCTAATATTAAGTATAAAAAGAATCTTTATATATGTTAGGCTTCTTAGACTATAAATAGTAACTTACTTAGTAAACATCCTTTAATTTATGCTACTTTTTTAGGTTAAAGTAATAAATAACTTTATAGATATAGTAGTACTTTAAAAAAGCTTCTTAAAAGTAAATCTTAGTAAGGACTTAAACAACTTATTACTAATATCTTTAAAAGTAAAAAGAATAAGAAGAAGTAAGAGTAATTTTATAATATTCTTATAATAAAGATAGAAGCTCTTTTAACTAATAGTAATCTAGAGCCTATTTTACTCTAGGTTAAATTTTCTATTCTGATTTTATCAATCCTTTCTAGATTTTAATATAAAGTCTACTAAGTATTGTAAAGTTATTAAGATAACTTAGAATACTCTCTACTTTGGTAAATTCCTAGTTAGGTATAGTGCTTAGATAATCACGCTATAGAATCTCCTAACTCTAAGGAGTATTTTCCTGTGCTTACTAAGCCTATAGCCGTACTAGTTCTAGAGATATTAATTAATCTATTCTTAGTAGTATAATAAAGCTTCTAGAATAAGCTTATAAATATATACTACTATAATTAGTAGGGATTATGTGTATAGATGCGTAATCTGCTTAAAAATCTTGTTAGTATATTACTAATAAGAATAGTCTAGTATTATCTAGAATATTCTGCTTAGTAATAGAGTAGGGAGGAAGAAAGTATAAATACTCCTGTTCCCCCCTATGTTGTTCTATACCTAGCGACTAAGAGTATAAGCTATATATACTATTATATATCTTTATTATCTACTCTTTTTTATATCTTTATTATCTCTTTAGGCTATACGCTTCCCTATTAGGAAATTACTAGTCTAGTAAGTCTAGGTCTACTAGACTAGGGAGAAAGTAGACTAGTCCCCCCCCTACTTTCTTTACAACTATAAGTCTACTAAATACTTATAACTCTAACTTCTATTTACCTAAACTTAGATAATAAAAAAGTTATAGAGATCTTAAAAATAGAAAGCTGTTTT